TACTTTAAAAAGTTATATTAAGATAAAACGTAATTATATTTATTAAATATAATAATTAATTAAAGGATTTTTAAAGGTATTTATCTTAATTATATATTTAAAAAAATCTTTTTATAAGTTTAAATTTCTAAATTTATTTTTATATTTTCCTTATTTGCATTAATTAAGAGGATTTTTAATTTTTTATAACTTTAAGTATATATAATTCTTAAAAGAAAAGTTTAGGTTTATTAGCCCTTGCTTTATTAATAAAAGTATATTTCCCTTTATAAAAGCTTTATTTTAATATATTTAAGGTTCTCTTAGGAATTAAAAGTTTTTATTTTTAATTTCTTAAGCTTTTTAAAAAGGTAATATATAATAAACTTTGCTTTTTAAATTTAAAAATCCTTACTCTTAAATTTTAATTAAAAGTATTAGTTTTATCCTTTTTTAATATAAAATAAGTATTAAATTTATTATTTAAATTAATTAGGTTATTTTCTATATAAGGTATTAAAAATGCAATATAAATGCAATCTTAAATTTCCTTAGTATTAATAATTTTAATATTTAGCAATTTTACTTTAAGAATTAAAAGGCAGTTTTTTACTTTATTTATTATTAATTTATAAAATATATCCTTATTAAACTATATATTCCTTATAAAGATTATTTGCTTAAGCAAAGGAATTTAAATTTAAAAGATATTAAATATTATATAATTAATTAAATATTTAATATAAGCCCTTAATTCCCCCTTTATAAGGCATTTCTTTATATTGTTTTTGCATTCCTTTTTAAATATATATGTTTTGCATTTATAAGCATAAATATTACCTTAATAAAGCAATAAATAAGTTATAAAATGGTAAATTTATGCTAATTTAAATTATTAAAAATAATAAGAAAACCATGCATATAAAAAAGTATTTAAAGCGCGCTTTTTTTTCCTTAAAGCAGGTAATATATTATATAATTAAGCTATAGCTTATATTGCCTTTAGCTAAAGGTTAAAAAGTAAATTAGCCCTTAATAATATAGTTAAAGTATATTTAATTATTACTTTATTAACTCTTTTTATAACGCTATTTACTTTTAAGATTTAAAGGAAAGCAAGTTTTAAATTAATACCTTTTCGTTTTGCTTATTTAATATATTTAATATTTATAAATTAATTAATTACTATAGCCTTGGTATCCTATTTAATTTTATAAATATTTAAACTATATTACCGTTTTACTTAGCTCTTATAAGCTTAAAAAGTGCTAAATACTTATTCTTAAGTTTTTAATATAAAAAGAAAAATATAAATAAATCCTAAGAACTTATTTATTATTATAAGCTTATAATTTAACTTATTTAATATTTATAAATAATAAAAAAGGTTTTATAAGATTTAAAAAAAGGGTTTTAAGCTCTTACCTTTTAATAGCTTATATTAAATTACTTTTTTAATAAAGGCTTTAAAGTAATTCTTATAATTAATTTATTTAATTCCCTTAAATTTTATGCTTTAAGCATATTAAATTAGCAATTTAAAAGCATTAGCCCTTAAATATTTAAACTAAAAATATTAAAGGATTATTAAGTTTTTTTAATCCTTATTTAAGTATTAAAAGGGCTTAAAAGGTTTTATTAAGTTTATTAAAAAAATTATAAGCTTATATATACTTATAATACTTATAAGTATTTATAATAAAAAGTAAAAATAAGGAAATTATAATAATATATATTTAAAAAAGATTAAATTATATTATTAAATAAGTTTAAGAAAAACAATGCTTTATTTAAGTAATTTAAAATATAACGTTAAATTAATTTTATAATATTAAATGCTTAATTTTTATAAAAGCGCTTTTAATATTATATTAATATAAAATTTATTTATAATTATTACATTTTTTAAAATTAAATCCTTAATTCTTTTTTTATTTACTTTATATAATATATTTTTAAAGCGCTTTATTTTATAACTTAAAACCTTTAAAAATAAAATCCTTACTTTAATAATATTTATTTTAATAGTTTTTTTAAAAATACTTAAAATTAAATAATTAATAAAGTTAATAAAGTAAATAATATTATAATTATTTAAAACTATACTTAAAAATAAAGAATATAATGTAAAATTTAAGGTTATATATATTTTTAAAAAATTAATTATAATTAATAATTATAATAAATTAATTAAAATATAAATAAATTAATAAAAAGTTAATAAAGATATAATAAAAATATTATTAATTAATTAATTTTTTAAAATTAAGGTTTAAAAGAGTATAAGTTTACTTTATAAAGAAAAATAAAATAAAAAAAGGAAATTAAGATATTATTCCTTAATAGCTTTTAAAAATGCATTTAAGGAAATCTTTAATATTCTTAATAAGCTTTGCATTTAATTTTTAAGCAAAAGGTTTTTTTAAATAAGCTCTTAAATTAAGTTTTTATAATAATTTTCTTATAATTATATTTTAATCTTATTATATTTAAGTTCTCTTAAAGGTATTTTTAACTTTAGGATTTATTTTCTTAAAAGTATAAAATAAAGATAGTAATAATTAATAAAAAGCTAAATATATCCCTTTTATTAATTAATTCTTTAGCAAGAATATTTATATATTTTATTTTATTAATATAATTAAAATAATATATTTTTATTTCTTAATTACTTTCTTAATTAATTACTTTTTATTTTAAAAGATACTTTTAATTTTAATATAATAAATATTATAATATTTTTAAAAGCTAATATAAGCTTATTATAATATAAAAATATTATTAATTCTTTAAATAAGGTTTTTAAGAAATAAATAAGATTTCCTAATATATCTTATTTAATAAGTTCTTAATACTTAGAAATTATTTAATTAAAGGTAATATATATTATAACTACTTATAAAAAGTTATTAAAATTAATAAATCCCTTAATCTTAAGTAATTTATAAATATAAGCTTATAAATACAAGTTTATAAAATCTTAATATTATTATTATAATTTAATACTTAGTTTTTTTACTTTTTTTAAATATTATTAATATTAAGTTTAAAGGATATTTATTATGCTTAACTTAAAAGATATAAGATTATTCTTAATATTTTAAATTACTTATTAAATAAAGAATTATTTTATATTTATTATTTTAATTAAATATAAGGAAAGAATTAAGCTAAATATTATTTTTTATATTTATTTTTAAATTTTTTATTTTTTGCTAAATTTAATTGCTTTATTAAGAGCTAAGGCAATTTATTATTAAAAATATTAATTATATCTCTTTTTTAATTTATTAAAGAATAAGAAAGAGAATAAAGTAAGTATTATTTTATCTTTTAAGAGCTTATTATTATTTAAACGCTTTTAATACTTATTATATAAAGCCTTTTAAATATTTCTTTTCTTTTTTTTATATTATATAAATTAAGAATTTAGTTTTAAGATTAAATTTAATTACTTAATAAAAGCTATATTTAATACATTAAGGTTTATAAATTCTTAATACTTCTTAATTTAATAATAAAATTATAATATAATAAATTAAGTAAAAAAGGAATAAATATTTAAATAAATTACTTAATTAATAAAGTTTAAAGAAGCGTTTATAGCTATTATATAAATATATACTTAAAAATAAAAAAAAATAAATAATATAAAATAAATATAATTAAGATGCACTTTATATAACTTATTTATAACTTATAAAAAGGAAAGATTATTTTATATAAATTAAGCTTATAATTATAAAAGATTATAAGTATTATAAGGGGTTTAAAAGTATAATTATAAAAGCGTTTATTTCTTAAGAGTAGTTTAAAAGGGGGAAATAAAAGAAATCTAGCTATTTAAGCATTTTAAAAAGTGGTTGCAAACCAGGGTTAGGGATGTGCGTGCAATAGAATCTGCGGCATGCGACACAGGGTTGGGCAGGCCACGGTGGCGGTCCTTTGCCTTTGCCATCCCCCGTTTTCACTCTTTCTCCCATGTGATCGACGTTTGACGATCTTTCCGAAACTTCTCAGATCTGAATTACGGAGGACGAGCTTGTTGAAGTTTATCTTCTCAAAGAATTCCTGCCACTGCAGGTTCACGGCCGCGTAAGCTGCGCGGCATCTTTTGTCTTCTAATGAATGTCGGTTGTAATCTTGGGCCAATTCCCTCAAAACTGCTTGCTGCACAATGCTAGGTAGCCTTCCCCAGTGTATCAATGCTGCCGGGGGAGATTTTGTGGCTTTGGCCTGCTGCCTGTTTCCCATTACCTCGTTGCTGGGCACTTCCATCCTTCTTCCACTTCTGGTTTGCTTCATGATGATTGGGCTGACTCTGAGAAGGAAGCTACAATGGAAATTTTGTAAAATGAGGCTTGGGATTCATTCGTCTATTTCTATCACGCCGTCGCCGTGATGAAACTAATGCTCGGCACTATAGAGGCGTAGGGAGCCACCAGCTATCAGCCCCGGCGCTGGACCGTCACCACACAAAACGCACTACTTGAAAGCTATAATAGCTAGGCATAAGTGTAAGCTTTAGTGCTGCGCCTGGTGCCGTGAGGCAGGTATGTGCTGTGTGACTAGTCCAGCTAGGCCGTAGACCCGTGGTCTGGCGGGCACTTATACCTCGGGCTTCTTGGATACACGCAAGTTCAAGCGAGGGGCGTGCACCTCAGTAATTGATCCCCTACACTCACCCCTCACCTACCGTAAAGCAGGGTTTGCACTCCATGTTCAGGGGTGTTCTTTTATCAGGAGTGCTTACAGAGGTAGTCGGAAAAGCCGTCTTCGCAAAGTGCGGACTTTGGCTCATTCCGATTCCAGGAACCTCGAGAACAGGACCCCTGTTTGGCAGATGATCCTAATCCCGGAACCTACAAGACTCCCTCAGAGCACCGTACTTTGCAGACATTTACCGAGTACTTATCATAAGGGAGCAATCAAATATTCACTAACAACCGTTCCTCTAAAATTGCACGAGACTCCTATACGACAGGCACGTGCCTGCATTTTCCATGATATCTCGGACAAGGATGAACACTCAAGCAAGGCCCGTCTCCGGCAGCCCGGTACCACTTGTCATTAATGGCCGTGATGTGACAACGGAAAGAACATTCCCAGTGATCAGCCCCATCTCGACCAGCGAGATTTGGACGTGCTCTTCGGCTAGGAGCGAACACCTGGCAGAGGCTGTCTCATCGGCCCACAACGCCTTCCAAGCTTGGTCGGCCACCAAGCCGAGCACGCGACGAGACATCTTCCTCCGTGCCGCAGAGGTCATCGCGGAAAGGAGAGAAGAGCTGGGTGGGTACATGCATCAAGAAATTGGTGCCGATAAAGCTTATCAGGATTTCATTCTGGGCCTGACCATCGAGGGCCTGAAGGACACAGCTGGGAAAATCGCAGGGGCCCTCCAAGGGGAGGTCCCCGTGTCGAACCACGATGGAAGGCGCGCGGTGATCTACAAGAGGCCATATGGTGTTGTGTTGGGAATCGGACCTTGGTAAGGACCAATACCGTCTTCTTCACCGCAGCCCGTGACGACTTGATCACCTGAGTATGCTCGTCTAGGAATGCTCCGTATCACCTTGGTTTCCGCGCCGTCACTTTCGCCCTGGCCGCAGGGAACACCACGATCCTGAAGGGCCCTGAGCTCTCGCCGCGATGCTACTGGGCAATAGCCGATGTCTTTCGACAGGCAGGACTCCCGGACGGATGCCTAAATCTGATATTCCATCGGCCGGAAGACGCAGGTCCGGTGACAGAGCAGCTTGTCAAGAATGTCCACGTGAGAAAGATCAATTTTACCGGCAGCTCTCATGTCGGCAGCATCATCGCGGCGCTTGCCGGCAAACATCTCAAGCCGTGCCTCATGGAACTTGGCGGAAAGGCGAGCGCTATTGTCATGCCGGATGCCGACCTCGACACGGCCGCCCTGAGCTGTGCTGTGGGATCTTTCATGAATGCGAGTCTACTCCAAGATTTATAACACGCCTTTTGCAAAATTTCTAACCTGTTTTTGATGCGTTTAGGCTGGCCAGATCTGTATGTCTACTGAGCGCATCCTTGTCCACTCGTCGGTTGCTGCTGCGTTCCAGTCCCTTCTTGGCCGGGCTGTCCGTCGAACATTCGAAGGCCCCTCGAATACTCCAAGAGTGATAACAGCTGGCTCTGCCAAGCGGAATCGCGCTCTAGTCGCTCAGGCTCTATCCAAGGGCGGCGAGGTGCTGCATGGAGGTAGTGACGCTACCCCGGCCAACGGCACCGAAACCATGATGCCTCCCGTCATTCTCACCAAGATGACAAAAGAAATGGATCTATACCAGTCCGAATCCTTTGGACCCAGCGTCTCGCTTTTTACGTTTGACACTGAAGACGAGGCCATAGAACTTGCAAACGACACCCCGTACGGCCTGTCTGCCGCCGTGTTCACTGAGGACCTGAAATTAGCATTGCGCGTGGCGGACAGACTGGAGTCTGGAGCAGTGCACATCAACTCCATGACTGTACACGATGAGCTTGCTCTTCCCCATGGGGGCATCAAGAATAGCGGGTTTGGACGTTTCAATGGGTACCATGGCCTAGATGAGTTCTTGTATTCCAAGACGGTTACTTGGATGGAATGACCTCAGACATCATGAGCCCAGGATCTTTCTAATCACATGCATCGGTACAAGATATTAGTGGACGTAAGAGGCTGTGACAAGGCGGGTCTGTCTATTTCCCGAAGACCTAGATAACTGCTAAGCTATTCAGTGGTCGCTTTTCAAACGGCCTCACCAAATGGCGGTGTTGCAGGCTGGTTCGTGCGTTCACTTCGATTGTTCCGGGGCGCAAGGTCAAGTTATCACCAATGTATCTGGTGGTCAGGTTTGGTGGCTCGGTTCGAGCTGCGCCTTCGACAAATTGTCTGGAACCCCGCTGTAGTGTTCCGAAGCTGTGTCCTCGATACCACAAATCCAGCGGAACCTGGTCCGCCTACCTTGACCCGTTCCGACACGCACGGCTACATGAACGACTTGTATCTTGCATTATCACTGTAACGCCAGACGTTGCAGAATGCCTTGCAACCATCCAGGGTGCCAACATGATGAACATGATGATACGAGGACGTCTCCAGTGACAAGCATGGAGTTGACGCCTCATCCAGTGACAGATAGACAATAAAAAGCGGCAATGGAACTCGAATCAATAAAAAACTAGCCGTCCGCTGTGTTTCCCATCTCTTGAAGAGCCAGCCAGTACTGTATCTAATTCATCTTCATTTTGAAATTATTCAAGACTCACCTCCCCACAAAGAAACAACCAAGCCTGTGCTGAGGCTACTTTTGAAAGTTCTACAATCTCGTTTTCGAACTTGCCGAGTGCAGCCTGTAGCATCCCCCTAGAAAAAGTCTGCTGCCTTTTCGTTTCCGTCCTTTCCTTTCCCCCCGAGCTTTTCCTTTCCATGCATATAGAAAAGAGCGGCAGTCATCTAATCCTGAATCGCAGTGTCAAAGGGACAATCACCGGCCGCCATGGCCATCGAGTCGAAGCCCGTCGCCAGCAACGTCACCAGAACGGAGCCAGACATTGCAGAAGCCGAGGTAATCAACAATGCAGAGGTAAATCACACATGGACATCTAGCGTAGTGCTGGCTTTGCCATACAGAATAGCTAACGGTGTCTGTTTGATTCAGGTCAACAAAAACTTCAACACGCTTTCGGCCCTCTCTCTCGCAGTTTCTCTCATGGCGACATGGGAGACAGTGTGCAGCACCATCGGCTCGGGTCTAGTCAGTGGAGGACCAGTCTCTTTGGTATATGGATTTATACGTATGACCAACGCCCTGCATTCTACCTGGACCAGACTGAAAACGATATTTGCAGTATCCTTTCTCGGCAACTTGTGCACTGCTGTATCGCTGGGTGAGCTGGCATCTATGTCAGTGACCCCTGACGTCCCGTTCTGATCCAAAAAGCGGTCCTGATAACTTGGACACACAGGTATCCAACCGCCGGAGGACAGTACCATTTCGTGGCCCAGCTGAGCTCTCATCGGACCAAAGCTGCATGGAGTTGGGTCTCTGGCTGGCTCACCGTGCTGGCGTGGCTGTTCTTGACCGCCTCCGCGCCTTTCGGGGCCGGCAATCTGATCCAGGGGCTGCTCACTCTCAATTATCCGGAATACGTTCCCCAAAGATGGCACGGTACCATGCTGTACTGGGCTGTTCTGGTGGTGGGTTTCCTGGTCAACCTGTACGGAGCCAGACTGCTGCCGCACATTGAGAACCTCATGATGGCCTTTCATTTACTGTTTTTCTTCATTATTTTCGTGTCAATCCTGGCCCTCTCGCCGACTAGAAACCCCGCGGCATTTGTCTTTGGCGAGTTCCAAAACAACACCGGATGGGGCAGCGACGGGATTGCGTGGTCTCTTGGAATGGTGACCGCTGCCTACGCAATGGTCGGTATGTATACCCCTCCTTGTGCCATTGCTGGTTGTTGTACTGTACTAGGACAATCTGGCATGACATTCGTGAATGAGCTGACAGTGCTGTGATCTTGTCTCCAGGGTACGATTCCGCGACGCATCTATCCGAAGAAATGAAAACCCCCCGCATGACTGTGCCGCGCGCAATGGTCGGCTCCCTCGTTATCAACGCGTCCATGGGGTTCGCTCTCCTCATCGCGATTCTTTTCTGCATGGGAGACCTGCAGGAAGCCCTCAGCACGAACACGGGGTTTCCCATCATCCAGATCTTCTACCACATAACAGGCGGAAGCCTCGCGGGCACGGGTGCCTCGACCTGCGCCATTATCTTGTCGGCGTCGGGCGCCACGATCGGTCTCATGGCCTCGACGTCTCGGACTCTCTGGGCGTTCGCCCGCGACGGGGCGCCTCCGTTCTCTCACTGGCTCTCGCAGATCAGCCCCAGATTCAAAGTGCCTACCAACAGTGTCATCTGTGTTTTTGGGCTTCTCGCGCTACTGGGGCTGTTGAACATCGTTTCCACGACTGCTTTCACCGCTGTGCTTTCCTTGACGGTGGAGAGCCTTGCCCTATCGTATCTCAATCCCATCGTCATGTTGATATACCGACGCATTCGGTCTCCCGAGGACTTGGTGTACGGTCCATGGAGGCTTCCTAACACAATCTCACTTGGCAGCGGGGTCATAGCTGTCCTTTACAACTGCTATATCTGCATATTCCTGATATTTCCACCTTTCCAGCCGGTAACGGCCCAGAACATGAACTACGCTGGCGTCGTTCTGGGCGGGGTTTTGCTGTTGGTGACGATTCGTTGGTTTGCGGGCGCGCATAAGATCTACAACGGTCCTCGGGTACCATTATAGATAATATGAAGTATCAAACGATCAGCGAGGACGGCCGGTAAGGCTCTTGCGAGTTCTGCATGAGAGTATCCATGTCGGTAGCGGTGTTGACACGGACCTTTTCCCAGCACAGAGCAGCTGTAGAGGGCCTCCTTAGTTGGTTCACCCGAGTGAGCCCCTTATGTCCCGGGCAGTCCATAAAATGTGCTTACATGTCTTTGCAGGGCCTCTCAGCTTTCTCGACGATGCCCAAAGGTCACATTTCCAAGCATGTGAACGCCTGTTGGTTGATGATCAGAATGAATTGTCCCTGCATCAGCGGCATCCTAAAATCTGTGTCTTATATTTCCCCTAGCAACCCTTGAAATCTTTTACTGAAGCAAAGAGGTCCGCCCGAGTACCTGCGTTCCACCTGCAGGATTGGGGGCCTCCAAAAGTCCACTTGTCCCGTGCCGATTGTGAGAACCGTAAAGGCCAATCATTCGCTGAAATCTTACACAAACGTCCATTCTCTGATTATCTTCCCCGCGTCCAAGGTTGAGATCGCGATTGTCTTTCACTCGCTACTTTGCGAAATGAAGATCGTAACCGAGCCATTTCCGCCTCAGTACCTGGTCGACACTGAGACCAGGGTAGCCGTATGTTAGCGGCAGGAAGAAGTACCAGCCAAACGCTGCCAGAGCCAGAATGACCACACACGCAATCCACGCGCTGAGCATGCTCTGTCCGGCAAATCGCTCACGAGCCGAGATATGCCTCTTCGGCCCAGACTTCTTGCCATTCTTGACAGACTCGGGTACCTCCTCGGTGGTATCCGCATTGAAGACAAACTCAAGCAAAGCACCCGTTACAAGTGTGGAGGCGAGATGAGCCGGGAGGTAGTGATGTAGGAACAGTTGACGGCCCATCACATAGAAGGGAAAGTAATGGGTCGCCCACGCCAAGAAGAAGAACCCAGTCGAGTTGTAAAGACGGGATCGGGTTCCTGTGACAGGTCAGCTAAGTGTGCAAACGCGTGTTCATGCAGATCCTTTACTCACTGTGATCCAAAGCATCAACACCACGCCTGAGAGAGAATTGATCCGCAGCAACGATGCCAGCATAGACCGCAAGCAAGCTGCTTGCAATCCACCAGCCGACAGGGTTACCCAGGAAGTAAATCTGCTGGCGGGTCTCATTCTGGGTCCAGAAACTAACACCCCGGAGCAGGAATGGCCACTGGTAGGGCTGCGAGGCGTACGGGTGGCTGCTGGTCAGCTGGTTGTTGTGCCAGAACATGGACCGCTGAAGCTCAAACCACTTCCTCAAGAACGGCAAGGTCTTCACCTTGCGCTCAGGCTTCTCCCTCCGCTTGTCATCTGCAGGCAGGGATGGGATGTCCTCGACCAGCCAGACATTAGAACTTGGTGCGATTTGCTTGTTGCCGTTGATCTCCTGCTGCTTGTGACCCCACTCCGGGAGGGGTGTCGTGTGAGTCCACATGGCGACTTTGCTGGGGTTATGGATGAACTTGAAGTGGCTTGAAACACTCTTGAACTCCTGATTCTTCTTTCCACCTTCGACACGAATCTCAAACAGGGTATCCTGTTTTCTATCGCCGTATGCATCCGTCAAGGACACAGTTGTGAACTCCTGGTTGGTAGGAAAATATGGGGATGCAACATCGTGCGATAAGAGGATAGTGTCGGTGACGATGTGGCGGAGTCGCACGAGATCGTGGTTCTTGACCGCGCGGCCCAACTTCTGATCGTCTTCCACCGGAATGATTTGCCAGTAGTTATTTGTGTCATTGTAAGGGTATCCGGTGACCTGCTGGCCCTGACTGGAAACCCTACCATCGTCGTAGCGCAGAGGGTAGTGGTCTTCATGACTGTGAAGGTATGTCTTGGTCTCCTTGTGCTTTATAGTGATTGAATCGTAGTAATTCACAGTGACCGCGTTGGACAACATAACGTTGTCGCTCAGGGTCTCCTGAAACTCGGGAGTCATAAAGTCATCGCCCGGCCCAGATCGGTTCAGGACCGCAAAGTGGACCTGGAACCAGAAGAGGTAGAAAACGAAGGGCATGACGATCAGCCCGAACGCTCGTGCCGCAAAATGCTTTCCAAAATCGGGCATGCTCAGGGCTCCGCCGGGGCGCTTCACATCCAACAAGTCCCACAAATCGATGGCCACAGCGGAACCAATTGTGACAAAGGCAAAAAGACCGACGTATTTCGTTGAAATGTCGCAGGAGAGGGCGAATCCCGTCAGAATAAGCCACTTCCACCACTTTCTTGAGAAGGCCTCATGCCGAAGCTTGTAGAACTTGATGTAGGCAAGCAGACTGCAGGCCATTGCCAGGACAAGCGTAGCGTCCAGCAGAATCAAGCGCGTCTGACCAATGTGGGCATTGTCGAGAAGGACAAGACCAGCAGCTACGACGCAAGCGGGCAGGCTATAGCCAGACTCCCACATGATCATGTAGGTGACGGAGACTGTCAGCGCACCGAGGATCGCTGGCAGGGAACGGAAAGCCACGAATGGAACTTTGTTCGCAACGTAGGAGTCCCCAATATTCTCGAAGTGGAAGTGCCCATCGTAGCCAACCAGCCATCCCATAAAGGCGAAGAGAAGCTTTCCGAAGGGCGGGTGCACGTCGAAGAAATAGGTTCGCTCAAGATAATAGGAGGCAAACTACAGGCAAGCTTCCGTCAGCAAGAGTACGCTGCAGAAGTGCAGTGAGGTGTAGCATTGATGCATACCTTGCCGAAGTGTACTTCGTCAAAGACGACCTCGCTAGGGTGGCTGATACCCCAGAATCTTGTCACGAAGGCGAGTGCGGTGATGATCGCAAGACCAATCTTGTACTGCAGGTCAGAGTTGTTGGTCGGCGCGCTGGCCTTCAGGAGCTTGTCGAGTTCGACATCGTCGGCTGTCGAGGCTGCGCCGTTCTTCTTGGAGCCGGCCACATTCCTCTGGCGCAAGCCCTCCTTGGAAGTCGAGCTCGAGACCATGATGGGCCTATGGAAAAGGGGGTCTAGGAGGACAAACAAAATGTCAGTTGTTGGACTTGGAGGTCCCCGTATGGGAATGTTGTGTAAGAAGGACGAGGTTCGCACGAGCAGCTCAGCAACAGCTGGCAGGATCTGGAAGGTGGGCAGACAGAACGCCCCGAACCAACCAATGGCTCGACAAGGGGGCCGACTAACAGCAGGCAAAGAGCAAGGGATAGACGGGGGACGCTTACAGGAATACGGTAGACCAGGTGGAAAGGGAAGGCAGTGGGGGTGCTGCCACTAATGAGCGTGTAGAAGAGAAGAGTTCGTCAAGGAACCATAAGAGGAACAACAGACTCGAATATGTTTATAAACAGCCTGCCCTCGAGTGAACTGCATCTGACGAGAATTGCTGGAAGGCGTCCCAAGTCAATTGAACGCAGCGCAACCTTGTTAATTTTAGACGACCGAGAAGAGAAGACGACAGCTTGGCATCAATCTGGCCCGTCGTCAGCTCCCTTCCGAGCCTGAAACAACCTGGCCCAAGCTCCACCGATTAGATAAGGGGCAGATGGGGAGCTACGGCACTGTGTAGATCTGGAAATTTATCAGAGGGTCCGCCCAGTCCGCTCGTTAACATATCTACACACAGCTGCGTGACCGATGGAGTATGTCCTGTTAGGGAGTACTAGGTAGACTCAATCAGATCGACCGGTGATCCAGTCAAATCCTCATGGTGTATTTGTCATGAGTTTGCTGTCAGTACCTTGAACATGCAGATCGATGGCCGCATGCTCCCCAGACGGCTTATTCTCACCAGGGGTAGAGGAGGCCCCAATTCGCACCTTCCAAGCTTGCTCTGCTGCACCTGGGCTATCAGTTGGCCTCCTGTCCGAAGACGGAGATGCACGCTTCCCAATGACAAAACACCGCATGACACGGAATCAATTGAAGACATTTTAACTCAATCCCCTCTCCCTAATGCTTCCAGTGCGCCGACTCACCCGAATTCCCCTCTCGTCCACCCTTGTGAGATCGTTGACAACAGCTCCTCGTGCCGCACCGTTCTCCAGCCACTTCATCCGCCCAGTCTCAACAATGGATATCGTCTTCACCAAGGATGCCGCCCCGCGTGGGTTGAACCCCTCACATAATTCTCAATTGGCTCTCACTGACGCTTGAAACAGCTGCTGGGCCTTACGTATGTTGACTACCTCGAGGACAGGATAAGGGCTGCCTCACTAACACCACCCGCCTATTCTAGTCCCAGGCCATCAAGACCCCAACGGCAATCTACTGCTCGGGTCAGATCCATTTTGACCCTGAGGGCAACCTGATCCAGGGCACCATCCAGGAGAAGACCGCTGCTTGCATCCGCAACCTCAAGGCCGTTCTCGTGGCTGCTGGCTCTGACATCAACAAGGTTGTCAAAGTCAACATCTTCCTCAATGACATGAACGACTTTGCTGTACGTTGGACTGCTGAATACGCCCGACGGCAACGTGGTCACCAAGCTGACCTTCTTTCCTCTCTTTCCAGGCCATGAACGAGGAGTACAGCAAGTGGTTCACCCACAAGCCTGCTCGCAGCTGTGTTGCTGTCAAGACACTCCCAAAGAACGCCGACGTCGAGCTTGAGGCTATTGCACTGCCCTGAGGTTGTGTGTCAGAGAGGCACCCCTTGGAGGAGGACAGACTCGATATGCAGGCCCAGGGAGGCTCCAGGAAACACAGATATGTTGAAATCAAACAATCTGAACCTTACGAGCTCGACTCTCAGGGGCCAGTTCTGTCCATCACGCATGAACCAAGATGAATTGTTGTATGTGTCTATGGCTTACCGTGATTCCGATAATTGCAACCTCAGCTCAAAATTATCTCCCTGAGTCAAGCCTGCCAGCCTCTCAATTCCAGAGGATATACGACCATGTGACTTGTGCGGTGCGGACTGACAGTAAAAGGCAGCCGTCATGGACCAGTCTTGACTGGCATCTGCAGAGAGCAACAAAAATTTGGAACCCAGAGATACTTGACATCGAGACCAGTGAAATCATTTCCTCAGGCGGCAAGAACAAGATACTTTTCGTGCGCGTTTTCAGCCCAGCTTCGCCCTAGCCATGGACCAGAGCCACCAGCCCGCCCACGAAGCAGCCCATGTGGCCGCCGCGGCCAACAAGCCTAGAGCCACCAGGACCGTCCCACGGATCTGGAAGGCGTCATCGGCCTCCATTTTCATGAGCTTCCGCTGCTTGCTGTGGTAGTACCACCTTGTCCCCTCGCTGCTTCCCGCTGGGGCTGTCGTATGGGTCGCATCGACCTTGACATATTTATATGGCGCCTCCCGGTATGTGATGCGGTGAAGCCAGCGGGGCAGGCTGCTTGGTTCCTCAGAGTGGCTGTGAGAGCGCATGATGGAATAGCGGAAGTCAACCCAGGCCAGTGACACCAGGAAGGAGACGAAGATTATGGGCGTCATGACCAGCTTTGGTAATGGTCAGCTAGCTAGCAACCTCATCAGTCGGAGACGGCGTGCTCACTTGGTAGATGGTAGTCCATTTCGCGGATGAGCCCTCCCCTGGGCTCGGACCAGCTTGGGTACGAGATGACGACATCGTAAAGCCCAGACGAGCGATTTTGAGGTCAAGACTGGAGATTGAGAGGGTGCAGGTGATGAGAGGGTACTGAAGTCTAATGGCAGATGGGAAGATGGTGCCTCAGCCCTGGTACGCGTCGAAGGTTTCGAAAGGTGCAGCTCGATTTCGGCCTGCCACATTGGGGGAGCAATGGCAACACAGCATTGCCACCGGCTTTCACTGATGCTGAGACGCCCCAGCTGCCAGCGCATCAGTCTCGAACCCATCACAGTTTCCGGGACATGCGTTGGAAACCTGAGTATTACTTCATGTCCAGCCGGTGTTGTGGTTCAGATGGCTCTGCCGAGCCTGCCGGCGAGCTGAAAGCTCTCATCACTAGCCCCGGAGGAAAGACATGCCCTCTCCCTTGACCTTTGTCATGCTGCCTATAAGCATCTTACCCAAGCACAGACCTGAACTATCAACACATGTTGTACAGCATTGCCCTACAGCTGCAGCCAAATAGAGCATATTACCAGGCCTGTTTACACACGCACACACAGCAACACACCCAACACCCATATGCCCAAGACCCATACGCCCGATAGCATTGCCCTAGTATTGCCCTATGTGGTGTTCAGTTGTAGTCTGTCTCGCAGTCACTAGGTCAATGGGCTCACGGTGTTCCCTGTGACCCTCTTACCCCTGTCCCAAGTACAGAGAGTTGCAAACCTCAATAATAAGAAAGGCGAGCATTGGACGGGGATACGGCCCAGGCAAACCAGCACACAAGATTGCATGAGGCTGGAAAGACCAGATGGCACCTAGTAGGCTGCATGCACACATGTGCCAAAGAGATTAATAAGGCTGTGTAAGGCGTCCATGGGTCAGCAAATACATATTATAATATTAAAAGGGCGGGCCTAATTCAATCTTTCATGCGAGCCATCAGGGAAACACGGGGCACAAATTCTAGCCCTCCAGCCATTACAGCAAAGATAACTCACGGCCAAAAGGCGTCTCCTGACAATCCTGTCAAGACGAAATGCTCCTCATAGATGTTGGCTAGATGTGTTTGCCATCTTCGCAGTGAGTAGGGGACTTTGTCCCAATGACAGGGTAGATGGCATTCTGGAATCAAGCATGTACTGCGTGGGCAGCCAAATGGTATTCTATGTACGAGGGGGGAAATGAAGTTGCAAGGATAGCCCCTCCCTCCATTCCTGGTTGCTGTGGAAAGGCGCGCAGTCGCGTCACCCGTATGTACCATCAGCCTTACACGTCAATGATCAGGGTCTCCTCCGTTGGCCTCAACCAGAAGGTCAATAAACACCTCCCATGAGACCTTGGGATGGACCTGGCCTCACTTGTTACGCCGGCGGCATTCGAGTCTTTTCCATCCAGGGCTACAGACCGCAAGTGTGACAACCGCTTGCTGGTTGATGTATCTCGACACCACCAAGATTGCCATTCAAGATTTCCAGTCGACATTTAATCTCTTTCGTTCACCCTTGCATGTCGCCCGCTACTATCCGCTGTCCCGTATACCCCTCGGCGCTACTTCTTTCACTGCAGTTCTTCTGAAAGCATCACTTTAGCATCCAACGTCTCTTTCACATCGTTCTTGATCTCACTTTGCTGTACCTGAGCGCAAGGCCGTTCTCTGCGACACTACAAGCCACCAGAACCCTTACTCGGCATAGCGGCAGGGGGAACCCTCATCCGTGCCTCGTTTTAGACTCCGGCAGAGGGAAACCTTGAGAGAGTAACACAATACGACACACACCTGCGCACACACAAAACATAGTGTCTGCTGCGGGTTCCTCTGGCTTTTGATCACGGTGCAGGCAACGTCGGCCAGACAGAGATGCCCCATTTCCTTTTCAACACATCAAGGAGGCCCCATTCCTCGAGGAATCCTGCCTTTGCGATCCACCAGGACAACAAGGGTACGTCAGTGCTTCTGAAACATCCACACCTAAATGCAGCCACGCAGGCCAAAGCGAGTGAGGCTCCACTGTCTGTCATTTGGCTCGGCACATTGCCCCTGATTTGTTTACTGCACGTCGGATTCCTTACTTCAAACAATACACTTTCAGGGACCAGGGCCAGGCACGACAAGAGTCGTGTTGGAAAACCTTGCCCAAAATGAGGAAGCTCATGTTCTCCCCAAAGTCCAAGGCGAGCAAGCTGACACGCCACGACAAAGACGCCCCTAGCCCGCCAGGGACAGCAGATTCCACCATATCCAGGCTGTCCATCGATGAGCCGTCCAAGTCGCCCAGACCAAGCTTCAGCTCTGCCTCCCACGTAACCACGAACTCGAGAAGCGCCGCCAACGACAGCCTGCCACCCCAGGAGTTGAAGCCCCCACACAGCTCCCCTTCCGACCGTCGCCCGTCCTCAGCCCTGGCTCCTGACGGCTCCAACGGCACCCCTCGGAGGATGGCCTCGATCCGGCCCGTCTCCAGCTTCGACGACGGCCCTACACCCCCAGCCGAATCCTCTCTCGAGGCCTCGCCTTCGCTTTCCAACGGTCGCTCAAACTCGGTGCTCTCAAGCTCCCCCAACAGCAACGCCAGTGCAATGTCTCCTACAATGGAGAGGAGACAGCATGACCAAAATGGCACATCAGACAGGATACCAGCAGGCCGCCTCAGGCCCAAGATATCAGCACAGTACCTGGCCAATGCCAGCCACGATGGAAATCGACGCGCCCCCTCTCCAAGATCCGTCGACATACCGCAGAGGGAGAGCAGCATTGGAGGGCCGGAGCGGTCAGCAGCCAAGGCAAACGCGGAAGGACAAGACGAGGTTGGCTTTGACTCGGCAGTAGGCAAGGCCGCGCTGGGCAAGACGGGCCGTGTCATGAACAAGCTTATATCCGAGAACGAGGCGCTGAAGCGAGACCTGCGAATCGAGAAGCTCAACTCGGAGGAATCGAGACGAGAGGCCAAACTGCTCCAGGACAAGATGGAGAGGATGGTCGCGGATTATGAGAGTCGTCTCCTAGAATCCAACGTCACCAAGACCCTGCTAGCCAGGAAAGAGCGTCAGGTCGAGGGCCTGCAGGAAGTTATAGAACTCGAGAAGAAACGGACGAGCGATGCCCAGACCAAGGAACAAACCTGGAAAGGCGAGATGGAGAAGATGCGAGACGAGACGACCAGAAAGGTTGAGAACGCCACGACCCACGCGGCGCTGATGGAGGGCCGGTACAACGCCATCAGCAGCCACTGGAAGGATCAAGGCGAGGAGGTCAAGCGTGCCACGACCAAGATGGGCAAAGAGGTAGCCAGTCTGGTTGCCGAGAGGAAGAAGGATGACGAGAAGATCACGACCCTGAGGGAGCTTTGCGACCAGCAAGACGGAAACATCAAGGACTTGCTACAGCAGAAGGATACTCTCACGCGGCAATTCGAAGCCTACAAGAAGGAGCAGGAGGCACTGTTACAAAATATCAAGACGAACGCATCCAAGACAGAAGCAGACCAGGAACGCATGCTGCAGGAGGCCAAGGAAACACTCGACAAGCTGAGATGGGCGCTGAACATCAAAGGAAACATTAAATGGGCCCAGTGAGCCAGGCCACACACAGTTCACACTTCTCACCTACCTCACGGGCTCCCTTGCAAACGGTCTACAACGTCAGGCCGGCCCATTTTCGATATTCTACTTCACGGCTTTCCTGCCTGCTTTCTCTGCGATTTGGAGACGGAGATACCCATTATTTCGAACGCTTGATACCGGGAACTGTCCCTCTTTTCTCTACGACAACCGGGCATGGAAGATTGCGCGATTGTCGTCCTTACTCAACAAACTCTCCTTAATTCAAGGGCCATGCACAGGGGCACAGATGCCCTGCATGAGACCCGGTTTCTTCGATTCTACCCATCATCTTTCCAAGGCATCATCAATCCGCAGCGGCGCATCAAGATCAACCACATATCACGGTGTTTCAGGGAGTCGGATGTGTCCTCTTTGTTGAACTTCTCCCAATATAAAAAGACGAGTGCCAACTGAAGACCAAACTGCACAATGGAGGGCCATCTTTCGACGGTGTTATGATGACTTTCAGTTCCTGTATGTATAGGTTCATACTTGTCTCTTTGACTGGGCATGAGACTTAATCACAATTCATACGCAAAGGATAGAAGGTGGCGTCAAAGGCTATCACAATTGAAGAAGAATTAAACCATGTCTAAAGCTGTGTCACAACGTTCTTGGACACTCTTGATGCACTCGGCCCTTTGGACTTGTGCCAGCTTATTGTTTGCCATACCCCCTGTGGTCTACTGTGGGTATCTCTAGCTGCTTGACATATTGAACTTTGGCCATTTTTCCTCCAGCCCACAGCTTCCTCCTGGCTATGATACTTTACAACACTCAGAGCGAATACCTCTTGTCCTGATTCTGACCCTTAGTATCCACGGTTGCTTCGAATTCACCATTGGGCAGTCTCTATTGCACACAATCTTGCTGGCATGGAAAACCGCAGACTGGGAGGGGTAGAGAATAGTGACAGCTATTGTTCCCGTCTTCTGCTACCCATTATTCTGCCACCTTTCTAGAATGCCTGCATTTTGTTCGCTCCTCAGTGGCAATCATCTCAATTCTGCAAGCAACCATTGGTTACTTCTCAGGCTTGCTACACTTGCTATTCACTCAGCTAGCACCTTCCATAGCTCAACTTTCCTTGTGTGCCCTGTACCTACCTCTCTTGTCCATCTCTGTTTGCTATTTATTCAAGAGCTGCCTAATCCTTCTCGAAGTTCCCAAACAGCTCCTGCCACCTGCCCCACAGTCATCATCAACCACAGCCGAAGAACCTGGTCAGATCCTCTGTGCCTATCACAATCAACCTTGACCAACCTTGACCTGACCAGCATGGCTACCGAGCCCTCCAACCAGCGAACTGTAGAGTTCTACCTGTCGAGCCTGTGGTCTTGGCTGCCAGAGGGCCACAATCGCATTCTTGAGGCACTGGAGGGCTGCGACTTGGTAAGGGCATCCACCACAAGACCACAGAGTCACGGCTGTAACTCAGCAGAGGCCATCAGAGATGGTTCTTTTCCTATTAACACAGTGCAGGAGCAGGCTGACTTCGCATGGGACGAGAAGTACCACTGGTTCCACATTCGATGCCTGGAGGACGACAAGGACTATGTCATGAACCAATACCTCAAGGCCCAGAGCGAGATGGAGATCGAGCTCAAGGAGAAGGACGTGATCCGGGACGATGGCAACCTGATCCCGACTGTCAAGAATGATCTCATCGGGACCTCGAGGCCCAGAGTCGCCATCCCTGACAAGTCGGACGACCCCAAGTTGGCTGCGAGGACGGAGCGTGTTGACATTGAGTGTCCAAAGGGACAGGGCCGCGTCGAGAAGAGAATCGAGCGGCAGGTAGTGAGCGAGACTGCAGCCTACCTGTTTTGAGCCTCGTACCGTGGCAGGGATGGCGACGGCGAGGGTGACGGCAACTTTGCGACCCTTGCTTTCCTCAAGTAGACACTCCCTCTACTTTTCGTTCTAGGTGTGCAGCGTCTACAGTAAGGTGACTCGAGGCCATCGCAATTGGCGCAGGAAAACAGCTCTCCCTTCCAGCAAGGTGTGGTCGCTCGATATGGGCCTATGCGTTTGGCATCAGAATGCGGGGAAACCTAGGATGGCTTGGGCTCTTCCATCAAGAGAATGGCAAGTCATCTAGTTTGAAAGCAACAGGGGTTGCCTCTCGCAGATAGCATCAGAATCAAGAAGTTCAGTGTTCGATATTTGCTGGATCAAAGCCAGTGCTGTCCAAGCTATGACAATTTGAGGTAGACAGCTTGTCAGGGGATGCCTGTGCGGCCGCAGTGACGATCACCTATCCACGTTTGAAATTAGCTGCTTGGAATCCAGACACCAAGATTCAAACTTCACCCAGACGCTGCGCTCGTCGGGATACATCTTTGCGTTTCCTTTCCTGGCAGTCGTCCTTAAGATTGAGTTGCACATAGCAAGCTTACGCTCACCGTCTACTCGCACGCAGAGTAGGGCTATTTTGTTAGGTTGCCCCCTCACTAGCTTGTCTCCTTCGTTTTTACCAGCCCGTGTTGCGTCCCTTCCAGAGGGCTCCCAGGACTGCCATCATGGGCCTCAGTGTGGCCGCGACTGTGGCAACCGCTGTCGTCGCTCTGCTATCGCTTTACTTGTACAGATTAAACCGGGCCATGGAGAATATCCCAGAGGAGGCATGGGCATGGAGGGGCCGCCCGTGGACAGAGAGCGAGATTCGAGAGACGTATGAGAGAATGAGCAGCCAGCCTATCGATTTCGCAAAAGTCCTGCCGCCGAAGCTGGAAAGGAGGTACGTCGTGTGCGGCGGATCAGGTCTAGTTGGCGGTGACATTGTCCTCAACCTCCTCTCTCGGGGCCAGTCACCCTCATCCATACGCATCCTCGACTCCAGTAAGCCCTCCAGGTCCGACATGATCAGCGGCTCGGTCACCGCCGTCGACTATGTGAAGACAGACATCACGGATCCAGCCTCGGTCGAGGCAGCCTTCGCCAAGCCCTGGCCCGGCGACGTTGCGCGCCTCCCCATGACCGTGTTTCACACCGTGGCGACGATCCGCCCGGGCGAGCGCTCGCTGCTCCTCTGGGAGCGCACAAGCCGCGTCAACATCGACGGCACGCGGAACGTCCTCGCGGCCGCCAGGCAAGCCGGCGCGGACGTCTTCGTCGCGACCTCTTCCGCGTCGGTATCCCTGCGGCCCGCGCGATTCCTCATCCCGCCGTGGCAATCCCAACCGCACGGGTACTTCCAGATCTGCGACGAGCGCGACTTCGACAAGCCGCTCAAGCCGCACAAGGAGTTCTTCTCCAACTACGCCTACTCCAAGGCCATCGCGGAGCGCGAGGTATGCTCCGCGAACGGGCCCGGGTTCCGTACGGGCTGCATCCGTCCGGGCAACGGCATCTACGGGCAGCCGACGGACGTGATTTGTGGGAGCATGCTGAAGCAGCAGAAGGTGGCCAGCTTCACGCCTCAGATCATCCAGAACCAGGTCAGCGGGTGGAACGTGTCGCTTGCTCACCTGGCTTTTGAGGCGGCCCTGGTGCCGAAGCTGGGCCGCAAAGGGGCGGAAGACTCTGCGCCCATACCTCAGTGTGCGGGACGGCCGTACGTCGTCACGGACACCGGGCCAGCAATACAGTGGTACGACTTCTTCCGCGCGGCGAAGCAGCTGGCCGTCACTCCAATGGAGGTCACGAAGCTTGCACCCCTGCCGCTGTACTTGGTTGCGCACCTGGTCGAGGGCTGGTCCCTGCTGCTGGCGAGGGCGCCGTTCCTGACGAGGTTGGGTCTGCGCGAGCCCAGGGGCCCTGTAAGGGATCTGCAGCCGTCGATATTCACGCCTGCCGCGTTTATCATGGTGGTAGACGAAGAGGCGAGAAAGACGGTCGAGGACGGGGGCATTGGGTACAAGGGGCTCTGTACCACTCTAGAGGGCGTTTGTGACCAGATCTGGCGGTGGAATCAGGAGCAAGAGAGCGTGGCAAGTAGTGTTACAAGAAAGAGCATCTTAGAGGCTGACATTGTGGAGACACACGTCGCTGCTTAAGGCGCCTACGGTGAGAGGGGCGATATATGGCGCTCAGTAAAGTGGGAATGTATGAGGAGACGAAGCCACTTCCCATCTCTGCGGCCGGAGCTGACTATCGGCCTAGACATTTAAGAGTATAGGTTTGATGCTGTACATATGGTCTTTTATGCTGGCGTATGTCCAACTCGGGTTACTATCAAATCAACGATGCTATACAATCACCTGAGTTTGGTTCATACTGCGCAACGACGATCTGACATGAGTGTAAGTGTGGGAGATGCAATGTCGCAGATGGTTCGTCTCGAGTTTCGCTCACCACCCGCTCTATCTCCGAGCAGTCGGGCAACGGCCGAGCCGGCTGGTGGCTTCTGAGCGCAGGGCCTCGAGTGAGCGATCAACCGGGCACGAATCCATGGTAGACTGGAGGCGAGACACGTATTCGGTCGGGTCTTTACACTGGGTGAGATCGTCTTATGAAGGAGAATGCCGAGGTTTGTCATCCGAAGTCCTGCGCCGCTGGTCAGGCGGGCATCGCAGTATATCGTAAACACCCATCTTTGGACGGTGACGTCTCTTGTGTGGCCCACCCTGTACGAGACAGAGGCGCGGGCGTGGAAATCATTTTTAGATGCGGCGATGCCGCGAGGATGGGAGCCCTCGACAGACCAAACCCGTTGCTACGCCGGGCGAGTCGGTCTCTGTGCAACGGTTGCAACAGCACAAGCTCGGTCGGCTGGGCTTCGAGGAGAAATGGAGCCTGGATTGCCGTATTGTAGATCGCGGATCGTCGGACCATTTTGGCGCGTGCTAACGATCTGGCTAGCAGGACAATGGTGTGGATGAAATGGCTGGTCGACGAGAGCTCCTGAGCTGTTGGGCCGGGCTTCGGGAGGTTGCCGGGTGCCCAGGTGTGCCAGAGGGCGACCTTTTCACGCGGACTCTCCACCGGTGTGCAGCGGTGCATGTACAAGGTACATGGTATCTGTGGGGGTACGTTCCCACAGAGGCTAACTTTATTAGCGTGGTGTCCCGGACGACACCCGCTGCAACGCAGGTACGTCCTGTACCGGCTCCTGCCTGTCCGTCCATTGTGAGTCTGCTGTCCTGGAGCTTCTCAACGTGGTGAGCCGGCTGGTCATCTTGTGATAGACATGCGAGGCCAGATAGCTCTCGCGGCATACTGCATAATCATACCGCGTATGCATAAAACAGGTGGCACAGAGGAGTGTGCACATACACATGCAACGCACGAGAAGTGTGCAACGGCCGAGCCAAGCAGGCCTCGAGACGACAGGCCAGACAGGGAGCGCTGGGCAGTGGGCGAAAGGTGAGTGGTGTCTGTTGGAAACGACCTGAGACGCTGCAGCGAATGCCCAGGCGAAGCGATAAGGGAAAAAAAACTCCCTAAATTGGATCATGAGTTGGCCCCTGTTCCATGTCAAGGCCAGGTGCCGCCGCCCTTTGCCCTTTTCTGCCCAAAGGAGACTGAGGGGCCACATGCGATGGCGACTCGCGGTGATTACGACTCCATCCAGACCAATCTGACGGAGTCGTCTGCGCGGCGCCAGCAGAGCGAGCACGTCGACACTCAGAGCAAGAGAAATAACAAAGCAGCCGTAATGAAATTGGCCCGTCTGGCCGCGACAAGGGCCACGGCACTTGCTTGGCCCCCAAAAGAAAATATTGTACATCCTGTGGTGGAAAAGACAGGTAGCCTGAGCCGGGGTTCTATGTGAAACAATTGCAGAGTTCCATTCCAGTCATCGGCTATGCCTGGGATATACAGGACAGGATCTCTCACACATGGCCGGGCACAGCAGAGTCGAGGAGACCTGCCTCCGAGGTCGTTCACATGCTCATGCTCATGCTCTCAATAAACGGTGCATACAGCACTGAACTGTCAGGCACGTCCCGGTGGCCATCAGGCAATCGTGATCGGCTGAAACGGCTGGGAAGGGGGGGAAGGTTCGAGCGAGGGAGGAAGAGAGAGGAAACTCAGAGAGGCATGGATGCTTCAGAATAACCCACCTGGCAGCGACGACCTCCACTGAAAAACCACGCGCCGAGCAGGAGCGAGGCCCGCAAGCTGCCCGATGCACTGTCGCAGCAGTCACAGGTACCTAGGGTGCCCCCTCGCAGCCAATGATGGAGCTCAATTCTGCTCTCCAGATTCGCCCTGAACCGGGCTAGACCGAGAGTCCGGAGTTTGCGCCACCAGAGACGCACATCCCTGCTCCTTTCCTGCAGGCCTCGTCGACTAGCTCCCAGCCACCCCTGTCTATCGTGACTGCAACCCCCGGTCCCCCTGCCCTTCCTCTCGGCCGCCCGCCTCTCTGAATTTCAAAGTTGCGTCAAGAGGCGTGGTACGACTGGCCCCGGGCGATAAAAGCCGCTTGCGAGAGCGACTACCTCACCAACGCACCTTCCCTCTTAAAACACCTCCCCCCCTTCTGTTTTTCCCTCTCGTCCCCGTCACGAGATACCCTCAATTCTGCCATCTGCCCAGCTGCTTCTACTGCCTCGCAGATCGGTCCGCATTCGTACGAACAATAACCAACTCACACCGTCCAGCTTCACTCAGTACACTTACCGACCCATCCGCCAGTGTATTCACAGTCACCCGCTGGACAATTACCACTATCAACAACTCTTCCCAGGATGCGTTCCTTCATCATCGTCTCCGCGCTCTCCGCGCTCCTGGTCTCGGCCCAGAACTCCTCTTTCTCAATTGACCCCACCGAGGTCACCCTCTCTGAGAGAGGTAAGCATCTCCCTGTCCCACTCCTGGTCTTGTTGACATCAATTGACACTCGAACAGCTCAGTGGTGCAGCGCCCAAAGCTCGACCTGCAACACCCTCTGCGATTCGAACCCTCAGGACAACAGTTGTGATGTTGTAAGTTCAGCACCACAGTCTACTCGCTGCCGATGGCATCAGCTAACAAGAGGATTCAGGACACTCTCGACTTCCTCTGCAACTGCCAGAATGGAAGCGCTCCTGGTCTGCAGTACTACACTCAGACTATGGATACTGTAAGAACTCACTCACATCCCACCTGTTTGCCTCAGCTGCTAATGTCCGGTGCCACAGTTCGTCTGCCAGAGGGCATTCCAGGACTGCAACGAGGCCAACGTTGGCAATGCCAAGGGCCAGGAGAATTGCACCACCAGCATCCAGGATAACTGCGGTACCCTAGACCCGGCCGACTACAGCGCGACACCCTCCGCGACCGAGTCGTCGTCGTCAGAGACGGCCTCCGCCACCTCTGGTGGCTCCAGCTCCACCGCGTCGTCGGGTAGTGCTTCCAGCTCGTCCTCGCAGGCTGCTGCCCCGACCAACATCCAGCACCTGGGTACTGGTGCTCTCGCCGCTGGTATGGGCGTCCTCGCCTACCTGTTGTAGTAGATTGGTAGCCACGGACGTTGTCCGCCTGTGGCCGGCCGCAACCGTGTTGCGCTGGACACCTCCTGTCTCTGCTTCTTGTACCGAATTTCAGCCAGCCATGCATCTTTACTACGACTAGCCACCTTCATACCTCGGTGGCCCTAATATTACGAGGAGACGACGGATAATTGCTTTTTTTCACGATGGACTTGCGCAACGGATGATTTGATCGTGCGGAGGCGGCCTATCAGGTGGGGGATGAGAGGAGTGAGAGCAAGTCGACGTTTTGCTATCTGCGAGTGGTGGCGAGAGAGGGAGCACACTGCTAGCAATACGGGCAATCATCCCAGTCTGGGATTATCTGAGGCCACAACCTACTGTCCCACTTCTGCTCAGTGATCGTTCGCTGTTTGGTGAGAACTGCAATGCCGCACCCAGACCTTGACTCGCAGGAAAGTTGCAAGTCTACCATTCTTCGTGACGAATGCTCTGGCTGGGTCATCGGTAAGATGCCAGGGAATCCAATGACAACCATTAAGAGGCATTACTGGGCCGTGTAGTCTCCAAGTGGAAGACAGACTCGGGGTCGCTGGAGAAGAGCGCCAGACTTGGGCGCGACCGGCGGTGGATTTCGGATGTTCAGATCTGGTACGCGAAGAAAGCCAAGGAAATCAACGGTGGCTCGCTCTCCTGGCCATTGCAGGACGCTTGCGCGACGTCCTGCCCGAGCCTGGGAGCATGTATCTTGCACGCCATTCATCCGTACACTACACAAACTTTCCGGCCCCAGCCCGCGAGACCAACAATCCACTGCCACGCGGCCTGGCCTTGAGGCTCAATGGTGTCACGTTCCCGGATATGTTGAACGACAACACGTCAAACGTGGCACAGGCGGTCCCGGAACCGCTTCAAACAAGCAGACAAACATACAAGCATGGCTCACCGGAGTGGCCCGTGTGTCGATGCTGTTGTTTGAGGTGCGGCTGCATCTTTTGGTCTATCTCTACTACTCTGTCGTCGAGTGTCATGGAGTGACTGAGGCGATTTTAGCAAATTCCCGGAAACTCATTGGGGTCGACAAAGCCAATGGTTGATTGAGTCTTGGAGTCGAGTCAATATGTTGACCCGGCTTGGGGCTCCGTGAATGGGAGTAGCCATTAGTGGCTTCCAATGGATGAACGGCAGGTTGAGTCTTCGCGTTCATACAGTTGCCGGCGAACATCATCAACATTATAGGCTCTACCACAGTAGTCGATATAACAAGTCTGCCTAGTAATATCATGTCTCTGACATGTTTATCAATGCGGATAGGATAGTCCTCCAATGGCGAGCGTGATCGCGGCGCCTGAAACTGGCAGCGCCGCCAAGAGCCACCGGGCGGGAAGCAGGGCGGTGAGAGTTTGTCTGTCTTGAGAGGTGTTCCCATTTGGGTGATCGGTCGGTTGCTGGTTGGCTGTGCGCCCAGCAGGACACACTGCTTGCAATCAACAACACGTTTGACGCGCCCCACCCCAGCTGTGCAGAGCTGCCCCTCCTTTTCTCCTCTGAGAAAACACCGATTCGACCAACCATCCCACGCACGCGCCCACCCCCTGCTGGCTGCCATCTCTACCTCTCCCGCCCACAACCTTCAGCTCTGTCCGGGACACTGCTTCATTGAACCTCGCACACCCCAGGCCAAGAAACATCTTGTCCAGCTTGCTCTCTCGCGAGTCGCGCAGACACCTCGATTGCACCAGATTCCCCCTTAGACAGCAAACATGCACGGAGAGGTGAGTTATCCTGGGCGCTGAGCCAGGCCCAATTGAGTTCGATTGAACCCCTATTTCCACACGTGGAGCGAACCTCGGTGAAGCTCTGTCGCAACGCAGCGCAGCGCAGCGCAACGACCACCGGCGTCCGTCACGACCTTTCCTCATCTCGCTCAATCTGGCATCCACGCCTTGGGCGATGACACGGTCCAACGGCGACTTGTCTCACCGTTGACGGCACGCTCCTGGTCACTGCGACTAGCTGTCCGCTGTTTGGATGTGCCCCTTTCCGCCCCTGTGCACGACCAGGACGTCCTCGCCCGTTCACGAGCTCCATCTCAACGCACCCATGCGCGAGAGTACGCCAGAGACCTGTCGTGATGTGCGAGACTGACCCTCTCGCCATAGGTTCTTCACCTCCACCTCGGCCAGGCTGGTACTCAGCTGGGTAACAGTGCCTGGGAGCTGTAAGGAGTACACCGCCGATCTATCTGTGCACTGACTTGGGGCTAATCTTCCATTCCAGCTACCTCCTCGAGCACGGCCTTGGCCATGATGGTCGCCCTGACCCCAACCTCAAGGATGTCGGCGATGCTGGCTCCTACGAGACTTTCTTCACCGAGACCAGCAATGGCAAATACGTGCCCCGATCCCTTTTCGTCGACCTCGACCCCTCCCCCATTGATGAGATCCGCACCGGTGGCTACCGCCACCTCTACCACCCGGAGCTTCTGATCAGCGGCAAGGAGGATGCTGCCAACAACTACGCCCGTGGGCACTACACCATCGGCAAGGAGATGGTTGACAATGTCATTGACCGCATTCGACGTGTTGCTGGTGAGTAGTCGACTGGGGCCGACAGGCAGCTCCCGTGCCAAGTCGCAGTGGCGCGGTGGCTTACAACAGCACAACAGACAACTGCAGCTCCCTGCAAGGTTTCCTGGTCTTCCACTCCTTCGGTGGTGGTACTGGCTCTGGTTTCGGTGCCCTCCTCCTCGAGCGCCTGTCCACCGAGTATGGCAAGAAGTGCAAGCTGGAGTTCGCCGTTTACCCTGCACCTCGTGTGTCTACTGCCGTCGTTGAGCCTTACAACGCCGTCCTGTCGACCCACAGTACGATCGAGAACTCCGACTGCACCTTCCTCGTCGACAACGAGGCCGTCTACGACATTTGCCGTCGCAACCTTGACATCTCTCGCCCGAGCTACGAGCACCTCAACCGCCTGATTGCCCAAGTCGTCAGCTCTATCACCTCTTCTCTGCGCTTCGATGGTGCGCTCAACGTCGATCTGAACGAGTTCCAGACCAACTTGGTCCCGTATCCTCGTATCCACTATCCTCTGATCAGCTATGCTCCTGTCATTTCGGCCAGCAAGAGCTCCCACGAGAGCTTCAAGACCTCCGACCTGACTTTCCAGTGTACGTCTACTCGCGTGAAGCTCCTGGGTCGCTGTTTTTATTTGACTGACCATTTTTTCCAGGCTTCGAGCCCAACAACCAAATGGTTGTCTGCGACCCCCGCAACGGAAAGTACATGGCCGTCGCACTGCTCTACCGTGGAGACGTGGTTCCCCGCGACTGCAACGCTGCGGTTGCCGCCCTCAAGGCCAAGTCGTCGTTCAACCTCGTCGAGTGGTGCCCCACTGGCTTCAAGATCGGCATCAACTACCAGAAGCCCATCGCAGTCCCAGCCGCTTCCCCCAACGATGGCGGCCTGGCCTCCGTTGACCGCTCCGTGTCTATGCTGTCCAACACCACTGCCATTGCCGAGGCTTGGTCTCGCCTGGACCACAAGTTCGATCTCATGTACAGCAAGCGTGCCTTCGTCCACTGGTATGTCGGCGAGGGTATGGAGGAAGGCGAGTTCAGCGAGGCCCGCGAGGATCTTGCTGCTCTGGAGAAGGATTACGAGGAGGTCGCTGCCGACTCTTTCGAGCCCGAGGAGGACATTGAGTATTAGGCGACGTTTGCTGTCTCTGGACAGGTTTTACAGCGGAGTTCACGTGTTTAGAGGAACCTACGGGATACCACCTTTGTTGTAGTTGGCAGGAAAAGCAAAGCTCGGGGAAGGGAAGGCAAGCTCGGGGAAGGGAAGGCAAGCTCGGGGAAGTGAAGGCAAGCTCGGGGAAGTGAAGGCAAGCTCGGGGAAGTGAAGGCAAGCTCGGGGAGATTTTAATCTGCATGACGCGGGAACTCGATTTTGATTCTTTCTGAATACCATTGACAATGTGGTGACCTCTAGGAAGAGCGGAAGTTTTGTGTGGTGGTATTGTCCCGAATTGGAGTGAAATGAAGTTTTGAAGCATTTCTCTGATCTCATCCATCATCAAAGCATTCCTGTTAACGTGAGTATTGTAAAAACATGCCAACGCAAATGGAAGCCCCAAGATCTGGGTGTTGCTGAGAGGCTTCAAGCAGCAGTTTTGCAAGAATAAAACGGAGCAGAGGAAACCTCTAAGCGATGAATATTCCCCTTAACGCGGGCTGGGCATCATCATCTGGCGCCGGCTAGGTACATGAGCGTGGACACGCTCGGGGACCTGGAGCGCTCCCGCTTGGTCTTCTTCACGACGACCAGGTTGTCGCCCGACTTGTGGCGGTGGTGGTGGTGGCTGCGGTCCTCGATGGCCAGCGTCGTCGTCACCTTCTCGCGCCCGTCGCGGAGCACCTTGGTCAGCGACCAGAGCTCCTTCTGCTCCTCCGGGGGCACCCAGCGCTTGATGAGCACGTAGTCTGGGTTCTATTTTGTGGCATGTGTCAGCTTCATGTGGACCGTCTATAGCAACATAGATTGGGATTGTGTATGATGATGAGGGTTGGGAGCTAAAACGAAGGGGCTAGTGACTTACCGCGTCGAGCTCATAGTCGATCCCCCTAACCTTCAGGCACTCCAGGCTCAGGTGCCGCCTCGCCATCCTCGTGTACGTCGTCTTGGTCGTCGTCATCTGCGTGGACATCTGCTGCGGGGGGATCGGCATCGGCGGCGGGGGTGGCGGACCCGGGAACGCCCTCGGTGGCATTGGCCCTGGGAACGGCCTCGGTTGGGCACCCCACCCCTGGTTGATGCGCCTCTTCTCGAGGATGGCCTTGATCTGGTCCTCGGGCAGGCCCGACGCCCGCAGCTGGTCCGTCAGTCGGTGCGCGTACTCGCGCTCGGCCTCCTCCTTCTCGCGCTTCTCCTTGGCGGCCTTCTCGGCCTCCCTGGCCTTCCACCGCTCCACGGCGGCGGCCTCGTCCTTCTCGCGCTGCTTCTTGTCCTCCTCGGCCTTCAGCTTCTCCGCGATCATCTTGGTCTCTATTTCCTTGCGGATCCTCTTCTCGTCGGCCTCTTGCTCCTCGGCGAATTTGACTGGCTACATGTCAGCATTCCCGAAAGCGGTCGTGTGGCGTATGACTGCAGCTCGGTATCGGCCGTCATCATGCGGGCTTCACGAATGAACTCACTCTTGTCCAGTTCCTCCTTCGCCACTCTCAGCTCAGCCTGCGTCCTCGCCTCCCTCATCTTCTCCATCGCCTCCTTCTCCCTCTGCTGCTGCGCCTTGAGGTCCTGCAGCTCTTTCTTGGACCGCTGCAGCTCGTACGACTCGTAGTCCGCCGAGCGTCGCTCCCTGTCCGCCTTCTCGCGAGCCTCGCGGGCCTCCCGCGCGCGCAGGTCCTCCAGCTCGATCTTGGACTTGCGCAGCTCCCACCTCTCGGCGTCCTCTGCGCGCTGCGCGTCGCGGTCCTCCTTGATGCGCAGCTCCTCCAACTCACGCTTCAGCCGCGCGAGCTCGTACCGCTCCGTCTCGGTGTGCGCCGCGGCCGACGGCGTCGTCGACATGCGCAGGGCCTCGAGCTGCCGCCGGTGCTCCTCGAGCTTGCGCTCCAGCTCGTACCTCTCCACCGTCATGTAGGCGTCCGAGCCGCCGCGCGAGCGCGAGTGCGAGCTCCTGATCGAGACGTGCGAGTGCGAGCGGCCCCGGCCCCTGTGGTGGTGGTGGCTGCTGAGGCTGCTCTCGTCGTCCGACGAGTGGTGGTCGTTGGAGTTGTACTGCTTGATTATCACCGGCGCCGCATGCTGGGCGGGCGGGCTGAGGACCGTGGGCGGGCTTCGCCTTTCCCGCGAGCGCTCACGCACCCTGGTGATGGCCATGGACCGCTCCGTCACGTTTGGGACGAGGAACGGGTCCATGCCGTGGGGGTAGCCCCGGCTGCGCGGTCGGTCCGGTCGCGCTTGAACATAGTGTACCGGTGCCGGAGAGGGGTCGCGGCCCCTGTAGCGGCGGTACTCATATTCATCCTCGTCCGAGAAGTAGCTCATTGTAAGTGCTTTAGGCCCAGTTTATGGCCTCCTCTTGAAACAACCGATGGGTTGTGCTGCATGTGTGTATGTGTACGTCTGCTTTTGTGGCCGCTAGCCGTCTCCGTGGTCTAGGAGAACGGTCTGAATATACTATGGTATAATAAAAGCTTGGAAAGGGCAATGCGCTGACAAATAAGCCCGAGAGGCAAATACAAAGTGAATCGAAGAACATGTGAGAAGGTGGGAGGAGCGAACCGCGCCGCAGACGAGGCGGGGGCCGTAAGCATTTATTGCTTCCGGGTGACTGGCACTAGGGAGTGGTCATTTCACAGCAGGGCCAACGGGGGAGCTGAACAGAGCGACATTGTCCCCCACAAGCTTGCGGCAGACGGGCACGGTGAGACGCGATGGGGACTGGGCCTCGAGTCGAGACCGGCTCAAGAGTCGTGTGGTTTGAGGAGGAGCTGTGCCACATGGACACAGCACTTGAGATGCACGGCATTGGCTGGAGGCTGAAGGGGACAAGGTAGAGCGTGGTGGAAAGGACCGCATTGGATCAAATTTGGCCGCAAATGGTTGGCTGGTGCCGTCTCACCACGCCAACAGCTGCATGATACTAGATTGTCAAGTGTACAGTAGTCTCGGCGAGCGTTGGACATGGGGGGCGCCAAGCTGATCACACGTTGGGACAGGCAGAGGGAGGAGGCTAAACGTTAGCCGGAGGAAATGAAGGTGAAGGGCTGAAATCCAGCTGAGAGGATCCTCCCATCCTAGCGTGGCCCGAAATAGAAGCCTGCGAGGTCAGACTGGATTACATGGGGTGCTGATCGGCTCTCTAAATGAGGCTTGCATAATAAGAGCACAGGAAATCCGGAACGTCGGCAGACTTGTCTTGTGCTGGATTTCGGATCTGCTGTCTTTAGATACAACGATATACTCAAGAAGCAGACTGACAGCCGCTGTGCTTCGAGGGACCCTTGATATGGCGACACGGCTATAGATTAGTCTAGTAGGGCTGTGGTAGGGATGAAAACGCTCAGACGTCCCGTTCGGACGATCACTGGCCCCAAGCCGAGCACATCCATGGAGCGGGGTTCTCCTTGCGCTCAAGCTGGAAAGCGGCCCGACGCCGAGGTTCGGCGAAGACCACAGGCGACAGACAAGTCGAGACATCCTAGTTCGTCGCAACAGCTTAGCTGCCGCCCTGGCGCCTCGATGCTTTGCGGTGTGTCATGTGACAGACAGTATTTTTTCTGAATTTGGACATCTTGCCGGACTGTTGCATGGCCTTGTAGCCTGAAGACCTAGCGTCTTGCGCTAGAGCAAACGCCTGGCCGCTTTGCTGTGTTGGATGGGTCGCTTCAAGCGGCAGTTGAAACGTTGCTGTGGGAGGCTGGGTTGAGATTTCATCCCAGAACAGAGGTCTCGTTACGCGATGCTGTCAAGATTCGGGTCTGCTAGATTTCTCAGACTGCGCACGTTGGTATTTGCTATGGTCCTTTTGGCCGGCGATGCAATCCCTGAGCCTCCATGTTCAGGTTCCGGCTTGCATCTGCAGTGTGCTCGTGCCAGGCTGTCGCGCCCGCCCACTGTTGGGAGCACTAGCCGCTGAGGTTGAGTTACAGTGGCAGGCAAGTCCTGGCTGAATGCTTCAAAATGCGACTGTTGGTCCCAGAGTCGAGCGGCTCAGTGCAGATGTCTAAACTCTGCCTGAGAACTCAGTATCAATGCCTCGCTGGACCTGCCCATCAGGAGGCGCCGGCGCCGCCTCGCCTGAGCATTGCCTCGATGTGCTCTTGACTATTCTTCGCCGTTGTCTCCAGGTAGTGAAGCCTCTTGCTGAGGCCATCAATGTCGGTGTCGACTTGCTTCGTCTGCGACTCCAGCTTGTCCTTCAGCTCGGGGGCTGGTATCGACACGAACCTGATCGAGGCCCCATTAGTGCCGCTGCTCACGAAACGTGATGTATTGATTCATGCGTTAAGACCCAGGGCCCGGGCGCCCCAAGGCCAGGTTCACTCACATCTTGCCGACTCCCTCATAGAGAGGTGTGCCAGGGGCGAGCGATGAGATCTCGGTGCTGGTCAGCTGCGCGAGACGCTTCTCACGCTGCTTGGATGCCAGCTGGGAGCGCGCAAGGCTGATCTCCTGCTGTGACTTGACGTGATTTGTCTCGATCTCTCGCAGCAGCTATTTTGGCGTCAGTTAGCCACAGTGTACTGTCACGCCCGCCTTCAGGTACGACTTACCTTCTGCAGCGCCTCGTTTGATATCGACATGGCGGCTGTGAGTGGAGGGCGTCCGGGAAATCCGGTCAATAGCCCAGGTCAAGTTCTTGAGATAGTGGGTTGGCTCGAGTTTTGTGGCTGTCGATGTCGATGTCAAGTTCGGCTCATTGAAGCTGGGAGCTCAAAAGGGGGGGCGACTCTGTCCTGGTGCCACCCAGTAAAATTCGAGACCGCTCACCGAGACTCACCTCCTTAACCAGTAGCAAACTCAACCAAAACATGTAAGCAAAGGCATTCAATCCTCAAAATTAGAAGACTTCTGTATTTGCCACTCGAAAATTGAATAGAATTGCAATTCTGCGTCTGAGGCAACAGCCACAAGAATAGCAACAAGTTGAGTGCAGAGGGCCAGGGTTAAACCCTTCGGATGAGAGGGGGTCTGTCTCAAATTTTGACGGTCTGGATGCTCTACCTTATAATCTACATGTTAATTTAGGCAGTGGTACAACATCACTGATGAGGCCAATTCCATGAATACAAAGATTCGCACCTGTAAAAATGGAGGATATACCGGCATATCCCTCGCACCGTAGCTGCAGCAAATTAGAGCATATCACCCAGGCCCATTTCACACACCTAACACCTACACCTGCACCCATGCACCCAACAACTACACACCTACACACTTAATACCTACATACCTAACACCTACACACCCAACACCTATATACCCAATTCACATACCTAATTCATACCCTTAAAATTTAATTTATATACCTAATTAGTACATTTAATTGGTACTAGGCATATGAATTAGCTGTGTAAATTGGGTGTGGGTGTTGGGGTGTGCAAATTCTCATATGGTTTAGTGCTGGTGATGTATTGGTATACCCTGCGTTTTCTCAGGTGCGAGTCTCTGATTTCAATTCCATAATAATGTTTTTCCTCCAAGGCCTGTAATGTACCAGCATTTATGTGCACAAGTACTCGACCTTCTCCATGTCCCGGCGGCGCTCTGCGAGCCTATCAACTCAAATGTCACAAATGAACAAAACAGCCACCGGTGGGCCAGCTCTTTGGTGCGGGCCAGAGATTCGTGACATAAGAGCAGTAACAAGCATTTCCCGGTTCAGTAATGTTGATGAGACGGGTTTATAGAGGAACGTGTAGGGCTTCCTTTGGACGAGTTGATTCGGGGGCCAGGGCTGAAAGATTTTGGGGTTTCCCTGATCGACTTTTGACAACAGAAGCTTGATGTAGTTAGCACTAGTGGGGGTCCCATGGTATCGTGTTCCGTCTTCATGTTGCGTAAGGCCAAGTGAATACCTGTAGGTTGTGTTTCGTCCGAGCAATTCTCTATGTTGTTTGTATGGCTTACATTATTGTTCTCCATTTAGATCAGCCGCTCACCGAAGGCTCCAACATGAAATCAGAGATTGAGTCTGTGGTACTCGAGATGATGCCATGGATCGCCAACAGCTTCGGGAGCACTCACACATGCCCACCCATCAAGCAGTTCCTGTGGGAAGCACGGATCGGAGCCTCCACTGAGAAGTGTCCCACAAACACATGGAGACGTGACATCGCACCGTACCTCTGGGCCCAAGAGACATGGGCGGACAGGCCAGCTTGGTGGCGAGTGGTCAGATTTGTTTAGACACAATCAAAGAAATCCTGCAGGCACTCGCGTTCGCATCGAAGGGGTCCCCGGCCCCTGCACCCCCACCAAAGCGGGCCGAGAATCGGGCCAGGCACATGCCAAGCGTCGGCGCCTGCAGTAGATTTCTCGCTTGGCGGCCCCCCGCTGGTTTTTTGAGCCTTTTTCCATTTCTGATTTTACGGGCATTGCGTGTGTACGTCCTGCGAAACCAACCACCATGAGCACAATCATCCTCGGATCGCAGTGGGGCGATGAGGGCAAGGGGAAGCTAACCGACATCCTCTGCTCTCAGGCCCAGATATGTGCGCGCGCCGCTGGCGGCCACAACGCCGGCCTCCATCAAGGCCAACGGTGTGTCATACGACTTCCACCTCCTGCCCTCCGGCCTTGTTGCGCCCGGCTGCATCAACCTCATCGGCTCCGGCGTCGTCTTCCACGTGCCCTCCTTCTTTAAGGAGCTGGCTGACGTGGAGGCCAAGGGCATCAAGGGCGCCCGCTCTCGGATCCTGGTCAGTGACCGTTGTCACATCAACTTCGACCTGCACGCTGCCGTCGACGGCCTCGAGGAGATCGAGCTCGGGAAGAATGCCGTGGGCACCACCAAGAGGGGAATTGGCCCATGTTACAGCACCAAGGCGTCCAGGAGCGGCATCCGCCTCGCAGAGATGTTCGACAAGGAGCTTTTCGAGCGCAAGCTGCGGCAGCTCGAGGCCGGCTACAGGAAGCGCTACGGCGATCTCTTGACTTACGACGTCGAGGATGAGATCAAACGGTTCGACGAGTACCGCGTCAAGCTGCAGGATCATGTCGTCGATGCCGTGGAATTCATGGCAAGTGTTCAACTGGGGATACCCGCTTCGGACATGACCTTTGCTAACCAACAGCGCCGTGCAGAACCATGCGCAGGAGACGAACAAGAAGATCCTCGTCGAAGGAAGCCAGGCCCTACTTCTGGACCTCGATTGGGGAACTTACCCTTACGTCACCAGCTCCAACACCTGCCTCGGCGGCATTGTTTCCGGCCTCGCACTCAAGAGGAACATCAAGGAGGTCATTGGAGTGGTCGAGGCGTACACCACTCGGGTCGGATCTGGACCGTTCCCAACCGAGGACCATGGTGAGGTCGGGTCAAGCTTGCAGAAGCTTGGCGGCGAGGTCGGGGTGTCTACGGGCCGCACGCGAAGATGCGGATGGCTGGATCTCGTGGTGCTGAAGTACTCGTGCGCCATCAACGACTACGACTCGCTCAATCTGAGCAAGCTCGACGTGCTTGACACATTCGACAAGATCAAGATCGCCGTCGCCTACAAGGACCCGCAGACCGGGGAGCAGATGCAGTCCTTCCCCGCGGACCCGACCCTGCTGGACCGTGTCGAGGTGGTCTACGACGAAGTGCCGGGCTGGAAGACGAGCACTTCCAAGACGCGCCAGTGGTCGGAACTCCCCAAGGAGGCACGCGACTACGTCGAGTACATTGAGAAGTTTGTCGGCTGCAAGGTCAAGTGGATCGGCACTGGCCCTGACAGGGACGACATGATCGTCAGGTAGAGGTGCGGCTCGCTCCTCGGGCTGACTATAGGCGGGTCACGGATCTGGAGTGGTTTATACGGTTATAGATCCCCGTGGAACCTGCAGAGGTTGCTTGCAATCCAAAAAATAAAAGGTGCGGCTTGTACAATTGCCGTGCGAAGAAATACCGCACGGTCGTGTTTGGCTTTGGTCTGGCATATCAAGTTGATGGTGAGGAAGAGGTAGACTACATCTCCATGAGTGCCCCTGCCTTGCATTGCAGGACATTCTTCAAGCCGACCGACTCTATGCTATCTGAGCGCGTCTATCACCTTGAACCATTCTAAAATGATGCCGCACGCAAGAAGCAGCGTACACTAGACATGCAGCGGGAGGTACAGCGAGAAAGCGGGCGGATCGTCTGTCTTTGCCGGGGTCTCGCTAGGGAGATCCATTTGCAGTCGAGACCATCCTGTCTTCAAGGTTGTCTCAGTGCTTGCGGATACAGTGACTTGCATGAGATCGCACAGAACGACGCAGATGCAGGTGCAGTTGCATTCGCAGCAAGCGCAGGTGCAGGATGCTGCAGGTGCCCTGCCCTGCCCCTGCCCCTGCGATTCGCCTTGCTGACCAGCCAGGCCGGTACTGTACTTGCCTGACTTGGCAGCTGGCAAGCCCCAGAAGACCGACTTTCTCTCGTGAGTCGTGGGAACGCCTCCACTCCCCATCCCACTCGCTCGCTCGCCCCTCGGCTATAACAAACCACGCGTCGCTCACGTTGCTACCGCCCGTCATTGGTGAGCATCAAATTATCCTCGTGTCAACTTCCGCATGACGTCGGCCGAGTCGTCTCTTGATTTTCAGCCTCGTGGAGACGTTCCTTTCCCCTTTTGTATAAAAAACAAACACGTCGTGTTCATACCACCGGCTCTTGCCCACTCACACGCAGTATTCCACACAAGCATCGGTGCCCGGGGTCCTCCTGTCTGCTTGGGGATCAAGCTTGGCCTCGTTCGAGCCTTTCAGGTGCCTCGACTGCCAACGACACACACTCCTCCAAGGAACCCCCACAAGCCCCGAGTCCAGCACGCCCCGGCGCTGCTAGCCTGATTCCCGAACAACTGTGCTTCATGCGAACCGGGTCTCTGGGCCCAGCGCCGCCGACATGCCTCTGAGCGTCCAATGGCCTTACCGGGAATCCCGGGACGGCCTCTGGAGCCCTCAAACCTCGACCTTGAACTGGTGCGAAGAAGTAAGATGCCCTGGTATCACCACCGGCTTCCAAGGATATCAGACATGCTGACCCGCCGCTCGTAGGACTGTACGTATGAGCAGACTGCTGCTACGTCTCCTAGTCCCTTCAACCCGGCGACCCTCAGGAAACCATAGCTTGGTGCTCTGTGACTGTGTATTGACGTGCTGCATCGTAGACAACATCACGCCATACTGCGCTGAATTCGTCAACACCGTGACCAATGTGATCTTTATACATCTTGGCATCATGGGCATCCGCGACTGCTTGCGCTACGGCCATGACCGCGTCTTCATCATCTCCTATCTGGGGTACATCATCGTTGGTCTTGGTTCGATGCTGTTCCACGCCACACTCAAATGTGTGTCTGCCTTATTCTGGTCCTTTACCAGCCCTCTGATCCCCTGGGCCCTAGCTGACCTGCCCCATCTAGACTCGATGCAGCTCGCAGACGAGCTGCCCATGATCTACACCACTTGCATCATGGCTTTCGCGACATTCTCATATTCACGGCCCAGGCGCCTGAGTGTGCTGATCGGGGTCGGGCTGGCAGCCCTCGCGGCTTTCATTACTGTCTACTACCACCTGTCGCAGAACCCGGTGTTCCACCAGGTGGCTTACGCCTCGCTGACATGCGCCGTCGTCTTCCGCGGCATGTATGTCATGGAAGCATACCTCCGTCCAGCACTGAAGCAACGAAGCGAGAGCCCCGCGCACGCCGAGCAGATCATGAAGCAGATGTGGTCCATGGCCGCCACAGGCATCGCGCTGTTCCTGATCGGCTTCTTCATCTGGAACATGGACAACATCTACTGTGGGCACCTCCGGAGCCTCCGGAGCTCCGTCCTGCTGCCGTGGTCCGTCATCTTCGAGGGCCATGGCTGGTGGCACATCTTCACCGGGCTCGGGGCCTACTACTTCATCATCTGGAGAGTATGGCTGACCCGGTGTCTCGACGGTAGCGAGCGCGAGTTCATGCTACACTGGCCATCCCCTTTCACATCCGTGCCGAAGGTTGTCCCCCGGTCCGGTTCTACCAAGGCCAACGGCGTCAATGGGTCGAGTAAAAAGGCGTTGTAGTATCTGGGAGCGCACAGGATCTGTCACGCAGGCATGCCTAGAAATAGATATTCAAGTTGCATCACTTGTACGGTACTGTTGCGTCTAAGCCCGTCGCAGGGGACAACGACAGGAAGACATGCAAGACCCCTAGATAGCATTGCATTGCATACGTACGAAAAAAAGCAGATGTTACCCTCAAAATTTGTGATGCCGGCAGCTGCGGTTGAACTTTCTGACACTCTACCTAGGTAGACTATGCACTCTCGGCTCCTGTAGACCAGCGCCTGTACAATAAATTGCCAGCCCTCCCGTTTTGGCGGGGGACCCCACCTGCTCCCCTGTTGCGGGACCTCCCTTGGTTGCATGGTTGCAGTGACGTACCACCACACCATCCACTTGGGCAATCGGTGGTGCTGGCATTGGCCGTCCCCGCGTCCCGAGCTGCTGGTCAAGGTCAAGGTTTCACAGAGCTGGGCAGATCCGTCCACCAATTTTCGGCACCACCCCTCCCCCCCCCAGACCGATCCTCAGTGAGGTATCTACTGTAGACTATGCCTGTATCCAGGCAGACACGCACGATTCGACCCGGATCCTGACTCCCTCGGATCCTGACGTGCATCTTGCAAAAGCTTGGCAGCCGCCAAACAAGGCCGGGTGGGTTACCGAACCATGGACACTGTCTCGAGTTGTTTTGGACCACAGGAGCCAATACAAAGTATACTCCTGTCTGGAACTCTGCTTGGGCCTCTTGTTTCTCAGGTAGGTGATCATGTAGGGATAGAATCAAAAGCAGGCTTGGCTATGTTTTCTGTTTTGTGCTACTCGCACGTCTCACACGTAATCGTGTCCTGCCAGCATAGCGGCGTGAGACGAGATGCATTGTGGGAGAGCTGTGCTTCGGGGTATGTAGTTCCCCGGTGTGGTTTCAGGCTATTCCTGTACCTCTACTGCTGGTGTTGTACTGCTCGGATACACGCGTACCAAGAACGCAAGCACGTATTGGCTGGGTTGGGCAACCTTGGAACAACTCCTGCACGCGGGGCCGCGCCCGCATCTGCACTGCCCATCCCATCCCACCGGGCCACTGGAGCTTACAAAAGGATACGTACTGTAGGTAGTCTAGTGCTAATTAGGACCTACTGTGCCTAGGTGCGTACGTGCGTGCTGTCACCATCGCCCTAGCTCTCGAAATCACGTTCAGGTCAATAATAAACTTCCTCTACTTACTTGTCTTGGCTCTCTGCAACAGGATTCGTGGTCTCATGCAATGATTCACAAGAATAACAACGTTTCGCTTCCGCCATCACACCTGCAGTAACGCCCAGACAAGCTTCGAGACACCGCGCGCGACCGATTCGAACCCCGTCGCTCCCAATTTCTCCCTCGTCAGGACCGGCATCCCACTCAGCATGCCAACCTTCGACACACAGCATCCCGAACTGTAGCCCGACACTTTTGCCACCCACTGGATGGCCACGTCACTCTCTAGATTCCCTTACTGAGGAGTCATGTCAGCTCAAGGAGGAGGAGGGGGCAAGTCGAGATGGGGCTCACTTCTTTCGCAGGCCGTCGCCGGCGTCGAAGCCCGCCTCGACACCATCCTGGCTGAGGAGGATCAGCCCAAGCCGACCCCGAGCCCTACCCCCTCGCAGCAGTCCAAGCCAAGCACCGGTATGTTTCTACCTCGGACTGGAACACCCAGGGAGCTGTCACGTAACGCATGCTGACTTGTTTGCGGCGCAGCACCGTCGAGATCCGACTCCACGAGGAGCAAGCCAAACGACAGGCTGCAGGAGAGACTGGCGAGGGCTGTCGCGGCGAAACAGGCTGCAGCCAAAGTGGAAGGGTCGTCAGCGAAGCCCACGCCCACAGCGAGCCCCCGGCAGAGCTTGGATGTGCCGAATCGGAGCTCCACAGACAGTGCTGCGCCTGCGTCGTCGGCTCTACAGAGCCCCAAGGCACCCTCGTCACCTCGAGCCTCGCAAGACAACGAGAGGAAGTCGGTCGAGACACCAGAACAGGGAGGGACGGATACCTTAAGTGCGCCACGTGTATCACAAGATGTGGCCATCTCGGAACCCAGCAATGGAGTTGCTGCTGAAACGACAGACATCTCCACGGGGGCCCAGTCACCTGCCGGTGCGGTGGCGGAACTTCAGGAGGACCGCATCAAGCAGCTAGAAAAGGCCCTGGAGGACCTGGCAGTACAGCAGCAGGAGGAGACCCACAACTATGTCGAGCAAGTCGACGCGTTGCAAGCAAAGCTACAGTATCTGGCCCGACAATCTTCTGACTCTGCAAGAAAAGCGGCTCAGGAGGCACCCGCCGGTAGCATGGAGAAGAAACTGGCGGAAAAGGACCAACAAATAGCTGGACTCATGGAAGAGGGCAAGAACCTGGCTAGCACGGAACAGAAGCTTCGCGCCATCATCAAGAGCCTGCGATCGAAGATAGGCGACAATGAGAAGGAGATCAACAATGTCAAGACCTCGAAGGGCAAGGTCGAACAGGAACTGGAGGCCGTGCGTAGGAAGTCCCGGCGCGCCGACGACCTAGAAAAGTACCAAGAGGAGTTACATAAACGCATTGGGCAATCCCAAAAGGAGATCGACGCGCTCAAATCCGAAGGATCCAATAAGGACAGGACTATTGCTGATCTGAAAGCGCAACTGCAAAAGTCAGCCGAGGATAAGGAGGCGCTCTCCAAGAAGGTCAACGAAGAGGCACTGGCCAAGGAGAGAAAGAAGGTCCGAGACTTGGAAGAGCAAGTTTCCGATTTCAAGGTGGAGAAGGACCTGATGATCGATCGCAGCAAAGCGCGAGAGAATGAGCTGCAGGAGAAGGCCGAACGAGCCGCGGAGCGCGCGCGTGCTGTTGAAGTTGAATTAAAGGCCGAGATACAGGTGATGGAGAGCAAGATGGAATCTATGAGGGTCATGGCGGAAGAGGTCTCCTCGGGTGCCATGGGCGACTCTCAAGCTAAGTTGCTGCGACAAGTCGAGACACTCCAGACACAGTACGCCATCGCAACCGAGAACTGGCAAGGGATTGAGAGCACACTACTTGCCCGTATATCTAATCTGGAGAAGGAAAGGGACGAGGCCCAACACCGAGAGTCGGAGATGAGAAAGAAGGCTCGTGAAGCCGTGAGTGTTGTCGGCATTCCTCGGCTGACTCTCGTAATTGCTAATCGTACAAACAGGCTCTCCGTGCTAAACGCCACGAGGAAGAACTTGAGGATACCAAGACGCAGCTCCCTACAATACAGGAGAGTGTCAAAAATTACGAGTCGCAGATAGAGGCCCTGAAGACGAGAGCCGAAGAGGCCGATACTGCCTTGGCTATCGTAAAAGCAGAGCTCGAACAGCAAAAGGCTGCTTGGTCAGAGGCGAAGACTGCCAAAGAGCAGGATAGACCAGGCCAGTGGATAGACGACCCGCCAGCGCCATCGTTCAGAGGCGGCAGCAGACCAGAATCCCCTGCTATTTCCATGCCGGCGAGAAGCTACAGCACCGAGCTGCTTGGGTTCGGATCACTGTCGAACAAGTTCCGCAAGCACTCGGCGCCATCCAGCAACGGTGATCCTGTGGAACGCTATACTTCACGAAGGACATCGGTGCAGCCTTCAAGCAGGCCATCCATTCATACCGCGAACTCTAACACGCTCCCTCCAATACTCAGCCCCACAATTGAAGCGTTGCCGGCAGCACCGTCAATACACCCACTTGAGAGGCAAGACACCTACGACAGCGCCGAGCTGTCCTCGTCGCCAAAGCAGATCGTCCAGGACATGGTGTCGGTCTCGACAGTCGCGGCAGGGCCATCGGTGCAGCTGGTCGAGAAGCTCAGCGCGGCGATCCGCCGGCTCGAGACGGAGAAGGTGGCGGCGAAGGAGGAGCTGACGCGGATATCGAGCCAGCGGGACGAGGCCCGGGCGGAGATCGTGGCGCTCATGAGGGAGACGGAGAACGGCAAGAAGGCGGCCGAGGAGGTGACGCGGCTGCGGGCCGAGGTGGCCGAGGTCAACGAGCGCTACGAGACGACGCTGGAGCTGCTGGGCGAGAAGAGCGAGGCGGTGGAGGAGCTCAAGGCAGACGTGGAGGACGTCAAGGCCATGTATAGGGACCTTGTCGAGAGGACGATCAAATGAGTTCAGGGTGGGTGCAAACAGGGGCAGAGAGGGATAGGGAGCCAGGGGGTTGGTCGTGTGGACATGTTCAAGACAATTATGTTCTAGCGGGTTTTAGGAGCCCAAGTTTTCTCATGATATTCACGAATCATCTTTCCTCATCCTCATTAGCCAGCCCAGCCCTCGAGGGGTCACAGCTCGATGCCTTCGTTCTCCGCCATCCGCTCGATGTACTTGCGGACCTCCTTGTCGGGCGCCAGGTCCAGCGCCAGCTTTCCTTCCAGGTCCTGCTTGTCCGTCTCTGCGCCGGCCTTGAGGAGGGCCACGGCGGCGTCACCGTGGCCCTCGGCGACCGCGTGGTGCAGGGCCGTCTGCCCGTCGCTGTCGGTCGCGTTCAGAGGGCTCTTGTTCTTGATCAGGAGGTTTATCATGGGCACGGAGCCGATGGCTGCGGCCCGGTGGAGGGCGTACTGTTTTCGTTGGTCCCCAGTTAGTAGATAGCTCGAATGATACAGATATACCCCCCGGGATCGAGCGATTGTCTCGACAAGAATGCAAGGTGCCAGAGTGTCTTACCTGGCCCCTCTTGTCACGAATCCGTGCTGATGCTGGCGGTTGGTTCTCGAAGAGCCTGCGTGCGATGTCGATGTTGTTCTTGGAGGCCACGAAGTGGACGACCGTCTGGCCTGTGTTGTCTGGGGGCAAAAGCATCGATCAGCCGGGGGACAATGCTCCAAGTGGCGACGGGGGCTTGAGGCCTCACTCTTCTCGTTCGGGTCTGCGCCCTTGCTCAGAAGGAACTCGACGAGCCTCTCGCTGTCCTTGACGCTGGCCGCGATCATGAGCGGCGTCCAGCCTATCTCGTCCTGTGCGCGATGTGCTTTTCTTCAGCCCGTGAGCCCACCCACAAGGTCACACGGCGGGCGGGACCTCCCACCGCCCGGCTTTGGTATATGATCGTACCTGAACGTCGACATCGAAACCCTTGTGCTCCGCCAGCAACTGGGTGATGTCCAGCTGGTTTGCGGAAGCTGCCCAGTGGATCGGCAGCCGTCCGTCGTCGTCCTTGCGCTTGGAGAGCGTGGGCTCGGCCTGCGGGACCGTGGACGGAAACGCCCGTGGTTAGTTCGAGAGTCCTTCCTTTTCATGACAGTCCACCCGGTTCCAAAGGAACTCACGTTCAGCAGGGACTGGACCGTTGCAACTGTGAGGTGTTAGTCTGGTGAGCCCCGCAAGTCATGTCGGATGCATGGTTGATGCTTTGAGGATCAGACTCACGCTTGCCCTCTCTGCAGGCAGCATGGATGGCGAACTTGGATTGCGCATCCATCTTTTCTCTCTTGTTGTTTCTTATGCCCAAATAATCCGACGTATTTCTGGGAGCAGTTGCAATATCTCAGAAATGGAGTTCCTGGCGATGGTGGAGAATGCCTTCCGCGAGCACTCGCAGCTTCGAAGTGAGCTGCGTTTGTAAGTGCTGCCTGTAAGTGAGCGGAAGACTGTGACTTGACTGCGACTCCCAGGTAACTACGTCCAGACCCACCTCCTAGACAGCCTACCTCTGCCTGTGATTCTGGAGCTTTGCACCTTTACTTGGGAGGGTATGGACACCTGTTCATGTAACTATAGTTGATTCATGAAGCTTCCCTGCAGTTGGTCAAAGATGAGTAGCCGGTAGTCCCAATGGACGTTATTTCACTGGACTTTATCCCACTGAACGTCCGCAGACGTTACCGTACAGACGCGCATTTTGTCAAATGACACAGCATGCGGGCTCCTTTAGAACGGTAAAATCGTCAAGAGACTATAGTTGGGAGGAAGTTCATTTGAAAAAAGAAAAAAAAAAAAAAAAACTTCTTACATGGTCAGATTCCGGGATATATGTGACTTTGCAGACATCACGCATGCTCTTCTTCCAGACCCCGATTCAAGCAGCCCCGCTGTGATGTGATCGCAAGCACCTCCTTGCTGCGCAGAGACCACCAGTGGTACCTTGCTAAGCTCCCAGAATTTTTGGGACCGCGACTCCAAGCTCGCTCAAGTCAACGCCCCGTCTACATCCTATCGCTGCATTAAACCACCTCCCGCATTGCACGACTCCGCGCATTACACAACAACGGCTCCGCTGAGAAGAATCGAACCTCCCTTTCCACCCTTACATCAAATAATCGGCCGCGGTATAATTTTCCAACCGTGATGGCAGCCGACGTCTCAGCGACAGGCCTGGAATCCCTGATATCGAAGAACGCGAGAGCTACGAAGCTCGCATATGCAGATTCGACAGGTCGCAAGCGGATCCGACTCGACCCCTCAGCCGGCCCCGAGCCGGAAGCTGACAAGGACGCCATCTCAATACGCCTACACGCCGAGTACAACGATGTCCTAGAACTGCCCGCGCCCCTTGCCGCGAAACAGGCTGCCGCAGCCGGCGCAAGGAAGAAGGCAAAGAAGACAGCAGGGGAGGCAGCGCCAACGCCAGCCGAGGAGAACACCAGGAAGCTGATAGAGGGGATACCGTCCAAGGCGCCAAATGGAAGGCCAGGGGCTGGGCCGCAATCCAACGCCCTCGTGCGTCGGACGCCGGGCGCACCTGGCGCTGGCGGGGCCGGTGACAGAGGCCAGGGGGGTACACAGACGACAAGCCTAATGCGCTTGTCGGAGGCCGTGAATTCGCAACCCAAACCAGACTGGCACAAGCCATGGAAGCTGCACAAGGTCATCTCGGGCCACCTGGGATGGGTGCGCAGCGTCGCGGTCGAGCCGAACAACAAGTGGTTTGTGTCGGGCAGCGGCGACAGGACGATCAAGGTGTGGGATCTGGCGTCTGGGCAGCTGCGGCTGACGTTGACAGGCCACATCAGCACAGTTCGGGGCCTGGCAGTTTCGCCCAGGCATCCGTACCTGTTCTCGTGTGGCGAGGACAAGATGGTCAAGTGCTGGGACTTGGAAACAAACAAGGTCATTCGGCATTACCACGGCCATCTTTCGGGCGTCTATACTCTAGCACTACACCCCACTTTGGATGTGCTGGTCACGGGTGGAAGAGATGGTGTTGCAAGAGTATGGGATATGCGGACCAGGAGCAACATCCACGTCCTCAGCGGCCACACTGGCACGGTCAGTAGCATACTCTGCCAGGAGGCCGACCCTCAGGTCATCACAGGGTCTCTCGACAGCCAGTGCCGCATGTGGGATCTCGCTGCGGGCAAGACCATGGGCGTCCTGACTCACCACAAGAAAGGCATTCGTGCGCTGGCGTCACATCCCATCCGAGTTTACATTCGCCACCGGAAGCACCTCCAGCATCAAGCAGTGGAAGTGCCCTGAAGGCGCATTCATGCAGAACTTCGAGGGCCACAACGCCATCATCAACACGCTCTCCGTAAACAATGATAACATCATGTTCTCCGGGGGTGATAACGGCTCTATGAGTTTCTGGGTAAGTGCAACATCACTCAACACACGTCCTCTTAGCGGGCTCCAGCTGACAAGCAGGCAACAGGACTGGAAATCCGGGTTCCGTTATCAAGCAATGGACACCATCGCCCAGCCAGGCTCGCTCGATGCCGAGAACGGCGTGTTCTGCTCAACGTTCGACCATTCCGGATTGCGGCTCATCTGTGGTGAGGCGGACAAGACGATCAAGATATGGCGTCCGGACGACGACGCCACGCCCGAGACTCACCCGATCGACTGGAAGCCGACCATGCAAAGGCGGCGGTTCTGATAGCCGAGCTTTGGAGGCGTCAGCACACGTAAATAGATGGCCCATCATTGGGGTACTCAGTAGACGTCGGGTCATAATGAATATCTCTGGCACTGGAAATCGGCAGTGTAAAGTAAATGCCCCGTTCAATACTTCATGTTCACCGCAGGTGATTGGCCCGAGAACTGGCTCACATCTAATGTGATCGTAACTTGAGCTTCTTCGTACCTGCATCATATGTCTCTGGACGAGATTGCTCCAATGTGAATACGCCAGTGATGACATTTGTTCAAGGCCTATCAGCACCTTGCGCTAGCCGTCCTGAGTTGGAATTTGATAGTCAGAGTTTTCTCATTAAGTCTGCTTCCGGCGGCATGAAGGCTACATAATGAGGCTCATTGCCTTTATCTCAGGATCATCTCGAAACGCCAGCCGGACCTCCTCGTCCCCAACCGCCAGGCGGATCTTGCTCGGCCGCTCAGCCTTGTGCGCCTCCAGGTTGATGATGCCAGCCCCTGTGAGATCGACGGCGGCAGCCCCCAGGCCCGCGAGGCGGACCCCCTTTGCATCATGCCGCGTCTTGTTCTCCCACGCATTGCCACCGGCCGGGCGCGCTTTCCTCTCCAGTAGCTCTAACTGCCGGCTATCGGCAGCGAGCTTCAGCGAGCGCTGCATCTCCTCGAGCACATCCCCGTACGTGCTCTCTGCCAGGCCCGTCCTCTGCGTCCTCGCCAGGAGCGCGGACAGCAACAGCCTAGAGGCAAAGGGCAGGGTGCGCAGGTACTGCTGCAAGGGGCTGCTCGTCGCCTCCTTGATCGCTCTGCGCACTGTGTCGATGGTGACCCTGCCGAGGTTCTTCTTCCTGCTCTGCGTCTCGCCCTTGGCCTCTTTCTCCCTCTGCCTCTTGCTCGGCGTCGAGGGCTCCAACGTTGGGTCTGCTGACTTTGCCTCCACTTCTGCGAGCTCCACTGCTCTCCTGCAGATATCGAGCGCCCGCCTGGCGTCTCCGCTGACGGCTGCGACTTTGCGGCTTGCGAACTGAATGGCATCTGGCTCGACGATATTCCCGGGTACGCCCTCGAGTCTGGACTGCACGATCTTCATGAGTTGCTCGTGGTTGTAACCAGGGAAGGTGATTCGTGTCAGTCCCAAGCGACTGCTGATCTTGTTGCTCAGTGTTCTCTCTGGCAGATCCATGGTATTCGCCACAGCCAACACAATAAGTCGGCTGTGTCTCAAGCCAGGCCAGTTGAAGAAGTTGTACATCACTCCCTGGTTTTTGGTGACCAGCTGGTCCAGCTCATCCATCAATACAACACATGGCACCCGGCGAGGGCTGGGATGGCTAAACTCCCTTTCCAATAGATCCAGAGCCTGCGACGGGCTGACTCGTTGCCCCTTAAGCGCCTCCCACAGGAGTGAGTAAGCCTGATGCGGATCCGTGATCTTCATGCCATTGATCTCGACAAAGATGAAGTCGTCCAGCTCGTCCGATCTCACGGACTCATCCAGCCGGGAAACCACCTCCCTGACGGTTGCGGTCTTGCCCGTCCCAGGGGTTCCAGATATGTAGATACAGGTCCCCATGCCATCTGTGATAGCAGCCTCGAGGTGAGAGTAGACTAGACTGAATTCTGCCTCTCGGCACGGCAGACTGGTTGGGACGGACGCAACGTGGAGATTGGCTCGGGCCAACTGGAACGGGGAAGACTGATGGTGACTTGGTGAGAGGATGCGAGTTGCTAAAGGAGTGAACTCGAGGTGCTTCTTCAAAACAATCCTATGTAACTGTTAGTTCGCTGGTACTGTTATAGGACACTCGTTTGCTTACTTTCGATGAGACGATGGAGTCACTGGTTTGCCCGCAGATCGTGGTTTCTTCGGCGTACCGAGGTGGCTGGACGGCTTCCGTGGCGTTCGTTTCTGGCCCCTTCCTTCCTCGTCGCCGTCGTCAATGGCATCGTAAAGCTCATCCGGGGTTCTCTGCCTCGCTGGCCTGCGTTTTCTCGTCGCTTTCGTCCCACCTTCAACCAACTCCTCCAGCGCGTGGATATCATCTGCTCCCTGATAGACATCGTCCCACACAAACTCATCAGTGTAGGTGGCCGTCCTCGTGTTACACCCTCGCCGGCAAACAAAGATCTTGCCATGGTCCTTCGAGCTCCTTGGCACCTTCCCGTTGGGATAGAGTTTCTGGAACGCCTCCACCGAAACGACCCTCGCCCTCCCATTGATGGCTGCCAGTGGGTTCAAATCCGAGTTTGGGGTTATGTACAGCTCGTTCTGCAGGACAAGTCAGCCTCATTCGTTATCACTGTTTCTTCCCATCTGGCAGTCGCGGAGTATGCTCACCCAGAGAAAGTCCGTCCTCTTCTTGTGCTTGTTCCGTATTTCCTTCTCGGACGAGAACCACAAGAAATCGGCAGCCATCTCCCCGTCTTCGTCCTCTAGGAACTCGCGGATGATGGCGATCCAGGCCTCACCGGACGTCTCTGCTTTGAGGAGCACAATGTCACCCACACGACACACAAACGAGCCCATCCTTGCGCCAATGATCCTCGGCTCCTCATCCTCCAGGGCACGCTTCCTCTTGCGTGAAGCCCCTCCGGCCGGCGATGCTTCTCGGATGTCGGCATAGATCCATTTCCAAGGGTGGTCGTCAACGCCCAGCTCGTCATCTGAGTCCTCTCTGGCGATGCCCGGCACAACGGCCTGCTTGCTCTTCCTCGAGGGCCGCGATGAAGTGACTGAGGGCATGGTTGCTGCTTCAGTGAGTCACTATCAACTCGGGGGATTTCCCACAACGGGACAGTCAGATTGGCTGGTGGGCGTCCTTGAGAGCCTGCCTGCGCTTGTTCGCAGTTTGGGTGTGGGCGCGTAAAGTGGTCCCTGACTCCAGACGCGCCGCACGCGAATCCCTGTCGTTCTAGAGCCACTTGCACGGCTTATGACGTCGTCCCTGGAGAATGCAACTAATGGGGTTATCTGCCTAACACAGTATCAAACGCCAGGCTTGAAATTGCTCAACTTCTCCTGATAGGTATTGTAGCCGCAGGGAGTTTCTCTATTCATCCAGCTTCAGTATTGACACTAGATGCCATGGCTATTGGTACAATAGACAAACTGACGGTTTTGCGGTCCTGTTCAGGCAACAAGCTTCACAATGGAGGTGCGCGACGACAACAATAGCAAACCCATCCGAGCTTCCCAATTGGAAGTTGCTGCGAATGCGCTTTCTGTTTTGGGAGCCTATTCGAAGTTTTCGACCTGAGGCCAGCTATTTTCTACCGATTAGGTATAAAAACCCACTAGGCTTCAGGACTTCTTCCCCATCCTCTTCACCTTGCTAACTTCGATTCAGCCACTCAACAACAGGGCATCAACTTCAACCTCCGTTCAGCAAGCGGACATCGACCACTGATCAAGCGGTGACTTCTCATCACGTCCAAGTCTATCTCATCACTGCTGTCCTCGTCACCGTCACCAGCTTTCTTACCGCACATCAGAATCGTGAACACGAAGTCAGCCAACACGCTCGCCCAGCATGTCAGCGAATCCACCGATGAATCCACTGAACATGCGCCGCGCCCTCATAAGCGCTGGCCAGGATTCCCGTTGGGCTCTGATGGATCGAAACACCAGGGTCGAGAAGATCGAGAACACCAAGTTCTTGGGTGATGCTCCCAAGGCTGCTCCAGTAAGCCATCTGTGCCCAGGTGCGCAACACAAGTCGCTGATCAGGTTTAGGAATGCAAATTGGCTTTGCCAGGCAACGCTGCTGCTGAGGACTTCATTGACGACAATGACAACACTACGAAGAAAACACTGGATGACATCAGGTCCAAGTACAACGTTTGGGTCAAGATGAACCATGGAGACCACTTCGTCACTCTCTCTGGTGAGAGCATCAAAAGCTTGAATTTGGCAAAGGATGCACTGCGAGTTTTCTTGTTGGGAATCAACCAGGACGTCCAAAATAAATTGATCATCCTCACCCACCACTCTATTGCGGCGACCCAGGCTTATGTTGAAATCAAGCCAAACAATCATGACAGCTCGTCATACCGACCTGTCGCGCTGGTGATATCAGCAGAGGAGGATCTGATTGACCTTTCCGATGATGCGGAGGAAGAGAATGAGACCAACTTTCAGCATGGCCTTGATGGACAAGGCCCCGATAGCGTTGCTGATACTGACACCGTACTCAGCAACCTGATCGGCGGCCTTGCGGATCAATTCGGCGTAGCCATTCAGGAGACCGGTAAGCGTCTTCGCCCTGCTGCTGGCGAACTGCGAGTGAGAGCGCACATGGGCGTCTTCACGGTCAAGAAGCGCCAGTCCAAGACAGACAAGTATCAGTCCGACGAGGCGTTGAAAAAGTTCCTCAACATGGGAGCCGACAGAGGCTACGTCTTTGTCGGTCACAAGCTTGGCAACGAGTCCTGGGCTGCTCGTATGCTCGAGATCATCTACGAGACCGAGGACCTGGACAATCCCACCACTGCCGAATTCTTGGCGGTGGACCCTACGGCTCTCTCCCTCCGAGATATCAAGCCCAAGTTCACCCTGGTGCTTTTCGCAAAGGATCTCAAGATTGAGGTGGACGTCACGTACGATGCCAAGTATCGTCCATGCCCGGAGACCGGCAGCGTGCGTGCGTTCTCCTTCAACCGAGACAAGGTTGCCGAGGTTGCCGTATCTTGCCCCAATAGGTATTTTCCCAAACGATCCCTTTATTGATTTCCATGTCTCATACTCTGGTAGGAAGTTTGACTGGCACCTGTCAGTCGAAGCTGAGAGCCCCAAAAGCCGAATCCCTGCGGAGGTATTCGACTTCATTGCTCGCGGCCTCAAGTTCAAGCGCCCAATCCCCACAAAGTCAGAAATCGACGACGATTTCCCGTTCACAGAGGTGAACGCTTACTTGCTTCGTGCCGCGAGCATCGACAACATTGCCTGCAAAGTCTTCTGGACCTTTCAGACTGCCAATGCCCCTTACTGCCTTGAGGTATCAGTCTATCACGAGTGGGGCGCTGGTTTCTTCCAGGAAACCAATCCTATCTACCCTTGGAATGCACTGAACACCGCTGCTGTCCCACGGCCGATTAAGTCTTGCGGGATTTCCCTTTACGGACAAGATTGGGACCACAAGATACGGGACATCAACAAACCGGGAGGAGGACGGCAAGCTGATTTTGCCAATGGATTTCCCGATTTATTCGTCAACGAGGATTCCAGCTCCAGCATTGAACAATTCTTGCGGGAAATGCAGCGTCTGCATGATTTCACAGAGTTGGCTAGTGTGGCAGCAATGACTGAGCCGGTTCCACCCCTTGCAGAGTCGGCCATGGCCTAGGGTAAGTCCAACAGCTTCTCAATTTTTTCACTGCTGGATCTAACACCTCCATACAGAGCTCTAAGTTGTTTGATGATCCGACTGTGTCTCACTTTGCGACGGAAGAAATCACATCGGGACTGGAGGATTCTGCAAGCATTCTGGAAGCCCAAAATCTTAGGTGCATATGAGACTTTAGTCATCACCCTTGTCCCTCGTCCGTGACTGCAGGCCTCATGATGAAGGCTGTTGTGGTTGTGCGAGAATCTTTTGCTTGAGGACTACCAACACAAAGTTAGAAAAGCTCTGGGGCTTCTGTTTAGGGCTGAGAGCCTTACCTTCTTCAACAGCCCTCAACGAACTTGATTTGTTCTGAATGATGGATTCCAGGTCCGTGATGTTGCCAGCGAGATCCTTAACCTTGCCCTCGTAAAACTCTGCGGCACTCTTCACACTCTGCATGCTGTCAGAGAAAAGTTCCAGTCAATGTGTCTAGGAAACAAACCTTCTCCACGTAGAAGCCTGTGCCTATATCTACCAGCACTCGATCAGGGCTTGAGATATTTCCCTTGACATACAGCGAGTTTGTCAGGGGTACTAGGATCTCTTTCTTGTCTGTTCAACAATGATCAGCGTGGTGTACGTCAAACCAACGCGTGAACCGGGAGTCTCCCACGGCTTGCTCACCTTGTGTGCCACCTTGGGTCTTCACACAACGCAGGCAGTCCTTGAACTTAATCTGTGCAGCCTGAAGCTGTGCAAAAGACGTGGTAAGGTGCTCGACCTCCTCATCCAGCTGCTTCTTGACGGCCGTGAGCTGTTGAGCACTCAGCTGGTCGAGGCTCACTGTGGTGATAATTAGCTGTCATTGTAGGCGACGAAAAGATTTGGTCTGGTCACATAATCTCACCCCCTTGTTGCTGTGCTCCTCCTGACATGTTGAGCGATCACGTCTGATGTGATGTTGTTCAACAGTGGATTATTGAGTTCTTCTCATCATGCGGCTACCCCTGGAGCTAGCAACTACGGGCAGGTACTTGGGCGGCCAGGTACTTGGGCGGCCGACGTTGGCTCAGAGTTTCACAGGGATGCCGGCCCAGCACCACAAGGTGGGCACCTCAAGCTGCTTGATAAGATAAGCCCACGTCATCCCAACTCCTACTGGGACAGCCTCTCCATCTTCACCACGGTCTCTCTTGTCTCCCAACATCTCAGACCACTAACTGGAGCCATTGGCACCTGACACAAGTCGAAAATGGACAGATTCGAGGCCATTTACTCCAACACACCACCCGCCCCTCCACCGAAGCCGGGCAGCCACGATGTCTCTCGGATGAGCACGCCCATAAATACACAATCACCCGGCCCATCGCCGCTTCCAGACCAGCAACAACACTCAGACCTCCCAGAACCAGCAGGTGTTCCCGTATCACAACAAGCACAAGTCGCACGACCACAGACAATACCGGACCCTGGTGACCAATGGCTGCCCCAGTTCCTTGAAGACAAGTCGTGCGTCGCTCCAAATGTTACTCTCATGAATCCCCAAACGGCAGCATTCTAATTATCCGCTCCGTACATAGGAAACAAGACCTCGCCGAAATCCTCTCCACATCCTCCCTCCTCTCGGGGCTCACTCACGGCCCCTCGACGGCGCACCCCTCCCTGACGGCCAGCACCGAAGCGCTGTCGTCGTCCCTCTCGGCCAACATCGACCTGGCAACGCACCTCCTCGCTGGAGTCGCGCCTGGCGCACGCGCGCGGGTCGGCGCAGGCGCTGCTCCTCAGCACGCACGCGTCGGAGCGGCAGTGGCGCGCCAAGCAGAGCGAGATGGACCACGCGCTGAGCCCGTTCGCGCCGGCGAGCCTGTACCAGCGGCTGGGCGCGGGCGTCGCCGAGCAGGGCCAGGTGTGCGCGGCGCTGGAGGAGAGCTTCCTCGAGGGCGAGGGCGAGGACGGCGCCGCCGCCACCGAGAGGGAGGCGCTCGACTGGGTCCGTCGCTACAGGGAGGCCAAGAAGCTGTACTACCTCCGCCAGGAGAGAAAGGAGAGGTGGGACGAGGGGAGGGTCGGCGGGTGGAGATGAGAGACGTGTGGGAGCAGACAGTAAATATCTTGGTGATGTCGCCAGCGGGTTTAACTTCTACCGCCAATGACTACCACCGCACTGCTCTCGTTGCGGGACTCCAGCGAGTGAGACACCACGAAGGCGATCATACATAACTCAACCTGTCCGCTTTCCTGTTAGAGTGATACTCCGCGCAGATGGAAGCGCCAGCTTGATTGATTCACATCACGTTATGAACGGGTGCAATCATGTTGGACGTATCTTAAAAAAAGCGGCCATGGAGACAGGCCAAGAAGAAATTGGGGCTTCCCGCAGGGGAATAGGTATCTAGATGCTATACTATATAACGAGCCATGCGTGCTCAGGACAACCAGTTTTCAAGTGCCGGCTGATAGGAATCGAACAGGGTGTGATGGGGCGTCCGAACCAAAAATGCTGTCGGCTGAAGTCTGAGTCGTCGTGTAAAAAAAGTAAAAAGTATATCCGAGGAAGTGTCGAGACCCTGACGAAAGTACGGAATTACACTTTTCCAGGGTGGACGCGTCGAGTGTGAGGTGGGAAGAGAAAGAAGTAGAATAGAAGAATGATGAACCCCAACTCCCTAACATTTCAGCATGCTGAAGGGGCTCTTCGCCTCCTCGGGGCTCCGGGGGCTCATGGGCAGCGCGAACAGGTCCTCTTCCGTGTCGACGCTCCTCTCTGGGGCGGGGGCGCCCGCTCCGCTGCCGCCCTCGATAACAGCGCTCAGCGAGGCAATGCCGCCGGGGCCCGCCGGCCTGCCCAGACCTGCGCCTCCTGATGCTGGGGTAAAGGCGGTTATTTTACGTTCAGCTGCTGCTGAGTTCTTGATTTCGTTGTGGCTCGCTGTAACAGGCATTATTAGTATTAATATGTCTCCAAACCCGCAGCCCGGCTGCAGCTAGATCTTGGGGGTACAGGGACTGTGAAGACTCACCCTCCTTCGCCGCGGCAAGCTCCGCGGGCGACGTCGCCAGCTTCAGGCCCTTGAGCCTCTCGCCCAGCCTCCCGCCGATCGGACTCCTGGGGCTCACGGGGCTGGAGCTGTCCGGGTTGTGCGGCGCGACGGGGATGGCGTCGGCGGAGGAGGTGTCGATCTCGAGGCCGAAGTGGTCGACGATCCACTGGCGCTCCTGCAGCAACATCTCGAGCCCCACGCTCTCGCTGTTGTCCCTCATCTCGGCGGCGATCTCGGCCTCGAGCTCGTGCAGCCTCCGCTTGGCCCATATCGTATGCAGCACGCCCCTCGTGCCCTTGTCCTCGCTGACCAGGCCCTCCGGGAAGATGGCGGGCAGCGGCTTGGCCCGCAGCTCCGTCAGCCCGGAGCGCTTGGAGATGGTCACGAGCGTCGGTATCGGCGCCCCCGGCGGCAGCAGGAAGTAGACGCGGCGCGTGCCCTCGGGGGCGTCGGTGTCGCGGATGGGCAGCACGGTGATGCCGTCCCGGTCCTTGCTGCTGCCGTTGCTGTCCTTTTCCTTGTCCTCCTTCTTCCGGTCCGAGCCCTTGCCCTCCCACGTCACCTCCCAGTCGTCGCACCCGTTGTGGGCCTGCTCGCGCTCCCTGTCCGCTCCGCCCGCGCTGGCGGCTGCCGCGGCCGCGTCCGTGGCGGCGCGCGCGTCCCACTCGACCATGAGGATCTTGGTCCCCTCGTTGCCCTTGGTGCCCGTCTCGAACTCGAACCTGGACAGCGTGAAGGCCGACGAGGGCGACGTCGGCGTCTCAACCACGTTCACGGCGCCAATGTCCGCTGGCAGAGCGACTGTCGGTTGCTCCGGGCTCGCCATGGTTCTTTTTTCCTTTTTTTTCTTCTTCTTCTTACGAGGGCTGTGCGCGTGGGGGTAACCGGGGGCGCTTGTAGGCGCGCGGCTGGCAACAGGGGGGGGGGGGTTGCGTTGTCGGTGGTTGTGTCGCGGGGGATGGTAGGCTGGGTGGGTGGGTGTGTGTGTTTATGTGTTGCGAGGAGGGTTGTTGAGGCAGGCAGATCTTGGAGGATGACACACTCGAGGCAAGACACACGGCAGAGCAACGACGACGAGCAGGCTGCGGTTCCGGGGAAAGGGAATCAGACGTAATACTTAAAGTGATGCGCGCTGGGGCTGGGATCCCGGAGGTGGATGACTGAGGCGGGGCTCTGGGGCTCGACTTGTAACCAACAAACGCAGGGCCGCCACCTCACTGGTCTTTGATGCTGGTAGCCTGAGTAGCTCGGCGACATATGCATAAGGATGATGCGCCTAGGGCAATGTCTTGGTAACAGTGCTTGTATTATTGAAGTGGCGGGAACGGATCAAATAGGGGAAGGGGTAAATGCAGGGCCGGGCAGGCCCCGGACTGTGGTCCGGATGTCAATTTTAATATAAAGTGGACAAGGCCAGGAGCTGGAGGATCACGACACCACAGGACATCACGGCACAGGACAGGACAGCGATGAGCAGGCATATCGCCCGCGGTGGGCCAGCACAGGATCCTGTGCAGAGGCCGGTGCAGGCGCACATGTACTGTGTGCTACGTATGTACTATAGAGGCGCGGTGGTGCGGCGGCGGCGGCGGCGGGCATCGAGAACGTCGGGGTCCTCGTCGCAGCTGAGTGGAGAGACCCTATATTGGAGCTTCGGTAAGATGGGAGCTCCCTCATACCGACAGACTGGCCACAGCCTGTCTGGCCCAGCACATGCGGCCCCGTCCAGGCAGGCAGCCCAGGTCTACCAAGACTAGGTCAAGACGTCGGAAGCCAAGGAGGGAGCTATGCGTCGCAAGCAAGGATGCTGCCGCGAGCCAACTGTCGACCTTGTCAGGGCAGCTTGCAGCTGCAGGTCGCAGGTCGCAGCTACTATAGTAGCTCTCAGCTGTGACGAGACAGCCTGCAGGGAGCAATGCTCGAGTCGCGGGTGGCCTGTGCTCGTCTCTGGTACGTTGACGCGGGCGCGGAGAGGAGCAAGAGCATCCAGCAAGACTGTCTCCTTGGCTGTGCGAGATGCATACCCAGGTGGGCGGGCCCAAGCCCAGGCCCATGTCCATGCACTCCAGTGCAGGCAGGACAGGCCAGCAACGAAGCCCTCCAACTCCATAGTCCGTAGCCAGTAGCCAAGCAGAGAGAGAGAGAGAGAGAGAGAAAGAGAGGAGAAAGGCCGCGCGCCACGGCAACAAGAAGCAGAGCTCCAAAACCTCGAACAACAGTCGGCAGCGAATCGCACAGCTGCTCGAATCAGAGCGCGAGAAGGGGCGTGTGGCGTCCCGTGGCATCCGCCGCCTCGGGACTGGGCGCCACGCTACTGTGGACAGATGGGGGAGGTGGGCTAAAAATAGCAGCCCATCCCACAAGGCGTTGTGCAACAGGCACAGCACAGTAGCAATACATGCAGGTGGGCGAGATGCATACAGTGCCGTACTGTGCCACGTACCTACCTACACCCTTAGCTTGCTCAAAGTATCTTCGTCCCATATGCAATACATTCTGTGCGCTGTGCAGTTTGTAGCGGTAAAGTGAGAATATGAGCCATAAAGTCACCTCACGCTTGCACTTACGTCGGGCTGGGACGGAAGCAGCTACCAAAGATTCATTAACTAATAGTAACTATCGGTAGGCCGAGATGCGACGAGCATAAGGCCCACCACAGTAATCAAGAGCACCGTTGTGTTGAACAATCTACCTAGTCGGCACCCTGATTACTGCACCCGTGTCTTGATACAACACTAAGTGGTCTTAAGCAGCCCTCTTGACCCTCTGACCAGATTGCCAGTCCTCAATGATATCCCAGTGGTGCGCCCGCTTGCCTAGAGGCTTGTTCTTCTCCAAAAGGATCTCCGCCTCAGCGTCGAAACAGTCGTGCAAGACCCCAGCCTTGCTGTCGCAGAAGGGCCACAGCGTCTTGTCGGTCATGCGACAGAAATAGCGCTCCTTGTGGTTTGCGTAGCTGGGGCCAAGCGAGTGAGGGTTCTCGCAGAGTTGCTTTGTGCTGCTGCCGCCGCCGAGTCGGTTCTTGTCGTTGACAAGAGTTCGTGCGTGCCGTTCACGTAAGGACGGTGGGGGTTGATTAGCAACGGGGCCGTCGCCGATGGACCTCTTAGAAAAATCTGAAGGAACGTTCTTGTCGATAAAGTCTTTGTCGCGACATCGTTGAATCTGGTCCTGGAACGCCTCGATGTGCATGAAGACGCATCGATCGTCATTCCCCGGTTCGACAAGGTTGTCATTCTCATCGTAGTAATCGTCGGTCATGCAATCAACGGGAATATCCTGTTTATTCACGTCGTCCCAGATGACCTGGGGGTTTGCATCAGAGAGATTGGCACGAGGGTGCTAAGATGTTGAAAAGAGATGGGTTAGTGAAATTCCATCTCGCACATCAGCTTATGTTGTACTGACCAAAATTGGAAGAAGTGGATTTCCACCCCGCACCCTCTTTCGCGAACGTTCCGTAATCCAATTTATCCTGGCCGGGTTGTTGACAAAGTCGGAGACCGTAAGGCCGTTCAAGTCGTCTCCATAGTTCTCAGCTGAGAATTGAGGTGCATGGAATTTGACTCCCAGCGGGACCTTACATTCATCCACCTCATTCTCCCGCATTCCATCAGTCAGATCGTCCCCTTGTGGGATCCCAGCCTCTGGCAGGACCTCAGAGGCCCACAGCCACTTGGAATATGTCTTTTTGCGGTATTTCATTTCTTTAACAGTGTTACCAATGTAATCCTCCTTCAGATCTTGCTTGTGCTTCAAATCCCCGCGATGGTCTAGCCAGAAGCATTCGCCCTGCCGGCCGGATTCGATAATATAGCTGTAATACCACGACATATTAGAAGCTCGGCCCCAGGATCCATCCCTATCCACTCAGATGTTAGATCATTGGCAGCAGGGAGATCATCATGGGGGGAGATGACGCACAATAACCATTTGTCCTTGCCGTGCGATTCAACCCATACTGATGACACACAAATAGCATCAAAATGGCGTTTGATCATGGTCACGTATATTGCCTGCTGGTCTTTGCGATCTTCAAGGCCTGGTGCTGGCCAAATCCCTAGTACCTTGAAGCCACCACTTAGAATTGCAGGTATGTCCGCACGCGTGCTCTCGTCGTTGAATTTGTCACTTTTGTCGAACTTTGATTCGGCAATGTGAATGGTTTGGTCGTTGTAGCCTACTAGCTGGCCATGCATGTTCCATAGGCAGATTTGAGGAAAGTCACCCCCAGCTCCCTGGTGATAGTCACAAAGTTAGTCCGATGTTGATCCATGTCCACCCTTTGCGGTCAGCTGAATTTGAGGCATTGGTTTCAGTGGCCGGGTTGGATTTGAGAGTCGGACAGGGACGGGAATCATTTTACCTGTAGGCCTGTACCGTCAAGACCGACCTGGACTCCGACCTTCCAAGAGGGGTCCCCGTCTTTTTTCGGGGCAACCCTCGCTTTCCAATGGGGTGACAAGATTTGCCTCCATCTTGCCTCAAAATTTCTAAACCAAGCCGTGTCATGCTTGGCAGGAGGACGCTTAGGCCCCGGAGGCGGCCCACTGAAAGCACTTATCAGCTTGCGTATGTAAGTGTCCGTGAACGAGATGACGCCTAGGAGACCGCCTATAGACCCGATCCATGCCATGGCTAAAGGAACTGCAGGAAGAAAAAGGTCCGTTGGTATGAGATCTGTCCCGAGCTCTGGGACAGGAACTGGCTGTGGAACCAGTTCTGAATTTGAGGATGAAGATGGGTCAGGATCGAGGGATGGAGATTGCTCAAGATCTGGGGCTGCAGATGGCTCAAGATCTGGGGGTGCAGATGGCTCAAGATCTGGGGGTGCAGATGGCTCAGGTTCAGGTGTCTCCGCTACAGCAAGAGGCGCCAGATGGCACCAGACCTGCAGCAGGATCCAGAGATTGAATAGATTCATGGTGACTTGTTGCGTGGTGCGCCACCTGCAAGTGATATGATATGCACACGGCACTGGCGGGAGCAACAGCAAGTCTTTAGCTGTGGACGGAAGTGAAGAGAAAGAGGGGGAAAAAAAGGGGGGGGGTTGTCAAAAGGGTACCAACCATCTTTTGTGGTTTAAACTGGCCTTTTGCTGGTACAAAGCGCGAAGAGCTAATCCTTAGTATCTACTACGGTGAGGAATGAATTGGAGTGCGAAGCACGCATGACCTAATAGGAAAATCTTATTCCATGTTTGTTCGATCCCGTCCAAGACTGGTAGCTGATGGTTGTCCCAAGTTGAAAGGCGGACCAAATGGCTATTGAAACGAAGCAGTCTCTGGTGAGCATTGGCCTTGATTGGCGCACTTTAGTACTCTACCTCTTAGAGCTTAATCACTTATCATTCTTCTAGACCCAACTAGTAAAAGAACACAAGACAGCAATTCAGGCACAACTAGGGCCGAAGAAAATGTTAAATGAATGCTATTCGCAGCATATTCTCCATATTCCCAAGAAAGCCACTTGTGCCTCAAGTGCTACTCACCAGCCATCAGCAGCCTAGCATGCACACCTATCCTAGCCTCAACAAAATTTTTATATCATTTAGACAGGTCCTTGGTTCTCCAAAAACATCACGAACCACACATCAATGCTAGGCATAGTAATAAATTTTATCCCGCGTCAATTATGCTGAGAATTGTATACACTGATTGCTCCCTGCTACTCACCTCTTCCTTCCCTTGTCAGCCAGCACCTCAGCCAGATCTGCTATGCGCCACATTTGTTTCCCCCTTTGTGTTGCATCTATAAACACATTGATCTACCATGCCCTTGTCGCTCTACATTATAAAAACTTACAGTATTGTGTACATCTGGGGGAGAAGTTCCCAGAATTAGGCATCCTCACAAAGTTTTTAATTTGAGAACGGATATCTGCACCTGGTGCACCGTTGCCGCTGACTAAGCGACATCTGGTGACTGCAGCCAATCAGAGCCCGCCATCCAATGAAAACGGGCATCGTTGAGGGTGGTGGGAGGCTGTGATGGTAAAAAGACAGCTTTGAATACCAGGTGGAGAGCACCTGACGGCGCCCCTGAGAGCTATTCGTCTACTACTCAGGTGTAGACAGACCAGGGCAGCTCAACGCGAGGGGTGAATGTAGAGGTATTTCACGGCCAGGTGCTGAATCCTTCCCTCGCCTTCGAGAACGCTTCTCTCTCTCCTTCCGTTCAGCAGGCAACACCTGCGGCTGACTGCACCATCACACAGGCCTGCCGACGGCTTTGCTGATTGCCAACAGTTCGTCCTCCCACTCCTTGCAGGACGGGTCAGATCCGATCCGACCCGCGCGCCCTAGTGCGTCGCTCATGGTGTGTGCCAGGCCAACTTCAGACGAGATGAGAAAATGACAAGCAGGGGACATGCAGTAAGACAGATATTGTTGATGGTGAGCTGACTGCAGTCAGTACAACCCGAGGGCAAAGATTCCAAGACACGGTGCAGATGCCCCAGCCCCAGGACCTGCAGAAAGGGATTGAGACGGTCCCGACTAGTTACAGGGCATTAATCTGCCTTGTGGTGCCCTTGAAAGCACCTCATATTGAATAAAAAGGCATATGAGCTTATCCCGTGGAAGGTGATCCTCAAGGGCGTTGTCGCACTGTAGGGTGCAAGGTGCAGCCCAACTCACACGTGGACCCCGGGATCTGGGAGCTCTGCTCGACCTGGTAGATCGAGCGCAGCTTTCTACTGTGTACATTGACTTGATGGCCTCACGAGAAGCGCCGGACCATGAAACAGAATGCAGGAGTCGGTTGCATAGACGGCCTCGGGAGATTACGCAGGATGCGCGGGATCTCTGGTGCGAGCTCGTGAGCTCCTTCTGGCCTACCGGACGCGAGCACGGCGGCTCCGTATACCAACGGGTGCTTATGCACACTCTGTTGGAACACCCGCTTGCACACATGAATCATGCTATTTACCGAATGCGTCAACATTGACATTCTGTGCTCCAAGCGTCGTCTTGTACTGTCAGCCAGGGGAGCTGGGGAGTGAAGGGTGCCCGGGGGCAGCTGTAAGCATGCCTGATGGGGAGGTCGTCTGGCATCAGAACTCAGAGTACCTAGGTAGGGACGTGACTGTGCTTCCCAGCTGTTGGCTAATACCACAGTTCCATCCAGGGCCGACCAAATGGTAGGCTGGGTTCTGTCTTTCGGCCTCAAAAGGCAGCCTAGGCCAGGACAGAGACGGAGGCCAAGCGCCGTTGATGCCGGGGGACCTTGGTTTTCCAGCGTCCCGCAACGCTCCGTCCCCGGTGCCCCACTCCCGGGAAGGGAGGCAAGGTAGGCCCTTCACAGCTCGCTCCTTCCCCACAAGACTTTCTTGTTTCCCCAGGCCCGCCAGGCCCGCCAGGCCTTGGGGGCCCAGCGGACAGGGCCCTGTCCCCCAGTCTCCATTCCCCAGTCCCCTGACTCCCACTTCACCCGGGCAGGTGCTGCTGACCTCAGGCGCATAGACCATCTCGTAATTATATCCATCTTCCTGCGCGTGACTCCATTCAGAGGTGGATGTGGACTGACGACGGCTGCAAGCCTCGTGAGACAGCCCTCGACAATCACCTGTCTTCCTGCTTGGATCTGCGCGACTGCCATTGTATGCCTGTCTCTGTCGCAACAGCCAGCGCTCCGACTGCGCAGAGACCAGCGAGGCCATGCTTTCTCGTCCGCTGTACGACCCTTTGCATGCCAGCCGGCCTGGGTGTTACACAGCTCGCGCGAACAAGGACCGACAGCAACCAATCCCTCCTATCGCCTGGCTACATGCCTGGCTACATGTGGGAAAAGCACCCATTGAAACACTCGCTTTCGTTTCCGAGTACGAGACGCTGTGTGTGCTCGTCCTGTACATCGCAGCACAGCACGCCCTCAGCATTGGCGTAGTGGCCATCGCAGCCGGGCCGTCCTTTCGGCACACTGCAGTCCGAGTCAGCATCGCAACGCATGGCGTGCAGGGTCTTGTAACGTGCCGTGCGAGTCGCCTGGAGCTCGCCTGGGCTCCGGCTCAGGTCTGCGCTGGCATGCGACACGCTGCGAAGCCAAGTCACAGGTTGATTGTGCCTCGGTTTTGAGCTGTCATGTCAGACGTCACAGACAGAAGGGCTCCATCGAAATCCTCGTCCGGGGGGGACCACTTGAGCCTGTGTCGCTGGCCTTCCTTGGCGTTGCTTTGTCGCGCGGGGGGGGGGGGGGGATCACCGCCCTGGGCGGCCCATCGTTCGAACAGGCCACCGTGCCGGTCATTGGCGACTCACGGCACGGAAGGATCGTGGCATCTCTGACATCCTCCCGCCGAAAAGTAAAGATAATCGGTGGGCCACCGCCAGGGAAGGGTGCCGATGAGCGCGGCCAATCAGCACTTGCGTATCTCAGATGCACGAAAGACGCCGGAGAAGGGCCGGGGCGCGGGACCCCTTCGATGTGAGTGCCCGGAAGACTGACTCTGGCTTCCCGAAAGCTCCGGTCCCAGATGGTGCTGCGACATTCCTCAGGCTATCCAGGCATGTCTGCAGTGGTGAGAACATTCCGAATCGAACATCCAGACGATATTCATTCACGTAGCTCCTCAAGTGCGAAGCGCGGTCGCTGCGGAGTCTCGCCGCATTCCTTCCAGGTGGACGGCAGCGGCACTGAAGCAGAGGTCTCACCAGACGGTCGTGCCATGGGCAGGCCTGGCGGGATGGCTGACTGGCTGGATGGGTAATTATTCCGTCCGTCGTCGTGTACTGGTGGCGACGATAGCGACCGGGCTGGAATACCTTGAGAAATGGACCGGGTTCTGGATCGTGTCGAGCTGCCAACCCCAGGCCCATGTGAGCGAGCAACTGCCGAATATCTTTCAGGGTTGGTTGCATCACACACCTCGGGCTCCCCCCTCTTTCAACCCAGTCAGAATAACCTGTCACTGCACCGGCCGAGCCCAGTACGATGAGCTGCAAGGCAGGCCCTACCACAAGTTCGTGGAATTCCTGGGTCGTGTAAAATCATCACGAGAAAGTGAGACATCTTCATCCCAATTCGATGCCATGACAAGACTGCAACCAAGGTTCTCTTTGGTCAGGCGAAGCAGGCCGCCCAAATGATCGACAGTGATATCACATCACAGTCCCCATCGTTCAGCGCGATGGCACCCTAAATGGCACCATCCAACGTATTCCCGGGATAATTACGGAGGCAGTTTGTGGTGATACAATTTTGGGTGCACTACCCGGTTAGTAAGCTGCTGGACAACCTGCCACCCGAAAGCGGGTCTGGAAACAGGCCGTGGCAATACCCGTCGCTATCGCAAGTTTAGCAAGAACGGTGGTGACAAGAGGTTGAAGACCAGATAGAATGTTTATCTCACGAGGCGGGCTACTTCGTCACTCTTTGTGTAAGTACACCACGGGCTTATCCGATTCGCGTAGGTCTGACCCGCATTCTCTACTGATAGACGATGCCACTGGAAGACATTGACATTGTCAGAATCAAAACCACGGCTCCGAAGGGGCTTGCTTTCCTTATCTCAGTTGGCAAAGCGATAGGCGGCAATTGTTATACGTAAATATTCACATGTCCTCGGTCACCTAGGTAGAGGATACAGATCTTGAGAAAACAACAGAACATGTCAGTCAGTCCAAGATAAAACACGGGTATTGTGTGCAACGCCTTGGTGAAGCAGGTAGTACAATGGCGACATGTGTGTCAGTGCTACTGTATAGCGCTCTGCTGTACTGGGTAACCTAGGTACGGGCCTCCCAGACCGGCCGAACCGGGGGAGCTGCTGCACCCCAGACCACATCACTGGGCAATCATTACGGAGGCAAGGGACAGGTGCCGCATAGCTTCAGCAGCCAGAAAACAAATTCACGGCGGCGGCGACTGGCGGTGCCACCACGGCGGTGGTACCGTAACGTCCCTGCCCGAATGCACAGGACTCAACAAGGTCCTGCAGAATGACTTTTGTGCGCAGGGCCCCACGTAACGTAACGCTTGCGCCGCCGAAGAAGCATTCGTGAAGGGAGTCGGGATGGCTCGCCATTTTGCTCGCATCTTTGCTGCACGGGGGTAGCGAGACACCCTGGGCTTTTCACCCGGTTCTGGGCAATTCTGTTTCATTGGCCCCGGCTAAATGAGCCTCAGCTGCATTCTCCGTCTTGTCTTTTGCTTGATGCGGCCACTGCTGTGATGTCGCGACCCTACTGCAGCGCGAGCGAGTATGCGACCTGTCGCAGTTTCTAGTTTGTCTTTGTTCGAAGATGGGTTGACGATGATGTTGACTACTGCAGAGTCGAGAGTCTCGATGGTGGGGTTTGGCTTTTATGATTGCTACAGTGCCGTCCTCTGTCACCAAAGTGGCCGACCATGCAGCCCTGTCGCAGGCGAAGAAGATCCGTCGGAGCAGATCTCGGCCGTACTCTGAGCATGGTAACTTGGCGGGCCGTGGCCTCTCGTGGCCGCTCATCTCACCACAAGCAGGCAAGCAGGTAGGCCCGAATTGGCGACAGAAACGCCAGAGAAGCCCCAGTCCCACGGAAACATGGGGGGTCGACAACCGGCCGTGATAGAGTGGTACCTGGGGCAGGTCATCCCAAACGTGCACATGCCAGTACACCACTATCAGGACCGACCCAAGGCCGTCGAAGACTGAGAAGCTTCTGGGGTGCCGCTCGAATCAGTGGACTCTCGCCCGATAGCCCTCCACTATTTCGCCGAGCCAAAACGCCGTGGTCCATCCGGATCCATATCGAGTTCGACCCATTCATTCACCTGCCGTTTTCCTGCTGTCTTGGCGCCGTGTGCGTGTGCCCTGCAAGACACTCTCCACCCCATCTCCAGTCTTTCCCTCCCTGTGACGACCTCTTTACAGTATTCCCAGCCCCGATCACGATTATTCCTCCTGCGTCACGGCTGCTGGACTGGTTCGACCACGCCGTCCAACAGTCACCGTCTGTCTGTCTGTCTGTTCGCAGCCGTCTCCTCATCCCGACTCTCCCCCCTCTTGCTGCGCTGTGCTGTGCTGCGCTGTGCTGTGGCGGTCTAACTGCGTTGGGCCGCAGTCTTATTGCCGGCAGATGCCCTTTCCTGCTCCTGTGTAGCCAGACCAGCACCCTCTCCGCTCTGGACTTCAGTCTTCCCAAGAACAAAAAACAACTTCGTCTCGCCCCCGACAAATCAGCAGCAAATTGCACTCGTATCCATCCACCGCGCTCCGGCTGCGTCTCGGGGCTTTTTAACCCCGTTTCTTTGCCAGGGCCCATTGCAGCATCCCCAATTGGGAACCGCGCCCCCGCAAGAAAACGTCGCTGGAACTCAGCATAACCCTCCGGGCATAACGCCGTGCATCATCACGCATTGGGATCGCTCAACCAACAGACTCATCTCGACCCAGAACACCACTGGGCAGATCCGTTCGGGAGTCTCTGCCCGTTATCGCACTGTTCGGTCAACCTCCGTCACCACCGTCACGGCCGTCCCTCCGGGGTCTCCTCCCGCAACTTCTGGCTCCTTCTTGCAAGATAAGCCTACGAAATACCTCGAGGTGTCTGTCTGACTACGACTCCTGCTCCTGACGCCTGCCAATCGCAGCGGACGACACAAAATTGCCGTCGGTCTTTTGTTGGACTGAGACCCGGTCTCTTCGCATCTACTGGCACCTACTACTGGACCTGATCTCTGCCATCGCTGGTGCTTCGACAACCCGAAGCAGATCATCCCGGGCTGCCAGGCGAGCCTCGCTTGTGTACATCCGACAAGTCACTCGTTTCGAATCGCCGTCGACCCCGATGTTTCAACCATGATTGATATGCCAACATTTCGAGTCGACAGCTTTGTTCTGACATAGGCAACCGCGGCGGCTCCTGAGAGGCGATAGGGGCACGACACGCGGATTGCTTGTACACCACAGCCAGCCATGGACCCCCCACACATCACCGAATTCGCGTCTAAGCGCTACTTTGAGAAGATAAATCAGCTTCCCAAGGACCAGCAGCTTCAGCAACAGCATCAAAATGACAGCACCGCAGTGGAAACGTCTTCTTCGAGATTCATTCTACCAATCCGAGGGGCCGAGCAGCAAGGGCACGACTCACAAGCAAGACATGTAGAATACAACAAACAGGAGAAGGAAAAGGAGAAGGAGAAGCGGGGTCTATTCGCACGATTACGATCTTCGAAACCAGCCGCCTCCACGCCGGAAGCGCAGGCGCCAACATTCAGACGGCCATCGATAGTGACCGATGTTTCGGCAAGCTCAATAGCGGAGAGTGCTACCGCCCGGCCCAGGAGGTAGTTATGCCCCCCCCCTTCCAAATCCAGATATGTGATTTACTGACCCCGGATTCAGTCTGCCCTTCGACCAGCTCTTCCTGAATCTACCGAACGAGTTGCAGATTCAGATCATATCCTATCTTCCCTTGTCAGATGTGCTCAATCTACGCCGGGCATCGAAGTCGTGGCACAACATGGTCACACTGAATGAATTCCCCATCGTGCGGCGCCAGCTCGAGCACGAGATACCTGCTTATGCAAAGCGACTGTACCCCGTGTCGTACCCCTCCGGCTATACCCTTCACTATCTATGCGGCTTGTGGCATCGGCTACATGTTGCTGCTAAACTGTCGGGACTGATGTGCGACTGGTGCACAAAGGAAATCTTCTTGAAAACAACCAAGGACCAAATAGCGTCCTTCGCCTCTCAGAGGGAAAGGATGTACCGACGACTCATCCCGCTACTGTTTACTATCTTCCACTTTTTCGAAAACTACCGCAAACTACACCTACAATACGTCCAGGACCACGGCCACGGCGTCGAGCGGACGCCCTACACCCTTAACCCGATCGAAGTCCAAATCATGAACATGTACGACGATCGGACATTATTACAAGTTCACCAGGTCTTTCCGCTCGTGGTGGCTTCATTTTGTCGGCGCCTACGACCGCCATCGTATGTCGGTCGTGTGGAACGGACGGTAAGAGGTTATCTTCGAGAGAAACCAGCCGATGAGGTACACACGGCGGTGCTCTGCTTAGGCGGTCTGAGGCAGGTCTTGAGGCTATGGGAAGTGCGCGGCTACAACACGCGGAGAGGAGCCGTGGACACTTGGTACAACAACATCCAGGACGCGAGAGAACCGCCGAGGAGCCCGGAAGTCAGCAAAGAGACGAAATCAAGACGAGGCATAATGAGCTTGGGACGACGGAAGTCAACCTGGCAGGTACGAGATGCCTCGAGATCCCAAGCCGACGACGTACCGGAACTGCCGACCCGCGGCTCGCTGGAGCACGCTGCGACGCGGAGGTTGACGGTGACGCAACCGAGTCTTGTCTTCAACACAAGCCTCGCAGCTGGGATGCCCATGGACTGGCTCGAGCAGGATCAGTACAGGCTCTTACTGCCGGATCTGCCCGTGCTACAGAAGCTCTGGCTGTCGACCGCCGAGGCCATGATCCTGGACCGCAATATCGTGGAGAGATCAGTGGACATCAAGCGCAACGCCCAGGTGATGCTCGACCTGATCAAGGAGGACGGCGGCGAGGGCGAGGACTTCTGGTGGTACGAAAACATACAGCCGCCCAAGGAAGCCATTGAGGAGGACACACTCGAATGAGAAAAAGGGCCAGTCAAGAGGATATTCTACATCTGTGACTTGAGAGGGATAGAGGTGGAGGAAATACCAATTTTTTGAGCCGATGAGGGAGCGGGTTTTGTTGTTCCATCTAGCGTTTTTGTCATCATCTGACGGATATCTCCTATGTCACATCTGCACGGGCCAAGCATTCAGAGGCGTTATTCTGCAAACAATACTTTGGGGGGTTACACACAAACACGCGCGCAACGGCGCGGAGAGCGGACTAGTCTTGTCGTCGAATCTTCTACATATATCATCATACCATCAATCATCAACAAGCACCTTCTTGTCCAGCTGCCCAGGTCTCGTTCCCAACTTGCGCCGGTGGTTTTGATACTCGTCGCATGCCTGTCGGGCATCAGTTCGAGATCCGATGACATCATGGGCGGATACAAATGCCGTCTGTATCAGAAGAAGCTGGGCAGAGCCCGGGATATTTCGGCAGAAAGTCGTTTGGTGGATGAACAAGCGAGGGCACTTGTACATTTCAAATCTTCGCGGCGAAGTTAGAGAGCATGAGAAACAGGTTACGCGACATGGCGCAACCCCGTGTGAGTGTGAAAGCTTGACCCATTCGGTCTCCCAATGAACCGACCCACGTCTGCCCACTCAAAAACACCGTCTTTTTGATCCCTAGCTGGCTGGCCAAGGGTCCTTTCATGCAAGATCTTCTCTCTTTTTCCTCCCAAGAAAAGTACCGTGATAAGTGCTCACTAAAAAAAAGAAAAGAGAAAAGAAAAACGAGTCCCCTTCAACTCCACGCCATATTCCCAACCAATAGCCACGCCGTAGAAACTTGTTTGTTTTTTTTTTTTGCTAAAGAGGTATCAACGGAACCATGACATGCTGCTAAAAACAAAACAATGGCCACGTATGGCCCGAGGCCGTCATCGGTCGCTAGCAAATGAACCCTGTTGAAGCATGAGTACAGATACGATATACATCATTAAAAGCGACGCCCGCCCCATGTCACTGTACGGCAAGACAAAGCGCAAAGGATTCCCGGTTCGAAGACCGGTTCGTAGTAGGGCTCGGCTGATACCCGGGGGCTTCGGGAGATTGCCCTTGTGGCAGAGTTTGAGACCGAGGTGGCCCCCTGCGAGGTGTGAGCAAGCCGGGCAGTTCCGGTCAGGCCACTATCTCCGACTCTGAAGCCCATAGCCGGAGTAGGCGTCGTTACGGAGAGTCGAGTCGAAGCTGTTCATTGAAGAGAAGTTGGTCGCGCCAGCCGATGACCTTCCCGACACGTTTCCGGCGCTGATGTTGTAAGGCGCAGCATTGAGACCCAGACTGCTGTGGCTGGCCGCCGAGTTGTCAAGGCTCGCCATGTCGAAGCCAAGGCTGCCAAAGTCGGAGAAGCCGCCGATGTTTTGCGGCAAGCTCTGCACATTCTGCACGGGTGTGTGCTGCGACGTGCTTGCCGGCAGATGTCGACGACTGGTTGCGTAGGACGAGATTTGCTGGTTGGGGCTGCTGTAGGAATTTGTCGCGGGTGACTGATACAAGTTATTGGACCTCGGCGCACTGGACGACTGGCTCGTCCCATACGTGGAGGTGCCAAAGTTCATGCCGCCCGATGAGCTGGCGCGGAATGCCCCATCATTGGAGTTATATGCTGGCGTGGCAGAAGCACCATACTGTGGGGACTGCGAAGCCATGGTCTGAGACGGTGTCGCAGTTGAGGTGGCGGTGTATTGAGGCTGCTGAACGCGTTGCTGGGACGAGTATTGTTGTGACTCCTGATTGTACTGTTGCTGGGGGTGCTGCGCCGAGTAAGATTGCTGCTTTTGCTGGGAGTACTGCGGCTGTGGCTGCTGGGCACTGAAGCTTTGTGGCTGTTGCGACGGTGACTGTGTCGAGTAGTTCTGCTGTTGTTGGGGTTGCTGCAAGTTGTACTGCTGTTTTGACTGCGGGGTTGTGTACTGCTGAGCTTGCTGCTGGCCGTACTGCGACTGCGTTGAGGGGTTTTGTTGAGCGTAGTAGGCCTGTGAGTTCCGTGCTTGCTGGCCCTGGACCTGTGAGGTCACAGACGTCGGCGTCTGAGAGTTCGAGACGCGCTGTTGATGTAGGCTTGGGGACACCGAGTGGGCCGGGTTGATGCTGGGAGAGACAGACTGAACACTCAGGTGTGGTGAAGCCGTGGGGATGTTGTTGACGCTGGGTGAAGCCGTCCGTGCCCCAGCTTGTTGCTGTGCCTGCTGCGCTGCCTGTTGCTGTGCCTGTTGCTGCTGCTGCTGATGGTAATGCTGCCTCTGGCGCGCAATGGCAGCTTGCCGCTGTTGCTGGTCACCTATTTGTTGGCCTGCTTGAACGACCTTTGGTTGCTGAACTTGTTGCGGTTGAACTTGCTGAGTCGGCCGTGGCGGCGGCTGAGGTTGGGCTTGGGCTTGTCCAGATTGTGATGACTGGGCCTGCCTCGTAGGAGCTCGCATGGTGGCGACCTCAGGGGTGCGAAAGCTCTGCTCCTCATGCTGATCTAGCTGAGCCGTGAGTTCCTCGATGGTTGGACTGGTGTATCCCTGAGCGTCGGTGGGTGGTTGAGCTGCCGGCGCGGGCGGTGCAGGAGCCTGAGTTACCTGTGGAACACTCACTGCTGCAGCATTTTGGTCGGCAACAGGCGCGGTTCTCGCTGCAGAGTTAGCTGCAGACTTCGCCTTCGACTTCCGCTGTCGTTTCGGAGCTGGCGGGGCCGTCACTGTTGGGTCTACAATGGTGCTCTCATGAGCTCCATTCCCGTTGACAGAAACCTGAGCTGCGTTGTTGGGTACCTCGTCGCTTGTCGGATGGACGCTTAAAGGCGCTGCTTGGCTGTGGGTAGCGTCGTTGTCCTTTGCGTTTCTCTTGCGCTTCTTAGCCGGCTGTGCCTTCTCGCCGTTCTTAGCAGCACTGGCCTTTTTGGCCTTCGCCTGTTGCGTCCCGGGCGCAGCCGGCGCGGATGGCGCAGAAGTGTTCACAGGTTGGAACGAGCCTGGCTGTTGTCCCGTCTCAATCGCATGCGACTCGTTGAAGGCTTGCAGGGCAGCCAGCGCAAATTCAGGCTCACCCTGTTGTTGTGGTTCCGAACCTGCAGCACTCTGGCCTTCTGTAGCTAACGCCTGGGCGGTCCCAGCCGCAAGCGTCGTGGCTGAAGGGTTGGCTGCAGTCTCCTTCGACCGAGGTTTCGAGCCTTTTGAGCGGCCTGTCTTCTTGCCGAGGCTGAATAACGCGGAGATCGGCTGAGGATTGGTGCTCGAGCCATTCTCTGTCACAGCGTTCCCGTCCTTGTTCTTCCCTTTTGAGCCCTTGGGTCGGCCCCTTTTCTTGGCGCTGGATGTCAGCTCTGCTTCGTTGGGTAGAATCTGAAGTTCCGGTGGTGGCTGCGGCGCCTGTTCGCTCGTGACAACAATATCTTGATCCTTGCCCACGACTGTGTCATCCGCATCCACCCAACTGTCGTCGTTCTCCGCGCCATTGCCTTCCGGACCTTCGCCAGCTGATGGCTTTTTAGGGCCTTTCTTCACACCCTTGTCACTCCTGAATTTAGTAGCCTTACTGCCCTTGGGCCTGCCGCGCCCTCGCTTTTCGACGGTCTGTACAGGAGCGGCGGCCACGGCAGGTGCGGAAGCTGCAGCGGCGGCAGCGGCAGCAGCAGCAGCAGCAGCAGCAGCAGCAGCAATAGAAGGGTCGGGAACGCGAATCGGCCTGGTCTTGCGTCTTCCTTGAGCATCGAGATCGGGGAATATCTCTGCGACCCAGCCAACGAAGACAGCGCCCGAACCATTCGCCTCGGCACTTTCAGGGAATTTGCCATCCTGGGGAGGAGGAGCTTCAGGGACACCGCCAAAATAAGCCAACGCCTTGCAGAGCTGGTCGACGACAGCCACGGGTTGCAAGGTCCGGAGGAGTGTGAGCAATCGCGCCTGTTGCTCCTTCGTCTCGCCAGGTGTCAAGGGTTGAATCTCGTTGGTTGCCATTCCTGCCCCCTGAGCCACTGGTGCCACTGGTGCCGTTGGTGCCGCTGAGGGCGCGGGCGCCACCGGCGTCACAGTCGTCTCTCTTGGAGGGTTTGGTGCTGGTTGTTTCAGACCGTACAGTGCATGATCATATGGAGTCGTCCCGGTGAAAGGGACGCCAGGTTCGGGCGTTTCCTCAGGTATCCTCATCCAGTTTGATTTCCTGTGCGGTTGATAGCCGCTCTGGTAAGCCATCCTGGCCGCCAAAGCCGTGTTCTCACTCGTGCGTTTCGCGGCGGCGTCCCTATCCGTAGCGAGGTCTTTGCCCTTGATATCCATGTGCATCACACCAAAGCTACCCGATGAGTTGCTCGTCTTTCCCTTCAGCTTGCTGGGGACTGGGTTTCTTATCCGCCCGTCTTTGTAGGGCTGCCCCGCAAGCTCCATGGAGTCGACATAGTCAGCCTGTGGCATACCCGCATATTGGAGCTCGGGGGAGCCGTTCGCCTCGGGTGGTTCGCTCGGGGCAGGGTCCTCAGTGGGCACCAACTGGGCTGTTGTGTGAGCATTCGGGTTCGAGAGCACAGGTTGTCCACCAGCGCCAACCCTGGCCAGATTGTAAGCCGCCTGAGCAGAGGTAGCCTTGGAGGTGACGTTGGCGGCACTGATAGCAGGGGCCCTGGCGGCCTTGGGAGCTGTAGAAGGACATGATCACGATCAGCTTGCACATCTATGAAAATGCAGGCATTGATGCGGCAGCATAACACACCTGAGCCTGGGGCCATTCTTGCAAATGGACCTGGCGTCCACGGAACTCTCTTGTATTTCCTCTTCCTAACGGGGATTGTCTACGAAGGGGTAATGTTGTAGTCGCGGTGTGGACAAGGGTCAAGCAGCCGGCGGCACGACGTCGGCAGGTGCGTCAACATGGACGATTCAATCGCATCCCGAATGAGTTGTCCAATTTGACGGGTCCATGCGCAGATTACGGTGTCTCCGATCGTGTCCAAGGGCTGACTGTTCCTCGGTGAGCTTGGACAGGGACGTCAAAACCAGTGCAGGACGAGCAGAGTCTTGCTGGAAGAGACAGACGCGTTGGTCGGTTTCTGGTGGCTTTCGCCCCGTCGATGATATTCCACACAAACAGTAGCGGTGCTCACACAGGTGGAACCCTGGGGCGTGATTGATCTGGGCGGTATACGGCAGAGCGAATACGGTCATGAACCAATTGTTGAAAGCGACCGTCGGTTGGCGCGACGTTACTCAGTCGCGCAGGTTCTGTCTGGCCGGGACAGCAGCAGGTGCACCTGGACGGTCGCGAGGTGGCTGCTGATCTCACGGTCGACGTGAGATGGAACCCGTAATCCGTAGCCCGTGGTCGAGCCCCGAAGGACTGTCGATTTGGGGTCGTCACTGCGGTGGCGAGAGACTGGATCTCCGTGGCCGTCTCAGGCGTGCCCGTGGTCGAGGATGGGACTCACCGCTGAGGGGGTGGTCTAGCTGTTGTGGCGTTGAGGGCAGCTACAGCACGAGTGACCATCAATTTGATCGTCGAGGATCAGTTCCTCGGGCGGGTTGCTGGCTGACCGGGGGCTCCCTGGCTTGCCCGTCTGGCGTCGCACCTGTCTGGCTGCTTGCCCAGTGGCCTAGCTGGCACGCCAGCACCTGGGCAGCTATTCCTGATCTACCCCACTGGCCGATAGGCGTCACTTGCTGCTCAGCTGCTGCACATTTGGGTCTGGACTACCATTCGCTTACCCAGATCCTGAGCTCTGCCTACTGTTCGTCCAGGATCACCAGCCTCAGCTGCTTGGTTCCCCAGCCAATTTCAACTGTATGTCCGTACGATTCGCACTTGGATATTCTACGCAGCAGCCAAGCCTACCACAACAGCTGCGTGCACACGGGAGGGAGCTTCTGTGGCTGACGATCTGGCCCGGGGAAGACCAGTCGACTTGGAGGGCGACTTCGGCTAATTATATACTCTCCAGCAACGAGGTGACGCATTTGGTTCACCACCAGCCTGCTTCGCACCAGACCACTCCAAGAGGAAACTCGGTCCCCTTCCCAAAGTCACTCAAACCGTTCTTCAGGCCGCGGCATGCGGTAGAACCTGCACGATGCCGTCACCGAATAGCTACATCGCTCTATCCCTGCCGCTGAGGACCTTCGACACCGGCGACAAGGAGGAGGCCATCCAGTCCCTGAGTGCGACCGTCGGGTCCGAGAATGGCACCGTGACAGGCTTCCCCATACCGTCTTTCAAGATCGGCACCCTCGATGCGCTGGTGCAGCAGGCAGACGAGCTGGCCAAGCTCCACGCGGGATGCGAGGGCGTCGTCCAGAGGGTGTCTGACTCTCTGAAGACAATCCTGGACGGAGACGAGGAGAAGATCGCACAGAACAAGATGGTCAATGACAGTAAGCATGGAGTTGCACAAGGATGTATTGGGAGGACCGGTGGCTAATTCCCTCACAGAGCCTACGGACCAGTACTTGCGAACTTTCAGCTGGAACAAGGTCAGGTACCGAGCGGATCGACCGCTGGGTGAGCTCATTGAGAACCTACAAAAGGTATTATAGCTGTTTTTTCCCCCGTGTCAAAGCCGTGCAACCTGCTTACCACCCAACTTAGGAGCTCGTCAACGTAGACAACGACGTCAAGGGGAAGTTCAACCAGTACAACTCGGTCAAGACAAACCTGGCAGCTCTGCACCGAAGACAGACGTGAGTGATAGCTGTAAACCTGGAGAATCGACGGCAGTCCTAACAAAAGCGCAGCGGAAACCTGACGACCAAGTCGCTCACGCCGATTGTGAATCCCGAGCAATTAATCACAGACTCCGAGTACCTCGAAACGCACCTTATCGTCGTTCCATCCAACATCCGAAAAGACTTCCTCAAGAGCTACGAGTCCATCGCGCCCATGGTCGTCCCGAGATCAGCCGTGGAGCTGGCCAAGGATGACGAGTTCGTCCTGTACGCGGTGACAACCTTCAAGAAGCACAGCAACGAGTTCCTTCAGAAGTGCCGTGAGTCGAAGTGGACGCCCCGGCAGTACAAGTACGTCGAAGGCGGCAAGGAGGAGGAGCAGAAGGAGCTGGACCGTGTGGCCCGGGAGGAGAAGAAGGTGTGGGGAGAGGCCCTCAGGCTGGGGCGGACGGGCTGGAGCGAGGCCGTGATGGTGTGGGCCCATGTTCTGACGCTTCGGGTCTTCGTCGAGACGGTCCTGCGCTACGGGCTGCCATTGGAATACGTCAGCGCTTTGATCAAGGTGAGTTTCTCTCTTGGGACAACACGATAGGCTGGTTTACTAACCCAAAGCTAGACGAATCCCAAGTCGGCGAAGAAGGTGAAGACCTCTTTGGACTCGGCATACTCTTACCTTGGAGGAAACGCCTTTGGGAGGGACAAGAAGGGCAAGGTGGTGAAGGACGACGCAGCCCTCAGCTCGGAGATGGCAGCAGCTGGTCTTGGTGTCGGGGAGGGGAACGAATATACGGCATATGTGTTCTATGAGTTTGAGTTTCCCTAGACAAACTTGGGCGCATCTTCCGGGCTGTCTGTATGCATGCATGAGCAGGCTGTAACTTTTTGTCACTCAATACCATAAATATGTTCACGACCGTCTACATTTGACATCACTGTGCTCATCTTTCTAATGCATGACCGACCAAGGGGCGGGGATTCTACTATCGACTTTTCCCATTTCCCCCCCCATCTAAGCCGAAGCGTTAACCAGCCCCTTCTCCTGCAGATACTTGGTGATCTGCGCCACGCACTCCTCGACGCTGTTCTCGTGGGTGCGGATGGTGATCTCGGGCTCGAGCGGGGCCTCGTAGGGGGCGGAGATGCCGGTGAAGTCCTTGATCTCGCCGGCGCGGGCCTTCTTGTACAGGCCCTTGGGGTCGCGCTGCTCGGCGACCTCGATGGGGATGTCGACGTAGACCTCGACGAAGGCGAGGGGCTCGTCGCCGCCCTGGGCGCCGCTGGCGGCGTGCAGCTCGCGGGCGACCTGGCGGTCGGCCCGGTAGGGCGAGATGAAGGAGGTCAGGGCGACGGTGGAGCTGTCGGCGAACAGCTTGGCGACCTCGGCGATGCGGCGGATGTTCTCGTTGCGGTCCTTCTCGCTGAAGCCCAGGTCCTTGTTCAGCCCGAAGCGCACGTTGTCGCCGTCCAGCCGGTACGCCGCCACGCCCAGGTGCAGCAGGTGCTGCTCCAGCGCCGTCGCAACCGTCGACTTGCCCGACGCCGACAGGCCCGTGAACCAGATGGTGAAGCCCTTCTGCTTGCGGAAGCTCTCGCGCTCCTTGCGCGAGAGGGAGGGGTGCCAGGTGATGTTGCTGTCGCGGGTGGGAGAGGTGTCAGTTGACGGCTCTGTCAGAGGCAGATGGTCCCCTTCTAAGGGTGATGGCGGGGCATTGGGGCACTGGGGCACCGCGGGGTAATGGCAGACGGGGGTGGATGGTAAGCATTTACTCACGTAGCCATGTTTGAGTGTCAGAAGCCGGGCAATCTGAAGTTCTGGACAAGGTACGCAGAGTTCAGGAAGCTGCAGCAGCCAGGGAGAGTGAAAAATATGTACAATTGGAGAAGAGCGTCTAGTATGACCCAGGGCTGACTACCTGACTTTGACGTGCTCGCGCCAAACCCGTCAAATTTATGACTTGCGAGAGGATTGCAGCCGACAGCGGAGGGGGAGTGGCTTCTTGGAACCAAATGGTAGACTAGATGAATCCCGTTGGCTTTCTTGCTTCCAACTCCCTCCCCTTGAATCAATGTCTCGAGTACTTCTGACCACAGTTGCAACTTGCTCTCCTTGATGCATATCCAGTCTATCTGAGACCCCATTGCAGGCCCATTGCGTGGCTCTGGGCATGGGTATCCGCACATGACGACAGAGTTGGAAGCTGGGCCCGTTTTGAGAGGGTCACCGAGTCCCGAGAAGTGGGAACCACCCTCCTCCCTGACCCCATCCACGGGAAGGATATACTTGATTATGTTGTAGATTGTACACATATCTGCAAGTTCAAAAAAGGGCGCCTCCTTTTTCTGAACGGAGATCCCCACGGGAATGCAACTCGCGCGTGGGCCTGAGACATCCTGACTCCAGCCTACTGGCCCCAGATCGTGGCTCACATGTAAGCAGGGTCAGCCAGCTTGTGTCGATCCTCTTGCATCTCAAAGGCCGTGTCATGCCCGCAGATCAAAATGACTGCCGATACGTACTATCTCATACCCGTTGCAAGCAATGCATCCTCCTGTCTATGCCAGATTCGCTCGCTCTCACAATCGCTATTTAGAGGCACAATAATCTAGCCCCAATGCTTGAAATATCAGATCTATGCCCTGCCCCACCAGTACTCCTGAGGCTCACCATATGGTGAACCATAAAACCGCAACGCAAACTCCTTATGTAGCCGGTGCAAATTTGCGCAGACCCTGTGGGAAAAAATAATTGTCAGCAAGCCAGCTCCCGCACATTGCTTGCGCGGGAATCGCCAGGTAAACCTACCGCAGCCTGCTTCGGCTCGATGAAGAGCGCCGTGGCATTCGCCAGCTCCACGGGCTTGTCGTCGCCCTCGGGCAGCGTCTCGATCCTGCCCTGGACCCAGGCCTTGCGGCCCTCGGACTTGGTGACCTCGGCCCTGAGCACGACGAACTGGTCCGCCTTGCAGGGCGCCCTGTAGTTGACGTTCAGGTTGGCCGTCATGCCGACGCGGTGCGGCAGCGCCTCGAAGGCGGGCCGCGCCAGGCCCTCGTCGAGCATGGTGGCCAGGAAGCCGCCGTGCACGATGCCCGGGTGCCCGCACAGGTCCTGCCCCACGTAGCTGATCTGGATGAACTCCTTCTTCTCGCCTGTCGCGTCTACGAACCCCAGCGGCGGGATCGGAACCTTGCCCGGCCCCATGAGCGTCCCGCCCGTGAGGTTGTGCGCCCGCCACGCCGGCGGCACCTTGAGGTGCGGCCGGTGCTCCGCGAAGGCCGGGTTCTGGCGCAGCGACTGCACGTACGGGTGGGAGTTGAGCTGGTCCTCGAGAGCCTGGGTCTCGGCGTCCGCGGGCGTCCACATCTGCAGCGTGTCCTCGTCGGACACGGGCGTCATGTAGCCCGACACGGTCTGGTAGGCGGGTGATGCGGCCATGGCGGCGCCGACGATGGTGAAGGTGAGGGCACGGGCGGTATATGTGAATGCGCGGCGGAGGGAGGAGGGTCTTGGTGGTGAGGCTGTCTCTGGAGTTGAAGTTGTTAGCATGCGATGCCATTTCAAATACCGCGTCGCCCGGGGATGAGTAAGATTCGGATGGGGGGGTGATATCAGTGCAACGTACCGGTTGCAGTAGCGATAGAGCGAGCTTGAAGGCGAGGTGCTACTCTACTTTGCAGTATGTCTGGCCTGTATGTAGCGCGTCGTGATATCTGGCGCATAAAAGGGGCCACGGTCTGCAGAGGTCGAGACATTGGGCTGGATGCGCCTCTTTATGGGGGAACAGGGGCGGCGGTTGGACAGATCCGAGGCATCTGTCACTGCGGGTAGATGAGTCTGTCCGCTTCGGATTGTCCAGGGGCCCAGCTTGTTGAGTCCAAGACGGTTTTGAATCGCGTCAATTTGTTGAGTATCTCGACTGCGGCCAGCGGGCAGGGGAGGAAAAATCCTAGGACATGCCGAGGTCCCGGAGGCAAGTCGGCGCCAGGTCCTCGGCTGGCTTATAAAAATTGGCTCTCTAGTTCTTCTAGTGCCTGGGGGCCCTTTTGCTTATCAGACTCTGTCTATTTTGGTCATCCAGGCCCGGCCACATGGTTGACTGCCGAACGGTCTTACTGTAGTCTACAGACTAGCAGACTAGTTACGGGCCTGCTAGCTTTGGTGACGAAACTGGGATTGACTGATGCTGAACCACCGATGCGTGTGGCTCGAGATGTGACGTATGCACGTAGTGCATGGCACGCTACCAGATGATCCAGCTAATCGATACTGCTCTCCAGCCGCTGTCCTTGCTCTGTGCCTGGTACTGGCATGTGGCATTTCCAACATTGGAAGTGGGCAACGCCAATCTGGACCCTTTGGCAAGCTCTCTGCGGGGTGCAACTCCCACCCCCTTGGGCCGCCCAAGCTTCGCATTGGCTCGCCGACGATTGTTTCGCATCCAGCGGAGCTCCAATGGATCTTGGCCAGGCGAGCTCAGCCCTCACAGCGGTGTGAGCTCCTGTTTATTAAAGATCAGTGTGTATTGTAGTCCTCAGTCCGTATCAGACACCCTGAATATTCTCATCCCAAATATCAAACAAACCTACAGCCAATTCACACGTCAGAAACTAGTGCCAACTCTGGATCCAAAATGGTACGCCTCACATGTCACGGCCTGGACCGCGCGCGCGGGGGTGACGAGATGAATGATCGAGTGACAGAAGCTCACCAAGATGCGTACACATAGGCCACCGCTGAGACCGTCGACCTCTCCCCCCCTCACGCCCCCAAGGACGAGTCCATCAAGTCCTTCAAGGAGCTCGAGCAGACCCTCAAGAAGGAGCTCGTCCACCTCCGCCACGAGCACGACAAGCATGAGAAGGAATACTTCCAGGCCGTCGTAAGTCCCAAAAACCCCACCTCATGAGACACGCCACAACACAGCAAGGCCACGGTGCTCACAGTTCGCGCATCCAGGCCCACCTGAGCGACCACGACCTCACCGGGTTCACACTCGAGAACTTCGAGGAGGTCCGCGTCGGCATGTCCGCGTATGGCTACCACCTGTTCGGCCGCCTCAGGATCCCCGCGCTGTCTGAGGACGGCCCCTGCTACATCTTCTTCCGGGCCTTCGACACCGGCAAGGACGCCGAGGCCAAGTTCCACAGCTTCCACACAGAGGAGACTGAGGACACGGAGAATGGGGGCAAGAAGTACCGCGCCGTCTTCACCAAGAACGACCCCTTGGAGTGGTTCAACGAGTAAGCGGGATCGCCTAGGGGTTCCAATCTAGTCCTTCTACTGCGCTGAATGTATAAGAAAGTTGAATGTGCCTGAGTGTTTTTGAATTTGAGCGTAAAGTGACCTTCCGGGCCAGTACAGCTTTTGATGCATGCAAATCGTGACACTGATATTCGTGCCTTGCCCACTCCACTCCACTACTCATCCTCATCATCGTCCTGCCCCAGGAGCGCGGCATAGTCGTCGGCCGTCGCGAACATCGGCAGCTTCTTGAAGTCACGCTTCCTCATCCTGCCCTTGCCGTCCTTGCCCTTCTTGCCGGCAGGCTCTTCATCGCTCTCCTCAACAAGATCGGCACCATTGACCCAGCCATCCTCCTCGCCCGGCATATCGCCCTCGCCGAACTCTACGCCCTCGCCGTCCGACTCCATGTCCTCATCGTCGTCGTCATCGTCGTCAGACATGTCCTCAAGCAGCGAGCCAAGGTCATCATCCTCGTCGCTGTCCATGTCCAGATCAACGTCGTCCGCGTCGTCGCCAACCTCGGGCCGCGAGTTGACAAGAGCATCCCAGATCTCGTCCTCGTCGGCCTCCTCATCCTCACCGTCCTCCGCGGCCTTCTTGGACTTCTTGCCCTTGTTGTCTTCCTGGCCAGCCTTCCCGACCTGTGAGAAGTACGTGTGGAAGAACACATCCTCCGCCGCAACGTCCTGCTGCTTCATGTTCCAGAATGCAGCCGTGTTCACTGTGGGCTGTTGCTTGACGCTCGACTTGCCCGGCACCACAACATGCGCCGAGCTGCCGGCTGCGAGCACCGGCTGCATGATTGAGCCACCACGCTTGCTGTCGGCAGCCTTGGGGTTCTTGTAGACGAACTTGTCCAGGAAGTGCATGAGCGTGTGGTTGGCCAGTTCTGGCTTGGGCAGAGTCTTTTGCCGGACAAGGAGATTCGCCGCGAAAACCGACACAGATGGATGGAAATGTGTGAAGTAAGGCACCACTTCCCACAAGCAGCTCTTCTCGGCGTTGCTGTACTGTGGGTCTCGTTTGCGTCCATCGTAAGCGGATTTCTTCTGCGTGGTGTCTTGGGCAGGAGGGAGGTCTCTGGTGTCCCCATCTTCAGGAGCATCCCGATACACTTCCTCTTCGTCGGCATCTTCTTCTGGCTCATTCAGGAGAGTCTTCAGATCTGGGAACTTGTCCTCCAGTTGTGCCACGAGGAACAATATTCCGCAGACAAACGAAGGTTGGTGAAGATAGCAGATCTGCAGCATTCGCTTGACGAAGGCCTTGACACGGCGAACGTCAATGTCGCTGTTTAGTGACCGGTAAAGAAGATTGAGATAATCCGCCTGCTTCGACGAGTGAACAAGTCGCGGGTCTAACAGTGACTCATATAGGGTCCTGTAGAACCGATCGGTGGCGATGTGCTTGGTTACTGAGAGCTGCTGCACCAGTTTGAGTGCCTGAATGCTGGTGTTGAAGTTGGCAGAGTGCGTGATGCGGAAGAGGGTATCGAGATGCTTCTCTAATGTCTCGTCATCCGCAGTGCAGAAAGGCACGGCACGATTGACACCCGTCAATATAGCAGAGACAAGCTTTTCTGCAGTCTCCGTATCTGGCACATCAGCGACCTTAACAGGAGCCGTCTTGGCCTGGCCTTTCTTGGAGACAGGTTGTTTGTTGGCCCCCGTCGCCTTCTGATCCTTCTTCGTGTCAGGGGACCCGGATGAACCCAGGGCTCCCATCTTGAGCAGAGCCACAAAAAGGTCGAAGTACATCCTAACCAACGTATCCGCAATCTGCGGCTCCTTGCTACTCAGGATTGTCTGGTTGAGAGTAATGATGGCGTAGTACTTTGTCCGAATGGTCTGTCCTGGCCGGAGGAGAGCTTCCTGCTCAATGGTACTGATGACGATAGGCTTCATTCCTGGATGGATCAGAAGAAGCTGCAATATGAGATAAGAGGCCCTAGACGCGATCTTGCGCTCTCGGTCTCCAAGCTTGTTCACGAGTAAGCGCAACAGATTGGCTTCTTGCTCGGGCTTCTCCTTCAAAAGGCCGTATACGAAGTCAAGAGACCTCTGCCTGGTGTACTCGATCTCATCTCCAGACCAGAGTTCCAGGAGCTGGATGATCTTGAAATAGGTATCTTTCAACCAGTCCTCGTACGCCCACATCATCAGATGCGTCTTGGTGATCTTCCCAGGTAGCGGCTTCTCGGGTTTCCAAGCGGTCACAGAGTGTTTCTGCAGAGTTCCTAGCAGCCCTGGCTGCGTACGGAACAGACGTAGGCGCCGGTCGCCAGGCAAGACCACACCGTTTCCGAGGAGATCAACCAAGGCGCCGAGGGCGGCAATGGCCTGATCACGGCTCTTCTTTCCTGCCAGGTTCAGTAGGTTCTCCAACGCCTTGGCGTTGTGTACTGGAGACTCCTGCACCGCCAGGGTCAAGGCAGACACCTTGTCCGACATGGTACCCGAAGCCATGATAGTAGACATGAACTTTCGCGTTGATGATGCCGCCACGGTTGTGTTATATGCAGCCGCATCAGTCTCAATCAAGGTCTTCGCGTATTCGTGCAAGCTGTTTATCGTCGAGGAGAAATTCCGGATATCATCCGCGGAAGGGGGTGGCAGATTTTCCTGACTGAGAGCATGCCAATCAGGTCTTGGCTCGAATATCTGAGGCGAGTTAGTGATGGGTGCTCGCATGGTAGTTCCGACCAAGATGGCGCATACTGACCAACTTACCAGCTGCTGAGCGACTTTGCTTCTCAGCAGCCGGTTCTTTGACATCTTGCTCTGGCTCTGGCTCGTCTTCCCACTCTTCTCCTTCCACTTCTTCCTCCTCAGCTGCCTCGGACTCTTCTTCAACTTCTCCCTCATCGTCGTCGGTGGCGGCGTCTTCGTCCCGGACTTTTTCGAAGCCAAGACCGGCAGCAAACTTTGCCAACTCGTTCTTCAGCGTCTTGTCCATCTCAGCGGGAGCCTCTTTTGGCTTTGCCCCTTGGCCTTCCTCTACATCAGAATCGACGCCGGCGATGATGTCCAAGTCATTCTCGTCTCCACCCAGGGCCAATATTTCCTGGAGAAGCTCGGCCTTCTTGTCCTTGGGGCCACTGCTCTCCTTTGCGGTCTTCTTTGAAGGCTTGGCAGGCCTGTTCTTGGGCTCCTTGGCTTGCCTCTTGTTTGGGGTCGCATCTTTGACGTCGTTTTCGCTGCGTTTTCTCTTTGCAGGACGCTCCTCCTTCTGCTTTTGATCCTTGAGCTTCGATTTGGGTTTGGGGTTGGCCAGGTCTGTGTCGATTTTGGCGGTCAATTTGGAAAGGGCCGTCTCGTCAAACACAGGCTTCGCCCCGTTCTGGGCCTTGGTTCTCTTCTTTCCCATGGCCGGCGTCGGCACGCAATGCGCTTCGAAAAGGGAATTCGAGGATTTTGGAGGTGTTTGTGTAGATATGGTGCCGTTCTCAGAATTCCCAACAAGGGAAAATGAGCACGTGTAGAAATCGTATTGCTGGACAGTCGATCGCAGCCCATGTATGTAACAACAGCCAGTCCGAACGGAATGAAGTTTTGGGAAATCTCTGGCCCGCCGCAAGCCCGTCCAACTTTATTGTGGGGCCGCTGGCTCTGCCGACAAGGGTAGCTCGATAAGAGTCCTGGACCCTGAGATAGATGCATCTCACATTCAATCCGGCACTCTGCGCTCCTCAAAAGAACGTCTTGAACAATACGTTCATTCCCTTGACTCTCATTACATGGCTGAATAGGAGTGACAGGGTTTGATCTCGAGTTGAGGGTCGGTGTCAAATCTAAGGCAACCGGGTTACTTACGACAATGCCATATGGCGTGAGGTTGGTGACGGCTTGCCCGACACTGATGCACAGGAATGGTTTGGCGTTGCAGAGATGGCGTTCACAAATAAGAGCACCCTTGGTTCATCTGCAGAGGCTTCATGTTGACGGCAGGGTGCGGTTGTCAAACGAGTGGGCCCCGTCGGGCGGCATAGCTGCAAGTGAGAACGAAGGTATGCCTCAAAACACAGTCATCGCCAGCTTGATGGGCCATGAACAATAGTAACACCACTCATTCAGATGCGCATTCAAAATTGATCCGTGCTGGATTTCTTCGACAGGTTATGATCCACCTTGCATGTTCGTGTAGAGTGATGGCTCACAATGTGATAGTCCCATTCCGGCATATTCCACCTTCTACCTCTCGGACTGAGAGTCCATGAGAAGGTCATCCGTCTAGTTGATCGTTACATGCGCAGGCTAGGTATGCAAATCGCACTCTTCCAGACCCATCACTGTGCCTCTACAGAACTCTGACAACATATGCTCAGGAGCATCACGGGTCCAGTTGTCTGCTATATCATCCGAGGCCCTATGGGAGCAGACTGGTCGTCTTAGCAAGATCGGCTCCGAGGTGTGTTCGAGCAAATGCATTTGAGTACTGAGTATGTCCTGACTAGTGTCCTAAGCTTTTCCGGTTCAATGATCGTAAGGAAGGAAAGTATCTCCTGAGCCCTACCCACGAAGAAGAGATCACAGCCCTGGTGGCTCGCTCTGCGAAGTCATACAAGAACCTGCCCCTGAGGCTGTATCAAATAAGTAAGACATGGATGTTTAGAGATAATACCTTCATGTTTGCTCATGTCTAACCCTACACCAGCACCAAAATATCGAGATGAGCTTCGCCCTCGTCAAGGCCTACTGCGAGGTCGTGAGTTCTACATGAAAGACTTGTATACATTTGACTACTCTAATGAGGCGGCACTGGAAACCTACGAACAAGTACGGGAGGCATATTCGCAGATATTCATCAAAGAGATGAAGCTTCCAGTGCTCGTGGCCCAGGCGAGCTCTGGCGACATGGGCGGCAGCTTGAGCCATGAGTATCACATCCCCACCGCGCTTGGCGAAGACCACGTCATGAGCTGTCACAGCTGTGGTTATGTCGCCAACGAGGAGCTTGCGGAGAGCCGCCCGGCCGCTGCCGTCTTCGTCGACAACACGTGCCAGCCGAAAGCGTGGCACGGGATATCTAAGGACCGCAAGACACTCGTGCGGGTCTGGTTCAACTCGGACCAGTTCTCCGGGGAGGACATCAGCACCCACGCTGTTAAGCAGGCCGTTCCCGATCTTGATTCCGGAGTCGAGGATCCGACGCCCTTTTGGGCCGCCGCAATCAAGGACTTCACGACAAGCGAGGAGACCCAGGTCCGCGTCGTCAACTTATTTGACGACAGACTGCCCAAAGAAATGAGGGTCTACCCAACCCTTGACTCGAACGACTCCCCAGAGTTGAGGCGTCTCCCAGTAACCAACCTGAAGGAAGGCATCCCAAACCCATTCCGCATCAAAGACGGCGACGCATGCCCCCGCTGCGACGACGGTACCCTCAAGGTGCAGAAGGCCATCGAGCTGGGCCACACCTTCCACCTCGGCACGCGGTACTCGGAGCCCCTCGGCGCCAGCGTCAGCGTGCCCGCCCGCCTGCTACCCGGACACGGCGGCAAGGAGCCGTCCCGCAGCGGCGAGGAGACGACCACGGTGCCCATCCAGATGGGCTGCCACGGCATCGGCATATCGCGCATCGTCGGCGCGGTCGCGGACCACCTCGCCGACGAGAGGGGCCTCAACTGGCCGCGCGTGATCGCGCCGTACCAGGTCGTGGTCGTCTTCAACTCCAAGGACACGAGTCTCGCGCGCGACGCGGGGGTCGTCTACGACCAGCTGGTGGCCGGCGGCCGGAAGGACGACATCGACGTCATCATCGACGACCGGCAGGATGCCAACATGGGCTGGAAGCTCAAGGACGCGGACCTCGTCGGATACCCTGCCATTGTGGTGCTCGGCAGGGAGTGGAAGGCCTCCAGGCGGGTGGAGGTGCAGTGTAGGCGGCTCGCCCATACGGAGTTGGTGCCGTTGAAGGAGTTGAGGTCTCGCGTGAAAGGCCTGCTCAATCAGTTGTAGGTGGCTGAAACCTAGCTTGTTGTAAAACATCTGTGTAAATTCATATCATCATGTTGGCACATCATGCTCAACTCCTCACTCGTAACAGTTCCTCAACGATATCAATGAGCGTTGTTGGGACCCATGTGCTGAAAGCGTACCTGGAGCCGTTTCGACTATTCCAGATTCCGTTCAGCAACGTCGAGCACCTTGGCTTTCAAATCAGACGGCACAGATTGGAAGTTGATTTTCAAAGATTACGGGATCAGATTTCTGCTGCTGTGTTGAATAGAGCCGTCAACGTCCAAGTACTAATATCAATCCGCTATGCTCGCGCCTGGAGTCGGTGAACAAGGAGTTCGCAGCCAAGGGTGATCTTTGAGAGCTCGGTAATCACTCGGCAAAGTTGTCTACTGAAGTCCACGTTAATACTGGATGAGCCTGAGGAGCCATCAAGATGTGACGTCCACGAGAGGATCAATCCAAGAGACCGCTCAGGACAGCCAACGAGGCAGCAGTCTTGAGAGAGCATCCTTCATACTTAGAAGATTTCGGCTAGGGCAGTTGAAATTCAAAGCTTTTCCCAGTCCTCGGAGGTATCATCATTATGAATTCTTTTGCTTCATCCCTATCCGGTGGCTCCATGCCAAATCAACAAGTATACATCTTACGCCGCCTTAGGCCAATCCTTTTGTCTCGCCATGCTATGCTGTCGCATTCTCAAGAAGAAGGCTTAACCGTCCACAGCTCCCTCGACCATCCCATCTCGCGCATCTTCTTGGCACTAGTGTGGGATCCCTTCTTGTGGTCGGCAGAGTGAATCGCCAGCGCCTTGCTGCACGACGCAAATGCCTCGACAAGCTCCTTCATGCGTCCTGTCTTCACGAATAGGGCGGCAATGTCCGAGTCATTGCCCGCGATGGTCGCTGCTAATTCCATTGCCTCGAGCATGTTGTCACGGGTGAGGGTGCCGCCGGTGTACTGCAAAACAGATACGAAGGCGATGATCGTCTCTGGAAGGTACGCCTCGCGTAAATGGGTCAAATCGTCGTCCTTGGTGTTCGTTTCTACCAGCCAGCCCTTGAGGACTGGTTTCATGCCTGTCTTTGCCGTGCGAATGGCCGTTCCAAGATTTTCGAAGTACTCCCTGTTGGGCGGGTTGCTTGTCTCGGGCCTGCGACCAATTAGTATTCTCCATATAACATAGTCGAACGGTCAGATCACTTACTCCTGAGCAAGTTGCGCCAAAGTTCCCACCGTCTCGATACCGTCGAGGGCCATGACAAAGCACTGCAGCTCCCACATATTCTTGATGGCCAGAGCCAGCCGCATCTGAGTTGCGCCAAGATCCTCGACTTCGTCTTCTTGGACTTCTCCCAGGAGCGCATGCTCATTAGTCAAAAGATCCTGGACGAAGTCCTCGACAGATCCCACGATGTCTCGGTTCGCCAAGACCTGTACAAGATCCTCCACTCTTACTCTCTCGTAGAAGTCGCGGGCGGCTCCCAAGTGCTTGTGCTCTGCGACATTTGTTAGATCTTCGGTTCAAAAGAGAGAGGTGAGAATCAGAGGCTTATCTTACTCAGAAAGTACTTGTAAATCTTGACACCGAACTCGCAGGCCTCGAGTAGGTTACCTTCGCCCGCAAACAACCACTCCATAGATCGGATCAAATTCTCATGGACCACCTCGTTTCGTCCGTCGTCACCGATGAAGTCCGGAACGATGCCACGACCGTCGAGGAGTTGTGGCAGGTTGTGCTTGAGAATCCGGAATTGGGCCTTGGCGGGGGTGCCCTGGGAATCTTCGAGCTGCTTTAGGAAGTGTTGCGGCTGTTCCCTCAGGAATGTCTTGATATCCATACCAACCCTTCTGATCTGGTTCAGTAGTGCCAGTTGCTCCTCTCGGTCCCTTACGTGGATGATATTCAGACTCAATGTCTCGTATTGCCGGCTTTCGGAAAGCTGAGCGCAGTAGAGCGGGATCAAAAGCTCGAGCTGTGCGAGGCGCAGGAAACTGACATACGCCGCGATGGCGTGCTCTCCGACAATGCGGCGGCCCGGAAGGAAGTCCTTCCCTTTCTGAGCGATGGATTCCAGAGCATTGATCATGATGACCACATGTGTGATTACTCGCAACCCGTCGTGTTCTGACATCTTGTTGTATTTCAGGATGTTGCCTTCCGAGGAGCCATATCCATAATCTGGGATGAGATACGACTTTCCTTCCTGGTTGGCTTCGGCTGACAATGCAAGACCCTGTTGATATATGTAGGAGTCAAGCGTGTCGGCGATGATCGCTCCTTGCAATGCTTTGGCCGCTGTGTTGGCCTCTTTGTTAATTTGCTTGAAATGTGAACCATCCGATTCAAGTTGACCGATCAGTTTCCTCGCAACATTTGGACTGTCGCCGAGGTACTGTACGGCGTCAAACGATGGCAGGAACTGGGAAGACGCTATTCCAGGCGCACACTGTTTGATCAAGTATGAATCGAACTGCGTCCGCAGAAGGGCGTTGTAGTGTGCGAAAACGTAGTCATCCCAAGTCTTGCACACAGCAAGCACGCTGTCGATGTCGCCGGAGAGGATTCCATAAGTTGCTCGCTCCCAATCGTCCGTGCCGCCCGATTTCACCAGGGCGTAGCACATGCGCCTCCACAGGATGAAAGAGGGCAGGTCGAAATTCGGCAAGTCCTCGTCACCCAACGTTGCCAATGGCAGGGCGGAAATTGTTGCGGCCCGCCACGCCTCTGTTCTCTCCAAGCACCAGTCACGAATCTCATCCAAGGAACTTCCCCTCCGCAGAAGATGGTAGCAGCCGACCCAGATGGCCCTCTCGAAATATTCATCGTGGGGCTCCAGCTTCCGGCCTTGTCTCGTCATAGCATCCGGGTCCAATTGGGTGACGTAGGAGAAATCGGACATGTTTGAGTTGGGTTCGAGGACATGGGGAATGGCGTTTACGCTCTTGTGCAGTTTTATTGCCTCCCGGGTGTGTAGCCAGCCATGCGCCACGAGGTCTCCCCTGTCTGCCTTTTGCTGGAACTCGTGGACAAGCTCGTCGATGTCAGGGCCGGTGCTTGCGGTGGACTGCAGCCACTCCAGAACAGCCTTACGTTCCTGAGCCACCGAATCCGACAGGATGAACTCGTCCCAGTATTCCTTCCGTGATTGCGGAGCGAGGTTCGATCTCGGTGGCTTGGCAGAAGGGTCTGGGTGTCGCAGCGGTAGTAAACGTGACAAAAGTCCCCAGGTCTGTGCTTCTGACGACCATTTGGTCACGTCGTCGCCATCGCCGGCGCCGTCTTCCTCATCCAGTTCCATGTCGTTGGCATCATCGCTGGATTGATTGGGGTCCCATCTCCGGCCTCTTGCGAGCTTTTCCAGCCGCCGTCGCTCCGTCAGCACAGAGGCCTTTTCTTGTGTGTAGTCATTGTAGCGGGCGACGAGTTTCAGTATTCGATCGCGTTTCTGGTCGGGTGTCGCGTGGGTCAGGCCACACTCGTCCAGCCATCTTCCAAACTCCTCTACCTCGGGGCCAGCTTGGATGCGGCTCTGCCGGTACGTGTCTTCGAGGCGAGCCATATCCTCATCTGCCATGGTGCGCATGGTTAGTCGAGGCCCAAGGACAAACGGACGAGGGCGCCGTCATGTCGATGTTGAACCAACAAACCTTCGTCGCTGTCGTACCCGTAAATCAGACTACGACGCTTGGGAGAGAGGAAGTCCTAGCGAGGAGGAGTGTGTGTAAGCCACCAAAACTTAATCTGAGCGAGGTATCACTGCTCTTGGGCCTCCGAGCTTTTGATAAGCTTGCAGCTTGTGTTCTGCACGCTGTACAGTAGTACGTACCATGGTGGAGGGTCCTGCGCAAGGCGCTGATCTGATTGGCGACAGGGTGAATGGGCCCGCAGAAAGCTGAACGCGTTTGTTTTGAACGCTACGAGGTCAGTGAAGCGACCGCAACTGCATGCGTGCCCTATCCACGCTCCATCTACTATGTCGGTAGGAGGAAGAGGGAATGCAGTTGACGGGGCGAATTTGGGAATGCGCCCGAACAAGCTGCCAGCCAAAACACGAAGGGCAGTCGCGGATCAGAGACAAGGGTCTGTCAGCTTTGTACCCAGGTACGTGTTTTTAGCGCGGGTCTCACGTTCTTACTCCTGGTCCTTACTGGTCTGCTAAGTACCACCAAGACTGACATATACGGTCCCAGGGCTTATTATTCAACCGTAGAAGCATAGATTACCGTGTAGGCCCTTCTTGTCCATAGGGCAGCTCGCTCCAGAGGAGCCCAGCGTGGAACAGCCATTCTTGACATAACCCCTCTTGGCCTGCCTAGGTGAATAATGACCTTCTCTATGACAGCCTCCTGTCGGATTTACTGTCAGGCAGTACAGTCCCATGGGACAGCGACAGAGGTATCTCATAACGAACTCAAAATATTGTAAAGCGTATGCTAGGCACTCTTAGCCTTGCCTGATACATCTATCGTATCTTTTGAAATGCTGCGCGTCCGCCGTGGGCAGTCATTGAATTGGTATACCTGGGTCCTCAACAAGCCGAGTAAATCAGTCAGTTATAGATAGATGTCACCATTCACCACAAGAAGCGGCCGATTCCTCTCATTTGTTGCTCGTCTTGTCCTGACTTTGCTGAAATAGGGCCTTTGGGGTAGGGTGACAGTCCAAGGTTGGTGCCAGCGAACCCATGGATCTGCTTGAGCTGCTTGGAAAGCACGCCTCCGATCTTACTTTGGCCTATGTTGCCGAAGATTGGGATTTGGTTATGTGAACTGGCGTTCAGCCTATGCCGACGTCAAATACAACCTGCAAGTGAACCGCCAGAATGCAACAGGACGTTCCCGTTTTCCAACTGAGTTGAATGGTCGGGTGCTTATTTGTGTATGCGCTTAAGTCGGGATCCCTTTGTTGGCCTAAGTGGGGAGCTGCAGCCAATCACAGCGACGCGACGCGAGGCCACGGCTGCATATAAAATCGCTGGCGCCGAGCCCGTCTCGTCAGATTTTTCTTTTCTTTTCTCTTCACACAATGTTGTGGTAACCTTATTCAGAGTCACGGTGCTTGTGGTCAGTACGAGCACAGGTCTACGGGCCTCTTGCGCGCTAATGGTTGCCTAGATTGACTTCGCTATCCTTTAAAGTTGCCTGACTTCAAAATTCAATCTGGGCATACGTTCGTTGGATCAGTGATACATCTCATCTAGAGCCTCAGTCGTCTCCACAGCCTGAAAGACGGCCGAACTTGGCGCTCAACGACTTGCTGGTCATTGAGGCTTAGCCTCCGTCTTCTTCCTCATCTTCAGCTTCAACTTCAGCAGGTCTGGCTTAGGGCAGCTGGCCGCGCTGGCGCTCTCCCCATTACGGTCGTAGAAAGCCTGACAGCAGTCGTAGAGCTCGTAGATGACGCCTTGGCACTTGTCCTCCTTGTACGTGTTCCTCTTCAAGCAGTCTGGCGCGAGTCTTAGCTGTGGCCGGCATGGACTTGGCGGCGGCGTATGCCCTCACCTTGGATTGCACACTAGAACAGAGGTCAGCTATGCCGTCTGTCAAGAGTCACGGCGCGGATTGCACGGGGAAGACGGACTGCTCGGGGGTGGCATGGAGGCTTTGCCTGCAAATCTTCTTCCAGTCCCTGTGAACGACACCATCGTTAGATCACATGGTGGCAGGTCGAGATGGTGTGTTCGCTGTGTTTTCTCACCATGTTTACTTTTCGATCTTTAGGTCAGACGAACTTGGCTGGCAATGAAAACCCTGCTAAGAATGGGTTGGGTGAGTTGCGACTGAATTTGGCCCGTGTTATATCATGTCCACAGTAGCTCCCCAAGCCTGGCAGCCCAGATTACGGGGCCTAGTCGCCGCCTTATCCTGGATGATGTCAATCTGAGAGCAGTGGAATCACGGCTCGCAGATATCGCCCAACACGTCTGCTACTTTCACTTCCGCATATTGGAAACGCCTGCAACGCGGCAAAAGCCCATTTACTGCGGTAATGATTGATTTGTAAAGGCCTTTGCAACCTGAATGTTAAACTCAGCCTTCTCTAGGATTGATTGCACCTTCCGCTTTCTTGTTTTGCATGCATAGCCTTGACTACCTCAAAGAAGCTCCCTAGGCCCGATCAGCCATCTTAGTTTTGATTGAGATTCTGCGTTGCTCGGTGAATAACCAAATCGGACTGGAGGAGTCACCGGTACTTTGCTAGAGCAGGCAGGGGAGAAGGTACTGGTCAAGCAAGGAGGTGTTCAGGAGGTGGCCCGTGCGTGAAAGCTGTATCGCCCCTCAGAAGAACAGCCCCACCATCTCCCCAAGGCGGCTCTTTGGCAGCCTTTTATCATTGTCGCTTCCCTCCTCAACTCTAACGACACCACTTCCCCGAGATCGTGACCCTCACTGCACACCCGCCAGCCCCAACCCCGGCCGACAGACACCAGGTCCGGACTCTCGTGGCCCATCCCAGACCCGCATAAAGCTATTTACTGGTAAGTCAACTCCCAAAACCACGGCGCATGCACCACGCATTGCCATCACCATCACCACCTCACGCAACAACCCAACGCACCCAACCACGTCACAGACCGCAATCATGCGTGACGTCTTCATGCCTATCGTCCCAATGGACGCTGACTTCTTCATCAGAGGGTTCATTGGTTTCGGCACCCTGATCGTCTACGCGCTCATCGCGATCCTCATCCACAAGCTCATCTTCGACGCCTGCAACCGCCGCAATGTCCGACCAGCACGAGAACGGCTCCCCGGCCGCGGAGCGCCCGGAGGCCCCCGCGCAGACGGAGCACCTGAACATTAAGGTGACGGACAACAACAACGAGGTCTTTTTCAAGATAAAGAAGTCGACTAAGCTTGAGAAGCTCATGGGCGCCTTCTGCGAGCGCCAAGGCAAGACCGTCAACTCTGTTCGCTTTCTCTTTGAGGGCCAACGCGTCCAGCCAAATGATACCCCCGACACGGTGAGTCTTTTCCCCCGCCCAGCTTGTTGCTGCTGCTGCCCCAAATTTGCGACAAGGGACACGCATGTCGCGCGTCGTCGCGTTTCGCACCACGTTTTACTAACATTCCCTTTCACCTCCCCAGCTTGAAATGCAAGACGGAGATACCCTGGAAGTTCACCAGGAGCAAGTGGGCGGCAGTGGACTTTTCTAGGCGGCTGGAAGAGCACGCGGGTGGGGGGCAACTGAACCTCGCTCGGCGGTTCGGACCAGGCATGGAAAGTGGCCACCCAACTTTGAAATTCGCCCCTTTGCGGTTGGCGTGAGACTCTCGGTATTGCAGGGGAATTTTCTCATTCAAGGAGTTTGACAGGGAAAAGGATAATCGTGTTTTTTTTTTTTTCCTTTTTTTGAGGGGCATTACACCAACTGGTCTTATTCTCTCTGCGCCAACCGGCGACATAGCCCGCTAATCTGCGCGACGGTCGGGGAGATGTACTATGGCGAAGGAACAATCCAATGAATGAACATGCCCATTTTTGACTGACGAGACATTATTGTGCCTGCCTTCAATCTGTCTGCCCAGTGCCTCATTACATGGATCGTGATGCTCACATCGGGTGGTTTTGTCCTGACCCCGCTGACAGATCAGGCCTCCGTCCTTCGGCCTGCGCGGTCCACCGGCTTCGTCGCGCTTAAAACCGACGCAAACGAGGCTGTCGCATCAGCGCTGAGCCGCTTACTCGCCGTGTGAGGACGCCGGGTATGGCCTACCAGATCCTCTGCATATTTCGGCGAGACGACGTTACGATTTTCACAAGCTGGCACTCAGGGCTAATGTGCGTCTCACTTCTTGACATGCTGACTCGACGATAGCTACGTATTCCAAGTGGAACCATGGGGGACGCCTTATCATGAACAGCTATATCAATCTGGGCTGCGTGTTCGTTCTTTCATTGGATTCTTGCGCATCATGCCATGCCAGTTGGGTCGGTCATGAAACGTACCTAGGTATCACAGGTTCAAAGGCAGAGGCACCAGTATCGGATCATGCATACGAGTCACGGCAGCTTGAGGAGTCAGATGTGTGAAAAGCAATATGTTCTTCGAATTATTTCTCCAGCTGGCTCGCTTTAGCCAGATAAAAATGCAGTATGCACGCAAACCGATGCTCGAAACCAAAGTTATTTGTACAGTGTGTCCGGACAACATGAAGCAGGCAGTACCCGTCCGATTAAACCGAGAGCAAGCAAGCAAGCATTCTGGTTTCGTTTCCCCTGAAAAAAAAAAAGGCAGACCAAACTCCAAACAAATCCAAAGCAATGCAATTAAAAGCCACAGAGCACATCGCGCGTAAACCTTCGTAAGCATGATCTACCAGACCATTCCCCCGTAGGAAGAATGGTGGGTAGATCCCACTTACCTTGTCATCACCCTCGATCACATTGTAACGCGTAAACAATCCTCGCCATCATCCATCAGATAGCCGGACGCCCGGGCTCCTAGCCCTTGAGCTCCCTCTGACGGCACTTCGTACAGAGCACCAGCATCATGTCGTTCCCGATGTCCTTGGGGAAGATCTGCCCATCGTCAAAGCCACTCTGGCATGTTGCACACCGGAAACACTCGTCGTGCCACTCCCCGCCCAAAGCCCGGATATACTGCCCAATGACCGCTTTGCTGCACTTCCTGCACTTGGGAGCTCGCCGCTCGGTGCGCTTTGTCTGGCAATTGATGCACCAAGCATAGCCGTCCTTCTCGATGTGTGTCATCCCTTGCTCAAAAGGGTCGCCACACTCGGCACAGAAGAAGTGCCCATAGTGCCAATGCTCGCCGAGTGCAACGATGTGTTCGCCAAGGATGGGGGTCTTGCAGTGCTTGCAGCGAGGGGCGAACAGCTCATGCCAATCGAGATGACAATAGAACCGGAGGCGCTCATCACCGTCCTCGGCCATTGTCTCACCAGGCTTCTCCTCGAGGGCCTCTCCTGCAGCACGACGGCGGATGCGATCCAGTCGGGCGGCACGGTTGGCATCCGGTTCAGGGCTGATCTCCAGGGCCTCCAGCGAGGTGCCGCATGAATAGCAGGTGAAGCACTGCGGATGGAACCGCTCATTGGTGCCCGCGAGGGCAACGAAACGCCCCTCGATAGGGTAGTTGCACTCGTGACAGCGGGCCGTAGCCCGATGTCCAGCTTGACTCGTGGGGGACGGAGACCAGTGACTTTGCGGTCTTCCACCAGGGCGGATTCGTGGGGCATTCTTTTGTGGGGTTGGGAGTGGACGGCTGGTGGGCTTGCTGGTGGGGTCGTCAGGGGTCACGATGATAGGAACGCTGGGGCTGTTGTCGTCACCGTTGTCATCGCCAGGAAGCACAATAGATGGTACTGCCGGTGTTCCGTCGTTGACAGCGATGCTTGGGATCGACGGCTTGGCATCGTTTACGGCAATGCTGGGGATCGGTGGGCTTGGCTTTGCCCCGGACCCGTCTACCTGGATAGAGGGTAAGGGGCGACCGCGTGGCTTCGGGGGCGCCGGCGGCTCGCGAGTCTCCGCAATAGCGACAGAAGGGATCGGCGGGGTTTCTGGGAGGCGGCGGTGGTCTTGTCGGGCCTGGAAGGCCCCGAGCGGACGACCTTTTGTGGTGTCTGGCTTCTCATCAGTTGCCTCGTCCGGAGCCTTCCAGTTTTTGTCAAAGCTTACGATGGGTCGTCCCAGACGGTCGCTCACAGCAGTCGGGGTGGGGAGTTTGGGACTGCGATCCTTCAGCCTCATAGAGGTTGCCTGACGAATATCCTCACTTCTAAGCTCAACACCATGCTTCTTCGGCACATCTTCACGAGCGGGACTCTGAGCCGGCGAGTTGGAAGTGTACTGCGGGTCCCGAGACTGCGACGGTGGGTTGCGGTAGATCTCGAACTTGTGCAGCTTGGGGGCAGGCTGTGACTGGGAGTCAGACGAAGATGGCCTCTCTGGAGCGAACGAGACTCGGTTGAGTGGGCCCTTGGGCTTCGTCCGTAGGGCCTCGGTAGTGGCAGGTTGGTCCTTGTTTGGCGATGAGGTTCTCATGCCTGAAGAACCTTCAGGTTCTTCCCAGATCTGATCACCTGAGAAAGGCCTGCCACCACTGCTACTCCGCTTTGTGCTACTGCGCCTTCGTTGAGCGAGGGAACCGCGTGAGGTGCTGCTAGACAAACCCGTGTATGGCTTCGACACCTTGGGTGGCGATGCAGAACGTGACTGCGCAGGGGGGCTGGGGCTCTTCCGGGGTCCACTCATAGACGCATAGGATAGACGACTGCGAGACGTGCCAAAGCCGTCGCTGGAGGTAGAACTGCCTGACATAGATCGTGAGCAATGGTCCCGTGCGAGGCCGCTCGGTTCGATCTCGTCACCGTACATGCCAGCACTCGCCGTGCGGGCGTGTGCATAGCTGTTCCTGCGCATGTGTGGCTTGTATCGGTATGGCGTTCCGGGCTCTGGTGGCTTGACACCGTGCTGGTGTTGCCACACGAGCTCTGAAGCCTCGTTCAAAGCAGCTTCGTAGAGTCGGCCATCATCCGAGGTTGGCGAGGTTGGCGGAGGGCTGTCCCTAGCATCCTTGTCCACCATGGCCTGCCTGAGCGACACGGCCTCCTCTTTCTCCATCCATCTCTGGCCCCTCTCGATGTAGGTGGCACTGGGTACGACCTGCCCAGGCTTCAGAGGAGCTACTGGCTTGTCAGGATAGTAGTCCCGGCCCTGCCCGCTCGTGGTCGAGTATCTGGAGGACACACTGGGCGCAAGGCTGGGTCTGGAAGAGAAGTCCCGGTGGTCAATCTTGGGAGGCGAGTAGGATTGCGAAAGAGCTGGAGATGGCTCGGCCAAGGGGGGTGGGGTTCCTGTAGAAGACCGAGCAGTTGAGCCAAAGGATGAACGAGCAGCTGCACCCAGTGAAGGGCGGCCGTCAATCGACTGGCGAAAGGAGTCCGCCCGGCTTGAGCCTGGGGGTTGTGGCCTTGCACCACCAGGCCTCTGGACACGATTGTTGCGAAGATCTCTGAGGTACGCAGCTGCAAGGGCGGATGCATATGGTTAGCAAAAGACTGGCACGATAGGAGAATCGGCGGAGGTGGAGTCCAGGTGGTTAGACGAACCGAACTGCTCACTGTTCATGTGGCTGCCCTGGGAGGGAGCCGTCTTCTTGTCAGGAGACGACGGCCCCGAGTCCTTGGGTCTGCCACGGTCGAACATGACTCCAGAGATCTTGCACAATCAGGCCGAATAGACCAGAAGGTGGTGGGTTGGATTGAGAATTTTTTTCCCGTTGCAAATGCAATGAGAACGGTTGCAGAGAGGAAGAGAGCCAAGATGGCCCGGGGGGCCAGAGGATAAGACCCGTTTATTAAATTGCACAGGCTGCTCTTTTGGGAGGTGGTCCGTCCGGTGAGCCGGTGAGCTGAGGCCGGGGGAGCAGGCAGCTGGGTGGGCGACAAGAAGTGGGTATTGTTCGTCACAGTGGGAATGGGAGCTCCGTGAGTCGTGCGTTGAGTTTGGCTGCGGGCGCCGGGGGCTGGTCAAGATACCGGATTCAGCAGTGAGCCGCGAACGGTCGGAGACAAGAGACGGAGATTCTAAGGCAGGTCTGGATGCAGAGCGCTCGTGACAATGATGGTGGTGATGATGATGATCAGAGATGCAGATGGTAAATGAGGGGGGTTTCTTGGACTCGGAGATGGAGAAGGAGAGGCGCATGAAGTAATAAGTACTGGCGGTTGTACCGGGCGATAACGAGTGTTTATTATTACGGGCTAACAGCAGAAGTTTAAGCAGACCAAGCGTCGTCGGGCAGATGCAACCACTAAAGCTGGGTTGCTAGGCAGAGACAGAGGCCTCTGGCAGCCATGCATGAAAGGTGAGTTGTGAATCATACCCACCTGCCCTGCCTTGGTCGTCAGCCAGATGCGTGCTGTGCTGTTCGTGCCGTCAGTATCCAGATGGGTTTGTTGAGTGGCGATGATGGGCGTTGTTTACTCCAGCTGGCACAGCTCGTTGCCGCAGCACTGGGCTGCCTGTCGCTCGCCGCCTCACCGCAGCCACCGCGCTACTGTGCCTGCTAGGGAGCTGCAGGCCTGCAGAACATACTGTACCACGTTGCGACCTTGTCCGTCGCTCTGCACCGGCCACCTCGCTTGTATCCGCAATGTACCCCGTGTGATGCACCCGCGCCCGCGCCCGCACCCTGCAACCGTGGAAAGTTCCACGGGAGCTTGAGCTTGAGCTTCCACCGAGCTCTGGCACCGAGACAACGGTTGTCTAAGACAGACGGTGACGACGGCGACGACTCGTCTTGCTTTGCATCGTTTTAGCCTCGAAATAGCCTCCAAGAGCCCCTCCAAGGTCTCATGATGGACCGGCCGGAAAACGCCGTTGTGCATCCTCTTGGATGGGGAAGAGGAGCGCCAGCACGCCTCCGCATCCGGGGCGGTCATGTCCTCAGCTCAGGAGGAGATTGCACACCTCTTCACGGCGGTACATTGACGATGCCCCACCCGCATCCTCGAAACAAAGCACACCAGGCCGTCTTGTCCTTGGCTGGCTTTCGCACGGGCATTCGTGTCAGCCAGATGGACTGTCACGGAAAAGGAGTGCATGGAGCAGCGTTTAGGGGTAGGATCGCTGGGCCAGAATGCATCGTGGAGCCCTCCCCAAATTGAGAGAGAGACACATGCGTGGCTAGTATCATACGGCATGATGACTTGGCCAGCAGCGTCGGCTCTGCAGCAGCATCTGGCCAGCGCTGGCCAGCTTGCCAGCCTCGGGGTTTCCAGAAGCCTCTCTGCAACACTGTGCAACAGCAGCAGACCGGCCACCTTCTATATGTAGGGGACTGGTCACAAGTCAGGTCCCAGCAGATCGGCGCCGACTTTGCCGGCAACACACCCCGGTCTTCGGGCCTTGACTGAGCCTGGCATCACTCAACCGCCTGGCAACGAATTCTCATACCAAACAAGCAGGGTACCGCCGATGGATCTGCCAGGTTGTGAGACGACAGTGAAATCGATCAACATCGACGCATCTCCGCATCTTGAGGCAGCCAAGAGGGCTCGAGAGCCTGTGGACAAGCCCGACCGGATGACTCATTTCGGTCAACAACAACAACAGCAACCACACCTGTTGCTCCGAGTGTCACCCGGCACATCGAACCCCCGGCCTAGAGGCGGTCTCGTAGCCTCGGCGTCATGGCCTACCTACGTCAAAAGGGGCTAGGGACAGGATTGACCTGCCGTCTTTGGGATTACGCCCTTCCGGCCTTTTCGGTCTCTGCCTGCCCACACGCTTTACCGCCTTCGATTCTTTCTCCCGCTCTATTCCCGACCGGCCGAGCTACTTCGTGCGCAATTCTGGCGATGTCGGTCTGGATGTTCTCATTAGTCATGGAATTCTTTGCCTGCGTGCCCCGTTTCGCCGTTTCGCCGTTTCGCCCTCGCATTATAATCATGCGCAAACGTAGCCGTAGTAATGTCCCGAGTCTTTGGATACTTGGTGTTGTGTCGTCTTGCTGTCTTACAGACGGGTCGCTCCTACCCTCACCTGGGCTATTCACTTGCACTTGGCTCCTGACGTAGATCTAGTCGCTCGGCGGACGCAGCTAGTCGCCGGCGTGCCATGGCCTCCCCTGCGACGGCGGACTCGCCTGCAACATCTAAAGAGACATTTGTCGATGAGAACGGCATTATGAGGACAGATCCCCGTCACGATCAGGCTGTGGATATGGACGAGAAGCACAACAAGGACAACGGTGCTGTCGAATCGGAGTCCAGCGACCATGAGCAGCCACAAAAGGAATTCAATGAAGGTGGATATGGCTGGTAAGGCAAATACACGGCGAAATATTGCTGGCCGCCACAATGCTGACCCACAAGTCAGGGTCGTGGTTATGGTCGTTTTCCTCATCAACTTCCATACCTGGGGTATGAATTCAGTAAGTTGCCGTTGTATCGAACCATTCCAAAGGCTCTAATACTGACTCTCGTATCAGGCATATGCTGTATTCTTAGCTTACTACCTGACCTCCAACGCGTTCCCCGGATCAAGTGCCATATCATTTGCTTTCGTCGGTGGTCTGTCCATATCGATAGGTAAGTATGGTTCTTTGTGTTCTTCTTCGTCACAGCGCTGACTCCCTGCTTGCGCAGCCCTCCTCCTCGCACCACTAGCAACAATTTGCATCCGGAAATATGGTACTCGTACTTGTCTCCAGATCGGCGTGGTCCTGGAGACGGCCGCATTCATCGGCGCGTCCTTCACCTCTGAGCAATGGCACCTTATCCTATCGCAGGGGATAGCCTTTGGCGCTGGCATGGGCTTCCTCTTCACGGGCTCAGTCGGCCTGGTCCCGCAGTGGTTCCACAAGAAGCGCTCTCTCGCAAATTCCATAGGGACTTCTGGGTCTGGCTTTGGTGGTCTGACGTACTCCCTGGCCGCACATGCCATGATTGAAAACCTCGGCCTTCCATGGGCCTTCCGGATCTTGGCTATCCTGGCTTTTGCTGTCAACGGCGTCTGCAGCTTCCTGGCGCGAGACAGGAACGAGGAGGTCGGTGCGATTCAACAGGCGTTCCACAAGGACCTCTTCAAGAGGATCGAGTTGTATCTGTACCTAGCCTGGGGCTTCTTTTCAATTCTGGGGTACATCGTTGTCGTCTTTTCACTGGCATCATACGCCTCCGCAGTTGGATTCACGGCGAACCAGGGGTCCATTGTAGCGGCCATATTCAACCGTAAGTGCCCCTTCTCGCCGTATCATCACAATGAGTATCTTAACCAACATACCCATCCAGTGTCTCAAGGCCTGGGGAGACCAGTGATCGGCCTACTCAGCGACAAGGTCGGCCGGATCAACATCGCCGCCCTGGGCTCACTGATCGCCGGGCTGGCCGCCTTCTTCCTCTGGATATTCGCGGCCAAACACTTTGCTGGCGCCATCGTCTACAGCTTGTTCGGCGCCTTCGCGGGTTGCATCTGGCCGTGTGTAGCTCCCGTCGCGGTTGAGGTCGTGGGGCTGCAGCTGCTACCTTCTGTCATGTCTATCACGTGGTTGGTATTGGTACTGCCTGCGACTTTTGCCGAGGTCATTGGCCTCAGCCTCGTGGAGCCCGGGAGTGATGGATATTTGCACGTGCAGGTGTATACTGGAGCGATGTTCGTCTCGGCATTTGCTGCTCGTGAGTCACATTGGACCCCACTCAATTTGTCTTGTGCCGCCTCAAGAAACCACATGCTGATGCTACTTACCGTGTAGTTTGGGCACTGCGGGTATGGAAGATCCACACGTTGGAAATCGCCAAGTTGACGAAGGAGGGAGAACGGGATATCCGCAACCCAGATACCGTCGGGGCGGGAACACATGTTTCGCCTGCTGACCACAAGTCGTTCTCGATGGCTTTTGCTATGAAAGCCTGCTTTTCTCTCACCAAAGTGTAATTTTGAGAGAACAAATACAATCGCTGTCATCTAACCAGGTAAATATTCTATGTCGTATATATATACTTTACATAGCGCAGTGACAGCATAGTGACTTGGCTTCAGGCAACATGATCACTACCCACAGCCTGCGTTGTATCAGCCCCTTCGGGCTTCTTAGACTCCTGGGGCTTGTCAACCTGCTCCTCGGCCGCGTCACGCTGTGCAGGAGGATTCTCCGCAGCCTCGCCGGTCTCCTCACTCGTGACTTCTGTAACCTCCTCGACCAGAGTCGTAGGCTCACCGGCCTCCTCCGCAACCTCAGTAGCCTCCTCAACCAGAGCTGCGGCCTCCTCGGCAACACCATGTCCAGCTTCGGGCACATCAGACCCGGCCTCTCGCAACATTTCCGTCGTCGCAAGCTGGATGGAATCCTTGAGCCCAGCGATCTTCCTCCTGCTCTCCTGGACGGCCTTCTGCAGCGCGGTCACGCTGCCCGACACGCCGCCCGCGAGCTGGACGGCCTTCTTCGCGGCCTCCTCGAAGTCGTCGAACGCGTACAGCGGCAGCCCGCTCTCGGCGATGATCCTCTGGCCCTCCTCCTCATTGGTGCCCCGGATGCGCACCACGACGGGGACCTTGATGTCGACCTCGTTGTACGCCAGCACGATGCCCCGCGCGATCATGTCCCCGAGCGTCAGCCCCCCGAAGATGTTGACGAACACGACCCGGACCCTGTCGTCCTTGAGGATGATCTCGAACGACCGCCTCACCGTCTCGCTCGTCGCCTTGCCGCCCGTGTCGAGGAAGTTGGCCGCCCGTCCCCCGTGGTCCGCTAGCGCGTCCACCGTGTTCATGGCCAGGCCCGCCCCGTTGACCAGCGTCCCGATGTTGAACGCCTTGTCCCCCGGCTTCAGCCGGTGATAGACGATGCCCTCGGCCTCGGCCTCCCTCGCGCCCTCGTCCCGCGCCTCCAGCGCCCCGTACGTGTAGTGCACGTCCGCGAGCCGCCCGCCGCTGCGGGACGCGGCGTCGTCCAGGTCGATGCGCAGGTCGTACACGGGGAACCGGGCATCCCCACTGGATTTCATCTGGCGCACACCGAACTCGAGCCCCACGTGCTTGGCCTCCCTGTCCCGGAAGACGCGGCCCAGGTCCCGCAACATGTTGCTGAGGCTGGGCGCGTGGGAGTCAGCTATCCACAGCTTGTCTATGAGCGTGGCCACGATGTCATCCCACGGCTTGGTGCCGTCCAGGGCGAGGATGTCCGCAGCGCTGGGCGGCAGGAGGATCTTGTTGTATCTGGTTGGGTCCCACCAGGCTTTCAGACTGTTATGAACTGCTGTGATCAGACACTGGGAGCGGGTGGCCCGGTCCATGCCGAGTGCGAGGTAGCGAACGGGCCATCGTTGGAACTGGAGGCCTGAGCCTAGGTTTCCTTCTTTGAGGAGCTTCTCGCTGGCTGAACAGTCGAGATGGAGGCTCCGAGTCTGCTGGCATGACGCCTTGGGGGATGATCTGCTGGGTGCGAAGGTGCTGACGGGCCTCCGGACAGAAGTATGTAGGCCGCGCCTCTGCTGAGAGGCCAAGACTCCTGATGCCGCTGTAGCAAAGTCATCTATAGATCCGAAGACAGCCCCGTCCTCGATTTCACCCGCGGTCATTTCGTTGTCGTCGATTAGCTTCCTCAGTGCTGGCCCAATCTTGGCTGGGTGGTTCACCATCGTCACCCCAGCATTCCTAAGAGCCAGGATCTTCTGCTTGGGATGCGGCTCCCCCGGCAGCCAGAACGCGCCGGCGTGGCCCATCACCCTGTCCGGCGGCGCCAGCGTTCCGGCGACGAGAGCCACGATGGGCTTCCACTCGTTCGTGGGCGTCCGGGCATGATAGTCTGTGATCCATTGCGCAGCGAGGGTCTCGCCGTCCCCACCAATCTCCCCAATGAGTGCGATGCCTTTAGTGTTGGGGTCGTGCTCCAGTACCTGCAGAGCCTCCACGAGGTCTGTGCCCGGCAGGATGTCTCCTCCCACACCAATACAGAGGCTCTGGCCCAGCCCGGAACGCGTCGTGGAAGCAACAGCCTCGTAGGAGAGCGTCCCAGACTTGGCAGCTACTCCAATGCACCCCTCACTGAAACAAGGTAGCGGCTGGAACCCGATCCTGCATCTCTCGCCCTTCGCGCTCGAGATGATCCCGGGTGAGTTGGGCCCCACCAGCCTCGACTTGCTCTGCGTCTTCAGCACGCTGTGGATCCTCAGCATGTCGTGCAGGGGGATGTGTTCCGCCACGGCCACGACGAGCGGGACCTCGGCCTCGATGGCCTCCTCGATGGCCTGCGTCGCCTTCGAGGCCGGCACGTAGATCCCCGTGGCGTCGGGCTTGAGCTCCTCCATGGCCCTCCGGACCGACGGCAGGACGGGGAGCCCGAGATGCTCGCCTTCCTTCCCCGGTGTCACGCCGCCGACTATGTTTGTGCCCCACGCGATCGATTCCTGCGCATTTGCGGTAGCCTGGCGGCCGGTGAAACCTTGGAAAATAACGCGTGTCTTGGAGCCTATGCGGAGGTTGTCCAGCGTGGCGGCATAATTCCGGCGGCAGCTGGATGAGCCAAAGGGGCGACGGGTGGCTGCTGGGCCATGGCCATGATATTGACGGTATCTCGGCCTGCTTGCTGAACGCAAGTTGGACCTCATGGCGGACTGCATCCTACAAGTGGGGATGAGATCGCAAACACAGGCGGTCTCATTGAAAACGGTGGCTAATGCTTGACTGCAAGATTGTGGTATCCCTCGCCGGCAAAGCAAGGGTAGGGGAACTGAATTGTCTTGGATTGAATGATATCTTTGTTCCCGTAACTTGTGCTGTCTGTATTAAGTGTGGCTGAATAGCCGGGCAACTGGTGCAACTTGCAAACCAGTCTCACGCGGAACCCGCTTTCTGGGCCGTGCTGTCAGAAGATGGGTTTGCAAGTGGAGCATATAGCCGACTCACAAGAGAAGCGCGTAGTCAAGCCCCTCCCTACTAGCTCAACTGCGTTCCTGAGTTGCAGATCACGGGCGGTTCTGAGATCGAACGCTATACCTAAATATCCCAAGTTTCCACTCGCATAAGAGCAATCGAGCCTTGCCTGACACGTACTTTGCGATCTATGCTCTGTATGGCAACGCTCCTGTCTCTACGGAAGCACTTTGATCACCCAGTACCTAAAATCAATGAGAACGGATATTCGCACCCGTAAAAACGGAGGATGCACCCATACATCACTCACACTACAGCTACAGCCAAATAGAGCGTATCACCAGGCTAATTTACACACCCATAATACCTACATACCTAATGCTTGTATAAACTAGGTGTATAGGTGTTAGGTGTATGAATTGAGCGTGTGAATTGGGTGTGCAAATTGGGCGTGGGTGTTGGTTTAGTGCTGGTGATGTATGGGTGTACCCTCTGTTTTTGCGGGTGCAAAGACCCGTTCTCAAATCAATGAACTCGATCGGGTCGTTATGTGTGGTCAGAGTCATACTCGTTGTGTATTGATATGATACATGTGATCGCTGCTTCACGACACAATAAACCCCAAGCAGCTTGACCAATTCATCATGATGTTCTTACAGGCCATGCCCTCTCTTAGGAGTGATCCTCAAATTCACCTCCTTTCTCCGTACCTTGGAGCTCGTGAACTACCCTTGGATGGATTGCTTGAGGAGTTGGAAAAACGTAGGCTGTGCAGGCGGCGGCGCAGCCCCTTCGTTGTCCCCACGGTTCGGGAGCTCGTGGTCCTTGTTCCTTTCTCTCCGTTCATCAATTTTCCACCGCAAGCACACGAAGACGAGAAAGAAGGGCCACAGGAGACCCGGCCAAACGAAAAGCAGTGGCTAGCGGAGATAGCGGTGGGCGAGATAGCGGTGGCCGAAGCAGTGCGGGAGCCTGAATAGAGCTTGCGGATGAGGTCGAGCGGTATCGATGAGCCCCAATTTGATCGAGAACAGCGCTCCACCAACGTAAAAAAACACCAACCGTACACGCGATCACTATGACGTCTTTGAGACTGAGACGATCCATTGTCCGTGCGTTGGAAATAAGTCTTTGGCAACGACTCCAAAGATATGATTGGACTTGAGAGAAACCCGTGGACGCCCTCGTTCGTTGACAAGAGTAAACCTATCTGACGGAAAGAGCATCAGGCCGACGCAACTCCTCCACTCTTGTGCGTAACTCCTTCTGTCCCGCGGCTATTGTCATTATTGTTGACAGGTCCGCGATTGCCTTGACAGCTTCGTGGAATCTGGACGTCGTAGAACGGCAGAAGAAGGGCGGGCACCACCCATGACATGGTCGCATTGGCCGGGAGGCCGGTGAAGCCCAGATGTGAGGATGAACACGCGAAAGACCTCACTCATGTCGAGAACCTCCACTGCGGCTTGGACATACGCGCAGAGCGGTGTTCCAGGTTTGTCGCATCAGTCCTGGTGAGTTGTTCGCGGCTTCACCGGATGGAGGTTGTCCTATGCTCCCTTGCCTTGAGCTTCGCTCCCACCGGCTGCCTTGCTTGACGCAGAGTCCTCTGCAGCATTGTGGAATCCCAGGTTCTTGAAGTCGTCTTTTGCCATCAGGTCACTGTATTGGATGGTCTTGTTTAGAAATGCTGTTGCCGGGGCGCAGGTATGAGCTCTTCACCAGAGGCATCGACTCACCGGTCCATGCGACATGATAGATATGCCTTGGCAAGCTCACGACACTGGTCCTCATTAACGCCCTTGACTTTCTTGATACATGCCAGGTATTTTGTCATGACATGTTTGCACTCGCCTGGTGGGAAAGTCAGGTAAGTTGAACTGATGCTGCAGCGTGTAGGTACGGTACACCTGTGCACAACATACCATCATGGTCGAGTGGGAAGCTGCCTCTCTGTGGTCTGTAAAGGGAATGAGCATTGGGTGATGAACATGGAGTGCCTGTGAATCAGGAAAGACCTACGGTACAGGTTTCGTGTACATCTGGCCCCCGCCAGGCCCGTAACCACTCATGCCGAAAGATCCTGCTCTGACGAGGCGAGGGTCGCGAAGTGTGTCCGGACTGCAATCAGGGCCGTCTGATCAAACACCAATTCAAGATATGTGCCGCTGCTAAAGCACTGAGATCACCGACAACAATTCGTCCGAATATGTGCTTGCTGACTTGCGTGCGGCTTGCTTACTGGATGTAGACTACCTAGGTATGTAGGTGCTTGTGCAGCAAGGCATGTATGTGATGGTGGCATGGATCAGCAGACGGAAGCTGTGGCGGAAGCTATACCCCGCCTGGCACCCTGGACGCACCCAGGAGACGGCCCAGGTACTGGACCTTGCAGGGTACGTGGGCGGCCTGTGAGGTACCTGGGCAGGTGGGTAGGAGGTCGACAGGTGCTTGGTTGGCCTGAGGCAGCCAAGCTGACGGCCCATGCGGGTGGGGATCGGTGCTGTGCTGGCGGAAGCAGAGGCAGGGGGCAATGCCGTGCATGAAGTTGGAAAATGACGGAGACGCGACTGGCAGACAGACACATTGTATTCAACCCGGGCTCCCCTCCACCACGTCCAAATTTTGTCTGGCAAACTGCACCTCACCGCGGCTCAGGGAAAACAACAGCATGCATTTCTGATCCCGGTGGCTGCTTCACCACCTCCCGTTACTGTCTTGCGTGTCTTGTCCATCCTGCTGTTCCACCAGAGCAATTCTCGTCTGTTTCGAAAGCGGCTCTTCGTGTCTTAAGGAGCTGGGGGCTTTGGTCGCAGATTTTGCCCGGGCCCGCGCTATTGAGCCTCTCCCTGCCCGTCGGATAGACCTCGACGCCTCGTCACTGCTCCTCTGCGTCCCGGTGATTGACTCGTCCAAGCTCCGCATCCCTACTGCTCTGCTTGCCCAGCATCAAACGAGCTACAATGGCTGCACTCGGCGACGACCTCTTGTCCACGGTCAACAAGCTGCAGGACCTGGTCTTCAACACAATCGGAAACGACTCGCTCGATCTCCCTCAGATTGTACGCTCAAGCCGCACCTCGTCTCCGGAATCTACTGAGCAGCAGTGTCGGGCCTGCCCAAGCTAACCAGCATTCTACAGGTCGTTGTCGGCTCTCAGTCTGCCGGGAAGTCGTCCGTACTCGAGAACATTGTTGGCCGTGACTTTCTGCCCCGCGGTAGCGGTATCGTCACACGCCGGCCCCTTATCCTCCAGCTCATCAACGTCCCTGACGACGGTATCGATGCCTCGCAACAAGCTGCGCATCCTTCCCAATACAACGCAAATGTCGCGCGCCCTGGCGAATGGGGCGAGTTCAACCACATCCCCAACAGGCGCTACACCGACTTTGGCGACGTCAAGCGCGAGATTGAGAATGAGACTGCCAGGGTGGCCGGCAACAACAAGGGCATCACTCGCCAGCCCATCAACCTCAAGATTTATTCTCCACACGTTCTGAACCTCACCCTGGTCGACCTCCCAGGCCTCACAAAGGTAGGTTCACTTGGCTCTACACATGTGCTCCCGTGCTAAGCTAACCACCTCTGCGTAGGTGCCTATCGGTGACCAACCTGCCGACATCGAAAAGCAGACTCGCAACCTCATCTCAGAGTTTATCGCAAAGCCAAATAGCATCATCCTCGCCGTCTCTCCCGCCAACGTCGATATTGTAAACTCCGAGGCTCTCAAGCTTGCCCGCCATGTCGACCCATTGGGACGGAGGACTATTGGTGTCCTGACCAAGGTGGATCTCATGGACCATGGTACCAACGCCCTTGATATTCTGTCCGGGCGAGTTTACCCCCTCAAGCTGGGATGGATCGGTGTCGTAAACCGATCACAGCAAGACATCCAGGGCAACAAGCCCATGGAAGAGGCCCTGAAAGATGAGGAGAACTTCTTCAAGCTGCACCCAGCGTACAGGAATATTGCCATGAAGTGTGGCACGCGCTTCCTGGCCAGGACCTTGAACACCACTTTGATGGGACATATCAGGGATCGCCTGCCTGATATCAAGGCTCGACTGAATACACTGATGGGACAGACCCAGCAAGAACTCGCCAGCTATGGCAACATGCAATTTAGTGGTAGAGAGCACCGGGGCTCTCTCATTTTGCAGCTTATGACTCGATTCGCAGCTTCATTCATGTCATCGATTGACGGGACTTCAACCGAGATCTCCACCAAGGAGCTGTGCGGTGGCGCCCGGATATACTATATTTTCAACTCCGTGTTTGGCAGCTCGCTAGACACGATCGACCCGACCTCCAATCTCTCTGCTTCTGACATCCGCACCGCAATCAGGAACTCTACTGGTCCTCGGCCGAGCCTGTTCGTTCCTGAGATGGCGTTCGATCTTCTCGTGAAGCCGCAGATCAAGCTCTTGGAGATTCCCAGCCAACGTTGTGTTGAGTTGGTATACGAGGAACTTATCAAGATCTGCCACACATGTGGGAACATCGAGTTATCACGTTTCCCGAGGTTACAGGCCAAGCTTATTGAGGTCGTATCGGACCTTTTGCGAGAGCGTTTGGGACCCGCGTCCGGCTACGTCGAGTCCCTGATTTCGATACAGCGGGCTTACATCAACACAAACCATCCAAATTTCCTAGGTGCTGCAAATGCCATGAGCAACGTAGTAGGCGCCAAGCAGGAGAGGGAACGCAAACGCCTTATCCAGGAGGAGCGTGAGCGGAGAGAGAGAAGACGTGCGAAAGAACTCGGGGCTAATGGTACAGAGGAGGCCGAAGAAGACGAGCATGCTGGCGCTGAAAAGGCGGAGCACGCATCTATTCGCAAGGCGCAGGGCAAGGGTGCGCGCAGCATGTCACCGGCGGTAAGGGAGAATGGCACCGGTGGCATCACGGCGGCGCTGAACGGAGCGCGTTCAGCCTCTCCCATGATGCAAAACTCCCAGGCCGCTGGCGGGCCGAAAGACTCTTTCCTGAACTACTTCTTTGGAAAGGATGGCGCGCAACCAGCTTTCCCGCCGCCGTCGCACAACGCAAACATCGGTCGACATGTGAGTCAGGGCTCGGAGCCATCGATCAGCCAGAGCTTCAGGCACCAGGAGCCCGTGCTTCGCTCTCCCATTCAAACCACAGCATCGCACACACACGATGATGACTTTGTCTTCGGCTCATCGGTGCCCCGTGGTGCAGACTTTGTGAGTCCTCCCAGCGAGACTGATGTACGATCGAATTGGAACCTCTGAGCCGCAAATTTTCACCTATTTCCTTAGCTAACCATGCTCAACAGGGTGCTACCGGCGAGCCGGCCATGACGGAACGCGAGCAGATGGAGACGGAGCTCATCCGGGCCCTGATCTCCTCTTACTTCAACATAGTACGTGAGTCGATCGCCGACCAGGTCCCCAAGGCCATCATGCACCTGCTGGTCAACCACTGCCGCGACGAGGTACAGAACCGCCTCGTCAGCGAGCTGTACAAGGAGTCGCTGTTCGAGGAGCTCCTGTATGAGGACGACGGCGTCAAGAAGGAGCGCGAGAAGTGCGAAAAGCTGCTGCAGACCTATAGGGAGGCGGCCAAGATCATCGGCGAGGTGGTATGAGACCAGAGCAGGGGAAAGGAAGAGGAGAGAGAAAATGGCCATGACAACGGATGGACGACAGCTCATCTAAATTCGAGCCAGACGGAACGAAGAGACGACAGATGATGATAGATGAACAGGTGCAGGCAGGTCATGGTAGACGACTCGTGTTGTTGTTGTACTTTTATGTACTCTACTCCCATCAAACTCACTCACATATCCACACCCACCTCAGTCACCCACCACTGACTGGGTTGGTTGGACGACACAACTACTCCACACCACACAACACCATACCACGCGTACGCAGAGAAATACCGCATACACAGGAGACGTCTGTATATAGAGCAGGCAGCAGACATGGGGTTGGGACGATTTTTTTTGTCTTTCGAAGATCACGCGTACAGGCAAAAACGTGTTCTGGAACAAATACAAAATCGCAGCACGCTTTTGTCCACTTGACTGATCCCCATGAGGAGTTCATGAAGACGACCTTCTCCGTATCTAAACCATTTCCCTTGACAATTTATTTTGACCACTCGGGTTTCTGAGATTTGGTCTTGGTAGACTCCCGGTAAGCCTTGTGGCATTCTACGTGCTATACCAGCGTACATCAAATGGGGCACACCGTAATGCTTTGAGAATACATGAGAAATGCATTTATTTTGCTTAACTCTGTTTCGGATGTTCTTCTAGCCGTCCTTTCCACAAGCCACACCCAGACCGGACGGGACTCACCGCCCACTAATTACCATCGGCGCTATTGATACCTCGCCGCCCTCGACCCTGCGGGGATGGGAGCGCTCGCCGGCGACGGCACCCCAGCTGGATAGCGGGGGTCATACTCCTCCTCGTAATAAGCCTGATCGCTCCGCGGTGGCGGACCCTGGGGCGGAAGTTGAGGCCGGGGCTGGAAGTGCCTCGGGGCCGCGTCGGAAGGATGACGCGGGTCATAGCTTTCAGTGACGGTCGGCTGGGGCGGAGGTCCCTCAGGCAGGCGAGAATATGCTCTTCCGTACGGGGCGCGGTACGATCCCCCACCCATTTGTGCAGGCGGAGGAGGCTGTTCACGACGCGGAGGCCCGGTAGCGTAAGGATCCCCACGGTCATAGGATGCCGCAGGCGGCAGTGCGTCCCTGTAGTACCTTTCAGGCTCGGGATTAGGAATACGACGGAGAGGGCGTTCCTCGATCCATGTCGATCCATCCGGCCCTTGATACTCGATGATTTCAATCTCAATGACCTCTTGGGGACGCTGCCGTGGGACTGGCTCGTCTGGATAGCCGCGATAATTGTAATCGTCGCGAGGCGGAGGTCTCTCGTAGCGGGGGTCATCCACGGGGGGCGCTGCAGGCAGATACTGGTAATCGTGCTCTGGACGCGCCGGGCTCCTCTGGCGGTATTGCTGGGTTGGAGGTGGGCGGTAGTTTGTGTAGACCGGGGAACGGGATCTGCGAGGTTCAACGTCCCGCACGGGCGGCTCCTTGTATTGTCCATAGTCCTCGGGCTCGTCGCGGTTACCGTCCATATAAATGACGTTGGACAGCCGATGCTGATGACCACGGTAAGCCGCGTCCCTTGGATTTGGAACACTTGGATCAGCTCGAGGAGACGGCGCATCTGTGCTCGGTGAGTCCCGAGGCCTAGACTGGAAACGCTGGCGCTGCTGAGGCGTGCCTGGCTTCGAGCCATGTCTCGGCCGTTGGACATTGCCACCGTGGGCGTTGCGCTGGGATGCTTTGGCCTGGAAAGAATTGTGGGCTGTGGCGCTGCTAGGCGTGTTGCGGCGGGACGGTGTGTTATCTGCCGTCGTCTTCTCAGCCCTGTCACCCTCTGGAATGGCACTTTTCCTAGCAGTTTGCGCCCTATCAGCTGCCCACATCGCCCGAATAGCATCCCCTTCACGTTCTGCTTCTTCTTCAGCCATCTTTTCCTCCTCCTCGCTCCGTTTCAGCAAGTCTCCATCTTTTCCCTGAGCACCCTTCCTATTTTTCTTCTTATTCTGACGAGCATTCTGCTCGCGTTGGCGGAAGCCTTGAGACGATCGCCGCTCACTCTCACGGCCTAGCGATGTGCTCATAGCCGCAGCCGCAGGTACAGTTGCAGACGCAAGTGTGGCAGGTTCTGGGAGGGCGTGACCATTCGCAGGACCCATCGAATTGGCTCCGGCCAGAGACGGCCCGGTATGATCGTAAGGGCCAGATGGCAAGTTCGAGTACGGTGCGGTAGACGCTGCCGTACTCTGATACAAACCTACGCCAACTGTTTCTGTCTGAGCTTGTCCGTAGTGTGTGACGTGATCACTCGCAGGCGCATTCTGATATCCCTGATGATAATCAGGCTGGCCTGGATAGGCTGGCGGAACGTTCGGCAGAGCTTCGGGAATATTGACGGGTCCTAGGAGATGCGGAACCGCCTCATTCACCAGGTGGAATTTCTGGCTGTCCATGCTCACGGCCGAGCGCAGGTTGGTGACTGCCGCAGGCTCTGGCAGTAACACCATCTCGACCGTCCACTCTGGTGGTTGGGCGTATTGTCCCATCTGCACAAATGGTTCCACGTGCTTGCTTTGGAAATGCGTTGTCAGCTGCGGCAGCGAATATGATCTTCGTTCTTCCTCAGATGCGACATAGCCACCAACACCCTGATGACAGACCCTGCACACCAAGCCATTGACGTTGCGAACCGGTCTCATATCCTTGTGATCAGATAGGCCATCGATAAAAGTCGCCAGAGGTAGGGGGAGACCGAATCTCGCATGAAATCGCTTGGCAAGATGATGGATTACGACTTGAACCCTGACGATCGACAGAGTGTCCTTCATGTTGGAAGTTGCATTCCAGAGCTCGCGGGCCATACGCGCCATGTCCTCAAGCTGGGCCCGGTATTGCGGAGAAAATGCCGACGGATGTACTGGTTGGTATCCAATCTGTCCATTGGTCTGGTATGCTCCGAAATTGTAATTGTACGGCGCAGTTGGTGCTGGGAGACCTGGCGGGCCTTGCGGACCCGGTAGTCCTGGAGGGCCTGGAGGCGCAGTAGGAGGGCCCGAATAGCCTGGCGGGTTACCTTGAGCAGGAGGGTAAGGCTGATGCTGGTAGACATCCGGAGGAGGGTAGGGATGTGTCCCGTAACCTTGAGCTTGGTAAGGGGGGTGCGAGCTTTGCCCATAAGCCTCACTATAGTGCGGAGCTGCTCCATAGGCTGGCGCTGGAGGTTTTGGATGAGTTTGGTATGGTTGAGAAGGGGCTGCTGGTAGACCTTGTTGGTAGGCACTGTGGGCCGGAGGTGGCTGGCCTTGATAGAAGCCATTTTTCGCAGTTCTTGGCTCTGAGGTAAAGGGCGGTTGCTCTGGCCACTCCGCCCTCCAATGCACAACTACATTGCCGATGCTCAAAGAGGTTGTGTGCTTAGCAGCGTAGTGCTGGATGACGCCTTCGAAGCCATAGTACCTCACGGTAACCTCACAACCGTTGCAGAGGAAAATTTCCTTCCGATGTCGTTCGGTATGTGGCTTGATCTTGATGTCGAAAACCCACTTCATGTTCTCCAGCGTCAGCTTCTGAGTAAACGGGCCCTGCGGCGGATCGACAACTGGTGTAGCTCCGGATGCCCGGGCTGCTGCGGCGTCTTTGGTGACTTCCGCGTAGAAGCGTTTGCGAATGTAGGTCAACACTTCCACCGCGAACTTTGAACAGCTGTTCCTGTCGACCTTGTCCCCGTCTTCCCAGCCATCTCGGATAATCTCATCAGCAAAACCAGCAATTCGCGCTCGCACGGGCGCTTGGACCTCATCCCAATCAGCATCCACCGCGTCTCGAGCTTCCTTGTTGGCGGCAGCGGCAAGATTCCGCTTGTCATCCATTTCTTGTTGCCGCAAGACCTGAGCGGAGTTTTCCTTTTCTCGTTGCTCGGCTTCGGCTCTCTGGGCTAGCAGACGCGACTTCAGCAACTCCCAAGCTTGCTCATCCAATGGGGTGATAATCTGGAGAGCCGCTTGAAAGGAGGGTATATGCGCCAGGACGCTCGGTTCCAACGGTGGATCAAGCGCGAGCGCTCGTCGTTCTATCTCGGCCTTTCGAGCAGCCTTTAGCTCAGCAACCTCCTCCTTCGTTCTCTCATGGCGGCCTGAGGGAAACGACGAGGCGGTCCCAGTTGACGAGCGACGGAAAGGATCTGGGGTGATACCATTCCGTTGACTGGAGCTTATAGACGGAGTCGCTGTTCTGCTGTGATTGCTTGCAGAGTTCAGACCGGGGATCTGAACGACAGATGCAGACCCTGCTGTTGTCTTTGGGCCGACAGCAGTGCTCACAGTGATAGGTACTGATGGTCGGTAACCCGGATATAAGACGTTCCTCATCTGGCTCAGTCCACCGGAAGCGGCCCAGTTCTCCCACCTCAGGGTATCGCTTCGGCGTTCGTGGCCACGACCTTCCAGCCCTTTCAACCATTCCTCTACAGTAGCAGCACCCATAGCCTTCACGCTGAAAAACTCCTGCTTCAAAGTCTCGACGTGTTGAGACCAGAAGATCTTGGTTAGCGAGGTGCTCGGTGGTGTTTGGCTTCGTTCCATGGTGGCTGGGGAGATAACATTAAGCTCCTGCGTGACGAAGACGAACGGCAGAGCTGCAGCCAGAGTGCTGGGAAAGGACGACGACAGCAAGATATCGATCTCCTATGACCAAGTTAGAGAGGAGGCATTGGATGTGATTGGACTCAATGCACATTGCACAAACCTTGATTGACTTTGTCAGGAGACACGTGCCACACGATCGAGTTGCAAACGCCCAAATGATGGCAACGCCATCTTTGCCTGGGCCGGACTGCCACGGATCTGGCGAGCCCTTCGGGTGCACTGTACCTTGCTTACGGCAATGCTGGCATGTGGCAGAGACAGACAACTGCCACATATCCAGCTCAGTCTTGTCTTGCAGAGGACTTGGCATGCTGGGCCAGAAACGGCGTCTCGAAGCCTGCCATATCGCGGTGGCCTGCAAAGGGGAGAGAGCGCCAGAGGAAGGTGATTTTGGCCGATCGCAGCGTATCTTGGACGAAGAGTCAAGATACACGTTGAACAGGCGATTGACACAGAGTAGTCTTCCTAGAATTCTAGGAGGACAGAAAGTGAAGATGTGATGCCATATCTCAGTAGGCAGAGCGGACCTATCTTCAACGGAGCCAGAACCTTGGTCACCTTGTGAATCTTCCTCAGACTGCTCCAATCTCAACTTCTTTACCGAGTCCAGTGTGTTGGACCTGGTTTCAGGCTGTGAGGTATCCTCGGGAGACTTGCGTTTTTTGGACGCAGCCCCAGCCAGCTGGCTGTTGTGCACGTATTGCGAGGTTGTGGAGACAGCGGCATCAGCGAGAAGCGTCTGTGTATGAGGTGTTGGGATGATCGCGTCGTCTTCATCTTCGGACTGAGCCTCCATCGACACATCGGACGGGGAGTCATTTCCATCCAGGCCCCGCAGTGGTGACTGCTGGGAGTTGCTGCTGCTGTCGCTGTCATCCAGCGGGAGGAAGTCGGTTGCAGAGGCGTCGGGATCAGCAGCGGTGACGTCGACTGCTCCGGAATAGCGACCACCTTCAGCCATTGCGTCGGGAGTACAATGGCTGCGTCTGTGCTTCAAATGAAACAGAAAAGGGAGACGGGGCAGCCAGATGGTCCGCCAGGGAGCAGCTCATCAGACGGAAGGAAGGAGAAACAGCCCAGCAACACTTGTCGAGCACTGAACGGGATGAACCGTGGACGGCGAAGGAGGGATGAGGCAGGGCAAGACGCGACAACGATCTAAGCCGTTGTCGCAGAGGGAGGCTTCGCGGGACAGCCAGCCTGCCGCGTGGAAGCAGAATGCTGGACAATGTCTTGCAAGCAAGAGACGTGCCCCGAAGACCAAAGGGATCGAGGGTGTGGTGCGCAGGTTCAAACATGAAGAGGCATGCTTGCGAACGCGAGGCCTGCCCAATTGTTTCGATGGCGGAGAGCTGGTTGTGTTCAGGATCAGGATCAGGCTCGGGTCGGCGACGGAACGCGGAGGCTCAAGCTGTTAGGACAGCCAGCTCCGGGAGGACCTTGGACAAAGAGTTGGCTTGACACAAACGACCCACCAGACCAAGACCGGCACGTAGCGGGCACTATTCTCGGTTGATTCAATGCCTGGCGGTGATGCGCGGCGAAACGAAGAGGAAGGCTGTCCACGAGGGGCTGTGACGATGATGTATGTAGGGAGGGAAACGCGGAGAGGTACGGTACAATGCCATTAGACTACCTGCCCGCCACATCTGTGGGGTGGTGAACCGCGGCAAGCTGCAGTGGGGCCTTGGCCTGGCTGCAGAGGAGCCAAGTTGTGGGGATGCACGAGCTAAGTAGGAAGGTACGTACCATGCCATCCGTACCTAGACCAGACAAAACACCTCGAGTATCCTCATTGTGCTATTACTTCTCAATATTGCGAGGCCATTCAGGTCGGGAACATTTCTCTCGATAAATTGTATAGTATTTTGACCTTGCGTTATGTTGACTCCCTTCCGCTGTAGTCATTTGTCGAACTCTATTAAAAGGTCTGCTGCAGTGGACTTAGAGAGACGACTTCACGTCGCCGCCGTAAGCCAGCCTCCTCAGCATGCCCCTGTTCAGCTCTGCCACGCTCCTCACACAGCAGAGGCCCAGCGTCTGGTCCAGCTCGGCAAGCAGCCCGGCGAGGACATGTTTGGCGCCCTCCTTACCCCCGATGCCCAGCCCGTACATTACTGGCCGCCCCACCAGCACCGCCTTGGCCCCGAGGGCGAGGGCCTTGACGATGTCAGCACCCGTCCGGATCCCGGAGTCGAACAGCACCGTGACCTCCTTGCCCACCGCGTCCACGATCTCGGGCAGCATCTCGAGCGACGGCACCGCCCCGTCCAGCTGCCTGCCCCCGTGGTTGGACACAATAATGCCGTCCACACCATAACGGACAGCCATGCGCGCGTCCTCGGCGCACAGGATGCCCTTGAGCACGATCGGCCCGTCCCAGTGCCTCCTGAGCAGAGCCAGGTCCTCCCACGCGTGCGCGTGCCCGGAGAACGCCTCGCGGATCCACGCCTGCGCCGCGAGCAGCGGGTTGTCCTCGGGCGACTCGCCATCATTGGCCTCGGCAAACTTTCGCCGGAACACCGGGTCGCTGAGCCCGATCTCGATGCCGCTGCCCTGCACAAACGGGAGGAACCCGCCGTCCAGGTCGAGCGGCCGCCACGCGAGCGTGAACGTGTCCAGAGTCACCACAAGCACCGAGTAGCCCCCGGCCTTGGCCCGCCCCAGAAGCGACGCCGTGATCTCGTCGTCCTGCGGCCAGTACAGCTGGAACCACCGGTCCGGCTGGGGCCCCGGCGCCGCTGGTGCTGCTGCCACCTCCTCAATGGTGCTGGTGCTCGCCGTGCTGAGCGTGAACGGCACGCCCAGCTCCGCGCACGCCTCGGCGACACCCAGCTCGCGGTCCTGGTGGTATGCCGCCTGGACGCCCACCGGGGCCATTACCACAGGGCTGGCTGGTGAACTGTTAGATTCCCTTTCCCTCACTGACGCTCTTCCTTCAGCGGCTCATCTGTTGGAGGTACCCACAGTATTTCTTGCCAAGCAGCTCCACGCTGAGATCCCTCGGCACCGTCGGCCTCAGCACGCGCGGGATGATCTTCCACTGTCGGAACGCTAGCCGGTTTGCGTCCATGGTCGCAGCTTCTCCCGCGCCCCCGTAGATATAATTGAAGGGGCCTGGGGCCATGGCCTTCCTCGCCTGTGCTTCGAGGGCATTGGGGTTCGTCGTGACCACCGGGGGCTCTCCCAGGAGAACTCCGTTCTTGTAAAGCTCCAACTGGTAGTCCCCAAAGGGAGCGCGGTCCTCGCCGCTGTCGTCTGATCCTGCCATGTGTGTGGTATAGTTTCTGTCTAAAATAACGATGGAATTGTCAGAATCAAGTCAATTCCATATTTCAAGGGCGGTCTGATGAATGAATGAATGCCCCTGTCCAGTTGTCAGCTGAAAAATTGGCTGGGAGATCGTCGTCTTATTTACGACTAAGCCGTGTAGATGTCAGCTGCCTCGGCAAGTGTCCATGTACGCTACTTGCTACTTCTCCGCTCCCGCCACAGCGACTCCTCAGACAAGCTGAACTTGACCAAGTGCAAGGGAGACATCTAAGCATTGACACAGAACACTCTTTCTTTTCGATGGCGTACATGCTGATTCGACCGTGCAAGCCCCATCAAGCTTCAGCTGACTGTTGCGGAGTCCATGACCTTTACCTAAGACTCAGCAAAATCAAATGCAACATTTAAGAATGCAAGAGCTAATTACTGCCTCTGCATCATCAAAGTTGGGACTCGGGGCTCTCAGTTGCCGTTGACTCAGTCCGGCAGCATTCAGGACTGTTGTTGCATAAACCAAATTCCTGTTAAATTATGTACACGGTGTATTGGCACGGACTGTACTGGAGATAGAAACAGACTAAATGATTGTCAACAACGCAGTTTCGACCCCCTTTCGCACATGTTCGAAAGAGGCGCGTCAATCTTGAAGCGGTACAGACCGTTTAATTGGGGACAGCTCAAGCCATTCAGTCACGTACTTCTGTGTGGAACTTGTTTTAAATGGTCTTCGCTTCCATTTTCTCTCCATTTTCTAGACTACTTAAGATGGGATCGCCAACCCATCCAACGATGCACTCACATACCGAGATTTAAGCATCAAGCTCCACATAGTTGGCGGGGAAGAGTCCAGACTTGGCCCCACGGTGACCAAACCACCAGTCATCATCTGGGAACTCCAGGTTTGTGATCTTGTCACCCTCCGCAAAGCTCAATTCTGCAACACACGTTAGCCTCATTCAAGAACTAATTTGGGCGGCTGTACATACCATTGTCCTCGGCTGCTTCATAGTCAAAGAGTGCCGTCGCAACGGCACCTCCATCAGCCGCGGCCTGGGGCTCAGGCTGAGCTGCTGCTGCTGGAGGCGGGGGAGGGGCGGCAGCTTGGCCAGCACCAGCCGTGTCATCGTCGTCGTCGACCAGTGTGACGTAGTTGCTGGGGAATAAACCGCTCTCACCCCTCGAATTCATGCCCATCCACCAGTCGTCGTCGACCATGTCAATATTTGTCACATATTCTCCTTCCCTGAGCTCAAGCTCGTTCTCCTCAGCCTTTTCATAGTCGTACTCGATGATAGCGCGCTTGCCACCTGTGGGGCCAGCCTGAGCCTCCTGCACTTGATTGTGACCAAAGGCTTCTTCTGCCACAGCAGTTGCTGCACCACGAGCTAGGTCATGAGTGGGCTGCTCTTCGGGTAGCTCCTGCTCTCGGGGTACCTCCTCAGGAACAGGTATAGGGCGCGATGGGAGTTGTTGCGGTGCTGGCTCGATCTCGGGCTCAGCAACACGTGGGACCGGGGCAGCCACTCGGATAGGCGAGGTGTCCCGCGCCGGCTCCTCCTCAACCTCCTCTTCATCCGCCGCAGGTCGCGAAGGCAAACCTGGCAACGCGAATCCACCCGAAGGACGGCTCGTCTCTGGGGGTGGCGGCGGAGGGGAGTCATCGCTGGCACCGGTGCCAGCCCGGGGGATCGCAGGCGCAGCAGCACCCATAGGCGGTCCCCCCTTGAATCGATCCTTGAGGGCAGAAACGCCTCCAGACGGCGAAGAAGGTTGCTCCGGCTCATTGGATCCCACTGTGTCGCCCGTCTTTTGTCCGGGGATGCCTCGACCGTAAGCCCCGGTCTGGACAGTGCCCCAGCTCTTGCCACTGTATCCGCTCTTCCACTCGCCTCCGCTCTTCTGAGCAGACATCGGGGACGTGGCTGGAGGCGGCAGGTCCGCGCCCGAGCCCGAAGAACCCCTCTCTCTAGCCTTCTTCTCCGCCCACAGCTGGGCTGGGGTCTTGCCTCCTTGATCTGCGAAGGTGCGGCTAGCAGCGCCGACAGGAGCGGCTGCAGGGACAGATGGGGCGCCAAAACCCAGCCCGCCAGGAGTGGGAGCTTTCGTGCCGGTAAAACTGCTCGCTCCGCCGAACTTGTTGGCAACTTTGGGCTTGGGCAGAGTGGTGAGGCGCTCAGACTGTGCGGGCTGGCTGAAAGCCGATGATCGTTCAGAGACCGAGGGCCGAGGCGCCTCTTCATCGGCAGGTTCGGCAGGCTTCTGGGCGCGGGCTCGGATGGAGGCAATGTCGACCTTGCCAACGGGCTCGTATGAGCCTTTCACGGGAGTAGGGCGGAGGTCTTCCTGGTTCTTCGCCTGCGCTCGGAGTGCAGCAATGTCCACCTTTCCGATAGGTTGATATCCACCTTTAACAACATCACTGGGCGTGTCATCTTGCCGGCCAGACCCGTTGAACCTGGACGGTTCCTGATTCTTGGTCAGATCCGCCAGGTTCACCTTGGTAGGCTTGTAGGCCGAGTCCACCTTTTCCAACTGCGTCCTGGTCACGGGCGGCGCATCAGCACCCCAGCCGTCTGCGTCGACGTTGTCGTCTCTTCGGTTACGTGCGGCCACGAGGGGGTTGAAAGAGCCTCCAGTGCTCGCTGTTGGGGTGAACACGGGCTTCTTGGCGACCGGAGGGGCAGCTGGTGCGGGCATGGGAGCGGAGCCACCGGCGGTGTACTTGGCGCCAGAGGCATCCGAGACCTTCTGTATGATGGCGGCGGGCTCCAGATCGCTGTCTGATCGTGCGGTTATCTGGACGTGGTAGCCATGGAGGATTTTGGCGACGGCTGCTGAGTGGCTGGTAAAGTAGCCTTTTGTTCGTTCGGGGACGCCGCCTCCACACCAAGCAATGAGGACATTCTTTGGCAGAGCAGTGTTGGGATCTTTGACCTTGACAAAGGCGAATTGGATACGGCCTTCGCTGAAGTCTTCGATCAAGTCGGCAAGCTCACCCTCTACGGAACAGAACTGCTTGTCAGCAGGGTGACGAAGCGCAGCAGGCTGGGGGAGGGGGAGACCGGATGAAGCTCACCTCCTTTGGTTTCGACCTTGAGAATACTCTCCTTTGCCCCGCCATCTTGAAAGGCGTTGAGCAAAGGAGCTTGGACTGTGAACAGAGCCCATTGGGCGTAGGTTGGCGAGTCTGACTTGGGTAGCTGACCGTTGACGACCCCCTGGTAGCTACTCTTGATGGAGGGGCCGTTAATGGACAGGTTGAGCGATGCCATGACGTCGTTTCTAAGCAGTGTAGGGCATCAGAGGAGGGGAGTAAAGCTGGAGTCTGCCGGTACGTGGTAGAGTGCAAAGAGACGGTTGCTGCTGGAATGGCTCGCAGACCGAGTCGTGATTAAAGATGCGCAATGCGGAAGGGGCTGAGCAACCGAGAGCGACGATGAGGTAGTCCGTCTAAATTGACACAGGCAGGTTATTAGCAGGCTGGCACGCTGGCAGGAGCTGGTCACTGACTGACTGCTGAGGGGCGGGTCCACCGGGGAAAGGGGAAGGCGCCGTTGGGCTGCAGCTGAGGTCATAGCCTGTACAGTGTGACATCCCAGCAGCTCTGTGTCACCGTCAGTCATGTCGCACTGTGATTCAGACCCCCACCCAATTCGCACAGCTAATTCACACGCCTAGTGCCCATTAGATGTGCTAATTAGGTATGTAAATTAAGCATTGTGGGCATGTAAATTGGGTATGAAAATCAGTATATACCTACCTAGGTAGGTAGGTACTGAGCATGTAGGTGTTAGGTGTACAGGTGTTGGGTGTGTAGGTGTTTCCCCAGGCGAGCACAGTGCCCAATAGAATACATCCGGGTGTACAGGAAATGCCCAATCACCCAAATGGCGATGAGCAGTTTGATTTGCGTGATTCTCAATTGCAAGATGCTTAAATTCCTGATCACAAAAGTTTGTCCTCGGAAATTACACGCAAACCCTCCCAAGTCATGGCAAGGAATAAGAGGAAGGACTGCACTCTGTTCCACCTTGCCATGTCCCATGGTGGGCTGCTGTTGGCTTCTCAGACATTGCTTTTGTAGAACAGTCTCTCTACTGAGAATACAAGACAGATCAGAAACAGGACCCAGGTGTTGCATTGTGTAGAACTTGGGCTGCGTATATGGAATTGAATTTGCAGTTTAGGAGTCAAGGACCCCTTGAAAAAGAGTCCGGATTCCCCAGTCGCCCTAATAACTAGTGAGACTCATTATTATTTGTACAATGCAGCCCTCGCCTCTAGAGCAGACTGCCAACGCCCATATGATATCCATCAATCGTTGTGTTGTGTATTGTTTGTTGTTGTTGTTGTGTGTGTTGCGTGTGTCGCGTCGAACGTACTGCCCTTCCGCCTTGCAGTGATCCTCAACAACGCTTCCAATCTCCAGGAGTTATCACGGCAAGATCGTCACGATTTGCCCCCACTCCCAGACCCATCATCGCAGCAGCACATGGTGAAAACATGCGGCCAATTCCTCGGTGAACCCAATCAGCAGCACAGTTCGGCGCAATCGCAACATGATTCGCAGAGGCAGCAACAGCACAGTGCTGCGAAGAAGCCCTTCAGACATCCGCCGCCGCCGCTGTCCTTCTGAGGAGGAGGAGCTTGTTGTTGGTACTGCATCGGGGGTGGGCCGCCTTGCGGGGGGTAGTATCCTTGTGGGGGAGGAGGGCCGTAGGACTGTTGGCGAGATGGTCAGCATTTGAACAAGATTGTGCGACCCGACGTGGCGAGGTCAGAATAGAAGCGTCGGAATGGTGATTACCTGTTGGGGGTACTGGGGACCGTAGCCGCCGCCCTGAGGCGGGCCGTGCTGGTAGTAATCGTTGGCGGACATTGTCGGAGTTGCTCGAGATCAGTCGTAGAGGACAATGGAGACCGTTTGGCGGCAGTCAAGCAGTTGGGCGGCGAGATGTCGAGAAGTAAAGAAGCCTAAAGGGCGGCTTGACTCGACTTGGCAGGAGAAAACCTTGGTAGGGCTGAATGGAGTCGCCGAGAAATGAAACTTCAGTGGACAGACCAGACAAGGAGAAGGGAAGGAGAGAAAAGGCGACGAGAGGTACGGTGGTAGGTTTTAAGATATGCGACAGCCCAGGGAACCGGGATCAGCGTTGGGAAGGTCAAATGATGTCTGGGAACCTCTGCAGGAGATGTGGGGCGCGGGTAAGAGTTCCAGGACTGATTGATTGATTCCAAGGGACTCGACGGACTACCGAGTACTGGCAGACTGGCTGGGACTAACAGAAACGTGTGGCTCACAAGAGGGCTGCAGGTTGATAACCACCTGGTCGACAGTGAATGGGGCGGGACCGGCTAGGACGGCGTCTCGACCACTGCAGTTACTTGGCCGGTGGGTATGTACCCAGACATTCACTCGCGTCCAAGTACCTCTAGGGCGCATCGAGTGTGGCTCTGCTCGCCGTCCATTCGTCACGGTGAAAGGACTGCGCAGCAGCCACTCTGCCACTCGTCGCGAGCGCGACGGCTGCGGCAGATGCAACAGCAGCCTCCCTTTCTCCTGGGGGCCTGGGGCCATGCTGTGCGCGATGGCAACCCCAATGTGCCGTATCTATTCCCGGGAGCACCTGCATAGCCACTCCAGTACGCAATCTGTCAAGAGCTATAGTGCCACGACAAGTACGCCAGCGTGCCTGTGAGAGGCTTGTGAGCGACTTCAGCCGGAGCCGACGTCGGAACGAACCACCTAGGCTGCTACCTACTAGGTAGTAAGGTCATTGCGCCCTACTGTACCTAGGTATGCAGTCTGCGCTAGCAGGTACAGGCTGACAGGGCAATCATACCGAGTCGAGGGCAAAAGATTGAGTTGGTGTGCAGGTGGTCTGGGGTGGCGGTGCTCGTCCAGACACTCGAGACACTTCTGCTTCGTTGGGCTGCGCGTCGCTTCCAGACCGGCACAAGTTGGCCGGCTGATCGCGACTTAATTGGTCGTGCCCATCCTTTTTCCCTGACACAGCCACCTTAACTCGCTGGTCTCGCATTCTCGGCGCAGAAGCGAGTGCAGTGCGGTGCGGGCCCGTCTTGAACTCGGCGAAGATCCTTTGGGAGGATCGTGATTTTCCCCCGCGGAATAGAGAGACTCGACCGCCAGGGGCACGGAGCGGCAGAAATGGTGAAGTCGTCCATCCCGGAAGACTCGAAGTTCAATCAGCCTTTCACCCCTGACCAAGTCGACTCATACCACACATGACAAGATTGCAGTACAGCAGTCCTGTCCCCAGGGTCTGCAGATCGCTTCATCGTGCATATCACCCCTGCCTTCTAGATCGGCTCGAGAACCAGCAGCTCAAGAAAGCCAGCGGCGGGAGTTCCCGTTCCAACGCAGGGCAACCTGCACAGGGCCTTACACTCGACACTTCGGATCCAGAGAGTGGTGCCCTGAGCAATGTTGCCACCAGAGATCGCGTTGCTACCACTGTACCCGGGCATGTAGGCAGTAGACTACCAATCCGTATGTACTCCAGAATGGATACTACCCTGGGACTGCTAGGACGTACCGATTGACAACTGCAATCAGGCCATGACGCAAGAAGCATGTGGCCAATCAGAGCTTATCAGTCTCTCTTGACCCAAGATGGCGGGGCAATCACTGTTGCTGCATCTCGACCTGAATCGGAGCTGCTTCAACGGCGACAGTGACTAACTTTTTGTTTCTAAGCAACCAAGCACGACAATCCCAACTGGCACAGCAGCGGACCAACGAAACCGTACGATCTGCTATTTGTCAAGAAAACCATTCTTCCTTCGTACCAGCCAGAACCGTACACGCGAGCGCTTGGACCTGCCCAACATCCAGACACACAAGCCTCCATTCCGGGTTCAATCTCGCCCGACTCAGGACCAAACCACCATCATGGCCACGATCAAGGAGATCACCAGCTACTCCGAGTGGGATGCCCACCTGGCATCCCTCCCTCCGACCACACTGCTCATCGTCTCCTTCCACGCCCCGTGGGCTGCGCCATGCGCCCAGATGGCCACCGTCCTCAGCACCCTCGCCTCCGAATACCCCGCCGACGGCTCGACCTCGTGGGTCTCCCTGAACGCAGAGGAGCTCTCCGACATCAGCGAGAAGTACGACGTCACGGCAGTCCCCTTCCTCGTCCTCTCCAAGAACGCCAAGGTCCTCGAGACCGTCAGCGGCAGCAGCGCGGTCAAGGTGCGGAACGCCATCGAGGCACACGCCGGCAAGCCCGGCGCCACAGCCGCCACCACGAACGGTGCCTCAGCGGGCGGCGCAGCAGCCGTGGACGAGCCCGCGGAGACAGACCCGGCAAAGGCGAAGGAGGAGCTCAACAAGAGGCTGGAGGAGCTGGTCAAGGCGGCTCCCGTCATGCTGTTCATGAAGGGCACCCCGAGCGGGCCGCAGTGCGGCTTTTCCAGGCAGATGGTGGCGCTGCTGCGGGAGAACTCGGTCAAGTACGGTTTCTTCAACATCCTGGCGGACGATGAAGTACGGCAGGGCCTGAAGGAGTTCGCGGACTGGCCCACGTACCCGCAACTGTGGATCGAGGGAGAGCTGGTGGGCGGTCTGGATATTGTAAGTCTGCGCTCGGAATGCTCACATTCCATTGTTCGGTGGGACTCATGGCTGACAATTCCGCTTAGGTCAAGGAGGAAATCGAGAACAACGCGGACTATCTCAAACCGTACAGCGTCAAAGGCAACGGCGAGTGAACGGCGCATGGCAAACCGAATCTACGCCACACGCTCAACATACATGGGGCACCTACATACCACAACAGAGGTTGGAGGTCCGTCAAGTCTCATAGCCATTTCAGGTTATATGATTTGAGACCATGTTGCAGCTGCAATTCTTCCTTTTATACAGCCCAAATTTATGGACGGTTGGTCTGAGCTGCCATGAGGGCAAGTCAGTCCTGCCCCTGTGCTCAAGTCGAGCCAGTTTTCCAGGGGCTAGGTAGGCAAGGAAATGATATCAGGGAGGAGAAATGCCACAGGAGGCCCATAATACAATACAGTTCAAGCATTGTGCCTCTCTAACTCATGCATTGCTTTGTAGGACCTGACCATGTTCATGTCTGTTCTTCTCAGCCCCTGCATCAATCTTCGGTGCACATGTTACTGCACAATCTCCTTCCGTATGTCAGGTCTAGACTTGGGTGTTGACTTCTATGCTTCCCCAAATAACCCAGTTTTTTTGGCAGCAATTGGAAGTGACAAGAACCATTGCCATTACAGTTCTCTTGCCGCCAAGCCGGCTGTGGTCCTGGGCCATTACAAACAGCACCCTGCCGAAAGAGTCACTTACAAACGGCCAGGACTGTTCTGGGGCCCTTTTTCTTCGCATATATTTGGCTCTCCCCAACATTCTTTTCTGCTTTTATTTCCACAGGTCAGCAAGGCATATTGGTCTCTTATCGATATCATTCTTAGCGCTGCTTGCTTCCACCAAGCTTAAGGTTCTCTTGTTCAGCACAATTCATGTCGGCTTCCCTCACAGGCAACCACAACTCTTGGTCTTTTATCACCACTTTGCTCAGCCACAATTCCTTGCTTCTACGGTATCGCCCGTTGAACGATCATATCTGGTCTTCAAAATTTACCTTGAGGCCGTAATCTGATATTTGCTACGATCAACCGCCATGGGTGGCAACGTCTTCTCTCCCCCGGGGCCCGACGCCCTCAACACCCCTCGCATGAGCCCGTCCGTCTACAACCACGTCAAGGAGCAGTGCACCAGCGCCCTCAAGAAATTGGGTTTCTCGCGAGTTTTAACCCCCATCGAAGCCCCGGAGAAGGACAGTTTCGGTGATGTCGACATCCTCGTGTGCCTCGAAGAGGCCAGCTTCACTCCAAACGCCCCACTTGACAATTCCGAGTGGGATCGGGTCGAAAAGGCTCTGAGAGCTGAGCGCAGCGCTTCTCAGAGCAGGATCGGCCCGGACAAGAAGCGCATCATTGATAGCAAGAGCTTTGCTGTCCCTTGGCCTGCCGGCTTTGGGTCACCTGGAGAGTCCAAGGCAGCTTCAGGTCCACGCTTCATTCAGGTCGATGTTCGCGCATGTTATACTCACCAAGAGATGGAGTGGCGGGTGTTGTAAGTGCCGACTATCCCAACTCAAGCCATCTCTGGCTTCAGCATGACATCTGCCTGCTCCTTCATCTCACTTACATGTGTTTCATCTCATATATGTCAAATATCGGTACAGCATCTGCTCTACCTGCCCCCCGCCTCCTCCCGAATGTGTCAGGAAAACTTAAAAACCAGTATGCTAACATTCACACAGCAAGCACAATCATGGAGACCTGTGGAACATGCTTGGCCAAATCATCCGACCTTTAGGGCTCACTGCCGATGAGGTTAGCCTGTACATCCGCATACCAGAGATCGAGAAGCAGGACAAGAAGAAAGCACGCGTCCTCCTGACCAGTGATCCGACCAAAGTGATCGACTTCCTCGGCCTCAGCCAACGCAATGGCGAGAGGGGGAAGCCGTTCAAGTCAGTAAACGACCTCTTCGAATACGCCGCGAGCTGCAAGTGGTTCATGTTGTGGCCCCAAGACCAAAACGTGGAGGGAGAGAAAGCGAACGATCGATCGCGAATGGAGAAGCGCCCGATTTTCAAACGCTGGACCGAAGAGTTCATCCCCGCCTGCCGCGCAAAAGGCCGCTTCGTGGTCGCCAACCCGCAGGAGCGCACCCCGCGTGACGTCCGCGACGAGGTCCGCAAGGAAGCCTTCAGGACCTTCCCGGACTCCGGTGCCGCGTACAACACCGCCCTCGCCGACTGGACCAAAGAGAAGACGCGCATATTCGTCAAGAACAAGCTCATCAAGGAGGACGCGTGCCTCCCCGCGGACATCACGCCCTTCCTGCCCACCCCACGCGAGCACGACGATGGCACGACAGCCACCCTCCCCGACCTCGAGAGGAACTGGCGCGGCGTGCTGCGCTCGGCGCTCGCCAAGGTGATCATCGACGATGACGACACGTTCGGGAGCATCAGGCCCCCCGGGCTCCGCGACGCGGAGGGCGTGCTGGAGGTCGACCGCATCAAGGAGTGGATCGGCCAGAATTGGAAGGAGGTCGGGCGCGTGGCATGGGAGCTGAACTGTGAGCGTTCCCGGGAGAGCATGGAGCGCAAGCGTAAGGCTGCTGAGGACGCACAGGCGGGCAAGGCCGCTGTCGGCGAGGCGACGGACGGCAAGCAGTGATGTGTTAGCGTTGGCGAAAGGCATGCAATATTTCTACCGCTTTGCATTTTTCTGGGGCTTTGGTTTGCTTCGATGCTGGCGCAAGTGGGCTGATCAACTAGTGGAAGCGTGGAGTCTGGATTCTTTGAGTCGGTGGGCGTTTGTGTTAGGTATTCAGAGTCAAGGGATGGTGCACTCGTTTCGATTGATACCCAAGAACAATAGACCTGCGCTTGGTTTCGAGTGCGTTTTGATTTCTTTTTGTACATTCGTAGCTGGAGTATCTCCCTACAGTGACCAGTCAAGCCAGCCTTAGCTACCAGGCCTTCGTCTCACCACAGTGCCCTCGTCAGCTACAATGGCATCCAGATACAGCCAACTACTCTAATCGACCCATGTCCTTCTCATCGCAACACCTATAACAGCTCAAATGAGTCACGGACCAGTAGTCCACTCTTCTCCCCAACAAAGACTACCCTGACCATCCTTGCCGCTCTGAACAGCAAAAGAATAGAAGAGCTCGAATTTGTTGACTGGCAGTGGACAACTTGTTTCCGTGCGTACATCCACCAATCCTCCTCAATGACTCTCTATACACAGCTTGGCCGCTGCAAACAACGACGCAATAGAAGAGCTCAAATCGTCGGAGGAGCCGAAGTGACGTATTTGGAGAGTGTAGGCTATTTGGCGATGGTGTTGTCTTCTGACGGCGTGAAAGAGATGGATTGGCGAATCAAAATTTGATGACCGCGCTCCAATTGCTGTTGTTACGCAGCTAGCTAGTGATTTCGATTCGGCAGCGATGGTGCAGTTCCACGAGGCGATAGTTGGACTGCTGCAATCTGATGAGGTACGCCGAGGACATGAAGCTCCTTTTCTTAGCCTGGCTGTGCCAATAGCACTTCCTCCCACTTCACGTCTCTTTCCGTCCGGCCTCTAGCCGGGAAATATTATGTACCATGGTTGTTCGTCATGTTCGTTGTGTGTGAAGGGAAAAAAAAACAAGACCAGGGCTAAACCGCCAACTCCATGCATTGCGAAAGCCAGAAAACGCCAGGGCATGAGCCCCTTCACCTTGAGGGTGAAAGTAATTCAGAAGCAACAACAGTCCGCTGAGGCTTCCAGCGGTGTATTGTACAGGTGATGTGGTATCAAAGTGGGTGTGTAGATCGAGTTTGGTTGATTCGGTGCATTGTATTTTCATGAGCGGGAGAGCCTGAGTAGGAACGGAACTCTGAGTCCTGCATGACCTCCCGTCATTCATGGGATCTGGTTCAAAACCAGATCGTTCGCGGCGGTTCCTGGGCCTCCGTGGCTCTGGGAAGCACATCGTCTTTACCCATCATCTCATCAGCAAGGTTGCCGCGTAGCCCGTAGTGTGTCTCGCCACGAGCCTCAGCCTCTTCCTCCGCCAGCGCCTCTCGCTCCAGAGCCTCGAACATGGCCCTGTATGCTGGTCGAGGTTTCCACGCTGGCCGCAATCCCTTCTTGTCGATGCGTCGAAAGTACTGCTCCCTCTTGGCAGGGTCTGAGATAGCACCGGAGTTGACATCGCGGAGGTCTCTTCCTGTCCACCAATCGTCAAGATCCGCGTATAGATCTGACGCTTCCTGCAACCAGTGAGCCGCATGTGGGCGGACCATGCCACCAGTGAGCCATTCATCGAGTTTGACAGGCACAGCGTAGCCGTAGTCGGGCTGCTCTGGGGACCAGTTGCACGGCGAACCCCTGTAGCACACATATTGCCGTCCCCAGCGCTCATAGAAGGCATTCTCCAGGACGTACCAGGACGCCAGCAGGAGCAATAGCGTCCCAAGCCAAGTGAGCCTGAATTTGGGCTGCGTGCGCCAAAATAGGGGTACTGGCAGAGGCACGTAAGCCAACAGGCTATTGCTTCGTTGAGTGGCAGCGCACTGGGGGCAATTCAAACAGTGAGCGTCATGATTATGCCATCCTGTTGCGGTGTAACCTGTAGTCTCGTTCTTGACAGATTCGGTGGATTGCTCGGATTGTGCAACTCGATCTTCAAGACGTCCAATGCCCTTCTTGGCCTGCCGGATACTAGCAAGGACTGGGTTTAAAGCCTTACCCATGTGAATCATCCTCATCAATTCCTTGTCTTGAGGCAGGATATCCATATCTTCGGAGTCGGACACTCCGTTCCCAAGATTGTGCTCAGCGTCGTCGGGGTTTCTGGAAGCAAGCACGAAGTCATCGAAGTCGTCCGTCGTGGATTCGTCAATATTGTTGCTCAAGTGGATTTGCTTCAAGTCGTCCTCCACAGTAGGCGGCTTGATCGAGTTCGTCAATGGTGAGCGCCTGCGCGGAGTTGACCTCGATCGCCGCAATTTCGAGATGGAATTGGAGCGCACATTTGATCTCTGGCCGTCTGACTTCGATGAGCGGGGCGAGGTGCTTGTGTCTCGAGTCTGTAGCCTAGCCTTCTTTTCTGGCTCTTGAGTCGATACGGCTGGGTCTTCTTTGATTTGGACTTGCTCGGTTTTGACGGTCACGGGAGTTTCGACGTAGGCACCAGTTACTTTTGGAGTAGGCATAGATAGAGGGTCGAACTTGGTGGGGGCTCGAGGGGTCTCGTCTGCCTTTCCACCGTCGTCCTCGGATTCAGAATCGACGTCTTGTCGAGGCGATGGAGCACGAATTGATCCTCGTTCTGACATATTGTCCATGAGCGCAAAAAGCTTCATCTCGCCCTCAATTCGTGCAGTTGGGTCTGCTGATGCTCTACTCTGCGTCGACGACACACTCTTAGTGGACGGGGACCGAGAGATGCCCGCAAAGCCAACCGTGGGCTTGGCAAGAGCATTGGATTTGTTCATGCCCAGCGATGATGGGAGCCTCTGATCTGATTCAGTCGTCTTGTCGGTCACATTGACCCCCCCGACGACTGGATCCGTTTCCGGCGAATTTGACGGCTCTCCTACGTCCTCTTCTTGAGCTTTATCCGCCCCACCCTCCTCAGCAGGACTGGGAATGGGACTATTGCTTGATGCCCTAGCCAACCTTCGGAGAAGATCATGGGAATCTTCCTTTGCTCGAGGCACACCCATCACAGGGTGTACCGAGGTTGAGTTGGTGCTCGGGTTAAGGCCGTTCTGCTCATCACTTGGCTGAGTCGGAGACTGTTTTCTGTAAATTGTGACGGGCGTATTGGGGATCTTTTCTCCATTCAACCCAGTGTAGTCATGCTTGAGCGGTTGCGCCTTGTATTCGGGGCTCATACGCGGGCTGGTTTGATCTGATCGCCCAAGGCTGTCCTTGAGCTCAGCCCGTGGGGAAGGTGAGCGGGAGGTCTGTCGCTCTATGGTGTCCTTGAGTCGTGTCGACGGTTGAACTTTTTCGGGAAGATACTCGATCCCCAGTGAACGAAGGGATTCTCCGCCGGACTTTGCCAGATCTGACGTTGATAATGGCTTCCTCCTTTCGGCGCTCGTTGACAGTTCGTCAACCGGCTCTGTACTTGGTTCCTCGATCTTGGGAGCTGGGTATCTGCGCTCGGCGTCCGTCTCCCGTTGCAAAATCTCGTCGAGTTTTGTATTCGTGCGCTGAGGTACGAAGCGATGATTTTCGATGGGATGGTCAAGCTCGGCATCAATCTCCAGCTTCCTGATCTCATCCAACTTCGTGTTGGCACGCCCGAAGCTCAGGGGGGGGCTGTTGGAGACCTGCAAGTCTCCAGCCGTGAAGTCCTCGTCAACTTGCCAGGCGTAGCTCTTGTTCGGGGACTGAATAGGGGCTACCGTGGCCGGTCGTGGAATCGCCGACGCTGGTCCATCGTGTCGCGGTAGACTCTGACTTGCCGACTTCCTCTTTGAGCCTGCTACGCGGTTTCCAAAGCTCGAAAAGCCATCTATCCTTGACTGTCGGCCAGGGGCGAAATCCAAAGCCTGCTCTTCCGATTCGAAGCGTTTAATCCAATCGGGATTAGCATACCCTGTTTCCGCGAAAGTCCATGACTGACGAGATTTCTTGTCGTCCGCATCGGCATCACCAAAGCTGCCATTTCTCGTGGTATGACTGGGTTTGGAGTTGGCACCAGCCCCGTTCATCCCAAATTTGGGCTTGTTGAACAGGCCCTTCTTGTCTTCCTTCATGGATTTGATGATCTTCTCGTCCTCCTCGAACTGCTTGAGCTTGCGGTCGATCTCGCTGTCCGACTCGTCTCCCTTACGTGACGAGGACCCAAAACTGTCCTTCGAGCTGAAGGTCCCATCTCGACGAGCTGCGGTAACAGGGCGCCTGTTGCCGAGACGGCCCAAATCTATCGGTCTCTGGGTAAAAAGCTGTGGTAAAGGCCTGTGGTCGGAGTTCACGGAGCCTGGACGCGTGGGTCGGGGCGCCGGGCTGGGGGGAGCCTTGGGCCAGTCGGGACTTTGCCCAGTCGGTGGCTTCGTTGAGGGTGAACGGTCGACGCGTCTGAGGACTCGCGCGGGAGGATGGTCGGGGTATGCGCGAAGCCTCGGGCGAGATTGATCTGGCATCGGAGAGCGAACTTGCACTCGGCTTGCGTGAATGCGCGCCGCTAGCCATGGTTGCTGGTGTGTTTTCCTTGTCTGGCACGCCGTTGGTCTTGGTAGTCGCGTCGGCAGTGGCGTTGGGCGCAAACGTTGGCAAGAATGTTCTGCCGTTGGCGCGAGCGCCCAAAACGTGTGCCTTTTCTCCCTTGTCTTCACCGTTCATCTCAGACTGGGGCAGTGGTTGGTGTTGCGACTCGAGCAAACGGAAGCGCGGGCAGCCGTATCTTCTGCGATATGGTGGTGGTGGTTGTCGCGTCGCGTCATACTAGGTCGCGATTCGTATTTGCGCCGTGTCGCAGTGTATAGGGCTACAGTCAATTCGAAAACAGGAGTTGAGGAGGTGTTGATGTTGTCACGAGAAGATAAAAACAGCCCTTGGTCAGCTGAGGGTGAATGCAAAGTAAATGTTGTCGCGGTGCCGATTTAGCGCTTCTTGGGATGTCCCCCAGCCCAAACCGCAAGGTCGGATCACAAGGAGCTTGTCACACATGCTGCTTGCTTGGGCAGGGTTCTGGCGGTCTTCACAGGACCCACCATTTGGCGGGGTTGACTAGGACGCACGGGCCAAGGCCAATTGAGGTCAGCAAATGGAGTCAACGCCTTTCAGCCTCAGGCAAAGCAACGTCGCTCCCCATGCTTTTTTAGTATCATGCTTGTCAGGCTATAACACAATGCAACATCCTCATAAGGCTGACTTGACATCACCCCATGTTCTTCCAGTCTTTCTACCAGACACCGCACGATTGATCGGAGTCGAAATGCTGCATTGCAGCATGTGCTGGTATTCGGCTGATGCCGGACAAGACTGAAGCCTGTAAGGCCTCAAGTAAACATGCTGGACAGACAGACGCAGACATCTCATTCGTCGCCAGTTCCCCAAGGTTCTGTCACTTCCTATAAGTGATGAGGCTGAAAATTCACAGTCTGGCTACTCACATATGTTTGTCTCCATTGCTGCTGGTGCTGGCTGGATGGGATACCTCTGGGCCACCTGGATCAAAGACACGGCTTACGCTACCTGCCTCCTTCCATCAAAAGATGTTGACGAGGTTCCGGGCAAGATGTTTAAACCGGTTGAGAACAGTCGTTTAGGGGGCACGCACCCCATTTTTCCGGACACTGCAACCAATCATTCAAAGTTACAACTACAACTTTGAGTGGCGCTCCAAGCCAAACTATACTCATCGCTGAACCGCATTCTACCTATCTGATATCACCTTTTGGCCTCTTGATTATTCATGTGCTCCAGGACTGGATGAAAGGCTGCAGGAATCTTCAACTGGAAGACCACGTCAACCCTCAACTCCTCAACTATGTTATGCCCTTATTCCATCACCCATCTTCGCCCAGTAGTCGCGGCAGATCTACCAACAGAAACACCAAGCCATCATTCTTGAGCCGGCTCTCATGGCCATGCATGGGCGGTCTAAGGGGGCTGAGAGCCATCGAGTCGGTCTGTTGCCGATCAGCCGATATGGCAAGATGGGGACGCTCATTTCGTTCCCAAAGGCCGGGCGAGCCGGCTCGTTTTCGGCCGTGTGCCCGCTGTCAGGGATTTCTACGCGAAAATCAATAGTACCAGGCGCGCCTGAGTTCGTCCCTTCCCCCTGCCACCGCGATCCTCTCGCCTTTTGTTTGGTGTTTCCTCTCAGACCCACCTTTTTGCTGGCCCATTCTCTTTACGGACTTGAGTGCTAGGGGGCCCTGCTTACCGTTGGCGCTTAATTGTTTTTCCCAAACAAGTATCCAGTGTGTTGTCAAGATGAGAGGACTTCTCAATGGCTGGCGCCCCCCTTCGTTTCACATGCTGCAGCCTCTCCCGGGGTGTCACCTGAAGGACGCTTACAGGATTTGATTGAAGGTCTTCAAGTGTGAGCCTCATTCAAACCACACCTCAGAAAGTATTGTACCTCCATTACACACGCAGACAAAGACAGCAGGGTCACCGGCACAAGCGAGGTCCCACGAGTGCCTGCATCTGGAGTCGGGAATATCATAAGAATCGATGGTGCCTCAAAGAATTCCCCGTCCGAGATGAGAAGCAACTCGGGACTCAGACCCTGGCGGTCAATGAGGATCATCGGCGTTGAGGATCGTCCGAAGCGAGCCGTCATGCATGCGGCCTTCCTGGCTAGATGTAGCCGCGCTCCACCCCCAATGTTTCGAAACGGCTCTTAGCAATGCTACACATTGCAGCTTCCATGTTCGCACCTCGGTACAACCCCGGTGCAGGTCAAAAATTCCCGTATTTCTGTGCCTCAAGCTCTGTGCACTCCGGTAGTCTCCGCTTTTCTTGCATCCCCCGTCGCAATGCTCCGCGAGGAGCAGGCGGCTCTTTCTCCTGTACTAGCAGGATCAGGAAGTAAAGTGGGACATGTCGGAACTGCCAAGAGGAATGGAGATTGTGTCCCTATGCAGGACCTGGATCGGGTAACAGAGATGATCTCGAAGCGAATCTCACCCCGGCGGATAGGCTGGCAGGGGGCAAGGTGAGCAGGGCGAGCGCGACGGGCTGACCATGAAGGTCAATATAAGTGAAGCCGTCCTCCCCAACAGCAACAAGTTTATTTTCAAGCTTTTGTCCAGTAGTTCGTTCGTGGTCTTCATCGTTGTCTTTGTCTTTGTCTTTGTCTTTGTCTCTGTCTCTCTGACTTGCAGACGTTCTCTCATTCTACTTTACCTTATACATTCGTTGATAGCACAGGATGCCTTCTCTTCTCCTTCGCGCCGCCCTCGCCGGCAGCACTATTGCCCCAGTCGCCTACGCGTACACGCAGGCCAACGTTGCCTCGCCTTTCCTGTACAAGAACGTCGATCCGATCGTGTTCCCAGGCGAATATGGCGTCTCGCACATGCACTCGTTCTTTGGCTCTGATGCCGTCACTGCCTCAACCACAAGCAGCGCGGAGCTGCAGAAGGGCTGCACCACCGCTGACAACCCGAACGACTTCTCCGTCTACTGTGAGTCCCAATCTTGAGTCTCTTTCACTTGTTTCCGCCTTGGATCTATGCTAATCTCTTTGATCTCAAAGGGGTGCCACCTCTCATGTACACCAACGACAATGGCAAGACATACGATTACGTCCCCGTCATGCGCTTCTCGGCCTACTACAACCTGGGCGAGACTCCCGCCGAGGTCCCCATCCCGCAGGACCTGAAGATGGTCGCGGGTTCCGCCTCCGCAACGACCGCCGCGGACTCCCCCGCGGACGCCAAGGTCGAGTGGATGTGCGAGGGCGACTCGGGCATCTCGGCCGACGAGAACGGCTTCCCGAGCTCCACCTGCAGCACCCACCTGCAGACGCTCCTGTACTTCCCCCAGTGTGTCAACCAGGGCACGCTGGAGACGGCGTACAAGAGCCGCGACTATGGCACGGACAACTGGTGCCCCGAGGGCTCCAAGTCCATGCCCCAGCTGCGCTTCTCCATCCGCTACGACCTGCGCAAGGTCCTGCCCGACGGGTGGAGCGGCACAGCGCCTATCAAGCTGGCCAGCGGCAACGCCTGGTCTAGCCACGGTGATTTGTAAGTTTTCCTCGCTGAGGTTGTTTTCCCTACTTGCTAGATGCTAACACACATATCTAGCATCATGGGCTGGACTGAGGACGCCGCGCAGAACATGGTCGACGCCACTGCTGCCGACTACAAGTAAGTCTTCCCAAGAACAGTCAACGTCTGCAATTGGACCAGGGGAACCATTTCTGACTGATTACCGAACCACAGGTACCACTACTACGCCGTCGACGGCAAGCTCGGCACTGCCGGTACCAAGCCTACCTGCACTCCCACCGATGCTGACCCCAACAACGGCACCGACGACTACGCTGAGTCTGTCTCGCAGATGAGCAAGCGTTCCACATCGGGCTGGACATCCCGATCTCGCATGGCCCGGGCCTAAGTCAGCCAAAGCCGGTACGAGTTGAGATGGGGATTGGGTGTGAATCGCGTTTAGTTGTACATATTATAGGCTTTCTGCATGTGCAGACAGCCTGCACATATTTCGGAGTGAATACATTCGACCTCCCGAAGGCTGCTTCTTCAGCTTAAAAAAGTCCCCTGCTCCATTACTGCGCCCGTATGCATTGCAGTGGTGTGTACTTGCCTGCGGGCATGATTGCCAGACTTGGCGACTCGGACTTTGTGTTCATACTCAAATATGCAAGTCAAGAGATGAGCTCAGTGAGTTCTGAAATCTTCCTCGGCCCCTCCCTACACATGTATTATCTATACAGAGCTCTGAAAAGGCACGGGACTATAAGGAATTGAGATCATGTTTAATTATTGGCAACTCTCCAGCTTGGCCTAGCTAAGCGCATTGATACATAGTGCAAATTTGCTGGCTCAGTATATTGCTGTACCTGAGTACTTCATCAGCTACATCACTCCCTCCCCACACCTGACAACCAACTCTACTTATCAATTTATTCCTATGTATTATACTTAAATTTACAATGGTGTTAGTAACCTGTCAAGTCTTCTGGTCCTTGTTGTAACCGGCTTTGCGACACAGAATGGCTGCTTTCATCCACCTTCTTTGCTGGTCTGAGATTGCGGTCTGAGATTGAAAAACTGCTCGTGATCTTATGCCACGTTGACATGGTGTTGATCGTCACACTAGGGAAGTAAGAGGCATTGAGCAACAATTCATCTTCTCCTAGCATAGCTATGGCTTCACAATATCTTTCCGAAGATACTGGCCTACTACTATCTTGTGTCACAGCTGTATGGATTTCGCGGCTTAGAGGCCTTCCGTGTGTTAGTTAGGGTATTGATTCCAACTGCAAAGAGACGTGCGTACCTAGTGCCTGTGCAAGAGCCTTTCCGACAGCAGCAGCCGAGGCCGGGTTCTGACCAGTGATCAACTGGCCGTCGACGACAACCTTCTCGGACCAGGGCTTGTCAGCCTTGACGTAGATGCCACCGCTCTTCTTGACCGCGTCTTCAAGTAGCTGGGGCATGGAAGAGGTGAGGCCAATGATGTCCTCCTCCTCGTTGCTGAAGCCAGTGACCTGGCGATCTTGAAGCAGAGGCTTGCCATCAATCTTGACATTGACAAAGACAACAGGGCCGTGACACACGGCAGCCACGGTCTTCCCAGCGCTGTAGAACTCAGCAATGAGCTGCTGCGAGTCCTTGTCATCGACCAGATCAAACATGGGGCCGTGCCCTCCGGGGTAGAAGATGGCATCAAATTCGGAAGCCCGGCCCCTGAAGTTCTGCAGGGGCTGAGTCTCGGCCCAGAGCTTCTTCTCTGTCTCGTAGAACTGGACCGAGTCGGCGTCTTTGAAGTTCTCGACGGACTTTTGGTCGATTGGAGCCTCGCCGCCCTTGGGAGAGACGACCGTGATCTCTGCCATGGGAGGGCTCAGCTTCTTGCCACCGGCGTCCTTCCCGGTGAGCGCGTAGAAGGGGTGGGCGAACTCGGGCTTCAGGGCTGATCAGTGTCCAGAACTATAAGTGCCATGAGTGGAGAGAGGGATATGCGATTTACTCACAAGGTACCACCCAGTGGGCTGAGCCTGCTTCCTCTCGGCCTCGCTCAGCTCGCCGGTGGGCTTCTTGCTCATTACATCCTTGCTGGTGAGGACGACGAGGACTTTAGGTGCCATGATGAATGTATTGGTAGAAAAGGCGCGGGTAGGACAGACGTGAAATAGTGTGCTATTGGTTCGATGTGTCGAGCTGTGTCGAGCTGAGACGACGGAGGAATGTCAACATGAGCCTCGGCGGTGGTGAAAGGGGCGTATCCAGAAGAGAAGAGAGACGCAAGTGCAGCTGTCTTATATATTATTCTGAGGCACCCACGACATAGCGTGAAGTCTGGCATGAAGTGCCCGTGAAGTGTCCCCCATATTTCTCCTTGGATGACCTATCACTTCATTATTAATCCTCCCGCCTGAAGAGACTTTGCATCTCCGTCACAAGGACGCCGTGTGTGTCCGAATCAAACCATCTTGCTTACTCGACCAAGGAAGGAACATTTCCCTGGCAAGTGGACTCCGTACTAGGTAGTCTAAGCGATCTGCAACATGGCTCAATCCGTTCTTATTGTCCCCCATGTCGGGACCTGGAGTCCTTGGCCCACCCAATAGCAGCACACAGACACAGACGGGATACCCGTTTCTGAGCTTACGGCAACACGGGTATTCCGCACACCCTTCGGCCATGTCCCCCTTCCTTCTCACAACACAGTCCGGCATCGATCCGGGAAGACACCCGTTCCTCATCGGAAAGCCTCCGTTTCGCAGCTGGTGTCAGCCCATAGCAGGATGGACGGAGACGCCCAGGTCCCCACGCCCATGCCGCCAGGCCGACGGCCGCAACGACCTCCAAAGACCCGGCCGCGCGTTGGAGCCGCTTGTGCTCGATGCCAGAAGCGGAAGATCCGGGTAAGCAAGCTGTTTTCTCTATTTTCTCAGACATCTCTCCTCCCAGAACCTTGAGAATTGAGCCCCGCGGACACGTTTGTCATCGAACACGACCGGACTGGACTGACCACGTCCACGGGTCGAAGTGCGATGCTCTGGTACCAGCCTGCAGCCCATGCCAGAAAGCGAGCGTGGAATGTATCAGCGCAGGCACATCTCGTGAGATCCCACGCGGGTAAGACCGTCCACCGAAGCTTATGAATCTTGCCACAGTATTCTGATCCGCATTGCCATGAGCAGCTATGTCAACGGCCTGGAAACCCGGGTAAAGTGGCTCGAGTCTCTACTGCGGGAAAAGGTGCCCGGTATCGCCCTAGACAGCCCCGACGATGGGACCACGGGTCTCCCGTCGCCGGACCAAGGTAGCTCGGAGACCCAGGGCTCACTCCGCAAGATCTCGGAGCAGATAGGGCTTGTCTCCATCGCCCCAGGGACAGATATGCGTTATGTTGGCCCGTCAAGCGGCCTGTTCTTCACCAGATATGTCCTGGCAGGGCTCGCGAAGCAGGTTCGGATCGAGAAACCGATCGCCGATGCGTCAGATCAGCGCGCAGAGGTGCCTGCTGACCTGCTCGTGGTCCAACCGAAGGACTTGCCTTTAGACCAACGGCAAGCACGTTGGCTGTCACAGGCATATTTTGATATTGTTCACCCACAATACCCTTTCCTGCATGGACCAACCCACCTGGAAACCATTCAGAAGATTTACGATGGCGAGGAGGTTGGCCCCATACAAGAGTTCCAAACCTTCTTGGTCCTTGCCATAGGGGCTACAATCCACTCTCGTCGAGCCAAGTTGGCGCTCGGGGCTGAAGGATACTACGCCTCCGCTATGAGCCGGATGGACTCGGTTTCCCAATCTACGTCACTTGGAACAGCTCAATGCATAATGCTCCTGGAAATGTACACTCTCAACAACCCATCCTCTGGCCTGAACCTGTGGCCTCTGCACTACCAATCTCTGGCCATCACGATCGAGCTTGGGCTCCACCGAACCTTTCCCGTCAAGGTTCATTCCACCTATGAAGAACAGCTGCGCACCAGGGTCTTCTGGTGTGTCTATACCATTGACCGTTTGTTGAGCACTTTGATGGGAAGGCCCATGGGTGTAATGGACGAGCAATGCGATCTACGGGTAGGTGACACTCATGCCATCACGGTGACTTGCTTCAGTTGCTCTTACTCAAATTATTATTACTATTGTCATCAATATTGCGTGTCTGATCTTCCCTGTCTAGTTTCCGCTGGACATAAACGACTGTGATTTGTCACCGGCCCAAAATGATTGCACGGTTCGCCGGCCGACTAGCCCACCCACCGAGATGAGCAGTGCGATCCATCTGTTCAAGGTCGCGAGGTTCAATTCCGAAGTCAAATGCGTCTTGTATTGTGTCGACCGTAACTTCCCTCCATACACTCGTCTGGCTGTTACCGACGCTGTCGGGTGGAAGGCTGATATCCTCAACCGACTAGAGGAATGGAGACGCGAGATTCCCAAGCACTCCGAAGGCAGCCCGCTCCACCATATGAACCTTCTCTGTGACATCAAATACCACGAGCTCGTCATGTTGGTCCTGCGGCCGAACCCTCGGCTTCAACAGCCCGACCGCCAGTCACTCAGCCAATGCTTTTCCAGCGCGATGGACTGTTGCAAGCTCTATCACCAGCTTTATGTGAGCAAGTCACTGCACTATGGCTGGATGAGCGTCCACTCGCTCTTCCTATGTGTCATGGTCATGTTCTACTGCGTGTGGACACCACAGGGGGTCGCAGACGACGCAAACGTCGACTGCCTCATGCGTGCCCTGAAGGCCTCGTCTGACGTTCTGAGCGCGATGGGTGAGTACTGGCCCGAGGCGACGAGGAGCCGTGATATCCTCGACCGCGTCTCGACTGCGACTATCCGCCGCTTCTTCACAAAATCCAAGCAAAGACATGGCGACGCTGCGGCTACCGATCCTCGACCGTCTTCAGATCCTGTTCACAATGGCAACCCGGGGACATCCTCCGACTGGACTGGAATCAGTCAGGCCTCAGGGCCCCTAGCTCCAACGGCCCTTGATCACAGTGAGGGTATTAGTGACCCATTTCTGAACAACTACGGCGTCCATGATGATGCATTCATGCCTGCTGATGTACTTCATTTCTTTTTGGGCAATGGTATGGACATCGATACCGGAGATGGAGCTTCTGGTGACCAGAATCATGACGAAATTGACGAATTAATGTACGGACAGTTTGGTGACAGTACAGGCAGTGGGCAAGCGGCATAGGCAGCATATGGAGGGGGCAATAGACGTGTTGCAATAAAACTTGATTTCGCCCTGATTTGCCCATATTAGCCTGGGTATTTCATGACATCCGTGTTGCAAGCCACTATATGGAAAGCCGGTGTACATTCTTTGAAGGGTTGGTCGATGAGAAACAAATTCCAGCGCCGGCATCACAACTTCAGCGATCGAAGATAATGTGCTATTTGGGAAAGACAACTTTAGCAGACAATGGGGATTCAGAGTTCTGGGAACAGATTTTATGAATAAGATACAAAAACTGCTAGTTTTCTCTGATCCCTCAATTTCGCATTTAGTCTTCGTGACATCGTACTCCATGCCGTCTTTCGACGTCGATCTAGATGCACGTTACTCCCCAGCCCTCGCTCTATCTATGACTGCGCCTTCAGGACGGCCCGGAAATGCAGTCCTCCTGACTCAAGCCTCTCGACGGCCTTCTTGATTCCATCCTCCGTCATTTCGAACGACTCTATCTGCGGCCTGACTCCGTGATCAGCTGCAAACTCGAGCATCTTTCGATGAACGGCTCTCGAGGCGACCATCGAACCCTGGACGGCGATACCGTTGACTATCAGGGGCATGTATGGTATCTCAAAGTTGCCAGATGAGACAGAGAGCGGGTAAATCTTAGACTTGTACGCCATGAGCGGCAGCAGGGCGCTCCAGTCCGGCTGCGAGGATGCGGTGACAATGAGCCTGTCGATGGGCCACCGCGGCTTTTCCGACGTCTCCCCGCGTCGCTCGCGCAGGCTGACGAACTCGCCCGCGCCGAGCTTCAGCGCCTCGGCCTTCTTCGCGTCAGAGCCCGAGAGGGCGACGACGCGGCACCCGAGCTTGGCGGCGAACTGGATGGCCAGGTGGCCCAGCCCGCCGATGCCGAGGACGCCGACCGTCTCGTTGGGCCTGACGTCGTGCAGCGTCGCGAACACGGTGGCGCCGGCGCACTGCAGCGGCGCGGCGATCTCGTCCGGGAGCGCGTCCGGCAGCGGGTGCAGGAAGGCCTCTCGCAGCAGGGCGTGCGAGGCGAAGCTGCCGTTGTCGGTGTTGGCGCTGCCGTAGAGGGCGCGGTCGTGGCAGTAGTTGTCGTCGCCCTGGAGGCAGTGCTGGCAGTAGCCACAGCTCCCCGTCACATAGCCCCAGCCCACGCGGTCGCCCTTCTTGAGGTGCTGCACGGCAGGGCCGACTTCGAGGACGACGCCGACGCCCTCGTGGCCTAGGACCAGGTCGGCGGTTCTCTGGGAGGTAGTCAGCATGCAGCAGGATATGAGAGAATGGAAGCCTTTCTTACATAGTGTAGATCAGTGAAGCAGACGCCGGATGCCGTGATCTTCACCAAGACGCGATCACCCTCCAGCTGGTCTGGATGCACAATGGTACTCTTCTTAGGGAATCCATCTGCTGACCCCTTGAAGACGGTGAAAGTAGGCATGATTAGGGTGGGAGAATCCGCGATAGGGGACTTCGTCGAGCAGAACCAAATAAAGAACAGGAGAGCTTCTAGGTAACGATTTGTTGGGCGACTTGTTCGAATGGACAGTATCAGTCTGGCAGCTTTCGACGTCGCATACCAAACCATCTTATACCTATCCATCTATGCTGACGAATTCCCATCTTCATACCCTCTCTCTACCAATTGCGCTGCTGCTTTACTTGGAGTCGTGGAACTGGAATAGGCTGTTTACAAATCGGACCGTCTTTCTCTGAGTTTCTCCTGGTGCTGTGAGATTATTCCATCTCTTGACAAATGCCACCGGGGCTTTCCGTGTGGGCTTGAATCCTTCCCAACGGCTATTCCGCCTCCCTTGAAGGCGCACAACGGGATATCCGTCTCGTGCGGCAACACGATCCAGTTTGCCATTGAAGATTTCCTCTCTCGGACATCCTACCGGAATAGATCAAATAAGCAACTTGCCCAAAAGAATGATGCGATAGAAATCCCGATGGAATCCCGAACCCTGGTCGTGTTTGACTAATGAAGATGGATCTGTAGCTTTTCTCGGTGTAGATAGCTGGCCCACACCACAGTTGACCCATCCAAGGTCTTCAGACTTAACCTTCAGTTCTTTTTCGTCTTGGACAATGTCCAATCTCCCTAGAGACTCCACACAAGCATCTGCCTTTGGAGCAAAAATGACAAATTTCTTGATTAGAAATGATGCTTGAATCTATCCACAGTTGACCTGACCCCTGATGCTGAGCGCCGCCCTGAAAGGGGAAAATGGCATGGAAAGAAGTCAGGATCTATAGCTTTTGAATATCTACATAGGTTATATAACGGAGGTCATACCAAAGGCAATTTTGATTCAAGGTCATCTTCTCATCATCGTTCCAGACACACCATCGTTATTTTTCCAATTCGCACACGACATCATATCACACGATGACGATGCAGGAGACAGCAAAAACCCTTTACTTGGAGGCTGAGGGTATCCAGTATGCCTACCGGATCATTGGCAACTCGAGCGACAATGGGCCTCCTCTTCTAATGCTGAACCACGTCCGGTCAACGATTGATACTTGGGACCCCTGGGTCATCAACAATCTTACGGCAACTGGCCGTCAGCTCATCACCTGCGACTATACTGGACTCGGGCACAGCAACGGCCGCATTCAATCTAGTATCCGAGGCGTTGCGTGGTTCAACAGAAGCACAACTTCCCGCGCTGGTATTGCTGGCAAGGATGGCGAACCTGAGATTGCTCTGTCTACAACTGGAGAGGCACTCGTCAACCTCACCCAGGCCCATCTGACCTGGGACGCCGATCCGATACCGTATGCCCTCCTCCAGTCGATTCAAAAGGATGTTCTGGTCACCAACGGCGACAATGACTTGATCGTCCCCACCAAGAACTCCTATATTCTCGCCAGACAACTGCCCCGGGCCAACTTCGTCATGTTCCCGAGCAGCGGCCATGGTCATCTCTTCCAGTACGCCGGATATTACACTAAGCTTGTTGGAGAATTTCTGGATGGAAAGCTGCCGACTGCTCCATTTTCTTCTGGAAGAGCCCCGGCTTTTGGCTCATACGGACAGTACAACGAATAGATGGACAAGAAGGGGCGGCTGTGCTGGTTTCTGCCTTGGAGGGGTGCTGCTCTTGCATGTAATCTCTAGACTTCCTTAGCTTGAAATCTAAAGCCCAAGGTTGCCGCTGTTCTACTGCCAAAATGATACTTCTGTGTCCAATATGGTGACTTCGCTCTCCAGTACCTACCTAGCACAAATTTTCTCTCATAAAATACCATGTCGATATCATGCTTTTCTCTCTGAAGGTCACCGGGTGTTTCATAGCTCATTTGACGAAAGACTAATTGCCAAGTGACTGCCCGTTTTCCACTTGGAGGTCACTTTGGCGGACATACAATAGAGAATACGTCTACCAGCCCACTACTTAACTAAAGCATCACTGCTCCGCCGAGGCTTCGTTTTCCTTTGCCCTTGGGCATCGACCCGAGTTGGCCCATTCAAAAAGGCCTTATCCAAGCATTCGTGCCCTTGAGCACCATTGAGTGCTGGCCTCGAGTTTATTCTTGATTCTCCCTCAATGGGATTTTGCGCAATAGAGCAAAAGGTCACTGAGGGCTGAGCCTCCGACCCATCTCATCACTGAATAGGATGGCCGTGGCACCGTGGAGTAACCATTGTTGTATCTGTCGCATGGATTCTTGATCTGATCGCAGCCTGACTTTTAAGCCAATCTGAGCCCTCAGACTGCGATTCGAAGTCTGTGTTTAGCGGTTCGTGCCCTTTGAGCAAAGCATATGTTCAAACCTTGGCCAACAGCCCAAGACCTACTTTCCTCCTCTTCGTTTCTCTAGTAGCCACCAACATAAGCGTACCCAATAGGAGACTCGCCCCTGCGAATAGCTGCGCAGCCAGGTACTGTCCTCCCAAGACCGAGATCAGGGCGCCTTCTATCGGTGGCCCCGTGAGCACGCTGAAGCTAACAACTGTGAAAATCATGCCGATTCTGGTCCCTTGCTTTCGTAAATCTGTCGTCAATGCCGCTAAAGCTGAGGGAAACATTGACTAGATCCCTCCGACCGGAATGCCGCAAATCGCTGCCCAGGCATACAGGCCGCTAACCGACGAGATAGCGATCCAAGCAAACATGAGCAAGGCAGACGCTGCGGCCGTGGGTATAAAAACAGTGTGGGTGCCATAGCGGTCTGCGATGATGTTGGGTAGTATGCGACCAAAAATGCCTACACCATTGATGATCAACAGCAGATTCAGCGAATCGATGTACTACATGCCTTGGATATCACGCGAGTACGTGGAAATATAGAAGAAGGCAAAGTAAGTCCCCCAAAAGCACTGTCAAAACTGTGTCAGTAGATGTTTCGGTGCAACAAGAATAAAAACAGAGGGTACTTGCCATAAAACATGCTAGAGTGTATAAGGCATATTCAGTCTCCTTGAATGCCGCCCAATCTATCAAGCGCCCTGTTTTCCGGGGCGCGATACGCGGCCTCAGACACAAGAATGCCACAGCCAGGAGCACGCACTGCGCCAGCGCGATGGTCCTGATTGTCCACTCGAACCCAATGCGAGGGAGCAGCTGCCGCACCATGATGGGGAACAGCACGCCCCCAGTGCTGCTACCGCATGCTCCCAGCCCTAAAGCCAGGGACCGCCGCCGCTGGAAGTACGTCGACACCACCGCCACGGCCGGGCAAAAGAGGCAGCCGTTACCGAGCCCGACGCAGACGCCCTGCGCCAGGAATATCTGCCAGTACCGGCCGCTGGCTGACGCTGCCAGTGCGCCGCCCACGACGAGCACCCCGCCCGTGAGGAAAAGTGGGCGGAAGAACCCTGCGTCCGTCAGGCGGCCCGTGACGGTGCCGATGAAGAAGAGCAGGAAGATCTCGACCGGGCCGATCCACGATATGTCCGAGGGCGAGCGGTGTAAGGCGTCCACGTAGTAGCTCTGGAAGACGCCGAAGGAGTTGATGACGCCCCTGTGCGGCATCTTTAGCGCCTGCAGGGCCCGACTGAAGATGACAATTGTAGATCAAGGAGAGCAAAACGTACCAGGTGTTCATGACCACAAGATGGGTGCCCAACACTGCCCACAGCCTCGAGTCAGCCGCATTGGTGTAAGCCAGTCGCCTCCTCCTGCTTTATACATACCGCACATCCAGGCTGAGAAGCCCCCGTCGGGCGGTGGCGTAGGCGTCGTGCTGGACCTTGATGTGAATCTACTCAGGACCTGTTCTCTGCCATGTGCCGGGCAATCCTCTGCAGGTGCTTGGTGACAGGTTTGTCCATATGTCTCGGGGCATTGATCTATCGCAGCCTGCGCAGGTCCTCCGATAGGTGGCCACTTGCCTTGTGACAATTCATACTGCTGGTTTTTCTCGGGGCCCCGATGGGGACGGCGGGAATTGTTGACATGGCGGTTTTGTGATCATCCATGCTCTGAAATGGCTGCGTCTCGTAGCCTCTAGGCTGTTTGTCGTACGGTACTGGTCGAGGAATTCGTTCGTCGAGCCGCAATGGGGCAATTCCGGTCTGGCAGTCAGCAAGAACGAGCGAAACCCATGCTTCAATCTCGAAATTGTACGTATGTTTTGCTGCTGAAATGAGTGATCCATCCTGACCAGATTCGCCTTCAAGATTGTACTCCAGATACTTTGAGGAATAACGGCACACACGTGAGCGGCCGAAGGGCGTGGTTGACAAGATAGAATTTGGTTATTAGTCAATCGTCCTAACGCATTTCCAGCAAAGACCCATATTAGCATTTCATAACGTCAATGCTTGGAAGACGGAAAAGCCGTTCATTGCGTCGGAATCTATTTTCCGACTTTGTTGAGACGGAATCTCCCGAGTAGATTCCAAGTGGTATAGGAAATGGGCACTGTTACAATACCCCTGGGGCGCGCCAAGTGCGTTGAGGGTCGCCACATCGATCGTGCGCTCCTACTTACCATATCGTGTTCAGCACGATCCCGGCTGATTTCGCTGAATGAAAGACCCGAAATGTCTGTTTCCATTGACTCTACTGAGCCCTGCGTCTAGTCCTCTCGAGAAACCTGATGAGAAGAGTTGATTCCATGCAATTTGACCGCCGGATCAGTGTGGCTGTGGATCATCTAAACTCGTGCTCGGAAGAGAAACAATCCAAGTTGGCCGTCGTTGCTCACCTTCTCGCCTCCGACGTACATGTGATGCTCGCGGACATCAGTGAGCCTCACATTGACGAAGAGGCTCGGCACGGTGAATCTTCTTGTGTGAATCGCCGTGATGGCTCGTGCAACCTCGCTCTTCTCCGCCTCGTTGAGGGGAATTGAGTGCAAGACCTCGTACAGTGGCATCGTACTGTGCTGGAGAAAGAATTGAATGGCAGTATTTCTCTGCCCTTGAAAAATGAAGAATGAAACTCGTCTGAGTCATGCGAACAGATTATAGTGAAGTAGCGAATCCTGCTTCGTTCAGAGTTGCATATAGGGTAGTAAGACACGGCTTTTCCGTTGTACGGCGGGGCTTCTCCCGTCTCTGGTCCGGATGGCTTCGGTACAGAGCAGGGTGGATGCTGAATTACTCAGCTGTCGTCTAAACTTTCCTCTGGAAAGCTCCCGTGTAACCCAAAGGGCTGATTTGACGTCTAGGCTTGTTTAACCAGGCGATTGCATCTCTTTGAATTCAACCAATGCCCTCTTGAAAGGCCAGTTGGCAGGAACGTATCCATCCCATGGCACCAATATAGCCCGTATTCACGACCATAACCTTTTTCCGACGATCCTAGAAAAGACGATGCATGCAACTTGAATAGGCACATGTAGACACACTAGAACTGAAGCAGGAGGTACCACAAAGTTTCCAGATGCGAATATCGGGTTTCTATTTCCACATCCAGAGCTATCTATAATAAAGGTTTTAGCAACTTCCCGCCTCTAAACTTGATTGTATGGGTTCGGTCCAGACAATACCACTGTCATTATTGTAGTACTCTGGCTTACACATGACAAGGAGCCTCCGGATTAAAAGAGCACGGCAAGTCTGTCGGGACCGCGGCTATAATTTCCCCCACGAGATCGCCCAGGTTAGAACTGTTGACATCCTTTTGCGGCTGGAAGCCCTCTTTGTAAGGAATACGTTCCTCAGCTTGAGTTCAAAACGCATCGTTAGTACAGCACTCTCCGAATAAACAGTCAAAAGTTTTGTGTGCTTAGAACATACCGAACAACGCCCACAGCCAGTCCTTTTTCACTTCCTTCGTCATCCCACCGAGCACAATCATGTACAACGCAGTCGTGCCCGCGCTCTTGACGAGTGTATCATTGGTGAAGAGGAACTCCTCGTTGCCCGCTCGGCTCTTGATCAGCACATGTCTCGCACGCGCCCTCGCGGCGACCCCCAGATCGAAGTAATCCCCAGTGCCGCCAGACGCCTCCTGCTCCTCCTCCATCAGGCGCCACTGCGTGTCCCACGTGGGGCGGTCGAAGGCCACACTGTCGCCGAAGAAGTCGTCCTTGCGGGAAATGCTGCCGTCGATCTCGATCGGCCCGTTGTGTGTGTTGACCGTGTCCATGTCGAAAGTCGTCTTCTCCGGGTGCACGGCTATGTTGGCAGGGTCAGTGATCGCGGCGTGGAAGGTCGTGTTGGCGAAGCCTGGTATCGACGGCGGCAGGTCAAAGGCGAACCCGCCGCGCACGGCTTCGACTAGCATGTCATAGGTGATGTTGCGGCCGTTGTGTGGGAGCCAGCCGTGGTTCGCAAGAGCGTTTATGCCGGGGCAGGCGGAGCGGGCTGAGAGGGAATCAGCAGTGCTTCTGCGAGACAGCACAACGAGACGAAATGCCGTATAATGGGCGTCATAAGAGGATACTATTAGAGACATACCGTCGCCATGACCAGGAGGATTATAAGGCGGGAAACTATTTGCCAGTGGCGTTGCGTAGACCTGCCTCGCGCAGGAGACAATGCTGAAAGCAAGCGCGGAAACTGAAACGAGCATCATGTTTGCTAGACTTATCCAATTCGGCATGCAAATTGTTCAAAGTTCTTGATACCGGACGAGATGGTAGATAGTCTTGACCAGAGAGCACCCATCCCGCATCTTTATAGAAGGACCACCACCCAGATGAAGATTCCATATCATGCTATTCCACATCATGCTGCATTGCAATGAGGCGGTGCAAATGGTGTATCTCTGACTGCTCCGTCTTTCCCTTCAGCCGTGTCTGAGGCAGCGAAAACTAAGCAGCAATACGCTTCACATTATTCGACAGTCATTGTGCGTGCACAGCCCATCGGCGTATTGGCGTATCCGCGTATTGGCGTGTCAGCGCTTACTACGTCCGCTGTCGCTCTCAAGCAAAGTGAGGCCTACCCTGTCCGATTTCATTCCCGCACACACACTTTAAAGAGAGCTCGAAATTTTGAAGTGTAAAATCTAACGTAGTGTGTGAGGGAGTGAACTAATTGATAGGGGTGGGCCTCACTTTGCTTGAGAGCGACAGCGGACCCGACTGCACTGATCAAATAAGAGAGACTTGTTGACTATCAGACGCCAAATTCTAACCTGAGCTCAAATCGAAAATACTGTAGCCATCTGAAGGATAGTCATCTCTGGGAAAATTGCTCTGGAACAAGGTCACTTACAAACCAACCGCCTAATCGAACATAGTCTGACCAACGATGGATTTTTCTAAACACCAATTGTCATTGCTTGACTTTTCTGGAATTGCAAATTGTTGTTTGAGGTGTGTTTTCTGCCCCTAACGCCTTTCTCTATCTCAACTACGTGTTTAGGTACCTTGGTAGTTGTTTGATGTATCTAATTTCCGGGTTGTCCGTTCCGGGTTGGTGCTGTTGGCTCAATTGTTTTGCGGATCCCTGCGCCCCCCTCCCCCCCCTCCAAGAAGCCACGACCAGATCTTAACTAGCAATTCTTCAACATACATTCCCATACACCGACTAGTATCTGGTGAGTTTTGTTTTGATTTTAATTGGGGTCGTTTTGAGCCACTTCGTTTCTGGATGCCATCGCAGCAATCTCAAGCCGCAGTCGACAGAATGGAGCCGAGAGTGGTCAGGCAATGTGGTACGATGTAGGCAGCACCGGTCTTCCCGCGCTTCTCAGTGGCTAACCACCCCCTAGCGAGCATTGGTCGACGTCGAGGCACGCCATCGGCATTTACACAGGGATTGCAAATTCATGCCGGTACGTGATCGCGGAGCACCGCCTGCACGGCCGCCCAGTGCAGGCCGTCGTGGAAGACGCGTTGGCCCGTTTGATCCTGCGCCTGGGTGGGCTGAGGGTCGGCATCACCAGGGAGGACACCAACCATGCCAGCTTCGTCAGTGTGGCTTCCATGGACCTGGGGGACTTTATCGAGTGGGAGACAGTGGCGGAGTCTAGCCAGGCACAATTTGATGCGCGGGTCTTGGGAGCGACCAAGAACAGGCTGGAGCAGCTGTGGCCGGACGTCGCGAGCCGCCCGCCGTGGAAGCTGCTCGTCGTCCAGAATGGTGCCTCGGCCCCGGGGAACGTGGTTCTCGATATGGTCTTTGCGACGCATCACGCCCTCGCAGACGGGAAAAGCACGATGGCTTTCCATAATGGATTGTTGCGTGAGCTCAACAGCAACTCAGGCCCACCGGCAGAGCTGCGGAGTCACGTCCTCAGCTTCGACCGGACCCCAGTCCTCGCACCACCTCAGCATGAGCTCATCCAGTTCAAAATCGGTTGGTCCTTCTTTCTAAAAACTCTATGGAAAGAGTTCGGTCCTTCATGGCTCAGACCGAGACCTCCTGTGGAGCCATGGGTGGGGAAGGTGATCACCCTCGAGCCACATAGGCTCAACCTTCGTCTCGTTTCAATCGAACCCGAGGTCGTCAAAGGCCTCGCCACAGCTTGCAGGGCTAATGGTGCCACACTCACTGCGATTCTTCACGTCCTAGTCCTGGCCTCCGTAGCCAAGCGCGTCCCCGCTGAGGTTGCACCTGCCTTCTCAAGCGAGACACCCATCGGCTTGATCCCCTGGGCGAAGGCGCCACCTGGTGTTGACGTGGACCTCAACAACATACTCTCGGTTCTCAACACCAGCTCCAACAAAGTATGGGATGCAGACACGGTCGCAGACCTGCGACGCAGACTCGGCGAGGTAGACGAGGGCCTCGAGAAGGACGTCATCTGGCCCCTAGCGGCGACGTGGCGGGCCGAGATGAAGACGAAGCTCGCCTCGCTGCCAAACGACGACGTCTGCGGCCTGATGGACTACGTGACGGACTGGCAAAAGCGGTGGGAGGGGAAATTCGGGAAACGACGCGATGCCACCTGGGAGGTCTCTAATATCGGCCTCATTAAAGGTATCCCCGACGAGGGCCGCGGTGGCTGGAGCACCCAGCGCTCATTCTTCACCCAGCCAGCATTTCTCGCCGGTCCCGCCTTTGCGGTCAATGTCACGGGTGTGGAAGGGGGCGAGGTTACTCTGACGCTGAATTGGCAAGGCGGTGTCATTGACGATGCTGTTGTCGACGGCGTAGTCGAGGATTTGTCTGCTTGGTTGGAGGAGTTTAGGGTGAACGGCAGGTTTGGTATAGTCGAGAGTAAGAGATGAAAACCCTGGCACCACACTGGTAGGTGCTTGCATCTCGTCACGCAAGAGACAGCTCGGGAGAAGCCATATTTGGCAGGCAAGATCAAATAATGTGTAATCAATATCCATGGCTTAGATTCATGAGTACTTGGATGCAGCTTTACTTTCCTGTGCATCCGATCAGCTCACAAGTCCCGCACAAGAGGTCGGCCGCAGATTGTGTTGGGGAAGGGCAAGAGTCGAAGACGGAATGGAATGCCTTGGTCTTTCCAAATCCCTGGTAGTCGACGTTGAAGTGCGGCTCAGGGATTAGAGTTCTGGTGTGGAGTCCTCGGCAGGCGACCCGATTCGCCCAATTGAAGCTGTCGGGAGCTCGACTCCAAAATATCTGTCGCGCGGCTTGCGGCTGACTATTTCGGCGGATCGCCAATTGGACTGATTGCTGGCAGAGACACGCCTGCGTCTCGTCAACCACTCCGTCATGGCGTCGCCTTTATTAACCAGGGCACCATGCCTGGTGTGCCTCAGGATAATAACACAGGTCGGCAGCGCGTCTGTGACTCCGTTCTTCAGGCAGATGCGGAAAAAGAGCGGGCGGTCAAAGGATGCCGGCGTCATCGTGCGACTGCTAGTTGACATGAAGGGATTCGGCAAGGAAGGTCAGTGGGCATCCCGTCGCACCTGCAGAGCCAGAGCCCGTGCAATTCATACTGAACATTGTCTTACGCAGGCGCCATCTTCCGGACCGAACGAGGCAGGATGCGCAACCTGTGGTACCCCACGAAGAAGGCCGAGTTCATGACGGACGCCCGCTTCAAGGAGCTCGGCCTGACCAAGAACGACGTTGGCGAGCGCGACCCCATGTTTGGAATGCAGATTGAGATGGAAGAGGAGCTCGTCGACGATGCGGTCGAGGCGGTCGCGGGCATCACCACGGGCGCCGCCGCCCTCGGCACCGCGGCCGGGCAACCGGCTCTCGAGTCACCAGGCCATACGCCTGCTGTGGAAATTGAACACGTTGCTGTTAGTTCTCTATGGATATTCCAGAACGGACCCCGGCTGTTGCTAACGGGACGACCCCCTTCCTACAGCCCAACCGTGCCCTCGAACTCCTCACCACCATGATTCCCGAAGTCATCACCTTCGAACGCTTCCTGAAACACCTCCCGCCTATCGTCAGCGCCGCCAGCACCCCCAAGCCAGCGCCAAGCGAGAAACCAGAGCAGCACAAGGTCCTGTCGCCCCTCGAGAGGCGACGGGCCAAGATGCTCGAGGCCCAGAAGGCGCCAGAGCCGGAGAAGACACCCGAGGCCCTCGAGGCCGAGCGAAAGGCCAAGGAGGAGGAGGCGGAGAGGGAACGCAAGCGCGCCGAGGAGGAGGCCGAGAAGTTCAAGGAGATTCACGGGTCGGTATCGTTGCGTGACGTGGCGACCTTCATCAAGGACAAGATGCTGCTGGACCCGGAGGCGTCGAGGGTCCACGTCCAGCCCGAGGAGATCAGTTTCTTGGGGCTCGCCGAGGGGGCGGACAAGGTCGAGAAGGTGGGCAGGTTCGACATCGAGATCCGGACGCACGTCGGCAGGGACAAGGTCGAGCCGGTCAGGAAGTCGGTCGAGGTCGTCGCTGCTTAGGCGGGCGGGCGGGCAAGTACGCAGTGCCGCTGTAAAATTACGGTGCGAGATACCTTCGTGGGCCATGTCTTTGGGCAAATCTGGGTAGCTCAGTATAGACAAATGTAGGCTGTGTTGAATAATCTCGCATGACAGGATGGGCAGGCAGGCTGCAAGCTGGGATCAGGTGGCCGTCCACTTTCTCGCCACCCTCATCATTGTCACGATGTATCTACATTGACAGTGCTGTGAAGTCATTCACGGTATGCCCATTTTCCCTTCCTACCGATTCTCGGGCAACTTGTCTCATGTATGACATGCAAGAGAAGGAATGGTCCCTTGGGAGGCCTCCAGGGCTTTGAGAGCTCATCAAGATGACATCGAGATGTTTGAGAGCATTCCGGCAATTCCTGGTTAACGTGGTAACAACCAGGAGCAAACATGTTTTTTGTTGAACCGTGACGCTCAAGACACATCACGAATTGCCGGTGCCCCCTCGCCCTCCCCGGTGCTGGGTGGCGATGGACTGAAGAATTCATGTCGGCCACTAGCGATCTTTGTACACATTACACGGAACGATTTCGGTCCCCAAATGAGGCTGGTTTTCGGCCGAGTGAGGCTCTCGTCGCGGTCTGACTGTGTTTCGGAGGAACGTACGACTTGCGAGTGTAGCGAGCGTTGCTCGAGTGTTTCCTTGCGCAGCACGTACGACATGATCAGGCAGCGCGGTCCAGATCCGTTTCCTGAGGCCCAACGTGTGGCGGTGACGCACGAGTGACACCCAGCTTCGTATGTGTGTTGCACAGTTACAGCCGTCGTGGTGCCGGCCGGGGAAGGCGAACGATGATGCAGCGAGGACGGCGCGGCGAAGGGCTGTCAGGGAGATAGCAAAGACTTTATCCAAGGTAACACGTGTGTGTCTACGCGCAACTTGAAGTCGGGAGCAGATGTCATCGCGGACCTGACTTGCGTCCGTATGTGAGTTGCCGGTGTTCTACAACACGAGAGGAATCTTTTCAAGCAGCTCACTGTCACGGAGCGCTGTCATCGGGAGAGCCGAGAACTTTCCAGATCACATATCAGTGAGCTCAAGCCTGTCACATGCGTCGTCGACCGTTGATGGCTCGAGATCGACTGTCCTTCGTATCAAAGGGAGAACAAGGCATCCCATGTTGGGTAGTCCTGTAGGACATGACCTCGGAGGAAGTAACGGTCATCCAGGTATGGAATGCTTTCGAAGCCCACCACAAGACTTTTGGCAGTTGTATTGGCTGAGCGTATCAGATCCAGTCATGCCAGCCTCAACATGACGGTACAGGTGCGATGAGCTTCTTTGACACTCTATGGTGTATTGATGTTCCCAGGTCGGCTAAATATCTCGGTAGAGGAAGTATATAAAGTACGAGACTGAACCAACTCCTTGAGTTCCGACTGAAAGCTTTCCAAACCATCGCTGCTCACCCTCGGATCAACAGGCCTGGTAAAGGACCATATCAACATCTTTACAGGTTTTTTATAAGATTTCATCAAATTTTGGTCCTAGTCACCATGAAAGTCTGCAACCTTTTACTCGGTGGCGCCCTCGCAATCACCACCAATGCCGGTGTAGACCCACCTAATTCGAACCCTCCCATCGCCTATTTCGTCTCATATCACCAGCCAGGTTGCCTCAAGAAGGATCAAGGCGCCTACATAACCCTCGTACAAACCCAGGATAGCGTCTGTTATGATTTCTCCCCTCCCGCTCCGGCCATTGTCCAGTCAGCCTTTGTCACCTCCATCATCAACGGCTGCGTCGGTGAGCTTTCCACAGCATCAGGCCAACTTCTTGTTTCGCCCGCAGAGTGCTGACAAATTCTGAACCAGTGTACGTGTACAACGATGCAAATTGTACTGTAAATGAGGTCACGCTGGACCTAGGCTTTGAAAACTGCTATGACGATACCACGGGCTTGGGCTCCTACAAGGTCGTGTGCGGACGCAGGTACCCAATCCCTCACACTACCAAAACCAGCACCAGCCTTTCGGCGTCAGCGTCTCAGAAGTGAGGTTGGACATTTTGTACCGTAATGCTTCATTGTGCCTCTTTTGGCCAGGTGTACGGAGTACTAGTATGCACGAGAAACTTTCCGCTCGCTTGGAATGGACATGGGATGCGGATGCGTCGATAGGGAGTATCTCGGATTGATCTGTTTGCATGTAGAATTAATTGGTCATCCACTTACAAAACAATCCAGTCTCATTAGTGTGCAACAGATCTGCTTCGCATGAGAAATCTTTTAAAATGTGGAAGGAGGATGTAATTCGAGATCAAGATCATGCCGAGGTAGTCAAATATGTGCGCTGGGTCAGTCCAGGTACTCGGCACACGATTCATAGCCAGAATTGAGTTTCAACTAAAAGAATATGGATTGGCAATACAAAGAAGCCGAGCTGGAAGCTAAAATAGTTGCACACACAGACCCAGAACCTGTTCTGAAACTCGAGGCACAAGTAGGGGAGCTTACTGTCATGTCCCTAAGGCTTTGGTCAATGTCATCACTTATAGAATAATTCTATTAATCAACAACGCCATGCCTGTATCTATATTACTTCCCCTCGAGCTTGCCTTCGACCTCTTCAGCCCACCACTTGGCCCAGTCTACGACCTTCCTACCCCTCTTCGCTTCCTCTGCGCAGAAGACCATGGCATGGCTTCTGATCACCTCATCGAGGGTACACCTGATGACCTCCTGCTGGGCCTTCTCACACGTCCAGCCCTCCTCCCTGTTGTTCTTGACCAGGTCTATGGCCTCCACGAACTTCCTCGTCAGCCCCAGGTCACCGCCCCCGTGTCCCATGCTCTCCATGCGCGGCGTGTGCGTGGTGGTCTTGCCCGTGTTGAAGTCCTCGACCGCGATGGTGTACGAGTCTGCGTATATCTCTCCCTGGGTGCCGTAGATCTTGGTGAAACGTTCACACTGCCGCTTGGTCTGGGCCACCATGTGGAAGGTTGCCTGCTTCGAGCCCCGGCCGCCCAGCTGGTCCGCCATTGGGCCGATATCGTCCTGCGGCGAGGGAGGGTCGTCGTCCCAGGTGATGGTTACGACCTGCTCGTCGGCAACGTCGTTGTCGCTCTCGTACACACATCTCCCGAACCAATTGCGCCTCGCAATCTCAGAGTCCTGCATGTCTGGGCCGTAATCTTCAGCCAATCTCGCCATGAGCGCCCCACGCACCTTATCGCTATCTCCCATGTCCTCTATCTCGGGCAGCACAACGTTCACCGGCCAGCTGGTGTTTCCCGTGTCCAGGCCCATGAAGGGTTTATCGCTCGTGTAGATGCGCTTCGCAGAGTACTTGCAGGTTTCCTCGACGGGGCACTTGAGACAGTTTGTTGCATCGCCGGCACCGACTGGCTTGCGGTTCTTCCGGAAATACTGTAACCTCCCACTGCTTGTCACTGTCGACGGCAAGTGCGGCAGCGCCTTCTCACCCCCGTCCTCGTACTTCACCGGTGAGCAGAGCAGCCAGAGCAGCACATCGATGTCGTGGCAGCTCTTGGTGAGGAGGCTCGGGGCCGAGGTGTCCTCCCTCCTCCAATTGCCCCTCACGTAGCTGTGCGTAAAGTGCCACCAGCCGACCGGCTCAGTATGCACCACCGAGAGCACATCCCCAATTACCCTGTCCTCGAGCAACAGCTTCCGCAGCACCATGTTGTGAGGGCTGTAGCGCAGCACATGGCCGATGGAGAAGATGCGGCGCTCGCCGTTCTCGTCCACGTTGGCCCTCAGCGCCCGGTACATCTCAACACAGTCGTCCAGCCTCGTCGCCAGGGGCTTCTCGCACATGACGTGCAGTCCGCGCAGCTCGGCCAGCGCGATGACCACCTCCCTGTGCATCTCGTCCAGGACGCATACATAAACGCCGTCAACACCCGGGGGCACACCAGCCTCGCCTGCTGCCGCCCGACGCCGCCTCTCCTTCTCGTAAGCGATGAAGTCGGTCCACGACTCGAACTCCTCGCCCTCGGCCGGACCACGGTGGCGCCCCCAGATGTACTTCTGGCCGAACTGGGCGCGCTTGAAGGCGTGGGGCTCGGCGACGGCGGCGACGAGGCCGCTGGTTGCGAGCTGGGTGAAGTGGGCGTAGACTTGGCCTCGGGACCCTCCGCCGATGACCAGCAGCCGGGGTGGGGAAACCGAGGGAGGCGGGCGGGTTGGGGACTGTATGGCGATGTCCTTGTCGGTTGCGACGACCGGGCCGGGCTCAGCGAGCACTGGCCGCATGGGCGGTGAGTCCTCCTGCTTGCCCATGGTGAACGAAGAGAGGACGCGGTGGTGGTGTGAGTCTCAAGACGAAAGGAAGGGATGCGAAGGAGGGGGCAGGAGAAGAGGTGAGGCTTCTCACTCTCTAGGAGGCATGTGTGAAGGGACAGAAAAGAAAACGAAATCACTGCAGCACAGTTATATACGGGGAGTGTGCGACGAGGGAGTGAGAGGAAGCCATCCTTCGTATTTGAAAGGAAGTGCCGACCTATTCCCAGAGGGTGGTAGCAGCCCGTCCGTCCGCGTGGGTTAGTCGAACACGTTCCAACGGTCACCCACGCAGCCGGGAGACATCAGTACCTACAACAGGCAAGCCAGTGCCAGCAGGCCCAAATTAGATAGCTGGTCGGCAGGTGTTTTATCCTTCCGGCCCGCTTTTCCCTTCCTGGGCCCTTCTGGTTCCTGGGCGTAGGATGGGTGGAAGTTGGACGGTGCATGGTTCATGACCTAGTTAGTCCCAGTTCCAGTCCACATGGCCGAGCGCGGTCGCTAATCATATTTTAAGCAGGAATACAAGCTCCCTGATTCGTCTTCAATCTCAGCCTTGCATGTGAGAGACCTGCACGAAGGATTCCATGGCCTTCAGCACGGCCACTCCCGTCTCCGTCGCCGGCAAGCACGTTCTCAAATTCTGTCGACGGGGCTTGATTGCCAGAACACGTCTTCCCTGGTGCAGGGTGTCGATCCATACAACGTTACTTGGTCCCCAGCCCCTTCCGAGTAAGCATACGCTCCGGCAGCCTGGAGGAGCCCGTTACTCGTCCGTCACACCTCGGACGGTCGTTTCTTTCAGGCAGAGAATGGCTGCACAAAATGCTGCTCCATTGGTCTGGATCGACTGTGAGGTAAAGACAAATCCGCCTGTCGTGCATGGCTCGTATCGCCATGTTCTTGGCAGCATCAATACTAACAAAGCATGCAGATGACCGGTCTGGACTACAACAACGACGAGATCATCGAGATATACTGCTTGATCACCAACGGCAACCTTGTACTGGTCGACACAGAGGGCTGGGGAACAGTCGTCCACCAGCCCCAGGCACGCATGGACCAGATGGATGAGTGGTGCACGCGGACTCATGGTGAGACCGGACTCACAGCGGCCGTCGTAGCCTCAGACGTCACTCCGGAGCAAGCCGCGGACGGGCTGCTGGCCTACATCAAGAAGCATGTCCCCCAACCGCGCACCGCCATCCTCGCCGGCAACAGCGTCCACGCCGACCGCGCATTTCTCATGCGGGAGCCATACCGGAAGGTCGTGGACCACCTGCACTACCGGATCCTCGACGTCAGCAGCCTGAAGGAGGCAACGAGGAGGTGGTCGCCCCGGGCGTTGGAGAATGCGCCGGCCAAGAAGACGCTGCACAAGGCCAAGGATGACATCCTCGAGAGCATCGAGGAAGCCAGGTTCTACAAGGAGGCCGTCTTCGAGAGGAGATGACGCTCGAACGGTCCGTGCTTGGCGGACGCCGAGCTCAGCTGCTTCTCACGGGCAAGCCTCAGTGAGCTGCATAATGACCACCCACCTTTGAAAGTCGAGCCTGATCTACTCAGAAAAATCTGGAGGGCTCTTATCATATCACTATCATGGTGAGAAACTAGTGCGGTCGGGACTATGACAGGAGGCAACCAGCAGGGCTGAGACGGCCGGATACAACCCAGTCGTAGCGGCCGACGGGGCTTATTTCTCCAACGCGACGAGAAATGAAGCGACCAGTAGGCCGACTGCAACGCAACGCGAATATTCTAGAGCCGCCAACAAAAGACCCTGCTGGAAATCTCTCACGGCATCCCAACGTTTGGGATTGAGGGTTTCAATGGTTAGACGGGTTACTCCCGCCGATTTAATCTGTGAAATACGAAGTCGCAAGTGCGAGCAATTCCCACAGTGTGCAGTGCGTGCCCCTCGTCCCTGAATAACACGTAGGTAGCTTAGGACCTGCAAGTCGTGTATCCGTGCGCTTATACGAGTTGGCCTTCAACCACAGCTCATTAATTTTCATGAATCCATCCTCCACAGAGAGGCACACCCATGCCAGCGCGGAAATGCTACTCAGATGCTTTTGCTGTAACTGCTGACTGGCCATGAGTGTTTTTCCTGGAAGTACGCACCGTACATCGTACAGTCTGACATTAAGCGGGCAAAACAGTGATCAGGGACCATTGAGCTTAGCCCTGTCCAATACTCGCCCGAATGCCGTTCTGCCCCACGCCACGCCTGCACCACGACTGTCTAATTGGGCCTGTGGCAATGACGTCCCGGCGAGGGACCCCACCTTCCATTGGGGGGGAGCTCATCGGCCAGACCGCAGCTTCTGGAGTGACAAGCATACCGTCGTCTCCCCTATTTATCGCCCAGCACCCTCCCACGCATGTCCCACTTCCTCACCGTCGATCTCTCGTTGACAGCCAATTCTGCTCCTCACTTACAAGCCAAATACCTAAATTCCGTTCTGTCACTATGAGCATCAAGGAGGTTCAGTTCGCGTCCTTCACGGACCAGAAGCCCGGAACGTAAGTTGTGAACAGCTTCACCCCGCACCGTCTAGGTGTCCCCTGCTGGCGTGCTTGTCCCATTCCATGCCACTCGAAGCTCCTGGGGCAACCACAGACCAGACATGTCGCTGACACCTCCCCAGATCTGGTCTTCGAAAGAGGACCACTGTCTTCCAGCAAGCCCACTACAGTGAATCCTTCGTCACCAGCATTCTTCTGTCTATCCCAGAAGGTGTAGAGGGTAAGCTCGATCTGCCTCTTCCCAGTAGCAACACCAACGACCAACGCCACTGACACAGAGAACAGGCTCATTCCTGGTTGTTGGTGGTGATGGCCGGTACTGGAACCCCGAGGTCGTCCAGTTGATCGCAAAGATCGGTGCCGCATACGGTGTCAAGAAGCTGCTCGTCGGCCAGAATGGCATTCTGTCCACACCTGCTGCCAGCCATGTTATCCGCAAGAGGAAGGCCACTGGCGGCATTCTCCTGACTGCCAGCCACAACCCTGGTGGTAAGTAGCTCTCCCTCCGTGCTCAAGCATTCGGAGACATACGATACAGGCCCGCTGACCTTCTCTTGCGCCAGGTCCCAAGAACGATTTCGGCATCAAGTACAACCTGGCCAACGGTGGCCCCGCTCCCGAGTCGGTGACCAACAAGATCTACGAGGTCTCCAAGACCCTTTCCTCGTACAAGATTGCCGATATTCCCGATATCGACATCTCTACGGTCGGCACCAAGACCTACGGCCCTCTAGAGGTCGAGATCATCGACAGCACCGCCGACTACGTCGAGATGCTGAAGGACATTTTTGATTTCCCCTTGATCAAGAAGTTCTTCACCGAGCACCCTGATTTCAAGGTCCTCTTCGACGCCCTCCACGGTGTCACAGGTCCTTATGGAAAGGCTATCTTCGAGGAGGAGCTTGGTCTTGTCGGCTCCACCCAGAACTGCGTGCCCTCGCCTGACTTCAACGGAGGTCACCCAGACCCCAACCTGACCTACGCACACAGCCTTGTCGAGGAGGTCGAGAAGCACAAGATTCCCTTCGGCGCTGCCTCCGACGGTGACGGTGACCGCAACATGATCTACGGCACCAACGCCTTCGTCTCCCCCGGTGACAGCTTGGCTATCATTGCCCACCACGCACAGCTCATCCCCTACTTCAAGAAGCAGGGCGTCTATGGTCTGGCCCGGTCTATGCCCACATCCGGTGCGGTCGACCTTGTTGCCAAGAAGCAGGGCCTGAACAGCTACGAGGTGCCAACTGGCTGGAAGTTCTTCTGCGCCCTCTTCGACGCTAACAAGCTGTCCATCTGTGGCGAGGAGTCCTTCGGCACGGGTTCCAACCACGTCCGTGAGAAGGACGGTCTCTGGGCCGTTGTCGCCTGGTTGAACATCATTGCCGGCCTCGGTGTCGCCAACCCAGGCGTCACGCCCAGCATCAAGCAGATCCAGAAGGACTTCTGGACCGAGTACGGCCGCACTTTCTTCACGCGGTACGACTACGAGAACGTTGACTCGGATGGTGCCAACAAGGTCGTTGGCACGCTCGCCAACCTTGTCGCCGACAAGAACTTCATCGGTAGCAAGGTCGGTGACCGCACCGTCACCGGTGCCGGTAACTTCTCCTACACCGACCTTGACGGTTCCGTCTCCTCTAACCAGGGTCTGTACGCAACATTCTCTTCGGGAAGCCGGATCATCGTCCGTCTGTCTGGCACAGGCTCTGCCGGAGCTACTATCCGCCTGTACATCGAGCAGCACAGCTCCGATCCTTCGACGTACGACCAGGATGCTCAGGACTTCCTCAAGCCTGAGATCCAGATGGCGACAGAGCTGCTGAAGTTCAAGGAGTACGTCGGCCGTGACGAGCCCGATGTCAAGACATAGAGATGGAAAGGAAGGACCACATTGATAGCTCCCAAACATCCAACCATCTCACGTTGATGGATAACGACACGATACATTACATCCTCTTGAAGCAGTGAGAAGCTACAAAATACAAACAAGTTTAAAGGCACAATTCATCAGGCAAAGCATTTGCCAGCCGCAAGCCGGCTGACGTGCATTGAACTAAGTGATTGTGAGCACCTGATTGAGACACTAATTCCTCATACAGCTGTACTTTCCACACTGTTTCAACCGTATCATTCTGGATCCATTGGAACCTCAGTCATCCACTGGAATGAGTCCCCACACGATGTCACGGCCCTGAGAAGACTAGTTCCTCATACAGTATACTACGGCTGAGTGTTCAACGGCGAGTGGAGGAAATAAAGCAAAACAGAATCGAACAAGTGAGTAGGGTATCATACAATCTGTGACTCGCCCTGCGCCCTGAAAATCCCACGGCGTTCTTTTGTATGTCCCTGGCGCCTCGCTCGGAACATAGTCGGTATCATGATCGTAACAACAATCATCAAAAACGGAAGGAATCGCAAATGCTGGCTCAATCGTTCATCATACATCGTAAACATCATCTGAGCGGGATCTGGAACTACTTGGTGTTGGGAAACAAAGACGCTCCCTGATAGGCGCGAGAGTGGGCATGGTGAAGCGGCGACTGCAGCTTGAAAGAGGTGGGCTCCGCTCTGAAAAGGAAATCCAATGACAGCGGTAGGTTCGGTTTGATCCGCGTCCCCGCAGATTTTGTCCGAATGGGTTGATGGGTGTTCTTGTACCAAGGACAAGCCGCCCAAAGGGGCGGTGGCGTTGGTCAGTCGCCGTCGCCCGGAGGCTCGGAGGCAGGTGCTGGGTAGAAGACCTCCTTGAACCGCCCGGCGGCTGTTTTTTTTTTGATCACATATTCTTCAGCATGAAATTCACTGGCTTCGCCGGATTGCAAGAGCACCGGGCAGCTTTGGGGATGAGTTGGAGGGATGTCGCCTACGTACCTTCGTCGCTGACGAAACGGATCTCGAAGGCGCCGACCTTGTTGCGGCGCATGTTGGCCTCCTTGTACTTGTCGCAGAAGACGTACAGCTTGATCTCGTTGATCCACACGCAGTGCTTGCTCTTGCGGGTGAGCCAGCGGCTCGAGGCGGATTGGTGGGTTACTGGATCTGGGTCAGTACATCCTGTTGGGCGTGGGCACGACTGGTGGTGGTGGGAGATGATGGACGGATGGAATCCCCGAACGTACCAAAGGCAGTCCACACCGGGCACGCCCGCAGCTCGCCGTCCCACACTGCGGCGTGGAGGCGCATCCCCTGCGTCCTGGTGTCCTCGTAGACTATCAGGGAGTGCTGGTAGTCGTCGTCGACGATTTGCCTGGGTTTGTGTCAGCGGTGATGATAGGGATACTGGGGCAAAAGGGGAATAGGATGTTGGAACGGGAAGTACACACGCTTGGAACAGGCGCTTCTCGTTGGGAAACTTGTATTCCCGCGGATCCATGCTAACGGTCAGATTATTCCGCGCCTTCAGGGCGATGAACGTGCAGTGGAAGAGGACCAGTTCTGGGCGGGACAAACCAACAAGGTTAGCACTCAGTCCCTCTCAAGTTGGAATTCAGAAACAGAATCCCATCCCATGGACTTCTCGCCTCACAGGCATGATCTCCTTACCTTCCCAGGTGACGAAGCTCAGCACGGCCCAGAGCTTAGGACCCTGGATCGAATGGCTCCATCTCTTGAGCCTGAGGCTGTTGCCGACCTGTTGCACACATATCTCGTGGATGCCGCGGGAGGAAAAGACTGCGCGCCGCCGGCGTACACACGGAGGACGAAGTACGGCCCACCGTTGGCCGCGTTGAGGATGATCATCGCCATCACGCTTAGACGGTCGCCGTCAAAGGACCGCCGAACCAGCAACTTCGTGGCGTCGGGCAGCCTGGGGCCGCCACCGCCGCCGGCGGGGACGAACGGGCCCCGGGCCTGGGAGCGCAGCGGCTCGCGCATGTCGGTGTGCGAGCTGGGCAGGGCGGCGAAGACGGCCTCGGCCCAGTGAGGCTTCTCGCGCGCCAGCGGCACGACTGCCAGCTCCTGGGCGGGCGACTGCGTCGGGGCGGGGAGGCCCTGGCGCTCGCGCAGGGCCATGATGCGGGCGCGGAGGAGGTCGAGCTGGACGCGGTCCTGGGCCCTCTCCCTGGCGAGCAGGACGACGAGCAGCGAGAGGAAGGCGTTGTACAGCTGGAACCTCTGCAGGAGCTCCATGTCGGCCTCCTTCTTCATCTCGTGGAACATCGTGCGCCACCGCAGCTCGCGCGTGACCGTCTTGTCGTCGTAGTAGCCGGCGATGTCCCTGAGCGACTTGGAGAGGCAGGGGAGGACGACGTTGAGGTGGTTCGCGACGATCGGCACCCTCGACACGTGCACGTGGCCGCGGTCTGCGAGCTCGCGGAGTATGCGCCCGGACTGCCAGATCTCTTCGATGATCAGGATCATGGACCCGTGAAGCGAATGGGCCAGGGCCACTCGGAGTGCATCAAGTCCTAGAACTTGTTAGCAGTTGTTGGTTGAAGACAAGATCTCTGCTGGTTGTAAATACCCTGAGCAACTCGATCTGCCCTGTCGGCCTCAAGAAAACATCCATGTAGTAATTGGCTTTGAGGGGGCATCGGCGCCCCGATGAGGAAGTCCCAGTCCATTGTCGAATTATCTTATCCTTCACTTATACTCCGCCCGTTGGAACTCGTATGATGTAGTAGTAGCAAGGGTGAGCTTATCGGGCGGTTCGAGAACGACAACTCAGTGGCAGGGAGGTCGCCGTTTGGCTTTCATTGTGATTAAGTGTGAGTGAAAGACGTCGAAGAGATGCTCTGTAGTCTTGCCCAGGTCCTTGTCCTTTTGCCAGAAGCGAGTCCTGTACCTAGACGCTTCTCATCCCTCGTGGGTGGTCCTTCCCGCTTCGGTGGTCAGTTGCCGGTCGAAGATATGCAATCCCGGGCTTGAAGGCTCAGCCTCTGGTGATCAGGAGGAAAATGAGCCCGGGATTAGATTTCTTTGATTGTTTTTAAGCGTGTACTGAGTGAGCAGGATACTACAACGATGCTAGTGCGTCGGATTCGATGTGACGAGACTGGTTGTTCATCAACAACGGATAAGCACACCCGGCGGCTCAACACAGACAAAGCCAAGGGTGACGGAGGGGCAGCAGCAGCACGAGGTACATATTTGTGGGGAGTGCGGGAGCTCGCCGGAAGTCATTGATGTGCGGCTCTGCTGTGCTCTGACGTGTCAATCGGCCGACAGCGAGGGCATCTACCTGCAGGCGCTCATTGTTGCGTGAGCTCTTTTCCAAGACCGGGCCCGTGTGGTGGTTGGCTGACGGGGCGTGTGGCATGTACCTCCGGCCAGATCTTCCGGGAATGGCCTCACTAAGGCCAATGGTCACGTCAAAAAAAAAAAAAGATTAAAAGAAATCAAGGAGATATTTGGGGAAATGCCTCTGTGTGACCCTCGTGCCACGAGAGATCGTCGGCGACGACGGGAAGCAAGGTTCAGCAGGTCAACTGACTAACAACACTTGAGCCGAGAGTCGTCGGTCGGCGGAGGAGCACACAGAGACACAGATTTGGCTTCTGAAAGGTATACCGCCTAGCGATTCCGGGAGAAAGCGAAGATGCGCCCACGATGGCGGGGACGGGGCCAGAACCCTTGGAGCAAAAGGGTTCGTTCGCGCGCCTGGCCCCATGAGGGAACGAACTCTATCGTGCAGCCTCCCTAATGCAAGCGAGTGCCTCGGCGGGCGAATCGCCTGCGCAGCTCGAGGGCCGGGTGGCATTGGCCCGCAGCTCTGGGAAGAAAACGAACACCCCCGTCGTCCACTCGACGCAATGCCGTAGAGGATGGGCCTGGAACGAGCCGGTGCTCTCTCTGCGCGGGATTGGCTTTTCGGCGATAGTATTTCCTACCGTGGTAGTATCGCCCACGACAATTACGCCCTGCCAAATAGCAGCATCGTATGGTCGGATAAAGAGACTCGGATCTCCTCTCTGGCCCACAGGGCATTGTGACGGCCCTTGCCGCACGTGGGTGCGCCATGTCTTGTGTGACGTTCCTCAACGAGAACTCTGAGTTGGGTGTTGTTCGCGAAGGCTTTGGCAGTGGGAAGTGATTACCAGTAGTATGAGCCGAGGGGCAGACACGTACATGTAAGCATCAGGAGACAGAATGCGCCATGGCGGGGGCAGCCTCCTGTGAAAAAGGCGCCCCGTCAAATGGCTTGGTGAGGTTCGTCCAGAAGCAGGCCGGTTGCAGTCGCAGGACATGACTTGTCACGCTGCACGAGCAGTTCCCGTCGGCAGTGACTGTCGGTGCAAGTCAAACTTGTCTGGTAGTGACAAGGGATATTCCCCGGTGCGACGCGATAGAAGATCCTAGTCGCTACCGTAGATTGTGGGCGGGGTCTTTTGTGAGTTGCTCCCTTTGTTTTTTCCCTTGTCGATTCGACCCGAGGACTGTCGGGACGGAGATGCCAGGAGGCCAAGCCGGGCCTTGGAAACACGCGAGCCGGCGACCATGAAAGTGGCTGCGGGCCATCGCAAGTGATGCATGGAAGGATGCGGGGCCAACGTGGCTGGTTGACTCGCTGGCTGGTTGGGAAGCCGATGCTGTCGGATCGAGGACCCTGAGAAACGGTACGTCAGATCACTGACCCGTCTAGATCTCGTCGATCACAGCGCCGGGGGGTCGGGTCCTCACCCATCGACTCCCGGTGGCCCAGTAGACACGATGCGGTCAACAGGCCCGGCCAAAGAAATTCAACATGATCCTTTGGGGCGAGACGGGGCTGGCAAAGTCCTCAGAAGCCAAAGGCGCAGACTGCTTTCTCATTTACGTCGTGTGTTCGACAAGACTATTCCCAGAAGCGACTCAACTCGAGCCCCAAAGAGGGCCTAACTAATCATACATGGGCATCGTCCTCAAACATGATGCCTTCCAGTGCCGTCCTCAAAGCAAATGGTCGCCTTCCCTGCCAAGCCGAACACCGAACCCATCCAGAGAGATAGAAAATGAAAAGAGCGCGGACGGCCACTGCCACCAGGGGGTGGAGGGTCATCCCGGGGTATGAGGGTGGAAGGTATTGGTGGGCGAAGTCACAGCAGGTTCATGCTGATCTACTCCTCCTCCTCCTCCTCAGCCTGCAGGCAGGGCCTGATTAGCTTCTGGCTGCGCGAGTGGCCATGTCAGAAGTTCATGATGCACCTACGTTGTACGCCTGCTTCTCATCCTCGTACCGCTTCTTGTCAGCGGCAGCCTTGGCCTCGTAAGGAGCGCGTTGCTTCTCGTTGAGGGCCTTCCAGCGCTCTCCGAGCAGCTTGCCGACCTGACCGAAGGTGATACCAGGGTTCTCCTCACGGACGTTCTCACGCTGCTCGTTGGCGAAGAACATGTAGGCGGAGAGGCCACGCTTGGGCGCGTTGGGGTCTGTTGTCCAGGTTAGCTTCAATTCAACCAATCCGGCGCGTCGGTGGAAACGCGTCTCTGGAGCGAACATACCCTTCTTCGCACGGCGGGTGGCCTTAGGGGCTCTCTTAGCTGCGGCCTTAGGCATGATGAAAAGCTGGGAGGGCTGTCAGCTTTGGAACGACCATACGCGTCAATTGATAAATGGCATAGTGCGGGAGTTGTGCTTGGGCGAGCTGGCTGCAATTAAGAAGCATTTGCGAGCGTTGTCATGAGGACGAGGGTGGTGCTTGCGGGAGCGCTGCCGCGAGGGCGACTCGGTCGGCAAATGGCAGAGCTTGACGGAGCTCCGGGAGAGCTTGGGATGAGCTCTCGGCCGACGCGGTCAGTCGCGTCGGCGGGGCCTCGTTGCCAAGCAGCGTGTCGGGCGGTCGCAAACGCAATTGAAGCGGCGTGCGTGGGCCAAAATGCGATTGAAAACCAGGAATTGGTGCTGGAGTGCATGATACGTACTTGTGAGGTGTTTTGGTTTGAAGTTGAGAGTGTGGTGTTGATTGACTGTGGTGCGCGCAAGGCCGTCAGTATTGATCGTGTGTGGGCTGCTTTCTGCTGCGTTGCGTGCGTTGTCTAGTAGTCAGAGCGCAGTGCAGGGTGGTTTATGGTGGCGGTGGTGTTCTGTGGTGCGCAGTGCGCGGTATGTGCAGTGTGTGGGTGGGTGACGGAAGGTTGAGCAGGTGAAGGGCAACCGCTCTGTCCGGCCGGGCCTCACGATGCACCAGACCAAAGGGCGCAAGTGAGCTCCAGACAGGGCGGGAAAAGGGTGCTGCAGTGATTTTGAGGCCAAAATGATGCGTGGACGGCGGTGGGAAAGGTGCACGGCAGAGGCGACTGTAGTGACTTTTGTTTTGGTGATGGGATGGGCGGCGAGCAAGGTACTCACTGTGGATTGCGGGTGTTTGGTGACGCTCTCGCAGAGAAGTGGTTTGGCTGTGAGGTGAGTGAGTGCAAAGAGACGAGAGAGAGAGCAGGGAAAAGAGTATGGGGGCAGTGTGTGGGCGACCCTTTTACTACCCGTTGCTGATCCAGCTTTCCCACTCGCACTCGCAGTCCCTCCCAGTCCCTCACTCTCCCCGTCCCTCCAAGTCTCAGGCGCGAATTATGCGGGGACCTTCGAAGTAACCAGGGCCAGAGGTACCTACCCTACCAGTCTGTCTGCCACCCTCCCCCCAGCTAGGTACGGTACGGTGCGGTGCAGCGCAGCGCAGGTATGGTCAGGTAGGCAGGGCCCAGCCCAGCCCAGCCCAGCCGTCCTTCCTGGTCCCAGTCTCTCTCCCTCTCTTTCTTGCTTGTGTCAAGGTCAGTCCAGTCTGCCCGTCAGTCAGTCAGGCAGGCAGGCAGTCAGTCAATCAGCCGCAGTGCTCGTCGCGCAGTCATCCACTCCTTCGCTCAGTCGCATCCACCCTCAGCAGCCCGTCAAGCAGTCGAACCAGTCGAACCGGCCTAGTGCCTGGGAAAAGGTGCATGCACATTGTACACTTGGACTGCCACACTGCGCCCGTCCGTCACTTCCACCTTGCTTGCACCTTCCTCCCAAACCTGCCCACACCTTGCTTGCCTGCACCTTGCACCTTGCTACCATCCCACCTCCTTCCTTCCATTTGCGTGTTGGTTGTGTGCGTGTTATTTTAATGTGCGCGTGCGCGTGCGCTTGCGTGAGCATGAGCGGCGCTGTGTTGAACTGATCTCCAAATTTCATATCCATATCCATCCATACCCACCCATATACTATGGCAACAGTTCCCTGCATCTGCCCCAGCCGTGCTTCCTAGTAATTGCCCATGGGAGTACACACACACACGCACGGACAGAGACACACAGCTTCCAAGGGTACCACTTCACTCGAACAGTCTACGTAGTAGTCTAGACTGCTCTCGTGGTTGCTGCATCACACGTATCAGACCGGACCAGATCAGCTAGCGGCTCGAACAGGAACAACAATAACAACGACAAGAAGAAGCAGCAGCCCCGGCCACCAGGGTCCGGCCAAAAAAGGCCAGGGAAGCTTCAGGAAGCCCTTAACAAAAGCATGTCTGGGTTTGGCGCTCCTAATGGGCAGCATCCTTGTGCTCCGGCTGAAAATGTTGGAGGCACGGCCATGGAGTATCAACGTACAGGCACCGTACGGTCAGCACCCATAGTACACGGTACTTACCACAGCCTGATGCTTCCCGCTTGGTATGCGCGGCCTATTGACATCCAGCCTCCCGTCCCTGCTGTCTCCCACCTTGGGCGGCCGTTGCCTCTCCCCATTTCCTGCTGCACCCTCGACCAGCTGTGATCACAAAAAAACGACGTGGCTCTACAGAAAAGAGCGCCTTGTGTACAGCATGCGTTTTCCCGGTTTCTATCTGGGCTTCGGGGCACTGTATGTGGCGCTGCTTCTCGTCGTCATGAGCCAGCGTCCGGGAGTCCTGGCCAAGGCAAACAGGTATCTCACTATCCCGTGTTAGCGTTCACTATCTCCCCCCGCCCCCGACGCTATCTAAGTGCCCACCCCCCTCTTCATTCTCACACGCACACACCTGCGCTCGCGCCAAGCAGAGTACGGCACTGCTGCGTGCTCCCAGCATTCATCGACACGAGTAAGTATTGCGGACTTGCTGTTGATTTGCTCGAGACTGCAAGCGCAGGTGCTCGGAGCTCAGCAATGATCCTACCATCCGTTGCCGCTGGGGGTGTGTGATGCCTCCCTTGGCTGTCTCTGGCCAGAAGCAGCACTGTTTCCGAAGCACACAAGAGTGACGTTTCGAGGTGCTGCAAACCGCTAGCACAACACGAATACCCGGATAAGCAGGCTGGCTTGCGATTCAAACTGCAGGGGTAGCTAGTGGTGCCGTGCTCGCCGGCTCCACGCAGCTTAGCCAGCCAGCCAGCCAGCCAGGCCAGCAGGCCCAGCAAGCCGTGCGGCACTCTGGGGGCGACTGCTGCAAGTCCTCCTACTCCTATTCTTGCTCCTTGGGTGCGGCTGGGATTCATCATGTTCTGCCGCGCTTTATCAGGCAGTTCCGGGCAGTCTCAGGGACAAGCTGCGTTTCATCCAGCTGTTGCTTTGATCAGTGGGAAGCAAAAAAAGCAGTCCACCAGCGGGCCATATCGAGGTACCTTGACGTCGTGGAAGTGAGCCTGCCCACACTGCTTGCTGCTTGCGGACCACCCAAGGTTTGGGGAGCTGGCCCGATCAGGCGTGTGGGGGGAGGGGTGTGTGTGGTTGGTTGGGCGGGCGTGCCCAAGTTCCTTCGCGCACCCAGGCACCTGGGCAGGGTCCTCGCCTCTTCATGCGACACCGGCATGTATTTTCATGCGCTTTTCCCCACGTACCGGTACATCCACCGCGCCCATGCGCTGCAGAGGTCACACTACCTGACTCTTCCAAGGTACACCCACCTAACGTACTCCTGCCCACCCCGTCCATTTTCGCCTGCAACCAGATTTGGAGAGCGCAGGAGCGCCGGGGCGAAGGTGAGCAGGAGGGCCAGGAGGGCCAGGAGGGCCAGGAGGCCAGGCGTTGGGATCAGATCAGCCAGCCCCCTTAGCGCTGCCTCAAAACCAGCTCTCCACCCAGCACCCGTCTTCTTCCTCCGTACTACAACAATTCCACTCCTGCAAGCGGGAGGCATCACCAACGCCTTGCGAAACAGCACCGTCCGTAGTGCCCAGCTTTCCTGTGCGACTCCTAGCCACTCTCGCACTGCTGCAAGCTCCCACGCCCGCTTCCCCTTGTCTTTCCACACAGTCGGAAGCGTTTTCAGCCAAGTAATGCTGCACAGAAGACTATGTGTTGGAAGAAAACGAAGAAAAAAACAAGCGGTATGGTTGTATCGGACGCGCATTCCAACCGTAACACACTCATTTGCGTGTGTCTATTCGTCTCCTACAACATGAGCGAGACTCCATACGAGCGATTTCCTGGTAAACGCGGACCAACTGCAGCTACGTGTAGCAATCGCTCGGAGTAGTCATCACCGTGAGACGCGTCTTCCAGAACATGGGCATCTCCCTGGCTGCGCTGGGTACATACAGTATGCATGTGGATGTGCGTATGTGTGTGTGCACAGACGGAGCAGCTGCACTGTTTCTCGCCTCCCGCCCACCACAGTTCCACAGCACAGCCGAACCGTGATAGAATGGAATGACTGAATGATGAGACCAATCTGTGCTCATCTTGCACTGCACAGCACGCACTACGCGCACTGCACTGTGCTCCCAGCCCGTGGAATGACTAAGCCTGGAAGCTTCTCTTCCCGAGCCGAGGTCGTGCGAGAGCTTGAAGCGTTTCCCCAAGCGGCTCCTAGATCTCGCTAGCGAGTTGCAAAGGCAGCTGAATCAGCCGTTCTTGGCACGCCGCAAGCGAAGACTGATCGTTGTGAGACGCGACGATGTCAAATCTGCTAGGGTCTACACGTCTTGTAGGCATCGTACCTGATCATCTCTCGCCAATCTGACGGTTACTCTTCTAGACCCGACAGCTCGGAATCCGGGGTAAACCATGACTCCGCCAGGGTCGTCTCCTCGCTGGTCAGGCCGGCACGCGTGGAGCAAGTGCCTGCCTACCTTGTCTGCTCACGGCGTCGGTAGTAGTACCTCGACCTCGTTCTCACACAGCAACTGATTATGGACGAGAACTGCCCGCGCGTCATTGCTCACAAGTCATACCATACACGGTCACGTAATTCTAGTATAATCAAATATCTTCAAACTACTCCCCACCCCGCCTGCTATAGGAAGTAAGCCTCTTCTATCAGGACTGCCTGTAAATACGTGACCATACTGTTGGCGTTATTGTTTGGGTATTGTTGTTTTGGTGTTTGCTATAGCTTTCTACACCCGTCGGCCTGAAGGTGCAGATGTGCCAACGTTCCGTATACGTGTTTCAATGCTATCTTCACCTGCTACCACAAATCGACATGTTAGAGATGCTCACGGGACATTGTGGACGCAGACTTACTTTGGCCTGCTCGTCCCGCGCGGACCAACCTCCCCCCACTCACGAGTAGCCTTCCACGAAGAGAAAAGTCTTCTGGAAACCTGTGATGTTGTTTGGAGTCTGAGGAGATGATTCTATCGCCCATCGACTGCTGCTTGACCAAGACGGTAGGGGCCGCATCGTGTGTCCCATCAAGTGACCTCGAATGAGTGCCCACGACCAGAACAACACCCAGTATGACCGTCGCCAGAGCGCATGAAGAATGCCGGTGCTGCCCCTACTCCGGGTCCAGCACCACATCCCTCAGCACCGGGTCGGCCGCCCAGTCGACCCCGCTCCCGGCCACGATGCCGCTGGCCGTGCCCTTCATGACCCTCCACTTCTGCCGGCTGGCCGCGAGCCTCTTCTCCAGCTCCGCGACCTGCGCCTCCGCCGCCGGGTCGCCGCTACCGCCGGCGGCACCGACCTTGCCGCGGTCGGCCTCCCTCGCGAGGCGGAGGACCTCGGCCGCCAGCTCGCGGTTGCGCCGCGCCGCGCGCAGCACCTCGGCCTCGGCGTCGGTCAGCTGGGCGAGGACCTGGCGGGCGGCGGCGGACTGCGCGGCGACGTCGCGCGAGGCCGCGTCGCGGGCCTGAACCCAGGGCAGGATGTCCTGCTCGATGGGCGACGCCGCGGTGCTGCCGTGGATGCCCTTGAGCAGCGGGTTGGTGATGAGGACGTTGTTCACGACGCCGTTGCGGAGGGTGTACAGGGACATTGCCTCGAGGAGCTGGTTCCTGGCCTCTTCGACCTCGCCTGAATCGTCTTCGTCCTGCTCGTCGTCGTCGCCGCGTCCTCCTTTCTCGGCCTCTTCTGCTTGTCCGTTCAGCGGTGGCTCGTTCGACAGCGGGGATGGTTTTCTGAGAACTCACCGGCGAGGCGTACCCTGGCCTTGGCCAGAGCTACCTCCAGCTCCAGTTTCTGGACCTGGTCATAGAGTTCCAGGATCTCCCTTTCTTCGTCAGAAAAGGAGGGGCCTTTGCTGATGTCGCTTTCGTGGGCTACGTCCTCCATCTGGAGGTCCGACATGGGGCGCGTGACGTCTGGTCCTACGAGAGCGAATACTGTGACAGCGCGTGTACCACGGAAGACGCGTCAAGATGGCGGCAGTGACTGAGCTCAAAACTCCTTCAATTACTCAGGTGCAAGCAAAAGCACAGTGGAGCCCAGAACCACTCCCAGCGTAGGATTTCCTGTGTAACCTGGTGTTGCCGACATGGAGACTGGTGGTTGCGTGAAAGTGGGAAGAAACGGAGCTAGGGTGCTATCACTAATACGTGACTGCACGATGGGGGCCTGTAAATAAGTCCAGCCTTGACGCTTCAGAATCCTGGAAGGGTTATTGTGCTATCTTCGATCGAAAGGTCTCATTTACTTTGGCTAAGACGAAAGGCACAGTTTGCCTTTCAGACTGACTCGCGACATCCCAAAGTGACATATGACGGTGAGGTCAAGCGCACTGAATCCTGAGCGGTTTTGAGTGAGGTCATCCTGCCACGGCGGACGAGCACATCTGACTCTTTATTCCTGGGTTAGCAGTCCGCCTGCCGCGCGCACAAGGGGGGTTGCGAGGGGGGGGGGTTGATTGCTAAGTCACAACTAGCCGGCCCAGGTCACGCGCGGCAGCACTTCCTTTGCAGCAGTCCGCCTATCGACCTAACACGACCCTCTACCTCCCACCTAATGAATAGAGGATAACTTCTCCTTTCCCTGACACGGGCGTTTACCTAGCATACCTTTTCCTTTTGGCGATGCGCTCAGTCTTTACCATGGACGATGGCGACCCTCTGCTTCTCAAGCTCGGGCCAGCAGATGCAACTCGATACCTCCCATCTCACAACGTTCGTTCGACCCGTCGCTGTCGCACTGCTTTGTCTCGCCGAGCTGACCAGGAACTGTGCGCAGGATCGATGACTTCAAAGCTGCTGTGTCGAAGAAAAGCTCTATTCCTCCGCAGTACCTTATTGCACTTACACCTCAAGGGAAACCCTTGAAACAACAGGACCTTCCGTCTGAGGTACGACCCCCCGCCTCCTGCCCCTAGAAGGGTGCGACAGCTACGGAATCTGGTTGGTGGTGACTGACGGGTAAATATCATCGAAATTAGAGGGAGATCTATATTTACGACATCCGAGTATCCCAACCCGCCTCCCCTGGCAGTTCATCCTCGGTCAACGTCCAAATCGGAATTCCGAAACCATACAGCTTACCGGAGCCTCCAAACCGGATCAACGACACCAAATCACAGCAATCATGGCAAGAGCTATTCAGGTCGCGCAGAGCCTGGGCTGGGAGGGCGGTAGACGACTGTGCCTCGATGGCGCAAGCCACAAGAGACCGATACGGCGAGATGGATGTCATAATGCGCTGCCTCGATGCTGCCATCGCAAACCTCGAGTCTGTGGTCAAGACGGTAGACCCAAAATACCAAGAGCTCAGGAAATGGGCGGATCCTGCCAAATCGGAGTACAACGCACTTGTCAAGAACTGGCAGTCATACCTGAGTCTTGCCCGGAGTATACGTATTTCTCCGGGGATGGCTTCATTCATGACAGGTCGGAACTTTAGCTCCAAGAATGGCGCAGTTCGGCAGCCTACCTTGGAGGACCTCCTGGACTTGGACACTACGAGGATGACGGGACAACGGGCGCCCCAGGCACTGCGGAAGTTCAACCAACGCGTGAGCGACCTGGAGAAGATGGCGACACGCATGCTCAAGAACTGCCAGGATGTCACCCAGGATTTCGAGCGGCTCATAGAACGCTCTGCCATGTCCCACGATGGCGAGGCTGCTCAGCTATTGGAGGACATTGAAGCTGTAGCCAAGAAGGTCGATGCGGACTATGAAACGACCATGGGGCTCACAAACACCTCACGGGACCTTTTGCAGGCCTCAAAACTTGCCGCAACCCACACAGAGCGGCTATTACCCAGCATCCGGGCTAGAGCTCTCGAGATGGACGAAATGCTTCGGTATGCAACCCAGGCGCGGAATACCCTCGCCTTGGAGTCCGTGGACTTCATGCGTAGCATTACGGACATTACGTCCCTCACAACCACCGTCAAGTCCCACATCAATGTTCTTGGTTCGGAGGAAGAGCTCGCTACGTTTGACTACTTGAGACTGATCCAGCAAGTCCCGTTCATGTACGCATCCTTCACGGCGGAAGCGCTGAAGCGAGGCGAATGGTACGAGAAGGTCAAGGTGGATGCGTCTACCCTGGCCAACGAAATGTCTCTATTCCAGGACGAGGAGATCAAACGGAGGAAAAAGTGGCTCAAAACTGTCGAGAATCTCTACGGTCCACAGACGACATCCGGTGAAGGCAACGTTGCTGGACTGGAGGTCAACCTATTGGGACAGGAGGAAGAGTGGCCGACCATGACCAAGAAGGAATTGTCGGACTTCTATGAATCTCTCCAGAAACAGAAGGCCGAGCAGGATCTGCTCAATGACATTGGCAAACTGATTTTGGACTTGAACAATCCGACAAAGCAACAATCAAAACGGCTGAAAGCCTTCAAGAATGGAAGCATCCATGAAGCGTCCTTGGGCAGGAGTGGCTTGTTGATCCGGGGCGACGAAGACGTTCTTCGATCGCTGCAGGAAGAAAAGCAGCGGGTCGACAACAAACTCAAGACAGCAGAAAGCCGTGTGCGACGTTTGGAAGACCTGTTACATAGACAGAGCCAGGCTTCCAGGCCAACATTCGGGAACACGTTTCAATTTCCAAGCCAACAGCTCCCGGAGCGGAATGGCTCGACCACGTCTGTGCAGAGAGCAGTCGAGGACCGAAGGCGTTCATCATCCGACTTTCCAGAGGGCCTCATGCAGCGTATCCAACAGCTTGAGAGCGAGCTGAGCGCTGAGAGGGAGAAGTCCGCTGCGTTTGAGAAGGACTTGAGCGCCCGCACAACCCAGCACGAGACCGTCAAGGGCCAAATCGAAGAAGCCAATTCTACCAAGAAGGATCTTCTGGAGAACATGGAGGCTCTGAAGAGGGAATTCGTGGAAGAGCGCAAGTCCCTCGAAGACGAAATCAAGCATCTCAAAGCACGAATTGAGGACACCGAAGACGAGATGGAACACTTCGGCGAATCTCGAGAACATGAGAAGGCACATTACGATGACAGAGTTCAAGCCCTAGAGGATGAAATGGCGCAGCTGGCCAAGGAGAGACGCGACGAAAAGCTCAAGTACGAAGGACAGGTCGAGTTTCTCAGGAAAGAATCAAAACTTCAGAGGGAGCAGGTCGAAGAACTGGAGAAACAGAACAAGTCGGTGCAAGACGAGAACAAGGACCAAAGCCACCAATTGGAGGTCGCCAAACAGACTGCAGAATCCCAATTGAGGGCATTGCAGGACCTGCACCGCCAGCTCGACCCAGGGGGCAACATCCCAGAAGACCAAGAAGAACTCATCGAAAGCATGGCCAGCAAGTGCGCTGATGTTCTCATGAAGGCCCAAGACGTCGAGGCTAACATCTCTCTCGTCCACTCGGACCTGCATTCGGCTGAAGTCACTATCAAAGATCTTCGTGTGGAGATCTTGACAGCTAAAGAGTCTTTGGCCAAGGAGGAGGGCTCAACAATGCAGCTTCGAGAAGAGCTTGGAGAGGAGAAGGCTCGCGTTGCAGCACTTGAAGGCGAGCACGACGAGACCCGCAACCAGCTTAATGAACTCAGAGTCAAGATTACGGATGGAGAAACAGGCTCCGAAAGTCTACGAAAGAGACTCGAAGAGGAAGAGAGGAAGATTACGACCATAACAGAAGATCTTGCTTCAAAACAATCCCAAGTCGGAAGCCTTGAGGAGGAACTCCACCTTTTCAAGAGCAAGTTCGAAGAGTCTCAGGTCAAACTTGGTGTGCTCACCGACCGATTTGTGGCGCGAACAGAGCACGCCAAAGACCTCACCCAGAAGCTCTACACCCAGAACGATCGTCTCCGGCGTCTACTGGAAAGGCTTGGCTTCTCCGTCAAACGGCAGGACGGCACCGTGGTTATCCAGAAAATCCCCCGGGCCGAGCGTTCTGTACAAAACCTCAACGACTCTGTCGACCCTAGCGCTTCCCTCCGCCGGTCGGGCACTCTCGCCCAGACACCAGATAGTAGCGATCTCGAGCTGCTGTACTGGATGAATAATTCAGACCCAGCCACCGAGGCGGAGAAGTACGAGGCATTCATGGCAGAGCTCGGCAGCTTTGACATGGACGCGCTCATAGAAACCGTCTACAAGCGAGTCAAGGACATTGAACACATGGCCCGCAGGCTTCAACGCGACGCTCGATCGTACCGCGACAAAGCCCATGCACTTCAAAAGGACGCCCACGACAAGATCGCCTTCAAGAATTTTAAGGACGGCGACCTGGCCCTGTTCCTGCCGACTAGGAATCAGATGACTGGGGCCTGGGCGGCTTTCAACATTGGCTTCCCTCATTATTTCCTGCGCGAGCAGGAAGCACATCGCCTGCGCAACAGAGAGTGGCTGCTCGCCCGCATTAGCCGCATCCAAGAACGGGTCGTCGACTTATCTAAGAGTCTGAGCAACCAGGCCTCGGGCAACGGCGCCGCAGAAACAGACTCTGTGGACGACGAGAATGACAACCCCTTCGACCTTTCCGATGGTCTGCGCTGGTACCTAATCGATGCCCACGAGGACAAACCTGGGGCGCCCTCGACTCCGGGGCTTGGGAAGAGCACGGTCGCTGCGAATAAGGTCGACGCCGTGGCGGAACGAGCGCAGGTCCGGACAGCATCTGGCAAGGGCCTTGGGCTGGGAGGTCGTGGCCCAACTGGGATCGACGGGGTGAGCAAGACCCTGTCCAAGAGCCTGGAGAGTCGCCGCTCCAGTACAAGTTCTAAGAAAGCCTTGCCTTTCGGTATTGGCGGCGGTGGGAAGGGCAGTGGGCTCGCCAGCGAAGCCAATTCCATCCGGGCCGCACCGGCAGACTCGCCTGACCCTCCCGCCGAGGGCAGCGGCCAGCACGCATCACACGCCACCACAGAGCAGCCAAACGGCAGGGGTGAAGCTCAAGCTCAAGCTGAAGGCACCGCTGCGCAAGCGGAAGAACAGGGGCAGCGGCCGCTACCAGACAGCGCCGCGGGCACCGAGGTGCGCAATAATAAGATTGATGACCTGCTCGGGCCCTAGTGAGGCCTCGTTTGGCTGATGAAACCTTTCTCTTCTCTCCAGCAGGGCCGCCGACTCCGGCTACCTACCCTGGCGCAAGCACGCCCAAGACCGCTAATGCAACAGCAGCAAGAGCAGCAGCCGAGCGCCGCCTCGGAGCCTGCGGGCAGCCCCCCTAAAGATAACAAAAGGAGGAGCGTGATATGGGACTCGCTCTGGAGCCTGGACCTGAGCTACGAGAGCGGGCGCAAGGGGAAACAATCGTCATGACGTGATGTGATGCATAGGTAGAATTCACGGATATACCACGGCGTCTCGGGAAATGATTCGTTCGTTCATTCAATGGACCTTGGAGGCTGTCGGGAGTGATTTTTGCATGTGTGTCACAGTGATTCGGTTCATTCACGGTGGTGTTCAGCATCATTAGACGTGTGCGCTTGTCTTCGGCGTTTATTCCCCCCATCAGCGTTTGAAATCGTTGGGATGAGAGGACCTGGCGATTCTTGCATAGGGAAGGGATGCATCGATGGTGAAAAGAGATCACATGTATGATTCCTGATGGCGCAGTCTTGTCCTGAGAGCGGACACGCGATGACACCAAGCAGGCGAAGCGGAGAGACAAGATAATACAACAAACACCATCCCCCCCCCCATTTGAGCATCTCTTCGTAGAATATGCAGTACCCTGGTCTATGGTAAATCTGAGGCTCTGTCATTGCCAGTCTATCAGCCCATCCCTCCTGCACCTTGACCACCGTGAAGGAGAAGACGTGGGAACGCGCACTCGTTACTTTGACGTCGACAATACAAATCCAGCCGGCTTATTACCCAAGCCTTTCTCATCCCATGCGGATGCTACAGGGCTTTGCTGCCTTTGCTCTTCTTTCGCGCCACCGGTAGACTCGTTGCGGGGTGGCCTGCCTCTACGGTGAGGTGCGCAATCTGGGACGTCCCAAGTGAGGACAACTTTCTAAGAATTCACTGGACTAGTTTACATGCTTTAGTCTATAAAAGGAAGTCGCGTGCATTTTGCCATGAGGCTGGAAATTAATATCGGACAAGTACAACAAGTCTGACGAGATTGTCACGGTTCAACACATGGGTATTATCCAATTTCCACAGACTCACGTCACAAACAAACGATGCGCAGGTAGAAAGACGTGGCAAATGTAGGGGGTATAATCTGTGCAGATGGCAATGCCCGCTGCCACTCTGAAATCATGAGTTGAGCCCCTCCGCCTCTTACCAGTACGGAAGAGCAGTCGACTGCGGCCTACTCTGAACCAGACGTTCCTAACCCGTCACCGCTGCCTCCTGCTCCAATGAAACAGACAGGCCCGCTGGGTCGGTTGATCCTTAGAGTGTGCCAAATCCCCCCCCCCCCCCCCCAACCCTCATCTCTTCTCCCTGCTCCCAGGTCATACGTCGTGTGGGACACAAAGACATACAGCGATGTCTTCGGGGCACAGAAGAGACACCCTGGCTCAATTGCAACTAGATTCCTCCTGTAACACTCCGTGCTAAATGCTGCCCCGTGATTTCGGCTCCGGGATGCCCTCTATCTCGGTCTCTAATACCAATGCTCAATAATGGGCTCTGAATATGATCCGCTGAAGATGTTCAAGCAGCGACTGCAGGCGCATAGGGTGCGTCGTTGCCGCCGCCACTCCCGCTCTGGGATTCGATGAAGCCAGGACGCCATTTTGTGAGGTACTTGGCTGCCATCGGCCTGGCGTCCTCGTCTATATATGCATCGTCAGCATCCGATTCTCGGTCAAGTAGGGGGAATCGGCGTGGGCTTACACTCAACCCAGATGTCCTGGACAGTGTCCAAGGCCAGGTCCCTCACCGGTGGCTTCATCACCACCAGGTAGAGAAGACTTTTTAGAGCGAGCTCGACCATGGACGGGTCACCGCAGAGCGTCTTGACCTTGCCGAGGATGGCAGTGTTCAGCTCTGGCATCTCACCCAGGAACCGAGTGAGCACCTTATCCTGCGGGTTCAGGTAGGGAAAGAACCCGTCGACCAGCCTCATTGCCCACTTTGGATAGTGCATGGGTGCGTCACTATCTTGCTTCTTCTGGACGCGGTCGCAGTACCACTCCTCGTTCAGCCACGAGACGCCTATGTCGATTCGTCGGCGGAAGTCCTCCAGCACATATGAGTAGAGGCGCTCGCGAATCACGTCGCTGTTCGCTTGCGACGGGAGGGCAAGCGCTGCACTGGCCTCGTCCTTGACTTGAACATCTTCTATGCCGGCCATGGCGCGCGTGCCCAGTCGTGTAATGAACGTCAATATCGATTCCTTATCATATGAGCTTGCGGCCAGACGGTTGATTCCGCCTCGGACCTTCCTTGCAGCAGGCTCCTCCAGGACTCGTAAGGCGTCAAAGACCCGCGCGACGACCATCTGACCAGCTGCTGATGCACTGTCGGGATTGAGCGGAGGCGGCACCGGTAACTTATAGGTGCCTAATGTCAAAGATGCAGCATCGATCTGAGGTTGCTCCTCCTCGCGGGGTTTGCCGTCGAGCTTGTTCTTGATCTGCTCCTCGTCCTCTGCTATGGTGAAGTCGGGCTCGTACTCATCGTCGTCCTCTTCTACATCAAGTGGCGCTGTCTCTGGGTTAAGAGCTGGTTGCCGAGCAGCCTCCTTGACAGCCAAACGATCACGAACTGCTTGGATGGCCCCCTGGAGGGCCTGTAGATCCACCCTTGCCAGAGTTGACACAACGACCCTGTTCGTCAAGTGCGCTGGTACTTGTGTGACATCAAAGCCTTGTAGACCTATGCTGTCTGTGAGAGTGTAAACAGCCGCAAGACTATTTGGTCCCGGGGCATTTGGGTTCACTTGCGGCACTGCGTGTTGAGGGCTTATCTTTTGCCGCTTCGCATCACCGCCTGCATATGCGGCTTGTTGCTCAGCCAGCGCTCTCTTGCGTCCATTGTCGTCAAGGATCTCCGCCCGGGAGCGCATAAGTCTTTCTACATGTTGCTGTATCCGTGGAGCATTCGGACCATGTGGATCCCTAGAAACAGTCAGCGTCGCCGACGCCAAGGGTCAGAAGGGAGAACGTACCGCTTCAACAAGTGTATCAGCAGCATGCGTGTCGTCTTCTCCATCGACTTGGCTAGCACACGGACCTTGGGGGTCAGCGGGGAGTTGGCTAGTTTGAGCGGGTTGAAACCCATGACAGCATTGAGAATGCGATTAGACGTGGATGGTCGCGTGCGAACAAGGATAGGCAAACAGTTCAGTGTGCCATCTACTATGAGTGCATCACTACGGCACGGTTCATTGAATCAGAATAGGCCCCTCGACGTACAGTCACCGCGGAGCACAAACATACCTGCTGTTGTCTTGAAGCACGCTAAGCATCCTGTCCAGGAGACCTGTGGCCTCTGCTTCGAGCTGTCTTGGGTCGAGAAATGGGTGGCCAGGTGGGATCATTCCCAAGGAGATCTCGAGGCCATTTATGCGCTGCTCACGATCAGCATCCGCCACAACAAATCAATATTATAATACGTTAGGGCCGCTCGCACCTTTTCCATGCTGGTTGCTGTCGTCTGCGCGAGTACCACACGCTGTGCGAACTTGACACAACACAATTTGACGGCCGAGGCAGCGTCGTCCCAGATCCGTAGTATCTTCTGCTTGATCGTGACCATATTGTCCCAGGGCGAACGCTCGTATGGATTGTGTATTCTGCGAAGAGCCCAATGGTCAGCAAGTGAATACTTTCAGGGACGTCTGCTCGAGACAAGGTCACTGGGCGACCCGTGGGAGTACATTGCCACGAGCACCAGCAACCGCACGCCCTAGGCAGCTCGCGAAAGGAAAACATAGAACATACATCCATCTCAAGACATGTGGGTAGATGCTGGCTGAGGCGGCGATGACGCTTTTGAGAACGTATAGGTCCTCCTTAGGGCTCTCCAGCAGGCTCCTGAGCACCGGCAACACCTGGAAGCTCATGACCTCCTTGTCCTTGTTAGGGAGTATCGGAGTCGCAAATGCCTCGGCGATGAAGTCGGCAGCCCAGCGCCGCAGCTCGAGGGTGGAGTTGGGGGCGGCAAGGGGCAGGATGCCGGTCATAATCGACTTGTAGTAGCTGGCGTCGACGAGGATGGCTTTGCGGGCGTCATTCAACTGCTTGAGCTGCTCGCTCACGGACTGCACAGTGTCGGCGGCCATGATGGGCAGGTGGGTTGGCACGACGGCCTGGATCTCTCTTGGATGGGGTGAAAGGAAGGCACACAAGGTCGGCAGGCCTCAAAGTGCCTCTACTCTACGAAAGTGGGAGGGGAATGGATGTCGTCCCAGCTCTCCAGGCTAGAGATCCGAGACGTGGTCGAGTGGGCAGGCGACAAAGGCCAGTCAGTGTTTCAATGGGGACGCGAGAGTACGTGTGAGTAAGAGTGAGTCTGACAGGCCTGGGGCGCAGTCAGTCGTTGCTGTGCGTCGGTGGCTGTCGACAAAGTCGCGATGCGATGCGGTACGGTGCGATGCTGATATTGGCCAAAACGGCGGCGGCGCATACTGGTTTCAAAGGGATTGTCGCGCCGTTGCAGGGTCGAGGAATGGCCTTACAGACTGGGGAGACGCGAGAAGATGGGCTTGTCCTCGCAGTAGTCTGCGCTGGGAACCCATGAAGACGTGCCCCAGGTTTGCGAGGTCGAATGGAGTGGTGGGTTGGGTGGATGAGTGGAGTGAGGCTGCATGTGAGCTCGCAGTTTGATGAAAGTGCCATGTAGTACCTGGCCGCTGAAAATCAGAAGTGCAACTACCTTGGTCCCAGGGGTGCTTCCCCAATGCGGCCCCAAGCGCCAGGCGGCGGGACGTGGAGCACAGCGCGTTTGGAGAGAGCTACGTAATTGGGCCGTGTTGCTGGGGTCCTTGTTTGAAGGCCTGCCTAGGCTGCGAGGCCTACCGTGCATCACTTAGACTATGTGAGATCACCAGTGCTAGAGAGAGCTTATGTAAACCAATATTTTGGGTGCAGAGACGAACATCTGATTCTAGTCTGCCACTCCGGACCGCATCGCAAAAGTCCCAGCTCTCCTTTTGCCTGCGCATATTCCCTAACAAGATACTGTGCTTGGAAGCTCACACTCTCCATCATGGCAGGGTAGGTACTCGTTCCCCCTCAACCACAACACACCGTATTTTCCGGCTTGACAGATACTGACGCTCGCCGCCGCCCGTCCGCAGCATCGATCACTCGAGCTACTACACCCGGAAGAACGCCCAGTCCGCCGCCCTCCTCCGCGCGCGCCGCCCGTACCTGGTTAAGAATGCCGTGACCGGCCTGGCGATCGCCGGCGTCGCTGCGGGAATTTGTGCGTCTGAGAATCAGAAACCAATACACCTTCAGTCGTGCAATATAAGCTGCTAACTCCACTCCCGAACCAGACTGGTACACCATCAACGCAGTCGGCCAGGATGAGTTCGAGGACGTCAAGGTCCCAGAGGTACCAGTTCACCAGGCACAGGAGATCAACAACCCCAAGAAATGAAGCCGGACAGTGTCCATCGCCTCAGACGGTCCATCGCATAACAACACCACAGCGGACACCTCTCCAAGCAGCACGAATCGCATGCTGAGATGGTGAAGAGCGTGGGAATGACGGATGAGGATGGTCAGGTGGAGGTAATTCTGTGCTCGCTGGCACGTTTGATATCTCAATGCGTCTAGCAGTGTCTCGTTGACAGGAGCGCATGTACAAAGTACAAAAGTTGTATCTACAAAGTCCCAACAGAACATGGGAGCCATCCCGCTGCCGGCCTATATCCCGATAGTGCCTCCAACGCCGTTCCCGAAGACCTGCCCGAAGCCGGTCGTAGTATAACAAAATGCAAAATCTCGACAAAAGAGTCAAACGACCCTAGGCCACGTCGTGTCCGGACGGGCCTGCCCAACAAATCCTGAAGTGTGTGAAAGCAAGCAGACATGCTGATGTCCCAGGTCACACAAGACAGTAGTACGCCCGTTCCAAAATTAAGCAACCAGGAAGCCTTTTGAGCCACGGGTATCGTGAATTCCGAGAAAAAAAGCAACGACGCCTTCGCATTCCCCAGGGGCGATCACTCCGAACCTAAGGCAGATTGAGCTAGGGCACACATCCATTTCCTCGGGCATACCGAGGGGCCTTCTCTGCGTAAGCCATTATCGTAAGACGTTGTGCCATGGCCTTGCGCGGCCCTGTCGCTAAAATTATACCGTATGGCCGTCTGCTGGAATAGCCATTCATGGGCGATCCGAGGTGCGGCGCGATTCAATTGCAGTGCAATCAGACGCGAATGAGATGGGCTGCCATAGTTGCCTCACCCATCTGCTTAACCTCTTGTCATGCGACTGCCTCGCGCTTGGACTTGACCGTCTCAACTGCTCTCCGTGGGTGCGCTGGCTCCGAATCTGCCGTGAGGTGTCGATGATTGGCATCTCCATTCATTTGGCCATTGGCAAACCACATTCCACCCACAGGTTGGTGCGATGCCCTCGCATGGCCCATCAAGGCGGGAGGACCAGCATACGCGGCACCGTGTGACTGGCGCCGGGAGGTCGCACCATGAGAAGGGTGTTTTGGGTTCGCCCACGCGTGGCTCTCGATGTATTCTTGGCCCGCAGGCCCAAGAGCTTGTCCGAACTGTGCCGCCGCGGCGTAATCATGTAAAGCGGGCTGCATCCGCTGCGACACGCCGGGATGCGTTCCCTGTCGCGCTCGCTGCCATCACAGTCAGCTCGTCAATCAGGCACAATTGTCCTTAGTGATACCTACAGCCATTGCTTCAAAGTCATCCTCGACCTCTGTCGATGACGCACCACGCATATCTGGCGCTGCTGGGAACCCGTGGTGCTGAGCGATGCCAGCCAGTATCGACGTTTCCTTTCCTTGTGCAATCGCGTGCCTCTTCTGTTCGGCCTTCGTCTTGGGGAAACGGAAGCCGTAGTCTGGTATAGGATTGGCGTTGCGCCGTCGCTCATGTTGTATCTCGTACCATTGTCTGCCGAGCTCATCCACGTACTTTTCCCTCAGTTCGCGTGCGCTCTGGAAGAATTGAGAGAGAATCTGTGCTCGCCGGGCCACAGCCCAACGGTCTAGAGCTTCCATATTGAACTTGTACTCGAGCTCGACAACTTTTACCCTGTCGTCTCGGCGGCTGTCGATGCAATGCATCATGGCCAGGTATTCGGGGTGGGTTGGATTGTCGCTTGTCAGCATTGCTTCTTCTTCGTTCAGCTGTGCAAGTCGCTCTTCGTACAGTCTGCCGTAGTCCTATCAGTATTGCCTTTCGTGTGCCGCAATGCCTGGATTGGTCGACTTACCGATCCCTTAGTACTGCAAAGTTCTTCTCAATTGAAGAGAGCTGGTCGAAAGCACTGCGCTTCTTCTCCACTGCAGCAAACTGGTCAGTCGCAAAAGCCAAGTCAAAATGAGGAGCAACTAAACAGCGGTCCTTACTTTCTTCCTCGTTTTTATGCACGGCTTCGGCTTCCTCATCAACTCCAGCTTCAGCCTGCTCGTCCTCGACAGTCTGGATTGGCGTTGCTGTAGGCTCTTCTCCCTCGGGTGCGTCCTCGACGGTTTCCGACGAGGCCTTTCGCTTCTTCGTGCTGCGCTTCGACTTCTTTGGCTTGCTAACCTCATTCGTCGGCCTCTCAACCGAGTCTGTAATGTCTCCTGTATTCTTTATTGCTGTTTCTTCATCGTCCTCGTCGGCAGTGTGCTCAGCGCTCTTATTGCCCATGATGTTACTTAAAGCAACGTCTTCTGACTCGATCTTAGAGAGGGAAGACGATTCGTCGCCTGGCTCTGGGATTGAGGCGGTCCTCTTCCGCAGTGGCTGATTGGAATCGGACCGTTCTGCCGCGGGCAATCTTTTGCGTTTTCTCGAGTCTGCCAAGGAGTTGTCACTGCCACTGCCAGCCAGCGTAGAGCTTGCAATGATGTGTGACTCTTGCGACTTGGTACGCTGGTTTTGCGATGCCTTTGCCCGTGTTACCCCGTCCTCTTTCTCAGAATCCGCTTCGCTGTCGACAGTGGAGCCCTTATCTTCGTCGTCGGCATCATGACGGTCGTCGGAGAGACCATCGTTGTCGTCACCGCCGGATCCAGCCCCAAGGCCAGCTTGTGCCTTGCCTTGCAGCTTGCTTGAGCTTCTCTGAAATGTGTGGGCAGCTTTGTCGGGTGATCGCCTTTTGTCAATTTTCGCATTCGGAATTGAGTCGCTTGGCTGATTATTACTCTTGCGCGGGGTGTCGTATAGGCGCTCTGTTTCGGCCTCGGAGTCGTTGGTCTCAATTTCTGAGAGGTTAGAGTCGGAGTCGTCGTGCGGTGGCTGGACGGCGGGGTCGTGTGCGCGGCCATTTTCAGGATTGGAAGGCTCGTCGCCGTCGGAATGGTTACTGTTCATGTCGATATCCATGTCATCGGGCTCCGCATCCTTGTCTTCGACCTCGCTGAGAGGGCTCGACACGGTGCTGTCTTGGTCCAGCAGCGAGTGAGGGTGATTGGCCATTGCTATGGGCGGCGCCGTACCGCCTGTTGCCATGACTGAGGAGAAATTGAAGAGTGCTCGGGAGGCTCGACTCGGTTGTTATAACTTTGCAGCAGAAGGTGTAGTGTGTGTGGAGGTGTCGGCGCAACTCGTGGAGAACCGAGGTGACGAGGGACCAGGTCAGCGGCTGGGTGACGGACAATGACGGTGAGTTGAGGAGAGAGGGCAGTCCAGAAGAGATGTGAATGATTTGTGACCCAGCTCAGTAACATGAAGCTATGCAAGATCACATCTGGTCGTTTCGAGTGTGTTGAGCCAACCTGGGGGTGCAGAAGAGGGGTGGTGGGTGGTGCATAGAATCATAGTCGAGGGGAGAAGGAAATCAAGAACGGCGAGGGACCTCAGAGTGCTCTGCTGAGCGCTGTGGTAACCCGCGCCAGTTTCCCTCCAACTTCACTGAGAGAGAGAGGAGAGCGCAAAGGCTTGGGCGCCGAGCTGCCTGCCGCGCGGAGCCACCGCACTAGCGGCCAATCGATAGCTGCGATAAGCAGATAGAGAACTTCTCGATCTCCCATTTTTGCTGCTTTTGGCCGGAGCAGGAAAATTGGGAGGCGATCTCGGTTCAGCACTCGACGAACAGGCGACCACGCTGCGCGCATTTCTCACTTTTCTCGTTAATTGGCGCCATGGGGAAGAACAAGTAAGTTTCTCATGTCGGAAAACCCAAGTTCATACACACGCTTTTACTAATTGGAAGTAGGAACACCGGTTTGTCGGCTTCTTCCAAGAAGATCGACCCTGCTCTCGATGCCCTCTTCTCAACGAGCTCAGGACCGGTCCAAGCCCCGCCAAAATCGCGATACTCTGAGTTAGCAGCCTCGAGGGCTAGACAGGAGTCGGACAGTGAAAATGAGGAGGAGGATGATGAAGAGCTTTCCAGCATCGACGAGGACGGTGTGAACTTGTCTGAAGCCAGTGACGTGGATGAGGCCGCAGGAAGTACACGCGACGACGAGTTGAGTGATGCTTCCGCGCAAGGAGCAAGCGATGATGACGAGCGCGAAATCGCTGCTCAGATACTCGCCGAAGCCCAAGCACACGAGCGCAAGCAGAAGAAAAAGCGGAAGCACGATGAATTCCATGATCTGGAAAGCAAATACTTCGACAAGCTCGGCGACGATGAGCCTCCTGTTAGCAAGAAGAGGAAGTCTGACGACAGTGCTGAGGATGAGGCTGGAGGTGCCAAGACCAAAGACGCTGAGGACGACTCAGACAGCGACATACCCGTGCACGAGTCTCTTACGCAGAAAAAGGAGGTTGACGAGATTGAGAAGGCGTCGCGAACAGTGTTCCTCTCGAACGTCTCCATTGAGGCTGCTAGCTCAAAGAAGGCGAAGAAGACTCTCATGGGGCACCTGTCTTCTTTCCTCGACAAAACTGCCTCGCCGCCACAGTCGCTGGAGTCGCTCCGGTTTCGCTCCCTCCCGTTTTCGACAGCAGCGATGCCGAAACGTGCCGCTTTTGCTACCAAAAGCCTCATGGAGGCCACCACACAGTCTGCCAACGCATACGTAGTATACAGCAGCCCGGCAGTGGCTCGCGCAGCATGCGAGAAGCTGAATGCAACGGTTGTGTTAGACAGGCACTTGCGGGTGGACAGTGTTGCGCATCCCGCTCCAGTTGACCACCGGCGCTGTGTCTTCGTGGGCAACCTCGGTTTTGTGGACGACGAGACAGTGCTCAACGTGAAAACGGACGAGGATGGCAAGGAGCAAACCGAAAAGCGCAAGCGAACCAAGGTGCCAATGGATGTCGAAGAGGGTCTTTGGCAAAACTTTGGCAAGCACGCTGGCAAGGTTGAGAGTGTGCGTGTTATCAGGGACCAAACAACGAGAGTCGGAAAAGGAATTGCCTACGTGCAATTCTATGTGAGTGCGATCCTAGCTATTAATGGTGACTGAAGCGCAGAGTTGCTGACTTGCATGACACAGGATGGTAATTCAGTTGAGTCCGCTCTCCTCTTGAACGGCAAGAAGTTCCCACCCATGCTGCCGCGAGAGCTGCGGGTCAGTCGGTGCAAGGCACCGCACAAGACAGCCAGGGCCATGGACAAGAAGAACGCGGAGAGGAGCGCTGCACTTGCAGCCAGCAGCAAGGCCAAAAAGGGCACGAAATACGTGCCAAAGCTCACCGCAGAGGAGCAGACCATGGCTGGCCGGGCTGGCAAACTTCTCGGTCACTCCGCTGCTGCACAGGCCCGCATAGCAAAAACAGGCGGGAAAGCGTGATCGGACGAACAGGGGCGAGAAGAAGTTTAGCAAGGACAGGAAGGAGGGCGCAGGCGTAGGCGTGGGCGCTGCTGGGTTCAAGAAGCCCGAAGACTTCGTCTTTGAGGGACGGCGTGCGAGCTCCCGCGACGCCAAACCAAAGGACCTGAAGCAGAAGGTTGGAAAGAAGAAAGCCGGTGCCAAGCCGAAGAGGAAGTCGGCGAGGTGAGGGCAGCGTTGATTGCGGGTGCAGGTCCGGGTTACTCCAGATGTGTTGATGGCTGTTAGTGACTGGCAGCCTGGAAGCTTGGAAGGTTGGAAGGCCCCCTGGCTCTTCAGATCGTACGGCAATTTCAAGAACCGTGCATACGCATTACATAAGTGTGAGCACAGCTTCGGTAATAAGCAAACAAGCACAGCTTACAGGCTTGCCGGCGGGCGGCAGCTCCTAAACCTGGACCATTGTACGAAATCGTGTGAGCATGTCGGGCATGTTGTCGCAGGATAGCACGGAGAGGATACTTTATGTGTCTTTCAAATAATTGTTGAATGGCGTGGTATCTCGTCCCGTTTTTGCCCAACCAGAAACGCCGCTTTTGATGCAAGCAGGAATAGAATACTGCTGGCCAGATGCAAACCGCACAACCCGTCTCTATCATAATCGATACATCATCATAGTACACTCTCCTTCCTCTTCTTGGGGTTCAGCGCCATCTCGGTCCGCCGTATGAGCTCCTCGTACACGGTCCACGCCAGCGCCGAGCTCATGGCCTTGCGGCTCATGCGCAGGGCCAGCCCGTCGGCCAGGCTGCGCAGCCCCTCCTGGGCGACCATCATTCGCGCCGCGTGGAACGTATTGCGGTACACGCCCGGCTGCAGCTGGATGCGCGTCTTGACGGCATCGAAGGGGTTCGAGATGGCCGAGCAGGCGGCGCCGGCGATGACGCCAGAGCCGAAGTTGATGGTTGCGGCGGTGGAGACGCCCATTGCCGGGCTGGTCATCTTGGCCCTGCTGGCGACGGGGTCCTTGATGTCGCCGCCGGCGCCGGTCAACGAGCTCAGGCGCTTCTTGCTCTGCTCGTAGAACAGGACGTACAGCCCGGCATAAGGCGCGTCGCGCATGGCCGTCGCCCCGAAGCCGGAGAAGAAACCACGTAGCCCTTCCTTCCTGAATATGTCGCGCCCCGCCGCCGCGATGGACCCGTACGAGTACAGGTTGGACTCGTACCGCACCTTGATCACCGTCAGCGGCATCAGCGTCATGCCGGCGAACGTCCGCGCCACGGCGCCGGCTAGCAGGTTGCCTGTGTTGGACAGCTTTACTAGCGATGATGAGTGCCTCCCTTCTTTTCCGGAAAAGGGCATGCCCGCGCCGTCCGCCGCGAGGAAGGGCACGCGCGACACATTGTTCCGGATCGCGTTCAGACTCGTGAAGTAGATGGCGCTACCGAAGCCGGTGCGCAGGGCAGACGGAGTTGCGCCCCTCCATAGTGCGGGTAAGAAGCGCGGCTGTGACCGGATCTCGCGGAATGCGGCGGTCAGGGAGTGGTGCCCGGACTGTTGGACGCGGGTCTTGAGGAGGTCGATCGGCTGCAGCAGGACGGCGGACAGGAGCCCTGAGCCGAGGCCGGCTACGAAGTGAAAGACTTTAGAGCGCATGCGGTCAGCTAATGCCGTCTGCAAACTAGAGTAGTGAGAGACTCGTCAGAGCTTACTCGACTTGGACTTGGCCTTTGGAGGGCCATCGCTGCTCATTTCGCAGTCCTATTCTCGAGTGACACAAAGTGGTCGTGGCTGTCTAGTTTCCCACGGAGCTGCGCGCGCTCGAGCATTGCTTCCTGGGCCCGGGCTTGCTTTCGAGATTAGTGACGGATGTTTCTCAGGTCGCAGGGTGGGCCATGATGTGTAACAAGGATCCAAGTGCAGAAATCGCAGAACTATTTGTTTGGTTCGAGAACGGAGGGCGGAGAGTAAAGTTTAAGAGAAATGACGAAGACCATTTTAGCTTGTCCACTTTTTGGCCGGCGCATTGAATTTGGCCGGCTGACCCGGCTCCGGTTCGGCGAGCCGCAGAAGGCCCGAGTCGTTTCAAGCAGGCCACGCCCGAGAACACCCTTCGAGGAACCCGAAGCGTCAGACAGGTCTCTGGTCTTGCTGATACCATGTACTTCACGTTTATACAACTGGACTGATGTAGCACAAAATCGGTTGACACAGCCAAATGGTCAGTGGAAGTTGTGAATCAACGCTATTCCCGCTGGCCGCGGGATCCTCGATGTCAGGGTATCTAGCATTGCTTTATCTGCGCACTACTCAAGGCGAGCGGCTCGTTGTGTTTGTCGTGTCTCATTCCTTCTTCTGCCGCGTATATATTCGGCTCCTATTTGGAAACCTTCTCCTTCTGGTCTCCGACTATCGACTCCAAGCGTCCAGCCAAAAGTCGATGTCGTCTCACTACCTCAACCCATTCCTCCTCTGCCTCACTACCAAGGTCCATGTCGGCCAAGAACAGCCCAAAGTCCCCTCCCAAACGGCCCAGACTACCCGCGCAGTACAGGACCTGCGTCAACAGGCTGTCCCTGGATGCTTGGTCCCTGACAGTTGGTAGGTAGATGCGTAGCGTCTCGAGGAGCATGTCCACGAGATATAAGGGGAAAGTAGAGAGTGTTGAGGGTAGTGGTTCCAAGGGGTCGCCTTGTGCTGCGCCTGCTGTTGTCGGAGCGTCAGCCGATGCCGGGAAGATGCTCCTGTACATGGAGACTATGGCGAAGCTCTGTTCACGAAAGATCTCGACGTAGCGCTTTAGGAACCTCTCCGTCTGCTGTCCTCCCGACCACGCGTTCCCGCTGCCGATGGACTTTTGCCTGGCCTTCTCCTGGTCTGCCAGCTCCTTCAGAGGATTCAACGCGTTGAGCATGTGCATGAGCGTCGCCAGCCGACACACCAGGAAAAGAGCACCTAGCGCTCTGTCCTGTGAGCCGTGCCCCTTCTCCTGCGACCCAGCGGACTCGAGGTCCGGTAAGACTCGTCTCAACCAGCTGATGGTCCTTAGTGAGGCGGCCAATTTCAACCCGGGGGCTTTGAGGGAAAGCACGAGGTTAGCTGCCATAGTCCTCATCGCCTCGTCCGCCTGTGCTGATATTGATGCGATCAGTGGAGAGTCCGGATACAGTGTGTGTAGTCTGCGTATGTGGCCATTGAGGTCCAACGCGGACGAGTAGTTGGGAGGAGAGGCTGAAATGGCCGAGTTCAGAAGGGTCGGTAGTTCCAGCACATCAACAAGCCGCTCGACATTTCTTGATAGGAGTAGAGCGCGCTTTCTCCTGGCCAGTACGTCGTTCTCGCTGGCTTTGTTGTAGGTGCTGGAGAATTTGACGGCCTCGTTGTCCAACCTGGGGATTGCATTTCGCAACTCTGCCGTGCTCGCTGCCAGGGCGGGCAGTGCAGTCTGTAGAGAGGCATGATGCGACGCAGAGTCGATGATGGGCTGGTATGATTTCTTTGAAAGCCCCTGCAACGAGCGGAGTAATGAGTGTGATGACTGGGACAATGACTGAGGCTCGTTGGTGTCTAGGGAAGCGAGCGGTTGAGATGCCAGGTGGTTGAGATACTCCAAAGTGCTGTGGTCCGCCGGAGTCCTGGCCAAATCAGACCCAGGCTGTGACGCCAGGAGATCATAGAGCAGGTCTGCCATCTTGTTACCACGTGCACCGCCTGGCGGACGACGACTGCCCAGCCAGATGTCACCAGCTGTTGTTCCGTGCAGAGCTGCTTGGGGTTGCTGTAGTCAACCGAGCGAGGCCTTCCAGGGATGTTGGATTTGGCTAGCCTTGCCTTGCCCTGCCTCGGCCTTGTGATGGCGTCAGGCGGCGGCTGGCAGGAGGTGACACTTGGCCTGCAAGCAAGACCTCAAGAGCTTGGACCAGCGTGACCCGAAGCTCGGCTGCAGCTCAGGCACAAGGCACTTCGCACCTGGCATGCAGCACCCGCAGGACAAGGCTGAGGGGAAAACGCTAAAGTGCTACAGTCTGCAGGGATGTTAACCGTCCAGTGTGTGCCGCTTCTGTCTAACCGTCTACCAGGTACATACTATACCTCTTGCATACCTGAGCATACCTAGGTACATAGCAGATCACCTCCTGCAGTCCCATATCACTGCCGGTAAAGTTGTACGACGTTGCAACATATGTTCAATCTATGGAACAGAAACGCGTATTTATGCAGGTCCTGCTTGTCTCCTGAGCATAATGTGTAGACTGCATGGGAAAATGCTCTGCCAGCGAGAGCTGGAGACATGGCAGCCCCTGAAGAGTACCCCTCTCCCCGCCCATTGCCCCGCGTCTCCCAAGGTATCTTTCAAGGACCTTGAAGTACCCGGTACATGGGCCAAGAATCCCAACAAATTCAGGGTCCCTGTCATGTCGACCCTTTGATAAGATGCAGCTCTTTGACGGACATCTTACCGGCCTGCCACCGCCTTCAGCCCATCTCGACGTGGCACAGGACGTCAGAATGCTTGCGTGACCGGATACACCGTCTGTCTTGCATTTTGGAGACTCATTCTGCATCTTTTCAGCCTTCTGATCACCCAGGCCGACAGCACAGGACGGACCTCAAGCCGCTGTAACCTTGACCTCCACAGGCGCGTGCAGTTCCCAACGGATTCTCAGCCTCTGTGCACGCACATCGTTGCCGACCTGGGTGACTTGGTCGTGTGCCTGCCCGGACCCGCGACTGCTTCCGAGGCTTGCGGAGTCCCCGAATGTGACACTTGGCTTCAGACGCCTTATAAGATCCTCCCGGCCTTGTGTGAGCGCGCAGTGAACGCTCCGTATCCCACCGCGGCTGCCAACCCTCGTCTATTCTCATATCCCAAATATCGAGCTGGAAAGCCTCGGTGGCACAACAACCATGAAGGACCCCTTCTTTATAGCGCCCATTCCGGCCCTCAGCGAATGGGTCCGGCCTTTCGCTGAAAGATTCAACCTCACCGTGCTGCCTCAGCATATACACGAGGTTATCTTCGCTGCCCTCATGTACCTTTTCGTCCACCTCGTCATATCGCCATGGCTTTCGATGAAGTACGCTCCCAAGCAATACCCCACCCACCGGGGAAAGAGGGCGAGCTGGGACGCACATGTCGTCTCTTTGTTCCAGAGCACTCTCATCAACATCCTGGCGCTATGGTGTATGTTCGCCGATGAGGAGCGCAAGACGATGGACTGGCAGGCGCGCATATGGGGATATACCGGTGCTAGCGGCATGATTCAGTCCCTTGCAGCGGGATACTTCGTCTGGGACTTCATCACGACCCTCCTTTTCGTCGATGTGTTCGGCTTCGGCGTCCTCGCTCATGCCACAAGCGCCCTGCTTGTCTACTCGTTCGGATATGTAAGTTCTGGCCTTGCTGTTACTTCCGAATCCCTTCCGTGTGCTGACTGCCGCCACAGAGACCTTTTCTGAACTACTATGCCAACGTCTTTATCCTCTACGAGCTTTCGACCCCGTTCCTCAACATCCACTGGTTCTTTGACAAGATGGGCAAGACGGGAAGCAAGGCGCAACTGTACAATGGCATCATTCTCATTGTCACCTTCTTCTCGGCCCGACTTATCTGGGGTGTGTGGCAATCCGCGATCGTGTGGTATGACATGTACCGCGCCCTGTACATCGCACCCAACGCCGAGTTCATGTCGGTCACACCAGCGGACGAGAGACTGCCGGGTACCGAAGACATCATGATGTATGCGAAGGAAGCCGGCCCCCTCCCTGGGTGGCTTGTTGCCATCTACTTGGGTAGCAACCTCACTCTCACGACCTTGAACTGCATCTGGTTCAGCAAGATGATCAAGGCCATTCGAAAGCGATTCGAGCCACCCCAGGAAGCCCCGAAGCAGAAGGAAAAGCCCGTTGATGGCGCGGCTACGGCCTCTCCGCTTGTGGACAAGGTCGACGAAGTCAGAAGACGCCACAATATTCCCGTACCAGAAATTGGAGATGATCTCGGGGCGATGCAGTAGGTGTGCCCACCATGAGGTTTATCTTGCTCGGTGCAATCGCCATCTGAGCAAGGACGACGCATGGAGTGCAGCGGACTGTATTACAGCTTCGTCAACGCTGGATAAGCTTCGGGTCACGACTTTGGCAGTTTGAAAAAGGCTCAACACAGGCGTTCACTCTATTGTATCATGCATTCATCCAACAACTGTGATTGATGGCACAGTTCCACTCGAACGGCCTTGATATTGGGTATCCCGCACTGCAAATCTAACAAGGTCTTTGTATATACAAAGAAGGAAGGATTTTGGGTACACTTGTGCAACACCAACAGCGAAACATAGCGAGGCGAATTGGAGTGACAGATGATAGTATTAAATCACCATGACTCCTCCAATGTGAAACGCCCTTCACGGCGAGCTTCTTAAGCAGCTTTCGCTGAGGCCAATCCGATCCTACTCCTTGAGGACTGAAGTAGGAAAGTTAGTTCAAGCTCCAATGGGTTGTCAGGGGCATATCTGTTCACTCACCACCACCAACGACACCACCGACAGTGTTACCGACAGTGCTACCGACTCCGTTGACCACGCCGCCAACGGCATCGGTGGCACCCCCCACAACGTCGCCAGCTGTATCGGTGACACCGCCGACAACACCACCCTAAGGCCGAAAATCAGTACCCGCTCGCAATTCGAAACCCCAGCCCATCCTCCGCGATGACAAGATGGCAGGGGCATTACTTACAACGGCATCGAGGGGACCTGAACCGGCTGAGCCAGAGGATGAGGCACCAGCAGCGCTGTCCGTGCCGGTGGCACCTCCGAGAAGGCCACCAACGGCGTCAAGCTGACGCTTCGCCCCGCCCGTGACACCTCCGACAAGGCCGCCCTGAGACCCAGATATCAATATACATACTCAAAAGACGAGGCCCAAAAGGGGGAGGCAGCACTTACCACAGGGTCGGATGACGAGGCACCACCGGCACCACCCGTGACGCCACCAAGCAGGCCGCCGACGGCATCAAGCTGACGCTTCTGGCCGCCGGTGACACCTCCGAGAAGGCCGGTCTGAGGTTAGATATCAGTATATGCTCGGGGACCCTCTTTCCAGAAGAGAGCGGTTAAAAGGGGACAACACTTACCACGGGCTCCAGAAGACCACCTGAACCGCCAGCTGCCCCAGAAGATGAGGCACCATCGGCACTGCCGGTGCCAGTAGCACCCCCGAGCAGGCCACCGACGGCATCGAGCTGGCGCTCCTGGACGTTGACCGGAGCTGCCAGGGCGGCGGCGGCGAGGGCGGCGATGAGGGCGATCTTGGGATACATTTTTGTATGTGTGTGTGAGATAGAGATGTGAAGATAAAGAAGTCGCAGACTAAGAATGAATGATCGGATAGAAAGAGCTAGCTTTCAAATGAGGGAATCGTTGAATGAGGAAGATGGAGAATGATGGAATGGATTATGGACGAAGAACAAATTCCAGAGTTGAGGACGGCCGTTCACGAGTGTATATGTATCCATCCTCGCCCTCTGCTGCAGTATACTACCACGTCAACACCACACCCACTACCCTCCTGCCGTAGAGTCCTCATCTCACCGTCCGATCGCGGTGCGCTGAACACGCCTCGCAGGCGCGTACTCTCCCCTCATCCGAAATATCGATTCTCCCCCCCTTTGGGTAGGATGATCGACGGGCTCCCGAAACAAGATCTACGCGGGCTTGGGTGCCTGCCTCAGCCCCTCAGCCCGCCTCTGCACGGGTGGGGAGGGCTGATAATCGATAATCTACACGACTCGGGACATTTCGTCTGATAGCATCGCCCTGTCAAACTCGCTAGGCGAGGGGCATTGGAGCGGTGATGCTCGAGTTCCGAAACGGTGACAGCCTCAGCCGGCATGGGTGTGGAGAGAGAGGGCTGTTCGTGACGGTTTGACTGGGGTATTGACATTTGGTTGCGGTGGAGCTCTCGACGTTTGGGCGGCTAAGGGGAAGGGGAGTGGGCTGAAGGGCTGCCTCCTTCGAGGAGGGAGGACGAATAGTAGACACCACCGCTTGCTCCTGACATATGTTGCGAGATCCCGGAGACTTTGACAAGCGGCAGATCCCATAAGCTCATCCAGGAAGACATCTAGCGGTGGATTAGAGTGCGATGTCTAGGACCGTGAAGGGACAGGGGGGTAATCCCAGTGTTAGCGACCCATCGACTCAACCCACAGCAAAAACATACGCTCCGCAGCAATATCCTTGCAAATGGTAACCAGCCCTGTGTGAGAACGTATTGTGATCCTCACGAACCTGTCGTCTTCCGCCAATGCATCTCCAGACAGACACCCATCGGCTGTTTCAGACGTGTCGCTCGCACGTGGCGGCATTTTCATCGCAAGTGGGAGCGGGCCTCCTGAGGATGATCGCGTAGGACTCCAAAGCTGGGCTGAATCAAGCTGAGAGCACGAGTGGGTTGATTCTTCCCACATCTCTGATACTTGGACCAAGTACCGAGCTGTCGGGTAAGGGGGCAGAATACAACATTGCCCACCTATTGTCCGCCACTCATTCACGGCGCCACTTGAAGTCATGAAAACCTAGCACGCGAAGAACGCGACGCAGAACATCTCTTCGTCAAGTGGTGTGTCGGGACCATGTGCAGCAAGGGCTAATGTATTAAATGTTTACGTATGTGTCAGGCTAAGATTATCATTGCTTGCTGGTGCCCATCTCTCTCCCCCTCCTTGCCCAACCCAAGGCAGGGACGGGCGATCTATCCAACTTGTTGGATCCGGGACTGAGCCCACTCCGCCCTGCCATCATCTCGTCCAAGGACGCGGATATGTCACGCAATGCAGCTTATGATCCTCTAGGTTAAGACCCGGAAAGTAGCATTGGAAAATGCTAATTCTTGCGCAATCCGAGTCCTGCTCTTCTGGCAGGACATGACACGCCAGAAGACAGAGCCGCGTGTCTCTCCCCCAGGATTGGGGTGGCTTCAAATGTGGAATAGTACGAGGCGAGACTCTAGAAGCCGAATGGGTTGTCGGGCGCTAGACGATATGTAAGCTTCAATTCAACCCGTCGCGAGGCCTATGTTGAAGGACCACTGAGAATAAAGCAGGACTTACTGGCAGCAGATAGATTTGCACGACGACCCGTTGGCTGAGGCATCATCTTCTTTGCCGCAGGATCCACGCCAAAGCGGACTGGTGGCGCCGGTCCTGTCTGCTGTGGCATCAAGGGGGCGGCGGGAGGCTGCACCGTCGGACCGTTCTGTTGCATGCCATGGTTCCCGAAGCCTTGGGTGAAGCTCATTCCTGTAGGCTGGGGCTGCATGGGCTGCATCTGTGGTTGCATTCCTGTCCTCTGGGGTTCCATGGCTGGTGGTAGGTACGAGTTGACACCGCCCGGTGGGTTAGCACCGAACTGCTGCTGGCCAGGCTGGCCGAATTGCCCTTGGAAGCCAGTGGGTTGAGTTTGCATGCCCGTGAATTGTTGTGACGCTCTTGGATCGGCAAAGGGGCTCTGGCCCATCTGTTGCCCGGTCATCATAGGCTGTTGCTGCATGAACTGAGGCTGGCCGAAGCCCGTCTGTTGCGGTTGCATGCCCGTCTGCATAGGATACATGCCAGGCTGCTGTTGCTGTTGCTGAGGGAACCCGGTCATCTGGGACTGCATCTGCTGCATGTACTGTTGCTGCATCCGCTGCTGGTTGATTTCCTGCAAGCTTTGTCCTGGAGGAGCGACCTGCCCAGTCACCTGTGGCGCCATCGGAGGAGGATTGAATTGGCTGGGCAGTGCCGACTGAGGTGCAGAGAAAGGCCGCGCGGGAGGCGGAGGTATCATCCCAGCCTGCCCTGGAACGCCTGTCGGTGGAGTCGGCCGTTGCCTCGCGAGGGACAGCTGTTGCGAGAGCGGTGTGGTCTGCTGCTGCTGCTGGCCATTGGGCAACCCGGAGAAGAAGCCCGGCGTGGCTCCGGTCAGCTGTGGGACCTGAGCGGCGGCGGGAGCTGCCGGAGGTGGCTGCGTAATCATCGGCGAGGTCTGAACAGGAGTAGCCGTCTTTGTTGGCTGTAAAGGCTCCGTCAAGAGCGATAGCTCTTGCATTCCTGGTGTCAGAGCCGGCCTGAGAGGTTCGGGTTGAGCGGGAGCCGGGGCTGGTGCCGGCGCCGGTTGCGGTGCCTCAGTCTGTGTTGTTGGTGCCGCAGGCTGAGATTTTGCTGGCTTGACATCCCAGGCATCGTCATCAAAACCGCCGGCCTTCCCTGTTGACACGGCAGATGTGGTCGTAGCCGGTGTAAGCACTGCAGGAGAGGAGGCTTCGCTTCCGCCAAGGGCCTTGCCATCAACAACGTCGCTGGCTGACCTGTTTGCCTCAGGGCGGGCTCTGCCAGTGTTGTTCTTCAGAGCACCTCCAGGCCCAGAAAATAGACCGCCTTCACCCTGTGCCTCGTCGCCCATCTTCTTGCGTCCATACTTGTTATCCAGATACCGCATGACCTTAATAATGTCACCTTCTCGCAGACCCAAAGTTCGTAGAACTGAAGCATCGACATCTGGAAGAACGGACTGGTCCATGTTGTCCCTGTTGAAAGCTTGAGAATACCTTTCGCACAGCCCAGGCTGGATCTCACAGTCAAGGAAGAACTGGAACCAATCGTACTCGGGCCTTTTGGGTTGCTCGATACTAGCACCGACGGCTGAAGCGCCTTGCCGCTGAGACCTGGCTCTCTTGACCTCTGACAGGGGCTTGTCTTCGTCTAGTGAGATGCCAGTTACTCGCTCCACATACTCGAGATCTTCGACCGACATCTTCGCTACGGGCACCGCAATCTTGACACCGTTCACTTTGTGGAGATTGAGCTTGCCGTCTTTCATACCTAGGAACTGGGCTTCGACGCTGAAGGATTTGGACCTATCTGTCCAGGTTCGCACCTTGGAGGGGTCGGGTTCTGATTGACGCCGGTCAGTATGGCCCAGACAAATGCAGCCCGAGTACTTACTAGACTTGTTACTGGAGCGCGAGGAGCTACCACTGTGGCCGTTCTCGCGTTTCCGCTGTGATGAGGCGTTACCATTCTGTTCTCTTGCAGACAAGCTGCTGCTTCTTTCTGGCAAACGCATTCCAGGCCCTACCTCTGATGCACGCTTCCCGTCCTCTTTGCGAGCTGCCTTGACCGCCTCTTTGGTCAAGCGCTCCTCCTCGAGCCGGTTCTGGGCAACCGTAGACCGGCCCGCGTTGACACCCGTCATAGAAGCCGGCTGAGCCGGTGCTGTTCCGGTGATTTCCACGTAGCTGCTCGGCACAACGCCCTCCTTGCCGTTCTTGACCCTTCGGACCTGCCACCAGTCCTCGCTCTTCATGTCGTCGAGGACGATGACCTCGTCGCCGTCGGCTACCGTGACTTCGTCTTCGCCCTGGGCCATGAAGTCGTAAAGCATTTTACCCTTCTTTTGCTCCCTGCCGGTGCCAGCCATAATGACCTCCCGCAGGCCCTCGGCACGGATTGCTCCGGCCAGCTCTCCCAGGGCGGCAACGATCTCCTCGGCTGTGTCTTTTGCGCCGGCGTGGAAGTCCACGCTCTTGCTGGGCCGCACAAGTTCAATGAACACGTGCTTGCCCTCCCGAGAATAATGCGTCATCTTGTCTCCAGTCCACTCCAGCGATGGCCCATCTTGTGCGTGCTCTGGAGCGATCAGGATAACCCCCGTCTTAAGGTTAATACCCAGCGTCGTCGGCATCTTCTTCTTCTTGCCCATGATGGATATCATCTCATTTATATTGTACATGTGAAACCCACCAGGCGATAGGTCTTGAGACCGCGGTTCATACTCGCGGGCCCCAGCGGCAGACTGTCGCCTTTGTTGTTCGTACTGCGGGAATGGGTCACGGTATGAAGACTGCCTCGCTGGCGGCGACAAGCTATCAGTGCGGTCATTGGACATGGCGGACTGGATTGTCGAGGTTCGGGTCCGTGCCGGTAGAGGTGGGGATATCTCCTCCTCGTATTGTTCTTCATGTCTCGTCGACGGTTGTATGCTGAGTGCGGGAGGAGGGGGAGTCTCGCGAGGGACGGATGGGGGCTCTGGAGCCCTGGCACCCATGACATTCGCGAGAGCTGCGGCCGGGTTGGGAGCGGGCGGGCTGCTTGGCTCTGGGGGAAGATTCCTCGCTGGGAGGGGCGGGCTGGGCTCGTCTTCGACGTAAGGTGCGGGAGGGGCGGCAGGTCTCGAGGGCAGGCTCGGAGGAGCAGGTTCTGGTTCTGGCTCTGGCTCGGGAGCGGGCGATGGTTGCTCGTTCCCGGCGCCGTCCGCCATGTCTATATAATTGGCTGGGACGAAGCCATAGTCGCCGTTGAAGCCGACTAGAATCCAGTCTGGGTCTGATGTGTCGAACACCTCGAGCACAGCATCTTCGGTGAAGGAAAGCTCCTCGTCGGTCTGTCTCGTGTACTCGTATAGGGCACGCGCGCTGTCGATGGATGGTGCCTAGATGACCGGCCATCAGACACCATGGCAAGACATGGATAGATTCCAGGGCGGGATGGAAGACGACTCACCTGCTCGATATAATTGCTCGGGACCAGGCCGACAGGCTCTTCCTCATCTTCTGCGCTGGCCTTCTTCTTGACCTTCCACCAGTCATCCTCGGAGCTTTGTTCGAGGAGGTATAGCAGGTCACCCTCGGTGATTTGCAGCTCTCCCTCAGACTGAGGAGCGTAGTCGTATATGGCTCTGTAGACGCCGAGGAAGCCCATGATAACGACTCGGCCGGACCCGGTGAGACCCCTTGTACGTTGTCGACTGCAGCAGGAGCAACCAAAGGCTATGCTGGGAAAAGTAAATAAGGGCGAGGTATAGCGATGCCCCTATGTGAGTACTCCGTAATGCGCTGTGGACCTTGGGTATCGGTGTCGGCAGGGCGAACCGGGGGGCTCTCAGCTTGCAGTTCCGAGTGGCTGGGCTGAGCTGGCCGTTCGAGCTTCTCGGCCGGTCGGTCCGTAGCACGGTGGGCTTCTGGGTCGTTCAATGGGAACGGACGAAAGAGCGAGAGCGGATCGGTTGCTTGAGGCACTGATGCGAGGAGCAAAAGGCGCAATCAGTTATTGCGAAGCGGCGGGGAGGCGGTCGTCATGCGCCGTCATGCACGGCATCCAGATGGCAGTTTGAGTGTTTCAAAAGGAGGTCGGATAGGGAACGGCAAGGCCGCTGATTAAGATGGAGCAAGAGGCAAGTCAACCTTGGAAGTCGGGCACTAACGCCCCGATGACAGATTGGCGAGCCACCGGACAGGACGAATGCAGAAGACACAAGGCGGCTGGAAATCAATGCTGCAGGGCCGACCGAAAAGATGCATGCACGCCAGTGAGTCTACCACGACGAGGTCAGATGCTGACTTGAGTTGGAGTGCGAAACCTAGTCTAGACATGCAGGAGAGGAGATGAGGTCAACGCCAATGCATCTTGCTTTCTGCCAGCATCTCCCCAAGCTTCCAATATTCTCCAACTGCTCATCTCGACTAATTGGAAGGCGGGAGGGTTACAAACCCTTGGGCTTGATTGAACAACCCCCTTCCCCGGCCACCACCATAGCATTCTTCCGTAAATATGGTGCCTGTGAGATGCACAAGCACTTCACGAATATCACCGTTGAAGAACACTTGCTTCTAATTATGGGTTGCATCGTTGTTTGCCTCGTCATCGATTGCCCTCGACCAAATTCTTCCTCAATTACTCTACTGTTTCCTTGGCGAGCGCTGGCAGTGCTGTGCTCTCTATTTGTGTGAACACGGACGCTCGCAAAACGGGACGCTGCAGTACCGCTGAGCCAATGCACTGCACAAGTCCGTCCGTCCTGGAGCATGAGCTCTGAAAGGACGCATGGGAACAGTTATTCGCTATGTATTCCCTCCTGCACAAATCGTTCCTGGCTGATTTCGCATTTGTCATCTCCAGATCTCACCATCACACGGCCGCATTGAGTAGAGTATCGTCCAGATGCTGTAAGCTGTACAGTTGTGTCAGTGAGAATTCCTGCTCTCTGCCCAAACAGTAATGATACCTCGCGACATGTTCATCCCAGGACGTCATCCCTGCCGAGCATATGCATGTCCAAAACCCAGCCATCTGCACACTGTGATCCCAGCAACCTTGAAGGAAGGGTCGCACTGCAGAGGAAAGCCTGGAGGATCCAGGACATGCTATCTAAGGATGTGCCCTAAACCAAAAGGTTCTTCGGGCGCTTTTGCTTCTTCTCGCCAATGCTGTGCAGGGTGTCCGCACCGGTCGGGCCTGGATGAGCCACGGCCCGTGGCACGGCGCTTCTATACTTAGAGCGGACCACCACAAGGCGGCTGGACAAGCCTTCGAGGCTCGAGGCGTCGACTCTGGCTAGGCCCCAAAAAAAAATCAAGTCGCTTATTACAACTGGGATGAACGTTAATTCCGGCCCTGCTCGACTCTTGCAGCCGGATTTAATAACCCATCCCAGCTGCCTGGGTCTGGAAGCCGATTCGACTTGCACTGTCCTCCCGCCAATGATCCCCAGCAGCGTGGGAAGCCTGGCAGCCCGGCAGCCGGCCATCTCGAGCTAGCGCGTCAATCTTGGGAGGACAGTTCCTGCCCTGCTCATCCATCCATCCGTCATCGTTCATCCTGGCAGCTGCCACTCTGCCACTGCAGCTCGAGCCCCATCTTTCCGGCTAATAAGGAGGGAGGAGCCGTCCCGCGACTTCGGCTCCGCTCCATTGCCCGACGAGACTGTGGACCATCTCCTTACAGTACGATATCTGTGTCCTACCTAGTCTAATATGGCGATTGCTGTTGGTTACGTCCAGTAGAGTTCGCGTGTCCACCAGGGCGCTTACTGAACCATAGATTGTAGCCCCCAAAGGCTGCAGCTCGGGACCTGGCGCGGCAAACACGCCCGGGTGCGACTGACACCCTCAGCTGCGCGATCCTCGTGCAGCTTACCCTGGTCTTGGGGACCGGTCACAGTGTCACCCACCACGGTAGGTAGCTTGGCCATGGCCGCGACCCCATGAGTGCAGGGCCTACAAGCCCAGGTAAGAAGCCACATGCAGCTGTGCGGCGCAATAGTCGACCAGCGCGCTTCTGCGAGCTGCGCATTCCTTTACCGTACATCCGTCTCTTTTCACCTGGACTTCTTCCCGCGAAGATGGAAAAATCACCTTCAGCAACAGTTCACTCTGTTGCTTTCCAAGAGCCTTCGACGATGGGTGCCCCAGACACCCCGACAGCTGCGGCTCACGCCGCTCAGAAAGAGCCAATTCCTGTGAACGAGGTCTTCAACAACTACCATGAGCAGTTTCACGACTTCGACGACCCTGCGACTTACAAAGAATTTATGGAAAAGGCTACCAGCCGATTCACGTCCAACTTCGTTGTTCGGTTCGGGGCCGAGAAGGCCAAGATTGCGACTAACCTTACAGACCAGGACGTGGACGCCCTCGTGCACCAGACCGCGCCGGGCAAAGGTGACCCAGACCTGCCTGTGACTTGGATGTACGTGCAATCGCTCTCATAGCTACAAGCCTAGTAGCTGACATACGGCGCCCAGCAACCTTTGGTCCGTCAACAATAATGTCGAAGTCATCAAGAAGCTTGCCCACCGCTACAAGTTCTCAACCCGCTTGAGGTATTCCATCCTGACATGGGACGATGCGAGGCAACAACTAGCAGAGAGATTACATTCTTCTGAACCTGTAAAACAGGATCACTGGCGCCGCCTTCGGTCGAGAACCACGGCATTGCGGACGTCAGACCCGGAGCAGGGCGTCAATGATGACACAAGTGCAAGGCCGGCGGTAGTGCAGCAGACTGGAGCCGGCACCCCAAAGCTCGATGACGAGGATCTAGACATGTTTAAGCTCTTGCAGGGCACTTACAATTATACGACCGTCGACCACGGCCCCGACTGTAAGTGTTCCGCATCTAAGAGAAGAGAGGTTGCCCCGTGCTGACCACGCCCAAGTCATCTGCATAGGAGCCAACTGGTTGCATGAGAGACCCAAGCAGCTCCTGTCACCAGAACTGGGTCGCGTCTATGAAACATCTGCTCAATTAGTACCACCGAAGCACTGGGCTTGGTACATCCTGACAAGCGACCGTGAGTCCTAAAACTACCACGTTGCAACTGTATTACTGACAAGACCAGATACTGTCATATCAATCCAAGAAGCACCTGTCTACCTCGACATCCCTAAGGGCATCAAAGTCAACCACTCAAAATTGCGGCTGGATGAGTTGCAGAGCATGCGCAAAAATACAAGGGCTCTTCTGTCTCAACTTTCAACGATAGGGATCAAGGAGTATTTGGTGCGGATTTCTTCTTCAAAGGGCGTTAGATCGGATCTGAAGCCCAGGTCCGAGCGTGGTTCTGTACCTGCAGCCAGGACAACCGTGAAGGAGTCAGAAGCCGACGTGGACGGTTCAGCCAATTTGTTCTACTACCTTTTCGAAGACTACTCCGCAGGCATCTCAATTTTGAAGGATTCTAGCATGACCCTGAGAGGGCTGGTAAGAATGACCGCTACTAGTCGTCTCTCAGCACGCAAAGCTAACAGGAATTTGCGCAGACTGACGAAGTGCTTCAAATCACAGTGAGTATTCACCGGATAAAGTAGCTTGAAAGCGTGACCGCTCAATTCCGACTGACGCCTGCTAGGATCGACACAACAAAGACAGAGACTCCTCATACATCATCAAGATACTTTACGCGAGAAGCAAAGACCTGCGTCAACTGAAGCACCTGTTCGAGAGCTACGAGAAGCTTTTCAAGGGGATTATGGATCTCGGCACCGAGACCGGCAGCGACGACAAGGAGGCCATGGCGGCCAACGTGAACGGGACGCCGGCCAGGGGTGTCAAGCTATCGCAGAAGGCGTACGACCGGTTCGCGCGGCTCAACGACCGCCTCAAGCTGCTAATGATGGACACGATCGACGAGTACCTGGAGGAGAAGTCGTCGCTGTCCAGCACCTACTTCAATCTGCTCGCCCTCAAGGACTCCCAGGCGACGTCGAAGCTCAACCGCTCCGCCTCCCTGCTCGCCAAGCTCTCGGTCTTCTTCCTGCCCATCTCCTTCATGACGTCCTACTTCTCCGTGGAGATCCCTGAGCTGGTATGTGCCCCCCATCCTCGGGCGGCTAATGTGTCCTGCGCAGGAGATGAAGAAACAAACATCACTTCTTCAAAATGAGCAAGTGTCAAATGAATGCTGACCCAGACTTCCCTGTTTCTAGAGCGAGAGCTGGACCGGAAGGACGTACTGGATCAGCTTCGCCGTGATAGCCACTCTGTCGTTTATGAGCCTGTTCTTCTTCAGCCGGCTGCTGATGATCGTCTCGGACGTGCTAGACGAGAAGCTGAACAACATGCAGAAGGGCACGTGGAGGACGGTGAAGTCGGTGGCGAACGGGGTAGGGGCGAAGAAGAAAGGCCGAGGAGAAGACGAGGAGAGCGATGAGAAAAGATTAGATGATGACTAGCTCTCGAAGGTCCTTGTGGATCATTGGGGTGATTGTTTTTGAGAGAGTGTACTGTTGCTGGAAGAGACCATGCCGGTGGTGGACTATATGCTGTAATTCTAGGAGCACCATACCAGCTCTTGTCACGATTGCAAGGGCGTTGGGAGGTTTGACTTGCTTGGTCTAAATACCCAGGTTTAAAACTATGTAAATCAAGGCACTTGGATGTGTAAAGTCTGGGTTGAAATACCGTTCCAATGTACGCCGCCAGTCCTCGAACAGCTATTCCAAATTCTGCCGTTGTGATCAGGATATCTACGTTCATCTCCATGGCATAGTAAACAGGCTCTGCCACCCATCATGTACAATCCATGCCATTGTGATGAGTCCCCCACAGATGGGGGCTGACTCGCAATGTAAATAAACATTAGTGAAAAGAAGACATTCCAAGAACCATATTTTCGTAACTCATGGCATTCGGGGACCCGTCCATGTCATCCATCCCGTGTTCGAGCCCTGGCCCCACCACCTCCCACCTGGTGACCATCATCATCTTGTCACAACGCGGTCATGCTCAGATCCCCATCATGCCAAACCCAACCCCAGCAGCAACCCCCGCCACGACGCCCATACACGGCAAGTGCGTCGGCGCCGCGTTCGCGCTCCCGACCGTGAACCCGGCCGTCGACCCGGCCTCGCAATACGAGCCCTGGATCGAGTGGCAGGCCACGCTGCTCAGGCTCTGGCAGACGCTCGAGGCGCTCGCCGTCGGCAGTGTGGCGCCGGCGTTGGCGCCGATGGTGGTCGTTTGCCCGTTACCAGCCGGCACGACGACGGTGACGGCACCGCCGCCGCCGCCGCCGCCGAGGTCTTCGGTGCACGCGGCGTAGTTGGCGCTGCACTGCGAGACGGCGCGGGAGCAGGCGCCCTCGTTGGAGAAGGAGGTCGCGATGTAGGGGAAGCTGAAGTAATTGTTGGGCACGTAGCTGACGGCCGTCGTCGTCGGGGGCCGGAAGCTCGAGGGCGCGGTCCCGGTGCACACGGCGCCGGAGGGGCAGCAGGCCGGGGAGTTGTCGGCGTCCAGGGCGCAGGTCTGGCCGTCCGCGCAGCAGATGCCGCTGAAGGCGGAGCCTTGGTTTGCGCAGCTGTTGGTCCCGGCGATGCAGCCGTCGGTCTGGCGGGCGAAGAGTTCTTGGACTGGGTGTGCGGCTCGAAGCCGGCCCGCGGTGGGTGTGGCCGTCTCGGCTGGGAAGAAGGGCTGCAGCTGGGCGAGGACTGCGGGGGTGTTTGTGAGGAGGAGGGAGATGGTTAGGAGGGGTAGTGAGAGAAGTTGTCTCCGTCTCATGATGATCTGACGGTCCCCTGGGGACAAATCCAAGTCGAAAATCGGGTCCGAAGTATCAAGAAATCGGATGTTCAACAAGACTAGATGATCGGCGGGCCGAATGTATGGACTACCCCAGGCGTGGCACACGGTCGACTTGAGGAGCCTGAGAGATGGATCTTAAAGCCTTGTTGAAGTCACCAGCTTTTCCTTCGACAATTTGAACAGAGCCAAACAAATGACGATGATGCAATTGGTGAGTAAGTATTGATCGACGTGGAGGACTTGAAAGGTGAGTACAGATCCAGAAGGACTCGAAAGGTTCCGAGGAGTGAGGCGAGCAACCCCAAGTAAGCTGGCTGGTCAATGTCGAATGAGGTGGCTGGGTGTGCAGCGATACTGGCCTATTCTTGGCTGGCTGGCAGTAGCCGGCGATGCATCCAGGCCCAAATTATCAAATAGCAGTCTGTCCGTTTTTAATGGCTTACAGCTCCTGCAGCTTGATCTTGCTCCCCTGATGATAAGCCGACCAGAGCTTCTTGTCCACGCCCTCCACCATTCCCTACTCGGAGGTACCTGCCAGGCACCTAGGGTAGGTGGTGGTGTTGGTGTTGGGCTTCTCGGCCGGGAGCATACCCTTGTAATAAGCGAGGCCTGCCACAGCTGGATCCTAGGTATTGTTGTGATGTCATTGCAGTCGGCAGAGCAACCCCTTAGCTCCGGCTCAACCCCGCATTTGTCAATTGGTGTCGCTACCGTCTCGAAGTGGACCCTTTCGATTTGGCTGGCGTGGGGTAGGGTTGAAGACAGTCCCGTCTGGTTTGGATACTTGTCACGCAGTGGTCAGTGTTGCACACAGATGGCGGGCAGCATGTGAAGATGGACGGAACTTCTTGGCGTCCTGGAAGTGCCCGAGTGTTCCCGGGTGGTGCCCAGGCATGGCCAGGTGTGCCCTCGTGCCTGGATCGGCTGACCGTCTGCGCACCCACCTCGAGCTGCTTCGCGTGCCGCCTCGTGGGCCCTAGGCCGTTTCCGTTTCCATCTACAAACGGGCTCGCACGCGTGTGAGGATGGTCCGCAGCTGCCTTACTGCTGGCGCGCCCGTGGCAGGCTCATCTTTGGTGTCTTTCATCCGTGCCACTTCTGTCCGGGCCTCCTCCACCAGCGAGCCCAGGTCGCCCCAGACCTCGTCTGTATAGCCCGTGAGCACCCGGTTCCATTGCTCCAGCCATATCTGACCTGCCTCTGCCGGCTCGGTCACTCCCAGGTTCATGTGGCTGCTCCAAGATGCCCCTGGTCCAGGACCATCACTCTCGCCTAGCAAGAAGTCTGGTACAAAGTTGAGGATGTTGTTCCAATCAGTAGCCGATATTTGAGCCGAGGCTCCCTCTTCGAAGAGTGCCTGCCTCAGATTCTTCATCTCCTCCTCAGTGACCGTAGGGCCCGCCTCGAAATCCGGTGCCTCCTCTGTGACCTGCGAGAGCAATCGCACCACTTCCACGCCATCTTGAGCCTGTTGCTCGGCCACCGAGTACGCGCCTTCGAGCCGAGGCGGCGCCTGGGTCCCTGGTACTTCTGAAGCACCGCCGCTGGCTCGCTGCCATGCCTGATCCAGGTCTGTCTGTTCTGTCGCAACGAACGCGGGCGTGCCGTCCAGGAAGTCGGAGAAAGCAGCTTCTTCAGCTGCGGCGTGAGCATCTGCCTGGGCCGACCGAAAGCCACCAGTGCTGCCGGCTGTGCCGGCTCTCGCTGAAGCGGAGGATGCCTCACCCAGAGCGCGAGGCTCGTTACTTGATGATGGCCCAGCTTTTCCCGAGGATGAGAGACTCGCAACATCGCTGGCTGTTGGTTTGCCGTGCAGCACGCTTTGTGATAGACCTGCGGCAGACCTCCCAACACGGGCCATGACTGATTCGACCTCTGGAGGTCTTGAAGGTCCCTGATCCTGATCCTGACCCGTTTCGCTTCTGACCACATCTTTGCCTTTCCCGTTTCCTCTGCCTTGGTCTCCGACATGGCCACCAGCCCCGTGCTTCCCATCAGCTCCAGGCTCCATACTGCACAGACCGGGAAACAAATTGCAGGTCGTAAATTGGCAAGGCGGCTGTCCCAAAAAGATTGTCCTGGTGAGGTGTCGACGAATAGATCCAGTCGTGATAATTGAATATCGTGTGACAGTGCTCCCGCTTCTCGACGTCACTTGATCAGAGATCAGGGAACTGAGATGTAGCAGGGTAGGTTGTGACGGTGGATGACGAGGATGCTCGACGAGCAAGTGATATGTGCGAGCCGGCCGGGTGGGCTAGCAACAACACAAGATGAGCGTCAGGCTTGGCTCCGAGCCAGGGTCGAATATGCATATCATGCCATGCCTGTGGCTTGCAGAGGTCGGGGGAGTGGGAGGTCCTTTGTCAATTGTGCGCAGACCCGGTTTGGCAGATATATCCTCGGTTGTACCTTGGAAGGCAGGCCATGAACTCCGTAGCCAGTCTAGACTACTTCGTCTGCGCTGGCCTGCCTGTGCTTTGTTAGGTTGGATCCAGACCCGGCAATCTGGACTCTCCGCCGGACAGAAAACCTTGGCCAATAAGTGGAGGACTTATTGTTGAATTCCATGCATGTCACGTAGGGAAAAGGGCGATGGGAGCATTTCATGCAGTTACGGTTGTACCTGTGGACACGGGGTGAACCTCGCAAGGGCTGACTAGGACCGCCTGGACGTAACCCATGTACCGAACCTAGGGCCACCGAGACAGCTGAGGTCAGGTCCTGCAGAGGAGGGGCAGTAGCCCACCGCTGGGCGTCTAAAATACCCGGCCTAGAGAAGGGGCCCGCGTCGGACAACCAACACCAAGCCCCCATTTCAAGCTCAAGTCCCCGTTGTCAGCACCCACACGACCCAGGGTTCCAGCACACCACACCACACCACGGCACACCAGCACAGCAAAGCAGAGAGCAGCTCAGAGTAAAAGCGCCCCCGTCCACGTCAAAGCCCTTCCTCGGTGACATCTTCGCCTCCTTTTCATCACAATCCCTTCTCAGATACCCCGCATCATCGTCACCAAACCCATCCTGATTGCTTCCAAGGTTGGTTTCCGCATCTTGCAGTCGCCTCGGGCCCGTCTCTTGTCTATGGTGGGTGTCACATTTCTCTCGCCTCGCCCTCCTCCGCCCTGCACTCGCCTCAGGCTCTGCTCTACATTGCCCACTTTCTCTGCTGCCCCCCCAGTCGCCGCTGCCCTTCTTTGTGACCGCCGCAACAAGCAACACGCAACGAGACTGGTGTCGCGTGAAGCAGCAGCAACAGCAATAGCACCAGCAGCAGGCACGCACCCGCCTGACGCCTTACCGCAACTCTATCAGTGCCTCTGCCTCTACCCTCTGCCTCAGCCGTCCCTGGACACCTTGTCAGCCAAGCCCAGCAGGAGCTTGTCTCTGCTCCTCCACAGTCGCAGCCCTGCCCTGCCTGCCCTGTCCTGCTCGACTTTGAGGCTCTTTCTGCATTTCCATACTCACCTGCCTTAGCTCTACACCTAGCAACGCCCCCATCCTTGCCCTCCCATTTCTCGACCACCATATCGGCTCAACAATTGCATCGAGTATCCACATAGACGGCCCTCCCATCCGCCTAATCTATACGACGAACCTGGCCCCGCCCACACGTATCGTCCCCCCTCTACCAACGTCCCGTCGTAGCGTGAAGGCCGACCTTCGCCTACACCTCCTCGACCCGCAACGATGGTAGATGCAGAACCGGGCTCGCCGACATGGAAGTTCACCCAGTATGTTCTGATCCGTGCCGCTGCTTTGGTCTCCAGCCAGCATGCTGCCATCTGCTCAGTCCCGGGTCGGGTTGCTAGCCGCCGCCGCTTGACCTGCTGACCCTGTGATACCCACGTTGCTGACGTAGCTCGCCCGCTAGGTGCTTCGGAGACAAGGGGGACGTTGAGGATATCACGGAGGGTATGGACATGTCCTCGGACAACAAGCCCTCTACGCTGTCCCGAGTTGACCGTGCTGACTTGAAGCCAGCCGACATCATATCTACCGTTGAGTTCGACCATACGGGAAACTACCTGGCAACAGGTGACAAGGGTGGACGAGTTGTCCTGTTCGAGCGCAACGAAACAGTGAGTAGCTGGGTCCGGCGGATGGACGATGATAGTGCTGTTGCGGGACGTGCCTGACGTGCCGAGCAGAAAAAAACCTGCGAGTACAAATTCCACACCGAGTTCCAATCTCACGAGCCCGAGTTCGATTACCTCAAGTCCCTCGAAATCGAAGAGAAGATCAACAAGATCAAGTGGTGTCGACGACAAAATGCCTCCCACTACCTTCTCTCTACGAACGACAAGACGATCAAGCTGTGGAAGGTTTTCGAGAAGTCCCTTAAGGTGGTGGCCGAGAACAATCTGTCCAACGAGGCCACCCCCGGGAATATCGCCGGTGGCGGCGGCGGGCCGCGGGCTCTGCCAAGTGTCATTAAGAATGCGTCCGACCTCAAGCTGCCTCGTCTGACCCACCACGATACAGTAGTGGCCGCTGTACCGCGGAAGACTTATGCCAACGCGCACGCCTACCACATCAACAGCATATCGGTCAACAGCGATGGCGAGACATTTATCAGCAGTGACGATCTCCGCATAAACCTCTGGAACCTCAACATCCAAGACCAAAGTTTCAACATCGTGGATATCAAGCCTGCGAATATGGAAGAGCTCACCGAGGTCATCACAGCTGCCGAGTTCCACCCCATGAGCTGCAACTGGTTCATGTACGCTAGTTCCAAGGGCACAATCAAGCTGGCAGACATGCGCGAGAGTGCCCTTTGCGACCAGCACGCTAAACGTAAGCCCCCGCCCCGAGAGTCTGACAGGGTCCAGCAAACTGAATAACGTCTGTTTCACAGTGTTCGAGCAGGAAGAGGACCCTTCCGCAAGGTCGTTCTTCTCGGAAATCATCTCCTCGATTTCGGACGTTAGGTTTTCGTACGATGGCCGGTATATCCTGTCAAGAGACTACCTGACGGTCAAGATCTGGGACGTCAACATGGAAAGGCAGCCGGTCAAGACGATCCCAATCCACGAACATCTCCGACCAAGGCTCTGCGACACGTATGAGAACGACAGCATCTTCGACAAGTTTGAGGTCGTCTTCTCGGGCGATTCCAAGAACGTCATGACGGGAAGCTACAACAACAACTTCATGATCTACCCGTCCGACCCAGAGAAGGAGGTCGAGGTCGTATTACAGGCAGACAAGTCGGCGTTCAAGGCTAAGAAAGTAGGCGTGCCAACGCCGATCAACTCGTCTACGAGCCCTACCGCTAATGGCGGTAAGAAGAACGGGTCCCGTGCTGGCAGCCCGGCTGGAGCAGGACAGAGGATGCGCAAGGAGACGGATGCGGACCAGATTGATTTCAACAAGAAGATCTTGCACATGAGCTGGCATCCGTTCGAGGACAGCATCGCGATTGCGGCCACCAACAATGTAAGCCTGACCACCCCTGCGGACATGGGCCCTTTGCTGACACGCCGATACAGCTGTTCGTGTTCTCAGCCCTGTAGACGGCCACCGCATATAATCATTGTCGTCAAGGGCAGCTGTCGTGTGGGCCTGGCATCCACCCTGGTTGTTTCCTGCTCTTTGGGGCTCTTACAGGAGTATCCTCGCATTTTGGCGTCTCGGCTTTATGTCGCAATTCGACCGCATGCATTCATGAGTCTTGTTGCAGGAGGACTCAAGCTTGACGGTAGCGTGGGCCATGACTGTTGGGGTCTTGTCAGACACCACAAATTGTGGGGGTTTCGGTGGAGATGGGGACATCTCTGCTCGTTGAACTGGAGAGGGCGCATCGGAGGCAAGCCGGTGAGACAACAGGGGGGTAGCGTGGTGGTGGCGGAGGACGTCGAGATAAATGCATTAGAGTGGAGGGAAGGCAAACAAGTTGTTTGGCATAGAGACCACCCTCAGCCCAGACAGATAAGAGACATGATTAGATTGACAAGCTCTTCTCCCTTCTGTGACAGAATTAGCGTTTTCAAAGCTGAAAGCAGCTTTATATTGAGAAGCCTCCAACGCACCTCTGCACAAGGTCATTGGATAGAGGTAACGAGAAATAGGCCATTGAGACTATCCCGCAACCTTCAACCTGTCGGTATGATCCCCAGGGCAACCGGAACCAAGAGAGGAATATGCATGTCAGACTTTAGAAAAATTGGCAGAAAATATAGCGATGAAGGTGCGATATGCAAGATTGACAAGGGGGTGGCCAAACAGTGAATAGTACATCAGTATACGAGAAATGTTGTTATTCATAAGCAGCGGAGTGTGTGCATAGCATCCAGGCTTGGTATTGGAAAAAACGTGTGCCCTAATAACATGTCTACGTATGTATCTAGGTAGTATGGCAAGCTCTTTTAAGACAAAAGGGATACAGGCTTAACCCGTATCTAGGCTCATCTGGCACTGAGGTCTCCACTTGCAGTCCGGCAGCATGGGAGTGCACCTCATGTAGATGATAGCTTTACTTGTATCGCAATAGTACGTACTCGGTCTTGGGAAGCTTCGAAGGCGTGGTGCCCGACCTGTGCTGGGCTTCCAGCGCTCGGATAGCACAGGGAGGCAGTATTATTTGTCAATTCCTTGCTGTTTCATTTTGCGGCGCCCACAGAAGGCGAAAGAATATATATTTCGTAGTTAAAGCTCTATATATTCCTTTTCGCGAACCGTCAAAGGCATGTAGTATCTCGCAGATTCAGGCAGCGATTCTAGATGTTCGATCAGCCGTGCAATGGAAGGAGGAACGACGGGACGAATATGAGATGCATATCTCTTTGTGCAAGTGCACACACAATTTCACCAAATGACGTCTGCGGGACATATCTCGATAAGTAAATGCCACCCGGGTGTGGTTTCTCGGCTACCGGAACCGAAGCCGATATCGATGGACCAAACTCTCCAAGATAAGGTGGAGTTGATGTTTGAGGATTATGTGTGTGTGTGTGTGTGTGTGCGCGCGCGCGGCTCCAGGGGGTCTGATCTCTTGGGTGTCTTGCAGGAAGGGGAGGGGGGAGTCTACGCCCGGCACGGCCCGAACCCCCTGCCACCCACCACAACTTGGGTACATTACAGTGCGTATCTAGCACCCTAGGTGGGAAATCTGTGGAGTTGGTCTTGGTGCCGCCCGCCGTGGCGCTGGGACGGAAGAGAACCTTTGGTCCAGGCTTGAACCCCGCAGGATGATGTTGGAATTGGGGTTGCTCGGAATTTGGTGCTGGATGTGTATATCCTATGCTTTCTGATCTGTCTGGAGTAAGTAGTCTATGTTGTAAGGAGGACCCGATTTTACCCTTGAGGACAACTTGGTGCTTGAGTGAAGGCTTCTGGAAGGGACGGAAGACTGTTGTTGAAGCCATGGATGTGCTTCTGTCATTTTGCATGACGGGAGGAGGCGATGTAGCAGCCAGTCATTGTGAGGCCATGTTTGCTTTCTTGAGCCATGGAGCAGACAAGTCCGGTGGTCATTTCCGGCTTGTCATACTGTGGCGTGTTCCATTGCTGGGGACGTTGCACCTTGAGGATCATGAAGCTCAGAGGTCGTCGGGGCAGTATGCAATACATGAAGTGTATTGTAGGATTTTGTATGAGAAACACAAGTGGATTTACCTGGCTATCTGGGCAGAATTTCTACCTTCTGTTCATCTAAAGAAGGCACGATACGCCACAGCAGGCACGGCACTCGGTCACTTGGGTAAGAGGAAGGAATGCGCACATACGCCGTAGAAGACAGCACGCAAGCTGAAATGTCAGTCTTGTCCAAGCTATTTGCACTCTATCACGTTTAGCACAAGCCCCCAAAGCTTGCCTAATTCAGACTACCTCGGTGTGTTGTGTCCGGGAATCGACCTGCCCCATTCATCCAAGTCGTCCCATCTACGAGCGATGCACTTGCAGGTACCCGCATCCTCCCAGCCCTGTGGGAGCAACCCGAGGATGGCCGAACCTTATTGAAGGCTGTCTGTTCCTCGTTGGTTTCGGCAGAAGCGCCCGTTTGTTCCTCTCTCTGGTGTTGTGGGTGTGGCTGCTGCGGGGGTGGAGGCAGGCCGGAGTACGGGTTAGCGGGTGGCTGTTGGCGGGAAGCGGCAAGGCGGGAGGACCCCTGGGCCACCTTCCCCTGGGGCCATGGGCGATTAGCGGCGCCTGCGATGTCTTGGCCCGGAAAAGGCCAGAACATTCATCGACGGCATGGGGCAGCAGGCCGGCGAGGCTCAGGGTCAGATCGCGAACAAGCCGACAACTTTCGAGTCCCCTGGCGTAGCTGCACGCATGTCAGATCCAGCCGGCTCGACACTTTTTGCGACCCAATTTGCTAAGCTTGTTGTTATTCCTGCTTCCAAGGTCAAGGGTACCAGGTATATTTTGTCATTGCAACTCAGACTCCCTTGCTACTCGCATCGCGCCACGTTTACATACGTACAGTACACACACACACACTTGTGCTGATCTACCGACGCCACAACAGGCACCGGCCCTACAGCTCGACTGCATTGCATTGATCAGCGCATGCCTCTCAGCCGCGACAGCACTGACTCTGATGCTTCCCGGCAAAACCCCCTTAGCAGTTCGACAGGACACGTTTCGCGTTTCTCTTTTCTTCCCGGCCCCGTCGCGGAGAGAGAAAAAGGTGCCAACCTTTCTAACCGTGTAAATGACGACCTCCCGCCCAGCTCGACGACGACAAACCTCCCTGCAGAAAGCCCAGCATCATGCGGCTGCCTCCGCGCCCATGACCCCTCGAGTGATCAACGCCGCTCCCTCGCTGGAGAAGGCTCAAATCCATGGCATTGACGACGAGCGCCCAATGTCCTCCAAGATCATGGGCATGCTGGGCCGCATCTTCATCGAGACCATCCCGCAATGGCTCACCGTCGGTGCAATGCTGCTCCTGATTTTTGGGGGCTGCTGTTCCAACGTCTTTGCCTTGGAGGCTATCATCCAGTCAGTCTCGCCGTTGCAGCATGACGCCGTTGACCCCGCTGGACCCGGGTTTGCTGACCTGAGCGTGTTCTCTTGCCTAGGGTTGAGCCAGCCAGCGGCACTCTCCTGACCTTTGTCCAGTTCCTCTTCGTCGCCGTCACGGGCTACATATCTCAGTTCGACGAGACCCGGCCTCCGTTCTTCCTACGACCGAACAAGGTGCCCCTGCGGCGCTGGCTGATCAACATCGTGCTCTTCTTCAGCATCAACACGCTGAACAACCATGCTTTTAGCTACGATATCTCAGTTCCCGTGCACATCATCCTCAGGTCCGGAGGAAGCATAACGACCATGATTGCGGGAAGCATCTGGGGGAAGAGATACTCTCGCATACAGTTCACAGCTGTCATGCTTCTCACCGTTGGTGTCATAACTGCCGCTTGGTCCGACGCGCAGACTAAGGTAGGAGAAGTGGCGCAGCATATCGTGGGTGCACATTACGGTCACGCTGACAGACGGGACACAGGGAAGCACGGAAGAGAAGGCGGGAAGCACGCAGAGCTTCAACACCGGCCTCGCCATCCTCTTCGCTGCCCAAGTCGCCTCTGCAATCATGGGCCTATACACCGAAGACACATACCGGAAGTACGGTCCGCAGTGGAAAGAGAACCTTTTCTACTCGCATCTACTCTCCTTGCCGCTTTTCATCCCGTTCATGCCGTCCATGTGGAGGCAGTACAACAAGCTGGCAAACAGCGCGCCGCTGCCTCTTCCGATCGCGGGAATCTTTGGAATTGAGAAGCTGCCGGACCACGTCCAACGTGGCGTCGACAGGATTTACATTCCGAGCCAGCTGTTCTACCTCGCCATGAACGTCCTGACGCAGTATGCCTGCATCCGCGGCGTCAATCTGCTTGCGGCTGCGTCGACAGCGCTGACGGTGACTATCGTTCTGAATATCCGCAAGCTGGTGAGCCTCCTGCTCAGCATCTGGCTGTTTGGGAACCAGCTGGCCACGGGCACGCTGCTTGGTGCTTGCATCGTGTTCTTTGCGGGAGGACTGTACTCGCTCGACTCAGGCAAGAAGGTATCCCCTAAGCCCAGGACGGCCAAGATTGGTTGACGCGTCTTGCAAGATCGCGCCGTAGCACAAGTCTTGGAAAACGGGGCTCATATAGGTAGCGCTGGAGAGACATTGGTCTCCCCCACCTCAGGCCCAACATGGAAATAAATACAGTATATGTTCGGGTGGCCCTGATCATAAGTCCCCCTCGTTTGTGCAAGTCAGTGTGATCAACTGACCGTCTGCAGCCTCCAGATGCCCAGTGACATTCTCGGCCTATTCACAATGGCTTAGCTTAATATGCAGTGGCTGGCACATGGCATTTAAACTTTCAGAGATGCCCGAACGCTCCTGCAGACAGTGGCAGATCCTGTGGGGGCACACCGCGGATAGGCCAGGCGGCCCCTGGAGGGGCTGGAGGTGCAATTGGTTCGGGCGTTAGGCTCTGTACGTCATCCGGGCAGACCCCTGCGCTCTGGTGCCCCCGGCGGACTGGGATGCAGCTGGGTACCGCCGACAGCTCGGGGCCTGGGCTAGGCTTTCCTTCAAAATTCCATCGGGGGACTCCGCGACACAAAGGCGCAGCACTGCTACCTTGACCGAAAGATATAACCCCGTCAACTCACCCACGTGCAGCTAGCCGGAGCTGTGCTGGCCGTCCCTCTCTTTCTATTTTCAGGCGCTGACGGAAAGTCGCAGAGGGAGAGAAGATGGCCGGTATGTCTCGCCCTGTGGCTCGTTTAACGGACCACCCTGACATGTATGCCAATGACTGATCAATATACACATATCGTGTCTCAGACCACTCCTTTGTCGAGGACCCCACCTCGGCTTCGACTTCCCCTAAGCTCAACACAACCGCCATGCCTCTGGCCCAAGAGTCCGACGGAGAGGACGACACTGCCACATTCCAGAGCGCCAGCCCTCAGTCAGACGAGGGGCAGCCTGGACAAGCAACTTCCAAGAGCACCCCCGACGGAGACGAGGAGGAAGACGAAGACGGTCTGCTGCCCCGAGACATGCCCAAGAAGACGGCCTTCTACGACCCCGTGGCCGAGCGCCAGATGACACAGCACGACGCAAAACTCTTCTACCAGCGAAGCCAGCAAGACCAACAGAAAGGGGCCGGCCAGCCTTGGGGCTCCTCCGTCTACGACGGCAGTATCCATGGCAGCCCCGTCATCTCCCACGGAGCAGGGGCCTCGCTCGAGAGAGCTCTCAGCTCCTCGTACGACCTCCCTGCCGCTGCGTGGCCCCAGAATGGCTCGCCCACTGGCGGTGAGAGTGTCTATGGTAGTGGCTCCAAGAAAGACACTACCCACTTCACCATGCCCAGTAACCGCAGTCACCCCGAGAGCCACTCAGAGTTTCATAGGGTGCCCAGTGCACTAGGCGTCAGCGCTCAAGATGCTGTCTACCAGGCTCAGTTGGAAATGAGCACAGGGGCTCCTCATGGGATCGGTAGTGCCTCCTATGTCGGCGCTGATGCTTCGGTCACGGCCGAGCTGAGCAGCATCCTGAAAAATGTCCAGAAGATTCTCGACATCCGTCACAAGTACATTCGCCTCTCACTTCAGGGGCCGTCAGACAGCCCCAAGGACGATCCAAACTGGCCAATCTACCCGCCTCCGCCTCAGCCAGTCTGGGTGGGCGACCAAGACAAGGGCGCTCATGGAAGCAATGGACCAAACAGCATGACCAACAGCACGACTTTGCCGGCTGATCAGGCAGCAGCCCAGACTCCCAAGAAAAGACGCAAGCTCGGCGAGGACATCGGTTCGGACTTCGACATGGCTGATCTGGAGCCCCTGCCAGGCGCGAGCGAGATGACCTTTGGGCTCGATGCGAACGGAGTGTATCAGGTCTTCGAGAATGAGGATGCCAAAGCAGCCAACACGCCGGCTGTCAACGTCCCGACCATCAAAGAATATTACGTCGACCTCGACGTGATCTTGTCAGTATCGTCTGATGGCCCGTCAAAGAGTTTTGCCTTTCGCCGGCTGCAGTACTTGGAGGGGAAGTACAACCTCTACGCCCTCTTGAATGAGTATCAGGAGACTGCAGACACCAAGAAGGTGCCACATCGTGATTTCTACAACGTTCGGAAGGTCGACACCCACGTGCATCATTCGGCCTGCATGAACCAGAAGCATCTACTTCGCTTCATCAAGAGCAAGATGAAGAAGTCACCAGATGAGGTGGTACTGCACAGGGATGGCAAATATCTCACGCTACGAGAGGTCTTCGAGAGTATCAACTTGACGGCGTACGATCTCAGTATCGACACGCTGGATATGCATGCTCACACGGACTCGTTCCATCGTTTTGACAAGTTCAATCTGAAATACAACCCCATCGGAGAATCCCGTTTGCGTACCATCTTCCTGAAGACGGACAACCTGATCAAAGGCCGCTACCTCGCAGAAATCACCAAGGAGGTCATCGCGGATCTGGAGTCCAGCAAGTACCAGGTCGTTGAGTGGCGTATCTCGATCTATGGCCGGTCGATGGACGAGTGGGACAAGCTCGCTGCATGGGTTGTTGACAACAAACTTTTCTCACACAACGTCCGCTGGCTCATTCAGATTCCCCGCCTGTACGATGTGTACAAGGCGAGTGGAACTATGGAGACGTTTGAGCAGATCGTCAAGAATATATTCGAGCCGCTCTTCGAGGTCACCAAAGACCCCCAGAGCCACCCCAAGCTTCACGTATTCCTCCAGAGGGTGGTCGGTATCGACAGTGTCGACGACGAGAGCAAGGTCGAGAGACGCCTGTTCAGGAAGTACCCCGTCCCCCGAGTCTGGGACACGAAGCAGAACCCACCCTATAGCTACTGGATCTACTACATTTTTGCCAACATCACTTCGCTCAACTTCTGGAGGAAGCAGCGCGGCTTCAACACGTTCGTCATCCGGCCGCATTGCGGTGAGGCAGGTGACGTCGAGCATCTCGCGGTGGCTGCCCAGTGTGCCCACAGCATCAGCCACGGCCTACTACTCCGCAAGGTGCCTCTGCTGCAGTACATTTTCTACCTCGAGCAGATCGGCGTGGCCATGTCTCCCCTCAGCAACAATGCGCTGTTCCTGGCGCTGGAGCGAAACCCGTTCTACCAGTATTTCAAGCGTGGCCTAAACGTGTCCCTGTCCACGGACGACCCTCTGCAGTTCGCCTACACCAAGGAGCCGCTAATGGAGGAGTACGCCGTTGCGGCGCAGATCTACAAGCTCAGCCCCATCGACATGTGCGAGCTCGCAAAGAACTCTGTCAAGCAAAGCGGATACGAGCACTCGATAAAGCAGCACTGGCTCGGCCCCAACTTCCTGAGGCCTGGGTTCAGGGGCAACACCATGGTCAAGACCAACGTGCCTGACCGGAGGGAGGAGTTCCGATACCGTACCTTGCTCGAGGAACAACAGATGTGAGTTTGCCCCATGACTTTGCTTGTGATGCCTGAAGATTGACCCAAAAACAGGGTCGAGATGTACACCTCGTACACCACAGATCCTTCTGCAGACCCGGCCACAGCCGCGCCCAGCGGCACCACCTCAGCGGTCCCTAAGTCGCCAGCTACGATCATGAAGAACAGCCTCAACGTGGATGTGCAGACGCCAGTGCACCCGCAGTCAAAGAGGGCGGCGCCGACGTCCTCGCCCTCGGTGGCACCCGTGCAGCAGCCGAATGCGGCGCCTCCACCGCCCGGCCCCGGCGCCGTCCAGCCCGCGGCGCCGTGGCCGATAGACGGGATGAAGGACGCGTCCCTGTCCGGGAGCGAGCCGCGGATCTACCCCGGGATGATCAGCAGGAGGCAGAGGACCAACAGCCTCCGGCAGGGGTCAGGGCATGAGGCTGACGGCACGGCGAAGAGGCTGTCTACCAGCAACATGGATGAGGTTGAGGAAGAGGCCGTCGACGGGTCGAAGGAGTGATATGGAGAGGCCTTGCTGTCCAATGGATCATCATGATTTTACGATCGATGGGGCGGCAATGTTGTATTATTAGTGCTTGATAAGATTGTGATACGATACCCCGTTGAGTTGATCCCATGTGTATGCGGGCCATTGAGGGAACAAGTAGCCCATCTCGATGGACAACGCGCATATGTAGCCGCCCGAGTCTTGCCCCTATTCGGATGTTATCGTGCGCGTGGCGCCGGCGGGGTTGGTGCGGCTGAGCTGAAGCATCCATGGCGCCGGCAACCTCCTACATCGTGGGATCCCGAGTCCAAGACACATTTTGTTTTGACTTCATAACAGCGTAAGTAGCACACGAATACTCATCGAACTAATCTGACAACAAAATGGCAGAAGCATCAAACGCGGCGGAGTCGCCGTTCAGCCCGCTCGACCCGTCCCTCAGGCAGATCCGCCTGCTCCGGATCGAGCCGAACCCATCCGACCTGAGCGCGGTGCTGGAGACCGTCTCGCTCGACGATGGGCCAAAGTACACGGCGCTCTCCTACACGTGGGGCACGGAGATGTCCAGCGGCGCCGGCATCGCGCTGAACGGGCAGGGCCAGACCTGGCGGCTGCCCATCACCAGGAACCTCGAGGTGGTCCTGGAGCACCTCTGCGCGAGCGGGGACGGGAAGCCCATCACGCTCTGGATCGACGCGCTGTGCATCAACCAGACGGACGTGGAGGAGAAGTCCCACCAGATCACGCTCATGAGGGACGTCTACAGCGGGGCCGAGGCGACCTGCTTGTGGCTCGGCCCAGCGGCCGACAACAGCGACCTGGCCATGGCGACCATCGGGGAGCTATTTGCGGCGAGGACATATGTGCTCCCCGACGGCGCCCTGTCTGAGGCGCATATCGAGGCTATCAACGCCCTGCAGCGGCGCGAGTGGTGGTCCCGGATCTGGGTACTTCAAGGTCGGTCGCCTAGCTTCCTTCCTGTCTTTATTATTCGTGATGCTCTCATGTAGTAACGCCATGTCTTCACTTCACAGAGGCCATGTTGTCACCCAGTCCCATCGTAAGATGCGGCAGCGCGACGCTCCCTTTCGAGGCTTTCGTCCACCTCGACGACATCCGGCTGGGCTACATCCGGCCGGAGCGGCGCTCGCTCGACAACGCGTCGGGTGGGAGTCGCTTCCTCATCCAGGGGAGCCCCTTTAGGCAGATTCTCACACACTACCCCGACGAGAAGCCAAGGGTCAGGGCGGGCATCACACCCCTGGCTGAGTACGTGCACATGGTCGATCAGTTCAAAGCCACAAACCCGCGGGACAAGATCTATGGCCTCCTCGGGCTGGGGATGCCATCCGACGTGCATTTCCTTGCACCGAATTACTCGCAGAGCGTTGCCGATGTCTGTATGTTTGTGCCCCTTCTACTTATGACGGCTTGAATTGCCCAACAGAAGTTGTGTTTCCTCGCTGGAGAGACACTAACACATCCGCAGACACCCGCGCGACGGCACGCTTCATCATCCAGTACCAGGAGCTCATCTGGCTGCAGTTCGACAACGACAACAAGAGCCCCAGGCACGCGCTGCCGTCGTGGTGCCCGGACTACTCGACGGAGCCGGGCCGGCCCCCGCGCGGCTACACGGCCATCACGGCCGTGGGGCCGGACGCCTTCTGCGCCAGCGGCTCGTCGTGCTGGGGCGTGGCGCGGCTGTTCGTCTCGGGCATCTTCCCGACGCCGGCGTGGGACGAGCTGCACCTGCGCGGGCTCGACTTCGACGATGTTGAGTATGTCGGGCCGAACCCGTTCGTGGAGCGGTACATGGGGAATGTGCTCGCTGAGAGGATGGAGAACGTCCGGGTGCGTAATGCCCAGACGAGGGATAATGTGCTGGTGTGGGGAGCAGGCGGTGCTGGCCAAGTGGCAGCGGGATGGGTTCCCTTATGCTCCCCTGGGGCTGGGACAGAGCGAGGCCTTCTGGAGGGCGCTGATGTGGGATCGGGACTGGGACAAGAACAAGGTTCCGTTGGAGCATGGGCGGTACTTCGATGCGTGGCTGGGCCGCGCAGATGTCGATGCTTCTTACGCTGCGGCCAATAGCAGCGCAGGCATGGACGAGGTCGAGGTCCGCAGGACGTTTGTCAAGCCCTTCACCGACTGCTGCATCTCCCGGTCTCACGGCCGGTCCTTTGTCATCACCAAGAGGGGATACATTGGACTTGCACCCTTTAAGACCTGCGTGGGCGACAAGGTCACGGTGCTGCAGGGCGGGACTGTACCGTTCGTGCTGAGGGAGCGCGCAGCTGCTCCGGGGGAAGGCTTCGATGGTGCAGCTGGGCAGGTGGAGTCCACAAAGTTACGGTGCGAGTTCGTGGGCGAGGCATTCGTGCTCGGAATCATGGAAGGCCAGGCCGTGTCCCAGGCTCGTGAGGAGGAAGTCAAAGTGTTTATTCTTACCTGATTGCCCATGGTTTATAGACTATTTGTATTCTTTGAGTTCCTCCACTTAGCTGGAACAATAAAGGTTATCCTAGTGGGATAAGAGATAATGTAGATTATAGGCAATTATCATCAATTTCACCACATGTGATCTCCGCCGGGGTCAGGCCGGTTCGTTCATGCGCACCTAGATTGACTGTCTGAGCCTCACCCGATCAGACCAGTCAAGCATTGCTCGCCCCCGCCGAAAAGAGACGCGACGGCTCCGCTCTGGGACGATCAGTCAGCCTTACAGGCATCTGCGAGACAGGCCCTCCCCGGGCCAGACGCATCGTCGTTGAGCCGCGGTTTTGCCCGGGACACGTCAGACGGGACTGTCGTCCGATATGCGACCGGACGCAGCGCCCACCTCGGATTGACCAGGCTTGTGTGTTCCCGCCTGCGCCCTGCCGAAGGCGGCCTTCCGGGGGGTGTCATTGAGCTCATTGGCGGCTTGTTTCAATCGTGTCTGAAACGGCGTACGAATGTCAAGCCAAAACCTGCTGGGTGGTATACGTGGATACGGGCGATGCTTCCGCATTGGTGAGGGCCTCGCGGGAGGTTTGGGGGGGGGGTTCCCCTTCTAGGGCGCGAAAAGGGGCATAACGAGGCCTCGTGAAGTCTGATATAAAGATCGCGAAGATATCATCATGTCGTTCAGATTGTTCTTGGCCAGGCTCATCTCGATTCGGGATTCCCATCTCCACATTTCCTCTTCTTCAGTGATACCCATTGTGCATTCTTGGACTACAACATATCTTCCACGGAAAAGTTCATATTCCAACAACAACAACAACAACAACAACAACAACAACAACAACAACAACAACAACAACTTCGACTCTGCATCTACACCTCCCTGCATTGCACACATCTATCATCCACAATGAAGTTCTCAACATTCATCATCCTCCCTCTTGCCGCCGTGGCATCCGCACAAGTGAGTCCGTGCTCCCTTTCCTACAAACCGTCTACAACACACACACACACACAATGAGCCACTTGCTAACAACATTCCCCCACCAACAGCCACAGGGCCCTCCATCAGAACAAGGTCCGGGATCACCAAACAGCCCTCAGACAGCGTCCTCGCCAACGGGAGCAGGGGGTGCCCCGTCCCAGCCGACGGGCGGGCTGCTCCCAGGAGGCTCGGGGACGGGCTCGGGATCAGGCTCGGGGGCATCGGGCCTGCCAAGCCAAGGGGGAGCCGGCGGGCCGGGGGGAGCAGCAGCGGGAGCGGGTGGTGGCTCTCGATCGACGGGCAGTCTCGCCGCGGGCCCGAGCGGTGGGCCGTTTCAGAGTGAGAGTAACGGTGGCAGCAACGGTGGCAGCAACGGGAGCAGCAACGGGAGCGCGCCGACGCCGACGGGCGGCCCGCAGGCGACAGGAGGCGGCGGCGGCGGCAGCAAGACGGCTAGCGGTAGCATCAGGGCCACGAGGACTGGGTCGCCCTCTGGGGCGGGCAGTGTGTCGTCGGCGTCGGCGTCGGCGTCGGCGGTGGTGTCTGACGGCGGGGCCAGTGCGAGGACCGGTGCGTGGGCTGCTGGCAGTGGCGGGCTGGTGTCCATTGTTGGCCTTGGGGTTACGTTTGTGCTTTTTATGTGAGCGGCATACCACTGTCTTGGGACAATTGTGACTTGAGAACCACGGGGATGACGAATTATGAGACACCAGAGCTTATGAATGCGAGTCACTTAGAGGAACCACTGGAGTCGACTCAGGCGCTGAGATGTACTCAGATCTGACATCCGAGATAGCCTTCCGATGTTGAGATGATCGCCACACAGACGTCTCAAATCGAGATTGTGCCCGTGATGTGCTGTCTCCACATGCTTTGACTTGCCGAAACCTGGGACATCATCATCGATATACTTTCTCGCCGTCACACCTTTGTGGTTTCATGTTGATGCTGGTGGGAACTTATATGTCGGCCTATGACATCCTTTAGGACACAGGTTCAATGTTAAACTATCACGGGCTTCAGATGCAAAACCAACACATGTGTCGTGCGACTGATGATACATTATAATATGACTAAAACACAGTGTAAAGTCTCGTACAGTAGGAAGAAAATGGCACACTATTTTTGCAATATACATTCCGTCATGGCATACTGCCCTCAACCAAAATCAGAACCCAGGGATATCAATCTCATCGCCGCCATCTTCGTAACAAAAGCCAACTTAGCGCTCAGAACAAGAGAGAACAACCATTCCCAGCGTGACACACAGAGGGGCCCACCAGCACCGCGCAGTCCCCGGGGCAGCCGAGGCCATCACGACGCTGAACGGGCTGCCCCCGCCCAGGCCACGGTCCTCATCGTCCGACGCGGCGGTCTGCGTCCCGGACGCCGAGGGGGAGGCCGTCAAGGCCGTCACCGAGGTGGCGAAGCCCGAGGCGGACGAGGCGGTCGGCGTGCCCGTCGCCAGCACCAGCTCGCCGCTGATGTCCGGCGTGGCCGTGGAGGTGTCGCCCGACCTGGAGTCCTCCTCCTCGTCGTCGTCGCTGCCCTGAGAGGCCGAATTACCGGCGTTCGCGTGTGTGGCCTTTGACCCGGAGCCCTCCGTCTTGGGATATTCGGTGCTGGTGGTCGCGTCGGCGATGGGGTTGTTGGCTGGGGCCTGCTCGGGGGCTGTCGTCTGTTGGGATTTTGCGTTGGCGGTGTCGGTGCTGCTGGGCTTGACTACCGTGGTCTCGGGCGTGGCCTCTGGCTGGATTTGGTTCGCGTGATCTCCGGCTGGTGTTGATATCGAGACCGATGCCGGTGGAGGGCTCGGGGCCGGGTCTGATGGCTGCTCTGCGACAGTCGTAGCCTCTGGGGCCGGCTGCTCGGGCGAGATATCGGTGATTTGCGCCACGGGGACTATCGCCGCGGCGGCGGTGGAGCTTGGCTCAGTCGAAGTGAACGGCTCCGGGGGAGTTTGCGTATCGGAAGGAATGCTCAACTCGGATGTTGACGGTTGTGTCTCAGCTGGGACGTCGAGCTCCGGCTGGGCGATGGTTGGCTCGGTCACCGTGGTGGGAGCCGGGCTCAGCGTCGTCGTCTCTGCTGCAGGCTCGACTGCCGTTGGGGCTTCCGCGGGCACCGGAGTAGTGAGTATGTCGGGTGTTGTTGAAGCCTCAGTCTCGACCGCTAATGGTTGGAAGCTTGGAGTCGTGGGCATTATCACTACCGGTAGCGGCTCGATAGAAGACGACGACGTGGTGCTCGTGCTCGTGCTGGCGGCAAGTGTAGCCTGGATATAAACAGCGGCATTCGCAGCGTCCTCGATCTCATCGTCCGACACTGGCTTCTCGAGCTCCTTGCAGCCCGTCTGCATCGGCTGCAAAAGATTTGAATCCAGGGCGACAAGTTCCTCGACGCAGTTTGATGCTGTACAGGCAGTGATCGCCTCCAGCAGGCCATCCCGGGAGGCCTTGCACATTTCCTTCTGGTTGTCTTCTCCATCCATGCTGTAGCCTGTCGATCCCAGACATGTGCTCACACAAGTTGAGAACTGGAACGTAACAATATCAGAGCCGTCATCGTCGTCTGCGAGGACGTGGCCGGGGAGGAAGACGCCGATGGACAGAAGCGCGTTGCGCAGCGTAGTAGGGAGCATACTGCTCAACCCTTTTTTATTCCTTTTTTTTTTCAATAATTATTCTTTCTTTTCTTGTCCCAACTAAAAACGAATGACAGTTGGGGTGAGAGTGGGTAAAGAGCGACAGAGAGGTCCGTGACGAAGGAGAGAAGCGCTGGCCAGCAGCCGTAGCGAAGCACTGCTGAGGCACTGCGGTCAACAGGCACGGGAGGGAATGGAAAAGATGCGTGTGTCGTCACAACTCGCTCGAGATGTGCGGGAGATCTCAGATTCGTCCCAAGCTTTGGACACCATAGAACGGCGAGGAACACGTTCTCTTTTCTCCTGGCACCGGGTTCGGATTTACGAACCCTTGCCGCCATGCCGCTGGGCTCCACCCGGATGAAGCCTCACCCTCGAACTCGAAGAATTCCTTCTCCTCCTCCTCCTTCCTTGTCCCTGCGTGGGAAAGGGGGGGTTGGGGGCCACGGCCGTGCGGTCATCTCATGGCTGTCAATGTCCATGCCGGCGATGACTCTGGCGAGACCGAGCCTGCGCGTGCGGACATTGCTTGCCCTTTTGAGCAGTGCTTTGGTGCTCGGCAGCGTTTGGTAAAGTCTCCGAGGGCCATTCTGGGCTCCCCCCGTTGCCCTATTCAGACCGGTCAGGATGCGGGCGGGAAACATCGTGCATTTGACGATTGGTGTTTGAAACAAAACGGTGCAGGGGGCTTTTCTCCTCGCGGGCCCACACACGAGGTCCATTCCGTCACCTCCGATGAGCCTAGGCTTTCCTCGGTCGGCTGCGGTGGGAATTCAAGGGGTCCTGATGGATCCCTCCCCCACGGCGAAAGAATCCTTCAACAAGATTTGGAGAGCCGCATCTTGATTAGGGCGCTTGTCGACGGGGGCCACAGTACGCATGGGACGAATCGTCGGATCTCAGCCGAGCTCGCCTGTCGCCCTGTCGCTCTGAAGATCGTGGAGCCCGTTCGCGACTGACATGACATGCTGCAGACACAGCAGGTCTTTTTTGGTTTGCGACAGCGAAAGTGGGCCCACCACGCGACGATCTCCAATCCAAGTTACTGCATCTGGCCCGTCTGTCCTCTTTTGGCACGACCTTTCCAGATGGGAGACGAAGATCTCGCGAACGACAGCCTTGGCTAGGGGAATTATAATCATGGTGATGACCATCCGAGGTCATTGGCACCGCGGCTGCCGGGGTCCGGAGGATCCGAGCACCTCGCACGTCGTACGATTCATCCCCGTACAGTTCCGTCGACAACAACGCCGCAGTAGTATAGAGAGGAGAAACCGATCCTGCCTCCTTTCCGCGCCCAATATGTTTATCTAGGCTCTCCGATTGCAGCAGCACAGGACTTACAGCCCAGGAAAAACCTCGTGTTAGACACGCGGCCCTGTTGGTTCGTGCCGGAATCATATTTGATGCCGTCTGCATAACTCAAGATGATCCTGCACCCCCAATGGCGGTTTCAGTGCCGTGCCTCCAGAGACAAGAATTGGTGACAACAACTCAACTCAAGCTCCTGGGGATCAGCTCGACCTCTTCGGATCACATGTGCATTGCTTCTCAAGCCCGTGCCCGTCACGACGACTCCTCGTAGAAATAACAGAACGGACCAGACGTGGTTGACATTGCATCCCGTATCTTGATCGAAGGCCCCGCATAACCCACATCGATGATGTCGTCAAGCTCAGCGAGGCGTGAAGCAGGGGAGTTGGCCCACGTGATGTGGCCATACGTCCCATTGTCAAGCTGGGTATATCTTGTCGAGGGGTCGCGAGTTTGCCTGTTTTGGTCTTGGTCAGTTTCGTGTTCCCTTCCCCTAGGGAAGGGTCTCGGGTAAAGAGGGCTTGGACTGTGGTGGGCACACATACCACAACGCCCATAGGCGGTCCATTTGTCCGTGGTGCACCCAGAAGGCTGGATCTCCTGGTGAGGTGAACAGGTCACCGCCAGGATCGCCGCTATAGCAGTATCAGCACACCGGTATGCATACTTCTGTGGATGTTGGCTAGCTTACTTGATCACGTAGTGCCCGCCGCCGTGTGGACCGATCTCAACTGTATAGGGCACGCCCTCGGAGAGCAGACGGTAGTCGGTTATGGTCGGCTTCTCTAGCAGATCTAGATATGGTCAGTATTTATGAGATGTTCACGTATCCCTTTCGTAAGGAACTTGGTGGAAGAGTCAATTCACGGGAGCAGTATGAAAAATGCAAGCCCAAAGAAGGAAAAACACGAGCACGAGCACGAGCACGAGAAAATGGTTTCCTATGGAAGACGAGTACTGATTTGCACTTACCAAGGACAGTGGTATAATTACAATACCTCTCAGTAATGCCCGGCCCAACATCCCTCTTCAGACCGCGAGGATTGTAGCCCAGCCCCCCATCAGGGCCCGGCTCAGCAACAAACGTGCCGCCGAAGGGACCAAGGTTGATGGTCATGTTTGCGAACGGCCCCGTCACAACGTAGCCACCTCCCAGTCCAGCGGGCAGCTGAATGTTGCCTCCTGAAACGCCCTCTGGGGGAGTGATGACCGTGCCATTATGTGGGATGTACTGTCCGTTACCACCCAGGCTATGTGGGTCACCGTTGAAGATGGGCGAGTCTTGGGGGGCTTTCATGTATTTCGGCCAGTCCCAGTACTACCATAGTTTAGAGGCTTGAAAGGAACAGGAAGAGAGGGTAGGAAAGACTGAGGAAAAGAGTGACGAACAGGTTGGTAGCCGCGGTAGCCGCACTCGTCCCGGAGAGCAGTCTCGTAGACGTGAACAAACCAGCGATGCCACGGCATGAAGTTCCCCGTGAAGTGCAGCGTCAGGGTCTGGTTGATCTGGACGGCAACAAAATCGTCAAACTAACGGGGCAGGCATGTCAGTCCGCTCACAGCCAGAGCAGAAGAGCTTGGTGTTCGACTTACGCGAGACCTTGCCCCCGGCGCTACGCTGGCCGGCGTGCGCGCCGGTAGGCGCTGGAGACACTTGACGGCATTGACGTCTGTTGGCACACTCGATGTTAATAGCCTGTCACTGATTGCGGGCGACGGGATTCCCCATAGGCCCTTGGAAAGGTGAGGTTACAATATGTAACAAAAGAAAGCACGTGCGTATGCATACAGTCCAGTCTTTCAGCCTCGGAAAGCGAGCCGCTGGGTTAGACATTGGTCAGCTCCGCCATCCCAACTCAGGAACCGAAAGCCAGTGCTCAAACTCCCCGGGAACTCACTATTCCCTGCGGTAGACGACAGTGTCCGACGTGCAGCTCGATGAGATCGGACCTCCGCTGCAGTGCTCGTCCGGGGACGCATCCAATTTGCCCAGGAAGTCGGACGTGATGGAGCTGATGAGCTGGGTGACCTGCTCTTTGGCGCTGTCCCTGGCCTGCGGGTGGAGCGTCCTCGGGAGGCCCAGGATCGGCGCGACGCACGTCAGCAGCAGCGCTGAAACACATGTAATGGGCTTGGTGGTCTTCATGTTGGGCAGCTATGTCGAGACGGGGCGCGCATAAGCCACACACAAGGGGTGGAAAGGAGGCTGGTGTTTTCCGGATCAATAAACTTGGGAGGATTCGAGACACGGACACACACAATCACACAGTCACACACCCACACCAGCACACGTTTGGGAGACGACCAGGTGAAGTGGTTGCCAGAGAGGCCACGCGAATATCTCAAGAGACTTCCCTCGCCTATGCAGGTGCGCGACCCTCACCTCGCCACGTGAGCCACAGAGTCTGCCATTCTAACACAAGCGAGCCACCGCGCCGCCGGAGGACAACAGCACTGCATATTGGCGACCCTGTGTTGTGCGTCATTGTCTTTCCCAGCATGTACGCTCACCACGCAGTAGGATGCGCCAAGGAGACGAAGTGCGAGTTGGGACGAAATAGCCTGTCAGAGAAGAAGCAGGTTGTATTGGCATGCAGGAAGGTGCCACTGGGGAGATGCAGGTTCCTGGGTTTAGGTGGTCAGGACAAGGGTGTTGTTCGCCCATATGGGAGCATCTGCTAATCTGCAGCAGGGACAGGGACAAGGGCGCGCCGTTCCGTCGGGATCTTTTGAGGGACTGGGGGATTGGTTCGTCCAATCGCGGTAGACTCCGGCGGCATGGGGGGCCCTGTCCAGACCCAGTCGACTGCGAGGGGGAGACGACGTTGATTCGGCCTCGGGAACACCAACTGGTGCGTCGACGGTGAGGGAGCCGGACCTTACTCTTCTGGTCCGGATCTGCAGATCGATCTTCAAGAACCTGCTTTAAGCCCAGTCGGTCGGGATGCCGGTCGATGCTACGGGCCCCTCCTGCTAGCAAACCAACAGCGCCGACTGCACATGCAGGATTTGGTGGGAGGTGGCCTATTGGATCGCTTCGTCCATCCCACCCAAGACCCTCGCTCTCTCTTGTTCTTCCGTCGCTATCGCATCCCACCAGGTTGGTATTCCAAGGTTCCATCTCATCTCCTGTCGAGACTACAGCCAAGAACACAAGCACCTATATAAGCAGCTCAGGGACCTGCCAAGCACACAAAGCACAACCATTCAAGACATGGGATGCTTCACTGTGAGCTTTCGTGCCACAGGCAGTTCCCACTAGCAAAGTGTCATGGGTCAAGCCAGAGCCAGATGGGACCCTTTTGATCCACCAGTACAGCTAAGCCGCACGAGACAGCTCGAGCACAGATGCCCCGATGTCGATCTGCACGCTTAACGCGGCCCGCCTGGTGATCCCCGAGCACCGTTACATCATGTGGCTTACAAGCTCCAGGGACCAAAGAGTTGCAACCTGAGCCTTGGTGGATTAATGCCTCGCGCCCGGGACTCGGCCGCGATGCACCACCCCCAGACCAGCGGCGTCTGCCCCGGCCCTCCGCTAGATGCTGGCCGGGGTCCATAGCCTATGCGTGCTATATTGCGAGACATCTCAGCCTAGACTGGCGAGGGGCCGTTGGTATTGAGACATTTCCGCGGAAATTTCCTGTGGAAGGCGACGAGCCATCTCAGGTACACGGCGAATGGCAGCCTGGCTATGAAATTGCTTCCTGGTGACTGCGAGGCGTGTTTTCTCGGACAGGTACCCTTACCGGACACGTAATTATGGTCGCGTCAATATTATCCGATTAACTAGCAGCGGATCCGTCTTTCCGAGCACAGTTCACTCAGGCTGCTGTGGATCCGTTATGCTTCAGCATTCGCAATGCATGTGATAGAATATATCTATACATTTACACTCTCATCGAGTCCCTAAGCCTCTCAGACCCGAGAGGAAGAGAGGATGCGAACCCCTGCATAATGGCAGACAATCTAGCGTGCCCTACCATTGGGATCATGGCTCGCCATGCTTCAGTTTCTCTCACGGGTAAATGCCCAAATGCAGCCCGGTAACGCCCAAGGCAACGTCACATAAACGATCCTAAATGCCTGATCTTTCCCGTGGCATCACATGAAAAGATGTCACACAAAAGGTGCTTATGTGGCCGCCTGCGCATACATACGGAAAGTTTGTATGTGGGCTACCTAGATATTGTCAAGGCTGTCATTAGTGCGTTCCTTCAACCACTTATCAGCCAGACCTAGGAGGAAGATTCTCAGCTATAGTGTTTTGACCTTGGAAGCCACAAGCCACAATATCCTACAGCTGTACCCAAATGCAGGCAATGTCGATCAGTTAGATCTAGTCTTGGGTCTAACCTATAGCTGACCCAACACATTGACCACCCTGCCACTCTCCACGTCTCCGCTCCCACGCTTCACACGCCCCTGGTTTTGGCGTGCCATCCCGTTTCAACGCATGCTGAGGTTTTGCTTTGACCTCCCGGGCAGCATTTATTGTTGCGTAATACCACGAGAGAGATTCCCGTAGGCCTCACAGTGTCGTGATGGGAGCCATATGCCAAGGTCGGTCGGACTGGGCTCTGCAACCAGCCCCTTGCGCCCGCACCACAATCTAACTCGGGGCCGGGGACTGCTGTGCGCCCGACCAAGCCCTACGAGGCCCAGCTAAGAAGATAGACTATTCTTTGTGCTTGGTATGAGATACGGGGAGTCAAAATAAAGACAAGAGACCCCTCGGGTCTCGAGATTAGAACCGACCAAGGAGCTCCCCAGCTAGAGAGTAAAGAACCGGCGTCCTGAGCCTGTATATCACCCATACGACCGTGCCCCATCGAACAAATCTCACCATCCAGCCAGCATGGTAGACCCAGCCACCACGACGACGAACCCCCCAGACATCAACCGCGGGCCCCAGATCCTCGCCGTGTGCGGGACGCTCGTCGGCCTCGCGGTGGCGGCCGTCTCGCTGCGCGTCTGGGTGCGCGCGACCATCACGCGGCAGCTCGGGTGGGACGACGGGCTCATCGTCGCCGCCGCGGCGGTCATGCTGGCCGAGATGCTCGTCATCGTGCCCGAGGTCCGCCACGGCGCCGGCCGCCACGTCCAGCACATCCGGCCCGCGTCGGATGTCGTCGTGGGCCTGCACCTCAACTTTGTCACCCAGCCGCTGTGCCTGGTCAGCCTGTGTTGCACCAAGGTCAGCGTCGGGTTGTTCCTCCTGCGGCTGAAACCGTCGCTGCGGTTTGTCTGGTTCATCCGCGGCGTGATTGTGTTTATTGTCTTGTCGGCTGCGGGGAATTTCTGTGAGTCTCGTTCGTGGTCAGAATGCAAGAGAGAGCCAACTCGGTGGACTGACTGTCTCAGTGACGGTGTTCTTCCAATGCACGCCGCTGGAATTCATCTGGGACCACTCGATACCGGGCGGCAGGTGTATCCAAGCAAGGGACCTCAAATTCGCCGCCTTCTTTAACTCCAGTGTCTCTCTCCTGACCGACCTGGTATTCGCCCTACTGCCGGTCCCCATATTGTGGTCTGTACAGCTCAATTGGAAGGTCAAGATTGCTGTCAGTGCGGTACTCGCCCTGGGTATCTTGTAAGCAATGCCGTTTTCCTACGTGAGTGGGTTAAAAAGCTGATGGTGTGAAAGCGCGTCAGCAGCAGCCGTTGTGAAAATGATGTTTCTATCTAGCTACGGGTCCCATGGGGATTTCCTCTGGGACAGCACAGATATAACAATCTGGTAAGTGCAGGATACAAATATTATACACCATGCCATAGCAATAATATTTTCCATGCCCCTTTCACTGTTGGCCTCAAATTGATTTGGATCTTGGAATAGGACGACAGTCGAGATATGCACCGCCATAATCGCAGCCTCGATCCCCAGCCTGAAGCCCTTATTCAAGGCCATCCTCGAAGGCTCGTCGGCCCTCAGTCGCAGGACGAACAAGTACATTGGGAACAACGGTAGTCTGGCAAACGCAACGAAGCACAGGGAGAACGGCATCGAAATGTACAAGAGTCGACTCAACAGCACAGCAGTTGCGAGCGGTGGGCGCCGTCAGTTCGACAACGAGTCCGAAGAGATGATCCTTTCGGAGGAGGATGTGGTCCAGAAGACGACCCATGTCTCTGTCTCGATCGAAGACCCCGAAGACTCCGCCGGGAAGATATGATGGGTGTCTTCACCATCGCTCATCAGTTTGCTTTCTCTTTTTAGCAAATCGGGCTTATAATATCTGAACGTCGAGAGATAGCTACCCTATCCCGGAGACATTGATTTACGATACCTTTTGAGAATTCATGCCATGCTCATTATTGTTGTAAGTATAGCGGGATATGGAGGGCGAAAGGAAGGGAGAAGGACATCCTCCTTACCAGGTTCCTTCAAGTTTCATTATTATTTCAGGGAAGCGAAATGATGTCCATCACTTGAAATTTTCAGACAGCCAACCTCTTATGATATCAAAGATCACCGTCTGCTGTGATTCTGACTTTCTCGCTCTCCCTGCCGCGATAAACACCCCGAACAGTCCTCGGAGAGACTCAAAGTGTATTTCAAAAGAGATAGCTTATATTGAACCACCGGTCTGTAACATTATTCTTCCACCAACCCTGAGCTGCCAAATCTATTTTCGACTTCCGGCTCACGCAGGCTGGGATACAAGCTCACTCCGTGTCGCATCTATCAGGCGAGTTCCTTTTCCCACTCCCTGGTGGTTTCTCCGTTATATATACTCTTGGACGTCTTCTGCAAGATTATGGAGATAGAGTGTACCATCCTCATACAAAAAGAGTAATGCTCTACATATAAATATTTATATCACGCCCCATAAAGATACCTACCATCGATTTCAAAGGAAACGAAAAGGAAAAGAGACAACCACTTAGCTATACACCTGAGACTTCCCCTTGAGGTCGGCAAGCATTTTGAGGCCGTGAAAAGCATCTGACTGGCTGTACGAACAACATACGAGACACCTTTGCGAACCAAAGGAACACGGGGAAACTCGAGATTCACAAGCTACATTTGGAAGCAAGCCTAGTTACTTGACACATGAGACACACATCAAGGTGTGACTATCCCATCAGCTGCCTCCTTGTTGATATCGTAAATGAGATGCAATTGTTCATGTGTGAGAGAATTTGTCTCCACCTGCGAAACACCGGACCAGATTGAGCTTCTGAAGTTGGCATTTCAAAGCTTGTCCTCCAATCTCAAGTTCACGAACCAAATTCAGGTTTCAGTCGAGCCTGCACCGCTCAGCAAATCCCTCAATTGGTCCCGCAGGGAAACATCCTCTGTCTTCGATCCATGTGGACCTGGCTGGTGCGGCATACCGCTAAGGTCCATCTCCAGGAATCCTCGAGCAACGTCTTCCGCCCCCTCTAGTCTTTCTGTCTCACGATCGGACAGCCTCGCACACGCGGCTCGTAGGTCCTCTCCACGTGCCAGCAGGAGGACGAGCGCTTCTGATCTTTCCACCACGGCGGACTCGACTCCGTTCATGGCTGCACATCTGCTGCCAAAGCTCGAGGCGCTCCGACCAGGCATGAGTCGGAAGAGAAAAGTGACTTGGTCATCTACGCTCTCTGTTTCGAGGTCTACGCGGACGTCCATGTGTGCAAAAGATAGCCTCGGTGTGTTGGGAAGAAGCTTGTTCTCGAAAATCTCGTGGAAGTGTGTCGCTGCAAGGACCCTGGGCGCATCCTCGGCGAGATCGAGGAAGTGGGCAAGAAGGGCGCTTAGAAGCCCAGCACCGTCCATTGTGTTGGTGCCCTTTCCAAATTCGTCGATCAGGATAAGGCTTCGTCGTGTTGCGAAGTTGATTGAGAAGGCAGCCTGCTTCAGATCGATAGCAAAAGCGCTCTCATTTCGCGACACGCTCTCCCTTGTGGCGATCCGGGTCAGCAGCCGGTCTGTCAGGCCAACACAGGCCTGGTCAGCAGGCACAAAGCTTCCGATGTGGGCGAGATAGACAATGAGGGCAACCTGCTTGAGGTAGACGCTCTTCCCAGAATGATTCGGCCCGGTCATGACCAACATACTCGGTACCTCTCCCATGAGGTCGGATACGATCGTTTCATCCGCGGTGCCGTCACCGGAGCCTCCAAGTAGGAGCGTATCGTTGGCTATGAAAGAAGGCACCACAAGCTCCTGAAGCGGATGTCTGCCTCCTTGTATTTGGATGATGTTGGTCGAGGTCAATTGCGGTGCTGTCATTTTATACTTGTCGGCGCCAAGTGCTAGGGCGAGGAGGCTGTCAAGCTCCCCGCAAAGGTCGGATGCTTCTATTAAAGCTTCCTCATGCTCGAGAGTTCTGACGCTGAGCTCGTGGATGATCTCGATTTCCTTGTCTACCAAATTGCGTCAGAAATATTGTTTCTGAGGGGCGGCTTGTGAACGCAAACATACCGACAATCATGCAGTACAGATCCCCATACTGTCCATCAAGCTCTTTCATGCGTCGATTCTTGTAGTAGATGTTCCCATCACTGACGAACATCCGCTCCCAGACGTCATCACCGAGGCCCTCTCCCTCGTAGTTCCCGCGTCCGGTCTCAGGATTGAGGCTCACCACTGTGAGGAACCCGATCTGTGGGTAAAATATGCAGTTCTTGACATATTGCTGGGCCCATTCCGGGATTTCTTCAATCATAAGTGCGGCGACTTCATTCAAAAAATACTCGAGACCGTCGTAATTGCGTTTGAGCTCATCCAATTCCGCACTCACTCCCTGCATGACACAGGTCCTGCGAGCCTCCTTGGATTGTTGGAAGTCGATGGTCCCGGCTATGAGTTCTCCGACCGGTAGCAGATCACTCTGCCGAATGCCATGCACCATCTGGTTCAAATGGGTCAGCTAATAGAAGCAATGCGAGGCTATTGACAACTCACCCTGGCCGTGATTGAGAGATCTGCTGCGCCATGGAGCTTCTGGACTGCTTCTCGAAGCTCAGCAGTAAAGGCACAGAAAGCCTGCAGTGATGCCCACGTGCCCCTTTCAATGGAAACATGTCCGGATGGGAGGCTGATTCCTTTCTTCAAGTGTAGGAGGTTGTGTTTGATATTTTTGATCTTCCGCAGCAGCTTTCCGATATTGTCAATGTCGGCGCCATTTTCTGGGCGAAGCAGAACTGAGATGGTCTGCTGGCGCTCCTGGATCAGCTCAAGATCAGTACTCGGCCGCAAAAACATCTGCCGTAGCTTTGTTTTGCCTTGTGCTGTATGTGTTAGTACGTGGAAGAGACCGTATAGAGACAGGCCTTCTTTTGCTCCTGTTTTGGACTTGTCAGGCCCCTGGTTCATGAAATTTGGATGGTTTTCGGACCCAAGAATTTGTAGAGACGCCAATGTGTCAGCATTGACAAAGAGGGAGTCTCTGAGAGTAAACATCTCAATGGATCGGATCCTGAATGCGAATTTCGCATCCAGGTCATTGGAGAGGTATTCAGCAGCCTTCCTGCGCTGGATGTCGCCGAGGACTGCACCGGCACAGCCCACCTTTGACCAGTGAGCGAAACCATCGAGTACAAATGACTGAACATTGAACTCACGGAAAAGCGACTGTCTAAATTGATCCACGTCGCTAGTTGCAGCAGCCTGGCGTGCCTCTCATCGCTCATGTCCGCTCCCCCTTCAGCTTCGTCCCCGGCTACGGTGTTGAAATGTATTGTCGGCCGCCGCAAAGAGTCAAGGTCCAGATTGATAAGGTGGCTTTTGGCACTCTCATATTTGAACTCGGCTGAGCCTAAGGTACGTAATATGTAGGCACCATGTATGCCACCTGCAGAAGTATTAACATGGTGTTGCATGGCCTAAAGTCGGGTGTTCTTGCCTTCTTCTTGGTTGCGATGTCCCTGGAAGTCCTGGGCTCCAGCTTCTATGAACTGAACCAGATTGTCTGGGCTGCGGATGGAGATGAGAACAGTTGTTGGCTCGACATGAAGGAGAAGTGTCTCGACGAGCTCGATGCCTGCTAGTGGAATATCTTCTTGCAGGAAGAGCGCCTCGTCGATGGCAACGTAGTAAGCACAGCCCACGGTGCCATCATCCCTCATGTCGATGGCCATGATGATCTCGTTCATGGTGTCGGGATCATCGCTGCCGGGGCGGTCACTGGAACGAGACTCTTCGTATCTGCCATGACTACCAGCACGCACAGTGGACGGCGCTGCCGTCGAATGGGGAGGGAGAGACAGACGGCCCGCATTTGGATCAGGGTGAGGAGGTAGTGATGGCGAGGACGGCACAGATGCATGAGACAAGAGGAGAGGAGATGTCCGCGGGGCAATGTTGTGCCCTTGTTGAGAAGGAGGCACCGGAGATGAGAAGATTGGGGGCGTTGAACGGGGTTGGATGAATTGAGACGAGGTGCTCAGACGGCTGGGAACACTGCGAGGCATTGAGGATGTTGAACTTGTGGCAGAGGGCGTACGCGCGGCCGGAGTCGCTCGCCTCTCTTGGGATTGCGACGACATTGCTGCGCTGTACTGTTCCACCCGGCAATGGTATGTTTTTGAAGTTGGACGGCAAACTTGCCCACGAGTGGCTCGATTTCTGCACACGAGTCTTGCCAGAATACATAGCTGCCTCGGTAGGATTAGGCAACTGCCTACCTACTTGGGTAGGTAGGTAGTCTGTGTTGCACTATACTGTACATGTCGCTCCTTCCCTCCGAGATGATGGCTCAATGCAGACTCTCCAAGTTGTTGGGACGCTTAAGACGGCCCCAAGCCAGGAACTCGTTCCTCGACTGCCCACATTGAGCACAGACACCCTCATACCGAACCATCTCATCCCGGAACTGCCCAGGTTGTGTACAAGTTTTGCAACTTCATGAAGGTCTCTTCGCATCTCTGTCCGTGTCTGCTTCGAATTGAGACTGGATCGAGCTCCTGCCCCAGATGTCAGAATGTCAGGACTCCTGGAAGTCCTGAAGAAAGGAACGCGTCTTGAACATTCATACCATGCCCGTAAAGCCTGACGCGAACCATCCGCTGTCAAAGACTGGGATGGATGTGTTTCTCACGATATTCAGACCTTGCCCCCAGCCCAATTCGCACTCGTACAGTATGCCTATGCGGGTCAAAACCTCCGAATCCCGCCCCGTCTATGGCTTGCCGCCAGCCCTCACCCACTCCGCAAACTCCTTCCTCTGCGTCCGGATGTCCACGAAGCCAGGCCTCGCCTCCAGCACGCGGAACGGGTTGCCGACAAAGTCTTTCTCCACCTCGCCGTTGCTCCTCAGGAACCCCTGCTCGCCCTCTCGCTCGACCTTGCCCGCCCACACGCGCCACTGGATCGGCCGCAGGTTCGGCGTCCCGGCGACCAGCCCCAGCACCGTGACGAACAGCCCGACTATGGTCTCGATGGAGATGTCGACGGGAAGGGAGGTGGATGCCGGCGTGGATGACAGGGCGGCGCTGGTGGCCCGGAGGGACTGCAGCGCTGAGTGCTCCTGGGCTGAGTAGCAGCTGTTCGCGGTTGGGAGTCTTGGTTAGCCTGGGCGCCCCGTGCTGGCTGGCTTGACGCGGCATCTGCCTGTGACTTACGCATGTGCTACTAGCACCAGACCAAAGGTTGTGATGGTCTTTGATATCCAGGTCATTGTGGGGAATTGCACGATTCGCGGATGGTCTCGTGTGTGGGTGTATGTGGTCTTGTCAGTCCCAATTCTGTCAGTCCGGGCATGTGGTGGTAATCAGCAACAGTCCAGGGTACCTGAGTTTGGTAGGCAAGCTTGCTGGTGGCAGGAGCTTGGGCCAAGCACCTGCGCTTGCAGCTGTGTCAGTATGCAATTACCGGGGATGGAAGTGGCCGACCTTCGTCCGCGGCGTCTGAGAGAGCAAGCGCCTCCATGCACAGCAGAAGACCACAGCCCAGCAATATTCCCCAGACGTCCTTTCCTCTCACTTCCCACTCGCCCTCTCACTCACTAATTCTCAATCCAGACTTGCACCACTGGCGACATCTGATGTGCATCGCTGCCCTTGTTTTTCGGCGTCACTTAATTCTACTTGGAGCAATGATTTGACGTACCACTGCAAGGGCCTGTCCGCTTTCACAAAACAATCGCATTGTCTTGGTCCTCGAGTCCGCGCTCATTACACTTGCGATGATGGTCACTCCGCGAAGCCGACCTGCCATTCAGCCAGGACGACAGCCAGGTCATCCGGTTCGATTGGGTCTTTGCAGTTGCATCACGTATCATGGTGTCAGGTTCATTCATTTCAGTCTTGGACCCATTTAAGTTGACAAGAAATCAATTCGCACGCATGTAAGCCGCCAACACCCTGCCTTGCCCAAAGCCCCGACTGAAACCTCCCTCTTCCCTTGCGCGCACATATGGAAGCATGGCCTCCATCCATCACCCCGATCGATTCAACACAGCCACCAGCATAGCATGTGCATGTTGTGGGCGAATTTACAATCCAGGTCGAAAATCAAAATATGTCCACTGTAATGCACCCTCAGTCCTGTGCGTTGTACGGCTCCGACAGCGAAGGGTCCAACTGGGCCGACCAGTTCACATCGAACTGGCTGTCAGACTGCGCCTCTGAGACTGGTTGGATGTGCCAGTCATCGGCCCCCGTCGAAGTCAACAAGTCACGCAAGTGTCCGTCCAGCTGTCCGTCGTAGTTGGCAGCAGTGGCGCCAATACCAAACCCCTCGCTCGTCACCTGGCCGCCTTGGCTCTCCATGTAGCTTTCTATCGAGTTCGGTTGCAGGAGCAGCGGGTTGTTCTGGTCGAACCCGCCATCGCCTGCGTTCTGATACAGCATGCTGAATTGGTCTTGATCGAATTGGGTTTCGAACTGGGTGTACTGAGTGGTTCCGAACAACTGCTCTTGCTGAGCTTTCTGCTGCTCCAGTGGTTGTTGTGGTTGCGAAGCCGAGTTGTACTGATCTATTAGGTTCTGCTGTGGTGAGTGGTACGGATTTCCTGGTGCAGCTGTCTTATGGAACGAGACATCCTCCACCCCAAAGTTCCTCAGTTGGTGGTTTCGGGTTGGCATGGCCTGCGACGCCAAATAATGCGACTGTTGCTGGATATTCATGTGGTTGTATGGCGCTGGCATGGGCTTGTTTGGGTTGCTCCATTCATACGACGACATTTGCAACTGCCCACGCCCCGGCATCATCATCGCAGACTGCTGCGGCGAGTACGCCGTGTAGTACGCCACTTGCGGCCCGTACATGTGTTCCGCCTCCGGCACAGGCGTGCTCCGGTTCGAACGCGGCCTCTTGATCACTCGGCCCGTTTCGTGGTCGTAATCCTCGAGAGGCAGCTCGTCCTCCCCCTCCTCTTCCTCGGCTTTTCTCTTCAGGTCTTTTGGCTTTTTGGGGGCAAACTTGTACTCCGGCCATGTCTTTGCGTGGTTCTCGCGCTCGATCCTGGCCCATTCGGTGAATTGATTCCGGATGTGCTCGGGCTCCAGTGGCCAGCTGTCACCGCACACCTGCGACACCAGCTGATGGTTGTTTTGTGTGCAGTGCTCTTTGGTCCGGCCCTGGTATGCTTTTCGGTACAACATGAAAGCATTCATGGGACGCTTGATCTTGCCCGGAGTTTTACTGGTTTCGACTTCGAGCTTTCGCTCGGCCTCTGATCGATTCACATACGCCTCGATGTCGATCATGGGCACACTCAAGTGTTTCGTGGACTCGCTAAGCGGTGTGGTGATCTTGGGTGTCTTCCTGGCCGCTTTTGCGCGCGCCTTCTTGGTCGGCGGCCTGTCTGGGCGATTCTTGGAAGCGAGCGGCCGCATACTGGATGATCTGGGGACAGTTCCATTGCGCAAGCTGATCACGTCTGACCGTTGCGAGGGAGAGGATGCCGGGGTTGTGTATCCTGGTTGTACCTGACTCCTGTTAATCACTGCGCCGTGCATCTCACCTGCCGTCTCAGCTTACCGACTCCTCGGGCAGTGACGGATAGGCACTGCCGTCATGTCCATACTCGGGTTGGAAGAACTGTGGATTGTACGTCCCTTGAGGAGGGTACTGATGCACAGCGGGCTGGTCAAGATGAGGACTCATCCCCGCTTGTTGCCCCGGAGTGGACAGCCTCGATGGTGGGTAAGAGGAGCTGTGGACGCTGGCGGCTTCTGCTGAATTCTGCTCGCGTGGAAATTCCTCCGAGTTGTTGTGCTGTACCAACTCGCAGAATCCGTGTGGGAGCTGGCCGTCCACGACCGAGTTGGGGGAGAGGGGCATTGTGGTCCCCATCGTGTCGGGTGACTTCTCAGATTGGATCATATTGGCGGCAGCTGCAGTGACTGAGGCTGAGCCCAGCTCTTCTTAAGGGGGGTCGGATGGCCTGGCAGGCCTGGGAACCTCAGGCTGCGAGACCGGGGATTTGGGATACCGCAAGGTAAGGGGGGTGGACCAAGACCAGTGTTCAAGGGCTGGTTGACAGTGGCTTGCTTGCAGTCTTGCCTTCAGATCCCCCTCTCCTCTCACCTCCCTGAAAGAATTGAGACGACGCGAGCCTTGGGTGATAAACCTGTTGAAAGCTCGGTCCAAGTTCAGGCTGACCCTGAAGAGAGTGCTCAGACCCCAGGGCGCTGGGTAGGGCTTGATGGCAAGGGGCGAATTTCTTAAACAGTCCGAGACGCCAGGTCTTCTGGAAGCTCTCTACTGACTGACTGGTCTGATTCCTGAGATTCGTGGCAAGTGCTGCAGCAGGGTGTATTTGCTACGCTATCCTAGTGGATCTTCTTATGTGTCGTATGTGCGGCTGAGAAATGGTCAGGAGTTGGTTTGTCTCTCGTTGATGACTGGCAGCATGGGAAGCAGAGGCAGCAGAAGCAGCGGCGACAGCGGCGGCAGCAGCAGCAGCAGCATGCGGCTTCAAATGTTTGGTACGAACCTGTTGCAACGAGCCGAGTGGCAGGGGTATACCGCCTTTCTTCTGAGGGGGTTTGGCAGAACAAGACTTGCTCTGCCAGGACAGCAGATGCTCCCTCCTACACGCCTGTCCTAGTAGACGAGTGCTGCCTTGGCTATGTCCCGCAAGGCTGGCAGGTTATTTTTGGTTCTTTGTTCGTCCTTTGCGGAATCCGGACATGGGACACAGCCAGGGTGGTCAGGCAAAGGCAAAGGACACTCCGCGTTGCCTTTGTTGTCAGGGGCAATCCTTTGGAAGAAAGGAATTTTCTAATTGGGAAGGAGGGACATGACAAGATAGAGGGCACCTGTGTATGTATATTCACACGGTTTGAATCGCCTCCGGTGGGCGGGACGTTTGGCAGGCCATGTGCTGGTAGCGGTGATGCCGATTACCGCATTCGGCCGGGCTCTAGCTCTTTGCCCACGGACGCATCCTGCTAACGGGCACCCAGGGCGCGCACACCCACGCCAAAAGAGCTGGGCCCGACAGCCTCCAGCGGCAGACTTTGTACTTTTGACCGTCTGCGGGCTGACAGCTGGGGAAACACAATTTCTGGAGCTCACCTGCGCGGTCGGGATTCCGTCCTGTCACGATGCAATTGGCAGAGAGGGCTTTCCCACCCAGCACTTCAGGCCGGGGCACCCTCCCACCAGCCGTGCCACTTCCCTCGTCGGCCGGAGCCAGCTGGGCAAATCGCACCTGGATGGCCCAACTGGACTGGACGGGAGGATGTTGGACCTCCTGCAAACAACACACGGCCACTGGGTTCCCAGTTTGTACTTGGGTCGCAACTTCGGGCATGGACATGAGCATGTGCTTGGGCGCGGACATGGGCAGTGGCATGGACAGTGCTGCTGCTCGCTCCACCTGTTCGCGCGCCCAGCCGTGAGACCCCCCCGAGGCAAGCGTCGGTTATTGGATCAACTGATCCGATTCCCCGTCGACCTAGACCAGGTGATAGGGGCATTAGGGGGGCCAGGGGGGGGGTGGGCAAGACTCGAGTTGGTCCTTGGAGCGCGGGTGTAACCACCTGAGCAAGGTCATTGCCATTGCCATCTTTCCATTCCAGGTCAGGCTCAACTCGCGGCAGGACCAACAACAAGCCCGCTGTCTCCCCGCTGAAGAATAAGAGAGCCAGGCATGCGGTACCTGAACAGCGTGCCTGGCTGCAGATGGTACCTGAGACACTCGCAACTTGCCTCTTGCTCAGTGTCGTCCGTTGGAATGAGCTAACCGTGGCACTTGGTTGGTTGCCGGAAACGTCCTGGGCCTGTGATTGGCCCCGCACGCGAGCCTCTCCCGCATTCCTTTGAGATCAGGGGGGATGTGAGCTAATTGCAACGGTCTGGTACTCCTAAATGCGGTCCGGGAGTGCGCCGTCGCTTTCCTACCCATTCGATCCACCTGTTCCGACGCGACATCCGCCTTATCGTCCCCTTGGCAGCTCCATCTCTCTGCCGCTTGGGAGAGACGGACGGCACAAGGCTGTCAAGTGTCAGGCTAGGCCGCACGGGCTGCTGTGCTATGGTGATTTTGGGAAGCTGTTTCGCTCATGCGTCCCCCATAGGGCGGTGTTCGCTCTGCTGCGAGCTGCGGCTTGGACCTGCAGACGGCCACTGTTGGGCTGGACCAAACAGCTGGATCCCTGCACGCCTTAACGGGTGTCTGCATTAGCGCCAGTCTGTTTGAACAGCAGTCGCACAGGACGGAGGAAGAGCAGGAGTCTAGTGGCCGGGAGGGAAGTGGGAGGAAATTGACTGACTGACTGACTGACTTGACTGATTCATCATGCTCGGGCAGGCTGGAAGAGTGCTCGCACTCGGACGGGAGGCGCCGATGCGGACAGTAGGGCAGGTCAGGCGAGGTAAGTGGCCCATCATGGCGCTGGCTGAATCCATCGCCATCTCTGCTTCAATCCAATCTTGGATTAGGCAGGAGAGCGGATGGTCCAGGTCCCTGCAGGCGATGTGCAAGTGCCGCTCTCCTCTGGCTGTGCTTGGAATGCATCGCTGCTGCGGCTGCGGCTGCTGCAAGTTGCAGAACTGCCGGTGTGATGGGTGGTTCTACGTTTCTCGCGATGCCCCAGACGGACTTCACAGTTGCTTGCCCCTGATCTTTATACATGCGTGCTTTGCTTTCATCTCAGGATAAAGAGGCCTTGAAAGGATGCGCTCTGGGTCACAGAACAACGTCGATCGTGTCAAGCGAGCGAGCATCAAAGGCTCTCGTACAACTTTCTCCATCACCACCGTCGCTAGCTAACATCAAAGGCCCCTAACGAGAAGACGATCAAAGATTGTCGAGATGGAGCGTGAGATGGCTCTGGGGCTATCTCTGCTCCCAAAGAAATCTATGATCACTTTTCGACTTCGCCGCATCAACATGTTCCTTCATCTCTGGCTGCTCCCCGTGTACGTACCGTCTTCCCCGGTCGGCTAGACAGGACATAGCCGCATCAACCGCTTGTTTAGCTGTCTTGTTGTCTCACAACCAACCCCATTAACCCCGATGTGGTTCCACACACACCTCGAGACCAACCCCCGGGCACCCAACCCATCACAAACGCATCATCATCACCACCGCGGTCGAACCAACGAAACGTGGGCTAGAGATGTCTCTCCTCTTACCTTCAAGCCGGTCCCTGCCCGCCGTGCCTGTGTCTCTCCCCCAGGCGTTCGCCGCACATGTCCGCGTCCCAGGTGTCTCAGCTCAGTCGCCAGCCTACTCCTGCATACGCTCTGACCAACGGTTCGTACCGCGCGGGCATGTATCCACAGCTAGAATAGGCTCTCTGACGAGTCACATCCCGTGTGGGTCTGGAATGGTCTCTCTCGGTGAGTTGGGCTGACCTAACCTGCCTAACTCACGGGCCCAAGCACTCACGCTCTCACGGAGTGGAGCCCTCTCTCTTCCCCAGCCCCCAGCCCATTTGCGTCGCTGACAGCCTCGGGGCCGTGACCTTGTTACTTACTATAGTCTTGTCGTGCCCAGCTAGCATCGTGGATCCGGCCGCCCACCGAGTCAGTCTGTCCCTGTTTAGACTATTTGCGATGTCGTGCGATGCCATATGGAGCATGTATTTCGTACCTAAATCCCTAAGTTAGTAATCACACGATCCAGGCCGCTCGCAAACGTCAGCCCGAAATAAGATTTGAGATGAGCTACCTTCCCGGTGGCCCGAGATGTGCAGAGTAGGTCGCGGCGCTACAAAAGAACACGGTTCATCTGATCATCTCATCACATGGGAACCCTGGGCGGGAAGATGGGCGGGAGCCTTTGGGGCCAGGCGGCCCCAAGCTATCCAAGCTATCTTATCTCATTTGCAGATTGCCATCTTTTACTTCATGATCGGTGGTCGATGACAAGGACATGGCTCTCATGAGATGCCAAAATCGGTGGTGCTGGCTGTGGTGGAGCCGCCCTCTCTTGAGAATATAGCAGTCGGTGACAGCAGAAGAAGCCCGACAGATGTCGGTGAGAGCTGTCACTTGGCAGCGAGAAGTTCTACCTGTCACCTTTTTGTCTGTCTGGTTATTACATGTAAAATGAGAGGGACATGTCGCACGGGGTGACGAGTAGGTTTCCCCCACGTGCCTTTCCGCTATTCGTTCACTGTCTGCCCTCGCCAATCCAGAACGTTTTTGTTGGGGGGGGGGGGGCAAGAGCCGGCTTACGCAAAGAGGCACCACGCCCGGGAACTCATGAGCCGGAAACTCTTGATATCATGAAGTTCGATTTATAAGCATGGTGTGGAGGGGACAAGTGAGGTCAAAACTGAGATCGAGGAGACATGTCTTGGCACGGCCGGGCTAGCTTTCGTATAGTCCCCATCGACCACCTAGAGAGATCCGTCCAGATCCCGGGGGCCTGCTCGATTGTGGCTTGGGGATAGACACACACAAATTGAGTGACTGACAGGCTGGGCCACGGCCGAGCTACGACCGAGCTTGGAGGCCGGGGCCTTGGCATGAGATTCCAAATGGCCGTGAAGCTTACACGATGAGAGACGCTCATACGCGTGCCTAGTTGTCGTTGTTGTTGCGCCTATGGGACTCGAGGGTACCATCTCCCAGGAGCTAGCTTCAACAGTTCGATCCGTGACAGGCACAACCTGTAGACATGGGACGATCGAAGCGCTTTGGAGCGAACCTCAGGATCACCGAAAATCCTCATGACAGGTGTACATCTGTGATTTCCACTTGTGGCGAGCTGATATTGCTAAACTTGGCATCGCGGGCTGCCTCACATCATGATTGTATCATTTGCTCATTAGATGCTGCACTACCGTCTAAAGTCTAAGCTTGCGATGTGTTCATGACCTCTATACTGGTATCTTTCCTGAATCCGTCATGACTTGTCACAAATCTCGCCTCCGATATGCTCCTGTTCCGCGCTGGGAGTCAGCAACCGGGGCCCTTTCAGGAGCGCCGCCGCAGTTTCTCGACGCGCCAGGAGCCAGCCACCCATCAAATCAATTGCTACCCGTAATCGTCTTGAGGGTACAGGATAGACCGGGAGCCTCATCATTTTTGCCGCTGTGTCCACCCAGCTGATGTTTTGCATGCTAATTCTATTTCTTTTCTTGGGTGACTGCACGGCAGAGCTTGAAAACTAGTGTGTGGCACGCAAAAGCCACGGAAAATCACTAAGTCTCCGTGTCATGTTGTGACACGGGACGAACAGGCTCGCCGTCATGCTTGACAGGAGGCGTCAGGTCAACCTGGTGAGGCGAAGGTGACAGCGCTTCAACGGGTGGCAGCCGGGCATTTGCAGGGCTGGACTTGACGGCCGACAAGGATGGCGAGTTCTTTGTAGGAGACAGGCCACCGCGGGATGGCGGTAGGGGATCACTGTCCTCCAGGCGAGCAGGGCTCAGCCGTGGCGTTGTCATTGACGATGGGGAGGACATCAGCTGGTCTAGGCCTTTTGAGTTGCTCGCGGAGCTCAGTGGAGTCTGTGACGGCTTTTGTGGGGAGACAGTTGAGGGCTCCTTTGTCTCCTTCGAAGGCGTCCCGGAACTAGGGGCGGCACCGTTTGCGGTCGGATGTAGGACGGGGCGACCACCAAGTGATGGGTCCGTCTCTAGCTCCTTCTGCGCGGCGGGGCTGGATGAGTTGTATATGTTGCCATAAGCACGAGACTTGTTGGGCGACTGGTCTGGAGGCAGTAGGCTTGGATGTGGCGAGGAAAATGGGTTGTGCGCCACACCGTTGAGCGACAACTTTCGTGCAGGGAATGCCCACGGCGGCTGAGGAGCCACGGTCGAGGATGTCTGTGTGGCAGTAGCGCTGTCGACCGGAGGGGAAGAGTGCTTCTGCGGGGAGGGCTCTGGAGGCTTCGCGATCGTGGAAGCGCTGGCGGATGGCAAAGACACCCCGTTCAGCTGGGGGCCACCGGTATGCGGAGACTGCTTCGACTTGATGTCGATGTGAATGTTCGGGTTCATGCCCGGTATTTGTGGCAGCGGGATCGGTGTCGTAGATATGGGTTTGGCGACGCCTGGGCCTGGTGTCGACGCAGTCGAGGCAGGCTCTTTGGTCTTGACCTTGATCTTTTGCGGGTGCTTCTGCTGCTGCTGCTTCTCCTTCCTCTCTCGCTCGGTCTGTTGGCAGTGGCTGCAAATGAAGTGGAAATCGTCTCGCTCGGCCTCGTCCTCATCAATGCCGAGACACTTGCTATGCAGCCAGACATTGCATCTCTCGCAGGCAACGGAGTGCTCTCCATCATCGACTTGTCCATACAGGCCGCAGACGCAGTCAAAGGTCCACTCTTCTTCTTCATCATCCAACTCCTTCAGTGCTTGCTTGTTCTTCTCGATTTCTGCCTTCAGGCGACGCTCGGACAGGCGTCCAGCTTCAGGACCCTTGCTTCCCTCTGAAAGCTGAGCCAACTCCTCCTCATGCTGGATGCGACGGGCCTCGCGATCACGGACACGCTGCTCTCTGGACATCAGCCGATTTCCACGTTCCTTCTCCATCTTTACTCTCTCCTCCTCAGCCTTGCGAGCGGCTACTTCCTCCGCCTGTCGTTTCTCGCGTTCTTCGCGCTCAATCTCTTCGTGTCTGCGCTGCTCGGCTTTGCCAGCGAGGCGACTTGATCTCTTGGCATGGGCCATCTTCTGCAGACTCAGAAGCTCCTTCTCGCGTTGTACCATCTTGCGCTTCCGAGACTCTTCTTGCTTCTCCAGTATGGGCACGAGGTGGCCTTCAATCTGCTCCCGCAGGATCTTCTCGTTGGCGTCCTTGGTCTTTTTGAACGGCTCGATACAACTGCGGACTTCGTCCAGGGTGATGGCGACGCATTCCCACGTAGCCCCACCGAGGGGATCTTCGTCAGCATGGTCGGTTTGGTCGTTTATTTCTGACACGCTGGCCGTGTCCTCATCGCCGTTGTTGCTTGTGCCGTCTGCAGACGCCGCAAGACGCCTGCGCTTGGCAGATCGCGCTGCTGCCCTGGCCTTCTGAGAGTTTTTCTTCGGAGGAGCTGCGGGAGGAGCTGCGGCCGTGAGGCGGTACATTCGGTTGTCGTCTAATACGTAGTACTCGCGGTCTTTGCGGTCCCATCCGTACGGCTCGATTCTCTGTGATCACGTCAGCCCTGGCGCAACCAGAATCGCTGACACCAGAAGAGGACAAACCCAGCCCGTCTGATCATCGACTCGTTGCTCGTCCATGTTTGGTCGAATATTCTCGGGTTTCATCATGATGAGTTGTGTCATTTGCCATAGCGTGCGAAGCTGCATTCATTCGATCGAGTCAGATGGCGACGAAGGACCGAAGAGTAGTGGGGGTGGGACGGACTTTCTTGAATAGATCAAAATCTGCAAATTTCTGCGTGACCTCTCCGTCTCCGAAAGGATTCTTCTTGTTTGGCATTTTGGCAACGAATTGTCGTCGAGTGTATTCGTCGAAGAGCTCGTGTCTGACTGAGGTTAGCGCAGGCTAGGGGGTCGGTGCGATTAGGGGACGTACGTCAATCCGCGGTGCGACGAGAGGTGCTTCAGCATGGACAGACCAATGTCTTGCAAGGCCATCGATCCATGCTTAAGACACTCTGTCTCGAGGTCCTATGATGTTCTGGTCATCAGCATCGGATTATGCGGGGTGGCATAGCATCTGGGAGCCAAAGGCGCGCACCTCGATGTCGAGATTGTCGTCGATCTTGACCACCTTTCCGAATATGCAGATCCATTGGTAGAGATTTGCGAAGTAGAACGAGTTCCTGAGCTTGTGGACCAAAGACTCCTCCTGGCTTTGTTGTGCAGGTGCGATGTTGGCCTCGCGCAGAGACCGCTTTCTTGAGCTCATTGTGGGCAAAACGCTGCTCGTGGCAGAGGTGCAGGCGAAAACAGACGCGCTTATGGCTGACGAGGGGCGGCGGGTAGCAAGATCAAGATGCCACCAGAATTTGTCATCACAGAAGACGGCTGTGTCGAGAATCGTGGGCGACGTTGGCTTGAATATGGCTGTAAGCTCGGGCAGCCCTTGAAATGTTCAGGACGAAGGTTGTCTGGTATGGGCGACGATGATGCAAATGAACAGTGCACGCGATTCAGAAGACGCGACCGCTGCCACTTTTCTGGCCGAGCTTTGAGTGGTCCCTCCTTAGCCCCTGTCAGCCCACCACCGATGACACCAGCCGAGCAAGCTAATGGAAAGTGAGGGTTAGGAGTTTATCGACTTTGACCGATCTACCCCCCCCAGGTTCATATTACGCCCTGCCTTCTCGTTCACCGGCTGGCCAACTGCGACTCCAGATGCAACCTTGGAAGTTGATGGCGTTCAAGTGACACCAGACCTTCCCTCCTTTCCAAAACACGATCTGACCGTTGGTTGGTTAGTTTGAACAAAGTGCGAATATGCAATGCAGCTCGGAAGTCCAATGCACCCCAATCTTGTCCACCGAGCCACTGGTCGGACTGGCCAGATACTTGGTTGATGCAGAACGGCGACTGTTGGTGCCCGCTCCTCCTCGGCCAGGGCAACAATCGACCCATCAACTGCAGTCGATATGGGCTTCTTTGCAGAATGATCCACACGGATGGAGTGGATGGCTCACAAAGTCCAGTCAGACATCGATCCCACCCCTTGGCAAAAGTTCCGGAGACATTGAGCCCACCCCTTGGCAAAGCATACATATACGAATATAAATATCCTGGATGACTCCAGGATAAATTCGCGGAGGAGAGCACATCTACTAGGAACCTAGCCTTCTGGCCTGCTGTTTTCTAGCTGCTGCCCCGCGTCTGCGTTCATAGTCCTCTTTGAAATCAACGTTGAGCACATATATACGCTGCCTCCTCGAACATGGCGATCTCACCTGAAGTCGCGGAGATCATCCGTCGCAAGAAGACGCAGTACTGTCGCTTCGCTGACCTCAACCAATTCCATCTCTTTGACAAGATCGCACTCCCCAGCGCGACCTTCAAGTTCGCCGGCCGAGACAGCGAGATACTCAATGAGAACGGCATCGTGTATTCTTGGGAAAACCGTGAGACCTTCTGCGCTGCCTTCACAAAGGCATTCGAGAACGTCCAGGTTGTAAGTGTATTCGGTTTCGGTTGCCTCTCTCTATATGGGCGGTCTCGAGAATGCCTTGCTCCCACGAGCAGAAGCATGAATCATAAGCCCCTACAATCTCTTCCAGGAATCTTTATCCTCTCAATGTAGAGCGAATTGCTAACTCATCCTAGATGCACTCAGTCGGGCCAGGCGAGCTTGAGCAGACCGGTCCTGACGAGGTCAAGGCAGTTTTCACTGTCATCTATCACGTCGGCCCGAAGGGAACGAACCCCAAGAATCATGGAACGGGTGGGGGCCATTACCACGAGACATGGAAGCGCCAGGGCGACGACTGGTTCCTTGCAGACCTGTGGATGCAGAGGCTGTACTGGATCGAAAACAACTAAGTTTGCGCGTTTAGTTTTGTTGGCGTGGTTTTGAAACGCACAATGGGCCCTTGGGAGCAGCACAACAACTTGAATGTCTGCGAACTTTCCTGACTCTTGGTGAGCAGCGTTGTGGAAGAGGATACGACGACGCTCAGCATGAAGGATGAGTCCATAGGAACAGGATACAGCACTGAAATACGATATGCGCAGATTGATCATGTAAGCCCTTGACAAGACTGATGGAGCTAATTTCTTTATTTTATGTATTTCTCCTTTGGGACGTCGCAAGTAAGACATGCAACTACACCGCGACAGGAACGGGCTTGACTTCCTCGGCGACGACGGCCGAGGCGTCCTCGGCGTCAACACCGCGGTACTCAAAGTACTTGCTCCACTCCGGGTCGTTGATGAGGGTCTGGGCCAGCCTCTTCTCGTAGAAGATGGCGAACTCGGGACCCTCGTCGGACACGGGCGAGGGGTCGCGGGGCGGGTAGATGACGATGACGCCGACGCCGACGTTGTCGATGACGTGCCGGTAGGTCGTGGGCCGGGCGAAGCCCCAGTTGGTCTCGGTGATCCTGGCGTCGCGGTGGTCCGTCTGGAGGATGGACAGCGGGGGGTTCGCGTCGATCTGGATGTTGAGGCTCGTCTTGTCGCGGACGGTGGCGACCATGTCGAGCGTCTGGGAGAGGCTGTCGGCGGTGACGCTGTTGGTCAGCTGGCGCACGTAGCGCGCCACCTTCCACAGCGGCCACTCGGAGATGACCTCGCCGGCGGTGGGCTGCTCGACGGGCGCGGTGGGCGACAGGGCCGCGAACATGACGTTGTGCTGGATGCGCGCGGGCACCTCCATGCGCCGCCGCATGTCGACGGCCTCGGCCCAGAACAGCTTGGAGGACAGGTCGGTGTTGAAGACCGGGGCGCGCACGCGGCTCAGGGTGCGCCACATGAAGGCGGAGAAGGCATCGTAGGTCGAGATCCAGGTGCCGTCCTCCGGGGTGGCCAGCTTCTTCAGCTCGGCGGCCTTGCTCTTTGGCAGGTGGAAGAGGAGCGACTGGCCGGTGGTGTGGGCCGGGTGGCGGCTCTGTGGCGGAGGGCCGTCGACCTTGGATGCCTCTGGGGGGTCTGGCTTGCAGAACCACGACAGGTCCAGGTTCTTCTGGTCCCATTGGGGGAAGGAGGACTTGTTAGCAACGGCGTGGCAGTTCTCGGCCAGCTGGTGCACGAAGCCAGCCCATCCCATCACATCATTTGAGTAGTGGTGATGATGGATGTGAAGAACCAGACCACCTCGGATGAAGTTTGCCTTGAAAGCCGAGGCAACTGGCCTGTTGTCGGGATGAGCCTCTGGCTTCTCGCCGTAGGTCATGGGATCAACACTCCACAGCTTCAGGTTACCCATGGAGACAGCAGAGAAGTTGGACTTCTCGAAGTCTTGGAAGGTGGGATATCCATCCTTGGGATCATCCAGATACTGCACGAAGAGACGGACAGTGCTGTCCCTCTTCTTGACGAATGAGTGGCCATAATCAGGGTCCTTCTCGATGATACCGGCGTAGTGCCGGGCCTGGGCGATTGTCCGCTCCAAGCCACCCTTCAGGACCTCGACAGCCCGGGGCTTGTCTGCATCCTCGAGCTTGAAGAAGAGAGCGTAGTTGTTGTACGTGCAGGCAGTGAGGTAGTCAAGGGTGGTGACCTTGAATCTCTCCTCCTCCGGGTCGTTCTCCCAGCCGTATGGGTGGAGGTGAAACACTTCTTGCTTGGGCATGGCGGCTGGTTGGGACAGGGAATTAGAGGCGTCAGATGTCGATTCAAGGAGAGGGTGCAGTAGATCTGTACTAGACTAGACAAACACGGCAGAGGAACGCATGCAATTTGAGATCTATATGGGTTGTGGAATCATTGTCTTCCGAGCGAGGGTGGTGGCGTTCTGGTTCAGATCTGGCCCCCCTGAATCTCCTTGCCTCGTTGGAATTTCCTTGTCTACTGGACACACTGATCACCAGCCTCCTGGACAGCCTGGGCCGTTGACCCTCGTCTGGCAACTGACGGACCACCAGGGAAGAGAACACCTTGAGTGTACCGCACGCGATGTGGTGCTCGGCAGGGACTGGGCCGGAGTCGTCTGTGTCAACTATCACCGGGATCCGGACGACATGACTCCACCCCTTGGCCTTGAGAACATTATCCAGTGGACATTTTTCGATGGTACAATGCCCTTTTCTGCGGGGCGAGTGAGGCATTTGAGACGGATGCGGTACCAGAGACGGTCGACTCGATCATCTGATGCCCAGCTTGGAAGGGAAAGAGATCAGCCGCGCTGATGCAGAGCCCAGGGCAAGATGTATGATAACGGAGTCGCTCGAGAGGTTCGGACTTGACTCCCAAAACTGCCAGCCTGCAGTATGTGGTGGACAGTAGGCGGTACATATCGCGTAACCTCAGAAGACTCCAAGGAGTATTGGCCAATCAGCGGAGCCGCGCCAATGGACTCACACACGACCCCTGCCTTCGTTGCAACTCAAACTCCACCTCACTACAACGCCACAAGCCAGTCAGCAGCCGAGCCGGGAACGCCCCCACACTGGCAGGACGGGCTCCCACCACATCAGCCCCCACATGGCGTTCACATGGCCCGTCGTGTCCCGTCGTGTCAGTGTGTGCCGCACTACTTAATGTGGGCCGGGGCGGCCCGGGATTCTGGTCAATGTACCCGCGCTCCTCCCGCCGATCACAACGGAGGCAGACAACCACCTCATCTCCAGACCCCGGCGATGGCCCTTGCGATGCCCTGGAGACCGTCTCTCCGCCCAGAAACCCTCATACCCACAGATGTGCCTGCAGGAAATGAATCATGGGGATGACTACGACTGCATGACTGGCACTGGACCTGCGAGAGTCATCAGCCCCTGCTGAGCTGCAGTCTGCCAGTCTGGCTGTTCTGGCCAGTCTTGCCAGCCTTTCCTGGTCTGTCTTGCCTGCCAGGCTGTACCGTATACGGCAAGGATCCGGACCCGCCCACTCGGTTCTGCTGTCGGACTGGCAGATACATGTACTGGGTGCAATCCTTTGTGATCACCCTGGTCGCCTACTGTTGAAGCACACCCTTTCCAGACCGCCGGTCACGGAAGACGCGGATTTCATCCCCGTGGCCTGGACGGCCTATCGCAGTGCCTCGGACACCGGCAAATGGGACCACAGTACATGCCATGGGTACGACTGCTACCATGGTACATGCCATGGGTCCGACTGCTACCATGGTACATCTCGTGGCCGTTGCTGTTCTGGGAGGATCTCGGCTGATCATCCTGTTGACATGTGCTCCTGATGTCCTGGCGAGCCCCGAGTCCGAAGGCAGGCAGGCACGGAGTCAGTCAGTAAGTAAGGGTGCGCCATCGACACCAGCATGGACAGCTCTTTCAACCACGACTCCAACTCCAGCAAGACGACCTGGGGGGGGCCTTCTCATGGTGGCCAGACGAGCAGCATGTGATGACCAGCTCGTGCAGGCAAGGGTCATCGTGCATGAGCCAAGTCGACTGATCTGGTGACACCGAGGCAAGGACGGCTAAAATCACCCTTGGGTCGGAAGATGTGCGGCGCAGCGACGAGGTGCATCAAGTCAACGCATCTCTGACAAGTGAGGAGCTGAACATTGCCTCCCGGTGGGCCACAACGTTCAGAGTCATCTTGGCAGTGCAACCCAGGGCAACGGGCAAGTCAGACATTGAGTACTTGCAAGACAGCTAGGGCAGGTGCCAGACCTACCGGGTGTTTTGCCTGAGTGCCGCATGAGTAAGCCCCGTGTCCAGCTCAGGGGCAAATTCCTACAGATCTCATTTTCGTACCTGCATGCCCGGGAGGTTTTGAGGTTCAGGTGGAGGCTGACAGCCTGGAGAAGAGTGAGGGTCGCGACATTGCTAATAAAGATTAATCTCCATCAGGAAGAGTCTTGTCGATGACAACGGTGCTTTTTTCCGTTTCAGGCCTCCGAAAAATATGACCCTTCACAAGTTTGAGGCAGGACGTACCTAGCAATTTTCTCATGCGTCCCTGAACCATCGATCCGGGCCTCTTCATTCGGAAATATTCCTGCTGCTCTCTCGGTGGTATCATCAGGGGTAGATCGCTCAAAACTGGCACGTCGGACGTCCTGCAGTATTTTTCCCTCTTTCTTTCAAGAGGATTCATTCCTGACAACCCGGCGGCGAAACACAGTCCATTCTTCTCTGGCAAGCAGCCAGACAGCCACTCTTTTGATTACGGAACCGGGCGCTGGCTTTCGCTCTCCAACTCCCGAATCCCTCACATTGGCACAATGGACGCCATACTGAACGGGCCTGCCATGGCGCCCCCTGCGGGCGAGACGTCGAACTTCAGCAATCCACCGAACGAGAATCCACTGGCCATCGGTGTGCTAGTTACTATGATAGTCATCTCCACGTTCTGTGTCCTGGTCCGTTTGTACGCAAGAGTGTACTTGCTGAGGAAAGTCCAAGCCGAAGAGAGTGAGTATTTGCCCCTGTTCAGTGTGCCAGCCTTGATCTGCCCCCCCCCCCCCACATGCAACGTAGGAGCAGATGGAGCACAACTCCATTGCAGATGTGGACAGTCGCTGACTCTGATCTTCAATCTAGTCCTTCTGGTTCTTGCATATGTTTGTCAACCCATTCGAAGGAGGTCCATGTACCGTATCTAACGATGCTTGTTGTAGGGATGCTATTGGGGTGCCGCTTGGGCGGATTTCGCCATGGTCGAGACTCCGGGTTATTTCGTTCACACATGGAACGTGAGGGTCAAGGATATGCTTCCCACCCAATATGTGCGTGCATCTAAGTCTTGTCACCACACCAAGGGGCCGAACTGACTGTAGAACAGTACATCCTCGTCTTCGGTGTCTGCTATTCCTTTGTCCTGCCGTTCCTCAAGGTCGCCATCCTCACGGAATGGACTCGAATGTTCGTGCCTAGGGGCACCCACATGAAGAATGCCTTCTTCTGGGGCTGTATGACAGTCTGTTTCGTCCAGATCGGAGCTGGTATGGCCACTGTGATCGCCCTCAATGTCCAGTGCATTCCTCACGCCGCCATCTGGGATCTCACCATCACGGACGCCCAGTGCTTCGAACTCTACCCGCTGCAGGTGTCGTCGGCCAGTATCCAGCTCGTCTCCGATATCGCCATCTTCTTGCTGCCGCAGCGTGTCATTTGGACTTTGAGGATGACATGGCAGAAGAGGTTGGGTGTCTCCGTCGTCTTCGGCCTTGGATTGCTGTAAGTCTTCGAGACAGAGTCGGCACTACTTCTTTTGCTGGTAGACTAACGTGTGAGAATTACAGCGCCTGTATTTCGGCAGCCTTCAGACTGGCCACAACTGTTGCTTACGGCGAGGCAGCTGACGCCATCTACGCCCTTGGGCCTCTTGTTTTCTGGGCGACGGCAGAAATGACATGTGGTTTCTTTGTCTGTTGCAGTGAGTCCCCCTTTAAGCCATGGAATTGTGCACCTCCAGTCATTTCCATACCATTCAGCCCATTTTGGGAAACAATGGTTGCTGACTGAAGACCTTGACAGTGCCTTGCATTCCGAAGATTCTCAGGGACACCGGCGTCCTCAGGAACATCAAAAGGGCATTTGGTATGAAGACGACCACCACAAAAAACACCTCGAACGCCAAATCGGGTCAATTCAGTAGCAATGTATCGCACGGAAAATCTGTGACTGCGACGAGCAAGTCTTACTACAAGCTGGACGAGGATGGAATCCCGATGGAGCCGGTCGAGTCCGAGTCCACAGAGCAGCTTCACAAGGCGAAGCTCGGTGGCGCTGCAATCACGCGGACGACTCAGATCACGATCAGTCAGGACAGTCGGTCGATGACTGGTGACGTTGAGGCTGGTCGTGGCGCCCACGTGCCCCCAGAACCTAACGACGAGTGGCCCAGGCCAGCCTACAGGTGAACGAAGTTCATCGTAGTTTCACGGCCGCCATTTCTTCCCAATCTCATTAATCTGAGCTTTGACCCTCGAGAGGAGAAAAGAGATAGACGGAAGAGAGGGGAAAGAAGCGGTGCGGCTAGGCACTTCAGGATCGTGCCTTCTTAGTACTTTATACTGCTGGGGCTGGGGCGCGACGTTATGCACGCACCTGGCCTCGTACTCTACGGCGTATTTCCTTGAAGCAGGAGGATTAATTGAATCATGGACCGGTAATGAAAAGTTCAGCTTGCTAATGCGCGCTTTTATGTCAAGAACTCTTCTGCTCAGTCTTACTCCCAGCTCCAGAGAACATGCGATGTGAGTGGGCACTTCTAGCGGCCCCCCTTTTGTTCCCCCATGTTGCTACTTGATTCGGGGGTTTGGGTTGTGGCTGGTCTGTGCAGCCAGCCAAGCCCCTTTTCCATGCCCCTCCTAATTTTCAACTACACAGTACGTCCCATCCTGATGTAACTTCACCCTGCATATGATACCTCACCTACATCCATTACCCAGCAGGTCTTGGGCGAAAGGCCACTGCATCGCTCTCGCGACTCTGGCCATCCATACCGACAAGAACCGATTGCAGGAGCCCACCTTTTCTCAATCTCGGAGCCCTCCTGCAGGTTCGATCTCGTGATCCCGAGCATCTGCCTGTTGGCTGTCAATAGCATGTGGGAGCAGGGAAAAACACCCCACGAAGGGCAACCAACATGTCCAACGAACCGCAAGATCAAAACGTGGGCGAGTGAAATGTGACAGAGTCAAAGCCCTTGATTCACTCGTCTTCAGAATATCAACTCGCAAATCTCACAATGTCTTCTTGCCCTGGAAACAGATGACCTACCATATCGCTATGACAGTCTCTGATCGACTCTGTCAGCGAGGCAGCCAGCCCTGGCGGTAGCAGGATGTCAACTTTGCCACCCTTCCCGTGTTCTCCGCGGCTACAATGACACGTCAAACCCCCTTTGGCTGCGTGCTTTTGACGGGGACAATCGTCCCCTCCGACCCTGGGGGATGCGGCACTAACCATGACTCTGCAAAAGAAGATCATTGCCATTGAGGGTAGACCGATTCGCACGACGGAACCCTATGTGTGTTCTTCAAAACGGTCGGTCGCAATTCGATAAGGTTGCAGGGCTCGAGGTCCGTACCAGAACCCAGTATCTTGAGGGGCCTCCACAAGTGGCACATAATCTGTATGGATACATATGCACCACGTATGAGCTCCTGAGCATCCAGACCTGGATTCCACCAGCGCCGCGACTCATACATCATCTGTCCAAAACATCAACGAAAGTAGATCGCGAGATTTCCAAAGTCGATATGCGGTTCCTTTGCCTGCATGGAAGGGGCACCAATGCGAAGGTATACCCTCATATCTCTCGCTGCACAGCGTCTCACCATGCATGTCTTTGCCATAGCCAGCTAATCAACGGTGACCAGATCTTCGAGATGCAGACAGGTAACAACATACCCGTGGTCGTGTAGGCGAAGTCCGATGTTATCAGGAAGGTCGCTGACCGCGTAGCCAGCGAAGATCCGGGAGGCTCTTGACGATCATGAATTCGTGTTCATCGATGGCACTATAAACACAGTGCCCGCTGAAGGTCTGACTGTGCTTACCCTTAGAAAACACACCATCTCAGACTCTGACTGTCAGCAGGAGTTTCCGCTATAACCGATGAATTCTATGGACACTTCGAAGAGGAAGTCACTGCCAGCAACATCCAAGAGCTTGTGCTCAACATGGTCGAGTTTGTTGAGGCCAATGGTCCATTTGATGCTGTCATGGGCTTCTCTGAGGGGGGAATTATCGCGGCCATGCTTTTGATCGAAGACTCGCGACAGTCTTTCGCGGGATTCAAATGTGGCATCTTCTTCAGTGCCGCCCCGCCTCTGGACCCAGATGTGGTTCGCGGTGGGATCCTTCGATGCGTCGATCCGGACAGGGACGGGATTCTGATTCAAGTGCCAACAGCCCACATTGGTGGGTCAAATGAGTCCCTTGAACGGCTAAGCGCACTTTCGCCGTTGGCTCCGCTTTGGTCTAAGACTCCGGTACTTCTGCGTGATGCCCTGGTCCGACTCTGCGACGACGACCATCGCCAAGTATTCCTCCATAGCCGAGGCCACGATATCCCTGGAGCGAACTCCCCTAAAGAATTGTCGGGGGTTCTTCGCGCGATAGAGCGGACTATCGACAGTGCCAGTGCCCATTCCGCCTAGGTCGACAGTAATCTGCTCTTGGCCCGAGCCGTGGCGACATCGGTAAGGTACCACGCAGAGTACAATGGAGCTGGAGGATCTCCCCCCAAGTACTTTTGAGGATCTCGGCTGGGGGCGAAGGCTACGACGTTCCGTCTGCGAGGTTCCGTTTCCGTATATGACGTGTATAAGCTTTTCAAAGGCAGGGAAGGAATCTGGCCCCTGGTATCACGGGCCTCAGAGCGGGCGAGCGATTCGTGACGAGGTTGTCCTCGGCCGATTCGAGACTCAGCACGGCTTATTCACAGGCGGTGTGACAATGGATCCTCCTCCACGGAGCAATTAGGATATTCTTGACTCATATAAAGTGGTTGGCTTACAGATAATCCTCTTGACAGATGTCTTCCTTTTTTCTGTGTTGTGTGTTGGAAGAGAACAAACATGGGTTCCATCACTGAGACATCACTCCCCGAGGCAGAGCTCGGGCTCCAAGCAGCAGATGACATCGCCGTCGTTGGGTACTCTTTCAAACTTCCCCAGGGTACAGACGATGATTACAGTTTCTGGGAAGTTCTCCAGGACCGTCGGAACCTTTCAACAGAATGGCCTGCCTCCCGTATCAATATTGATTCCTTTCTGGATGGCAAGAGCCATACCGTACGTCCCGACTTGTCTCACATTGTAGAATCATATGCTCACAAGTTCATCAGTTCAATGGCCGCCGAGGGCACTTCATCGATGACGATGTCGCTGCCTTTGACGCTCCTTTCTTTTCTGTGACCTCAAAAGAGGCCAAGGCCATGGACCCAATGCAGCGATGGACACTCGAGGCATCTTACAGAGCTTTCGAAAAAGGCGAGAAATAAAACCTGCTACACCATTCAAGACAACACTAGATGAAATGCTGACTGCAATACTTGTTGCAGCGGGTATCCCAGTCGAAAGCCTCAAAGGCTCTCGTACTGCCGTTTTCTCTGCCTCCATGCTGGAAGATTACATGAGAATGTCGGCCATGGACCCTGACAATGCAGAGAGAACGGCTGTCACCGGATGCACGGTTGCGTGCGTGATACCAAACCGGGTCAGCTGGTACTTTGACCTGCAGGGTCCAAGCATACATTGCAACACGGCCTGCTCAAGCAGTCTGTCGACTGTCGATATGGCGTGCAAAAGTATAAAGGCAGGGGACGCGACATGTGTGAGTAGCAAAGCGCCTGTTGGAGACCAGCTCCGGTGTTGGCGCCTTACTTACACTGCGAACAGGCACTTGTCACTGGCTCCAACCTGCTTCTGGACCCAGCAATTTTCCAATTGTTGTCAGACCAAAAGTTCCTGTCCCCGGATGGCGTGTGTTACAGCTTCGACCACCGAGCGAACGGCTACGCAAGGGGGGAGGGCATTGTTGCTCTCGTGCTCAAGCCTGTCAGTGCCGCTGTACAGGATGGTGACATGATCAGAGCAGTCATTAGATCAATAGGCTCGAACCAGGATGGGCGCAGCCCAGTGCTGACCCAGCCGAGCCCTCAAGCCCAGGAGGATCTGATCCGCCATGTTTACAAGCAAGCGGGCCTCTCGTTGAATGAGACTCGCTACGTCGAGGCACACGGCAAGTAGACCGTTGCCTCCATCCCGCGCGAATAGAGCTAACGACCCAGTTCCCAGGAACCGGTACGCCAGTGGGTGACCCGATTGAGATGAAAGCCATAGGCCGAGTCTTCCGGAAGGCTCGATCAGCCGAGGAGCCCCTTTATGTGTGGGTAGCCGGCCGCTCCTAGCTTGAGGTGTCCCACAGAAGTTCACCGGCTGACAATCTTGCAGTGGATCCGTCAAAGCAAACATCGGTCATCTCGAAGGAGCTAGTGCTCTAGCTAGCATGGTCAAGTCCATTTGTGAGTTCTCCCAAGCACTGCTCTCCAGAGTCTCGGGAAAGGGAAGCGGCTGACAGCTCCCGATGCGTCACGATAGTGATTTTAGAGAAAGGCGTCATCCCGCCAAATGCACTTTTTGAAAAGATCAACCCGGATATAGATGTTGACTTTTACCACACCGAGGTACGCAGACAAAAGACCGGCAGATCCAGACGTTGGCTAATGTGCAGTCAAGGTCCCAACCGAATGCGTCGCGTGGCCCGCGTCTGGGCTACGTCGGGTGTCTGTTAACTCATTCGGCTTTGGTGGTTCCAATACGCATGTCGTCCTAGACGATGCATATCACTACCTGAGAGATCGGCGCCTTTCAGGAAATCACTGCACATCTCCCGTTCCCGGAACTTCAGCTCGCCAGCCTTTGACCAATGGGAATGGCACAAGCCATACCGACGCTGTGGTAAACGGCAACGGCAAAGCCAACGGCAACGGCACGGCCCATCTTTTGAATGGATCGTCCGCGGGTCACCAACTCAATGGAGCCAACGGCAATGGATCCACAACAGAAGTACCTGTCAACGGCCTAGGAGCGGCACAGGGGATCGGCAGCCTGCCCAGAATGATGGTCTGGACCGCCGCTGACGAGAATGCAGTGAAGCGGACGGTGGGCGTCTATCAGAAGTATTACCGAGAAAGAGTCTCGGGAAATCCCGAGAAACTCGACAGACTGGCACACACTCTTGCTTCTCGCCGGAGTCAGATGCTATGGCGGACCTATGCCATTGTCGCAGATGGACCGGAAATCCAGGGAGATAAGGCCCTTGCGCCGGTCAAACCGGTTCGAAGCTCAGCAGAAGCTGGGTTGGCCTTCGTTTTCACTGGGCAGGGCGCCCAATATGCTGGTATGAGCTTCCTGTGCAACATCGCGAACTACTCCCTGCGCCAGCTTGTCCTTGCACATGGGAACCAAAGCTGACTTCTCTTCCTGCAGATATGGGACACGACCTCATTCAGTATCCTGTCTTTGCTGACGCTTTACGGCGTATCGATGATGTATACGCTGATCTGGGATGCACATGGTCCATTTTCGGTACGATGATCCAACCCTCGAAGTGGTTGAGCATGAGCTGACATATTTCATTGGTTGCCAGATGAGTTACGCCGTAGCGAAAACATTAACAAGCCTGAATATGCACAGCCGTTGTCCACGGCCATACAATTAGCCCTGGTTGAGCTCTTGAAGAGCTTCGGAGTAAACCCCAAGGCCGTGATCGGTCACTCGTCGGGAGAAATTGCTGCTGCGTAAGTGCATGACAATCTCGGTCACTTAAATCATCACCTGTGCGTATGTACTAACGTCGACTGCAGCTATGCTACCGGTGCATTATCCTTGGTCTCAGCCTGCAAAGTATCGTATTACCGAGGGCATCTTGCTGGAAAACTAAGAAGTGCAAATGCCTCATGCCCGGGCGCGATGATATCTATAAATCTCGCCGAAGGTCAAGTTCCCACGTTTTTAGAAAACATCAAGGCGACAGATGTCTGCGTGGCTTGCATCAACAGCCCGCTGAATTGTACCCTGTCCGGCCCTGAAGCGTCCATTGACGCGGTCAAGGCTGAAGCGGACAAGACAGGTATCTTTGCGCAGAAGCTCAAGACTGGCGTTGCGTACCACTCACCGTCGATGCTGGCCATCGCCGACGAGTACTTGTCACTTATGGGCAATCTCGAGGGCGCGGGACGACAGGACGCGAAGACCAGGGCTGCGATCCCGGTGGTCTCGTCCGTCACTGGGAGGTCTATCCGCCCGGCAGAGTTGGCTAAGGGCCAGTACTGGGTAGACAACATGGTTTCTCCAGTGCGCTTCGCCGATGCAGTCCAGGTTTTGACGCAAGAGTCAGCCAAGCTCAAGGTTGGTCTGGGGAACATCACCGATCTTGTCGAGGTTGGCCCGCACCCAGCCTTGAAACGACCCATTTCAGATACTATCAACCAGGAGGGCAATCGCAAGAAGCAAATACGATATTCGAGCGCGCTGCACCGGTCACAACCACCAATCCAGACTACGCTTGAGCTCGTGGGCCAACTATTCTGCTATGGTCATTCTGTTTCGGTCTCGGCGGTCAACCAGCATTCAACAGAGAGGAGTCCTGCGTTCCTAGTCGACTGCCCCGAATATCCATTCGACCACTCCAACAAGTATTGGGCAGAGTCACGAATCTCTCGCGACTACAGACTGCGCGGAACAGTGAAAGGGGAAACTCTGGGTGTCCGCGTCTCAGACTGGAACGAGCTGGAGCCTCGATGGAGGAACTTCCTGAGCATCGATTCCATCCCATTCGTTGGCCACCATATGATCAGCGACACCGTGGTATATCCAGCAGCAGGGATGCTCATAATGGCCATCGAGGCTGTCCAGCAAATGGTGCCAGCCGATCGCGTTGTTGCAGGCTACTTTGTAAAGGAAGCGACCTTTATCAGCCCCATTATCATAGAGGAGACTTGGGAGGACCGCACAGAAACGTCACTCACCTTGCGGCCTGTTGGGCAGCAGGGTGATAACTCGACGCAGTTCGAGACGACCATATTCTCTTACCGCAACGGCCAGTGGACGGAGTGTTCACGTGCCACAATCAAGGTCGACTATGCTGAATCGGTCACAGCGGATGACGTTGAAGACGAGAGGCGTTTGGCTCAGGAAGACGTGAAAAGGCAGCACAAGCTGATAACACAGTCTTGCGACAAGCCTGTCGACTCGAACGTACATTACAGCTACGCCTCTGAGCAGGGACTCCAGTATGGCGATTGGTTCTCTATCCTGCAGGACATCCGCTGGGATAACAAGCTGAACGCGGTGGGACGTGTCGATGTATCCAAGAAGAGATACCAGACCGGCAGCCTGGTACATCCAGCTGTCCTCGACACAGCCTTTCACATACTGCGAGTAAGTGCTGGGTCCCAGCCTGCAGCAAACGTGCCCGTCCGCCTGGAGGACGCCTGGTTTGCATCTTCCGGCTGGCAGCATCCACAGACGAATTTTGTGCAGTGGCTGGCCACTTCCAACTCGGCTCCGAACGGAGAAGTCGGCCGCGGCGAGCAGGGTAAGCTCCACGCTCTGTCGGACGATGGCAAAGTTCTGTGCACCATCCAGAAGGCTGTGACGGCTGCCGTCACTACGGGCGCCCAAGAAAAGGAGACAAAGCTGCTGTACGGCGTTGAGTGGAAGCCGCAGCTGAGCCTGCTCGAGCCCAAGCAGTTGTCTGCAGCCTGTCGCGCAGACTCATACACTAGGGATGAGACCGTCGTCCTGGCAAACCATGCGAAGATGTGCTCTGCCCTGGACCTCGCAGCTGCCCGGACACTGAAAGTTGTCGACCATGCTAAAGTACCTGAGGGTTTAGTCAAGCATGTTGAGTGGATGCAACACCATGTCAGTACCAACATGTCGCCGGAGGCCCGACAAGAAGCGGAGACCCTCAGCGACTCTGAAGTCGAGGCTCGTTTATCGGAAGTTGACAACGTTCTGCCGGCGTGGAAGCTCTACACAGAGTGCGCGAGGAAACTCCCAGAGATGCTGGCTGGCGACCTTGACCCGCTGCAAGTTGTCTTCGGCTCGGACCTCGCCAGTATCTTCTACGAGGACCTTTTCCTCAACTTGTGCTCTGATGGCCGACTCGGTCGACTTTTGGATCTGGCTTCGCACGAGAACCCAGCGCTGCGGTTCTTGGAGGTGGGAGCAGGAACCGGTGGTATGACAGGCCATATCATCAAGGCTCTTCAGGAGCGTGAGGCGCGCACTGGATCACCAAGCTTTTCTGAGTACACGTACACGGATATATCTCCCGCCTTCTTCGAGCGTGCAAAGAGCCGCTGGCCCGATCTGCAAGACCGCATGACCTTCAAGACTCTCGATCTCGACCGTTCCGTCGACAGTCAGGGTTTCGAGGCCGGCTCGTACGATTACATCGTCGCTGCCAGTGTTCTGCACGCCACGCCACATCTAGAGGAGAACATCCGAAGCATCTGCAAGGCACTCAAGCCAGGCGGTCGCCTCATCCTGCTCGAGGTTATCAACCCTGATGACATTGCCACCAACTTCATGGCTGGTCTCGTACCGGGCTGGTGGGTCGCTCGCGAGGAATGGCGCCCTCATTCTGCAGCCATTCCCGAGGATCTCTGGAATAAGTGTCTGCGGGAGAACGGCTTCTCTGGGAATGATGTTGTGATCCGCGATTATGAGAACGATAAGTGTCACATTATGAGCATTATTATTTCCACAGCCGCGGGACAACCAGCAGATGTGCAAGAAAATCCAGCCGAGTCTGGCAAGATTGTCTTCGTCGTTGATGACCAGGAGCAAGACCAACAGCAAGAGCTGATAGGCTCGGTTCGTGGCAAGGTTGGTCTCACAAAAGACCAGCAAGCAATCGTGTGTCCTTTCACTCTGGGTGGCCTGGAAAAGGCTCTCCCTGACTTGACTGAGCACGACACTGTCGTCTGTCTCGCAGAAGCCAACAAGCCCCTTCTGGCCAATCTGACCGAAGAGGCTTTCAAGACTCTGCAGTACCTCATCAACCACGCGCGAAACCTTCTCTGGGTCACAAGCACGAGTACAGAGGACTCACAATACCCCGACTACAGCATCATGCAGGGCTTCTTCCGCACCATCCGCGCTGAGCAGTCTGATAGCCACATCGTGACGCTCGCAATCGAGGGGAAGTCCGACACGGCAACACGCGCGGACTTCACCCAGAAGGTCTTCCAGAGCTCTTTTGGCCCGCAGCCCTCCGCAGAGCTAGAGTATGTTGTCAGTGATGGGCTTCTCACTACTGGCCGAGCTGTCGAAGACGTATCTGGGAACAATACGCTGCGGTCCCTGCTGTCCCGGCAACTGCAGCACAGGCCGTGGACCGAGGGCCCGGCCCTGCAGCTGTCTATCGGTAGTCTTGGAAACCTCGATACCTTACGGTTCGTGGAGGATGTCACACACGAGACTGAGCTCGGCCCACTTGAAGTCGAAATCGACGCCAAGGCGTGGGGTCTCGTACCTCAAGACCTGCAGGCTGCCTTGGGACGCCTGGAAGGTGATGATGGTCTGCTTGGTGGTGACTGTGCGGGTGTTGTTGTCAAAGTGGGCCGTGACTGTGACACCTCGATCAAGCCTGGCGACCGTGTCTGGATGATGGCACCCGCCTGTACTCGCCAGTTCCCCCGTGCCGACGCCAAGAACGTGTTCAAGATCCCAGACTCCATGACGTTTGAGGCTGTCACTTCTATCTGTGTCCCAACAATGACAGCTTACCAGGCGCTCGTCGAGATAGGCAGGCTGGAGGAAGGGGACCGGGTTCTGGTCCACTCCGCTGCTGACATCATGGGGCAGGTGGCTGTCCAGATCGCGAAAATACAAGGCGCAGAGGTCTTTGCTACAGCCGCAACTCCTGAAAAGAGGCAGTTCCTCACGGAGAAGCTAAGCATCTCCAAGGACCACATTTTCTCTAGCACAACTGGCCAGTTTGCTCAGGGAGTGATGCGTATCACGGGAGGAGAAGGCGTCGACGCCGTTTACAACTCGCTGCCTGGAGATGATGCGATGAGGGCGTCTTGTGAATGCATGGCCCGCGGCGGTCGGCTCATCCAGATTGACCGCACCAACATCAGCGCTAATACGACCTTGCCGGCGGCCCTGTTGGCTAGAAACATCTCGTTCTCGGCCGTTGACGTAACTGACTTGAGCACCAAGGTTGCCAGCAGGCTTTTGAAGAAGACAACGCAATTGCTAGAGGATGGCAAGATCCAGCAGCTACAGCCTGTGCGAGTCTTCAATGCGTCTGAGATCGAGGAGGCATTCAAGGAATTACAGAGTGGCAGCAGCTTGGGTCGCGTTATTGTCGCTCCCAAGCCCGAAGACGCAGTCCCGGTAAGTTTATCCAGGCCGCAACTACAGGCCCCAAAACATCAAAGCGCATATATATACTGATACACCCTTTAGCAATTCACCCAAGAAAGACGAGCTTGGACGTTCGACGAGAATGCATCATACCTGATTGCTGGAGGGTCCGGTGGTCTGGGCCGAGCCATCTTGAACTGGATGGCCGACCGAGGAGCAAAGCACTTTATTGTGCCCTCTCGGTCAGGCGCCTCATCCAAGGCCGCCGCCGACATGATCGCACAGCTACAAGCCCGCGGTGTCACCGTCGTTGCACCCAAGTGTGACGTGTCTGACGCAGCCAGCCTCGGCAGTCTCCTGGACGAGTGCTCGAAGACCATGCCGCCGATCAAGGGCTGCATCAACGGGGCCATGGTACTACAAGACGCCATCATGGCGAACATGACATTTGCTCAGTGGGAACTCACCATGAAGTCCAAGGTACAGACCTCGTGGAACCTACACCGGCTCCTCCCCAAGGACATGGACTTCTTCATCCTCCTCGCCTCTCTTGCTGGAGTGGCCGGCCAGATGGCCTCTGCCAACTACGCAGGAGGCTGCACGTTCCAGGATGCACTGGCCCGCCACCGCGTCGCCCAGGGCCAGCGAGCCATCTCGCTGGACATCGGATGGATGCGCAACGTAGGCATCATCGCGGAGAACTCCGGGTACCAGCGCCAGCGGCAATCGCTCAATGACATGAACCCGATTGACGACACCGAGCTGCTCGCGGTGCTGGCCCTCGCCTGCGACCCGGAGAACCCGCTGCCGACGCCGACGGCGCCCCGCGCCCCGGGTCAGGTCCTCTTCGGGCTGCGCACGCCCGCCGAGAACATGCTCCAGGGCCTCGAGTCCCCGGCGGTGCTAGACCGGCCGCTGTTCGCGGGCTTCTCGTTCATCCCCGGCGGCGGCTCGCAAGCCACGGGAGGAGGGGGCCAGTCCTCGGCGGCGGCGGCGGACCAGGGCGCGGGCTTGCTGTTCCGGCAGGCGGGCGACTCGGGCGAGAGGGTGCAGGTGGTGCTGCGGGCGCTGTCGGCGAAGCTTGCGCGGGCCATGTCCATCTCGCCCGAGGACGTGGAGCCGGGCAAGGCGCTGTCGGCGTACGGAGTGGACTCGCTGATGGCGGTGGAGCTCAGGAACTGGATCGGGCGGGAGTTCGGCGCCGCTGTGGCTGTGTTTGACATCATGGGCGGTGTGCCGATTGCGAGCGTCGCCGACCTGGTCACTGCGAGGAGTGGAGCGGTGGATAAATAAGGGCTAGATTGAGATTGGGAGTCTCGGGGCGTGGGAGCTGGGATGTTGCAGGGTTTTTGGTGGGATCACCTGGGAATTATCTGGGAAGTATCTGCACGTTTTCTGGGGAACCTTTTATTCATGGGCACTTTGTGTGTGTGATAAATATATACACAAATTTATAAAAGTAGCCACTCTCATCTCCCAGGCGCGCATCCTATTGTGGGCGTCCTACATAGTACACGGTCAGTGTCGTCCAACCTCAGCTGCAGGATGCACACCAGACTACACTGCTTTCAGCAGAAACCTCAAACTACAGCACGGGTACCCGCCATCTAGACTGCTTGGCCCGTGATGGATATGTCGTATTGTAAGCGTCAATGTATGTGGATGGGGCAAGGCTGGTGGAACATGGCGCCACCGAGGGGAGGGGGGGGCTTTTTGGCATGGACGGTTTGATGAATCTCTGCCGGTCGAGCCGGATCGTCGTGGTCTCCTCCTCGCATAGGGGAATTTTTTCGAAGTGGGCGCTGGTAGGGCGAGGGCACGGTGACAGTGACAGGTCCCTTTTTGTTCTCTCTATCTGTCTCCTCGTCTCTCCAGGATTTAATCTGATAAAAGAAGATTTCATGCCTGGGCTGGCTCATGCTGCCGATATCTGCGAGGGTATATAGACCATATAGGCAAATTCAGGCAGGCTGTGTGATTCGCCATGGCGGGAACAGACAGACGGGCGGACGGTTTCACGAAACGGGCACCAGTTGAAGGCTGAGCTGAAGGCGAGGGAGCCCACACAACGGCTGCGCGGCAGGGGTAAAGATTTGGTTTCCGCGCTAGCATCTGACACAGACTGACACACTGAGACACGAGCAGACAAGGCACGCTCTGACCCACCCGCATGCAGGGGATGCGAGATGCGATTGGGAACCACCCGGGGCTGCTGGGGGAACCTGGGAATTCCTGCACTGCTCCTGCCCATGACCAAGGGACCCACGCCTTTTCCAACATGTGAAGCGAAAGGGGACTTGCTCGAGATTCCTTGGTGCCGAACCTCGAGAAACCCGCCAGACTTCCAGACAGCAGACGAGGCATCGCGATACGACATACCACCAAAAACACAAAGAAAGGACAACAACCGAGCAGATCCCCCACACACCCCCAACATCCCTCCGCCGAACAGTCTGACTACCTACCCGCATCGCCGCCCTCTCGGTGTCAGCAATCAATCGACCTGCCCATTTCATCCGACTCTATTGGGCACAACCACCACAGCACGACTCTTTAGTCCTCGTCTCGACTACGCCAAGGTTCAGCTGGACTAGCCCTCTCGAGTCGACCTTTTTGGCCCCCCCCCCCCCCCCAACCTAACACGCCAGCCCACCAACTCACCACCAACACAGCTACCATTGAGCAGCTTCCACCGGCTACCCGACTTACTTTTGTCTCTCTCTATCACGAGCTCTTCCGGCCAGGCCATGTCCGCGCCTTGATTGCGGCCACCTACGAACCGAGAGCGCTGAACGCGCATCTCGAGCCCTTGTGATTGATCCAGTCGCTGCCCACTCCCACTGCAGCAATTGGCCAGTCACCAACATTCTCCTCTCTCGCCCTAGACACCTCCCCTTCGCCTCCTGCCTCGAACCACCATGGCGGACCCCTCGAGATCCCCTCCGTCGCAACGGAACAGAGCGCCCCCGCCGTCGTCGATACCCTTAGACGGCCTCGGTGGCCCGCCTGGCGAATATGGGAGAGGCAGGTCCACTTCCGGCGCTGGAGGTGCGCAGACATATGGGGCGCAGGCACAGTCACAGACGCAGCCACAACGCTACGAGAGGTTATCGCCAACCACGGCCCAGATGGCCGCAACCTTACCCGGCATAACGACGTACTGGGACAACCCATACCAGCAGCAACAACAGCAGCAGGGACCACTGCAACAACCACAGCAGCAACAGTCGAGGCAGGCAGGGCTGCAGCTTGGGGCCGAGTCACCTGTGGATCCTACCGCATTTCAGTATGCCCTCCCACCGGACTTCTCTAACGAGCAGCTGTCGCCGCGTCCGCTCTCAGAGATCGGCTCTACTCCGAACGCGGCCTACGAGGCCCCATCCTACTTCGATGACCACAACGCCCAAGAGTCGGACAGGGTACCTCTCACACAGACTGCCCAGCCAATCGATGGTCTTAGTGTTGCCGGCGATGCACAGCCACGGGACAGCTTCCAGACGGTGCGGGATCTAGATACTGGCCCGAGCCAGGTGCGCAATTCGGACAGGCTTGGCTTCGATCTGGAGTCTGGGATCGGCTCCCAGAAGCACAAGAGTTTCGGGAAGAACCTGACGCCCGACGCGAACCGACGGTCGCGCTCGCCCTCGACATCAGGCGCGCTCCTCAAGGCCGGCTCCATCATGCGAGCCATGTCCCAGCGTGTCGTGAACATCAGTGGTGACGAGGTTCTCGAGAACCAGAAACGCCGTGATCGATCCCGTTCGCCAAGTCGAGATGGTCCGCGCGAGTCTATGCCCCAGGTGCCTGAGGTCGACACTTCGTATCACTCGCAGCTCTACCAGAATCAGAGCCCCATCGAGAAGAAGGGACAGGCGGAATACATATTTCCCTCGGATCCTGGCCCTCTATCCCCGGTGCCCTCGATACACGGCCGTATGGCCAACCCTTTGAAAGGAAAGACCTTGGGTATATTCTCTCCTGACAACCCAATACGAACGCGCCTCTGTGACATTCTGGTGCAGCCGTGGACAGAGCCCCTGCTTCTGATCTTGATTGTGCTCCAAATGATCCTCCTATGCGTTGAGGCAGCACCAAATGTCTTTGATGACGGCGAGGGCAGGCCAGACAGATGGGGTAGTACCTCGATCGACTGGGCCATATTCTGCCTGTTTGTTATTTTCACTGTAGAACTGATTGCCAGGATTATCGTTTCTGGCTTCGTGCTCAATGCTGCCGAGTACAGCACCATTGACCGCAAACGCGGCGTCAAGGCGGCTGTTGTGGACAGGTATCGGACCGTCTTTCAACCTCAAAGGCAAAAGTCGGTCAGGAAGCCACCACAAGACTATGGCCCGTCAACGTTCTCACGCTCGGTCACGTTCTTGCATGGTCATTCACTCCCTCAGACTATAGAGGAGCAGCAGAGGTATCAGCTGGCCCGACGAGCTTTCTTGCGCCATGGTTTCAACCGACTCGACTTTGTTGCTGTCGTATCATTTTGGATATCTTTTGTGATCGGGATAACGGGCGCCGAGAAACGACACCATCTCTACGTGTTCAGAATGCTTAGCTGTCTCCGCATCGTGAGACTGTTGGCACTGACCAAGGGTAATGCGGTAAGTTGTCCCTGGATCACGGGGGAAGTTAAATTACTCACATGTGAGAACAGGTCATTCTGCGAAGTCTGAAAAGAGCAGCACCATTACTGCTGCGAGTCTCGTTCCTGATCGGCTTCTTCTGGTTGGTCTTTGCCATTATTGGCGTGCAAAGTTTCCAAGGCAGTCTTAGCCGACAGTGTACCTGGATTGACCCAGAGGACCCGCTGAACATCAGTGCGGCGTTTGTCAACGACTTCCAATTCTGTGGTGGCTACAAGAACTTGACTACTGGCGAAGACTTGCCATGGGTCATTGCTGATCCGCCTGACAACCTGAGCAACCTCAGTCCCGGCACAGGTAGCGCTAAGGGCTACATTTGTCCCAGGGGGTCGCTCTGTCTCCAGCAGGGAAATCCGTACAACGACAGCATGCACTTCGACGACATTCTGCACTCACTCGAGATGGTTTTCGTCGTCATGAGTGCGAACACGTTCTCCGACCTGATGTACTACACGATCGATTCAGATTATACGCCAGCGGCCCTCTTCTTTGGCGCTGGAATCATGATAATGCTGCTATGGCTGGTCAACTTGCTCATTGCTGTCATCACATCATCATTCCAGGTCATCCGCGAAGAAAGCAGGGCCAGTGCCTTTACCGATACTGAGGACAAATTCGTGGACGGCCCTGCGGAGGAGCCGCCCAAGCGGATATCTTCCCTACAGCGGATTTACAACAAGTCCAGGTTATTCTGGGTCCTGTGTATCGCTTTTGACTTGCTTGCGCAGGCGTGGAAGAGCGCCTCAATGTCGGATGACCGCAGGGCTTTCATCGACAATGTCGAGATTATAGTGACGCTTCTACTCGACATCGAAATCATCATACGACTCGTTGCAGACTTCAGAGGGTTTCGTCGCAGCACTCGGAACCTCGTGGATCTAGGGCTTGCCGTCATCACATCCGTCATCCTGCTTCCTCCTATCCACGATGCGGGGGTAGTTTACGCCTGGTTGACGGTGTTCCAGATAATGAGGGCCTACCGAGTTGTTCTTGCGGTGCCGATGACCAGAGACCTGATTGTGCTAGTGTTGGGCGATGCCACGGGTATCAGCAACCTGATGCTGTTCGTCTACCTGATTACGCTTCTCATGGCAGTTTTCGCCTCACAGCTGTTCCGCGGAGAGATCCCCTTGGAGGACTCCGGCGGTGACAACATCAACATGAACTTTTCGACAATCTGGAATTCGTTCCAGGCCATGTTCCAAATCCTTTCCAGCGAGAACTGGACGACTGTTCTGTACACGGTGACCGGCTACACGAATGGCCGGCACACTGCGTGGATTGGGGCCATGTTCCTCATCGGATGGTTTATCTTAGCCTTCTTCATTCTCATCAACATGTTCATTGCTGTCATTCAAGAAAACTTCGACGTTGGCGAGGATGTCAAGCGGCTTGAGCAAGTCCGAGCATTCTTGCAGCGGAAAGAACTGGGAGGCAGTTCAAGTAATCTCGCCCTTTCGACCATCTTCTCCCTCGGCAAAACCAGGAAGAAGAAGGACCCTCTGGATTACGGCCCGGCCACCATGGAAATGTTGCTTAAGGAGGCTGTTGTCAAGGACTTCCTCGACGACGCAGTCGAGACTGCGCAGGAGACACCCGGCAGCGGGAGCCAATCACCCCCAGAAGCCGCCAATGGAAAAGCCGGTAATGTGAAGCCTGGTTTCATGTCTATGATGTGGGGCAAAGTGGTTACGGCGTTCAGCAGCAAAGATCCAAACCCGTTCTACTCCAACCTCGCCTTCGAAAATCGCAACGAGACCCAGGACCCGCGCCAGATGGCTCGTCAAGCTGTCTCCGCCACCGCTGAGCGTCGCAAGGCGCAGCGCGCGTATCTGGCTCGACACCCGACTTACAACAACTCCTTGTTCATATTCACGCCACGGAACCCTATTCGGCGCCTTTGTCAGCGAATCGTTGGCCCCGGACGGGGGACTGAGCGTTTCGATGGTGTAGAGCCTCACAAGATCGCGTGGTACTCGTTTTCGGCCTTCATCTATGCCGCGATTGTCGCCATGGTGATTCTGGCCTGTGTGACCACGCCCCTGTACCAGAAGGAATATTTCAAAACCCATGAGTTCAGCGTTGAGAACTGGTTTGTCTGGACTGACATGGCCTTCGCCACCCTGTTCAGCGCAGAAGCTCTCATCAAGGTCATCGCAGATGGGTTCTTCTGGACCCCGAACGCCTATTTCCGCAGCTCCTGGGGAATCATCGACGCTGTTGTCTTGATTACTCTCTGGATCAACGTCATCACGCTCTTCACAAATGACGGGGCCGTGTCTCGAGCTGTCGGTGCCTTCAAGGCCCTGAGAGCTCTGCGGCTGCTCAACGTCAGTGACAGCGCCCGGGACACATTCCACTCGTTGATTGTGATCGGATGGTGGAAGATTGCCAGCGCGGCCTTCGTGTCGCTTTCGCTGATTATCCCATTCGCAATCTACGGGACCAACTTGTTCATGGGCAAATTCGTGACGTGCAACGACGACAGCGCAGGCGAGTTGCTCCTCGACTGCTTCGGTGAATACAACAGCAGTCCATTTAATTGGGATGTGCTGGCCCCCCGCGTGGCCGACAACCCCTTCTTCAGCTTCGACGACTTTGGCTCCTCTCTATTCATTCTCTTCCAGATTGTGAGTCAAGAGGGATGGATTGATGTCTCGTTCGGGGCACAGTCCATTACAGGGGTCGGCAAGCAGCCACAGTTTGGCGTTGCGCAGGGCAATGCCGTGTTCTTCATTATCTACAACCTCTTGGGCACAGTTTTCGTGCTCACGCTGTTCATCTCGGTCTTCATGCGAAACTACACGGAGCAGACTGGCGTGGCATATCTGACCACTGAGCAACGGTCGTGGCTCGAGTTGCGCAAACGTCTCCGCCAGATATCCCCTTCTAAGACGTCTTATGATGACTCTAAACAGAATTGGAAGAAATGGTGTCACAAGCGCGCGATCGAGAAGAAAGGCAAATGGTACACCAGCATCACTATCGTGCTGGGTCTGCACCTGCTACTGCTGCTCGTCGAGTTCTATCAGGAGCCCCTCTGGTGGACCAACACGAGAGACGCGATATTCTTCTTGTTCACCCTGGTCTACATGGCGAACACTGGGATTCGTGTCATTGGTCTGGGCTGGCCCCGTTTCAGGAAGAGTTCTTGGGACATGTACTCCTTGGTCGTTGTGTTCGGCGCTTTTGCGACCACGATCCTCTTCCTCATCAGGCCCCAGGAAGACACTTTCGTGCAGCTGCACAAGTTCTTCCTCGTCGCCATTGTGTTCCTGCTCATCCCCCGCAATGACGCTCTGGACCAGCTCTTCAAAACGGCAGCAGCTAGTCTGACGACCATTGGTAATCTGTTGGCAACCTGGCTTGTCTTCTTCCTGGTCTTTGCCATCGCCCTGACGCAGACGTTCAGCTTGACGCGGTTCGGCGGCGAGGAGACCACTCAGGTCAACTTCCGCACGGTACCGAACGCGCTCATCCTGCTATTCCGTATGTCTGTCGGCGAGGGCTGGAATGAGATCATGGAAGATTTCGCCTGTATCGAGCCGCCCCTGTGCGTTGAGAGCGAGAACTTCTACTTAAGCGACTGTGGCAGCGCTGCATGGGCCAGGGTGCTGTTCATATTGTGGAACATCCTCAGCATGTACATCTTCGTCAACTTGTTCGTGTCGCTCATTTACGAGAGTTTCTCGTATGTGTACCAGCGCTCAAGCGGGCTGTCTGCCGTCGACCGGGACGAGATTCGCCGCTTCAAGGAAGCCTGGAGATCGGTTGACCCCCACGGCACGGGACACATCAGCAAGGAAGCCTTCCCTCGCCTTCTGGGAGAGCTGTCGGGCGTGTTCGAGATGCGGATCTACTCACATGAGGACTCCGTGGGACAGATCCTTGATGATGTTGGAAACGATGTGCCATCGTCCCGCCACCAATCCATCTCATCTGCAAGCGCCTATGGTGGTGCCAATCTTCAGAAGTTGAACAACAGGCTGAACCAGATTGACATCGAAGCGGTGCGGGAGAGGCGCAGGAGGTACAACATCTTCTACGAAGAGGTCATGGTCTCGGCGGATCCAGACAAGGGCATCTCGTTTACTACAGTGCTCATGATTTTGGCTCACTACAACATTATCAACGACAGCAAGAGTCTTCGGTAAGTCACCCTACACGTGCAAAGTGTTGAGATTTGCCCAACTAACAACAACTACGTAATAGTCTTGAGGAATTCTTGCGCCGTCGGGCACGTCTCCAACGTGTCGAGGAGGAAGTCCGCCGTCGTGTGGTCGTCGGCTTTTTCGACACGATGTAAGTTATGCAGCGATGCTAACATGGTTGTGCTAAAATGCTAATATTTCCCCGATAGGTACTATGCACGACAGTTTAAGCGGCACATGGATCGCAAGAGGTCTGCACGTATGACGGCAATACCTCAGCTGGATCTGCCGGACATCCTTGTAGACGACGAAGAAGAGCGAGAAAAGAGGAAGACGTCCTCATCACTGCTACAGAACCCTTACGGGCCACAAAGCCCATCGACACCTGGCTCAGCGGGCCTGCGCTCGCCGGGCACGGGCGCCGCATTCCTGAGCCCTAACGAGGCCCGGAACAGCGGTGGCGCCGGCGGCGCAACCAGCCACCAGAAGACGTGGTCCGGAACGAGCGCGGACCTGACACTGCAGACCAACTTTGACAGCACGGGCGGCGTGCACCCGCTGAGCATGCCGCGGGCGGGAGAGGCCAGCTCTGCCAGGAGCGACGCGCACCAGTCGACGCACTCGGCCTTCAGCTTCGAGCTGCAGCCCGGCTCGGCCAACAGCTCGGCGGCCAACAGCAGGCGCAACAGCAGGAGCAACAGCGCCGTGAGCCCGATCCAGATGAGCCAGATCCTCGATGACTCCATCTGGATGGCGAGTATCAGGCGGAGCGCCACCATGAAGAGGAAACCGGGGTGGTAATCAAAATGACCAGCGGTGTGGTCACTGGAAGGAAGGTCAATGGGTCTAATGATTAGGGAGGCGATGGAGGGAGGGAGCAAGGAAGGGATACACTGGGAAATGGGACAAAGGAGAGGAGGCTGGCTACTATTACACGCCACTGCAAAAAATCTGGGCAGGCCACGCGCCCTTGCATTGCGAGAACAGGAACTACTACACTGGCGTTTCGACGGTTTGGAAACGGGGAAAGAAGTTCTCCTGGCGGCAGGCGTTTATCATCTTTTTTGTTATTGTCTCCCTAATCTTGTGTTTCGACTGAGCGAAGCGAAGCGAGCGTGCTGGTTGTCCATATCCCGCTCAGGGATGGTAACGTCGGTGGATCAAGTTGTACTGTAGATATCTGCATAGATACAGTGGATGGTGTGTTGAGAGGAAGGAATAGGTTCTTCGGAACGCAGTGGTAAACAATCAAGGAGGGAGCGTCAGGCTCCAAGATCGTGATCTCTCCCCCTACACCCACATCTGTAATCTGTGATGTATCTCAGCTGCCCTCTTCGGGAAGGCAACGCTTTTCGGTGTCCCTTTTTGATTTCCCCCGAATATACGCCGACGGCGATGGCCAGGGATTTCTGTCATCCACCTACAGCAGCAGGCAGTGAGTGAGTGAGTTCACGCCCGAGCGCGCGCCTGTTTGGGTTTTTCGCCATGACAAACAACAAAACTTGGCGAACGCCAATCCCGATCGGATCGAATCGGCTTTGTTTCGCTGGCTCTTGGTCCCTACTATAACAGTATGTTTTCCTGACACATGTACTTAAAGTTGTACAGCTTTGTCGCCCCTCGACTCGGTGAGGCTGGAGCGGGTCTATTTCCAGATACAGTGCCCCCGAGTGGCCGGCCGGGTGGCAAAACTTTTGTTTATTGGCAAGGCTTGTCTCGGCGGGGAGGAAACAGGGCCCAGTTCAGCCCTTATTCATCTATCTCACACCGTCGTCGGTGGGCTGGCGGGCGAGGGTGGATAAACTGACGAGCTTGGTAGTCTAGTTTAGTCCCTACCTGCGTACGTGATTTACGCGTGAACCAATTGTAAAGCGGCATGTAGGGACAGTACCGGCGGAAACGTAAGTCTGCCTCTCCCATGCCGAGCTGAGCCCGTCGACTCGCACGGGGGCCGGGGCGGGGCGGGGGCTGTTGTTCATGCGCTGTGCCCGGCTTATTACGACGCCCGCAGGAGTCCTCTCCCGGGTGGTGTGTGGATTGGTGGTGGCTTGTACCGGACATCGTCGGTGTGTAGTATACATATCTTATCGAGACTGTTTGTCTGTCATCCCACAATCCGGCCGGGACGTGATGAGGGCGTGGGGTTGCATTGCATCCGTGGCGGTCTCCCTCTTCCCCGGACAGACTGCCAAGTCCCACAAGCAAGTCTCATCTGCACGTCAACCGAGCTGTCACTTATCTCTGACTTACAGACCTCCCTGGCCGCGAAGCCAGGTGTGGCTTAGGGGCTGCATTTATGTAAGGTGTGGCTGGGGAGAAAGGGGCGGCTTCGCGGCTAGGGAGGTTTGTGTTTAAATAACAGCGCTTATAAGGACTAAGGTACGCCTTAACGCACCTATTCGCCCTTTTAAATTTAAACTTTAATTTCTTTCTTGTAAAATTTTTTTTAACTACGTAAGTACCTCTCTTAAAATAAAGAGCTTTTATTAATTTATTTTTCTTAGGTTGCACCTTTCTTATATAAAAAATAAGAGATTAGGACTTAAAAATATTTTAAAAAATAATTAAAATATATTTTTATTTTGCTTTATTCTTTTAAGTTTAAAAGATAATTTGCAAGAAGTTTAAGTTTTATAGATTACTATAAATCATTTTATTAAATTTTGAAATTCCCAACTCTTTTAATTTAAAAGTTGGATATAGGTAATTAAGGGTAAAGGGGGCGCTCCTTAATTTATTTTTTTAATTAAGTATATTGCATTTTATAAAATAAAGATATATTAAGATAAAAAAAATATAAAAAGAAAGCTTAATTAATTCTTTTATTTAGTATATTATTTATATTAAGATTGCTAGTTAAAAAGGTTATTAAATTAAGGAGTGTTTATAAGGTGTTTTCTGCATTCCTATATAAAGTGGTACTTAGATTAAACTTTTTTTGTGTTTTAAATTTAAATATCCATTAAACGCATTTAAACCCACCCTTAGTAAGCCATAAAAAGTTAGTTTTGCATTGCCACCCCAGCCACTTTAATTACTAAGGAAGCTCGGGCCCCTAGAACTTACGCGTTTGAATGGACTTCTGAATATTTGAGATAAGCTGTCACCTAGTTCCGAGCACCTGGTGCGCTGTGGTAGCAGCGCAGTAGTTCTGGGTTCGGCTGTTCGAGGCTAGGGTTGCGTGTGCGTCTGTGGGCGGTGCAGGCCTTCCGTAAAGCAGGGAGGGCGTATAGGTTTACCTAGCAATACTGCACACAAGTACGTGCGTATGCATCCCAGTCTGGCCGCTGCTATTTCGGGTACGCTTTTGTGGACGCCCCCTGCAGAAAGGCAGTGCCACAGCCTACGATAACCATGTAGAGTAGGGAAGGACAAAACGGAAAACCAGGCTCCCGGATTTTCCGCTGGTTCGTGCTGGGAGAGGAGGCGATCTCTGATGTGTCAAAGTTTATTTTGGCATCAAGAGACGGTGATCTCTCAGGGGGTAAGGTTTTGCACCTGGGGATGGGGATCGCCAAAGGCATGCTGCTGCTGGGCATCTGCCACGATCTGTCGGTCTGGACAAACAGCACAGCTCCAGAGCATTGTGAGCTTGGGAGTCGTCGGCCTCGCCGTCATTTTCTTGGCTGGTGATGTTCACTTGCTCTGCTGCATGAACAAGCTCTGGCGAACCATCCGTTGAGGATTGAGAATCTCGTATCCCGTCGGAAACGGGCAAGCGGAAGGGGAATGGTGAGGTGAGGTGCGGCACACGTACTAAACCATCTGAAGTAACTCGGAGCCGTTGCTAGTTTGAGGCAAAGACTGGCTTCAGGATGCCCGGCTGCGTCTCTTTATCTTGCTCGGTCTAAAACAGAACTACACCGTGCCGGGGTTTACGAGGCCGACCCCTTGCCCCGGTGAAGATCGAGCAGATAATGTGCAGTAGATGTTTAGCCAGACGCCGAGCCAACCGGGTTCGAGAAGGCACATCTAGCGTGTAAGGAAGGTGTTAGGTTCGACGGGGCAGATCTGCCAGAATTGCCATAGATTACCCAGCGCTGGGCAGCACTGGGCAACGAGGGCGGCGAGGGTGGTTATCGCGGGGTCTGATATCACGGTGGCAGCGACATGATATCAGCCCGAGGCGAGGTGATTCAGGCTCGTCAGACCAATAATCAATATCCGGGGCAGCCTCCCACGTACTGGCCATTGGTGGTGCGATCTGCAGCCGACATGGCAAAGCTAGTGTTACGAGGTTGGAGGTGTGTTGAATGAGGCGAATGACGATAACTGCAGCTGTTAATTACACGGCACAGTAGGCACGGGAGCGTGTGGCTCGATGTTTGGACCGTTTCGCCTCACCTCACCTCACCCTCCAGACCATCTCATCTGGGCACCTCGTAATACATGTAGTAGTGGCAATGGCCACGACGGAGAATCGTGATGTGCCGAAAGAGCAGATCTTTGGACCGATGGTGATGGACCGGGGATGTCTGAGGGCATCTTGAGGCATGGACGAGGGAGCATCAGAGTTTGGGACTGCAGGCATTGGTGCCATTCCCCAACTGGCCCGAAAACCCAAAGGTTGTGTCAAATGGTTCCAGAAGGCTTCTACTGCGGTGAGAAGCCGCACCTTCCCTGTGTATTGCAGGCTCCTGCAGTCAAGGTGAAACAGAGGCCAAGGAGGGGTGGCGGCCGTCATGCCTGCCCTCTTGCCTCATCACCTTGGGCCCGCACCACATGTCCTGTGTACCTCCCGCTGCACTGCTTCCCGCTAATGAGCCCAGGTAGACAGTACCACGCGTGGGACTCGACTTCCAACAGGCTGGCAACGCTGGCTGGCGATCATGCACCTCCAGCCCTCGAGACCTCCGCCAGGCCTTTCTTGCCAAACCAGACAGCCAGACATACAAACCCAAGGCTGCCACAGCTTCAGACTTCTCTCGGGCCTCTAACGTGACATGACACCTGGCCTTCTCTTCTCACCATCGATGGCCCATCGGTAGTTGAGACAACCGCATGCCGAGGAGAGGGGCAAATGTCTTTCAGAATCTGGACGAACGACACGAGACGAGACGAAGACAAGAAGAGGTCGCCGCGCGCAGAAGCGACGGCTGCCAGATACGAAAGTCAGAAACCAGGGCAGCAGGCACCTCGAACCCGGGCCAGACAAGAGCTTGTTTCACAGCCGTTCAAACAAAGGACAGCCCTGCCTGTCCGTCCGTCTGCCCGCACGCTTTTCGATCCACATTGCTGCATCACGTACGGAACATGCGTGCATGCATACATTTTGTACGTACTTTTATGTACGTTATGTAAAATGTAAACAGTCTGAGCCCGTGGGCCGGCGGCGCACACACCAGACAGACCGAGACCAGTCAGCCTGTTTCGGCTGCCACACACAAACCCTCGATCTTGTCTCCCACCCTCGATTCTGCCTGCCTGCCTACCTGCCTACCTGACTTTACATGCCTGCATGCAGGCACACTGTGCCTGCTTGCAGCAAACCGATTGCTGTACGTACGGCATGCGTGGCTTGGATCGCTTCGATGGGTTCATGGCTGGTTGTGTTGGCTGTAACACACTGTCACCCTGGTCTCGGGTCGTTCCCTTCCTAGGGCAGTGAGACAGGCCGCTTCTCTCCTCACTAAACAGTCCGGTGGCATCATCCGCATTGATTTATCGACCCAAGACGGCAACGCACTAGTCGAGGTTGGACGGGTTCGTTGCGGGCGGGCGGCCATCGCTTCGCTTCGCCTCGCTTCGTGTGCATGCATCGCATCAACTCGTCTCCTTGCTGTGTCATCACACACCATACCCCTGACCAGAAGCGGGCCACCACCACGACACACTGCCCATAGTGCAGGACCACCGCCGTCAGTCGCCGTCCCTCTCTCCAGTCCAGGGCGGGCAGAGTGGGTGACCTCGCTGGTCTGCTTCAACCAGTCCCGCTTTCTCGGCCAACCAAACAATCGAGTGTCTCCCGACCAGGCAGAGACCTCTTGTCCAGCCTGCTTTTTGCCCGCTTCAGCCTGCTTTTTTTGCCTGCTGCACCGGCTGCTGGGCCTGGCGACTGTGGAACAAGCCCCGTCCCCGGATGCCCCAGGCCCTCGAGCGAGATACCCCGTGGCTGCAGCTTGTGCGGCATCGCCTATCACCAGTCCGGGTCGTCCGTGGTTCCTGCTTCTATTTCGGGTTTAGTCCAGGGACCCGACAAGATCCACTTTCCCTCGGTTTGAGGTCCATCGAGTTTCCCCTGGGCCCTCCTTGCAAGTCGCTCGTCGCTCGTCGCACCTCGCCCCCGTCGCCCTTGTCTGCTGTTGGACAGCCCACCCCTCCCTTCCCTCACTCCTGGCTTCATATAATACTTAAAGCCTCAGCTGGCATCTGTGATCCTGGGGATCTATTTAGCTGCCGTTCAATCTACCTCCAGCACCTCCAAGCTCCAGCCCCATCCCGTCGTTCGCAATTGGTGTGTGTGTCCGTTGACGACGACTCAATATCTCCGCGCCCCCTGTCTCTGGCATCCACCTCGCCCACTTCTTTTGATCTACACACGGACCAGATCGTTCGCTCGGTTCTGCTAGATAAAATCCAGCTTCACTCCAGTCTCTCGCTTCCACCGACGTGGCATTAAACACATATATACCCTCAGGCTGAGCCTTCTTGCGTCATCCCGACCTTAATAATCCTCCTTTCCAACTTCCTCCCCAAGAGTCGAATCCGCCGTCAAACCGCAACATTCGTCTGCACACACGCCTTCAAACCCCTTGAACGTCCAGACAAGAACGGAAAGCTCCACAGACCGTCCAGCATCACCACCTGTCCTCACCGCTCTTCATCTCCCACTCGCCAAAATGGACTCATTCGGCTTCCAACCCGTCAACACTCGCTTCACCCCCTCAGCGGGCTCGCGAACGCGCTTCTCCTACCGCAGGACATCAACGAGCTCTAGCAGGAACTCTTACGCCTCCAACACTTCCTCGGCGTCCGCTGCCTCGTCCATCAACAGCCTGATCTTCCGCCAACCCTCGATCATGGACCTGGAGGAGGAGCACAAGGCCTTCGGCTCCGAGCTCAAGATCCTCGAGCCAAGGCCTGTCGTCTTCTTCGGCAGCATGGAGGAGCGCTTTGCGTCGCTGTAGTCCATCGTGCTCTCATTGGCCACATCCAAACAACTCCTGGTTGAGTGCGTCTTGGGCTTTCGATTCTACAACCTCCTCTTCAGCAAATTCGCTTCACCACCCACCCCTTGACGCCGTTTAACACTACGAACTATGATACCAAACGATGAAGAGGGGACGGAACTTTTTCCACATTCAAATCGACCATTGGTCGACGGCGCGGGACATTGAAGTTACTTTTTAAAAAACTTCGGGGACTGCCTTTAGGGGGAAGCACGGTAGTGTACTAGCTTCACCCAATGAGATCCGGGGTCATTCCTGGCCACCCGATCTCATCCACTGGCGGGATTGCAGCTTGATTTTATCACTTTGGGACAAAGGAAGACAATCTTCCACCTGGCGCAAAGAAGGTGTTCAATTCTTATTTCGGTCGTTTACGGAGGAAGAGACTTGCTATGAGATCCAATATGGCTTGAATGAGACCACATTCACGGTAGACGACGGGAGGGGCTACTGCTGCGAAGGAAACATAGGGAATTCAGGAATATAGCGGTCTTTGAGCCGCTCCTCCACCTACAACTTCTCTGCTTGTGCGTATACTACGTGATGTCAACTCCGCGTGTCTTGGTTCACACATGATTGCATGTACTGCCCAAGGGGTACAAGGCTGTCAGCACCATGCTGAAAATGGTGCAAATGGTGACTTGGCGAGTGCTATTCGCCTCGTCGCCGCCACCATTACTGCCACTGCCGGGCAGCTGTTTCATTGCCCCGAATCCAGAAATGATTCCCGCGCCCGCACGGAGCTGCCATCACTCGCCGCGCCCCGCGAGCCCACTTGGAGTTCGCCTCCCAAAGACGCCCCGATGCTGAGGGAGGGAGGGACGGTGTTTCAGGTCTGTTGCTGACAACATGGGGAGGTCTTTTACATCATCTCCGCGGGCCTTTCGGTGCCGCGTTCTCGGCCGAGGGAGAGATACCTGACGGCTGCCCGGCAGCTTCTCCCTAGTCTGCCTGGTCCGGGCTTGGTTCGAGATGTTCCGGGCTTTGTGTGATTCGAGTAGGCGTGCCCGGGTTGTGAGGTCTTTGCTGCTTCGAAGGGGAGTTGATTGTTCGTGTGTTTCTAGTGGTCTGTATGGCGGAGCATGGCCTGGCCAGTTCGGCAGGAAGTGATACGAGGAGATCAGGTGTTGGTGTATGATACATTCTTTTGGACCTGCCATCTGATGTGGTTTCTTTCATTTCTGCACCCTTCATACGTACCTGACCGCGGCATGTCAGCATGGAAAGGAGGTTGTGATGATGGGACATGTACCACCCGGTCTAAGCAGCCACTTCGCGTATGGTGGTGAGAAGGATACACGGACAGAACGACAATGAGATCTGGGCAGTATCAATTCTCATGGATCTGTACGTCCACTTCTGATAGAGAATTTGAGGATCCTAACATGAACCATTTGTCTATAGACTTCCATTTGGTATGGTACCTGAGGTGCCACGATTTGCTGTTGCAAATTTCAGAGGTTGACGACCTGTTCACCATCGGCCGTTGGCATCCAACCTTGATTGAATATAGAACTATTCGGCCAGAGCTCTCCGGAGACTGTCATATTTCTCCAGCCTTTTCAACGCCGGATATCTTTCCTTTCGCACACCCCCTGACAGACAGACGGACAAGTCTGTATGAGTGACCGACCATGAGAGAACCAGCCCCCTAAACCACCGAGTCACCTGAACACAGGTAGAACCAGATCCTCAGAGCAACCTGCCTGAACTCCTGACACATCTCCCCTGCCCCTTGGCGAAAACAGCCCCCCGTCGGAGATGAACTGCCTGAGCGCCCGCCCGCACACAGCGCCTCACGCCCCACGGCTCTCAACAACCCACCGCATCCTCTCCCTCACCTCGGGCGAGATCCCACCAGCCGCGCGCCTACCCTCCTCCAGGCCCTCCCACAGCTCCGCAAAGCGACCATCAGCCGCGACGGCGTCCCACAGCGCGGGCAGCTCGGCCAGCAGCGGGCCCAGCGTGGCGCACGCGGCGGCCACCGCGGCGTGGAGACCCGCAGTGGTGTGGGCCCCCCCAGCGGCAGCAGGTCCCTCCCATTCGCACGCGAGCCGGGCGGCGGCCACGAGCGACTCGAGGTGGGACAGCGCCTCGCGCGTGTCGAAGAGGCTCTCCGTGTCGGTGATGCAGTCGAGGATCTCGGCAGCGCGGTCGCGCGTCGCGGCCGCGGCTGCCTCGGCGCCGGCTTGGAGGCCGTGGTGGGTTGCTAGGATGTAGACTCGGGCGTCTGTCAGGAAGGAGGAGATGGGCTCGTAGGTGGTGAGCTCACAGCCTGTTGTTGTGGGGTGTCCTGTCAGCGGGTGGTCCTTTGTGATGTCTTGCTTGCTTGCCTGTTTGTTTGTATGACGTGCTCCTGATGCTTGGCTCCCTTCCCCCTCGAAACGACCAGCTCCCCTTTCCAGCCGTTCTGGGGTGTTTTTCTTTTGGGGGTGGGATGTGTGAGACTTGCCTTGGACAATGTAATCGTGGATGGTCCACCAGTCCTTCCAGTCCTGCTCGAGGAGACGGGGCACCTCGAAGACGTCGGTCATTGCCTGTGCTCCAAGGGTCAGCCAGGTGTTCTTGCAGACAAGGAGGCTGAACCCATGCTCACTGTTCCGTCCTCAACGGCCTGATTGATAGTAGTCTGGAGGCTCGGGCAGATTTGCTGAGCTTGGGTCGCAGGCACGTGGTAGTAGTCCCCTCCAGCGAGCTTGAACATGATGGTGTACCTGCAAAGCTTCAGTCAGGACCAGCTGCTGTTGACGGGGAAGAGGTGCAAGCCTGCTGCTGGACCTACTCGTGGGCTGGGCGGAACTCTTGTCCGTCGCAAGAGCGGGTGCGGTACGGGAGAACGATCATTTCGGCGATGATGGTTTTCGTATCGTGACTGAGAAAGTCGAGTAGGCCAGGGCCAGTCTTTCGAAGATCAGGTGGCCGATTTGTGATGCCTTGGACACAATTCGAGAGATACTGTGTATGTGTGTGGGAAAGCGAGAGAGACAGATAGGGCTTCAGAGAGAGTGTGTTTTTTTACACAGAGATGACGAGAGAGGTAGGTAGTGAAGTCATCAGCGCGAAAGCAGCAACTTTCTGTCTGATTGAAAGTAAATCAGTGTGCAAAATGAGACCGCCCCAGTGGGGTGAATGAGCTGACCGTCGCCGTCGTAAACTGCAGTCCACACAATGGAGAGCTGCCTATTGTTGGGGACAGACAATGGCAGGCCGGTCGAGCAATAAGCCACGGGCCATTGTCTCATTCAAACCACATCTCTTATGTTACAGATTCCAGTGGAAGTTTGCGACACGTGTCACAAGTCACGTAGGTACCCGCGTCTGCGGATGCTTTCAGTTGTTTCTCTCCTGCTGGAAGCTTGATCACCATCATGATTACTGGCAATGTTCGAGTACATATGTGAAAACCTGGCAAAAAAAAAAAAAAACAAGTCATCAGGCCACAGCGGGACAATACGTTCGCGCTTCTTATCCTCTTCCTTTACACTGACGATGTTGCTCACTTTGTTTGAGTAATTGCACTAGAACCATCACAAAGGCAAGAGCTCCTCCATAATTCGACATATCAGACTCATAATTGACCGCCAAGGATAGTGTGGCTGCCTCAGTGGCTGGCTGGGAACCCGAGGCTAAGGTCTTTGTAGTGTCTGGGACATGATACATATGCATTCACATTGAGGACCGCGTCGCTGGCTTTGTCCTTGCTCCACGGGTTTCCTTGCCCAACTCCAATCTAAATGCTTGCCACCACAGATGGGAATGAAATGATGAAAATAAATTTAGGTCAGTGACTTGGGCCAGATCACTGAGGCAAACATACGCCTGAGACCAAAGTCCTCCGTTACGCTTTGTCGTGCTGTGTGGCGGTTTCGAAATGTGCGCTCCAGTGGTCACTATTCAAGTGCAGCATCAACATTGTCCTCAGCAAATTCAAAACAATCTAAGATCACTGAGACAGTAACTAGAAGTACTGTACCACTCATATGAGTCGCCAGAGTTGTATGCCGCACCTGGGAAGGGTGTGTCATTTGTTACATCGCAAGAGTGGCAAAATTAGTCCCAATATTCTAGGACAGGCCGCTATACGGTGAACAATGATGGCCGCATCTAGGAGGTAGTCGGAGGATGCTTGATTTTGTGACTGCCTTCGTTCATCGCACCGGCCATTGCCACAAATACGGCCTTTCGTGGCATTTGGTATGATGGTTGGGGTATGATGTCTCGAACGGTTTTTTTGACAGGATCTCTCTCAAAGACAAGTAACTACTCGCTATAGCCATGCCGTTGATCCGGCTAGTATCAATCTCGCATGAACCAGTGTTGCCATTACGATGCTTCTTCCATGTCGATGGTCAGCTGAGGCCGAAGAGCTGCGGTCTCACGACACGCCCTCTGGAGGGGTGGTATCTTTATGGATTCATGATTCCCCCCCCCCCCCCCCCAGATTCCATTGTTTCAACTTGGACCTATGATAATAAAGACTTCATTCTAAATGGGTCGTGTACTTTGAGAAGGAGGAAAGCTTCCATTTCGTTCTATAGATACTCGCTCCATGCGCCAACTCCTCGTATGTCTGATGGTCACCGAGCTCATGCGACACTTTGACCATTACTGACGGTACTAAAAGCGCAACTGTCATGAAGTCTTTGACTTGGATGCGAGACAAATGCTTCGGCTACCATTGGAACCGGAAGTATCTAGTGTAGCACACTGTAAGGAGGGTTTGAGAGCATGAGGATACAAGTCAGGTTGCCGGGCTGTGTATTCACATCGAGCAGAAGACCACAATGAGTAGATGGATTGCATACAGACATGTCTATCTCTCACGAAGGTTACGGACTTCTTCTTTCGCCATGTTTCTCCAGCAAAATATCTATCCACATGTGATTGCTCGGCGAAATGGTCGTCGTCGATGGGGCACCAACCACAACGTGACCTCTTGTAATACAAGACGAGGATATATATCTACATCGCCACATTGCACTACGGACTCTAGATACGGACCCGCAACAGAGTAGTCGCTCCAGAGTCTATTGTCCACTTGTGGGATACTACATGCGCGCTGCGAGTCTTCAATATATGCTCTTCACAGGATCCGATACCCACTCAACCTCATGTGTTTCGAGGGGCGCATCCGCCCCCCAAGGGAGTTGTGCACTTCATCAACGACGACAACAGGTGAGCTCTATGAGAACCTCCTCACACCCGGATGTATATGCATTGGAACGTTGGCGATTAGGAAAGTTGCATCTGCCCGCATATGGCAACCACATACTGAAGATCCTCCGGACGGACGGCTTCTCACTATCCAACTTCCCCAGTTGCAACCTTGTTCAACCACCAGCAACCAAAGGCTGAAGTCAGCGCCAGCTGGCAGGCAGGTGCACACCCTAAGCCCGTATGCCTTGATGACGGCTCATCCAGGTTCAGCTTTCTGCTGAGTCTGCCGGTGGTCGTGGTGGATGATGCCCCAGGCCGCACGGGCCCCCAGTCATGTTCGGCGGTCAAGTCAGTCTGGCTCTGCCCCTATTCTGAAACACCTCCCAAACCACCTTACCCATCGCGCACCATGCCGACCCCTCTGGTTTCAAGATTTGGAGGAGGCGGTCAGCTGGCAGATGACCTGCATGGCCAACGCGGGCAAGCGCAAGAGGAGGGGGATCTCGGCCAGCCTAGGCCCCGACCAAGTCAATCACACGCACACCCACACACATATGGACGGACTCAGGCACACTGGAGCTAGAGTAAGCAAGGGGCGAGCAAGACATCGGCCGACGCACGGAGGAGTGTGACGATGAGCCGTGATGGGCGGAGGAGATCTGAAATACTGGGGGCGGATGTGCACGGGAGGCAACGCTGGGCGTGGCGTCGTGGCCGCGAGTCGCCGCTTCTTTGGACGAGATGGGACGATGCAGACGGTTTGTAGATCCGCTGGCGCGATGTTTCCGCCGCCCATTCAGATGTGACGGCTGGTTGAGCGAATCGATTCCAAATGCCACATGTCTAATACGCCGAAGCAAGGACGGTTGGGAGGCCGTGGAAACAGTCTGCATTACCCACCCATCATGACTTGCCTGCCATTCTGCCTCTTGGCAAATGGAGATGCCGTCTTGGAAGTTTCTCCGGCCGTTGTCAAATTCAAGCAACCTCGACGGGGTCATGTCGCAATGCGAACTACACATGAACAGTTCGGGAGCGGGAAGGAGACAAAGAGAGTCATGCCCTTGCCATAGTCACCCGAGCCCGGAGCAGCCTCAGACGGGCTTCCTCAGCGCACGAGATGGGCCAGGGCAGGCCATGACCTTGTCTCAAAACCACCTTCTCCGCGATGATCACCATTAAGCTCTGTGCTAGCATGATGGTCCTGGATTCGTGATCGACGCCACATGGACCCTTCTTCCTATCCTGCGGCATTGGACTAAGCCGACCTCCGTCCCAATTGCCAGATCCTGGACATTGCTGCGCCTGGCGATCTTCCCAATAACCGCCTGGCGAAGCTGGAAGTCTTGCAGCCGGCTACACGCAGTCCGTGAGCATCCGTAAGGCGCAGCGATTTTGCACATGGGTCACTCCTCCCGCCTGGTCCTGTCTCCGACCGATCTCTTGGGCCGTCGACCCCGGATGCCACCAGAGACTTCGAATGGTGTGCATCCGGCTTGCCAAGGGGCCGTGCGTGAAGAAAATGAGGTGCCCAATCGAAGAGCATCGTGATTAGAGACAGGACTCAACTTCATCCCAGCAAGCTACCTCTGGAAAGTGCTCACGTCCATGAGCGCAAAACTTGAGCTGACCAAGTCGTCCCATGCGTCCTGCCGGGCTTCCCAGCATCGTCGGCGCCTCGGAGATGCCCACGTCGCAGTCCTTACAGTACTTGCCACTGGCTTGTTTCTATTCTCCGTGGTGGTTATGCAGTCCAGCGGTCAACACCTGTTGACCGTGGCAAGCCACAACGCCCCAACAGACAGCCTCAAGAGTCCTCTTCATCCTGCGCCCAAACCTGCGTGAGCATGTATGATGTTGTGAGCGTCTGTTCGCCGAAACGCATGATTTCCCTGGACAAACAAGACGGCCCGCCCGACGTCTATCGCCCCCAAACATCTGGCAGGTACCACATAGCTTGCTCCATATGGAGACTTGCCTGGTGACAGTCCGACCTCGCAAAACACCAACGTTGATCATGTACGGTGCATAGGGTACATAAATGGGCCGTTGCATCGAAACTCACGTTGAGTGGCAGCTGCGACGGGCCCCGTGACCACTTGGCAGGCGGGAAAGGACGTGACAAGGTCCAGTTTGAAGCGCAATTATTGTGGTGATGGCTCTCAGATACCGATATAAAAAGCAACAGAAACGCGTTGGTGAGCATCACCGCGGCCAACTAACTCCTCGAGAAGGATCCTTGATGCGCAGGGGCTAACGGCAACGTTTAATGTGCGGCTCGGCTCCAACAAACGAGAGCAAAGTCGCCCCATAAACAGCCCGCAGTGGGACTCGCTCTTTGACGTGTTGAGCTTCGAGTTGACGAGCTGTTCGTCTTGGCGCTGACAGCTGGTTACAGGCTGGTTTAGCCGTCGGCCTGATTGGCTATCGTTTTCTGTAAAGAACGTTTCGGATCGTTCTACAGTCTCGAAACGCGCCGCGTAGCCCGCCCTCTAGCGTCGCATCAATTAATAGAACTGGGCCATGTGGCAGATTGAAGTGCAGTAATGTGGTGCACATGCCAGACTTCGGCTTGAAGATCACTGCTGTGCCAGCAACAGAGCGAGGTCACAATTGATCTTGCCGTCAGGCGACTCCTTCGTGTCGGGCCCATATAATTTGAAAGTGGTGGAAGAACGCACCAGCACCCGGCGACCGGTCGGAGGAAGAGCGGCCTTGCTTGTTGAAGCCCTCGAGTCTTGAAAACTCGAATCCTGGTTGTGAGCCGATCGGGGACAGCGATGCATCTCACGTACCCAGTAATTCCAGTTGGAAAGAGCCACTGGCGCCTGTAGTGACAATTTCTGTCTTCGCTAATTGAGGCCTCTTGAGCAAAAAGGCCAGCTATCCGGAGCCGCTTGTGTAAAATATGCACACGCACCCGATGCTCCCGAGGACTGATTAGAGAGTAGACGCCGGGGCACGCTGAGTTGTGCACGGAGTAGGACATGTGCCCTGATGTGCGGCCAGCGCCCGAGCGCGGATGTTATGCCACGCTGTACATCAGCTGCGCCAGCCATAGCCCAATATCGGAACGCCACGACCGCCGCGTCTGATCTGCTGAGCGGCCGCGTGGTTGGTGTCTTCGGCCGGAACAATGAGTGCATTGAGCCCGTCCGGGCAAATAAGTGCGCCAGCATGGGAGTCGGCAGTGGGCAGGCACCCAGGAACGGCCTAGGCAGGGGATGCTCATGCGGGGATTTATTGGCCGGCCTGAGGCTCAGGCGTTATTTCACCTAGATGATGGTGTGAAGACCCTGGCGGCGGGCGGGAGTCTCTGGCTGCCCGGTTGATGGAAACTGCTGGTTCGGTTCGGACAGCACTGGCTAGTTGGCCGGTTGCGCTAAAGGCGAACCAGACTGGCAACGTTGCTTTCCTGAGGAAGCTCCATCCAAAGTCAAAGTGCTTGCATGGATGCACGCATTGAACAGGCCCGATCGGCGATGCCATCAGCCGGAATTCAAACGCGGCCCCTGATGACAGGTTTCTTGGTGTTGCCTTTCATCCAGCGTTTTCAATACAGACTTCGGAATGGATCTGGGAAAAGCCACGTCCGGAGGTCAAAAAAGGGGCTGAGACCCGGATAGCTTCACCGAAAAGGAGGGCTGGGATGGGATGGGATAGGATGCCCCGCGATCTGCCGGAGAAAAAGAGGTAATCTAGATAGCGATGCCGCAGCTCCTAGCGGCATTTGACGGAATTGATTAAGATTTAGAGTTGCATGTGTAATTTGTCGCATAATTGCAAAGTTGCAACGCGTCAATGTTTTGGGGCTGGTGATCCGAAAGAGACTTTGTCAGTGGCCGAGTCCTCGCCCTACTCGGTGTGCCTGGTGTTTGCCAGAATGGTCCACTGGACTTCCATTTGAACGTCGATGAGTGAAGCCACGCAATGTCAACAGTGGTCTAGGACAAGCTGCGGCCATTGAAAAGTTGTACTGCCGAAGGGGACGAGCATTCGAGGGATGATGCTAGCATAACGGCGCTTCTGTGAGTGCTGAGAGCCAGTCATCTTGTCTGCCCAGGGTGAGTGGCCCAGCGTGACTGCTGTGTGCTGCGAGCTCTGGGAAACTTGTCATGGCAGTTTCCCAAGTCGAGCTGACTAAATCTTGTTTGAATTGGAGGCCAAATGACTCGTTTCAGAGAGACGGGTTAGAGTTGCCGCGTGCATTGCTGCTGAAGAGAGGCGCCTATGGCGGCGTGCATGCATCGAGGAATTGGAGGGACGTTCGCAGGTCCAGTGCCGGCGTATCGGATCCAGCCATCAACCACGGATGCCACCTAACCAGGTGGGTGTTGTAATATGTATGTGATCTCCGTGCAGCCCGAGGTTTAGCGAGGCAGTTGCGCCGGCTGGGTTGTGGCGACGTCCCCGGTTCCGGGCGCATCGAGTCCTGAAAATGCGCAATTCCGGAGCGGGCAGCTGTTTTCTGAGGTACAAGTACCGGTTCACTTGATTATCACGGTGCGGTACCCACAGAACCTGGGCGACCTCCTGCATGATGCGTGCAAATGACAGGCAGGTAGCGTTTTCCGCGCAATGTTGCAGCAGATACGTGTAGCCGGTCTAAAAGGTGCCCGGCCGGGTTCGCTTGAAAGCTTAAGGAGGTCATCATGGTGGAAGAGGACCCCCAGAAATCCAAGAATGGTACAAACTCCACTTGGGGCGGACGAAAGTGGCCCGTGAGGGATCCGTGCCCATTGGTCATTTGGCTGTCTGGGCTCTGGAGACGCAGCGAGCGATCATTGACGAAGCTTTGACGTGAGCCTATTGAGCCTTCGTGCCAGGCCTGGCCTGGTTTGAGATTGACGAGAGAACGGCGGGCACGCTTTCCGAAAGGCTATGTGGGGTGTTCATGAAGAATTGCCGTAAACCTTGGGTGGCATGGCCTGCATGGCCTGCAGCGGCCCCAAGGCACATGTGCTGTGATTAGGGCGGGATGGCGACGACAATCGCAATTGTTTGGACGCACATCCTGCGGTAGTGATGGCGCCACGGAGCTTGAAAGGTGGGATGTTGGAGACCAGGCAGGCTGACTGGCTGGAGACGCCTCCTTGAGACCTGAGCGACCCTGGTCTGGTGCCCGGGGTGCCTGGTGGCCGGGCACTTGGCTGCACCACACTGCAGTCCCTTCCGTACTTGCGTATCCGACGATGGTGGAATTGAATTGACGGAATTGGGTCCTGGTCTCGTTTTGGCAATGAAATTTAAGGGGGCTCCACCAGCCAGAAATTCTCCGGCGGCCTGGTACAAGCAGCACATGTAGACTGGCGCCACGGAACCACTGTAATAACACGGTTCACCACCAGTCTCGCACCGGGCGAATCAAGCCATGGCTGCCACAAAGTTATTTAGAAAGGGCGAGAGATTGAGGGCCGCCGGAGGCCACGACCTGCCACTCGGTATGGACTTGGGTTTTATTATGGGACATGGTCTAGTCCCGAGAGACTGATGAATGTGCTGTGCGTGGCGCGGAGCACTGACGTGAATCGTTGGCGTGTCGCCCTGGCTGATATATCTCGCAGCCCATATCGACAGAGGTCCAGGAGCCAATTGCATGCCGTGTGCCTGGGTGCTTTGTGCCTGGGTACTTGGTTGCTCAGGCCTGCGATCCGGCCTGGAGAAGCGCTGGGCCTGTGGTCACCAGGGCCTCTTCGGTGCTGGGGTGCCGCGGCGCTGCGAAGCTATCGAGATGGGGGAAGAATTCCGCGCCCAATTCCAGTGCATCTGTGGCTGAAGAAGAAGCAATGCTCTGACCGACACTGGCGCTGGACAGACTGTCTGTCAGCCAAACTCGACTCGACCCGACTCGACTCGACTCGACCAAGCCCCGTTTGGACCCTTCCTTGTTGGGCCAGGTGCACCTGCGCGCCCAGGTTCCCCCCTGCCTGCCCAAGACCTGCCAGGTTTTCCAGGATGCCAGGGAAGGTGCGTGCCAGGGGCCAGGGATCGAGGAGTGGATCAGTTTGGGCATAGCGCTACAAGGAGCATCTTGCCCGATCCGGGCTGTATCGCATTGGTGAATTGCGCACTGCGAAAAACCGGGCCTCATCTCACTCCTCACCCGGCCCCAGCGTCACGCCGGGGCCCTGCCTGGCATGTACGCGGACTGACATGTCAACCGACGTGTAGATTGGCAGACGAGGCAGGCAGGTGGACAGACAGACAGACCGACAGATAGACGATTGAGAGATTCACAGAACGATAGACAGACGGACAGAACCTTCCGGACTGCGTCGAGGGAGACAGAAATTCGCAGGAGATTGCCCTGACTTGATTTCTGCATCAGGAAGGGAGTCGACTGTTTCTGTCACACGTGCAGCAGCCACCGGCACGTATCGATCGTGTACCGGCCGAGCACCCTGCTGGGTGTGCACCGCCTGGCCCAGCGACCCATCTGCCCGAGGGCCCCGGTGGCTTGTGACTTGAGGTGGACGGCACCAGGACCTGGCCGGGGGGCGGCAGGTGGTGATGAATGGTGATGAACATAGCGCAGCCATCATTCCTGAGCCCAGGATCTCGCAACAATCCCGCGTACTCGTAGATGGATGGGCACATCAAATCAATCGAGGCGGACGATAGTCTAATATCTAGGCTATCTAGTCCCCTAGGCAGTGGACATGGACGTGGGTAGTGGGACAGGCACGAACATGGGACGCGGGAGGTGGGACATGGGACGTGGGTACGTGGTGCGGGAGATGAGGAACCAGAGAAACCACCACTGACAGGTCATTCATCCGGCCAGCCAGCTCATCTAACCGTACGGTCTACTGTTGCAATGCAGATACATATACAATCTACAGCACACAGAGCACTTTGCTGCTGGCTGCACCGCACTGGAGTCCCTCTGCGGATGGTGCCATGGAGATAGAGAGAGAGAGGAACAGATCCAGGAATATCCAACGTAGAAAGAGAGAGGCGACAAAAAAAAAAAAAAAAGAGATCCCGACCTTCCTGATCGTCCATCATTTCCATCATATCCATCATCGCCCCTCTATCCCACCCCCTCCCCCCTTCCACGCGCGGGACTGTAGACTACCCGTTGATTGACGCCTACCTCTTACAGGCCCGTCGCAATTTTCATTCCTTTTCACTCCTTGCTTTGTTATAGTCTGCCCTTCCTCTGTCCACGGGCAATGCAGCATCGACCCGACCCGACAACTGCTGCTGGCCGACTGAGTTGGCAACTTTTGTTTTTGTCCTTTGGCGTTCCTTCATTCCACCCTTGACTTTGGTAATCCGTAATTATTATCGACCCTACCCATCCTTCCCACCCGCGCAGTCAAACTCCACCCCTTGACCCGACCTTCTCTGGATAGGCTACTTGGGATAGATTTTCCTCGCCGTCGTGACGGCACGCCGGCAGACCACGACGTCCAAGCCAAGGAGCGAGCCTGTTGCCCTCGCCTCTCCTGCGCCTGGCTAACCTGGCTCCTGTGCCGCTCTCCCACACGCGACTGATCTCCAAACAAGCCAAAACCGAGATCCAGGATTGTCAGGGTCATCCAGGCACGCCTCGAAACACTCGGTCTCCAGCACCTGCAGACCTGCAGCACCGCAGCACTGCAGCGTTTAAGCTCTGACCCTCGGCCCCGGGAGGGACTGGCCAGGACTGGACTGGACAGGAACAGGAACGGGATAGGACCAGACAGGCAGGGCTGGGGTCTCTTCTCTCACACTGTCAGACGGGGACCTTCTGACCCCAGGGCGACCAAGCGACAGGGCGGCCAGACGACCAGACACCAGGCCAGCCCACAGTCCACACACCCAGTCCACACCAGATTCGTCGCGTCGCAGACTGCCGACCCTGAAGCAATCTGGCCCACGAGCCGGCGTGCCCCTCGACCTCCTTCGTCGAGGTCCCTCGGAGGTCCCTGAGGTCCCTCGCATAGAGGACCATGTCGCAGCTTTCGCACCAGAGTAGGGAACATCCGTCTGATGCCCACGCCTACTCCCTCCCGCGCACCCCCCATCAGCCTCCGCAGCGGCCTCACCCTCTTTACCACGACCAGTCTCACCCCCATCTCCAACCTCAACCTCACCACTCTCAGTACCAGAGCCAGCCCACGCCCGGCCCTCCCTACACTCCTGTGTCACCCACGAGCGCACCCCAGCTCGACTATGCCCAGGACAGCCCTACCATAGGCCGAGCTCAAGTACACCACATTCGAGGCCAGCATTCTGGTCCCGTCCCTAGTCCCATCACCATTGTCCCCCTTGGTGGTGTTCATGCCTCAGGTTCAGGCTCAGGTTCAGTCTCCGGCTCCGGCACCCTGACCTCATCATCACCCACTAGTCCTTTGCCCAGCGCTGGTGCCAGGTAAGACGCATAATCTCTATGTCCTCACGTCCCTCCTCACCGGGCCTACTGCTCTCGGCGACTCCTCGCATTCGCGCCTACTCTTTTGCTCCCTTTCCTTTTTCGTTCGCGGCTCGGCTTCGTGCACTTTGTCTACTCTCGAACCCTCCGGGCTATGAGCGCGGTTTTGATCCACCGACTGCATCATCAGACGACTTAGTGCCGCGCGTGCGAGAAGGGTTCTTAGATCTAGTTGCTTTTCCCCGGATTGTCATGTTAGTTCTCGTCCTGCTGTGGAACTTGATCACGGCCGTTCAGACTACCGACTGCCTTGCCCGCGTGCTACTGCAAGCACTACCGAGTTACCCAAGACGTACTTCATGCTGATCCTCAACCGTCTCCCCTCTCAGATTCCGGAAACCTGCACCCAGCCCGCTGCATAATACCACAGCCATCTCTCCTCCCACCAGCCCCAGTCCTAGGAAATCACACTTCCAGGTCTCCTTTGGAGCTCACGGCTCGCCCATCAATTCGCCGACCACCCCTTTGGCCTCGCAGACAACAAACGCCCCAGAAGCCGCGGAATTGTTGCCGCGACAAAGGACGGCAGAAAGCGTCGACGCCGAGAAGTCCTACTACCACAGCGATTCCTCGGGCACAGCAACTCCTGACGACAAGACAACACCTGGGTTCGTGGACAATTTTTTTCTGCTTGCTCGCAGCGCCCACCGGCTTGCCAAACTAGCAACCATCAGCGCGGCGCTGTGACTGTCTGGAGACACCGCTAACCTTCACATAGATCCTCTTTGCCCTTACGATTTACGCATGACAGCAGAAGCGTCTCCGACCCCGTGAAGAAGCCACTTGGGGCATCGACCAACTCATCTTCCCAGGCCATGCCTGGTTCCTCGAGGATGGAGAAGGTGAAGGGCGCTCCAAGGAACTCGTCCATCGATTCTGCCATCTCCGCCATATCCACTGGGTCTTCAACTCCCAAGAACGCCCAAGATGGCTCCTGCAGCCCGGCCGATATTTCCAAGCTGATCAAAGCTGCCGGCTCCCCCGAGGCGGTGATACAATACTTGCTGAAAGAGAAGAACTCGCAGACACAGCAGAACTCGCAGCTATGGCGTCTGGTGGACAAGCAGAGGGCTATGATCCTTGGTCTCAACAAAGACCTAGAACGAGCCCTGAAGGACAAAGAAAAATACAGGAAGAAGCTCAAGGAGGTGATGACTCTGCAGACTATCCCCTCGGTTTCCTCAACATCGGCAGGGCAGGGCCGAGAATCTGCCGCAAGTCTCTCCCACCCGGATGACGACTCAGCTAAGAAGGTTTCCGACGTTCCCGCGTCTCCAAGCGTGGAGTCCGAGAACTTGAGGCATTCTCCGATTGACGTGTCGATGGCACCGTATCCGATCACACCGCCAGCGGATCAGTGCAGCAATGGCCCCCCTTCTGCTGTTGGGGAGATTTTGGATCCTTCACACTCTATGCCCGAAGCGAGCGAGCATGCCTTGGACAACTTCGATCACGATGCTCAAGAGAGGGACGCTGAAGAATCAAAGGATCTTGCATACCCGAGTAACGATATTCCCATTAATTTCGCACTGCCACCTTCGAGGTCTCTGCCAGAGCGTCCTCCGCCTCCCCAGGGTGCGCTACCACCGCCGCCACGCCAAGCGCCTCGCTCAGAAATTGACGCCTTTATCGACGAGGACGGTACTTCACGCTTCCCAGCTGTGCCAGCCCCGCCCCCGAGAAAACCACCACCAGCACCATTGCAGCTGAAGGATCAAGACTCCGGCCCGGCCTTTCCGCCTGATGAGGAGTCCGAGAGCGACTCGGACTATGATGATATCCTCGAGGTTAACGAGATTGCGGCGGAGAAGCGCGGTCGTCGAAGAACACGGCAGGAGGATGATGAACTGCGTGAAGTACTTGTTCTAAAAGAGGCAGAGGCAGAGGCACGAAGCAACTCAAAGAAAAGCAAGGGCAGCGCAAAGGGGACACCTGAGCAGGCCACACCAGAAATAAATTTGGCACAGAGTTCACCAAGGGCGCTGAATAGGCCAAACGCCCCAGGGTCTCTGGCGGGCATGCTGGATAACAACTCGTCGAGCACCGCTTTGCCTCTACGGAGTCCTGGCTTGCCTTTAAGCCCTCGACCCATGCAGTTGGGCGAGGGGCCGAACTCCCCACCTCAGTCACCCCGGCAAAATGGCCTCACCATGCCCCTATCACCTCGTGCTCCCCGACAAGCAATCCCTCTGCCTCCGAACACACCTCTGCAGACTCCACCGAGCGAACCGCTCGTCTTGAAGTCGCCGCAACCTCTCAACATCGTGAAGTCTACTGTTGATGCGGAGCCGGCCGACAGTCCAACTTCGGAGAGCCGCGCGAGCCAGACCGAGCGAACCAGGATATTCAAAGGCTTCGTCACCGAGGAATTCCCCGACCTTCTGCTGCCACCGAATGCCATCCCTTCCGTCACCGTGAAGGTCGCGTCGTCACGGATGAAGCCGTCGCGCGCGAGTTTGATTTCGTTGACGCAACTAGAGGAGGATCCTGTCTTCACATTGGCCATCATCTCCCGATTCGAAGGCGGGGAACTTTGGCGGGTTGAGAAGGACTCGATGTCTCTATCGAAGCTGGACCAGAGGCTAAAGCAGTGTGCGGCATTCACTGCGAGGACTCCAGACCGGACATTGTTCAGTGGCCACGCCCCGGCAAAGCTCGATGCTCGCCGCCAAGCCCTTGACCAGTATCTCGACGAAGCACTCAACACTGCGTTTGACACACCCACCGCCGTGGAGCTCTGCAGATACTTATCTACCAATGTTTTGCCACCAAATGCTGACGAAATGGGCTCATCGACAGGTCCGGCCGACGAAGGAGGACCGAAACTGGGCCCTGGCGGACGACAGTTCAAGACCGGCTACTTGACCAAGAGAGGCAAGAACTTTGGAGGTTGGAAGGCAAGGTTTTTCAGTGTCGAAGGCCCTCAACTGAAATATTTTGAGACACCGGGGGGAGCACACCTTGGCACTATCAAACTTCCAGGAGCCCAAATAGGAAGGCAGTCGCAGCAAGGCGGCGATGAGCCCTCGTCAGCTCGCGCCACCGACGAAGCCGAGAACCAGTATCGCCATGCCTTCCTCATCTTGGAACCCAAGAAGAAAGACCCCAGTGCCATGACCAAACATGTACTCTGCGCCGAGAGTGACCGAGAGCGTGATCAATGGGTAGAGGTCCTGCTGCAGTGGACCAATTTCAAAGACGTGGACGAAGACAGCAAGCGTGATCATCCTCACGACCGGCAGGGCTCGGCACAGGGTCACGTGAAGGGAGCAAATGCGAAGAAAAAGATGCATCCTCGCCCTCAGCAGCAACAATCTAAGGACGCCGAGGACGCCCTGATCGGCGTCAGCTACGAAGCCACGAAACAAGGTGATGTCCCGAAAATGGGCGGTCACGACTACCCACAACCCTCGCCAGCGGCAGGACTGGGGCCCCAGCCGTCCTACAGCATCTCTGCTCCCCGAGATCCACAAGTGATCTCCGACATGTCGATGTGGGGAAACAAGATGGGTGGCCTCAACATTCCTCCCGGCTTGGACGAAAAGAAAGCCAAGAAGCGCAGTTTCTTCGGCTTTGGGCCAAAGCAGAGGTCCTCGAGCGATGGCACTGACTCACTTTTTGGTGAGAGTTCCGGATCCCCAGGCACTTCGGGTGCGAAGGAGGTCTACTCTGGACCGGTTCGTCGAACCTTCGGCGCACCTCTCGCTGAAGCTGTGCGTTACAACCATCCTAGGGATACACGAGTACCACTGCCTGCTGTGGTCTATCGCTGCATACAATACCTGGACGCCAAGGGGGCCATTACCGAGGAGGGCATTTTCCGTCTCAGCGGTTCGAACGTTGTTATCAAGTCGCTGAAGGAGCGCTTCGACATGGAGGGAGACGTCAATCTGCTCGCAGACGAGCAGTATCACGACATCCACGCGGTCGCTTCAATGCTCAAGGCCTACCTGCGAGAGCTGCCAACCAGCATCCTGACTCGAGACCTGCATTTGGACTTCGTGGCAGTAACCGAGATGAACAGCCAGGCTGATAAGATCGCGGCGCTGAGCGAGCTCGTCACGAGACTCCCGCAGGCCAATGCCACTCTGCTGAAGTACCTGATTGCCTTCCTGATCAAGGTTATCAACCATGCCGATCAGAATAAGATGACCGTCCGTAACGTTGGCATTGTCTTCTCACCAACGTTGACTATTCCTGCGCCAGTCTTTGCCCTGTTCCTGCAACATTACGAGGCCATCTTTGGCATCGTTCCGGAGGAGTACGAACTACCCACACCGGGTTCGTTGGAAGAGCAACGTGGGAAGGAGCCCGCTCTCGACCTTCCCCCGCGACCATCAACTTCTGGCGCAGCCCGAGAATCTCCTCACCGTCACCGCCTCGCGGAATCACTTCAGGAGGGACGAAGGGGCAACACGCCGCCCCCTGCCAGCCTGAATCCTCTTGGCGGGTTCGCACAGGCCAGGTCCACACCGACACCTCCTCTCGTCCAGCAACGCACCTATGAGCCGTCATACTTGGCCCAGCAAAATGGCGGTGGTGCTAATCTTCACGTTCGTCCTGCATATGAGAGCGTGATGCTGGCCCCAGGCCCTGACTCTAGTCAGTTCTATGCACAGCAGCGCATGGTCAACCCAGGCTATGATCGGCCCATTTATGAGACTGGTGCTGCCTACGATCAACCACAGTCCGTCCGGGCTAGTCGTCGGGAAAGCTCCATGATGATGATGGGTGTTCCCAGGGGACTGACGCCACAAAGCTCCATGGGCCGCCTTAGGGAAGACCCTCAATTCTGATTTACGTACACGAAGCCTTACGAATGCCTTACTCTCAGCATCTGCTCTTGATGAAGCACCACCAGCAAGGAGCACGAATTTACGCGAATTGCCTCAATTCTATTTGCCACCCGAGATACCAAACACGCAGTCGTTTCCGCCCAGCGCACATCATACCCCATTGCATCAACATTGTGACATTGGTCTTCGAGGCTGCTAGCCCATGGGCACACGCAAGCACACGAAAACAAACGAAAATCCGAAAGTCAATCAAGCAGCCACAAGCCTACGGACTGGCGCCATAGCGGTAGCGAATCATTGAAAACCCACAAACACATCATACTAATAATTGGATAATCACACTCACTCATCTCGCACCGGCCTCACGGATGATACCAACATCAAAACGGCGTGGAGCATTGGCACTGATTGTTTGGGGTTTCTTTCTTGTATTTCTTTTCCCGTTCAGCTTTTCTTGTTCTTTGGAAATATCCATGATACCTGGAGGAAAGATGGAATGGGGCAACGAAAAGGGAGGGATGCCAAAGGCAACATGTATAACAAAAATATATGCGTCTCTACCTTACACCACCAATATCGCTGTCAGGCTCGGAGTTGACCAGACATAGAGCGGGTTCGGGGAGTGGCCTTAGTCTTTCCGTTCTTAAGAGTGGAGGATGGGGGAGGTAGACCGCCGCGCCGTGGTCACCTATTTTCTTCTTTTCTTTCTTGATTCCTGCACGGTGTTCGATGGTGTTGGCGGCGGCTGTCCTTTTCTCTGTCCAGCTCCGCACAACCAGCCTGCTGCTGTTACTGCCCCGAACATATACATATACATATCACTCGAAATTTGTCGTGGAAACATGCATGTCTATCTAGGTCTTGAGGAGAAGTCGCGAGTGATGAGAGAATATTATGAAGACAAGACAGAAAATTGACGAATAATTGACACTCCCTCCGTCTGACCTTGAACGGCTCGACTCTTAACTTGGCAGCCACCGTCAACGTCGTCATCCTAGCCCTGTAGCTTTGCGATCATGATGTAGAATGCCCCATGTACCCAGTCCACGCTGCGCTTCCCGGGCTGTCGGTAGGACTGTTGTACCTGAGACCTCGCTCGTAACCAACCTACTCCATATCGCAGCCCTTCATGATACCCCAAAAGAGCCAGACCGGACAAACGGCCGTCTGGGTGATGGTGCGCGGCCTCAAACAGGCGAGTGGAGAAAACCTCTTCGAGTCGCGGCAAACCAGGCCACGATCTCAATGAGGTTGGTCGCCCAACCAGGGAATTTAAACCCAGAGTCTGGCGAGCATGCCCGGGGCAACTGCGCCGCCACGGCACCGCCAGACTCTCTTTACCAACGTGTCATTTCTGACAACTGGACGGAGCTAAGTAGATAGGCCGCAGGCCACATGTTTTGTCTAGTCCCAGCTCATGTGCCTCTTCATACCGTAAGCTAGCCCAATGGTGCTGCTTACATAGCATCGGTAACCTAATGCTTGAGCCCTCGAGGTAGCCGCTTGAGCAGCCCGGGAATGGCGGGATCATCTTGCCCATTGTCAACCCGGCAGATAATACATCGTTAGGGAGGTCCTGCACTCGTTGCGAACGCTGGTCCGATGACAAGGGCAGTCGACGAAACACCACCCCGGGCCACGCTCCTGCACAAGGTGGCGACGACGACACGCTGCTGGCCGTGTGCGATCTGCCCGCCCACCACTGATTCCCTGGAAGCCGGGGGAGTTGCAGCAGTACCTTTTGCAAAACTCTTGGCCACCCATCTTCTGGGTGCCTCGATAACGCACAGTGTGCTCTTCTCCTTCCCCGTGTCCAACTAGGCAAATCGGACGACGGTGACTGAATTCCTCAGCAGAAAGGGGTCTGCCGGCTCGGTTTACCGTCCCCCAAAGTGCCCTTTGTATCGAACGAGAGAAAGGAGTTGTTCTTGTTACGACTTTTCGATGAAGGATCTTCCTCTTCAATCTGGATTAAATGAACCAACAGCGACAGGGTGCTCTCGCTTGGGGGGCCAGGGACTATCCAGACACAAAATTCCTCAGTCAGTGCATGACCGGCTAAGTGTCGGCGTCTAACCCCCCTGATCTTCCTTGTTACGACTTTTATCAAACTCGCCCGCCATCAAACGGCCAAATCCAGATCGCCCCCACATGATGACGGCGGTTGGATGATGGCACGCCCGGGGCGGACATGAGGTATGAGCCGGATGAACCCGCGTAACCGAGAGATCTTGCCGGTGGCTATGGCAAACTGTCAAGAAGAGCGACGGCTGTGCCATCAAGCTCTGACATTGCACAGTTCTGTGGCCGACCACGTTTGACACGACCACTCGATTGCACGGGCCATTGGCACTTCATTTGGACACACGAGGCCACCTGGACTCTGGCATGATGACCTCTGACCTTTGCAAAGCTCTGATGGTGACCGAACGGTGAGGGGCAGAACGGCGTGAGCGTCTGCCAGCCCAGCACCACTCATGGTCACGGTGGCAGCATCGGTCTCGGGTGCTTCAGTGATCCCTTTGGGAAGTCATTTGATCTGTGATTCAAACTCGGCACGTTTGGATACAGGCGTGGAATGTCGGTTAAGCCTCTCTGCCTTGTTGTCCGAGTGTTCATGTGGCACTCTGTGGCGCTCTGTGTTGATTCAAACTCGGAGGGTTGGGTTGTGAGGACGTGCGACAGCTCTGCTCCTTTAGCTCGAGTGCTCGACAGTGTTTGTTCTCGATTTGAGTTTTGTGGCGTATTGGATTTCCTTGTCTGTCTCCTCTTTTGTCTTCCCGGGGTGGCTGCAGCCGTGTTCGGGCCGAGTATGACAGCAGTACTCTCCCGTTGCCTTTGTATGACTTGTCGACAGCTGTTGGCAGCCCGCCGAGAATGTCAGCTCGGTTGTGTGGGGATCCGGCACCCCTTTTCTCGCTGGTCGCGATGGAACCGAGTGTCTGTTTCGGTGCATGATGCAGACGCAGTCGAGCAGAAGTTCTCACACTTTGCGGGACGAGGCCTGCGAGGGCAGTGGCCGCCCAGCACAGGCGTCGCTGCTGCTTCCGTCTGTGTGTTGAACAGCTGACTGTGCGGGCGGAATGATCAGTTCCAGCCTGCGACAGTTTGGGCAGCTAGACAACAAGACATGCGGCGCGGAACAGCGACCCCAAAAAAGGAAATGCGTCTCTAGGTTGGCTCTGAGCCCTGCAACTGAACCTCCCAAGAAGAAAGGGACAGTGACAGGGAGTCAGGTTCCCAGGCAACACCGCTTGGAGGTCTAGAGGCCGACTTCGATGCCCATGCTGTTGGAGGTTGAGGGGGTGCGGATGTGGCAATGCGGGAAGAAGGATAGGGAGGTGTGTTGCGTGCGAGTGCATGTGTGTGTGTGAAATGAAGGTGGGAAGAAGGTGCAATCTGGTGGATCAAGGGAGATGGCTGTCATATAAAGATGGCCTGTTAGCGGGCGAGCTAGTCTCGCTTGCGTGATAAGCTAGGCAGTGCCGCTTTCGACGGGAGATGATGCTAGCGTACATGGAAGATTGGGGGTCAAGTGCCAGCAGGAAGGCTGAAGGCTGGATGTGGGGTTGGGGGTTGGGGTTGGACAGCTGCGGGAAAGAGGTGGGGTTGGGTGTGGGGTGGCCCGTGCTCCACTCTCAGTCTTGGTAGGCTACTTGTCGGATCCATCGGTGGACGGGCCCTTGGATCACCGTCTTACGTCGGTCTTTCCTCTCTCACAAGCGCCGTGGTCCGATCCGACAGCTCTTGGGACCAACAGGCAGAGAGACAAGCTGAGCCGAGTCGTGTGTCCTGGCCTTGCCGCTCTGCCGGCAAGCATCATGGTCTGTTTGGCCGTTCGATAATTATACCCCCCATATCATGTGCAACAGCTAGCTGCCAAAAAAAAAAAAGATCGTCAACCATGGATTCCGCCGCCTTGGATCCACGCCTACGCAGCCCTCACGATTCCTCATCAATATCCGTTTCCGTCGCCCCGGCTGCGTCATGTTCGTCCTCGTCCTCGTCCCGGTCGCCATCTAATTCAACTCCTACCTCTACCTCCATCCCTGCCCCAGACCCAAACCCAAACCCAAACCCCACAGCCAGCGGGCCCGGCTCTGGAATAGCGGCCATCGGGGATACATACATCAACGGCTCCGTCCCGGGCGCGGGCCAGGTCGGAGCTCTACAAGCCGCCGCCCCTGCGCCATCCTCTGCCTCTACTCATACCCCAAGCAATGTCCCGTCTCCCGAGCTGCAGCGCATGAGCCAAGGCGTCAACTTCCACACCGCATACTCACAGGCACCTACAAATGCACCTGCACCCCCCCTCCCGGCTTCATCCGCCACAGCCGCCCTCCCTGATGATTCTGGCGATCATGACAACTCGGGGGCCGATCCCAAGAAGGCCAGGGCCTGTGAGGCATGTCGAGGCCTCAAGGTCCGCTGCGAGCCTGTGGCCGAGGACCCTGACGGGGCATGCAAGAGATGCGCCAAGGCTGGACGCAACTGCATCATCACTCAGCCCACCAGGAAGCGCCAAAAGAAGACGGACAATAGGGTGGCCGAGCTGGAGAAGAAGATTGATGCTTTGACTGCTACCTTGAGCGCTACCAAGGCTGGCCAGGCTGGCACCTCCCTCTCCGCTCATCCTGAAGCCGCCACCGGGTACTACGGCGCACCTGGAAATGGTCCTCCCAGGAGCTGGAACGTCGTCGATGGAATGTCCAGTTACGGAAATAATGCAGGACACTCACAGGGTTCTTCATCTTACAGCGCACCACCAGCAGCCCTGGCCGGTCAGAAGCGGAAGCACACTGAGTTGGCTGAAAATGGTGGCGACGCTCCAGCATTTCCAAGGAGCCATGAGTACCCTGATCTCGTTGATCGCGGTATCATTAGTATCAACAAGGCGGCTCAGCTATTGGATCGGTACAATTTCCAGATGGCGCCTCATCTACCCGGTGTCGTCTTCCCTCCCCACCTGACCGCCGGCGAGCTCAGGAAAACGAAGCCAGTCCTGTTCCTTGCCATCATGGCCGCTGCTTCTTCTGGCGCTCCCGAAATACAAAAAGTCGCTGTCAGAGACCTCATGCAGACTTTCGCCGACAGGATCGTCATCATCGGCGAAAAGAGCATCGAGCTGGTCCAAGCCTTGACTGTTGCCGTTATGTGGTACTGGCCACCAGAACACCTGGAGGAACTGAAATTCTACCAACTTGTGCACATGGCCATGATCATGGCCCTCGACATGGGCCTGGGAAAACGCAGACCCAGGGGTAGCAAACCAACCCTGTGGGGTGCACAACCTTCCAAGAGGCATCCTCAACCAGACCCAACCACCATCGAAGCCAGACGAACCTGGCTTTTGTGCTACTACTTGACTGTCAACACGGCCATGGCTCTGCACCGACCATACCTGCTCAGATGGACGTCGTTCATGGCCGAGTGCATGGACATTCTCGAATCTTCACCAGAGGCTGCGCCCACGGACAAGTATTTCTGCCATCTCGTGTGGACGCATCAACTGGCAGAAGAGATCGGCTTCCAGTTTTGCATGGACGACCCTTCCGTCTCAGTCAACCTGTCAGATCACATGACACAGCACAGGATCAGGAGCTTCGAGCGGGAGCTCGATAAACACAAGACACAGGTTCCAGCAGAGCTGATGCAGCGTACGTGCGATCGTTCACCTTCGTCTGCCAACTCTGGATTTGCTAACATTAAACAGCATCACTTAAGCTCAGCTTCCACACCTTGAGCCTATATGTGCATGAGCTTGCTTTACAGACGGACCCGGCCGATGCCTTCAAGGAACCGTTCCCCTCCGAGAACGTCGTCAATAATACAGCGCTGACTCCAGCCTATACCAGCGCCCTGGCGGCCTGTCTGACGGCGATTGATGGGATTTTCGACACATTCTTGGGAATGGACCCGTCCAGTATACGGTGTCTTCCCGTGTTCAACCTCGTACGGGTGTCTTATGCGACGGTCATTCTCATCAAGATACATTCCGCCGCCTCTAATCCCTCGTCGGACCTGGGGAAGGTCATTGACAAGGACAGCCTGAAGGTGGAGCAGCATTTATCGAGTCTGGCTGAGAAATTCCGTCTTATTGCCGCTGATGACAAGAACCACCCAGCTTCCAATTTTCTTACTGTTGTAGTCATGGTGCGGTCTTGGTTCCTCAAGTTCAGTCAGGGCCAACTGAAGCGTGGCGCCGCCACAACTGATACCTCGACGACTGTGGCAGGGCCAGGCCGAGCAGACAATACTGCTCAGGCCAGCAGCAACCCTTTGCAGCTTCTATCCGAAGCGGCCACAAACAATCAAGCTGCTGTCAGCGGACTCCCGCAGAGCGGCAAAGACAAGACGGATGCCGGCACGGCGTGGAGCCGTTCCTCTTCGAACGAGGCAGATCCAAACCAAAAGACTAATGGTGGTGGAAACAGCAACATGCCGCCACCTCCTAGTCCTCAGGCACAAGCACATCCTCATCAACACGGCTTTGTCGGCGGCACACCTGCTCTGTGGCTCAACTTCGGCTCGGACTTGGACCCCGGCAACCTGACTGACGGGTTCACGCAAGCTTGGAATCTGACCATGGAAGGCCTCGGTGACGGGCCGAACGGCCTACAGGACTTCTACAACTTTGCACTCGGGATCCCTGACCCGCTACTCGGCCCGGCTGGGGCCCAGATGCCTGGCCCAGATACGTTTCAATCTTAGGGGTGGCACATACAGCATGGATTGTGTCTGATGGGCAATTTTTCGTATGTCATGATGTGGAGCTTAGGCGATTGACGCCCGTGTCTCCGAATGCTCGACTGGCGTGGCCTGCAATGCTCTCTGCGAGGGTTCGGCTTAATCTAAGCAGACCCGTTTCAACAAGACTGACCTCGAAAACCATATATTGTACGATTGCGCGGCGGTGTTTTTAGGCTGGGGGTGCTTATTACAGCATATATCTTTTGCAACATCACTCTAGCTACTTGTATTTTTGGAGCATTGGACTTGCGGGGATCATAAAGTAGGCGCATTCTGGTGCAAGATGTTGAAGGCGTCTCTCTTGACGGACTTCATCTGCCATACTGTAAAAGGCTACAGTGTGGTCAACTGGGAAGCAACGAGGTTGGGGTAATATGGTCGATTGGCCAGAAACAACTCTTCTCATTAACGAATCACATGTCCATCAATCAATGCACGACAGGTCTGGGATTGTCCCTCACTACTTTGCTCACCGTTTCTGTTCTGAAACTTAAACTGTCGAGGTCATTAACGGGCAGCTTCAACACGCCGCGTAATAAGCGCATTGCGTGATCTCCCCCGCCAATGTGCTTTGTAATACGGACTCCCTTCATACATCTGTATGCTCTGAAGCTTTCAATTCCTGGGGGTTGATCAGGGTACAGGTCAACTTCCATCATACGAAAGTAATTATTTGAGTCAGCAAGTATTCACAATGAAAGTGGTAAACTACGCCGCCTGGATCCCGTCCCACGGCGCCCAGCTGGAGGTGGCCGACGCACCGTTCCCCGCCGACATCGCCGACGACGAGGTCGTCATCAAGAACAAGGCCGTCGCCGTCAACCCGGTCGACTGGAAGATCCAATCAGCGCCGGAGCCCATTTTTGACATTAAATATCCCTACATCCTCGGCTCTGATGTCGCAGGCGAGGTCGTTGGGGCCGGCGCAGCCGTGAGGCACCTCAAGAAGGGCGACCGCGTCATCGGCCACGCCCTGGGCCCTCACGTCCGGCGGCGCCCCGTACGGCGGGTTCCAGCTGTACCCCAAGCTCAAGGCCGTCACCGTCGCCAGGATCCCCGAAACCATCCCTTTCGAGCAGGCCGTCGTGCTGCCGCTCTCGGTCTCGACCGCCGCCGCGGGGCTGTACCTAAAGGACACGCTGGGGCTGCAGGTCCCTTCGCCCCCGAGCAACGGCGCGGGCACAGGGCTAGAGAAGCAGACGAAGAAGAAGGAGACACTACTCCTCTGGGGCGGCTCGTCCTCGGTCGGCAGCTCCGTGGTCCAGCTGGCCGTCGCGTCCGGGTACGACGTCGTGGCGACGGCCTCGCCCGCAAACTACGGCTACGTCAAGTCCCTCGGCGCGACTTACGTCCTCGACTACCACAACCCGGACATCATTCCCATCCTGACCGGGCTGCTGAGGGCGTCGGGCGCCCGCCTCGTCGGCGTACGACGCCATCGGCCTGGACGCCACGGTGCGCGCGAGCGCAGCCGTCGTGGGCGCGCTGGGCGGGGGCAGGGTGGCCAGCGTCGGGGCCGCGCCTGAGGATGCTGGGGGCAAGGGTAAGGGTGTGGCGGTCGTGAGGATCGGGGCGGCGAACCTCGTGGCGAGGGAGCCTGAGGTCGCGCAGGCGATCTGGGGGGAGTATGTCCCTGCTGCACTGGAGGCCGGGACCTTGGTGCCACGGCCCAGGGAGCTGGTTGTTGGCCGGGGGCTGTACTTTGTCCAGAGCGGTCTGGATACCAACAAGGCTGGTGTGAGTGCGGCCAAGGTGGTCATTACGCTCTAAGGTGATTGAACGCTGGGAAAGCGCATGGCTTGACTCTATGAGATGTCTGCTGGGACACTGGCAAAATTCACTTCCAGCTATGAGAGGTTGATATTTTCAATGGAAGTGAGAGGAAAGTCAATTTGATTTGACTGTCTGATCTGAGCCCAGATATTATTTCTCCTACCATCTCAGCCACAATTCTGCCTGAACGCCGTTAAGGCATATTTCCTAAGGCAGACAACACATTCGAGACCGGATTTGCCGCAGGGTCGCAACAGTGTGAGAATTCTAATCCGGAGCAACTTCCCATGATATGACAGAGCCTAGCCTGGACGATTTTGGCTGCTTCGTGCAATACGATGAGATGTCTTCCTAGGCAGTTTTTTTTTTTTTTTTTAAAAAAAAAAAAAATCCGGCTGCTGCATATTTGATTAGTGACACTTCTGCATAGGTAGACAGTACGGCGGTTCGTAAAGCCGTGCGCGCTGTTTCTCAGTGTTTCACTAGTCCTCAATACTATTTGACTCTGGCTTCCTCATTCATCAATAGAGAGCCGGTGAAAACCTTCAGAGCTTGTAGGTGGACAAGACATTACTCAAGTGACATATACCCGTACATGACTTCTTCATTAAGCTGACCTTACATGCCCAGCCTGTTGTTGAGGCACTCCACATCTTGTAGAGGAATCAGTCATGTTCAGCCTGTCAATACTTACATTTGACACAACTGTGTGCCTCTGATCAGCTGGAAGCAAACGTGCAAGGTCCCTCAGTTTCAACAAACTTTGGCCTACGGCCTCAAATTGTGCCCTTCTTTGATGACTCAGACAGAAAAGTTCAGGTGGCACCGTATGGGAGACGGAATTAAATCCATTGTTATCTCTCATTTGTGCAACAGGGGTTGGAGGAGAACCATCAATGAAAATCAAACTTCTTGTGCCAACAGCCCACCGAAAGTAGAGCTATCATTATCTTGCAGATCGACTCTTTGCATTAGGTCGTCTCATTCCCCGAGGTCAGACATTATAGCCTCAGCCAAGAAGCAAAGCACTGCCACTCTTTGTTCCCCTCAACTTTTATAGTAGAAAGTTGTCCAACAATTCATACCCAGTTCTGAGTTTCTCTCTGTTTACCAACCTCCTTTTGCTTCAAATCTGCCATTCTCATGCCATTAATGTCATAGCACTTTCACTTTCATTCCAATAGTGCAAGGAAGCCTGGTTGATCTGACTGAGAGATGAAGTCTGGTCTTATAGTTACCAAAAAGCCTGTATGTCTATAGTATTAAGGTGAAGTATACTCAACATGATCAGTTTCCTCTGACCCATGGCAAGATCACCTCATAGTCACAGATCATACACAAATCTATGAGTTGGAAAGAATGAACTTGGAGAACTTCATGAAGTGATGAGCACAAAACCAGGAGGCTTACTTGAATTACATGAGCCAAATGATCCTCATTCAAGCAAGAGCAGCACAGCCCAGGCATGCTCTGTACTTACAAACAGATGGAATAAGTTTTCATCCCATGTAAACCAGTGAGCACGTTGTGAGCTTACATGGCTTTCCACCTTCACACCCACTGAGCCAAAGGTGAGTTTCGACGACCTGCCTTTCGATCTTTTCTGATCTCTTGCACCCAGCCGTCCCGACTCCCTCCCTCAACGCCGACACCACCACCACCACAGCACATCGTCTTGATCATCGGGCATCATCATGGCGCCCCCTAAATCATATGCCGAGATCGTACAGGGTGCGCGTCGTGCTCCTCCTCCCCCAGCGCCGCCCCTCCCAGTGCTGTACCCGTCCACCTCATCCTCGAGGACGGTGGAGGTGGCCGCCGCCACCGAGCAGCAGCCAGAGCAGCAGCAGCAGCAACAGCCACAGCCGCAGTCACAGTCACAGCCGCAGCCGCAGCCTGGTGTCGGTGGTACTGCGACCAGCCGATCTTATGCGTCGGCTGTCAAGGGCAGCCACAGTAAGTTTCTGCGAGCTTTGACGAAATGACGGCGACATCATCCCCTGAACCACTTTCTTTCTTCCAAAAACTGACCCCATCTAGGCCCACCACCACCTCCTCCACCTCCTCCACCTCCGCCGCCGCCGCAGCAGCAGCAGCAACAAAGACAGCCAACACCACCACCGCTGTCGCCATCACCACCACAAGAACCATCGCCATCACCACAAAAGATGGACTACAAGGTCTCAAAGGACCTTCCGGCGGTGCCTGCGCCTGCGCCTGCCCCGGCGGCCGCGAACGCACCATCTGGTGCGAACGCGCAGTAAGTACATTTCCTCAGTTTTCGCGTCACAGTTTTCCCACCCCAAGCAGTATCTCAGTCTTTTATATGTTTCCTTCACGATGAGTCACTAACGGCGAAATCTCAGCCTCTGGGCAAAGCCCGACGGCCATGACCTGGTCGTCGTCTGCGGGAAGAACGGGTGGATGGTCCACCGACATGTTCTGGTGGGCATGTCGGAGGGGTGGATGGAGAAATACCTTCCACCAGCGAACGACGATGTGAGTTCTCTGGAAGACACATAACCTCACTAGCAAGGCCACGAGAAGCTGACGCATAAGCAGGGCACTCCAGTCTACTGGATGCTGGACCCTGTTGCCTGGAACCCAGGCAGACTTGAAGCGATTCTTCGCTTCATGTACCTCGAAGGTATGTCTGAAATGGACCTGTCAGTCACTCTCAAACACTGTTTACAGCCAGCTGACTCTTCCTTGTATTAGAGTACCCGGGGGGTCGTTACGACCCCAAGAAGCCCTTGGCGACGGAGTGCATCATGCACAACGTCGCCCACTACATCGCTGGCGCTGCTGTGCTCTGTCGTCCAATGATGGACTATGCGCTCGACCGTGTCGAAGAGGCAACGGCCGAGATCGTCAAGAAGCTGCCCAGCCTCCGACACGCCCAGCTCGAGAGCTTCGAGTACGGAATCCGCATGGCGCTGCTCAACATGTACGCCGAGCCTGACCAGTGGCGGATCCGAGCACTCCGCATTGTCATTGGAAAGCTCATGGCCGCCTGCTTTCACATCATCCTCCAGAGCCCAGGCTGGGCTCAGAAGTTCGAGAAGCTCTGGGGCGCCCTCCGAGTCCGCGTCGTCGCTGACCACAAGTGGCTGTACCAGGCGGAGCTGTGTGAGAGAAACGCCGTCATCATGTACGGATTCGAGAACATGAGGATCCTCTGGGCGAACTATCGGGGCGGAAATTGGCAACCTGCGGACGATCTCATGTTCCCAGAGGACCAGGTCGACACCCTGCCAAAGCCACCACCCCAGTCCCCTCCCTCCACTCCCCCCCGCAAGAAGAAGATGTCCAAGGCCATTCCCATCATCAGCCCTGGCGGAACGATCGCTCCCCGCCCCAGTACCATCCCTCGCGGCCGAGGCAGAGGACGAGGTGTGCCCACCGGGCTTGTCGAGCCAGCCCCTCAACCTGCTCGTGGCAAAGGAAAACAAGTCAAGAAGGCCCAGGGCCCCGAGAAAGCTGCTACCGGGCCTACTGAGGAAGCTGCACCATCGTCGACCACCAACGCGGCACCAACTATAACCCCTGGAGCTAGCAAAGAAGGTGGCCCATCTTCCGCCGCCTCTCGAGACGATCCATTCGCCTCTGATGCCGCCAATATTGCCTACTGGGCTAAAATCGCTTCCCAGTCCAACTTCCCTCTTCCCGATCTCGGTTCCCCCCCGCAAAGCGGCCCTTCAGCAAGGCGTACCTCATCTCCCACCCGCCCGTCGTCTTCTTCATCGGCGCTGTCCGCCACCGCCGAGCCTTTCCTCCCAGGCGGACCACTGCATTCAGCCGAGTCTTCCGCCCGCAAGCGTTCGTCTTCGATCACCCAAGCAGACGCCCAGACCTCAACCGACTACCTCGAGTCCCCCGTCCCGCCTGGCCGAACTGTACGACATCGATGACGATGAGCTGGACAAACACCAGGGAAAAGGCAAGGGAAAGGAGGTTGCAGGCCCCGCCACACCTGGCTCGTCATTCAGCCACAGCGAGGGTATGGAGACGACCAGTGAGCCGTCCAGCCAGCAGCAGGCCACCGGACAGATGACGCTCGACCTCTCGTCCCTCGACTTCAGCAAGAACGACGACGAGAAGACGCCGTTCTGCCTCACCCTCCCACGGAAGCCAGAGTGAGAATGACATCTGAGTCTGTCACCTGCTTCACTCCGCATTATCATTACCTTTACGCGAAGTCTGAACGACCTGCCGAACAAAGAGCGCGGTATCGACATCGCATGTGTTTACAGGCTCGAGTATGCCTCCGCACGACGACGTCACAACGAGCACGGCACGGCACTGCATGGCACGAGCACTTTCTGCATTTTTGGGAGATACCCTGATACCCTTTCGACTTTGATTTTCACTTTCAGAGACCATCCTTCTTCTGCTTTCGCCGACAGGAGGCAAGCAGAAATTGTGGCTGCGGTCCAGCCAGCTTTGGAACGGCGGCATGACTGTGATGCTGCTTACGATTCTTACGACGACATTTTCTGCTGCCTTTCGACTGCTCTCCTGCGATCTGACTCACTCAACGAGAACTCATGCCTGCAACCTTCCCGCTCGATTTCACGGATATGATCATGTTTATCAGCCCGATACGGCCAGGCATTGGGGACCAGAGACAGAAAGGAAGAAGCAAGGAACATGAGAGGTAGCATGTTTTGATTTGAGCATTGGCGACGTTGAGGCCACGTCTGTTTGGAAATACTGGCCGTTTTATGACTCTGAACGTCGGTCTTCACGAAAAGAAAGGGGGGCGAAAATGAATGACTGCATTGGTCTGGAGTCGATGAAAAGCAACTGAATGGCATGGCATGGCCTGCCTGTTGTCTTGATTTTTGGTTTTCGAGGTTCGTTCAGGTTACAGGGACGGAAATACCACCGTTTGTTTATGACGTTTCCAAGGGAGACATTCTGGCGTTTGAGGAGGACATTTGGATCAACCACGGTCGGTGCGTTGCCGATGTCTTTGGAAGGGGATCCAATGTCTTGTTTGTGAATGAAGTTTTCCATTATTCCGAGCTGATGAGGTTCAAAGTGTGAATGTGCTTGTGATACGAATGACTGACTGGCCGTGTCCGTGAGCAAGATGCAGTTGGCAATTAGAAGTTTGTTGCCTGCCTGCTTGGTCCAGTATCACGAAGAAACGCCTTGATATTAGGATGGCCTTCACGCCATACGGCGTGTCACGGTCAATGGGGCGGTCTAGTATAGCGAACCCGGCTCACATTTCTTCTGTTGGGTCCAAAAGGACGTGGGCGAATTGGTCAGGGCGTAAACATGTCAGGCATAGCAGCAATCATCTTTGCGGAAGGCGGGCTCATCCATCAAGACGTCTAGCAGTTGACCGTGCACGGCGAAATGGAAAATGTGATACAGAGTGCAGTGAAAGCTCTCGTGGCCATAGACCATGCTCTCAGTTGGCTTGTGCCTTCGTATCTATCCTGACCCTGGTCTGCGTAAGCTCTGTGCGATAGACGTATTCGTCGTAGAGAAGCGCCTCGGAGATATTAAAAGTCGAGTTATTGAGGTTACTTTCTCGCCGCCATTGAGACAAGCAGTAGCTCCAGGGGTCGAAGCTTGCACCGGAATCTTGGGTCGCCTTCCCGGATCAAACACTACATCTACGGAGCTGAACATGTCGTGCATGTTTGACTCAAAATGGGGTTCCTCGAAATCGGTTCAACAACACGCCGTAGGAGGATCTGTGTATCCCAGCAGCCTCGTCAGCTGGTCGCGTGCCCCCCATTCTACCACAAAGCAAGGCCCAATGGCAACGATGGTTCGTGTACCGAGATCATGGGTGAAACCTCATCACTGTCGGTGCTCTGTTGCTTTGGCCGTCGGCCGGATCTGATCTGTGCAAAGGCAAGATGCAGGATGCCACCTCTAGGCTGCGTGTGTGGTCGGGAACTCGGGGATTAGTGATGATAAGCTTTCTGACAGGTTTGGGGCTGGCCACTGGGCCGGAATGCCGTGCCAATGGGCCAAAAGTCAATTCTGGAAAACCGTCAATGCGAGGGGCCGTGTCGAACAAGAGAACAGAACAACAAAAACTAATTCTACTGGAACGGCCCTATGGCGAAGACAGGCCCGTCCGCGCAAAGACACTCGTCTCGTGGGCCAGATATGATTCTGGCGATGAACCTTTTCCTCTCGCCGGAGAGATTCTGTCCCGGGGTCCCGCTGCGAGCCCAAAGGCTTACTCGATATTAGCTGGTTTCGAAAATGGACAGTTAGAATGCCATGTGCGCGGCGCCAACGTCAGCTCACGTAACCTTGATAGCTACCCTCCGAGCGTTATGCTTTTTGGCAGGGCGTTGGGTGGTTGTCGCAAGTCCGAACCTTGCGCGGTCATGCTTTTGTACGACACCGGGCGACAGACGGACTTTGAGCTGAGGACCGGCCTCGTCGTTCTAGGCCTCTTGCTGCAGGACGCCATGCTCCAGCCTCGAGCATCTAGAAAGTCAAAGCACCTTCCACCGGCCATCGTCGAGCTCGGACGTGGCACTTGTGATATCGGCCGTGTTACCTTGTGGAGGGGAGGGTCGGCGCCGACGCCTCGCCGACCTGCCTAGAAGAAGAGGGCTACGGAAAGACATCTGGTCATTCTTGGCCCCACGCGCTTGAGAATCGGCAGATATATCAGACCAAGAGAATCGAGTCAAGCGGCCTTGGTCTGGGATGCTTGGACGATGCCTGCTGCCAAGCTCGAGCCAAGTTCGAGAGGGCCCTGCTCTTCTTGCATCTGGAAGCCTGCACTATGCACAATGCAGAGGCAGAGTAGACGAGTCACGATGTGCAGGCTGGAGAGGGGGCGGGCTACTAGTAGAGTGTACAACAGAGTTCGCTCCCCACCGCAGGTTTCAGGGGCGCAGGCCAAGGCGACTGTGTGCTGAACGTAAATACACACACACACACCTCTATGTGGAGCGGCAGGCGCGTGGCGAGAGTTGCCCTCGCTGCTATCCCGCAAAGGGCCTCGGTAGGGCACAAAAGCAGCACTGCCACGAGGATGGGAGGCAAATCAGACGCCCGCCCTCGAACGGTACAATAGAGGAAGGTAAGGCTCAGTGGGACAGCAGCCCTAGGGCCAGCCTCAGCCAATGTCGTCCTGGGCGCATTTCCGCCCGTAGGTGGTCTTGAGACGGAAGGCAGTGGCACGACGCAACCTATATTAGGCGGAGGTAGTCATTGGACAACCCGTGCATGAGATGGTGTGGGACGTGCAGACTAGTTGTGCAAGAAAGATGGTAGAGTATGCAGTATGGCTTACAGAGGACCACGTTAGGGCGGCCACCCAGACGCTACCCACTCGGCTCCAGCCTCGACGAATTGTTGATGTTATAGTCTACCATAGTCAGCAATGCGGACGAACGAGTCTATAGTCTACTGAAGCAGGCTAATAAGTTGGCTCGATCCAACATGGCGCCACCAAGACCTTGGAATCCCATCGAGCGGGCAGAACGGGCTAGAGGGTAGCTGCAGCGCTACTGCACTGGACTGACAGGCCAACGGCGGGTGCTGCCACCTGGTGGAACCCCAAGACCACTAGTCTAGGTACCTGGGTGTCATGGCATATGTAGGGAAAAGGGTGTTTGAACAAGATGGTAGCGCAGCCGAAAGCACCAAGGAGATTATTATGGGGTTCAAGCAGCTGGCAGTCCAAGCCCGCGAGCTTGTTTCAAGCCAAGTGGCACACACGCTCACGAAGGACCACTTGGCATCAAGCAGATGACCCATGATCGACAGTAGCGGAACCTTGATACCGAAATGGCGATGGATGATCGATCGGGGCATGAGACGGGTCTGGCAAAGGACGGTGAGTTGGCAGCTGGCAGGCTGGCGGGGTGGCCGCGGAGCCGGAGACCGGTCTGGCTGTTGACTGTTTGATCGTGTGCGACGGAGTGACGTGCCAGCCCGGACAGCAGATCGACGGGAAGACACTCGCTACTGTGACGGCTGTGAGCATGGAAAGGGACGCGTCTGATGAGATATCACTGCTTGTTGCAGAGGACAAAAAACAAAAAGGATCAGAGGGCTTGCTGTCTGACAGTGAGACAGACAAGTGGGCGGCGTCTGGTGTTGGTTGGAGGACCAGACTGCCAGCTGCAGACCAATTCAGACCAGACCAGAAGGAGGACGGACCGTGATGAGGAAGAGGACCAGGGCCCTCGTTGGGACGGTCGAAGGCTGAAAGAAGGGAAGGGGATCAGCCCCGGCCAACCCTCCCTTTCCTTATCGATTTACCCCACACATTAGACTGATTCGCCAAACGCTCGAGATTGGGCCCACAGTGACGTTTCCCCCGCGTTTGCACAGAAGGATAGCCGGCACTAACGGCCTCCCACCCCCTGCTAGCGCCGAAGCTAAGATGCACGGACGATATCACCTCATACGCTCAACTATCTTACCAGACGCCCTCATTGGCCTGTGGCGGTCTGCACCCTTCGTGAACCCATGCCGTCCAGGGGCACCCATCCATCCGTTCCGCCTGCATTCCACTGAGATCCCCGTCCTCACTGCCTGCTTCCATCCTCCTCCTCCTTCTCGACAGTCAACCCAGTCAGTCGTAGTCATCAGGCGTCAATCGACAGCACGACCTCACTGACTTGTCCAACAACCATCTTCATTCCCCTCCAAACCAATCTCATCTCTCCTTTTCTTCCCTCTTCCCCCCCTTCGCACACCTCATCATCTCGCATTTTGCAACCAGTTCGACCATCCACTTTTCACGCACCAACCATCCAAGCAACCCATATTTCTTGCCAGCTCCAGTCCTTTGGTGCTCCGGTCCTTCAGTCCTTCAGTCCACCAGCGCCCTCATACCTGCAAGAATTCCAACCACACATCGACACTTGTCCCTTGGCGTTCCAGTCTCGTGCATCAGCCGTTGAACCCTGGATTGCGCGTCTTGCATCGCAGAACAAATCAACAGGGGCTCATCACAAGTCAGAAAAGCCGACTGGCATCTATCTGTCTTTCCCCACAATCTCAGCACCAAATCTCAGGGGGGATCTTGCCGACAGATCCTTTTCACGACACCTCTCCACCAGCACACAGCCAACAGCACACGGTTCCACTCTTTTCCTGCGGTGTCTTGACTCCTGTCTTGACTCTTTTGCCAATTCTCGCTTCAAGTGGTTGATACTCCGGCCGTCACGACCTGGGGCTCACGGCGACTCGTACTCGTTGATGACGAGGAGCTGCTGCGTTTAAAGCAAAGCCCCCGTTCTAGAAACCCGCCTCGAGAGGCCACCTTTTCTGCGGACCCGCCTACGCCACCAGGTGACGGAGTTAGCCTCGCCCGAATACCACGGGCTTCTCAGCTGATTGAATCCCGACTCTCCTTTCTCGTCAGTCCACCAAGGGCCCTTCTCGCATTTGTTGTTGTGCTTCGCCTCATCCCGTCTGCCCGTGTCTTCGACCGCCTTATCAGTGGGCAAGACAAAGGAGAGACATTTCGCAGCAAACCATCGCCCCCCGGTCGGCTCAACCACGCACATTAAAGCACAGGCGATCCCTGGCTAGCCTCTGAGCTCATCGTTCGACCCTGCAACGGGCTACGCTCTGGCGCCGCCTCTGATTTAGAACACTCAACATATTGACGTTTCACTCTCCACTTTACTCTGCTTCCGGTGTCGCACAATCCTCGAACCATCCACTACCAAAATCATATCAGGCAATCGTCCCATCGCCGCAACTCGAGCCTCGCCGTCGCCTTACCCTTACCCACCACCTGCATTGTGCCCCTCCGTCTTGCTCCTGTGGCCCTTTGATATAATACTTCGTGCCCTGAGCAGTCAGTCCCACACACTCCTTCCAAGATGTCTTCAGATACTCCCAACTCCAACAACACCACCAACTCCTCCAGCTACAACCAGAAGCCTCCTTCTCCCCCGCCCGCCGACATGCAGCACAATCGCCGTGGTTCCGTCACTTCCGCTGCCTTCGCCAACCTCTTCCAGCGGAGCAACTCCACCACCGTTGGCACCCCTGTGTTCCCTGGTGCCATCACGTCTGCTGCCATCAACGAACAGCGCCGGAGGCTCTCTGTGTCCACAACTTCCCTCGGACTGTCGGGCACTTCGCCGACTGGCAACCCTGCCTTCAACCGCCGAGCTAGTCTGTCCACCAACAACTCCGACTCTGTCGATGAGAACGCCATCGAGGAGGAGGACTACTCTTCCACCTCCCGCACTGCTCCGGTCTCTCCCTTTGCTCGTAGGATGAGCTTCGGAGCCTCGGCAGCCATGCGTCGCCCTGGCGGTGGCAGCCCTGGAACAGGCAATGGTAGGCCTAACACTCAATCTCCTGGTGATGCCAATTCTCCTTCCATGCAGCGTCGGGGCACTGTTGCTGGGCCTCTCCCCCCTGCCGACAGCGCCGCCGCGTCTGCGACGTCCTGGAAGTCCCAATCTTCCACTGCGCCTCAGGCGAAGCCAAGCAATCCAAACAGTTCAAGCAATACAACACGTCCCAGAGCCGTTTCTGACTTGTTCTCCGCTACTCCAAAAGACCAGGGCTTCAACTGGTCGGAGCAGCTTAGGTCCCGTGCCGAAAGCACCGTTGCATCGGGCCAACGCCCTTCCTTCTCTTTCGCCTCGGGCATGACCGGCTCGCCTCCTCGCACTGGCGCCGTCGCTCCCCCAAGCACCCATGACCGCAATAGGTCTGTGTCTGAGATGCCCGCCCCGCCGGCACAGACACCCAAGCCTAGGTCACCGCCGCGGGACACCCGCCCCAAGCCCGACGCCTTCCAAGAGCGGATCCTGAAGGGAGACTTCTACATGGATTGAGAGCAGAGCGTTTGTACACTGCGTTACAGACAAGACGACTATTGCGATCACAAAACACTGCTGTACGATTGAGCGAAGGCGGCGTAAAAGGGACCAAAAGGCAGGGTTTGTCCATGTGTGCATATCGCACTTCTACCACTGCATCGCGGCGGCGTTTCGGAAGCACACCAGCTTTCTGCGATAAAACACACTCGCTCTGGGCCATATTTGAGCTCTAATCGGGGCGTCAGGAGTCCTGTCCCCCCTTCCTCGGCCAAGAGGCTCGGGTTCCCCGTTTTTGTCATGGGGTTTTATCACCACTGGACCAAGGTCTCTCTTTGGAACGGACGCTTGTGTAAGGTTTATCAAAAGACTAAAACCAGAACGTTGGCATGAGAGAATAAGCCAAGATCGGGCCGACGGGGCGTTTCAACGGTTGCTGTGCCGGCGTTTGTGGTTACACCCATGGTCGACACCGTGTGCATGGTTCAAATTGAAGGGAATAGGCACGGCAAAAGGGCACTGCTCAACTGAGGCATTGGGCAACATGTGATGTTTAACTAGCTGTCTACAGCATGCCGGAGGCTTTGTTTGCAGAGGAGTTTGGCTTCATTGCAGAGCTGATCTGTGGGGAAATGGGGGGATTTACTTGGCGGTTCTGACTTTGGGAAAGGACAGAAAGGTGGTCCAGTCTGGCGTTCCGGTACCTCACCAGATTGACACACACTGGCTTGTTGAACCAATTGTTCCAAGCTCGAACTGAAATGAAATGAAAACTGTAAAATTAAGAAATACACTCTGTAACTCATTTCACGTGCCAGTACAGTGAGACGCATTTGACATGCTATTTTGATTGGCCCGCCTGCAGAGCATATAAACATGAAGCTCTAGTACCGTTGCTACCGCGGTTTCGTTGGGACTGGTTTGAGTGGCTATGCTCTCCCTCTATCTCTGTATCTCTATCCCACCAAATAAACGCCCAAGACTCCTGGCTCATCAAAGTAGCTCCCACGAATGGGGCACGTTCCGTGAGGCATGCAAGACATTTCGCCTTCCCCCCTGTTCCGGTCGCGCCCAATGGTGACGTGCCTGGCGTTCCCTTTCCATACGCGGACGTGGCCGGTTATCGAATGATGATGGGGACAATGGAGATGCAATGCAACTATGTCCCTGGCGCTCGTCGACCAATCCCTGTCCGTACAGCAGGATAGACAGGGCAGACAGACATATGCGCGACCCAGCGCCGTGCCTTTCTGCAACACCACGACAGACGCAGTGGCAAGGGCCACTACATGCGTAGCGCGGCGCGCTACCCACGCACGTACACACACATCGCACGTCTTTCTGGACCGGAACCGCCCGCTCTTGGGGGACCCGACGTGTGCTCTGACCCGCGCTGTGGCACTATTTTTAAGGGGCTCCCGAGGTTGGGGAGCAGCGGCGGCCGGAGTATTTCGCCATGGTTCGGTTTGCCTCGGATCCGCTTCCTCAGGTCTTGATCATGAATATCTAATGGGTAAATTGTCAGCCAATATCCCGACACGCGCGGCTTACTCCGCCTCAAGGGTTCTATAATTTACCTGGTTCAGGGCCGCTTGGTCCATCACGGCTGCGCGCTTCTGGGCGATGAATCTGGATCTGGCTAGGTGTCGCGTAGGAATAGAGGGTGTTGAGGTTCCGCTGGCGGTTGGTGTTGACGTTTCTGTGGGCTGCGGAGTGGAATCCTCCTTCTCCGCTTTGCTCTTCTTCTTGCTCTTCTTTGACTTTGGATCTGATGCGCCCGCTGCATCCTCGCCGTCGTTTTCGAGATTCGCTTTCCTGCGCTTCTCCTTCTTCTCTTTCTTGGCCTTCTTGCGGTCTGAGGCGTCCTCATCGGCGTCGTCTGGGCTCGAATCCTCGTCCTTGTCTGAAGCATCCTTCTCTTTCCTCCTCTTCTTGTCCTTCTTTTCTTTGCGTTTTGATTTCGAGTCCTCGTCCGCGTCCTTGGACTTGCTTTTCTTGGATTTCTTCTCCTTCTTCGAGTCCGACTGCACACCCTCTGCATCCTCGGCCTTCCTCTTCTTGCTCTTCTTGTCTCTCTTGCCGGCTTCACTGGACTCTCCGGAAGTCTCCTCCGACCCAGGGACGTGCGCAGCTTCTTGGGTCTTGTCCTTCATTGAGTCTGCCAATTCCTGAACCTTATCACCGACTAGCAACCCGCCGTAGACGAACGTGACTGTGCCCAGTTTCCGGTGCAGGTACTTGTTGATCTTCAGGTCCTCCCTCTTCTTCTGCTCCTCACCCAGGGACTCCTCACTCTTCCCGTTCAGCCTGGACAGCAGGTCCTGCAGCGCGTCCAAGCCCGTACACTCACCGCCCTGGTTCCGCTTGGCACCAAGTCCGAGACTATCGTCCTTCAGCACGGCGCGGATGTGAGAGGCGTTCGCTGCGCCGTAGTACTCGGAGTGGGAGGCATTCTCTGCGCCTAGGTACTGGCCCGGCGCCCAGCCTTGAGACCGTAGGATCTTGTGCCCGAATGTGTCGGTGTTGCGGGACCAGGCGGTGTTGTTGGGGTCCTTGGCCCATTTCTTCTTGCTGCGAGATTTGTTAGTATTTAAAACTCGACATTCTTCCGGGATGAACGCCGAATTACTTTTTGGTGCCGGCGAGACCCATGGTGGAGGCGCTGGGTCGGATTGGAATTGGATCGCGATGTGCTTGCGAGTTTGGATTTGGGAGTAGGATGTCGGTTTGTCGCTTTCCCTTTGAAATTTTTGGGGCAGAATCCGAGGAAGGGACGCCCCAATCCGTGGGTGGTCAAGTTGCCTGCCGCCTGCAATTTGCAATGACCACTAAGAAATCGCCGACGCCGGCCCGAGCAAAAGTTACCAGGCATGAGAGACTGACTTAGCCTCATGCCTTCAACCTGCTGCCATTAATTCAGCAACAGCCGAAAGAATAAGTCTGGCATACTCGACTGAATTGACCCTATTATCTGCTCATAAAGACAAAACTTTGTTCTTGAACATTTCCATCCATCGTCAAATCTCACAGCATTCAACATGCCTGGCAAGAAACGACCTGCCGCGGACCAAGGAGACTCGTCCGAGGACGAGATCAACGTGGACCTGGTGATCCAAACCAAGGCGGAGCTGGACAAGGTATTGCTGCCAGTATCTTGTCTTAGACACCGTCGTTGACTTGACTTTTCTCAACCAGATCCGCAAGGACCGTGAGAAGAAGCGAGCTCAGATACAGGCAGACCTTGACAAGAAGCTCAGCGGCCTGCGCGCCCGCATCAAGGAGAGCGCCGAGGCTCACGCCAAGCAACTGTCAGGCCTCCAGCTACGCTCATAATGTTTGAACAAGGCAGGAGCTGACTCCTCTCACACAGCGGCGACGTCCACAAGCAGCAGGTGGATGAGCTACTTCAGGCCATGGAGGCGAGGGACAACATTCTGGTGGCGATCGGTGAGAAGCTGTCTGAGATGCAAGAGAAAGGATCCAACCTTGCCACACATCTTGGACAGGCCTACGGGTACAGAATGAAGAGGCTCGAGGGCCTCACCATGCCTGTGGCGGAGCATCGGGTCCACGACAAGAACAGGACCAAGGTGGACGCTGCTTGAGTGGAGGTTCCTATCATTGTAATGTTGGGTGCGACTAATCCTGAGCAGTAATTGGGGGCTCTGTGTGGATGTTTGAAGGCGTTCGGATGTCGTGATACTGGGAAGCCGGATGGGGCATGTGGCTGTTTGATGATACCAGTTGCTATTTCGGAGGCGCTTGGGAGACGAATTGCTTGTCGTGATCAATTGACACCCAATTACAGGACTTGATGTCGTCAGAATTATGCTTTTGTATTGATCTCTTACTTGACGCTCGCCTGCATCATTGAGCGGAGTAATATTGGTCTCTGCGACCACCCGTCAGTCTATGGTAATTGCGCCACCGTGGTGTTCGGACCCGAACCGTCGTGCTTCTATGAGGCCGGCCGTGTCCACTGTACGCCTGCGCTCTGTTGTTGTACATTGTGTAATGTTCCCAAGCCGGCGCAGTGGTCATACTTCAAAGCCGAAGCCCTTCATGCAAGATCGGTACTGGTCGATGGTCGATTGGCAGTCCTTTGCCGGGTCGGCGGCGTTGGAGAAGAGCATGCACTCGTCGCGTTTTGACTTTTCGTCCTTGCAGACACAGCAGGGCTATAACGATGAGCAACGTCAGCACATCCGGTGACGACAAAGAAGAACGGGTATCGTGAGTGTCGCGGCAAGAGGGTGGACGGACCTTGGGCTTCGAGGACGCATCGGAGAGCGCGGGTGCTGGTGGCTGCGCAATTGCCGCCGCAGCGGGAATGGCTGGGTGATCGGTTGTTAGCGAATGTCGCGCAAGGTTGCGCTCATGAGCGTGCAGTGCTTACGAGTAGACACTTGCGATCCCATCGTGACTTGTTGCGACAGGATAGGTCTTGAGCGAGTGTTGTTGTCACAGGAGTAGAAAATCGTCTGTCGCGAGAGATGATTTCGATGAGCTCACCATTTGCCTGCCGTTGATTTGTAAGTGCGCCGGGGGCTTCCGATCTGGTGCCACTCACTGCTAGGACTAGGATCCAGGGGGCTGCTGTGGCCAACGGCAAGGATCCCATCTACACGGTAGTCCAGATTCTGGATTCCAGGGTTTGTTTACTTCATTCACTCTGATTGTTTTTTTAAAGTTCCAACTTACTTGTTGAGCAAGAGTTGGTTAATTCTCACCAACAGCAAAAAACCAAGGACACGGAGAGCCCTACTAGCATCACGATACTGAGGCCAGCCGACGAGAAGAGGGCATCAGCTAGGGAGGCTGTCGCCTCAACCGATCATCTCGCCCATCAGCAGCGCTCTATGCATGTCCATGCCCTCCCTGATCCTGATCAGAACACCCGCAGCCAGCATCTTGACATCATTTTCCTCCCCTCCGTCCTCCCCTCCGTCCTCCCCCCTGATACCGCTGAATATTTGGGCAACCCACTCCTGCGTCTCGACGACCTCCCTCGGCATGCCCTGACAGATGTCCCGCATCCTGTCCCCGTTGACCTCCAGCAGCGTCAGAAGCGCAAACAGGACCGCGTGCGTGACGCCCAGGTCCCCGACGGCGTGCGCACGCACGCTGCTCCCCAGCAGCAGCTCCCACAGCTCCGCCGTCATGTCCGGCAGCGACAGTGTGCTCGGCCCCGCGGCGTGGAGGAGCAGCGCCAGCGTCTTGACGTAGAGCGACAGCAGGAAGGGCTGGAAGACGATGCCGCGCGTGCGGCCTGCTGTCGAGCGCGCTGCGGATTGGAAGCGGGCGGTGAGTGGGAAGAAGAACGAGGTGGCGATGAGTTGGGCTGTCGTGTTGGGGATGGCTCGGACCCGGGGCTTGGCCTTGGACTTCTGTGCCGCTGAGTTTTGTTGTTGGTCGAGTCGCGACTTGAACGTTGACAGCTTCAGGGCGTCTGGCCCTGTTGCTGAATCTGCTGCATCAGCCGCCAATGGCGCCATGAAGTTGGAAGTGAGCGATTTTGATATGGTGTCCAAAGCATTGGGCGGCAGTGCCTTGAGAGATGATGACGAGGCAAGTTGATTTCTCGTGGCCGCATGCTCCACGTACAGCTTCTCCATCCTATCAGGTAGCGTCTGAGATGGAAACGATGCCGCTGCCGTGTACTCAGAAATCGCGTAGCCTGAGATCTCGCGGGCGCTCAGGCCCAGGACGGTAAGTACTGAGGCTCTCTGGGCCACCGAGTAGTCTCCGCTGAAGAAAGTCCGGGCGAACCACGGGCCCATAGATTGGGGCTGGGCTACCAGTATGGCAATCATCCCCTGCAGCTTCAGGTCGTAGAAGTTCTCGAGGTCGAATTTGTCCTGAATACCGACTAAAAGCGAGGCAAGCTCTTCAGCATGCTCCTTCACCTCGGTTCCAAAGTTCGCCTTCCGCCTGATCAAGGTCGGTGCCGTCGTCAGGGCCAGCTTTTGGTGATCATAGCCTTCAGTGTCCCGAAGATATGTGATAAGGTTTCTGATGTACACGGGTGCCTTCGGCTTGTCTCGTCGTACTGTTTCCGGATCGTCATCGGAGTCAACCTCGTCGTCGTCCGGTTTCGTTAGGGGTACGATATCGTCATCCTCTTCCTCGTCTGATTCCACCTCTTCAATAATGGCTTTCGCCTTGCTGGTAGATGGTGCTGGAGTCGGCGCTGGTTTGGGCTTCCGAGCAGGTGGTGTGGTCTCTGGCCGAGCGATCTCGGTCGGGCTTTGTACCGAAGCCAAGGGCTGAACGGGGCCAACAACATCCGATGTATCTACCAAGCCCTTGTACCAGAGCGCTTCTTCCGAGGTCGTCTCCTCCATGTTGAAATTGAGTTTCTTGTCGTCCTTGTGCGCCAGCTTTGAAAGTGCCTCTCCAACAATCATCCCTAGCAAGCGGGCGCGGGTTTGAGATGCTTCCAATCTCTTGGAAACCATATTCATGAACGAGCCTGATCTTACGATCAGGGATACCTTGACCGATGCTAGCCTTTGGAGGTATCCAGCGCTCAGAAGAAGCACTTGCGCATGCACTATGACCTGTCAGCACTCCCTCTGCGACATAGAATACTATCTCGCATACCTTCTTGCTGCAGAACTGGGGTATGTCTGATGTACAGGTAATCTCCAAACTGGTTGAGGCTCTTTTCGAAGACAGTCGCAATGCTGTCTCTGTCTGATGAAAGAACAGCCAGAACTGCACGTCGAATACCGACTGTGTCACCAAGTCCGGCCCCGTTGGCACTGGTCAGCCATGTGACCAAATGAGACAGATATTTCGTATCATCCGCGACGAGTGACTTGATGATACCAGCAGCTGCTGATATCATTGTCTGCTCTTCAGATGAATTGCTGCCATTTAGTGAGTTGAGGTGGACGTCTGCGATGATCTTCAAAATGCTGAAGAGCAGAGTCCGTTGTTCCGTATTTGCGAGGCCGCCAAACAGGTCAGAGATATGCTGGGCTTCTCCAGAGTTGTTGACTAAATCTGCAAGTAGAAGCTGAACTCCAATATCTGTAGTAAGTTAGCAGTCATGATCAAGAAAAAAGATGTTGGTGACATACCAGAATATCCCAGGCGCAGCGCCTTCGACAGCAACTCTGCCAATAACTTCTTCTCCACGGGACCCTCTGCTTGTTTTGACCACGAGATGATGTTACGGGTAAGCCACTTCGTATACTCAATTCCGTCGGAAACCCAAACGCTCTCGCCCTTGTTCTCTTGCGAGATGAGGGATTCAGCTTCAGCAGAGAAAGAGATGGTACGGCCACCAGCGATGACATTGACAAAGTCCCTTGATAGAATGCGTTGCTTCACGTCGTCTGCTGTTGCCGACGTATTGGCCCATAAACGTGATAGACTGTCGTTGCCTCCTAATATCGCACACAGCAGCTCTAGGGTGATCCTCAGGTTCAACAGCACACCCGAGCGTTTGACCTCTGTCGCCTGCGACTTCTGCTCTTGAGCGAGAGTTCGCAACCGTAGCAAGATGGCATTGAGACCCGCAAGATTCCGTAGACTGTCCAGTAAGAGTGCCAGATCTGAAGCCTCACCCTCCGAAGATGGCTCTTTAATTACGGCCCAGTAATTTGGTACGATCTCGGTGACCAAGATCTGGATGATCCTGGCGGCCTCAGGTCCTGGAGCTCCAATGTTGAAATGCTCACCCGCTGGCCCTCCTTTGATGACAAATCCCAAAGCTGATGTTAAAGTATCATAGTCAGGTTCGTGGTTCAAGGCCTCCACAATGTCCTGAAGAGACGCTGGCTTGAACTTCGGTGTCGATGCCGGCCTGGATGATGCCTGGACTTTCTGGAGAAGAGTTTCCTCGGTGACTTCGGATTTCACATACGTCCTGCTGACAGGGCGAAGAAGTTCGTCCATCTCTTGTGTTGATTTGTGAAATTCTCCTCCTACTGGGTAAGCCCCCCGAGTAAGGTGATTTGTTTGAAGTGGCTTGTTGTTACCATCTCTGCACAGTCTGCGATGCTCTTGTGGTGGCGTGCAACCTTGGCTATGATCGAATCCCCTTGCTGCCTGTTGTTGCTAGTGCCTTTTGTTGCTAGTCTTTGTGTTTTCTGGCTGTAAACTTGGCAAATCATGAAGCTGCATACAGAATAGCAACACTAACCTGGTGCTTTCGTGTTGTCACTGGGTGTGTTTGTGAATGTTTCAAGGACTGACTGGCTGTTCAGGGTACCAACCCAGATCTGTGGTTGACCCTTGCCAACCCAACCCAGCTTTGGGGAGCTGCAGGGCTTATCGATAAAGGCCCCAGGGAGCTGCTTCAGGGGTCCCCTCCAACCCTCCAACGTCACGCCGACTAGACAGGCAGCGCTTCCTCGTCCCCGGAATTTGATTCACTTCACCACTTTCCCTTCGTTTCTGGAAAGACTGAGAGAGAAACAAGACCGTGGCACCATGACAGCAAAATCAAGATGGTATGTCTTCTTCATGATAACCATCCAATACTGGCAGGAGCTGATGATTTGCTTCCAAGGCGGGATCTAGACAAGATCCGGACCAGGGCTGGTCCGTTTACTGATGGAGAGGAGGTCGATGGACCATCTGTGATCGAAAACATGAATAACATGAAGATTTTGTGAGTCAAGAAGTTCCTGGTTACTTAGCGTTAGCTAACAGATGCCGCAGGGTCATGTATGTTCACTCTCTGAGCAAAACCTGACGGACTTGCTTCTCACTTGTGTTACAGCGGCGCCGGTGGTCTGGGGTGTGAGATCCTGAAGGATCTGGCCCTCTCAGGCTTCAAGGACATACACGTTATCGACATGGGTATGGTTAGACCATTGGAAGAAGAAGCCAGGCTATAGACTAACGCCGCTGGTTCAGACACCATCGACATCTCCAACCTCAACAGGCAATTCCTTTTCCGGAAGGACGACGTGGGCAAGTCAAAGGCAGAGGTGGCAGCCAAGTTTGTTGAACGAAGAGTCAAGGGTGTCAAGATCACACCGCACAACAACCGCATCCAGGACTTTGACGAGTCATTCTACATGCAGTTCACAATAGTGGTTTGTGGACTGGACAGCATAGAAGCCCGAAGGTGGATCAATGCAACCTTGATCAACATGGTGGATGAGGACAACATGGATTCTCTCAAGCCTCTCATTGACGGCGGTACAGAAGGTGGGACGGCATCTCCGGAAAAGGATGCTTATTGATCAGGGCGCTAACACGGGCGCAGGCTTCAAGGGACAGTCCAGGGTCATATTGCCTACCATGACATCCTGCATAGAGTGCCAGCTCGACATGTTCGCTCCGCGGGCTGCAGTACCTCTCTGTACCATTGCGACGATACCTCGGCAACCGGAACACTGCATCGAGTGGGCACATGTCATAGCATGGGATAAGGAGAAGCCCTTCCCGAAACTCGACAAGGACGACCCCGAGCACATCACCTGGCTGTACCAGAAATCGCTGGCCAGGGCCCAAGAGTTCAACATCCCTGGTGTCACATACTCCCTCACTCAAGGCGTTGTGAAGAACATCATTCCCGCCATCGCCTCCACCAATGCCATTGTTGCCGCAAGTTGCTGCAATGAGGCTCTGAAGATTGCAAGCGGCTGTGCACCATCGCTGGGCATGGAGGAAAACTACATGATGTATTCCGGAAATGACAGCATTTACACCTACACATTCAAGCATGAGAAGAAGGACGACTGTCCAGTCTGCGGAACGTTGGCGCGGCCGCTGGAGGTCGACCCCAAATTGAGCCTCCAGGAGCTCATCGATCTCCTTGCGGCACGCCCGGAGGCGCAACTGAAGAAGCCGTCCATCCGGGCTGAGGGCAAGAGTCTCTACATGCAGTCGCCCGCCAGCCTCGAGGAGCAGACCAGACCCAACCTCATCAAGAGCCTGGCGGAGCTGGGCCTGGAGGACGGATGGGAGATCTCCGTGACGGATCCTGCTTTCGTGGCCAACTTCAGGTTCATTCTCCGTTTCAAGGCGGCCTAGGAGGCCGCGCTGCCGGCCCATAAGCGAGGAAGGTCAGGGACCGCTGAAGCCTCGGTTGTCCATGGGACTGATGAGATGTCAGGGAAGCGACGAAAACCTTCCGTCGCTGCCGGGGATGCTTAGATGAATCTGTGTGGTAGACAATCCCTAAATCGAAGTCCCGGGTTGTAGGGGATGGAGTTCAAAAGCAAATCGCTTAGGCGCAGAGGAGATGCTGCAGACTTCACGGGATTCAAAATCTAAGCAAAGAAATCAGAAGAAATGGAACCCGTGACTCTCATCAAAATCAGTATATCTTCCGAACCCCTATCCATTCCCTTTTGGGTACTCCTGACGCCAGCCCATGATGCTTGAATTATGGACAGAAAATTACGTCTGGCCACTACCTCGCCATGTAGGTCACTTGCTTCTCGAACCGCTGGCACTTGGCCTTGAGGTGCTTAACCGCCTCCAAGAACAGCTCGTCCGAGTCCCACTGGCCCGACGACTCGACCTGGAAGATGAAGTGATCCCTCTGGCGGCCCAGCTTGACCTTGTCCGCGAACTCGGGGTGGCGCAGGCACTCCCTGCTGACGGTGTCCTTCATCGAGTCCTTGACCACCGCCTGCATCTCGCCCTCGTGGCCCTTGAGGTCCGCGTTCGCCTTGGCGTCCTGCTTGGTGACCTTCTGCAGGCCGATGACGCCCTCGGGGAAGCACCGCTGGAACTTGTCCGCGTCGGCGCCGACGATGGGCCTCGTGATGGTGATGAGCGGCAGCAGGCGGTACGAGGCGGTGGCGACGGGCGAGAACTTGGCGTGGTCGGCGCCGATGCCCTTGTGCATGTGCGCCATGAGCTGGATCTGCTGGCCCGGCCGCAGCTTCGCGACCAGGATGTCCGGGTGCACCGGCGCGATGGCCTGGTCGCCGGCGAAGACCTCGGCCTGCTGGCCGACGGGCAGGAACTTGAGGTCCGACGCGTACACATTGGCGTGGTCGAAGAGCTTGCGCGGGTCCTTCTCCCCCGGCTCGGCGTCGGCCCTGCGCGTGCATTGGACGTCGAGCTCGATCTTGACCGTGTTGTAGTCCATGCTGTTCTCGAAGGGGTCTTGGTCCGCGCCTGGCTTCTTGTACCACTTCATGAAGTCGTGCAGTCCGTACTTGCCGCCCTTGAACGGGACGAGGCCCAGCCTGTGGCAGAGTACCTCGTCCTGGATGACGCTCGTGTTGTTGTTCACCCAGATGTCCTCGATGGCGAGTGTGGGGATCTCGGCGATCATGATGCGCCGGAAGGCGTTGGCGATGGAGGCGTCGAGCCCGACGAGGCTGAAGGAGGCATCGTGCTGGCCGTTCTCGTGGAACACGACCTTGAACTGCTGGCGAAAGGCCTCGAGGTCCCACGAGTTGTCCTCGCCGGGGTAGTGGCCGGGGAAGTCGGTCGAGGTGACGTTTGTGACTGTTTCTGCGTTGATGTTGACGACCTGTGGGTGCGCGCGTGACAAGTCAGCAATAGGCCCCTTCTAGCACGTATCTGAGCATCACGTAAACCCTCACCTTCCGCCGGTCAAGCTCCTCTTGCGTCGGTACTACTATTGGTGCCATCTTTGCCGCATGTTGTTGCAAGGAAAGTTTGGAGGGAAGGCGGTTGATTTTCTACGATAAGATAAAGAAATTTGGCTGACCAGCCCCACTCACCACACTTGCAGGCCCAGGGTCCTTCCACCAACGGTCCCTAGCAGTTTTGGGCCATTCAGCCTAGGCCCTCCATCAACAATGATCTAAAACGTTTCTTGGTCTACCCAAGTAGACTAATTCAATTCAACAGCAGAGATGCTAAAATGCAGGAGTTCTTATCCTACAGTGAATGCATCAGACAAATTGGTGGGGGATTTGTCACGACGTGACCCGTTCGTTCCGGGGGTTTCATGGTACCTGTATGCGGAGCTACACCACAAGGGCCGGAAAACACAAATGACGGGTCCCAGCAGAGTTCCAACTCGCCTGCGCATGCCGGCATGTCTCATTACCCATGCTTTCCGTAAGCCTCTCGGGAGAAACACAGATCAGTACACCATAACATGGGTTTTATTGCACATCCCCGAGTGAAATATTCCATGAGTCTTCGCCTGTCAAACCCATTGGCTGAGTGGGCGGGAGTTGTGTGTCTTGTGACGCCCGCAACCACTGCACAACCTGCGTTGAGCGTGATCCCTGTGGTTCGGTAAGGAAAGCCTCTGGCCTGACCATGAACCTCTTCTTGACCTCCCAAACCCGACCGTTGCTATCTGGGAGAAAGTTGACGTGATCCGTTGAGAGGTATAATCTCGGTGGAAGGGTGTCAGACAGCCAGTTGAACATCGATGGCTTCATTCGTTCGAAAGACACAGCGCACTTGATCGCAGATTCGTACTGCTTGTCGACAAGCCATTTCGTCAGCCTCTCTATGCGGAGTTCAGTTGCAAGTCGCTCGATGCCCAGATATGTTGCATAATCGTGGCCACTGCTCCTGCTGAAGGAAACGGGATAGATGCCGTGTCGGAGGTATCGGAGTATGTATGAAAACAGCTCAGGATCCGCGTCCACAAAATAGCTTCCATTTGTGAGCTGCTGGTTTCTATCAGACAGAAGACACTGGAAGTACGTGCTCTCTTTGCAAAGAGTATGATGGGTAGTGCTGAAGACTGTTTCGCCGACTTGGAGGCGAATGGGCTGTCGCTCCTGTGACTTCACGCCTGGAGCCGGCTCTCCTCTCTCCGTTTCAGTTTTGGTTGATGACGCCTGTGACATGGTGAATTTGGAATCTTGAGTTTTTGTCTTCTCAGAGAGAGGGTGTTGCTGTCACCATCTCGAGTGCATCAGGAGTTGAGCACATAAAAACCTGGAATGACCCTTTGGCGAACGTGGAAATGTCTCTGGAATACATCGCTCACTATTGAGTTATCTAGATCTGTCTTGCCTTGACATCCACTTTCAAACTGCGACATTTCACGTGGAAAGCCAAAGACTTCTTGGAACTCTAGCGAACAGGCGTCGAAGAGGGATACTCCGGCCTGAAACTCCTCACACGAGACCGAGGACAAAAGAAACGGCGGGTTTGAAATTGTTCTGCCAGCCTGGTGGTCGCCGCAGGTCTGATCTTACCTGTTTGCGAGCCTAGTTGAGCAGCACTCCATCGGCGGGAGGGGTTTGCAATCCCGCCGTTGCCTTCTCCCAGGCCTTGCCGTCAATCCCAGTCCCCATTGCCGCAGCTGGAAGTGCCCCAACATCCGCCTCAATCGAGCTGCTTGGATGCCCTGACGAGGGCCAAGGATAATTGGGATACCCTTCAAGGCCAGCGGACCTGCCCAGAACCTGCCGGAGAATGCGACACATCGCAAGCTGCATTGTCAAACTTGGACCAGTTGGTAGGCCCACAAAGCCAAATACCAGGATGAAAGACCATAAAATTCATCTCAGCCTGTGATTCGGATGTGACATGCCGGGTTTGGGTACTGTAGATGCCTTGTTGCGGTCTAACAAGACGATGCCGGGGCAGAGCGCTGATGTTAGTGAGGCTCAAGAGAGCTCTGAATTCCAATGCCCAATCAAAACGCTGCTGATTCATGCTGCCGGCGCTTTGCCCGATTGGTGAGCTTAGCTAAGAGTTGAATGGTGACGGCGACACCCAGAAACACGGATTGCCGTTCGCCCACTTGATTGAAGCCCGAGTCCGCCCCATTCGACGACAGAGCAGAGGCTGATACGGACGGCTCACCGAGGGAGGACCCATCTAGTTCGACCTCGACTTCACCTTCCGACCTCTCCACTCATCCACACCACACCACACACGCCTTAGCCATGGCCACGCTGCAGCGGTTAGCCGGCCAGACTGCGAAGCGGCTGTGTCTGAGACCAGCCAGCGCCCTCCCCATCCGACAGTCCTCGACCCCCTCGATACAGTCCGCCGCGACGCGTCCGCGGGCAGCCGCAAGCTTCTCGACGACGAGCCTCCGCCGCTATGCCCAGACACAAGACCAGCAGCCCCAGGGCACCGTCCTGATCCCCGTCGACGAGAACTTCACGCCCTCCGCCCGCGACCCATACCAGATGAAGCGGCTCGAGGGCGACGAGGGCACGGGGGAGAAGGCGGGCGACGGCTCCATAGCAGGGCGCAAGATCCGCCACTACACCGTCAACTTCGGCCCCCAGCACCCGGCCGCCCACGGCGTGCTGCGACTGATCCTCGAGCTCAACGGCGAGGAGATTGTGCGCGCCGACCCCCACGTCGGCCTGCTGCACAGAGGAACAGAGAAGCTGTGCGAGTACAAGACATACCTGCAGGCCCTGCCCTACTTTGACCGGCTGGACTACTGCTCCATGATGACCAACGAGCAGTGCTTCTCGCTCGCCGTCGAGAAGCTGCTGAATGTGGAGGTGCCGGAGCGTGCGAAATGGATCCGGACCATGTTTGGAGAGATCACCCGTATCCTGAACCACCTCATGTCGGTTTTGTCACACGCTATGGATGTCGGTGCTCTCACGCCCTTCCTGTGGGGTTTCGAGGAGCGAGAGAAGCTTATGGTGAGTAGCAGCTGGATTGATGCTATCTCGGTCTATGAAAAATCAACGCATGAGTTGTAGAAGGCAACGCAGTGCGATCTACCGATCAAATGAGGAGGCGTGCTAACAACCATCCTCCTAAACCAGGAATTCTATGAGCGTGTCTCTGGCGCCCGTCTTCACGCCGCATACGTCCGACCTGGTGGTGTCTCCCAAAGATATTCCCGTCGGCCTACTCGATGACATCTACCAATGGGCCACCCAATTCAGCGACCGTATCGATGAAACCGAAGAGATGCTGACGGACAACCGTATCTGGATCGACCGTCTCCGCGGTGTCGGTGTCGTTTCTGCCGCCGATGCTCTCAACCTCTCCTTCTCTGGTGTCATGCTCCGAGGATCCGGAGTCCCGTGGGACGTCCGCAAGTCGTCCCCCTATGACGCCTATGACCAAGTCGAGTTCGATGTGCCAGTCGGTGTCAATGGCGACTGCTACGACAGATACCTCTGCCGAATAGAGGAGTTCCGCCAGTCCCTCCGCATCATCCACCAGTGCCTCAACAAGATGCCCCCCGGCCCCATCAAGATCGAGGACTACAAGATCGCCCCTCCTCCGCGTGCCGCCATGAAGGAGAACATGGAGGCCCTTATCCACCACTTCCTGCTGTACACCAAGGGATACGCAGTCCCACCAGGCGACACGTACTCAGCCATCGAGGCACCAAAGGGCGAGATGGGCGTGTACATTGTCAGTGACGGCAGCGAGCGGCCCTACCGTGTGCACGTCCGTGCCCCTGGCTTTGCTCACTTGGGTGGCTTCGACGCGGTCGCCAAGGGCCACTTGCTGGCTGACGCAGTGGCGATTATCGGAACAATGGATCTGGTGTTTGGTAAGTTTTGGATGTTTCCCAACCCAAGTAAAGCGAAAATACTGACTAGTTTGTTCCTTAGGTGAGGTCGATCGGTAGACTTGTGATAGTATCGGGGGAAAAGTCGAAAGGAAATAAAAGAACTGATAGAGTTGACCACGATCCATCTTCGTTCTTTTGTGTGTATAGTACAGGGTCTGCTGCGACGTAATTACAGCCTTCTCCTTACACTCTTCCTCGTCCTTCTCGTAGTATCGCCTTCATGTCTATCTGGTCAGTGATCTTCGCCCGACGTTTGCTTAGCTCCCGTGATTCCTTACCTTTGGATTGAGCCAAAGCTGGCCTTCAGCTGAAATAGGGCTGGTCCTCCTCAGCGCCGGAGTCTTCGTAGTCAGGAGACTCCGCGCTCGAGCTGGCGCTCTGAGAGCGCTCCCGCGCAGGAAGACCCTGCTGCTGCTGCTGCTGGCCTGGGCCCTCCTCACCGTCAGACCTCAGCGCGTGAAGACAAGCGAACGACTTGCTCTTGGTGGGCAAGAGCCCGCCGTGGGCTCATCACCCATGCAGGCGATGAGGTTCCTGGTGTGCAGGACGCAGTCCTCGAAGCTTCCCACGTGGGAGAGGTCCGGCGCGCCCTCTGGCCCCGCGCCGATAGGCAGGCCCACCAGAGGAAGGGTCCCCACTGCCCTGGGGAACTCGACGGACTGGAAGTCGGCGAGCGAGGCCATATTCGCGCCCTCGCCGCAGGCGAAATTGTAGAGCTTGTTGGTGGACTTGGTCGGGTCTACCTCGTAGATGGCGCCTGGGGAGCGCAGCGGGGCGTGGACGTGGGGATAGGAGGAGCTCACCACGAGGGGAGGGGGCTTTGGGGTGGTGGCTGTGCCGACCTTGTGGCGATGAGAGGGTGTCGAGGGCTCCAGCTGTGCTGTGTCGCTGGATGAGGGCTGCTGGGTCAGGGTGTCACCGTGGTGGTGAGGGAGAAGATGAGGTTTAGAGTTGTGTGAGGTTTCGTGACGAGACAGGCCTAGAGAGGAGAATTCCTGAGGGGTTAAATAGTGAGAGGAAGCACTATTCTGAGAGTTTCCATGGCTTTCGGCTATGGCACTCTGGCCAGTAGCTTTCGTCTGAACAACTTGTCCAGGACCATTCCCGACCAGAGCTGAAGAAGATGGGACGGACTGGCTGGGCTCTGGACTCTTGTAGAAGGAAAAGTCTCCTGCACACTTGCAAGAGCCGTCCTTGTGCAGCTGCCTGTGCTCGTCCACCCACTCTGCCCCATACAAAGAAGGGATTCTGATTGCCACCTCTAGCTTGTGTTGGCCTGCCTTCGTAGGTCGCTCCTGGTAATGAGCTGGAACTCCCTTGGAGCCAGCCATGTTGCTTCGCTCAGTCTTGGGAAGGGAGATACTGGAAGCCACGGGATCCCTAGAGCCCGGCGTATTGTTTCTCATCTGGCCGTTTCTCCCCATAATCTGTCCGGGACGGCTCCGGCCGACAACGCGAGGGCGAATCAGATCCGGAAACTGGACCTCGCAGCCGCAGGCTCCTCGCTCGTGCATCCAGCGGTGCTCCCACTCGGTGATCAGCACGGCGCGTCCGTGGATGACTCTCTGGCACGCGGGACACATCTCCGGGGCCAGTAGAGGTCGCCGGGCGTGCTGGGTGCACAGCGGGTTCGTGTAGAATTGGGTCGTCATGGGACAGGGTCGCAGCACCTCCGGGGAGGAGTGCCCGCAGGTATAGCCGATGAACTCTGAGAAGCACATGTTGTATTCTCGTAATATTCGTCGAACACGTATTCTGTGCTGGGCCAATTCTCTTCCGGGTGTAGTCAGATCTTGATGACCGTTTCTTGATGTAGTAGGTACGTACAACGAGTTGTTCTTTGCGTGCTGGGCACTGTGGCACGTTCAAAACTGTAATTTGATCCGTCAGTGCTTATGTCTCTTCAATAATCTCCTTCTGTCTCTGATAGAGTAGTCCTGCTCCGGCAAGAATGTGGCATTGGATATTCACAGCCAGTGCGATGGCGCTGGGCCAACGTGAATGGTATGATCTTCTCGATAGCGGACAGAATGGTCCCGAAGTCAGTCGGAAAAGATGGCGTATCTGGTGGTCTGGCGGAGTAATTGGGTACGTGGACAGAGATCGACTTGCTTCCTAGCCTCTGAATTCCAGAAACAATCTGAGGAAAACGCCGTAAAACAGTTCCAGCGTGAAGATATGCCAGAGATCGATTGTGTGTTCGCCAAGGTATACTCCTCGTCGATAGTATCTCTTGTAGATGTTGTTCCAGCACGGAGATATCCTTGTAGAGTGGTGTTGGGTAGGATCAGAGACTATTCGTTCAAATTGAGAAGAGTTCGGCCCGGGTGATTGCTCCCGGAGTTCTTAGGGACAGCAACAGGATCTCAGCAACGTGTGATTTGTTCCTCGGTTTCCATGTACTCCAAACTCAGCTCTTTGATAGCAATTCTATCTTTCGCTGCCCTCTTGATCCGGCGAATGTCTGACTGCCTGCTCCTTTGAAGCCAAGCCCTGTAGTATCTTGGCTGGCACCAATGTATGTAGCTCTGTTGTTCCACGAATTGTTGGAGACTCAAACGTGGCTTTTCGTATCTTTTACGCTCCCGAATAGCTTTCTGATATTTTTCGAGCACAAGTTGGTTTTGTCGTCGCACCGTAGGAGTCCCTTGTGTCTGCGAATGGTGTCGAGGTCTTCGGGATGTTGTAGACTTGTTCTCGTGTTTTCTCTCTTGTCGGCTTTATTCGAGCACAGTCTGGGTGATATGTAGAGGATCTAGGTGACTGTGGCCTGGTATCAGATGATGATAGGAGCATTGGCGGTGTTCTGGGCGTGGTGGTTGTCGACGTCGAGGCTGTGGACGTTCTCGATTCGCTTCAGTCTTTCTTTCGGGATAGAGGAAGGCAGTGGACGTTCTCGATTCGCTTCAGTCTTTCTTTCGGGATAGAGGAAGGCAGAGAACATAGGTAATGTAGAGTAAAGGGTATTGAGGAGTATTTCGAGTCTGCCAGCAAGATCTAAGACACTGCAAGCTCCGCTGTTATTGCCATCCGCTGATGCTATTCAGAGATCCTCTCGGGTCTTCCGACCGGAACTCCACGGGTCTGTGTGCCCCCTCAAAGTGTGTAGGAAGTATGTCGAAGTCGTGGACGCTAATATGGCATAAGTCTTGGTGACTGCAATGCCTCTATGTGCTCGAGCTTCTCTTGATGGCTGTCTCGAAGCGAGTCGAAGCGAGTGCCGTCTCCTGCGGGTATCGTGGTGTATCGTGGTCAAATACGACCGCAGCCAGGCCTCGTAGGTATCGTCAGGGGCAGAATACGATGGGAAAGTGTCGTATGGGAGAATGTTGGGCTAGATTTGGTCTCGTCGGGGCCGGGTGATGGATCGTGTGCCTTCTAGAGACCGTAGTTCTCTGCAAGGCTGTAGAAGCTGTCGTCGAGACGGTTGCGAAGCGGCACGGAAGCGATTTTCGAGCGTGATAGCGTAATCAGGAGGCTTCTGGGAAAGTCATTTCCTAAGGTTCTTCAGCATAAACGTTTCCTGTGTGTGCCGACCTCTGCAGAGGCTTCCTTTTATCTCGGGAGACGTAGGATCTCTTGGCGCTATGAGGAGGCTTGGAAGGCAAAGGGAGGCTGTTGCATTGGTGCAGAAGATCGAGATGTTTCTGCTTGTGCCTCCTTCGGCAGTGAGGAACTTGTTGGGCAGGTGATGATGCAGCTCGGGCCAGCAGACCAGTGAGAAAGCTCACAAGCCAAGTGTCAGCGGCTTCCGGGCAGGGTACTGGGGCAGTTGTGCCGGTTTAGGCTTCTCGAGAAGGATGTGCAGTGGCTGGATGACGTTGTGGACCAGATTTGCTCACGGATAGTTGTGGTCGAGATGCAGAAAGGCGGCCAGAGGGTGACTGTGCATGAAGAGTGACGAGCCGGCCAAGGAGCCAATGGATCACTGAGAAGGCAGGTAAAAAATGGTGCAGGTGCACCTTCTGTGGTTACCAAGAGCTATGAGGGCATGCGAAAGAGCAGTACTGTCTCCAAAGGCAGAGACGGATCTAGTTACAAAGCCTCTCCCGAGTAGCCACGGTATGCGTACGTTGAGGGAGCGAGAAATTCGAGCATTCAGAGAATGTGAGCTTAAAAGTACACATCCGGGGAAGCTAAATCATTATGGAAGATGCACAGGATCGACATTCACGACAACCTACCTCGATACAATCTATCCGAAGAAGATGCCAGAGCAGACCATCACGAACAAAGCACCATCCCCGTGAATCAACACACGCAAAGAATCGAGTTCACGAGGACATTTCTGCAGAGGGGAAACGAGGGGGAGGAATTGGATGGCGACCAGGTGCTTGAGACGAGGTTCTCAAGACCGTACTTGCGTACGCTTAACGACAGGGGAAAGCTATGGAAAGGGGCTTGAGGACGACGACCCGGAGCAGGAGCTTCACAAAGAGACCCTTGAGAGCATGCTTGGCTACACACAGTAAGCAACAAGACAGGCCTGAGAATGGCCAATAGGTACGCAGAGACGACATTTGTGGAGGATTTCCTTGGCTACGGGATTACAAAAGGAGGCGAAGCAATGGGGACCGCAGCTGGGTGCACAAGATGAGGCCCATAAGGGCACAACTAATTCTTGTGGGCCTGCAAGAAGGGCCAAGTGTCCCAAAGAGAAACATGACCATGTACTCCACTCGATCCATGCAGCACATCCAGCATAAACCTCAGCAGGCTGTGCCCTGTGAGGCTCTCGTCTTCGTATGCTGCGTACGGGCCCGGTCAGTGACTTGACGGGCGATTTGACGACAGGCGATTTGACGATGGGCGACTTGACGGGCGACGACAACAAACAGGCATCCCGCGAAATCCTACTGGTGGCATCAGCATGCTGGAGTTCCTTACTCTGGGCGGAACGACATGGTCCCTACACTTGACTAGGGACACCAGTGGGAGGCACCGGGGAAGACAATCAAGTGAAGAGAAACGTGCTTTGCCAGAGCATTCTTGGGTTCGGGCATTGGGGAAAGGCATCATGGGAAGCTGTCAAAGTGAAACACACGGGAATGAAAGCTAAATTTGTGACAACGTGGTTGAAGGGGAGACTTGAGGAGATGGAAATAGTGTGCACTATTCAGGCAAGGGACACAAGACTTGAGGTCGGTCTCGTCATTCACTATGATTGTATCATTGAACATTATGCACATCCAGATATTGGACTGACGTTGTTCACTGGAAGATGATAAGACGTCTGCCTGCTACTGTCCTGAGCCAGGTTCATCATTGAAACAGTGAAATTCTGCTGATGCTGTCCTCGCTCTTTGTAGAGTTACCTGGACATGGCATAATGCAAGCTTTGCTTGACATGCTCGAAGGGCGGAAAGCACAGCGCCATGAATGCGAGGGGGGTCTAATGCTCTGGAATAGCTCTGTGTTACGAGCTGAGAACATACAGATACGACAAGCAAACATAAGATACCTTCTCTGGTCCAATTAACATCGCTGTTGACTGAGCCGCATGAGGTGTTCTGAGACTTTATTGCCCAACAGGTCTGATATCACTGTGGATATGTCTCTGTCCAAATCTTTTCTTTACTGGCCGCTGTCCTTAGCGGCTAGGCAGTTGTGGCTCCAATTAATAGATGTAAGGATGATTGGACGTAGCAGACGTTTTGGTTCTGATTGAAGCTGCTGACAATGCGTGTGGGAATGGCGTGCTCACATCTGTATTTTGACTGGCATCATGGCATTGGAGTTGTCATTGGTAGAGCCCTGTCTGGAGACTAACTATACCTCGGCCGATAACATAAATTACTAATCAGACGAAATAAGGCTTCAGCAAAAATATAGGACACCTCTCTGTAGAGCGGACAGTCTCTAAGAATGATCCTAGCCTAAAGTGATCGCATGTGATTTCAAACTCAGGCATCAGGATACCCACTACTCTGTGTGACAGATTCCACATGTCTTCTCGGTGTTTCGGGTCTCACACTGGGAGCAAGATCCCGCTCGCTAGGCTATGTGGTTTCTTCCCACCTTGAGACCCACGAGCAGCAACCTGGGAACCCTCAAATTTGTGACGGTTGGTAATTGTTCAGCTGGATTGTGGTCTCTAATGTCCCCAGCCCAGATTCCCGCCCCCCTCCCCCGATTCCGGCCAGCCGTTTCTGGTGCAGATGCACCATAATGCACCTACTTTTTAAACCCTTATTATTAAATTTAAATAAAATTTAATACTCCTAACCTTAAAATATTATATATAACTTTATTCATTTTATAATATAAAAATATTACAAGGGTTATAATTTAATTATAATGTTTTTCAAAATATTTTTACAATTAAAATTATAAAAATAATAAAATTTATTAATAAAAGGTTAATATTTAATAATTAAAAAATTAATTAAAATATATTTATTACGGCCATGGGGTTAACCATGCGCAGGGGCCCTTTGGGCCCCTTTGGTTGGCTTATCTTATCAACCCAACTAGCCTTTAAAACCATTTTAATTTACCCTTTCAATAATTCTTCCTTTTCCTTTCTTTTTCTTAGGCAAACCTAGTTTTAAATCAACTATTCTTTACTGTTATATTGTGCCCTTATTGCCATTTTAACGTAAGGACCGTTTTAATATTTATGTATAAATATATAATAATTAAATATAAGTTTTATATTTATTAATATTATTTCCTTTAAATAATTTTTTTATACTTTTTTTATATAAAACTTATATATAAATTTAAATGCTTATATTTATTAATATAATAATATATAATTAATAAATATTTTTAAATTAAATAAATTATAATATATTTAATACTTTTTTTTAAAAAAAATAAAGATTTTATTTTATTTATATAATAAGATATATTATAAAGTAAATAAAAAGAAAATTATTATTATTATTATATAAAATGATAATCCTTTTATATACTTTATATTTTTTAATTTTAAAAATCTTTTTAAAAATACTATGCTTAAAATAAAATAACGTGGTTTATTAGGAAGTGGCGGATATTAGGAAGTGGTGGATTTTCCTAACTTTAGCCAACTTTAGCAAGCCCTAGCACCCATTTAATGCAGAGAATTTGATTAAATTTAGCATTAATTAGTGTTAACTATATTTAAATTCTTATTTATAATTAATTTTATTAATTTAAAGGCATTGGTATGGTTGCATTTAAGTTTAAAATAATTAACTTTTGGTAAAGGGGATTTATTTTAATGCAAATTACGTTTTAGTTTTTCGCGTTAATTTTGCTTTAATTCGCTTAGTTAAATATTTAATATATTAAAAATTAATAACTATTAATATATCCTTTATTTAAAGAAGATAAAATCCTTTTAGTTATATAAGTAATTAAAAACTTAAAAGAAAATAATGCGAAATTTATGCCTATAATTTAAGCTGCTAGTATCTTTTACGTCCTTAAAATTATATTACGTTGCAGGATAAATTAATAACGCTTATATAAAGAATTACGTATTAATAAGCATAAACTTAATTAAATTAAAAAGTAAATACTTATTTAATATATTATTAAGTAAGATGCTTAAGGATTTCCCTTATAACTTTTTAATGTAAAAAATATGGCTAATCTCTTGTTGGCATTGTATAATGCTAAACCTATAGGTAAATATTAGGCTTAATGCTTTATGAATTTATAATTTAGCTTAAAGATTAAGTTTAATTATCTTTATAATTATTAAAAAGCCCTTTATAAAGATTTAGAGATTATTAAGAATTAGTTTAAATTACTTTGTAATATAATGGCTAAATACTGGATTATTAATAATAATCTTTATAACTTTAATAAGATTGGCTTTATAATGGGTATAATTATTATGTTAATAGTTATTATATGCATTAATAAATGTAAAAAGGCTAGATTAATTTAGCTTGGTAATTAGGAATAAGTAATTGCTATTAAATGTATTAATGTAAGTAGCTTATAAATCTTATTATTTATAATGATTTAAGGTGCTTATTATCTTATTAGCTAGGTAATAAAATTAAGTTTTTTAAATAACTAGGTTATTAAGCCTATTTTTAATAAATAGATAGATAATGAAATTAGTTTGAAATGGATTTAGTACTTTAATAAGTATATTAAATTAAAGAGAAATGCTAATTATTGGATATTAATTATAAATAGTTATAAAAGCTATATATTAGCTAAGTTTAATTAATATTATAAGGATAATAAGATTATTATTATTAATATGCCACCGTATTTATTTTATTTATTTTAGCCATTAAATATTGCGTTATATTTATCTTTAAAGTATATATATGGTAATTAAATTAACCTTTTTATTTAAGCTTTTATTAACTATATTACTAAGTTTAAGTTCTTTTTTATATTTAAGGCAATCCATAATAAGATTTTTATAGTAGAAAATATTAAGTTTGCATTTAAAGGAGCTGGAATTTCTCCTTGAAATCTTAATTTTATAATTTCTAAGCTTAATATTTGCTTATAAACTCCTATATAATCCTTTTTTATTTCTCCTTAAAAATGAAAGTTTTAAATATTATTAAATGCTTAATAAACTGTTAAGTAATTAAGTTTTATTAAAAATAGGATTTCTACTTATTAAGAAAGCTTCCTTATATTAATTATAAAGGTTGTTAATTAAATGGTAAAGGGCATATAAGTAATGGTATATAAACTTATTATTTTAAAGGATTGAGTTTATACTCTTAAGGAGGTTAATATAGTACTTATTAAATGCTGAAGGGCTAAAAGAACTTAAGTGTAGCTTAAAGGAGCACTTATAATTAAGGAATTTTAAGCTTTTATTTAAGAGAAATAAAAGGGAAAGCGGTTAATTGGTAAAATAAGTAGTAATGTTAAGAAGTTAATCTGTAGTAAATTAATTAAAAGATAGTATGGTAATTATAGTAAAATTAAATATAATGCAAGAATTTATAAGAAAGATAAAGAAGGGTTTATTTAATTAAATTTTAATTATATTATAGTAAATTTAGCTTAGTTGGCATTAATTAATGCAAATATATATATATTAATAGTTTATGGCAAACCGTTTTTTTAAGGGTATAGTTAGTATTAAATGGTGCTAAATGCATATTTCCTATTAAAAGTTAATTAATTTAAATTAATATTGCAATTATGTTAATGCCTTTAAATTAATAAAATTAATTATAAATAAGGATTTAAATGTAGTTAGCATTAATTAATGCTAAATTTAATTAAATTATTTGCATTAGGTGGTTGCTAAGGCTTGCTAAAGTTGGTTAAAATTAGGAAAATCCGCTATTTCCTGATATCCGCCACTTCCTGATAAACCACGTTATTAATTTTAGTTTTCTTTAAATATAATAGTAAAATAATCTATAATATATTAAGGTTAATTTTTTTAAATTGTATTTAAATTCAATGAGAGGGAATTATAAAGTAGGTTTTTATCTGGAAAAGGCGGACGGGAAGGGGGGGGGGCGGCCGGAATCGGGGCCGGGGACGTTAAGAAGAGGATGAGGACCTGATCCCGTAAGGCGAGGTGAAGCCCTGCCAATGGATTACGTGGGTTATTAATGACGACGACGGCAAATCAAAGAGTCCAAATAGCACCTGAATGAGCACACGATCGCTATAGCGGGAGAAAGTGCGAGTTCAGTACGCTCCCGGCTTTCAGAGGGGGTCTAAGTGGAAGGACAACCTTTCATTCAGATGCTAGTAAAGTAGCGAGGCTGAGACTCCTGCTAGCTGTCTGCGGTTTTCAGCGCTTACATCTATACCAAGATGGTAGAAGGCAATTCGACACGAAGTGTGAATTTGACAGCCGAGTGAGCGATCGAAGGGCCTGGAGAAACTGGCTTCATTACAATGCTTGGTTGTGGTGCTCCAAGAAAATTATCTGATGATAATAGACTGCAGCGTTGTAATTACATTGTGAAACCCACAGTCACTACATGGATGTATCAACCACCGTAAACAAATGGAGACGTCTGGAAACCAACTACTGCCGGTGCTCAAAGGCTAGATGCAAGTATAAACAGAAGGACGGTTGATTTTGTTGTAACCAGAGAGACGGAGCTCGCCGTTCAGGCAAAGGACCTTCGTTAGAGTTGCCTCCCCTCAGAGCAGTGAAAGCAGAGTTCCCGAGGAACGCTAGAAGTGGGAAGGGGGCTGTATATTGTTGTTGCCGTTAGCTTCAAGTTATGCCTAGACCCATAATACGTTGCTTGGTCCGACCGATCGATGCACGGCCGCTACGGCCCATGTCTCTTGATCGGCAATCGTAGTGGACATCAATGCAGCTGAGGTCGGCGGGCCCTACTTAAGGCAACTGCGTGGGTACCTAGGTATATACCCAATCCACACATCGTCACTCAAAATCATTCTCCAACCGGCACGGCCTTGTCGAAAGAGGAGGCGCATTACAGCCCGCCAGTCCGAGTGTGCACTTCGTGTACCGCGGAATCGGCCTCGGAACAGAGTGCCTGCATGCTCCAGACAAGAAACGCCTCTACGTCAGTCGCAGACGGTGTTGGAGATGGAGGGTCAAGCAGTTTGAAAGCTGCTGCTGCTCGTCTGCTTATTTAAATACCAAGTGTATCGAAACCACTGGCAGCGACGGCATCTTCGGCAACAACTGAATTATAGCCCCCAGCAACAAAAATGTCTCAGAAAACAAGTTTTGTTTCACCATGCCCTATCCAACCTTGATGCCTCTGTGCTCGGCTGGGTTGCCGCTTCAGTCCTGGTATTTGGGATCTTCCGTGCCTTATATTCCCTGTTTCTTCATCCCCTGAGAAAAGTACCTGGTCCAGGCCTTGCCAAAATCACCGAACTATGGAGGGCGAACCGCTACTTCAAGGGTTATTGGCATCGCGATATCCTCGACCTTCACCGGCAGTACGGTTCTGTTGTGCGGATCTCGCCCAATGAAGTCAGCATCGTGAGCCCAGAGCTGGCCAAGACCATTTACAGTTATTCGGGAGGCACTCCAAAGGTAAGAAAGAAAAAAACCGAAAATTTTTTGGCGGGAGTGGCTCAGAGCTAATGCCTTGCACAGACAGGTTGGTATGACGTTTGGAGGGCCTTGGGAGGCACCGAAGGGAGGAAGTCAACGGCAGTCTCTGTAATCATCGGAAAAGAAGCCATGCAGTGCGTGAAAATGCTAATTGGGAATAGTTCTTCGGCTCCACAGATCCGAATGAGCATGCGTTTCTTCGCCGGAGAGTTTCCACAACCTACACCATGTCCGCAGTGCTCGCCACGGAACCCAAAGTTCAGGTCGTTCTGGACTCTTTGTGGGAGCGGTTCGACGAGTTCGCCAATATGAAGCAGCCGATCAATTTGACCAAATGGTCCTCATACTTCACATACGACGTCGTGGGCACACTTTGTATCAGCGAGCCGCTTGGATTTATCCGGGACAGAGGAGACAAGATAGGATTCATCTCCGGCGTTCACGAGGCCTTCTATTGGTGTGCTAATCTTGGGTGTCTTCCCTGGCAGGCCGCCTTGGTAGTTAATACTGTTATGGATTTACCTCGCGCCACGACTTGGACTTGGTATCGCAGATTACCGTCGTGGTTTCCTGCGGGTCGCTGCGGAAAAAGTCCTGCAAAGAATGCACGACAAGACGAAGGACCAGCGTGAACGCGACATGTTGGACCACTTCCTGGAGATGAAAGAACCCCAGGGCCAGCCAGTCACGCTCCCCGAGCTCCTGGCTGACGTCGGCAATCTCTTTGCTGCGGGCGCCGACACGAGCTCTGTTGCCATCAGGGTGGTGCTCCTTCCGCTTCTGGCTGATCCGGCCCGCTACCAGCGCCTGAAGAGCGAGATCGACGCTGCGAGGGCAGCAGCTGGTATCATGGGCGATTCTGAGAAGGCTTTATCGTACCACGAAATTAAGGACTTACCCTTTCTCAGTGCTTGCGTTAAGGAAGGGTCTCGAATGCATCCAAGTATTATCTGGCAGCTCCCAAGAAAGGCACCCTCCGGAGGTATCAACATTGAGGGCCACTACATAAGCCCTAGCGCGACCGTCTCCATAAGTCCACTCGCCCAGAACAGGTGTCAGGCCATTCTCGGGGAGGATGCCGACGAGTGGCGACCGGAGAGATGGATTGCAGGGGAAGGGAACTCATCGGAGAGGATCAAGGAAATGGACAAGAACCTGGCAACGGTAAAGTCTTCCCTGAGGATTTCCAAGACGGAATTAATGCTGATAATCGCAATACTTTGGCTACGGTTCCCGAACATGTGTCGGGCGGAACTTGGCAACATCTGAGGTCTACAAGTTTATTGCTCAATTGCTGTCCCGTTGTGATGTCGAGCTTGAAGATGCCAGCAAGCCATTGGAAATTCGGTCTCTTTGGTTTGCGGAAGTCTACGATACGAACGTTAAGCTGAATCTTCGGAACTAGTCACATCTTGTCATGTTTAGCGCGGTAGCTGCCGGCCTGAGGAAGCAAGTCTAAGGGGATATGAAATGGGACAGAGCTGGTAGCTTTGTGGAGTGAGATCTGGCCATCCCTCACAACTGTGTAAATGTCCCCTTAATCCTATAGATTTGGAAGTCCCGATTTCCTAAGCCTCTTAGAAACTACCTAGACACGGTAGCACACATTGGACAACTGTGACCAGGTCGTACCATTTCCGTGGGTGTCATGAAAATGCCCTACGAATCAATCTGCAAGTTTGCCCCTATGTTTGTCATTCTCAGTCTAAGAGACCTCGGCGTTTCGGGATCTCTACTTGCTAACACCTGTTCCGCGGAGGGATTTCCGGGATTCCACTGTAAGCCCACCCACTGCTGTGGACCATGGGCCACCTAGAGAGTCGGACTGTTTCGAGCCACATTAAATAGTTGCAGTCCCAAAGCATTTTCCACGACTTTACAGTACATATTTCGTTATCCAACTCTCTACTCGACAGTCAAATACAATATCAGCATCATGGAGCGAAAAGAATACATCTTTAAAGAAGTGGACGGCGTGTCCGTTGAGGCTGATGTCTACTTCCGCAAGGACCGAAACACCACGAGCCCAATTGGTCAGTTCGCAGCGGAGAACACTTTCCAATGACTTCAGAACCAGTCCTGATTTGCTGAACAGCCTTGCATTTCCACGGTGGGAACTTCACTGTCGGCTCCAAGGCGATGCTCCCGCCATACCATAGAGATCGACTTCTTGACCTCGGCTTCATCGTTGTTTCGGCAAATTATCGGCTGTGTCACACCGCTACACTGTACGAAGGACCAGTCAAAGACTCTCTTGATGCGTATGAATGGGCGCGCCTCTCACTGCCTGGTCTGTTGGAAAAGGAGGGTGTAAACGCCGACGGTTCCAGGATCGTGGTGCTCGGGCATTCATGTGGAGGAACTTTGGCCCTTCTAACGGTACGTGCTGCAGCCATGTTGAATGAACCCAGCCCCATGGTATGGAAAACACGCATTAACTATGTTTAAATAGGCCAGTCTTCACAACCGCCCGAAGGCTATTCTTGACCTCTTTGGAATGAAGTACTTGCAAGACCCCATTTTCCACACTGCTGCGCCAACCAAGCCGGCATTTGATCAGCAGTTCATAGACCAGGTCCGTAAAGACGTACCGCCCCCGACTAGTGGACCCTTGCCAATGGGCCCCAACGGTCCTGACTTCAGCAACTACCGAGTCGCCTGGATGTTCAACGCCATCAAAGCTGGCAATCATCTGACGACCGTGGTTGCTGATGGCAACTTTGCGCGTGTCGACCCTGCCTCTTTGTTCTCTAATGCATCCTTCCCACCAACTTACTTCGTACACGGCACAGAAGACACGTTGGTAGACGCCAAGGTCTCGAAGCAAGCTTATGATGAGCTCAGGTCCCATGGTGTGGAATCTGAGTTGGTCCTTGTGGAGGGAGCCGGCCACGGGTTTGATGCAAAACTCGTGCCAGGAGATCAAACCTCGGTTGTGATCGATAAGGCTTTGGACTTTCTGAGGAGTCATGTTTGAGGCAGTTTAGAGTAGAAACACAGTGGGGGTGGACATCCAATTGACCAAGTCAAACTGAATACATACATCAGTTCAGAGCGCATTTGAAATCATGGAGCTCCAGCAGAGGATCTTCATCCATAATTTCTCAGGTAACCAGGGGCAATCTCCTCGCTCAGTTCGTGCGGCACTCGTCCACTCTCGTACGGTAGTGAGATTGGTTTGTTCAAAGCCGGTCACGTGAACGCAACTAAACAGGTCCCTGTGTCTTTCACATTGTCCAAATTCAGTCATGTGAATTTACTTGAAATCCACCATCGAACCGTCTGAAGTCGAACGTTTGCTCTATGCATTGTCAACCATGCGTTGGGGTCAAGGCAAGTCGTCAGTAGAGTTTGCAATGAGTGACCGCGGTAATTGGCTCAAGCGAAGTCTGTCTCTTTTCCTTGATGCCCCTTCAAACTCGCAGTGAGCGCCCGAGACACATGAAACTTGTTCAAAAAAGACATAAGCTCTATTCTCGCGGCTACCACGGCTACTTGTGAAGCGAAAGTAGAGTGAAGAAGAATGTGGTCCCTTCCAGGTGACACTGCATACAACATTAATGTTCTCTTCAAGAACCCCCCCACAAGATGCATGGGACCGCCACTTCAAGAAGTAGAGCTCTTGATCTCGTAAAAGCCATGGCCAAAGTTGAGAACGTTCCAATGAGCAACGTCCCTGGTAGCAATAGCGTCCATAACGCTGTCGTGTGCCTCTTTGCCCATCTGAATCTCCCTACCAACGCGCTCCTTCGTCAACGTCTTCAGTGAAAATCGACCAGAGCCTTTGGCCTTCTTCTTGGGCGGTTCGGTTGGCTTCTGAGGATTCGTCGTTTGTGCTTCCTGCTGTGCCAAATCCTTCGATCTAGGGTTCGTGGCTGCCTTGGCACTCGGCCCCTCCTTTCCAGTCGTACGGAGGGCCTGTTCCTCGCGGGCCTTCTTGTTGGCCTCCCTCTCGTTGGCCTCCTTCTCCCGGGCTTCTTTCTCCAGTTTCATCACCGGCAGTGACTCCACCAACTGAGTATCAACAATGTTGCCGTGAAGCCAACGCAGAGAGTTGAGATCATTCTGGCCGGAATGAGCGACTACGATAGTGTCTGGTCCAATAAACTTCCAGATAGCTCCTCTTGCTGCTGAGATTCCAAGAAAGCAGTCTCCCATTGACTTGGCCCTCGTCATCTGAGCATGGTTGACCCCAGAGAAGCGACTGTTGTAGCTGAGGAGCGGGTCGTCGGGAAAAACCAACTTGTCGACAAGCACCTCGGCGGTGAAGTAATCGACGGCGCTGACTCGGATGCAAAGAGATTCGTTGGTCATGCCAGTGCCCATTTCGCAGTCAACTAGTCCTCAGTCAGTAAGGCAGTCTCATAATATTTGTTTCGTGCGCAGAAGTGAAAGCTTGGTCTGAAAGGTCCACCATAGTGACTCACTTGCTACGGCCCGGCGAACTGCGGATGAGGATGCAGCTGGTGTTTGGTAGTACCGATACTGCCGTTCCAGCTCTCCTGGCTTGTATTCAGCAGTCTTGTGCTCAGCCGCAGTCTCGCAGGGCTGGTTGTATGCACCAGTCTTGCAACAGCTCCAGGTCTGGAGGGAAGCAAAGCGAGATGTCAGCAGGGGAGACAAAGATCACAAAGTCGCAGACGGAGACTGAGGACTTACACGGCCATTGAAGTGTCCGCTGTGGTATCTGCACTCCGGCTGAGGTCCATTTGCAGGAGGCTTTTTGGAACGCTCGTCGCGTTGGGTTGTCTTGGAAACGGCGTCTGTGGCTCCACCTGATGGTCCCTGTCGGGTCGCAGATGCTGCGACAGTATCGCTGCCTGGCTTTGGCTTTCCATTAAAGGCGCGCTTGAACGGCTTCTTGAAGACGACTGCTCAGTCCGTCAGAACAATGGCATCCAGTTTGAGGCATCACTCGTAATTTGATGGACTCACCTTTGTGGCATCTTCCGCACTTTTTCTTCTGGTCCAGTTCGACCTCGGTCAAAGGTTGCATCACATACCCGGCCTTCTGCAGCGTCTCCTTGCTGTGCCTGAGCTTCTGCAGCTGCTTCATGTAGGCATCCTCGGTCTGGCCTGGGTCCAAGACCAACGAGCCCGAGTCAGAAATTCTGACTGGAAGGAAAGTCGGCGCAGCAGCAGGGAGCTCGGGCTGTCCAGGCTGTTCAGGCTTCCATGTGGCTGCCGAGACGTCGAGACTTTGGGAGGATATCAGTCCTTCCATGGTGGCTGCAGCCTTATGCAGTTGTGTAAATTGCGAAAGGGGAAATCTGTTGCTGATCTGCGCAACTTCGTGTGGTGCGAGTGAAAATAAACAAGAAGGTGCGAAGACTCCTTGCAGGCAACAGCTGCGGAAGAGAGGGTTGTTGGCCAGTTGGCAGGAGGGGTTGTGGGGGGTTCTTCGAGTGCCTGCACCTCAGCCAAACCAACGTCCAAAGTACGTGCAAAATCTATTCCCATTCCTAGCCCTCCCCCCCACCCCGCGTTGCCTGGCTCCTCCAGCTCTTGCGCACTTTCTCAGCCAGGCACTCGTCACTTGCTTGTGAATAGCCACCGACACTTCAAATCGAGTAAAGACAAGTGCAAAGTTTTTTTACGCACAAACCTCAAGGATGGTGCTGCCAGTCAAGAAATACGCTCATAGGTGGGGTAGAAAGTTTAGGAGAATTGCGCGCAGCTTGGCGGGACTTCTCGAGGCTAGATCGGCTCGAGGAGGCATTCAAAAAGCCCTGGAGGTCTGACCTGCCCAGGCCGAAGGGGAGAGCATCAATGGATTATGAGGAATTTGACAGAGTTTGGCGAGGTATTGCCATCGGCTTGTACGAGTACGCATCCCAGGGCGATGAGTCGGTGTTCACAGGTGACCATTCGGATTCAGACGCTGCCTCGCGCAGTGCAGAGTCAATCCCTGGATTGGCGAGGCCTCAGAACACGGAGTACCCTCCAATCCAAGGCAGCTCATCATCATGCCCGTCTGCGGTGGGGGCTCTCGACGATTCGTCCCTAAATCTTTGTCACCGATGCGCGGGCATCAATGCTGAGAGCCTCAGCAGCGAGCTCGGGTATGAGCATGGGCTTCTCTCAGAACTACCTGGTCATGATCAGCTTGATCAACTCAAGCACTGGCCTAATAGCGGCTCCAACAGATTTTGCAAGTTATGTGTGGTATTCATGGAGACTTTCCGTGAGCCCTTTGATGATGGGATTCGTATGTTTGTCCAAGACAGACACCGACTGGTTCTTGACCTCGAGGGGCTCGAGCAGGAACAGATGCAAGAACAGGACCATTTCAGTGCCTCTCATGTGTTATCTGACCAGGCCAAACCGATGAGTAGCCTTGTCCTTCGAATCGTGAACCCGGATCTTGTTGAACAATTGAAGAAGTACACAGGGCCCCGAGGCTCGTATCCGGAAGGCACGTTCACGCATACTCGGAAACTTGGCTGTTTTGTGGACGAGAATGATCCAAATGTCCCGTTCGGTGTTACGCCAATTCGACCAGTCGGGGATTCTACATCTTCGGCGGCTTCCTTCGAGGTGGCGGCTGCATGGCTGTCACAGTGTCTGGCTGCAGATTCGCCCGAGACAGCCAGCATGTCTCTGCAACAGGTTGAGTCCTCGAGTTGGGACGAGGAAGGCCTTCCTTTGAGCCTTGAAAACGTCTCAGGATGGCCCGAGGTCTCTCATTCACTCGCCCCCGAACGGCCAATACGCCTGCTCGAGATCGGTTCCGGTCCCGAGGGCGGGATAGTACGTCTGATCGAGAATGATGAAGATGAGCTACCATACGCAACACTGAGCTACTGCTGGGGGATAAAAACATCAACTAGGCAAAGCCAGTGGCTTACGACGACGAAGAAGGTGCATTCTCGTAGGGCAGGGCTTCAGAGGTCAGATTTGCCATAGACACTGCAGGACAGCATCACAGTCTCAGAGAAACTAGGCATTCGGAATCTGTGGATCGACGCTCTTTGCATCATTCAAGACTCGAAAGATGACTGGACAGCAGAGGCCGCGAAAATGAGCGGAATCTCTCTTGGGTCTCTCGTAACGATTGTCGCTGCGGCCAGCAGCTCAGCCGAACATGGCTGCTTCAACCAACGCTCTGCATCTACCATGGAGGTCCTCCGCGCTAACGAAAAGCTTATCTCTGTTCAATCTTCGTTCAGCGATGGACGCAAAAGCAACCTGCATATCATAACGGACTGGTGGGGACGAGAGAAGCTCTCATCTAGAGAGGGCCTGGAAATCGAGGATCTGTATGGGTGCCAAGTCAAGACTGGGCCCCGGTTTGACCGCGCATGAACACTCCAGGAGCACGTACTTTCCCGAAGGCTTCTTTTCTGTTACCTCTCAAATGCTGCTCTGGGAGTGCAGCCACTGCCGCCTCAGCGAGGACCGCTTCCCCCAGTTGCAAGGCGACAGGCTGTATCCCTTGGAGCCGGTGGGCAGCGGAGTATGCCGGGGCCCCGAGCCGGCCCTGACGACAGAGACATGGTATACCGGACTTATGGAGCAATTTAGCGGGCGCCAGCTGACGTCCGAAGGTGACAAGATGGTTACCATCGGCGCCCTTGCGAAGGCTACATCTTGGGGCAGGCACATGCCGTACCTCGCAGGCCTGTGGGGCGACAGCATCCGCTCTGGGATGATGTGGCGTCGCGACGGGCCCGGGTCCAAGTCCAAGACGATGACCTGCCCTTCGTGGTCGTGGGCGTCGCAGTCATGACCTGTCTCATACGTATTATCAGACGCCGAATTCATTCACGCGGCCAAGATGCGTGAAGGCTTTAAGCCTCAGGTGGCCGATACCCACGTCGAGGCTGCCGACGTCAAAAACCCATTCGCAGATGTGAAGTCGGGATACGTGATGCTGCACACGAAGCTGCGGACGGCGAGGGTCCTGCGTGACTTCCTGGGACGCATCCCCCCCGATTGGAGTTGGAACATCGAGGACGCCAGAGGTCTGTTCATCGATTCTGGAACTTTCATGAGCCAGTGGCCGGTAGCCGCATTCATGGACGACGAGGATGTGACTCATGAGGTCCTCGTTGCGCTGGTCGGTAGGTTAGATACCTTTGTTGCTTTGCTGCTGACTCCACCAAAGCTTGACGCCGAAGAATATCGGAGGGTCGGTATTGCAACCCTGAATTATCTTGAATGGGACTGGGGTAATTTCCGCGGATTTCAAGGGCTTGTGCACAGGCAAATCATGCAATGGACGACAAGGACGATTAAAATAGTGTAATAGCATTCGGTAACTGGTATCACCGGGTTCAGTCCAAGACTTGTTCGAGTCCCGGCCCTTTTATGGCTTGCTCCACTGACACGATTCTCTACTGCGCCTTGATCTTTGCCGCTTCTGCTATCTATTTGTATGACGGACATTGGTTCTACTGGCGAGGGTTCCGCGCCCGAGTGATTCTTGATCAAACCGAACACATTGCGTCAATCGTCCTAAAGAAAATGTTTGTCAGACCCGGCCATATCAATTCGCCTATAAATCAGAGATCATACAGTACCATTGATTTTACAATCAAGTTACGTAGCTGTTACGCCAGTAATTGCATTTGGATATACTGCGTCTCGAGCTAGGAAGTCAAGCAGAGGTTCTAAGGTAGACGATTTCTTGTAGGAGAAACGCCGTCATGATATTTCGAAGGTCTATTTAGGTAGCTTGCTATTGCGTATGCCTACTAAATGATAGCTAGAATCAATGCAATCTTGCTCACAGACTATTGGTGGTGATCTACTTCCGCCCGTAGAGAGAGCTCCTTCACTGAAGCATTTTCTTTAGATCTCCAATCGTGGAGATCTCCAAGAAGAAGGCATCCCTTATCTCGATACCTAGTTCCTCCCTGAACCTCGTTGACATGACAAGGGACATAAGGGAGTCGAGGCCCAGGTCTGAGACCTGTGCCTCGTCCGTCAGAAGACCAATATCGACAGCAAGCTCCTCGGCGAGCAGGTCGAGGGCACGGCGAGTCACGTCGTTTCCTTCTGCCAGCTCTGGAGGTCTCGACGTGCCGGGCGTCAGAGTCAGTGGAGTTGTCGATCCCGTAGTCAACACGGGAGCACTGTCGCTGTTGTGCACATCTGTGGGCGGCGGGGACTCGGCCCTGTCCGAGTACGGTGGAGTCAATGCGACCACAGGACGCGGTTGTTCCCACTTCTCAGGCAGGGGCAACACCGGCGACTTCTCCAGTGGCTCTGGCGGGGTGAAGAAGCGGTTGAGCATCAACCTTGGCCATTCAAGGAACTTGATGGCCTCAACGAGTCCGACTACCTCGCCATCCTGAAGGACATACACATCTCCGTCAAAGCTGTGGCCGTCGCCGCCGGGGACCATGGCGACATACGCCTGGTGTCGACCACCGGGTGTAAGCGGCTTGGCAAAGCGCATGGACTTCCAGGACGGAGTGACGAAGAAGTTGTTCTTGTTATCGTAGTGTGTTCCGCCGTTGAGAATGAACCCTGGCAGCGATGCCACACCATCGATGAAGTGCGGCGGCACAGTCCAGGTCCCGCTCGTGTCCTCAGGGTACAACACCTCGGTCACAGCTTCGTCCTGGTTGAGGGTCACCCACTGCATTGTCTGGTACAACGAAGAGTACCGCACAAGCTTGCCGAAGAGGCTGTACGCAAGATCCGTGGAGAGCTTGTTGGCCTTGCCAGTGGCCGCCATCGCGTTCAGGGCGTCGATTCGGCTGGTCACGAGTTTCTTCTGGCGAGTCCAATCCGACAGCCAGGCCGTAGTATCCTCGCAGAGAACCGTGGCATGAGCGTACCAATGCTTCGAGGCCGGATTGTAAAATTTGATCTGAACCTCCATCTTGTCAAAATCGGCCTCGGCGCTCGTGATGATTAGCTGTGCAGATCTCGTGTCTCGCTGCCTGACGACCGGCTCGTGGTACTCAAAGTCCGTAACGTTGAGTCCGAGGGGGGCTGAGAATTTCTTGGATCCTCGCTCCAAGACATATTTAGCCAACGTGTATGCCATATCCGCATGGAGGAACTGTACAATATTAGCATGGATCAGATGCGGTAGTGTCTGGCACGTAACTCACGGAAGAAGCAACCCCATATCCATTCATGGCGTGTCCATCAATCACGTCTCGAAGTGATGGATCAGTCATACTGGTCTCAGCTGACACCTGAGCCTTGGTAGCACTGTATTGCTCGGACACGATGCGGTGAATGCTAGACGAGTGATTTGCTTGCACAGTTGAACTGGGCACGAGCCCGGTTTCAGATCGCCCCTTAGTGAGATTCCAGTCTCCCCGGTACTGAATCCAGTAGTTCTTGTTGTTCCACGCATAAGTTGGGACATCGACCAGTCGGAGAGCTGGCTCGAACGGTCGGTGGTATTCGTTCCAGTCGATGTTAGCGCCCGCTGCGTACAGAGCCGTGAGCGCCTTGGCCAGCGTAGTCCAATTATCAGCGTCCCGGTGTAGACTGGGACATGCCAGCCGAGTCGACGGTAGTGTGCGGGTTATGAAGCCCGTGTTGGTCGGATGGTGTCCTATCTCGAGCCAGATAGTGGACGCGGAAATGACCCCTGATGCCCACGCGCTTTCCAGAGCTCCAGCGAAGTTTACCGTAGCTTTAGTCGAAGCAGCCAAGTACGAGCTATCGACGGGGTCTTCCTCTGTTAGTACCCTGCTGTGTTGTGGGGAAATGATGGGAATACGAGGCTTCTTGAAGTCGATGGCCTGACTCCGTTCGACAAACTCCCCCAGGATAGAGTCCATCTGGTTGGTGTGATAGGCATGTGGAACGTCCAGAAGTATGGCTCTGTGCCCAGATGCAGCCAATGAGTCTGAAATGGCCTTCATGTCTGAGATTGGGCCACCGACAACTGTCTCGTTGGGACCATTGATACAGGCAACCTCGAAGGGAATGCCAGCCGCGACCTTAGTAACGTTCTCCACTGATGTTCGTACTGTCAACATGGCGTGTGTACGAGAGGTTAAGCCAGTGGTCAACAGCATAGCACGAGTACCGACGAGGAAGACGGCCGCACTGTCAGAGAGAACACCGGCAACGACCAATGCGGCATACTCGCCGAGGCTGTGGCCGATAACGACGCTGGGAGTGATGCCGTAAGAGCCCCACAGACGAGCCAGGGCAATCTCCACGCACACAATTGCCAGGTGCATGGTGACAGTCGAAACGTCTTCAGCAAGACAGGTCCCAGTGATTATGGACAGGAACGAGGGGAAGTTCTGCCTCCGTGTGAGATGATCCAGTTGATCAAGCTGCTGACGGAACAGAGTTGAGTCCCTGTACAGCTGTGCGCCAATGCCGAGGTAGAATGTGCCCTGCCCCGTGAAAGCAAATGCCATGTGAGGCTGCTTCCCAGAATGCGGTGTCAGGGTCAGAGAGGTTTCCACCTGAGGTTCAAGCAGCTTGACAATATCAGCTTGAGATTTGGCGAGGACAGAGACGCGATAATTGTAATGGCTCTTCCGCGCCGTCAGGGTGTAAGAAATGTCAGCAACAGAAACGTCGCTCTTCTGCTCGACAAATTCGATGAGGCGCTTGATGTTGTCGTGCAGGGATAATGCAGTCTTTGCCGAGACGGTGATCACATGTTCTTGTCGTGTGTCCTCGCCCGCTCTCGGCCGTGGAGTGGCTTCCTCCACAATGAGCGAAGTATTTCCACCTGCAGCTCCGAAATTGTTCACCATGGCCAGCCTCTTGCGCTCGCTGTTCGGACCCCAACTAGTCGCGGTGTACGGAATGACCACTCCTCTCTCGGCCAGGTTCCCAGGAAGCGCTGGGTTCAGCCGTGTCTTGATGCCGATGTGGGGCGGTATGATACCTTTCTGGAGGACCAGCATAGTCTTCATGAAGCCCATCACTCCGGCGGCTGCCTCACCATGCCCCACGTTGGCTTTGGCCGCACCGACGTGAAGGGGCAAGTTCCGCCGCCGACCGTCTGGAGCGAAAACATCCGTGACCGATCTCATTTCGTTGCTATCTCCTGCCTGAGTACCTGTGCCGTGCACTATGTGATTTAGAGTTAGCTCCCTGCTCAACGAAGACGATGGAAGACCTTTGCTTGAGCATAGATAACCCAGAAGCTTGTGAATTGCGTCTGGGATTCCCAAGTGAAAGGGATTGACTTACTCTCAACGTAGCCGACCGATAGCGGATCGATACCCGCACGCCTGGACACTTGGCGATACAAGAATGACTGGGCGACGTCATGTGGATGAGTTATGGAAACAGCCTCGGCTGAATGGTCTGTGGCTCCAGACAGCACGACCCCGAGAATGTTGTCGTTGTCAGCCTCGGCATCTTCCAGCCGTTTGAGAACCACACTGCCAACACCATCGGCTCGGCAGTATCCGTCAGCAGACTCGTCCCAGGTCTTGCAGTTCCCAGTGGGCGACAAGAAATGGCCATTGCTCAACCCGGCGTAGACATCCGAGTTTGTGATGATGTTGAGGCCACCGGTCAGCGCCATATCGACATCACCAGCCCACAGGGAGGTACACGCAGCTTGGATAGCCGCCAGGCTCGAAGAGCACGCTGTGTCGACGCTGAAGCTTGGTCCCCAGAATTTGAAGAAATAGTTGATGCGCCCTGGAGCGAACGCTCTGCATCCTCCGGGGATGAAGTACGCCTTGATATCTTGTCCGGAATTAACCTCGCGGTAGTCATCGCTTGCTTGTCCGTAGAAAGTGCCCACCCGCCGGGTATGCACCCTACCGCGGCCATGGACGTAGCCCGCGCTCTCCATAGCCTCATAAGCAGTGACGAGGGCGAGTCGATGCATTGGGTCTGTCTGCTCGGCCTCGCGAGGGGACATGCCGAAGAACATGGCATCAAAAAGGCCGGGGTCATTGACGAAGCAACCGTAAGGGGTTTTGGAGGCGTTGGGCTTCTTTCCAGCCGGGTCGACATGTGATTCCACGTCGAACCTGTCGGACGGGACCGGAGTGTGGGCATCGCGCCCTTGCGCCAATAGTTCCCAGAACTTTTCTGGGTCATCAGCGCCGCCAGGGAAACGACATGCCATGCCGACTACGGCGATCTTGGACGACTTGGCGTCTCGAGGTGGACTTCTTCCTAGAGCAAGGTCCATAACGGCTGGAACCATGGCCAAGCTCGACGATTCCATGGATGGAATCTCAGCTTGCCAATGCTCCAGCAGGCTCTCGATATAATGTGACGGCTGGATGGCGATTAGTCGAGTGGTGTCGCACGAGAGCTGCTTTAGTCGAAGAGTGACTCCTTCGATGGTCTTGTCCCATCGAATCCTCTGGGTAAGCATCTCCTCCATGATCTCCTCAAGCGCTGGCTTGGCTTGTGTAGGCTTGATGGGAGAACCTGTGATGGGAGAGAACACAGCCAGATGCATCTGGTGATCACTTTCGATCTCTGGCACGATATTCCGGACATTTTCTGTGCCGTAGACTCGACCCGTGTGCCAAATTCCCTGCACCTTCTTCATCGGCACGACCTTCGCCTTCTTGAAGAAGTCGGACTCTGAGAATAGGGCTTTGAGTGTTGCTGGCGGGCCACCAATGCTGACAGACTTCCCATCCACATTGAATATAGACGCCACATTTGTTTCAGGGTATGCCTCGAATACAAGTCAGTAACCTGATTGATTGAAGTCATAGGGTTCTCCAGAAATATTACTTACCTTTTCGACATTGAAACGCTCTACTGCGTCGATGGCGGCTTCTTCGTCAACACCATATGCGCAGTATATCCAGGCTCCATCGGCATTTATCTCGTCTGGAGATACCTCGATGGAGCGGCAGACCTGATCAACGACAGTTCCGAACCGGAAGGCCACCCGCGTAATTTCCTCGATGATGCTTGGGATCATCGATAGTCTAGGTGAAAGACTAATAGCCGCAGCTGAAAGCAAGCCTGGGCCCCTCGCGATGAGGAACGTATTGGAAGGTTGGAAGTCATACTCAAGAGGGTTCGCCTCATGGTATCTTTGTTTCTTAGTTAGCTATGAGTCCGTTATATACTTGGGCCTCTGAGAGGTTGCAAATGGCAGGTCTACTCACGCAATAAAGCTCCCGAGCTGAAACACGAGGACCAAGACCCGTTCGATGGCTCCACCGAATGGAGTCTTCCTCAAGTCGAGAACATGATCGGTCAAGTCCAGGACGTTCTCGAAGCTCGGTATGAGGTTTCTTTGACTTCGGCTCAGGCGGCTGCACTCATCCCTCACAGCGGATGTCACTGATTCGAGGAATGAGGCCAAAACAGGGTGGTTTCTCTCTTTGCTCAGAAGGTGCAACTTCCTGAACAATTCCTGCTGATCTCCCTCAGGGTCCCCCTGAGGAATTTCCCCAGAGAAGTAGAGAACCTTGGCCCGTGTCATGGTGATTGGTTGAGTACGGCCTGAAACCAACGGATGAGCACGCGGAAGAGACGATGCTGCCACGTTTTCTTGCTCGAGTTGTGAACTGTGAGCATAAGGTATATATATACTTGTAGATATATACACGCGCACACATTAATATAATTTCTGAGACACCCAGGAATATTTTTGGTGTCAACACAATGTAACCGCTGATACAGTCATCCTCATGGTGAGCGGTCTGGCCAAACCTCGTAACCAGTCCGCCGAAGCCTCGCGGACTTGCTCGATTTCCGAACTTCACATGAAAAGTCTGACGCGGCATCTAGACATGCTCGATGCTGATGCCTGGAGAAGCGCTTATTCCAATGTGTGGTAGACCAGAGCGGTCTGTGAGCCCAGGCAAACGGCCCATCATCGTGTCAGCCATCCAATGTGGACCTCGAACCCCCTTGTCAAGCGTCGTTTGTTATCAGAAGAATAAATGATATGTTGTCTTTCAATGAAGGGCGCAGTGATTAGCAACATTCAGTATCTTCCAATCGCCGCCCAAGCACGCACTTCAGTCCTGGACTTACGTTGTGGAAGGGAAGACCTGTCAGCCAGCCGTCGTTGCAGGATTGGATATCGCACGATACTACATACAAATTTCGCTGTCATTGATTACGGCATGTGTGGGTACACGTACCCCATTATTCTCAGGCATGGTAAGATCCAAAGTGAGTGGCTTCTCACGCCGACGTGTTCGGTGTTAGGATGAATACGCAAGCAGACTGCTGGCGTATTTCCCGATCACCATTAGATAAGCTGGGCTTATGCCAAATTGACTTGTCTCGGTTCATGGCCTTTCTTTTTCGCCCCCCAAAACGCCAATTTCCACATGGACTCTAGTACTAGTAAGCTGGTTTTCACTTTCATCCTTAACCCACGCGCACAATTGCGCCACCAGGGAAATCCCGGGAGATAAGAACGTAAAGTGTGTCACACATGGAGTACACAACAGCTCACTCAGCGCACACAGAGCACTGCCCGAGAACCCGATGAGCCAAGCAGATTACAGTGTGATGGCTTGAGAAGCATTAGTAGTGTTATGCAGCAGATTTGAAGCGGCCTCGCAGGAAAATGTAAGATCAGCGGAGTATTGATTCACTCCGAAAATGAGACGAGGCAATGTCATGGTGCCAGAATGCAGTCAGCCGGATCAGCCGGGCCATTCGTCACAGAAGGCCGACCTCGCCTCGTGCATACTTGCCAATGCAGGTAGGTGCCACAGCCGTGTGGCCGCGCGCATTCAAGCCATCCGAGACCGCTGAAAGAGACCAACCTCGGGCTTTGGTAGGCGGGCGTTAGAAACCGCCACGTCACCCACTGATGTTTCTGGTTCGTATAACTCGAAGGAAAATGGACTTACGCACACAAGGCATCATTACGGTGGCATTGAGGCGTTGACTCCCAATAACGCAAGTAACTGCATCTCGATGACTTATTATCTTCCGCTTCTAACCTCTTTATGATAGGATGTAATACATTAACAGGGACAATACACAACTTGAATAGTTTCCATAATTAGGAAATTTTGTAATGCTTTCTATCGTTGAACATTGTGTTTTATTCAGCGTTCAGATGCTGCTTTTGAGAGTTCATGCAAACGGAGTGGTGCGAAAGCATTGCGAGGGCTCCTGTCTAGGCCTGCAATCCTTTAAATGGTTACACCCCCTACTACTGCACCACAAATCATGGCTACACAATTCCTCCCGATCGTTCCGCAGAGAAGACGGAGCTGTTGTGAATTTGGTTCCGATCTACGTGCTCGTCATTTGGGTTACCACCGAAGCATTGCTATGTGTATATCGAACAGAGAAAGAATGCCAGAAACTTTGCCTCTTGAGACTATGGGAACTACAAGAGCTTTACGTACTTGTAATTACAACAGAAGTCCTCACCCCTCAAATCACTTCAGGACAATATGACTGCCAAGAAGTATCCGCATGTCATCATTGTGGGTGCGGGTATGAGTGGTCTGACTCTGGCACACCAACTTCGCAACATTAACATTTCTCGATACCCGGGCCCAAAAGATTGGTTCCGTCATTGTTCGGCCCGGCCCTCTCAAGGGTTGGAATCCTCCATGCCCGATGAACCAACTTAGGGCCGGCCGACCGCACAAGGCACTGGATCCCGCCTGGTCTACTAGCACAATTCGTGTTTTACGATCTTACTAAGCTCGCACCCGAGTTGGAATCGTCAGCAACGAAAGTGGCAAGATTATTCGGTCTAATCGCCATAGGCTGAGAGGCTGGCTACTGCAGGGGATTGACGTGCAGTTTGGCAAGCGCGGTGAGAAAGCTGCGGTCCATTTTGAGGGCGGGACCTCCGAGTTTGGCGATATTCTGGTGGGGGCTGAAGGAACGCGCAGCGCGGTCCACACCGCATCCAGCAAGGGAAGGATTCCATCAAGCCTTTACTACTCGGCTCTCTCGTCGGTGAAGTCGAGCTTGGCCGTGATGAATTTGCCCGCTAATTGTCTCGGGCACCTTCAGGACACATCGTCATGGACTTGACTCTCAAGAGCTAAGACAAGTGCGGGTTTGGCGGAGCTGAACAGAGTCAGCGATGATGGGAAGATCGGCTACTATTACTTCATCCTCCTCTGGGTAGACAAGGAAGCGCCCGCAACCACCAACGGGAAACCTTGCCGGACCGTGTCAGCAAGCAAACAGGAGCCAAGGCTTTTGCACATGGGAAACCAGGATGTTTCCGGATCACCGCCGCACAATCGTCGCCAAGATTCCTGTCGAGGGATACCGGAGCCATGTCGTGATTCGGCTTCGAGATGTGCAGTTGGAGCCTCACCAGCTGCCTGCCGGAAAGGCCGTCCTGATACGGGATGCAGCCCACTCAATGACGCCATGTCAGAGCTAGGTTCAAACTCCTGCCTCGAATGTTTGCTGACAGTCTTGCAGTCCGTGGGGGAGCAGGTACCTGGGCCACTGGAGTGTCCAATCCGGCTCGGGAGGATTATGGCAAGACCTCCGATTACTTGTTTGGAACGTGCGGGAATGGAGCCGAGCCCTTGGCAGAGCAGCGCATTTCTGTCAGCTAACGGAGGCTACGGGTGCCGATGGTTTCTCAGTCTTGGCAACTTTCTATCGGGACAAGATGGCGTTATCAACCTACTCGCCCCACACAACTGTTGTAGTCTGATCGGGAAAAACTGTATCGTTGACTGATATGCGAACATCAGGGGCAAATTTCCAAGGACTGAAGTACGCCTGTAATCTTATGTCGAGAACAAAGAAATTGTTAATCGGTTATAGGGATAAATTCTTCAACGTTATAGGAGACACGGGGGCAGTCCTTTGTTTGGGGTCCTGGGTCAGTGGAGCTGGTTCTGATGAGGGCTTTCCTGACAGTGAAGTAGATGATAGTTCTCGAGTGCTCATGAACGCAATAAGCTGCAAGTCGTTTCTAGCAGGATGATCGGACCATGACTTGAGCAATTGAAAAGTGCTCGTGGATTGTAACAACTGAAAACATCTGATTGAAAAGTATCTAAGAGTGTGTACTTGGGTACGCCTTCTCTACCTAAGCACCCAAGTGGTCTTCACAACCCCCTTGAAGAGCGCTTTCCTAGACGATGGAAAATGGGCTATGCCAAACCCACAGAGATGAGACCGTGACAAGACTTCCCATCATACAAGTTGCAATCGACGATAGCCAGGCCGACCTGGCTGAACAGATTCTTCCAATCGGCCAATGTTCGTTCGCGGCCAGCACATGCTCCCAACATCACGAGGTCCAGTGAGGTTGAAAAGGGAGGAACTCCAGTCTCAGGCAGCACCATGTCATTGATCAGAAGAACCGAGTCTGGAGCCATTGCTGGCTTGATTTGGCGCAGAATTTGCATCGACTTCTCATCATTCCAGTTATGGAGGACCCAGCCGAGGTGGTAGAACTTGGCACCTGGAACAACTTGTCAGCAAGAGATTATTACTGGCGAACCAAGATTTGACTCTCCGGTGCTTAGACTGTGGGTGTGTGTCACTGACCTTTGATAGGCTGAGGCTCGAAGAAGTCGTGCGGGATCGCCTCGACGCCCGGCGTGTGTAGCGCATGCGCCAGGGTGCTCGGCAGATCCTGCAAGATTACATGGCCAGGGACGGTGGGGAAACGTTCCTTGAACTTGGCACAGTAGTGGCCGACATTGCCACCGATATCGACAAAGACTGGCGTTTTGGGGTCCCAGCCCTGAGTCACGAGCTCGAAGGGGTACTCGTCCAGCCAGCGGCCTCTGGTATTCTCCTCGAGGCCCATGTACTTTATCAGAGCGACCTTGTGGGCGAGGTTCTGTGAGAACCAAGCATATGTATCCAAGTCGGTCTTGTATGCAGGCTGGAAGACTGTGTCCTTTGCGTCGGTGACGTCCTGGTAGCTCGTCCTGCGCAGGAAGGCCGGCATCTCCTGAAACAGAGGGGAACAGTTCTCAAAGCTTGGGGGATATCAGCTTTCTGTGCAGAGTAGGGTGTGCTTCAGATGGTGATTGCGCTACGTACAAGTGTGTCATGATTGTGACTGCCTCGGAAGTTGCCAGATTTCGGCTCTTCTTGTTGGATTCGTAGCAGTCTGCACTAGACTCGCGAATGATCCCGACTGAAGCCATGTATTTCAGAAGACGTCCTGGAGACATATCAGTTAGTATTGATTGATAGATAGAGTTTACACGGACTGAGTGTTCGTGAGTTATACACACGCACCTAGGGTGATGGGATGGGCCCTGGTGAGTTTCACAAGCTCCCCAAGACTCTTGGGTCCCTCGTTGAGGATATCGAATATCTTTAAGTCATGGCCGATCCTTATGGCTGAAGTCTGCAATGGCTGGAGAGGAGTCAACACTTTCTAGCTCAACAAGTCATGAACCTCAGAGCTGGTGTCCCTACATAGAGTGCACTGCACCAAGAAGTTAGCAACATCTTCATTTTAGAGTTTCCCAATCGAGCTACTAGCTCGGCACTTACATGCGTGTAGCTGTCTCTTCAGGCGTCTCGGCAGAGACTACAATCTCATGCAACTGGCGCAGCACAGCACCTCGCGAGGGTCCATCTGCGGACGTCAGTAGCTGCTGTATCTCTTGAAATGGACTGGACATGATGGCGTTGAGTGAATGATGGCAGACGGGAGAGGAAAATTACCAACATGGCATTCGAGGTCATGTCTTCGGTTTTATCAAAAAACTTTACCATGTTCCAAGGCTTGGGCTATTGGCTCTATCAGTGATTCCATCCTCATCCTCTTCCATCAACCAGCCATCCTCCTGCCTCGTTCACTCTAATTCCTTCGTGCGCCATGATGGCGTTAGAGGAGTCAGCTTACAGCTCATGGCTAACATCGACACCTTCTTCAGCCAGGAATTCCCCGTTGTTAGTATTTCTCTATTATGCATATTTCACTTGTGTTATCAATTGAGTCAAACTATCCACTCAAGCACAGCCCCCATCACACACCAAAGACGAGGTGATGTCAGCAGCCCAATCCTTCGTTCAACTCATGCAATTCAGACTAGATAGGTCGAGCTTGGCGAGGTCGAGAAAGTGTTATCAGACTTATTTCAGTTGCTTGAGACTCAGTACCTTACGTTTGGGGTGAGTTGGGGGCCATGCTTGAGTGGGTGCTCTGACTACTGTATCTTCGAGGATCCTCTTACGTCCCTTTTCTCTTGGAAGTCTTGATATCTGACTGCGCTGGACTCGAAAGGGCACACATCCCGTGCCTTATGTAACCCGTGGCTTGAACCTAGTCAGCCTTGGGGTGTGCCACTTGACCGCTCACCCCTCGGTCTTCGGGCCGTCTTGTCCATCCATTACCCCCACGACCGCCATTTAAGAGAAAGGGCTGATCAACTTTCGCTATCGCTTACCCAAAGATAGGAACACAGCGTCTTACTCGACCCATCTGCCTGCTGATCATAGACTTGGCTCTGCATCCCGGTCTGCCACGTTTGCCTGTAGCAAGGGCCACAAGGTCCAATGGATGTTGGACATGCCGTCTCCGGCGGAAAAGGTGTGACGAGATGCGGCCATTATGTGATGTTTACATCACATATGGCTTTGGCCACACTGTGTTTTTTAAATTAACTATTCATTGGTTTATTTGCTATCTGCTCAGCTTTCTAATTATCCCTCCCTAAGCTTCTGCATAAAGTTGCATATGGCTTAATATGTAATATTTCTTTTCATCTTTATTTTTTTACTTTCTTTTAATTTTTCAAGGGTAATTGTATTATTATTAATCAAATAATAAATTTAATAAAATATAATTTTATTATGTTTTATATTATTCTTTATTTTAACTTTTATTAAAGTTAATTATAAGGTTAAATATTAGCTATAATAATATTTTATAAGCTTATTTAAGAAGGGTTTTTTAAGTAATTATTTTAAATTTCTTTAAAACTTTATTAAGAAGATATATATTAATATAAAAGGAAAGAAATTAAGTTTTTTATTTAAAGGATATTTATAAAACTTATTTTATAAAGAAATTATTTTAATTTTTACTATATAATTAATTGCTTAACGTAATTTACCACTAAGTAGCGAATATTATTAAGTAGCGGATTTTTTTAACTTTACTTAACTTTTATTAATTATAATATTATGTTAAGGTAAATAAATTAATAAAAAGTTAGCATTAATTAATGCTAACTATATTTAATTCCTTATTTTTAATTATTTTTATTAATTTAAAGGGGTTAAAGGTAATGTAATATAATGAAAAATTATTAAGATTTTAATAAAATAAGCTGTTTTTAATGCTAATTGCATTTTTAATTTTCGCATTAATTTTATATTAATTCACGTACTTAAATATTTAATGCATAAAAACTTAATAATAAAAATATATATTCTTTATTTAAAGAAAATAAAATACTTTTAGCTATTTAAGCTATTTAATATTTTAAAAAATTGCATTAAACCCTTATTTATAACTTAAGCTATTCAGATCTTTAATATCCTTAAAATAACTTTATATTGCAAAATAAATTAATAATATAATTTTAAAGAATTATACATTAAATAATATAAACTTAACTTAATTAAAAAATAAATACTTATTTAATATATTATTAATTAAAATACTTAAAAATTCCCTTTACAACTTTTTAATATAAAAATATAGCTAACTTTTTATTAATATTTTAAGATAGCAAGCTTATAGGTAAGTATTAAACTTAACGCTTTATAAATTTATAACTTAGCTTAAAGATTAAGTTTAACTATTCTTATAATTATTAAAGGGCTCTTTATAAAGATTTAAAGATTATTAGGAATTAATTTAAGCTTCTTTGCAATATAATAGCTAAATATTAAATTATTAATAATAACCTTTATAACTTTAATAAAATTAGCTTTATAATAGGCATAATTACCTTATTAATAATTATTATATGTATTAATAAGCATAAAAAGGCTAAATTAATTTAGCTTAATAATTAAAAATAAGTAATTATTATTAAATGCATTAATGTAAATAAATTATAAATCTTATTATTTATAATTATTTAAGGCGCTTACTATTTTGCTAGCTAAGTAATAAAGTTAAGTTTTTTAAATAATTAAATTATTAAGCTTACTTTTAATAAATAAATAAATAATATAATTAATTTAAAATAAATTTAATATTTTAATAAGCATATTAAGCTAAAGAGAAATGTTAATTATTAAATATTAATTATAAATAGCTATAAAAGTTATATATTAATTAAGTTTAATTAATATTATAAAGATAATAAGATTATTATTATTAGTATATTATTGCATTTATTTTACTTACTTTAGCTATTAAATATTATATTATATTTACCTTTAAAATATATATATAATAATAAAATTAATCTTTTTATTTAAGCCTTAATTAATTATATTACTAAATTTAAGTTCTTTCTTATATTTAAGATAGCTTATAATAAAACTTTTATAATAAAAAATATTAAGTTTATATTTAAAAGAGCTGGAATTTTTCTTTAGGATCTTAATTTTATAATTTTTAAGCTTAATATTTACTTATAAACTTTAATATAATTCTTTCTTATTTCTCTTTAAAAATAAAAATCTTAAATATTATTAAATGCTTAATAAATTATTTAATAATTAAGTTTTATTAAGAGTAGGATTTTTGCTTATTAAGGAAGCTTTTTTATATTAATTATAAAGGCTATTAATTAATTAGCGAAAAGTATATAAGTAATGATATATTTACTTATTATAATAAGCAAGCAAATTTATATGCTTTAGGATGTTAATATAGTACTTATTAAATGCTAAAGGGCTAAAAAAACCGAAGTATAGCTTAAAGAAGTATTTATAATTAAGAAATTTTAAGCTTTTATTTAAAAGAAATAAAAAGTAAAGTAATTAGCTAATGAAATAAGTAATAAGATAAAAGAGTTGGTTTGTAATAAATTAATTAAAAGATATTATAGCAATTATAGCGAAACTAAGCATAATATAAAAACTTATAAAAAAGATAAAAAAATGTTTAATTAATTAAATTTTAATTATATTATAATAAATCCAGCTTAATTAGCATTAATTAATGTAAATATAGCTATTTTATTAATTTAAAGTGAATTATATTTTTAATAATATAATTATTATTAATTAATGCTAAATATATATTTCCTATTAAAAGTTAATTAATTTAAATTAGCACTGTACCTACGCTAATGCTTTTAAATTAACGAAATTAATTAAAAATAAGGAATTAAATGCAGTTAGCATTAATTAATGCTAACTTTTTATTAATTTATTTATCTTAATGTAATATTATAATTAATAAAAGTTGGGTAAAGTTGGAAAAATCCGCTACTTAGTGATATCCGCCACTTAGTGGTAAACCACGTTATTAATATTATATTTTTTTTAACGCTGGGTGTTTAAGCGTTTATTACTGTATCAGGGGACTGGATGGACGGCGGCGCGCCAGGATGAGATGGCTGTTCGGCTCACGCAAGTGGTGAAGGAGAAGGCGGCGCGGCGCACATAGCTCCGGCGACTCCGTCTGACCAGTCATCACGCTGGGGCAAGATTCTGCCATCGGAAATTCCGAGGACCTATTGATGGCGGTAAACGATGCTGAGGTCACTGAGGAAGCCACTATTATCGTGCCCAGAACACACAGTGATAGGGAGGCCACCGGTCCAGCCTTCTCCCAGCCAGAGAAGGCTGCTGTCCGACAGCCGTGAGGGAAGGATTGCGGCCTTAATGGGAGGTATGATCGCGAGCGTGTTGCTTTCGGACGGGCGGACACCGTGCTGGTCACCTCTCACCTTGGACACCTGTTTCCCTTCCTGTTCCCCTTCTAACGACCGTCTCTGCTCGACGGCGGCAGGGCATGGGTCCTAGAAATGATGATTGGCAGCCCAGTCGTCCGATAGGCCGCCCTCTTCCAGAGATCATACTTCTTCTCGCTTGCGCGGGAGACGGGAAATTTCTACCTGGTCTCGGAGGCGATGCTCCAGCAGAACGGAGACGTCTTCCGCGTCCTCAAGGAGCCGTTGCAGGTCATCCAGGACTCGGGCGTTACCGAACATGTCTAGGGGCAGTGAGGATCATGTCGAGCATCTTGCAAGTCCAACGCTTCGAGGCCGCCATGCTGAGCTTCAGCAACTGCTAGGCGCATCTCGACGCTGCTCGGGCTTTATTCAAGCAACTGCTGGGCGGCTCAAGCGCGGCCCAGCCGCCAGAGCCCAGTGCACACTTCAAGGCGGTCATGGATAGCCTCACATCTCCGCCGTGGATCGATCCTACCCAGGTACCTATCCTGAGTGCCGAGCAGGCTGCCTTTCGCTTCTCATCCGCCCTTTTAATACTGGACGATATCATTGCTAGTACAGTTCTTCAGGAAGAACCCACGCTCTATGAGTACTACCACAGCCTTCTCTGTGGGAGTTCTATACTCGAGACCGGCGTCGGTTTCGAGGCTGGGGTGGGTTGCCAGAACTGGGCCCTGCTATAGATCAGACAGATAGTCGCACTTGATGCCTGGATGAAGCGATGGAAGAATGCCGACAATTTGAACTACATGGACCTCTTCAGCCGCGCCACAACTATCAAGGACTCATTAGAAACCCTTCTCGAACAGCTCAACACGGACCCAGTGCCCGCCCCAAACGCCGGGGCCACCAGTCTCCTGAGACATCTTCGCACACGAATGCCATCAAGTTTTCCTACCCAACGACGCCATTGACAGCATTGTCACATCAGAAAATATCGAAGTATACATATCAACATCTGAGCATCCTGTCTTGCGAGACCGTTGCTCTGATACCTACCAGGGGGAAGGGGGGTGTTGGAGAGTATCACACTAGCATTGCGAGATAACGTTGAAATGATATTAATTTGTAATTAATAAATTGATAGTATTATAAAAAGAGTGGCTTGCATTATTTACTTAAGAAGGAAATTATGTTAATATTAATATATTGTAACATAATGTTAGCGTTTAACATATTATGATATAATATTAGCGTTTAATATACATCTTTTAAAAAAGTTATTTTTTTTCCTTATCCCCAACCTAACTACTTATTTATTTTTTACTAGCTTAACTATTTATTATGGGAGGGTTTATAAAATTATGGAAATATTTAAAAATAGAAATAGGTTTAAAGTTAATAAAGTTTAAATTAAAGCTTTTAATATAAATTTATTTTAATATTAGCTAATATTAATTAATATAAAGTTAATCTTAATATAAAGTTAATATTAATATAATTTAAAGCCTTAATATAATTAACTTTTAATAGTATTTTAATAGTATTTTGCTAGTATTGCATTATAATTTCAAAATTTTGTTTGGATCTCAAAACATGATTGCGTTGCGTGACCCATACAAAGACCCCCCCTCCCCCTGGTAGGTATAATCAACTTCGTCTCTGGCAACTCGGAGTCCAATGCCTCCAAAATATTTGCCGCTCTGCTGTTGATGGATGAGACTCCCTTGATTGTGGACTTCATGGAGGAGAGAATTTGTGATAGCGATCTCCCCCTTCATGCTGACCAGAGAGAAGGCATCGATGTTGGCATCTGCAGAAGTGCCGGAAATACTCTCATGCTTATCACGAGATTCGAAAAATGGGCGGTCACGCTGCGAAGGCACTTTCTCCTTGAATTTATCGGAGAAAGGATGCTAGTTGTTGACATTTCCAAGAGAGAGAGGATTGGACAAGTAGCCAGATGGTTGGAATGGAGCTCTGAGACTTGCAGAGTGGATAAAATGTACGCCCTTGCATTGGGGACATCCCGAAGTCATCATTTCAGGAGCCCGCAAAGGGGACTGGGAACCCCGAAAGAAGACGCAGCTCCAATGAGGCCGACGAGTCTCTAATCACGCGATTATGGAAGCGGCCGGTGTAGAATAGAAACTGTGTGCTCCGAAGACATACAGTCAGCTTGGGTTCAAGGGACGATGTAAACCATGACAACACAGTGTTGACCTAAAGCTGTACCGGCTATATTGGGCGGGTAAGCGGTGAGACGAATCTATTAAACTGCTGGCGAAATAGACCGCTCGGCCAAAAGACCAGTAATTTCCAATCGCAATTGGAATTACCCAGCAGTATATAAGTGCCGTACCGTCACAAGCGGTTTAAAATAGGAGGGGAAGTTGGATCGTTTATTCTTTTGAGCGGTTTGAAATTTCTAAGCGGTTTAAAATCCCTAAGTAGTTTAAACCTGCTTAAGCGGCTTAAAGGAAGGAGCGGTTGATAGAGGGCAGGAGGGCATTTTAGCTAAAGAGTCTTTGGCATTAATTTTATCTAAGAAAGAATTAAATTTTAAAAATCCCTTCTTTTAGAAAGCCTTCTTATGAAAAGCCTTCTTTTGAAAAGCCTTCTCTTTTCTTCTCTTCCCTTTCCTTTCCTTTTTTTTTCTGCCCTGCTACCTATTGGTAAAGTTAGTAATATTTTATATAAATGGAGCAACTTCCTTCTTTAAGGTTTCTACCAAAGTAGGTATAAATTGCATTAAATTTATTTATATAGAGCTAAACTATTAATTATAATTTAAACTGCTTACTTTTTTTAAACCGCTTAAAAGAATAAATGGTTCAACTTCCCCTCCCAATTGCCTATGGTTTACTAGCCATTAAACGGTTTAACCACGATTCACAACTTCCCCACATCCCCGGTACAGAATATGGCGACAGGCCGCCCTGTCTAAACTTTCAGTGTATGTTCATGAAAATATATATATATATATATATACTTGAATGCCTGCAAGGCCCCGCTTCGCCGTGTATTGGAGTTTGGTGAACTTTGTGTACATCTCAAGTGGACATCTCAATTTAAACACCATTTATTATCGCCAAGGAGTAGCTTCATACTTACAAGCAGATTGCTCGAGATACAAGCAGAAAGTGATGGCAAGATCGGGGAATGCGGAGTGGCATGGCATTAGTAGTTCAGTGAGCAGACTACGATATTTTGAAGCCGGCTGGATCGTCATTGTTTATTATTGTTCACTGCAGCCATAGAACGTTAGCGAGATTGATACGAAGACGAACTTTGACATGTTAAATTCGAACTTTGAGATAGAAAAAGCAGCATGAAAAGATGGACAGCAGTCGCGTTCCATCTCTGCTGACAATGATCTTCTGCCGGCTACTTTCGCCGCTGCAAGAGTCTTGGAATAATGCAAAGGTGATTGTGATCCAACTGAAGAACTTTTGGTGAGAATCTTTTCATGTCTTCTTCCACTGGAACCCTGAAAATGGCCAAAAGATGCTATCTCCATACATTTGGATGTATATCGTCATTGCAGCGGGCTCGACTGGCTTATATTGGTTTTGTGGTGCTTTTTTTTGGCCGTCCCCATATCGGGGAAAAGGCAGAGTGTGATGGCATAGAAGGACAGGTTGGGAGCGAGAAAAGGTCACCCACGGCGAAGTGATCTCGTGCCGTGAGAGTATGTTAGCAGGTTGGTGATCGATTCCCTACCAGGGGGAGGGGGGTTTTTTGTCAACATCGCATCAGTATGTCAATGGAATAGTGACATAATAATAACATGCAATCAAGGTTCTAACATGCTTTTTTTATATATATATTACATTATTTACACGTTACTAATATATGGTTATTCCTAATATGCTATAACATAATGTTAATTCTTAACATTATATTAACTCTTAACATAATAGTAAAACAAAACCTCTTTTTTTTATCCCCAACCTAACTACTTATTTACTCTTTATTAACTTAATTATTTATTATAAAAGGATTTATAAAATTATAAAAATAATTAAAAATAAAACTAAGTTTAAAATTAATAAGATTTAAATTAAAACTTTTAATATAAATTTATAATAATATTAATTAATATTAGTTAATATAAAGTTAATATTAATATAAAGTTAATATAAATATAATTTAAAGTCTTAATATAATTTCCTTTTAATAATATTGCAATAGCCTTTTATTAGCATTTTGCTAGAGTTACGAAATTTCAATTAAATGTCAAAATATAAGTGCATTGCGTAACCCAGTCAGAAACCCCCCTCCCCCCTGGTAGGTCTTTCTGATTTACTTTAGGCATTTACTAATTTGTACTTCTGTATATGCAAGGAGCATGATAGCGATGTGAAAATATGCAACTAGAAAGAAAATTAGGAATGAGATACACGGTATTGAGACCGTGTCTCTCGACCATTCTGGTCGCTGCCAGCTGACCCGAGCTGACACCGGCAATCAAACCCATATAGATTCTAGTTCATCACAAGCGTTGCGAGGTTTCAGATGCAATTGATACGTTTTTTTTTCTTCTCTCTCTCGTCCATAAATCCCAACTTTCCAATTCGCATTGGGCTTGAACCCTTTGTCTGCAAGCCTTGGCAACTCCTCCTCCCTTTGCGTCTTCTGCTCGCTGTGTCCCGTCTAGCACCTACTTGACATCGCCGGGCTGGGCCAACACACAGCATTCACAGTCAGTCCATCGCCCTTCAGGAGAGGCATATATCACATCACGTTGGAGTGCGGGAATTCAATAAGTGACACCACAGTATAATACAGACGAGTAGGCGCACGCGGTTGAGCCCGTCCAAGCGAACAGCTATCCAAGTGCTGGCCTTGTGCCCCGCTCTGCTAACCAGTCTGGACCAGTTGTGTACTTTTTCCAGGCTTTTGGAGCGGGGCTTGACAGGGCAATGCACAGAAGGATCTCGCTCTTTAAGCCGACGAAGAGATACCCCGCTATTTTCTACACGTGCACGATGTCTGTCCACAATTCTCGCTTCGAAATCCTGTGGCACAAGGAGCTATTGGTTCTGCTACTGTAAGCAGAGCTTTCGGGTTTGCTAGCTCGTCCTTCAGCCTGATTAAATACTTCCGACAGAAGGTTACTGAGGGAGATCTTATGGATTTCACTGATAATGAGTAACAAGGCTAAATGAGTTTGGATGTTGGAAGTGTAATGATTGTCGCTTTCTCATTCATGTGGATGGGTTTGAAAGTGCTACTTGTAGACCATAGATGAGATTCGAAATGTGAAACAATATATCACCGAAGCATGGCCGCGATTGTCAGAATTCTGAACCTATGCACAGTCACCTTGCTGAAGCGTTGTTGAATACGTAAACGGACTGGGTGTGGTCTAGAGAATTCGTGCAGTAGTCGTATGCAGTAGTCGTATGCAGTACTCGTATGCAGTACTCGTTCTCCACATCGATCAGCGCCGCCACTACATGGACGTGTAGATCGACAGCATTTATGGCTCTAAGTGATATGCATTTGCAGGCAGGGAAATTTGCCTGATGATTTTTGAGTTGATTTTCAACATCTTGAGAATGCAAGCCTGGGCGAGGTTGGAAATGTGCTCTTCCTGCTGATCTTAGTTTCGGAGTTCGCTTGACACTGCTGATGGTCATGTCTGGCGCTCTCTTCAAGGCCCCCGATCCCGGAAATCGGCACCAGCCATGTCAAGTCTGCGGATTACTATTTCGATATGGTGAAATGCAGATGTGTTTCACGGCAAGAGACGGCATCTGTAGTTGAACTTTATGCACATCGATTTCCTGAACACCACAAGCTGAGTGGGCGGTTGTGGAGCAGCTAGTGCAAGCCACTCTGGACCGGTATAGAAGGGAGCAAACCATTGAGCCGAGTTCCTCCCTGGAACTGTGCTAATGCTGTTGAACTACCCAGGCTGCTCCGATGACGATTCTGAGGAGCCATACGCAGCCATGGCTGAGTGCGATATCTATCGATCCAATGTGGTGATGATAAGACCCACCCACTTTTTCTCTGGTGATGCGAAATTTCCGAGACATCGTATGGGCCTCGTTGTGATTTGTCAAGTTTTAGATCTCGGAACTGAGTACATGAGAATGTGTTTGGTGGCCGTATGTAGTTAAGCATGACACTGGAGCAGCCATTAGATATATCGTCTTTTCCTCCCGATGTTTTGGAATTAAACATTCTCAAAGCCAAACCATTCTTGAGAATACGAGTGCTTTAATTCGTTTCATTAACCAAGGAGATCATGCTGCAACCTGGCGCAAATATCTCTGGGTTTGGCACCCAACGAGGACAATTCCAGTGTCCACTGCCTGTCGATATAGCATCCGGCCTAGCAACAACGAAAGCCCTTGCACTATGGAATCAACTCATCGTATTCTTACTGACAGCCGTTCTTGCATACACAATCTGTCTGGTATTCTACCGCATGTACCTAAGCCCACTGGCCGCGTTCCCGGGCCCGTTTCTCGCCAAGACTACGCATTGGTACGAGTTTTACCACAACTTCATCCGGACCGGCAAGTATTTTGAGAAGATTAAAGACATGCACGAGAAATACGGTAAGTTGAATGGGCCCCCTCCTCAATAGACAACAGTAAGGCTTGGGTGTAGGAACTCCATCTGATTCTACTACTAGGTCCGGTGGTTCGTGTCACGCCCGAGGAAATCCATGTCATGGATCCGACCATGTACAGCAAGATCTTCGTCACCGGCGCCGTGAGGAAGACCGATGCATACCTAAGATTCAGCAACGGCACCGGCTTTGAGGGTGCGCAGCCTCTTTCCCAAATAGATTGAAGCCCTTGTGTGACCTAAATTCGATGGTGCAGACATGACAGCAATATCAACCGGCCACGATGCCCACCGACGCCTCAGGGCTCCGCTTGACAGACTGTTCGCCCGTGCAAGCATCATGCGCATCGAGCCCCGCGTCGCTGCGCGTTCCCAGAGACTGTGCGATAGGCTCAATACATACAAGGGCACCGGGGAAGTGGTGAACCTGACCAATGCGCTGAGCTCGCTCACGACTGATATTATCTCGTCCATTATATTCGAGGAGCCCTCCGATTACCTCGGAGACCCTGATTTCAACGAAGAGTGGTACCACACCCTCAAGATGGGCACCATGAGCATCCCGCTTTTCAAGCACATGCCGTGGATGGTAGGGTAAGTTTCGTTGTTGTGCTTCCATGTATCAAATGCACGTACGTCGACAACCTGCGCTTACTATTTGTCCGCTAGCGTTGTCGCAAGGCCCCTTCTGCGGCGCCTGGTCACCTACATAACAGACTGGACGATATGGGACGAGAAGGCGCGCAGGCAGGTCATGTTGATTCGCAAGCGCCCCTCCGACGAATCGAAGACGCGCGATGAGACCACCGTCCTCGACCACCTCGTGCACAGCGATCTCGTTGAGAAGGAGCTCGGTGGCAACGGCGGCTTCGCCCGCCTAGCTCAACTTGTTCAGCAAGCAGGTGCACATAACGTCTCGCACACGCTCGGAACCATCATGACGCATTTGCTCCTTGAACCCGAGAAGGCTAAGCCACTTCGGAATGAGCTGGAGGGGCTCTGGTCTCGGGCCCGTCAGGACGGTGACTTGGATGGGCCTTCCTGGATTGACCTGGAGAAGTTACCGTACTTGAGTGCCGTCATCGCCGAAGGACTTAGGTGCGCCCATCGACGTGATGATATGATGAAAAAAAAATCACGAGTGCTGACGACAAAGCGCAACAGGATGGCCATCGGTGGCATGAATAGGACGCCGCGCGTGTTTCCAGAAGATGACATCGAATGCTGTGGTTGGACCATACCGAAAGGGGTCAGTTTTCCTTTCCTCACTTTTCTCCTCTGCCACTCAAACGTCTGACCGTTGGATAGACCGCCATCTCCATGTCGACCTGCTGGATGCACAACGACGAGCAGATATTCCCCGAGCCGAATTGCTTTGAGCCCAAACGCTGGCTTGAGGCAGATTCCGAGACCATGAAAGCCATGAAGATGCACTTTGTACCATTCGCAACCGGAAGTCGTCAGTGCGTAGGCCAAAAGTAAGTTTGATAATATTCCTTCTATCCCGGGTGCTGCCGGACGGGAGGGAGCAAGATGCGTTCTGACTGTTTCCGGATACCAGTCTGGTTTACATGCAAATGTTCCATACTTTGGGTCGGCTATTCCGGCCTGACGCCCCGGTCTTCAACTTGTTCGACACGTGTTTGAGAGACATAACAGCAATCCATGGCCTGCTGTTTCCCATGCCCCCATTTGGTTCAAAGGGAGTGAGAGTTACGGTCTCGTAACAGACACTATGAAGTATAACGCCATTTCAAACATTGCAGTGGGAAGGAGACGGCGCTGGAATGGCTCGGGAACCTGGGATTTCTGTATCCGCAGAGGTAGGTAATAGCAATCACCAACTCATAAAAGACTGAAAGGAGCAGAGCGGTCATTGTGATTCATGGCGGGCCTAGGTATGTAGGTAGATTGACCAGTATTCATTTCAGAGGCCGTCAAAGCAGACTAGAACCGCTACAGCTTCAGACCATGACCAGCGGCCTGGCTCATAAAAAAGTCCTTCACTGGCCTCATGGCGTTGACAGCGCTGAGACCAAGGGACCGCAGAGGCACCAGGGGTCCGCTCCCGACCGAATAAAGTTTATGTAGCTTATCGCAGACACCCAGGATCACATGGTTTGCAGCGTACCTCTCGGCATTGTACGATTCCAGCGACAGTTGCGTTCCAATATCTTGTCCGTGACTGACGGCGTACTCGATGGTCTTGGCTAGGCTCTGGATGTCTCCCTGTCCCTGGTTGAGACCCTGACCGGCTAGTGGGTGGATGGTGTGGGCAGCGTCACCCACGAGCGCGACCCGCTCGCCGATGTAAGTATCAGCGTGGCGCAGCTTGAGGGGGAAGGACGCTACTGTGCCTTCTTGAACTCCGACTACAGGCTGAGGGATGGCCTTTGGTTGGACCGAAGTATGTTGCGAACGCCACGAGACCTCGTCCACCTGGCCAGAACCTTGACTATGGAGGTAGTCCAGATCCACGGGGCTCAAGCGGAAGGCAGCGTTGACCGTAGCAGCAAAGTCCGCAGCAGACAGGCTCTTCAGCCGCGAAGCTCGATCCGGAGTCGTCGACCACACGAGTGTCGAGTAATTCCCGGGCATGGGCAGCATGGCAACAGGCCCCGTGGGCAGGAATCGTTGGTATGCGATCTTCGTGTTCTCGCCACCCCAGCCTTCACCCTCGAGTTGAAGAGTCGCAACAACACCGTGTCTTCCGTAGTCCCAGCCTCGTGCTTCAATGCCGGCGAAGGACCTGACAGGACTGTTGGCACCATCTGCGCCAACCAAGAGCCTCGCCCAGAGCCGCTGACCGTTCGCCAGCTGGATGACTGGCCACTCGGACAGGTTCAGTCCGTCCTTCTCCTCACCGAATGTGATACCCTCTACCCTCGTATTGTCGAACACAGATACCCCGCCCAACTCGTCAAGGCGGCCGAGGAGGCCGGACGTTATGTTGAGGTTCTCGATCATGTATGCGATAGTCTGGCCGGGGCCGCCGCCCCAGTCAAACTCGATGCGCGCATCCGAGACGCCGTCCCAGACCTGCATCTCGTGGTATGGCCGTATCCTTTCCTGCTTGAAGTGCTTCCATGCCCCGATATTCTCGAAGAAGTCAGCGGACGTCGGCGTCAGGGAGCTGCATCGGTTCGAGAAGCGGTCCGGAGGGAGCTTCCACTGGCGGGTTTTTGACAGGTCCTGCGCCTCGATAAGGGCTACTCGGAGGCCGGATGTGACGGGGTTCGCGCCTGTTGTGACGGGTATTAGTAAAATGTGGATGATGGCATATCGTGCAGTGTTTTCCTTACGCAGGGCAGTGAGCAAGCTGAGGCCTGCAGGACCGCCTCCCACACACACGACATCATAGATGTCTGGCTGTCCAGCCGTGCTGGCGTAGGAGCGCCTGAGTGACTTTCCAGCCTGCCGAAAGCAGCGTCGACAGAGATAGCTGGAAGCAGACCGTCGGAGAAGCACGTCCATGTCGTCTCAACCAGCGAGGATGGTGACGGACGGGATGTGGATTGAATTTCGCGATCTGACGATGTTGGAATTGGATAAGCTCATGCAAGGGTCGAGCTACCCTTGTCCATACCGAAGCTCCACTTGGCCCGTGCGTTACTACGTAGGGGACTCTGCACCCCTCACTGCCATTTGTGGAGTCAGCGTACGCCCACCCAGCTTCCACAGTACGCCCACCCAGCTTTCAGCGTTGGCCCACCTAGTATAAAGAAAATTAGCTGTATTTACACTAAAATGTGGGTATTGCGGGGTTTTAAAGTTAGCAAAGCTATAACTATTTTAAAGGGATCTTATAGTTATCTTAAAGGGGTTTTATAGTTATTTTAAAGGGGTTTTATAGCTACCCCTTTATTTATAACTTAAAGTTTACTTTTGCCCTTTGCCTTTTACCCTTGCCCTTTAACGCCCTTTATGCCCTTTATGCCCTTTATGCCCTTTATGCCCTTTATGCCCTTTATGCCCTTTATGCCCTTTATGCCCTTTATGCCCTTTATGCCCTTTATGCCCTTTATGCCCTTTATGCCCTTTATGCCCTTTATGCCCTTTATGCCCTTTATGCCCTTTATGCCCTTTATGCCCTTTATGCCCTTTATGCCCTTTATGCCCTTTACGCCCTCTATGCCCTTTATGCCCTTTATGCCCTTTATGCCCTTTTATGCCTTTTATCACCTCTGCCGCCTTTTATCACCTTTGCCACCTTTTAACGCCTTTGCTACCTTTTACGCCCTTTTAAGCCTTTTAAGCCTTTTAAGTCTTTTAAGCTTATATTTTTAAAGTATTACTTAAATTAAAAAATAATTACCTTAGCTTATTAAAAACCCCATAGTACCTGCATTTTAATGCAAATGCAGCTAATTTTCTTTATATTGGGTGGGCTAACGTTGAAAGCTGGGTGGGCGTACTGTGGAAGCTGGGTGGGCGTACGCTGACTCCCATTTGTGGGAGAAACGGTGTACTTCAAATTTCAATATTTTTCAACTAACTCCAAGTTGGAAGCATTAACTCGTCACGTCGACACTGATTAAACTAGAAGGAAGACTTTGAAGAGCCCAATTCTGAAGCGTTTTTGCTAGTATCTATGTCCAGGAGATCTTAAAACACGGTTTCGTACAGCCTGTGGCATGCCCATCAGCGTAGTCCGAGAACCGCCCAGCAATAAAATAACGAGTCGCGGATGAGGCTTGCGTGCGGGAACCCACAGCAGTTGCGGTTCTATTGTCTTCCAAGTTTTGCGCACTCACTGTTCTTAACAATTGGTCCCCACTGTGCATGGCATTGTCTCGTTTCCATCCATATGTGACTAGAGACATCAATCAGACGTAGTATACCCTATCAGGCTGCCGGGGTAGTACAATTGTCGAGGAACCCAACGTTGAAAAGGATCCCCAGTGGTTGCTGGGTCGTTCTAATGGCATCTGCCTCCCTATTCGTCTGTCTCGTCCTAGTGTCTGATATGCTATCCGAAGCCCCAAGAACGCAATGAAAATAGACGGTAGGCCGATAGCGATTGACACAATAGCGTCGGGTGCAAGCATTTGTTCAGCTGTGCAACAAGTCAACCTATTTTGCGAGGTCCTTGATTATGGTCGCGCCGAGGAATGCCAATGGCAATAGGATTATAAATAACAACAAAGACTACTATACTAGAGAAAATTTGGTGTGTACTTTGAGTAGTGCAAATGGAGAATCAGTTCTCCAAAGTGTTTCCGTTCTTGTAGTATGGGAAAGTTTCCACAACGAGAAAAGAGATTCCAAGAGTACTCGAAGCTACAATCAAGTTGGGGTGCACACAATTGGTTGAAAAGTACTCACAAACCACTATCGTTAAAAAGGCCGTTGTGTCTTGCCAGCTTTAATCAGCTCCACTAGGCACACAACCAGCTAATCCAAGAACACGTGCAATCTAGGGGGAGATGTGACAAGAGGATACCAAAAGAATTTCACAAGTCAACTCTGCGCACGATACTGGCAGATGTAAGAGGACTGTCAGGTCTCTATGGCTGGTGAGCATTGAGCCCCGTGCTGGTCGCAGGCGAGGTGGGTCCTGCAACCTTCACTTTCAAGACAGACCCTTCGAGTTCTGGTAAAAGAATACGGAAAATCAACTGTGGGAAAAGGAAGGCACAAGAGTTTATGTGCTTGAGTGTCGGTTGTGACGGGTTTAATACCAATGAGTTCGGCCAGAACGCCTGGCACCAGCATCAACACGCAACGCGTCCTGCCTCCTTCGTCGAAGACTCCGACCCGGACCCCGACTTGAGGAGTAAGCAGAGGCGGGCAAAAAGGCAGTGCACCAGACACCCATTCGACTCGCGGTCAGATTTCTGCGAGGTCAAAAAGGTGGACTCAAAATAATATCCGACTTCTCTGTCGATGACTATAAGAATTCGATGGTTGCGAAAGCGCGGACACTTTGCTAGGTATGGGGGCCGACGGTAGTGTGACAACTGCGAGGAGTCCGACAACTGCGACGGGCCCGGTAACTGCGACACTGCGACACTACGACACTGCGGTGAGTGCCATACTGCTACTGGTTTTTAGTAACGTGACAACGCAAGCGCGGATGTCATTGGCTTCAACCTGCAAGTGTGGACAGACAGGCATTCATGGGTCTCTAAAAGCGGTCTAGTCTGGCCAAGTTACCCTCTGAAAGCCGGTACGCTGGTGGCGGTTGTGTTTCACCGCATCATGTAGACTAAGTAGGAGACAACCGCTGCTCAGCAGCCTATGTACGTGGATGTGAGCTATGTGTGTGTGCTGACCCAGGAAATTACATATAAGCCCAGTTGAGCTCCGGGCCCGTATCTTCTTCCGAATAGTGCAGAGAATTGCGACACTGCGACGTCGCAACACCGCAACACTTCCTGATTTCTGGACACGCCAGCCATGGAGCAGCAACCGAAGAGACAACGTCTCAACTATAGTAAATGTACATGCTGCCGCAGAGACAAGAAGAGGGTATGCACTCACGCCTATAACATGGTACCTGCATCCAGAGGGGCTAACGAAAGCCACCAAAGTGCACGCCGCCAGAAAGGGATTGGCCACAGAAGTGTGATCGATGCCTCTACAAGGGGCTCGAGTGTTCACCAAATACTGACAAGAAGGCTGGTGGATATACACGCCACGCGACAACACCAGCCAGGGCAGAATCGTTGGCCCTAGCAGGCGCATTGGATGAGAGTAGTCAACGGCCACTTGTCATCGACGAAAGAGATGGCGGAATAGACTGTGTGAAGCTGCTAGGTAGTGGAACTTCGCCTGGTGATTTGTGTCGCGTGCACATTTCCGCTGAGCTAAAAGAGCGGATAGAGGCGTGGAGATCCAAGGCAACAAATCCTGGGCCTCCTGATCAACCACCACCAATTCCACGTTCATTTTGCCTCGATATTTTCAATCGCTTCGAGGGCGTCCCGACACGTGAAGTCTCACTGGGAGACTTGACGAGTAACAATACGACTGGAGGTCAGAATCATGAAACAGTTGGGAACTCCATTGGATATTGCTGACCTCGATGTAGTGCGTTGTGGCGTGGTCAGCTCAGGGATATGGGCAGAGGCACCAGTATCCGATCCGGCTATCCTGAGAATCACGCCTTCCCAGCCTGAGTCTTCGAAAGCCGCAATGGAGGCTTTCAAGCAAATGTGTGACGATACTGCGTCCACGGTTTCTCGCGCGGCTACTTGGGGAACTTGTCGTGGAAGTTCTCCCAGCAGTTCAGAGTATGGAGATACTGCTCGGGGTATTTCCCACAAGATATCGACCAAAGAGGTTGCTGGAAAACCGGGGCTTGAGAGGACTAGTCCAGAATTTGGAGAAGCTCGCAGCCAGGCAGACGATGCGAAAGGATGTGGACTTAACATCACAGGAGAGAGATTTGCCAGTGTTCTCTTGTTGGGAATGTTTGTTGGATAAGGAAGGGGTGCACACTAGAATGAGGGATAACCATCTAGTATCTAAAACTACGTTACTATACTTTAGCTATGAGAAAGCCTCATGAATACTACCATGATTCACACAAAACGAGAGATTTAGAGCTCCTGGGGGTCTGAAGAAGGGAGAGGATCAAGTTTAATCATGCTTCATCTTGAGACGATTTATTGACTGCTGGCGTAAGAAACCACTCGGCTAAAAGACCAGTAATTTCCAATCGCAATTAGAAATACCTAACAGTAAATAAGTGCCGTACCGTCACACATCTTGCAAATAAATCACTCCTATGATGCTCTGCTACTGCATATACCTGTTCACTCTGCTTGCATTCAACCACCCCTAACTATACCTGTTCTACTCTGTATGAATAGAAGTCTGTTCTGAGGCCTTGACACCGGCTGTAAGAACAAGTACAGCTGGTAAGATAAAACGCAACCGACCTGTCCATGTCCATCTTTTGGACCCGTTCTCATTCTTTCCATACGGTAGTATTTCTTAAGACCATGTGTCGGATTTCTACCGTTACTGGCTTGGTTCGTAATTGCATCCTTCCAGTGACTCAGACTTTAAACTTGAACATATTGCAAGGCTTATGCACCCAACGCATGCAGTGGTGTCACATTTTAACAGACGTTGAGGCTTCTATGTACTGCAATTTGCTGGTCCCTCACTGCCTTCCTTGAGTTCCAAGCTCTGTTTCTCCATTCGTGGTGCTGTACTCAAAGACACAGAATGAATATCCTAACCAACCTCAAGCTCCAAACAAACGTGTACGCCCATCGCTAACTATGTTCCCAACCAATGAAAATACCCAAAGCGCAGAGCGAGATCATCCATACCAATCATAAACCCATTGCTAACATGATATTTACCGAAGCATCCCGTTTGCCTTCTGCTGTGCTCCATCAATCTGGTATCTCAAAATGCCAGGCCGGACTGCTTGTTCCTCAGGACGCCACCATCGTGGTGCCTCCACCCGCCCACGGAGCTGACAGGGCTGCCAGCCGTGACTATGGTGCTTCCCTCAAGCTGCTGTTGCGGTGACTGTGGTTCGATCTCAGCGTCTGAGGCTCCTCGGCGGTAACCGTAGGCCCCGCCATTGACTCTACTATCGCCTCCCCGACCCCCACCACCTGCTGCTCCTCTCTTCGCGGACGCGGGCTCACCTTGAGGTTGGGCGGTCGAGGCGGGCTCTGCCACCTCACCACCCGTATTTCCAGATACATTCTGCGCAATGCCACCGTGCGTGGTCTCCCGGGGGCTCAGCTCACCACCGCTCGAGACGGTTGTCGGGCTGCTGAGCTCGGCGGACTGCTTCTGGTCGTGGATCGTTTCGTGCTGGTGGGACCCGAGGTGCTGGTCCTCGGGCTCGGGCTGCCAGTCACGGAGGTCGTCTTCGGCGTCGTTCAGGATCTGGCGGGCCTGGGCGCTGTGGGTGTAGGGCTGGCGCTCGTCTCCTGGAACGACGGCACCGTCGTCCAGAAGCTGAAGGAGGCGGCGGCCGTGGCGGGCCAGGATGATCTGCTTCTCGGCCCGCTCAATCGTGGCGAGGAACTCGGCGTCGTAGGATTCCTTGAGCTTCTGACGGGTCTAGTGCAACGGAACGTCGTCAGCTTTCTGGCACCCCACGAAGGGGGTTCCCGTCTTTACAAGCATGCTGTGAATGACAAGAACAGGGCGATACGGCGGTAGACACTCACGATATTCGTCAACTGGGCCTCGGCAACCAAGTTCTCCGCCTCGGCCCTGACGAGCTCCTGCTCGAGGACGACAAGCCTGGCGCTCTCGGGCTCCTTGGACTTGATCTTGGCGATCTCATCCGCGACCTTGCGCTTCCCGTCGCGGCTGGGCTGGACGCTCTTCTCGGTGTTGCGGATCTGCTTCATGGACCCCCGCGCGTCGTCGAGGGCGTGGGCGTAGTTGTCCTCCTGCTCGCCGATCTCGCTGAGGATGACGCCGACCTTGTCGCTGACGTCGCTGATGGCCTCGTCGCCCGTCTGCTCGCCCCACTCGGACAGCTGCGTCGCGATGCTGACGCGCTCCTTGCCGGCGGCCTCGTGCGCGCTGATGACTTTGTTGGACGTCTTGATCAGCTGGTACAGCTTGCGCGACAGCTCCGGCTGGATGGAGCCGCGCAGCGAGGACAGCGAGAAGCCCACGCGGTGGGACCCCCCGCCGCCGCCGCCGCCGGAGGACGAGCCGGTGGCGCCGCTGCTCTTGCCGGAGCGGATGGAAAGATTGCGGTGCCTTCAGTATGCTCAGTACACGCGTGGACCAGGTCGTAGTTGAAGGATTTGGGGACATCTGGAACTGGAGATGCGATCCGTAGATCGGGGAGTGGCGCATAACTCACATCTTGCCCGCTGTTCGGGTGTTGTAGCCTGATTCGGAGCTTCTATTGGACCACTCTGAGCTACGTGATGAGCTTTTGCGCGACCACATTGGCATGCTTTCGAATTCGATCTGGTATAAGGAGGATGGTGGGATTTGAGTCAACTCACATCGTCTAGTCGAGGCTGAAGAACTCCGGAGATGCTGGGCTGCTCTGTTAGCTTGTTATGTGACGGAAAGTCCCTCCTTCCGTAGTCGTTCTGATTTGTGCTGCTGCTTATATCAGGCAGTGTCAAGCCTGAGTTGAGCGGATAATATGTTCCGGGAAATATTAAAGAGGCAGTGACTGAGGAGGCACAATGCGATCACACTTTCTCCGAGGGGCAGGCGGGGTCAAGGGAGTCTTTAAGCTAGAGAGATGTCGAACCAGAGAATCGGGACAGGTCAGCCGCAGTGGCTGAAGTGGACGACAACGCGATGATGTGATGGCGGAAAGTCACGATTGGAATGCACGACATCGAGCAGGGGACGCGGCGCCATGCAGGTCCATTGAAAGTTATATCGGATATTGGACATGGCATTTATGGCATTGATGAGCAAAAGCGGCAAGCGGCCAGCGGCCATGCAGCCGTCATCGCTGACAGTGGTGTCTTAGATCGCCCCCCTTTGCCCCCCTCCATTGTGTCTCGACAATAGCGGCATCGTTCCACGATGGTCAGGTCGAGGTTTGACCTAATCGAGCAAAGTCAGGAAGAAAGCGTCCAGCGGGTTGCCGGGTTCGAAAGACAGAGGCGTCAAGCCACTGACGTCATGCAGAGAACCCTTGGAGCTGTCAGGAGGGGTCCCCTGTCCCGTCTCCCATGCCGCTCCTTCCCTCGGCTGCAACCACTTTATCACACTACAGTACATACCAGATCTTTAGACCGCTCATGGGAACTGCCTGCAGTCGCCCACCTTGCTCTCCCAGTTCTCCGGGGCACCTAGCAGCTGAGCGGTGGGCCAAGGTAAAAGTGATGAAAGAAGGGAAACATAAGGGAAACAATGAGAAAAGTGACCAATCGGGCTCTGATCAGAGCTACGGGGTCACGTTACGCAGTTTGGTGTGCAAGGAGAAGCGATTTTAAGGAGAGTGCAGCTTATTGATTATCTGTAGACATTTGATAGAGAAAAGACCGTAATTGCACAGCGGTGTGGACTGACTCCTGTCGAGAGTTTCCCAACTCAGCATGTCCTGATTGCTCATAACCCCGGACGCCAGACCATGCCGTTGCTCTGCAGTATGAAAGAGACTTTTCGGGTGTAGACGATTCATCATTTCTATCTTTGTGGACGTTAGAGAGCCTCAATCCATCCTCATCTCTGGTTGATTTGGGATGGACGCCTTGTCTTCTTGTGAGAAAGGAGTGGAGTAGTGCCATTGACGACTTTGTGGCAGTCACCAATGATTATAACCCCTGAGGTCCGCCAGGCGCGAGCAAGCTTTGGGCGAGTGCGAACTGCAAGGCTGCGTGATCAAAAGTCGGAGGCAGATAGAAAGTGTGAAGCGTGTCGATTGGTCTCGGCGAGGGATGAGGGCGGGATGACCGAACAGTCGTACCGAAATGATATCGTGGCCTTCCGCAAGTGCCCCAGAAGATATGACCGCTCGGTTTATTGCCTAATTGTCTCGGCAGTGGACCTCCCCCCACCCGTTGTTGGTTGCACGCCAGAATGCCTTCTCAACCATCCACGGCTTGCAGAATAAGCTGGCATGAAACTCCCATCCGAGTGTTGTGTTAACGCCCGGCAAGGGTCCGCAACCGTGGGGCATTGAGACGACACAACCGGAAAAGTCGTCGAGTTCGTGCCAGAGGCTCCCGCATAAATCACTGATGTTTTCGTTTACGTTGTGGATTTGTACATAGTAAAAATAACGAATCAGTCCTTTGGACCTAGAACAAGTGGCTTCGCCAGTTGCTATGTCAATAGAGCCAGCGAGAACGAGTATGGAGGCCAAGGGGGCGAAGAACCGCATCTTAGGTCTGGTTAATGGTGGAAGGCTGACGTATAATTGCGTCAAAGACTGAAATGGTAGCTGCTTTGGTAGGAATTATCGTGTCGTTTGGGAATGGAAGTGAAGCTAGACTTTTCAACATGTTGGTTAAGAGGGTTGAAGGCAGGTCCTGTGTTATTGCACACTTTACGCTAGCTATACGAGTCATTACTTAGATATGGACTCTATTGATATTAGTATGAACCGGTCAGTCCTCGGTCGAGACTAAAGCCACTGGCACAAGCCTTCTAGTTTTACCATCTGAGAGCAATGAGACCTCACCAACTCGAAAAGTACAAGGGAAAAAGAAGGAATTGATCTACCGGCCGCAGAAGTATTGCAAAGCGGCTCTTAAAATTGACTCAGGAGCGGTTACTTGACTTGTTGCCTTTGCATCAACCAACTCACACATTAACAGGCTCCAAGTCTACCCAATGGGACACTCTTTCCCTCCAACAGCTGATAAACAGCGAGTGATTGCCCAGGTTGTACCCGAGGATCAAGAGACGTTTCCTCTACCTGGCACGGATCTATTTCAAATCTAATAACCGAGCAAGTGCACGACAGCCTCCACACGGGCTGAGACCGGCGTCGTGCTATTGGTCCCTCGTATGCAAAAGTCGGGGAGCGGTCACCACGCCATGCCTATCCTCCCCCTTGCACCAATCACGTCCCAGAAAAGTGTCATAAACATCGGTCGTCGATGTGGGCTTCGGTTGGGTCTAGGCCTGGGTTCACACGAGCCTCCCATGGATACGTAAAGTCGATACCGTAGATAGGCCGGACACGAGGAGCACAAAAAACCGCCGGCTTACAACAGGAACTTCACAGGCGTGAGTTCATGATGGACTTTTCTTCACCTCGCGGTGGCAGAGGAGGCCAGGCAAGGTGGAGCCTTGCTGGACTCATCGGCACGTGCCTACGCTGTCGATCACTCGTGTGCCCATTACTGAGAGCAGTCACGAGCAGTCACGAGCAGTCACTGTCCGGTTATAATTTTGGCTGGTCTAAAAACAAAGTTATTCTTGCAGCTGATAACTATACAGTTGTAAAATGGACTAAGAGAGGCTGCACAACGCCATGCCTTGAGCCGCGCGTTTTCCCCATCACGTCGCCGCCAACACCACCAGATAATTCTTTGCCTCTCCCATGTAATCTCGAAGTCTTGACATAAGTGCCTCTGCCGCTACCCCGGCCTTGGTCCCCCCGATACCATGCGACGAATCCGACCCGGAGTAGATGCTAGGCCATGCTTTCTCTGTATTATTGATTGCATTACAATTCCGGATGCAATTATTCATGTCCTGGGGCGCGGTCTTCTCCAATCAATGATGACCATGGTCCCGCACCGATGCATCGTGCGTCCAAAGGTAATGGTGGTGTCTTAACATCCAGTTGGCTGTCATTGGTCCGAATCTCATACATAACGCCGGGATGTTCGCTTCTCATACACCACGGGGCCGCTATGGTGGCTGTGGTAGCTAGCCCGTGGGCTGTGGCCGTAGTGGGAGTGTCGCGAGGTGTGGCTGTGGTAGCTTGCTCTTGCCGGGTGGTGATGGCTGTGGTGGTGGTGGTATCTCGTCGCCGGTACTACTTCCTCCCGGTAGTAGTAATTCTTCTTCCTCTGTGGCGTAATTCCGAAGCACATTTTGAATGGAACTGAAGCACAGAGAGGTGTAGTCTGACGGATATATAGCTAGTAAATCCAGTGAGACCTGTCGTAAAATGGGTTCTCAACGTGGTGCGAGGAGAGAGTAGATGATAGATCAGAGAAAAACGTGGGCCCGGGTGAGCGCACAGGTGAGGATGTGGAACATATTTATGATCAGAGATCTCACTCATCGATACTCCGAGAGGGCAGCGGCATTGGGCTATGTCCGGCGACGCAAGGCCAAGGCAAGGACGATCCGGCCGGATGCACCACAAAACCAGGTTTAATCCATGCGAACGCCTGCGATGCACACCCTCGTAACCGCCTCTCTGACCCGTGTGATTGGCGGCCCCTGCTGACCGAACAGCCACCCGGCACATACTTGCACCCACCCACATACACTACTGTCCGTTCGCTGGGAGGAATGCGGCCAGGACCCTGAAGCCTTCAGCTATGACGACGAAAGCGAGCCTTGCGAAGGACTGGAATGGCCGATAAGCTGGCAGCCTGGGGACTGCTACATGATTTGCTTTATTCCAAGTCCTCCGGAGAGGGAGAGGAAACCGTAGCTTTGCCCCCCTCGTGTGAAGAGGGCAGACATGCGACATGCGACGCTGCAGGGCTGATCGGAGCATTTGGTGACAAAACTCTAAACGAGCCTCCAAGTATCCTGATCGGACTGAGATGTGCAGGCTTGTTTTTGCCGTTGCAGCAGCTCCTCGAATGTCACCCTTGGGCGGGCAGGCGGGTGGGTCGCCGCCCGTCCATTTTTAGTGTCGACACGAGGTGTGTGTGGCGACGTCACCCTGCAGAAACCAAGCACAGCTAACAAGAGGCTGCTTGCGAGGCGTTCTGGGATGAGACACACGGGAGGTCTTCCTAACCCTCCGGAATGGCATAACTCACTGTCTTGGGGTGATCTGGGGATGGCAATGTAGGCGATGAATGCATTTGATGGCATGGGATGCAGCAGCTGAGACAGGGTTTGCGGTGTGTCGCCGGAGAAAAGTGACTCGAGGGTCAATAAGATCAGAGGACAGGATGAATCCATGTCTGTGAGGGGTCCAGCAAGCCAAGATAGATCTTGGTCCAAATCGCAGAGGTGTGGGCCTGAAGGACAGCTACCCTGGCAGCCAAACCAACCGGATTTGAGGCCCTGTCAGCGAATCTTATGCCAACCCAAGACCCTGAAAACGCCTGGCCTGTAGGGACCGCCTTCGGACGGGGATCACGTCAACAACGATCCGAGCCGCCAACTCGAAAATGGCATTGAAGCACCTGATAACCTGTATTGTGGCAGGTATTGACTACCTCGTGCATCCTCAAATCCTGGTACGAACCAAACTTCCATCTCGTCATGTCTCATCCGCAGCACCGCTGACAGAAGGCAGGGCAGCGTTGAGGAGAGCGTGAGGGCGGACCAGATCATCCCCGTCGTCGTCCTGAGCGAGGAGGAGGTCAACGCCGGCCCAGAGAAGCTCGGCAGGACTCTGCAGTATCTCGTTGATAACGACGATGTCTGCACCGATGAGTTCACCGGCATCATAGTCGTCAAACCGTCCGGGTCTGGCTCGCATCTGCGTGGTGCTTATGCTAGTGCATCTGACATACAGACTTCCCTAGACTGCCCTTTCACGGTATATCACCTGACAAATGGACTTGATACGTGTGAAGATAGGGACCTCTTACCATCTGGGCCATATTTCCTGAGCGGGCAGAACCTGCACCAGGCTTGGCGGCTCCACCCTGACGACCTCGATGCCTTCACCTTCGGCCTATTGCCAGACAGCCCTTTTGACCCTCAGAGGTATTCCACCACCCGCTCCATACCACCACATATGAGAGACCTCCCGTCTAACCATCCGTACCAGCTTCCAAGCCGTCGCACCGCTGTCCTCAGATGGTGTCTCCAAGACCATCCCAGTGCCCAGCCGGTTTTATCACAAGCCTACCTCAAAGAGACCGCTGGCTGGGAAACGCGTCTCGCTTACAGACTCATTCGACGTAAAGGGTGCAAAGACGACACTATCTAGTCGGGCATGGTCGCAGCTGTACCCCGCTGCCGACACTTCCGCCGCGTACGTCAAGAAGCTGCTCGACCTGGGCGCCGTCGTGGTGGGCAAGACGAAGACGACCCAGTTCTCGACCGGGCTGCAATGGGTTGACCACCATCCACCCGTGAACCCGAGGGGCGATCGCTATCACCAAGCGTCCGGTAGCTCCGCAGGAGCCGCAGCATCCCTTGCCGGTTACCGGTGGCTCGATTTTGCCGTTGGTGGAGATTGTAAGTTGTCTTGACACTATGCTGCTGTCGTCGGCCATTCCTCGCTGACTGTCGCCGTCTCCTCATGTAGCCGACGGAGGTGTCCGGGACCCAGCTGCAGACCATGGGCTGCATGCTATTCGGTCATCATTCGACTCAGCGTCCCTAGAGGGCGTTAAGATCAGTTCAGAGTGAGCATGTCTAACAACGAGCATATTTCAAACAAAATAACTGATCAGGTGCCTTTTCAGGAGATATGATACCGTCGGAGTGTTTGGCCGTCGCTTGGACGACCTAGTATCTGTAGCAAAACACAGCTTTGCAGTCTCGGATGAAAACATAAAGCCGCCTCGTCGAGTCATTTACCCTACTGACTACTTTCCCCTCTCCGATGCAAAGCATCAGAAACTGGTTGAAGAATTTATGCAGAACTTGGAAGCCCGCCTGGATATCAAAAGGACCGAAGTGGATATAGCGCGACTGTGGGACGACCAGCCTCCTTCAGGCTCTTCAGCAAGTGTGCCTTTGCAGGAATATTTGAAGAAGGCAAGTCTCGCCAATCTGTGTGCGACTTGACCGTGAAGGGCCTCGCTGACCTGATCACAGGCACCTTTCTGGTCATTGTGCCACGATTACTACCACAAATTTGATGAGTTCAGGGCTGATTATAGCGATGCCGTTGGCCGCGAGCCCTTTGTTGAGGCGTCTCCTCGCTACCGATGGTATGTGTGTCTTCTGCCTTTTCTGACCATGTTCATACTGGCCGTGAAGCTGACTTTATGTGCTAGGGACGTCGGAGAGAGTGTTACGAACGACGATTACGACGAGTATCTCGACCGCCTCGACACGTTCAGGACATGGTTTGATGAGACTGTCATGCCCCTAAGCAGCGGATCTGATGATATCATGATACTGCCAGCTGGCATCGCTGGGCAGAAATACCAAGACGAGCCCCCGAGGTAGGTTGGCAACCACATACGGGGGACAGTTTTTATCTGGGCATTGCCGGATCTATCACGGCCCACGTTGTTCTGGATTATTCTTGGGTTCTAATTACGGTCCAGTGAACCCGAATCCCTTGAGGGCATTGGTATCAGACTCTTATCACCGATTCTGGGCACACCCCAGATAGTTGTACCATGTGAGTGCGACATCCAATTTCGGATACAGGCAGCATTGACGGCTGACAACGACTCGCCACAGTCGCGCAGCTTCCCTACAAGTCCCGCGTGACTGAAACACTAGAGTACAGGCCCGTCAGTGTGTCGTTGATGGGCGCCAGAGGTACGTTCACCAAGGGAATGGCCCCGTGCCCAAGTGCTACTCCCTGGATGCTAATGAACACCGCAGGGAGCGACCTTGCGCTTCTGCGCTTGGTAGAAGAAGTCACGCAGGCTGCTGGATGGCGGACAAATGTCGACACGGGAAGGCGCGCCTTCCCCGTCGGCAAAAACAGTCGACATGTACGGGACCTTGGCGATGACGGCCGTGGAGGTGAGGTCTACATTCAGCAGCATGTTGCTGGTCTTGCAGATGTTTCGGACGGGACACCGGACGAGTTGTAGATCATCCGGTCCGTTCCCCAATGTGTAGAAATGGGATGGACTAGTCCGTTCGTTGTTCTACAAGTCGAGTAAAATACCAACAAGAACTCTTGCCAGCGCAAGCATGATGACACCTTCTCGAAACTACGGCGATCAGTCCTCTTGGCACGCCCGTCAGCACAAGGACACGCCGCTAGTTCAGACTGCATTACGCTTCCAGACCAATGGCCGTCAGTAGTCACGGTCGAGTCCAAGTTCGACGCTGTTGTGCGTCCGTGTTTGGGCTTGGATACTACCGCGTTGCGGCATCAACATGGCCATGGATTTCATTCTAGGTACAATAGTTTGAAGGGAGCGCCACGGAGGTAGGACTGAGTCTGGATGTACACTTGAGCAATCCGTGGTTGAACACATCGCTCTCATCTTGAGAGAAAACGACGCATGTCGCCAAAAGTAGTCATTTAGTGCCTCCTATGGGCAAACTCTGCGCACTGCCATTACTCCCTCTAGGGAAAATGCGAGAGAATCAAGTGTGTCACTCCTCGGTATCCCCGCCCTCCCTCTAACAGCTCTCAAAATACACCTCGACCTTCCAACCGCCATCGTAAAGCGACACCCCATTGAACTTGTTGTGGTTAACGCCCGGGCCGCAGGCATTCATCACTGCCTGGGCACCGTCGGCAACCATGCTCCAGCTGTCCAAGGTGTAGGTGTCGGAGTTCTGCCAAGCCAAGGCATGTCAGTAAATAATCCTGCCAGACGGAGAGGTAGGCAGGCTTTGGGTGGGGGACGGAGATTGTTATGGATCGTTTGGAGACCTACGTCGTTGCACCAATAAATGGCCGAGTCGTAGGAGCAGCTCACCCGGCCGCATGAGTTCTTGGTGGGTGTGTGTGTGTTAGCAAACATGATCCGACCTGGTTACCAAAAGCCAGAAATCTTCAGGAATGGTGGGGGCTCACAGGGCCGTTCGATGGCTTGCCGGAGAGTTTACTGAGGTATAAAATGCCGCTGTGGATTGCCTGGGCATCCGCGCGGAAGTTGAAGACCTCGCACTTGACTTCGTTTGGCGCAGGAGTCTTGACCAAGGCACCACCGAATGGGACGGGGTCGCTGGTGGGGGCCTCGAGACCCGGGGCGGAAGTGTTGATGGCTTGGAGGATCTCGGGAGCAAGGACCTGAAGGTGTCGGGTGACGTCCTCAACTGTGCCGGTGACCGTGTCGGTGCGATCGGGGCTGATGGGAACCTCCCACTTGACGTCCGCCATGGTGTAGTTGCCCGTGGGGCCCTCCATGATGTCGTTCGCAAAGGTTGGTGCCTGTGCCTTCAATTAGTTCTGATCTTTGGTTGCATCCACCGACTAAGAATATCCCCCAGAGGCGTGACTCACAGCCAGGAAGAAAGAGACGCCCATCAAGGCGGCGATGATCAGGCTGATGTACTTCATGATGGATGGTTGTCGATTTGCACTGGAGATGGTTTGGTTGTTGACTGGTGTGCAGGTGCAAAAGAGTTGTTTCAAGAAGGTGGAAGGTCAAAGGTCAAAGTTCGACAAATCCACAAGAAGCTTGCGGTTTTAAGTCTTTAGATCCCAGAAACCCCAGACAAGTGAATGGTTGGCTTCACTCGCTGATGTATGTCAATATCATCCGAGCATCCATCCAGTCACTCACCGCAAGCAAGCAAGCAAGCTCACACATTGAACATCATGTGAATGTAGATTCCATTGGTGTTTAGCACATCCTTAGAAGTAACAGGATGCTCTTGAGTGCATATAGGCGACATCGACAACGAAGTTACCTATTATCTGCCCACTCTTCCAGACGCCCAACCAACTCGCCAAGCCTTCGGTGTAATGTACGCACTCGTTCAGGCGATGCAATAACGGCCTTCTTGTCAAAAACAAGAGTTCCTTTGAAATCATCATACAGGTCTATAATGTCGTCTCGGTGATCTTTAGAAACCATCAGCAAGTCATGCAAGCAGAGATAGGCAGTGCAGTTGTTGGTAGCGCTAAGTGTTCACCAATAGTGTAGGATCCGGCCCTCCGTTCTGTCTCGATGTAGCCCTCCAGCTTGCGCTCAGCGCTTACAACATCCCGCTTTACAAGTTCTAAAGCAGTAATAACATCGTTTAGACCCTCAATCTTGCTACGAGCTGATCGTGAAGGGCTGATCCGCAGCAGGTATTTTCGTAGCCTCAGTTCCCGCTTGAGGCCACCTGCCTTCTTTTCGGTCAATTCAAAGAGTGTGCGGAGTCCGTTCAGAGCAGACTCTATTGAAGATTCGCGTTGTGATACTGGAGACCCGTCGTTGCTTGAGTACCGGTCGCCTGATGCAATGTCTTGATGTCGCCCTCGATGCGGGCTTCCTGGGGCTTGTGGGGTTGATGCTGCAGGGTCATATGTGAAAGTCTTTGGTGGATGGCTTTAGGTAAGTTAGCGTATGCCTACCCAGCTTCTACAGTACGCCCACCTAGCTTTTAGCATTGGCCTACCCAGCATAAAGAAAATTAATTGCATTTGCATTAAAATATAAGTATTGCAGGGTTTTTAATAAACTAAGGTAGGTATTTTTTAATTTAAGTAATACTTTAAAAATATAAGCCTAAAAAGCCTAGAGCGCCTTAGAGCGCCTAGAGGGCCCCAGAGCGCCTAGAGGGCCCCAGAGCGCCTAGAGGGCCCCAGAGCGCCTAGAGGGCCCCAGAGCGCCTAGAGGGCCCCAGAGCGCCCAGAGCGCCCAGAGCGCCCAGAGCCCCCAGAGCCCCCAGAGGCCCCCAGAGGGAGCAGAGGGCCGCGAGGGCGCAAAGGGCGCAGAGGGCTGCAGAGGGCGCAAAGGGTTGCAGAGAGTGCAAAGGGTAAAAGTAACTTTTAAGTTATAAATAAAGGGGTAGCTATAAAACCCTTTTAAGATAATTATAATTATGCTTTATTAATAATCTTATAATATTAATATTTTATAATATATATAATTAATTTCCTTATATTAAATAAATTAATATTAAAAGTTAAATAAATATATTATAAAAGTTAAATAAATATATATTAACTTTTTAAAGTTAATAAAAGTTAAAAATAATATTTAATTATAATTATAATATTAATATAACCTTAATTAAGGGATTATATATAATAATATAAGTAATAAAAATATTATATAATTAAATAAGCTATAATTTATTAAGAATTAATATATATTTATTTAACTTTTATAATATATTTATTTAACTTTTAATATTAATTTATTTAATATAAAGAAATTAATTATATATATTATAAAATATTAATATTATAAGGTTATTAATAAAGTATAATTATAATTATCTTAAAATAATTTTATAATTACCTTAAAGGGGTTTTATAGCTACTTCTTTATTTATAACTTAAAAGTTACTTTTACCCTCTACGCCCTTTGCAGCCCTCTGCGCCCTCTGCAGCCCTCTGCGCCCTCTGCAGCCCCCTACGCCCTTTGCGCCCTCTGCGCCCTCTGCGCCCTCTGCGGCCCTCTGCGGCCCTCTACGCCCTCTGCGCCCTCTGCGCCCTCTGCGCCCTCTGCGCCCTCTGCGCCCTCTGCGCCCTCTGCGGCCTCTGCGGCCCTCTACGCCCTCTGCGCCCTCTGCGCCCTCGCGGCCCTCTGCTCCCTCGCGGCCCTCTGCGCCCTCTGGGGGCTCTGGGGGCTCTAGGGGCTCTGGGAGCTCTGGGGCCCTCTGGGCGCTCTAGGGCTCTCTGGGCTTTTTAGGCTTATATTTTTAAAGTATTGCTTAAATTAAAAAATAGCTACCCTGGCTTACTAAGAACCCTGCAGTACTTAAATTTTAATATAAATGCAGTTAATTTTCTTTATACTAGGTGGGCCAACGCTAAAAGCTAGGTGGGCGTACTATAGAAGCTGGGTGGGCGTATGCTAACTCGCCTACTAGTAGTAGTACTATCCACCTCCACCTGTCAGATTACCATGGTTATATGTTGGCAGAATGCGCCCAAGATCCTTAAATTAATGCATCCCATAAACAGAGCATGGCCACAGACGCGGAGGACCGTGCTTATGTCGAATATGTCAAGCGATCGCTGAACGAGGAGGAGGAGTTTCACTTCCAGCGATTCGAGTTCCTCCAGAGGCTGAACCTCGTTCAGCTACAAGTAAAGCTGGTGCGGCTGAAAAGTCAAATCCAGGCATCGAATTGTGCGCCCGAAGAGGATATTGTCACCTTGCAGGAGACGCTGCAGAATTACGGTACGAAAAAAGCAACCAGCCCAGCCTCTTCTACACAGACCAAGGCGAAACTGATCCTCACCCAGGCAAGGCAATCAGGAACTATCGTTTTCTTAAGGACCACAAAATAGTGGACACCTCGGAGGCCCGAAAGCGCAAGCTCCTCCTGCAGCGCTTCTTCAAGTCGTCCCTCGACCACGGCGACCCTTTCCAGTCGCACTTTGCCTACTTCGAGGATGCCGAGGCGACCATCACCCACTGCGGCGGACACTGATGCGCATCCTGCCGGGCCGGCTGGCCTTCTCGGCCGAGGAGCGCACGCAGCGCGCGAGGGAGTACCGCGAGGGGAAGCTGCCGATGCAGGCGTCCAAGATCGTCGACCGCCTGGCGCGCTTCCTGGTGGCCGTCGCGGGCGGAGCGTTCCTCATCGTGCCCATGCTGATCATGACCCTGGGCGGGCCGTCGCAGAACACGAGCCTGGTCACGGTGTCGGTGGCGGTGCTTGTGTTCGCGCTGGTGTTGGCGTTTGCGGTGCGCGCGTCCAATGCTGAGACTATGGTTGCGACCGCTACCTATGCGGCGGTTCTTGTGGTGTTTGTAGGGACCAGCTCGAGCGGTGGGTCTTAGTAAACGACCACTCCGCGGCTGAGCAGTGGTCTATAGATCATTGTATTCTTTTAGTTTCTCCACTAAACCGGAACGGCAATGATTGTTCTGGTAGGATAAGACACAATGTGTAGTGTAGAGAATTAGGGTCGTTTTCGCTATGCACTGCAAGGCTTTGGACAGTGACTATCCAATCTACTTCTGCAAAGCAGTGTTGTGTCAGAAGCCACCATGTAGCATCAAAGGTGAACTGTCGTCTATGGCCATGACGGACATGGCCTGAGGCCAGGCTCATATTTTCTCAGGACGGAGCTGCCGTCCCTGCGTGTGGATGTTGAGAGCATGCCACAACTGGCTGATGTTGTAACCAGGGCAGACCTGACTTCTGGTTCTCAGCAGTAATAGATAACGTATTGTTTTGCGATTCATCATCGTTCACAATTCACCGTAATTCACAACTCCTTCGTCTTCGCAGTTCATCATAGTTCGCAAGTCATCGTTCTTCCCAACTCATCATATTTCACACTCATCCTTTGCAATTACGAACCAAACTCCAAGGCCATACTGGAATGGCCAGTAAGGACTTAAATTGCCCAGGTACAAGTGAAGCTGTGTCAATGCTGAGTTTTGATAACCAGTAAATTGTCATTTAATCATTGGATTCAACATGGCCCAACTGTTATCTTACTATCGTTGATTATTATACAATTTTGGAATTTGGTGGTTTCCCTGACTTCAGTTCTTCTAAACATGGGTATAAATTTTGAAACTCTGCAACGAGAATGAAGGCTGGAAGTAGATTAAATAGATCCATTTCCATACAGTACTACATATATACATGCTATATTGTCTAACTAAATTGTCATTTAACGCCATCGCCATTCAATACCTTTATGACTCAGACCTGTGTCGAGCCACCAATACGCCTCGGGCGTGTCGGCGCAGGCGATAGGTATGTAGCCAGCGCGGTCGCAGAGAACCGGTCAGCCGCCGGCGAGTCGGGCTCAGAGCTTGTCTCCCAAGTGTTCAGAGTCCTGCGCGCGTCCTGGTTCGATCTCGAGAATGCTGGAGCAGGTGGTTCCAGCAGGTCTGCCGCAGCGGCTGCCGTGTCCGACTGAGCCGACGGTGGGCGATACGGGTGCCACGTCCGCCACGACGAAGTATCCACTGCCCCTTGGCCGCCCGTGCCATCACCGACGCTGCGCCGTCCAGTTTGGGCCATGTCGACGGCTCCTCGGACCAGAGAGCCTTGCGCTCCGGGGGTCTCTGGTTGGATACCGATGGGTCTTCTCGTGCGTGAAGATCCGCGCCTCCAGCAGAGATAGAGCGCCCCGAGGATGAGAGCGAATGCAGAGAGGGCTGCAACTTTAAAATGGGTGAGTACGAGTTTCACTGAGAGAACTGCACAGGGGGTCAAATCCTACTTGCGATGCCGGCTTTGGCCCCGGTGGAGAGTTCTGAGCTCGATATTGCTCCAGGATTCCCTGGAGAAGGAGAAGTTGATGGTGTTGTTGGAAGTACTGTCGTCGGTGTCACAGAGGTGGACGGTGAGGTGACCACTGGTGATGAAGATGATGCTGTGACTGAAGTTGTGATGGAAATCGTGAAACTTGTGGGAGTAGCACTGCCACCTGTTTGCGTAGTCATGGTTGAAATTTCAGTTGTCGTCGTGAGAATGGAAGTGAGAGTCGTCGGAGGAATAACGACCGTCGTTGGAGGCTCGACGGAGACTACAGTTGTTGTGGTTGATGAGGGTGGCTCTGTTGATTTTGAAGCGTCTGACGGCTTTTTGTGGCCCCAGTCGTCTCTATTATCGTCTGGACAAGTTAGCATCCACAACCTGAGTGGTAAAGATTTTGAGAAAACGTACTGTTCTTGTTCTTATCGCCATCTCCACCATTTCCCTTGTCTTTGTCACCGCCTTGCTCGTCGGCGCTGTCACCTCTTCTGCCGCCGTTGTGCCCGTTTCCATTACCGCCGTTGCCCCTTCTGTTGCCCTTGTCGTCTCGAGGTTCAACTGCAGGCAAGTCATCGTGGATACCGTCCGAGGCTAAACGATACTGCGGGTCATCCCTTGCGTCTGTCTCTCGTGCCATCCAATCGTGTAACCAGCCCATCGCGTCTGTGAGCCGGTGACGAAGTCGCACCGTCCCTTAGAGACGGAATAGAGGGGCGGTTTGATGCGACCTGAAGTTGTACTCACGATGGGAACAACGGGAAAGCCACTCTCGCTACACGCTATGCCCGGTATATGGGCCGGGATAGCCCAACACCACGACGAGAACCAATCTGCTTGTGATGTTCGGCATGCTTACCCGAATTAGGCAGAACTAAATCAGGATCGAAGCCCGGGGTCATGAGTCGATTTCAAAAGTCGATTTCCCTAGCACATGCAAAACAAGTCTGCATCTCATATTCCCCCCCCCCCCATCTCGGTCACGGCTGTTGAGAAGTTTTTTTTTTGGGGGGGGGGCATAATAGGATTGCCTGCCTATTGCTGATTCACCCACCCAAGTGTGGGTTGCTCGCCTGTGAACACCAATCCGGTGCCTAAAAGCTATCCCTTGTCGAATTTATTATCCGAGAGTAACGACCGGGGTCAGTGGTCTATCACGCGCATGTCAGAGGAGGATGAAACCGTGGCGTCTCATCTTCCACAATCGATCCGGCAGATGGGGACAGAGTCAAGAACTGCTGGTCGTAGTTCCCAGCTTGGCAGTACCGCTGAAGATTCGCTTTCGTCACGTAAAAATCATCTGAACTTTTATAGCCCTGCTGATAGGCTGAATGGTAAGTTCCTTAACTACCTGGGTGGCCTAGTGACAGATGCGGCAGGTGGTACTCGATTCCAAGGGGGCGAAACAGCTCCTGGACACATCACAACAACAGCCTATATTGCAATCGATCATGCACACAGAGAATCCCTTCCAAGCTTGACACTATCGCCGGCTGAACAGAATCGTGCGACCAGTTCGTGACATCTGCCACTGAGTAAGGACCTCAATGTAATAGCCTTCGTCATCTCCTCCGCACATCACAGGACAGTGCGCCAGGCATTATCAAACTCTTGATTTCTTGGAGGTTTGGGGCCGAGTCGGTCCGTTTCGCCAAACGTGATAACGGATTAGATATTTTGAAAAAAGAAGAAAACTAATGAGGAATTTTGCAATCTTGCAACCATTTCAAACGGCACATAGTGCAATTTCACCATTTTATCCGCTTCAAACTCGCGTGGCGCCTCCGTAGCTCTTGTAGCAGTGAAGTGTCCTAGAAGGCCTATTCACTCCCCGGCTTACCATGGCAGTGAACGGGGGGCCAAGCGAACAAAAGGCCGTACGTCTTCAAAAAGGGTGCCTTGGGGCTCCTGCTGCACTTAGAACGTGACTTGGCCGTATGCCCACTTCGGATACAAACAATCACACATTTGCCAGGCCCAATCGACCCTGCCACGCGTGCCGTGAGGAACAAGCAACCCGTTAGAGTTTGGGCATAAAAGTTTCAGTTTGGAAATTTGAATGGGAAAGGCTACCATTCACTTTTGGTAAGATGGACTGCGGCAATGGAATGCTTGATTATATGTCCAGAATTGCCTGATGAATATGAGCCGACCTACGGTTTGGAGGATTCACATCCAGAGCATAGACTTCTCTCCATCTTTGGTTACAGAGCTCATATCGATTCTCTTATTGAGAACATCATCAAATCCGTTCGAGTAAATTTTCTGCCCGTCGTTCTATTGCGCTGCATAGGTGGTTTTTGGGCCATGTCTTCAAAATGCAGATATGAAGCTCTCAATGTTTATGAGAGACGTATTCACGACTCCACAGCTGCTCTGTGGCTGGCTCTAGAAATGACTCGCACTGTGCCTCAAGTCAGAGATTGATTGATCTCACTACATGTATGCTGTATACATTGAAGTACCCTGTTTGGAACACATTGCATGGAAATCTTTCCAAAATCTACTGTCGTTCACTGGGATATTGGTGAAGAAATAGTAATACTGAGTCTCAACTCTCACCATTGACCACATCGCTCTTATAAGATTCGTCAGCATGCACGTCTCGTATCTCTTCTGTCTAGGGCAGAATCTGGGATGGAATGCTAAGTTTGCTATCAACTTTCGAAAGCCAGATTGTAGCAAGCTGTCCTTACCTCTCAGTCTGGTCTTTCTCTATGTGACATCTTGATCATTTTAACATTGACATGATTACTATCAGATAGGAAGCACAAAAATTGAATTTCTGTGAGGACTTTTAGTTAGAAGATTGTCGTAATTCAGGACTTTAACATGTCTGCAAGCGACAAAACGGCCTTACATCTACATGAGATTCAAAGGTTATATGACCCTTGTACATTACTGCATTATGCTGACCATAGAGTCTGCTTGGGCTATAGCGCCTAGATCGAGCGCAGACGTGATTCACACCTTCTTCGGGCCGTGGCGCGACAACCACGATCACATGGTTGAGCTCTAACCGGCGAGCACGAATAAGTGATTCTACTTTTGGTAAATGTTCGCCGGGGAACTTGGCGGGGTCTATTAGCTTGGTACGTTGTACTACTATCAGCACCAACACTACTCTGGAATGATTGTTTCGCGCTTGTTTGCGAACTAGTGTTCTAACTGGTTCTGCCTGGGAATGTGGCACTTCAGGGCTGAAAGGCTGAAGGAATAGCTTCACGAGGACGGCGGTGATCCATGTCAGGGGCTGCTGTAGCTCAATTGCCAAGTGAGGGCAAATTTGCGCCGGCGTAGCTATGGCAGACTATGCGCACGTTAAGCTAAGGAGCATTAAGACGCCCTCGGACTGCATGTAGGCACCTTGCCCTCTTTGTCCGCTTATACACTCTTAAGCATGTCCACCCATGTAAACGGAATGTGCTCACAAGTGATAGATGCTGATGTTTAAAAGCTAACTGACCCCTCTTCACCACGACATTTGACTCGCTTTACGAGACTTGATGATGAAACCTGTGAAGATTTTACAGTGCACGTGGGACTCAATAAACAAACCAAGAGATTCTCAAAATGTCTGTCAGGGCCATCACCACTGAGTTTGGACACTCCCTGCCGCCCGAGGGCCCCCACACCATCACCTTCAACATCCCCGGCTGGGACACGGCGATGAGGTTTCGTGACGGTGACATGACCATGTTCGCAAGACTCAGGTCTATGTACCCGCGCTTCGCCCCCTTCGGACCAATCCGCCAGCTCGCTGCAGCCATAGCCCAGAAGCTCGCCCTGCCTGAGATGACAGGAGTCCTCATGTATACGGACCCCGCAGCATTCACCGTGCAAAAGGAGCATTCCCTCTCGCCGCACAGGAAAGAGCACAGGCTTTCGGAGGAGGATTTCTCATTCAAGATAGTGGAGATCCACGATGTCAGGCTATACTGTGTCGTCTGTCACGTGGGCAAGACCAAGGGCATCATCGGGGTGTGGCAGAACACGGGGACAGGCATGCTCACTCGCCCAGCCCAGGAGCTGCTCAAATACGCGGACACTGAGTTCAAGGAGCTGGAGTGGTCTGGTGACCTTTGCGATATTCCAACTCCAACATATTACCCAGAGTCGGAAGCACACGGGAAGTTGCGGAAGCGTATCAGCGACCTACTCCACAGAGCACCACTGGATCCCGAGAAGGTGAAGGTCAAGCCGGACGATGTCTATTTGTACCAAACTGGCATGGCTGCGATCTACAGGCTGAATGGAGCTCTCATGAAACGGCGCCCCGGAACCATTCTCGTCCTCGGATCAGTATTTCATTCCACTTGGCATCTATTCGATGAGACCCCAAGTGGCATGAAACATATCGGTGACGCTAGAAGTGGTGTCATTGATAACATCGAGGCTTACCTGGAGGCCCTCTACAAGGACGGAAAGATAGTCAGCTACGCCTTTCTGGAATTCCCAAGCAACCCCATCCTTGTAAGTATTGACCTCAAGGGCCTGCGGCAGATCGCCGACAAGTACGATTTCCCAATCGTGGTGGACGACACAGTAGGCTCTTTCTGCAACATCGATGTCCTCGCCGTAACAGACTTCCTCACAACATCCTGCACGAAGTCTTTCAGTGGTTATGCAGATGTAATGGCCGGAAGCGTCGTGCTGAATCCACTGTCCCCCTTCTATGCCGACGTCAAGCAGATCATGGCCAGCACATTCCACAACGAATTCTTCGCCGGCGACGCGGAGGCCCTCCTCACAAACAGCGACAACTACCTCGCCCGCTCCGCGATCTTGAACCGCAACGCCGCAGCACTGGCGGACTACTTCGCCACCAAGGCCGCGGACCCGGACTCCCCCGTCAGCCAGGTCCTGTTCCCGACCACCGGCGACACACGGGACAACTACGAGTTCTTCATGCGCAAGCCTACGCCCGACTTCACGCCGGGATACGGGTGCCTGCTGTCCGTGGAATTCGAGGATCTCGCGACGGCGCGGGCCTTCTACGACAATCTCCAGCTGCACTGCGGCCCGCACCTGGGCGCTCATTTGACCCTTGCGTTACCGTTCAACGCAATCGCGAACGGGCGGACTCCGGAGGAGGCCGAGTACCATGCCAGTGTAAGTCACTTTGAGAGAATGGGTCACGTTGAGAGATGGATCAGTTCGAGATATGAATCTTATCCGTCTTGAGGAACTCAAGGCGAATGAATTTTGGACGGGGGAGGGGGTGTCAATTTTCTTTGTGTCCAGCTTTCACCCGAAGCAGTCCGAAGTCGACAGGTGTGGTAACAAATTACTGACGTAACTTACAGTACGGCGCGAAGCCGGAGCAAATTCGCTTTAGCGTAGGGCTGGAAGATCAGGAAGAGATTGTGACGGCAGTGGAAGAGGCATTGGCGAAAGCAACAGGGTCATGGAGGAGCAAGAAATGTGATGGCGATGCAGGTGGTGAGACAGATACAAGCCGTGACGGCGCGACTGGAGTGGTTGATAGATAGTTAGGAGACAGGGGAGATCCCACAGGCTTGAGCAACTTCAAGTTAAAAGAACCGGAAAAAATAAATTTGATTTGAGATTGTGATAGGGTGGACCTTTAATATATGATGAATGGTTATAAATTCTGAACGAAGGCTATCCTGGTCGATGATATCAAATACATATGGTTGGGAGGGGCTAAGTACTGTGAGATCAGACTTTTCAAATGATGATCAATGGGACCATGAGGAAGGCGAAATTGTGAATAATCCTACAGGCTTGGCCTTTTTACAAGAAGCCGACCAGCTCTGTGTCCATGTTGCGTGTATATCTGCAGTTACCAGGCCAGAGATCGGCGTGTATCAAGCAGGGAGTCACCGAGCGGCCATTCGACTCCAACGGGCGCAAGTAGCGAGGAAGCACCATATCAAACCAGGCCGTCTTCAGTCTTCTCAGCCGTTCGTTGTGAGGTGAGGGCCGCATACGCGCTCCTCTATCTCGAATGCCTCCTTCATCACCCTGGTCCAGAATGATTCCCACGAAGACTCCCGGGTATTGTTTTGCAAGATGTCTCCGTATGCGGTGCTGGCATGAAACCCAAACTGGCCGGTCGGTGACTTTCCCATGGTACGAGAGTGCAGAGCCACCACCGGTGCCATGTATTTATCAGGCGGTGGGATGACGTCTTCCACCATAACTACGTAATTCGCAGGGAAGAAATGTGTGTCGGGGCCAGACTTGTATGTTCCCACACATATTGGCTTTGGTGTGAACTCGGGGATTACGCCGTATACTGCTGTCTCGGATGCCCAAACAGCACGCATCAGATCGAGTCTAGCTTGTCCCTTCGCCACCTGGTCTCCAGGTTAGCCATGGTGGGTGATAACAAAAAATGAAGCTGTTGCAACTGTGGCGAGGCACAAACCTTTTGAAAGAAGACCTGAGTGGTCCGATCACGGTAATAGACTTCTATTCTAAATGTTTTGCAGAAGTCACTCAGCCCTGCTGCATTTACTGAAATCGGTTTGCAACCGACTGGGAGGGCTTTTGTATCCCAGATGTCAGCATGCCTTTTGTAATAATCGATGATTCTCGAGTCGTGGCTTACCATTGAGTACACTGACGTCGAGCTCTAGAGAGATGTCCCGACCTTCTTATGCCATCTTGGTTGGCTTATGAAAAACGGCTGAACTGTTCCTGCAGAGGGAAGGGTTCAAGAGTTTGTCCGCTCGAAAGACGTCTCCGTTCTTACAGCAAGCGACCCAATTTCTTGTGGTGACTTGCTCTCTCTCGTCTGATCTGTCTACAGACCATTGTCACTCCCAGGTCGCTGAGGGTGGTCACCCTTTTGGACCGATAGTGCAGTTGGCCCTGTCACAGTTCTGCTTCCTTCTGAAACGCCGGTGACGCGCCATTGGCTCCAAGTCATATGCGTGTTGGCTGCAAACCCTGAAAGTGACTGCGCCTTTCTGGTGAGCCATCGTGCCCCAAATTTGGAAGGAATGATAATAATTTAGCGCCATAGCTGACACAGATCACCTCCCTGACCGTCCCAAACACCAATCGACAGGTCGAGCGTCCAATCAGTCCCATTCTGTTCCGGTGCAGGCTTGATATTTCCAACATGTCTCTGCTACGTGCACAGAAAACATATACAGCAATATGATTGCACGATGGACTAACTTTGTCCACAAACGATATTACTCGTATGCCATAAAGAGGGATCGTTCCAAGTGGGCAGTCCAAGGTAGCATTCAGACTAACACAGCACCATTCACCCTCCTTCCCCACATTGCGTCACCGTGATTGGCGCCGTCTGGTCCCCGAACTATCCCGTTCCGGTACTTACATCGACCTCACATGTTCTTCTGATACTCAGACACTCCAAGGAACGGAACGACCGAACTCATTGCGTGGATCACTAATTTCTCAACACTCGTGGAACTAGAGGGTAAAAGCCCCAGCATTACAAAATGCCACCCACGAAGTCAAAGATAGTAATCGCCTTCGACCTCTACGGGACCATCCTCTCCACCGAGTCCATCGCAAAGGACCTGGCCACCCACCTCAACATCAGCAGGCCCAAGGCCCAGGCCGTCGCGGCAAAGTGGCGCCAGTACCAGCTCGAGTACACCTGGCGCATCACCGCCATGGGCACCTACAAGCCCTTCGACAAGATCACCCGCGCGGCCCTCCGGCACGCGGCCGCAGAGCTCGAGGGGATCGACGTCCCGGACGGGGCGGCCGAGCGGCTCATGGCCGCCTACGACGCGCTGGCCGTGTTCCCGGATGTGCCCGCGGGGCTGAGGGCGGTGCAGCAGAACCAGCGGGGCAGGGCCGGCGCGCCGGATGTCGAGGCCGTCATCTTCAGCAACGGCACCGAGAGGATGCTGAGCACCTCGGTCGGGTCGTCGCCCGACCTGAAGCCGTTTGTGAGTGGCGGCGGAGGCAGTGGCGGGCTATTTAAGAAGCTCGTCACCGTCGACGAGGTGCGGACGTACAAGCCCACCGCACAGGCCTACAGCCATCTGCAGGCCGAGGCCGACGAGGACAACGACGCGGTGGTGTGGCTCGTCAGTGCGAACCCGTTCGACGTGGCTGGGGCCCGGAGCGTCGGGCTGAGGAGCGCGTGGATCGACCGCGCTGGGACTGGCTGGGTTGACCGGCTGGGAGAGGCCATTTTCGGGGTTGGGGATGATGTGCGTAAGCGACGGGCTAGACCGACTGTTATCGCCAAGGGCGTGGACCAGGCAGTTCAGGAGATATTGAACATTGGCATATGATGAGGGCGTGAGAATGAAATGAGGGTGATGTGGGTGAATATGCTGGGGTTTTAACTATCTACCTGACTTCATAATTGATAATACTACTCGAAACCACACTATTTTCCGCCCAGTCCAGTTGACAAACACCGACAAGGAAACCCGATCAAAGAAAATGCAGTATCACGGCAAGGAATCACAAGAGCCGCGCCGGAAAAATGCAAAGCTTACCACCAATGCCGCTCATATCCCTCAAAGGCGAAATTCGCAATGACAGCAACCACCAGAGTTGAACACACAGAAGCGACGGACCCCACCAGTCGTAAAACTTGGCCGCCTTACGGGCACGAATCGACCGGCTTCGATAGACGTACGTCCCAACCGAATACAACAGGGCCGCAATGGCTACAAGGGTGAATATTCCCGAGACGACGAAAGAGATTCTGCTCGGCTTGTTGCCGAAATTAAGAAGGGTCGTGGCGATGGTTCCGATATAAATGGAGAACTCGAGCTATTCGGGGTCAGTATATGTGTCTGAACATAGCTTTCAAAAGATGACATGAGTGTAGTTTGGACATACCCAGTTGAGGAAGGTCCTCTCAGCCGCGAAATACACCTTGGGCTCCACCCTCACAGGCACGTATATCTTCTTTCCTGGAGGCGCAACAAACTTTTTGTTTTGCACTTGGGTCGTCCCGTACAGCGCGATGGTCCTCTCGTGCGCCGGGATTTCGCTCCCAGATCTCAGGTTATTCACAACGCCACCTAGCTTGGACAGGCCACGACCGGCAGCCTTTGCTTTGGTCTGGACCAGTGTGGAGGCATACGTAAGACCGCCGACTCTTCTGGCCTCTTCCAACCGGTCTTGCTCTTCTTCTTCTTCATCCGATTCGTAGAGCTCATAAGCGTCATCATTCGCGGGCAGAAGACGCGTCTGATCTTCGACATCTGTCGAGCCATCGGCTTGTGCTTGGCGCAACCTGTGTGCCACCGCAGCCCCGTGCGCGCCAGTCTCTGGTGATAATCCGTTGGATGTGCCACCATTGTTGATGTTCTCTTGGCCGCGTGGAGCCGTCCTCGCCTCCTCATCATCAGAGTCGAAATCGTCATCTTCGTCCTCTGAAGTGCCCGTAGTACCAGAGTGACCACCCCGCTGAATTCCGAAGTTGTGTGTGGCAGGCTTGCGGATGTCGACGTCCATCTGGGGCAACCAGAAGGGGAGCAACTTGATCCGATCCGGGTACAGGGTAGCGCAGCCGTGGATGAACTTGGAGAATTTTGGTACAGCCTCAACCAGGTGACTGGAGACTAGCTGGCGCACCCATTCCGGGGCCTGCTGACCAGCCTGTGTTTGAAGCTTGACCTCCAGCACCGCATAAGGAAACCGGCAGATGTCTTCGGGCGGCAGCTGGGAGAAGGGGTAGTCAACGCCAATATCCATGCGACGCCAGTTATCACCACTTCTTTTACGACCATCCAAGTTGTCTTCGCGGATCAAGGTCAGGTCCGAGTCCAGTGATATACGGACTCTGGCATCCGCCGGAAGTTGGAAAGCGGTTCGGTGATAGAAGCTTCGGCAAACGGGCTCATACCCCTTCTTCAGGACTTCCCATTGCACCTCCTGTGCCAACTTCTCGTCCTCGTCGTAGGCAGATTGCGGTTTCTTGCCAGTCTTCCGCTGCTTTTCCATGACAGCTGCCGGGAGCATCTCACCCCTCATATACGGGTTGACCTGCTTCTCGCGTACCTCAAATCGGGCTTTGACGGACTTTTCGCCCGTCCAATCCTCACGATGAGTCTTTCTCTCGACGTATATCTTATCGGTGCTCATGCCGCCATACCACCGCAGACGGATGGCCTCAGCTCCTTCTGTCTTCTTGAGTCGGCCCTCGTACAGCTCCCAGGTGTCAGGGTTGTCGTAGTAGATTGAGGTGATAGCAGAATCATCCGGGTGAAACTCTTTATTAGCGTTGAAGACCAGCACCGGTAGGTGCTTGAGGATGATAAGCTTCACCTCGGTGATGTTGTCCGGGTGCACCCAGTACTTGGTCGTGTTACGAACAAAGTTTGCCTGACTACCACCAGCGGCGCTGTCACCTTTAATCGGATTGCCTCTGGTGCGAACGATGTCGTAGAGCTTGGACAGGTCAACCAACAGCTCATCGTGGTTGTCCTTGTAGAAAGGCTTCGCCTTCATGCGCGCCTCGAACACGGGTCGTATATGCCAGCCGGTGATCTTGTCGTGCTTCTTCATGATCTTGTAGAAACCGGTGTAATTCAGTTGGATGAACTTGGCCAGGTCGTTGACGTCGGCGATGATGTCGCTCAGGTCCTCTTCGAGCACCATAAACTCCTCCTCGGATGGGCCATCCTCGCCGGCTCGGCGCTCGTTCAGCCTCGAGACAATGTCGTTGACGTCGCGCTCGCTGGCCTGAATCCGACGCTGGATCTCAATGGTCTTTAGTTGTTGTTTCTGGTAGACCTTCTGTAGCTCTCCCTCGAGCCGGTATACGAAACGGCTCTCGTCATCCTCAGTCCACTGCCGCTTGGCCTTTCCTTTGCCTTTCCTGGCCCCTTTCGCGCTATCGCCTTGGGCGTCTTGTTCGACGAGTGGGCCGCTGGACTTCTTAAGGTCGGCCTTGAGCCCCTCGTAGTCGATGTAGTACCACTGATACTCTTTGATAGCGCTGGAGCGCAGCTGCTCTCCGAACTTCATGACGACGACGCCGGGCGGGATGCGCTTGAAGGGCCTTGAGTAGGTCGAGGTCGAATGGAGGCGGCTGGACTGCCAGGTGGTTCTGCTTGTCTTCAGGTCGCGGATAATCAGCATGGGCGCATGACGGTACTGGTGTTGTCACAGGTACTGGCTGGCGAATTGAAGAAGGAACGTGCAGTGGATGAAATAGGATTGGGGTGATTAGAGTTGAGATGGCAGATGGACTGCTTGGTCACAATCCAATGGCATTCCTTACCTCGAGAAGCGAGAAAAGAAACAAGACGGCAGGCGAGGTAATTGGAGGGGGAAACCTAACGAATAGCAAAACAAAACAGAAGACTAGCGATCAAGTAACAAATCAATATCCCTCACGTTATAGAATCTCGTCCGGCACAGCTCGTCCGGCTCCAACCTCCTCAGCAGACTTTAGCGGAAGTTTATGCCGGCGCGGAGCTTGGGAGGACGGCGCAGGTGACAATAGTTGGGTGATGAGGCTCCTGCGGGCCCCAGCTGCGGATGGACGCAGCAGCAACTGGACGCCGCCATGTGACGCTGGGCCTGGCTGGGTCGGAGGCGGCCCCCACTTGGTCTGGGCACGTTGTGGCCGGTGTTGTTGCAATTGGCCAATGGGTGGCAGCTCCCCTGTGCCTTGTGCTTCCTGTGCAGTGTGGGTTCCCGCATCGACTCCATCGGCCGCGGCTGACAGCCGAAACGGCAAAAAAGTTGGAGGGGCAGCTTTGCAGATCTAGACCTCTTTGCGGTGTCTGCTCGTGTGCTTGTGTGCCCGTGTTCGTGAGACGTGGGACTGAAGGCAAAGACAGACAGAGAGGCCTCTTTTATGAGCTACTAGGCTAAGCCGCCTTTTCACTGAACGGCATTTGCACCACAGCCCATCATCTCGACCAGCCGAAGCCTCCCGCCGCCCCATCGCGACCATGGCGTCCTCCTCGAGCGAGCTCTTCGACGAGTCCATCTCCGCCCGCATAACCCCCGAATCCCCGATCGATACTTCTGAAATCCTCCTGCGCGCATGGCAGCATGACACCCCGGCCATCAAGAAGCTCCTGGACGCCCCAGGAAAGGCGTCCGTCCAGGACCCTAAGACGGGCGAGACGCCCCTGCACGCCGCGATCCGGTCCTGCGGGTCCGCAGGGGACCCGGAGGCGGACCCAGAGGCCATCGAGAAGGCCAAGGCCACGGTGCAGGAGCTGCTGCTCTGGGGCGGGATATGGAACGACGTCGATGACCACAACGAGACACCCGGGTGCGTCGCGCTGAGGCTGGGCCAGCCCGAGCTGTACGAGCTGTGCGTCCAGGCCGGCGTGCGCGCGGAGCTGCTGTTCGGGCTGCTCGACGGGTATGAGGAGCTGAGCTCCGGGTCGGAGGCTGATGACGAGGACATGGCAGAGGCAGAGGGAGAGGAGGAGGCGGCCCACGTTGAGGTCGAATACGACGGCCCCACCGGCGCACCAGAGGACGGCGACGAAGCTCCCGAGCTGATCGAGACCGCGCAGCTCAAGTTTCAGCCTCCCAAGCCCGACGCCGAGACCGAAGTCAAGAGCGAGAAGTACCTGCGGTCCAAGCTGACGTACTCTGACGGCAAGTTGGTGGACGACGACGGCAACGGCGTCATGATGGCCTGGGAGACGGACATCATGCGGCGCAGCGTCGACGCCCTGGTCCCCGGGAAGCCGCCGGGGAAGAGGATCCTCAACATCGGGTTCGGCATGGGCATCATCGACAGCATGTTCGCCGAGACCAAGCCCGCGAGGCATCATATCATCGAGGCGCACGAGGAGGTCCTCGAGCACACGTCCTCGCCCGAGTCGAGCTTCGGCGCCGGCTGGGAGGCCAGCGGCCCGGAGGAAGGTGCCTACAAGATACACAAGGGACGATGGCAGGATATCGTCCCCATATTGCTTGAGCATGGCGAGGTGTACGACGCAGTCTACTTCGACACCTTTGGGGAGGATTACAGCCAGCTGCGAAAGTTCTTCACAGAGTACATCCCTGGCTTGCTGGACCAGAACGGTATCTTCGGCTTCTTTAACGGACTTGGCGCTGATAGGCGGGTCTGTTACGATGTTTACACCAAGGTCGTAGAGATGCACATGGCCGATGCAGGCATGGATGTGGAGTGGAATGAAATTGACGTAGACTTGAAGGGGTTGGAGGAGGCTGGCAAAGGCGAGTGGGAAGGTGTCAAAAGGAGATATTGGACACTGGACAGTAAGTTTCAACAGACACGCTTCCAAAATCCTTTTTGTCTTGATTTATTCGGCACCTCTAACGTGGCTCTATCTCAGAATATCGGTTGCCTGTTTGCACCTTTTTGGGCTGAAGAACTGCTGGTTCAACACAAATCCTGGAACTGCGGTTGGATCCAACAACCACCACCTTTTTAGGTATTGCTGTGAAACCTTTCCAGGGCTTTTCAATTGATACACCAAAATGCACCAGCAATGGCAAAAAAAGAGAAAGCCTCACGAAACGCAGAACCGTCTAAGCGAAGTTCTCAGGGTGCAGGATTCCAGCGATGTTGCCCTGGTTGACCCGCTTCAAGGTCAGTGCAGCAATCAGTGCGGCACCAACACCGGAACCATCTTCGGCAGCGAGGATCTCGACGGGGTCCTCATCGTGCTTGTTGGCCTTGGCGGGCCAGTCGAGGATCTCGCGGAGGGCCTTGGCGCCACGGGCCTTGAAGTGAGGGTACTTGTTGAAGACAGAGCCGTCAGCGCCGACATGGCAGGACTGGTAGCCCTTCTTCTTGCAGATGGCAGCAACACCACATGCGGACAGGCGAGCAGCACGGGTGCCGATGAGCTCAGCCGTTCTTCGGACGAGCTCGAGCTCGGGGCCGTTGGGCTTGATGTCCAGCTTGTCAAGGAAGAGATCAAAGGTCTCCTGAAGGTTCTCGTAAGGGTCACTGCGGGTAGATGTCAGCACATTGAATACACAATAAGGGGCCGGAGGGGCAGCACATACTCCTCGATGGTAGAAAGGAAAGACGAGTCCAAGCTGTAAGCCTTGCGGAGCTTTGAGATGTCCTGGCCACCAAAGATGTGGCAGTCGTGGTTGTCGTGCAGGTCAACAAGGATCAGACGGAAGATCTCGCCCAGGTACAGACCAGCGATCATCTTCTCAAAGGCCTGCTGACCAGGGCGGGGAGAGTCCTTGTCGACGATGATGTCGTACTTGGTGCGAGGCAAGACCACGTGCTCGTTGTCGAAAGCACCCCACTCGCAGTTGATGGCCATGGGGCGGTCAGCAGGCAGGTTCATGTGAGCCAGCTTGGGAATAGAGCCGCAGTCCTCCATGTAAGCGGCATTGCAGCCAGTACCGAAGATGCAGCCAATCTTCATCTTAGTATCGGTGTAGGCAGAAGCAATCAAGGTACCGGTGGTGTCATTGATCAAAGCCGAGAGCTTGATAGGCACTCCCTTTGTGGTGTGTTAGTCGTATGTATCATGGTAAGAGTGGAAGTTGACTCACCCGGTCAGCAAGGGCCTTCTGCAACATGGGGACGACATTCTTGCCCTCGACACCAGCAATATCGAATCCCTTGGTCCAGCGCTGGAGGATACCCTCATCGATGTAGTTCTGGGTGGCAGGGTAGGAGAAAGTGAAACCCAGGGGAAGCTGCTTCTCGAGCTTGACACCGCCGTGGTGGGTCTCGATGAACTGCTGCAGGCAGTCTGCAATGTACTCCCACAGCTCCTCAGACGTGCCAGTCTTCAGCTCCTCAGGCATACGATACTTGGACTGGATGATGTCGAACTCGGACTTCTGGTCGGTCAGGGTGATCTCACAGACACGCAGGTTGGTGCCACCCATGTCAAGGGCCAGGTAGGTGCCTGTCTCATAACCATCAGGGAAGGCCATCACCCAGGTAGGGTTCATGGGCTGTTTGTCTGTCAGTCTTTGTCATGCCAGTTTTATGAGTAAATTTAAAGTGAAGCTCACAATGCTGCCGCCCTCAACACTGAGACCTGTTGCGAAAACGAGTTAGGAGAGAACTGTGCACATAATCAGAGCATTGATATTGACTTACCCTTCTCGAGCTCCTTCACAAAGTGGTCGGTAATGGCCTTCAACTTGTCGGTCCCCACCGTCAACTGCTCCTCCAGAGCCTTGATCTCTGCCAGAAGGCTCTTGGGGACATCCATCATGGAGCCTGTAGTGTCAGGCGAATCGCGAACGAGGTCAGTGTCCATGCTGGCAAGTGGTATGCAGAAAGATAGAGAAGCCCAAAAGCACAAACAACGAACTTGCAGAAGAGTGCCTGTGGTGGTGAAAGGAGTGGACTGTCTTGGTCCTGGGGGAGAGGGCCTTGTCGTGGGGTGGAAGAGGTGGCATATGGCTGTCTAGCGCCATTTTGTTGATGATGCTGGCTACAGAGTGAATAATGTGCAATTGACTGGTTCGGTGAATAGATGAGACGAAACACCGGGAAGTGAATGAGGGCTGGAAAGGCTAGAAAGACGAAAACGATCTTTTCAAGCCTATGGTTGTCTGATCTGGGGAGTTTGAGCAGGGCCTGGAGATCAGGATGTGAGGTGGGACGAGGCTTCATGAACGAGACACAAAGCTGTTCTAGGAGAAGCTGTTCCAGGAGAACGATGTGGACTTCTCATCCTCCCAGGATCAGGTTCACCAGCAATTCCAAGAGTGTATCTCAAGGAGATTGATCTGGGAAGCCGTGACACGCTCCTTTCCGGGGTATATGCTCCTTCCCACTCGGGTGCAGAACAAACCAGCTGGTGACCTTCTCCCTGCCTCCGGATCTCGCCCGTTTTACTCGTCCGTTTCTCATCTTCAGTCCCACCAAACGCCTCGAACAGCCCCGCGGATGCAATGGGTCACAGTCCAGCATATGGTGCCCAACACAGCAGATTGATCTCTGGTGCAGACACAGGCAAGGCGGCAAGGAAAGCAAGCATTGGAATGTGACGTACCGGTTCCCTTGCGGGATGGCGGCTTCTTGGGACCCAATCCGACCATATTGACTGCTTCTTCTGTCTTATAATAATATCCAAAAAATGCCGTGAGGCGATCGAAGCGTGAAAAGATCCGTCGTTATCCAAAGAGGGACAACAGTCGAAAGGTACACAGTTCAAGGCTTATTTATGGCGGCGAGAAGACGAGGTTGGGGCAGGCCAGTCGATCCGGAGCTCAGTCAGGTTCAAGTAGTCTGGGCCTGGGCAGGGAGGCGGTCAGAGTGGGTCCCCTGAGCTCTATGAGGGTAACCCTGACTTGGGCTCAGATTCTGATGGGAGATGTCACAAATATGGACCTTTTTGAGATCCAGAAAGATTGTCTGTCATTCGAGGGCGAATTATGTGGTTACGTTGGAGATGCATATGAGTTCACGTGCGTTGGGTGCAAGTCCTTTCGTCTTCTTTCCTTCTTCCTCTTCAAATCAGTCACAAGATGTCCGAGCCTTCGATGCCCGAAGCTTCCTCTCGCTTCTATCTACCATGGCCCGTTCTTGCGGCACATGCCCCCTATCTCCAATGAACGGGCGGGCTCGAGGCTACCTGTACCTAGGGTGAGCTTGGCCCGCTCTGCCCCGACGGACCCTGGGTTCTCTGTGGTGCCAACCCCGACGAGGCGTTGGACGAAAACTGACCTTTGACATGCTCCAATCCGCAGCCCTGGCACCCGAGCTCTTCCTGCAGCCTGTAGTAAGCTCAGCGTATGAACTCAGGTACCTTGTCCAGGTACCTGCCTGCCTAGGTACTAGTAGAGACGTACTCAGCACCCATGTGAGAGGCGCTGTCACTACTGGTGTCTCCCGGCATTTTGCCCTCCCAGTAACGGCCAGCAGATCTAGCGAAAACAACACCTGGCTCATTAATTGCCGCTGGGCGTACAGACTCATGAGTGTGTCAGATACAGGAATAGCCTGCGGTATAATGTAGACTATATGCTCAACCAAATACCCAGCAATCCCAGCACCTCAAGGTCAGACAGCCCCCGGTTGTTGGGATCGACGTAGCATGAATGGAAGGGCGTCTCCAGACCCGGGAAGCAGCGGGAGGCGAGAACGACAGCGACGAGGTGTCTGGGTGGTCTGGTGGTGTGACTCTGCCCAAGTGTCGAAGCAAATGGACTTATGGTGGTCTGGATTGTTGAATTTTGAGACCCCGCCATACCATGCCATCTCAATTGCTCGCTGAATTGGGACAGCCTCCCACTTCCCCCCACCTTGTCTGTTCGGCTCGGCTCTCACAACTTGGCAGTTCAGCAGAGCTATGTCATACCACTGGCCTTTCAGGTGCCTGGGGCGCATGGGCCAGCTTGCGAAACTGGCAGTTGCCTGCCGGCTGTCAGCTTATCTCTTATCATCACGTGTAACGAGCGCTAGCTCCCGGCTTGGCGGCTGTCGTAACGCGGCATGAGCAGCAGCATGGGAGCTGTTAGCAGCAACGTAATCTTTTGGGGGAGCTCCAACGGCGAGCTGTCCTTTGGTTCCCGTCGCAGAATCCAGGGTCAGTAGCCCAAACACGGTGGTCTACCAAGGTGGTGAAGGAAATTAACACGACGTTATCAATGACCAATTGATCCCACTGCCTTCAGATTCCCTTTTTTTTCCCTCTTCTTGTTCCGGGTTGCGCCACCACATGAGAACTCAATTTGCGCTTCCAAGATGAAGTTCTCAGCCCTGCTGCCGGCGCTGGCTTCGTGCCTGTCGCTGGTGTCTGCCAAATCCACAACCACCTCAACTTCCAAGACCAACCTGCCCGCCACCTTCAAGCCTCCTCAGGTCTTCAAGAACGCGAATCTCGTACACATCCTCCAGCTGGAGAAGAACTACGCCAAGGAGTTGATCAACACCAAGATCGAGAACATAGCAAAGGAGCCCCAGGATGAGTACTTCCTGCCTTTCACACCAGACCAGATGTCAAGAGTGGGAGGGTTCGAGGTCAAGGACAAGAAGAACGCCGAAGCCGGCCCATTCAAGGTTGAGGCTGTGGAATTTGACCCGGAAAGGTAAGGAAAGACCGGAATACTCACCCTCGCCAGTGGACCACAATGCGCTGACTGGTTCCGTCCGCATAGCACTGTCCAGTACTACCGTATCAAGTTCCCCGAGCCCCTGAAGGCTGGCGGCGAGCAGACCCTCTCCATCTCCTACTACTACACCTCCGCCTACAGGCCTCTTCCGGCCTCCATTGGCCAGGATGACAAACAATTCCTGCTGTACCAGTCGACCGCCTATGTCCCCTCCGCCTACACGACGTCGAAGCAGAAGACGGAGATTAAGCTTCCCTCGTCCAACGTCCCCGACTACACCAAGCTCCCCGGCAGCGGCGATGTCTCCGAGTTCCCCCAGAAGCAGGGTTCGAAGCTGACCTACGGCCCGTACGAGAACATCCCCGCCGGCGCCGAGCTCCCCATCGAGGTCCGGTTCGAGTTCAACAAGCCTGTCACCCACATCTCCGACCTGGAGCGCGACATCGAAGTGAGCCACTGGGGCGGCAACGTTGCCTTCGAGGAGCGGTACACCCTCTACCACCGCGGCGCGAACCTCTCCTCCCTGTTCAACCGCGTCAAGTGGCAGCAGCAGCAGCACTTCAACCCCAACAGCTACGCCCTGAGCGACCTCACCTTCCCGCTCGCGCCCAGCAGTCTCGACCCGTACTACTACGACGTCATCGGCAACGTCTCCACGTCCAGGTTCCGGACCGGGAAGCGCGAGAATCTGCTTGTCACCAAGCCCCGGTACCCCATCTTTGGCGGCTGGAAGTACCCCTTCACCATCGGCTGGAACGCAGACGCGAAGAGCTTCCTGCGCAAGGCCGCCGGCGGTGGCTTTGTGCTCAATGTGCCCTTCCTCGATGGGCCCAAGCAGGCCGAGGGTGTCGAGTATGAGAACGTTGTCGTCCGCGTCATTCTGCCCGAGGGAGCTGAGTAAGTCATATCCCCTTCCATAACCGGACGCCCTTCCTAACCACGATCCACAGGAACGTCAAGTACTACACCGATGTCCCAGAATCATCCATCACCAGCGCCGATGTCGAGATCCACAAGACTTTCCTGGACACCATCGGACGGACTACACTGATCATCAAGGCGCGCAACCTGGTGGATGACTTCCGCGGCCGCGAGCTGATTGTCTCCTACGACGTCCCATTCCTGGTCAGCATTCGCAAGCCTCTTGTGGTATTTGGCAGCATGTTGGCTACGTTTGTCGCGGCGTACGTCATTGGAGGTGTAGAATTGAAGTTTTCGAGCAAGTCTGCGCAGGTGTGAGGAAGACTTGGGGCGCGCGTAGATAGAACGTGCTATTTCTCAAATCTCTACAAGGCCTCATTGAGAAATTGACTGTAAAGGGGGCAATAAAGCTAACATGTGTTCCAAATGAAGCGTGGGTGACTCGACAGGATGGCAGGAGTCTCTTCACAGAAAAATGTATTTAGGCATCGTCTCATTGATCGCGTTCCGGGGCAGAGATTACAGCGGTATATGAAAAATGACCAGCCCAAACATTCCAAACGCCAATTGTTGCGAAAGCACACAAATCTAGACAGGACCGCCGCAAGCCTTAAACAACAGCTGTGACTCTCCGGATGCTCTTCCTTGCGCCATCGCCTGACACCGTTATTGAGCCATCCATCTCTAAAGCGCGCACGCTTTCGGCAAAGTCACTCGCCTCAACAGGCACACCTGTGTTCTCGCTCAGCTTTCTGACGACCTCAGCATACTTGACGGTCTGACCACCGGCCGTCAACTCGTCAAGCAGCTGCAGCACTGCGTTCTTCATATCCTCCTTCCTCTGGCGGTCAGCAGAGCTTGTCCCTTCGGTCAAGAGGGACATGTCGATGCGGCCCTGACTGTCAGTTGCCGCCGTCTTGAGGGCAGACTTGATCAGCCGGTTGGCCTCCTGCACGTCCTCACGGGTGACCTCGGTGGCCAGTCGCATCTTTGCGTGCGCCTCCGCAAGCCGGATCATGGACTCGAGCTGCCGAGTGGTCGCAGTGATGCGCTTCTCAGCGGAGCGAACATCTTGGCCTAGCTTGCGCATCTCAATATACGCCTCAACCAGTTCTTGAGCTGCGGGCTGAGTGATAGTGGGTTGGATGTTGGCGCGGGCATAGGAGATATAAGATGTGAGGAATTCGACGGGCTAATGCGGTTAGTCGTATGCTTAGGCAAGAGGCTGGATAGTTTGGCTTACCAAAATGTCGTTCTTAGACTGGGCAGAGTGAGGTGTGTCCTCCAGATACATAGACATCAAGTGCTTTGCCAGTCGTCTGTCGTTCTTCTCATCAACACGGTCCAGGATCAAGTACACCAGATCGAAACGAGACAGCAGCGTTGGAGGAAGGTCGATGTTTTGTGGCACTGGCAAGTCAGGGTTGTATCGACTCCCGATCGGGTTGGCCGATGCCAGAATGCTCGTTCGAGCATTCAGAGTGGTGATAATACCAGCCTTGGCAACAGACACTGTTTGCTGCTCCATGACTTCGTGCAACACGGAGCGAGTAGACTCGGACATCTTGTCGAACTCGTCAATGCAGCAGACACCACCATCTGACAATACAAGGGCACCCGACTCGAGCACCAAGGATCGCGTCTCGGGATCGCGTGTAATATATGCCGTGAGACCGACGGCAGAGGAGCCCTTGCCGCTCGTGTACACGCCGCGAGGGGCAATGCGGTGCACGTAAGACAGGATCTGCGACTTTGAAGTAGATGGATCACCACAAAGCAGGACATTAATGTCACCACGGTATTTGGGGCTACCGCCCTTCTCGAAGCTCTTGTTGGTGCCGCCGAAGAGCTGCAACAGGATACCCTTCTTGACGTCGTCCATTTCGTAGACTGATGGTGCAAGAGAACGTGCCAGAAGGTCGTAGATATCGTCACGAGCGGCAGTCTCTTTGATCTTCTCCTCCTCTTCCGGGGTCACCTTGCGCGCCTCGTCCATTCCTGATGGGTTATCAGTCTGCAGTTCTTCGTCGTCGTCAAGCTCAAGGGTAGTCGTGTCCGCCCCCATGCGCTTGCGGTCGACCTTTTGCACGTGCAAGACATCAACATACGTCTTGTGGACGCTCTTGATGGCCCTCTGTCGCGGATTGACACGAACGGGGCTGACCCTGAAGATACCAGTGATTTGTACCCTGTCACCAGCTTTGCAGAAGTCCACCAGATCGTCGTACACGCATACAGAAACAGAATGCGGGGTCTGACCAGCTGGCACAGCATCTGGGGTCTCTTGCAGTTTGATGACTTGCTTGTCTGCAAAGTTGCAACGGTTGTGAACAATTTGCATGGAGTTCTTGGAGCCGCAGCGTTGACGGGGGCACTCTGTGGGTTCTCGAATCTTGCCACGGTCAAGAGTGACAAGCAGGCCATGGTTGCAGACACTGCACTTGAAGAATGCGTCCTTCATGTCTGGAATAACAGGGGTGGTCCTGATGACGAGACCCTTTATTTGGATCATCCTGTCCATGTCCGAGGGGTTCAGATCTCGGAGGTTGGTGGTCTTGTCCATTCCGTATGGACGCACCATGTAAATGGTCTCAGCGACTTGATCCTCGAGGGTTGCCTCCCTCTGGGCTGTAGGACGAGGTGTCGGAGCGTCCTCAGGACGGTCCGAGCTGGGAATAGCTGGCTCGGAGCTCTGCGAGGCTTGTGGAGCGGAGGTGTTCTGGCTCCGTTGCCTGGCCATCTCTATGCGAGCAAGCTCAATCATCATGTCGTGAACAGACTGATCCATAATGGGAACCAATTCCTGCGGGTACGCCTGGAGTTGGTACCACAGCTTCTCAGTCTCAGGGTAGGCTTTCAGATCGTGGACATCCAAGTACAACTTGCTCGTTCCAAGCGCCAGCATTGTCTCCAGTGCCTCCCAGTAGCATCTGGTTTGGTTCTCCGGAGCATTGACGAGCTCATCGGGCTGGTTCTCCTTGATGAGACGATACTTGATTTTGTAATTTCTCAAGAAGTTCTTGAAGGCGTTGAACGTGTCATCAATGGCAATGGTGGTTCCCCATACCAAGCTCTGGCTTTGGCCACCCAGAGCGTCGGCGTCTGATGTGCCCGGGTTGTTGTTGGAAAAGGTAGCAGCGTCGGAGACTGGTGCGTCTTGCACGACCCGACCATCGGAGCCAAGAACGATGCGACGCGGAGGAACGGGTGTCCTGCTAGAATACTCGGAATGAATATCACCACGTCTTGAACGAGGCGCCCTTCTGGAAGAGTCGACGAAGAGGCCGCTGCTCTCGCTTCGTAGGTCTGTTTGGGGGTGCCCAGGGCTTGAACTAGGATCATAGCGAACAGGCGAAGAGTCTGCACACATGTCAGTAAAGAAAAGCCCAAGTTCCAGCAAGTAGGGAGCAAAACCTACCACCAATGCGCATGCCGCTGGCTCGTGGGGTACGCTCGCCATCATTGATTGTCTGGGATTCGGTTTGCTGGCGCAACGGGGAGCTCGGTGCAGGACCGTTGTCGGTAGTCTGAGAGTTGCTCATTTGCCGCAGAGGCGAGGACGGTGCCGCATTGTCGCCGCCGTTTGCCGGGGAGGACTCATAAAACATTGGGCTGGATGCAAGCTGTGATGCGCGCGTTCGGCGGGGAGTCTCGGCCTCCGCAGCATCAGAGGGGCCGGCTGCGGGACTGCTACGAGCCTGCGAGCTTCGAGTGTTGCGGGCAGGAGTCCCTGCCTGCGAACTGCGAGTTGACCGTCTTGCTGGAGACGACATTGTGATAATGGGTGGTTGTTGATGGGCTGGATGAACAACAAAAAAGATCACCAGTGCAACGAGGGGGGAAGTGGGGGGTTAAATCGAAGTGGTGGTAAAGTGGGAGCGTGCCTCAGCAACAGGAAATCTAAAGCGCAAGAGAGCCCATTTTTGGGACAAATCTTTGGGAGGCGCGTCGAACGCGGGTTCCCTGCCAGACGCGACTTCCTCGCGTCGCCCATTAAAAAGCCGACAGGGATCTAAATGGCGTTTTCAGGCCGTCTATTTGGCCCCTGTCTTGCTGCTGGCTCCAGGGGCACGTACACTGATAACACTCTGCAATAGCCACACGGCGGATGCATGTACGAAATGACAAAGACTTGCTGCGCTGCAACTACCAAACATTCTGTTCACTTGTCAGTGAGGCATTGACAATCTTCCATGGTAAGTCGAGATGGCGCAGCACTGTGAGTATAGGTGTGTTCGCCCCGCAAAGGTCCAGGTCCAGCCGCCCGCGGGCGCCAGGTACCCCACAGTAGCCTGCTTTACAAAGTGCTCCGTTAGCAGCTGTCAAGCCACACGAAACGGGGGACGCACAGCCACAACGAGCCGGCCGGTTAATCGGTCTTGACACGGAGCATTGAACTTGGACACGGGGGAGCTGTCCACTGCGTATTGTCCGTAGCCTTGCTTGCGACTCGCTTCATTGCCCCTTCGTCAACACCGCGCCCAGCGTCGCAAACAGTCAAAATGGCTCCTGGAATGTCGCTCTACTCGGTCAATGCCATCCTCATCCTGTCGGCTGTAAGAAACCACCTGTTCTGTCCTGTGCCGCGCCTGTCTCGACGATCCCATCATTCGGAGCTTCCTGCCTCTGCGACCTGCCACGAAACACTTCACTTTTTGTTCCCTAGCTGACCGAAACCCATGACATTGTAGGAGGACGGCTCTAGACTATATGCGAAGGTAAGTATCATACTTCTTCCTCGAATAAACAGTCGGCGTGCAAACTGGAAGCTTACCGTGTCTCCCAGTACTACGACTCACCGCACAACGCCACGCCTGCACCAGGACAGAATGCCCGTACGCTATATTCAGACGCCTCCCTGGTGCCAGGGGCCATTACTGACCTGCCGAAGCTGCCTCCAAGAACCCATACCCCGACGTGAAGTCCCAGAAAGCATTCGAGAAGGCCCTGCTGGACAAGACGGCGAAGCAGACCGGGGACATCCTGCTGTTCGACGGCCGCATCGTCCTGTACAAGTCGGAAAGCGACGTCATGCTCTACCTCGTCGGCAGCCTTGACGAGAACGAGGTCCTGCTGTACAACGCCATCCTCGCCCTCCGCGATTCTCTCCACCTCCTTTTCAAGGCCTCTGTCGACAAGCGCACCATCATCGAGAGCTACGACCTCGTCTCCCTGGCTGTTGACGAGATCGTCGACGACGGTATCATCCTCGAGACCGACCCCACCATCATCGTGCAGAGGGTCAGCAAGGCACCGACGCAAGACGTCGACCTCCGCCGCATCGATCCCTTCAGCGAGCAGGGCGTCAACAACCTGGCGCAATTAGGAAAGGCGAAGCTGACGGACTGGCTGCGGCAAGGGCTGTGATGCGGTGGAGGGGCAGTGTTTTAGGGGCGTCCAAACTTTTAGAGGAGTCAAGGGGTCACTTTGTTTTTGGGAACTTCCAACCAAGACCATGCAAAAAGTCTGAGAATAATGCCATTATCTCTTTGGTGATTGAGCAGGAGTCTATGTGTCGGGCGTGCCTGTCTATACGGCCGTCTAAGCTCTAATCTCCGAGGCCGCCTTGCGCAGGCGGTTCATGACTGCTGCCGCGATGTCGTCTTTATCCTCGATGCCCTCGATGAATATGACGTCCGCTCCTTTTCTATCCAGCTCCCTCAGCGCCGAGAACAGACACTGTGCGACCGTCCTGCTGTCCTGTCCAAGGCCGATATCCAGCACCCGTGAGCCGTCGATGACAGAAGTGTGTATCTCGTAGCTCAGATCCGCCTCGCCATCCGTATCCCCTTCTTCTGACCCGACCTCGTGCCCCGGCAACCTCTTCCACCGGTGCGTGCGGACAACACCCACCACATCCCTAGGCCCCTCAACTCTCCCCAACTCCCGCAGGACATCCTCGCCCCGCGCCCCCGTCCGGGCCTCAAACAGCACCACCCTCGCCCGGGGACTGTAATGCTTGTACTTCATCCCCGGCGCCCGGGGCCCAACCCCGTTCTCCCCAACCTCGCTGGCGTCCTTGTACCCCTTGACGACGCCCTCCCACCCCTCGACAGACCTCAGCTCCTCCAGGCTCACCCCTCCCGGCCGCAGCACGACGGGCGGCGAGCAGAGCCCGTCGACGACCGTGCTCTCGACGCCGACGCCGCACGCCCCGCCGTCCAGGACCAGCTCCACCCGGCCCTCCAGGTCGTCCGCCACGTGCCGCGCCGCCGTGGGGCTGGGCTTGGTGCTGGCGTTGGCGGAGGGCGCGGCGAGCGGCGCGCCCGCGAGCCGTATCAGTGTCCTCGCGAGCGCCGAAGCAGGCATGCGCGCCCCGAACGTCGGCAGGCCCGCCGTCACCTCAGGCGCGAGCGCCGAGCCCGCCGGGTTGGGGAGCAGCACCGTCAGCGGCCCCGGCCAGAACCTGCGCAGGAGGGCCCTGTAGATTGGTGGTATGGGGTCCTGGCCCTGCTCCCCGAGGTGACCGTTGGTGGTGGCTGTGCCGTTTGTGCCGTTCGCGGCGCCGCTGGCTGGTCGCAGCAGGCGTCGGAGCATGTCGAAGTCGCAGACGTGCACGATGAGCGGGTTGTCCGACGGCCGGCCCTTGGCCGCGTAGATGCCCTTGACGGCCCCGCTGCGTGTCGCATCTGCGCCGAGGCCGTAGACTGTTTCTGTGGGGAATGCGACTGGTATGTCGCTCTGCTGTAGGAGGGCGGCTGCTTCGCGCAGGGGCTCGATGGTGTCCTGCGCTGACGGGTCCGACGACACTTCCCAGGTGTCAAGGCTGTCTGGTGATGTGAAACTCCCTGAGTCCTTGCCCGGTGGGACTTTCAGTATCCTTGTCTTCATGGTTGCGAATTTTCTAGTGGTGGTGAAGTATGTTCTTGGTCTTGAAGATGAGGGTGAGGATGAGGCTGATGAGGCCGGCCGCAAGAATGGCCGCCCAGCTATACAAAATGCTGTCCAAAGTCGGACTGGCAAATCAAGTCGAGTTAATTTGGAAGCGACCATCAAATTGATACAAATCTAAGTGAGATAGGGCAATATGATGACAGGCTGATGTAGTTGGCGCAGGCTGATGGACTTTGATCTACATCCCTGGACGAGTTTTCCGTTGAGTCATCTGAAAGCTTCAATTTTTGAGGTGTGAAGCTAAGTGGCAAGCTCGGTGTCGGCCAACACCACCACGGATAGCATCACCACAGCCGCGAATCTAATCCCTCCAAAATCATATAACAGACGAAGCAGATCCAACTGATTCATTCAAAAACGTCCAAACTTGCAAATAGCATCCGTAACCCCCCAAAAAGAATGTATTCCCAACCAATCCAAAATGGCAGCGCTGATCCGTCCACAGGTCATGAATCCAACCAGCCCATCGATGCCCTCCTCGTGTGTTCGCCATGCATGTCTAGGGGCCTATCCCAATATGCCTTCCCATCCCTCCTGAGGCGCTTGCTTGCCTCATTGCGAGCCCAGTTCCCATGCATGCGTTGCTACCCATAATCCGAACCCAAAATGACCGTTGAAACCTAGCAAAGTCGTATACATCGCACTGCATAGTCGTACATCGCCCTTCCCTTGACTAGCTTTCACTGTCCATTTTGGCTTTCCTGCCCCCGTCCAGACTTTCTGGTCGGTAGATTCCCCACAAACTCCCCTGTGAAGCTGAGATGGCTTGTCATGCCCTCGAGCAGTTTCAGGAACTCGTCCCTCATCAGCTCCCCTCCCTCCCCCATCATTACTCTTTCGGACGGTGGCGCCGGCAAAGGTGGCATAAAGCTGCCATCACTCGCACTCGCCATGCCGTCTCTTTGGTACGCAGAGTTCAAGGACGACATGGATGGTGTCCTGACCGTTGACCCTGTCATGGTGTAGTCAGAATCCCCACTGGGTCCGCGGCCATGCTGGTAGCTGGTCTGAGACCGGGTCGCCGTCGAGGACCCCGTCATCATGTAGTCCTCGCTGCCATTATATTCATCCCCGGAGTAAAGATGTGCGTCGTCAATGAAGGCGCCCGTGTTTCGCCGTTGCCGCTCGTCCACTTCCGGGATGCCGCCCATCATATTGATGCTTCTCGTCTGTCGGTGGCCTGCCAGCCCGGCCAAGTCCGATTCATCGGAGATGTAGATTGATGGCTCACGGTTCGTAGATGGTAGAGGATAATAAGAAGTATGCCTTTCTAGGTCGAAGGCGCCACCTATTTCAGATCCGACGTCCGAGTTGGCAGTCGATGGACGGATGATGTCCGCCGGTGCGATAGGCTCCGGGAGACTCTCATCCAGGTCGATCAGACTGCTGACCGACGCGCGGTTGTCCATCTGCGAGGACGCTCGGGGAACCATGAGGCTGTCGTTGTAGCTTGGCGAGGAGCCCAACGGCTCTGTGGGATGATGAAGCAGTGGTGGGCGACTACTAGGTCCGGGAAACTTCCATTCGCTAGCCGAGTCTGGCTGACGATCACTAGGCGCGGGGAACTTCCAATCACTTGCGGAGTCGGGGTTGCTGTTTCGGTCTTCGTTGAAGGGGAAATGGGACATCTCCGCGCTTGCGGACGCTGGAGGCACCATGGCGGGAAATTTCCAGTCCTGTGTCTTCCTGTTGCTAGCCGCGAGGACTGTTTCCGGGTCGCTGTTCGGGGCTCTGCTGTAATCCTCTCCGAAATCATACTCGTTCGATCGTCTACTTGCCCTCACGGTATTCATGTCGACAAATCTCGAGAGATCGCTGCCATGAAGTGAAGCGTCGAGATCGATCAGTGATTCCCTCAATGTCGCGTTGTGTGAGCTGTCTCGTAGCGGCAGATCTGAAGTAAAATCCGCAGCAGGAGGTGAAGGTGGCTTTCCATAATACTTTCGAGCATTCTCATTATAACTCGAGATGGTGTTGGGGTCGAATATCTTCTCCAGTGGCGCTCTCATCACAGGAAGATTTGGCGGCGGCCTTCGCCTTTTCGGCCTATATGGCTGAGGGGTGGCCTCCCCAGGATCCAAAAGGTCCACGTTGGACCCATAGACGTCGTAGACAGCCTGAGCATCAGTGCTGTTCATGATGCGCTGGTCGAATGCGAGAGTTGTACTAAAGTTCCATTCGTCATTCGACATGGCTGTGGATGAAAGGTCTGGTCCTGACGGTCCTTGGGCTCCACCGAAGGCGAACAACGATTTCCGACTCCCTCCTTGTGACTCCCAAACTCGGAAAGCCCTGACCAGCATTGCTAAAGAGGACGTAGGATGCGATGAACTGGTGTTGTGCAGATATGGATGTCGCTGCACATCGTTGATGGTAGGTCTTTGCGCGGGATCTTCCACCAGGCAGAAGGAGACCAGGTCCTTTAGTTTCTCTGAATACTTGCTTCCATCGAGTCTTGGGGTGTTCTGCTTGAGATAGCCACCTAGCTGGGTGATATCTATACCCGCCATGACGTTCGGGGGCAGCCCTGAGGCTATCTCAAAGACCATAGACCCAAAAGCCCAAATGTCCACCTCGACACCGTAGGAGGCCGAAGGGTCGAAGAGCTCCGGCGCCATCCAATGGGGTGTTCCTATGAAGGTGGACCGTTTGTCGAACTTTGTCTCGATGACACCAGAAACACCAAAGTCGCACAGCTGTACACCACCTCCTTCGGTTATAAGCACGTTGGCACACTTGATGTCTCTGTGGATGATGCCGGCTTTGTGGACCCAGTGAACGGCTTCGGCAACCTCTCTGAGGATCGGTATGATCCATTTCTCCTGGAGCCCCCCAGGAGCTGTCGGCTTCATCAATGTGGCCACGCTTCCGCCGGCACAGTACTCGGTAACCATCCACATGGATTGCCCCACAGGTAGGGCGTCTAGAACGTGGTTGATGTTCTTCGCCCCGCCCTCGCTGAGCAGTTTGAGCGCATTGATCTCCTTCAGAAACTCCGAGTAGGTGTCGGCAAGTTTGGGGTTGAGCGTATCAGACTCCTCAATGTCGATGATCTTCACTGCAACCACCTGGCTCGTCTTCAGGTCTGAGGCCTTGTAGACGCGGCCGAAGCTTCCTTTGCCGATCAGCTCTCGGAGCAGATACGGGGGCACTTCTTGCTCCGCCTTGTTGCACTCGTCTTCAACCACCACCTGCATCTTTCTTTGCATCCTCGATCGCCTTCTTCTTGGTCACCGAGAAATCGGCACCATAGGTGGATAAATGAGCCATGCTGAAAATTCCGGTGGTCCGGCCCGGCTGGAGACTCTAGGCAGATTGCTTGGGGAAGGGGGATGACCAAAAATGGACGAACAACGGCTTGGTACACCTTTTCAGTGCAAATGGCGGTTCAAGGGAGGAAACAAAAAGCGTATAGACAAGAGCAGACTCCGAGTGGCGTGGCCTCGCCGAGCCGCACAATCCGCCACAGCTAGGGGACTCAAGGTCTCAGATTGTCTGGCGGTCGTGACCATACCATGAGAAGTTATTGACTTATCGATCCTGTCAGCCTGCTGGAATGAAGTGTGCGAGATTGCAGATAAACATTCACAATAAACATGGTCGTGATGTCCGGTGACTCGTCGGCATGAGTGCCATGTCCGGGGTATGTAGAAAGAGGGCGAAAAAGAGTTGGTCCTTGAGCAAGCATAACAGGGTCCAGTATAACGGAAATAGATCGTACGACACTTACAAGAAATCGAACAGTCGTTGGCTTATTTCACTTTTGACATGTCTGCAATCGCATGTGTCCTTTGTAGATCGTTGTTGAGGTCCCGAGCGAGGTGTTTCATGAGCTGGCCAATTCTCGCGGACTGGGACTTGGGCTTTTGGACCGACACCGAGGTGGCCTTCTCACAGCTGAAAAGTCAAGGTCTTAGGGTCCGGATTTGCCGGTATAGGGTTTGTGAGATATAGAATATTCGATACTCATTAATCGATGGCGGCTTGATGCACTCGAAGGTGTGGATCGGATTGTGGATGGAGGATGACGGATCATCAGGGGTTGTCACTGGTGTTGCAGTCTCAGCCCTGCCCAGGTGGGTGGCGGCTCCACGCCCACGCTAGCTCCGGGTCCGGATCCGAGAGCCAGAACCACGCTAGGAGATTCGCGAAAGGCACGGACCACGCCCCAAGAAACACTGGCTCGTCCTGGTGAAAGTCCCAAAGGGAACAGCGTTGAACGGCCAAAGGGCGTCACAGCTTGACCAATCCCCAAGGAAACTACTCAGCAGACCACTCCCGGCTAATTTGAACGCGCCGAGCACAACGCAGTAAGACATTCAGACCCCAAGCACCACCTCGCGGCACAAATAGCGCCGGAATCAACCAATACAAGGAGTTTTGCACTTGGGAAACTAGCTATAGTTAGGTATACTGTAGTAAGCTACAGCCCTAATCTCAGGTTTCAGGGTACGGTAAAAAACCGGATACTGGCTAAAAGCTTTCGATAGCCCCTTCGTTAAAGCGCGAAGTAAAATAAATGACACCGGGTTTTTTTAATTTTTTTTTTTTTTTTTTTTTTTTTTTTTTTTTTTTTTTTTTTCACTTGGGAAAAATGGAGGTGACGTTGCCTTGTATATATTCGCTTTAGAAAGAGATCATTTCCCGCAAGTTACGAGACCTATCACGAAGCCGGAAGACGGAAAGATTGTTATCTATGAATGGCCAAGTGGCCGGACCGCCTGTTGGCTCACAACGTGAAATGTCGTAGCTCGCCGGCTGAGACTTTAAAATTACTTCCGCTTCAATGCTGAGGTAAACAAGGACATTGATCTGGATGATGTGAAAGGGTTGGAGGGGCTGAAGAAAGACACTGAATATTAGCTGTCCATGCCAAATATGAGTTGGACGGTGAATGAGTGTGCTCAGTGCCTTGTGAAGAAAAGACAGAGATCGCAGGTGTGATATTGAGAATTGCACTTTCTGCTCAACTGTACTGGAAACTTGAAGCATGACTTTTGCTGCTGAAGGAAAAAGGACAGGGGGCAGGGAGGAACACAATGACGTTCACATATACATGGGATTTGATTCGTCCGCAAGGTTGTCTCCCGTTTATGTTGATGGCCTGGGAAGCCGCAACAAGCTCTTGTTAGGCAGCTTGCATGTGTCTTTTCCAGGGAGACGTTATATGGCACAGATTGGCAAGAACAGCATTAGCTGTTGTTGTCATCGAATTTGAGTTTTTTTAGTACCTGTAACGCTCAGCCGGAATGCTGAAGATTCTGGAAAATTGATAGTGTGTTTCCATACGCAAGATTACTTAACAAAGCCGGTAAGACTATGACTCGAGAGAATTGGTATTAGTAGCAAGTTCAACGTAACTAATAAACAAGATATGCAGGTCTACAACTAATGAGTTCTCAAAGCAATGCCTATGTCTGCAGACTGTGTGTGCTCTTACAGATCAATAATACAGTAAGCATAGCGAATAAGCTTGCCTTGGATTTAACAGAGACGGAAATTCATTGGTATAACTCATAGACAAGTCGACATGCTGCAGCTTTGAAAGGCACAAATATCGTGGACCAAGGAATGATTACCAGCAAAGAGGGGACCTTAAGACTGACGAAGTCCTATTACCTGCCAGAAAATTCGGATTTAATGATGTTTGAAGACAGAAATATCAAATCTGATTTCACCTCATGTTATCTATCGTCGGTTCATCTCAGGCAAAATTTCGCGGATTAAATCTCAACACTTAAAATGGCCTCCGTCCTCATACGGACAAAGAACCAAGACACGCGGATGATTTCACAGCCGGTTATTCAAAAATGGAAGAAATAAAGAGCCCAGATTCATTCGACCACGGTTGTAGAGTCTGATGGGTCGCATGATATAAGAAGTTGAGAAGGCAGGTCCTGTGGCTCTCTCGTCTCTGACTTCATCGGGCGTCCAGGCCTAGGTCCGCTTGTGGGACCATTTCCAAATCCAAAAGCAGACCGATTCTTCGAGGTCAACTCTCATGACCCACCTCTGTGCAGCAGGCGGCCATCAGAGCGGATGCAAGCCCCCGGGGATCCATGTTGGCCACCAATCGCCTTCGCTCCAGGTGAGGCCAAGGGGCCCCATTCAAGGAGTGGGGAGTATCCTGTCCCTGGAGCCTGCGACGCGTACCCGGGCGCTCCGATTCTTTCGAATTTGGCGCTGAACTCACAGCACGCCTTGTTGATTGAGAGCCTCTCACGCCCTGCCGAACCCTCTCTGCTGCGGAAACATTACAGTCTTTATGTGACCAACTCGCAGGTGAACACGATTGCCGGCATCCACCAGTAGTGAAGTTCGGGTGCGCTGGTAGCAGCACAATGTGACAGACATCTGAGAGACCTTGGTCTAGGAATGAACATGTTGAAAACCGGTAAACTTAACCAGATTTACCGACCATACTTGCCTACACAGGTGTCAAGAGGTAGTAGTAAGTGTATTTTATCTCTGAAACAGTCTCCATGGAAGCTGGATTGTCTGCCATTTTCAGCAGACTTCCCAAACCTTCATATAACAACGACGCAAACACGGCTTCCAACCTATTCTTCACTCTATGTCTACCACTTCGATCTCGACACGGGGAGTTTATTGCACCGTCGGAAAGTTTCATGCCCCGATCTCGTGTCCACAAAGGCTTAAGTCCTCGGCGATGAGTTTGCCAAAAGCAGAATTTGTGATTCTGGCCATCAGTAGGGTATATATGAAACGAGGAATTATGGGATACATTCAGCTTGTGGGAGAAACAAACGGTCAAGTCGGCACAAACGAAGCCCCTAGTGTGGAGACAGCAAATGATCAGGACTGGAAAGTCGCTGAATAATGACTTTTTCAAGTGGGCGCCCTTGTTGATCTCATTACAATATCTCAATTTTGACTGGCTCGTCAAAGCACGGAGCCACAAATCTCGGGTGAACCCAGATTGACTCAAGGATACCAGAGGCAAAGAATGCTTCTAGCGCAAGGAGATCAGTGGGACAGTGGATCCGATACTATGGGGTACTTCCTCATGGCAGAACAAACACGACACAGCGTCATTGAAATTATCTGGGTTGCAGAAAGAAGCACAGATGAAGCCCCTATACGTCCAGGAATGGCCAGGGGATGTCCGTCCCTGGGGACCGAGGTCTAAGCCATGGAATATAAGTAAATGGAGCCCGAATCAAAACTCAATTTGTTTAGAGTTTTGCTCGCCAGCCAAGATTCTCATCCACACCCTGGTTCATTCGACGGTTCAAACTCAAAGACAAAATGCGCTCTTCAATCCTGTCCCTCAACCTTCTGGCCCTGGCAGTGTCTGCCTACCCGCAGCCACGCGCCGTTGCCGACCAGCATGAGTTTCAAGCACCGACTGCGGATGACAGTGAGTCGTGCCAGTGGCCGACGCCACGAAATTCAACTAACACAGTTCTTAGGCCGTTCTCGCCCCATGTTGAACACATTAGCAAACCACGGCTACGTCGCCCGCGACGGCAAGAATATCTCCCTCACGGACCTCCAGGACGGCTTTGAGGCCGCCATCAACCTGGAGCCCGCATTCTCCGTCGGGCCCTTCGGCGTCGGCGTGACCGCCTCGACCACCGGCCGCAACGACACGCTCAACCTGCACGACTTGCTGAAGCACAACCTGATCGAGCATGATGTCAGCTTGAGCCGCAAGGACGCCTACTTCGGAAACGCCCTGGACTTCGACCCCGAGGTTTGGGCGGGAACCTCGGCCGTCTGGAGGGACACCAACGCCGCTACCGTCTCGATCGAGGCTGCAGCTAAGGGCAGGCTTGCGAGGATCGCGAAGGACAAAATCGAGAACCCCGAGTATAACCTGACTTCGGCTGGGGAGGCTGCTGGCCTTGGCGAGACCGCATTGTTTGTGGCGGTCATGGGCGACAAGGTCGAGGGAAATGCGAGGGTGGACTGGGTTGATATCTTTTTCCGTGAATCTCGACTTCCGTTTGCCGAGGGCTGGACAAGGTCGACAGAGGTCATTACATCGGCGGACATTTCCAACATGAAGGACAAGATTGTTAAGTTTTCTAGCTAAAGAGGTTAGAAGCTAGATATGCGTCGAATATATGGAATATTGCTCGCCATGATGAATGACTTACGTGACCATTCAGCTGACGGAACCTGACCTGTCTGACGAAACCGTTCGATTCATGGTTATTCCTCGGACCTCTCCTTTTTAAATCTCAGAAGGCAATGTTGGATCTTGTCACTTGAGTGAATATGTAAACTCAAATTCCGAGCAAGGTGTTAGGGCGTCGTGTATCTGAGTGTGATATCCATTCTATAAAAGATTCCAAGGAAATCGATCCGGGCTACTCAGTCGGGTATTGGGGCGACCAACCACAACTTATTACGAAAACCGTACATGACTGTTGGTGGGTCTCGAATTGTACTAAAAGCATCATTAAGCGACACCACTTTTAGCTTCATTCTGAAGTCGCTCCAACATCTTGGCGTGGATTTTTTCCCCTGTTGAGGCATGAGTATTAGGACAACAAATGCGTGTCTGAGAAGATGCATCCTCAGACTCGTGGCGGATATGGGCTGAATGATGGAAGTGACACTCACATCCAGCCTCGCAACGGCCTTTCACCAAGGCCATCAACGGCATTGAGCAACTGATCTCCGCAGCCTGGACCAAGTCCAGCTTCCCACCCTCGGCCTCCATGATCTCCCAACGAGTATCAATAACCACTCCCAGGGGACTTTTGACGCGTGAGAATACGCCGTGTTCGATGTTCGTGAACTCATATGTCGAGACGACAGTCGAGCCCCAGATGCCTTTGGGTATATTTTCAAGCTCATCCGTCACTTCAAAAGACAGTGTAGGGCCTCGTGCGTCCACGGTCTCGGGGATTTGTGGTTCAGCAACCTCGCCCTTGGCCTCGTACTTGTTCAGGTGAGGATCGCAGGAGAGGAAAAAATCGTTGTCCTGCAGCATCACCACGCCCTGCCCCCTGCTGATGCCATCTGGTAGCTGAGAGTGCGGTTCCATAGTACTGGTGGTGTTGAGGACTGTTGACAAGGGTTAGACCCTGGTCAAGGTGTTGTCAAGCGCGGGAGCAGCATGCCGCTGGACTGTGAAACAGAGGGCACGCGAGCATGAACTTACACGACATTTTGGTGGTTTTTCAAATTAGGGAACGCGACTTAAAATGGAAGCATATCTTGGAGAGCAGTCGACGCGTACGATTTTTGCTTACCGTGGAAAGCGAGATCTTAAGTACTTTGAATTCAAATTCGGCTCGCTTCCATCAGCATAATCGGCCCTGACATCTTCTGTTTCATCTGTGCCACTGAACCCGACTCCGCCAACATACGTGTACTTTATCTTTCCGCCAATGATGGTAGTTTCAACAAATGTGTGTCCGGATGTGGTTCCGCCAGGGCCGCTTACACATGTTCTCCTCATCACAAATGCATGGATGTTTGCAATATACAGTGCGTGATGTTACCAAAGCGCTGCTATGATCTACCAAGCTATCAAATCAAGGCCAATCAACTCATTTAGAGACCATCATTGCATTCGTTCTGTTCACATTTTGAACATGTGCTTCTTAAGCAGTATGCATCCAGTCCCTTCATATAGTGATGAACGATTAAACACCCAGCGTTTTTTTTTTTTTAAAAAAAATACAATGCCGATAACAGTAAGTTTCGAACACGATTATCTGTAGCTTGTGGCTAAGAAAACAGTGACAGCCTTGTGGCAGCCGCACAGACGAGGCTAGCAAGAACCGCTTCTGGCGGCGCCATAGACCGTCGACATAAATAGCCCAAGACTAATAGTCAGATGAGCCTCATAAAGAAGCCCTCACGGGTGGTCAGGCACCCTTCGAGGTTGGCCCGAAATAGTATCACTCGTTTTCATTACCTGAGTAAACGTGAAAACTGGAAAACCGTTTCCTTTCGTCTTGACCTGACCATGTTTGATCGATGACAAATGTCAATCACCGTCGTAGGTATTCAAGTTGTTAGTTCTGTGCTCTCAGCTGATGAAGACAAATCTTCGAGACCATTAGAATGATCTTGGCATCACGCGGGTTTTCTCTTGAATTGCTCAGCATAGCAGGCGCAGGAGCAGTGTTGTGCGGCGAGACGAAGCCCATTGCTGACGCGAGGACCTTGTTATCTGAGATAGACGTGCTTTTGTCGAAATGTGCAAACAGAGAGGGGTACGTCTCCCGCAGCGAAGGGGTCATCAGAATCTGTGCGAGATCAGAGTGAACAGCGTGCTTCTCTTCCTGTCTTCTGAAATGAGTGCCGAATGGTAACAACTTGGAGTGATTTCTCTCATGGGTCTTTATTTCTAGACGAGTCGAAATCTGTCCTTCTATTCATTTCTTTCTAAGGGTCATCTACTGGAACTACCTCCTCAATATGAATCGTACGTTGATACCAATCAAGGAGCTGTGTTATCGCTATTCGTGAGAAGATTGGTAGTATCGACACCAACTGTGAGATCATAATGAGTATCTCTGTAAAGGGCTGAAAAGAAACGCTAGAGGGCTTCATAACGGACCTGTGGTATATCCCACCATGCCATTTTCAACCTTCTCCCCATCGGCCGCAACAATACTGAACACAGGGTTGTAGCCACCTTCGGTGTCCTGGCTGTACACGGAATCCACAGTAGGAATCCACAGTATTGGTAGTGCGCTTAATCTCAGTGTGCGAAGCGTACGGCTCCAGCGCCATGATCTGCTGCTCCACGTCCTCGTCGAAATAAACCTGACCGGTGCTTATCAGGTTGCCCGAAGTGACGGTGCCGTTGTCGTGGAGGGTCCAGTCGGTATAGACCTGGACGTGGATGTGGATGGCGCGCTCGATGTAGAAGCCAGGGAAGATAGTCTTCATCTCCACCATGCCGTTGGCGTCGGTCGGCCACATTGCGCGGAGCCAAGTCGTGTCGTCGGTATGCAGATCTGTGATGCCGAGCTCGTAGGTGTCGGTGACGTTGAGTTCCTTATCGATGGCCATTGGCTGTCCTCACAAATCGAACACGTTTTATGGAAAATTTGTCGCATGCTGCGAGCGCTCTCGCATGGGTGTTGTGTCGAGGCTTCTCGAGATTTACTACGGCCTCGCAAACGGCACGCTTGACTCCGACGCATACCGCCGCAATGGTACCATGAGGCGATCGCGTGGAGTTTATCGGCCGAGTCTCGCACGCTATCCCGAGCAATAGACGCTGCCACAGATACAGGATAAGCGCCTCAACGGAGTCGACACCGAATGATTGAGCATCGCATACAGCCGGACCTTGGGAGAGCACACAGTACGTCAGAAAGTTGCAGTGCCCATGGTAGAGACCACCCAGGTGATAAAGCCATGGGAGTCAAATCTATATTTAGAAACATCTCGAACCAGATGACAGGGACGATTCAAATGCTCCTGTGCTTTGCACGAGTTTATTGCATCTCCAGCAGAACTGCAAACACTAAAACAATGGCGACGGGCTCCCGATGGTCCTTTCTGTGACTGTATAGTTTACTTGAAGCTCATGGGAGAGAGGCTGAAGTATTCGTGTTCTTTCAATCTGTTGCCGCACTTTAGCTAACTTGAGAGCTCATTAGACTCCTGAGCCAGCTTGGCGGGGACTGGGCAGTGGCAGGCTGGAATCGGTGACTTGAACAGTCAGACGCAAGCCAACCTGACAACTCCAACGTGCAGACAACCAACGGAATGGTCTGTTCTGTACGTGATGACTTATGTGATCATTCCAATTCTCTTGTACTGTGGGCCCCTACAGGTCAGTGACCGTGCTTGAAGCCGGTTGTCATGTCGCGAGAACATGTTCACTTTGACATACCTGCCGCTTTTAAAAATATCCTCTCTTACTACTGTGAGACTACTAAGGCAGGAAATGCCACACGCGAAGGCTATATCTAGCCTTTTGAGGACAGAACAACGTGCTTGACTGCATCTTGGTAGCCTATGAAAATGTAAATCGTCTTTTGGCACTTCCTAAAGTCGACAGGGCCTTCCGAAATTTGACACTTAGTCGACACACTAATGGCAATTTGGATATGGATAACAAGATATGTCAATGTTGAGACCATTAAATCATGACTGGGTTGCGCTACCCTGGCACTGAATGTGGCTATACTGAAAGGCTAGGTAAGAGTCTGCTGCGGATGGAGTCCTTATATGAACTCTGGGGTTCCAAGGGGTTTGTGTTAAGAAGCGGTATTAGTCCTAATCTGCGATTCCTTTTTCTCTTTTTCTTTTTTTTTTCTCTCTCTTTTTACGCCAACATAGATCGGACCATACATTTGAATCGAAATAAGGGTTGTTCGATAGTATTCTGAGGATCAATTTACTTCAAGTGAAATGTAAAGTATCTAAATATCAATCAGCCAGCCTCGACTAGTTACGACTCATTTCTATTTCTATCTAAAGAGCTTCTAGATAATTATAAGAAAGCCTGTGAGTGATTCCAAGATTTTCGGTGGGTCTATGGAATCATGTTACAAAGGAGACCCTGTGAGTAATTTATGTCTGAGCTTGTAGAGCGCTTTGGCATAGAGCCCACCTGAAAAGGGGTCGCTACAAGCATCTTGACAAACTCTCATCGCCAACCTTACTCATGTAAGAACATTGGATTCGCCCAGTGGGCACCCTTTCATCTCCACAAAAGGATCAGTACTAGTCAGCAGTCCGATGCTGCATGCATACAGGTAAGAATCAAACGATATTGCTATAGATCACTGTGGATTTATTAACAAGAAGGACCTTTAAGCTGAGGGTGTGTGCTCTGACTTCAGACTCACTTAATGCACTCATTTTTCTCGCTCACCGTAGAGCTGATTTACCCTGATAGAATTGTGTCACTTACCTCTTGTTACTAAACAGTGAACAGGAAGAGACAGATTCCACATCGTTCCTAGTGAAGTTATACACCGAAAATTACGGCACCATGACAACCCTCAATCTCAGCAGCATGTCTTGGCACTCATTAACGTTGCTAGGAGCCGTGGCAGTAAGTGAGACCCATGGAATTAGCTTCAGCTTTTCAGATACAGCAACTTGCCTCGTACTTCTTGTGTGGGTGACTGACCAGCTCCCGATAGTTTCTGTCGTATTGGTTCAGTTTGATTTTATACCGGCTCTATTTCCATCCATTCGCCAAGTACCCGGGCCCAAAGTTAGCAGCAATAAGCGATTGGTGGTATGCGTACAAATGGTAAGTCGTCAAGAATTATTTATGTCCACCTGAGGTTTGGCTCTGATGTTCTTTCTAGGTACCATGGCCGTTACCCCTGGGCCATTGAGGAAGTTTTCAAAAAATACGGCGATGTGGTCCGGATCGCACCCAACGAGCTTGCATTCTTTACAGTCGAAGCCCAATCAGGTTCGTCCTCAAACACTATATTCGCAGTCCGTGGTCCAAATGGAGAATTTGAGTTGCTGACCATATTCTTTGCCCCCAGATATCTTGTTACCAGGCCTCTCCAGAGACAAGTCACCCTTCATCAAGGCTGAGGAGATCCAGCACGTCAAGGGACAGCATGTTGGAATTGCCGCTGACCCGAATCCGGAGACGCACCGGGTCGTCCGCAAGATGCTTGCTCCCGCTTTCAATCGTCGTGCCTTGAAGGAGCAAGAACCTGCTGTACATCAACACATTGACAGACTCATAGAGAAGCTCGGAGTTGAGAGCAAAGATGGCACAGACATGACAGAGGTATGCAATTGGATTTCCCCCGGAGAATTACGAGATCATGGTGCTAATAGAGTCATCAGTGGTTTGACCGACTTGCATGCGACATAGCCGGGGATATGTGCTACGGACACGGCTTTCATAACGTTGAAGATGGTAGACGCCTTTCCATTTCTATCCTGAGCCATTACCCCAAGAATAACTGTTAACTCGTGTGGATTTACCAGGCCAGAGCAACCTTTTCCTCAGTGTCTTTCGCCGCGTCGGCACCTGGGGTACTCTGAACCAAGTCATGATGCGGTTTCCTCTCCTGCGACCCTTAGTTTTCTTCGCCCTGCCGCCCAGCCTTGCGGCCATCGTTCCAACCATTTTGCGAGAAAACAGCAAAATCGTTCGGGACCGCGTGGTACGCAGGAACAAGCTTGCGCACCCTGACTACTTCTCGCTGATGGTGGACGACGAACATCAACCCTCGGAGGACTTTCTGCTCGCCCAGGCTAACCACTTGATCATCGCTGGATTCGACCCCAACAGCAATCTTTTCACGTCTGGCGTCCACTATCTGCTTACAAACCCAACCAAACTGGACAAGCTCCAGCAAGAGGTTCGCACCCACTTCGCCAACTACCGCGACATGGATGGCGACTCGCTCGAGGACCTTCCGTGGCTCAACGCAGTGATACAAGAGTCGCTCCGTTTGCACACGAACGGCGCCTTCGGACTCCCACGATTTAGCCCTGGAGCTTTTGTTGACGGTCACTGGGTCCCCAAGGGGTGAGTCAAATTTTATTCCCGAGCTTCGGACTGATGTACCATTCAGACCGGCTGACTATAAGGTATCATTGACGGAAAACTAGTATGCGGGTCCAAACATCCATCTTCGCAACTTCGCACTCGGAGCGCTATTTCCGGAAGCCCCGCGATTTCTGCCCCGAGAGATGGCTTCCATCTTCGCACCCTGACTACGACTCTGCCTTCGACTCAGACTTCAAGTCGTCTTTCAAGCCTTTTTCTATGGGTCCGCGAGGTTGTGTTGGCCAAAACATGGGCATGCTACAAGCGCGTCTCCTGTTCGCTAAGATGGCCTGGAAGCTGGATTGGGAGCATGTCAACAGAGGAGAGGCTGATTGGGAGCGCGAGATCAAGCTGTACGCCCTCTGGGAGAAGCCTCCCGTGATCGTCCGTTTTACACCCACTTCCCATACAAAGCCATGAACAGTCCCGATGGGTCTTTTATCTGGGCAATCGTTTGGATGGCGGAAGCTCGAATTACGGGTGTGCTTGGTATCATAGTGTAGCGCGGGCAGTCTAGGGTTCACGGGTCGAGGTTCCTTGTTTACAGAGAAAGGAAAGCTCGAAGGCTACGTGTCAAGAGCGACTAGGTTGGGAATATACGGCGGGTTAACTCGGTCGTTATTATAATATAGGCCGTTGCTACAGCCCCAGCGCATCCGGTCACAGACTACCCTCACTGAACTGAGAAGAGTTGCCCAATTCCGCTCACGGAAGAGCCAAGAAGACTTCCCGCAGCTTCTGGAAATTCGGCGTCCCAAGTCCCGTGACCGGATCCCACCCAGGCGTCGCATTAAAGCCGTTGGTCCCACAGCCAGGATTATTACCGATGGTAATATCATTAAACGCATCCGGGTTGCTGTAGAACGTTGGGTTCAAGAAGCCGACGGGGCCCTTGCCCGCCGCGATGCGCGCCTCGTTGAGCAGCGTCACGATGCCCGCGAAAATTGGCGCTGAGGCGCTGGTGCCGCCGACGCCGTAGGTTGAGCCGTTGAAGACGGTGGCGACGTTCAGCCCAATGGCCGCCACGTCCGGAAAACCCCGGGCGTTGCCGCTGTCGTTGTACACGTTGGGCCCGTAGGATGGGGCGTATTTCCCTAGGAAGTTCTGGACGGCCGAGGCCTGGTACGACGGCAGCGCGAAGACGTTCGAGAAGCCGCCTCCAGAGCCGAACGAGGCGACGGCGCGCTCTCCGCTGTCGGTGGTGTTGCCGATGAGGTCGGTTCCTCCAACTGGAAATACCGGAGTTAGCGGTTCCTCCTACAAATTAATTATATGCAGTCGAAGGGCTCGTAGACTTACCAGAGGTTATGTAGGGGCAGCTTGCTGGGAACGATGGTGAGAATCGAGTGCCATTGTTGTCCACATAGGGCTGCTCCGCGTTGAGGCACGAGTCTGGGTACCCGGCATTGTATCGGTTCGCGACGCCCGAGTCTCCGCTTGCGAAGAGTACGCTCACGCCCTGGAGGCCGAGCTTCATCCACTCATTACACTGGCGGACCTGATAGAAGTATGGCAGAGCACCCTAGACAGGCGTCAGTGTGAGTCTAAAATATTGAGACGGCGATCTTACCTCGATCTGTCCATAACTGACTGAGATCACGTTGGACTTCGGAGCACCGCCGCATTGCAACGGACCTTGATAACCGCTCTCATTGTCGTTGGGATCGGGATACGCAGGGTCTGTCCACAGTAAGCTCGCGCCCCGAAATCAAATCAAATAATCCGGTCAGAAGTAATGGCTAGGGTATTACATACCGATATAAGGCTGGTCACCGCCTTCGTACGTGCAATAGCTGGCGTCTAGCGCGTCTAAGAAGATGTTGACTGAGAAATGGTTAGCAAATTATTTTCCAGTGTTGGTGTATACGAGTTGTGAAGACAACACGAAGAGTTCAAAGAGCTGCAGAAACACCCTCTCTTGAATCTCTTTCAGCAGAGACACGGGACTTTTCTGGAGCCACTCACAAGTTCCCACACTGTCAACGTTAATGCCGTCTCCCACCTGATATAACCTCAACTTTTGCGGATATATGATCGAGTAAGCAGCCTGGAAATCAAGAGCAGACTCAATCCCGGAGCCCTGCGAGACGGTAGTCAGGTTCGCCGTCAGGCCGCCGTCGATGGCGATGAACTCGGGCCTGGTGTCAGCCGGTATCTCGGGCGAGGAAAAGTTCTTAAAGTACGTCGGCAGGTCCTCCTCGTACAGGTAGTCGGCCCACTCGCCGATGCCCATCTGGTTGTCGGCGGCCGACGAGTTCCCCGCGGGGAAGTTGTACAGCTTCCGCAGGCAGTCGACCGTCACCAGCTCGGCGCAGGACTGCGAGCCGAGCGTGGCGCCCCCTGCGATGCGGGCCATGAGGTTGCGGTCCACGTTCGCGACGGGCTTCAGGCCGTCCAGCTGGACCGTCGGCATCGCGAAGTCGACGTGCTCCTGGACGTGCTCGGGCAGGCTGTAATGATCGCAGGCGAGTCGCAGACCGCCGCTTGTGGTGTGCTGGTAGTGCCAGTATTCCGTGGCGAACAGCTGCTCAGCCTCTTGGACTGTTCCATCGAATTGCACCCAGTTGTGCCCTGGAGATGGAATCAGTGGCCGTATAGTTGTGATATCTTGAATGGGTTCATTTACCTGTCGAAAGAGAGAGCCTGGAGCGGTCGATTCCAGACTCGACCAACCAGTTCATTACCGCGTCTTTGGTCTCCGGGTGTGGAGAAAAGGTGTTTGCGACCTTTTCCGCAGACCAGTGCTTGCCTGTTTGTCCATATTCCGTCAGTACAGTGCTCTCGTAATGTTATTAGACGAGCAGCGGGTCGTTTTCCGCTCAGCGTCTCCGTCAAGGTCAATGATATGTATTGAGTGCGTCTGAGTGATGGCTTACCAAAGTTTGGAGAGCTTGGGTCGGCGACATCATAGATATAACTGGCGGCGTTCTCAAGATTTCGCTGCTTGAGTGCAATACGAATAGGCAGCACCTGATCAGCGACAGCCCTGTGGCGCTTTTGCCACGCATGGGGTTGACCATCTCGCTTCTCATGAAGATTATATCGGCCAGAAGTTGGAGCCGCGGTGCACGCGAGGACGAGGGCCGCCGCGGCCGCTGCGGTTGAGAAGCGCATGACTGGTGAGGAACTGCGCGAGTAAGTGCGTAGGTGCCCAAACGGCAGGCCTCAGGGACAGAAGCAGTGCAGTGTGGATGGGCACTGTTATGTGAGCTCTAGAAGGCACTGAAAAACGGTGCACTCGGCTACAAAAGAGAAGAAGGAAAAATGGCAGGTCGGTTGCATACTTCCAGGCTATATATATACTATGGGAAAAGGTACCGTGGGAAACGGTGGCTGTTTGCCTGCGAGTAGCCACCAGTGAATAACATGGTCCCCGGTAAATGGCGGCACAATTATTCCTCGCTCTTACATGGCCCTCAGGTCCGGCTATCCGGGAAAGCCTGTGTGCACAAGCTTCGCATAGGCAGTGATAATGTCACAATAGTGGGCTGCATGGGTCGAGGAAGAGAGCGTCATGCAGGATCCATCGCTCGAGGCAGAGGCGACCTGCCCGATGAAGCAAGACCCCTAGCTAAGCTTCCAGTCAAGCTTTGTCTAATTCGCGGCTGCAAGGGGGGCTCACCCCGTCGTTGATGCCACGCTTACTGGACTACTCCGCATTGGAATCCTTGTCCAGCAACTTGCCTGACATGATTAACCTGCTCTAATGGTTGCCAAATCGATGGGCAGTGGCGGGGGCTGAGGTAGTACTACGGGAGCGGTAAAAGACGTAACGGTCATTGACCTTAGACCTGCCTGTTTCAGTCTCCACGATAACAGAGTTGACAAATTTTCGTAACATGGTTCTTTGAAGCCTGAACAAACTCCATGCTATGACTTCGGTTACATGAGACTGCTCCGCCCTCCGATCTCCATGCTCCCCTGGCCATCCCTCATCTCCCCACTGCGCCCCACAACAAACTCTCTGTAGATCCTCTGAAGCAAAGTGCGCTGCTCGCGGCCTATACTCGTCCTCGTGCCATCCAGGGCCTTGACCAGGTGCCTCCACTGAATGATGACCTCCTTCTCCTGTGCCTCGCCTCCAGACTTGGCGCCGACCGTTGCAGCATCGGATTCTGTGTTCGCGTTGGGCCCGCTCCTCTGCTGCTTGGCTCTCTTCCTCGACGCCTTGAGATTCTCCAGTTTCGACACGATCATAGCCTGCTCGGCGAGCTCAGAGGACCTGTTCGATCCACGAGGGGCTGAATCCTCGCTGGACCCATCTTCACCGTAGCGGAATTGGACAAAACTATGCGGAAGTGACCCAGCCGACTTGGCTGCGCCATGTCGCTGTCCGGGCCGTCGGCCGCTGCCGCCGCCTCCACCGCCTGCGATCTCGGTGTCTTTGAGCACATCCTGGATGGCCTCCAGCTGCGCATTTGAGATCAAGGCCTGGAGGTCCGCGCCAGAAAAGCCGTCCGTCCGCTTAGCGATCTCTGCGAGGTCCTCGTCCGACTTTAGGACCGCCTCACTGAGCTTGGCCTTCTTCCCGATGGCCCGGATGATGTCCACTCTTTCCTCGGGGCTGGGGAAGTCACAGAGTATTGACTTGTCCAACCGCCCCGGCCGCAAGAGGGCCGGATCTATCAGATCAGGACGTGAGGTTGCTGCGAGCACGTAGACGCCCGAAAGGCCTTCCGCACCATCCATCAGCGTTAGAAGCTGGTTGACCACGCGGTCGGTTACGCCGGTAGAGTCGTGGCCACGCTTAGGTGCAATAGAGTCGAACTCGTCAAAGAACAAGACGCAAGGTTTGGCAGCCTGAGCTCGTTCGAAGAGGTCCCGGACGCTTTTCTCTGATGCGCCAATGTACTTGTTCAATATCTCGGGCCCCTTCACACTAATAAAATTCAGGCCACATTCACCAGCCACGGCGCTGGCCAGAAGAGTCTTGCCACATCCTGGATAGCCGTATAGAAGGATTCCAGACCGAAGTCTTAGGGGGCATTGGGCGAAAATTGGTGCATACTTCGTCGGGTACTGCAGTGTTTCCAACAAGACTTGGCGTGTGTCTGTTAGGCCGCCGATGGATTCAAATGTGGTTGTTGAACTCTGCAGAGTCACATTGCGCAGGGACGCCGGTGTGAAGCCTTTGAGAGCATTTTCGAAGTCAACCCGACCAAGAGGGACGGCATTGACCTCAGCATCGCCTGTGGTGTCGGTAAGTGACCGCATGATGGCCTCGTTTCGAGCCCGTGAGATGAGCAGGTTCAGGTCACCGGGCATATAACCGTCTGTCTCTCCTGCAATATCAAGCAGATCCAGGTCCGGCTGAATGGAGAATCCACTAGGGGATGGGACCGAATCAGGCCTAGACGGTGGGCTTGCCCCATCCATCCAAGCATTCTCTTCACCAGTAGCACTGCCATTAGCCGTTGGAGGGCGGCTGCCGTCGTGAGTCGAAGCATTATCGTCCTTCGCTTGCACTGCGTGTTGCAGGGTGATTGCCTCCATGATAGTTCGTCGTGCAAGTTTGTCTGGGGCTCTCAGCGGGACAATCTCTCGGACCACGTGTCCCCCGACAAGCACGTTATGCAGAGATTCCTTCCCTTGTGCAGTAGCCAGAAGGACTATGTTGGAGTCTTGACCACAATATTGGCGAACCATGGAGCAAATTGCCTCGCTCACTTGGCGACTGCGGCCATTCTCATTGCCAACTTGCAATTCGGTCTCAACCGGGCAAAGACGGTCTAGATCGTCCAGTATCACCAGCGCTTTGCCTCCAAGTCGGGCTCCCCAGCTTGCCCCCATGAAAACACGGTTCAAGGTCTCCTTGATGGTACTAATCCTGCTTTCATCGTTCACGAGCGTCCGGCACGTGAAATATGTGGTGTGAAAGAGCTGGTCTTCCTTTAGGAACTTTGAGACCGACTGCGCAACAGAAGATTTACCGGAGCCCAAAGCGCCGGTGAGGAGAACTGAAGATGAATGGGAAAGGTGAGATTTGAGCTCCTCGAGCAGCGAGTCGATGCCGACCAGAGGACCAACATCTGGTGGCACAATGGTTGATTCGGATTCTGAAAGCCATGTTGGCCGAGGAATAGGAGCTTGAAATTCGAGGGGAAGTTGCCAGTCAGAACCCAGTATCCAGTGGGCTGGTTCCTTTCCAGAGCCTTGAGAAGCGGGCGGGGGGTGGAACTTGACGATTGCTCCCTCCCAGCCAGGTGGAGGGTCCAGCCCATCATAAGTACTCAATACCAACCCGTCTGTTAAAGGCCCATCAAACAAGCTTTTTCCATATTTTCCATCATAGATGTGCTTTACCCTTTTGGCGGCTTCTTCACGCTCAGCTTTGGTCTCTCCGCCAAACTTCAGACCAAGAGCTTGCGCTGCAGAGTCGCTAGTGAACGGATACACCTTGAGCTGCTGCACTGAAGGTCGGTCTTCGACCTCGACAACGGACTTCAAAATGGACTTTTTCGTGAGAGGTTGGGCAGCGGGTTCGACCTTGACAACACCGCCGACCAAGCCTTCACTCCCGAAGGCAGAGCACAGTATTGTTGATAGTGCTGCTGTTTGCCCATTCGGAGGATCATCCCAGGGCAAAAGCTGCGCAACGACCCTGAGGCCAGATCTTGAGAGCTCGGGTGCTTCCTGCGCTTGGGGTTGCTGTCCTTGCATAGGGGCTGGCTCTTGAAGAGTAGATGGTCTCATCAGATGCACAGTGACCCACTTCAATCCTCTGAACTCGTTGGAGACCAGGAGTTCGCGGTCGACCCAGATACTCAGTTCCTCGACTCCAGTCTCATCGTCGAACCAGTCGTCACAGAGCTTCCTGTCAACACCCCGCAGGAACAGGGCAGGCTTGCGCTCCTCACGCTGACTTCTCCGTCTCACTGTGCTGGTTGAGCTCCTTCCGCTCTTTCTGGATGTGCTCGCTACACTGCGATTTTCCCTGCTGCTCCGCGAGGGTTTTGGCCTGACTTTGGGCGCGACAATGACCTCGGCGTCAGGCGCAATCTTGGCAAACGCGGTCTGCGCGGACTGGGCTGGCTCGAGAGACAGTATTTTTATATTAGCCGTTGAAGTAGGCGACAGATGAAGTGTCAACGGATGCGGGCTTGACTTGATTCCGGACGGCGGAGTATAGGCGGGATTCGGCAGAGCCCGAATCTGAGACAGGAGGTTGAGCTCCAGAAATGTGGCATGCAGCTCGATGATCTCCCAGTCATCGGCGGTCAGGGGCTCGATATTTACTGTATGCGCCAGTGGAGGGTCCGTATGGATGGTCGTCATGACCTTCTGGCCTTCGTGCAGCCCCAGGGTGTTCGCCAGAGTCGGATCAAGTTCGACGAGGGGAACATCCTGCTCCCGCAAGCCCGAGCCACCCAGCCCATCTCTTCCGACTATCGAAGCTATCTTCTTCTTGCTGGGCATGCCAGTCCAGCCGAGGTAGACGGACTTCTGGGCCGAAGGGGCGGGGGACTTGTCGGCAGGGGACGCATCTCGGTAGCTGAGCTCAACGATGACATTCTGTACGGGCTAGCGGGTATTGTTAGCGAGGTCTCTTGACGCAATGGACACATGCGGAGGAGTATGCTCACAGTGTTCACAGTCACCAGTAGTGAGACCAGGGAAGCCGGAAGGTTGACCAAGCAGTTCTTGAGATGGACCAGCGAGATCTCTGCGGCCGTGGCCTTGCGCTGAGACATGGTGGAAGGCAGATGTCTTGGGCGCAATCAATTAGAAGCTCTCAGTTCCAAATTGATGTCATGATCTCATGAGAAGAGTGCAGGGAGAGTCCGGTCTAACTTTACTTTCCGAGGGAAGCAGCTGGGAAGTTGAGCATGCGCAGCTCAAGCAGGCCGTTCCGGTTACGGTTGCGGGATGAGATCCCGGAACTGCGATTGCGATTGCCATGTGCCTCGGTTGATGGGCAACTACCCTGCACCCCCGGGAGAGCTCGGACCACTGCCGTTGGTTGTGCAAGGGTTATGTCCAGATTCAAAGAGGGTACTTGGAGTGACTGTCATTTCATTTGCAATGAAGGCTTGCGGTGCCCGCATTTGCAAACAGACCATCGAAAAGTCTGTGTGGTCCTGTCCTGCCCCCAAACCCTGCACCTGAACGCGTCCCGTTACGCGCCGGGCAGAGCTAGCTGTTTGGACGCGACGCGCCTGGAGGCTGGAAAATCAATTTGGACCCCTGCTTCCCAATTCTTCCCTCAATTGGCATCACCTCTGCTCCGTCTCAGACAGTGACGGATTCGCGACTCAATCTGCCCCTCCAACACCTCATCCACGACCTTGACTTTCCCAAACATAGCCGAGATACCCCAACAGTCAGGTCATCGATACCCTCACGTTTACTCTCTCACTACCACCCGCAAAGATGGCGCTTCTTCAGTGGAAGGCGCCCGTGGACTACGAGGCGCAATTGTGTACGTGCAACTCTCTGCCCAGATTGTTGTCGCGTCATCAACATCGTGATGCAGAAAAATATGCACCAGACTAACAGATATCGTGCGTGGCCAGCTACGTTCAAGACCTTCCTCCAGGACTTCAAGGCGTCCCCGGCAGACTCCATCACCCATGCCCTCGGAGGAATGAACATCGAGGAGGAAGATCTTGACGACGAGTATGACTTTATGGATGAGGACAACGAAGACGACGAACGCCGGCGCCAGGAGAGGGCCAACCGCAAGAAGCCCTACCACAAATACAAGGATCTGATGCAACAACTGGCAAATCGCGACATCGACGAGGTCCTGATCGAGCTCGACGACATTGCTCAGGTATGCACAGCACTAACAAGTATGTACGGCCGTATGTGCTGACTCTGTGATAGTGGGAGTCAGAAATGGGCGAGGACGTCTCGGCATTGAAACTCGTCAAATCCATCGAGGAGAACACCAAACACTATGTCGAAATCCTGTCAAAAGCCATAGACGACTGCATGCCAAATCCCACCTCAGAAGTCACGTATGTATCCCTTTTCGCTCGGAACGAGAGATATCAAGTCTTCATATTGACCCGAGCACAGCTTCAAGGATGACGTCTTGGATGTTTTGATGGCACGCCGACAAGCCCGGAACCAGGAGATCGCTGAAGGTGCCGAGGCCATGGGCGACCCTACCCTGTTGCAGGACAAGTTCCCGGCAGAGCTCACCAGGCGCTACACCCTCGTCTTCAAGCCTCGCTCCTCCACCCAAGAGCACCCAGTGAAGTCGCTTTCCGTCCGGCAGGTAAGGGGTGACCACCTCGGTCACCTGATTACCATCAGGGCCATCGCTACTAGGGTGTCGGACGTGAAACCCTTGGTTCAAGTTACAGCCTACTCTTGTGACAGGTGTGGCTGCGAGATCTTCCAGCCAGTCACTGCCAGGCAATTTGGACCACTCACCATGTGTCCCTCTGCAGACTGCAAGGCCAACCAGACCAAAGGCCAACTCCAGCCATCTTCCCGAGCATCCAAATTCTTGCCATTCCAGGAGGTCAAGGTGCAGGAACTTCCTGAGCAGGTGCCCATCGGCCAAATCCCTCGATCCCTGACAGTCTCGGCTTACGGAACCGCCGTTCGCAAAATCTCTCCTGGCGATGTTGTGGATATCTCCGGCATCTTCCTGCCGACCCCGTACACTGGCTTCAAGGCCATGCGCGCAGGCCTCTTGACTGACACTTACCTCGAGGCACACCACATCGTTCAGCACAAGAAGGCCTACGAGGATATGAAGGTCGACCCGAGCCTGGCACGAAGAATCGACCAGTACAGACGATCAGGGCAGGTCTACGAATATCTCGCCAAGTCCATTGCCCCAGAGATCTATGGTCATCTCGACGTCAAGAAGGCCCTCCTACTCCTCCTCGTTGGAGGTGTGTCAAAGGAGATGGGCGACGGCATGAAGATCCGTGGTGACATCAACATCTGCCTTATGGGTGATCCTGGTGTGGCCAAGTCTCAGCTGCTCAAATATATCTCCAAGGTGGCTCCCCGCGGTGTGTACACCTCTGGCCGTGGTAGCAGTGGCGTCGGTCTGACAGCCGCTGTGATGCGGGATCCTGTGACGGATGAGATGGTTCTCGAGGGTGGTGCGCTTGTCCTTGCCGACAACGGTATCTGCTGCATCGACGAATTCGACAAGATGGACGACAACGACCGGACGGCTATCCACGAAGTGATGGAACAGCAGACTATCAGCATCTCCAAAGCTGGCATCTCAACGACCCTGAATGCGCGCACTTCGATCTTGTCCGCGGCCAACCCGCTTTATGGCCGCTACAACCCCAAGCTTTCCCCCGTCGAGAACATCAACCTCCCCGCCGCTCTGCTCTCCCGTTTCGATATCCTGTTCCTGCTGCTTGATAATGCCAACCGTGATAACGACGCGCAGTTGGCCAAGCACGTTGCCTACGTGCACATGCACAACCGACACCCGGACATTGGCACCGAGGACGAGGTCGTCTTCTCACCCGACGAGGTCCGGGCCTACATCTCTTTGGCTCGCAACTACCGCCCTGTAGTCCCGCAGAGCGTATCGGAGTACCTGATCAAGACGTACGTCAAGATGCGCGACGCGCAGAAGAAGGCCGAGAAGCGCGGCAAGCAGTTCGCGCACACGACGCCGCGTACGCTGCTGGGCATCGTCCGGCTGTCGCAGGCGCTGGCGCGGCTGCGGTTCGCGGAGGAGGTCTCGCAGGACGACGTGGACGAGTCGCTGCGGCTGGTGGAGGCCAGCAAGGACAGCCTGCACACGGAGCAGCAGGGCCCCGGCAGGCGGCAGATGAACGCCAGCAGCAGGATCTACAACCTGGTCAAGTCGCTCATGGAGACGGGCCAGTGCCGGCCCGACGACGCCGACGAGGACGAGGACGAGTTCGGCGTCGAGCTGAGCATGCGCAAGGTGCGCGACCGCGTCATCGCCAAGGGCTTCACCGAGGACCAGTGGCTGAACACGCTGGAGGAGTACACAGAGCTCGACGTGAGTTTCCCCAACTCTCCCCCGAGATATCACCTGCAAGCAGAACCCGACTGACATGAGATTCGCTTTAGCTCTGGCAAACTGCTGGAAATGGCTCCCGCCTCGTGTTCATCACGGCGGCGGAGAACGAGAACGAGGACGACGACGAGTAGATGTCCGGCTTTGGAAATGAGTGAGCTGATGTTGGGGTATCGCATTGGTGTATTGATGTTTTGGGTGGCGTTCACGGGTACGGTGTCTTCTCGTCCGATTGTGTATGACTGAATGCATTCCCGCGGCAGATGTGGTTGCACTACGGTGGTAATCTAGACGTGTGGGCTTGGAATGAATTGTTACTGCAGTGAATAAAGAAGAACACATACATCATACGAAGTGAACTATTGCAATGCTGCAGGCATTTCAGCTGAGCTGCTTGACACACATGGTGGCCTTGCGAACGTGCAGATTATCGCATAGCCTTGCCAATGTGCGCACTCGGCCATCAATTTCAATGCCGTCTGATGAAGTTTTATCATCAGGCGTACGTTTCTACTTTATTTGTTGCACACCAGAGCTGGACGGAATATTTGGTCAGAATAGCTCATCTACTCTGTATATCCCACATTGGTACATTTCATTTACGCTGCAAGAGCCGCCATCGAACCACAGAACGACCCCCCTTATCCCCACCCTGACGGACCGCTTCAGATCCTCAAGCTCAACAGCCCGGCCCTCTCCATCTCCCCAATGATGCCGTTGCCGCCCGTCTGCCACTTATCCGTGACCTCGCGCTCGTTGACCACTGCCCTGAGCATCCCGCTGGCGGCCCAGTACTCCATGAGCGCGCGCGCCTCGGGCTTGGTGACGGCGCGGACGTCGAGCACCCGCAGCCCGGTGCCCTCCATGACCTCGTCGGTGCGCGCGTCGTACAGCCTGCTGAAGGGGTCGCGCGGCGGCAGCTCCTCCTCGGGGACGCCCTGCTGCCGGGCCAGCTGGCGCTCGACGGCGAGCTCCATGCTGGGGTTGCGCGCCGAGTTGGAGCGGCACGTGGCGCCGATGACGGCGCCGCCGCTGGGGAGGGCGGTCTTCCCCGAGAGCAGGTCGGTGAACATGCGCACGATGGCAAGGTCGTGCGAGTGGATCGGCTCGAAGGCCGTGCTGCGGTAGTCCGAGACCCTCATGGTGAAGGCGAGCCCGTCCAGGGCGAAGAGCAAGGGGGGCCGTGGGCTCCTCTCGCTCTTGAGTGTGAGCTCGTGCCACAGGGCGGAGAAGACGGGCCAGGCCTGGTCGGGCTCGCGGGCCGACTCGATCAGCGCGTTGAGCGTGGCGCCCTGTGCGACGGGGTTGGTGAATTCCTCGTAGGAGCGGGTGGTGTAGACGCGGTCCAGCACGGCGCGGTTGGCGTTGCGGATGTTCTGCATCAGCTTGAGGGCGTAGACGGACTGCATCCATTGCTGGGGGTTAGTGTCGGGGATGGGCGCGTAGTCGGTGCAGGCGGTGGTCAGGTCCTGGGCTGCAAGGGGAGGTCATTTAGTCAATGATGCGTTCTTCCTTCGTTCAAAAGGACGAGATTGCAAAAATGGCCTTACCTTCAGGGATGTTGATGACAGCCCACTCGTTCAAGAAGGCATTCGCCATGGCCTGTAACAGCACCACGCTCTTTCCTGCGGCCCTCTCGCCTGATATTACCACGCGCAGCGTCTCATTCTTGGCCACCTTCTCCTTCATACCCGCACACAGCTCGACCGTCTCGGGGCGGACCAGGGTGTGCGGGCTGTTGAACAGGCCCCAGGTCTGGCTCGACTTGAAGGCCTCGCTCGCGCGCAGCTGGTCAATTGTCTCCTCGGGGATCTTGAAGACCTTCCCGGCGCTGTCAGAAGCCGCCATGTTTTCCGCGTCCAGTCTCGGGGAGCCATGAACCGGGATGGCGTTGTTGTTGGACAGGACGATGCGCTTGCGCCATGCTTTCCTCTCGCCGGGCAGTGGCGTCTTTCCTCTGACGATCTCCTTGGGCTTCTTGAACTTGGAGAGCTGCATGCGCTTGCCAGTGCGCTGGCCCACACCGCCACCCTTGGTGGCCTGATGATGCGCAGTGGTCGAGAACGAGGCGGCGGGCAATGTCCTGGTCTGCAGTATCCTTTCGTTCGGGGTCGTCGGCACGAGCTGCCTGGTAGTTGTGGGAGCTTGGTTGGCGGCTGTAGAGGGCCGGAGGAGGCACCTCCAACAGCTTTGGGAAGCCATTGTCATGGGTCCGCCAGTCCTCCTCTTGTTGTGAGTGGCCGTATGGACCCTACTGCATGGCCGTGAGGCGGGGATCGAGTGAGATGTCGTCAAGACCGGGTCACCACTGGGCTTGTGTGGGCGGCGGGAACGGGGCCAGCTCGAGCTTGCTTGGCCGGGTCGAAGAATTTCAACCTCAAGCTCGACGCCGGCACGCAGTACCGGAGGGCGCTCGGGCCATACCGCAGCACGCCGGCCAATCATGTCTAGCCTGCTCCACTAAAAAGTTCAGACTTCCCAGGCCAGGAACCAAAAGTCAAAGGCAGAAGGAGAATGCCCATGCGGATCTCCCTTCAACAACCAGGCTTATCTCGGATCATCTCAGGCTCGACGACGAGGAACAAATCAGACAAATACGTGTACATCCTCACGGCCGCAGCGATTCAGATAACAACCGCAGCACCGCACTAACACCCAGCCACAATCACCATGTCTGCAACGGCAAAGCCAAAGCTGCCCGTCACGGTCGACAAGCCCACGCCATACACCTTCGACCTCGGCCTCCTGCTGGCCACAGACCCCAACCCCCTCGAGCTCGACCACGACGACCTCGAGGCCAGCCTCGCCGCCGTGGCGCGCGACGGCGCCCAGGCCCTGGTGAACCAGCTGCTGACGACGTGCCCCATAACCTCGTCCAAGACGGACGGCGTGCTCCTGTCGCTGCCGCCCGCGTCGACGCCCCTCCCGCGCGAGAAGCCCCTCCCGGCCCCCAAGGCCCCGACCAAGTGGGAGCAGTTCGCCGCGCGCAAGGGCATCAAGCCCAAGACCAAGGAGCAGCGCCAGAACCTGCGCTACAACGAGGACAAGGGCGAGTGGGAGAAGAAGTGGGGGTGGAAGGGCCCCAAGGACAGGTCCGACGGCAAGGTCCCGGACGACTGGATCGTCGAGGTCGACACGGCCAAGGAGTCCAAGCTCAAGGAGGGGGAGACGGTGCGCGGGGAGTCGCGCCGCGAGAGGAAGGAGAAGGTGCGCCGGAACGAGAGGAAGATGCGCAGCAACGCCCGTCACTCGGCAAAGTAGGGGAAGCGGCCCCCCCCCCCCGGTCGAGCGGCCATCTGCCGGTCGGGGTATTTCTTTGGGAGGGCGTAGAGGCTCTGCCACTGTTGAGAGAGGCTTGTTTGCTCGCGAGTAGGTGTGAGCGAGGCTTGGTCGGGTTCACATGGATCCATTGCGCTTTTCGGCGCGGCATTGCATGCATGATCACAAGGCGGAGTTTTGGCGTCCAGGTCTGGAAAACGGGAAATCGTTCTGGCGGCGGCTATCTGATATCAAGAGGTATTTGCTTCCCTCTTTTGGCCAGAAACTGAGATAAAATGTCCACCATCGCGCCCGCTTGAGACCGGGCTGAAAAGAAAAACAAGACCTTCATCCATCGCACCAGCGCCCTCCGCCCCCAAAAAAGAAAATACCCAGTGTCAGTCACCGGCCAGCTCTCATTTCACACCAAGCACCCGGGGCAGTCTGGCGATTCGCTGCACGCGGCCCCGGTGTCACTCCAACGCGGAGCGCCGCGCGGCTTCGGGACCACGCAGACATGAACCCAACAAGTAACTCGTCACTCGGGACCTTGGGAGTTGCTCACCGTCGGCGTCTCGCTGCGCCTGCGTGCCTCTCCGTGCACCAACTACGCTAGAACGAGACACGAATTGCACTGCTGAGGACGAGGACGGGCACTTGTTGGATGCCAGCATCCAAGGGAAAGCTTGAGCTGGGTGTCGCATTGTGTTGTGACTGACGGACAGACGGACTTGTGAGGTGGTCCTGGCCCTGATCCTGGTTGGTTGATCGGTTGGTGACGTCGGAGTGTTGTTGGCTGGATAAGGAGGAACAGGCTCATCTCAGAGTGATCTGCACAATCTCACTGTTGTGTTCTTTCAGGGGTTATATTTAGCATCCAGAGAGAGAGAATCACGTCACATTGTCGTCCACTCCCGCAGTCTTCTTTATCGTGACCCACGAGTTCCAACCTGGTCGCACATCCTTCGGCTTCTAAAATAAGTCCAAGTAAATGATGACGTTTCGTTGGTGGTCTCACTGATTACCACGCTCTCCAGCATTCAGGGCGCAGAGCTGCGCCCCTCTTTGCATGTTGATAGCATACGTAGGAAACCTGAACACCAGTCCAGAGAAACAAAATATCGGACAACAGAGAGGACTCGTTCGAGAGCACTTCGAAATTGGATCTTTTTCATTCAGGCCTCCCTCTCCAGCGGGGCCCAGGCCACCGTCTCGAGCCACTATCCTCACAGCCCTAATATACAAATCCTCTTTCCGTACCGTTTCCAACTCCGGTTTTTGAAGACCGTGCCCTCCTTGCATATTAACCCAAACAAGCAGGTTTCAGCCGTCCGTTCCCTGGAGGAGAAGGAGAAGGAGAACGGGCAGAAGCGCTGAAGTGGCCTTCCAACCTGTCCCATTCTCGTCCCTCCCTCCATGTCCTGCTGCCCGTCCAGTCCGCCGCGATGAGGAGATAGTTCGCAGAGCGCAACAAATGGCCCCAGAGTCGCGAGTCGCAATCTTGGTATAAATCGTTCGTGGTGGGCCCTGCGAGCACCCCTCGAAGTTCCATTCATATTCAACGCTTGGTGGGGGGAATAAAGCCGCAGGCAGCAAAGCATGCCTATCCGCGTCAAGAAACATAAAACAAAAGAACAGTAGAAAAAAACAATGCACCTCAACCTTTGCTCTGTGGTGGGAGGTCCCACCAATCCAAATGCCTGTGGGGGGTATACAGAACAACATACATGAAAATAAACACATGCCTCTCAAGGCAGCTCCGATGTAGCCTCTCCGTCGCCCTGCGCGATCAGTCCTCGACCGGCTTGGCGTCGTTTTCCGGGCCAAAAGCTCACGGTCCACGAACAAAGGGAATTCGTCATTGGCGTCTCACGTCATGTAGGGTAGCCACCTGGTGAGGGCGTGCACCCAGCACTCAGGCCTCGTCCTTGCGCCTGAGGGCGAGTAAGAAATATTGAAGCGGCTCTACCGAAAGCATAATCGTAGCGGGCGTTTCTAGAACCCGAGTGGTGACAGAGGTTTGATGGGAGACAGGGGCCGCATATCATTCGATGCTCTTGGTGTTGCACTCTGGCCGTTTGTTGGGGCGTCGGTATAGAGATGAGTGGTCTTGGTAGTTGTACTTCCGTTCTCCTGGTAGGCGCCCTTCTTCTTCAGCCGCGTGCTGTCTCCCCCTTGCTGCGACTTTTTGCTGCTGTCTGAAGAAGAGATGTTGCGGTCCCTGTCTTCTCTTTCCACCGTTGGCGAGGGGCGGCGCTCAGGTCGGGGCTCGGATCGAGGCTCCAGGCGTTTCTTAACGCCTAGGCCTGGAGGCGGCGGCGCATCGAACAACTTGTACTCTTCTTCGATGAACTTGGTCTCGTTCTTGCATCCTTTCCAGCAATCCCTCCAGTCACAAACCAGGAATTTGAAGCAGAAGGCGTCAATCTTCATGCATGGCTGGAAGCAAATGCAGAGGTTGCGGAAGTCCATCTTGTTCTTGTCGGCGTGCGCCAGGAGCAGGCTCAGGTGGCAGGTGATCGCGAACAGCAGGTAGTAGTTGAAAGGAGAAAGGTTCGACAGCTCGTCGATGAGCATCTGAGGCACCTTCTCTGCGCCGGCGCATTCTCGAGCGATTCGGTCTTGTGCCTCCTTTGGGAACAGCTCGTCGGGAAGCTCGCGAAGCCATGCTTTCAGCATCGAACCAATGATGTTGATATCATACAGGTCCTCCTGATTGAACAGGTCCACGTCATAACCTGCACGGGGAAGGTCAGTCAGCCGAAGCCACGCTTTTGCAGCCATTAGTTTCACATGTTAACTCACGCTCATCGAACCGCCTCTGCCATTTCTTTATTTGAGGCCCACTGCCCGGCACCCGGTAAAGACCCTCAACGTCGCAGCCCTTGTAGTTGAGATAGTCGATCGCCCTCCAAGGGAACGCAGGCATCCAGAACTCCGTCTTGTCTCTCGAGTCCTCGAGCCGTTTCGATATCCTGGTCAGGCGTGTCTGCTCGACGAGTGGGAGATTGATGACCTTGATCACGTAATGCTCGTCGTCGACAAGCGGCTCCTTCTCTGTGGTGCTGCCGCTGCGGCCGCCTTTCCCGAAGAGTCCCTTGCCAATTGATTCTGCTACCCTGCCGCCTTCTCTCTTGAGGTTGTTGAAGAACGAAGCCGGGCCGTCCTTTTGCGAGAAATGTTGCTGCGACCGGCTGTGATCCCTCTCCCGATTCGAGTTCCTGCTCGTCGAGGCGTCCCGCGACGGGACACGATCGCCACGGTCGGCGGACTGGTTGCGCGACGATGATGACATGGCTTCCCTATACGAACGGTCGATTGGAGCTGTCGCGGTTTTCGGGGGCGCAGCAATGTGCGCACGCTCCGGTTGTTCGGGTAGAGGGACCTGGTTGTAGGGAGCCTCTTTCAGGTCCTGAGGGCTCGGGGTATGGCGTGGGCTGCGGCCGTCCCTGTCACGTTGTGACTTCGTCCTGCTCAGCAGCGTGAATGGCTTTGGCTTGGAGCCTTTTCTTGATGACGTGGTGGGGGTGTTGTCGGCCTTTTCTTGGGATGAAGCCAGCGAGCTGTCGGACCTGGAGGGTAAAGAGGGGGCGGGTCTCGGGTCAGATTCTACATGGGATGCATCTGCATTGGAGACAAAGGAATCAGCATTGAAAGGGCATTGAATCAGGAGAGAGCCGAGAGGTGGCACTGCAAAGCAAACCGTGTCATGCGTGCCCGATGGCTCGACGCCGGGGATTGTCTGCACTTGAGGGTTAGATGACTGACCTGTTGATTGTTTTGGGCTGTGTTTGGTGGGTGTTGGCTGATCGGTGCTCCTCATCACTGCGTCGCGCCGTGGGTCTAGTGCGGCAGGAGTGGCAGTGGTGGTGGTGTTGGGCTGGCTGTGTGGTGGCAGGGGCGGGCGGTCGGACGACGACTTGGCCGACTTGGTAAAGCTGAAGAAGAAACCCTTCTTGTCGTCGTCGTGGCGAGGGCGCGGGCCGTGGCTCGACTTGAGGCGCCTTCGATCGGGCTGCTGGGGGCGGGCTGCGGTCGAATTGTCGCCGGGCTGGGTGACGGACGAGGTGATGGGTGGGAAGGGGACCGGGTCGTGGAGGGGCTGGGGCTGCTGCTGCTGCTGCTGCTGCTGTAGCTCGGCGATGTGCTGGGGCTTCCTGGGGGTGGAGGCGCCAGCGCTGGGCTTGCTGGTGGTCTGGGGATGTAGGGGCGTGCTAGCGGCGGGCGAGTGTTGCAGTAGAGGATTGGGCTGTAGCTGGATTTGTGGGTTCGAATTGGACAGTGAGTAGAGATTCTTTGGAGAGAAGCGCGAGGTAAATGGAGAGCGAGGAGACCTGGGCGATGACGAGTGGGTGGTTGTTGCAGGAGAGATTCGTGGTGGATGTTGGTCTGTTTCACTAGGACGATCTCGCTGCTGGGTTTGGGGGTGGGTGAGGGTGGTGGCCGTGGAGGTCGCGGTGGTGGTCGCGGTGGCCGAGGTCTTGGACTTGTTAGACGACCTGCTGTCAGCCTGAGCCTGGGTACCTGGACGGCGGCTTCCTGTGTGCTCCTGCTGGTGCTGCTCCCCTTCCTCCTGTCGCTGCTGGTACTGCTGCTGGTACTGCTGCTGCTGATCCTGCTGACCGTACGCCTGCTGCTGCCGCTGAGCCTGAGACTGGGACGGGGACTGGGACTGTGCCTGAGCCTGCTGCAGCACGAGCGGCTGAGGAGGCACGGACTTCTTTCGTCCCATGACGGTGGTGTGAGGTGATGGCCTGGTGCGGTGCGGTGCGGTGCGGTGCAGTGTGCCGTGTGCCGTGTGCCGTGTGCAGCGTGCAGTGTGCGCAGATGCTGCGCGGTCAGTGCTGTGCACACAGTACTGTTCCGTGTTCAATAATAGCGGCCGGTGTGTTGGCGATGGTGCCGGCAACAACCCTCAAACGGATGCTCGGGCGCTCCGTCGGGTGGGTGTTTGATGCTGAGTACGGTGCTGTGCTGGGGGTTAATGCGTTGGACGTTGTACCTTGACCGCGGCGGACGGGCGGCCTGGAGTGCCTGAGGTGCCTGCCCTGCCTGACTGCCTGAACTGCCTGAACTGCCCGTCTGTTGCTTGTCTCGTGTGTGCAGATGGGCGGCCGGGACCAGCGCTCCACTCTTCGCCGCGCAGAGTCGGGATGAAATCAAGTGTCACTTCAGGATCGGCCGTCTCAACCCAGCAAAGCAAGCCTCTGGTTGTCAATTGTGGTCGGTCAGTCCCTGGACTGGAGACGCTGGCACGCACAGCACACCTGGCAGGCCGCAAAGAGCCAGGACCAAGCCAGGAGCCAGGAGCCAGGAACCAGGAGCTTGACCCTTTGGGGGGTGGATGGGGGGCAAATGAGAGGGCGGTCCTGCTGGGTGGCGCATGAATCGAAACAACTCCCCTGCGCCGGGACGAGGCAGCGAGCGGTGCCGATCAAGGGTGTCTGCGGTAACTAACAGTGTGAGAAGTAAGAATGTTCCGTCCTTGCTGCTGCCCTGATGTTTTGGGTTTGAGGCTCGGGCGGCTGGGCCGAGCAGCGTCGATCACAGGCCGATTGACAGACTGACAGGCCGGCGAATTGATTTGGTTGATTGATTGATTGCCTGGGTGGCTGGCTGATTGACTGAATGATTGACTAGTCAGACTGATCAAGCGGTTGATGCTCGGTACCCAGGTTTGAGGTGCGCCTTCTTGCTTGGCCGACCCTGGGAATTGCCTGGATCGGGTCAGATCAGATCAGATCAGATCCTCAGCCGTAAGATGCTCCTCATGGATGTTCGCTCTTCTTTGTTTCCTTTGTATTTTTTTTTTTTTTTTTTTTTTTTTTTTCCCCTTCTTTTCGTCTTGCGCTTCTTGCGACCGAGGGAGGCTCAGCCTGCCCAACTGGTCAACCCGGCGTTATGGATACCCAAGGAGGGGGGAAGTTGGGCTTGAAGAGCGTTGGGTTTGTAGGTCTAGCGGAATTGTCTGGCAGAATTGAAGGACGCACTCGGGCGGAATCTGGTGGGAAGGATGCCCTGAATCTGGAGCTGAAGCCGAAGCCTCAGGTAAGCTGAAGTCGAGGTTCAGATCCGCGTCGGGGAAGTCCAGGCTTGGCCCGACCTTGAATGCTCCAATCAGTCCAGCCTCTTTGCTCACAAACAGTCGACCGGTTTGGAGGAGCCTGGGTGACGTGCGCCAGGCCTGGGGGAGGCTGAGAATTGGAAGGGGTGCTTGGTTCTTCGGACGCCCGCACGAGTTCGCAAGCCTCAGCACGACAGGGAAGATGTTCAGGGGTAAGAGATGACGGGCGACGGGTTACGGACGGCGGGTGACGAGCGGCGACTCGAAGGCTCCGATGCCGAAATGGCGACGGCGGCTGTGGTAGACTAGATTCTCCCCCTTGGAATCCCTTTAACAGGATGTTGCCGCAAGGAGATGAGGAGTTGCTACAAATAACCTCAGATGGACGGTTGAGGTCGTCAAATTAAGATGGTGCCTGGGCCAGTTTCGAAGAACCCCTTGGATGTTGTCATCTCAATTATGGGAACATGGGACGAGCACCACACGAGCGAGCGAGCGAGTTCCAGGGCTTACTATGGGCGGCACGGGGTGGACAGCGAGTACATATGAATGCCAAATGCCCAGAGCAGATATCTAGATGCCCAAGTGGTCTGCCGGCCTTCCGTCTTTCGATCCAACGGGAACATGTTCTGAAACAATGTTCCCAGATGTTCCCAGAAGATGCACGCTGACGGCTGCTTAATTAATCCCATCAGCCTGGGATGGATCAGCTGGAGACGGGGAATTTCCCAGAGATGCGATTTGCGTCCGTGCCAGGGGTGGGCTCTACCATCAGGTACATGCAACGTAGTGGGCTGCAGGGTACGCAAGGTACATGTAGGGGCCTGGCAGGCGGGAAATAATGTCCTCAAAAGAAGCCTCGGGGTTAGCCTGTACCCCGTTGTCAGCACACGACCTGGGCCAGCAACGCGAGTCGAGTCGAGTCGGGCAAACAAGTGCTCAAGCGAGGTCTGTGGTGATCTTGCGGCGGCACCCATATGCGGCATGTTTTGTACACACTCAGCGGTAGTATACTTCAGATTCGACAACAAGGCCATCCTGGGAACCGAATTGTGTTTTTGTTTTGAGAAGCAGCGCTCGTGATCAGTCATATCACCTTGGGCTACAATGCAATCTACCACTCGAGCCCGGCCCAGAACAAGTATCCACGGCAAATGGATCGCCCACCATATAGAGTTCAGCCATAATAGGGCACCTCATCACCGATGGTTGGCGAGTCAAGAAGGTGATGGTAGTTGCACATAGCTCTCACATCTGGGGCCCGGCTGGTCAGGCACGCTCGCACAGGCGGCTCGTGAGGGAAGGACACACAAGCGCGTAGACTACCAGGCACGTACCGCCCTGTACCTTTGACGACACTGGCACATGGGGCCCATTGCCGGCGCCAGCAAGTCATAAATGTCTCGGGCCCTGGCCAGCCGTGTTGTCAAGCGAGCGGTGTGGGTGCTAACTTTCATTTTGCCTCGGCTCCAGGCGAGCCGACGAGGCAGTGGGAACTCGGGGTCGACTTCGGTGGGAATGCTCCGTATACCATCCTATAAACGCTTACCTTCCGAGTTAGACCACGGCAGTCTAGAGGTAGTCTAGAGACATATCTGACATATCTGGGTCATTATTATGTGTGTATGGGTCAGGGGCCCTTGAAAGGCTCAAGCTACATGTTACATCGCGGCACATGACAGACGACGACAACTGCTAAAGGTAAACTGCGAGTGATCGTTCGGATGTTGCCGTTTATGTCTTGGCAGAGCGACGTGCTGGCTCCCCCATGTCTCGCATCGATTGTCATCTCGTCAGGCCGTCGCTCGAAACAAAACCCAAAGAAAATACCCTGTGTGCTACCGAACAACGTGGCCGGGCAGAGACAGACGCCAGCGACGGCCAATTCAAATCGACAAAGAGATTCAAGACTTGGGGCACGGCAGGCCTCGTCTCCTCTCCCCTCTTCTTCTTCCAATGAACAAGAGGGAAGCGCAACCCTCTCGGCCGCCCTTACGTACTCCACACCACCCACCCACCCATTCCACGGGCCGGCACATGCAGTTGGGACATCCGCGATGACCGATCTCATCATCAGCTCGCGGGAAGCGGGAACAGGTGCGGAGTCTCGAAGAGCGAGAGTGAGAAAGAGAGGGGCAGGGGAAAGGGCTGGACTCGCCATCATGCCAGCATGATGCTCGCACCATGCCCAAAGAGGTCTAGACCAGGCACGCTTCAGTCTTGAAACATGGGCAGTCTCCCCCTAGCAGACCAGTCCAAGTATCATCGGGCACCCATCCTTGCCAAAAATAGAGCGGTCAGGGCTCCTCTGTGTGCTTTGTGTGCTGGGCGTGCTCTGCTCTGCGTGCTTGCTGGGTAGAGCTACTGTGTGCGCCGTCACGCCTGCAGCATGGCATGGCTCACAGTGCTCGCGCCTCACCCACCATGCGGGACTGTGAGACGGGGACGCACTCAGACTGCAGTATTGTAGACTTGTGCAAGCCCTGCGACGCCTGGCCCCCAGAAGTCTCTGGATGCCGGTCCTCTTGCCCCTTACAAAAGGACAATTGCTGGGTACCTGGCGGCAGTCGCCTCCACACGCAATTTACATGCCTCAAGTACGTATGCCTGCATGACACGGCGGCCTCTTTTCCAGCGACGCACATTGCCTGCGCCTTCGCGTTTCTCATGGGCTTTACGTTGAGAGGGGAAAATGTTGCCAGATCCAAGCATTCGTGCCGGATTCCCCCAGTGGTCGGTTGATACCGCGGGCACGCTGATCATTGCATGCCTGCAATGCAGGTCAGCCTCGCGGGCGGTTGTGCAAGATGCGGATGCAGACCCAGATGCATGGCTCGCTTGGCTTTGGAGTGTCGATGCTGCTGGGAGCCGGAGTTGAACCTTGTGTGAGCGTGTGTGTGTGTCCCACTGTTTGTGCGGACCAGCCCACAGGCGGAAGTATCATGCGAGCAACTCCACTTCCGCATCGCCTAGGGAGAGCGAGAGGGGACAGGATTCGGAGGGCGAGAGACTGTCCTGCCGTGAGTGTGATGCGTGCTCCAGCAACCCGATGGAGCCCAGGTGTTTTGTTTGCCTATCAAGATACCTAGTCACCCCGGGTTGCCCAGCCGGTTAGACCGCAGGTAGCTACCTAGCAAATGTCACAATTTATTTGATCGTCGATGAGATCCTTTTCGTCTCAGCCCGTGCCTCTGGCCTGGCGAGGGCTCAGATGATCAAGGGTCGACAGGATCTAATCTTCTGGGACCGACTTTGGGTTCGTTGGCCGTGATCCCACAGGTTGTGTGGGGCAGCCCGCAGCGGCAGGTGAGCTTACCTAAAATCTCTCCGACTTGCAACGACATGCGCCGTGACAGGCACCCGGGCACACACGCGAGCAACCACCCCTGGCGACCACATCCCAGTCAGCTAGCCGAGTCCGAAATCAACTCCCCTCTCACAACAGCACCATCATGTCCACAAAGCTGGGCGAGCTCCCGGACGAGCTGCAGCTCGCCGCCGCCAACCACGTGAAATACATCCAGTCTCTCGACACGCGCAAGGACGAGTATGACTACTGGCTGACCGAGCACCTCCGCCTCAACGGCGTCTACTGGGGCCTCGTCGCCCTGCACCTGCTGGGCCGCCCGGACGCCCTCCCGCGCGCAGGCACCATAGACTTTGTGCTCTCGTGCCAGCATGACAGCGGCGGGTTTGGCGCCGCCCCGGGCCACGACGCCCACATGCTCTACACCGTCAGCGCCGTGCAGATCCTCGCCATGGTCGACGCCTTTGACGAGCTCGAGGCGAGGGGGAAGGGCAAGGCCAAGGTGGGCGAGTGTGCGTGTCACAGAGCCCATCCATCCCTAAATTACCGCTCGCTGACACATTCTCACAGTCGTAGCAGGCCTGCAGAACCGTGAGACAGGCACCTTCGCCGGCGACGAGTGGGGCGAGGAGGACACCCGCTTCCTCTACGGCGCCTTCAACGCCCTCTCCCTGCTCGGGCTGCTGCACCTCGTCGACGTCGACAAGGCCGTGGCGCACATCACCGCCTGCGCCAACTTCGACGGCGGCTACGGCGTGAGCCCGGGCGCCGAGTCGCACTCGGGCCAGATCTTCACGTGCGTCGCGGCGCTGGCCATCGCGGGCAAGCTCGGAGCCGACGGCGACAAGAACCATCTCGTCGACGCAGACCGCCTCGGCCGCTGGCTCGCCGAGCGCCAGGTCCCGGGGGGCGGGCTCAACGGCCGCCCGGAGAAGGACGAGGACGTCTGCTACAGCTGGTGGGTCCTCAGCAGCCTGCAGATCATCGGCCGCGCCCACTGGATCGACCGCGCCGCCCTCGTCCGCTTCATCCTGCGCTGCCAGGACCCCGAGGGCGGCGGCATCGCAGACAGGCCCGGCGACATGGTCGACGTATGGCACACGTGCTTCGGCATGACCGGCCTGAGCCTGCTGGGCTTCCCGGGCACGGAGCCTGTCGACCCCGTGTATTGCATGCCGAGGTCGACGATAGAGAGGGTGCTGGGGAAGTAGATGATAGAGCGAATGAAAGCAATTCATACACACACTACACATATCAGACCAAAGTCATTTTCTGACCCAGCATGTTTCCTATCTCTCAATGATGATCTGCGCCATAACTCTCTTGCTGTCTACTAACCTGCCTCGTCTACGTCTCCCTGGGGGGCTAGGATAGAATGCAAGAGAAAAGCAAGCAGAGATCCGTTTACCTAGTTGATCAACTCACCGCTCTCCGTGGGTGCCATCAACCAAGCAGCGGACCTACACGTTTCTGTCGGACTCTGACTCTCATCTCTATGTGGGGAAGGTCAAGTGAGGAAGCTTTTGGAGCGGATTTTGACTGATCACTCGAACACACTGTGGCTGCAAAGGACCGTTCTGGTCTACTGTCCCGGGCACGCAGCCTTGTTCATTGTTGAGCCACTGCAAGCCCCCCTTCTCACAACTCCCACCTCGCTGTTCATGTTCAGGTGAAATGTTTCAATTTTATTAAACGAATGCTCTCCTCGCTCCAAAACGAGTCACCGGCCCACTCTCAAGACAAGGGAGGAACGGGAAAAAAGTAAGGAAAGTTAAGGATGCAATTATCCATGTTGAGCACAAATTGCTCTGGCCCAAAGGTCGGGCTCGGTGCTTGGAGACACGAGATAGGACAAGAAAAAGGCCATTTGCATCGAAGTAGCTCATTACACTTGTTCATTTCTGTGTAAACAAAGCCTTCTTGACCAGTCCATGTCACAAGAACTGGGGCACGCATTCAACATTGGACACGGCACTCTGCATCAAGCGTCTGCCAGAAGGCGACACGAACATGGAACAAGATGACAAAAACATTGACATGCGTAATTTATATCATACAGTAATCTTATCCTCACTTCAGAGCCGTCGCAATTTGGCCGTGTGCTATGATCGTCTCATCGTCCGAACATGGTGGCCGCCCCGACTAGCCTAATCAACCGAACCGCCGACTCGTGGAAAGGATGGTGGAAGATCAGTTCCAATATCTGGGTCTTCTATTTCACCCCACATGCATGCCAAACAAAGAAGGAAAAATATCCGCACTCCATTCGCCGCCTCCCAGACGCGGCCCTCTAGGCACGCCAAGGCGAGTCCATGACAGATGGAATTTTGGGCACGAAGACAGTTGCTTCAGCACGGAGTGTGTTTCTCTCCGGGCTAGGACTTGGAGTCGTCTTCGGCGGACGAATAAGTGTGGTTGCCTTGGGCTTGAAAGAAGCTGCAGACGGATCCAGTGGCTTCGTCAAGCTAGTGGTCTTCCAAGAAGCCTTCCGAGCCGTCGCAGGCAGAAACTCCGGTGCCCTAACAGCTGCCAGTAGAGGAGACGAGTATTTATGCTGGAGATTTTTGGTAACCGGAGGCTGCATCTAAAAACCAAAACCGGTTGGCTGAGGGGCAAAGCCGTTAGGGGCGTAAGCAGGAACACCACCAGCGTTGCCCCCAGGTCCGGCAGTGATCATGAGACGGTTGCCGAGGATGGGTGTGTTGTCCTCGACCTTCTCCTGCTCCTTCTCTTTGGCCTTCCGAGCCTCGTTGTCAGATTTCAGGAGTGCAAGCTCCTTGGTCTGCTGAGCCAGCATGTTGATCATGTAAGGCATGGTGAAGTCGTTCAGGCCGTTGCGCCAAGACAGCTCCAGGATGAGATCTGGGCGAAGGAGATCATAGCAGGCGTACAGCATGCCGACGTAGCACTCGCGGTTGCCAACATCGACGAACTGGGAGAGGTCAGCACAGGTGTTCAAAAATATCACAGGCGGCGCTGGACTTACGTATCGAATTAGATCCTCAACAACCTCAGTCTTGCCGGAAATCGCAGATGTCTCAATAGCATCCTTCCAGAGCTTGTCCTGCTTGGAGAGGGCGATCGACTTCTCCCAGCGCTTGTTCTTGCGGTAGATGCTGGCAGCAATTTGCCGGAAGAAGACAAGGTCATGCTTCTCGAGCCGCGACGCCAATTCGACGGCGTCGTAGTTGTCGTAGTTCTCCACGGAGTCACGTAGTGTCTTGTAGTCCTCTTCCTCGATGAGAAGATCGTTGATAGCGTCGTTGACGGTACGCTTGTTCTGGGTCTGCACATTCAGCAGGAAAGGCTTGATCAAAGGCAGGTTATCAGATTTCTGGAACAAGCGGACGACGCGGTTGACATCGATTCGAGGTGTGAGAGCCTGCAACAGGTCGGTGAGGAGCGAAGGGTGCTGTTCCAGGTAGAAGTTGATCGCCTTGTAGTAGATCTCGAGGTTGGCCACCTTGACAGCCATCTCCTTGAACTGCTGGTGCTCCCATGAGTTCTCTGGGCGCTCCATAACGGCGAGCGCAGCATTGTCATACTCGTCGTAGTGGTAGTAACAGAAGACAAGCTCAGGCCACAAGTTGGCCTCCTCACAGGCGCGGATCATCTTGGGCATGTTCATGCGGCTCCAGAACAGCTTCAGGTGCTCCATGAGTCGCTCAGGATGGTACTTCGACAAAGCAATGCCCAGCTCCGTGAACATACCCATGTGAGCACGCTCCAAACCAAGACCCTGCTCCAACAGATCGATGAGCTCGTCAAAGTAACCGTTGCGCTCATACTGCTTGACGAGGGTCTGCAGCTCTTCAGCATCGACAATCAGGTTGAGACCGCAGATCTTGGCCAGGCGGAACTCCTTCTTGTCGACGCACGCGCCGTGAACTTGCTTCCACACCCGAATGTTGTTGGCCTTGCGAGCGCACTCCACGGCAGCCTGATAGTCTTCGAGGTGGACAAGCGTGGTAGCCAGCTTGGCCCAGTTGGAAATGCTGGTGAAGAAAATCTTCGCGGCCTGATACAGACCTTCCTCGTAAGCCTTGTCACCTGACTCCTCGATGTTGGCAACATTAGTGCCACGCAAAAAGTCCTCCAGCTCGCCGATCTGGTCCAGTCGAGCATAGCAGAAGGCGAGGGCGGTGTCGATCTCCGGCTCGCGAAGGGTCTTGCGAGCCATACGAAGGTACTTGACAAGCTCCTCGTTCTTGCCCGCGTGAACAGCAATCTCGATGACCTCGGAGTAGTTCTTGGGATCCTCAGCCTTGATGTAGGATTCGATGGCGTCGCTAACACGTAGACCATCAAGCTGTGCCTTTGCAACCTTGCTCCAAACATCGGGCAGATCAACGTCATCCGCATATGCTTGAGCACGGTCAATGCTGACAACGTGCTCAACAAGCACGGTCACTGCGCCGACCTTGTCTCCGATCTTCTTGGCAATCTCGAACGCCTCTTCGTACAAGCCCACGTTGATACAGACGCCGGAGATCTCCTCGGCGTCAAAGCCATCCAGCCGCTGAATGTAGTCCATGACACGAGCCTTGTCGGCTTTCGCAGCCGTGAACATGAGCAGGTTTTGCAGGTTCTGGTTGTCGCTGAAAGGCGATGGCTCGAGGACGATCTTCTCCAGGAGCTCAATGAGCTCACCGGGGAGGTCGGCAGCCAGGAAGCAAGCCACAGCCTCAGAGACCTTGGCAGGGTCGGTAGACTCGGGCACTGCAGTCGAGATCACTTGGTCGACGACTGATCGTCGGTGAAGGTTGTTCTCGCTCAGAACGAATGACCACAACTCCTTATCGGCACGGTCGAGCAAGTACCGGGCTTGCGCACGGTACATCGAGTTCTCGTTCGTGATGTTGACGAGCTCGAGGTCGTTCTGGCCTTTGCTGTAGGCAATGTACGCAAGGTTGGGGTCCCGCTTCTCACAGTACTTTCCGACGACGAGGGTGTCATATTGATCATTCTCCTTGAGGAACTTCTCAGGGTTGTTGTTCGAGTCGATGTAGATCTTGGCAAGAGCATTGTAAACCGCCTGCTGCTGGTTGCCTGACGCCAGAGTGGCTTCAAGGAATGGCAGGAGCAGCTTGAGGCGGTTCCGTGACTCGACCTCAGACACGAGGTCATCGATAGGCACCGAGGCTGCGTTGATAGTCGACAGCAGGTTCTTGATAATGTTCTCGTCGCAGTCAACGTCCAAGAGTCCTCCAATAACCGCAGGAGCCCTTCCGGGGTTCACACGCTGCACGTATGTCTCGATAGACTGAAACTGCTGGTTTTGGTACAGATAGAGGATGAGGTCATGAACAAAGTTGTGCCGGTCGCACACAATGATCAATGGCAGCTGCTCTGCAAGCTTCGCCTCCTTCAGGAAGTTCTTGACCTTCTCAGGGTTGTAGTAGTTGCTGTCCCGGCAGATGCGCTCAACTTCATTGAATTGGCCCATCTTTGTTGCTGCCTCAATGTACTTGAAGTGGACATCTGGGTTCTCCGAGAGGTTGACAATGCTGCCTAAGTAGTAGAACAGACCTTCGGCGGTCTTGTACTTCTCGAAGAGGTCGATCAGGCGTTCGGCACCAAGAAGATCCGAGTATTTGGTGGCTACCTGGATGACTGATTGCAAGTTCTGGCGGATGTTGCTCTTCATCATGGCGTCAAGGCAGTCAAGAGACTGCTCGACTGACAACTTGCCGAAGAAATTGACAAGCCAGTCAGGGTTGAAACCTTGTGTGCCTGCGATGTTGACGACGACCCGCTTGACGGCTGCAGGGTCCTCGTAGAGCTCCAAAGCCTTCTGCATCAAGCCAGCCTGCTCGCAAAGCGTCGCGATTCGGGTTTTGTCAAAGTGCGAGAACATGTCGTTGCCAAGAATCGCATCTGCGACCTGAGGTGCGTGCATGAGGTTCATCTCCAAGAGGCGAGTCTGAAGGTGGCCTTGCTCAGGGTTGTTGTCCTTGAGAGCATCGAGCAAGAAAGCAGTGGCCTGTTGGACCATACCCTGGGCCTGGAACACATCTACAACGCGCTCGATATCAACCAGGGACCCTTGAGGCTGGTTGACGAGAGAAGTCGCGAATTCGGCTCCCTTCTCAGGGTTGCTGCGCACAATATGCTGCAGCAAGCTGACCCAGTCTGGCGTGTACCCAGTCTGCTGGACATACGGCAAGATCTTGTCGAACTGACCGGTCTCGGCAAGCCCAGCAACGACCTTGTGGGGGACGTTGGCCTTCAGGTAAATCGTGAGGGCCATGCTAAGGTCATGTGGCCTCACGAGATCACCCAGCTGCTCGGAGCAGTCCAGCTTGTTCTCTTTGAGCCACTTTTCGAGCAGCTGCTTCCTGTTCTGGGCAAGCACGGGCTGCGCAAGCTCAATCGTCTCGTGTTGGTTCAAAGTGCCCTTGTCCAACAGCATACCGAAGTATTGCAGAATGAACGACATTTGCCCAGGTTGCTGCGGGAGTCGCTTGAACTTCTCGATCGTGGCAGGTGTCCGCAAGAAGCCTCGAGGTGAGCTCGCAGCGATCTTAGCAGCGGCCATGTAGTCACCCGAGTTGAAAAGCTGATCAAACTGGCGTCCATAGAGATCATCAGCGCCGGGCAGACCAGCTCGGGATGCCATCTTGATTGCCATCTCGGTATTTGCAGGGTTCTGCAGCAGGTACTGAACGACGTTGGTATCGTCGACAGACACAAACAAGACCTGGCCCTTGCGGTTGATACCCACGATGCCAGATGACTCGCTGTCTCCGCATGATGTGAAGATAGTTTCGCTGGAAATGCGGTTCATGAAGATGCAGGAACCGGTTTCAAGGTCGTAGAGGTGGATGAAGCCATACTTTGTGACGAGGTAGATGACGCCGTATTTCTGGGAGACCTGCATGGCGACAGGGAAGTCGTTGACTGCCTCGGGAGGGAAGAAGACATCCACGGCCTTCTTGGGGAAGACTGGGTTGGTCTCGGCGTGGTCGACCTCGACGATGTGCAGCTTTGCGCCGGCAGCCGTCCGCACGGAGAAGGTGAACAGCTTTGTATCCGCAGGGGCGCCGTCCAATCGAATCGTCCCGAAGCCGGCGGCGTGACCTTCGATTGCCTGGCTGATGCCACGGTCCCGGGAGTAGAGCTGCATCTGGCCAACAACACGACCTTGATCTTGCTTGATACCAACAACCACCATCCACTTGCCGTCACCATTAACGCGATAGTTGATGATTTGGCAGCCCTGTTAAGCTTGTTAGCAGAGGCCGGGTACAGCGACATGCGGGCTGTTGCTCACAGTCAAGTTGGCATGTCGGTCCGTGATCTTCTCTGGCATGTGCTGGTTCTCATCAAACACATCCCAGTGGTAGATGGCGGAGTCCGTGACCAGACCGAGAGAGCTGTCGGTGATCCACTTCCAGAAGACAACGTCCTCGTTCATGGTGGCCGACTTCAGCTTCTTCTTGTTATCCAGGTCGAAGATCTGGACTGTCCGCGATTGGGCCTTGAGTGCGATGATGTTGAGGTGCCAGTGCATGATGGCGCTATCGGCCTTGATTGGTCGTCTCGTCACATTATTGCCGTTCTTGAGGTCGACGATGACAACTTCGGGCGATGCGGCCTCGTTCTTCTTCTCTCGGATGCAGATGTAGTGGTCGGATTCGAGTGTCTAGAAGGTGGTGGGGGCAGTGTTAGCTGCTGCTTCCGCGATGCCAAGCTGGCTGGGTCGGCTTGCGCTGGGGGTCAAGATGGCTTTGGATGGGCAGAAGCAGGGCACAAGTTGGCAAGAACGTACGCATGAGTTGAAACCAATTGCAGCTTGATCCACGCCTATGCTGGTGAGCTGTAGCAGCTCTGTGAATTTGATCGGCAGCGGTGCCATGGTGATGACTTGCGCCGACTTGCGCACAGCAAGTTCAGGTCGGGAAGAGACTCAAAGCTGCGATCAGAAGGAGCTGGATGGAAGGGCGGTATTGGAGGAACCGGAAGATGGCAGACGCAATAGGTAGAGATAGGGGCGAGGAGAGGTAAGGAGGGTATGCGTCAAGTGTCGATTGTTTGTTTCGTGGCCAGCTTCCTGCCAGTAGGGGCAGAAAGAAAGGGGTGGAATCAAGGTATTAAAGGACAGCCAGCCCACGAAGGAAAAGGAACAAAGTTGGAGGGCTCTGGATCCTGATATGGCCTCGCCTTTGATGGCAATCAGAAGGCGGTTGTCGTGGTCTCGTGCAGGGTGAGAGTGAGGGTAAGGGCGATGGGTAAGGTGAGGTTGGCAGGTAAAGTGGCAGGCTGGATCGAGTTTCGCCAATTCATCAATTTGGCGACCTGTTCGGACAGGAGCCTGACGCAGCTCACTGGCGGACTGCGCGCACGAGCCATCCAGCCAGACCAGACCAGCTCGACCCCTACCTCCCAACCTTGAGGTACCTAAGTCCCGGAGACAAAACGGCGCTAGGCCCAGAACGGAACACCAGGAGCTCTCTCCACGTATCCTCAGCTTGTGACAGTTAGGTAAGCAGGTTTTGCGCTGACGATCCCAATCACTTGAATCTCGCATCTGAGCAGACTTGGTGGATTTGGTGTTCGACAATCTGGATGCGATGTCGAGGAGTGGTGTGCGTCAGAGATGGCCTGCGCTCGTACCCGTACACATTCGAATTTGCAATGCTTATGAGCCGCACTGTGGACAAACACCTAGATGCCTCACCCCATGAGTTTGCAAAAGTAACCGTGGTAGATCTGACTTTGTTCTTCTAGGCTGCTTGCATGTAGTGCTGTAGCTGCTACGTAGTCTCTCAAGACTGCCTTGAGGAGCGATCTGATTGCTCCCGTGGACTGAGCCTCGTCTATGGCCAAGAGTTGGCCTGCGGGACGCTCCGGTAAAGTCTCGGATCCTTCACCGGCTGCTTGAAACCAGTGATCAGTCGGACCACCTCAGATTCGCGGGTCGACCCGCCTGTCCAGGACACATGCTGAAAGCCGCTCTCTCGCAAGCACTTGTCCCAGAATTCAGGTCGAGCGAGCACGTAGTCACGCCCATCATCAAATCGCCACCAGCCCTCCAGTAGCCCAAAGACCAGGTCAAACCAGAACATGCGAGACGTAAATTCCACGAGAGCGACGAACCCGTGGGGACGGAGGAGCTTGTTGATGTTCTTGAGGAAATTGGCAGGTTCCTGGTGGCGTGGATGCAGTTCGTCGAAAGCACCACATCAAATTGTCCATGATACTGTGTTGGTGGCTCCAGCTCAATGTTGATCGTGGAATACTTCATTCAGTCGTACTTCTGGAATTTGTGCTTCGCTGCTGACACCAGAGAGGACGAGATGTCTGTGAATGTATACTCGATCCGCACGCCTTGTTGGACCAGCCGGTCCACAACCCGGTGGGTTGTTGAGCCTGTACCAGCGCCCAACTCGATTATTCGGAACACTCCATCTCCAACGGGTCGCGTATTGCCCAATGCCTTCGCGAGGAAAATCGTTAGCAATTGTGACATAATCACGTACATTGGGCTAGTGCTGTAGACATCTTCGAGAGTGTCGCGGTTGGCTTTTGTTCCGGATATGAGCTTGAGAGGGTCAAGTGAACCGATGAGAAGCTTTGCGAGGTTGGATCCACATATATCGAGCAATTTGTGCTCTTTTGCGTGGTGGGGAAAGTCGCTGCCTATTTGCTTGAACAGGGCATTCGAGTGTGTCGGGTGAATGGATGTCTCTGAACGGACATAACTCTTCCCGTCATAGTCTGCCAGTCCGCCGTCCCTGAGGATCTCATAGAGTACCTCTCGAAGTTGGTGATGCCTAGGCAAGACATCCAGGAGTGGAATGGTGTCGCCAGGCGTCAGTGTGCCCAGACGGACACCAAGCTCCGCAAATGCCTCTACGGTGTATGTCAGGACAAGGCTGGCATTCTTCTGGTACAATTCATCGAAGAAGTGCTTGAAATCGTACTTGGCTGCTAGCTTGTCGAATTCGGGCTTGATGCTTTCGAAGTCATCCGGGGCTTCAATAAAAGGCGATACACTCTCCGCATTGGCCGAGCTGCTGTCGAGGTTTCCAGAGGAGACTGACTTAGAGTGTCTCTTGGTAGAGTCTGTGCTGATCTCATCTGAGCACGATAACGAAGAGAACGGTGAAGATGTCGCTTGGCTGGAGCAGTTATGACCAATAGCTTGCTCGAGCTTGTCACAGAGATCGCCATACTTGCTTCTTGGGGTCAGATACAGATCAATGGTGACGTCAAATATTGCCTCAATGTCACTGATGACTTCCATCCAGAGGAGCGAGTCTAGGCCCTTGTCTGCAAGATCCGTTGAGGCGTGGAATTCCGTCGCTGAGCACTCAAGGTGAGTGCTCAAGATTCTGGCTAGTTGCGAAGCCGCGTCTCCAGTTCTTCCTGAGAATTCTGTTGGAGATTTAGGTGAAAGAGGCTGACTTCTGGGACTTGACGTAGTTATTGCTATGACCTCAATGTCCTCCAGGTGAGGTGAAAGTGCAAACTCATCAGCAGGCTCGCGAGACGAGTTCGCACCGCCGTGCCTGTAGAGGTAATCAACTACAGAGTCAACATTAAGGAGGCTTTGTATAGTGTCTTGGGGTATCGATATGCCAAAAGCTGAATCAATCTCAGACGCGACCTCCATCATCAGCAAGGAATCGATGCCGAGCTCGGCCAGGCCGGATTTTCCGGCAAGTTCTCCGGGAGCTACATCGATCATCTCGCTGAGCCGACTTAGAATCTTTTTTTCCATCTGTTCTCTTTGGTGACATGCACTATTTGTCGCCTTCGGTGATGTGGAGGTGGACTCGGACGGTGAAAACGCTTCAGTGGATCTAGTGTGCACTCCACGAGACTCCATTGACGACTTCAGCGTAATCTTCCTACCTGCAGTTTGTTCCGTGCCGTTGAAGAAAGGGATTGGGTCAGGAGCAGCAAATGTTTTGTCGCCAACTTGCCCTGCCTATGACAAGGAATCTGTCTTAGGAGCCAAAATGCGCTGCTCTTCTCGTGAGAGAGTCTTTGCAAACAAGGCCATTGGAATTCTCTCGTATTTCGCTCCCAATGCCACAAACACAAGGTTTCCAGTGTTATTATCTGCGGGAAAAATGTCAAAAGTGTGCTGGTGGTTGCTGTCCGTGGGTGCGCAAGTGGCAAAGACATCCCAACTGCTGCTGCGAAGGAAGTGTGAGGATAACTGCAGGCTCTGTAATTGAACGCAAACGAAGGCTTCCCTGGGCGGGCAGGACGCCATGCAGTTAAGATAGAGGCCAGGTACCTGCAGGAAATTGTCGAGCGCCACAGGATTGGTCAGTAGGCCATGGAGCAATGCTGGCTGTTGGTCTTTCAAGACAACTTGCGCAACGATGGTATCTTCAAGGGCAGATACTCTGCGGATCCCACGGTAGAAATCATGGTATGCCACAACCCTAGAAAACATGTTGTACACTGAGTTCCCCTGAATCGCTTCACTATGCTCATGCGATATGAGACTTTCGAATCGGCTGTGCTGCAGAACCCTGCGGAATCGTTTTAATTCGTCGGCGACAACTTTTTCATGCGATAAAATGATCTCAATCTCACCATACGCATGCTTCGTAGTCCGCTGGGTGCTTTATAAATTTCTTTTGCCGGCATGAAATTCGAAATGCCACCTGAGGCCTGCCTGGTCAGATTGTGACACCTTGAGCGGGACGTCCTCGTTGTGATTCAGCCCCAATGGTGAGACGATCTCAAGCCTACTGAAGCGAGAAAAGGCGACTGGTGGCATCTTTCTGTCCTCGGCGAGACACTTGGCTGCGCGCTGAGCGAGTTCAACGTACAACGACGCGGGACATACTGGCTGCTCTAGGACTGCGTGGCCCAGGACCAGTGTCTTCCACTGACCACATCGTGTATCGATGGTGAAGACGGCGTGTCGTTTGTGTGCGTCCTCAAACCCAGAGAAAGCTATCAGCACTGGATCAGGCTTGTTGCAAGACGCTCGATCAACCGATGGGCTTTCCGGCACATTTTGTTGAGACGCGAGGTTGAAGTCGAGCCAGTGGTCCCTTTTCTCAAATTTATATGGTGGCAAGTTGATATGATTGTAGCTCTGTCGTTGAGCCCGGTGGAAGGGCCAGAACTGGACGCTGTGACCGCGCTTCCACAAGCTCGCCGTCGTATCTGCCAATGTATCCATCGCGTCGTCTCGACTAAGATCCACAGGGTAGTAGAAGTGTCCTTTGTGATCCCTGTCGGTGAGTCCTCTGCGGACCATAGAGGTTACGGAAGAATCCGAACCAGCTTCTAACCAAGTGCACGTTCCATAACGCGCCTCGACACGCTTGACGGCCTCCCCGAAGTAGACTGGATCTCTGGTATGGCTCGCAATATGTTTGGCCGTGATCTCACTCCAACTCTCAAATCTCGAGCAAGTTTCGAGGGGGATCTTCGGTTGATTGAATGTGAGGCTGGAGGCCAGCTTTTCCAAGTCAACGTGAATCGAGCCGCAGAATCGTGAGTGGAATCCATGTGTCACATCGAGGACCTTGTACTTGATTGATGCGGTGCTCTTGATCACATCAATCAATGTGTTGACTTCAGACACTGATCCGACCAAGACATGGCTACTGGGACCGTTATAGCACGCCACCTCAAGACGCGACGATGGGTCTGTCCTTTTCACCGATGACAGTAGTCTCGTGATGATTCCCAAGTCAGCATTTAAAGCAATCATTAACCCTCTCTCCGGACCCCAGCCATCCCGCATAAGGACAGCCCGACCGTAGACGAATCTCAGCCCGTCGACGAGCGAAAGCACACCCGCTACTGTCAATGCGACAAGCTGGCCGAATAAGTGGCCGATCACACACTGCACATCCAGGCCACAGTCAATCCATGCCCGCGCACAGGCGTATTGCAAAGAGAATTGTTTTGTCTGGAACGACACAATATCATCTGTTGGCGTAGAGTCGAACAGGCCCGGGTACAACCCTTTCTCGTATCCGAATTGTACAAGAGCATCGTTGCACTGGTCAAGATATTTTTGCAAAAGAGCTGATGAATGGTAGGCGTTGCGACTGAGTGCTAGTTGGCGACTCGACTGGCCGCCAAAGACCAAGACCAAATCTAGTGGTTTTGGTCTGGAATTGACATTATTTGTTTGATCAGGAAGAGTAGCGTGATGTGATTCTGTAATGAGGAGCTCTTGGTCCAATTCTGTGATACTGGAAACGGTCGTCGCGAAAATGTGAGGCAGAGATCTGTTTTGTCTGTCGCAAATGTTGAACGCGGTGTCTGCCAGAGTGAGAGCTTCTGTGGATTGCATTATCATTGGCAATAATTGTCGCAACTTGGCGCAGTTCTCGCTGAAACTCTTGGAGCTATTGGCGGTTACCACGACTGGGCATTTTGACAGTAGATTTCTCTTTGGGATTTGGTCCTCTGATCGCGAGAGATCAGGCCCTCTGACCACCATCGCTGCAATGCTACCGGCAGCGCCATAGTTGCTAATACATGCCGTGGGATGAGCAACATGCCAGGCCTCAGTCTGCGTAGGGATCTGAATTTGTCCTTCAATCAAGTTGATCTTTGGGTTAGTAATGTGGTAGTTTGTCTGTCGAAGAATAGCACGCTTTTGCATCATGAGAAGGACTTTGATCAGCCCAGCAACTCCAGAGGCTCCTTCGGTGTGTCCGATATTTCCTTTCAGCGATGCAAAGAATAGAGTTGATTGTCGGTCCCTACTACCGAAGATTTTTTTGATGCCCGCGAATTTTCGAGGATCGCCAATAGGTGTTCCAGTTCCGTGAGCCTCTAGATATGTGACGTCTTGTGCAGAAACTCCTGCTTTCCTCAAGACGCCGTGGTATAGTTCGATCTGCGAGGGACTATGTGGCACCGTGATTGGGACTGTGTTGCTGCTCTGTCTGATGGATGTTGCAAGTATTGTACCAAGGATCGCATCGCCATCGACGACTGCCTGCGAATGTAATTTCAAGACCACTAGTCCAGCACCCTCTCCTGAATTATTATCAGTAAGATGACTTGCGAAAAGAATTTTGATCGAATTCTAGTGGTTTTGGGGGCAGGGTGCGTGTTCAGACGAGGATTGTGGGAAATTCAAATCTTTGAAATCGTTATGTGTGATAGCAGCAATGTAATCGAACGCACCGCGGCAGTATCCATTGGCACTCGCATCAAAAGATTTGGTCACCCCATCCGGACTGAGAAATGAGGCGGCAGCCAAGTTCTGATAGAGATGTGGACTCGAGAAGATGTTCACACCGCCAGCTAGAGCACTAATACAGTCGCCAGCTAGAAGTGCCTTGGAAGCGGCATCGATAGCAACGGCTGAAGAAGAGCAATCCGTGTCAAATGTAATCGAAGGACCAGTAAAGCCAAAGAAATGGCTGATATCGCCGCTGGGAAAAGCTCGCAGCATTCCCGTGGCAGAGAAGGCGTTGGGAGGGTGACTGGCCACATTATCGACATAATCACAGGAGCTAATGCCCACAAAGCAACCGACGTTTGACTCCCTTGGAGTTGAGTTTGGTGTGAAATATCCCGATGATTCTAGCGCCTGGTACGCAACTTCAAGCAGGATCCGTTGTTGAGGGTCCATTGAAGCCGCCTCGCGACCTGACTTGCGGAAAAACCGATTGTCAAAACTGGACACATCCTTCAAGATATTTCCGGTGAAGACAGATTTGCCATTGCTGCGAGGATGGTCATGGTAAGGGAAACGCCCGGTGGCATCCCCCAAGTCCGCCGCCATGGACCGTCCTGCTTCGAGAAGATTCCAGAATTCATCGAGCGAATCCGCGCCTGGGAACCTGCAGGCCATGCCAACAACGGCAATGCCTTGGGCTTTTCTGTCGGTTTGGTCCATTCAAATTCCTGCTCGCGAGAATGCAAATATTTCGCGAATGGCGCTGGTGAGTGTATAACAAGACCAGAGGTGAAGACAAAGTAACGTCCCCGGCCCTAATCCCAGCCGCCCCTTAATTCCGGCCAGCCTATACCTATATATATGCATAAATATATTTATATTTATTTTATATTAACTTTTTAATATTTTTATAAGAATTTTTTTTTAATTATTAAACTTTTTTTAAATATTATTTTCTTTATTATAAAATAATATTTTAAAAATAATTTTATTAATATTTTTATTATTATAAAAAATAAAATATTAATTTAATAAATTTTTAAAATATAATATATTTTTTAAATTATATTATTTAATTATTTTAATAATATTTAAAATTATTATATTATTATTAATTTTTAAAAACTTTTTTTTAATTATTAAAAAATTTTTTTAATTTTATTTATAATTAATTAAAATAATTTAAAATTAATATTAATATAATTTAAAATAAAGATTTTAAAAATTTAATTAACTTTTTTAAATAAAAATTATTTTTTTTTAAAAAAAATTAATTAAAAACTTTTTTTTTTATTATTTTATTTTTAAAATTTAAAAAAATTAATATATAAAAATTATTTATTTTTAATTAATTATTAAAAAAAATATTAAATTTTAATTTAACTTTTTTTAATTATTTATTATTAAATTTATTTAATTAATTTATTATTAAAATATTAATAAAAAAAAATTAATAAAAAGTTATTTAAAAATATTTTTATTTTTAATTATTTAAATAATAACTTTTTATTATAAAAAAACTTTAATTTAAAAATATAAACTTTTTTTATAAAATATATATTTATTATAAATAAATTTTTTAATTTTTTAATTATATTTAAAAAACTTAATATATAATAATAATAATTTTTTATTATTTTTAAAAATTATAATAATTAATAATTTATTATAATAAAAAAAAATAAATAAAAAAAAATAATTATTAAATAGCTTAAAAAAATATTTATTTTTTAAATTATTTTTTTAAATTTTTTTAAGTAATAATTATTAATTATAAATAAATATTATATATATATAATTATTAACTTTATATAAAAATATTTTTTATATTAAATATATATAATTTTTTTTTATATATACTTTTTATATATTATAATTCTTTAATATATTAATATTTTTTTTATTAAAAAATAATATTTTAAAATATTTATATTTAATAAAATAATATAACTTTTTATTAATAATAATAAAGAAAAGATTTTTTTTTATTATTATAAAATATAAAAAAATATTTATAAAATTAAATATATATTTAAAATAAAAAGTAATAAGATTTTAATTAATATTTAAATATAAAATATTTAAAAATTATTATATTTTTAAAAATTATTAAAAATTTAATATAAATTATTAAAATTTAATATAATAAAAAGCTTTATTAAATAATTTTTTATATTTAAAATTTTTTTTTAATAATTAAAATTTATTTTTAAAATTTTTAAATAATTATAAAAAATATATTAATTAATTATTTATTAATATTATAATAAATATTTAAGCTTTATATTATAAATATTTTTTAAAAAGCTTTTTAAAATATATAATAAGAAAAAAATTTAATTAATTATAATTTTATAAAAAAATTAATAATTAAAAATTTAAATTAAAATTAATTAAAAAATTATATAAAAAAAATTTAAATTAATTTAAATATAATTTTTATTAATATTAAAGTTATTTATAAAGCTTAAATAAAAATAAAAAAAATATTAAAAAAAGTAATATTTTTAAAGAATTAAAAATATTAATAAAAAAAAATTATATATTATAATAATAAGTAATTAATATTAAAAAAAAGATATATATAGGTATTAAGGGCGGCTAGGAAGGGGGGGCGGCCAGGATTAGGGCTGAAGACGTTATGGAGCGAGTTCCATCTTAGCTGCTGCAAGCCGCTGCAAGCCGCCTTGGACGTGGGCTGACTAATCATAACCCAACTATCTCTCTTTGATCAACCTGCTCAAACTGTTACAAATTCCGGCCTGCGGAAACATCTGCTGATCAACCCCCAATGGCGCAGCAAATTGTGCATTCAGGCAGTTCAGCATTTCCACTCCGGGTGTAACCTTCACATTGTTCTCAAGTCCAAGAATCTCGGTGCCCATGCCCCAGTGATCTATCAATCTGGTATTGTGGAATTGTGAACGACGGCTAGATCTTGCCAGTGTGGCCCCGTTCCGGACGCGTGGCAAGGAGGAGGGCATTGCATTAAGCTACCTAGGTATTTTACCCCTCAGCCCAAGATGTGACCAATCTTTTCTTTTCTTCTCCTGTGAATTGTCCTAAAAGTGGGCGGCAACCAGCTGCAGATGCATGGATTATCATCCTAATGATACTTCATCACATCCAATCCCATTTGTACTGAGAATGAGGTGATGATCTTGGATAATCACACTACGGTGCGTTATTGGAGATAAGACGTCTGCCTACCTTGCTTATTGATCACTATGTATCACCTTGTACATGTGAGAATGCCCCCACCATAAAGGCCAGGACACATTTCTCATAGCAGCTCCTTAATGATACACGATCACTATAACATCCCCGGCCCCAATCTTAACCGCCCCCTCTTCCCGGCCACCCTTAGTACTTACATATGCTTTTTCTTTAATATTAATTACTTGCTATTATAATATATAATTCCTTTTTTATTAATATTTTTAATTCTTTAAAGGTATTACTTTTTTTTAATATTTTTTTTATTTTTATTTAAGCTTTATAAATAGCTTTAATATTAATAAAAGTTATATTTAAGTTAATTTAAATTTTTTTTTTATAATTTTTTAATTAATTTTAATTTAAACTTTTAATTATTAATTTTTTATTAAAATTATAATTAATTAAGTTTTTTTTTTATTATATATTTTAAAAAAAATTTTAAAAAATATTTATAATATAAAGCTTAAATATTTATTATAATATTAATAAATAATTAATTAATATATTTTTTATAATTATTTAAAAATTTTAAAAATAAATTTTAATTATTAAAAAAAAATTTTAAATATAAAAAATTATTTAATAAAGCTTTTTATTATATTAAATTTTAATAATTTATATTAAATTTAATAATTTTTAAAAATATAATAATTTTTAAATATTTTATATTTAAATATTAATTAAAATCTTATTACTTTTTATTTTAAATATATATTTAATTTTATAAATATTTTTTTTATATTTTATAATAATAAAAAAAAATCTTTTCTTTATTATTATTAATAAAAAGTTATATTATTTTATTAAATATAAATATTTTTAAAATATTATTTTTAATAAAAAAAATATTAATATATTAAAGAATTATAATATATAAAAAGTATATATAAATAAAAAAATTATATATATTTAATATAAAAAATATTTTTATATAAAGTTAATAATTATATATATATAATATTTATTTATAATTAATAATTATTACTTAAAAAAATTTAAAAAAATAATTTAAAAAATAAATATTTTTTTAAGCTATTTAATAATTATTTTTTTTTTATTTTTTTTTTTTATTATAATAAATTATTAATTATTATAATTTTTAAAAAATAATAAAAAATTATTATTATATATTATAGTTTTTTTAAATATAATTAAAAAATTAAAAAATTTATTTATAATAAATATATATTTTATAAAAAAAGTTTATATTTTTTTAATTAAAGTTTTTTTATAATAAAAAGTTATTATTTAAATAATTAAAAATAAAATATTTTTAAATAACTTTTTATTAATTTTTTTTTATTAATATTTTAATAATAATTAATTAAATAAATTTAATAATAAATAATTAAAAAAAGTTAAATTAAAATTTAATATTTTTTTTAATAATTAATTAAAAATAAATAATTTTTATATATTAATTTTTTTAAATTTTAAAATAAAAATAAAAAAAAAAAAAGTTTTTAATTAATTTTTTTAAAAAAAAATATTTTTATTTAAAAAAGTTAATTAAATTTTTAAAATCTTTATTTTAAATTATATTAATATTAATTTTAAATTATTTTAATTAATTATAAATAAAGTTAAAAAAGTTTTTTAATAATTAAAAAAATTTTTAAAAATTAATAATAATATAATAAATTTTAAATATTATTAAAATAATTAAATAATATAATTTAAAAAATATATTATATTTTAAAAACTTATTAAATTAATATTTTATTTTTTATAATAATAAAAATATTAATAAAATTATTTTTAAAATATTATTTTATAATAAAAAAAATAATATTTAAAAAAAGTTTAATAATTAAAAAAAAATTCTTTATAAAAATATTAAAAAGTTAATATAAGGTAGGTATAAATATATTTATGCATATATATAGGTATGGGCTGGCCGGGATTAAGGGGCGGCCAGGATTGGGGTCGGGGACGTTAAGCTCCGACCTAGGAGGCAAACAGTCCTCGTCGTCCTTCACGCATCCATTCACTCACTGTACCTGACTGGAGCAAAGTTCTGAGGATGTGCAATCTTGATTGTCTTGTATTAACGTTAAGATGGCCTTGCCTATATTTCAGACACGGCTTCCCAATGTTGATCACAAGACTCTGTATGTGGGCTGTGATTGGTATTCAAGCGATTATCGTGGATACGTCCGACGAATATCCAGGTGAAGTATATCCACTCGCAGTGCCCATTTGTGACAATCATCTAGGCGCCGACGTTCGCCCCTTTGTCCCCCTCCCGACTGGAGTGAGCCGAACTCACATCCCAATCTCTTGTAACCTGTATGCGGCCTGGTCGTGCTTGGGCTCTTGGGTCATAGACTGTGCCTGCAGGGTACCATTCATCAATATCAAATCATTCGCAATACGTTGAAGGAGTTGTGAGCAAAGTAAATTTACCTCCAATAGTGACGAGTTCCGTTTCAGAGTCTCTTCTCTGATTGTTGTTTTCCTCTGTCCCAGACAGATGGCGGGGGTCTCGCGAATTGTATTTGTACCAGCGTCGACGTCCGCTGCTGCCACCACTGCTCCCAAACCTCCACTTGGGTCCGAATATTCTTTCAAGAGCGGGTCGCATAGTCGGCAAAGACGCGTTGATGATTCCAAGTAGAGGCACGATTGCCGCAATCAGTGCTAACGGCGCGAATGTGTATGTGATGTCGGTGGGGTCGAGCTCGAGCATGTACTTGATTCGAACACATGTGATGCCGATGATACTTGTCGCGGTCAGTTTCATTACGGCGTACTCGTAACAGGTGTGGAATTCATACATGAACCCCAGTCCAAAAATGGCTGTAAGCAAAATCTTTTTGGAGGTCCTGAGCTGCAATGTCCACAGAATAGGCATCGGGAGTAGAATCACGATGATATCTATGATCAGATCTGCTGAAGCCATGGCCGTGTACATCTGCTGCGCGTTAGGTTCAAAGCAATGCAGTTTGGAGCACTCCAGACAACGACAGACAGAAAGTATAGAAGGACAAGACTTATACTGACCATATTGGCGTTCCCACATTTGCCGGGTATCGCCACATCCCACTGCCAGATCGCGGTCAGCCTGACAGATTAGAGCATGAGGCCCGGGAAGTTTCTCACTTACAGCTTTCCTCGGCGGATCGCACAGGAATGCATCAGCCCAGAACGTTCCGATCCAGTACGCAATAACTATGGCCATTGCACCATATACTGCCTTGGCAAAGAGATCCTTTCGAAAGACGACCGAGTAGAAGTGTAAGATAGAGAGTTTTATCAGCGTCACGAGGGTCAACCAATGGAGATCGAGGACATATACAAGCTAGTACCTTGTTAGTCTGAAGGGTGTTGATGAACACAGAGCAATCATCAAGCCCTGTGGCTACTGGTAGAGCTCACCTTGAGGAAGAGTGTAATCATCTCACTTCCCGCTGTTGCTTTAACATATTCCTGGTGGAGTCCCTGGCCACATTTAATAACTGTGGTCATTTCAACGCCATAGCGTGAAGTCATCAAGATCTGCCGATCCAACTGAGTTAATATCCAGAATGAATTCGGGGTTTAACGAAATGGAGACGTACTGCGGCAACCAGAATCAGATAATCGTTTGCTTCCAGCCGCATCTGAAGCAGCACTCTACTCCACAGCCGTAGTCCAATGGACAAAAAGACCAAAACCAGGAGAATGCTTTCGATAACAACCGTTGCCGTCCCGACGGCGTTCTGAGACAGGGAGCCTGCCAGACTGCTCGCTGGCATCTTGTCGACTCAAGAATTCGATTTTGGGCAATCGAATGCATTCGAAGAATTTAAGATCGAAAGGCTCAGGTGAGGCTCACGGGGCACTCGACTGGAGACCATCCGTTGAGGGCAAATCACACATTTTTAGCACGGCCCCTGTTGATGCCCTCAGATTGCTCGATACTTCAGTGGTACATTCAGCTCGTGTCAAGTAACCTTCACTATAACGATCACTTACAAGGCGTAACTTAATATCCGGCAATTTAATGAAAATGATAATTCTAACTAACTGTTCAGTTGAAATTTTGTGTAATAATACTATAATTTATAACACATACTTCTACTTTTATTTATTATAAATAAAATATACGTTCTTAAATGTTTAAATTTATATTTTATAATATGAAAAGTAATGAGATGATTATATATAACTTATAAAGCCATTTTAATAATCTTTACTTTAAAAGACACACAATTTATAACATAAAAAATACATATTATGTCTTATTAAAATAATTCTTTTAAAGTCATAAATTAGCAGGACTAAGCCAGTATGATGGACTCATTAACCCGCGAAGTACCCCTGGCGAGTTGCACGAGTAATGACATATCAAACACTAACTCCTTCTATGCATGTGCCAGTAATCAGGGGTCCGGACGACAAGATATGGTTGCAACAGGGTGGCGGAACTTGCTACCCGCTGCCCAACCCTGCAGACCGGTAACTCGCCTCAACCACACTCTACATGGGCGCGCGCGCCCAGTGCATGAGCCAGGGCAAAGAAGAGGGGTGGGGGGGGGGAAGCAGGAACGAAGATTGCGTACTCATCCGGGCTGTCGTGAGCTGCCTTAGCTGAAATGATAAATGACACTACGACTCCAACCCGGGTCTGCCGCGCGACCCGTGGCCTTTTTTTCGTCTTCACTCCGGTGCTGTGTGACACACCCTTACGGCACTTGTCCATGTTAGAGTAGTCTTACAGACTGCGTCGGGGAACTAAACCTTATTTTCATGATAATATGCAGCCCTCAAACCAGTCCTGTACTTCCCTCCGCCTGCTGGGTGAAGCATCCATGGATAACAGTGTCCCGCGTTCTGTTCGAGTTGCCCAACAGAAGCGTGCTTAGGACGCGACTCGAACGGAGTTACTTGGGCCGCGGAAAGCCCTCTTTCCATCCTCAGGAAGCAGCCGACGGGGGATATCTCCGTGCTTCCCAGGGCCCATGAGGGAAATGCAAGGATGGATCTATTGCCAAGGGGATAATGGCACCCAAGAATTATTCATGTCCTCAATTGTGGAGTGCCACAAAGGCATCCGCATGCACAATGCCAGGGCCGGTGGGCGAGAATGTGAGAAGCCGAGGGAACTGTTCCGCACAAGGAAAGGTCATCCGGCATGCCTCCAGAAACATTGCACCGTTGACGGACACTCGGGGTCGAAGACACCGTCATTTCCGACAGAATCTTCCCACCTGCCGGCGTTGGTGTGAGGGAGACGCAGGGCGACGGCACAGCACGGCATATTTGTCTCGAATGGGAGTTCCAGGACCCTCACTCCCTAGACTCCCCAGCTTCATTGGCCGGTTGAGCAGGTCGGGGTGGATCCTTGAGAGGGGCAACATGCAGCGCAATATGATAAGTAAGACGAGCGATTATTCATCCTTACCACCTTGGGAGCAACTCTGCGAAGAGAATCACAAATGGAACCAATCTACAGGCAGGATATGATGCATGGGAGTTTGCCCTGGATACAATATTCGAAAGCTCCCGTGTCCGTCGCCACGCTTAAACCTCGGGCATGGCATATAACGTGGCGCATAAACTCCCCAAGCCCGAAGACCTGTTTCACGTAATAGATACGAGCGACTCGTAGTGCTGGCGGAAATCCCGAACAAGCAATTTGGGAAGATGAGAATTGGCATACTCCAGGATTGCGAATCCTTCGAGGATTGAGTTTGTGTGGCTGAAACCAGGCCGGATACGCATGCTGAGTCTAGAGGCGAACCAGAAGCTACAAGGGCCATCGCAAGGTGTCTGCCTCAGCTGCCCGAAGCACAATGTTTATCGACGCAGCATACCCATCGATTCCTAAGCTATAGGTGCGTAGAAGCTGAACCTCCGCTTCGGATCGTACTTGTCCTTGAGCGCCAACAACCTATCTTGCCGCCACTGCTCATATCCATATATTTCCTGGTTCGTCTCCGTTCCGAAGGCGTAGTTGACGTACGCGTGGAACTCGTCCTGGCCGGTACCCTCGCGGATGGCATCTCGTATTTCCTGGCCGACCGAAATAGCCTTGGTGTCGAGGGCCCCTCCATCCGGCTCAAAGACCAGGACGGGCGCCACGAGCAGGCGGTCTCCTCGGTAGCTGACCGCGGTCGACTCGTGGGGCACGGACTGTACGCCCTGGAGAGTGTACCCCTCGAACAGGAAGATAGATCCGTTGAGCGCGGGGGTTTCTTGGGTGGCGGTCGCGAAGAGGTTATATGCGTTCTGCAGCGCCGTGACGTTATAGACTTCAAGATCAACCGGGAACCGGAGCCCAGCAGTTCCTGCATCCTGGCAAATAATGTCGTCCAGGCTCATTGCGGTCCAGGTGGGGATGTCGGTGTAGCTGCCGGAGGCGGCGTTGGTAGTTGTGGGCTCGAGTGCATCGAAAGGAGCTGTGTATTGTGAGCTCACAGTTGTGACTCCCTCCTGAAGGATATAGAACATGAGAAGAGGCTTGTTCCGTGTTAGCATGGTCTACTCTGCTCCGCTGGGAGTCCATCTACCGACCTTGTCACTAGTGGTGGGATCGTTGTACAAGAACGCGTAATTGCCGACATCCACCGGCTGACTCCCGTTCATGACGACATTGACATTGTTGTAGACATCAGCGAACTTGTCGCCAGTGAAAACATAGGACTTGTAGGCCCAGTCGGGATATTCGATATCGTAGATCTTCGAGGTGACTGAAGTCACGATGCCGAAGTTGTGACCAGCTCCTTGCATAGCCCACCAGAGGTCAGATGTGTTGTCGATCGTCGTCAAGGTGCCGTCTGCGAGAACAATGTTCATCGAAACGAACTGGTCGGAAACAAGACCGTGGCGCCCCTGAAGCCACCCGTGTCCTCCTCCAAGGCCAGGGCCGAGGATGCTTGTGCACTCACAAGCTCCAGTCACTATATTTGGTCAATGATGATACTTTTCCCTTGTGTATTTAATTTACTCACCTGTCTGCTTTCCTGCCGCCCAAAGAGCTTGGGTGACGTTCGTGGACAATGCACCGCCACCGATGGTGGCAGTCTTTCCATCCTCTGCGATCTCAACGCTCTGGAGCTGGTTCATCCAGATTTCGATTCCGCTCTGCATCCTCCCGACTGTGCTGATGGCCCCATGGCCGCCGTTGGCGGCAAGAAAGGGTAAGTTGAACTCGGCCGCAAATTTTACCTATACGAAGGTAAGCCATTGCACCGAGTGATGAAAGAAGAGAGTCAGAAACACATACGGTCTCTGCAACGTCGCTCTCAGTGCCGGGAACCACAACAACGCTGATAGTGGGAGTCTGGTATGACGACCACCGAGACGTCGCCAAGTCGAAAGCCGCGGTGTCGTTGGGATAGATCACGCTTGCGGCAGCCGAGAGCTTGGGTACCAAAGGTGACAGGTCCAAGTCCAGAATCCCGCGATTGCAGAGCAAACCGCCTATTCTGCTGTCAGGGGACAGATTCTGACAGACAGAAGAGAGCGCCCAGGCGCCCACGGCGACAAGAACCTCCATCTGCAGGCGCCGCAGCGAGAAACTCCGGGATCTACTCATGGTCAGAATATGTTGTCACTGAGGTGCGAGGGTACTGGTTGATAATTGCCGCGCAAACGCAGCGGGGTTTACATATAAACATACCAGGGATGAGGGTGGGCCCGCCAACCTCGAAGGAGTGGGATGATTGCAAATTGCCAGGGGGCGGCGGCGAGCCAGGTCCATATGTGCTAAAGAAGCTTATTGTGGATATCCCGTAAACAGGCGAGCTGAAGGATGATAGGGGCAACAAAAGCCGTTGGTTCAGATTATGATAAGGCGGCATTCCAGCATGCGAGGTTATTTAAAGTTGTTTTATTAGAGATAGCTAAATATATATAATACAAAATATGTAAAATATTAATAAGATTTAAACATAACTTTAAACTTATTAATTAACATTTTACAAATCACAATAATTAAATTTTTAATTTTTTTTTAAAAAAAATTTATCTTTCTTAAAATGGTTTTTTTTTTAAATCTTTGTTCTCACCTGTTTTTATTTGATTTTTGAGTGGCAATGACACTGTGGCATTAATGAATAAATCATGTTTATTTGTATTCTTTAGTTAATTATATCTGGTGCAAAGCCTTACTTTTGAGTTGAGTTCACCTTCACTCTCCTTAATAATCAAGGGCAGAACAGATCCTGAATCGACCTCAAGCATCCCTTTACGGGGTCAAAAGTCTACCTAATGCTGGGAGCGCTGCCTCTACCGGTATCTGCTTGTTGTACACGGCCGATGAGGCCCGCCCAGGCACGCGTATACCACTCTGAGATCTACCTGCGTGTCTTGGCTTTTTCCAGTTGGTCCTTTGGGCCCAATGAGGACGGCAGCATCGCTGTCGCCAGCGGCTCGTGCGACCTTGGCCCTGGTAGCTTGCAGTCTGCTGCTGCCAACAGCCTGTGGCGATGTGGCGCAGTGTCATGCAAGTTTATTCACACTTCGTGTCCTTTCCGTACCCGCTGTCCTTATCCCAGCAAGAGCGCACCAGCCTGAGAATCGGCCTTGTACGGTACCTTGGTCAGTGGTCCCGTCTTGAGGAAGCAGTTCACCCCTCCAAATCTGGCATCTGGTCAGTGTCTCCGAGCTTTATCGTCCTGTCCCCACGGGAGTCACTCTGCTCACTGTGTCAGGTTCGCGCCAAAGGTCAAGCCTTGACATGGACTGTCTGTGTTTTCGTGTTCCGAGTTGTACGTCACACAAGACCCAATGCAATCACTGATGCTCGGCTGCAGCGACTGGGCGATGTTTTCAGACCCTGTCCTAAAGTCCGTGAGGCAGTACACGAGGAAGTTGTCGCCCTGGACCGTGAACTGGGTGTTGTTGATTGCCGGGCAGTTCAAAGGCAAGATGTTGTTCGTCGGGATCGGAAAGACCGACGAAGTGCTGGTCGATGTCGACTTCGACGTCGGGCTTGTTGAAGCTGCAGACGCCGACGCCGACGCTGATGCTGTTGCTGACGAGGCACTGGTGGCTGCTGCGTCGGCTGCGCTACTGGCACCCGTGGTGGCGCTGGCACTGCTACCACTGCTGGAATTACTTGTTCCATTCCTGGCAACCAGGGCACCGACTACTCCTCCAACGACAGCGCCGATGATGACTAGCAGAACCACAGCGGCAATGAGAAGTGCCGTTCGTTTCGGCAGACCACACCAGCGCCGAGGCTGATGCGCCGCGAGTGGTTGCGATTCCTGGTGCGACGCTGGCTTTTCTGGGCTCACGTAGCCTGTTGATTGTCAGAAAACACATACTGCAGGACTGAACACAAGTGGGCGGCTCAAACCTTGAGGGGCTGTCTCTGGCGCGGCATCGTGGTAGCGGTATACCTCTGGCGCGTGAGATGTGTGACCTGATCCGGTCACCTGCAAACCTTCATGGACAGGATATTGACCAGCCATGACTGTGGGACATATTAAGCAGATGCATACAACGGCGGCTTTTTCCTCGCACTCATCATGGGAAGTTTGATGCTTAATAGACGAGGCCTACGCGCGAATCCTGATACTTGCTTCTTTCAGCCAGATCCTGAGCCTCCTGATCCTTCAGCTGGGTGTGCCACGACATCAGCTGGCAGGGTTGACTCAGGGGCTGAGTTGCAATCAACCCAGCGAGGGTTCATTCCCGGCGCGTTGTCGCGCGTCTCATTGGCCTTGCCAGTATGCAGCCTATCATTAGACGGCCGCACCAGCAGGCCGGGCGGGAGGACGCATGGCATGCCTAATGAGGGTCACTCCGTGCCCCTTGGCGTAAGCTGCGCCCTGGTTCTTCATCACCTCGAGCCAGTCAAAACCACTGAGAGGCCTCGATGCTACGGCCTGAGACGGCAGCAAGAACTACCCGAGACTACTGCATGCAACGTCTGGAATACCAAAAAATAGGCTACATGGTGCCGGCTGCTGTCCCGCGACCCAGCGTGTCTCACAGCCAGCTTCGCGCACACCATCCTTGGTATCAAACCTTCAGCGCTGCAACCCTTTCGGCGGATTTTCCGTGCGTGTATAAACCGGCCGAGTCCGCCACTGCCCTGCCGACAGTATAGAGGAGCCAGCGGCTGCCTAAATGTCGACATCACTGCCATGATTGCCAATCCAGCAGCGCACCTGCTTTTTCAGACCTTTTCATCGTGCAGGAGCCAAATCCTTGCTCTGTGCAGTTTTCGACGCCTGCGAACCTCCCATAGCGGGGAAGATTGACAGGTTTGCTGACTGCTGTCAGTTTCGTCGTTCAATGATGGTCTCGGCAGACGTGGCCGCGGCTGATGCCGAGCGTCGAGGCCGACTTGGCAGCCCGGGAGCCGTTCCAAACGACCACCGAAGTTCAAGACCAGGACAACCGGGCCGGCTACTCCAGTTCCCGGGAAAGTATATCTACATCGTGCTTGAACCCGATTACGCCTGGTCTATTGGAAGGCATCTCAAGCCCAGTGCGGTCTGCGCAGCCCCCGCTCAACTTGTTCAAAAGAGGCATCTGGCTGATGAACTTGACTGATCTCCAAAACGGATCCTATGAGCCGTGATAAAGATGGCAGTGTTTGCGTGAGGTTCTTCACGCAGGTAGTTACCCCAGTGCCAACGTCAGCCACTGCAACTGAGCGCCTTTGAGCTTTGACATGGGTGTACACAGGTATTGGTGCGGATCTCCGTTGATGCAGAGGCTCAACGCGCTCTCATTTCAACGCTTCTGTTGTCGTCATATTTTTTTTACACTCGTGATGTAGCCATAGATACAGTGCTTCGGTATCAGACTCGACCTTCTGCTTTCCAAAAGGCTGAGATCGACGATCCTGTCAGAGTGGGGTTCTAGTATACAAGGCATTCTCCACATTGCTCTTATTGTCCGAATCGAAAACATTAAGAAGTTGACGATCCGTCAGTGTAAGCCGACCAATGCGGAAGTAAATATCGCCATGCTCAGCTAAGGGCCTAGTATCTCACTTCAGATGCACACAGGTCATCACTTGATAAACACACTGAAATCTGGTTCTCAGCGGTGCAGAAGCAGGCGTTCATACGATTGTGTGGCGACCTCCTCACCCGAGCGCTGTTCGGCGGTGTTGACGCCCAGGTGACATCGTCCCGGCCGGGGATGCCTGCGGCTGCACAAGCGTCAACCCCTTTCCTTGGTACCATTACCTTGGATTTACTCCCTTGTAGGATGAGTTCAGATTTGTGGTTCTGTCTGGATAGCTTTGTATTAAAAGGTTTCCAGGTGTCCTTTCTGCCCGCAATTCCTCCCTCCAGGATGCAATGTCTTGCTGGGAGTCCCCACCTGATGTTGGTCTGGTGCTCCAAAATTCCTCCTGTTTGACAAAAAAGGCTCTCCAGCCTCGAGGAAATTGTGTTGGCTGTAATTGTCTAGATACTAGCCTTGCACAGTTTCTCATCGTGACAGCCCTGGAGTTGACCAGTCTCCCGTTCATACGTGTCAGGCAATCTCCCTATATTGCTACGGTGCAATCTCGAAATGATGCCACGCCTAGGCCAATGTGTACACATTCATATATAGATAATACACCGGTACAAGGTCACATTGCTACCAACCGCTCGGACTCGCTTGGTTTAAAGTTGCAACCTTCGACTGAGCTAATTTCCGCTAATTCAGCGCGCTTGGGATGCTTGGAGTTACTCCGGACCTTGGTGTTCCCTGTGAATATCGCTGGGGCGACGACGGTTATGTGGGGGCCGCGCCGGGTCTAGAAGTGTTTCAAACTTTAATGTGCAAGATGGTGGTGAGGGCATAGAATCTAAGAATTGTTGATAGACTGTCTGACTCGTACAATCCTCCAAGGCTGCAGACTAGGCTCAAAATTCATGCTTCCCGCCCAGTATCAAAACAAATTCAAAAACTTGGTCTCGAGCAAAGCAGAGACCTCACTGTCTATCGTCACCTTGGCTTTCGTGGCATAGCTGTCTAGAACGGTATGGCAGAGCGACTGTCGAAAGACTGGATATGGAGCTTCATCAGAGAATACCACAGCAGGGAGCGGTTCCTCCGCCGCCCGGGGAGGCTTCTGACACCCGAAACCCCAAGGATGTTCTACATAATGTCAATCTCGCCGTGATGATTGTTGTGTTGTGTCTCACAACGCCGCTATTCGCTTTACGAGTGTATGTCAGATCGATCATTCTACGCAATGTGGGTAGTGAAGAATGTAAGTCACACCCGACCCTACGTTTCCATGGTCAAATGGTGTTGTTGAAAGTGGTCTTGTGTCGCAGTTGGGGAGCGGAGTTTGCTAAATGAAGGTATTGCAATAGGGAGTTGCCTCATTGCATATGTATGGTGAAATCACATTTTCTATCACGTCTTGCCCTTGTGTACTGACAGCCAACAAGGCGTCTTTGCTTTCTTACTGGATTAGCTCGATATACAGTGAGCCCACGCGCAAAACTCCAATCTTATTTCGTTGAGTCTCACATCAAGCAGTGTACCACCATGGGTTGGGTATTCTCGACCTCATTCACGAAAAGCTCTCGGCAATAATAAGCTGACCTTTAAATGAGGCTACCATTTGTGGGACGTATCTCCAGAAGACGTGGCCCAATTCCAAAAAGTGAGTTGAACGAGGCTCGGGTCGGACAGGAGCACTCACAGTCCATCTAGTCTTCGTACGCAGCATCCATCTGCTACAGCATTGCAAGCTTCTCGACCAAGCTGGCTCTGCTCCTCTTGCTAGTTCGTGTTTTCAAGCAATTTCGCAAAACAACTGTGTTTCTCTGGGCGACGATAACCTTTCAGGTCGCATTCTGCATCGCCATCACTGTCGTCAAGATTGTCATTTGCCTGCCGATTCAGGGTGTCTGGGACCTGTCCATACCGTCGAAGTGCCTCGACAGGCAGGCCAGCTTCATTGCCGATACAGCCGTGGCCTCGGTTTCGGACCTCGTCATACTCTTCCCACCCATCATTCTGACGTGGTCCCTCACCTTCTCCACGATGAAGAAGATCAGGATCATGTTGATGCTTGGTGCCGGGGGCCTGGCCACTGCAACAAGCTTCGCCAGGCTGGGACTTCTGCTCCAGAAAAACAGCTTCGATGACGCTACGCTGAACTTCACGAAATTCAATCTTCTGGGGTAACAACCTTCTCATGATTACTTAATATCAAGGGTCTCAGGGCTAAGGCCACGAATTAGACTGACTTTTTGACTTTGGCAACAGTGTCTCGGAGATAAGCATCGGTCTCATCTGCGCCGTGAGTATTCCTCCTCGAAATAGTGTTTCCTAATCCAGGCATTGATCGATTTTCCAACAAGTGTTTACCGTCTCTGAGCATACTCATGGGCAAGTACAGAATGGCGGCAGAACCGCACGCCGATCGATATGTGTTTCCATCGATCCTCAGAAATCCACGGCAGGCGCGCAGGATCCTGACCACAGCCACGGAGTCGGACGAGACAACACGGGAAAAGAGTCGAAATGTTAGAACAAACGTTGTTAGGGAAGAAGTCGGTGAAGAGGCTGGCCATGTGTAGAGATGGAAAGGAGTGTTAGACTACCTAGGTCCTATGGCCAAGTACACATTGTCATCGATTGGCCAACGGATTACAACATGCAGTTTTACTTGTGGTCCACTTCAGCTTGTGTCAACTTGGTAAAAGTTGCTTTTTACACCTGCAGTGATCCATCATGTAAACTGTAAGCTCACATGAATGAGAGTGCCAGTGCTCTTGCATGAACGCAAATGGTCTAGGTCTGAGAAACATAGATGCAAGCCTGTTATCCTTCAACATTTGGTATGAGAAAGGGGCTTTGGATTGCTCCTCTCGAGCTGAGTGTAGCGAGGATTGAATGGGATTCTGAATTCCCCATTAAATCTTCCGAGCCGACTTTCTCTTTCTGGTTGTGATAAAAGCTTGATGATGCTGCTCTGTGACAAGTCACGACAACGTGTTGGTCAGCGCTAGGGGAGAACAAGCAAGCTTTGTGATCATTCGTAATGACTCTTGGTCTCCATTTGAAGACTGCTGATGTATCATTCTTCTTTTTATGTGTAATCTGAGATGTCAGGGTCAACATGAAAATTACGAAGTATTGTCCCTCATCCCTTCATAGATTAGACCACGTTGCCAAACCGTACTGCTGGCTGTTTTGGCAATAAAGACTTATGAAAAGTCCGATTCAAACATTCTCTAGGAATGAGAGTCTGTTCATGGGCTTTCACATACTCAAAACAGCGGAAGTCAAATATTCGGGGCTGCCGTGTTGCCCGTCCCATTTCGCCGAGGTTTACAGGCGCTACCAAGAACCGAGCTTAGCCTCGTTCCGCTCCTTCCCAGGCCTTTCAATCCACGACCAAAAGTCTGTTTGGAATGTTCGAAGTGGGATGTTCGAGTTCCCTGATAGCCCCACGTTGAGGTTGTCAGTCGGTGTTGTTGACGGGTGACCGCGCGGGTCGACGCGCCGTGGCTCACGTAGCAACGCAATCTCCATCGCCTGCGAGCAGTGTCAACGCCGTCACAAACGCATCCGACAGCTTTCATTTTTGCTATTGTTGTTGTTCCAAATACATCCGTAACAGCATCGAGAGCTGTGTTGCCATTAAATCAAACGAAAGAAAATGGCCACGGCAAGGCCTTCCAATGCCACACCTGGCAACCAACACGCCTCGCCCCATGAGACCACCCCCGAACAGCAGGCCAAAATCCGCCTCGTCTTCCAGTCCGAGCTTGGTACTCCCCAAGTCCAGCTCATAAATGTCGAGTCCACCGTACTCTACAACGCACTCTCCACCAAGCGCCACGCCGACGTCGACGCCGAAGACGACGGCTCCTTCCACTCCGAAGTCCTCAAGAACGCGATCGACCTCCTCCAGCGCTTGCACAGATGCGCGCCCCTGTACCTTAAGATGGCAGCGGGCTACAGACAGCGCGTCGCCAACTTCTTCGCAAAGGAGGTCTTCTGCAGGACCTTCTGCAGCGACATCGAGGGCTTCGACAACAAGGACAACCCGCGCGCCTGGATCGACGTGTTCCACTTCTTTCAGGCCATGAAGAAGATCTGGGACGGCAGCCTGCTGGGGGGGCTCAAGGTGTCCGGTCGGGACGTTGCGGCGGTTGGCTTCGACGCGCGCGACGAGGTCGCCAAGTCCGAGACCCGCACCAGGAAGGGCGCCGTGTTGTGGGCACTCATGGGCCTTGCGTCCAAGGACATCGATAGATACGGGAGCGCGGAGCACGAGACCTGGTGCGTCGAAGCGGCTGTCAGGGTCGGGATGTGGCGCGAAAGGCTCAAGGAGGACAAGGACTCACTGTTCCGCCTGCCTGTTGAGGATGGCTGGGGCAGCCACTCCGACGACGTCCTTCCTGAGCGCGACGATGGTAAGCACATCCCAGACCATGCCATGTTGGTATGGAATGGAACTGACAAAGAGTCGATAGATGCAATGAAACTTTTCGAGGAGCTGGAAACGAAACTCCGCGCTTTCTACTTGAAGTGTAAAGAGAAGATGCCCGAGCAGGCCATAGTTCTCCCCGAAATACCCAAGGAGCTTCCCGCCAGGGCGGTTACCCCCGAGGCCGACCAAGAGGATGACAATCGTGACCAGCAAGGCCCTGAGGAAATAACCCAACGCGATGGTACAGGTGAGGAGATGACTTTCGAGACGAGTATTCCACACCATATCTGGCAAGTTCTTTTCCCGGAGAAAAACCCCCAAGAGGGCCTCGTGCCGAAGAGTTCCATCACGCATCACACGGATTTAGAGAACGAAGTACCGAGCAAGAATGTCCCACAGAAGAACGGACACAACCAGAAGACTTTCACCCTCTTTACTCATGAACATCCCACGCTACAGAAAATCATCACCAAGGACCCAAAGGAGTCCATCAGGCCTGTAGACCACTCGGGGAAAGCACTCGAGCGAGCCATGGAACGCATCTACAGTGTGCTCCGCGCCAACGGCCTGGAGCCTGCTTAGGACTCAGACGATTCACATTGGGGATAGATGTACCAATACCACGCATGATGGCTAGATGAGTACACGTATGGTGATGGCGAGCGATGGACTTGTTGTATATCAGGATGGGGAGGAAGATGCTTGTCCGTTGGGTTCAAGGCAGGAGGAATGGATAGATGTCCCAGATAGTCACTTTGAGTACTCATACGGCCGTGGCCTATCCGCACAAAAAAGTAACAGGAAGAAAGTCCATGTGAGCGTATTTGTGTCATCATCATTTCCATTTGCACATCGCTATCAAACTCAAAGAAAAAAAAGGTGTCAAGTCGTATGCCTCCTTCCACCATGCCCGTTCGAGCGGAACGGCAATGTGAGGAGAGGCCCAAGTTTCGGAAAACGCTCACTAATGGAGTCCCATAGTCACCGGGATCTCATGCCCATATCATTCAAACCTCCGTGGCCCAGTTACTCGCTCCCAACCCCTAGTGGAGGATCGCTAACCTCCACCCTGAGGGCAATAATAGTCAAACACCTGTATCTTCACAACAGTCACCCATGCAACAGGGACCAGACAGCCAGCCTCAGCAAAAGAACCGACCCTCCCATGCAATAACCCCACTCCAAGGCCCGACTGTAGAGCACACACCACTCAGTCCGAGGCCCTCCTGGCGTCCTGGTAGACCTCCCACCGCCTCCGGTCCTGGTGGAAGTCCAGCACCAGATCGACCAGCGACTCAGCGTCCTTCTCGAGGGCGGCGAGCTCCGCCCGGCTGCTGTGCACCGTGCCGCCGTGGCCCCTCGGCCGCCGGTACGCAGCGAACACGATGCCCCTGCTGACGCGGGCCGGCGGCGCCCCCGCACCACCCGCGCCCCGCGCCGACGCGCCATTCCTCGCCCGGCCCGCGACAGACCCCCACCGCCGAGCTGAACGACTGCCGCACAGACACGGCGCCCTCCGTCTGCGTCGCCAGCCGGGATGCGGTTGCGGCGCTGCTGGTGGTGGTGCTGCTGCTGCCGCCTGGTGCGGACGCCCGGCGCGGCGAGACCTCGTCCGTCGACGTGTAGTACGAGCGGGCGTATCCCCGCGCGAACTCGTTCTCCTTGGCGTCCGTCTTGCGGTACTCGATCCAGCCGTCGTTGCCCTCGCGCAGGATCTTCCTGTGCGCCCTGGCGCCGGGGCGGAACGGCCCGTCCAGCGTGTTGAGCCCGTAGGCGGCGAGCAGGCGGCCGGCTACCGCGGCGCGGGGCCGCGGGCTGCCGAGGATGCCTGCGGATTCGGGGCAGCAGTCGGTGATGTGGAAGTCGCCACTGCCGGTGCTGCCTGTGTCGGACGGGGCCTGGAGGGAGTGGCGGGGCGTCGAGTTCTTGGTGGTTGGGCAGTCGGACGTCGGGGAGTAGAGGATGGATGGCGGTTTTGAGAAGGAGCTTGTTGGGGATGAGAGGGCTGAGCTGGGGATCGAGGGGTGGTTCGAGGGCTCGCTGGGCCGGTGGAGGTGGCCCATCTCTTTTGGCCAGAAGTTGATGACGTATAGGAAGTCGAAGTCGTATTTCTTGGCGATCCGAGCCGCTTGGAAGGCTGCGACCTCGTCCGGCGCGAGCGGCGCCAGCATGTTGCTGCCTCGTCTGCTAGGAGAGAATGCCGGAGACCGCACGCTTGGAGGCAGGACGGGCGGGGGCGGTGGCAGCCTGAGGGGTGGATTCGATGGCACTCTTGTCCGGACTTCAGCCAGGTCATCAGCCGTCAGGGCGAGGAAGTCCTGGACTCTGGGTTCTTGGAACACAGACCCTGACTCTGGGCTGACTGTGACCTGGGGATCATGTACGTATGAGTCTCTCCAGTCGTCATCCAGCAGTGCAGTGCTGGAGATGGTGGCGAGTGTAGTTCTTCTGGACGGGACCGTGTACACCGACTCACGTCTGAGATCGCTGCTTGTTTTTGGTTCACTCAATATGGAATCACGCTGTGGTATCATATCAGGGGAAGGCTCTGGTGTGAACGGGCTGAGAATGGCGGGTGGCAATCGTCCACGTGTGCTGGAGGGCGGTGAGGGAAAGTTGAACTCATCCTGGTCCGAGGCCGGAGGCGTCTCGACCTTCACTGCTGGATAGATAGGTAATGCTTCAAGGAGACGCCGTTGAGCTACCTTTTGGTCTTCTGAGGTTGACGAGATGTCTGCTGATGGGGATAGGGGGGAGTGGCACGGGGGTTTGTCGGTGCTTGTCGTCCCACCAGGGAGCTGCAGTTGGATCAGCCCACCCGGCTTCCTGTCGTGTCTCCTGGTGAGTAATGATGAAGTTCGACTGGGGAGGTGAAAAGAGGCAGTGGTCGCGGGGCCACTCCGCCGCCTGGGGTCGTTCATCTCCCGGGTGTCGAGGTGGGAGAGCCGGCGGCTGTTCCTTGCAGAATCAGAAGAGCTGGTCCGAGCAGCCGAGATTGGCGAAGGGAGTTCGAACTCGTCGCGGGCGTGCATGCGATTTGCAGTAGGTCTTATGAAGGACGGCGGTGGGAAGACGACCTCGAGCAATGGGGAGTCCGGCTCTGGCTGTGCAGAAGCGGGGGGCGCACTGCCGTTTATGTTGGACGCCGTCGTGTCACGGGCAGGTGCAGATTTCCTCTTGGAGAACAGCCGCTCCAGTCTGTCCAACCCATTGGCCATGGTGAGAGGAGGGGAGGGGGGTGGTCTCGGGGGTCTTCGTGCGTAATCTATATTGTCAGCTGCATTCAATACTCGCGCAGCTGGCTGGTTCCGTGCACACATGCAGGGCCAATCTCAGAGGGAGCGCAGCACATACGGGGCAGAAGATTATGTGGCTGTCGGAAGCGTGGTTGCTCGTGGACTGAGGCCGTATAAACGCTTGATGATATCCTTGTTCGATCGACAGTGGGCGCTCAGCCGAAGGTCTGATTTGGATGGGCCGACTCAACACCCGCGGCGACGGCAGTGGAAAGGGGAAACGGGCGCCTGCCCTCGCTCGAACTTGTCTCTGGTCCTCGTGGCCAAGGGCAAGCAGTAGCGAGCGTCTCACAGGAATAGTGTGCGCCTTCTCGAGACTGGCTTCGGGGAGAGACACAGCTGGCGGCGGAGCGAGGTTGCGCAAGATCTCGGAAATCAGGTGCAAAGATCACTCGGAGGCCCATGAATGAGCCTGCCTATAAAGGTATGAAGGAGGCCCACGCGAAGAGCTGCACACGAAGAGCTGTGAGGTTTGCCCCTAGAGTTCGGGTGAGGGGGATCGCCGAGAGAACAAAACAGCCCCTTTTGTTGGTGGATGGCCAGGAGTGACCTGTAAGGAACTTTGCTCTGTGCCAGGTGACAAGCTGGTCTTGGTGTGCCCCGAGGGCTTCGGCTTCGGTCTGAGATGTCCAAATCTGCGTTGAGTCCTCCAATGACAAGACTGCTGCTCAGCATTCTACATCAGCCCATGGATCAGAGATGGTCTTGACGGGAAGTTAAGGAGATTTGAATTAGGAAGAGAGAGGCACAGGAAAATTCTCGGCCCATCATGTGATCATGTCGGCGTCTATCACTGGAGGGGGGTGACGATCACGGTGTCAATAAATGGGGACTCTCTACCTTCTGAGTCTGGTGGGCAAGAAGGTCAGATCAAGTGAGGCAGGCGGCTGGTTTGGGTTCTTGTTGGACAGCCTGGACGCGAAAGGCATGTGTGTCAAAGAACTTCGCGTCGGAAACAATATATCACCACTTTGTCCGTCCAAGGTGGAGGGCGGCAGCACTGTCAAAGGGAAATTTCGAGGTGATATTGTTCCGTCCCAAAGCGGTATTTAGCTCGAACCGTCCACTTCTGGGCGTGCCTAATAGATGGGGCGGGAGGGAGACGTCAGGAAGAAAATGCTACCCTGACCATGAGGCTGAGTGGGTGTCTGTGTGGGTAGCATACGCATGGCCCATGGCCGCATGCACAGCTGGCATACCGCCGACAGGGTCTAAGTACCTATCACCGGTACGTGCAGGACGATGCTGGCCGATGCGAAAGCATGTTTTAGCGCGGACGGATGGATGTGGCAGGAGATCGCCATACTGATATTGGGACCATCACCGGCCCAGACATGAAACATGCCTCTCTCCCTTTCGCGGACGGTGGCTCTCCTGTTGTTGCTTTGGCTACGCGTTGGCTAGCTAGATCGGACTAGCCGGCCCTGCCAGTCATCCCATGGACATGAACCTGCAGGTCTGGCGGACATCTTGCATGCAGGTGATGGTGAGAATTGCTGCTGCGAAACCCTGGGCTACTTCTACCGCCCACGGCATCCGGAGCCGAGAGCAGAAATCAGCGTGACTGGTGACTGGTGACTGGTGACTGGTGACTGGTGACTGGAGCCCCCTCGGTGACGAACACCAAGCGCCGGCGTGGATCGCTCATTCATCGGTGGAGAGGCCCACCCGCCAATGCCAAATGCCAATGGAGCTGGCTGAGCGAACCAGTTGACTTGTAGCCTAGCGCAGCTGTCACGGTCCACCCGGGGTTGCGCATCCACAAAGGTCAAAGGTCAAAGGTCGGTCAAAGGAATGGAACGGAAAACGGAACATTGGATGAACATTCAGGCAAGCAGGACCAGCACCAGCACCAGCACCAGCACGGGTACGAGGACCAGGACGAGGGTGACGGCGGGAGACGCGGGTTCCGTCATCTAATCCCCGAGCTTGTTCACGACGCCGATTGCTGCTCACGCCACCCTCCCTCCATCTGGGGAAAGGGGGTCGCACCGAGTCTGTTGGACGATGGACAGGCAGAAGCAGGACATGGAGTAGCCATCGTCGAGGACGCACGAGGAAGAAGGTGGCCAGCCACGGCGAAAGAGGTTGGTTGGCTGGTCGGTCGGGCCATTCCAAGGTTTGTCAGGATGGATGTCGGGGGTGCACGGACTGGTAGGGAAATAAGCTGGCGGGGCCAGAAGCGGGCCGCTCTGGCCCGCCACTGGGCAACCACGACCGAGTCCACGATCCCCTGTTCACCAAAAAAGCAAACGTCAACATCATCTCATTCCCTCACTCCCTCGCCGGCAGTTCGGCTTGTGCAGTCCATTTTTAAAAAGAAAAACGTCTCCCACCGAGCCATGATTCCCACGGAGGAGAGGGGGAGAGAGAGAGAGAGAGAGAGAGAGAGAGAGAGAGAGAGAAAAGGACGAAAACCGCAGGAACACCTTGATGCTCCTGACGCCTTTGAGAAGAAAACAGAAGTGGGCACGACTCTGCCTGCTCTCCTTCCTCTTCGATCTCCTCATCCTCGTCCTCGCTTTCCTGACAAATTCGCGGCGAGTGGCCCCAGATCGAATCATCATAGACCCCTAGACACAACAAAGGACTGATTAGTCCCTATCGGATGAGGAGAATCGACCGGCCTCTTGTCAGTGTGCCCTAGTCGTGGTCCGGGTCAGAACTAGAGCCCAGATCTGGATCTGACAGCTCCACGGGCTGGGCTACGAGGCTGCATAGCAACATGCCGGGCCTGGCCAGACACCGGCCAACGGGACCTTGCTTCCCGTGCGCTTCAGAGCAGAGCGGACCGATTGATCGTTCGCATAACACAGCGGGCAGCACAGCATAGGACAGCACAACGCAGCAGGACGACAGCTGGACAGTTGCGACTCTGCTTGTGTGCGTGTGCGTGTGTGTGCATCACGGACGAGACCCGCAGCCATGACTTCTTTTGCTGCTCTGTTCGCAAGCCTGCTTGACACTCGTTGCTTCTCTCACCAACACACCCATAACCCATACACAAAGGAGTAATAACATGACACATAAACCTTGATCTTTGGATGCCCGACGCATCGATCGACGATACCCTGGCAGATCCCCCGGATTGTCCCAAGGTCCCTTGCCCCTCCTCTGCGAACGACGGGCTAACTGCTTTTTCCCCTTGCATGTCTCAGCCGCAATCAACAGCGCTCGAACATTCCATCATCCCACCGGGGCTCACACTGGCACACTCGAGATTTGATGACGTTCCTGGGGCCCTGCAAGTCTAAGACGGGTGACCCTATCTCGAGGGGGCCTTGGGAACAAGGAGCTTCGGAGCTGGCCCAACTCCACGATGCAGCCAGCCGCATCGAGCCAATGGCCAACATCCTCAAGCGAGGGGGCTTCCCAATGCCGTGGTTCAGAAAGGTGCCACCGCATCCGAGCTGCCTCAGACAAGCCGTACATGCCAACCTGACCGGGCCGGCTTAGAAGGAGAGGCGCAGGGAAAGGTGCAGGCGTCCAGTTGATACCAGTCGTTGCCTCATTAACTCGAGGAACAAATTCGCCATCGTTTTGCAAAGGACTGGCTCTCATGCCACCTTTTTGCTTTCCTCCTTCGTCCATACATACATTCATTCCTTCTTGCTTCCTTTCTTCCCTCGCAGCAACCAAGGTTATATGCCTCATCCAAGACATGTCTTATCGAAATAGTCAAGCTTGTGATGCGGGTCTCGCCTTCGATCTTGCACGGACTCTGGGGCCCATTGCGCCGGATGGCGGATGCCTCCCGATCACTGCCACGCTCTTGCTTTTCCCGCCCATCAGTGACCTTCCCGTTCTGTCTGTGCTACCGCGATCTGCCCTCGCCTCTGCTCCTTTGCTCCCCAAGCCCGGGCTACCCTGACAGAACAGCTGAGCGGCTCCAACTGCCCCCCGCGGGAACAGCTGTCACAACTATTAAACGTCTCAGCATGTTATTTATACCAAATGAGATTTTAGAAACCCGCTATATATTCACTGAAGAGCACGAGGACAGGTCAACGGGTCTCGCGATCATCTGACCGATTGATATTACACTGCCGGGGCAGTGCAGATGTCAAGGTACGCTGTAGCGCAAAAGATCAAACTCACCCTACCTGTACAATACCCGAGTCCCGACTCACGATCTGACAGTCCGATGTCCCGTTCCATTTTCTACGCTTGATTAAATCCATACCCCTTGCCTGCAGGCCTAGCCCGCAGTGGGATGCCTTGCTCTCTGCTGTATCGGCTCCTCCCCCCACCGGATCTTGCGAGCGTGCATGCATACTGTACGTGCATACCTGCACGGTCTGTTTCTGCACGGCCTACCCGCAATGCGCCGGGCTCTTCCTGATGAGCCGACGCATGCACGCGGCTTCTTTCGGGGGGTGACACTTCGCGCACACAAGGCTGCGGGTCTCACCACGCTGCAGTCTCATGCACATTGTGAAGGGATGATGGTGGTGGTGCGCGAGCAATTCGCCGCGGGAGGTGCGGAGGGCACCGAGACTTTGGTTGTCTGTTGGTCTGGTCAACGACAGAAAGACCTTGCACCAGAGTTGAGACTCATTTTTGGTCATGCTCCATGTTTACGCACTATGCTGCTCGGATGGTATTGCCCATCGGAACGTCTAGGTGGGCTCTGGCGTTGCACGCTTGTTTCTGCACGGCTGTATTCCAAGCACTTTGAATCCATCCTCTTCCGGTGGCCTATTATGCAATAGGTACGCAGCAGAGTTAGGAAACCTTTCCTTGGTAATGGAAGAATACACTATAACGCCCCTTGGCTGGACAGGCAATACTCCGACTGGCTGCTTCTATCCTGCCTGTGATTCTATCAACTATGCGTATCCTGCTATGGGCGTGAGATCCGAGAAGGAAATATTGCACTGTAACCACCACGTTTACGTGACAATGTTTACTACTTGATATTCTCAGTATCAAGTCAATTCAAAGGCAGCATGATCTAGTGTCCTATAACATCTTCATTGCTTCATCCACCGAGTCCTTAAATTCTTAGAGGGGTCCAGCTCCTTGATGGCCTCAACCGCCTTTAATCCCACAATAAGTAGCCAGTCCACCTCGACATATCCAAGCCACTCTGGCGAGTCAAACGTATTCGGGAATGACGCAAGGATAGTCTGAGGCGCATCGTCAAACAGTCAAATATACCCACCATTCAAGCGTCAACACAACCATCTAAGACCTGCCCAACGCGTCCCCAGCGAACCACCGTCGCTCGCCTCAAGCTCTGCTGCGGTCACTCGGGCTTGCGCGTGGCCGGGCCGAGGAAGTCTTTCGATCGTTGTATCTGCCGGAGAGCATCAAGGCAGCCAATAGAAAATCTGTTCAACCCACCCGCCGCATCTAGGCTCAAAAAGATCTCAGTCATCACGAAACTCTGCCGCGCGGAGGCACAGAACGTAGCGCACCGGACGCGTCCACGTGCGAGAGAACAGCCCCGCCGAAGCCAGCCTCGCCCATGGGGCTGGCTCCTGAGCGACTCCCGAGCGGCGCCCTCCGTCTCACTCATCCTTCCGTCTCTCCCCCTCTCCCCCACGCGCAGCGCCACACAACAGCCGCGTGACGCACTGGGGGGCCGCGTGGGTGTCGACCTGACGCAGCTTGCTCCCACGGCTCGAAAAAACGGCGCGAGCAGCTCTGGTCGGCCCGCTTCGGAGGCCCCGTGGCGTCGGGACGTGCTGCTGGTGGTCTCGATCCTCTGCGGCAGCCGCATGACTGCGTGGCGCGCGGGACGCGTCGGTCCCCCAGGCGTTGCTGGCCATCTGCCGCCTGTTAGCTGAGTCGCGCTCGGGACGCGTAGCCGTGGCGCCGGGGCGAGGAGGAGGCTGAGGGAAGATGGCGTCCTTCCTGGCAAAGCCTTGTTTCGTCCTGCAACAAGCGGGAGGGCGACGGGCCGCTCCTGCCCACTCGAGGCACCCTCTGGTTGTTGTGGCTTTCGTGACATAGCTGGAGAGGTCGCGCGGCGTGTCCAGCTCGAGGAGGAGGCTACCTAGGTACCCGGCAGCTAGGTGGCAGGGCTTTTGACGAGAGTAATCATCATGTCCTACTGTTTTCGTCTCGACCTTCAGCATGTGTTCCTTTTTGCTGTGTTGTTCATGAATAGGATAGACTTTATACTATTCCAGTCGAACCAAGTACGGAGTCGAAACTTCAAAGGGCAGTACTGAGAGTGACCAAATTCGTAGGAACTAGGGGCGACATGGTGCAAGAGGCAAAAAGGTTCGGCCAACTGAGGCCTACATCCTATTATATGGTAGTTTAGATAGCAGGTTGGGTGGTGGGTTAGGTTCCAGGTTGGGTAGCAGGATAGGCTCCAGGTTGGGTGGCAGGATAGGCTCCAGGTTAGGTGGTAGGTTAGGTTCCAGGTCAGGTGGCAGGTTTAGGTTCCAGGTCAGGTGGCAGGTTAGGTGGTGGTAGATTAGGTGCTAGGTGGCAGATTAGGTGGTGGGTGGTTTAGATAGTAGGCTAGATGGTGGTAGATAGGCTAGATGGTAGGTTAGATCCCAGCTGCCCCTGATCTTTTTTTCTTGGTGTTAAATGTTTTTTCTGAAATTGAGTTTAGATTCTTGACCACTATACTATCTCTTATTACCTTTCTCGGGGCAGCTGGTGCAAGAACCAGTCTCAATGCCCTTATCAATGCTAGTTTAGTGACTGGCTGGTGTTTATGCCACTGCTGGGAAGAAAGATTACCAACACCCCCCCCCCCGGTGAGCCCAAACAACTTCCTCCTATCAAAATTAATATATTACAGACATTGGGCGATCCAGTCCCTCCAAAGTGTTACGGAAGACCTTTTGCTTCTGAGGCGGAACAGGTTCAACGTCCTGGATACTTATCCATGCAATTGTGCGGGTAAGCAGATTCCTACATTATCAGACGACTCATGTACTTGTAGAGAGAGTCGTGTCATTTCTCATTACCCATTAACAGGCCCTCAGAGGAAATTGCTAAAGTTGCTCGTTGCCGCATGGTTATCAATCTCTCCACTGCGTTTCCCGACTTCCAAAACTCGAGACACAGGAAATTGCGTAGGTCAGTCATATCTGATCACTCTTGGGCAGCGCGTACCATTCCCTCCTCAGCGCGCTCTGCGTCGCCTCATGCCTGAGAGACAAGAGCCACAAGCTGCTGCCTCCGCCAACTCGCAGCCGTGGTCGCCGTCATCCTCACGCGATATGTCCCGCCCGCCCCCTGGAAGAAAGTCGCGCTCTGGTTGACGGGGTTGAAGAACACCTGCGGATCCCGGTGGTTGAGAAGCGCAACAGTGCATGCGGTGACGAAACTCGGAGGGCACAGTATCATTCTTGGGTTCCCGTTCTGGTCTGTGGTGCCGTCGAGCAGGTGGAATGTGATGATCACGACTCCCCCGCTGAATGTCAGGTCCTTCGACTCCGACGTGAGCGTTCCGGGGCTTATGAAATCGGGAAACAGGAGATACTTCATGGAAGACTCGATTGCCATGGTACTTAGGTTTGGATTATCAGGCAGGGGCTGCATCAGGTGTCCATTGGATTGTCCATTCTCGTCGCCCTTGGAGTTCCCGTCTTCGAGACCGTTCGACTCCCCTGGTGGGGCGGGCTTCCCATCATCCGGTGTGTCTCGGTCCTCCGCAGCGTCTTCCTCGGCCGCTTGGATTGCCTTCTGCCGGAGGTAGGAAACGGAGTTTGGCGAGAGGTTCGAAAGCGAGTGTCCAAGCATGCCTGCGGTGTTCGATGACTTGATGGCAAGGACGCCTAGTAGTGTTGGTGCACCGCTTAGATCAGGCTGAGTCGTTATGGACATGTTGGTATCATTCATTTGAATACTTTCAAAGCTCTGGGTGGAAGTCGAGGACGTGGATCCCCGGACAAAGGCGAGCCCGAAGATGGAAAATACTGCTTTTGCTGTGCTCTTCGAGGTGATCACGCTCTTGACATTCTGGTAAGTCCAGTGATCGAAGTTGACAGTGAAGCTCACACCAAACACGAGCGAAGCCGCCGTGACATGTGGATACAGATTCTTCCTTGCCGTGTCATCAGCATTGGAAAACTGGGTGCCTGGGTCACCGATGGACCATGAACCAGCCTTGATAGAGACAGTAGCGGGTTTGACACAGGTGTTGAGTGTGACGTTGGTGACGACGGCGTTGTTCTGCTGATACATGGTCTGCTTCTGCGTAGTTGACGACCATGATCCCTCGCCAAAAAAGAGCCATGGTTCAGGAACGCGGACCTCCCCACTGGCATTGGTCGAGTCATAGCCGAGCTGTTGCCAGAAGTTGCTACCTGAGGTGTTCATCGACAGTGTCCTGGAGACAGCGGGAGTCCACGGATCGCTAGGGCGGTTCGCGATTGCTGCTGTCGTGCCTTGCCACGTGTTCCAAGTTGTGATCCATGCCTGTGTATCAATGGCATACTGTGGCTGCCAACCGGTGCTCGCCGTCAGCATGGTGGCTCCTTGGACACTTCCCCTCTGGACACCGGGCATTGGGGGCTGCGCAGCCATCCAAGCCTCCCGGTAGCCCTCCAGGGTCATTGCATCTTTGCCGAGTGCGATGGCCTGCTCGGGGAAAAACCAGGCGCTCACTTGCTGGTAATTATTCGCAGCAAGCAGGAGGGGTACCTGGTTGACATAGGCCGTTGTCTCCCATGTGGCCTGATTGTTGTTGTAAAGCTTTTGTGTAGCTGCGTCGAGCTGGGCCCAGGCGATGTTGGCTTTGGACTTCTCGACCAGATACGCGCCCCAGGCCGTGTCATAGGTCGGCTTGTCTGTCAGGTACTTTTGGTACGCGGCCGGGTTTGCTGGAGCACCAGGGTCCACTACGAATGATGACTTTCAGTATTCTTTCAAAGAAAGATAGAAGATCTGCTGGCCCACATTTGAAGCATGGGGCAGGAAGACTATAGCAAAAGACCCTGTAATTGGACTGGAAGCGCCTGGATTCTATCTGTCATGCTTCGCAGGGTAGAAGAGACAACTCAAAGGCATCAGCGGGTCTGGATGCTTACCATGACTGAGAAAGGCGCCATAGCTAGTGTAGCGGCTGTTGGCTGTTGGAGCATAGAATGGAGATGATGTGTTCGGGATCGTGTCTCCTAGATCTCCCACTCCTTGGTTGATTGCGGCAGCAACCGAGTCAGTGTCAGCTGTTGATGTGAAGGGCGGGACGCTGCTGAAAATGGTGCCTTTGGGAACATTGTATCCGGGAAATGCGGTCATATTCCCGGGAGCGATCAGAAACACCTGCTTCGTGGAATCGAATCCAGAAAAGCCTGCGATCTGCCTGTACGCATCGGCAAGACCGCGCCAAGCGGCTTCACTTGTCTCGTCCGACATGTCGGTAGGGTAGCCTCTTAGCTGTGGCGGGACTGTAGCGAAGTGATAGGCAACTTTTGTGCGTGATATTTGTGGGTTGAGTGCTTTGGGACTTCGACATCTGAAGACTCCGTGGTGTGAGATGCGTCAATTTATATTTTCTCGGTCTTCATCACCAAACCAATCTACACATTACCAAGGCCATAAATCAGGATCCCGTTTTAGCGACAATGCGGTGAAGCGTGGCATTCGATGATGGTCACAGCGGCAGTGTTCTCAGGAGGCAGACACTGCGGTCCCCAATTCTGCTCGCGAGCGGCTTTCGTCCGCTGGCTGAGCTGGGAATAACCTCATCACAAGCGACAATGCCTGCAGGATTGAGAAGCAATGATGAGTTGGCAAAAGCTTGGCTGGTCCCGAATTGTCAAAAGAGCCTTGAAGCGTCCCAGCTGGAACTTAATTGGATTTGGAACTTCGATCCTATCGCAAGTCTGCCCGCTAAGCCACAAGCTGACCGGTGAATGCACAAGGTGTTTGACATGACACATCGGGCTGCAGAGACAACGAGAAAATACAGAGTTGGAAGGTGCCTGACTTTCCCGGGCGTCACGACGTGCCGTGTGACAATAGATCAGAGGAGCCTGGCGGTGGATGACAGATCACATGTAGTAATGGAATATGAGTGCCACTGAGGAGGGGTGATGTCCAAGTCAACAATGAGGTATTTCACATATTCAATGTCACATCGGGCATTGGGGAGTTTTCCAATGACCAGATGCTTGTGACGAAGACACCTGGGAGATATTTATCCATTTGGCATTCCACAGATAGAGCAGATATGAAACCCCGAAAGGAGTGGAATCTGTAAGGGAAACATGAACGTAGCCCAACTTGCATTACAGGAAGTTCAAACGACTGAATACCTCCCAAATCAAAATTGAAACGTAGCCAAGCTGCCAGTTTAATCAATGCCACACAGCCAATCCGGACGAGCAGCGTACACAGGAGATTTGCTTGCATCCCCACGAAAGCCCTCCACCCATTCTCATATCCCGAAGGATGAATACTCAAGTGGTACAGATTCTTCCTTCCGAGATTGCTTCCACATGCACTACAACACGTTACAAAAACTTGACATTCTCATTTGGCTGCGTTGTTTTTTTAATAGCTTGGGGATGACTATCTCGAAAGCGGAATGGTTAATTATCACACTCGAAATCAGACGTAATGTGAAGGGATTTCCCAGGATCACCAAGTTAGCAGTTAGAAAGACGCAGCGACAGAGCCACCAAATTGCCCGACCGTAGCAGAGAGGGAAAGAGTGCGAACACACGTGAACCCCAAAAACGTGAATTGGGGGCCATTCCTGAGGATTTGCTTAAGTGCTTACACGACAGGCAGCTGAGTAGACTATGTAGTCGTAAGCGGCAGGGGTAATGCAGACGAGGCTCAATGAAAGGCGTTTTCTGGCTCAGGCAACCTTGAACCCCACTAATTCATTCCGGCAGACTTTCTCAAATACCTTGTTTCCAAACGCTGCGTTTCCATGTGCGATGCCTCATAGGTAAATACCAGCGTTTTTGTTCATAATGCCGTCAATCCATCCAGCATATGATGCGCTTCCCTCAGACACCGCATCTGCGTCTCCAACCCTTTGTCAACCTGAAAATCAGCTGAGCTGCAAGAAGGCGGACCCAACCACGGTGCCTCGGGCCTCGAAACTTCCCAAAAGAACCTGCATCTCACCGTTTTGGACGGGCTGGGAATGGGAGTTTGCCGCCTGCTTTCTCGTGCTGGTCACTCCAATCATCGTTTTTGCAACTCTGTACCCCCACGATGGTCAGCCCCTACCGCAGTGGCCTTTCAAGGTCTCCATCAACTCGTTGCTCTCTATCTACGCACTGGTCTTCAAGGCCGACGTGGGCTTCATCCTGACCTCATGTATCGGGCAGCTCCAGTGGGCGTGGTTCTCTGCAAGTGAGACGCGCCCACTCACCGACATGCTTCATTTCGACAACGCGACTCGGGGCGCAGATGGAGCCTTGGGATTGATCTGGCGGCAGCGATTTCGACAGCCTCTGGCAGCAATCGGGTGCGTCCTTATGGTTCTGGCCGTTGCTGTTGACCCATTTGTCCAACAGCTTGTACAGCCCGCGGACTGTAGTGTTGAGGTGTCGGGCGGCATTGCGGCTGCGACCTTGCCACGAGCGAACGTCTTCGAGGAATATGGCTATGATGGAAACGTCAATAGTCATGAGGCCGCACGGAACATGTCGATGTCTGATTTGAGTATAGAAAAGACCATGTACGATGCAATCTTCTCCCCGGGACAACATCCCCCTTGGCAGTGCTCAACGGGCAACTGTACATTCCCAGACCCTTACGCCACTATCGGAGTCTGCTCTTCCTGCCAGGATGCCTCCGCAAATGTCATTACCAATACAAGCTGCTCGCAGCCTGATTCCTCCTACGCAAGCCACCACCCAAAATCCGGAGCAGACTGCCCCGTGAATTCGAGCTTCATCGTCGAGTCCAACTTCACCGCTGGCGAGTACATCAGTCTAGGTACCAAGCTGGTAGTTCCTAACGATGACCCGGGTGAGCACCATTTACAATTGCATGTCGGCGACGCAACTCTGGGCCTCAAACCTGTGGCCCTCGAACCTGTGAGCCTCATGCACGATGCCCTTTTCGGAATCATCGTCGCGACTGCACGTTACCCTATTGGAGTCACCGATTCAACCTTCGACGAGTCGACGTGTAATTCGAATGAATCGGAGCGATCGTGGCAATGTCAGGGGTATGGTGCCGCCACCTGTTCCCTTCGGCCGTGTGTACGGATTTATGACGCCACTATTTCCGCGGGCGTTCTTGAAGAAAACCTGATTGCGAGCTCCTCCGAAACTGCTTGGGGTTTTGTTTCTGATGATGGAGGGTCGCCTCGCTACCGCGCCATGGTCGACACTCAGTGTTCTGCTGAGAATCAGACACCGTCAAATCGAAACTCAAGCGTGGAAAGCCGTTGGCTGCCATATAGTTTCAACCTGACGGTCAAGACGGACCCCACGGTTGGAGCGATGTATACCCTCGCCGACGAAGTCACGTCCTTACTTCAAAGCGGTTGTCTCTATGTTGTGTCCGATGAGGCCATCATGTCAACGGCAGCACGGTATCTCAACGGCTCACTTCAGTCGCAAGCAGACAGCTTTCAAAGCTTTGAAAGCAGTGAATCAGGTTACAAGTTACTTACAGCAGGGTATGTTGAAGGGCCCGAAATACTCCGAAGCATCTACCACCAGGGCGACACGGACCTCAAGCGTGTTCAAAGCGTTTTTGCGAATATCTCCGACTCCCTCACAACCTACATCCGCTCACATGGCGGCAGTGAATTTCTGCCGGGTAGGATAGAATCCCCAAGGGATGTGCAGGGGAAGGTGTACCACTATGCAACCTGTCTCCAGGTTCAATGGCCCTGGCTCTCGTTCGCGGCGTCCTTGGCGGTTTTCACTTCTCTATTCTTCTTGATGGTAGTCGAAGCCACTAGAAGGCGAGGGACTTCGATTTGGAAGGTCTCACCGCTGGCGTGGGTTTTAAGAGCCGATGGGCTGGACAATGAACAGCTTTCATCTTCGACCAGACTGTGTGAAGGAATGAAAGAGAGATCGAGGCAAATTGCTGTGCGTGTGCTTGATGAAGAGCTAGATGGGCCACGTATTCGCATGGCTGATATCAAAGACCCGAATTTGCTTTAAGCACATGATCTCGGCCAGTGACATAGCCAGGGGGCGAATTTGAATGGGAAATTAGAATGTTACACGCAAGGATTAGATAATCTCTCCAGCAAACGAGGAGACATAGTTACAGGGTTCAATACACGATTTTCGTATGAGAAGATCGCAGTAGTCAGGCTATGACTCCCTTGTGTGTTTCCTGGATGAACAGCATAGGCGAGACAATTTAAGTCTATCACAAGCGGAATCAAGACGTGATGTTTGGTCCTCACAGGGTTGCTTCGCCAGTATCCGGAAGCCATCAACATCTGGCAATCACAACTGAGTCAATCCGGAGTTGATCGTCCTCGAGGGGGCAGAGCACATGGCATGGTTAGCAACTCCCTGTTACCAAATTCCCACCCAGTGCTGACGGCCCGTCGTGTCGTAGGTCGGGGGCTTCGGGCCCATCAATACTAGACTTCAGAGACAGTCTCATCCAGTTCTTCTTGCCTGGGTAATTCTTAACCTCAAACTGTCTTTCGAAAAACTCCCCCTTTCTCTCTCGCACGTGTACAGCCCGACTGACCACTTTTGTCTACGGAATGCTCAGGGCACAGGCTGTGGTTCAGGCCAGCTACATCCGCCAATACTCCTTTATCACGCTGGAGGGGCTCTTCTACGAGATTAACAAAGATTAGACGGGATGGGCGCTGTCCTTAGATGTGCTCAGGTTTATCACCTCGGGAGGAACATTGTCCTCGAGAATGCCGACGTAGTCTCTTAATTGGGTCGTCGAATGCGATTACACCGCGCACTTATCGACTGGTGACCACCTGATGGTGCTACAAGATCATAGAGCATAGGCAGGTATTCAGGCTGACGTCCAAAACTACCCTGACTGGCAAAGGGCCGCGAATGGTATCTTGGTTGATTGCGTTGAACCACACAATCGTGGCTGTATCCCAAAATTAGACAAGGACATCAGTCATGAATATTCAGGAAGAGCAACGTAGTAGTGATTCTGTATTACCGGAAGTGCCGCTGCAAGGCGTCACGGCACGGTGCTGATACTAGATGATTTATATACTTTCTGCACCACGGGACATTTCAGGCAAGACTTCTTGATCATACGCTACCCACTCCTTGCTATTCTACAGCTTAGCTCCGCCAGCATCCGGGTCCTCCTGACCAAAGATGTTGAGGAAAGCCGTGTGTACCTCATCCGTCAGGTCGCTGGCCTGCAGGCTGCGGCCCTTCGTGTTGAAGGCGAGCCTGGAGCACTCCTATTATAGTTCGAAATCCGGTTAGCCTTCTGCTCTCGTGGTCTTATGTCCAGTAACGGGGCAGGAGAAAACGCGAAAGACTCACCCTCGTAATAGCAGCGCCGCCGAAAGCCGCCAGCTGCACAAGCTCCTTCTCATTCAGCTTCCCGCCGTGGTCCCATAGCCCGTCCAGGTACGCCGTCCTCCACCCGAGGAACGTCGCGATGCTCCCGGTCAGCGTATCACCCTGCCCGCCGCTCCTCTTCTTGCCGCCCTGCAGGTCGACCGTGAGAGTGGTCTCGCCATCAGTAATGAAGTCATGGAACCCCTTCTGGACAATCGTCACACCACCAAGCGCCCGCGCGAGCGCCTCCACCCTCGCCGTCTCCTTCTCCTCCCCGCCACCCGCCTTCTCAGTCGCCTTCTTCACCTCCTCCTCGATACCGAGCGCCTTGCAAAGGCGGCCGAACTCGACGACGTTGGGCGTCAGCACGGCGAGCTTCCACCCCCTCACGAGGTCCGGGTTCTTCTGCACGACCTGCAGCGCGTCCGCGTCCAGGACCACGGGCGTGTTCTGCCCCCTCGCCGCCTCCACCACCTTGGCCACCGTGTCCTGCATCAGCGGGTCGCGGCCCAGCCCCGGGCCGATGACCAGCACGTGGATCCGCGGCAGCATGTCGATGATGCGCGAGGCCACCTTGTCCGCGGGCTCGCTCGAGGCCGACTCGTCCGACGACTGCGGGCTGGGACTCTGCCGCATCAGGGGGTGCACCATCAGGTTGGGCGAGTACGTCTTGATCACGGCCGCGGCGCCGGGCGTGCAGATCACGTGGGACTGTGAGTTCGGGCGGATGCCACGGTTAGTGATGAGCCAGGTCCTCCCACACTGGGCAGCAGACAACCCAGTCCTTGAGGGCCATGCCTGTGGATAGAAGGAGGGAAGGGTGAGAATAGGCGTACCATGTCACATCCTAGCCGTGCGCTGGCCATTGCCGAGAAGTAAGGCGCCCCTGTGTAGTCCTCACTGCCACCGATGACACCTATACGGCCCTGCTGCCCTACGTGTCGCCCATCGAGTCAATTCCATGTCCCATCGTTTGCGGCTCGGTCCATCATGGCTCTATCGCGAGCACAGCCGGACGCAGCGGTCTTTGGGGGGCGGGGCGGGGCGACTCACCCTTGTGGAACTTATCCAGCATAGGCGGGACAAGTTGCCGCACGCGGCCGAGGATCTCCTTCGTTGCGGATGACATATCGGCCTCCATGTGTAGCTTTCTGCACCCTCGGTGGCGGTCCCCTTCAGCTTTGAATGTGAGTGGCGAGACGGTCGTAGACCAGAGTTGAAGTTGACGGCGGGGTCCTGAGCTGCTGTCGACTGTTTCGTGCCGATTTCGCAATGGGACGCTCGGAATTGATAACTGGATGGATGCAATGTAGCTCAAGGAAGCTGTAATAAATACCAATATTTCATTTGAAGGCGCGGGAAAGTCACCATGGAGGCTCAAAAGTGGTTATGCCAACATGAGCGTAAGAGAGCTGTGGACCGTGATGATGTCACCCTTGCCGGCGCCAACTGTGTGACCGCCCACAGGTATGCACGCAGCTGCCCGAGCTCACCGGAGCATATCCTACGAAACACGCGACAGATCAAGCAGCTCAACGAAATGTACCTTTTGCATGCCAATCAATGCCTAGACTACTGAGACTGTAGCCGCACACCAGAATTGTGGACAAAAAAAATTGAGTGCTAGATTGGTCACGGCTCTATTTTACAATGGATTGACCGGAGATGACCCTCTCCAAAAACCATTTCATCTCTCAGTTCCCAGCACCCAATGGGATAGGCCCCCCTTTCTAGACGTAGACACACGATTCAGGCGGCCACCTCCTCCATTCGACGCGAGCTTGCAACTCTACCCCCTCCTAGCATATATTCCGGTCACCCTGCTTGCACTGGAGCGGACTGCTTAAGCCACGAAGCTCTTGGTGAAGCTGACGATGACGTCCTTCAGGCGGCCCTCGAGCTCCTTGGAGAGAGCGCCCTCCTTGTCAATGGTCGCAAGCAGGTCGGACTCGTTGGTCTTCAGGTGGGACAGGAAGTCAGCCTCCCACTGGAGGATCTTGTCGACGGGGACAGTGTCGAGGTGACCATTGACACCGGCGAAGATAAGGGGAACCATCTCGTTGACGGCCATGGGAGAGTACTGCTTCTGCTTCAGGAGCTCGGTCAACTGTAGATTTTGGTGTCGTCAGTCACTGTACAGCTTCAGGTAAGACTTGCGCGGTAAACGGGGCTACTTACACGCTCACCACGGTTCAGGGTCTGCTTGGTGGCGGCATCAAGATCGGAACCGAACTGGGCGAAGGCGGCGACCTCACGGTACTGGGCCAAGAAGAGCTTCAGGGAACCAGCGACTTGCTTCATGGCCTTGAGCTGGGCAGCGGAACCGACACGAGACACGGACAGACCGACGTTGATGGCAGGTCGGACACCCTTGTAGAACAGCTCGGCCTCCAGGAAGATCTGGCCGTCGGTAATGGAAATGACGTTGGTGGGAATGTAGGCGGACACATCACCACCCTGGGTCTCAATGACGGGCAGGGCAGTCAGGGAGCCACCACCGTGCTTGTCGTTCATCTTGGCGGCACGCTCGAGCAGACGAGAGTGCAGGTAGAAAACGTCACCGGGGTAAGCCTCACGTCCGGGCGGGACGACGGAGCAGCAGAGACATTTGACGATATGCAATAGCCTGTTTCGTCAAATCATCGAAGACGATGAGAGCATGCTTGCCATTGTCCCGAAAGTGCTCCCCAATTGCAGTGCCTGGTAAAGTTGAAGATAGTTAGCGATGGTGTTGCAGCAAGTTGTGATGGTGTTTGTAACAAGTTGAGATGTTGTAGCAGTTGAAGTGTATGATAAGAGCCTGAGAGTCGAGCGCCGCTAAGCGTCGAGCTTCGCGAGGTGTTTCTTGGACTTTTTTGTGCTTGTCGAGAGCGCTGGGAGAGTCGAAAGCCTGATCACAGGGTGCGCAATAATGCTTCTTGGCAGCCGCTCTGGTTTTGAACAGGACTTTGGTCTTGGTGTTGATGGGGATACGAGGAGTTTGCAGCAGCTCCCACGCATAATCGTCCACAATGTTTTGGACAATGACGCCCATGACTCAGGTATACGTAGGAAATCGACAGAATGAAATCGACAGAAGGGAAGTTACAGAATGAAAGTTTGAGCTTCAGATATCGGGAGGCGTCGTGCATCCGGCGGCGTTGAGGAGTTTGAGGAGTTTGGACGCCGTCCAAAGGTGTCGAGGAGGTGGAGGAGAAGAAGAGATGAAGAGGAGCAGATCTGCCAGAAGGCAGCGGACAGCCTGACGGAATCCATGAAGGGAGTCGGAGGCGTGCCTTCCCAGCCTGGGTCTTGGCGGCCAATTGGAGTGGGTGCTGCCAGTTTTGGTGGTGTCTTGGGGAAGGAGCGGAGGCAGGTGCTGCCAGAACTTGGAACTTAGAAAAATTTGAACACTAACCAGTGAAAGGAGCCAAGAACTGCAGAGGAGCGGCCTCAGAGGCGGTGGCGGCAACGATGACGGAGTACTTCATGGCGTCGTTCTCCTCGAGGGTCTTGACAAGCTGGGCAACGGTGGATCGCTTCTGACCGACGGCGACGTAGATACAGTAGAGCTTCTTGGTCTCGTCGGAGGTGTTGTTCCATCGCTTCTGGTTGAGGATGGCATCCAGAGCGACGGCGGTCTTTCCGGTTTGACGGTCACCGATAATCAGCTCACGCTGGCCACGGCCGATGGGAACCATAGCATCGATGGACTTGAGACCGGTCTGGACGGGCTGGTTGACAGAGCGACGGGGCAGAATGCCGGGGGCCTTGACCTGGGCACGGGATCGCTCCTTGTTGTTGAGAGGGCCCTTGCCATCGATGGGGTTACCGAGGGCGTCGACGACACGGCCGAGCAGCTCCGGGCCGACGGGGACATCGACCTTGTAGGCGTCAGCAGGCAGGAAATCAAAGGATTTCGTCAGATGGTATGACATACAATTTCACCGGTACGCTTGACGGTCTCGCCCTCCTTGACGAGACGGTCAGAACCGAAGAGCACGACACCGACTTGGCCAGCCTCGAGGTTCATGCACATTCCCTTGACGCCAGACGCGAACCTGCATTGTGTTAATCACGGCCCAGTCGCGTGGAAGATCCGGGGACGACATACTCGACCAGCTCCTCGGCCTGGACGTTGGCCAGACCGTGCACACGGGCGATACCATCACTGTGAAGCTACCTGTCAGCAGCTGAAACCCCGGTTCACACAATCACAACCTCAATTGTCTCCATATTTTTTGTTGGGGCCGTGGCGATGACGATGCCTGGGAAGGTGCGGGCGCTATAATTGAGAGGCGCATTGGTGGTTTCCTGTTTCAACATACCCGACAGACAGAACGCGACCAGTCTCGGCGAGACCAGACTCCTCCTGGACGCCGCGGATACGCTGCTCGAGGATGGAGGAGACCTCGGTGGGAGTAGCCTTGGCATCGGCGTAGGTGCGTGCTTGTACGGAGGCGACGGCGGGGGCGGCGCTTCGAGCCTGTGGTGGTGGGAAAAATCAGGATGGTTAGCCCGACGATGCTAGAGTGGTGGTGTTTTGGGCTGCGACTGAATCCGCGACCCCAAAGTGTGGCAGCCAAGTGCCCGTCCCGATCCAACCCCAGCCCCAACCCCAGCTTCTGGAGAGCTCGGCACGGCCAGCAGCAGCTCGCCCGCAGCAAGCTCCCCATCAGCCACCGCGCGGCGGCCGCACAGCTCGGTGAAGCTCAATTGAGATTGCTCAATGCGTGCTCGGCAGGCTGAGGTCGGCTGGATGGGGCTGGCGATGGGATTGGGAGGCGCGGGATCGGGCGGCCGGGGCGAAAACATTGCGTCGCTGAGCTGTGCGTAGACTTACGACGGCGATTCTGCTGGTGGCAGACAGGGCGCCGACAGCGCGGGTGCTCTGTCGGAGAGCGGTCCGGAACATTGTGAAAGAGGATGCAGGAGTGCCTAAAAGAAAAGAGAAGACAATTGCAATTGGCTTGCAATTGTGTGGAGAGGAGATTTGATGGCAGAGGTCGGGTGGTTGACGACGTGGAAAGGTCCTACTGAGGGAATTGAGAAAATTGAAGTGCCAGCGCTCCAGCTTCCGTTCCGGACGTCCTCGCTCGCCCTGCCGCTAGCCCACGGTGGAGCTCACCCAGCCAGAGCGGCCAATCACAGCCCCACTCGGGAGAAACAGGGCAGCGAGACGGAGCACGGGCCACATACCGTATCACCGATGAGGGACCGGGAGGAGCTTCATTGAGCCGTGTTAGGAGCAGCTGCTCTGCCTGCGTAATACGGTCAAACGCGTATCCCGAGAATGCTAGAGGTTGTCCTACTGGAAATCCTACTACTGGCCTACTGGAGTTTATCCCACTGCAGGTTGTCCTACTGGAGACTATCCCACTGCAGGTAATCCGATAGCAGGCTGACCTAAAGAGGTGCTCCCGTGTAAAGTCGTCGAACCTGAGGTTATCCTCTAACCTTAAGGCCTTTACAATGAGTTACTTACTGATTGCTCTGGCCAGCCTCCCGACTCGAACCAAGTCCGGTGCCCTTAAGTGAGGGAAGTTCCTCATTCGTTCTGGGCAACGAGGTCTGCAATGTTGACTGCGGTGGGCCGTAGCTGGAGTTCACTGCTTGGTTCCTCACAATCCAAGGCCTCGAGTGTGGCCTCGAACACACAAAGGCACAGTATCACTCGGACTCGAGTCCGTGTCACATTTTTGAGTGACCCCTGGACACACAACACAGTACTCGTTTGCTACCGCAGCTTCGAGCGGGAGGCCCTCTTTTGGATGATATGAGGGCCTGCTTCCAAGTCACTGAGGCAATCGCCAGGAGGAAACCACAGTCACTTCAAATTCTTCTTAATATGCCTTTTTCTTCGTTTGCGGTTCTGGTTTTTGGGATTCAGCAGGGCTCCCTACTCATCCAACATAAACCTCATCACACAGATTTTCCACACATCCGCACTCAGGATGAGACTCACAGAGACGATGAGTTGCTCAGGACGCCAGGTCGGTGGCTGTCCCCGAGTATAAATGCCCAGCTCATACCACGAATTTTCTATCTTCCCTCTATCTGCTATTCCCATACACACATCCCAAGGTTCGTCCACCAACTAAGTACCCATTCTGCAACACCAAAACACCTCGCCCAACATGACCAGCTGCTTCTGGACTCGGCCTTATCAGTGGCCTGAATCCTACTACCAGGTCCCTGTCTCTGGCACCTGTAAGTCTTTCTCAGCACGGGCATTTAAAGAAGAAGGAGAAAAGAATTGTTGTCCACTGCAACTTGCTGACTTTAAACCCCCAAGTTCCACAATCCTATGCCAGACTGCCCGTCAGTGGCACGACTCAACCTCAGGTCATTCCAACTGTGTATCCCCAGACGTATCAGTACCCCCAGATGTATCAGTACCTGCAGCCTCTTCAGACGATGGCGTACCGACAGCCTCAGCTCTGGTACCAAGCGGTAGGCTCACTCTCCCAGATGGTGTCCACGATGGTGTACTGACTTATGCTATCTAGTACGTCAATTAGGGTCAAATCTGCCGTCAGGATGAAGCGAAACGAAAAGGGGGTCACAGAGTGTACTCATCCGCAGTCTCGACATGGCCTCCTTGGTCGGTGGCACTGGGATGGATAGTCCGCCCACGTGTTTCCAGTCGAAAACGCCCACGGCGTTTATTTTGCGTTGAGTTTTGGCTTCTACTTTCAGGCAGTACTGATATACATTTCCATTTGATTATTTTGATCCAAATGGACTCCTATTTTCTTTCTGTGTGATACGCAAACATGAAATTTGAACTGGGCAAAAAGTGTCGATAAATACGCTTGTCATTTTCGCAGCCCCTTTTCACACACTGGATACACTGGGACACTGGATACACTGGATGATCAGGACGTGAAATGAGACAAGACAGAACAAACATGCTGAAAAGAGGAATCTATGATCAAATTATCTCACTACTGTACCTGCCCCAAAAGACAGGGAAAACAAGCAGACGGACACCAGATTATCAAAAACGCCACGAGTTGCCGCCCCCAACGAACCAGAAGCCCAGACTGCTGAAAAAAAACTCGCCCCCCCCCCCCAAAACGAAGGATGAGTATACCACCTAAACACCCACGGTCTCTTACCTCTACTGTTCGCGCGCCTTGCGCCGCGACAGTTCCTCCTTCCCATCAGGATCATCCCGGCCCTGTCTACGACTCACATGCGGCGGGGGATGACTCCCGCCTAAGCCCAACCACCCACGAGGGGCTAGGACAGCCGGCACAGCTTCTTCTTGTCCAACGCCCGAAGACGGGTACGCGCCACCCCGCCGGCCCCCGCCGGACGGCCCCGCGGCCGCGTTTGCGTGCCGCCTCGAGCTGGGTAGCGAGATAGTATCCGGCTGCGGCGGAGGCGGCGGAGGGGGCGTGGGCCGCCGCACGTCAAACACTGTCTCGGTGATGTTGGACTCGCTGGGGGTGGGCGAGACGGGCCGAGGCTGGGCATGCTCGACGCCGGTCGGGTGCCCGTCGATGTTGCCCGCGAGAGGAGGCCTACCCTGTGTGTAATGTGGTTGTGGCGATGACGGTGGACCAAGCCGGCCCTCGCTGACTTGGTCTCGGTTGGGCAAAGTGATGATACTCTTCCTGTCGCTAGTCAGCCTCAAATCCTCATTGTCGTCACTTGCCTGAGTCCGCGCGACCGTGCCAGGAGAAAAGTCCGCCATAAATTTCAGAGCGTCTTCGAGTCGTTCGTCCATACGGTCGAGTTCGGCCGGCAAAGGCGGGCGATGCACGGCAATTACCCCGTCGTATGGGTAGGCCGCCCGCATATGATGGATAGCGACAGCCCGCGCAGTGTGGATGATCGCACCGTTCATGGCCATGGCAGATGACCCGCCGGACACGCAGCCGGATGAAGAGGAGGGGCAGGTGGCAGCAGCACTTGTGGTGCCGTCGCTGGCGTTGCCGCTGTTGCGCTTCCAGAGGCCACTGACTCCCCCCTCTTCCATACTCCGGCTTGGGAAGCCGTCCAGTGATATTCCGGACTCGCGGTCCACGAGCGACTTACCGTGGTAGCCTTTGGATTTAGAGCGGCTCGACGCGGTTCGGGTATCAGATGGCACCGTGGTATGGCTGACTGTCTCATAGTGATGCCCGCTTCCTGAGGCTGGCTGCCGAGAACAGACTTTAAAGTCACCCTCGCTCGGCGGCTCCTCCAAGTCTCCGACTTGAGCGATCACCTCGTCAACTTGGTCAGCGGGCGCACCGACCACGGCATTAACCTGCCACGGCCTGATGATGTGGTCTTGGCCTGGGCCTGGACGTGTGATGTACGAGGGATCTGGCTCAATGACGACCCAGTGCCGGTGGGGTTGGTCAGCTATCCCTCGTGGGGTTGGAGGTGTGCCACTGGACATGTCAGTCTCAGACTGCTGCTGCTGCTCAGGGACGGGATCGCACTCGCCTTGGTGAGTGCGCGTGTATGGGTTCGTGTTTCCTTTCGAATTATGCCGAGAAGGCATCATGTAGGATGATATGCCGGGCTCGATGTTGTGTTCTCTTCTGTCTCCTCAGACTCTTGCGAAGACGGCCAGTAGTTTGGATATGATATTCCGTAGCATCTCAGAGTGAACAGGATACCAGTTGTTCAACGTGCTCGGGCTTCGGTGTAAAGATGAAGTGGAGATGTTTTTAATAGACAAGAGGTTCCCTCGGTCAGGATCATTAGATAGCGAGCCGTCTTCGCAGTGGCCGTTGTAAAGCATACATTGTTAGCTTTGCACGAGCACAATACTCTTGTGCAGACAATAGCATTGTTCGAAAGAGCAGCGGGAAGGACGGGATGTACAAAGAACAGTGAGGACACAAAGGCATTCGCAAAAAAAAGACGGACGTCCAGGCCAAGCATCCCACCTATCCGGCATAAGGACCGACTGGAGGTCAAATCCAACCAACACAGAAAGCGCATCTGATTCAAGGATCCAAGTGCCTTAAGGATGCCATTCAAGCGAAACATCAGTCCGTAAAAGACTTTTCGGTTTATTCTGGCTATCGAATGAGGCCAGTGTGGCCATTTACCGAGTCGCAAGATCCACCTCAGGCCAGGGACGTCTTCTTGTCCCAAGCTACCCATGCGCGAGCCAAATGCTGCTGCAAGCGTGAGGGTTCTCGCGAAACTCGTCTTTTTTGCATCAAATCTATGCAGGGGGCTTTTCGCCTTTTATTCGCCGATGCGGCATGCCGGAAATGTAATCAAGTGAACCTCTTCCTGTCCTGCCCTGACGCCTTGCATCATTTCATTCATGAGATAAAAAATAATCATTATGTACAGTGGAAGCCCGCCGCCTGACGTGCAGTCAAGGCGAGCAGTTTCGATCTATGCCAGGTAGCGGTAGATTTGCTGGGTCGCATCCGTGTCGTCGGCGCGTTCGAGGTACTCGCGGGCGATGAGGTCTTCGATGCGCTTCTTGACCATGGGGATATCGGGCTTGAAGCGTCCGGTCAAGACAGCGACCACCTCAGATATGAGCTGATTGTGCGCAAGCTCTCTGCGGGCCCTGTTGGATTTGTTAGCTTTGTGTGTATGAGACCAAGACTGTATGAGACATACTTCATAATTCTGACGACGGCCGCATCCACAATGTGGTTGCGGCTCTCGTCGTTCTTCTTCTCCGTCTCCTTGCGCTCCTCGTCACCCTCAACCTTGGACTGGGCACTAACGATCGGCGCTCTGATCTTGACCTGTTTGCTTGCAAAAGAGCTGTTGTAGGAGAACTTGTCGCCCGGCTTGATGGTCTTGGTCATGGGCTCCTTCAGCAAGACCCGCGACTTGGGAGCCAGTGAGAGCGACGCCAGAGCACGGTTCAAGTCTCCCGGAGGGATGTCGGTCTGCGCCTGGATCTCCTCATATGTGAGGGACTGGCCATCTGCCAAGTCGTTGAACAGCAGCAGCACTACCATGCCGTGAGTAGACACGGTGAGCTCGTACCGTCGGTCTTTGCTCAATGGCCCGCTCTCCTTTCCAGGAACCTTGGGGAAGACGCATTTGATATCGGCGGTACCAAGGTTGCCGACCCAGGTCAGGACACGTCCATTGCGCTCGGTGAGATAGTACTTGAAGAAGCTAGCTTGAAGTGCTTGAATCTCGGCCGGCCAGTTGCACTCAATAAAGCGACCATCATTCGATTTCTGCATCATGCCCTCAGACGGCCAGTGGTTGCTGGTGAGAACGTTGATCCCGAGGTCGACGGTCTTGCGGTCCACGTCTCCAAGGTCGCGGATGTAGTCCCGGTATCCCGTGGTGAGGTCGCGTGAAGTGTCCATGTCCTTGAACATGCCCTCAAATCGCTGTGTGAAGTGACTGCCGATCTCCTGCTTCATCCGTGATATCAACTGCTTCTCAGCGTCTTCACTCTCGGACTTCCCGTGCAGAAGGCGGCGCGCCAAGTGCTTCTGGTAGTATCGTTGGAACATGTCCCTGTCCTGGAGGAACCGTACGAGGATGATCGCCTTCTCCATACTCTCGTCAACCTCGGCCTCAGTCTTGCCTCGAATGCCGTTCTTCAAGTTGTCGTCAATGAATAGCGACACAAACTCCGAGCTCCGGCTAAAGAGGTTGATGAACTCGGAGAAGCTCTTGGTGAGCGCCGATTCGATTATCTTGTCGCTTCCGAAGCAGCCGTGCAGGAACGTATCGAACTTGTCTTTGAGCTTGAGGACATCATCGACCCACTTGACGGCTGCGGCTGTCACGCGCGCCGAGCCAGTCAGCGGTTTCGCCGCCTCCTCCCCTTCCGCACCTGGCTGCTGCGCTGAGAAATTCGCGTCCTTCACAGCCTTCTCAATCTCTAAGCCAAGCTCGACGACCCGGGCCTGCAAGATCTTCTTGAGCTTATCAATGCCATTGGGAACCCTGTCGACGAGCCTATAGAGGAGAGTGAGGTCCTCGATGCGGTCGTTGTCGATCATGGCACGGAGGCCACTACCCTCCAGTGCCAGAAACCGATCCAGATGGCTGGCGATGAGCTCTCCGTCGACAACTTTCACTATCTTGGAGGTACTCATTGTAGACACGGTTGTCTTGCAGCGATCTTCCTCTTCCACCAAGCGCCGGCTTGTATGACGCAGCCAACTGCCGGCATCGCCCTCCTGGAGCAGCTGTTCCACCTCTTGTGCGTAGAATCGCCTGCTGTCTCGGAGGTACGCGGGCTCGAAAGTGGTGAGGTAAAGACGGTTGTCATCGACCAGGTCGTCAGTCTCTGCCAGCTGCTCGTACATGTGGAGCAACCTCTTGACAAGATTCTTGTCGATGATATCCCCCTTCCGATCCATGTTGATAAGGTCGAGGACAACTGCATTGATCAAGTCGGTAAGGGGACCGTCGATGGAGTCGAACTGGCGGCGCAGTATGTTGTCTCTGTAGAGGCCGAGGATGGTCATATAAAGCTGGGGCCGGTCCGTATCATGTGTCTGTCCTCTATCCAGATACATCATGACGTCGGAGATCATGGCCACGGCGCTCATGTGCTGCTCCCAAGAATCACGCATTCCCTTGAGGAACTTCTCGCCCAACTCCCGGCGCTCGTTATCGGTCGTGCCAGGCATGTCACCAAAAGCATGGCTGATCATGTGGCTGCTCATCAGGTCTAAGATGGGCGGGACGACCTTCTCTCCGAACCACTGCCTCTCGAAGGCACCGATCTTGTCGAACAAAGCCTGGCCGCGCCTCTTGAGAACTATCTTATAGGATGCGCGGTAGAGCTGCTCGAAGGATAGTTTTCCAGCGTTCCGTTCGTGTATGTCGGTAAGGGCCTCGTAGAGCATCTTCCAGCAGGCCTCGAATTCCTGCTCCTCGCTGAGGCCCGGCCGGGGGTTGTTAATAGGCTGTTTAAAAAAGATATTAGCACGGCGGGAGTATGGGACGTAGAATTTCGTTATGACCCTTTGCCAGGTGACATGAGGGCCACGGCGCGAGTAAGGTACGTAGAAAGCCATCATGACAGTTTGCCATACGGCTTGAGGGATGAGGAAAAGAAGAGAAGGCAAGACGGGCTTGAATATGATGGTGGGCGGAGGGAGAGGAGGCCATGAGAAGAGAAGCAGTATCATATATACCTTCCGGGAAGGCCGTATTTTGCCCTGTGGTCGATGCATTGTGACTGTGGTGAACAATGGAAACCGAAGAGACAGTTGAATGATCACGGAAGGCGCTGGGATGCGAAGGAGGGCTTCCTGAAGCAGGTGTGGCCGGTGGGGTGGAGGATCTCAGATGGGATGGCGGGATTGTGGGTGTGGTGTTGTGTGCGGTTGCTGGGCAAGAAGTCAGAGCTGTGAAAAGACACAACGCAGATGCAAGCCCCACCGAATGGGAAAGGGGGGAGGGAGAGAATGGTCTGCACAATAGTAAGCTGGAGTGGGCATGGCAACAGACAAGGGACAGTGTTTCGAAGTGGTTGGTAAGGGAAGAAGTTATTCAGCAACGAGAAGCACTGCGATGTCCAAGCCCACATCCCATGTGGTGCTTCTTTTGGCGAGAGGTGGGGGTAGTTTGGAGCTCCAGGCAGCTAGGAAGGTACTTTGGACTTGCCTTCACGATAGGGCTTGGTGGCGTACCTTGCTATTGTGGCTTTGATCAGCTTTGCTTCGCTGCCTACCCCAGACCAAATGCACGACACTGGACCCCGCGATGGTCGGGATGGTGGGCTGCAATTGGAGAGCCTCAAGCAACGGCTCCACTCTGTCGGGTTTAAGTGCGGTCTTTGCCTGCCACAGCACAGGCAACGTCATTGGGCAAAGTTTGGAAACTGCCGTAACTTTTGCAGATGCTGCGACTTTTTGTTACTCTTGGGGTCGACTACACACTTGTAGATAATTGACTCCAGAGAAAGACTCAACAACCTCATCTTTGTGCCAGGTCATCACAAACCACACTACGACAAGCTTTGCAGCCCAGTCTTGGGCACAGACAGTATGGCCTCGAGAAGCATCTCTTCTTCATCAAGCCTCCGGGCACTGGCTCGTTCCACAGCCAGACCGTCGTCTTTCCCAAGAATGGCCCTGCAACCGTTCATCCTCCCGACCGCCCGTCGAACACCACTGCCCCTGCCGCTTCCCACAGCGAGACTACCATCAACGACGCGCCTCGCCCACTCCGTACCCCGCCCGCCGCCCGCCAACGCCACCGCAAACACCCCCAAGCAGCCGTCGTACGAGCTGACCTTCACCTGCGTGCCCTGCGGCTCGCGCTCCGCCCACAACGTCTCCAAGCAGGGCTACCACCACGGCTCCGTGCTCATCACCTGCCCCTCGTGCCGCAACCGCCACGTCATCAGCGACCACCTCAACATCTTCGGCAACCGCAGCCTGACCGTCGAGGACCTCATGCGCGACAAGGGCCGCCTCGTCAAGCGCGGCACCCTCGGCGAGGACGGCGACGTCGAGTTCTGGGAGGACGGCTCCACCACCAGCAGGGGCGAGCGCCAGTCCGACGGCAACGACCCCAAGCCCATGCCAAGAAACGATGCCACCGCCAGCGGCGGCGACGCTGGCCAGGCTGATGCGCCTGGGTCGACGTTCGGGAAGGCTTAGAACGTGGGCGGTGCGCGATGGGGTTCGCCTGTATATTATCGCCCCAGAGGCATGTTATGTACGACTAGAGAGCATTCGGCGGCGTTTGGGATACCCGGTTGATGCGAAAATATGGATTAGAACAACGACCAAGTGTGTGATACACCTTACCGCCATCTCAAAATTTTACCAAGCACTGGAGAGTACGGAGAATACACAAGAGACACCCTTCTCAGATTTCATATGATGGATCACTATTGCCTGTGTCCCACAACATGTGATCTCACAGTGAGTAATTCCCCTGGAGATTACTATCCAAAAGATCGATTCAGGTTATCCCACAGAAAATTGTCCCATAGAACGATATCTCGTGGGAGGTTACGCCAGAAGACGGTTTTCCATTGAAATGTATCCCACAGGAGGGTGTCCTATAGGAGATCGTCCCAGAGAACATTATGCATAGGAGGTTATCCTATGAGAACTTATCCTGAAGGTTGTCTTAGTGGTGGTTATCTTGGCGGTGGTCATCCCCCTGTTGGATTCCCAAGAGGAGGCTGTCCTATAGGAGGTTATCCTAGTAATGGTACGGTGGAGATTGTTATGGACCAAGTCACTTCAGCACGTGTGGGACTCAGTGAGCTCAACTGTGTTAAATTAGGCCGTGTGGCCAATCATATCTAATTGTATTAATTTTCTTTTTGAACCCCAGGGGACAATCCCATCTAATACCCCCTACGCTTGCTCCGGTGCTCCAGCCCAATGGCCTTCCTCCTGTTCTTCTTGCTGTCCAGCTTGCGCCTCTTCTCCTTGCCCCACTTCTCCGGCGCCGTGATGGCCTCCACCTTCCTCTTGCTGCTCCGATGCAGCCTCCTCCCCTTGATCTCCTCGCCCACGGCCAGCAGCTGCTTGGTGTACTCGGCCGTGCCCAGCTTCTCCTGCAGCGCGTCCATGATCTGCTGCGCCTTGGTCTTGAGCGCCTCGTGCCGCTCCTTGAAGAGCTCGTCCGTCGAGAACGGCATCGGGATGTTCGGGTCCGTCAGGTTCCGCAGGGGCCGGAGGATGGTCCGCAGCGACGGCTCGAGCGTCGCCGCGTCGTTCCTGGCGCAGAGCACATCCAGCGCCTCGGCAGCTGCGAGCTTGGACACGAGCGTCGGCGCCCTGGGCGGCGTCTCGCGACGGACGACTTCGGCCAGCCGGGAGAAGACGTAGCGCATGGTCATTGTGCCCGGCTTCTTGACCTCCTCGTCCTCCTCGCCGTCCTTGAAGAAGTCGTCTTCGTCTTCGTCCTCGCCTTCTTCCTGGTCGGAAGCTTCACCGTCGTCCTCGGCTGCTGCATTGCTTAGGAAACGTGTAAGTGGGACTAGGATCTGCACAATTTCCCGCGCCAGTTCCTCGTCGACCTCAAGACCCCGCAAAGTTCCCAACAGCAGTCTGATGATCTCCCAAGTCTTCTCTTGTTCGAGCGTCTGGCCATTTGTTCCAACAACAGACTGTCCCTTGGTCAGTGCTGCCTTGTTGCCGGCAAAATCAGACAAGTACGTCGCCAGCAGTTTAACAGCGTTGAGCTTGACAGCTGGACGTTCGTGAGACATGCAGGGGAAGACGCCGGCCCACAGCTCCTCCGAGGCGGTGGATAGCATTCTGTCAGGGTGCCTGTCGACCAGGACTCGCACAAGGTTCAGCGCAGAATTGACAAGCTCCCAATCCTCCTTGTCTTTACCCGCGAAGACAGTCACGAGGCTACCAATGAGCATCTTCACGTCCTTCTCGTCCTTCTCGCTCGCTTCCAACGCCTCGAAGTACAGGCTCCAGATCTGGTACCCCAATTTTAATACGGAGGTATTGTCATGATTCTTCGCCCAGGCCCTCATCCGGTCCAAGAACTCCTTCATGTGCGCTGGATCGGCTTTGCTGAAGATCTCTTTGATGAGCACACCAGCAACGAGCTGGCACTTTTCACTCTCGTCATTGCCAATCACAATGACCAACGGGAAGAAACAGCTTGCCGCAATCTCCTTGACAAAGTCCGGAGCCGACTTGGTCAGCAACAGATGCAACACCTCCATGACCGATATTCGACCACCTTCGCGAGGATATTTGAGATTGGCGATGATGAAATCGACCTGCTTATCCCATCTGCTCTTCTTTTGTGGGTACTCTCTCAAGAATTGGAAGAAAGCACCTCTAGCCAGGTCCCGCGTGTTCTTGTCGTCGTTGGTGATCATGACGGTACCGACGTAGTCCAGTGTATCATAGACAGCAGCAGTTTCAATCTTGCGGTCCAAGACTGACCTCAAAAACTTGAATGTGACATGGCGGTACAGTGGTTCTGTGAGATCGTCCTTGAGCTTGCCGAGTAGCATGTCGATAGCGGCATCTTTGACCACAATCTCACGCCTGTCTCGGAGTATGACGGACAGAAGCTTCAAGGCGGTCTGCGCAAGATCGGAGCCGGTAGAGACCGCCTGAAAGATGCACTTCAGGGCATCCTTTGAGGCGACCTTGTACAGGTCGTTGAGCTCATTGGTCTTGGACGGAACCTTGACCAGGACAGTCAGGAGTTTGAAGGCCGCAATCTTGACCTCTTCCTCGCCTGCCACAATGGCATCGCCGAGGATGGCAATGAAGCCACTGATGTTGCTTGCAGACCGCAGAGTCTCGCGCTTCTTCAAAACAGACCTGAGAATGTCCAGGGCAAAACGCATCAGTTTGTGGGTGTGCTTGCTTGCAGCGCCTCGGTCTTCCCTCTTAGCCCCCCTTTGTATCAGATACCGTCTCAGTTTGGGATCAATCTTCTTCTCGGCCGTGGGTTTGCGGCTATTGTAGACCTCCTGAATGACTTCATAGCAGAAGACCAACGTGTCTCTGCTGTCAGAGGCCGGGTTCTTCTGCAGACCAGATGCAATCCTGTTCAACAACTCGTCTATCTTTCGCGCCATGCGAAGGTCAAGCTTTTCCAGTAGCATGGCTTGAAGCGGTTTGACCAGCTCCACAAGATGAGTGATAGAGGCAGTCGACGCAATCAGTTCCATGCTGTCTTGGCTCTTGCTGCTCTTGACTTCCTTCCACCTGCTCACGTAGCCTTCTGCATCCTTTTCTTGGCCGCTGATTCCGAAGATGTCATCCATGATCACTGCTACCATCGACTCCAAGCAGTAATCGAGGTCTCCTTGCTGGAACTCTGGTGTCACGGCCAAGAGAAGAGTGTGCATCGTGTACGAAAGCACGTGCAGTTGGGTTCCCATCTTCAGCGCCCCGCGCAGTTCTTTGAGGATGAAACCGAAAGATGGTGGTCCCAGTATACAAGCAATCTTGGACAAAGTGGCCCGCGCCATGTCTCGAGCTTCCACGGCCTTGCTCCTCAGGATATGGCAGAGGTCCGTGAGGACACTTGGGAGCTGTAGGCTGAGGGTTTCATCCGGCAGCAATCGGAGAAGTTTGACGAGAATGACGGCCACGGGAACCCTTGCGCTCACAGTCTCCTCGTCCTTGTCCTTGAGATGCGCCAATAGTGGTGGCGTGAAGTTGGTTGTGAACTCCTCGGTCAATTTCTCTGTAGATGGCAAAGACCGGGCAAGACGGTGCTTGGTCACTTTGACCTCGTCCACCTCCATTGTCGATTCATTGGCACTCTCAGCAGCTGAAACAAGCGCGTCAACGACCTTGTCGAGAAGACGGATGACTTGCTTGTGAAGCTCGGGCTTGGACGTCAGATACGATATATATCTTCGCAGCGTCGCTCTGTACTGAGACCACTCAAGAGATCCAGCGAGGCTGGCGATCGTGGCTGCAGCTTGCGCCCCCAGCCCGTGATCATCGGCTCCGGCACGTCCCCAGATAAAATGCTCCAACAGCGGCAGAAGAATCTGGCTGATGTTCTTGCTGCCGAGCTCATGGCGTGCGCTGGCTAAGCTTAGCGTCTGCACAGCCTGCACTTGCCTTGAAACGGATGGAGTAAGGATATTGATGAAGAAGGCTTTGTTGGCTTCCTCTTCATTTGCTGGTAGCAATACAGAGAGATCGCTGACCAAAGACCAGTCGCTGAGCTTGCTCACCGTGTGGCTCAGCAGCCTCACGGTCTCGCGGCGTACTGTCTCTGATAGTTCCCTGACGCCAGCATGGATTGCTGGGATAATGCTCTCGTTCAGAAGCTCGACATAAGCTGGTTGCATCTCTGTGCTCCAGGCTTCCGCGGTAGCATCGACGAGTCTGCACAATACATCCGCTGAATTGGATGATAGAATTCCAAATTCCTCATCGTGGTGCAGAAAGAAGACCGCGTTGTGCAGCAACGGTAACCATTGCTCGATGGTGAAAGCCGTATCTCTCTGGGTGATGGCGTTGAAGGCCGCAAGTCGACGGTCATAGTCCGGCTCATCCAGTCTTTCTGCGACATATGAATTGAGTTCCGCGCAGATTCGAGCAACATCTTGCACGGTAACATCTCGTGTCGCATAGGCCAGTAGGACATTTGACAGCGATTCCCTGTTTCGCTTGTCTTTGAAGAAGCTGAACAGACCTGACAGTGTTTTCAGTACGCTCTTCTTCAGGATTGGGTCATTGTGGATGTCATCCACAACGACGTAATGCTCCAAAATCAGAAGCAGTGATCCTTTGATCTTCGGGCTCACACGCCGCGCGGGCTGATTCAACAAGTGCGTCGAGATGTCAACGAGACTGCGGGCGTTTCGCGAGCCATCGACGACAGAAGAAAGGTCCACCACCGTGTCAATGCAAGCCTCCAGAACCCGGATGTCTATATCGTGTCCACCGTGCAAGTAGTCGCCAATCACACTGAGAATCTTGTCCGCGTTGGGATCGAGGACCTGCGCCTTGACGAGACCGTCAAACTCGGTCCCCGTCTCAGGGGCTTGGGCAAGCTTGACGAGATTCCGGACAATTCCGAGACCGAAGATCCGAACTTCGGTCTTGCTCTTCTCAAAACCAACGCATTCCGCAACCTTGGGCATGACATTATCGTTGATTGCAAGGGCAGGCGCAGTCTGGGTCGACAGCGACCAGGTGTCCAGAAGCTTCCAAGTCCAAGAAATGCCCTGCGCCATCTCCCCAACAGGCTGGTCGACGACGGGGGCCACGATCTCCGTAACAATTGCCTCTTGATATGGGGTCCAATCAAAATTCGAGTTATTTTTGACCAAAGCGCAGAGGCACTTCAACGACGTCGTTCTGGCTACTCTGAACAGCGAGGTGCTGCCCGTCTCGTTCTCGTCGACACTGGCGTCGTCATCTGCCTCTTCGTCTCTGCGCTCAGCTTGATGTAGGTTGCGAGAAGCCGAGAACAGACAGTACAGGACAGCGTTGACAAGAGGACCCATATACCTCTCAACGCTCGCACCAAGTTCGTTGATGACAGAATCGACCATGTGAAGCAACCCCACCATCTTGCGGGCAGTGATCCTCTCCTCCCGGAACAGACTCTGCTTGAGCCCCGACCCATCTACAACGCGAACATCGCGGAGGTTGCCAAGTGCGATGTCCAAGAATCCTCCAACATCTTCAAGAGACAGATTTCGAATCACTGCCAAGCGAGTTGCATGGAGCCCATTCCGACCGCTCGAAGCACCCTTTTTAGCCGTAGCCCGTCCGTATAGGATGCGCAAAAGAACGGGCATCAGCTCCGCTCGATGTTCGTCCCGTATCAAGTCCTCGTCTTGCAGAAAGACTGTCAGCTCATTTTTGAAGCGAGCGTCATCGAGGAGATTTTCTAGGTTTTCTCTGTATGGCTTGATGCCGTCCTGTTTCCAAGCCAATATGGACTTTAGTGCGAGCTTCTGGACTTCCATCTCGCGATTTGCCAGAAGGCTTAGAAGTGTGTTGTAGACGTCTGCGCTTCTGTAGAGAACCTTGGGGTTGCCGAATTGCGCGAAAACACTGATTAGGGCTTTTCGGTCCGGTAGGGACCAGAAATCGTCTTCGGGTAGCAAGTTGTCCTCGTCTTCGTCTTCAGACGAAGGGACATGTGCTTCGTCCAGAGAGAGCAGAAACGGCACAATCTTCCTTGATCTCTTTTCTGCCGAAGAGGGAATGCCTGAGAGGACTTTGAGCGCTTTGCCCCTTGCATTGGCAACGTGATCAGGCGGTACATCTTGTTCATCCTCAAAGCTTCTCAACAAGATGCTCGAGGACGCGTCCAATGCTTCACTGATCCCCTGAGCTTGTTCTCTCAGACCGGTCAGATTCGAGCACTCGAAATCCGAGGCTGTCCCTCTAACAGAGCTCGACGAGAATTGTGATGGAGTCCAGCGAGGTGAGGGGATTTGAAGCCACTCAAGGGCACGGTTGAACACAACATCACCAGCAGACTTATGCTCGGCTATCTGCTTGAGCGCTTCGACAGCGTCATCCCAGATGGGGGCCAGTCGTACGGTGAGCTGCCCGAAGAGGAACGCTGGAATGGCATGCCGCAACCATGACTTCTCATCGAGATGAGAGTAGGACTTGGCAAGCCGTCGTAGATGAATTGCAATCGCTCGAGGGCTGTTGTGATCCAAAGGCAACTCCTCGACTGAGATCATAGTTGCCAGGCAAGAATCCTGATCTGGAGTGGACGGCAGTACTTCGAATACCTTCAGGGATACAGTTCGGAGGGGTCGGGACGAGTTCGCCAGATTGTTGACGAGTGACTGCAGGAAGGGATCGTGCTCAGTAATGGGAGCTTCCTTGCCACTAGGCTTTTGCTTGGCTCGCATCTCCTTTTCATATCCCAAAAGGGCTTGTAGGAACGAAGGACTTCGAGAGAAGCGTGGCGCCGCGGCTTTCAGCAACGGGCTCAGTGATCCATCGACAGAGCCGGATGCTTTGCTCATTCGTAGGTATGCGAGAAATCCTTGTGTAACGATGAATCGAGTTTCCTCGGTCGCAAGAGACTCAGATGGTCGCAAAGCGAGTTTCAACTTCTTAAGCAGCAACTCGGCGATCCTGGCGTTGGTGGACGGGTGCACGTTCGTTGACTCCAAGACCCGGAGCAGTGCAGCGTACTTTGGCAAGTAATGCTCCCTCCAGACGTCGGGGTTCTTGCTTTGGGTGTTTGTTTCTGGGAATGGCGTATTTCCCAGCTCCTCAAACTTGCTGACAATTTGGTCCTGCCATGACTGTGGCAGGGAGCAGCCCTCTTTGTCTCCGCCAGCAGGTAAGGCGCCGCAGGCCACCAATTTTGGCAGTAGCACACAAAGTAGCTCCTCGTTACCAGTCTCTGACCAGTGAGCCGCAATAAATTTCTGGAACGGCTTTTGAAACAGACTCCGGAATCTCGCTCCATTTACTTCAGCCAGATAACCGCAGAATGGTATGTACCACCGCATGAGAGGCTCTCCCGTCATTGCCTTATTGAAGTCGTTGAGTGAAGGCATGAGCGCATCCATCGGTGCCTGGGTCCAGCAGATGGCTGCGTTTGCCACCACACTGTCCCAAACTATTGATGCAGCATATTTTGAAATATTTTCGGCGTCTTTGGACAGCATCTGAAGCAGTTCTGTGAGGGTCTTGACGACAGGCCGCCAATCATTAAGCCTAGAGCCACTTCGAACACCGGCCATGATCCCGAGAAGACGCGTGAACAAGGAGAGACCGTAAGGTTTATCCTGGCCGTCACTCTTCATCCGTGTCGATGCAGCTTCTAGTATCGATTCGGACAAGACCTGGAATGAATCGGCGGTTGAATGATGAACAATGTTGGTGAGAACACCGCAGCAGACGTCCGTCCAGCACGTTGGGCTCCCAGCCTCAAGCTCTATGGACGGCACAGAGTCAAGAAGGGCGTCGAACAGGTAGGTCGCTGTGGAGTGAAGCGTGGTTCCGGGTCCTTTCATAGCCTCTGAAAACATGGTCATGATTCCTTCTCGGTACGCCTCGAACTGCTTGGTCTTATAGGCCGCTTCCATCTCGTATTCGGCCACGTCTCCCTCAGTGTCCTGGTTCTTTCGCGCGATGATTCTAGCCAAGTCCTGCAAATCATCCCTCGCATGTGCAACGATCCGAGGTAGAGCGGTTTGGCGGTTAGAGGGTGCAGCAGCCTTTTTGATCAAGAAACTCATCGCCTCGGCGGCAAACCTATTGATGTGGATGGGGTGTTTCCGCTTCCCCAGCAAGCCTGCTAGCATGTCGTACGTCGGTGTCAAGTCCGGAACCAGCAGTTTTGATAGGTACTTGAAGAGCCAGGCGAATGCTCCAAAATTCCACTCGATCACGTCGACATCTTGTGGTTTACTTGCGATAGCGACCAAAAGTTCCAGGCTCCTCTGGTAATATTGTTCGAATTTTGTTCCGAGATCATGCGCAAATGCTGTAAGGAGGTCTAGCAGAGGTTCCAAGGCCTCCCTATCCTGTGCGCCGAGGTATGTAGCCAGGAGATCCATGATCTTGTCCTGAAAGTGGAGGATCTGCGGGAGGGTCTCGCAGAGAGGCATGATTTCCCTTCTGAAGTTGGTGAACGACTTGGATATGTTGAGGTCGCTCCATTTGACCACGCCATTTCGGAGGTATGAGGTTGTCGCAGAGAGGTCTTCGTCGTCGAGGTCATGGCGGCGCACTTTGCGCAAAGGGTCGAGTGAGTTCAGCTTAGAGATCTTTGTCGTGAACGATTCCCATCGGTGGTTTTTTTGGTGTGGCGTCGAGTGCTTGCGGGCCTTCGAGACCCGCCCCGACGCCGTGGGCGGCATTTTGGCTGTGGTGAGGGAAGTTTTGAAGGTGAAAAATTTTGAGATTGTGAGGGACCGTTGACAGTTCGACCGCTACCGTAGGCATGGGGTAGCGCCGACTGTAGGACAACCGACTGTAGTACAACCGGCCGTGGGACAATCGGTCGTGGATAGTCGGCCGTGGGATAATCGGTTGTGGGATAGTTAGTCGGCCGTGGGATAGTCGGCTCTGGGATAGTCGGCCGTGGGATAACCGACTCAAGGGTAGCCGACTCCTGAGAGTTGGACAGTCGGTATGAGGCTGTAATGGCGATTTGTCGGCTCAGTGTAGTTGCGACTGGAGTACAGGAATTTTTTTGGGAAACTGATTATCGATAACGGCGACCAGGGTCTGCGTGGGGCGATAAGCTGGCCGAGCAGCAACAGCGCTAAGATAACCTTATTTTGCGCCCGAGCTCCCTTCCATCCTGGACTCGATCTTGTAGCTTGACCTCTTTCTTCCAAAGTTGAGATTAATTTGAAGAGCAGCGATGCGCCAAGCTTTTGGCAATCCGCCCCCAACACCCAGCCTCGCTTTTGACGCCGTGCTTGCTTTCCCCAGCTCGTGGTTCAATTGCTCATAAGCTTCGTTTTCGATGGGCAGCTGCATGAGTGGTCCGTATCACCACCCATCAGTTCTTTGCGAGAGTTAGCCACCACGACGCGACTCGGCGAAGAACGGCTTACAATGGCGGCACCGAAGATGTTAGTCCCTTCCCACAGTCTCTCGGTCTCTGGCATGGCTAACAAACGTTTTTTACAGCTTCGTTATTGGCAATGTCAATGGCAAATTGCAGCCAGCCTTCTCTAAGCTCGCCACTCTTCATTCCAAGACAACTTCTCTTTCGCCGTGATCGTCGGAAACCTCTTCGGCACCGACGACGATGACGCAGTCACCGACTTGCTTTCCGGAAAGACACAAGTGCCCCTCCCGACCTACTTCACCGTCGGAACCCACGCACTGCCCGCTCGGGTCGTCGAGAGGATCACGAAAGAGGAGGAAATATGCCCCAATTTACACTACTTGAACAAGCGCGGAGTCACCAAGACCTCCGAGGGGGTTCGAATCGCCACTTTAGGCGGTATACTGGATCCAGAGATCGTGGGAGGCCAGTCTCAGGAGCAGCACCTTCCCTTTCACACACCAGACGACGCCAAGGCCTTGCGCGGCGCGAACACGACAGACATTCTACTCACAACTATGTGGCCGTCGACGGTATGGAACGGGTCCAAGGTCGCGCTGCCTTTTGACACGTCCGGCGTTGTCACCAGCGATGCTATTGCAGACCTCTGTGCCGCCCTTAAGCCTCGATACCATTTCGTTCCCTCTCACTCTGCCTTCTTCTATGAGCGAGAGCCCTTCTTCCACCCGCCCAAGGACGCTTCCGCAGAGCTCGACACTGAGGTCACGCGCTTCATCTCCATAGCGTCATACGGCAACACCGAGAAAGCGAAGGCCATGTACGCCTTCTCGCTGACACCCTCCACCGGGACCCTCCCACAGGGCAGCACCGTGTCTCCCTTCCTCGCACGAGCCGATCTTTCCAAGAAGCGCCCGGCCCCATCAGACGAAGGCTTCTCCCGCTTCTCCAACGGCCAACAAGGAGACAACTACCGTCCAAACCGCTTCCGCAAGGGTGGCCGTGGCCAGCGAATGCCGCCGCCGGGCCCCGAGAACTGTTGGCTTTGCCTCGCCAGCGAGATTGTGGCGACACACATGATCTGCTCCATAGGAGATGACACTTACCTTGCTACTGCCAGGGGCCCTCTCCCGACGCCGGACATGTTCGCGAAGTATGGCCTCGAGCACCCGGCGCACATGCTCATCGCGCCGCAGGAGCACGTCTCATCCGTCAGCCGCGCTGCTATGGGTCAGGACGCGGCTGACCGCACGTTCAAGGAGATGTCGCGGTTCCGTGAGGCCCTCCAGGCGACGGTCTCCAAGAAGTCCGACCACAAGCTTGGCGCTGTTACATGGGAGATCAACAAGATAGGAGGCATCCATGCACACTGGCAGTTCATGCCCATATCTGCAGATTTGGTCAAGAAGGGCCTCGTGGAAGCCGCGTTCCGCGTCGAGGCCGAGAACCTGAGCCTTCCTGGCCTCGTGGTCAAGGACTTCGGCATCAGCGACGAAGTACCAGGCGACTACATCCGCATTTGGATCTGGTGCGAGGACGCAGGCGAGGGCGGTGAAGACGGCGGGGCGATCATCAGCAAGAGCCTCCTGATGCGGTTCGACGAGAAGGTTCGCTTCGACCTACAGTACCCCCGCAAGGTGGCTGCGAAACTGATGGGCCTCGAGGGCCGGATGAACTGGCGCGACTGTATGCAGACGGAGCAGGAGGAGACGGACGACGCGGCCAAGTTCCGTGAGCTGTTCAAGCCGTGGGACTTCACGCTGACAGACTAGGAGTCCTCGTCCCCGACCCTTACGCATCCCAGCACTGCTGCCCTGGGGTCTCAGGACACCGCGATGCTCGATGTTAGCGGCCAAAAGGCCTGTGCGATGCGATCGTCTGTAGCAGAGCTCTCAGCGGCTCAGGCGCCCCAGCACAAGCCGCGGCCGCGGCAGCGGGACCTGTCGTGTACACCGCCCAAGTACGGCGGGCGCGCGTCTCCAAACACGCGACCCAGTCACCCCAGCGTCTGCGGGCGGCGGCTACGCCGATATTCGCTCTAATCTTTCCACGACCGGACTCCGCTCACGTCTATTTCAAGAGCGTTGAGCAAGCAAGAGGCCTAGTGAGATTGGGGTGACCATTTTTGGGGACCATGTGCTATTATCTGGGACTCGGATATGACGGTGCAAAAAAACGGGATGACTTCATTCCATTAATTCTGGGAAAGTTCAAGATACCCTCGCATAATATTCCTTTTTGGGAGACGTCGAGTCTATAGTTCGTGGTTCATGTAGATGCATAACAATACATTATCAAGCATTGACTTACCCACACCCACAACCAACTTCACGGCCAACAGCGTGGCTCAATCCCGTAGAATCGTACATCCGCGCACCTCATCCTGTCGGGCTTCTCCAAACCCTCGCCAGAGGATCACGACCCCCTGCTGTTCTCAAGCCTCGTGGCCCAGCCGACGGAACGCGGCACGCCTCCCTCCATACCAACCGCAAACCAGGAGAACCCCTTTAAGCCACCACAATCCCCACGCTCCGGTCCCCCGCCCAACGCCAATGTGTCTCATACCAGCAAAAAGCTAGTCCACCGGGGCAGCTGGCCCGTGTCCGGCACACCCTTTCTAAGACAAAAACCCCAAGCCACGTTGTCATACTTACCCTTCCCCCCGGCCGGCCCCAGCCCTCGTGGCCAACTCACCAGACGGGTGGAATGAAACCCCAGGGGGCGGGAGATACCGAAAGACCCAGCTATCCCAGAAACAGCAAGGTGAGGTGAGAAAAAGTTTGAGGCGCCCCGGATTTGGAATGGGACCCCCTACCTCACGCACGCTGACGGACGCTTCTGGACACGCGGCCGATGGTATCCGGATGAGGACCACCTGAGGTATTGGGAAAGCGGAGGCCCACTAGCAGAGAGTGTGTATATGTGAGAGAGTGTGAGTGAGTGAGTGAGTGAGTGAATGTGTGAGGCTAGTGTAAGAAAGTGAGAAAGTTTGAGTAAAAGAGACTGTGTGAGGACCTGCAGAGTGACACCTCCCGAGCTCACGGACCGTGGGAAGGAGAGGTAAGAAGCAGAAGGCGAGCCTCCTGCTATGAGGCTCATTCCCAGCTGATTCTTTAGCAAATAGCAAGAATAGAGAAAAGATTTTACTCGCCCCGACTCAGCTTACCTCGCCTTGCCTACCTCTCTAAAACTTGTCATGATGCTGCCCTTTGGTGTCACATAATAACCATAGCGTCGGTACAGGATCAGGATAACTAATTCACATCCTTCCCGAGGTGCAACACAAGCCCAGCGGGTAGGACAATCAGGTCACCCGTCTTCACACTCGCTGCCACGGAACAAACATTCAAGTCTAGAAGGACACGCGCAAGGAAGGAATTTGCAGGATTTCTCTTTGATTCCTAGTTCCGTTTTCTCCCTTACATATCAGGACAAGTTGAACCAGTTAAGGTCTCGTCCTTTTGACACAATAGAAAAATCGAGGAAGGAAAAAAGACGGCTTAGACAAGCTTCGTCTCGTCGCTGCCCCTGGGTCCGTTCCTTGTGGCTCCCTCTTCCGAGTGCGCAGGAGAAGCCCAAAGGGTGCGTACAGCAAAGCTGGTGGAGGCAGTAAGCAGCGTGCAATAGTAGCAGCAGATAGATCGCTAGTATACAAGGTATTAGGAACGACTGAGGGTCGGTGTCACAGTCTGGGTGTTACTCCGCAACAAGAAACGAGAAACATCCTCCGGCTGCATCACCTCGCACCCTCAAGCTTTCCTGCCCTCTCGCTCCACACGGGAGCAGGAGTGGGAGTGAGGGCATTCTCAGCCCGCCAACTACCCCACAAATGCGGTCCTGTCTCCCGGTATCGTCACGGCGCTTCCACTTCTTGCGTCCGTTCCTTCTTCTGGTTTGCCATATCGCCGTTTGCGTGTATTCGTGAAAATTGATCGTATGCCTTGTCGTAATTTTGAGAAGGGTATCAAATGTCCCGTCACTTAACGAGAGCGTCCAACGGCGACGAACGGCCGAGGGGGGTTTATAAAGGGACTTCTTTGGTTGGTGAAGAAGCTTCGACCTCCGGTAGATGACGAACCGGGGTAGTAGTATTGAGTGAAGTCCAAACACGCAATGAGGCGCGTGCAGGTCGGAAAATTGTAGCGGCTGTTGAACCAACTGCAGAGGAGTGTGCAGATGAGCCGCGAATGAATTTGTGACGATCGGGTCGCTGAAAAGGCCTTCAAGGAGGTTTCGACACCGCAGATAAATAAAAACAGAGGAAAAGGTTGAGTGCAGGAGAATGACCAAATGCAAGTAGCCACCGTGGGCATCGGATCCAAGAAGCTCCAGTAAAATGCAACAGTCGATGCGATGCGAGTCTATGCCAATGCGTGTAATGCCGAAAGAAATGAAACTTAGGATTCCTCGGGCAGTAGCAGATAAACCGCGACGGCGTTGCACATCGATAATCTGTCGAGTCCGCGAGGTGAGCTCTGGGAATTACGATTAAAGATGTAGTGTTTGGAAGTGGCGGCGAGCATGGTCAGGTGTGGTTGTGGATGGTCTGCCGAGAAAGCATGCAGAGTATCCAGGAAATCGAATGCCAGGTAGCAAGCAATGCGACTGGCCGAGTATAAGCTCTTGAGTGAACAGGGATCGGAGTGCCGCCTTGAGAAATCATGCTCCCAAGTCGCTATTTTCTCACGAGGGGGGTGCAAGAACGCTTCGAGAGAGTTCGACAGGTGGACCGACACTGGACAACCAAGGCACGTTTGTCACTTCAATACGAAGCCATGCGCCTAGCATGACCCCGATCGTGGCCCACGCTGGGCGAATCGCCAAGTTGCATGGGAGAATCGTCGATGCTGTACCGATGACCAGCTGTCGGGGAGTCTTGGGCTGAGTGTTCCCTTTCACCAAAAGCATAGGTCTGAGCACGTCCAAGACCCTTGCGGGCATGTCGCAGACGATCCATCTCCTTCTCACAAGTTCTGGCGTGCTCGGCAGCATCCATTTCCACATATGCTTGAGGGTAGCATCGTTGGCGGTGCTCGGCGAAGAAGCCACTGTATCCGCCTTCCAAGATGTATACCTCGGGATAGGTCAAACGGGGGTAACTCTCAGCATTGACAGTGCGGTCCTGTGCACGTATGTGACGTGCCATCAGAGGTGCCCGATGTACCGAGTATTCGCAGTGGAAAAGCAAAAGAGTCCTTCCTTCCAGAGGGCTGTTGAACAGGTGAGAGGCGAGCAGCTCTTTATCGTTATAATTAATTGCTCCATCGACGTGACCTCCGTCATATTCGTACTCAAACCGACAATCAATGATAAGCTTGTTATCGTAGTGCTCGTTGTACTTGCCATCCAGGATCTCCAGGAACGTATCCCGGGACAGCCGGGGTATACTGTCGTTCTGGTCGTTTGGGAAGAAATGCGGAAGCACAGGCTCGGCGGACTCTTCGACATCGAGAACGGATTGCAACCCTGACGGGGCATTGAGGTCCTCCTTCGGCTTGACCACATCTCCAGCGCTCTCAAACATGCTCAAAGAACGTCGGTACTGCTTTCTTGGTCTGAGATGTGGGTTGGAACCACGCCGGGAGTGACCAGTGATGGGAGAGCCATTGCGAGTAGACGCGCCACTCAGGCTGGAGAAGTGAGCTTTCGAGCGCAGAGTGCCAGCGGCGTTTGCACACGGGCTGTTAGCAGACTGTGGTCGTCGCTCTTGTGGGGGCGAGTCCTCGAAACATTCACTGAGGGACATTTGAGAAGATGATGACCCGGGACGGCCATCATTGCCAAACTTGAACGAAGAGAGCTGGCCCTCGGGGTGCAACCGACACGGCACAGTACCGGTAGAATAGCCCTTGGATCTTGTGAGTGATGGCCGGCGGAGGTTCAATGTGCGGCGGTTCCTGGGTCAAGGTCAGCCATCAAGGCTGTTTTGAATGACTGGGTCATATCAAGGACTTACTCAGCCGTAGGCTTCGTACCGTCGACGGACGACTGCCGTGAAATGGGCGCAGGAGAATCCAAAGTCATGTCCTCGTCATCCTCCGGGCTGGCCGTAGGACTAGGTGAGTGCACCTCGACCTGCGCCACATAGACACCCTTTCCCATTGGTAGCGGAGACATATCCACGTCCATGTCCATGTCCGTGTACGCAGGCGAGGAGGCCGGCAGAGGCGGCGTAGTCTGGTATCCTGCAAGCCATCAGTTCCAATATTGCCCCCCGAGATATTCTGCGGCATCTGTCCTTACGTTTTCCCTCCAGGGCGCCCATTATGGCGTTCGTTGTGAAAAGAGCCCGACGAGGCGTTGGGAACTGAGGACTGCAACCGATGACAGTTAGTGCTCTGTGCTCATGTGATCCTTGATACAGCTCCAGGAGTTGTTACTCGCCTTGCTTCATTATCAATCCGGAAGTTTGCAGACAGATCTGCTGCCAGACTTGCTGTGGGAGAAGACCCACTGACACCCTTGACGTTGAAGTAGTCCTTGCCTCCGGGCATGAGGCGTTCCCTAAAGAGCGCCCCGGACCCTTTCGACTCGCCATGAAATGCAGCATGAGCACTAGGGCGGAACATGTCTGGGTGACCAAAGGCAGGGGCTGCCGGTTGGTGCATGGCAGCCAATGGAGATGATGTCTGCATGGTCGGTATGGCTTCCAGGCGAGGAGCCCACGACTGAAGAACAATTCGGGAATGTGTTGCCTGGTTGCAGAGGCAGGTCGACTACTCACTCTAGCAGGTGCATGCAGAGTGGCAGCGTCCGAGGGGAGCTTGGGACGAAGCGGATGGTCGAATTCTGCCGGTGGTCTGGAGAGATAGATCAAAGGTCTTGGAAGGATGTAGGAAGAAGTAAGCGATTGGATAGGTACAGTAGCCTAAAGCTGCAACTATTGGGTGCTTGTTGGAGGACCTGTGTCTTGATCATCGACCTGTCGAAGCTCTGCGTGACCTCTTGGACCTCTTGAGGGAGGGATGGGCCGGGACCAGAAGGAAGAAGAAGAAAGATCGAGCTCGAAGAAAAAGGAGGCTCGGTCCAGCTCGTCGCCCAGTGCAACGGAACGAGATCCACGCCGTGGGTTAATTTTTGGTGGTTCTGTGCAGAGACCCTTAGACAACCCCGGACACAGTGGACGCGGGTGGAGTTTCGAGCTCGACTGGGGTAGGGCAGGCGACCAAGGGTACCAGAGGTCGTGAAATTAGACACGACGCAATGCAACAGGACCGGTGGGTTTTGGCGTAGAAGTGCACACACAGACACTGGGGCGCGTATGCAGATCAAGCCGTGGTGGTGCCGCTGTCAGGTTGTCAAATCCACAGGGCGATGGTTCGAGGATATAGGAGCGAGGGTGAGATATCTCCACCGTCTCTGGGAGACGAGAGAGAAGGAGGCCGGAATTCTTATCGTGAACATCGACGGTCGACCTGAAGCAAACTTCCGGGGTACGGTGCCTAGACGGACGGGCCAGGCACGGTCTACCGAAAAGACAGGACGGGACCAGACAGGACAGGAAGGAGTGGGGTATGTTCCTTCTTGGGGCCGCTGGTTGTTGCCCGTCGTGGTTCGCCTCGACTCGACCGGTCGACGTCGCGACACTCGCTCCAAACCAAAATGCAAGGTCGAGGTGTCGTCGTCTTGACCAACAAGAAAGGCGGCGGGGGCGTGGAGGAGAAGGAGGAGGCCGAGCGGAGGGAGAGGAAGAGAGGGAGAGGAGATTCGGCCAACAGGGGGAAATGGACAAACCGGAGGAATTCTCGACGGTGAAGCTGGTTGGCGAGGAACGAAGCGGGACAGGAGAGGACCGGCAAGGGCGATCTTTTAGTAGTGCCACTGTCAGCCGGGTCTGGACTGACAGACAGGAACAGGAACAGGAACCAGGTGCACGCAGGCAAGAAACAGGAACAAGATTCAGAGCTAGGGCATGGCACTAGCCTTGCCATGCCATGCCCTGCCTTACCTTACCCTGCCCTGCCTTGCCTTGGCTCGACTTACTTGACTTGACCTTGAATTGACTTGATCTCACGCACCTGATCTCGATGTAGCTGCTGCTGATGCTGTTGCTGCTAGGTTGGTTGGTTGGTTGGTTGGTTGCTTGATTGCTTGATTGCTTGTTTCCAAGGTTGAATCGCCAGCTTGATCTGGCTGCTACTGTAGATACTTGATTTGGAGTTCGTGAGCTGAGCTGAGCTACGGGTTGGCCAGGTGCCGTCCCCAAAAGCAAGGAACCTTTCCGGGCCAACAACGGCAGAGCAAGCAAGATGATGGATGGGGCTGGACTCACTACCGCCACGGTACTGTGCTGTATCAGCTGCTGTGCCTGTTCAGTCCAGACCAGGGTGAGCTGGGACCAGGACAGGGGATACCTCTTGTTGTCCAGGAGACTTTGGCGCAGCGGCAGGGATGCGGATGCAATGATGCAGGGCTACCCCATCGGTCTGCTGGCAGTTGACCGACTGTGGATAGCGCTACCTGGCACTTCCGGGAGCAGAGAGAACAGAGCAGGAAAAAACTAGAAGCCGTTAGCAGCTGTTGCTATCACGGGTGTAATTACACCTGGCATTGCCTATTGTTATCGGCGGTAACAAGATCGAGCGATTCTCACAATAGCAACGATGAAGCCGGCAACCGTCAGCCAGCAACCAGCCCTGTTAGGCAGGCTCCAATTTGAAAACTACCCAAGATGGACTTTCGTACTGATGAGATCCTGCCTGCTCCTTGCATGACAGTGTACCAAGGAACAGGCTTGGCTGCGGGCAAAGCTGTTGGTCGGCTCTGATAGTGTCTTCCATCAACAGCTAATAACTGTTCAATGGGCAGCGGTGGTGGTAACCAGGGAGGGAGCTGCAGAGCGCCATCCCATCATCCATCGTGCGTCACCCGTCCCTCACTTGGTGCAACCCCCCACCCGCCTTTTGCCTGTTTGCCCGGTTTGAGACTGGCTGGCTGCCCACATGGAGCACATGGCTTTTTTCTCCGTGATCTCCCTGGCGACAGTGGCACGACGCACGACACAAGCACCGCACAGGGCAGCTCCTGCCCAGGCAAAGGCTCCTTCTGTTCCTCCTCAAACCCTCGTTGTGCTGGGCATGAGTGAGGAGTATAGTACGTCTGCAGAGTCGGCTTGCTGGCGGGCCACGCCCATCACATATATGCATCGGTGCCGGTATATACCGTGTTTGCAGCTGGCCCGACCTTGCACATGTCTTGCCTTGTCCGGGAAGGGTTGAAATTGCGGCGAGACCTGTCCGAAAAGGCCCCTCTCCCCGGGCCTCTCTGGCCCTCCTACCGGGCCGCCGAAATTTCTGACATTCTTGCTGGGTCATGGTGGAATCTGCGGCGTATTGGACGCACTCGCCTGACTGATCGAATGCTTATATTACACGCCTGCGTCCCACTTAGCTGGATGCCATCTGTCATCTGGTCCGCTTCAATTTTTTTTTTTTCTTATCCTTCTTCGAGCTTTTTCTCACAGTGCTGGAGTTAGGACAGGGAAAAGCGGTTGTCATAAGCCCTATCTGCGAACAGCCTTGTCCTGGAGAGGTCATGGGCATACTATTAGATACAGACCGCACTGTCTACTATCGTGTCTACAAAAGTATGGTACCAAGGTTTTCTGGTACTGTGTACGTAGGCTCTACGCTCAAACAGGGCAGCTTGTTCGGTCAAGCCCTACGGATACTACTGCGTGCACTTGCCGCAGAGACCCCGGGAGCAGGAGACAGGCGCAGGAATGGCGGTCTCCGGGATTGCGGTTCCAGCCAGGGATAGCAAACGGCCTCTGATTCCTTTCCAACTTTAATGTATGCCCAAGAATAGCAAGTCCCCGGTCCAGCATGTCCAACAGAGGTCAAGACAACCTTGATGGATCGATTAAATCAAATCCACGGCATCATTGCATAGCTGCCGGCAGGGGGCTTCGTGTCATCTGGTCGTCCCATGTTGGCCCCATGCACATGCAGATTGCGTGAGGAGGAGGCTCTGTTTCTGCAGCAACAGGCAGTCTGATCCATCGGTCCCCATCGGGCTGATGACTCGGCTTCGCCTGATCTAAGGTACCGAGGTTTTCTGTCGCACCGCAGCGATTGGCCTCAACGCCTTGTGCCCCGTGCCGCCGGGGCTCCGACCTCAGGAGATGACCGACTTTCTCCCACGGGTTGTTGGAGGATCGGTGGATGGGTTAATTCCTTGCCCAGCAACCGGCGGCAAGGGTCAAGGGTCTTTTGCTTCTGGCAGCACTCTAAGCCGGCTCTAAGCCAGCAGGCTGGTTGGATGGCTGAGACATGTCCCATCTCTAAGTGCTAAACGGAACAGGGTAGTCACGCTGGACAGCATGTTTCGGTTGGCATGGGCTCTAGCAAATAGGGGTCCAGAGAAGGCCTTTTCAGCACAGCCGTCCGACTCCATCGTCACCAGAAAGGGCAAGCCGCTGACACCTCAAGGTAGCGCCGATGGGCCTACCTGCGGCGGCTTTGTCGGAATTGGACCAGGAGCTGCTGCACGGCGGCGGGGAGGGGCACGCAGCCAGCATGCAACAACAGCATTCAGCTTTCCGTTTTGGTATTGTTCGCCGGCATGCTGTGGTGATTGACCTGGGGCCCATGAAGTAATGGCAGTGCCGAGTCGGGGGCACGGGACCTGGAGGGGAAGCTATGGAATGCTCAAGAGGGGCCCAAGCCATCGGGACTTTATCAATTCGAAACTCTGGTGCTCACGGATCGAGGTGATAAACTTCGGAGGGAAAACATATCACGACGGTGCTGTGTCGCAGATGCACGCAGCTGACTGACTCGACCCGAGCTCAGGTGGAGGCGACGTCCCATGGATGCAGACCCCAGCTTGACCCAGCGGCGGCAGGATCAATCTCGAAAGTCGGTTCAACTTGGGAAGGGACGGCTGTGGTGCTGCGCCTTCCTCCAACAGAGCAGACTGACAAGGCTCTTGTGAGAATTGAGCCGCAGTCACCGCTTCGTCTGCTTCCCCGAGCTAAATCACGTCTCCACGACGACGAACCTCACGATGATGTCGCACAAAAATCAAGAACTGGCTCTATTCAAGCCAAGTTCAGCAGTTCTACACAGTAACCCCACGCTCTCTTCTCTGAACCTGAAGGACAGTAGTGTACGAATCTCGGCACTGGGAACCAGGGCTGCCAGGGTTCGAAGCTAGTCCAGTGTCGGATCCACCCTGGGGAGGCTCGTGGATGTTCTCGAAGTAATCAACCTGATGGAGCACACCAATGGCGTCACTGCGTTCCAGTTGCACGTCGACATCGCTTTCGTTTCATTGAACCCTGGGTGCAGGCGACTGGATCCTGCTGGATACGACTTGCAGGCCGTCGCCCGGGGGCCAGGGCCAGGACAAGGCCCAGAGCCAGCGATCATCGATTAATCGTCAGAGCCTGCGGAGGCCCAGTTCCGACAATCGTCGGCACTGCGAGCAATGAGCGTGTCTCTGGTCATGCACGACACCTTTGTGCTCATGGGTGCCCTATCCAGCATCTCGGGCCGCACATCACGGAATGCCATTGTGCGAGTTGAGCCTCAAATGGTCGAAAAGATCAGGAACTGCATCCCGAACCACCGTGGTGTCTGTCGACTTCCACATCAGCTCGAATGATCTACAGATCGAGTTTTCCTTGATTCGCATACGGGGAATTATTAGCATTCGTCCCCACGAGGATCCGGGTGGCGATTTTGAGGCTCTCCTCCTGTCCAGTCGAGCCTCCAAGGATGCTTCCAAGGATGCTTCCAGGGTGCTTCCAGACAGGGAGAAACTCAACCAGCCAGCGGGCACGCGTTGTTCGCCTCCTTTCCTGGTCACTTCATGGATGTCAGGGCCAGCACGCCAGAGACATCTCATCCCGCGTCGAATAAGATCAAATCCGAGGCGGTTGCCTTTTAGGCCATCCCCGGAATCATCGATCCAGCACCGGTTCAGTGATCTGTCGGCCCTGCCCGACGTCATGCGTGCCGGCGATCAAGGAGCTAACCACAACAACGCGCCGACGCGACCGGCCTATTGATCTCATCATGCGCTCCAAGTCCCACCTGATTTTACTGAGAATCTCGATGCAGAAAACCAGTACGAGATTGTTCCCGGTTTTTTCTGCTTCACCGTGTGTTTTGTGACAACGGTTTCGCGACATGGCTCGCAAAGGTCACGCATCATCACCATCTCATGCTGGGCGTCTGTTTGGTTTTGTTTGTTTACTTTCCGGTTTCTGTTACTCAAGCGCGCGCTCGAGCCAGCTGACTTGACCTGGTCAGCGCTATTGAGGACCACACCGCCCTGAGATAGCCACAGAGGTAGTGGTGTGGCACCGGGAGTGCACTGGGCCAACAGCTATCTACCTGAGAGTCCAATGAGAATCATCAATTGGGACATCCTCCGCTGGAGTTCGCCAACGCCGCGTGCTTGCAGTCCTCGCGGCCGCCATGGCCGCCACGGCCCACGGCAAACAAGGGACGCGAACGGAAAGCAGGCAATAAGCCACTAAGCTTCCAGGGCACCCCTCCCTCGGCTGAAACCTTTGCTCGCACCGGGAGCTTGGGAACAAGCTTGGGGGGTAGCTCCCCCTCTTTTGTTGCTATTCAAAGCTCCGGAGGACGAAAAAGCTCAGCTCCTTCAAGCCACGAGGGCTCACTGACTACGCTACGATGGAAGTCAATTCCGAACTTCTCACCTTCAGGTTGCGGTAGAGCATTTGTGGGTAAACGGCCTCTTACTGGGGTCAACTCCCCCGCAATTCCGGGCTAGACCTTCAGTCTGTCGTGAGATGGGACCACAGAGCGAACATAACACGATACACGAAAAGATCGCCCACCTCTGACCGTGCCCAGGCCTCCCTCTGCCTTGAACTTGACAGAGGCCCGGGAGATGGAGCTCCCTGCATCATCGCCCCATCCCCCTACCTTAAAGGTGGGAAGGTGTGATGCCAACGTGCATGAGCGCGTTTGGACTGCAGCACGGCGCATGCAGCTTGTCAGACACCTCGGTGGGACCCATTGGGAAGTGGAGCTTCCGTCGGCTTGCGCTTGGGCGCAGGTTTGAGGAGGGTTGCAACTGAAGCTTCCTCCCGCCCGGGGAGGGGGGTCTGGGCGAGAATGTAAACAAGATGAGGGGTCGACAACGCGCTGCTCACGTAAACAAGAAGCCCTGACAGGGGTGCTGCCGCCGGGTCTGGATCCATCATCACGAAGTCACGGGACCTTGCGATCCTCACTGTCGCCATCACCTCGATTCGGTGTAAGCTTACCTATGAGCGCCAACCATGGAGACTGCAATCCTTATGATACCACTTCATCCTTCGCCAATCCTCTGGCGGTGCCCACACCGATTTTCAATACTGGCAGCTTGCACATCCCCGGAGAAATCATCAGCCCAACATATGGAGACATGCCAGGCATACGTCCAGTCATCCTCACCAGCCGGCCATTACAGCACCACAGCTGCCTTTCAGCTGGGATCCGACGCGTACACTCCGCATCAAGCCGACGCTTGAGACCGGAGGCTTACAATATGGAATCCTGAGGCTGATCAGGACACTTCAGCTCGGATTGCAGGGGTGTCAAATATGCGCCCGTGGTCCACCAGGTCGCGAAGAAGCCAACGTTCACGGATGGACTACTTTACATCCGGACAGGATCCCAAAGCTCGACCATGCAAGATACAAGTCTGATCTTGCCTCCGAACGTATGGAATGATATAGTTTTGTAGGAGAAACCCGTACTGGGGAGAGTAAGTGCCGGCAGCCTCGCAAGAGCAGCGGAGGAGTACAGGGATTCTCAGTGCCGCCCCGAACAGCCTCATTCCAGAATCGCAAGCGCAGTTCTCAGCATTCTGGACGCAGGCTTTCGTTGTCAATTCAAAAGCAGGTCATGCTCTTCTTATAGCTGAGCGCTACTGGGGTCTGGTGGCTGTGCCGGCTGCGGTCGCCTCCACTGGCCGGGTGAGTCACCAGTGAGCCTCACACACGCACACACATCCAGCCATCTTTGCAAGCAACAGCTCAGTCCCAAAGCCACAGATGGGCGCTTATAATCCAAATGATATTAGACAAAGACATGGCTGGATGGTGTAGTGGCAGCATACTTCGTTTGGGACGATGTGACCCGGGTTCGAATCCTGGTCCGGCCCTGTCTTTGCTTTTATTATTCTCTGAGAGTTTTTTTGGCCTCTTCATAAAAGAGATGAGCTTTTGGCAGACTCTAGACCATATTTTTAGGCGTGAAGATCCAGAAAAGTTGTAGACAAAGTAGGGGAATAATACAGACACAGGCAAACTCATGGGGTTTGTTCCTGTCCTTCTCCATTTACAGCCACTCAGCGATTTGGCCAGTTCACTGCCAGCTAGCATATTGATTTTGTGCCGGATTGCACGGGTTCTCTTCGTTACGGACCTTGCCTTACCCAAAGTCATTCGATTTAGCATGTAGGATCTTTGGAATTCAAGCACCTAATGCTTCATCCATCTACAAGTTGGCCGTCACTTTTTGGTCTCGGACGAGAATCTCGCATTGTGTTGGATCACAGCCCTATAACCAATTGTACTGGGAACTCAAGTGCTTTTCAAGAAACATTACGCTTATTCTTCCCCACATTGGTAAATTCATAAAGCGTGGAACCATGGATGAAACCTCACCAATGTTTGACTGTCATGGGAAGACAAGGCTCCCATGTGTCAGTGAGCTCAACATTGATCCATGGGTCTCTAGAACCGTAGAATAGGACGGCTCATTCATTGTCTGAGACACGAGGGTCCTATGCTAACCCGGACTGACCGCTGGACATTCCTATTTCCGCGCCCCATGGCCCCCCACCCAGGTATACATTATGATCGTCACGGCCTGTTCTAGGCTTCCGTTTCTATGTCCTCTTTCTTGGCCCCTTGGCCGGGAAGCCTGCTCCATAGTCACATCTACGTCTTATGACCCGTGTCTCATGGACGCGATTTGTCACTCCAAGGTATGGACGAAGCGTCATTTCAGAGAGGTACTCTTTCGCATTATGGAGGTCAAAGACGACCATGATCGGCGAGTTTTCTCAGCAGTGTCTTCTTCCAGAAAGCCTCAAGTCGGATCTTCGTGTTTCGGCAAAGCCGTCGTCATTGGAAGAAACTAGTCTCATTGGTCATGCCCCCTATTAGTCCTGGTGAGTCTTTATCAGACAGACGTGGGTCGAAATTTCGCTTCCTTCTTACCTTGGCTGGACTTTGCTCCCGGAATTCTTTCCAGGATGTGAAATCTTCTTGCCTCGAACGCCCATGTGTTGTTCGCTTTGCTCCAAAGCCTGATAAATTTTGAACTTGAAGGCTTAAATTTGAGATGGAATCATGATGTGTCCGAATCACGGGATGAGGCAAGCCTTGTTAATTCGCTGACTCTTAACCTGGAAATATGGACGAACTGGCTGCGATAAAAACTGTAGAGCATCAGTTAGGTACGGAGGTGTTGGTGAGCAATATTGAACGCTTAGCGAGTCTTGTGGGCCTGTGACAGATCCTACGATTGACTGCTTATTCTTGATCGCAATGTCATCTTCTATGGGGACGAACCACATGATCCTGAATCTATTTCTTGTTTTACTTTTGCAGCCTAGATGTCGTATTTACTCCTCATCCCGGCTGAGGACTTAGTGTAGACTTAGAGAATACACGCCACGCCCCCCTTGAACGATTCCGTATCCCGGAGAACGAGTCTCCATTCCTGGTATTCTAGATATGCTTCACAACCGACATGCAGAGTGTTGCGGATCCTGGACGGCACCGACCTCAAGTCTTCGAAGGAACCGAGCCTGGGCGGATGATCTGGTTGGCATACAATGGACCCCAGGACACTGGGCAACGAACACTAGAGGGGGATGTGACATTGACAAGGCCCGAATCCTCGAAATCGAGAGATATGTGATAGAAGTAAGCCTAAGGTGGACACATGTCTAGGAGGACGAGTTGCTGAGATGGGCCACAGCGCCAGCGGAACAGTTCCAGGATCAAATCATCCGATGACTCCGCGGACAGAAAATGCTAGCCTTATTTTTTTTTTTTTTTAAAAAAAAAAAGAAATTAGCGAATGATTGTGGCTCACTCTGTCCGTGTCAACAAGCTCTTACAGTTTTGGAATACTTACCACAGATATAATATAGCTGGATAGATAGAATAAATGGTTGAGCACACTAAACGAGCACATTTCTAGGTCAGTCGCATATGTAGCCCGTCACATCAGGTTTTCGATTTAATGTCCTTTTCCTTCCTTTCCTAATTTCTTGATCTTGCTGATACATCTCGTTGTCCAACTTTATTGTTTAAAATGCCTCACGGCTTTTGGCTAGATTGCCCTGACCTACTGTTTCAATTCCTCAAATAAGATGAATATTCTCGATTCTGACCGGCCGGCTGTGTCTAGTATGGAAGGACATCTCAGGTGCGAAAGTGAAGGCGTAGTATACTATCCTTAAAAAGCATACACGTGCAATATGGGATGAAGACGAAGACTGACTACAGCACATCTACTGTTCAGAGAGTAAGTGGTATGTATAATTTAACTTGGGCCAGCTAATGTCTGATGCTGTAATTAGTACTGAAATTAGCTGGCCCATCACTTCATCAGGTATTCTAGGTAGTGTTTCTGCGAAAATTTTGTTCAGTATACGCTTAATAGCCATGCACCATGCACTAAATGATCCAAGGCTTACTTTGGACACAAAAGAATCGCTTTCGTTCACGAAATGACCAGACAACGTCCAGAACCACTAAAGTACTTACCTAGGAATACTTCATCTCCAACGCTTAACTTCGTGCTCTCTTCTCGTGATACTATATTACCTAGGTATCATTAGTTCAGATATTCAATATACATAACGGTTGTTCATGCCAATGGATCTGATTTGCGGTGTTCTATCTTTCTACCTCTCAACGAAATCTTGGGAGCCGGTCTGGGGCTGGGGTATTGTGTGTAAGTTGCTAACAGCAAGTATAAATTGCGTTGAGATCATACACTCTGGCTCGCAAACCTTTCGTCTCCATTCGTTCTTAATCAATGCCCGTTTACCTAGTGTTGCCTGGATTTTCGTCACTTTTGACTCACTTGAACATGCCTAGTTATCCGCAGCGGTTTGACGGAGCAGAGAGAAAGACGAGTGACTGCATTCCTTGAAGTGACACAACAGCCAGGTGAAGTATGCTCAATGTAAATAAATTCTTCCTCGGCTTCACTCATTTGCTATGACACGCAATTAGAAAGGTTCAGTGTGGTTCAGAAGGTCGCCGCGAAGTGAAGTGGTAAAAATACACCATCTCGCCACTACCTCACCATAGTGCAAGCTCGAACGCCGTGTATGGCCAAAGTAAGTCGCTTACATGTTGGGCTCAGATCTATTTATACCAGTGACCGACTTTAGGTTTCATGCTTGAGCCGAGAGACCTTTTTTTTTCTTGGTTTTTTTCCCAGCTGACGACAGTCGATCCTGACCCTTCGACATTGTTCTCCAAATTAAAGCAAGCCGCTGGCAAGGCTGGCACGTTGACCTCGGTTGCATTCTGCAGGACACTGGAAGTGCCAAGTCTTCGAGGAGCTCGCCGAACGACCCTTCGGATCCTCGCTGATGTTATCTTATCCATCTTATCGCTCGCTTACATAATACATCTGAACCAATCACATGCGGATCGCATGAAGCTGCCCAACTTTTTTTGATCTGGAGAAGCGGCGCTGAACAGACCGGAACCGCTCCCCTTCAAACCGGTTGGCTGCAAAGATTCGATCAATTGACGCCGATCCGCTAAAATCACGTACAAGATGCCTCCAAATAAGCGCAAGCACCGCAAAGAGAACCCAAATGCCATCGAGCCTTCACAAAAGCGAGTCAAAACCGAGACCTCTGCAGACGTCGATGTCGAGCCCGCTCCCAAGCCCGCGAAGTTCGAGGGCGGGAAGAAAAAGGGCAAGCCTGCTCCCGCCAAGCCGCTCACGAAGAAGCAGCTCCTTTCCGACAAGTCGCTGTTCCCAGAGCAGCAAGACCGTAACATCGAGGCCCCTCTCTACGAGTTACTGGGCAGCGAGGACCCCAATGAGCGCCTTCAGGCCGCCGATGTGATCATATCCAAGCTGCTGGACAACGATGGCGTCTCAGAGTCTACTCTCGACAGACATCTTGAAAAGCGGCTATTCAGAGGGCTCGCCAGCAGCAGGAAAGCGTCAAGATTGGGTTTCAGCGTCGTGCTGACCGAGATACTACAACAACTATGGGGAGAGAAGGACCTCTGCGGCGACAAGTACCGAGGCCTGACGTTCGACTTCGTCCTGAACACACTTACAGAGAAGACAAAACCCGTTGGAAACATCGCCGGCCAGGAAGAGAAGGATCACTACTTTGGTCAGCTATTTGGAATAGAATGCTTCGTACGGGCCAAAATACTCTTCGACGATGTCACGAGGTGGAACACGATATTGGCCTTGTTGATCAAGCTGGCCAAGAAGAAGGTCTGGCTCAAGCCCCAATGCACGTGGATCATCCTCCAAACAATTCCTCAGATGGATCAGCAGATCGCAGAGGAGACTCTGCGTAAGCTCGACGAGGCTGGATGGGCCAAGACACCGGACGCAGTGGCAATCACTGTTGTCTTTACGGAGAAGTTCCCGAAGATCAAGCTGCCATCGAAATCGTGGCGAGACTTCCTGTCCTCCAAATACCTCGGCGAGCTACCAGCTGTTTTGAAAGACAGCGGCAAGCAGGAAAGCAAGCAGGAAACCAATGGCGACGAGCCAGCCCAGAAGCAAAAGCAGGCAAGCTGGACAGCGCAGTTGCATTTCGTCTGGGATATTATTCTTGCCCACTACGTCAAGCTGGCATCTACAGATCCCAAGAGTGCATCTGATCAGTTCAAGCAGTTCTGGAGCCGCGTGGTGGATCAGGGCTTTTTCTCCAAAACCGTCTCGGAGCCTCAGAAGTTCACCGGTTTCATGATCTTCCAGAAGTTTCTCGAGGCCGGCATTTCGCACCCTCACATAACACAAAATTTGTTCTCCCAGAACCTGCTGACCTGCTTGATGAACCAGGCGGCGAAGCAGGACAGGTACCTCCATCGGGCAGCCACCAAGGCCCTCAAGGCCATAGAGCAGGCCGCGGACACAGACCGTAACCTAGTTCCCGTTATAATCCAGTTTCTCCTCGGCAAGCAAGGCGCGTACAATTTCGACCAGCGGTCAAATAGCAAGACCGTCGACAAATTATTGCACCTCACAAGACCTCAACACGCCGCAGAGGTTATCGAGGCGTTGAGGCAGCTGGTTCTGAAATCGGAGGGTGACGGTGCCGAGAACCATATCCTGGTCTATGCGGATTACCTGTTCCGGCTGGCCAGCATCGTCCCAACAGAAGCTGATGCGAAGAATGCCAGCAAGGGATCGGTGGGCGGACCGGCTCTGCAAGAGTTCGCGAGGCTCGCATATCCCAAAGCTGGCGAAACTGTTCCAGGACTGAGCGAGAAGACCACGCCAATCCTGCGTCAGAAGCTTACCGCTGCGCTTGCCAAATTCGTGAAGCGGCCCGAAGACTTTGCTGAGTTCTGCAATGCCATAATGTTGATCGACTCGAGCAGCGTCGACATGGATGAGGAGCTCCAGGCGGAGCTGCTCGAGGCCCTGGAGAAGCTGCAGCAGTTGACGAACCCGAAGCAGGCCAAGGGCCACAGGAGCAACGCCTACCAGGGCCTGGCCCTTCTCTACGCCGTTGCGATTCTGCAGCTGTACAACGCGGAGCCCGATGCCGTTGACATCCTGCATGATCTGAGGCAATGCCACGAGAAGTTGCTTAGCAAGCAGAACGGCGAGGACGGCGACGTGTCAACGCTACTTGTGGAGATTCTGCTTGCCATGGTCGCCCGCCCTTCGTCTCTGATGCGGCAGACTGCAGACCGTGTCTTTGAGGCGTTCACAAGTCTCATGACCGAAGAAGCTCTCATCCTTTTGACAGACACTCTGGCAGCCAAGGAGGACGCAGAAGGTCTACGAGCTTTATTCGACACGGACGCGGACATGGAAGACGTAGAGGAAGGCGCTGGCCCTGACGATGAGGACGATGTATCTGAGCTCGGTTCGGATGTTGAGTTCGTTGACGCAGAGGAGACGCAGGACGCCGACGGGGAGTCGGGCAGTGGAGAAGAAGACGGCGACGACGGAGAATCAGAAGAGGAGGACGACGAAGACGCGGAGGAGGAACTTAACGAAGACGAGGCCAAGCTCAAGGCACTGGATGACGACCTCGCAAAGTTGCTCAACAGCCACCGGCTCGACAAGGACAAAGACGCCGCGTCATCCGACGACGACTCGGACATGAGCGACTCGGAGATGATAGCCCTCGACGAGCAGCTCTCCGCGGCGTTCAAGTCGCGCGTCAAGAACGGAAACAAGAAGAAGGAGAACAAGGATGCCAAGGAGACAGTAGTCAACTTCAAGCACCGCACGCTGGACCTCCTGGGCATCTTCGCTAGGAAGGAGGCCGCCAACCCGCTGGTGTACAAACTGCTCCTGCCGCTGCTGCAGATGATGCGCACCACCAAGACGAAGGACCTGGCAAGGAAGGCGGGCAACATCATCGCCGAGATGTCCAAGGCGCAGCGAAAGGCCAAGGCCAGCGGCAGCAAGGATGAGGAGAACGAGAATCAAGGAGGCAAGGACGGCGACAAGGACGGCGACAAGGACGGCGACAAGGCCGGCTCGGAGGAGTACCTGACGGAGCAGACGCAACTGCTCGAGGCCATCCACGATGAGATGTCCCACGACGAGTCTCACGCGTTCGCCAAGTCGGCGTCCAACGCGAGCCTCCTGGTGGCTGGGGACATCCTGAGCAAGAACGTGGGCTACTTTCAGATAATATGGGAGGCTTACGGTGGGCTCGCCATGAAGTGGGCCATGTACGGCGGATTCCAGTTCTCCACCATTATCGCGGACTGGACGCAGTGGATTCAGGCGCACCCTGCACTTGTAGCGAGGCGGATGGACGCGGTGCCGGAAAAGGCAAATGGCCCGACAGATGCAGATGGTGAGGATGAGGACGAGGAAGACGAGGAAGACGACGAGTGATCATTGTGGGTTGAGCGTACTGCAGCGAACTGGATAGAACAAGCTACATTAAAAAGGGTAAAGGCTTCCCGATTACCAGCTTGGAAAAACATGCTACGCACGCGTCACTGTCGAGGTTTTGAATGCGTAACACGTCAATAATCTATAGCCCCTGGATCGTCAAAGCTGTAGTTTTTATGGTACAAGTGCCCTGGGTCGTCAAGCTACCGGCAGATTTCCATTGCTGCAGAATGCCCTGCTCTGCTTGCTGCCCATGCCGCGGATGGCCAGTGCCTTTCTCATTGGTCTCTCCCAAGGGGCTGAGAGGCATGAATCCCGACCGTCCCCAGCGCTCCGACCAGTCTATGTAGTCCTCTGGAGGGACGGGTTTCTTCCCAGCCAGACGGCCTAGCCCGGGCGGCATCTAGTCCTCCTCCATCTTATCGCCGTCCTTCTTGTCATCCTCATCATCGTCGTTGTCCTCCTTCGCTAACCGCTCCGCCTCCTCCCGCAGCGCCTTGGGGACCTCCTCGTGGCGGCCCTTGGTGGGGCCGTCATGGTTGCTGATCCAGGTCATCTCCAGCTCGTACTCCTTGTCCTTGTTGTCATCGTGGGCGAGGTGGATGATCCTCGCGGCGTGCTTGACGCCGTCCTGCAGCGAGATGCCCTCGCCGCTCAGGTCCAGCTTCTCCAGCTCCGCCTTGGCCGCCTGCCGGCCCTTGCCCGTCGCGGCGCCGTAGTAGCCCCAGTACAGGCCGGACGGCTCGATCATGTACAGGAAGGGCCCGCCGTGCTTCTTGCCCTCGGCCTTGCCGCCCGCGCCGACCTTGGGGCCCGACCCCACCTCGCCGTCCACGGGCAGCTCCAGCTCGCTGTCGTAGCCGCCGACGATGGCGGTGATGCCGAAGGGCCGCACGGACTGGTACAGGGTGTAGGCTTGCAGGTAGCCGCCCATGCGGGACGCGAGGTCGGAGGTGGCGATGGGGGCCTTGAAGTTGTCCCGCCACGAGCGGGCCTCGTCGCGTGCGCGGTCGATGAAGTGTCTGCCGTCGGGGACCATGCCAGAGTAGACCTGTTTAAGCGGCGAAGCCGTGTTAGATGCAGATTTCCTTCGAGTCAGGAGGTCTCCTCATAGCCTCCAGGGGCGAGAGGGCGGGGATGAGCGTACAACACCAAGATGCCTGTCGACGGTCGCGATCCGCTTGTTTGCGCCGGGCTTCAGCAGCTTGGATGCGACGACCTTCTCAACCGCCAGGACAACGCCATCTCTGCAACGGATTCCGATTGATGTGCCGGCGTTCTCGACTGCCTTGACGGCGTATTCGACCTGGAAGTTCCGGCCGTCGGGGGAGAAGATGGAGTTGGCGAGATCGTAGCCTGTTCCTATCGACGTCTACAACGTGAAAGCCGCCGTTAGCCTGCCTGCTGCGGGTGGCGGAGGGGGTTGGTTTGCGGCGCCATGAGCTTACCATGATGATACTCTACGCGATTGTGATCTGGTGTCGAGGGTTGTTGCCAGGGGCAGAGAGGCACGGTGCTGAGATAAATGGGCTTTTGCGAGGGCGGTACGTTGTCGGCGGTAGGAGAGCTTCGGGTGACGGATGACGAACGGGGGTGGTTTGGAGCTCCCCCAAGCAGAGCAGCCTGGGTTCCCTTCAGGCAACTGGAGCTGCGCGTTTCTAGCCTGCCGCCGCCCACGCAGCTGCAGCTCAAACCGACGCTTGATAGTGGCTGGAGAGGTAGCTCCAGGGGTCAGGAGAGCTGGGGTGACCCATGAAGTGGCTGTGCAGAAGTGGCTTGACTTTCTTCGTGACTACATAGCATCTGGAATGACACTTTGGAGAAGACATTCCATATTCCCTTGATCATGGACTTCCTCGGTTTTTTTTTCAACCTTTTTTTTTCATTTCTCTTTTTTTCTTCGCTAACTAAGAGTGTCCATGACTGAGTTATCAGTGATCCACAGAAATCCTAAATCTTCTCAACTAATGATCCGATTGCCTCCTATCAAACTCTCCGGTTCCACAGGAAATCACACACCATTCAACTTATTGCTCCTTTGTCTTGCTCGAGACTCCAGTCTGCGTCATCAAAACTTGACAAAGCTCTCAACTGTGGCGCTTGATGTTTGGCGCTCTCCATTCGCAGCCGCCCTCGATAGGAAAGCGAGGCCCGAGCCTCGGTTTTACCTAAAGAAATCATGCTGCCGTCCCATCAACTTCAGCTGGACTCTTGTGGGGGAAGCGTGTCATACGCCGATATCCTGTCAATCAGTTTTATAAAGTCCCTCAGCTCGTCCATCCTCATATACGCATCCATAATGGAGAATTTCTTGCCCTCAAGCGTGTCCCTGACCCACTCGCCGGTGCGTAACTTGTGGTTGAGCAGCCCGAGCTCCTCCTCGGCCTCGTCCCTGAGCTTCTCCCGGAGCTTTGGGTCTTGGAGCTTCCATCCACCCTCCTCGTTGACGGCCGAATCGGGTGTATCCTGGTAGGACTTAAATGTCTTGTAGGCTGTCGAGCCCTCGCCCTCACTCTGCAGCTCATCGAGCCTGCGCTCGGTTTCGTCGTCGTATGACTCGGAGTGCCTGCCCTTCATCCTGTCAAACGCAACTTGCGCCACGTCTTCAACGCAGTCGAGGTGCTGGAGCTCTTTCTGGATCGCTTTCCACTTTTTCTTTTGTGACCCATGTAGGTATGGAGGCCTCCTGGGAACAGTGCTCAACCAATCCGCATCTTGTTCGTAATCCGCCCATCTTACACATTTTTTCGGTTTGGGGCGCTCAGACTCCTCCTCGTGCTCATCTTTATCATTCTCGTTATCTTTTGGAGGCTCTGGCGGCGAGGGTGTTCCCGGCGGGGCTGGTGGTGGTAGTGGTCCGTTGTCCTCTGGGTGCTCATCTGGAGGCAGTTCTTTCCCTTTTCCTTTATCTAATTTTGGGCCTTCAGTTTCGTTCTGGTCTTCGTCTTCATCATCTTTGCTGTCCTCTGGAGGTTCCTCTGAGTTGTCGTTCGGTGGTGATGGCGGAACACCTCCAGACGGTGGCGAAGGCTGGTCATTGTTTGCTGGCGGCGGGGGAGAGTCTTCTGAGGACGGCGGGGATGGTGGGTTTTCTGATGGTGGTGACGGCGGACCGCTCTCTGGATCGGGCGACGATGTGCCGCTGTCTGGTGGCGACGGTGGTAGATGTGGATCAACAGGAGGCTCCTCAGGCGACGGGGGCAACTCCTCTCCTTCTCCTCTGTGTTTTCCTTTTTCTTTTCCCTTGTCTTTTCCTTTGTCTTTTCCTTTGCCTTTTCCCTTGTCTTTTCCTTTTCCCTTGTCTGACTTTGGGCTTTCAGTTTCATTCTGGTCTTCGTCTTCATCATCGTTGCGGTTCTCCGATGGTGGAGATGGAGGCGGCTCTGGTCGTGGTTGAGGTGATCCTGGTGGGCTGGGGCTGTTCGGCGGCGTCGGCGGTTTTTGAGGCGGTTTTGGTGGCTGTTGAGGCGGCTCCGGTGGGTTGGGGCTGTTCCCTGGCGGCTTCGAGGGTGATCCATTATCTGAAGGAGGTGAGGGTGATTTATTCCCTGGCGGCTTCGAGGGTGATCCATTATCTGATGGCGGCGAGGGTGATCCTTTATCTGAGGGTGGTGAGGGTGATCCATTATCTGATGGTGGAGATGGCGGACCGTTCTCTGAAGGAGGTGAGGGTGATCCATTATCTGATGGCGGCGGTGGTGGTGGCGCCAGTGGATCAAGAGGCGGGATTTCAGGAGAGGGAGGTAGTGGCGGCAACTCATCAATAGGAGGGAATTCAGGGGAGGGAGGCAGTGGCGGCAGCTCATCAATAGGTGGGAATTCAGGAGAGGGAGGTAGTGGCGGCAGCTCTTCAAGAGGGATGTCCGGGACCTCAGGGACTTCCGGTGGTTGTGGACCTCTTGGCCGTCGGAAGATGTTCCTCAAGCTGTGCCACAAGCCTCTTGCCCCCCCTCTGACGTTCCTAAAAAGTTGTCTGACTGCAGGCTGTCTGAAAAGCCTGCGCAGGCTTTCCAACAAGCCTCCAACGGCGGGTGGAAGACCGGCGGCGAGACCTTTCTTCTTGTCTTCTTCCTCTTTCTGTCTTTGAAGCTCATGCTCACGCTCACGCTCACGCCGGTGTTGCTCCTCTGGGGTTGGGGACGTGGGCTGTGACCCTGTAGAGGTGGTGGGTGAGGCTTTCGTGATAGTAGACGTGACCAGGGTTGTCGGAGTACCGGTGGTACGTGGCGGCGCTTCAGTGTTTTGACGCGAAGACGAACTCCGTACGGCAGCAGTCTCAATATTGGGCTTGGGCGTCGTCTGAGGAGTGGTTGTGGGGATAGTCTCAGAAGGAACAATGCTAGGACCAGGTTGAGAGGACGCGTCACCAGAAGGAAGCACAGAGCTTGCCGAGGGAAAAGAATAGATAGCGGATGTCGAAGCCGTTGGCGAGCTCGGGCTGGTTAACTCCGAAGTGGCTGATGGCGTGGAGACATCTTGAGGCGAAGGGGGTGGATAGTGGTAAGAACTGGCTGTCGGTGTTGTTGGCGAGCCAGGGCGGTCGACCTCAGTGGACGCTGATGGTGCCAATGTAACCCCCGGGATGTATGGCTGCCCGTAGCTCTGTTCATAGTCCGAGTGCGGCAGAATTATTTCCCCGTAGATGTCGACTTCGTACTCGTGCTCTCCATCAGGGGAGTTGAGAATACCTCCGTGAGGTGTACCGTGGACTTCAATGTCATAGTCAATCACCCCGAATCGAGCATTCCGTCTTGGAACTAGTGCAGCCTGAGTACCTGGTGCAACTGTGGACAGACCAACAAGCACGGCTGCTATGGTAGGCAAGTGCCGCATGTTGGAAGGTTGGTATACTCCAAGCAAGTGAGCACTAATGCCTTTGCAGCCAGGAAGGTCAGTGATGAGTGAATGGTGGGAGAATTGTTGTTGTTGGTGATAGATGTCGATACCAAATGTGGTTTCGACTGAGATATTGTTCGGAGTTCAGTTGACTGGTTGAGAGTGTAGAGTTGAGTTGTGAGTTGAGAAGGTGAAAATCAGAAAGGCGTAAGACAGGTGGTAAAACAATTCTTTTATAGATTTAATAAGGCCACGATCAGTGGGATTTCGACTGACTCTGGCACTAAGGAGCACTACTCAAAAGAAACAAGGCCATGATCAGTGGGATTTCAACAATTTCTGGCACTAAAGAGCACTAATCAAAAGGTTTAGAGAAAACAATTCCAAAATTGCTATTTTCGCTATTCTTCTTGGAATGTTGCTACTCCGTGGGTGCCCGGACGTCAGGCTAGTATCGATCGTGCTACAACTAGCCATAGTTCGGTGAAAGATAGTGGTACTCAGTTGTTGCTTGGAACAAAAACTCAACATATATTTCGCCTTATTTTCAAGCTCATCACATCTTGGGGAATAAGCACCCGCTCTGAAAATCAACATTGGGTGCAGAATGGTCTATTCGGCTTTTCTAGTAGGCTGTGGTATCTCGCTGAAAACATCGGGCAGGTCTGTTCTGTGTCTGATTAATTTTGTAGAGATCTTGGTTCTACCTGGCCCTATGTATTCAAGACCATTGGGTGAGAGCTACAGTTTGTGTATGCTTTAGTTATGTAATCGGTGTGTTAACATTGCACTAGCGATTCAAATTGTTGAAACCCTAAGATTAGGCCATAAGAATTGGCAGCATCTGAGTTGACTTGCTTTTTCGAGTATTGCAAGATGGGACCCTGCTGTGCTAGCCAAGTCGAAATCCACAGAAACACAGATTGACAAGTAGAGGTTGGTGGGAAGGTGTGAGGCGAATGGTCCTTTAGCAAAGTGACAAGATGAATAGAAAGAACTAGTGGAGATGGCAATGCTGACTGTTTCCTTGGGAAAGCGATAAGATGGGCCATTTTTGGAGATACCTACTCAACCTGGTCAAACAGTATGATCATCTATCTGTACTGAAAGGTCGTTCCCTGGATTTGATGGGATAAATCATCACCATAGGAGATAAAGAAGTCAAATAATGCAGGGTAAGATAGAATAGTTTGCCATTCAATGTTATGACTGAAATTCGGATTGACTAAATTAATGTTGTGAACTTACTTGGCCTCGGCCATTTCAGTAGTCACACGATCGTATATTACATCCCGTGAGACCAAGCACTGCCATCTCTCAGCAGACTTTTATATCCTGAGATAGCTCGGGATTGAAAGCCTCTCCGCCCATAATCCCATGGACGTATGCTTCTCCGATGACATGTAATACTCATCATGTTGAAGGATATATAAGGCTTAATCCGCTGATGGATTAAGCATTTGCTTTTTCCACACATCACCATTAGGTTTCAAAACAAGAGGCACCTTGCCACCCTCGGCGAGAACTATTCTGTCATTTTTTTTTGATTCCCATCAGGGAGCAGACACACCCAGTCGTCCTCGGACCATCCGAACCGCCTCTCGATCGCGCACTCCAAATACGGCGTGAACTCTGAATATCCAACGCTCCAAGCTCTGGACTGCATTGTGTATGTCACAGGGTTGATTTTTGAGGAGAAAGACCCGAATCTTTTCTCGTTATTGCGGAGGTTTTCAAACACCTTCAGCCACTCGCGATACATTGCTTCTGTCTTACCAGGGTCACTTGGGTTGTGCTCTAGTAGACTGTGTTAACGGTCAATTGCCGAGTATGAGGTTATATATACGAAAGAACACAAATGGGAAAGCCAACTTCTGTCTTTTTGTTTGTTTGTGCCATGAAGTATCGCAGTGTGGCTGAAATTAGGGCTGTGGCTCATGCAATGACAGATTACACAAATTTGGAATGTGAATTTCAGACAGGCTTCAATAGAGTAGAGAATCTGCTTACCGTTCCCGCGCACGGAGTCTTCCAAAAAACTGATTCCGCGTCTCCTCCCCCGTGGTTCTGCGGTGACGCCCCGGCGGCGAACCGTTCCCACGCAAGCAGCGTGTGAAAGTAAGCCGCCACGGCGTGTAGATCACTATGGGCCTCCTTGAGCGTCTCCTTCACCAGCGTACGAAAGTTTTCTGTGTCAGGACGGCTGGAGTTGTTCGATTTTCTCGATCCCAGGGTGAGGTGGACCCGGCCGAGCACCTCTGATACGGCCTTGATTTTTGTAACCTCATGCCCGCGCAGGACTAAAGTCACAGCATCCGGCGGGAACCTGACTTTTGCAATAGTGCCCCGTGTCGCGTGTGTGCGTCGCGGTCGGTTCAAGGAATCTCGTGTTAGGGGCACGGCGAAAGAGCTAGAGACGCTCCAGTCGGTTATTCACGACGGAAGGCCCCTCCGCGTGGACCGTGGACAAACGCCCAGGACGTCCAGGCTCTCTAATGTCTCTACAAGCTGTTGTGTAAGCATTCTGTAGACGTAGACCACTGGGTTGGTATAGTCCGGGTCGATCGAGATGCTGTGCACAGGATCCGAGGCGGGTCTTGTCTTTTGGACAGCTTTGATGATGCCGAATATGGCGTATATCTTGTCCCTGGGATCCTTGGCCTTCATCTGTCTGCACTTTTCTAGCAGTTTGAGAACACCTTCAGCCCCGAAGTCTGATTGATTTGGTACTGAGTCTCGCTGGAGGCCTAACTGGAGCTACAGAGACTTGATGGACAGATAGGGAATGATACCATCGTCGACAGAGGTACCTGAGTTGAGAAAAAAACAGATGCGTATCCTGAGCCCGTGATCCTCCTTACTCGGGCTGTGAGGATGGATTCGCAGTCACCCGGGGGAGAGGGGGGGGGGGCGGGAACCAGACGAACCAGACATAGCTCAAAGACTCGTAACTCCCAAGAGAGTCGTCCATCACGACGGTGGACAGTTGGAGCTGAATCGCCTCGTCACCAGAATCTGGCAGAATGGCGAGCAGCCTGATGAAACCCTCTCCGGGAAGAGAATCGTATTGAAAGTGGGCATTTGCATGCGAGATAAATCCCTGCCCCTGAGTCGGCTCTACTGTTGACGCTGCATTTTCAGTATTCTTGCTGGAAGTAATCTTCTCGATCGAGGTCGATGAGCTTTCAAGCCATGAGTCTCGTGCTATCTTGAACTTCTTTTTGCCCTCTCTCTTCATGTAGGCCTTCATCGAGACCCACTCATCGCGCCCGCTGGCCATTTCGGACTTTGTGGCTAGTTGTGTAAATATATATATGATCAGCTTTATAAGTAGCGGACCGAAATTCTTGTATAGTGCAACATTACTTGGGTTCTGTCAGCACGTAGGCAGCCTCAAGCCATATTAAGCTAGCACCAGAGCGCTTGGGGCTCAGCTGTAATCTTCCATACACTGGACCAATGAGCACCAGATTCGGGCCCCAGACTTTGGGACCGCAATGCGTTGAGCTGAGTAACGCTTATGGAGAAAAATTGATGTTACGACAAGGCTCTGGTCGTCCTACATGAACGCCACGATCAAGGGCAACGAAGAATCCTATAGGCATCACATGTATCCCTATCTCCCCCTTGTCATGCAACATTGGACCATGCCTTTCAAAAACGGCGCAACACCACCATGACCAAATGCCCAGCATGGTCTTCCAGCACCCTGTGCTGCCCTCAACCTATCCCCAGCCCTGCGCCATGCCCTTGTCCGCTGTTTGCACCGCATATGACCACAGCCAGGCCGAAGGGGTGGAGAACCTGGCCAAGTCGCCTGATTCGAGTAAAAGGGCCAAGTTACGCGCATGACCAGCAAGGAGCTTATTCCTCGGTCCCTTCCTTAAGTTCACATGTTAGTGGGACAATCCATACTTGCATGGTTGAATACAATATATTAAGGCATATAGTAAGTGGTGAGAAACTAAGCCGCTTCTTTCCCCAATCTAAAATGTGGGCCCAGTCCTTAAGAGCTGATTGTCCTTTCTGAGGCCAGCCGTCGTGGTGATGGATCCTTGTCTCGTCTTTGTCCGGAAAAGGTGAGGAGGTGAGAAGTACAGACCAGACGATGGAGGATTCTGCGCTATTAGGACATGCTGAATCATGCGGACAAAAGGTCCTACACAGCTGGAATGCACTTGGATTGTCGCGAGACATATATGCGAGTGTCATTTCTCTAAGTGGCCGACGTAATTTACAGTGGGATTGTCCCAATTTACATTTCTATTACCCTCCCGAAATTGTCCAATACCGTATCTCGCCTCCGAACTCTCAGAAAACATATCTTGGAAAACATCCAGAGCCAGCGCGTCCATCGCGTTGTGGTCAGCATCAACAACAACCTCGGCGAGCAGCCTCTTGATGTTTGCGGATGCCTGAGGAGCGACGAGCATCAAATCCGACAACATCCTGTCGAGGGCGTTGTCCAAATCCACCTGATCCTTTGCGAGTGCATGCACGGCACCGATATTCGACAGCACCCTTGGCTGGATCTTCTTGGCCGTCAGCATGGCCATCCTGACCAGGCTGACCCCCCATTCCCGCACGAGATACCGAGACACAATCGCAGGGCACAGTCCTAGCTTCGCCTCGCTCAGGCAGAAGTAGGCGCTTTCCACCGCCAGACGGATGTCGCAGACCATGGCCAGGCCCACACCTCCGCCGAAGGCTGGCCCGTTGATGGCCGCTATCGTCGTCTTCGGACACGTGTCGATAGTGTTGAAGAGGTCTTGGAGTGCGCTGCCTCGTTGTGCGGGTGACGTGAACAGGTCCTCTTGGAGGTGCATTCCGGTGCAGAAATACCGGCCTCGTGCTGTGAGGACGATACGGTGGACTGTATTGTCGCTAGCGTATCTTGAAAAGACAGATGTGAGGTCTTTAGTGAGTTGAAGGGTGAGTGCGTTTCCCTGGCCAGGCCTGTCCAGAGTTATTTTGATAGTTCGGCACTGTCTGGTGACGTCGTAGCCGTCGCCATGTTCAATTTCCGCCCAGGATGCGTGCTCTGTCGCAGTCTTAGGTTCCACTTTAGGCTTGCCCACATCATGGTGAGTAGCTGTCGAGCCGGCGGGAAGTAGAGAAAAGACTCGTCCAAAGTGTTCGAAACGAGGATAGTAATCAGTTGATCCCAGGCTTTGGGCAGCCCAGTTCAGGCTACGAAGAACCGACATAGCGTTCTCCAAAGTTCATAATAGGTCTTCAACGAGCTGCTATAGAGTCGGATGCTGAATCTTGCGGAGTGATTCAGGAGCTATGTCGAATAAAAGGACGAACGGCACAACGTCACCGCTTCAGCAGGAAGCTGATACGCCGGCAAATCGGGTCAATCTACGAGGCAGTATCTAGTCATGTATTTGACAAATACCGCTATTTAAACTTTCAGGCTATCCGCGGATGTAGGATTTACCTGGTTATCTTGCTACGAGTCGACGACTGCAGGGGCGAAAATCATTTGCCGCCAAGTTTTGAAGGGCCTAACAGTAGTAGGCTTCATCCCCTGTCAGCCTCCTTCAGCTCATGCATGCCGCCTTGACTCACGCCTCCACCAATCAACTAATCAATAAATGCCCTCGCTTGCCTCACCTTAGTTATCTGTGATCAACTCCAGAGTCGCCTTGCTCTGGAAATCGGATTCCGGTATTTTTTTTTTCAACCCTTCATCCTAGCACATACTTCGTCGGTCCTGTTTTCGAAGTCTCCCACGAAGCACCTGAGAGAAATTCTAGGACGATGATTGCAGATTATGTTGTTCGGACAATTTCCTCATTAGGAATCGCCGGGCTTTTATATGTGAGTCTCAACTTGTTATGAGCTGGGGCGTATACTACTGGCATCCGTGCTGCCGGCATGCTTTTGCCACCCGGGACTCATCTATACTGACGCAACCATCTCTCGATCAGGTGCTGGGCGTTTGTGCATATCGAATATGGTTTCACCCTCTATCAAAATACCCTGGACCAGTGCTGGCAAAGCTCAGCAATCTTTACAGTGCCTACTATGCATGGACTGGCGACATCCACATTGACATGTGGAGATGTCACCAGAAATATGGTACGGTCGAGGATTTGAATTAGCGGCATGGTTCTATGCCAGGGGGAGTCTTGATCTGACAACTCTTCGCAGGAGACTTTGTTCGCTATGCTCCAAACCGCCTGCTGGTCAACACCCCGAGTGGGATGAAAGGTATGTCAGTTGATTGATATCCTTCGCAAGAGATAGAAAGGAACACCCGTTGACTCTCTCGAAAAACACTAGAGATCTACGGGCATAGTAAGAGCTTCCAGAAGTCAACGGCGTACCATATCATGGTCCATCGGGCCCCGAGCACGTTCACAGCGACGGACCGGAGGCTTCACGCGCAAAAGCGACGAACTCTCAGCCAGGGATTCTCTGCGACAGCAATCCAGGGCTTTGAGGAAAGGATTCTGGAGCGAGTCAAAGCTCTGGCGGACCAAATGGCGCCGAAAGGGCTCACGGCATCGAAGACGGTCAACGAATGGTCGCCTGTGCACGATATGTCCAAGTGGGCAAGTTATCTTGCCATAGATGTCATACTGGGCATAATCTTCGGAAAGAACGTGGATCTGGTCGAGTCGCCGGACTACAGATTCGTCACGAAGTGCATAGAAGACTGCAACATTCGTACTGGGGTTTTATTTCAGGCTCGGGAGCTGACGACTCGTCGATTCGACCGGTGGTTGTTCAAGGGCTCAATCAGCTCTCGTAACAGATTCATCCCTTTCATCAGCGGTCTGCTGAAGGCTCGGATGCAGTCCTCGGCAGCGAAACAGAACGACATCTTCTCTATCCTGCTTGATCCCAAGGGCGCAGGGGGTGATGAGGGAAGCCAGCCGAGCGTGTCCGAGTTGGGAGGCGAGTGCACCACCTTGTTGATGGCAGGCTCCGAAACCACCTCGACAGCCATCTCAGCAACCTTGTTCTACATGATGAGGAATCCCGAAACCTACGAGAAGGCAGTTCGTGAAGTCAGAGAGCAGTTCTCACATTCCGAATCCAACGTCCGTCTAGGCGCTGCACTCAACTCATGCACATACCTCCGCGCATGTCTGGACGAAAGCCTGCGGCTGTCACCGCCAGCCGCCAGCGCGCAGTGGCGAGGCGTCGTCGCCGATGCCATCGTTGACGGGCGCCCGGTACCGGCTGGCTGCGACGTGGGCACGTCTCTTTATGCCATCCAGCGCCATCCAGCCTATTTCGACCAATCCTCTGTCTTTCGGCCGGAGCGGTGGACCGAGAGTAATGATGCCTCAGCCTCTGAGCGAGCTCAGAGTGCCTTCTCCCCATTCCTTCTAGGGCCTAGGAGCTGCGTTGCTAAACCGCTGGCGGTTGCGGAGGCAATGTTGACTCTGGCGACTTTGTTATGCCGCTTCGACCTGAAACTAGCTGAAGGGCCGGACGGCGAGGTCGGCTGTGGCGGACGAGATGGTGCAGTGTATGGAAGGCGGAACAAGGACGAGTATCAGCTTTGGGAACATGTTGCCGCGGTCAAATACGGTCCCCTGATTCGATTTAGGGAACGTCAATAAGCCAACTCTCCATGAAGGAACGCTGGTTGGATGACCTTGACAGCCTTTGCAATCATGTCCGTTATTAGTCCCTAGCTTGAACCGGATATCTGCCGAGTAAGATAATGAAAAGCTTAACTTTTGGGCCTCTTCCTCTATAGCCGTTCCAACTGATTAGCTTGTCTTTCTTGTAAGTACCTAAATTTCTCTGCCCATCGCTTCTTGCCTGGCTCCCTGGCTCTGCATCTACTCCTAAGCTGTTCGAGCACGCCTTTTGCTTCAGCGTTGTGCCTGGCCCTTGGTGATCGCGATCCCTTTGACACCGACATCATAATTCAGGCGTCTCAGCTGAACTCGTTACGGCCCAATTCCTATTCCAGATCTAGACCTTGCTATCACATGTCGCAAATTGAGTTACACTGCATGTAGGTCCCACTCGGAGCATTACCAAGGCCCACATCACGGTTTCCAAAACGCCGCAGTGTTCTAAACTATACTACGCCGCTATACTCAATCTCTTCAAAACACCAAAATCTATGAAAACGTCGCAATTTAAAACGCCTAATTAGCAGCGTTTTACATAACACTATCTAGCGTTTTAACTTTTCAAGGCTTCAAAATGGGTCCTCCCCTATAAGTAACTTCTCGCTAGTGCTTTAGCAGCGCCTTAGCGTGGAAGTCACTTCATACTTCAGAACGCTGCGGCGTTCAGAATCCGTGATCAGGGCCTTTTAAGCTTTACTAGGTACATAAACGAGGTCCCTTATCCCTGAACTTCCCACGCCTCCATGACTCCATCCCCTGTTGATGCGGCGGCAAACTTTCACTTAGGCTGGCGTTGTAGCCGTAACCGCACAGCAGTTTTAGTTCATAGAACATTGGGCATACTTGCAGCTCATGATCCTCTGTGTGTTTCAACCTGGCCCTCCCCCAAGCCAGCTTGTCTATCCTGTCTGGTCACGGTGTTAGCCTTCAGTCATGGACAGCTTCGGGGCTTTTGGGTCCAGCACGCCATTTGCGGAGCCGCTGTGGTATTCCCGGCCAGACAGCCCAAACTACACTGATAGTCACAGACGGCTCCGCGAGGCTATCCGCCGATATGTCGACACCCAGCTGGTTCCATTTGTATCTGAGTGGGAGGACAAAGGCGCTGTTCCGCCAAATGTGAGATTCAAACGTCGGTCCCTGGGCCAGACATATCTTCCCAACGTCGGTAGGAGCTGCTCCGGATTCCACTAATTCGATCTACACAGGTCCTCAAACGCCATTCCGATCTAGGATACACGGCTGTCTCACTTGACCCCTCTGCTCTAGGCAAACACCTTCCAAAGGAAACAATTTTGCCAGGCGATGTCCCTCCGGGCGAGTGGGACAGCTTCCATGATCTCGTCGCCATGGACGAGATGGCACGCTGTGGATCGCTTGGAACCATTTGGGCTTTGGGATGTGGCAACTCAATCGGCTGTCCCCTGATTATCAAGTTCGGAACCGAAGAACAGAAGTCTGCGTGGCTGCCACCTGTCGTCCGAGGCGAGGCGAGGTTTTGCTTGGGTTGCACCGAGCCACAAGGTGAGTGAGAATGTAATTTTTAGCACCGTCTTTTGTTGTTCTATTAATGACCTTTGGCCGATTCTGTCTCGTTGAATTTCTCTAGTCCATTAGTCGCGCTTTTACTTCACACTTTGGATCTGGTCAACTGATGAATCTACTGTTAGCTGGATCTGATGTTGCGGGCATTGTGACCACAGCCGAGCAAAAGGGAGATGTCTTCGTGGTCAACGGCACAAAACAGTGGGTCACCAATGGCATGACCGCCAACTACTGCACAGCTGTGGTCCGAACTGGTGGTCCCGGGAAGGATGGCGTTTCAGTCTTGGTGATTCCTCTCGACTCGAAGGGTGTGACTCGGAGCGAGATTCGCAATTCTGGCGTCGAATTGAGCGGTAAGGCTGACATTCCGACCACATCCACTTATGTTCACAAAGATCGTGACCACGGTTAAGGATTTGGTGGGTGTTGGCTAACAGCTTCGAAGGTTGTGCCAGCCTCAAGTTTGACAACGTAGAGGTACCTGTCGGGAACATTGTCGGCGAGGTGAATCGTGGGTTCAGACTCATCATGACATGTGAGTGTCACTCTTTCCGAAGGCGATGTCTCAATCTTAATTTGACGATACACACGAAACTCGAGGTCCATTTTGTCTTACATGTCTAGCTTTCAATCACGAGCGTCTTTGGATCGCAACCAACTGCCTTCGCCTGGCTCGAATATGCGTCGAGGACGCATACCAGCACGCAACCACCCGCCACACATTCGGAAAGCCGCTGATCGAGCGCCAACTTGTCCGGCTCAAATTCGCAAATATTGGCATGCAGGTCACGAGCACGTATGCACTCATCGAGTCAATAGTCCAGCTTTGGAACAGAGCTCGCTTGCAGGGCGGGGACGACGCTACCACACCCACCGGCGGCTTGTGTGCACTGACCAAGGTCAATGCCGCGAGAGCACTCGAGCTCGCAGTTAGAGAGAGCCAGCAGATCATGGGCGCGCTGGGATACACACGTGGAGGGCCAGGGGGCCGTATCGAGCGAATTAGCAGAGATATGCGCGTTCTTGTAATCGGCGGAGGCAGTGACGAAATTCTGAGCGAAATGTGTCTCATGCAGGAGAGCAAGGATTTGCAGAAGATCATGGCATCATCTCGGACCTAGCAGATGAGGGAAATATTATGATAGCATTGGATACGGAGGAAGCATTGCGTGGTGCCAGGTACGGGGAGATTGTAAAATCCAATACACAATAAATGGCATCGAACGGAGAGATCATGAAAGTAAATGGGAAGTGAAGTATTTTATTTGGGTTGAATACATGGGCTGAAGATAGGGGCAGACTGAGCAAGGTGAACTGACTTAGTAGTACTGCCGAGTAATCACAGGCCCTACTAGGAGGACAGGGAGCAAGATTTGCAAAAGGTGGATGACGTTTTAGCAAGTACAGATCCCAATTATAGGAAGGAGCTGTAAGGCAAGGCAATGTTGTCAATCTCTAGCATAAACGCCTCGATGACAAGAGAAATAGAGTACAAACAATTCGATGCCTATTGTGCAGGTGTGTGGAGTTTGTGAATTGATGAGGCTGCGCAACCCATAATTAATGTTATTCGTGTTACTTCAAGCCACACATCTATGTAGAGGATATGGTATGTCTTGCTATTGTACTAAAGCTGAAAAGGCACCTTGCACACAGTATTTACCGTAGGAATAGAAGTAATACATAATGGGTTCTCCCACTTTTGTTGGCACATAATTTAGGGCTTGATTGATAATACCAGACGCTTCCAGACCCAAATGCGCACTGAAGTCAATCCAGCAACTACCTTGCATCAAATGGAACCTGTGGTAAACTAGAATCACTTGTAATTAATAACTTCCTATTCGTAGTGGGGAAGACAACGCAGTAAAGGCTCTTCCGTGCAATGGAAGTTAAACATTCACGTGGATCTTCAGCGAGATGCTCCTTGGGTTAATTACTTGTAACGTATCAGCTGATCGTCCACCAACCAATGAGATACCGAGCAACATTTCGGGTCGAGATGGGGGCTGGTTGGCATCTTGCATTTGGGGCGTGCCTGCAGTTGGGCCAGAACTGAAGCACGAGCCGCACAGCTGCAGGCGAGGTGGCTATGTCTGCAGTGTAGATTAATAGGTCCAGCACGCGCTGACCCCGAACCACAGAGGACCACCATGCTCTAGGTCTCAACCGCCATGAATGTTGACTCCAAGAACACCTACGCAAGCACCAAGACCAGAATAAGGCAGGATGGCGTTCAACAATCTTGAACTGCGCCACCTTCCCGGCCTTCTTATAGCCAGTTCCGAGACCTTCGGTGGGTTCTGGCCTCTTTTTAACGCGGAGAGAGCAATCCTCGCATTTGGCCTCCCAGGACCCATTGCGCAATCAGTACCCGCGCAGACGACAATGTTCATTGCATCGTCCCGTATCAGCACCATAGGGATGATAATATTCGCTCTGTACGGCCAGGGAAATCTCGCTGCTGTTGACACCGTGCTTGCGGTCATGGGCCTTTACGTGGGAGTGATGGATGGCTATTTCTGCTGGCGCGAGGGCAGGCCGAAGATGGGGCTGTTCCGCTCTGCTGGTGCTTTCACGGTTGCGGCTGTTGGGTTGGCTGGATGCACAGCGGGTGGTCAAGGCTAAGCATGGAGGTTCCGTCTGTTAGAAACTGGGATCACTGATGATCCAGTACGTATTTCATGTACTAGTTGTATTTTCTGTTCCCTCTGTGGGGTTAAGTCCGTGCCCAGAGTTGTGTGACAGCAGCTTCTGTTAGGAGTACAACAGAATTAAGTCCAAGTTGGGCGCCGTCTCCACTAAACAGACCTTTGGCGGGCAGGGGACTGGTTCTGGAAGCGGGAGTGTTGGCTCCACTTTCCAACGAACCAACTGCTTGGACTTGCACGAACCACTGGCATGCTCTCCAACAGTCCCAACTGAGCCAATGCTGGATCGAGTTTCTGGGACTAGGTGGAGCGCCGCGGTTCCTGCTCCGCTTTTGATATGGGGTGACCAGACTCAGGAGTCAAGTTGCCAGCGCTGAATGAAACCTTCAAAAAAGCCCAATCGTACATGTGTACATTCGCATCCCAAAACCATAAATGATGGCGCTTGTCAGAGAATCAGAGGGTTCGACCTTACCCATGCGGGGCATGCCTGCAAAGTCCACATTCGAGGTGACTCCCCTGCTGGCAGAGAGCTTCCCCGCGACAAAAGATGTGACGGAAGAAGTGGCTCCCCTGAAAAGGGGAGACTGGCCGATCACTCAATTCAGCTATTGGGAAGACTACAAGCCGATAATGAGGAGATTGTACATCGACGAAAAAAGACCACTCCGAGGAGTGATGGAGATAATGGAGAACGAGTTTGATTTCAAACCAACGTACGTCTGCCCCTTGAGCTGTAGCATTGGCAGCATCAGCAGGATACAGGTGTGACTCAAAATCACAGGGCGAAGATGTATAAGAACAGATTCCGAATCTGGGGCTGGCGGAAGAACATCAGGCTCGATCCTGATATAGACGCCGGCAGAGTGCAAGACATTATCAACAGCAGACGCCCGGAAGATGGCAGTGATATCCAGGCCCAGAATGTCCTCTTAGCCAACGGGCAACTTGTCGATGTTGCCCGGCTTTACCGATATCTACGGCGTAAAAGACGATGCAAGGAGATGCCACTCACCACCAGAATCAACCAGCCCGACGTATTCTACAACAGCGAGGCAATCTTCCACAGCGCCCGATCGCATACCTTGGGTCAGTACCAAGGGAAAATCAAGGGTGTAACAGATGCTCTTGACCTCTTCGCGAGGGAGGAGCACATAACCGGCCGGTGGCTCAGGTTTACCGATGAAATCAAGGACCTCATGCAGCAGCAAAATCTAGGCGAGGCCATCGTTCAAATGCGCCGAGCACCAGACGAGGTTGCCACTATGGTCCAGACTGAGCCAACTGCCCTGTTCGTCAACCTCTTTATGTATGTTTTGAAACTTTGCAACTGCCCTGGTATCACCGACGCCGAGTCAAGACAATTTAGGCTAGTTGTGAAGTCGCTTCTTCATTACGCCGCGTCCATCTTATCCTCCGGCTCCACAGGCCTTCAAACTTCACACCCGCTGCAAATAATTATCAAGGGACTTGCGACTGCTCCAGACAGCGAGCTGAGCGAGATTGCGTCCAGGGCTTGGCAGGTAACTAACCAGTCCTGGGCAGAGCTTTGCTTTTTGGATTCCTCTTCCGCTGTGAGCAGGGGGACCTTGGATCAATGGCTCGAAATTGGCGACCAAGGAGAAAAGGATGGCATGTGGTTCTCCCGAATCATCGAGGGAATAGTTGACGGGACGATTGCCAAATACGAAGCAGCGTACGGGAAGCGCGACATCAGATGCATCAAAGCACTACAAAACAAAGCCGACTTGATAATCTATACCTGCAAGGCCAAACGACTGGATTGCCTTCTAGACCCGAGACTTGAGGAGCTGTACCTGCAAGTCTTGATTCGGGGAGCTCAGGGAGTTCAAAGGGCTGATGCTCTAAAATTCCTTGCCGAAAGCCATCGAGCACGTGGGGAATGGGATATGGCGGAAACGTATGCGCGGTTGTGTCTTGCACCAATGGGTAGCAATCGGGGAAAGGCGAGTTCTGTTGTGCTCGACGAGGAGATGCCCGGCACCCTGCCATGCAAAGAGCTCCAGGAAGATTCTATAGTTAGAAATGTTTAACACAAACCAGGTTCTGGTGAGACTTCAAGTTCAGAGAACTCAATGAATAGCAGGAAAAAGTAGCTGTAGTGTTCCTTTTAATACATATGAAACAATTCATCGGTCAGCTGTCGTACTACAAGAGCGAGCTAGCATGCGGTTTTCTTGCCATTAGCCAAGACACAAGGACGTCAAACGGGTGGAAACGAAAGGGTGAAGGAGGAGAAGGGAAGGGCAGGTCAAGGGCCCTGAGAAGTATTTATCAAGAGGAGTCGACCTTATGGTCGGGGCACCTGATACCTGAGGGCCCGGGGGCGAGGGACAAGGCGCATCGCATGACTACGCTCCTGAACGGAGGAATCAGAAATCGGCGACCTCGACCCCAACACGGGAATTGCAAACAGTGAGAAATAACCAAGCCCACCATAACGATGTTGATGGCAAATAACAGGACTTTGAGCCAACCTGCAGGATTAGTCATGCTAGTTATTCTCTAGGTATCAACCCCTCACCTTATCCCCAGCTTCGGCTCGATGGCCTTGCACTATCAACCCAGTCCCCTGCCACTCACTCAGCAAACATGACTTCAATGGACAAAGTATTCGCTGGATATCAGCAGAGGAAGGGCATACTCGAATCGAGCACAAACCCCTTTGCCAAAGGCATCGCATGGATCGAAGGACAGCTCACGCCGCTGTCCGAGGCGCGTATACCACTCCTAGACCAGGGCTTCCTCCACAGCGACCTCACTTATGATGTCCCCTCCGTCTGGGACGGCCGCTTCTTCCGCCTCGACGACCACATCACCCGCCTGGAGGCCAGCTGCTCAAAGCTGCGGCTGAGGCTGCCGTTGCCTCGGGAGGAGGTCAAGAGGACGCTCGTCGACATGGTGGCCAAGAGCGGCATCAGAGATGCGTTCGTGGAGCTTATTGTGACCCGCGGCGTCAGGGGCGTGCGGGGCCAGAAGCTGGAGGACCTCTCGAACAACCTGTACATGTTCATCATGCCCTTTATCTGGGTCATGGAGCCCGAGATGCAACACGACGGCGGCAGCGCAATCATCGCCCGAACGGTGCGACGGGTGCCTCCTGGGGCTATTGACCCGACGGTCAAGAATTTGCAATGGGGTGACTTGACGCGAGGAATGTTCGAGGCGGCGGACCGAGGTGCTACTCATCCTTTCCTCACGGACGGCGATGGGAATCTCACCGAGGGTTCTGGCTTCAACATCTGTATCATCAAGGACGGCACGATCTACACGCCTGACCGTGGTGTTCTGGAGGGTGTTACTCGCAAAAGTGTGTTCGATGCAGCCAAGGTCCATGCAATTCCCGTGCGTATGGAGGTTGTTCCGGTTGAGACGGCCTATCAGGCCGACGAGCTATTCATGTGCACCACGGCTGGGGGCATTATGCCAATCACGAGTCTTGACGGACAGCCCGTGAAGGGTGGCAAGGTCGGACCCATCACGAAGAAGATTTGGGACACTTACTGGGCCATGCACTATGATTCCACCTACAGCTTCGAGATTGACTACAGTGGTGTGTAATAAAGGTAGGCCGGCTATGATCAGGGGACTTGATGAGCAGAGAGCCTCAGTCTAAACATGTAACATTTAGAGAGACCCGACATACTCTATTTGCCCTCTTCAAAAGATTTGGCTCTCTCAGCAAGCCAGCCATCGGGGTGCGCGCCCTCCCCGATCACGAGTCGGTCCTTGATCAACCAACTGGCCCCTTACTTGACAAAAGTGTCCTCCCACCGGCCCCAGTGATCCAGGCTCCCAAGGGGCGCCTGGTCAGTTATTGCAAGAAATTGAGACTCGACACGTGCCTCGGTGTCGCTTGTGAATGTGGCGCGCCACGACGTCAGGTGGTGACGGATGTAGGCCGCCTCTCCTCCACCCACCACGGCTGACAACTGCGAGGGCTGCACAACGATGCTCCCGTCCGGGCCGAAATGAAACCTGGCGTCAGCCGTGAACAGCGTGGCCATTTGTTTCCAATCAGAATTCTCACGGGCGAGGGTGCAGTACGTGTTGAGAACGGCTTGGATCTCGGACAGGGCAATGGTGGGCTCGATGGAGCCAGGTTGACTGAGGGCTGTCATCCTCTCCCTGTGCCAGCGGTTGTGATATGGGTCACTTTTGCTTCAAGTCCAATAGGAGAGGATGAATGGAGACCGAGAAAACAAAGGCGAGCTCTATAGCATAGCACGAAAGAACAAGCCCCGGATTTACTTTTTGGGCAGATTTGTTGTACTGAAGCACCTCGGGCAGTCATGCCAGACCCAACCAACCCCTTTTATCATTACCCGTAATCAGCAAAAGCCATCATATGTCAATTGGTGTACCTAGAATACTAAACTTACAATAATTTCGTTCCATCCGGCCAAGGATTGATAATTCCTCGATAATCGGTAAAGTAACTAGCCACAGGACGTGGTGGGAGGTCCCAGCCTCCACTATCCGCCGCCCGAAGTCTGTTGTCCGCTATTCACCAATTCTCCATCCATGCCGGCCCACCAGGGAAAACGCTTCTAGAAGCAATTACACATCATTTGGCAATCATCAGTGGAGGCCCCCCGGCGTTATCTTGTGTATGCTCAAGAATCCATTCGTGATGCCATGACACAGCCGACCAACAGCTTTAGAACGGGGGCTTGGGCTTCCGTCGTACAGCTTGGGCCATCATTTGCATTTGTCGCAGACACTGGGACAGACAAAGTTAGCTGATATCCAATTATTATAAAAACCTGAAGTCTTTCCCATCTTGGTGGTGTTGTTGAACTAGACCAAATCTTAAGCCGTAGACGAGAAAGACCCGGGACAACGATAAGCAGCATGGGGTCAAAACAAGCAGATGTTCTTATTATTGGAGCTGGCCCCGTAGGCTTGTTTACTGCCTTACGCTTAGGCCAGTCGGGAGTAAAGGTAGTGGTCATTGAGAGAGACCCTGCTGTTCTCCAGTTACCTCGATCTTGCGGCTACTACCCCATTGTCCAATTCGCTTTCCACCACGCCGGAATTTACAACGCTATCCTCCAGCGCGGCGGGTTTCTAACCACCGGCATGGACTTTCGACGGAACCCCACCGACGACGGCAAGGGCGGCAAGAAGGCCGGCGAGCTGGTGGGCGGAATGCCCACTAAAGAGACGATCGACACGAATGGACCGCCTGGTACTGGCACGCTGAACATGCCGCAACCCATACTCTGCCAGATATTGTTGGAAGAGGTAACGAAGCTGGACGCTGTTAGTGTCTGCTTCGACACGGAGCTTGTGGGGATCCACGATGAAGAAGGAAGCCAGTATGTCACGGCTGAGACCAGGAATGTTACCACTGGAGACAAGAAGACATTCTCTGACCAATACCTAGTGGGTGCAGATGGAGGGAAATCCAAGACGAGAGGACTGCTCGGAATACCATTCAGCGGACATACCTGGCCCGAGAAGCTGCTGGCGACAGACGTCTGGCTGATGAACTACGACGAGAGCCCCATCACGACCACCTATCTGCTGGATCCCGTACACTACACTGTCATCACACCGCTGACACGACCAGTGACAGGGGAAAAGTCTATGTGGAGGATTGCCTTCGCCCTGGACCCGGATGAGACTAGGAGCAATGAGGAGCTGCTGTCAGACGAGCACATATACTCTCACTATGACAGAATTTGGCCTGGGCCGAGGCCCCTGCCGTTCCAGATCGAAAACCGAACGACATATGTTATTCACCAACGTCTTGCTGCAACGATGAAGCGGGGCAGATGCGTCCTTGCCGGGGACGCAGCACATCTTGTCAACGTGAGTGTTCACCATTTCTCAAAGACCTAGTCCTCAGGAAGGGAGGCGAGAAAAGCCTCATGTTCTGTTAGACCTGTACTTCAAAAACATGAGAGGTATAGTACTAACACCTCGTGTGACATCATGAAGCCAATGGGTGCGCTAGGCCTCAACACCGGCTTCCTTGACGCTGTGGCGCTGAGCGACGCGCTCAAGATGGTTCTCAAAGAGGGCAAACCGGCGGAACGTGTGCTTCAGATCTATTCGGACGAGCGGCGCAAGGTTGTGCAGGAATTTGCAGACCCCACATCCATATACAACAACCTACGCTTGCATTCCGTCAACATCCAAACTGCACATAAGGATGACTGGTTCTTTCGCTCCCTTCAGGATTATTCTTCCGAGGACTTTGGCAGATACTGGGGGCGCTTTCAGCATACATGGCCCACGGGTATGAGGGCACTGGTCGACAAGAGCGGGTAGAGATGATGATTCGTTGATGAAGTCTTTGGCTTACTCATTGTTTCTGGACTTGTTCTTTTGATCAGGGCTTTGTTGCTGAGCTCTGGGGTACCATGTGGCTCTCCTCTATGCCTTGTTCGTTCTTGTCGCGAGCTGATGGATGTAACTCTAGCGAAAGCTTTTGAGGAAGGGCGGGTTGCTCCTGTGGGCATAAAGGTGTTCTCGTGCACCCCAAATATCCCAATCTGGACACAGTCGGCGCCATCCGCATCCCTGAGTCATTGCAACCGCCTGTCATGCTCGTATGCCTAAGAGAAACACTCCATTATGGGCAGAAATCCACTGCTTCTGGGAAAGCACGTGAACAGCAAAGCTTTCTTCCCAGCCCTACTCCCCTCTTGTGACATGAGGGCGATGTTTGAAGCTTTTGATATAGCAAGGTGATACGACGCCTCGGAATTATACAACTTCATATTCTGTTCCTGCACAGACGGATGATCACTTCGGCATGAGCATGTGCGTCATTTTCCGATCTTTCAGTCTTTGTTCGGCCCGTATTGAACAGATGTTGTATTCAAGCATATTGATCTTGCGGGGAAGATGAGATACTCTGGGGTTAGAACGCTGCAGTGGGGATGTCTGTATATATGTGTTGCCTCCAGGCTTTTACAGCAATGATAATTGTCGTCGATGTGTCCCGCGCGATTGGCAATAATTTCGTCCACGAAAGCGCCTCCTTCCCCAAACTCACGGATCAGGACTGAAGAACAGGCACAATGCGCGGCACGAGATTCTTGTTGCTCCCGGCGGTGATACCAGGCGCCTTCTCCGCGCTCTGCACGCCGCTGGCCTGCTCCGTGGTCCACGTCTTCCTCGTCCGCGGGACCGACGAGCCCTCCCCGGGCCGGCAGCTGCCAGCCGCAGAGGCGATCTGCAAGGACTGGGACTGCTTGTGGTCCAACATCGAGTACCCGGCCGTGTTCAACGACCACTGCGAGTCCGCCGAGACGCGCATCGCCAACCTCGGCAAGGCCGTCACCGACTACGCGACGCGCTGCCCGGACGCCAAGATCGTCCTGTCGGGCCACAGCCAGGGCGGGCAGGTCGTGGGCGACTACCTCGGCGGGGGTGGAGGCAATGCCAGCTCGTGTGTGCAGGAGACGAGCGAGGGGATTTCTCCTGGGACATTCCCGGCGGATCACAGTAAGGAGATTCCCAAGTCCATATCCGAACTAGAATGTTCGCCGTGTGTACCGTGCGACGATATGCTGAAATCAGACCCCATGTGGCAGTCATCGCAGCGTTGATGTTTGGTTCACCGCGACACAATGCCAATCAGTCATACAATCTGCTGGTTGGAGCGAGAGCAACTTCTGTAAGTGCCTTGGGCGTAGAGGTTCTTTTATGAGTAATGCACGCTGACGCGCATCGTCAGGCCTGGCCAAGGGAAGGCGAGCAACTCCGGGCACTGAACCTCTGGTCTGATAAACTTCGCGACTATTGTGATCCTGCGTGCGCCGGAGGATCCAACTGGACCGCCCATGAGAACTATTTCGAGCTGTACGAGGACGATTCGGCACAGTTCGTGAGGTTCAAGGCCTGCCAATGAGGCTTGAAAGTGAAAATGGAAAGTAGTCACAAATACTAATCCTCGTCTACCGCCGTCTACTAAGATAAATTTTCTTCTGTCAGTGCCGTCAGAACTATTGTGTGATAAGAAACATCTGGGCGACCTCCATAATTGGCTCGAGCAGCTCTTTCTTTCTCGGGAACCCTGCGAAAAACAGCCCCACTGGTATTCTCGTACCGGGTAAACCGCAGTATATCCACAGGTCGTTCTGTAGCTGTCCGTGTTTGAACGGCTGGGACAGTGAACACAGAGCATAAATACCAACGGCCCCTGGCAGCACAAAGCAGCAAAATGTGTCACGCGACAAACAGGAAAAGTCCGTTCAAAATGGCGCCACAGGAGCCGTTGGACCAACAGAGTTGCTTGGATACAGCTTGATTACGTCTTCGGCACATCTCATCACCAGCCCGTCAATGGTGAATACTGCTTGGACAAAGAAACTGCCGTCACAGATGTGTTCTGCAGTGAAAGCCCTGAAAGGCGATAGAAGGCCACATGAGGCCTGCTTAGTCTATGCAAATGCGAGGAAGGTAACCGTCCATCCCAGTAAATGAATGTTCAGTGACGGTGTCAGCCATGACCCGCTGCCTCTACCCAACCCAATCCACATGAATATCAGCCTCCTGAGTGAGTGCCAGGAAACTCCTCCAACGCCGTACCAAGGTATGTGAAACCCCACGCCTTACGATGAAGGCATAAAAAATATCTTTGTGCTGAAGTTGAATGGAAAAGAAAGTGTGATGTCGTGATCATCATGAAGGCCTGCTCGATCGGTGGTTCGTGCCCTCGCCACCCGTTGCCCAACTAAACGTCCGCGTCGCTGCGTAGCCCTGCGTGGCCGAGGGCGACGTCGGCAGCTCAACCGGGGGAGCTTGTGGGTTCTGCTGCTGCTGAGGTGGTCCCGGCGTGCCGTGGCGCTGTGGCACATTGCTGTTAAGGCTTGTCAGTCAAATCCTGTTCCCAGCATCCGACCACCGAATCAGATGTAACTCACAATAATCCACCTCCGCTGTCCGAGCCCTGCGCGTATGGAGTTCCCATGCCCGGTTGGCCCCCGAAATGCTGATACGAGTTCTGGGAGTGTACGCTCATCGGCGGTGGGCTCCCACTGTGTACGGAATATCCTGGCAGGCCTTGCGGCACGCCGTGCCCTTGATGCTGTTGATATGGATCGTTCGAAGGAGTGACGGAGTAAGCCGTTGTTGCGAATGTCTCTTGGCCGGGACTCTTTGCGCCGGGGTTATATTTCACTTCGCTTATGGGCGCCGGAGCCATAGCATGCCTGCTCTGTCGGTTGTATGCCTTGTCCAGTCCCCCTCTTCGGCCACACAAATAGAGGAGTGTCGCTGCTATGAGGAGCACCACTGCTCCACCGATGGCGATACCCGCAATAGCTCCAGCGCTGAGTGGTGGGCTGGAATGAGAATGACTGCCGGACCCGGACGATGAGCCTGATGTTGGTGTTGCACCCGCGGTGCCAGCAGCAGTTTCAGAAGGTAAGGGGTCGCCTGGTACCATCTGGGTGGTTGTGTTCTTTGTGTATGCAAGCTGGACGTCCAGAGTCTGTGTATCATTGGGGTTGATGACGCCGATCATCCAGTTATCAATGCACGATCCTGGTGCTGCGCAGTAAAACCAGATGGGAGCAGTGTCGTTCACCCTGACTTCGAAAGTAGGGCCCTGTCGTGCGTGTTGTGAGTGGTGATATTCGATGCGCAAGTAAACGTGCCGACTTACATCATTGGTGATTGTGGCAACATTCTCGAAGCCAGAGAAGAAGCCGACCTTGTTCGCGCCGGTATATTCGTAGGGTATACTAAGTTGACATTAGGATTTCCTAGGCTCCATGGCGGCGGGGAGATACTAACCATGGATACCTGTATTCCGCCCGGACGACTGAATGCCCTGTTGGATAAAATCTGAACCCTGTGCGCATGCATCGTGTCAGTGAGATACCGTAGGCGGGAGTGTGCATGCTTCGATTCTTACGAATGATATCGCCAACGGAAGCGTTTGTGACTTGTGGGGTGAACTTGTGGCCTTCCTAAACACTTGGTCAACATCTAAGCATCCTCATAACTCAGGACGGGATCCATACTGCGCCCACAGCAACGTCAAGCGTGTTTGCGGCGGAGGTCGATGAGGACGTAGCCGAGGCAGTCCTACTTGCCGGTGTGCTGGACGTAGCCGAGTCGGAGTCTTCCGTGCTCTGAGCGCTGACCACAGTAGCCAAGGCTGTCAGGCCTGCGAATATCTTCGAGAACATCATCATGGTCTCGGGCTATTCAACTTGGACTTTCGAAGCCCATATGTTGCATATCGCGGATTTGTGTCGATGCAACCTCGTGAGTGAATATGAGTGAGGCAAGATGACAAAATGGACAGAAGAGACGGAGTTGGGCCGGGAGGGTCATGGAAAATGAGATAATTACGTGGGTCAGCAGAAGGGTAGCAGAGGCGTGGGTGTGAGCAGTGAGCAGGGCCCGCCGGTCCAAGAATAAGACGAAAGAGGAATCCTATCGACCTCACTTGTTGCTGACTGCAGTGCGAACATGCCAGCCAGATGTGGAAAATAGCAACACGACCCTTGGCCCAAGCTGTCCCACCACGCTCAGCTTTTTCAGACAGCACTAGCTTCCGGCGAGCTTGCTAGCCACAGCAGCTCTCCACGTCTTTTGCCGCATGTTGGTGTTTTCAAAGGACCAAGACCATGTTGTCCATCCTTCCCACGATGGACTTGCCCTTTCGGGCCACCAACATCGCGTAGGAGACCTTGAAGGGTGGAGCTTGGGGTTTCTAGTGACAAACCGAAAGCCACCCTCTTGCCCATCACTTTGGGGACACAATGGAAACGTTGGCATCATCCAAAATGGCAGCCCTTCTGCAATTCCACTAGCATACGAGAGGGAATCTTGGAGCCTTGGAACGGCCCGCGAGGAAGACGGCTTCGCCTCGACTCGAGCTTGGGGGAGGGGGATGTTGGGCTTCCAATGGGGTCCGGTATCAAGACGCACTTTGGGTTACAGTGCAGCAGCGACGCCGCATCCAGCCGGTGGGCGATGCGTCCACCCAGGATCTAACAATCGAGCCAATAGACCATCATGTGCAGAGCTCAATGGAGCGTAATGAGGTGCGAGGTCGAGGTGGTGGCTGAACCTCGGACTGGCGAGTTAGGCTTGGCAGATATTGATGGGTGTCCTCGGATAAAACCGACACAGGGCACTAGCAACCCATGAACTGGTGTGTGTTCTTTGCCCAGACCCAGTTGGTGCATGTACAGAAAGTCGCAAGACCAACTTGTTGATCTGTCAGAATGCCTCCATTGTGAGGGTACCGCATTCCGTATGGTAGAATGGGTGGGAACGCGAGGGTAGGTCCCAACAGGTCAAACGACGATGGCATGCCACTGAAGCGTGGCATGCAGCCCAGACAATGACTCTGCGAACGCTTTCATTGACGCTCGTCATCCAGCGGCCGAACGAGCGCAGGACAGTCGTTGCTGGCAAACCTGTGGCCGCGTAGTGTCTACCTCAGCCCAATGGGTAGGTTTGATGTCGAAATAGATTGCGGCGCGGTACATAAGCGGCTTATTGTGGGGGTGGTTCGCACAGGATTAGCTCGAAGGCTAAGTCAGCCCTGCCCTACGATGGAACTCTTTTATTTCCCAGGCATCCCCTGATCCCCTGCTCGATTTCCCGTGGAAATGAAATACCGAGCCCACTCCCCAAAACGACCGATGGAACGCGAGCCTGCGAGATCCGTGTTCTGGGGATGCTGGTGGTGAGCATTCCAGGCCCCCAAGAAAGAGAAAGAGAGAGGGGGAGGGCAAGAGGTGAGAGGTGAGAAAGAGAGTGTGGATGGACGCCTTCCATCTGTCAGCCGCAGTCCGCTAGGCTTGGCATCCCACGGCCCGTCCTTCGCCCAATCCTTCTCATGGCGATATCACGTAGAAAGAGGCACCGTTTGCTAGTCTACGGCGCAGCACTCAAGTCCTGCGACACATTACGAACCCAACAGAGCATAAAATCAGCCAGCCCGGGTCCAAATTGTGCAAACGAATATTATGTGATTCGACATTCACCTGTTGCATCCAGCAGCACCTGCATCTCTCTTGACCATCGCCTCGGTGGAAGCGGGGCGGGGGAAGAGGCTGGCTGTATGCCAATTCAAGGCCGCTGACCAGGGCTCTGCGCTGACGAAGGCTTCTGGAAGCTGGAATTGGTTGAAACTCGGTACTTGGCCTGGACGGGGCTCCCAAAAAAGCGGCCTGCATGCGCTTGCCTCCGCCACAGACCCCCAGTGCCGGGAATGCTCCGTAGATGAGAAGCGGCCGAATCGACGGCCGCGCTGATCGACGCCCAAACTCTTCACGTGTTGCCTGGCCTTTCCCCTCCATTTCGTGCTGTACTGAATCAATGGGCTCTCCCACCAAGATAAATCCACAGGAGGAGAGCTTTCAGGACAGTGGGCAAAATTAACCCTCGTAGGAAAGAGAGCAAGGGAAATCGACGAAGGTCCCTAAGCCCTTCCAGAACCCTCGGCTAACCATGAATGCCCGGAGCGCATGCACAATCATCGAATAGATCGCGGAGGCTTCTTCCAAAGAGGGTGCAGGCCCTGCAGCCACCCATGCCACTTCAAGAGTTCATCGCCGGGAGCCTGCCTGCTTGCCAGCAGGCTGGGGCCCGATCGAGCGGCCTGGCGAAGGCCTTGCCCCGCGCAGGATTCGACTCGTGGAAGAGGTCCGCAAGGGCGTGCTCATGTGGTGTATGCTGAATGCTGTCCTCGCAGGCCCAGCCAGCCCTGAGGGTGTGTGGCGCGGCGTGGCGTAAGCAACGTTGTACACCATCATTTGGATCCCCGACCGCTCGCGTGCGGCAAGCGGCAGGCGGCATGCAGCATGCGGCATGTAATGTAGACAAGGCTGTCGTGCCAAAATCACCATAAGATCCTGCTGAGCGGGGAACCTTTGTCCCGTCAACCGATCGAAATTGTTGCCACCTGTATGTTTGTAGCTGGGTATTGCCTTTTCTGGACTTCGACTCCCATGGTTGAGATCCGTGGTGCGGATACATAGAGTACAGCAGGAATATCTAGAAAGATGAGAAGAAGATGAAAACAAGACTGGTATAATGCCACCTGCTATGCTTTTAAGTCCACAAAACACCTGCCACCCACATTGTATCAAATTTGAAATAGAGCAAGTTCCCTCCTGGTATATCGGGCACTCAATTTAGGGTGCGTGTGCCTGCGAACGCTATTGCGTTTTCTTTTGCGTGGAAACGGATTTCCTGGGTAGAATCTGGGCTTCCACTACCAACCGGTAGAGACACCACAGATAACAGATTCCGAAACCTGCTGCACCGATACCAACGTTGACTACGGTCCACAGATCCGGCTTGTCCACCGGCGGGGCGACGACCCTCAAGAACATGCCAAGCTGCCATGGCTAGATAGAAGCCGCCATGCAGGAGGAAAGTGGCCCACTGTGTCAACGCGCCGCTGCTGCTCTCAAAGTAAGCACCAAGAGACGTGGGTGGCAGACCCAGGAGGTAAGCCCATAGCCCAGTGATCACCGCGTATGGAACACGCAGGTCGACCCGCTGCAGAAGAGGGAACATCGTCCACGAGCCCAGGATATTCGCAAATCCCACCCATGCTCGAGTGTCCTTCCCAAGACCGTTGTTACCGGCCAAGAGCAAAGTCATGGGCATGAGGGGGAGCAGCACGCTTTTCTCGTGAACCTGGAAGCTGAACAAAAAGAATGCCCATGCCGTAGTCGCAAAACCCAAGGGCAATAGCTCCTTCTTGGGCTTGAAGAACAGAATCAGGCTGGGGACCAGACTGAACGCAAGGGTCGCAGCCAAGGATGCCTTCTGCAAAAGCTCCGAGGGGTACTGACGCAGTTTGACGACCACGTTGAGGGCACACCAGAAATTTGCGACCTTGTCCTCAAACAGGCCCCTCGCGAAAGGGAAGACACGGTGAATCACCTGGACAAGCTGCTCGATCACAGGCCAGTAGAAGACATTCGTATCGATGTAGTCCTCGATCCATTGAAATATTGGCAAGCGAGCATCGGCTCCTTGCAGCTCAGCTCTGGGAGAGGCGCCCTGGCTCTTGTCATACAGTGCACCGGCGACCAGTGGGACGAGCAGGACGGCAAACGAGACGACGGTGCCGAGTGCGATGGCCAGCAGACGAGTGATCCTAATCTGGGGGAAAAGGCAGCTTCCCAGGAGGAAGAAGAAGACGGGTAGTGCGTAGTAGAGAGCCATCTGCTTGAAGCCAAGTGCGGCCACGAAGAAGACTGACGCCCAGAAGAAGCGACCGGCAAGCATGGACGACATGCTCGCTGTGACGAAACCTAGCATCACCGTGTTGTATTGGAAGTGAATGTGGTCGATGAGTATGGTGCCGGGCTGCATGAGCACGGCAACAAGGGCGACCGAAATGGTCCAGTTCGACACACCGAGGAGCCTGCCGTACCTCCTCACGAACATGACCACCGCCGGGACGAAGATGAGGTATTCGGACACGATGACAGTCGCTCGCATAAATATCTTCAGATTGGCATCATGGATGCCCCGCGACGTGTAGAGCGCGAACCAAGAGGGATCGATGAGAGTGCCAATCTTGCCGCACAGCCAGCTGTGGTATGCCGTCAGGGGCGGATAGTCGAGTCCCCACCATTCCAGGTCGTAGAAGTACCATGACGATATGGGCAGCTGCGTTGTGATCTCCATCCAATGCCTCTGGGCCTCGTAGTCACCGAACATTGGAGGCTTCTGGAATCCTGCAAACACACGAGTACAAGTCAGCCGGGCGCTTCTGCGCTTCTGGGGCCAATGTCGACAAGCTCGCCGCGCTCGCACACTGCTTCGGGGTTAATGCTCACCTGAGTATCCCCAGAGACCAGCAGCCCACCTGAACAGACCGACTACCATAAGAATGAGAGGAAGGACCTCCCATTGCGATACTGAGCCTCTTGCTGGCCAGAGAAAGGCTGACAGTGGGAAGGAGGGCGCCCTGACGAGGGTCTCGGCCTTGGAGAGCTGGAACCCTTTTCCATCGCCGTTCTGCTTGACCTTGCGTCGAGGCTTGTGGTGACGACCTGAAGGTGTTCCAGCCATTGCGCAGCTGGGGACGACTGGGGCCTCGTGGGATCTCGAGAATTGGCCGCAGAGGGTGGTGATGATTGTGGTGGTCGCGGTCGTGGTACCCAAATGCCGGTGGAGGGTGGGTGGATCGTCCGGGAACTTTTATTGCAGCAGCCCAACTGAGGTTTCTGGAAGCTGTCCAGAAGCAAGCTCCAGCTTCCCACAACCCTTGTAGCCCCGGGATCGGCATCTAACAGCTCTCCGGCTGCTGGTGGGGCTGTCCCCAGGGACGACAGGCATCTGCTGTGGCTGCCATGACATCAGTCTGTTAGGGGACCCTGCAGCTCGACCAGCAGACGGCACATGCAATACATTCCACGATACCCAATGCCAACGCCAATGCCAAGAGCTTGAGCCCCTCAGCGCGACAGCTTGTGGCGGTGGCCTTCGTTTGTGATTAGGTACGTCTCAAAACACAAATAATGTCTCCAAGACGCGGTCTGACCTTGGCCGATACCTGAACTTACAGACCCGCTGCAGACCGTCTCCTCAAGATGCCCTACCCGTTCGTCCTCCCCACGACCTCAGCCTTCTCCTACTCCTCGAGCTTGACCTGCGAATCGCACCCCTCCCTCCCTCTCTCAGCGAGCACCCAACGCGGTGTCGTCCGAGATGTTCTCAAGAAACACAAGCGATCCTCTCCACAGTCGCAAAGCGCCAACCTGCCGACCATCATCTCTGCCATAACAGGCTATCTTCCGTACCTGCTCGCCGTCGACTCGGGCCTGAACCACCGCACCATCGGCAATGGCCTCGAGATCTTCAGCATCATCCAGCGGTCCAACGTGCCCCTGAATATCGAGTGGCGGCCCTCGCTAGCAGACGTCTTCATCCCAGGAAAGAAGGAGAACGCGAGGGTCAAGATTCACAGCCTGGAGCACGAGGTCGCCTTCGTGCTGGCTACCCTGGGCTACACCTACACCCTCCTGGCACGCACAGCCCTCCACCCGCTCTTCTCTACCACCACCACAGAGGACCTGTACGCCATCGGCTCGCAGCCGCGCCAGGCCGCCATATCGACGGCGACCAAGCACCTCCTCGACGCTGCCAGTGTGTACGACCACCTCGCGCGCCGTGCCGAGCGGCCTCACGGCTCCCACCTCTCCTCACCACCATGCGCAGACGTATCAGCCGCCACCGCACGGGCGCAAAGCGAGCTGGCACTCGCCGAGGCAACCCTGCTCGCCGTGCTCAAGGATGACCCGTACCCGGCGGTGGTGGCGCAGGACAGGAACCAGAACGACAAGGAGTGGATGTACAAGGCGCCAGACATACCAAAGGTGCGGGCACACCTGTTTGCTAGACTGTGTGTCGCCGCGGCGGAGCACGCAGCCAAGGCGCACTCGCTCTGCGCGTCACAAGGAGGAGGGGGAGGGCCAATTGGTGGCGGCAGCATACGGTTCGGCAGCAAGAAGAGTAAAGAGGAAGGGGAAGACTCAGGTAGCGGCGGCGGCGGCGGAGGAGGTAGCACCGGCAAACTGAACGAGGGCTTCATCAAATATCTTGAAGACCTGCGGCGCACGAGCAGGGCAAAGGCATGCCGCTTCTTCGGCATTGACGCCGAGCTGGGCGGGCAGACGGGCAACGCGATCGGGTGGCTGCACGCGGCGTACCAGGAGCTAGGCGTCGAGGTCAAGGACCCGTCAAAGAAGTCATCGGGGCTCGGAAGGCTCAAGAAGGAGTGGTCAGAGAAGCGGGAGGACCGCCGCGTGGAGAAGGGCACGACATGGGGCGCTGACGCCGGGAAGCTGGAGGAGACGCGCGTGATCGAGATGCTGGAAGCCAAATGGTCCAAGCAAAATGACACGGTGAGGACATGCACTCCATCCTCCACCATGGACTCAATCCAGCCCAGAGTTACTCTTGGACGACCTTTACTGATCGAACATGTCAGATATTCACCCAGGCCATCACTCCCGCGGGTACCCTGCTTGCCCAGATGCCCTCGGCGCGCGAGATTCACACCCTGAAGCCCTTCGACGTCCCGGTGCTGGACAACCTCACACTGAATGCTATGCGCGCGCCACCGGACCGCAGCGACGACTTTGGAGACGAGAACAGCTCGGACGAGGAAACTGTCGTGCCCAGTCGGCAGGCCCCTGGCGCGTATCCCGGCAGCGTATCATCATACTATTAACTTCAATCTGAAAGAGGGTAATGGATGACTGGTAAACTACTGTAAGCCGCGGAATGCATGTGCCTCCCAGAATGCTTTCCTCTCCTCTTCCCACCGCCTCTCCTCCTCAGTGCGCTTCGCCCGCTTCTTGATAGCCTTGAGCTGGCCCTCGGTGCATCCGCAGGTCCACTAGACGGCACCACAGACGTAGCAAAACTGGGCGCCGCACCGGCAGCGGACGTGGCGGCAGGCCTTGGTGTGCTCGATCATGGTGAGGCAGCGGTAGCACCGCCGCCAGCCCTCCAGGCGCGCGATCCCCTGCACGAGCTCCATGTCCTTGTTCCTGGGGCACTGCACCGCGTCCGCGTGCGCCGCCTGCCCGCAGTCCATGCAGGTGGCGTGCTTCGCCTTGCACCGCGCCCGGCGGAACGGCGTGTTGTCCTTGTCCGCGGGGACGAAGAGGCCGCAGTCCGGCGCCGGGCAGTAGTACCTCTGGCCGATCGGCACCGAGTACTCGAGCCGCTTCTGCTTGTACATGCTGGTGAGGGCCCGGGGGGTGTTCTTGAGGCAGGTGTTGTGGTCGATGGGGGCGGCGCCGCAGCACCTGGGCGGCCAGTTGGCTTCTGCCTGGATTGCGTTCAGGACGAGCTGGTGGAAGCACTGCTTGCAATAGTTGTGCTGGCAGGGCAACCTGACGAGGTCTTTAGGAGGGTGGTCGTCGTAACAGCATGAGCAAGAGCTGCGGCACGGGTCAGCAAGAGTTGACACGATGACCAGGACACTGACATGGTTTCATGACTTCGATGGAAGGCCTGCCTGGTCTTGTCCTTTGCCCTTTTGAGGAAGTTTTTGACGTCTGACAAGTTGGCGGTGGAGTGGTATGGGCGTGCCATCATCATAGGTAGTAGCTAGGCAGGTGATACTGGTCATGGTGAGCCTAGCTGCGTCAGGATCGGGGCAGCTTACCACGAGAATGGAATATTTAGGGAGCCAAGCAGCGATCTGGCCGGCCACATCGTGCTTGCCGAAAATGTCCCAAGCGAGTAACATTGGGAGGACTGCGCTGTCGCAGTAGGTGCTAAGGGATAACTTGCTATAGAATACCCTCTTATGCGGAACGCTCCTGTGGGAGAGTAGGAAACCCTTCCACAGGATGAGCTACAGTGGGAAGACTTGCTATGAGAAACCCTGAGTGGGATGACCTCCGTCCCAGTGCCACGGAGTCAAGTCTTAGGGCAGAGATGTCTTCATGAAAACGGATGTCACTTCTTTTCCCCAGCTTTTAGGGACCGAACCGCGCGATAAAATGTTTGGTAATATGTCACCCTTGTCCGTGCCAGGATAAAGACGACTTTGAAGCAGAAGTGGACTGAATAGTCACTGTCTAAAGCCTTGCGTAGCGAAAGTGATTGCCTCCGGAAATACTCCATTGGATTATCATTATCGTTGTGGCTTAGCAGAGAGACCGGGGAAAGAAAAGAAAACAGTCTAAACAAGATAGAATAGTGTATTAATAAAATCTTGAGATTGATTTCAGGACTGTGGGTTATTTGCAGGCCGGATGGGCGAGTTGCGGTTGCTGTGGATGCTGAGCGTCGTTGTGCCATGAATCGACAGGGGTTCACATCTGGGCGCAGGTCCCCTATTCCGTGCTGCAGCTGTCAGTTTAGGGGTGGGTTTAGTAATGACGTCCACCATCACCCGGCCCATGCACCGAAAACTTCTCGATCAACACAACTCAACTTGATGGGATTCCAACACTCCCGAGGCCAGCTTGACCACATCTCCCGAAAAAAGAAATACGACAAAAGAGGCTCACTATGGCTCGCCTGTCAGGTCTACAGAAGGAGGTACTGAGCTTGTATCGTCAGTGCCTGAGAGAGACGCGCAAGAAACCAGATGTGATGATCCATCCGTTCCTCAACCCAACTGCTCGCTCACGCGAGCCTCTCAAAAGACGAAGGATCTGCCAATTACTAACACTGTGCTTCTAGGTCACTCGGAAACACTTTGAGGCCTTTGCGCGGTCCGAGTTCAACAAGAACGTGGCCATTGAGAAGCGTGATTTCGCTGCCATCGAGTTTCTGCTGAGGAAGGGGCGGAGGCAGCTCGAGAGCTACTCTAGCCCTGGCATCAAGGACATCAAATGAGGATGCGGCCGACTGCACGGCAGGAGCACTCGCTCACCTGTGCTCCTCCACTACCCACTTGCCGGTAGCCATGATCACTCTCCCTCCTTCCGGTCAGGTCCAGGCCGACGCCAACTTGCTGTGGAAGGCCTGTCCTCGTCCTGTCCTTGTTATTTTCCCTCCCAATGACATTGTGAATCTACCCGGCGCCTCTCAGGCCCTCTGCCATGCTCTACTCGCCCTAGTCCTCGCCAACATCGGTAGTCTTTCTCGGGATCGCTTTACACAACGGAGCCTTTTTTGGAATATGGACGATGCCTGCATTCAACTTATCTTAGAAAGGAAGTCCGCATGGCCGGCCCACCATTAAACCCGCCCCATCCTCCTCTCAACCTGCGAACCCGTCCACGAAAGCCGCTAAAGATGTCCTCAAGAGGCCTCTCAGTCCACCTTTGTCTCGTTTACGACGTGCACAGCAAGCACTGGTCGGACGGCGCCGACGTCGCGTCGTCAGCAACAGAAATAGCAGGGTCAGAGTGTCCTTCGCCCACTCAACATCCTCGTCGGGCCTGCGCCCATCTGGTACACGTACCTCAGTCCAGAAAAGAAACTCCAGAGCCACCCCACGGATTGGCTCTTCACAATGGATCGCCGGCCTGGACACACCTCGTCGACGTGACGCAGACCCAAACCCGCCTGTGCATTCTCGCCCTCGAGTCACGCCAGTTCCGCACAACGTCGCTCAGTCTCAGGACAAACCCAAGACCGCATCCGCGGCCCATGCGATGAACTATGGGCGACTTCGAGACGGAACAGAATTCTCTCTTATGCAAGTACCGGAAGATTCTGGTCATCATGGTCCGTTCTTCACTTCCAAAATGACCACCGCATTGGCTGACTTATTCCGTCCAGTAGCCTCTTCTGAGAGACAGCCCGAATATGCTCACGTCGGATCCCTCGACGGTAGCAGCAGCATGGAACTAACCAAGTTCCCAAGAAATAACGCAAAGAGGCACGCTAGCTACGTCGCTCGCGCTCCCCCTACCTCTCGGAGTGCCAGACCGATTGGAGATCCTCGTCAACAAAGCAGAACTGCATCGTCGAGGGCGATGGCGGACAACCGACTCGCAGCTCTTGGTCCCCTTGCCGAAGAGTCCCTCAGTAGGGGACTATCACAGCAGGATTGTCTTTCGTGTCTGATGTCGCCTACCAAGAGCAAACCGCTTCCCAATCCAGCTCCGGAACCTGCCCGGACTCGAGACCAGTCAAGAACCTTGGCTCGATTTACAAAGCAACTTGAGCAGTACTCCGCGGCAGTCAACTCCGACGGAAAGCCACAACTGCCTCGGTCTACACCCACAGTTTCGGACTCCCCGACGACTCTGGATACAGTGACAGAGCTTCTGCCCTACCACAGACAGTTCAAAGCTGCCGGGCTGGCAGTGACTTCGCGAGAGCAGATGCCAAGGATTGCGGAGTCGACTCATCAGCGACGACTAGCTGTAAATAATACAAACGAAAGACAGGTGCCCATGGCTCCTGTACAAGTGGATGGGAGTACTGTTACTCCATCGGAGCAGGAGTCCGTTCCTGAGGAGTCAGTGGCGCCACACTTCCATGAGAGTGAAGCTGATCCCTCGGGCCCGCAAACCCAACTGCAGGCCCCGAACACGACAGAAACACCCATCAACAAAAGTCTGCTTCCCTGGTTTCGCAAAAAGGCTGCGCCCACTGCTGTTAAGTCTCACAGCAACAGAAAGTTTTCCGTCGATCACATCCATCCTTCTCGAGCCACGGCAGCTGAGCCATATTTAACACCTTCGGACAAATTGGGTATCATCGATGCGTACTTCAACTCCCCAAGTCCGGCCACATCGCAGAACAAGCAGCCGGGATCATACAACACATCATTATCATCTTCATCACCCCATAGTGCAAAGTCATTGGTCGACAGGACTCCTCGGAAGGAGCCGCCAATCGAGCGCCAGCCTGTACCGCGGAGAAGCCTTCGTCGGCACATGCAAGACACATCACAATGGCCAACAGCAGGAGTCTTGATACATAATAACTCTCCGTCTCCAGAAGATCGTGAACATGAAAGTGCAGACATCTTGGCAGAAATGCAGACAAAACCTCCGGTGCCAGCAAAGGATCCAACTCCTGATCGCTCCCAGCCCTCCGTGAAGACCGAGAAAGTCAGGAAATCTGCGGAATCTGGAAAGGGGCCCCCAGTTCCTCCAAAAGTGTCACATTCCGAGCAATCCATTGTTGGCTTTGCTAAAGACCTTGAAAAGAAGCCAGCGACACCACCCAAAGACCTTCCAGAAACGCAGTCTTTTAAGTCCCAAGTGGCCAGTCGTCACCACTCTGGCCAATCACTATGCAAGCCATGGTCCAGAGTGACAGTCCTGCGGCGGAAATCACACGCAAAACTTCCGCCCGTGCCTCCAACCATCGAAGAAGAATCGGAGGCCACCATGGAACAGCCGGGAAAGTCCTCAAGTGCTCACAATTTGCAGGACGCTAACACTGTGCCGCAGCTGCCTGCCACTTGGAGTTGTGCCGTAGGGAGGTCCTCTTCCTTCGAGAAAGCTCTCGATGCAGTGATACAGAAGCTGGATGACATGGACGAAAGGAGGCAATACGAGAGGAAAATGGAGCTCGAGGCAGCCCAACAGGCCGTCGCAAAGCTCGAGGCTTCACAGCAACTGGTGTCTAGCTTCAGCTCGCCCAGTGGATCGCGCTCAAGACGCCAGACAGAGGAGAAACTCGGATCGCCCGCAGAAGTCCCGATCTCGGACACGAACGGGACGGCCGCCCAGCTCGACAGGGACATTGACGACAGGGACATCCTACTGGGCCTGAAGATGGCCATCTGCGCCGCCTGCGACGAGGACCTGGACGCGTGGATACGCGACAAGACGGGCCTCCGCCTGCGCAGGTTCCTGGCGGACCTAAAGGCATTCGATGCCGTCTCCAAGGACCGCAAATCGCCCGCGTCGCAGAACCCTCGCCGCCAGGTCCGCAGGACCCGCAACGAGACGCGGCGGCTTAATGCCGAGCAGGAGCGCAGGAGGCAGAGCATGAAGTCGAAGGCGTGGAAGGGGCCTTGCTTTGGGGAGGATAGTTAGGTCTGGGCTGTGCTGAGCAACCTGGGTTAGGTTTATTTGGTTTGCGCGATTGTAGGATGGGAGCTGCTTTGTATATAGCCAATGCTGTTGCATAAGGCTGTGGTTTTTGTATTGTATTCCCCTTTCCACACCGCTGAACGCCATTCATAGTGGTAATATTACTACCTTTTTGCTTGGGTTTTTCCTCCTTAAGCTAATGAAATTGAAATTATCAATTCTCAGTCTAGCAGCTTTTTAGCGCCGGGACAATAACTCGAGAATGAAGGAAACGGCCGTCGTTCTCGACTCTTCGATGATCCGGAGCGTAAGACGCAGATCCTCACTGCATATAGTGAGTGCATCCCCGAGCCTGGCGAGCCAGCGAAAGTACACTGTGGCGATTACTCACCGTCGCCACCATAATCTCTCGACAGTTTTGGCTGATGTTGGATCAGAGATCTTCGTTCTGCCGAGAGTCGCTGCTGCCCTTGTGACTTCTCTGCTCTAGTCTTCCAAACCCGTCGCTTGGCTCAATTCGACTCACTGATTGGAGAGCCTGCTCCGCTGTACATTCGAGGGGCTTTTGGGGGCCGCGACCTGCTGGGACGGAAGTACGACCCGGTCACCGTCCGTAGGCTTTTTGCTCTCTACCTGACACAGCATCGGAGAGGTCACGATTGACTGGAGATTGAAGGACCATGCATGCGTGCGTGGGGGTATATGCGCTGGATGAGATAAAAATCTATAGAACCTCAAGGGGCTCGTTAACAGCAGCCCAGCCCAGCCCAGCCCGGTGGTTCGTCGGGGCCAAAGAAAAAGCATCTAGGACCATCTATATACCCTATGGTTAAGATTGCCATTTTGAAAGAACAAAAACGAAGAAAGGGTAGGCACCCCTTTCCCTCCCCGTCCATGCGGAAACATCATTACATGTGTATATGTAGACACAACGCCAGTAACACTTAAGACTTCCCTGTGAAGTGCTCCTCATGGGACTCGATCTGGGCCTCCTTCTCGACCTGGTGGAGGTCCAGCTTCGCGACGGCGGCGTTGTCGCCGTCGATGATCTTGGCGAGCTCCTCGAGGGTGGGGCCCTTGGTCTCGACGTACATGACGTAGACGAAGACGAACTCGAGGGCGATCCAGCACTGTAAAGAAAGGAGAAAAAGGTTAGCGACTGTGGTCTTCTCTGGTTTGAGTTTGTCGGGCTTTCTATGTGAGGTGAACTTACGGTGTAGATGAGGTACAGCTTCCAGGTGTGGGGCTCGAAGGCCTCGAAGCCGACGGGGTTGGCGTACGTGTTGAGGGTCAGGGCGACCTGGACCGACAGGTTCATGATCATGAGACCCTTGGCGCGCAGGTTGTATGGCAGGACCTCGATGGCGTAGCCGACGAGCAGGCCGGACCAGGCGAGGGAGTAGAAGATGCCGAAGATCCAGATGAACACGATCATGGCGTACCTGCCGCCCTCGGCGCCCTTGTCCTCGTACAGGCCGGTGCTCAGCGTCCAGAACACAAAGGTGAGCAACATGCCGCCGGTGGAGGCCAGGAAGGTCGGGCGGCGGCCGAGCTTGTCTACGAACATGGCCATGGTGATGGAGACGATGAGGGCGAGGGTGGTCTGGCCGGCAGAGAGACCGAGCTTGGAAGTCGAGTCCGTGACGCCGGCGGAGTCGTAGAGCTTGCTCGAGTAGTTGGAGATGATGGCGTTGCCGGACCACTGCGAGAAGATACCGAGAGAGATGAGCACGGCCAGCCTGTAGCGGTTGCCCTTGGTCTTGACGAAATCGACGTAGCTGCTCTGCTTCTTTGCCTCCAGCTCCAGGGCGAGGGTCTCCCTGATTTCACGGTACTCGAACTGAACAGTTGGGTGGTTGACGTTGCCGTTGGCGTGGTATCTTCCGAGAATCTCGAGGGCTTGGTCGTGCTTGTCCTTGGCGACCAGGTAACGCGGCGACTCTGGAACCCACCAGATGAAGGTGAGCTGGATCAACGAGGGGAAAGCCTGAAGCAAAGCCGGGATCCTCCATGACCACTCATTGCCTAGGTAGTTTGTGCCGAAGGAGAGCCACGAGACAAAGAGGGCGCCGACGTTCCAGAGACAGTTGTAAACCGTTGTGAGACGGGCTCTGTGCTGAGGGTGGCAGATCTCTGTGAGGAGCGTAGGAGAAGCCAGCTGCGAGAAGGAGTTGCCAAAACCCATAAGGAAACGGCCTCCGATGAAGACTCCAAGACTGTTACCGGCACCTTGCAAGACAGCGCCCACGATCATGATCACACAGCCAATAACGATAGGCACCTTTCGGCCGAGGTGGTCGGCGAACCATGGCACTATAGCAATAGAAGCGACACTGCCGATCTGGTAGATTGCCCCGAGCAAGCCAAGCATCGAACCTTGCGGATCACCGAAATGCTGTACATTTCTTGGTTAGCAGGGGCGCACAGAAGACGCTTCCAAGAACACCAGCTTACATCTTTCCATGTTTCGAAGTTCTGGACACTGTTGAAAAACATGCCATCGTAACCCGTGGTAGCGGAAGCAATACACAAGACGAAGGCGTGCCAGTAGAGCTTCCTCAGACCAGGTTCCTTCGTCCAGCTCACACGCTCGAACTTGGGAGCCTCCTGCTGGGCAACAACCGTTGCCTCCTTGTTCGGCGCTGATCTCTTGAAGATACCCATGCTGATGGATCAGAAACTCGAGGCGATGGGTAAATTGAGGCTCTCAAAGACTTGGTGGGACAGAGCTTCCGAGCAGCCACAGCGTGGTGTGCCCAGTTTCGTATGGCCAAGTGAAGTTGACTGATGGACGACGACTTGTTTTAGGACGAAAAGGGGAGTGGGTCGGAAATATATAACTACAGTATATCCTACCAGGAAACTTACACCCTTGTCCACGCTCAAGGCACGTACGGGCAAGCGGACCGGATACTCTGCATAAATTGGATCTGCCAGCCTAGGCGAGATGGCCCAGAAGGTGGCACCTGTACAAGTAGGGCCGAGACAATGTGACCACTGGGCGAGGCTGGCCCAGTACCCTATGGAACATGGGGTAGGCTGCCCGATGTACTGGGATCATACTACACCGGCAGAAGATGGATAAATGGAAATGTGGGCCTGCTTGCTCGAAGGGCTTCGAGGACCAGGATGCTCGGCTGGATCCAGCTAGGGGGAGGAGATCGACAGGCATTGTCCCTACCAAGGGTAAGGAGAATCCGGGGATGCCCATTTGTTGCCCATGGGGAAGCTGTGGACTTCGACAGCTTGACCTGGCCGTCAGGGCCGTTGAGAACAGGTCCCCACATGAACGAGCACGACCATGCAGCTGAGATCAAACGATTCAATGGAGGAACATCGCCCCAAGGTGCCCTGGTTCGGAGAGGAAAAGAAGGACAGGGTGGTGTGCAGCCAGAGACGAAATACATTACCGTTCCCTCTGGAAAGACGCCAGATCTACGAGGAGGACGAAAAAAGATACTTGACACGTTTTTTTCGACGGACCTGCACTCGGCCGAATTCGTCCAGGCGGAGGAGACGAGGACGTCGTACTATGCGAGATGTTTCAACTTGATGGTCCCTGGCAGACATATTCTGCAGGTCCCGTGTTGAGATTCCGGCCGATCCACATGGAAATCTTTCGAGAAGGCAAGGCTCAGTATGTGGGATTTGATGAAGCTCCGAGGATTCTGTCGATCCTCTTGCCGCCTGTCGAGATTCCTGCCGGAAAATCGGCTCGCCTGAGCAGAGGGAGCCACTCGTTCGCCCCGCAGAGTACGGGATGTGCCCGTCATAGCTGAATTGAAAGATGGTCACGATTCCAAAACTTCGAACTCGTTGACGGCTGATGAGTTCGTGCCTAGATATGCCAGGATTCGAGGCTTGCTCTGGGCCTCCGGCAGAAAGCAGCTGGCGCCTGCTAGTGAAGGGAAGAAGACGCGCGCTTGCGGCGAAGTTGAGGTTTGAATCAGGATCTCATGGTACAGCAGTGCTGTAGCTCGGCCAAGAGGCATTACTGTAATTCTTCCGCCGTGCCATTTAGCCTGAATGCGGCCCCGGCCCCTAGTCCCAGGGATGCCATGTAGTGCTAGGGGGCCAGGGGGGGCTCGAAGCCGTGTTAGTTCTTGGCGTGCTCCTGCTACGGGGCAGGACCGCACCAACACGGGAGGACGGTGGGCGGCAGGACATCAGATTCTCCCATGTGACAGCACGAAGCTTCTCAGGAATAGGACCACCGAAGACTCGGGCGAAGCTGCCGGGCAAGGTGTCCGCGGCCGACAAAGGAGGCCAGCCAGCAGCCAACAGCCAAGTCCGCCACGGGCATGTGAGGTGGACCCCAACAGATGCCCACGTGTATTCGCAGGTCGGCTGATACCAAGGCTGATGTGCGAGTATGGCAGAGCAGAAGAGTGGCCGAAAAGGGTGCCGTTACACAGACGGGACCATGGTCCGAGTCGTGCATACAGTTAATTGTGAGAAGTCACGAGTGGCCTTACCGGACAAGCTCATCAGACCAGTCACGGCGAATTGACACATAACCACAGTGTTCCTGCTCCTGCCACTTCTCCAGCTCTCTTGACCTCTCAGTGGGAGTCGAACGGGACACATGTCCCAGCCTTAGGATGCTGGGATGATGGCACTGATTCACCGGCATGGAGAGGATCGAACATCTGGGAGAGAGGCGTTGGAGTGGTTTGTCTGTCAATTTGCCTGGGGAAGGTTTCGGTGCAGTCGACCAACTGGGCGAAGTCAAAATAAAGTGCTGCCGATCCCACGAATGAGCGGAGTTCGTCCCACTGCAGCCCGTCTTGTTCCTGGGGTAGCTGCACGGACCATGTACACGCTCTCTATCCCAGCTTCAGATGTGCTCTCGGCCCCGCCTGAGATAGCGAGACGCGTCTTCCGGAGCTACTGCACGCGTTAAGCACCTCGCACGCGAGAATCAGCGTCACGAACCAGTGACGTTCAGTTTCTGACTATCATGGCGGGCCCAACCAAGAATCCTGAGAAGCGGCAGGCATCCCTGACCAGCTTTTTCACCCCAAAGACCGTCAATGGCCTCTCGCAGTCCCTCCAGAGGAACCGCCAGTCCGAGGAGCAGCAAGGGACGCCGCCTGGGCGCGACCTAGCCGACAGCAGTCCACCTTCTCGCAAGCGCCCTCTCCAGGAAGACACGGATAATGGCAACGACGCACCCGAAGAGCCCTCATTGAAACGTGCGAAGTCGAAAGACCAGGCTGCGGATCAGAGCACTTTCTTCCGCAAGCCTTCTCCCCCCAGACTCGAAACACCCTCTGCAGCGGTCAAAGCTACTGCCCGAACAGGACGCTACATTTATGATGAGTCGCGTCCAAGCAATGGCGGAGACGACCGGCAAGACGATGATGCGAAGGAAGACGCAGCTTCTCAGCGGCGGAAGGAGGAGTTGCACAAGAAATTCGTCAAGAAGCTCGGTCACCCGGACAGTATGGCCATGATCAAGCGTCGGAACTTCCAAATTGATGATGACACGGCTGCTCTTGACGAAGATGCGGAAGGCGCCGACGATGCCGAAGAAGAGGAGGCAGCCCGGCCTGCCAAATCATCCAAGAAGAAGGGTGCCAAGACGGGCAAGCTTACGCCCATGGAGATCCAGTTTCTGGATATCAAGAGGAAGCACATGGACACGGTACTCATTGTAGAGGTTGGCTACAAATTCAAGTTCTTCGGCGAAGATGCTCGTATTGCTGCCAAGGAGCTGAGCATAGTTTGTATCCCCGGCAAGTATCGGTACGACGAGCGTAAGTGGTCGCCCAACACTGTTCGTGCCGGCATAATTGACTAACACGCTGTTAGACCCCTCAGAAGCCCACTTGGACCGATTCGCCTCTGCGAGCGTTCCAGTACATCGGCTGCCGGTCCATGCGAAGCGGCTAGTAGCAGCTGGACACAAGGTCGGAGTCGTTCGCCAGATTGAGACAGCAGCCCTCAAGAAGGCGGGAGATAATCGCAACGCGCCTTTCGTCCGCAAGCTCACAAACGTCTACACAAAGGGTACTTATGTCGATGAGCTCGGGGAGCTCGATCAGTCGCGGGACAAAGAGGGCAGCGGCGGTCCTGCAGGCGGATACTTGCTCTGCATTACAGAGTCGAAAGCCAAAGGCTCTGGTACCGACGAGAAGGCAGATGTGGGCATATTGGCCGTTCAGCCAGGTACCGGAGATATTGTTTACGACACATTTGAAGATGGCTTCATGCGTCGCGAGATCGAGACTCGACTTTTGCACATCTCCCCTTGCGAGTTCCTCATTGTCGGGGACCTGACGAAGGCCAGCGACAAACTCCTTCAGCACCTTTCTGGCAGCAGTACCAATGTGTTCGGAGATCGAACCCGCATCGAGAGGGTCCCAAAGGGCAAGACCATGGCCGCCGAGGCCTATTCGCATGTGACACAGTTCTATGCTGGGAAGCTGAAGGACAGCGACGAGCGGGCTTCGGCTCTACTAGAAAAGGTCTTGAAGCTGCCTGAAGCAGTCACCATCTGCCTATCGGCAATGATCAATCATCTGACGGAGTACGGTCTGGAGCATATTTTCGACTTGACGAAATATTTTTCACGTCTTTTTCGACAAGGACACACATGCTCATCAATGGCACAACGCTGGAAAGCTTGGAGGTCTACAGGAATCAGACCGATCATTCAGACAAAGGCAGTCTTTTGTGGGCCATTGATAAGACGCATACAAGATTCGGGCAAAGACTACTGCGAAAGTGGATTGGTCGGCCCCTACTTGACAAGGAGCAGCTCGAGGAGAGAGTCGCAGCTGTCGAGGTTGCATGAGAACCAGGCAGATTGGAGGGTTGACAAGCTCGAAGGCCTACTCACAAACATCAAAACGGACCTTGAGAGAAGTCTCATTCGTGTCTACTACAACAAGTGCTCCCGGCCAGAGCTCTTGAATACTTTGCAGATACTGCAGAAGATATCTATGGAATACCCAAAGACCAAAATCAAGACTCCAGAGGATACCGGCTTCAAGTCTACCCTGCTCAGAGAAGCGGTCTGTTCGATACCACAGATTGGCGAAGTGGTGGTCTCATTCTTGGAAAAGATCAACCCAGCAGCGGCTCGGGCGGACGACAAGTACAACTTCTTCCTAGAGGCCGAAGAGACGGATGCCATCACGGAACACAAGCTCGGCATCGCGGCTGTGGAGCAAGAGCTGGATGCGCACCGGTCAGAGGCAGCGACCAAGCTTGGGAAGAAGACTCCGGTCTCTTATGCCACGGTCGCTGGAATCGACTACCTGATTGAAGTTGGCAACACTGACCTGAAGAAGGTGCCCGCCTCGTGGATGAAGATCAGTGGCACGAAGAAGGTATCGCGCTTCCACACCCCTGATGTTGTCCGCATGATCAGTGAACGGGATCAACACAAGGAGTCGCTGGCAGCCGCATGCGACGAAGCCTTCAAGTCTCTCCTCTCATCCATCGGTGCGCAGTACCAACCCCTACGCGATGCCGTTTCCGCCCTAGCTACACTCGATTGCCTCTTCTCGCTCTCCAAAGTAGCATCCCTTCCAGGCTACACCAAGCCGACCTTCCTACCATCTTCTACCCCTCCGACCGTCTCCATCACGGAAGGCCGGCACCCAATCGCCGAGCACACCCTCCCCAACGGGTACATCCCCTTCACCACCTCCCTGTCCAGCCCCGAACCCCTCGCCCACCTCATCACCGGCCCCAACATGGGCGGCAAGTCCTCCTTCGTCCGCGCCGTCGCCCTGATGGTGCTTCTCGCCCAGGTCGGCAGCTTCGTACCCGCGGACGCCATGTCCCTGACCCTGATGGACAGCATCCACACCCGCATGGGTGCCCGGGACAACCTGTTCGCGGGCGAGAGCACCTTCATGGTCGAGGTGTCCGAGACGGCCTCGATCCTGCGCTCCGCCACGCCCCGCAGCCTCGTCGTGCTCGACGAGCTCGGCCGCGGCACGAGCACCCACGACGGCGCCGCCATCGCCCACGCCGTGCTCGACCACGTCGTCCGCGAGACCCGCTGCCTGACCCTCTTCATCACGCACTACCAGAACCTCGCAAAGGTCTCGCAGGGCATGGGAGGGCTGGTCAAGAACGTGCACATGCGCTTCACCGCCACTAAGCCCACAGAAGTGGACGGCGGGGCCGCTGACGGGTCCGACAGCGGGGCTGACGCCGGCCCGGATGCTGACGAGGATATCACGTTCTTGTACGAGGTTGCCGAAGGTGTTGCGCATCGGTCCTACGGGCTGAACGTCGCGAGGCTGGCCAGGATCCCGCGGAAGGTGCTGGAGGTGGCGGCCAAGAAATCGAGGGACTTGGAGGACGAGATCAAGATGAGAAGGTTGCGCGGTGCTGTGTCTCTAATGAGTGATGTTTTGGGCGGAAAAGGGAACGACCAGGTCCTCGACCAACTGGTATCTGGCGTAGAACAGCTGTAGAGTCTCAAAATAGCCAAAATTGCGCAAGAGTACAAACCATTGTCACTCGGAACATTTTCCAAGAGCAAGCATCAAGGCCATAGGAGTTGAAAGCAACGCAAATTTTTATTGTTAAAGCAAGTCGCTATTCTACAACCCACCAGCCGCCAGAAAATACACCCACCAACCGCCGAATCTAAGCATTATTGCCCAAAAGTGCCAGCGCAAAGTTCTGGCCCAGACCACGTATGAAAATGCCGAATGAAAGGCACCAAATTGGTCGCCATGGCATCGTCCTCACGCAGTGCCCAAGCCTAAAACGCCAGTTCCGAAGATGGAACCCATTTTGACTCCAAAAAATAATCGCCCTGTGCGGGCTGTCGCTAGATGAAACAGAAGAGCAAACCAGGTGCAATCCTTGATCAAAGTATCTTGGAAGAGCACCAGAACTCTGATTTAACCCATGTTATGATGCTGTGGTGCTTCGAAAAATCGTTATGAGCCTCTCGAAACCAAGCCACAGCCCTCATGGGACATAAAAGTCGTGTGGACGACTAATGAAAGGGCCGCTGACGTGAGCGAGACTCGTTGTGCCGAGCTAGAATTCGACGTGAAGAGACCGGCTAGGCATGATGATCACACGTCAAAGTCATCTTGCTGGGCCTGGCCAGGTTGGAAAGAAGGGTTGGAATCCATGCCGGCGAAATCAGCGCTGTTCACGGTTTGGAAAGCCGGAGTCGAAGGCTTGGATGCCTCAAAGGAGTGGCCACTGTAGAGGAAAGGGTAATTGTCCTGGCGCTGCAGGTAGAGAGGATTGAAACCGCTGGTGCTCGCCTGCATATTCTGACGATTCTGAGGGAAGTAGCCATGCATAGCACTTGGCTGGTGCATGGGAAAGGCCATGCTGTCGTTCTCTTTCATGCCGAAGCCTGGAAAGAAGCCTTGGCTCGGCCGGGTAAAGAGTGAGGAAGATGCCATCAAGGGCGTGTTCGAAGGAAGGTTGTTCATGGCATTTCGAAAAGAGATATCGAAACGGTTGCCGGAAGCGGGTCCAGGGGCATCTGCGATTTTTTTGTTAGTCTCGAGGGAAATCAATAAACCAGAGGTATCTGGAGGGATCTAGACCCACCCTGCCTGATCTGACGGTGTTCTTGGAAAACATCGTCTCCTGCAGCAACATTGTCCTCTCCTTCCTCATCATCAAGACGGTGACTGGAGTCATCCTCAGAGTCCAGCTCATCTTCAACCTTGATGAGCTTATTGGCTTGACGAGCTGATCGTCGCTTGCCGACCTTCGCAGTGTTAGCAGCCCGCGTGACTGCTCTGGTCTGTCGACGGGGGCCAGGGTTGGCGACAGCGGGCCGACGGCTACGACGCTTCTTTGTAGTAGAAGGAAGCTCGTCCTTGGAATCCTAAAAAGACATCCGCTTAGCTTTTGCAAAGAAATGTGGTTGGAGGAAGGGGCAGAAGACTTACAGGGCTACCATCGATCGATGGGCTGTCGTAGACATTTCTAGTTCTGGTGACTTCAGACATGGTGATATCCCAGACTTCCTCTTCTGGGCCGATGGAAGCAGACGTTATCTCCATGTTCCGAACAACGGATGCGTGCTTCTTCTGGTTCCGCTTACGCTTCTGGAGTGGAGTGGCAGCGTCGAACAGGCCCATGCCAGGGTAAATCGTGCCCTTGAGCTTCGAGGCGTCGCCGCAATCGCCATCGTCAACGTCAGCCGCCTCAGCAAGGAAGCTGGTATTGGCGGTCTCTGTGCCTGACCGTGAAGTCTCTCTCTTGATATAAGCGGAGCTCTGGGGCGAATCGGGCAACGGGTAGGCACTGTGGTCGTTGTAGGAAGGAGTGCCGTACAGCGTCTCGAAGGAATTGTCGCGTGGGGCATGAAGGTGCCAGAGGTTGGGATTGGGACGCAGAGGAGTGTTCTCCAAGCGGGCACCAAGGCTGTCGTCAGCCTCATCTTTGATGTTCTTCCCCGTCTTCTTCTGTGACATTCATTAGCAGCTGATCCAAACTGGCAGAAGGCAGCACTCGACACTTGCCTCAATAGTAGCGAGTCGCTGCTTCTTGGCAGACTTCTTCAGCTCCTTGGCGGCAATGCGGTTGGCGACCAATTTATCAACGCCATTGTTGTCACTCCAGAGCTTGTATCCATCAAGGGTACGCTTGTCTTCGATCTTTCCCGAGTGCTGAAGCTTGAACTGAGCTGCCAGGTGGGATTTGGAGGAGACATGTGTCAGGAGGTGAGACTGGTCGGAGAATGTGGGCTTGTTTGGGCACAGGATGCAGATCAAAGGGATCGAAGAAGTCTTGTCCTCGCCCTTCTCCAAAGGCTCCGCAGGCATTTGCATGGGGTCCATGGCAAGCTGCAGGTCTCTTGTCAGCCAACTTTTGCATCTTCGTGTTATTGGCGGGGAGAATCCAATGCTTGAAAAGAAGCGGGGGACATGAGACGAAAGACACAAGACCAGGGCATGGGACGAAAGCCATCAGACGGAACAAAGGGTGGAGGAAGGGAGCTACCAACCCAGTTCAGCCAGCGACAGCAGGGTGTACGGGGCTCCGGGTGAAGACGACAACTGTGATGCAAGGAACGATGGGCAGAAGCAAAAGCAAGGAAGCAAAGATGGGTGGTTGAAGGAGTGGCAGTAGGGCGGGACCCTGAGATGATGGGAGTGCGAGGGCAAAATGCTGGTGACGGGAGTTGGATGTCGCGGTCGTGGTGGAGGAGGAACTCACATTGAATTGGTTCGAGCCGAAGTCGACGAATGGCGCAGGTGGGAACTGCGCGTATGGGTCACTTGCGAAGGGGTTGACGGTCGCGCCTGCCGGGTGGAATCCGAAGCCGCCGCCAGCTGGGGGAGTCACGATCTGGCCAGGGAACTGAGGCATAGGCAGGAACGAGTCGAGGTTCGGGACGCCGTTGCCAGCCCAAAGAGGCTGGGAGTCGTAGTCGAGATATTGCTGCATCTGAGCAGGCAGGACGGGGAAGGCGGAGGGTAGGTTGAGGTTGCCAGGAAAGAAAGCAGACGGAGGAAAGTTGAGGTTGGTCGGGAACGGCTGGTCCAGGGAAGGAACGTTCGTTGCCTTGGTAAGATTGGGAAGGAGCAAGTCAGCCCTCCCCTCGGGCTGACCCTCTGATCCCATATCAGAGGGCACATTCGCTTCTGGTTGGTTCTCCATCACGATGGTCAGGATATGTTAGATCGTGGATGGGATGTGTAAGGTTGCAAGTTTTAGATGTGTAGGGATTGAGTTGCGAGATGAGCGCAGTTGGTTGGACACTGCGCAATGCTGAGCTGAGCTGAGCTCGGGGCTAGGGCGAGAGGGGGATGGGGTTGTAAGTGGAAGCTCTGACCCAAAGGTGAGTTGGGTTGGATACCTAGGTAGGTCCTGAGCAATATCAAGTTGCAAGTTTTTGGATGTGTAGGGGGTTGAGTTGCGAGATGGGCGCAGTCTGTTGCACACTGCGCAATGTTGAGCTGCAGTTTGGGGCTAGGGTGGGAGGGGGATGGGGGTTGTAAGTGGAAGCTCTAAGCCAGAGGTGAGTTGGGTTGGATACCTAGGTAGGTCCTGAGCAATATCAAGTTGCAGGTTTTTGGATGTGTAGGGGGTTGAGTTGCGAGCTGGGCGCAGTGGGTTGGACACTGCGCAATGTTGAGCTGCAGCTCGCGGCTAGGGTGGGAGGCCAGGGTGGGAGGCCAGGTTGGGAGGGGGAGGGGGATGGGGTTGTAAGAAGAAGCCCTGAGCTGGTTGTAGGTGAGGAAGCTCTGAGGGGGTTGTAAGTAAGGCAGCCCTGAGTTGGTTGTAAGTGAGGAAGCTCTGAGCTGGTTGTAATTGAGGAAGCTCTGAGCTGGTTATAAGTAAGGCAGTTCTGAGGTAGATGTAGTGGGTTGGGTTGAATACCTAGGTAGGCACTGAGCAATGTCAAGTTGCAGCTTGGGGCTAGGTTGGGAGGCCAGGGTGGGAGGGGAATGGGGTTGTAAGTGAGCAACCTGAGGTAGATGTAGTTCGTTGGGAACTGTGCAATGTTAAGTTGTAAGTTTTGGATGTGCAGAGGATTAGAATGTGAGATGGATGCCAGCCAGTTGAACACTGTGCAATTTCAACTAGCAGCGTAGAGCTAGGTCAGAGAAGATTGGAGTTGTAAGTGAGGAAGCTCTGAGCCAGAGGTGAGTTGTGTTGGACAAGTACTGAGCAATGTCAAGTTGCAGCTTGGGGCTAGGTTTAATGTAAGGTAGATGTAGTTAGTTGGATTGGACTGACCAATGTCAAGTTGCAGCTGAGTGCTAGGGGGTGTGGTTGAGTGAGCAAGCTCTGGCCTAGATGTAGTGGGTTGTATACTGAGCGATGTAAGTCGCAGCTTGGGGCTAGGGTGGGAGCTGCATGGGGATGTTATAAGTGGGATGCTGTGAGGTAGGTATAGTCCACTAGTTGGATGCTGAGCAATTCTAAGTTGTAGCTTGTAGCCGAGGTAGATAAGAACGGGGATATTGTGAGTGAGAAAGCTGTGAGGAAGATGTAATGAGTTGGGTTGGATACTGAGCATTATAATCGCAGCTTGGGACCAGGGCTGAAGGGCACGAGGCTGCGAGTGAGTATCATTAGGAAGCTGTGACCTTTATAGAATTACAAAACAGCTCATATTTTGAAGTTTAACAGGTTATGAGCCCAACCCGAAGAGCTTCTTGAGCCTCCCGATGATGCGGGTTTGACACCCGATGGTCCGAACACGGGGAGGCGAGGAAAGTCGCCACTGTGAGCAAGTGATCTGAGCCGCTCAGAGAGCTCTGATTGGTATGAGAATTGGCCCAGAGACCGTGGCCGATGCTTGTAGTGGGCTGGATGCTGAGCAATGTAAAGTTGCAGCGTGGGACCAGGGTGGAAAGGGGATGGGGCTGTGAGTAAATGAGAAGGCTGTGAGGTATGTGTAGTAGGCAGGATATTGAGTAACGTCAAGTCGCAGTTCGGGGCTAGGTAAGAGGGAAATGGCGTTATGAGCAAGTGGAAGCAAGCTGTGAGCTGGGTATAGTAGGTTCTCTACTGACCAATGGTGTATTGTAAGTTTTGGAAGTATAAGGTCAACTGGTATTGGGTGATGATCTGGGTGCAGTGGGTTGCGAGCAAGTGAAGGAATTAGCCAGATGTAGTGGCTGGTGAGTAGGTGAGTGAATCAGCTTGACGCAGTGGGTTGGGCACAACCAATGTTGAGTTGTAAGTCTTTTTCCTTTTTCTTTTTTTTTGGAAGTGTAAAGGGGTTGTGATACGAGCTGATTGCAGTATACACTGCTTAGCAGCAGCACAGGGGTTCGGAACGGGTGATTGTGAGTGACTGAGGAAGCTGTGAGCTGGATGTATTGGGTTGAACACCGCATACTGTTCAGCAGCAGCTCGGGTGTTTGAGGCGAAAGACTGTGAATGAGTGAGTGAGGTGTAAGCTGGATGTAGTGGGTTGGAAAGAGCAAAGTCAAGTAGCAGTTAAGATAGTATGTGACAAAGCATTGAGTTATAATCCGGGTGCAACGGGGTGGATACTATGTAACATTAAGTGGTTGTTGGGATGCTGGGTGGATATTTAGGTAGTAGGAAGGGAGAATGTGTATGTTAAAGTAGCTAGGTATTAAGCAGGATTTGAGATGGGCTAGACACTGACCAATGTTAAGCAGCAGTTTGGGCGGTGGAAAAAAGATAGGGGTTTGAGGTGTAAGCAGGATGCAGTGGGTTGGAACTGCGCAGTATTAAGCAGCAGTATAAGTAAGCTAATGGATAAGAGATAGGAGGGAGGGAGTTATAAGCTGAATGCAGTGTGTCAGTATTGCGCAATGTGAAGCAGCAGCATGAGCGAGTTGATGCGGGATAAGTGGAAGGGAGTTATAAGTTGGACGGAACGTGTTCTGAGGCTGGTACTGCAAAATATCCGTTAACAGTATAGGTGAACTGATAAGGGAGGGAGCACGTTGCAAACTGGACACAGTATATTAGAGACTGACTAATGTCAAGCACCACTGCAGTCGAGATGCAGGGTGGATAGTGAGAGAGCAAGATACATATACTTAGGTTTAGGATACTTACATGGATCAGGCTAACGGGGTCTTCAATCATTTCAAGAAGGGGTGTTACTGAAAGAATGCTAAGCAGCAGTTTGGATGATGGGTGGGAGTACAAGGGGGTGGGGTGAGAGCGATCAGAGAAAGATGAGCGTATCGGGGCCTTAGAGATGGATGTGTGCCCTCAGGTCTCAGGGAGGAGTTGTGGCTGCTGATACCGTTTTAACCGTTTTAAGAGTATGCTCGCAGTTCCTTTCAACCCTTGACTGTGGTATGACTTCCAGCTTCTGAGAAACTTTCCCACAGCTACTGTGGCCCGACGGCAGAAGGATCACCTTGTAGATGTGTCGAGCATCGCATTGAAGTTTCTGACAGGCGATCTGAAGCGCTTTGAATCTCAATTGAAAGCGGTGTGCCCTGATTTAGCAAGTTAGTTACAGGCTGTGATGGTGATGGATGCTATGAAAGTGGGAGTGACGTAGAAGGAAGTAACTCTATGTCTATGGGGGAGTGTCAATGATGGTGGACCGAGTATTGATTTTTTGGAGCCTGCACGACTTGTCTACGGAAGACCATAAGGAAAATGCAGCATGAGTTAAGGAGTGTACCTGACCTGGTCACGACCGGAGGCTGGAGGCAGGAGGCAGGGGGAAGCAGGCGAAGGAGTATGGGAATCATGCCCAAGTGTACACTGTAGACACCGATTCAGGGAATACTCATATTACACGCCCACCCGCGGGTTCTGAGCCGGAGTGGGAGGTTTGGGTTTCCCCAAAAGTGTGCCATATGGATAAGAGTCGATGCATTTCATCGGCTGCAGGTTGAAGATTGTGTGACAGAAGAGCCGAGAGCCGGAGATTACAGTCTGACGACTACAGGGGGTGTAGGTAGAGAGCTTCAGTCTGGAGTACCGTTGAAAAAGGCGCAAGTAGAGGAAGCGAAACGTATGCAGCAATTGGGAGGATCTCAGTAACAGTGATTGTGGATGAGATTTGTATGAACATTTCTGGGTGTGGAAGAGCAGTTCTAGATGCCAAGTGCTCATATTCAGGTCAATGATTGTGGTGCCCAATACATTCTGTACGCCAAAGTTGCCAGCGACTTTACAAAGCTGAATGATTCCCTTGAACCACAGTGCCTTATCCTTTTGCCATTAAAGTGTCACAAGCAATTGCTGGTATGTCTCCTTTACCGTCGCCATATCAGCTGTGTCGCACCAGCAGCAGGGTTTACAGCACAAGTCATAGATACTCTGGACTGAAGAGACTAGATGCATTGACAGACAAAACCAAAATTTAGATCATCACGCAGTCAGACAAACCACACATCCAAGAGAATCAATGGATACATCAGGAGTCAGGCGTTGCAAGACCATGCAAGGCAGGTTGAATGTGCTACTTGGGCTGGGGGCTGGGCATGGTGCATCATTGCTCCGTGTCGAGAGGCGCGCGTGATGGTTATAGCGCAATCCATCCTTTTCGGGTGGGCGCGGGACCAGCATCTGAGTTTAAATGAAGACTATCTGGGACATTATTCCCTAGATTATTTATGATAATATAGGCTACCTACTTTAGATAAGAATTTTTAGATGAAAGTGTTGAAACGTTTAGATTATCTTAAAGAAAAGTATATCTGGATTTTACTTTTAGGGGCTGAAATTCTTATATATTTTTTTTATATTTTAATTATTTATAAAATTATAAAGTGAGTATTTACTTATTCATAAATATTAAGGTTTGAATTATAATGCTTAACTAGTGATAGTTGTCTTTTAAAGTAAGGGCTTGGTATTTAAGTTTCCTATTAGGCTGGTATGTACCTAATGCTTTGAAGTCTCCTAGCCATTCATTAAGCGAGATGACCTGTATGGCAATTCTGTCATACTTACTAAATGCCACAGCCTTCTTAACAATGATCAGGCAACTGCAAGCATTTTTCGATTGCCAGACACAATGGTACTCCTGAGCGACTTGAAGAAGCGAGGCAGACCCAGCAGATGCCATCAAGGCTGTGAAATGGCCACAGCCAAGTCTGCACACAGAAATGAGGCTGTCGCCAAAGTAATTGATGGCTATAGAGGGAAGTAACTTACTAAATCTTGGGCTGTCTTCTTACGTCACTGAGGATGTGCAATCCTGATAGGTCAAGTGGACTCACTAAGTTCTCATCTTTGAGACAATTTGTAGCCTGACGCACTGTACCCTCAGATGCATGGCCACCTTGGGATTGGGAGATCGCTTGGCCGTCCGTGGTCTAGAGCTGCTGCTAATCACATGCACTGCGGCTGAGCTCTGTTGCTACGGCAGGCATGGGATGAGTAGCACTTTGACAGCCGATCATTCCCAGACACAATGGCAGCACGAACAAAGGAACCTCTTACATCTTACGAGACGCACGAACTCAGTGACTGCATCATTTTCTTTGATATTTGCACCGTCTTGACCGTGTCACAGCCCGGCGTGATGGGCCGCTATCTGGCGATATGAAGAGCAGACTGACAGGCCGATTCGTTGAACTCACCGGATGGTTTTAAGAGTTTTCATCTTGTTCCCTGGGTCCATTCGAGTAGTTGGATGTCCGTTTGCATGGTGACTGCCCAACATTCCAGACATGGGTGAGACCCTCTAGCCTTCGTTGTCCAGGTGCCGATCGTCCGAAAGGGCATGTCAAATGGTTGGTCATGAACCTGTTGCTACTTTAAACTGGACTAATGGCAACACATGTCCGATTTCGAACTAGCTCTGGACTACGTAGTCATAGATATCTGTGGCATACCTAATTAAATTGCTTGACCATATTCGTCTTGTAGATCATCGCAAAGCTGGACCGGCCCGGGAGTTCGCATTTGGACTTGGACTAAATAAGAACCAGGACGTGCCCAGTCCCTCGATTTGCCATCGAGCCCCTAACCCACCGATACGAACCTCACAATGCTTGTCTTCCGGCTCCTCGTTGTCCTCGGCGTGTCGTGTCTGCTGGGCCTCACTGCGGCACAAGTGCCTCCACAATGCGGTGTTAGTAATTTTGACCGGCCCCGTATAAGGACCTTATGGATTCAGCTTGATGGTCAGCGATGCTAACCATGCCCATAGCTGATATGTGCAGGTCAGGCGTCGCAGCAGCCAGCATTCTCTAACAAGACTCAACCAGAACTTTGTATGGATAAGGCGTACGGCGGGCTTGTCAGCGGCTGCGTAAGCCAAGAGTGTTCTGTGGTAGAATCTCTATGTGAGTCAATTGCGCATTACAGATGAAAGCTCAGCGACAGGTGCTAACATACCGTTGAGCATTTCTCAACTTCACGAGAACAGCGTGTGGGCTGCCCGCGGAGGACCACCGTCATGAGGTTCGCGCGGTCACCCTCGCCATGTTTGCCCTCGCCACTATCTTCTTCTTCATACGGATGGTCGTCAAGTACCTGAGATTTACCCCGTGGGGCGCGGACGATACTTGGTTGGTAATCGGATTTGTACGTCTGAAATGTGTTCTCCATGCAGACTTGCGAAACCTATACTAATAATGGGATTCGACTCTGGTACAGACACTTATGATCCCCTTAATAAGTCTCATCCAATTCAGTAAGCCGCAACAATGACTTCGCAAGAGAAAGTGGTTGACTAATGCGTATTACTCAGTGATCCCACAAGGTCTTGGCCTGGAAATATGGGTGCTCCATGAAGATCAGATCACCACTTTCCTCAAGGTTCGTCATCCCAGTCCGCTATTTTGCATACTCTATGACAGCCTCAAGAGAGCTGGTCTGACATACAACAGCTTCTCTTAGCTGTCCAGGAGCATTACATCCTCATTATAGCGATTATCAAAGCATCGATCCTAGCCTTCTTTCTGAGAATCTTCCCAGATGAAAGATTCAAGAAGGTAATCTGGTGTACGCTCGTCGTCGACCTATTAGTGGGCTCCATGTGCTTCCTTCTCGGCATCGTACAGAGGGTGCCCACTTGGCTGATCTGGGAGGGCTGGAAGTCTAAGGAGCCGCGCGGTGTTGTTCTAGACCTGAACAACCTAGGCCTGGCTCACGGTGGGATGAACGTGGTGCTGGATGCGTGGATGCTCGTTCTACCGTTCACGCAGTTGTACAAGCTGAACCACCCGCTCCGCAAAAAGCTCGGAATCTTCGCCATGTTCAGTGTCGGCATATTCCTCACTGTTGTGGGTGCAATCAGAGTACATAACTTGTCAACATTCGCCACGTCGCAAAACATCACCAGTATGAGCACACCCCCCCCCCCCATTCTTCCATTTCACGAGCTGGGCTGACCGAGTATTTCAACTCCTAGACGACGTACTAGAAGGGGTCATATGGTCCTGCATAGAGGTTTGCGTGGGCGTGGTAGTAGCATGCATGCCGCACACGAGGCAGCTCTTCCGTGAGGCCACGCGGAAGCTCAGGCGCCCCGCGCGACCGCTTGCCTCTATAGAGAGAACAGGCCGACTGCACTGGAGGCAGCCGCGTGCTCAGCGGGACGACTCGCTCGAGTCGGCGACTGCTGTCGGCTCTCAAGGCGCCGGGGCGGCGCCTGTCGATAAGAGCTGGTACAGCTCGACAACGCAGTCCGCTTACACGACAACGACGTGTACGAGTGATCGTCAGCCCTCAAGTTTCGCCAGTGAGGCAACGACGCGCATTGGGTCTGTGGGCCAGGTCCTGGACGAAACTGCAGCCTCGAAATTGAAAACGCCGGGGGAGAAGCCGGAGAGTCGAGGATGAGCATGAGAGAGAAAAGATAACTATGAAGCTAAGGAGATGAACGGCAATTGATGCAAGAATCCCTTGGAACAAGTAGTTGGAAGCTAGGCGGCTGTGGTTTGTCTGTACCAATCGCGGTGTAATACGTTTCAACCACGAACTAATTACCAACGTATATTCGCAAGAAGATCTTGAATAGCATAGATCATTGATTATTTTAGGTGGAGCGCATATTTAGTTGGAGATGAATGAGCAACTATACGTTACTGCCGGTGGAGTCCGCTGTAGTGCTTCGTGCAACTCATAAGCCAAGTTATACGAAACATGCAGCTTCTTAATTGCGAAGACTGAGGTTACTGACGACTTCCATTTGATAATGTCGAGGAATGTTCCGAGAACAGCAGAGAAAACTATGCTACTGCGTAGACCCAGATCGTTTGTTTGGACAATTTGCTGAAATCTACGCCGACGCACTCATTGCACCACGATGTAAGCTTACGCCCAGTCCAACCACTGGTCCATCCCACCCAGCCCTCGCCTTCAATATACAAATTGTTGATTCCCGCCAGGCCCATTCAGATTGGGACTTTATTCTTCGTTACCTCAACAGGTATTGAGGGGGGGGGGCGCGTCAACTACGATGGGCCTTTCCCGTTCCACCACATCGCATGGAGGTACGACCCGATCAAAACTCGCATATATGGGCAGAACAGGCCATCATCGCGGGCCATGACCTGAACGCCATGCCAGTGTACTCCATGTCACTAGATGACGAGTTTCGTAAAGATGCACAATCTCGCCCGCTGGGAGAACTCCTATTCTGGCCACAAAATTACAACGCGGTCAGGGATAGCATGGATGACATCGGCTTTGCAGCTTAATTTAGACAATGAAGAGAACAGGATGAAAGTGTCAGTTTTGTAACTTAGTACCGAGACCCAGGACTGTACCTGTTCAAGAAAGATTGGAATCTAATTTGCATCCTTCTTCGTCTCGTAAGCCAAGGTGTTTGGCTTGCAATCTGCCGGAATCCTCCAGACGTCACTGCTCCTACTGTCTGGAATTCCCACTGCGAATTTCAACGATGCTTGAAGAGACTCCACACCGAGTCAGTTATATTACTCCCACAACATTGTCCTCACCTGCATTACTCTAGAGGGGTTGCGTGGTAGCTGTCTACTGGAGGTTATCCCACGGGAGGTTAACCTACGGGAGGTTATTCCACAGGAGGTTATCCCACAGGAGGTTATCCCAAAGCTGGTCCCGCATAACACGTCGTCCCATAGGAGATTGCTCTACAGTACCTTATCCCTTGTGACCTCATCTCGCATGAAGTATTGCGCAGGAAGAAATTATATGTACTGGTTTGTCAAATAGTCGAGTCGTACGAGAATGGTCGAGATCCTTGCGTGTAAGTTTGCCGTAGCACAAGAACTGAGAAAGGGTGCGCGTCGCGTCCCCAGTCTTCAGGGGTTAACAGCGCAGGCCGCTCGGACAACGGGGGGTTTTTAGGCACCTGAATTAACCGCTGCCACAGCCTCAGCCCTAGAGCAGCCCACCCCGGTCAGTCCCCGACGCCCCATTTAATGCTGAGCGTGGCCCACAACTTCTGCTCGCTTCATTCTACTACGGCAGCATCTGAATCCTTCACCCAAATCCTCCACCCAAATCCTCCACCAAGGCTCAGCTGCGGCCGCGGATCTTGGTCAGCGCCGCCCGTTCACCAAGAACTGCCAATGGCTACCTAATGTGCGACCCGACGAGATGAGCGGTGATCTCATCTTCCCATGGCACGGCCTGGGCGATGTTGCCGACTGATGCTCGCCAGCCTTGCTCTGGGTTTGATCTGTGGCTGCGCAGCTCCTCGCTGCCAGCAGTGCCAGAGACCCAGCCACGCACCCAAAGTCCGAGTGATCACCCAGTTGTGGAGCCTCAACTTGGCTGCAGTTGTGGGGAAAATATGCCAAAGGATTGTGGTCGCTGATCAGGATAACTCTTCATCGCCAGTCGTTGCCTGCGCTGATGTTCCGAGGCCGTTCATAAGGATGGAAGGGGCGCTCTCACAGGACCCAGGCCCAATGGGCCATTCCTGTCGACTTTCCCTGGCACAGAATACGCTGCGATTATCAAGGAAAGGGGACCAGGCCTTCTGGATCCGAGGCGAGGACACACAACTGAGGTGTCTTTCTGGTTGTCGTACACCTGGCTCTACTCTGCAATCTCCTTCAGCACCTCCTTCGGACCAATCATGGATGTCCCACCGGCCTCCACGTCGCCTGACGACTTCACATTCGCTCTGGCAGATATACCACAAGATCCCTTCCTCCCACAGGGCCTTCTGAAAGGCCCAGCCTTTCTCGACACACAAGCCTGTCTCTGCGCCTACAGGCAAAGCCCTATCTCAGACAGCAACGCCGCAGCATGGGAGTGTATTGGGAATCAGACGAATGGCATCGACGTATACACAGGCGGAAAATGGTTCAGACCGACGCACAGTGCGAGCATTTCCGACGAAGACGACGAGAACCTTGGCCCAATATGGGACGCGTCCAATGGGCCTGACGTGAGCGCGCCATTGTTCTTCGATGCTGAGGAGGACGACCTCGTCACCGTCGATGAGTCGAGGCTGAGCCCGTATGATGCCGCTTGTACCGGCTTGAACCATACGAGATTTTCCGAGACCTTTTATCGGGCGGTCGACCAGAGGGCAAACAACGAGACCATGGTCGATGCTGCACCCTGTTATCGGGGCCCATTTGCTGTGCCTATGCAGATCATGGGCCTGGAACAGTGGCAGCAGTACGGTTGCAAAGAGGGTTTCTTATGTAAGTGTATACGCCCACATCTCCCTCCAGAGTGACAAATCTGACAAAGCCTGCGTTCCAGGTCAGAACAACACAGTCAACTCACTCCCACAGTACTGCCCACCTCCTGACGTGTGCCAAATGGCAAGAGCCGCAGGTATGACATGCCAGATCGGGCATTCGAACACCGGCATGGGGCCGTTCGAGCCGGTAATTTGCCAAGGCGGATTCTATTGTGAAAAAGGTGCCAGCGAGAAGGTGCAGTGCCCGGCGGACCACTACTGCCAGCCCGGCACGGCACAACCAACGCCCTGTGCGATTGGGAGCGCCTGTCCTGCAGGCTCTCTATCCCAGCGCTTCTACATCCCACTCGCGATACTGATCATCTTCGACGTGTGCCTGATCATCGGGATGCTTCTTCTCAGACTTCGTAAGCGTGTCAAGAAGAACTCGGATGTCCACGCCGCCACAGCCGGAAGCGGCAAGCCGGGCGCCGGCCTGCGGAGGATAGTAACGGACCGAGTTGTAGGGTACAAGAGCGTCCGCGCGGATGATAATGCGCCGTGGGACCCGGAGTCATCGCCGGTCTCGGAGCCGAGTACGCCCCGGCGCGCGCTGACTGGGTTCGAGGCTGCTCTGGCGATGGAGCAGGGCCAACGAATCCAGGACATGGCGGACTTGTCCCCGGAGCTGAGGTCTTTCGTCCGGTCGATGCAGAAAGCCACCGACGCCGCCCGCCTAGGCCTGTCGTTCCAGTATGCCGATCTGAGTTTCCAGCCTAAGGGCATGGCTAGACCCATTCTGCAGAACGTCACGGGATCCATCGATAGGGGCTCTTTAACTGCGGTTATGGGTGGCTCCGGGGCGGGCAAGTCGACGTTTGTGAACGTGCTCATGGGCAAGACTACCAATACTGGGGGTGTTGTGATGGTCAATGATACACCGAATAAGATGAAGAGATTCAGGAAGCAGGTGGGATTTGTTCCACAGGATGACATTGTCCTGCCAGAACTCACCGTCTATGAGAATATCCTGCATAGTGCCCGAGTCCGCCTCCCACGCACTTGGGAAGACAAGGACATCCGGGCACACGTCGACAGCGTGATCGACTGTCTCGAGCTGTCGCACGTCCGCGATTCGAGGGTGGGAACGGTCGGAAAGCCACTGATCAGTGGAGGTCAACGGAAGCGCGTGAGCATCGGGATGGAACTCGCGGCGGCTCCCATGGCGATATTTCTCGACGAGCCGACATCGGGCCTGGACGCAACTGCGGCGTCTTCCATCATGCGCACCCTGAAAGCAATCGCCAGAATTGGTATATCGGTGATCGTGATTATTCATCAGCCCCGGATGGAGATCTTCGAGATGCTGGATCAGCTAATCCTGCTCGCGAATGGCCAGATCATCTATGAGGGCCCGGAAGACTATGTCCAGCAGTACTTTGAGAATTGTGGCTTCACGTTCCCGCCGCATGCGAACTCGGGTGATGTCGTGACCGACATCATCACGGGAAACGGACGTGCGTACAAGGCCCAGGGAGACATCAGCAAGGACTGGCTGATCTCCAACTGGATCGGCTCCCGGCAATACGCCCAGATGAAAGAACGGCACGCATCGGTCGTGAGCTCCATCTCGTCAGCCCACGGCCGCCGGCGATCCGTCACGCCGTCGTCGCTGATGAGCCTGAGCAGGAACAGCCTCCCGCTCGACCACCAGTCCCTCCGGGACCCGGCCATGCTCGAGGCGCTCAAGAAGCGAGGGGCACCGCGGCTCAAGCAGACGTGGCTGTGCCTGCGCCGGGCCATGGTGCAGCAGTGGCGCGACAAGACATCGTTCTGGTTCGAGATGGCCCTCGCGTCGGTGGCGGCGGGGCTCCTGGGCCTGGCGCAGAACAGCAAGAACGGGGTTCTCTTCCGCGGCATATACAAGGGCGAGTTCGCGATCCTCTCCAACGCGGTCGACCTCACGTCGGTGCCCCAGCTGGCGCTGCTCATGGGCGTCGCCATCGGCCTCATCTCGGCGGCCCCCGGGGTCCGCGTGTTCAGCGAGGAGATGCTCCTGCACCGCAGGGAGGCCGAGGCCGGGCACTCGCGGCTGGCGTACTTCCTGGCCAAGGTGCTATGTGTCCTCCCGCGGATGCTCGTCGCGTGCATGCACTTCTCGACGATCACCCTCGTCCTTGCCAAACCCGTCATCCCGTGGGGCGTCGCGTTCGTCGCCAACCTGGGCTACTTCTGGTGCGTGTATGGTATGTCGGGGGTTATCTCCATGGTCGCGAAGAGAGAGGACGCGCCCCTCCTGGCGACCATGGCCTCGCTGATTCTCGGAATACTATGCGGGGCGGCTCCGACGCTGGCGCAGGTGTCGAAGTGGAACATGGTGTGGCTCTGGCGTATGTCTCCGGGCGTGTGGCTCAGCGAGCTGTACTTTGGTGAACTCGTCAGGCCGTTTGGCTACCTTTACCAGACGGACATGGCGGCAGCCGCGATGGGGTACAATCTGGATGCGACGGCGCGGAATATCGGTGTCCTGGTCGCTATTGGTGTTGTGTATCGGCTGATAGCGTATGCCGGGCTGTTCCTGGGCAAGAGGATGAGGATCTGATGCTAATAGAACGTTGCGAGTATCTCCTGGTTCGAAGCGTTGGAGTTTAGGGTGAGCAGATTTGATCGGGATGGACAGATGGATGGAAATAAACATACCCACTAGACTTATTAGACCAAATAGACTCGTTGATACCACTCTCCCACGGACACCAGTCTCGACCCCCGCCTTTCTGTATATGTATGTGTGGGTGGATTTGGGTCTGGATTTGGGTCTCAGTCTGGGTGTAGGAGTATGGGTGGTAGGAGTATGGGTGGTAGGAGTAAATTTGGGTGTAGGCGCGGGTGTGGGTAAGATACTGTACCGCGGAGAGGGTATGTGTGTATATCCACACCTTTGGTCCCCCACGAGACAGCCTCATCAGGGATGACATCCCCCTCCCGAGCCTCGTTCGTTTGGTCCCGAGATGTCGACATTTTCGTGGCCCCATGCCCAATTCAATTCCCGAAGGAACTCTAGCTGCGTATCGTTCCTGCAAGGCGTCGTCTGCTGCGCTACCGCCGGTCAGTCCACCCGAGCCTCTTGGCGGAGGCACAAGTCGCACACGAACTGCAGGAAACGTGCTCAAACTTGCGCAAAGCACCCCAGCCCGCCCAGTGCCTCGTCCCATCCTATCTTTGTGGACCCCTCAACCATTCGGACAATTAGCCAATGGTTCGAGCTCGAGGCGCCGTTGGTGAACGAGCTTGGACCGCGTGCTGTGCCGGTGGGAGCCTCGAGCCAACCTGGGTTTGGGTCCTGGGGTCAGGTCGGGCCTCGCTGTTTATAATAATCTGACTGACCGTATGTTTTGTTTCCCCCTGCTCAGAGACATTGTTGCTGGTGTTGACATCCCCTCCCTCACTTGCAGCACCCCACCGACACCCATTCCTGACCACAAGCCTCCCAATCTTGGACCATTCCAGCTTCTTCCCTATCCTAAAAGACCTCTTTCGCAAACATGGACATGTCACACATGGACATGGGCACATCCACCACAATGGACATGGCCGCCACGGGCACCGCGTCCTCCGCCGCCGCAGCGACCACCAGCGCAATGTCGATGAGTGTGGGCGGAGGCAACTCGTGCAAGATATCTGTACGTACAGAACCGCGTCCACGCCCAATATCACCCCAGTTGAAGACGACCTTATGAAGAGAGCCATGACCCGCTGACAAATCTCCCACCCCACAGATGCTCTGGAACTGGAACACGGTCGACTCATGCTTCATCTCGAGCTCATGGCACGTCACCAGCCGCGGCATGTTCGCAGGCTCCTGCATCGGCGTGCTGCTCCTCGTCATGCTCCTTGAGCTGCTGCGCAGGATGGTCAAGGAGTACGACGCCCTGCTCGTCCGTAAGCATTCCACCAACAGCAACAGCAGCAGCAGCACATATGTCGGTGACGCCGCCGCCGGCCGTGCCCAGCAGCAGCAGCATGTTGCCTCGGAGAGCGGGGAGAGCAAAGACCACGGCGTGAACGTGCAGCCCGTCGGCGCCGTTGACCCTTCCGGCCGCTTCCGGCCGACCGTGCTCGAGCAGGCTGTGCGTGCCCTTCTGCACATGTGCCAGTTTGCTGTCGCCTACTTTGTCATGCTGTACGCTATCTTTCACCCCATGCCCTGACACAAAACCCTCCTGTGATTTCTTGGGAAAGGACCGCGATTGTTCGAATTGAGCTCTTCAGAATGGGTTCGAGTGGATAACTGACTTATTTCTCCATCTGCAGGTTGGCCATGTATTACAACGGATACATCATCATCTGCATATTCATAGGGGCATTCCTGGGCTCTTTTGTCTTCCACTACGAGTGGATGGGCTCAGAGTAAGTCCAGCGGAGCAGAGTCAGAAGAAAAGGACACGTGTCTACTTGAAAGTCGTCTCTAACGTCTTCTTCGCTGTAGTGGCAACCAGACGAGCGCTTCTCGTGAAGCCACCGTTTGTTGTGGCTAGGCCGTGTTCTATCCTCAGCTCTACTGAAGGACCACACCAAACTGTTGGTTCGGCGGAATTGTGCGTCTGGCGGAGCCTTTTTTGGTGGCCAGCTTCGACCATAGATGTCTCGTCTCTGGCGGTGCTGCACTTCAAGTTATTGACATTGTATCAGTTGTGAGGAAGCTAATTGCTGTTGAAGTTGGGTCTCCGAGACGATGTTGCGGATCAGCAAGTTCCATATGAGAAACAAGTCACCTCTCTCAGGCCTCTTCCTGCGATTCTACTCTTGTCTTTTTCTTTTGAAGTTGCATATAGCAACTTTTCCAACCTCTTCTACCTAAAGTTAGCCCCACAAAACATCGGGTTTCCTCGGTCTACCGGGACCTATGAGCCTTAATACTGTTCGACTCCCTTGCGCGAGCTTTAAAAGCTTCATACAGGTCCCACTTTCGATCACATTCTCATTTTGGTCGTTTAAGATGTAATAGTGCGGCTATGGAAAAAGTCGGGTCTGGGGGCACTTGAGTATCTAGGTACCTGGGTACCGCTCGAGAAATATTCTGCACACAATAAACCAAAGTCCTGAAAGTTGGGAGTTTCATATTTGTGTGCAACGAATATTCTAAGACAATCTGCCTACATTACATAGCAAAATAAAACCAGCTTTTGCTGGAAGTAAGTGGATGTGCAAAGTGCCCAGTATCAGGCTGCCATACCCTTCGAATGTTCCAGTTTCTGCAACATCAGCCCCTGATCCATTTTCGCAATCTGTCAGGCAAACCTCTCCTGAACTCACTAGTCCTCCTTCGGCGGGAAAACCAAAATCTTAGCCGCGCCGTTTTCCTCAGTATAAAAAAGTGTCGAGTCGTTCCCTCGTGTTGTTGGCTCCATTGGTGGGAATGATCCCCAATCGCTGACCTCTGCCCATACGGCGAATATCCAAATTCATCTCCGGAATGGCATGTGAGCTCAACTCATGGTCAGCCGCGGCTGTTTGAGCCTTGAGGAGGACATACCCGGCCTTCAAGGGCTCCAATTTGCCAGCCGTGGTCATGACGAGGAATGCAGGCCAGACCTGAGCTGCAATATTAGCCAGCTCCAGTTTGGCGTTTGGGTTGGGCTTCATGTCGGTTCCATCAGGAGCGGCTCCATTGACGGCAGCCTGGCCTTGATTCTGTGCTGGCAGCACAAGTGGTTCCGGGAAAGGGTTCCCATTCTTCGGGGACGAGATCCTCGTTTTTGGATTCGAAAAGGGCTTGGTATCTGACCTCGAATTGTTGCAATGATCGCCAAGTGTTGCAGACCTTGTCAAACCACGCGAGCAAGGCGCGGCCGAATGCCTTCCTGTCGTCCAACATGAAGCTGACGGAGTCATAAACGTCCTTGGACGCCGCCGTCGCTCGCTTCTTGCCATACTCGTCCTGTTTCGCTGGCTCAATACTGAGTAGCACACTCCGTACGTATCGTGCACGCCGCGGATCTAGCTGGTCGATGGTGTCCAGCAGATCAGCCACATCGGTGCCTCTGTGTGGGATGTATCGGCTGGCAGATGTGGGAGGAAGCAGCTTCGGCTAGCAGTCGAAGTACGGCGGCCACACGCATTCGGTTTGCGGCAGCTGAATTTGTAGGGGGCAGGGGAATGCCTTCGAGGCATTCCAGCTCTGTCAGCCTATCCCACGAGACTGTGGAGAAGACGTAGTCCGAAAGCTCGAGTTGGCTGAAGAAGTGAGTCACCAACTGATATGCGTCGTCAAAGATCGTGCTTAGTTGCTTCGAGCTGGCACAGTATGGGCACGGTCAGTTTAATCGTGCACGAGATGATGCTCCATGAAATTAGAAGGGCGCAATACTGACGGAATCCGCTTGTCTGTTTGTACTTTTAAAGGCATTGCCAGCGCCTTCAAGTTAGTCAATTCTTCGGTCGTTGTGTCGAGGACCTTCTTCAATTGTCCCATATTCAGCTGATGGGTCTTTTTTAGATCTGCTTCGGTCTGCCTGAAACTTTCTGCCATCTTCTCGAGTTTGTCCGTGAGTGTTCTGATCTGGGTTTCTTTCTCCAGCTTGCTTTTCAGGGTCTCAGATATCTTGCTTGCGTTGGCGCCAAGCTCCTGCTTCAGATCAGCGACCTCCTTCTGAGCCTTTTCCAGCTGCGACTGAGCTTGGGACTCCTTCGTCGTCGCCATCTTCACCTCGGATGCCTTCTGGAGACAGGCGTCCTTCATGGCAGTGTTTTCATTCTTGACCTTCTGGATCGCATCAAAGTTCCGCGTCTCAGCGATGAGAGCATCTTGCAATTCTCGTTCTAGCTTCTCATTTCTCAATGCCAAAACGTCCGTCTTAGCGACCAAGCCGGCAATATCTTGGTAGTCCTTGCTGCTGGTCAATTGTTTCACAAGTCTGACCCAGGTCTCTGTCAGCCGCTGTTGAGTGGCTGCCTGCCCTTGTGCGCCCGGAACAGGCCGGGTGGGAGAAGAAGACGAAGCCATGCCGACGTGAGAGCCTCGTGATGAGGAAGATGGTTTCGAAACGTGGGAAAGGCTGATGCAACTATGTGCTTTTGAAGACAGTCTGTCTGGATGACTGCTCCCAGATGTCAGATACGTGAGTTTGCATGAGGACGCAGAGTTCTTTTACATTCAATGCACCGAACTAGTCACTGCCTCCTACAACTTGATCGTCAATGACGGCATTACAATATCCAATGCCAGTTCGTAACGTGGCAGCGCGTCCATACTTAATGTAGGCGCAACATCAGCGGGGGGTCTCCAGTCTGTTCCAATGTACGTAGAGAGGGTAGTCATTGCTGCATGTGCAAGCTCGATTAGATTTGTCCTCAAGATCAGTGACTGCCGGACGGGAATGCAGAATGCACGGCACACAGATCATGCCGGACAGCTGTCAATTGGTTCGTCTTGGCACAACGCTACGAAATGCAAAGCAGGTATCAAGCAGGCTCCGCGAAATCGGGCGAGTAGTTTTGCAAGAAAGTCATGATGGGTGGGTGATCGGATAAGCTCCCAACATGCGGTGTCACAGCGAAATGAGGCGGCCGTTGCCCGGTTGGATAAAGGAAGCATTGCCAATGCATACCTAGGTAATTGGTCATGTTTGCTGCGAGACACTTGTCGGTAGGCCTCTTGCATGTCGATTTACCACGGTTTGTGGCCTTGAACTAACTTTGAATCAAGTTAGTCATGATGATCCTAGAAAAGAAGAAGAAAAAAAAAAGAAAAGAAATTGCGCGACGGCCCACGGTGATGTTTCTGGCATTAAAGCGGTTTGTGGCGGACAGCGGGGATAAAGTGCAGTTTCACTGCTCCGGATAAGTCGAAGTCGAGTCACGCTCAGCTGCGCGTCAATGAAAGGCGCCGGGGAGAAGAGGAGCACGAGACGCGAGCAAGGAAGCGGTAATCCGTCAACGCAGGCCAGGCCTCCCAGGGCCATCATTCAATCTTAAGAACTTGAAGTATTGTTGGGCGCTTGAATTGGGTGTATCTCTAGATTGCGTGTATTTCACAGGTTCTGCCGAGCGTCCTATTCTAAGACAGATTTCTATACCTAAATATCCCAACCGGCGTATCAGCCTGTTCCAGTCTATCCCAGTGCATACTCCTGTACAAGTTTCTCAGTTCTGACCTTGTTCTGAATTCGGCATCTTCTAGCTGTTCTCAGTAAGCTTATTGTAGAACCAATCAACCATATGAAGGACTGTAGGATGGTTCCATGTCAAAGTGACGGGCACTTTGATACCCATGGCCGCCTGAAGCTCCTGGCTGAGAACCACAGTCATAACAGAGTCAACCCCCAATTCGGCGACAGGGGCCCGTGGGTCGATATCGTCAACATCACCCTTCATAACAGCTACGAGACACTTCCTTATCGCCAGGTTCAACCACTCCTTCAGCTCGGGCCCCGAAGCCGGTCTTGAAGCGGTCGCCTTTCTAGACTCGGGCTGCTCCTCGGCGACGTTGCCGACAGAGGCGAAGCGGCGGGGAGCCACCTCCTCGATCAGGGTTAGAGGGACTTTCTCCCCCTGGTCGTATGTTCGGATGCGCGTGACAACGCCGTGATCAATGTCATGCTTGCTGACGTGCTCCCACGCGCGGAACCCCTCGTCGATGGTAATGTCCGTGATGCCCTTGCTCACAAGCTCCGTTTCCAAAGTTGAGGAGTCGGTACACATCGCCAGACCAAGTCCCCGCCACGCCGTCCACTGGAACGCGACCGCGTTATCCCCTTGGGCTCGGCGGTATGTGGCCAGGGCATCCAGGAATGAGTTGGCGCTGCCGTAGGAGCTTTGGCCTGCTGTCCCGACGAGCTGGCCCGTGGAGGAAAAGAGGAGGAAAAAGTCGACTGTGCCTGGTGGGAAGGCCCTGTGAAGGGTGAGGGAACCAGATACTTTCGGCGCGAAGACGTTGGCAAAGGACTCGGCCGTCGCATTCCGGATGAAGCCGTTCTCCATGATACCAGCCGCATGGATAACACCCAAGACTGGAGGGAGAGAAAGACGATCCAGCTCGGCCAGTAATTTCTCGTGGGCATCACTGGCGCCAATATCCAGCGCCATCGCGTGGATCCAGGCCCCAGCCTGCTCCAGCTTTCGAATCTTGGCGATAGCAAGTCTCGTGTTGTCTGAGAGATCTTCAGAGTCCCACTCCTTGCGCGCCGGCAAACCACTGCGCGAGATGACAACAATACGACGAGCTTTCTTCTCGACCAGGAACTCGAGGACCTCGCGGCCGAGGTCGCCGAGACCACCGGTGACGATGTATGTGCCCTCGGGCTTGGGCAGCAGCGTCTTGGGCGAGTCCTTGCTGTGCCGCTGTTCCTTGGAAAGAGGACGGAGACGGCCGACCCTTGGCACTCCGTCGTCCATTCGGATCACCTGCTCGCCGCGGACGTACTTGAGTGCCAGCGTGGGAAAACTGCCGCCCTCGTTGTCGATGAGCGCGCCCCAGTTGTCCGGGTGCTCCTCGGCCGTGATACGAGCGAGGCCGTAGAGAGCACCGTGAGCAAGGGCAGTCGGAGACTGTCCTTTGTAAACCTGGTCTGTGATGATGTAAAGCTTTGCAGCTTCAGAAGACGCTGCGAGGAGCTTAATCATACTGACAGCTTCCCAGACAAAACGGTGGGTTGCTTCTGGGACGTCCTCCAGATCCTTCACCTTGCAAGGCAGATACAAAACGGCGGTTCCTTTCTCCTTGATGGCCAAGAGTATCTCGGGTCTGTTCAAGTCCTCGGAACGTGCTGCCTGAATCACCTGTCCGAATCTTCCCTGGATTTGGCCCGCGTACTGTTCAAGGATGGCTGGGTCTTCGCAGACAAGAACGACCCTGCTCAAGGATATAGGCTTCTCGGAGAGCTTTGGCGGGATCCACGCAAGCTGGTGAACAAGACTTTCAACACTGCCGCTGATGCCAGTGGCACCCTCAACATCGGAGAACCTCAGAGCCTGGAATTTGGCAATCATCTCTCCCTGCTCAGTCAGCACGGTGACATGAGCGGCCGGGCTTATAGAGTCAGAGGCCTCCTCGATATAGAGGTACGCAATCTTGGGCCGCGGATCACTGGATAGGATCAATACTCGATCGATCTGAGAGACGATACGCATCCTAGCCTCGTTGAAGAAAATGGTCGATCCGACGGACGTAGCCGCATCGAGGAGAGGACCCCAGGAGTAAGGATCCCAGGGCATGGAGTTGGAGTCTGGGTCCATATCAACGCGAACCATCATCTCCTTCTCGTTCCCATAGTGCTCGACTACCTGCCACGGGAAGGCGATGCCCGAGACTCCAATCTTTTGTAGGTACTCCCAGGCAAATCCCTTTCCTAGGACAGTGCCGATTCGCTTCTTGATCCCAGGTGTATCGTAGATGGGCTCGGTGGGCAGATTCTCAGGCTGACTCCAGCGAGCAGAGCTATGCTCGACCCACGGCAGTTCTGGCTGATCTGCCGAGGCGTCACTGCTCTTCTGCTCCAGCCGGGAGGCTACCCTGATGTGCTCGCCCTCAACGATGATTTGAACCTCCCTCGTCTCGCTGCTCATCGAAACAGGCACACGCAGCTTAACCTCGTCCAGGACGGTGGCGCCGGTAGCGTGGTGGAAGGTGTTGCAATACACCCCGGCTGGGATGATCTCAGTACCGTCGAGTGGGTGAGTCCGTGGGTAGGGTTTGTTCTGGTCATTCAGCTTGGTAGTATAGACGATGCTACCCTCCTTTCCGGCGATAGAGGTGCGCTGGCCAAGCACGGTGTGCTTGTCGACGTCGTGTGAAGCCGCATCGCCGCCGATGGGACCTGTCTCGACCTCCCTCCAATGCCGTTTGTGAACCCAAGGCGTCCCGGGGACGGTGGTCGACCAGGTCTCGCGGCCAAATTGAGCCTCGAAATCGACGGGGTTTCCCCTAGTCCACAACTGTGCAATCGCATGCTGGATGCTCTTCTCCGTAGGGGCCTCCCTCTTCATCGTGCCTATTGTGACAAATTCATCCACATCTTTGCGCTGATCAAGTGTCTCATTGATCGAATGCGTGACAATCGGATGTGCTGATATCTCGACAAAGACTCGGAAGCCGTCATCCGCTGCAGCGCTAACAGCGGAGGTCAGCCAGACTGGACTGATCATATTGTTGATCCAATAGGCAACGTCGCGTGGGCTATCAGACCGCGGGGTTTTCGAGGAGGTTGAGTATAATGGGATCAGCGGTTTCTGTGGTTTGAGCTCCTCGGCGAGCACATGTGCCAAAGGCTCGGCCAATTTCTCCAGCATCGGGCAATGGAACGCGATATCTGTGTTGACTTTGAATGTCTTGACCCCTCGAGCCTTGAGATCCGCAACGTAGTTGAGAAGAGGTGTGGACTCGCCGCTAATCACGCAAGAGTTGGGAGAAGAGTCAATGGCCGGAACAACTTCTGGACAACCCTCCAACTCCTTGGCAACCGTTGCAAAGGGAAGGCCAACGAGCGCCATACCACCCAGGCCCTTAACCTGCGCATATAGCGTGGCTCGCCTGGTTACGATGAGCGCTCCCTCCCGTGGGGTCAAGCATCCAGCCACCACCGAAGCAGCGATCTCGCCGACGGAATGACCTATCACAGCCTGGGGCTCCAAACCCTTGGATTTAAGCACCTGACTGAGCCCAATCTGTACCAGATATGTCAAGACCTGAATCCGATCCGACTCTCCGATATCACCGGTCTCCAGAGCTTTCACCGCAGAGTACCCGCATTCCTTCTGGACTATTTCGTCCAGCGAGGTGATTATTTGGCGGAACTCGACATATTCAAGCAACTCCTTGCCCATCGCGGGCCACTGGGCACCATGTCCGGAAAATACCCAGACAGCGTGGGCCTGCAACGGATGCGCGTCCAGAATCCTGCCGCGTGTGGTCCCCTCTGTGGGCTTTCCTTCGGCAAAGCTGCGCAGGGCGTCGATGGCCTCCTGGTGGCTTGCGACGATGAAAGCAGCGCGGTAGGTATGAGGCGCCCGGCGGAGAGCCAGTGTCGCAGCGATAGCTTTTAGATCCTCGTCCTTGCCTGCGCCGGACAGCCAGTCAGCCAAGATAGTGGCTTGGGTAAACAATCTCTTCTCCTGGGGTGCTGAGATTGTCAAGGTCACAACCCCGGGGTCTTTCTTCTCGGAAGCATCAGCATGCCCGTTCGTGGTCGGACGTTGATATTGCTCGATGACCGCGTGCGACACCGTCCCGCCGTATCCATAAGAGCACACGGCGGCACGACGAGGCACACCTGCTGGCTCCGTCCACTTTGTCCGCTCCCGGACGACTTGAAGACCCGAGTTCTTCCAGTCGATGCGCGTGTTGAGCTTATTCAGTCTCGCCTGTGGCGCAAGCTCCCCCTTATTCACGGCCATGACCGCCTTGGCCATCGAGATAGCACCAGCAGCGGCCTCAAGATGGCCGACGTTGGGCTTGATGGAGCCGATCAGAGCCGGCGCATCAGCTGGTCTTCCCCTGCCGTACACAGAGGCTATAGCTGAGACCTCAGTAGGGTCACCCAGAGCAGTCGATGTCGCGTGTGCCTCGATGAAGCTGACCTCAAGGGGATCTACCCCGGAGCGTTCCAGGGCCTGGCGGGCAACCAACTCCTGAGCCTTGGAGTTCGGAGCCATGATGCCCATGGTTTTGCCGTCCTGAGCAACAGCGCTGCCCTTTAGAACAGCCAGGATGTTGTCATTGTCGGCGATGGCGTTGGCGAGGCGCTTCAGGATGAGCACCGATCCGCCTTCGCCTCGTGCGTAGCCGCAGGCAGCGTCGTCGAAGGACAGACAGACGCCGTCTGGTGAGAGAGCACCGGCCTTGCTCAGCATCACGAAGAGTGCTGGTGAGCATAAGACGTTGACACCCCCGACGATGGCAACTGTGGACTCACCGCTGGCAATGGCTTGTCGTCCCAGATGGACCGCCACACCAGATGAAGCACACGCTGCGTCCACCTATACGGGCCTGAGGGTTAGCGACTGCCTTTGACTGTGAGAGAAAGTACCGGCGGCTTGTGGACATCATATATAGGATATCTGGTAACTCGAAACAAACAAGAAACTAAGAGGTACAACTTCGAGAAGAAGGGGTACTTACTGCAGCACTAGGGCCCATGAGATCCAGGTGGTAAGATATTCTGTTTGGGATTCCGTGTGGTGTTGAGCCGATGCCCATCCACGCCTCGATGTTCGGAATATCTTCCAGTACAAGCCTGGAAAAGTCATCCGAATCACAGCCCATGTAGACGGCTGTATCAGACCCCATTAGGGACTTTGGATCGATTCCTGCATTTTCCAGCGCTTCCCAAGCTAACTCTAGCCCTAGTCTCTGGTGAGGATCCATCTGCTCGGCCTCCTTCGACGAAATGCCGAAGAACGCGGCGTCGAAGTTCTCCAGGTCCTCGATGAAGTAACCTTTCTTGATGGCCTTGTCGATGACCTTGGAATTCCTCGCATCTCGGCGGTGCCAGGGCTCCCAGCGTTCCTTAGGCACTTCACCAGAGGCGTCCTGTTTGTTCATCAGGAATTCCCACAGCTTCTGGGGACTGTTGTTGCCTCCAGCTGTACGGCAAGAAAGGCCGATGATGGCAACGTCCTCGGGACGAGAGATCTCGACTGACCCCATTGCGCATGTGGTGAGAAGCAAAGAAGGGACCAGCAGAATTCAGGAAAGATGGTTTGAACTCATCCAGTCGCCAAACCTGAAGGAGTCATACATCTCCCCTATATATACTGTTTCCTCCATTCTCAGCCTCATCCCGTCTGCCCGGCTTACTGAGCTGGTTGCCTAGGAAAACGGGGCCCGAAAGATGATAACGATAAAATGTATCCATATTTATCGTCTTACAACAGCACTCTGTTATTGAGGCTAAGCGCTTTCGGTGGGGCTATCCACTCTGTAGAGTATCTTGAGAAGATCTATCACAATCCTTATCAAATGCTCTCAGAATTCCCGCAATTAGGATCACCGGTCCACAGGATTCTGCGTCACTGCATATGCAGTTGGTCCTCGTGTTCATCACGGACGGAGGAGGATTGGCTTATTCGACCGAAAATCGGGGCGTACGGTGTGAATCAGCAGGTCGGCGCCTTTAGTAAGTGTCAGATCTAGATCCTGCCATGGGAGGGAAAATAGCAATACTGTAATGTACCAAGGTATCGACGATTAAAAGTGTTCATTCGTGTTGTGAATGCTCTTATTGCAGAAGAAGGCTCCCAGATGGCATGTGGTAGGGACTCAGTCAGCCGCGTATGTAAGCAGGCTGCATTGCCCCCACGCCCCTGCACATACGCTCAGCAGCGGTGAGGAGCGAAGTTTACCAAAATGTCAGAATTATCCAGAATGCTCTGGACATGCAGTGTAGCCTGTACCGGCGAATTCACAAGAGGGGTGTGACTCTAAATGAAATTATTATTTATTCTATAAAATACTGTTTAAATTTGTTGTAGAAGTGGCCATATTTTCATCCAGCAAGCCAACGTCAAAAGGCCGATATACCCACACTTCGAGATTTCGAGTTCGTGCGGAGCATGGTCATAGACCTTGATTCTAAGTCGGAGGTCATTTTCCTTGTTAGTCGACATCAACTCAGCCTTCTTTGGATAATAGCCCAGATTGGACGCCACGCTTGACCGTCATCCGCCTGACTGCGATTCATCAGCCCAAGTCAGCACTGTTATTCCCATCTGACGACCAGGTATTCCTTCGGAGTATTAGTGGTAGAAGACCGATGACAGAGGTCACTTGAGCATCAGACGTGGACGTCCCGGTTGAGATAGCCCAGCCAGGATGATTCCTGTGCTTGAACTGATCAGGTCTGCCAGTATGTCTGGCTAGCCTAATTTCTTGGTGAAGATTAGAACCTGTTAGATCGCCGAGCAGCGACATATTTTACAGCAATAACACGATCATGGGTTTCTCTTGATAAGAGGTGTTTGATTGACGTCTTTCGTGGTAAACATGTACTTCCGACGATATCTCCATGTCGTTACCAAGGCAGGATACACGCCTCCATCACGTTTGTGCCAGTTACGTCTAAAGACTGACTAGCCAACCACAGTCCAATTCTCCCACTAGGTCAAACAATGTAGGCACATGTGTGGTTGGCCTACTGCGACACATCTTCGACCATTTCCACATTGGCATCCTTTGCGTGCGCAAAATTCTTGAAGCGCTCCTCCTCGTCTGCGACGGTTGATCGAACAACACGCCGATTCTCCGGGTTGAGTCCCATCAGTATCCTCGGGTTCTCGTAGAACATGACATCAATTTGTTCGAGAGTGCGGCCGGACGTCTCAACACCGCAGAAGCAAGTCGGAGGGACGCAAGACGCACTAACCGCCGCCCAGACCCAGAAGTAGTGGCCGCGGATATTGTTCAGACCGATGGGCGTGACCATGACTACCACAAAGTTACTCATCCAATGGCTGAAGACGCCGACTGCCTATAGCATGGTCAGCAATCATTCGTGACTTGATGCATCAAAGTGTGGGTGCTTACTGTCGCCTTGTTACGCACGTTCAGGGGCTGGATCTCGGCTGAATAATACCAAGAGACGGGCATAATACCGAATGTGAAGCAATCAAGGAAGATGAACATGAACGCCACGGCGGCAGCAGCAGCGGTGTAAGTCTGAGCCGCAAGACAGCCAGCAATAATACACATGCAAACAGCGCAGCCCGCAGACGAGCCCATGACACTCTTTCTGCGGCCGATGCGATCAATGTAAAAGTAAGGAGTGCAGGAGAAGAGAGCGTATTAAGTGAATGCGACGGAGGCCAAAATGAGCGAAAGGGATGGTGAATAACCCAGGTACTCCTGGAGGATGAAAGCAAGGTAGTAGCAAAGCGCCTGGTAGTGGTGTTCATAAGCATTTGGCCATAGTCACCTTCGAGGACGTATGTACTTACATTGATACCCGACCACTGGTTCATCATGTACGGACCCATACCAAGGAAGACGCGGTGCAGATTCCGAGACTTTGTCGAATTACTGAAGACCTCACTCCAGAAGGGTTCGCTACTCCTGCTCTCTAAGCTGAGAGCCTCCAGGATCTCCTGCAACTGGCCCTGAACCTCGTCGTCGTCTGGATGCTTATCTAGAAGCCGAGATATCACTTGTCGAGCCTGTGCCAATATCAGCTTCTCCGTTTCGTGACAAAGCGTACTTGGTGGGTATCCTACTTTTTCGTGCTCGCCGCGTTATGCAAGCCATCTCGGTGTCTCTGGCACAAAGGGACAGAACGCAAGGCAGAGAAGCGAGAAGAAAATCTGACAAGCGACCGGGAAACGCCACTGCATCAAGCTGTTCGCGTACAAGGTCGCGAAGCAGAGCCAGGAAGCAAGGGCAACGCCTAGAATGGTGACCGCCGACTGGATGACCAGCAGAGCTCCCCGGTTGTGTGCTGGTAGGGTTTCGGACTGGAGGATCGGTACGGCCACCTGGAAAAATGTCCCAACGTCAGAATGAGCCGTCGCATTGGGGATTGAAACTTTACCGTAGAGAGTCCAACGCCGAGTCCGCCGATGATTCTTGCAACAAACATCTGCCAATACTCAAAAGATGTGCACTGTATCACTGCTGCAACGATGACAATGACATTGGCCCAGACAATCGACCACTTCCTTCCGATCCTCTCGCCCCACACGAAGGCAGCCACAGCACCCAGAGCACACCCGATGTCGTAGATGGCAGTTACAAGGCCGGTCATAGTCGCGTCGGGATTACCAAGCGTATCCTTAAAACGCTGGCCCCCGAGGATTCCTCCAAACAACCCTTGGTCATACTAATACGTCATCATTATGGCGTTGCATTCATTAGCATCCTGGATCGACTCACCCCAAAGAGCATGAAGTCGAGGCCCGACGTGATGATGATGACTGCCAATAGGGGCTTTCCCCTAAGTTCAAAAATCTTCATGATGGAAGAAGTGCCTTGAAAAGAGCTTCGAGCCAAATCGGCGGGAAGGAATGGGGATACAATTTTATTAGTGAGAATGATACGCGTATTTACAACCTCGAAGCAACATGGGCATATCTTTCCTTTTATTCCCCCCACCACACTTAGAGCCAGATAGTCACTATTATTGCATGATGCAGCTCAGTCTTTTGAGTGGCTGAGACGTCAAGAATTCTGAAAATTCAGGAAAGTGAACATACGCACTAAATTGAGAGAGTGCGTGGGCCGGGAATCGGAAAATGAATTCCCTTAGCTTGCCAGAGCGATGTCACTGTTTCCGAGTCAAATATAGGGGAAAGCAGCTCCCGGCTTGACATATTGTCACGTGTTTCCCCACGTTCTGGAACTATATCGTGGGGTCTGGGGTTGACACCCCCAGAATTGCTTCGTTTGACGTGCCGCAATTGGCTGTGCGTAGCTATCGTCCGGGGCAAGAGGGTCATGCCTAGACTTCCCCCGCAAAGAGGGCGTCTTGGTCTGGGGTAACAGCCGTCTGGGATCGCCGTGGTTGGTGCCAGGACCGGGTAGTGAACCTTGGGGATATCGAGAGTTTGCCCTGTATCCGCCTGTGCATTGTCAGTGTTGGATTACTGCCCCCAACTCGGGTTTCCAATCTGTATACCCTAGAACCCCCGTCACCCGAGATGGCCGAAAAAAATCGGTTTCTGTGCAAAATGAATTTCAGCGGTGCCTTATTTATAAAGAAAAAAAGGTTGTCACTGCTGTTACTTTGCTGACCCCAGTCGTAACGTGCCACTTCTGTACAGCCTGTGGAAGAATGCACTACCATTCATTCAGAGTGGAATCTCGAAGCGCAGAGCTCGTCCGCCTTGGGCTCGGCCAGGAGTGTGATTATAAGTTTGACACTGAACTGAGCGGCTGGAATGTCCCTCGGATCGAAGTATGAGCCGTACATCTTGGTCTCCTCGATCGTCGAGGCTGTGGGAGTATCCGAAGCATCGCAGGAGTATGCTACTGCTGAGGACTGTTCCACCTTTCGGAAAATTAGTTATGTGAAAAGTTTTCTTTTTGTTCAGGTGGGGGGGGAGGGAGCCGATGACACCCCCGAGCGTCTCTACTAAGCTACACACTTAGACATCCAGTAAGTTAACCGAGAGAAGCACGGATTGTATGATGTGCCCAGCCCAGTTTCATACCAGCGTGGTGTCCTCTTCCGCCGATAAACCTATATCGAACGGGGTCAAGAAGGTCCACGCACCCTTAACTTGATCTGAAAACAGGAATACCCCGATGCGGCGGCAAGCTTCCTTGCCTTGTATAATCCTACCGGCTGGTATGACCACAAGTCCTGCATATTGCCAACAAGTATGCTTAACGGTGTGCCCTATTATTTCCATGCTTTCGTCCTCGTAAGCACGCTCTGATCCACCAATAGACTTCCAAGCCTCCACCAGAGTCAACATCATGCAAGCATCAGTCGGCAGTTGACTTCCTGGAAGAAGGCCAATCTCGTCGTGCACGTAGCGCATGGCGCTCTTCGGTTCCCTCCAGCGGCCAACAGATAGCCAGGGACGACCACGCGGCAGTACTCTAATAACATTCTCATCCCATTCCAGCGTACAGGGAGTCCTATAGCTTCTCATGGTGATATATTGGTCTGAAAAGTCGTGGAAGAGAGCATCGGTGGTGGATTCTTTGGGTTTCGAATGTCCGAAATGCAGCAGCTCCGCTTTATAAATGGTCCAAGGTTCTCTCAAGTCTAGGGTTTCGTAAATTGTGAAATCCAGAGTGCCACTCTCGGGGGTTGCAACGTCGCAGGGAACTGAAAACCAGGACCACGATGGCGCCAGTCTTGATTGCTGGTTTCGATTCTCTCTCAATTGCCTTGCATCTGATGTGCCAACAACACACCACAACAGGCCAAACTCGACGAATCCATCCCATATTCCGGCCATATAGTTGAGGCCAGTCTGCAACTGGATAACTTTGGCGACGCCAGCAAAGGCAATAGTTCGATCCTTTTCAAATGTGAGCCCTCCCGCGCGATACTCTTGCACCATCATGGGCCACTGATTCTTCAAGGTTATGACGTGTCCATAACCAACTTTCGCCTCACGGTCTAGTCCCGCAAATACGGGGTAGAACTGACGCTTTGACCTGGGACAAAGCTGCAGAGAGCCACAGAGTTCATCTATGACTTCCTCGCAGCATTCCCACAACAGTCTTTCGCCACCGTAGTATATATTCCGCGGACACAGTAAACGTTCTTGGAATACCCATGCCCGAGACAGTAGTGGCCACACGTCTCTATGTGTGACGGGAGACCAGAAATGTGACATTGTTCCCATTACGTGCTGTACTACAAGATAGTCCGGTTGAGTTCCTTTCCGTGGCGACGTGAGGGCCCTGATTGCGTTACCATCCTGTGCCTGGTCTGGTTGAGGATGCAACTTGCAGGGAAGATGAATCCGTGGGTCTCGGAGATGCTTGTGAACAATCTCTGAAGAAGGCGGGTGAGGATAAGAAATATTACAGGCGGATCGCCCGTAGACAGTCGCCATCTTCAACGCTTCCCTCTTCCAGTCCTCTACGGAGTCCTGTACGATGCACAGCGAGTCAACCCAAAGATAACGTATACCAAGGGCTCTCGTTACCCTGATGGCTTCGATGTACTTGGTTGGTAACTGCTCATGCCGTATTTCCGACTTGAAGATCTCAATGTTTGCTTGCTCTAGCTGCAACAAGGAGGACGGATCTTGACCCCACATATGGCTGAGTGTGGTGTATTTGAGTTGTGTGATGGCTCCCACGTCGCACTCTAGTCTTATTCGGCTTCCATGAAGATCCAGGAGTCGCGAAGGATGGTCTGCTTCCGGTACAATGGAACTTGAAAACTTGCTGCAGTTTTGGTGACTCTGGGCGCAGGCTTGGTACCATTCGGCAATTTGTAGTAGCTTCGCGTCATGTCTCGAAGACACAGGCTCGCATACTGGGCGAAGAGTCGCAGTATTCAGTTTGGGGTCTGCAAGGGCAAATCATCCATGTTAGATAGTTTGAAGCTGAAAATACAATGAGACTGTATCTTACCAGTGGAGAGGTGTATAAATAGCTCAGGCCATTCTCCCACGCCCCGAAGGATCGAGCTGGCTAGGTATTTATGTACCGCTGGAATCCACATTTGAATGATACCGAAACTACCACTATTATGATCATCAGCAGCTTGGCCTAGACATAAGTACTTGCAGAACTCCATACATCATAGGAGGGACCAACTTCCACCACCTCTTCAGGATTACATTGCTTTCCCTCATGATTTCGGACTCTTTCGAGAATTTGCGAGCCCGGAGTTTGATGGTCACTTCAGCATCTGTAATGATCGGCTTGCTTGGGTCGAAGAGACGACCCTCGGCCCGGTGCCAAATGAGAGCGCAAAGATGACAGCCATTGAGGTATCCTGCTTTCAGTTGCTGCCCAGAAAAGATGTTAAATACCTCCGTCGTACCAATGCGGATATTGTAACCTCTAAAGATCTTGTGAAGAAGGCGAGATCGCCTGGAAAATGCTGCACACGTGCGGCAGAGGTTTCCAAGGATGACAAAGGTATCTTCAGCCACAGTTCTCGTATATGGAGCTCGAATCAACTGCAGCCATGGCTTCGTTGCCTGTTGACGATCCCTGCTATGTTTATGACTGTTGCTGCCCGACGCTGTGAAGAATCCAACCTTGTGTGCTGTTTTCGGTCCCGAAGTCGTATTCAGATCAGGAATGAATCAACAGCCCTCTTCCCCAAGTACACGGCTTCAGAGCAGAGAGAGAGACAGATGAACCTGAGCGCCTTGCGAAATGAACTGGCATGGGAAGAATGAGCTTTTGTCGAGACGACTTGGTCGATGTCATCTCAGTACGGTGGCCCCAACTCGACAAGTCCCCCTGATAAGCCAAGCTGAAAAAGAAAGAGTAAGTCCGATGACCTCATTTGCAGCCACCGAGTTACACGAGGAATCAGGACGGGCACGATTAATGGGCTGACGCAGATAGTACAGCTTGCCGCAGTGTGAGTAAGTGCCTATTGCTCCGAATGATCATGCACATGACCATTTTTCTGGCTTATAATCATCAATAGTGCTGATTTCTAAGATGTCAGGATACACACTCTCTGAATCTATAGCTTTTGGCTTTGGCCTTCTGACGTTGTGAGACACCGAACCGGGGCGATAGAGGGTGCAGGAACTATAGAGATGGGTAGCAACACAATCCACAAGTCAGGCTTTATTGAATACTCCATTGTATTGTCTTCTTTGTCGCATCTTGCGACTGCCTAGTTCTTTCCATGAACATGATCCAACACTTTCTCCTGTGATCAAAGACTATGGGTGAGATATATGTTCATCCACCTGTAGTATCCATTCTCTGTTCCCTGGCAGAGCGATTACTCGCCCTCCAATCATCACAGAGTATGGGGACGCAGTTACTTTCTGTCCTCTATCCCCTTGCTCATCATGCCATTGGCGGTCACTTCGTCTGTCCCCCAAACTTAAAGCCTCAGGAAATCCAGACAGTCATTGGCGGTCTCCGTGATGCGTTTCAGATAGTAAGAACGCCACCCCTTTGCTCGTGACTAGGTTGTCTGAATTGTATTTCTGCTTCGATGGAAGACGAAGATTGACTTCATGACTAATATGACATACCGATACAGAGGGAAAGTGCTTGGCTCTCCATCCCAAGTTGCAATGGCACTGACTGTCAGATCTGGGCGCAGCCATACTGCTGGTCTGAGTGATCCCCTTGAGGAAGGCACCAGGGGTGATGCTACCAGCAAAGTCACCTGGGCCAGCACCTGAGATCTGAGATACTCGCCGCTGGCTCCAGCCACATATTCTTCAACGGCATGGTCCGTCGTGCAGCGATGTTAGACGGTCATGGCCAGGCATTGGCGCAGCTCATCCTCGATACCATCTAGCGCTTCTGGCCCTTCAGATATCAGGACAAGCTCGACGCAATCGGCTCTGTTGCTTGCTCGTCCTCGAGCCACGAGCTTCAGTCTCACAGCACACCTGCTTCTACAGAAGCCTGCTTCGAGACCGCTGCCTCTTGCCTCTCAGTCGTTGGTAGCCTTGACCGCCTCGGGTCAGATAAACCCGAAAATGGTGAGACAGCCTCGGGAGGGAGTTATGCTTGCCATGCGGACGATGCAGCTCGAGCGTCGAGCCGAGATCACACCGAAAAACTGACCTGGACCTTCCGCAGAAGCTTCGCTAAAAGTCCGGTCAAGACGGTGCCTGCCGCCCGGGGAAGCACCAGCGAGGGGCAGCAAGGGAGCGGAATTTGGGAGGAGGTGGGATTGGGCGATTTCTGCCCAAAAGAATCCCGCTTTCGGACTGCAAATCGGGCATGTCCGCCCCATTCGCGAAGGAAGGGTCCGTGGGGTGTTCTCCAGGTGTTCCATTGCTAATTACCCCGAGATGCGAATCGCTGGGAGGCTCCCTGGCAGTTGGGTTTAGGTGGCATTGTGAGCTCGGTTTAGGGAGCCCGCAGGGCTTGTCAGCCACCGCGCTCCAGCGATGATCCCGTCGCAGGGGGGCTTTTCGCGCGTCGGATGTGGGCATCAGTTCATTTCTGCAGTAGTTCCAGAACGAGATGACGCCCTGTCGCATTTGTGCACGTTGATCTTGGTGTATCGATTTGCAATGCTGCAGCCTTTAAGCTTCTGGACTCGAGTCAGGCGGCGGTGAACTGTCTTCGGCCGCATAAGCGCCTTATTAGTGTACAACAAACTGATGAGGCTTCAGAGTCCAGCTCATGCGTGTGGGGCTCGTCTTCTCACTTCTCACACGAACTTAGCCGAGGGACACACGTATACAATTATTTACACCGCAGTACCGCCTTGTCTCATCGCTGCACCATCGTGATTGTTTGTACTCCTCATGCATTAGCAGGTGACCAAAGGCTCAATGCGCGACTCGCCTACTTTGGGGGTCATCCGAATTGGCTGGTCCGGTTATCGCAACCAGGTATGAGTGGGTACGAGTCAACTCGGCTCACCGGTGGCTAGCGAGAGCTTGAGCTTAAGTTGAGAGTTAAGCCGGCCAAGCTGGCCGAAGTGCTGTTTGGGATATACACGTGAGAGAAACACGGCCGCCCCTGTGATGTGACTGGCTTGGATAGTATATGATGAAGTGCCATGTACTTCCGTACTGCCAAGGTCATCTGCTGGTACTGCCGCCAATGCTTATTGTCGAATACTTCAGGATTGTGACTTGCACAACTTTTCGATTTGAACACCACGCCTAAGTAATTTTCCATCCAGTACACAATATACTTCGCGCTAAGCCCGATATGAAAGGTGACTGCAACGAGGTGCCGGTGTATTAGTGGTTTCGGCCAGAAAGTGGTCAAGTTCTAAGAGCCATGCTTCCTGAAGTCCCCCGGCAAGGTCTGCTTGTGATGCCTCAGAGCTCTGCCAGAACTGCCTGATTTCAACGACTCCGAGGAGCGTGTCTCGGTGAGGACGTCAGAATACCGTGATCACCGGTTCATGGCGTGATGTCCTTTAAGAGCACACGCAACCTGGAAAAGTTCGGTTAGCCCTGGGATCTGGACAAATAGCTCAAATCTAGAGAAGTGTGTGCACGAGTCAGCCACACGCTGCAACACAGTACTCTTACCGTCGCTTGTAGACGGATGCATGCATCCTCGCCATCCGAGTGGTTGGCCGGCACAGGCGAATGAAGTCTGGCAGTCTGAGCCAGCCAAACTCCGGAACCGAAGACCTTGATGCGACTCGGCGGACATCACCACAAGGACATCCTGAACCAACCATCCCTACACCTTACGCGCAGATCATATGTCCCTGCACGGATGCTCCTGCCCAGCGCACACTCCCGTCTTATACTGGCGTTTGCCACTTGTACAATACCGACGCCACGTATTTTCCCACACCTGCCTACCCAACACTACTCCTTCGGCCAGCCGTATTATCTCAACAAGAAGTCGATTTCCAGATGTGATGTTTCGAGGCCGAGATCGTGGACCTGCCGCCTTGCCTCCTGTCTCTGCGCATCCGCATCGCCGCTGCAGGTCGATATCGAGTCGACTCTTCAGATGGATCAACATACGCCGGTGGTGGGAACCGTCATTAGCGTGGTAGTGTCTCTGGTGTCCATTACCATCATCTCCTCGTTCCTCAGTGGGTCTCTCCACCCCGCTGGCTGACCCACCCTCCTCCTCCTCCTCCTCTGACTTGAGTCCTATGCGCACACCACCAAAAGGGACTAGCTGAACTGACCGCGAACGCCTGACTATAGCCCAGAAATATGCTGCCGTCAAGTCATGGCGAATACTGCCTTGTGCTATGTGGCGTAAGTTCCTATCCGCCATTCACTTGAGCAACCAGAGGCCACCGGGGCAGGTTGCGAGCCAAGAGCGCTTCGGACACACAGGCTGACGATGGTGGGATTCTTCCAGTCGTGGTAGCCGTATACGTTGACTCATTTCTATTCGTCTTCGTGACGGCGATTCTGAAATATGGACTGGGTGTCAACTCGGCATATGCTGTGTGCGACGCAGCCATTCTGCTGTGTCTTGTTGGCTATGTCAGCACCAAAGTGAGTTGAGAGGTTCTGGAGCGTCGGACTCCGTCACCGCTAATCATCGCGTTGTAGGTTGTGAGTCTGACGAAGGCGCCAAACGGTTACGACATATGTGCGGGACGTGATTGTTGACTTCAGGCTGTGCAGCTCATTTACCTTTTCCTGGTCGAAAAAGCAGTATGTCTGAGACGCTTGGTACTCAAATCATGGGACTCGTCGAGCTGATTAGGAATAGTTCATCATTCGAGGCGGGATGAAGACAAGGATGAGGTCGAAGATGTGGATCTTCAATGCTTTTGGCATGCTGGGTAAGCCTGTCCGGGTCCTATCTCACAGCAGGGAGCTCACTCACTCACATCTGATCAGGTCTTTACAGCATCGTCATAATTCTGAATTTTGTTTTGTGAGTTTCGACCCAGAACGACCCCAGACAACTGACGGAATCGCTCTGACGGATCGACTTCACAGTCGCATTGCACATCTCGACAACAACGGCATGTGTGTCATTGGGATGGAACGTCCGGCGTTGTTACCGCTGATTATCTTTGATTTGGTCGTTAATGTCGGTACCGCATTCCGAATCATTTGCCATCTATCTTAAATTGTGACTGACACACTGTTCAGGTTTATCTCACCACATTGTTCTTGATACCCCTTTCAAGTATGTTGGCACGTCCCGAGTCCAAATTTGACGAGATAATCTCCTTGACTGACAATCTCCAGGTCTGCATTCTTTCAGGAATGTCCAGCGATCACAGCCGAGCCTAGAACTACGAAAGATTGCGCTCCGAACTTTCATCGGATCACTCTGTACCCTGGCGAGCAGTATTGTGTAGGCGATGGCAACTATTCCGTGTCCATAGTTAACGACGCGTGGAAGAACTTCACTAATCCGACTCCATGTAGGAACCTTTCCGTTCTGACAGCCTTGAACGGAGAGCCAGGATGGGTTTGTCTCTTGTGCTGCAACTGTGACGGTTTGTACTTTCTCACTACGGATATCACAAGGGAAGACTTTCTAACAAGGACGGGTCCAAAGTACTATTCTCAGCAATAATGGTCCACTGGGTGACATACCATGACCATGTCGGAAGCCACAAAGGCAGGTCACCAGCAACATCGAACAACGAACGGTCTCGCCAGAACGGGCGGCGCAGCCACAACGAAAGCGCCGGCGCCGTCTCATCAACCGACGGCGGGACATTCGTCCTGCGGAATTCCGTCCCACCGTTATATCCGGATCCGAACCAGTTCCCATACCAGTACCGCATGTACCCGAGGTACAACCCGAAGGGCATGGTGGAGGACATCGACATCGCGGACCTGCGCTACGACCACCACCGGGAGCTCTTCGACATCGAGAAAGGGCCCCGGCGCGTGGAAGCGGGCGAATCCGCCGCCGAGCGCTGTGCGGACTGCGGCAAGGCCGACTCGGTGGCCGAATCCGGCGTGAGCCTGGTGGGCTGCACGGAGACGATCAGCGGCGGCAGCAAGGAGGCGTCGAACGCGGATGACAGCCCGCAGAGCGGGGAAGGCTCGTCTAGCTCTATGGAAACCACCAGCATGCCTTGATATTTACACGAAAGAAGACGAGGCGTTTACTGGGCCCCACGGCCGCAACTTCCACGGCGCAACCCCCGTGGCCACACTGAAAGTGGCTGCTCTATTCATTTAGAGCGACACGCAGCCGTCCGTGCTGTCCTCCACGAACATGCCACCGTAGATCTGGCCCTCGTTAAGCGGGGACTCCTGGAACCCGCTGTTGACGACATCATCGGTGCCGGTGGGCTTCTTGATCATTCCCAGCTGGAACTGCCCTTGACCCGACAGGACCGCAGGCACGAAATCGGTGACTGCTTTCAGGGCCGCGTTGCCGAGCGAGTAGTAAATCTTGACAAGGCTGCGGGGTTTCTTATTAGCAACAGCGAACGAACGAAACTGAAGGAGACAGGCGAAACTCACTTGGAATCGATGTCCAGGGTGATGGCAAAGTTTTGCCACTCGGAGAAGTCGATTGGGGTGGACCACAGCAGCGTGGCATTGCGGTCGAAGACCTTGAAGGTGTCCGAGGGCATGTCGGGGTAGGCGAGCATCGCGCCCGTCTGGAACATGAACTGGTCCCCGGAGTAGTCCGCAGACTCGTGGAAGACATTGAGGTACTCGTGGCTCAGGTTAAGCGCGCGGGCCGAGTCCTGCTTGACGCTCCAGTGCAGCGTCTTGAGGCCCTTGTAGCCCGGGCTGCCCTCGTTGGTGTCGTTGACGAAGAGCAGGCCCGCGCGGCGGAACCCGTACTGCTTCTGGAAGATGGACTCGTCGCTGATGGTGACCTCGACGGACTTGTACGAGGCGTTGTCGAATCGGGAGTTGGCGGTCTCCGGGAAGAGCAGGATGTCGCTCCAGGACAGGTTGTTCCCCTTGGTGTAGCCCGGGTTGAACAGGGATGTGTCGACGTCAAAGTCCGTGAGAGCAGACGAGGCAGGAATACGACCCTCCAGGACCACCGGACACTGAACAACGCCGGAAGATGGCGATCTGTTATCATATGGAATAGCCGCCACGGCAGTCGCGCCGAGGGCCAGGAGTAGGGAGGTGGAAAACATTGTGGAAAGCGAACATACGAGACCCGGCTCAGACAAGGAACGAATGACTATGGACTGGAGCATGGAAAGAGGGTTGGCAACAAGACGGGATTCTCTTGCTTAGAAGACGGGCCATCTTGTCGGCCTTGTGTAGTCTCGTGCTGTTGAATCTCGCGATTTACATAGCACACGTAACGGAGATTACTGCCGGTTGAATATGGAAGAATTGACTCGTGGCCAGCTACAGGCGCTCAGCAGTGTGCGCTTGGCGCAAACTAAGGGATCGTACCCTCCGAGATTTCCCAGACAAGTTGCCTACTGTAGCAACATGCTAGCTCGCAGCTCGGCCCCCAAGGAACCCGGGGGGGGGGGGGGGGGGGGAAGCTTGAGTTCGCCAAGAGTCAATTGCGTGTCTTCAGATGTTCTGATCTCCTAGATCCTCACCGCAGATCCGCCAACATGTGTGCTTGGTTCGGTCTTACACCGTTGGGCCCCTGAGAAAATCGGGTCTGCTGATATGAGGTTCTAGCCCCTGAACTATTCCAGATGTTTCTGGGGAAAATTTAATTGACGAGGATGTTCTATAGGCGTGGCTTGTTCCTGGTAGCCGCCATGCGAGACCTCATGATAGGGTTCAACCGTCCCGAAGATGCGGCCGGCAGGGCTCAGATCTTCCCACCATCACCGGCACAGCCGGGCCCCTGAGGAAAAGCAGTTCTCAGTAACCCCCTTCAGTCGCATTGTCAGCATCCCTTTGATCAATTGTCCCAGAAGAAGACGATTTATGTGCATGACTCTGTAAAGCCCACATTTGGCAACTAGAGTCGTCATCCTAGGAGGGGGGGGGGGGGCGGCCGATCCGGTGGCAGCACGCAGCTAACACACTCAGCTTTTGCAGGTATGCAGCCTGGAGTATCCACCTTCAGCCCTGCCAAGCATTCTGTCTAAGTCGCTTTCGTGTAAATCTTTCAACACATCCTGGCCCGGGCCGAGCCAGAAGAAGAAAAAAAAGACAGTGTGGGCACAGTCCCTCCAGAAAGAGTGGATAAGTTAAGCCGTAAGACAAGGAGTGCTATGAATTAACAGTGGTACAGGAACAGCTTATTCTCAAGATGTGCGTCTAGAACACTCATTTAGTCGGGCTGAGTTTCTGAGCCGAAATTTGCGATGCATTTTGCTTGAGTACATTGAGATGACTGGCAGAGTTAATGCATATTTTTGAAAGCGTTGTCGATCGTCTATTCTAGAAGATTTCGTCCCCAAGCCTGTGTCACGCCTGAGAAGCTGTCGTTTACTGTATTTGCTACATCTGTTCTCCAGGGTCTTGCCACCCCTTGCCTCGAGGTGCAACGGACAAGCTGAGACGGGCAATAATGTGATCAGGAGATTTGATCTTCCGAACACTGAGGTTAGCACCACAGCGTCGAGGTCCATAGTCCTATACGGAAGCGCATAATTAGCATCTTTGAATTTCTCGCCAAGGCTCTGGGTTGCTAGCATCCACAACAAACGGCCGACATGCTCACCTATCGGCGCTTGAAGCTGTCAAGCATTAAACTCAAATCAGACAGAAAGCCTCCGGAATTTGAATCACTACATAGTCTCGCGTTTCCATTCTGTACTCATGGGTACGTCGCGGGAAAAGTCCTCGTAGTGTGTGCCTCAACCAGTATCTCCGGCAAGTTCAGGGGAGCATCCTCGTATGCAACGGTAACCTCATCATGTCTCACGATCCCATTAATTCGACCGAAATGCCACACCATCAACTCTTCCTCTTCGGTATCTGTGAGGCCCAAGCACTCCTTGAAGTCCGGTCCCGCACCGCTGCCTACGTCGGCATCATCGAGCCGCCGCCAATCAAAGTCTGGACCGTCTTGTTGCGTTGCGTTCGAGTGAGCATTTGCTGTTGCCAGTAGGTCCCGAGGACCTGGTCTCGAAGCATGGCAGGAACAGATTACGCGATATTGCGCCGGGATTGAGGCTCTTACTTCGGTTTTACCGGACGTGATCCACCTCCTGGTGATGTGGCGGGACGGCCTGTATGGTCGTACTGGCGGCAGCTCTTTCCAACCGATGATCCTTGTGAGCATGTCCAGCAGATGCAGCAGCAGAGGAATGCACGCGGCAATAATGATCATGCTCCCTTCGATACTGGCGGCATAGATGTGAGTGAAGAAGCCAGACACAGAGGCTTTGCAGTCTTGTATCTCTGCTCACCTTCCCCAAATCGTGAGCATGGATGAATCGACTGAGAAGACGATTAGCGTTTGCATGCAGGGGGTGGAAGGCGTAGTTAGATTGAATAGGCACTACCCATACACGTAATATCATGGCTAGCCATACCTGGCATGCTAAGCGTCCTCAACACGGCGAATATGGAGTCTCTGCAAGCAAGTCAGTTCGGAAGACTATTTTTCTGAACCTGTAGTCGTTCTTCACTTACAAGGACCCGATTCCAAGTGTTATACCGAGGCCGACTCTCTTCCTTCGCTTCATTCTCAGATTGTAGAGCATGAACGCTGGGTACACAGAAAGACACATGTCTACAAAAGCCGAATATGCTGATGATACAGGTCAGCCCACGACGTTTGTCTCCTCTAATATAGATGGAAACTTACATCCGGCGAATGTGGAATAGTTTAGAAAGGCTTTGGCATTCTGACAGCCGAATTTTGTATCGTAAAGGGTCCAAACTGTTGGGATATGTCCAAGAAGCACAAGAAAACACAGCCCGGCTAGGCTCCAAAGGAGATATGGAAGGGCATTTGAGGGGCTCATCAGGCGCACGAGGAGTGCGACAACGGCCACTTTCGGCAATGATATTGATAACAACGTGAGGCAGAATCCGATCATGGACCATAAGACCGCATACTGGGCTTCTTCGAAATCCAGGGTCGCGATGTGCTTGCCGAGTCCGCACTGAACAGCCGCTACTGCGAAAGCGGCCCCTGCCCATCCAAACATCTATGCTTGGGTCAGCTGCTGCCCTGATCCCGAAATAGTTGCACAAGAATAGGGACCTCCGAGTGCATACGAACCAAAGCTAGACCTGTGAGATAGTCGTCAGATGTAGGTTTCGTCAACAGGCGGAGCCGCAAGAGGATCCTCGCGAGCACGAAAATCGTGCAGCAGCTGTAGACAACTAATGATGTGACTATAATGGTAGGCCCCAGGTCTTCGTCTCGGGAATCAACATCAAGGTCTCTCATCCAGACTCCAGACAACGTCTTGGTCTCAGACAGCAACATCGTGATGCACTGTGGAGAACCGAGGAGCGGCGGAGCTTCTCCATCGAAGTTTTGGCCCCCAAAAGAAGCCCGGGGAGGGAAGAAAACCCAAATATAATCCCCGTCTCGATACAATCCACACTTGAATTGCTCGAAATTGGTAACACATGCTAACTTGTCGAACTGTGTTGGCACCATCCTTGTTTCCAACCGAGCTTCTCTTATGTTCTAAGCAGGGTTCAACATTCTAGAAGCGACCGAGTCACGGCGAATCCGGGTTCTAACTCGCCAGAACGTTCGGCAGCAACTTTATCCTGGCCCTATCAAGGGACTCATCGTCGCCAAGATCTGTCGACCTGAAGGCAGGGTGGGAGATTGAGAGGCGCGAGTGTCTCTGCAGCGATCGAAGATCGCTTGAGAGCTCTAGGAAATATGCCAAGGCGCTATTGGCTGGTAGAAAGAGGCGTCTGGACGCACATGGCCGGTGAGATGTCCGACTTGGAGTGTTTAGAGTTCCAGGCCGGTCAGTATTCGGTCCTTCAACGCTAACCCTGTACCAAAGGCTTACGCTGTGATGTGCAATGCACATATGGAGATGGGGGAGACCAATCGCCAATGCCTTCTTCTTGTGAGCCAAGGCCGCGGTTCTGACCTCTTTGACCAGCAGTGGTTCAGCATGTTAGATGTTTGTGACGCAGAATTTGGGCTTGACAATAAGATACGTCAGTAGCTAATTAAATTTCCAGTGGGTATTGCGCAGCTCCACGTCTTCTAAAATAATTGAAGCTCGATGTCGGTGCCCAGGTGCCGTGTTTGATGCCCATATAGTCCCAAAATCAATCAATACCACTGACGAGCATGTAATCACATTGAATGAGAAGGATGATCTATACTTTCTTTGATTGTATTTTGTCGGGCAAATACCGTAAAGTGTCACGGCAAGATGCGTTCATGTCCAAAGAACAGGTACCGATCTCCGGTTCGTGCAAGTGTTGAGACAAGTCTGCTTTTCAAAGTATTAGCATCGAGCTAGCAGTGGAAGTAAGTAGTAGTGTATTAAGATTTCCAAAATACTCACTTTACATATCTTTGGTCCAAGCATTGCACGTGTATCACTCACCATTCATCATTCATTAGTTAATACCGGATTCGTCTGCATGCATGTGCTTACACCGAATCTTGCTACAGGAAGGCAGCTGTCTCCATATGTCTTGTTCGTACTCAGATATCCTTGACCACCAGCAATTCAGTCGAGACCGTTGCGCATATCTCTTGTCTCCTCGACGTCGACCATGTGAGAGCAGTTGCCACTTTGACCACGTCCATCGATCCATACACTTCTGTCTCACGAGCAAGCCGAGGACCCCAACATCCGATTCCCTGAAATTGTAGATGTCTCTGTTGCACGGTAGCCACGAGAAGAAGTAATTATGAGATCAGCAGTCGACCCGACCAGCAGTCTTGATCCGCCAGACAAGGTTTTATCTTATTAGCACGCGATACAGATACAACCATCAATACTCGGAAAATAGTCCTCATTGACAAGATCGATTTGAAAATTTTCCACTTAATTGTGAAGCTGTCTGCACCGCGTGTATCTGAGCATACAGTTGTTGGGGGGGGGGGGGACGGGGCGGTCAATTGCGCCGGCCTCATCTCGTGCTTTAGGCAGTGAGCAAAGTGGTCAACTCAAAAACAAGGACAACGCAAAACAGTTTTTTTATCCACTAATTCTTGAATGTGGCGTTACTTTTACCTATCAATAGCCACCACTAAGAAAGATCGCCATGAGTATGGATTTCAGGAGTGTGACACAAGGCTATCGTAGATTGCAACAGTTGGGACGGTTGCTGAAACAGCGAGTGTCTACTCCCCGATACTATTTTTTCACCTCCGGTCACTGAGACAGTTCCCGCTTGCCAAGTCATTTATATGCAGGTGAACTTGACGCATGACGGTTTAGTGGTCCCTGATCGACCTTGAGAACGACGCAAGCCGGGTCGGTGGAGCTGGAAACTTGGATCAATTACTTCTCATCCGTCGTTGGCCTTTTCTCTTTTTTCTGGGTATCGAATGTTTCTCCTGTGTCTGCCGGGCTTGAGTGCGGCCCCGATGCAACAGTCCAAGATTTGCTGCGACCTGCCCGAGCGCACCAGCCCCTGATCTACAAGGGCTCTTGTCGCAACTCAAAAACCCCCACACTGGGCAGCACCCGTATGCCATGAATTGGATGCATGAGAAGTGCATTGCAGACATCTACGGTAGCTCTGACACGGCGAAGGGCATTGGGTAGTCGCTTTTGCTCTAGACGAATTCATTCTGGGGGAGTTGTTGGGGGTTCACTCATGGCTGGGAAAGGGCATCTTTTGACTTGACGTCTGTACGGTGGTGCTGGGGTAGTCTAGTCTAACCTTAGCGGCTCTCGTGCCACACGCTACTGCTATCGACACCTCACCCCGGACCCGCACATGCGCGATAAGAAACAACCACAAAGGGTCCTTCCTGCCATCCGAATCAGGGTTTCAATAGCCAACGTTCCGCCTTCACATCGCCCGCCTTCACCCGCCGTCACCCGCCAAGGTGGCCAAGCACGACATGTTGTTTCATCCTCACTCATGACCTCTACCCTCCTCCCACTACTCTGACTTGTTTCTAGCTCAACCTACAGTAGTGCGGTGCGGGCCTACCTGGCAGGAGTCTAGATATATCTTATCTAACACCCCCATCCGCACAGCCCTGACGATGGCGTCCTCCGACAACCTCCCGAGGGCATCCCACGAGTCCCACGAGTCCGACACCTCTGTTTCAACTACCAGCATCGTATTCGACCGCATCAACGACCGCATGTTAAATAACAACCCCTCCTCTTCTTCCAAGCGCCGGACCTCCCCCCCTGCTGCCCGTCGAAGCAACGCTCCCTATGCCGACCGAGACACCCTCTCCGAATTCGACGACGATGACCCGCTCAAGGAGGAGGCGTCCAGTGACCTCGAGACGGGGCCATTCCTCCCCAATGGCGCCGCCGTAGCCCGCCCAAAGTACATGGACAGGAGCCTGAAGCGCCTCGTCCTGATCTTGTCTGGCGTTTTCGTCGCCGCCTGGGTGGTCGCCCTGGTCCTGTACATATCCTCCAAGGCCTACAAGCACGGTTCCAACTTCGAGCACGACCCGCAAGCTACCATCGCGCGGGGCAGTGGTAAGAAGCTCACCCTCGACGAGGTCATGTCGGGCGCCTGGAGGCCTGTAACCCATACCATGAGCTGGGTTGCCGGCCCCAACGGAGAGGACGGGCTGCTCCTCGAACAGGACGCTGCCGGTAAAGATTACCTGGTGGTAGAGGACGTTAGGAGCAAGGACCCGGATGCGGCCACCGGCGTTGGTGCTGCGAAATCTACAACCTTGATCAAGAGTGGCCGTTTCGGATATGAGGGAAAGCAGTACCAGATCGTGGGTGCATGGCCCAGCTCGGACATGAAAAAGGTGCTCGTCAGCACCGATCAGGAGCAAGTATTCCGGCATTCCTTCACGGCCAGGTACTGGATCTTCGACGTGACGAGGCAGAGCGCGGAGCCGCTGATTCCCGGGGCTGCCCAGGCCCCAGTGCAGCTTGCCAAGTGGAGCCCCACGAGCAACGCGATCGCCTTCGTCAGGGAAAACAACCTGTACCTGCGCTGGGTTGGTTCGCAGGAGGTGCGCCAAATCACCGAGGATGGTGGCGAGAACTACTTCTACGGCCGTCCGGACTGGGTCTACGAAGAGGAGGTTCTCGGCGGCGATACTGCCACATGGTGGTCCGAGGACGGCAAGTACCTCGCCTTTTTCAGGACAAATGACACAGATGTGCCTGAGTATCCTGTCCAATACTTCATATCCAAGCCGAAGGGCGGACATCTTGACGCACTGGAGAACTACCCGCAGGAGCTATACATGAAATACCCCAAGGCAGGCGCGCCCAATCCCATTGTGGACCTGCTCTTCCACGATGTTGATCGCGGTGACAACTTTGAGGTGAACATCGATGGTGGCTTCACGGACGTGGATCGCCTCATTACTACCGTGGTTTGGACAGGACAAAGCGTTCTCATCAAGGAGACTAACCGCATCTCTGACAACATGCGCGTGGTTCTTGTCGACGTTGCAACTCGGACCGGAAAGACTGTTAGGTCGGTTGACGTGGGCAAGCTGGATGGAGGCTGGTTCGAGATCTCCCAGAATACTCGCTACATCCCCCCGGATCCAGCAAACCAACGGCCCGACGCTGGCTATATCGACACTGTTATCTACGACGACGGTGACCACTTGGCCTATTTCTCTCCCTTGGACAACCCAGAACCCACCATGCTCACCCAGGGAAATTGGGAAGTGGATAGCGCGCCTTCAGCAGTCGATCTGAAGAACAATCTCGTCTACTTCATCGGGACCAAAGAATCCTCAACCCAACGCCACATATACACGGTCAAAATAGACGGGACTGACCTGAAACCGATGACAGAAACCTCCCAGGAGGCCTACTACTCTGCTTCCTTCTCGTCCGGGGCAGGATATGTCTTGCTGAACTACCAAGGGCCCAAGATTCCCTGGCAGAAGGTTGTGAGCACACCCAGCAACTCCGAAAAGTACGAGCATGTAGTGGAGACGAACAAGGATCTCGCAGACCGTGCTAAGAAGTACGAGCTGCCCGTTAAGATTTATGGCACAATATCTGTTGACGGGGTCGACCTGAATTACATCGAGCGGCGGCCGGCCCACTTCAACCCTAAGAAGAAGTATCCTGTCTTGTTCTACCAGTACAGTGGACCCGGCTCGCAGGAAGTGAAGAAACTGTTCAAACAAGATTTCCAATCCGCCCTAACCCATCACGGCTACATCGTCGTGACGGTCGATGGCCGCGGCACCGGCTTCATTGGCCGGAAGAACCGTGTGGTCGTCCGCGGGCAGCTGGGCCACTGGGAGTCCCACGACCAGATCGCAGCCGCAAAGCACTGGGCGTCGCTCTCGTACGTGGACGCCTCCCGGATCGCGATCTGGGGTTGGTCTTACGGCGGGTACATGGCGCTCAAGACGCTGGAGCAGGACGCGGGGCAGACGTTCAGCTACGGCATGGCGGTGGCGCCGGTGACGGACTGGCGGTACTACGACTCGGTCTACACGGAGCGGTACATGAAGACGCCGCAGGAGAACGCGGCGGGCTACGACGGTACGGCCGTCAGCAACGCGACGGCGCTGGCGCAGAACGTGCGGTTCCTGATCATGCACGGCACGGGGGACGACAACGTGCACGTGCAGAACACGCTGACGCTGCTGGACAAGCTCGACCTGGCGGGGGTGTCCGCCTACGACGTCCACGTGTTCCCGGACTCGGACCACAGCATCTACTTCCACAACGCCAACCAGATCGTGTACGAGAAGCTGCAGGACTGGCTGATCAATGCCTTCAACGGGGAGTGGCTCAAGATCGCGGACCCGGTCTCGAAGGACGCCAACATAGCGAAGAGGAATAAGCATGTGTCGGGCGCGGCCTAGATTGTACTGTAGTTTTTTGTAGTTTTACAGATTGTATTAGATACCCATTGCATTGTCGTTACGAGTACTACTGAATAGAGCTCTGGCAGTCGACTATACGTCGTTTCGCGTGTGATCGCATATGGGTTTGTCCCGTTGTGACGTACGGCATTGTAACGTATGGAGGAGCCCAAATGAATGTCGTTCTGCCCACTTTCTCGTTCTGGTTGCGAGAACCGCGCTTCCAAGGGAGAGTAGGGACACTGTCTGCTTGGGCAATAACAGAGCAAGGACACAGATGTTGACGCTTCTCTAGACAGCAAGGCTAGGGGACGAGATGATACACAACCACAGGTCATAAATACAGGACAGAACCTCGGAATGGCGTTAAGCCAACACGAGACAGCGGGCAAAGGCGATCGACCTTGATCAGAATCCCCCCACTGGCGCTCCTGTCCAGGGGGCCTCTTTGAACGGTCGTGAAGTCTTACGTCCACGTCCATTACTGACGCCCCTGGGCAACCCTCCCACTAAACCAGCTAAACCAAACCGTCGCGCTATCGTTGCAAGAGGCTGGTCTCGACGTAGAATGTACGCTCAATCATTGCGGCCCATCCCATACCTCGAAGGCGAGGGACACGCCGCACCCAAGATCGTTCGCTGTGTGTCTGATCTCCATTCTGTCCGGGAGAGTTCAACAGTCCTGGGTACGTCCAACACCGAGGCGAAGGAGTACCTCGTATCGAAATACTATCCCGAGAATGTGAATTTTTGCGTTGTGTATTTTCATACTGAAGAAGAAAAGAGAGAAAAATTTCGCTGAGAGCCGACGGGCCCAGAAGTTTTAAACCGGCTCGATTCGTGGTGGGGCACCACCTCTGGCCAATCAGCGAGCTGGGACTCTGATTAGCTCATGCCGTCCCTGGACCCTGGTGACTCTCTGCCGGCGGCCGGCGACTGGACACATGGACGTCAAGTCATCTGGCTGCTTGCTGGGCCTGTCCTTCAGGGGTGTAAATGCCCTCGACAATGCGATCTTGCAAGACGTTCACAACACTCTGAACTACATACCTGCCTACCACTCCCGCCCTCTGAGCTATGGCAACCGCCGTGTCAACCTTGCCCAGCTTCTTGCTGCCCCGGCTGAGCTGGACTGCACCAGCTGCAAGGCAGTGCGTGACGGCATCGCTGGCCGCGACCCAGACGAGCACCCTGCGATCATGGCAACCCCCAGCACGATCTGTACACAATGACAGAGGTGCGGTACGGCACAACGGCATCAACTCCACCAAACCCTCTCGTTCCCTACTCCAGCAGCCCGGCCTGCGGAGAGCCTTCCACGCCTCAGCCCCTCGTAGGAGAGACCACCATTTCGACACGCTCAAGTTCGTCCAGCGGCTGCAAGGCGAGGGCTTCACGGAGGAACAATCGGTGGCCATGATGAAGGTGCTGAACGATGTAATTGAAGAGAGGTCAGAAGACACACACACCGGCCCTCAGCCACACCCTTGAACAGACAAGCACAAAGGAGGCGGGCCCCCAGACTGACAGTTCCTGCCCACCCCACCCACAGCATCCAGAACCTAACGCGCACGATGGTCCTCCGCGAGGACGCAGCCAAGGCGACGTACACGCAGAAGGTCGACTTCGCGACGCTGCGGTCGGAGCTGCTGTCGGCGGACAGCACCGAGTCGAACGCGACGCGGTCGGCGCACGAGCGGCTGACCAACGACATCGGCAAGCTCAACAACCGGCTCAAGGACGAGATCGGCCGCACGCAGGCGAGCGTGCGGCTGGACCTGAACCTGGAGAAGGGCCGCATCCGCGAGGAGGCCGTCTCGCAGGAGCTGCGCATCAAGGAGACCGAGACCAAGATCGAGCAGGAGGCGGGCGCGCTGCGCCAGCAGCTCGAGATGGTCAAGTTCCAGACGCTGCAGTGGCTCATTGGTGTCTGCACCGGTTTCGCGGCGCTGATGCTCGGTGCTTGGCGGTTGTTGATGTGAGTGAGGGCTGTGTCGGACAAGGGAAAGAGAGGCGGGAAACTCTGCGTGGAGGAATTTGTACTGCGAAAGGGGCATACTCGCGGGACGAGGGTGATGGGTTTGGAACGGGCCTACGCTCTGGGCCCGGACCGAGTTTAAGAGCATGGCAATACGTTAAGAGATGGTGCGAATCATCTACGGCACATGGATATACCCAAAGGCAGTCGCCGAATTTTATATGTTATAAGAGATGGTTCATTTTCCATGCGCTGCTACTCTTACAGGATTCAATCCGTCGGCCGATCGACCGGGTACCTAGCGGTCGGCCTGGAAATGGCTCAAGCCCAGGTTCAGGCTTAGAAGCAGCGTCACGTATCGTCTTACAAACATCACGGGGTCAAATCAAATCAGCAAACTTGCAGCAGAAGAATATTCTCAATTCTGCCACCCTAAATACTTTTGTACTAGGTAACTAAATCCCGAGAGCTGCGTGGCTCAGCCGCCGCGCTGTTCCGGTTGTGAAATTTGTGGTAAGTGACATGTCCTCATCCCCCGTCATGGTTGCCCGTCCACTAACTAGCTTTGTCATGAGAGAATAAGGGTTCATGAGCGCTGCTTGTGCCGGTGGGAGATATGTTTCCCAGCAGATCCGACCCCGGAGCGAGGAAGGATGGCGCCTGTTGCGGATGCTCGATGAACACGAAGAGAAGGTATTGTTGGGCTTGTATGACGAGGTGACTCCGAGGTAGGTATCGGAGATGTTCATGTCGTTGAAGAATGGAAAGTTGTGTTTTTGATCTTCTTGGAGAACTTGTGTTACGCTGAGCGCTGTTGCCAGACGTCAGTATCAGTCTCGAAAATCATAAGGGGGGCTCTGGTTGACCTACAATTTACACGACCTCGGCGTCGAGAGTGTCGAGGAGGCTGCGGGCAGCGGCGTGCATGCTGTTCAGGTCGCGGCGGGCCGCAGTGCAGGCACCGCTGGGGCTGTTGCAGCGGGCGACGACCTCGTCCATGCCGTCGCGCTTCCAGCAGTTCTTGCCCTTCCAGTAGCACCACCGGGCCTCGAGGTCGGCGGGGGTGGTGTCACGCTTGGCGAGCTCGTCGGCGGCGGACTCCTCCTCGATGGCGCCGATGAGGGCCTCGGCGGCGGAGCGCGCCTTGTGGCACGCCTCGCCCGGCTGCTCGCACGACCGCTTGTCGGCCTCGATGAAGTCGCGCTTAGAGGCGTAGCACACGCTGCCGGCCTCGCCGCCGAAGGGGCAGAAGGCGGGCGCCGCGTCGCGCCTCTCGACGGCCGAGGTGTTCTCGTCGGTGCGCTTCCAGCAGTTCTTGCCCTTCCAGTAGCACCAGGGGTTGGCCTCGGCCTCGCGCTTGCTCATCTCGACGCCGCGCTTCCAGCAGTTCTTGCCCTTCCAGTAGCACCACGGCGTGGCCTCGCGCTTCCAGCAGCCCTGTCCTTTCCAGAAGCACCACCTGGGGTCGATGGCGGCGCCCTCGTCACGCGCGGCGATGGAGGGGCCCTCCTCCTCGGGGCCGGGGCCCTCGAAGCCTGGGGGTGCTGGCTCGCCCTCGGACCCGTCGGCCTCGGTGAGGTTGGAGTCCGGGCCGAAGTGGCTGCCGAGGTTGAGGTCCGCGTAGAGGGCCTCGGGGTTGGGGTAGGCGGAGGCGACGAGGGCGGCGAGCTCCTCGAAGGACCTCTTGGCGTGGTAGGCGGCACCGCCCGGGTGGTTGGAGATGTCGGCGGCGCGGGACTCCTTGTATCCGCCTGAGGACTGGAGAGCCTGGGAGAAGGCGTCGGCAGCACGCTTGGCCTTCCAGCAGCCCTGACCCTTCCAGAAGCACCATGCCTCAGGGGATGGGTTGGCATCGGCGGCCGCGATGGCGATGGCGTTGGTGGAGACTACGGACAGAGCCGCAAGTGCGATAACGGACAGCTTCATGTTGAAGATGTTGGCGTGGAGAAATGGTATGAATGAATGAGTGGCTTAGTTGCCTGTGTTGGATTTTGGTTTTGTGTATGGGTTGACCTTGGAGTCGTGGAACTGATCGTTCGACACACTGGTAAACTTGTCTTGAGATCTGATGGAGTGATAAAGTTGATCTTTGTTGCATTTGTCGGTGAGAAGAGGGAAGAAGAGAAGTGTGAAGTGGCTCTCCCATCCCACAGCTCTTATACTCGTGGGGAGGATGGCCTATTCAGACAAGTCCCGTTGAGTCGGCCTATTCATGGACAATAAACCCCGTATGCTGAATAGAGCCACCCGCTCGAAACGCACACTTTCGGATGGCCACGCAGCAGGTTTCAATACACCATACCGCCCGTCTCCCCTTTCAATTGAAAGGAACATTGGATAGGCTCCAAAATGCCTGTGTGTGCTTGCCTCTTTTTTGACAGGTGATCTCAACATGTCCGCCCCTATTTTTGCTGGGCTTGCCATTTCAGGATCTGAATAGGGGCCGCCTATGAAAGCCGCGGTGACAAAGCTCATCGACGTTGTGGTAGGGTGGCTGTCGTTACGGGCTTGCCTGCTCGTCATCCAAGCGGCACTTTTGTCCTCAGCGATGGCCACAGCCAGGAGGAATGATTGGTCCGATATCTGTAGCACACATTGAGCCAGGGAATGGGCTGCTCGTTTGGCCACCTGGCAGCTTCCAAGGGCTTGGAGCTACTTGCGCGGCGGCTGATGAAGTCTATTCAGCACCCAAAGCGGAAGTCGTCGAACAATAAGGAGGGAAGACTGTCGACCACTCACAAGCCACGACCTTGGATTCCCTGCAAACCTGAACACCACTCTGTGCAGTCTTTTTCGCCGCTTCTTGAGCGGGCTTAAACTTCGGAAAGTGAAAAATCCGTCTGTTCTAGATGGGCCTGTGGTAGATCAGTTGACCTGAGGTTATCTGACCCGACTTACTTGCTTGGTGTCCACGCAGTGGTAGGCAGTTTGTGCATTGTATCCATCTCCTTTCAATTGCAACGTCATCGAATACGGCGCGAGCGTTTCGGCCCTTTACTCGGTGGGTGTGGAGGATCATCACTACACGTGGTTACCTCCAGTGTATCCGAGCCATCTCAAAGACATGGTTCGTTTGCCATAAACAGGTGGTCACAGGGAAATTGTGTATCTGCGTGGAGTCGAGGCTCAACATGTGTTTCCTAATGCCAGTAAGCCCTTTTCCGCTGTGGGCGTCGTTCAAAGATGCTCGAGGTGAGTCATGCGAAGCAAACTGGACTGTGTAACTCTGACGGTTTTGTGCCTGAATTCGGCGCTTCTTGAAACCAAAGTTGCAGGCAGGTGATGCTACATCTGAGGCCTTACACAAACGAGTTCGTCAACACTCAAGAGCCTCTACTCACTGGGCACCAAACTCGAACGATTGGAGTGCCCAACCATGACTCAAACCTCCCCTGCGTCGAGCATTCCGACCAAGAACACTTGCACATTACAGAGCCCTAGGTCCGTCTAATTTTCCACGTAAAACGCCCTCAACAGCCTCTCCACAAATAAAGTGATCGCCAACTTCCCGCAGTCCAACACCCCGTCCATGGCAATGAACGGATGTGGCTGACCCTTCATGATAGTAACCCTGGTACTCGCCTTGCCCGCCTCGACCAGCTTCTCCGCAAACTCCTCGCCCTCGGTCCTCAACACGTCCAGCTCCCCAAGCACGACCTCCGCCGGCGGGAGCTGCGTCCAGTCGCCTTTCCACAGCAGCGGGCTGGCCTCCGGGTGTGCCCAGTCCGCCTGGTTGGGCAGGTAGTGGTGGCGGTACCACATCATCTTGGCGGCTGGCAAGGCGGGGACGTTCTCGTTCTCGCGCCATGACGTCTTCGTCGCCGGGGACGCCGTGTTGTCGGCCACGGGCACCGAAAGGAGCTGGGCGGCGAAGCGGAGCCCCAGCTCAGGCCGGGCTGCTGCCCGCTGGCACACGATGGCCGCGAGGTTCGCGCCGGCTGAGGAGCCGCCCGTCGCGAGCCTGGCCGTGTCGATTGGGGGCAGGACGTGCTTGCCTGCGCCGCTGATCGCCCATAGCACGGCTTCCCATGAGTCCTCGACTGCCGCGGGATAGGGGTTCTCCGGTGCGAGTCTGTGGAAGGCCCGTGAGCACCCATCCTAGTTCCATATCTCTCTCTTCTTCATGGCTCCAAAGCCAGGCTTACCTGTAGTCCACGTTCACCACCACACAGTTCGCCCGCCCGCACAGGTTCGTCGCAATGACATTCTCGGTGTCGATGTTGCCCAGCACCCAGCCGCCGCCGTGGAAGTAGAACAGGCACGGCCACCCCCGTTCAGGCCTCGGGCTGTCGGGCGTGAAACACCTGACCCTGATGTCCGGCCCGCTGCTCTGCGTGCGCGGGAAGGAGAAGTCCTCGGCCTTGGCGACGGGGTATTTTGGGCCGGCGCCGGGGATCAGCACGCCGCTGCTGCGGGAGGCCTCGACGGGCTGCAGGTGGACCTGCTGCTTGTCTACTATGTGCTCGTTGTAGAAGTTGGCGTAGACCGGGTCGATCCGTGGGACCACGGAGGGGTGGAGGGGGTAGGGTGGTTGGGGGCCGGCTTGGTCGCCCATCGTGACAAATCTGCTTCTGTACTGGCTGGACTGTATGAGGGTGGGATGGAAAGCTTAGAATGAGGACAGCTTGTGACGAGCACCTTGGGTGACGAACTGGTAACTTGGCCAACGATGTTGATGTGACTGCTCGTAACCCAAAGTGTAACCAAATAATTAAAGTTCGAGCAATGTGACGATGATCCAACCTGATAAGTACAGTGTACACAATGGTGCCCGGCTCCTCCCTCAAAAAAAACACACCGCAGGCCAAGGAAGTTACCACTCGGAGCGGATTGCCGCCCTTCGGCACGCCAATCGCCGATGACGGTGGTCGAAAACTGGGCCCGTTCCTCACACCACGCCGAGCCGGTCCGGAGAGTTTCGTGCATCCTCGGCCCCGAGTCATTATTATCTCCTAGGGCCTTCTCTGGCGTGGGGGTCCCCTCGAGCCATTCTGCACGTCAACGACCTTGACAGGGGTTGCCGCAGCACACCAAGAACTGTGACTGACTGCTCGCGTTCCGCTGCGACTCCAGCTTTAATTCCCGTCGGTTCTAATCCGCAGCCACCAGCAGCCGTCTGTTGGCCACTAGGTTGTGCCCGGCCCCAAATTGCCTGCTTACACGATGTCACCTCTGCTTGGGGCGAGTGGGAGATAAAGGCCGCCATCCGACGCTTGCCGCCAGGAGCAATTGTAATTGCCAGCACGACGATTGGGTCAGAGTATCATATCCAGTGGTTTGGATGGCGAGGTGCGCGTTCCCCGCAACGGAAACAGAGCCAAGCAGATAATTCAAGATATCAAGCCATCACGACGATGGGCACACTCTCAACTTTCCGTGGCGGACCGAGGCAGGGATCCACACCAGCAGCACAGCAGCTGGGTCGCCAACACATGCAGGCTCGCCACCGTGTCAAACTGGACAGATATCTGCCAACTCCAGTGAGAGTTGAATCACAGCCTGATTCACACCGCATAATGGCGCTGGGAGGCGGTGACCGTGTCTGTGAGAACCTGTACCAGCGCGCGAACGGGTTTGTGCTACGTACAAAGTTGGTGAATGTCATGAGGCGAGCCTGTGGGATACGCTCCTGTGGTGTACTCTCCTGTCGACTAACGCTCTATTAATCAACCTCCTTCGGGGTAGCCTTCTATGGGATAGCCTTCTGGGCACCTGGGGAAACCCGCAGTTTTAACCCTTCTCCATCGTCTTAATCAACACAGAGGTAGAAGGAGCTAGGCACATGCATTGCACGTCTTCAGCTCAATTGCTTCCGGCCAGCGAGTTCTCCAGCTCGACAAGTTCCCTGAACCCCTCGACAATCTCCTTCCGCTGCTCACCCTCCGGCCGCGGGAGGGGCTTCCGCGCCCAGCCCCCGTAGCCAAAGTACTCCTGCAGCCCCACCTTGACACCCACCGCGCCCGACTTTATCGCCGCCCAGTCGCCGCGGGCCAGGATCTTCTGCAGCCGCTGGTCGCCCTGGCCATCCCCCTTGACCAGCGACCTGTACAGCGTGGCCACCGTCGCGGGCGCCACGTTCGCGATGCCGGGGATCACGCCTGCCGCCCCGGCGGCCATGGCTGGCGTGAGGAAGTCGCCGGATCCGGCGAAGCAGAGGAAGTCGGGGTAGTCCTTGGCGTATGCCTCGTCGGCGCGTGTGCTCGGTACGGGGGCGCCGGTGAACTCGGTGGCCACCCTTGTCAGCTTGCCCGTGTTGCCGCACGTGAACTTGGCGCCGACGATGTTGCGGTGGGCCCTGCCCAGGTGGATCAGGGCGTCGCTCGACAGGTCCAGGCCCGAGACGGCGGCGGGGTAGTTGTAGATAACGATAGGGATGGGGCTTGCGTCCGCGACGTCCGTGAAGAACCTGGCGACGGTGTCCTTATCGAACAGGCCTTGATAGTACGCCGGGGGCAGGACGAGTGCCGCGTCCCCGCCGTTCAGTGCCGCCTGCTTACACAGCTCGATGGTCTGGCGGGTGGATTGTGCAGCGCAGCCCACGATGAGGGGCATGTCCTTGAAGCCTGCTTCGTCGAGGGCGGCCCGGGTGGTCATTGTGATGTGGTCACGCTCGTAGTCGAGGAGGTGCACAGCCTCCCCGTTGGAGCCCTGCACCGCTATGCCGGTGACGCCTGCCCGGGCCAGTCGGACGGCATGTTTCGCGACGCTGTCCAGGTCGACTGGCTCGTCTGCTTCATCTTTAAAGAAGGCCGGTGTTGGCACATAAACGCCTGGGACTAGAGGGTGGACCTCCTTCCTCAAACGGGACTCATGGGAGCCATTGGCGCCTTCTGAGGATGGCATGGTGAGAGCCGTGACTTTTAGGATATGATGGTCGTAGCGTCCACAAGGGAACTGCACTTGGGAGGGGAGGGGGACGGGGTGCTCTTGACGTGAAATGTGCGTTTACTCCATGGTCGTGCTAACCCCTGGGGCCGTGTGGGTGGCGGAGGGTGCGCACGCGACATATAAAAAGCCGGCGCATGGAGCAACAGACAAGTCATTGACACCGGGGAATGACGTCCGTCGAAACGCACCAGACGCCAGTCAACGCCCACAAGCGCTGCAACGGCAAAGAGCAACACGACTCGGGAGGGCGTGGCCACAGCCACCACCCTCCACCCTTCAGCAGCACCAGCTCTCTCCCTTCTCCACCCCCGCGACCAGACGGCCCAGAACCAGCCAACCCGGGGCCGGGCATATCGAATGTTTGCGGGCGGTGGAGAAGCCGGCTCGAGCCCAGGGCAGGCGCCAGGGCGCTCGCAGAGGACAGACGGAACGCATCCGAGTGGGACACCCCACAGAGTCAGGACGGACGATCGCGAAACTCTGGGCTCGCTTGTGGGAGCCAATCTTTGACGTAACTTTAATCATACACAAACCCCAGGGGCCGGGCCTTTTTCCAAGGACGGGGCGGTTTGCACCTGTCTGGTGCCATACCTTGGACGGGGTCTGGCCTAGCCTGGAGGACAGGACGTGAGTCTGCGTTACCTCCGACGGCAAGCTAAAAGGCGGAGAAGGGGCGCTGCTGGTGCGTCGTCGACGGCTCTTCCACGGTCGGTTGGCTTTGTCTCCAGCCGGCCTGATCCCAGCCCCGAGGCAAGCCGCAATGGGGGGGGGGGGGGGCAAAGGATCTGTGCGATCGTGGGGGTGGCCGTGATTCATCATTGATGGATCCTACCCTTCGGGTGGATGCGAGCCACGTTGTTGTCCTGACAAGGACGTCGGGCCCATTGTCATGATGATCATCGCCAGCATCTTCTGGGAGGGCGCAGGAATGGGCTGATGTCGGGAGTGACGTGCCTGCCAGGCCTGCATTAGCCACGCAGCCAACTGACGGGCATCGAAGCTTAGGGCGCAGCCTGTACCTGATAACAGGGCGCTGTTTTGCTTTTTTTCTCAAGTTTTGCCCTGGCCACAGGCACATGACACTGCAGGTGATAATCTGTTCATGCGGGTGACCGAGACAAGCAAGCGTGGTGGTGTGGTGGTGGTGTCTATCGGGATGTGTGTGCTTCTGTTGGAATCTGGCGGGACCGTGTCGCCCTCCCGCCTCCTCCATCGCCCCTCCCCCGCGTGGGGGTGGGGTCCAATGTCACCTCCTCCGCAATCACATCGAGCCCACTCCTGACGGTACGGGGTTCTAACGACTCTAGTGACGGGGCTTCAAGTTGCCGCCGAGTAGCTGCATCTCGTCGTCTTGTTCCCAGTCGAGAACTGGCCAGATTGGATACCAACAACCAGCTCGAGACGGATCGTCGACTATCCCGTCTTCTTCTTACCCGACTCTCCCCCTGTTTTCCCTTTTTTAGCGGTTGACAGGACCCGACAATGCTCCATCCAGCTTGCTCCTCGCACTTTTCTCTGCCGAAGGCGTGAACATGGACGTGGATTCCGGCCTTCACCATCCATCAGCCCGGGTGACTGGCAGTTTTCTCCCCAACCGGACCGGGCAGATACTGCGTGCTTGACCAGCCGGCACCAGTCGAAGCCAACCGGTCCGGCTCCACGGTGGCTTTCAGTGCCAGCTCGCAAGGCTCCCTGACATCCCCCTTACCAGTGGACAACATCGACGCCCGGGTAACATGCACCCCACGTCTCCGCCTTGCTATGAAGGATTGTGCCTGCTGTGGTGGAGCAGGACAAGTGTTCTGCCACCTGTTGGACTCCTACTCACTTGACACATAGTTACTCGCCTCGTACGTGGCATACACTCGATGTGCGCGTAAACGGGACCTCAGAGAAAAGGTTGCCGGGGTTGAGCAGAGCATGAGTCCTGTAGAGTGTGGCACGGATAGCTCAGCGATGAACTCGATGTCCAAACCACACATTTCCCAGCCGGAGACATCTCCATCGTATTTCATACACTGCCAACACTGAAGTTGCCAACCATCCCATTCGACAGTGTTTTATCCACCTCAGTAAATTTCATCCTGAACTACCAGTGCTAATCGAATCTTAACACATTCCTTCCAAGCTCGCAACAGCCTCGTAGATGTTAAAGTATCTTAGCCTAGTTTCCTGCATTGAAGACATCACGCCAATCTACCTTCTTAATTCCCATTGCCCCTTGATTTGACTCACAAACCTTTTCATTAACGGCTGAATATTCGAAGCCGATGCTTTTTGCTAGCCCGTTCTCGAACCCAACGTGCGGGCAGTTGATGGAGACCGTGCGGGAGAAGTGCAAGAGCAAGGTAGAGCTTTCGTCGTTCTCGTGCGCGTGTTGACCGATTTACAAGGTAGTGGTGTGTTGTTAGTGCTTGTTACAGGAAAGATAGTGACGCTCTGGAGGAATGCTCTCACTTGTTCAATGACTACCATGCTGAATGTGTTCCAATGTTAACTTAGCAGCCTTGAAGTCGACGGCGTCGAAGGCGGGTTCTCCGTCTGGACGGCCTTGTACCCCATTGTTGATCGCTGTCTCGCTATCCGAGCCCAAATATGATGCCATGAAGCCATTATCCGGAGCACTGTCTCTGGAGATTCAGAAAGAGCATAAGATCTCACGATGTTGTCTTCCTGAGGTCTCATCGGTCGGAGATTGTGAGCACTGCAGGGCATCTTGGCAAAAATACTGTGACGTGTACAACGCGCTGAAACTTCCATTACGGCACACTTGCACCAGCTGCCCCGCACAATATCTCCCGGCAGACCTCTTGGGGAGGATCAGACATATGGTAAGGCCGGGGGAAAAATGGAAATACCACCTGTGGCCATTGACAGCAGATCAGCGCAAGGGAAGCTCGTCAATTCTTAGAAGCGAGCGAGGTTCTACATGCGTCGAATCTGAGCTCCGTTGCGCAAGCGGAGCAAAATCATGAGAACATTGCTGCAGTTGCTGGGCAAGGTGGAAAAGGAAGGGCTATACGGAAGAATTCAATCCTGACCTGAGGCTTCAAAAGAACGGGGCCCACCTTGGTCACACGGTAGGTAGTCAGCAGTGAATTGTTGATGATCTCATAACTTTTTTCTCAACGTACCGTTAAGAGCAAGAGAACACGGGCTATGTAATTCTTCGATTTTCAGTATTATCACACAAAATTGTATTTCACAGGTTGTGTATAGGGCATTCCAAAAGATTCAACGAATTCCATGGAGCGGAAAAGGGGCGTGGGGATCCTGGAACAGCCGCCACGGAAGCTAATCCACAGACGCTTGACAACCCGCCCCTTGACGACGTCGTGTCACCAAACCCTGTCTCACCTCACATCAACGTCGCCCCCTCGCGTGACAGGGCATCCGCACCGGCCTGATCTCACTGAAGTTACAGCCTCACTGGTGCAGATCGAACATTCATATCGCTGTCGGCGGCCTCGTCCCAGAACTGGGCGTCCATGGGCTGTCCACACCGTACACCGCCACCCTCTTCCAATAGCAACTCGGCCCTGGAGCCCAGGACATGGCCACCAAGATGAAGCTCCTCCGCTTCCTCAAACAGACAAAGCTCATCCGACCGCCTCGGGACGCCGAGCAGGGTGCAAAGCGGCCCGCAAGCCCGCGGTACGTCTACTCGCTCACCGCCTTCGTCTCGCTGGGCGGCTTCCTCTTCGGCTGGAACCAGGGCGTCATGGGCATGATCGTTGCCGACGAGCGCTGGTCCGCCCTCATGGGCCACCCCAGCGACTGGGCCATCGGGCTCGTCGTCAGCATCTACAACCTCTCGTGCGCCGCGGGCGCGCTGGCCGGGTCAGCCGCCGACGCCCTCGGCAGGGAGCGCACGCTATCCCTCGCCTCCGGGCTCACCATCCTGGGCGCCCTCGCGCAGGCGGCCAGCTCAACCATTGCGCAGATGACGGCAGGCCGGTTTATCACGGGCTTGGGCATAGGCGCTTTCGCCGCGGGGGTGCCGCTGTACATCTCCGAGATCAGCCCGCCCTCGTTGCGCGGGCGCATCGTTGGCAGTGAGCACAATTCTTCCACTTTTACGGTTCCCCATCTGTTGTGTTCTGGAATGCTCCAAAGCACATTTCGTTAGGCTCCTCGCAGGTCACTAACACATGCTAAGTAAACCTGATGATCCTTTGCTTTGCCGAAATGGCCGTGTTCTTTGTCGACTACGCCTGCTTCCTTCTCATGCCCTCAGACGGCTGGTGGCGCCTCCCCGTAGCCTTGCAGGTGATACCCGCCGTGCTCCTGGCCGCTGGTTGTTGGCGGTCCTCTTGGGTCCCGCCCTCGCCGCGATGGCTTGTCGCGCAGGAGCGGTACGACTGCGCGCTCGAGGTGCTCACGCGCCTACATGGCGGCGAGGCGGCCGCGATCGAGATGGCCGAGATCAAGGACTCTGTGGGCGATGAGGAGGCCAGTGGAGATCTGGTACAGGCTAGCTGGAGCGACATGTTCAGGGGCCCCGTCTTGCGCGTCACGATGCTTGGGGTCACCATCCAGTTTCTTCAGCAGGCCACTGGAACCAATGCGATCTTCTACTACACGCCCCAGCTATTCCACAACGGGGGAATCACGGACCCCAACATTGCCAATCTGGCGACGAGTGGTGTGGGCGTGGTCTTGTTCCTGTCCTCGTGGATTCCCATCTTCTACTACGACAAGCTGGGGCGGAAGACGTGGCTGCAGCTGGGCCTCGTTGGCATGTTCACAGCCCTTGTTGGCATCGCAGTTCTGCAGAGACACGCAGAGACCCATCCCGGCGACCCTAGAAACTACGCCATCATCGCGTTTCCTTTTCTATTCTTCACGTTCTTCAACATGTCATGGAGCTCTGGTAGCTGGCTGTACGCCGCCGAGATCTTCCCAATCTCATTACGGGTAAGTTAAGCACGTCCCAAGAGATCCCACACAATTATTGACATCTGATGTCTCGATAGTCCAAGGGAAACGCACTTTGCACGGCATCACTCTGGATGGCAAACTTCCTCGTCGCACAAGTAACCCCACCCATCATGACAGCAATATCATGGGGCCTGTACTTGATATTAGCTGCCATCAACGTCCTCGCGTTCATATTCATCCGCTACTGTCTTGTTGAAACCAGAGGCAAGACCCTCGAGGAGATGGCCTCCCTGTTCGGCATTGAGGAAAAGAGCTCTGAGGGACAGAGCGACAGATCTGCTGAGCGTCGTGGTAAGCGGTTCCTTGATTATCCATCCAGCCTGGGTCTTGATTTCGAGTGCTGACGTCCAAGTAGAACTGTTACGGGCAGATCCAGTCGACGAAGTCGAAGACGAGCCGTAGCTCATGCGTGCCCGCTGAGTCGCACCGCAGGAAATGTAGAACTATACAAGACCATGGTATTTATCGATTACGTAGATCATAATCTATCTGAAAGCTTTTGGAATTCTGTTGTACAGAAGATGTCTTCATTGGACAGCGAGGTTCATGAATGGCGGATCTCACCAATCATGTCACCACCGGCTCGCGATCTACCCTGCCGCGCTAAGAATCACTGGCCTTTTGGGTTGTGAAGTTCTCCAAATTGGAGCATCGACACCTTCGTGGTCACCACCACAAGGCCTAAGTGATGTACTTACTGCAATTTAGGGCTGACGAAGAAAATGGTGAAGGTGACAGTCGGCTAATGGATCGGTAAGCTTGGAAACTATACATATGCGAGGGTGCACCTTTTGAGATTCTACCCCAGTTTTTGACGAAGTAATTATCTCCATCAATGAGTTGGAAGCTTTCTATCTAATGCACGGATAAGAATGAGTTCCATACGCCTTTCAGATGCTCATGGTCGCGTGATGGAGTACGCGGGCTTTCGAGAGGCTGCCATTTTTGTTATTGTCGCTGTTCTGTTGACGGCCTTGATCAAGCAGACCAACAAAGCCGATATTGCCAAAATTCAGAATCTCCCTGAGCTTCCTGGCGTGCCTTTGTTCGGAAGCCTGTTCCTACTCGGCCGTCACCACGCTCGCAACTGCGCACGCTTGGCCAAGGACTACGGCGATGTCTTCCAGGCACGGCTCGGCAACCGCGTAAGTCCACCATCGGATCTAAAGGGAACACCTGCTCACGGCGATGTAGCGCTTCATTTACGCCAACTCATTTGAGTCTGTTAGAGAGCTCTGGATCAAGAACCAGTCTGCTCTGATCTCGCGCCCGAAGACGTGGACCTTCCATAATGTCGTCTCCGCCCCGGGCGTCTTCACACTAGGCACCTCGCCATGGAATGATTCAGTCAAGCGTGCGCGCAAGGCGGCTGCCACTGCCCTGAACCGCCAGGCCGTGCAAACATACCTACCTATCATAGATCTAGAGTCCACCACGAGCATCAACGAGGTGTTTCGCAATCTCAAGCTTGATAACAACATTGACCCAAACGGCTACTTCCAGCGCTTCTCCCTGAACGTGTCTCTGACGCTGAACTACGGTATCCGTCTGGATGACACTGCTCGTGCACATCATTTACTCAACGAGGTCGTCACCGTCGAGCGAGAACTGGCCAACTTTCGCGGTATTGCCCACAACTGGCAAGACTACGTGCCCCTTCTGCGCCTCCGGCTCGGCGTGAAGAAGCAGGCTATCAAGTTTCGGCCGTCGTGATGACTATATTCTGTCCTTCTTTGAGCAACTCAAGGAGCGCATTGCCAAGGCCACCGATAAGCCTTGCATTGCAGGCAATGTCCTCAAGGACCCTGAAGCCAAGCTGTCCGATAACGAGCTCAAGTCCATCTGCCTTACCATGGTTGCTGCCGGTCTAGATACCCTGCCCGGTAACATTAACATGACTCTCGCGTACCTTTCGTCTGAGCATGGCCAGGAAATCCAAAAGAACCTGCACGAGGAACTCGTCAAGGCCCATGCTGGAGAGGATCCTTGGCATGCATGTCTCACCGAAGAGAAGTCTGAGTACATGCGCTCGTTCGTCAAGGAGGTTCTGCGTTTCTGGTCAACCCTCAATATGTCGTTTAATCGAGAAAGCACCAAGCCCATTGTGTACAAGGGCGCCACGATTCCCGCTGGTACTCCTTTCTTGATGGTAAGCTTTTCCCATGCCCATCGTTCGCAAAAGCCAGCTAACTCTTTCAAAAGAATATGTGGGCAGCCAACCACGATCCCGAGCACTTCAGCCGTCCTATGGACTTCTACCCCGAGCGCTTCATGGGTGTTGACGAGGCTGGCGCTGGCACACAGCACTACGGCTATGGTGCCGGTACGAGGATGTGCGCAGGCGTGCACCTGGCAAATCGCGAGCTATACGCCATCTTCAGCCGCCTCGTGCTCGCGTTCCACATTCTCGCCACTGATGACCTCAAGTCACGTCCAATCCTGGACACGATCGAGTGCAATTCTGTGCCCACGAGCATGGTCACGCAGCCCAAGCCGTTCAAGGTCAAGTTCATACCGCGAAGTGAGAAACAACTTGAGGCGTGGATTGCCGAAAGCTTTGAGGCGACAGAGCATTTGTAGACGTTGCGCCAGATGAAAAGGATCAATGTAGACGCCGGCTAGCACTGTTGCGTTCTACGGAAGAAAATAAGGACTTCAATTACGGTCAATGTGTCACGTTCAATACGATAAGAGTAATGATTTGCACTTGAGACAGCAAAAGTTACAATCTCCAATTAAAAAGTTGAATACGCAAGTACCTACACGTAAACGGAGATTGGTACCAAGAGGGTAGACGCGGCGCCCACGTCTTGGTCTATGCAGTGTATTTACACAAATGTCGCTGACCAGGCTTGAGTGCTATCCTTGCAAGGCGCGACCTCGCACTTCCAGAAAATCAGCAAACGCCAATAGCGAGCGCGCAATCAGATCGACCATTTCCCACACGCTCTCCGCCTTGTACAGCGACGCCCACAGCCGCACGACCGTCGATGCCAGGGAACCTCTCTCCTGGAGGGCCTTGTCAACCTGGCCTTTGTGATTGGCCTCGGCGACGAGCTGCACGACAAAGTGCAACGTGCGGTTCTCCGCCGCGTTGAGGGGCGGGTCTGGTTCGGGGGGCCCAGTGACTCCCTCTAGCCACTTTGCCAGCAGGACAGCACACTCGAGCGAGCACAGCGCGTGCTGGTTTGACCAGTAGACGACCTGCGTCTGGGCGACGTAGTTTATGCCGAGCTTGATGGGGATGCTGAGCGCGTGCGCGCAGTGCAGGGCGGCCCGCGTCAACCGGTGGCTGCGCTGCGCTGGTGGGCTGCTGTCGAGCGACCGCGCGATAGTGTTCGCGTCCCATGAGCCTAGTGACCGTATAGGTCCCATGTCCATGTTGATGCGTATATAGGCGATCCTTAGGAGCGCTGTAGAGGTGAATGACAAAGGGCCGTGCGGGCTGAGGGGGTCCATGGAGGATTCGCGTCCTGACTCCCAGCAGGAGGACCAACATTTAAGCGCCCGTTCGAATGTGTTCATCATCTCAGGTGATAATTGTTGGTTGCTCAGCCCCCCGTGGAAGCCCGAATTCCGGACAAGCCAAACACGCTGTATGATGGCATGAATCAAGACACAGCCTCCCAGCGAGGAGAATCTGGCCTTGACCGAGGGGCCACTGGATTGACCAGAGTCGGGCGGTTCGAACAGTCTCTCTAATACCACTTTCAAGTCTTCCTGCGTGGTACAGTCGTCGTGGCTGGCAAGCCAATCTTGTTCGCTCACCGCCCTCCATTCGTTCTCAGTACACGGTAAGTCCTGGTGCAACTGATCGGCCAACATCATGGGTGGCGCGTCGGACACAATCGTGTGGATGTTGAAAAAGCAGAAAGTGACAAGCCTGGTTCGCTTGAAGATCTCGTACTGTATCCACTCCGCCCAGGTAGAAGGCCTAGTCCCTCGCTCGTAGTGAAGATCATCTTCCCTGATCAATGTATCGAGCATACTCCGGATGTGGATCGCGTCGTAGACGTCCGGCTGCCTTTTGAACCACATGGAAATGGCTGTGAGCAGAACGAGAGCTTGCATCGTCTCGAGCTTGGCAGACCGTGAGTCGGCTGAGGTATCACTCGTCTGCCCATTACTGCTCGCATTATCACTACCACCATCTGTCGCAGAGTCTGGCTCATTACGCCTCTTAAGGCGCTCTTGTCCCACACTCTTGGCAAGGTCAAACAGTTCGGTGCTGGCACCAGGCTCCCGCGAGTATCTCGCCCCAAGCGCTGCAATGGCCAGAAATAATTCGACGCGCATCGTGCCTAGCTGTAAGGTTGGTATGTGAAGGAATGGGTAATGTTCGTTGAAAACAAGTACATAGGCCGAGACGTATCGGGACAAAGCATGCTTCGACGGTAGCACGACATCGGAAGGTAGACATGACGAGAACGATGCTAGTTCCTCCATGGCTCCCTCTCTGTCCTGCATGGACACTGTCAGATGAGCATGGTTCCTGCGACCAGGATCCCGCGGGCTTGGTTCGTTCTGCGGTGGACTGTGTTCTACTCCAGAGGTCGTGACAGGCCTCTCCTCTGGTTGCAGTGAAGGTAACCGCGATCCATATTCAGAAAGAGCCGAGCTGCCTGTAGAATCATGGTTTTGCTGGGGTCGCGCAGGGAAAGACCATTCAATGCCGCCGAGATTATCGCCATGACCCCCAAACGAGAGCGGATCTGAGCTGGCGGGAAGAAAGGCAGGAATAGGTTGATAGGAGGGCGAGAAGACGGAGTTCGGGATTGGCACATTATCCATGAAAGACGTGAAATCGTCGAGGTGTTCACCCATGGCCAGTTGGGGCTCGTTCAAACCGTAGTCCATCATGGCTAACGGCGTGCTTGTCTCCGCGGCATCGTGCGCTGGGAGAGACATTGCCTGCATTGTGGGCATCGAATCGTCGGCGAACACTGCATGAGTAGCCTGCGGCATCTGTCGTTGAGTCTGTGGCTGTGGCTGTGCCTGGCTTGACCCTTTGGGAAGCGCGTCTTCTGTCTCTGGATGCGCTAACCGACCATGCCGTCGAAGAAGGTCCCTATTCACTGTCAGCGATTGGTGCGAGGAAATGGCACATGAAGGCAAGTAGTACTGTCTGGTGAAAGCCTGGGTGCACAGCTTGCACTGAAAGGGCTTTTCCTTGGTGTGTGACCGTCCATGTCTCTGAAGATGCTCCAGACGGGCAAAGTCGCGCCGACACTGCTGGCATCGGTAAGTCTTGGAAACTTTGGTCATAGTGCCTGTCATTGCGCCAAAGTGAGAATTCGTCGTCAAAGCATCTAGTCTTGAGATGTCGATGAACTTTCCTGCGATCGCAGGGCCCCGCTGGTGACGACACCGCGTTCCGTTCCATTTACTACGCAGTACATGTGAGTGGTCCAGACTTTCGCAAGTCAACGTTCTCCGCATGGCATGTGCCATTCGTCTAGAATACTCCCTGAACGGAAATTTGGCCGCAATGAAGCAGATGCGTTCTTGAACTTTGACAGCTATTAATTGGTTGAAATCCTCAGAGTTGATTGTCTACCACCGTGGTCCTAGTGCTGAGTGAGATGGATGGTGAGAGTAGGAGAAGGTGTGTAGAAGTGGGAGAAGACGTGGTCTGGGTTAGAGGCGCTTTCTGGTCTGGAGACGCTCTGGGAGGAGAGGTGTGGGAATGGCCGTAGGACGAGGTGGGTGCGCCGGCACACGAAACCGCCTCCGGCGCATCCACCGAGTTTGACTTTTCCACAAGCCGAATAGTTCCCATGGCCCCGAAGGGGCTTTCCATCTGGTATGGCTAAGGAGAGGGAGCATGCATCGCGGTGCATCCCGGGGTCTCTAGCACAGTTGCGTGGTTGGTGAGATCAGTTACTGGAGCTGCATTCTGCGTTACCTTCAGCGAGCCGATCCTGCATGGTGATTGAGGAGGCTTCTGTTACTCTGGACAGCCACGGCACGGATTCCTCCAGTTCGACCGCGAGGATTCCATCGTTGAAGTTACGCAATGCCGCGTACCCGACTGCTTGCAGGCTCGGAGCCGCTGTATTGGTCACCCGTTCTCACTTGCCACTGCCCCCATACTTCAACTGCAACCCTGAAGGTTTACCCCAATTTGGGGTACAGGAGGAATGATGTTGAAATTGCCACGAACAAACACAATACGACCAGCGCTACAAGTGTGCCTAAGCTAGAGAATTAATTTGGCTTGTGTTTGGCGGCCTGGTTTCGCCTGTTGCTCGTTAAGACTTCCTCATCGCTCGTGCACAGGCATAGGAGAAGTGTATGGCCCAGCTCGAAGGGCGAGGTTGCTTTGCGCGGAGGGCTGACGGAGGACGCACGACGGAGTATGGTCTGTCAGGAGAATCATGACTCCCAACATAGGCATCAAAAGCTGCCCCTGGCCACGATTAAGACACGGTGGGAGTTGTTGGAAAAGTCGTCCAACGACTGTGTCTTCTTGGCGCCCGCAAACTGGCAGGCACGACTGGCAGCGATGGTTATATGTCTCCCCCAAGGTAGGCAGGTCAGCGTTGTGTCGAACCCTGTCTGCTGGGACTGTGTGGCCGATTCAAAAAGGAATATTTCGGATCTGAAAGACACGATTGTATATATACTAGGACCAAAGGCGAATGCGTAAAGAGCCAACTTGGTGCTGTTGTTGATTCTGCTTTTCTGGCGCGCCTTCTTCCCTCTGTGATCCTTAAGACGACCAACAGTGATCCTTCAGAGGTAGGCTATATCGCTGTGTCAACCTCATGTCCTCTTCCACCACGCATACTGCAACTGGATGTACACCGTAAGGGCAGCCACCAAGTACGCGCCCATCCCAAACGCCGACGAGTCATCGCTCGTGCACCTGGAGTACACATATATGAAAACGCCGGTGGCCAAAATAAAAACGAAGCACCACCAGAGAACAAGCACATCATTAAGCCTCTCGTTAATGCGCACTCCATATCCTACGACGTCCCCGACCGTGCCCGACGGCCTGTATAGCGCGCCGTCCACCTTCTTGGGAACGGTATTGTACCAGTAGACTTCGGTGTGGGGGCCGGGACGGCGCATGTGCCACAAGTTCATGGTCTTGATGCACTTCATCGGGACGGGCCTGTAGCGGTACTGTTTATTGTCTGGTGCGGGCCAGCGGCCGGAGGTGAAGTGAGATGGGAAAGCCTCCTTGCCTTCTGGGTGGGGGACGAGTTCGAACTTTCAGGTGTCAGTAGGTCGCAATTCTGATGGACACCTGGGATATTGGGACGGTCCTTTCACTTACTTCGACAAAGTCTGCTGTGTCTATTATATGTAGCGGTGCCCACGGGCTGACGTCGGATGCCCATTTACTCCGCCACTCTGAGATGAATTGTTTCATTGGTGACTCTCGGATGAAAGACGGCCTCCGCACTGAGACTAGTGCTTAAGCAGTCCAGCTGGCAGCATCCATTTCGGGAATAGTAAGTCTCTTGTCCACTGACATCCTTGACGAGCCTGTTGGTACTGGTTAAGAATGCCTCTGATTAGCAACTCGTCATTGTATGAATCATTAATATCAAGGCACCGAAGCTCTGCCAAGGTCTTGTAGGCCTTGCCGTTGATACAGATCAATAAGAACATTGGATCCCGTCGTGTAGCCCCGGACAGGGCAGGCGAGATTGCTGAGGCGGGATTGAGGTATGGCCGTGGTACGTGTGGTGTCTCTTGCGAAGGCGAATTCGGGGATGCCGTATTCCGGTGAGAGGTTGGACCCAGATGAACTGGAGACGGACTCGCTGGAAGCTGGCCTCCAGAAGATTCACTGCTCTGGGGCGAGTGTGCCCGTCTCGCTATTGCGGAGCTCTCGCTAATGCTTCGCCATTCGCTCTCCACACTACCGGGCTCGAGCTCCTTGACATCTATGTAAGTGTGCTGGCCGCACCCCTAGTGATTGCCAGGGACTTGTTAGTGACATGGTTGAACCAGAATCAGGGAGAGCTACTTACGCAGAAATACCATACTCTTTGGCAGCCATTTGATGGCGGCCACAATGTGTCAGTCACCCATTTTGCGACCCATGTTGGGAACGAGTCTCTGTTCCAGAACATACGACGACCTTCGATCTGTGAAGAATTACCCAAGGACTCCTGGACATCCTCGGGTCTTGAAATATCCCGGTTCTCGTGTGGTCTGTGTTCGTTAAAGCGTTCTTCAGCTTGGATCCTGGTCGTCTGTTTTGGATTCTCCAATGAATGCTCTGTGCCAATGTTGGTCAAGGTCTTGGTTCCAGGCTCGACTGCTCGGGGCGAACCCATGAGATGCTCTTTTCGACTGGAATGTGCGCCTTGGACATCGGTCGATTCATGTTCATCCCCGTGGTCCCGATGGAATCTGTGATGCTTGAAATCGATCGACTACATTCTTCCACTTCCCGATCAATATCAAACTCCTCTTTCGTCCCGCTGAAGGTTGCATCGACTGGATCGCTGCGCATGCCAGCTCGATCCGCCGATGATGAATCCAACCAAGAGCTGGGGTCTGTCGGCTGCTGACTAGACTCTCCTGAGAACATTGCAAAGTAGGAGCTGTTGGAATCGGTATGTTCCACAGAGAACCCTGCACCACCTTCGGAATCTGCGTAGAGATTCGCGGGCAGTGTATGCTCCTCAAAAACCATGACCTCATCATCTTTCTTACCATCATTGCCATAAAATCGACGGCTATAGCCGACAGGAGGAAGAAACGGAGTCATTGTCATGGATACTGGCTCATCAAGGCCGCCTACGATAGCGTTAGCCTCTTTGATTCATAGTATATGTAGTATGGATAGCCCAATTTACTTTTGTGATAGAGGTCGCTTAATTTGAGCAAGTCGTCTATGTCTTCTTGGCCTATGGCCTCTGGAAGGACAACATTCTCGCCCTGAGAGTGGTTTTAGCAGTCTCACTACTACAGATACTTAGCAATAGAAGGATCTTACCTCTCGGATGAACCGATAGCCAAGATTCTTCAACGCCAACCTGGAAACCAGAGCAGCGGGTACATTAGTCTTGTACTTTTTAGGGTACTGCTTGACGATGCTCCAGTGGCCACCCAAGCCATCTTGCATTCCGTCACAGGATCTCAAACAGCCTGTTCTTGGATCCCATCTTGCGCCGCAGCTGCCGCAGACTGAACTAGTGGAGTTATCTGGAACAGTCCGTGTCAGAATCTCAGGGCTCTCATCAGCTCTGGCGACCATTTTCCGGGCCAAGAGCTCCGTCTGGACTGTGGGATGGACTGTGGGAACATCATCACTGCTCACTCGTGGCGTCCATACCTCGAGACGAGCGTGATTCTTTCGGAAGAGGCCGAAACGGCCGGTCGATAAATTCTCTCCCAAAATCCGTCCATCGCCAGACCCATCGTCCTTCTCGATCACTACAACTTCGTCACCCTTGGCCAGGTTCAACTCATCCGAAGCTCGCGCTGCGAAGTCACAAACGGCCACCAAGACATCGCCCACCCAGACGTCGCCCACCAAGACGCCGCCCACCTCGGGCCTTGGCCGTTGGGGAGCTGTTGTCTTGACGCGTTGCTTTTGTAATTTCTCGATTGTATGTGGTGGTGGAAGCTGCCCGGCTTCCGATCGTGCGTGTTCAGTGATGTGGCTCGGAACACCCTCCGCGTCATCAGCCCGCGCGGCATCAGAATCTTGCCTTTCTGCGTCCCGAACCTCAGTTGCTACAACAGCCATTTCGCTTATTGTATCTTTGATATTGGTGCTGAGCTCGATGATTCTCAATCCAGTTTCTCGCACTCGATTCTCTGATTCAAGTCCAAGATCGGTGGGCACTTCTTGGATCTCTTTGCGCAACTCCTCTCTCTGTGTTACGAATGTCTCGTGCTTTTCGGACAGCGTCTTCAAGCTCTGACTTCGGGATGACAGGTTGGCAGCTGCGATGTTGAGGAAGGGGTCCCTGTAATGGGACCCGACCATGACGTGTCTTCGATGAGTACTGCTGCTGGACGCCTCCTTGGCATGTCCCCTCGAACGAGCCCGGAATCCATTCATCTCCTTCTCTTTTTCGAATTCGTTCCCTGTGAACCAACTGATTCTGCGTCGGCGACGTTCACTGTTGTCTGTCTCATCAGGCTGCGCACCGTGTCGTTCCAGCCCGGCTCCGCCCAGATGGCTTGAGGCTCTCCCAGGAAGCTGCTCCATGATCGACAAAACGCGTCGAGTACAAATAGCAAGCTTGGATCCACAACGCAGTTAGAAGTAGGGTATTTACGATTAGGGACGAGTAGATTATGTGTCAGGAAGTAGATAAGGCTCCAGCAGCCATACACGTGAGATCAGCCCGTATGACAGGCAGCACAGTTACACAACAGCGGCTGAAGCTGTGAAGACGGCACCCTAACCCTCAAGACATATCATATTAATATATTAATAGATGAGTCAAATTATGCTTCGAGCATTTTCAACATCATATACAACAGCCGTCCACCAAAACCAGCGGCCAGTCACTCTGGGAGAATCCGGAGAGGAGAGCCCGGCCGGGTTGTTTTAATCTCCTCCGGTGCGTTCTTCCTCTTGATCATCTTTTAGCATGGTGCAGAGTTCCAGTAGTGGAAGCCTGGCACTTTGGCACGCCTCTGCTTGTGTAGGGGTGGTAGGATAACAGAGCAACAACGACAACCCAGATAGATCAGCCCCCCTCTCTGTTGGAGTCAGATCTTTATCTGTCACGTTGTCCACTGTCTCATTTCGAGAGCAAAACACCGATGTTCATTATTCCAGCGATAGATGCTCCCGTTGTAGCGCTAATACTGTATACTGTTTGCATTGAGAGACGATATTACGCAGTCATCGTCCTCACTGAAGCTGTACATCACATATATGCATGTCACTAAATGTTTCTTTGAGACTGTCTTGTGACCCAATAACATGGTGTTTGGTGGCTCATATTGCTATGAATTATCCACAAGACAACAGCAGTCGTCTATTAGTCTACAGTTAAATCGTGTCTTTGAACTGCGATGACGCGGGACCGACTCACTACAATTTGTAAGAGACATCTAGGTAACCCAAAGCTTGTAGTAAATCAGGAATGCTTTATGGATGATAGTCTATGGTCTGGACAAAAGTACACGCTAACACATCTACAGCATGACCCACATCCCGCTCGCTCACAAGAACCAACGGAACTCGGGTACGCTTGGCCCATCCCTCAGCTTGGATGTCGGCACGTCCCGAGCGTCGGTCTTGAACCCGGCCTTCCTGTTGCGCCTTGCGTTATCCCAGATCATGTAGGTACCCGTCAAGGCGGCAATGAACGCGCCGGTCGCCCCGAAGACGGCCGTGGTGATCAGGGCGGTCTCATACTTGGGCGCCTCCTTCTTGATGAAGATGTTGCTGCTCACAAGGCCCATCAGGTTTGCCAGCGGTACGCCGACCGAGGTCATCGTGATACGCTTGTTCTCATCGGCAATGTTGTTGCTAGAGTCAGGTTAGTAAGTTGCTGCGAGATTATGTTTCCAAGGGCAGAGAATGACGCTTACTTGTACCATGTGCTCAGAATGACCGAAGGGGCACTCGTACCCCAGCACATCATGAAAGTTGCAAAGTAGGCGACGTGGATCTGGGCCGTGACGTCCTCGATGCTCGCAAAGATGATGAACCCGCAGAAAGTGAACAGGAACCCGAGCACGATGAACGGGAACCGGATGCGCAGCAGATCGGAGCTGAAGGCAAGGACCAGCAGCATCACGGCGCCGGTGACATTAGGGGCAACTGTGTACAGGTTCGTCTTGACGGTGGAGTACTTGAGCGCGCTGACGATCTGCGGCAGGAACAGCGAGACGGACTGCAGCGGGACGCCGAGGCAGACCTCGATGGCGAGGAAGGCGTAGGTTGATGGGTAGCGGAAGATCTTGACGGCCTCGCGCAGCTTGAACTTCTCAGACACGACCGACGACGAGTCGACCTGCATGCGGTACAGGGCGAGGTCCTTCTCCTCGGCGTTGAGGAACTTGGCCTCGGCGGCCGACTTGGGCAGGTAGAAGTAGGCGAAGACGCTGAAAAGCACGCTGGCGCCGCCCTCGATGATGAACAGGTATCGCCAGCTCTCGAGGCGGTGGGACTTGATCTGGAAGACGCCGAAAGACAGGAGTCCCGCGAAGGCGTTGGCGATGTTGGACGCGGCGTAGAAGAGGGCGAGGCGGCGCGCGAGCTCGCCACGGCGGTAGAAGGTCGTCAGGTAGTAGATGACCAGCGGGAAGAAGGCGCTCTCGGCCATTCCAAGGAACCAGCGCAGGGCGAAGACGCCGCTGAAGTTCTTGGCCGCGCTCATCAGGAGCGTCATGGTGCCGAAGCAGAACATCAGGATCGGGAGCACGAGGCTGGGGCCGAACTTCTTGCCGAGCATGGCGATGGGCGGTGCGAAGAGGACATAGGGTACAAAGAAGATTGAGACGATCATGTTATACTGGTTGGACTTGAAGCCCAGGTCGTCTGATAGTCCTGCCGTCTCGGCGTTGCCCAGGTTTCCCTTGTCCAGCGCGTTGAAGAGATCTGTCGGCGCTGTTAGAGACGGACAACCCTGCTTGACACACCATGGTGCCTGGCCATTCACTTACACATGACAGCCAAGATCGGGAGGATGCGCAAGTCGAACTTGCGGGTGAGCTTGACTTCGGCGGCGTGGTCCAAGACCCTTGCCGTCTCGGCGATGACTGCCGTCTCGCCGTTGGAGCTCTCAACGTCGATGTCCTTCCTGGGGATGCTGGACTCCTCCATGCTGGAGTTCTTGACCGGGTCTGCCGCCATCTTTGCTTGTCTCCGACGCGGATTGCTTGTGTAGCAGGCGGCGGTAGTCGGGCTTGAGTATGATAACTTCAAGCAACACACGAGCCAAAAAACCACAGACGGAAGGAAGGATTTAGATGCGGGGGTTGTGATCTACCATATAAGCCGTAGTCTCGTGCGACCCCCATCATCCAATCATTCTATAATCCTGTCATCCATGCCGACCACTCATCAATCGCTAATGTGAATGCTACATTTGTTGGAGAAGGGCCTGATAAGCTCCCGGCTGTTTGGTTCAAACGAACAGGGTGGGATGCTTATCCGTATCGTCGGGACTTTGTTGCATCATGGCATCGTGTCAGCTACCTGGCTACTATTAAGCCAAACAAGGGAATCCGACCATGGGAGACGCTCAGTGCCGATTCTTGTGGCCGGAAATGCAGGATCACCCAGCAAGACCGTAGTGGCTTAAACGCGACGGGCCACTGAGACTGTTGGGCGTTATCTTTCCCGACGGCCCCTGAGCTGTCAACTATCCGGTAATCACCGATGAGCGGACTGGACCGGGTTGTCATCACTAAAGTCCCGTGCTAGTAACGACCCTGCGAGGCTCTTGGAGTTATATATGGCTTGCAGCAGGCCAATGATAGTAATTCTTTTTCGAAAACACGATCCAACGCTCGCTGGTTAAGTCAGTGACAGCCTCCTCTCCCTTCTTGCCATTGATTGTCGCCCTATTTGTTCTTTCAACTCAAGCAATTGAGAAACGTTCCCAAGGATTGACCAGCAATGGTTGTGGAAAGCTAACACAGCTCGCCCGACTGACACAGCCTGTGCGTTTTATTCTTTGATATTACTCACCTCGATAACGACCAGCGATAAGATAGATGATGCAGCAATGTTGCCTGACTCGGTCGGTCGCCAAGCAGGCCAAGCAGCCTGGCAGCCACGAACCTCTGCAGCGACTCCACCGCAAGCGACTTCCGAGCCTCAGGAACAGGGGGCGACGTGTGGCTGCCCACGCATCAGAAAACTATGACTCGGGCCGTGATTAATGCAATCAACAGTATGGCCTGAACAATCATGTCTCTTAAGGCGGCCAGCTTCTCTCCCACGCGTAACACAAGCAACGCGCTCATAAATGTCAACGATGCAGGTCCGACTACGGCATCCGAGGGCGATATCCGCAGGCCGGTTCCGGCTCGCCAGGTCGCCTGTTCGTTCCGCGGTTCTGGCCGAGAAACACCGTCCCTCCCCATTGGACCCCGGTATTGCAAGAAGATAAGATTCACATTTCAGACATCCGAATAAGGCCAGATCGACCGATCATCCTCGACTAGGAGGCGTCGCCGTCGAAGCCACAGAAAGAGTTTGCACAAGTGTCAGGATTCGGCGGCAGTCGGCGGGTTTACGTTCGCGATGATCCAGGCACGACGCCTTTGCTTGGCGTGAATCACTTCGAGTCGTCAAGCAGGTGGCGAGCTTGCATTGACCGCCACGCAACCCCGGTTTCCAAAATGGCTACCCACTTCCTTGTGGCGACTCGACCGCTGCTCCTTCTCGGCGGTAGCGAAAGCTTGAAATGAAGTAAATACTGTCCGAAACTTTGTTCTGCGCTCATTCGATATGAGCCTCAAGTCACCTCGCATCTTGCCACGATTGGTGCGCTCTGTCATCATGAGACTGCATTACAATGGAATAAACTTGTAACATCCAGGACATCAACAGCCTAACGAGCATTCAATTGATTCCGGAGGAAAGGCAAATTGGCAGGCCAGCAGCCATGTTCGTTGCGAATTGATAAGACGAGTACGATGTGAGGTAAACAGGCTATCTACTCACCAGGGATTAGAGCAAGCTCTACCGAGACAAGGTTGACGGTCAATAAATATGAGAATGCTTAGCTAAATATTGATACAGACGACGCGGAGGCTCATCACATAAACCGTACGATGTGGTACTGTCTTCTGCCAGAAGAGTAGTCAAGTGAGTGATACAGCTTCGATGAAACGACAAGCAAATTCACAAGCCGCTCAAATATGCAAAAGGTAACCAGACTCTATGATAAAATTGTTTCAAGTAACTTTTTACGAGAGCCATGGTGCTGCAGCCGCCTCAATTCACAAGGAAGTCGGTCTCGCAACTAGCCTATCGGCTCCCTCAAGCTCGACAGAGCATAGTCACAGTTTCTCTTTGGCCATCACTCCACGTCGCACGTCAAGTCTGATTGGAAAATTTGCTCTTCGGCACTCTCAGTAGGACATTTCGGCAAATATTTTTCACAGAGATCATCTATTTCTAGGTACCTGAGCTGCATGAGTCGCCGCATCTTCAACTTTTGTGATGAGATACACCATTTGAGTCTGAAGTCACAAACGGCTGTAGTCAGCCGCAACGGTCACTTTGTGACCCAGTCTAGTGCATACACGGGAATAACGAATAACAGGAGAGCCACAAAAATCATTTCGAGGCCAAGATTTCGAGGCCAAGATTTCGAGGCCAAGACTTTATTTCGTGAGTTAATTCTGTCATGGGGAAAGCTGTGGAATGGAAAGTGCCTCAAAAGCAAGTAGGGGACATTGGCGTCTTGGCCATTCAGAGGTGGGAGGCACTCAAAACTTCTATCGCACCGTTGTATAACTTGAGTTTCGTTCATGTGAGATGATTCCCCTGATATAAAAACGATCACTGAATGTTAATATGTGCCATCCACAGACGAATGTCCTGTGTCCATGACAGTCGTGAGCAGCGCTAATCACGGGCACTGGCTATCCTGGATTGGCGACAGAACTCGATTTCAGTCACGCACGTATGGTATCTATTACAAAAGTGTCCACAAGTCAGACGTGAGGATGTTTGAAAATCTAGCCGACGAGAGCAGAACTACCCACCGCCACTCCGCCCTGGTGATCTCTTGAAATAGAGTGGATCAAGACAGTCAGGGACAAGTGTGAGAACATGTTATGTAATGACTCAAAAGATAAGCTGACGGACTGTATGCTGAGTTGTAAATTATTACAAGCACACAAGTTGAAAACTCCATGCCCATCCATCTTGTCGCATGTCAACCTTGGCGAGGCCACTAGAAGACCAGCTGCAAGCAGAACAAGGACCTCTCCTGACTATCCGCAGATAATATCCATGTCGTTCCAAACTTCTTTGTCGCGCCTTCTCAAATTTGTGTGGACCTCGGTGTAAGACGCTCGACCGTCTTCCAAACGGGACAGTAGGACACACTCGCTTCGGGCCCTCGACAATTTGGTCAACGTACTTTGACGCCAGCCTCGCATCAGCCTTGTGACAGCCAGTAGGTTAAATTATGCGTGCAATCCACCATTAGCATCTTGTATGTTGGAGATCTGGGGCATGCTGCCGAGTCATGTGCTCTTGGCACACCCAGTATTTGTCCTTGTCCCCAGAATGTCGTCGAGGTATATGCCGATTCAAACTGCACTCACTGGCTGGACTTGCAGAGAACGGGTTTCGACATAGCCACAATGGCGGGTAAAGGTAAACGTACTCTCGTACATCATGCGTGGGATCACCATCCTGGCATTACAAACAACAACCAACTGCCGAAGGAATTAAGCATAACGAACTGGGGTGAGTTGTGAGTAGTCATATTTTCCCGCATTTCCAGCGCCATGCTCGGCAGTTGGCCACGTCGGAAACATGGATAGGAGTGTCGTTCATCTCCTGATTTTCATGTATCACTTGCCCATCGTATCCCCATGTATTGCTACCATATCTGGTTTGGGGGCGGTTCTGTGTTACCTGACGTCGCGCTCGCAGATGCTCCTCCACCGCCCCCACGTGTGTGTGATTAATGCCCCGAAGGGTTGCAGCGGCCCGTTCCGGCAGCGAGCCCCTGCAACCAACTCCCTCTCCTGCATTCGAGTTCCAACACGTGCCTTTTGGCTTGCACGTTCTTCTCGTCCTCGGGCAGGTCAAGACGAAGACTCAATTCATCATCCTTCTCTAATGCCGTGCTGGGGAGACAGACGCTCACATTTAGGTTAGGTTGAGTGATGTGTAAGATATTCCCTACATAACCATCGGCGACCTGTTTCAGTATATGGGGTAGCTTGGAGTTAGAACGCCTCATCGTCATTGTCGTTACCAACCCATGAGTATCGCGTAATCATTGTTATTACGTGCCCTCTGGTATAACAGGTCGTGAATATCCAGGGGTTTTCCGACGGAACCAGAAACACAATCCGTTAGATCAGCCACGCCCCGCATAGAGTTCACCTAGTGAAACTGATGGTACGCTAGCTCGGCTAGGCAGGGCCCTCGCAGCAGGATCGCAGCGTGGACGCAGCGTGGGCGATGGTCATTACCAAGATGAGAAGTCGATCTTGGGTCACATCCTAGCCTATCGGTGACTTTACGGTCGTATTGGTATGCCTCTATCGACATTGGGGTCGGCAGGCCGACCTGAATATCGCATAGTTTGGTCCGGCGTGGCGCCCGATGGCCCGGGCTAGCGCCGGAGGGATCATTTGCGCTTCCCCTCGTGCCCTCGAGGAATCATACCATGAACGGTACATCTCGAAAGAACACCTATCGCAGCCGAGGAAGCTGTTTGATCACTCCGGGCCTGCGCTAGAAGGGGAAAGGAGTCCCCAGGCGTCGGCATTTGCCCGAATCCACCCTTCCGAGACCGTCCACCCAGCAAAGCCCACACAAACTCGCGGGAGTGCCACCTGACAGGCGGGACGCCCTGGACGCCGAGGCCGAGGCCTAAACCCACAGGCTCGCCCGCCTGCAATCTCAGCACCGCTTGCTTCATTTTGAGGGCACACCCGGGTTTATTTCCCTGGCTCGCCATGCGGGGGCAAATGCCGACTTGCATTCCAGGCATGGTCTATGTGCGTCACTAGCTCAGGGGCGCCTGTGGAGCCCATTAGCTCAGAGGAGCGGCCGTAGTGGCATCAGAATTTGCTGCCACCCTCTGTAGATCGCCACGAGGGTGTGGCCGGCCAGGTCTTGCCAGGGACCATTCTGAAATGTTTAAAGAAAACCCATAGCCCGCATTTCGGCAGTCGCCCCAGGGGCACTGACTCGTAACCTTACCATCGACAACCGGATCCAGGCTGTCAAGCGAAGCGACAAGCGCGCACATGGCTACCGCCGCCGAGAAGAGCGACCAGACCCTTGCGTCGCTCGCTGTGGGCTTCACGCTTGGCTTTGGCCTGCTCACAGTATGGGAGGCTGTCAAGCAGACCAGGCGAAGCAAGAACCCGCGGCGAAGCTCATATGTGTACATGATCTGGGTCGAGGTTGCCTCCAACGTCGCCATTCTGATTTTGGCGAACTTGCTGTTCCATGGGATCGTCGCCCCTAGGTGAGGATGGACTCTTCGGCATGGAGTCAAGACCAGCCAACCAGCTAATGTCCCGTCGACAGCGTTACCGTGTTGTTCTTCATCCTGTTTTGTTGGGTTTTCGAGGTGCAGATTCTCATGCAAATTATCATCAACCGGATAGCCATCATCTGCGAGACACAAGATATCGTACGGCGATTGAAATGGGGAACGGCTATTGTCATGACGGCAATCAACATTGCTGTCTTCTGTATAGTGAGTGGAATTCTGCCCCAACAAGCGCGCTTGTTGGCAAGACCGTTCGGGGTCTCGTCGACTCCAGTCACCCTGGAAGTTGCTATTGCTAACTACGCCATAATCAGTTTATTCCCGCGCATCGAGTCCCTCCCGTGAGCAACACGTACGTCGAGATCAATAAGTACTGGGACAGAATATCAAAGGTCATCATTTGTCTGATCGACGCCGGTCTCAACTATTACTTCCTGAGGATCGTGAAGCAACGTCTCCTTGATCAATATGGTCTCATGAAATATGCTCCGCTGGTCACCTTCAACGCCAGGTTGATGTTCATTTCTGTCCTTCTCGATGTGAGTACACGCCATCCTCTATGACGCTACTGGAACTAGCCAAAGCTCATTATTACACTCCAGGTCCTTCTGATAGGGCTCATGAGTCTTCCTAATCAGACGGTGTTCATGCTGTTCCATCCACTCGTTTGTAAGTGATGCTCCAGGGACCCGCGCAGGACCAAATAAGGCGGTCAAAAGCACCCTACCGTCGAATATGTCACCGGTCGACACGGAATTCCAACACCCGCACGGCATTCGCTAATACCTGATGTCAACAGACGTCTGTAAGCTGAACATCGAAATGACCATGGCCAGTCTCATTGTGAAACTGGCACAGAGCGGCCGAAGCGACGCCTACTTCGCAAACTCGCACTCGCACAGCACTCCCCACCCCAACTCCCAAATTCGAGGGGGGCGAAACACGAACGAGAGAGAGGTCGCGCTAAAGACCTTCACCGAGTCGAGAGTCCGGGCGTCATTCTCCAACGGGAGCGACGACCCTCAGGCACCCTTCCCCAGCGGGGCCATACAAAGGACGAGGGAGTTCCAGATCACGGTGCACCACAGCAACTCGGGCAGCATGGACGAGTCCAAGGAGTTCTCGAGCGGGGGAGACGACGAGGCGTGGTTGACGCGGCACCCGGGCCACCCGAGAGATGGGAACAGCGACAAGTCGATGGGGACCAGGGACTCGTGAGGATGCTTTCTTTTGCATGGGGAAACACAGGACCGATGCAAGATTTGAAGGGGCCCGGGGCTGGGGGAGCGCGGATGGGCAACGGAGCAGCGGGCGGGCAATTACCAAATGGCCACGGCCGCGTAAATGCCGCGTAACGCACGATGCAACGCCGGGAATTTCGCCACATGCACGCCCGCTGCGGACCGCCGCCCGATGATCCCCCGGCCCACTTATCACGAGACGTTCACGCAGCACCGCCGGCTTTACTGGGAGGATGAGAACCTTGAGAGTGTAACTTCGCGCCGAATACACGAGAGCGAGAGGGGATCTCCACAGGGGCAGGAAGCCAGCCGTGTCTGCAGGGGAGCCCAAGTCACAGAGAGAAGGGACATGGACGGAAGGCAAGCGAGGACTTGTGATGAATTGTAGATACCCAGATACTTTTTCCCGATTTAATGTTAACAGTCGGAAGTCACCACGAATGATTTCCTTGGTTTATCGGGGTCAGCATGGACCCATTGACTGCATTGACCGCTCACTTCTCGAGATCATCTCGCGAGTCCCCACAACACCAGGGAACAGTGCTCGATGATGACGTGCTTGTTAACATGTTGATCCACCTTTCCGTCGGCTGAAGCACCGATCAACGCTGGACTTGGTCTGCTCGAGCTCGGCTGCTCAGGCTCGACAACATGTGAAACCAGATGCTCTCATGGCGATCCGGGCACTGTTGCAGTGACAACCCCAAGCGGCTTGGTGGGTCTGCAGCCGAGCAGATGAATCATGTCTGATTGTTGAGGCTTTCCCAATGGCTGGTCAGGTTGCCCATACCATGAAAATGAATGAAGCAATGCTTGCAATTGCATACAAAATGCCCTGTCCAAGAAATCGGGCTTGTGCGCGAGAACGACGCGAAGTAAATCGGATTCCATCTGGAGCTTGACAAGGGTTATCGCTGTAGAATAGCGTTCGGAATGATCCGTGTCACCACTCGCTTGGGCTCGTTTTCTCGAATGAGATCCGCGTTACTGGTGACTTGTTACGCTTATTTTGAAAATGGAGGATTTTCTCAAGACCAGGGTATCCAGGATTCTATTGCATCTGGGTCCACTGAGAATCTTTCTCCATTGTATAATCATAGCACCGCGGACCATACGATCCGGGCTTGTAACAGTGGGTAGGTCGTTTCTCTTCCAAATATTACACGGGCCGTCCAGTGTTCCAGGCATGAATGGGCCTTAAATCACGAGTACAGATCTGATTTACAAATTACGCTCGCAGTACCTCGACCATATATTTCAGAACTATGTGAAGACATCCGTATGGTGTGAGGCTTACACAGAGAGTCAGTTAGATTTGTCTGCTTGTATTGCTCTTCAGCCAGATCTCGAAGAGAACTTTTGCCTTCACTTGAATTCCTAGGCCTTAACAAAACATTGGACAGACTGGGTACACCCGTAGATTATGCCAGCATCCTGTTGTTGGGCCGGAACAGATCGACTGCAGCTACCAACACATCCGCTGGCGACAGAGATTCCTTTGCTAATTCATATGTCGTCCAATGGGCTAGCCTTCTTTGAGATTACATTCAGCGAGACACACTCCTCCGGGAGAACTCTTAACTTATTTCTTCATCAATCCTCTCAATGAGAGTCATTCAACGTTGCAGCAAAGTCATCTGCTGGCAGGTCGAGACAACGCAGGTGCCTTCCTCCGCCCAGCTCGTGCTTTCCGCTCTTGCACATCCAATTGCCCTTTATGTTTACAACAGCAGTCGCGCAGAGCACAAAATTAGCAGCAAGGGCTATACTCGCACTTGCGCGTGGTAGTGCCCGTGACGTAAACTCATCCCGGGTCTATCCTGCGTCCCGGTTTGACTGAGAATTGCTGTCCACTCAGGCAGGTCCAGGTGTTACCAGAACAAACACATCTGCAGTAGGCGAGGATTGACAGCATTGCCCCCTGGCGCAGACGCTCACCTTGAAGAGTTTTCCTTTTCCTCGTTTTAGCAGTCCGAACTAGAAGTTCTCCTCACGCTCACATATTTTGGGTTGCTACTGAACTCCATGACCGACCTGTGCAGCTGTACCCAATTTGGACGAGAACCCAACCACTCGACAGCAATTTTCCTGAGAATTGGACGCAACATAAATCGTCATCGACAACAACGAAGAAGAAGAGGCGGCGGCGCCGATGTTGGAGCGCCTGAAGCAGCCGTCAAGAGCAGAGGACATAACCTCAGACCCGACCAACATCTCTTTCGTTGCCCCAGGCTGCCAACATGCTTGAGCCGTCAACTCCAGATGATCTCCAAGACGAAAAATCCCGTCGTCGATCCTGCCTTCATCAAGATGACCAACCTCATCATCGAGACATACGAACGCCACAGCGTTTTCAAGGACTCAAGCATCATGCTCCGCGCCTGCATTAGGCTATGCTTCACTCTCTGGCTGCTGGTGCCCCAGGTCTGGCGGCAGACCCGACCTTGGTTTTCGTGAGTACTTCGAGTGTTGTCGAAAGTCTTGGTTGGATTCTAGCTGACAGATTTGGTTTTCAGGATGTGGATCCTGACCGAACCATGATTTTGAACGGAGCCAGGCCCCAGTGGCGTCGGAAGGCAACGGGGCGCGAAGACACACCCAAGCTTTGCGATCATGGCGGACGTTCTGGTCAGCATTATTTTCCGCACCAGGCAACTTACAACTATGTCTTGTCCAAATCACTTATTTGGCGTTGCGGCTGACCAAGTGGCCCGAATACCTGGACAGGCCCTGTACCTGGATCTGGTTCCGGGCTGGAACGCATGGGCCGTCTGCGGCGGTAGCAGCGGAAAAGGTCAAAGGAACGAGTAGGAGAAACTGGCACCGATAATGACGATTGCTATCACAACGGCCGAGATGACCAAGGCGAGTGGTAGCCCCCTCACCACCGCAGCCGCCTAGAGCCACATCGCCTGTGGGAGCAGAAGCAGCCTCAGCCTAAACCTCAGCCTCATTCGAGGTGGTCACTCTTGCTGGGCCTGCTCTTCCTCGGGCTCGAAGACACAAGACACAGACACATACAAAATGACAATGAGTAAGTCATGATTCCCTGTCTGTTGTGTTTTGGAAAGTGCAAATGCATAACATCACGCTCCGTGACTAACACCGACGCAGTGTTTCGGCGCGTCTGGACGATCACACAATGTCATGCCAATCATCTCGGCACACCTCTGTTTAATCTGTTAGAGTCGAGGAAGGGAGATCCATGATGAGTAGGCCTGGTTCCACTACTGGAACACGTTGTCGTGACCGCGGTGGCGGCGAGGGGTGGCTGGCGCCGACACCATCAACCACATTCATCAACCACCTTCATCAATATGCCTCCTACCAACAGCCCCATCCTCGTGATTCCCGCCTAGCAGCCCGAAAGAGAGGTTGCTGTAATCATCCTTGCGGTATTATCTATTCTTACCGGGCAGCCTCGTTTGTGCGCTGGGCGTCCTGCTCGCCCTCTCTGTGCCGGGCGTGGCGCCGTGCGCGCGGCCTCGCCGCGGAGGAGGAGGACGAGGACGAGGAGGATGAGGAGGAGTAACAGCAGGAGCACCAGCAGGGGCAGCAGGAGGGCGCCGAGGGCAAGGGCGGGGGCGAGGAGGCGGAGCGGTGGCAGCAGCAGCCCCAGCAGCACCAATACCACCATCAGGACCAGCACCAGCACCACCACCAGCATCAGCACCAACAACAGGCCCATGCCCAGCCCAGCTCAGCTCCAGCTCAGCTCCAGCTCAGCTCCAGCTCAGCTGCAGCTCAGATCCAGCTCAGATCCAGCTCAGCTTCAGCTCAGCTTCAGCTCCAGCTCCAGCCCCAGCCGCCGTCGCCTGCGGGCTAGCCGCCGTGTTCACCTGGACCCAGGAGCAGCAGGAGCAGCAGGGAGCCAAGGGCGAGGGCCATGGCGAGGACGAGGACAAGGACGAGTAGGAGCAGCAACACCAGCACCAGCTGAGGGCAAACTTTTTATCAGCCAAACCGTGTGACAAAATCTCATACGCGTGCAGGTAGATCTTCATCACTCCGGATGCCATGGCCAGACCGCGGATGCCCAGGACGCGAGTGATCAGATTGGTAAACTCATTTGTTGCAGGATCAATGCCGGAGAGAATGTTGGCGATGGACTGAGGCGTGGAAGCCTCCTTGATGATGATGGTTTGCTGATCCAGGGGCTCGTCGGTAGAGGAAGACATTGTGAATGAGCGTCGTGAGGTTTTGTTGAGGCTTGTTGTTGTCTCTTCAAAGGAGTGTGCCGGGTTTCTTGTTGTTACACCAGGAGAACGAAATTGTGTGAGCTTCGGGAGAATCCAGAAGAGAAAAGGATCAGGTTCGAGGATTTTTGCCCGGACACATTCTATTTAGCAGCCGCAGCCTGCGGTGGGGGAGGCAGCGGCGGCCGTGGTGAAGGCGGTAGTTGCCCTTTTTTTTTTTTTTTCGTTTTCTGCCGTGGTTTTGGTTTTCTTTTAGGGGGCGGGGGGTGTTTTCTTCGTTTTTCTTTTTCTATTCTTAGTAACTACGTATATACTTACTGAGTTCGAATAAACGTTGCCCTGTTTTTGGTTCTTTACCATTTCCTGTGCTGACTTTCTTTGGTGATTCTACCGTCATTCTCGATAACTCCACGTGGTACAACGTTTATATATGCCTGGAATTTGATGTAGATTAGAATGTCTGCAAGCCTGATGGAAACAAGAGCATGATCTCCTGAGTGCTTAGAATGGCCGTTATTTATGAACATGCAGATGTGAAATTAATATCTCCAGCAATTTCTATTTTGCTTGATAGTCCAAGATGGCTGCGTGGCTTCTTCATCAGGTATAGAGCGGTGTACGGTGTGAAAGGGGTTAGTAGGGCTGTTGTACATGAACGAAGAGTCCAGATGAGTCAAAACATCAGGGAAAGGACAGTTACGGAGCTGCATTTCCTCCAGGATGTCATATAATCATGAGCACACGAAAGCAAAATCATAGATCAATCCCTGGCAGCCTATAGTATTGGCTTCGTTGAAAGAGACATATTGGTACTGGGCCAAGATGTAGCATGTGAGTTGGAAATTCTTGGATACTTTTTGTTGTCTTCCAAGGAACGTGGATATCTTTGATCTTATTCACCCTCGGTCACGGTGGGATTCTAGAAGAAGAAAAGCGGTGCTCTCAGCAGCAGTTACAGCAGCAACGAAGGAAGCGTAAGAGCGTGAGGTGGAGACAGCGACAGAAATCGCTTGGGCAGTACGTGCGGCGACCATTCTGCGATCTTCCTCGTCGAGAGCTCGGACTACACAGATCATAGCACTTGAAGCGGCTGCCGTAGCGGCTCCAATAGGCGTCGTCTTGTGTGGGGGAGGGTTCAAGATGTGCGAGGTCTTGCGAGGAGGCCGAGTCGCCGGGTTCCGGGCACGAAGAGATTCGACGGTCTCACTCTCGTCTGTGTTTCTTGGGGCCTGAGGAGTTCCGTCACGAAGAAGGTCCAGTGCGTTATATGGAGGCGGCGCGGCGTCCTTCTGAATGTTGAGACTTGGTTGTTTGTTTGGACCTCCAAACGTAGTCTCCCGAGGCAGTTTCTTTCCGCTCGACCTCATTCTGCGTCGCAGTCAAGCGCGGAGACGGTTGGCCATTGTGTTGGGCCGATTCTGTGAACGCTTGGGGTGGACGTGATCTTTGGGAATCGAATGTTATTTGCACGTAGACATCGAATATGAGTTATGCATTTCCACAGCTCTCGAGTATTTTACAACTGATGCATCTAACCCGCATGTACATGACCTCGTTAAAAAGACAATTAAAAATCGCTAACATCTTCATCGCATTGCTGACCGTCGTCGTAAAGTTCAATAGCAGTGATATTGTGGCCAGCCACCTGCCACATCAGCCACTCTAGATCTTGTAACTCTCATCAACACGCTCCCCAACCACGGCGTCCGGACGACGCTCGACTCCAGAAAGAACCTCCTTCTCCTGCTGAACGGCGACATGGTTGTTCAGCAGGTGCGAGGGATCCTTCACCCAGAAGGCCACACCGGTAGCCACAAGACAGAACGGGATCGTGGCGTAGCAGACCATCCTGAAGGCGTTGGAGTACGTCTCCTTGAACGCGGCGCCGGTGGCGGCGATGACCGCGGGCGTGGCCCCGGGCACGGCGTCGAACGCGAAGGGCACGCCGACGGCGTTCTGGATGACGGCCGGGATGAGGGCGCCGAGGTTGGTGGGGTCGAAGCCGGCGCCGATGGCGGCCCCGGCCAGGTTGTTGCCCAGGTTCTTGTTGGCGACGGACGTCAGGATCGTGCTGAAGATGGCGTTGCCGACGGAGCCTCCTGCCGAGCGGAACGTCCCGAGGAGACCGGCGCTGACGCCTAGCTCTTCGACTGGGACGAAGAGGCCGGAAGAGACGTATGCGAGGGTGGTTACCCATCTGTTAAATTGGTTAGATACTTTCAAGGTTGAATATATGATAGGCCGATGACTGCAGTCCCAGGGCAAGTGAAGGTACTCACGTGAAACAGGACTGTCCGAACAGCTGCATCGCACTCCAGGCCATCCGGTTTGATGGAACAACTGCAGCGTAGCTGGCAGTGAACGCGCACTGCATCAGGAGGGCAAACATGATCTGGTACCGAATATGCTTGATCTTGTGGACAAAGGATGGAATAATCCAACCACCCAGGACTCCGGACATTGTGGAGGGGATCATGGTAATTCCGATCTGGATGGGATCATTCGTGAAGGCGTACAAGGTGATCTGCGGGGCGAGCGTGACGATCGCCTGCCAGACCATGCCCGAGATGAACAGGATGATTAGGTGCACGGTGAACTCCCGGAACATGGCGAACAGCTTGAACGGGAAGATGGGGTTCTTCGGCTGGGTAAAGTCGTACCAGAAGCTGGCCACGAAGATGACGGCGCCGATGGTGATCGTGGAGGCGACGAGAGGGACGGAGAAGTTCGCGTGTCCGAGATCCGTCATTCCCACGAGGAAGATGCAGAGGCCGGCTGTAAAGAGGGCAAGGCCGATGAAGTCGAGTTCCTTGAATTCCTGCCATCGCGACTTCTCGTAGTCATGCTGGGGTCGAGAGGGTGGGAAGTAGCACACGAACGTGCCGGCGATACAGATCACGGCGTAGATGATGGCAATGTAGAAGCACCACCGCCATGTCGCGTGGATCAGGAGTTGGGTCGCGAGGTACACGCTGAGGCAACCCCAGGGGATGTTGATGCAGAATTCGGTCCAGCCAAGACCAATGCCTCTGTTGGACGTCAGTATTGATATCAGTCTCTGTGTCTCAAAGCCAACATACCGGTATTTGTTAGGAAGCAGTTCTGAAATTCCTGGATACCCAACGAAGATAGTGCCAGCGCCGAAGCCACTGTTTCTGGTCAGCATATGCGTGAAAGAAGAAGTACGAGGCCCGTTTAAACACCTACATGATTGTTGTCCCTGCAGCGACCTGGAGAGTTGAGTTCGCAACAGCAGCAACGATCTGCATACTTGTCAGCACGGTACGTACTCCTTCAAACTTCAACGAGCTCCGAACTCACACCGCCGATCAAAGTCAGGAGCTGGCCAGCCATAAGCACCCAGCGGCGGCCGAACACATCACTGAGACCGCCTGCGATAGAGAAAGCAACGGCGGAGGCGACAGACCATCCGCCAGGAATCCATATAGTGTTCTCCGTGTCGCCCAATTGCTGTCCGATCTGCTGCAGGATACCGGTGGGGAGAAGCAGACCACCGCTGATAGCGGGTACATACGAGAGGCCCATAAACTGTTTGCCATCTCGATGTTAGTGTGAAGTCAACAATGGCAATCTTGTCTCAAGGAGATTGACTGACAAAGACGGCCAGTATTGTTGACAACGAAACTCGCGGCTCCGGGGCGTTGGGTCCCGTCTGAACTGGCTGCCCGGCCCGCTGGTAGCTGTCCGTGCTAGGACTCTCAGGGTCCCCTTGGTTGTTGACGTGGGCAATTGTCGGGCCCTTGCCATCGTAGGCCTGCGCCCGGATCTCGTCCATCTCCATGCTGGCTGTTTGTATGTGTTCAAATCGGGTTGATGATGCTGCTTATTTCGTATATCGTGGGGGGAGAGAGAGAGCGATACCAGACGCGCCGCGACAGGATGGATTGATTGATTAAAAAGCCAGTTGGGTCTCAGATGAACCGTAGCATCGCATGGCGCTACCTGCGCGCTTTGAGGCATCTCGCCGGGTTAATTTCTGCTCTCCGCACTCATGGAACATGAACATGCTGGACCCCTGGCCCGGCACTGAAATTCCTAGGCCAGCCTGCCCGCCAAGGCCTGCGAGTCACCGCATTAGGTTTCGCTCTGATGGGCTTCAACGGGCTTAGTTCCGTCCAATAGTTAGTTGTCGAGCACATCCCGCCTGCCAGGCTGACGATCCCGCCTTGGGTCGAACAAAGAGATGTGGCCGGGCTTGCGGTCCTTGGTGGGAGCCAACGGGAAGTAGATGATGCGTGCTATGGTGAAGCGTGTGCAACCACCAGCATCAGATCTCTCTAGACCCTTGGCGCCATTGGGCTACTCTCCTTCGAAGGAACACTAGCCCCTTGCGCTTGTCTTGGTCAAACTCAGCCGGAGCTGGGGCGGAGGGTAGATTTTACGACCGCCGGGGCTAGAAAACGTGGCGCCGTTCTGGGCCATGAGGTGACGGTGATTGTCAGGAGGCTCACGAAGCCCTGCGGGCGATTAGCAAGATCGTACCCGTGCCCGTTTGGGTGCGATCGGCGGCGTTGAGGCTCAACTTGGGCCCCATTTGGGCCATGGTTGCTGTCACACACCAGTCCGTGCTGCATCATGTACGACCGTACAGTGTTGTGACTACAACATGTGGCCGAGCTGCAGGCTTAATAAAAGCAAGCGATACGGTGCTGACAATGCAACCCGATCTGACGTCTTTCTGGAGACCTTGGAAGCCAACACGCGCATTGTTTCACAGCGGCAGGCTCACCAGAGCACTGCGGATTCGTGCTCTGTTTGCTCGTGTCTGGCACCTAGGGCTCTCTGCCCATGTCGGCAGCACCGCGGGCCCTCTTATGGCCGCCGGACACGCTTTGTCTCCACGCTACCTGTGCCGTATGACTTCCTCAGCCCCCGTCTTCATCCGTAGCTTCAATCCCTGAAAACTGTTCACGGGGAATGATCCACTTAGATTGCGGGGCCCCGCACTCTCCTCGGCCCGCCTTGGTTGTCTCCATAGCGGCTCTGGGGTTTCTATGGAGACTCTTCTCGTAGCAGGTCGGCAGGGCTCTTGGCGGTTCTTGAAACCATGCGCACGCGCTACGGCGACGCCAAAGGGGGAGGTTAATGGGAATTAAGTTCTACCGTATTTCGCTGTGCGCTGCACTGAGTCCCAACCTCCTCCCAATTGGCAATTGGGTTGCAGCTGAGCACGCGCGCTCCGGAGTAACTATTGAGGCAATGTCGGCCTGTCTGGGGCTTTTAGGTTTAGCCATCCGGCGAGGGTGACGTCCGTCACGACCCTTCATGGATGTTAGACTAGGGAGCTGATGGGCACCGGCTGAGCTTCAGCTACACACGGGCTTCCAGAAATGTCGCCGAAATTTCCATCGATGCTTTACGTGTACTGTCAAACCCAACTCTTCCGAACACTGAACAGTTTCAGAGGCAATTCAGTCTCCCTTCGATGACAGCAGCATCCCAACCATCGCTAGCAATCGCACGGGTTGGGTCGGAGCGTGACTTCACTGCTGGCACCGCTTGACGTCGCAGGGGTCACTCACGGACGACGGTTCGATGCTACCGTCGGTGGGCGTTCAGGCCAAGGTGAGCAACGATCAACATCATGCCATCACTGCCGATTGGTCTGAGTCATGTTCTGTTTGCTTCATCGATCCGAAATGAGACACTGCTGTCCTCTACATATATCAGCTCACAACATTCGGATAGACTTTCTCAACCAGCCGTGTACCGACCGGACAGGCGACATTTTCGATGCTCACATCGTCCACAAAGATCTTTTGCTTTGTCCAAGGCCCGGGAAGAAGCCTTCCGGGTTCACGGTTGACTGTACTATGGTGTTGGGATAATACAGCTTCTACATAGAGGACTGGAGAACGGTCAACAGTCGATGTCGAGGAAAAGGCATGCATGTGTAACGCGATTCATACGAGGATGCGGCCGCAGAGCAGCCAGGCAGCGGACTCAGGTAGCTTTCCATAGGCCAGGCATTAAATCGCTTCCTCGGGGGTGCCATCTGGCTCCGGCAGCTGAGATAGTGTATGGCCAAAAGCACGCTTGCAAGCACCAAGAGCATAGGGACAAGAGCACGTGAGAGTGTCGTCCATTCCTCATTCACATCGATGTTTTGAGTGTGCACGATCCAGTGTTCTAGCATCTCCCTGCGCCGTTTTTGGAATGTCCCCATCTGACCAAGCGCTCGGTTAGCTGCCCTGGCCATCAAAATTCTCCCACTCGCCAGTTACCTCAGTGGCATGCATAAATGTTGGTATCTCAAAGTTGCTTTTCTTCGTTGTTTCATGCTTGTATCAACCGAATGAGGTTTCCCCTTGCCTGTTCTGCTCGGTCAGGTCCAGGCTGATTCTCATGTTGTGACGACCAGCTTGACAGAAATTAGCAGCTAGACCCTTTCACTCCAGCCAAGATTGGAAGTCATCGAGGTACCCGGAAGGACTGGTGCCATCCTTTTGTAGGACGACACACTTGAGTATTGCCTTACAAGGGGTTGCCTAGTACACGTGCTATAGACAGGTTCGTGCTCAGGACTCCCGGCTGCTGCATGATCGTGTGAGCCCTGCTGAGTCTGCGAACACATTCCTTGTTTTTTTATAAAGTTGTTCCCAATTCTGAAGTTGACATCAAATCCTGTGGAGACACTGGTGTTGATTATACTGAATGACAGATCTTGGTCACCGAAATAAATTCAATGAGCCTGGCCGTTGCTGGACAGTCGAATCTGATCATTGATAGACAGCTACGATTAGTTTTGTTCTACACAATTGCAGACGGCGATCAACATCTAACGCTTAGTCACTGATATATGTCCATAGGTACGGGAGATTAGCAGAATAATCTGGCGAGTAGAGCTACTTATGGATGCTGGCGTGAAAATGCGCAGGATAGATTGTCTAGTCTTACGACCTATACACCGACCAGCCACAGCATCACGAGAAATGCGTCTATCATATACTGAAAGTTGCCTATACAAGAAGCCAGATGATGGAATCGCATCATGTTCACGTCTTTTCTTGCCGACCAGTCTTCGGACTTAGAGAATTTGTATTCAGAGCCGGATTTGACATTAATCTCGCTACTACATCTTTCAGGGATAATTGATCCTAGCAGCTCCGACCCATTGAGCTGCACGTTTTTTTAGTAACAGGACATAAGTATTCGAAAGAGAATATTCTGGAGATGCAAGAAAGAGAATCCACGTACTAAAGATAGTACCACCCGAGAAGGCAGTGTCAAGGCTGCTGGTCGCACTGCATACACCATAGACGTAACGGTTGCCATTGGCATCCCACTCGGGGCCCAGCCAGAGAGGGCCCCCGGACTGGCCGCCGATGGCGTCGGCGTCCGTGACGAGCATGGCCCTTCTCTCGTTGGGGCAATCCGAGGACCCGCCGAGCCTCGCCACCGTGATCTGGCCCTGTCGGTAGGGCTGGGTCCCGCCGTCACGGTCCTGCGGGTAGCCCAGGTGGTACCAGACGTTCTTGTTCAGGTGCTGGTCCTCAATGACCCGAGCCCCGAAGTAGCCGCGCTGATCGCCGATGCGATCTTTGAGGACCACTGGAAGAGCAGGGATTCGAGCGTTAGCCTCTCGGTGCCCGCGGTGAGGTAGCTAACGCTTCAGGGGCAGGAAGACTTACGGATGGCCCAGTCGCTGAATTCCCAGCACGGGGCCCCGATGGGCACGCCCGAATTGAGCACGAACTGCACAGCAGATGAAGGATACGTATCCCCGCCGGCGTACGCGGGCTGGAAGACTATCGGCGTGCCCTGCTCCGGGATACAGTGCAAGGCCGTGGCCACATGGCGTGGGCCGACGAGGGTGGCCGAGCACCAGACGCCACCCCACTGGATACGGCCGATTGGGGAATATGGGAAGTTCCTGTCGGTCCAGCGGACGCGGTCGTCCACTGCGCCTATGATGCCTCTTCTCTCTGCCTGGGCAGCATCGACGCCGAAATCCGAGGGCGGCACCTCCGTGACGTTGCTCTCGACGACGCCCCTCAGGATCTCGGCGTCGAGGGCGACGAACTCGGGGATCAGGCCCTCGTTGATGCTGGCGATCCCGGCCTGGGACTCCCGGTGGTACCAATACCCAGGGGTGTGAACGAAGGCTCACTTTCGGCAGTGGGGAGTGAATAAGTGGTTTGTGCAAGGCACAACGCAAGGACACCCGTCACGAGCTTGGTCATCATGGCTGTTCTCAGTGCTTTTTAGAGAATGGAGGGGACTTTTCTCATTGAGGCGACGGCTAGAGCAAGCTGATCGTGCTTCAGTGCGATAAAGAGGCAGGTATTTATACTTGACATGAGTCTCCTCGCTGTTGGCATTTGATGCTGAGCATAACATCGTATGTTGGCTGAATTGGCGAAATTCTCACGGGCGAGAAGCAGACTATCGACTTTTGGACGACCTCCAAGCCATCGATGTAATCCTTGGCTTACAGGTATTCTGACCTTCTTGCACAGGAACATGCTTGGCATGTACTTCGGTATAGTTCTTCTTGGTGGTTGGAATGCGCCGTGTAATTCATCGATTCTACTTGGCATTCGTAGCTGGGGCCCGGTGTGACTGCCTTGGAACAATACATAGCAAGTACTTTTTTTTTTTTTTGACAATATAGGACAGTAAGGAGGACGTAAGCTAAGAGCTCTGTGTTGTGCCAGTTACTGGCTGTAAGCCCCTGATTCTACCTCTGCCCGCCGCTCACAGGCTATCGCCAACGGGTCTATTAGTATGTATGATAGTGCAGGCTGTTGCCCATTGCTTGCTTCTGATTTGACTTCGGCAAGCTGGAACAGAAGAATGAGTGTTATGAAATTTTACGGGCAGGCAACTTGTCATTACTTGAAATGTGGCCTTGTTGCCTGAAACGCTGTAGTACTATTGCTATTACCACGGGGAACAAAATTTACTAGCAGCACATCGATCATTATTTTGCAATCACATATCCTTCGCGTTTTCGCCATGATTAGAAACGCTTTCCCAGAACGGCTTGGAGATTATCGTAGCAAGCCATAGGCAACACAGAACAGAGACCCTAGGCTCATTCAAACAAATCACCGGGTTACACTGTGAACACTTAGGCTACATCAAATGGACCAGTCTCGAATCTTGGCCAAATTCAAGCGGACGCCAACACGCTCCATTGGGACGACTACCCAAGTGAATTAACCACTACTGGAGACCCTGCATTGTGCCTGCATTGGACACACGTGGGACTATCCAGGCAGCAATATGTGAAGATGGTGGGTACGTGTTTTCTTGGGACCGGAGAGCCATTTGAATGGTCGGGTCGCGTTTGGAGCTCGGAATTCCTCAGATCTAGACACGGCGTGGGGAATACTTAGCAAAGACAATAGACACATTTCACGGCGTGGACTAACCTTTCTTGGTTGATGGTGTGAGCTGATTTTGATAGGCCTGTTGGAGGTGCGTGAGATTAATTACAACGTACTCTCATTTGCAATCAATCGTATCGTTTTGGCGCTACTCTCATTTGCAATCAATCATATCGTTTTAGCGCTAGTAAGCTGCACAATACACACCACACCCTTTTTCCTCCTTACTTTATTTTTCAACTATTTTTACCTTCTACATAATAAATATACCCTTAATCCAAATATACCCTATATTAAAAGATAATTGCTTTTTTTTTAATTCTTTTAATATTTATTTAAGAAGGGTAAAGAAATTATTTAAGGTATAAGGTATGTTAATATTTAATTTTAAAGATAAATTTAAAATTTTAAAGGAAAGGTATTTTTAAGTAAATTTAAGTATAATTACCCTTTATTTATAATAATTTTAATATAATTCTTAAATTTTATTATCCTTTATTATTTTTTTAAATTTAACTTTAACTTAAGTTATTTTTAACCTTAATTTAAATATATCTTATACCTTTAATACTTTCTTTTCCCTCCTTAAATCTATATTAAAAGAATTAAAAAAAAAGCAGCTTTCTTTTAATATAAGTAATTATTAAATTAAAGCTATATTAAGAAACTTAAATAAAGTATAATTAAAAAAGAGTGTGGTATGTATTATGCAGCTTATTAGCGCTAAAATGATATAATTAATTATAAATAAAAGTAGTGAGCTGCATAATATATACTATACCCTTTTTCCTCCTTACTTTGTTTTTTAATTATTTTTACCTTTTATATAATAAATATACCCTTAATTTAAATATATCTTATATTAAAAGATAATTACTTTTTTTTAATTTTTTTAATATTTATTTAAAAAAGATAACGGAATTATTTAAAGTATAAGGTATATTAATATTTAATTTTAAAGATAAATTTAAAATTTTAAGGAAAAAGTATTTTTAAGTAAATTTAAGTATAATTACCCCTTATTTATAGTAATTTTAATGTAATTCTTAAATTTTATTATTCTTTACTACTCCTTTAAATTTAACTTTAACTTAAGTTATTTTTAATCTTAATTTAAACATACTTTATACCTTTAATACTTTCTTTTCCCTCCTTAAATTTATATTAAAAGAATTAAAAAGAAAGCAGCTTTTTTTTAGTATAGGTAATTATTAAATTAAAGCTATATTAAGAAACTTGAATGAAGTGCGATTGAAAAAGGGTGTGGTGTGTGTTGTGCAGCTCATTAGCGCCAAAACGATACGATTGATTGCAAATGAGAGTAAGCGTGGCTGCCCGTATGCAGGTTCGAGGGTTGCATCCGAGAAGGCAGTTTCGCTCGGATAAACGCCAAAAGAGTCAGGTATTGATCTCGTCCAATACATCTGGGTCACGTTAACCAGGTAAGCTGATGGGATTTCCAGATTGTTTGTAGATGCAAGCCTGTCACAGTATTCTAACGTCAGTTTGCTTTCTATACTAGAGTGTATATATTGCACTACAGGACTTGTGTAATTGGTGGCTGGTACAACCGTTCCGATCATAGTTGAGATTAAGCCACTTTCTCCATCGATCCTCGGGGTAAGTAGCAATATTACTCTTCATTGTCATTTGTAGTTGAAATGTCAAGCCGACTCAAACCGAGATCAAGAAGCACTCGCTGGAGCGTTTTTCATCGAAGTCTGAGCTTATCTTTAGACTTTTGATGAAATTGCTATTGTGCGCTGTTAACCAAGTATCTAATATGCCGATGAAAAGAGCAAGTTACAGTCCCTTGTACCTGCTGATTCGCCCTCTATCAGCACCGTGTGAGCTATGTATTGATCAAATATTTCTGCGCATCTGGTGTGGACCGTGAAGTCAGCTGACCATTTTTCCGGGGCCGTGGGGGCCAATTCGGAATGAGAGGGTTGACCTTGCCGTAGAATTCCAAAGTGGGCTCGAGGTCCTGCTCCCACACCGTGGTTTCGAGGCAGACGTCAATCCCCCGGACCCGTACGGCCGCGTCCTTGTCAGACAAAATTAAACGGCATGATGCAGCGTGAGCTTGACTACCATAAACAGACCGTGCCCGAGCGGCAAGCATGGCCAGCTTCGAAATGCCTGGCTTCAGTCTTGGTGTTTGCGCCAATATTGCGCCACACAGGGCGTGCATCTACCCGGTGGCCCGGGTCGCGGGTCGCTGGTCGCCGGCCCCTGGACGGCTTTTGCGACCGTCCCGAGGTGAGAGGAAAAGTCTGCCAACCATACACTTTGCTTACAGAGCAGGTCGAGGCGGAGGACAGGAACAAATAAATAATTGACTAACTAAATAACTGAAGAATTCAAATATCAGAAGCCGAGAGCCTCAATAGTGGTACCGATCCTTCTGGTGCTGATCTCTACGATGCGGCCGGTTGTCTCATACACCGGGACAGTCCATGTATTTGGTCACGGTGTAGACGTACTGAGTATCCGGTATATCCGGCGGATCATGGGGGTCCCTCATGTAAGCTGTCACCAGGACCTGGAACGGGTACTTCTTGCCTCGAGGCACCTTCCAGGGAAACACGGCGGCAAGCGGCAAGAGGAAGCTGGCCTCGTCAAAGGTCTGCGTGGCCACGCCCCAGCGCGTGCGCGGCAGGACCGTCACGTCAAGTGAGCCGTTCTTGACGTCCCAGCGCTGGCGAACGACGTTGAAGCGGATGTTGTAAAGCATAGAAGGGGCGGGGCCTTCCGGCGCATTGCTGCGGAGGAGGGCGCGGTTGGTCTGGTCATCGTCCGGGTCGGGCAGGGGGGTTGTTGGCGGGTCTGTGTAGGGCGCGATGGGGATGTTGAGGTCGAAGTGTGTCACGCGCAACGCCCAGTACTGGAGTTGTGGGTAAGCCCGAATGTCGAAAATAAGGTCGAGTGGAACGTGGCTGTTGGTGGGCACGTTGGAAGTTGGCCTGCCCAAGGGGAAGACGTTGAAAACCAAGGGAGGTTTGGCCACGTCAGGAAGTGGCATGGGAATTTCTGGAGGCGGTAGTATCTCGTTGCCGTCCTTTCCGTCTGCGTTACCAGCTATCATGACCCAGTCTTGGTCGCCGCGCTGTTGAGCTTCATTTCGGCAGACAGGGAGCTTGGTCGGCTGGAACAAAACTGCTTTCTCCGGCCCCTGAAGAGAGGATCTGGGTTTGTATTTCTCGCCGGGAAAGGCCGGGGGATGGAACTGAAACATCTCTGATTCTTCATGGCGGAACAGATCCCAGCGGCCGAACTCTACTTCACTCGTGAGGGCTGGAGGCTTCTGGCTGTGACCCGGCCCTGTTGGTAGCTCCGGTAAAGCAGCTGTGATGACGAGGGTGTAAATTGGCTCGTTGAGCTGCAGGGCCATGACGGCTGAGGTTGGCGCCTGCGTTTGGTACTGGCCATCTGGCATGTACTTTTTCAAGTTATCGTGCACCAAATCGGCGTATTCCTGAATCTTGAGCGTTCTCGCCTCCCAATCGAAAATGCGCGAGCGGCTGAACTTGCATTCAGGCATGGGAACCCCTAGTGGCTCCCGGCGATGCTCCTGGTCGACTGGCAGTGGCTCGTCGGCTCCTGTGGCATAGACGCGTTTGTAGTGCATTTCTACATCATCTGTTGTTTCGTCGAACTGGAAGGCCGCTATGAATGTTTGCTGGTGGGCAGGCAAAGTGAGCGTGAGTTTGGACAGCTCCGGCGGGTCCCTGTCGAATAGAACGAGCATCGTATCTGCTGCAAGGCGCCGTTGGACGAGGATTGGGACCGCGGGTTTGGCATTGGCCCAGTCCTCTTGTGTATGGATCTTTTCAAAATCCGCACTCACGGCAAGGTCTGGGAACTGGACTAGTAGCTGCGAGCGGAGAATGAACCCGTAGGTCGGAATTTGCTGTTTGTAACTACCAGTGATCGGAGTCTTGAAGTAACGATTCAGTGTATTCTTCAGGGACGACCGGGTAAAGTCCTCTTCTGGTTTGTCAGCCAAATGATTTGCTAGACTGAGGGCACCATCTACCATGGCATCAGTCCAGTTTGCGTCAACATGGAACAAACGGAGAGACTCTGGTGGGAGGTGAGATGGATCCGGAAGAAGATATTGAGCTGGAATCCCAGCGAGATGCAACTTGTCGAGAACCCATTCCTGTACCATAGCATAATCAGTACTGTTCGGGACGCTGTGGTAGTTGTATGGTCCGCCATCGGGTGTGTTGGCGTTGTCGTCCGTGATGTACTGGGCATGCTGGCCCATCTGATGAAATACGTGCTCGGAGCGGAGACTGAAGAGATCTGGACCGTCATCTTTCTGCTTCAGGAGCCTCCGATTCCAGCGGTTGGTGGAAAAGCAGGTCCCAGACACATGCACATCAGAGTTGATGTGGTTGAGGGCACCAACGAGATCGGCAACATCCGCTTTGATTCTGCTTTTAGGAACGTAGGTCGAGCGAGAGTCCGTTTCAGTCAAGACAGAATGCTCGTGCTCATCGTCGCCAAGAGTGCCCAATGCTGCTTCCTCGGTTCTGAGCCTCTTGAAGATGTCTTTTCTGGCGGCTTCGAGGGCATCTTCGTGGATCTTGGTGCGCAGCCGGGCCAGAGCAGCCGTGAAGGACGGATCTGCCAGGGCAAGTGTCTTTCCTAGCTGCCAAGCCGAGGCATATGACAAATCCATAAGCCCGAGATCAGGATCCAGGATCTGGAGATCTGTGCCGAAGTTGGACTGAAAGACAACATCTTTGTGCAGTGGATGAGGTACTTTGGTGGGTGTCAGAGGTCCTCGCACCATTGCAGTTGTCTGCTCACCAGTCACGGTACGATGGCGTACAAGCGTGTAGCCATCCATCTGGCGGCGCGTTACAATGTCGCTGATCACCTTCTCATCGCCATCTCCTTCCGGGACTCCCTGGCTAGTGAGACCCGAACGAAGGACTTTCAAGCCTCGGTCCTTGTTACCTAGGTAGCGCAACATGCTGACTACATCAGGGGCACCCGGAGGGAGAGCTGTGTACGTCCAGCTGTACAAGCTTGTCATGAGAACGTGCTCTTTTCCATCAACGATCTTGACCGGCTTTGTATCGATTCCTTGGAGCGAGACGAGATGGGCCAGCACGGGCGTTGGCCGTCACATCTGTTGGGCCAAGACGATGAGAAACGGTCATGCTGAATGTGGCCGTGCCATTCGTCTTCGGATTAGGATCATCGTTGGCGACTGCAGCCGACATTGTGCCAGCTGCTGCGACATTCCGAACATGGGTCATGAAACGATAAGGAGAGATGTCGAACTCATTCTCGCTTTTCGCATTGGTGAACAGTTTCTTGAAGACTCCACTCGGCACAGCAATTAAGCTCGTCTTGACTTCAGCGTCAACATCTCTCTGATTGGGGAGCGGGATGAAATTGGCAAGCCGGTCTTTCTTCTCTGGTGATGTGTCAAGGACTGAGGAGACCTTGCCAACAGGTATGTCCCATCCAAGCGTCTCATTAATGCTCAGTCCATTGAAATACGAGGTGCGATGGTCCTCGTCGAGCGTAAGCTCATCGGCGGTGAAAACAACTAGTGCAAACCAGGGAATCTCGTTGGCATGGTTGTCTGGAACCTTTTGACTGGCGAGGCGAGCCCATGGTAGCTGTGGATCGCGAAGCACTATGTGCGGAAGTGTTCGAAAAGACGGCGCCGTTTCACCTGGTGCAGGAAACACGGATAGAATGACGTTCGAGTCGTCGTCGCCGTTGCTCTCTCCCTGGGCATGGCCACCATCTGCGCTGGTGCTCAATGCCCACTCCGGTGCAACAACCTCAAACGACTTCTTAGCGGGTTCCGCATTTACATCGCCGGGTTTGCCTGGTGCAGTAACATGCTGATTGATGGAGATGTTGTATTCGCCTGCTGGGAGCGACGGCAGTTGATAGGATAGAAAACGCGATTCTCCTGGTTGAAGAGCGGGCGACGTGTTGTTTAGGAGGTGGCGTTCATGGTGGAGAGTTAGATGTCGATATTTCCCTCGAAGGGCCATGGCGTAATCGGTTTATTTGCAGTGGGGATTCTCGGTGACTATTATGGGCTTATGTTTGATTGTGTTGTCTGCCGAGATCCGTATATCAGTGGTGAAGAACAGATGAGTGTCTTGATCATCCACATTGGAAGGGACTCTCGATCGACTGCGATGTCGCCACTATACCATAGGAGAGCGCCAAGGGATTTTCGGGTGATGTACCGCTCAGACGAGGCCACAGTGCAAAGTTTTGATTCTCCATCCGCCTTGTGGACTTCGAGAGCAGTGCACCACAGACCCTGACGACCCTTGGGCGCTGGAATGGTAAAGAAATCCGCAGTGGCTCCGATGGCTGGCTGAACACGCCACTACCGACGCCCGCCATTCCTATTCCCCACTTTAACATCCATGTTTCAGCTGTCAATTTGCACACTAATCTTTGATTTGTCTTAAAACTCACTACACGCTCTAAACTGTGTCGAAGGGTCCCTTGCATGAGCTGGAATTCTCCGCAATGGAACGGAAAGGCAAGGGGTCTGGGGCCGGCTGCAGGATCACGCCGAGGCGTACCATTAGCAAAGTACCTCAGTATGATCCCATCGTTATAGTGGCTTTGTTTAGCTGGTTTTCTTGTCCACCCACCTGCTGTTCAGTACAGCACGCACTTTGGACACAGCTTGAAAGCGATCTGAGCCTGGTCACTGCTCCACCAGCCTTTCTAGTTATCTCGTCACGCACACAGCTATCGTGACTTCCGCGAGAGCGAAGCACCCTTGCCCAGTCAGGCTATTCAAGCAATCATCTTTCTTCAGCTCTTGTTGCATCAACAATGACTGCCAATCAAAATGTGCTTATTCCCGTGAAGCTTGATGCTTTTGTTCTCAACGACGCGGTCTGCCAAGGGGGTCCGGGCAAGGCGAAAATAGCTCCCATATCCCAGCCTAACTACACTTTCCTCCGTTTGGATGACTCTTATCTTCAGTCAGACATACTCAACGACGTCGACATCCACACCATTGCGCCAAATCCAGGCGGCCATCAAACAGGAGCGGACTTGAACTCGCGGATCACGGATCTCGGATCGGGGGTGAGGCGACCGGGGCGACGCGGCATCTATCTGCACTGGACGATTCCGCGCATCTATCGCAGTGGCGCGACCAGCACCGAGGACAGGGGCAAGGACTCTCGCGGCCTACCAGACTTCCCGGAAGTTCCGACAAGATGGTTGGTCGTACGCCAAATTCACGACATGGCCACTGTGCAGCCAAAGGAAGCCCGAGATGTGTTGAAAGCCTATCATGGCCTGGGTTGTCGAGAGCGACCGCTGCCGAACTCTGGACGGCCCACGAGATGACAAAAACGAACTAGTCAATCCAATCGACATCATTGAGGAAACCGCAGACCTCCAGGTTGACGTCTCTCCGTTCGTGAGCACGTCGACACCTGCCCCGGGTGAGAGCGTGTTGGACAAGCAAGCAGAGATCTTCATTGGCGATAAGAAAGACGCAGATTTGTGGAACGAGACAGCGCCAGCGGGTGGTGAGCCCGACAAGACAAAAAGCAGAATCCCTTTGCAGCTCATGGGCTCTTCGAACGAACTCTTCCCAGACTCAGACCCACTGCTCCAACGTGTTCTCCATCGTCGACAACTTCTGCTTCGACGACAAGAAGAACCTGTATGCAACGGCTGCCAAGTGTAGCTATTCGATCATCGGCTGGAACTCAAAGAGCCCGAGCGATATCATGGCACTCAAAAAGACCAAAGAGGGCTGGCAGACGCGTCAGCAGCGTTTTCAAGAGCTTAACGTCAAGATCAAAGGGTTTCAGAAGTTTCCCGAACCCATGGCTGAGTATCCAAAAGAGATTGCAGATTGGTTTGCTGCCAGCACTGAAGCAGCACAGACTGAGACTCGGGCAGTCTGTCACGGCGCCATGTATGACGTGACGTGGGATTTCAACAAAGCTCCGGACAACGTGCAGGCCGATCAATATGCGCATCTCTTAGGAGGACAGCAACCAGTAGCCATTGGAACAACACCCATGGACGCATTGATGGCCTACGCTGGAGCCCATGAGAAGGTTGACAAGGACACTCCCAAGGGGCAAGTTGAGGCAGCGCTCAAGCGCCTCGAGGCTATCTTGTTGAGTCGGGATGATGGCGTCGAGTCTCATGTCCAGGCATCAGACCTGATGTACAACTGGAACTTTGCGCGCTTTGACGGCGGAGACCAGTACCACGCAGCGGCCAGTGGAGACAAGGCAACGGGTGAGAAACCAGCATTGCCCGAGGATAAGCAAGACGATCTCGTTGAGCTGAACCGCTACTGCCGGCTCAGAGATGCGGCGAAGAGACGGCTCAAGGCAGGGAGACTTGCGGTCTTCTCCAATTGGTGGCTTGCCGTGACAAAAGCACAGAAGGACGCTGACAGCAGACACGAGGTAGACCGTCTGGTTGAAGAGATTCAAGTGCTGTCAAAGACGGTAGACGACTTCGACAGAATCATTGAGGACAAATCTGGTAATGACCCACAGCATCCGAACAAAGTCAAGGACTTTGAATGCGGTGTTCACCCTCCCTTTGCACAACAACGAGATCCGACTCTGCTCGTCGGTGGAGTGCGTTCTGGTTGGGAGATCGACTACCTGCTGGCCCTTCTGGTGCGTCTTGATTGCCAAGTCATGAAGCCAGCCACTGTCGGAGATGATGCACCATGGGCTGCGTTCTTCAAAAATGTCGTGGACGCCAAGCTGCCTAGCTGGATGCAGGAGTCTACCAAGAATCTGCTGCGCGAGTTTATGCTTCTTCGCGACCGCCGTCAGGACAGTGATGACGGTCATCCTGACGAGCCAAGCGAACTCGCCGAACGAGGCTTGATAGATGGATCAATGCTCCCCCTCAGGGAGCTTGGGGAGACTGTCACCCGCCCGCCTCTTCAATCGGAGATTCCTCTTTTCCATGATCGTCTGGGTAGAGACATCAAAGGCGAAAAGGTATGGCGCGACGACTGGAACGGGACACAGCCTTGGTTCCCGCTGTTCCTTGAGTGGGAAACTCAGTACGTTCATGTTTCGCACAATGACTGGGAAATGTCAGATTCCAGATGGTGGCACAGCGAAGGAGCCAAAACGCACTATGGCATCAAGAATGGCGTGGATCTCGCGCAGACTTACTCCAAGTCAGAGGACCGACGCTCGTTCTCGGGGCGCATCCTCATCCTACCTCAACCAAGTTTCAGTATAGAGACGAAAATCACTCAACTGCTATTCGACACACTTCCTTCGCAGCTGAACGAGTATCTCCCACAAAAAGAACGATGCAAGCTGGTAGAAAATTTGCACAAGTTGCAGTTCCTCTCGGCACCGCTCAGCGGCTTTAATGGCCATCTACAAACCGTCGAGCAGGGGAATCATGTCAAACCATCTATCCGGGATCCCAAGGAGGGAACCATGGAGTTCCTTCGCGAGGCTCAGCGTCCTGATGCTGGTTTCAAGGGTAAACAGATGGCTTCCATGGGAATAGAGACAGATGTGACTCCATACGGAGCTGCAAAAAAGTCAATCTCGGGTCCAGACGGACCGTCATCTTTCAAACCCGTCATTCACGGCCAGTTCAGACTGAACAGGGTCAACATTGTTGACAAATTCGGCCAAGTCGTCCATCTCTTAGACCCGACGCCGGTGCCAGACAATGCGCCACCAGAAGAGGTGCCGAGGGCCTGGCCCTGTCTCAGCGACTGGTACTCACCAGGCTTCAAGGTGAAAAAAGGCGGACGCCTGCTCCCCAACACTGTGGAAGATGCTTTAGATGAGGCAGACCCGAAGTGTGAATTCGTCCAGGTCCCGCCGCAGATCAACCAGTCCGCGCGCATCAACGCCTGTTGGGCCGTACCAGCAGAGCCAACCGCCAAGACCGCCAGTTCAGAGAGTCCTGTGGCTGCTGATAAACCCAAATTCAGGAAGCCATTCTGGCGAGCAGCGCATGACTGGGACTCTCCGATCTGGGGCTGGGTAGTTGTCAACTATGCCAACTACGGCCTCCAATTCTTCCTACCTTCCGGTGCTTTTTATCGCGAAGTTCGGCTGGGAGGCCCCAACGGAGCGCTCACGTCTCCAGACTGGCTGCCATTCCAGGAGCCGGACGACCCTGATGGCACAGACAGAGGCGGACCAGTAGATGGAGGTGTTGCAGCCAGGCAACTTGCCAGGCTGGTACAGACGGTGGCTACCACCGAAGGCTACCTGCAGCCCTTCATGGCCATGCTGTCAGCTGCAAGCGCCAGCACAGGCACTGCTGCACCGAGTGCGTATTCCGAGTTCAAGAGCGCGCTCATTGGAAAGCCTCTCGCCTTGGTCAACATGGGCTGGTCGCTGGAGCTAGCTGTGCCGCAACAGGAAAGCCAGCTCGTCGGGGATGGCCCCGTGCGCAAGAAGCTGTACAAGTCGACGGCAACAAGGGCTACCCCCGGCCCAGGATGCGAGCGTGATGAGGCGTACGATGCCTCCTTCTATCGATTTCCGGTCAAGCTCGGAGACCGGGAGCGAGGGTTCGACGGGCTTGTGGGCTATTTCAAACCCCTGTCCGCTCTCAAGCCCGGGGATGCTTTGGATCTAGACTCGATCTACACACACTTCTCGCCGCAAACGGTACTATTTGATGTCGAGCTGAACAAGATGGCCAAGTCTGTGGGGACGAGCAAGGCCAGCCCGGTCGAGCAGATATCGCAGGAGAACTACCCCCGTCTCCCACCACACTACATCGACCCACTCGGCCCCGACGGGGATCACATCTCCATTGACGACTTCGACGACATTGCGAATGAGCAGCTCAATGTCTTCGGTGCCATTGTCGACCCTTTCTCTCCGGTCCACGCCTACTCGGCCATCCTACCAGTCAAGGAACTCGTTCTGCCAAACTGGACTTGGCAGTCAGCCCTGGACAAGATCTCGGCCTTCTTCCACATAGGCCCTGTGCTGGTGACCAGCGACGTGCCCGATTTTATTGAGTCCAGGAGACTCGTGCAGGGGAAGCTGCCGCCAAAACTTGTGGCCAAGCAGAAAGGCGAGACGGGGGTGCTGCTGCCGGGCGGTTCCCTGGGTCAGTGGACTTGGCTTCAGCCGTACATGGATGAGGGTGCTAACGCCACCGTGGAGAAACATGCCAGCAACACGAGTGGCGGCGGCGGCGGAGGCGGCGATCATGGGCAGCTGGAGAAGTTCATGCCACTGGCAGTGGATCCGGTGGACGGAACTTCGCGACTGGAACGGGGCCCATACACAGCCCTCGAAGGATACTTACAGATGGCAAGCGGAGCCGCGGATTGAGGAACCTAAGCGAGCTAGCGGTGATCTCATCTGGAATGGTGTCCATAATGGCAAGGTTCTAGCCAAATGCTACCATGCAAGCCTTCTTGTGACGAGACATATCACATGTGCGTGTGTAGATATCGCTTGAAGAATTCAAGCTCTTATACCGCCGCGCCGGCCCATCTTTTACCGGATTAGGAAGATTATCTTTGGCGGACAGTCAAGCTGAAGCCTTCTCTCCCCTTCCTCTTTCAACCCAGCTGGCCCAGGCGCACCCCAGCGCGACTGGATTGTCCCTTGAGGGTGGGAGAGGGGGGACGAGACATCACAGGAATGGTTCTGGCTCATCTTCAGTATCACGGCAAGCCTCCTAGATGATCCATAGTCCATTCACAATCTCTTACGCAACCGTCTCCATCGAGGGAAAGGGGGGGGGGGGGCCGGGCCTCTCCTTTGGAATGACGCACTTATATGACCGACCCGTACAGATTCTTCAGGTTTGTCTTAGAAGCCCCTTCAGCGGCATTTGTCATTATCACAAGCTCCTGTGGATATACACACACCCTCTCACGATGCGTGCTTTCGGACTAGTTCAATCCCCAGGTTTCATGGTCCGTAGCAGGCCCGGGCCGTCTGACTCCACTTCAACTTCGTTAGCGGGTACGCCAAACCCCTTTGATGTGTCGTGATATTGAGCGGTCTGGATGCCTCATCCCTGTTTGGCAACAGACGGGGGCGTGGTTTGTGGCTGGCTGTAAAGCTGAATACCATGAGCAGCCCCCGGATGCGTCAGGGAGGTCATTTTTTCATGCACAGTTCTGGGTAGCTTCTGAGGAGTCACGCGCATCCTCGTCAGGCGAAACTCTTCAACGAGGTTCGGCTACTCCGTGGCCCATGCAGCTGGTCGAAAGCGTTCGGTCCAGCCACCACAGATCTCTTGTTCCGAGGCAATTCCGATCCTTTGTCATGGTGCCATCCAGAACTCCGCTTTTGGTCGTCCTGGTGTTAGGAGGACTTTCCATCCATCCCGCACAGCGCCTTCGATGGAACAAAGAAAGAGGATAAGAATACCCTCATGCCTCCCATCGCTTCCTGGTAGAGGTCTTTTGGTAACCCATCACTTTGCAAAAGTTTCGACTTCATCTTCAAACCTTCCTTTTGCCCCTTGATCACTTCATTAAGCTCTCAAAATGGGTGACGCTAGCGCTGAAAATGTTGGCTTCTCGGCCATTCTTAACCCCATCAACACTTCGAGAGTCTTGATCTACCGCATCGCCCCTGGTAATTACACCCTCGGATTCGATCAGAGGCCCCGCTCATCTCCGATACGAGTGTCCCGCGAAGCAATACGAGCCCCGAAACACTCCCTTCGACGATTTTGGATCCTACATCCAACATTGTGGCTCTCAAGTTCAACGACACCGTCAATGTGTACGGCGTCGCCGCCAAATCAAAGGTCATTGCGCTTGTCAGTCCTTTTGTCGAGCCCATTACACCTGAGGCTAAGGCGGCAAATGGCATGATCGCAGGGTGCACTGCGCGCAAAGCCTGGATCGTCTTCCAGAACCAAACTTCCTCCAAGGAGAACATTATCTATCTCAGCGATGTATCAGACCCGAGGGCCAAAAATTCGGCCTTGGCTGCACCGGATGTCCGGGACAAGACGGCGCTGAGCATGTTCCACGATACCAAGCGCTTGTGGGTTGTTTATCAACACACCAAGGGAAAGATTGTGGCTTACAACAACAAAGACCAATCCGGTGCGTTTGCATTGCCCCCTAAACTCCCCCTTCTGCCCACATTGACTGCTCTTGTGAGTGAATAAACTTTTCAGGGACTAACAATTGCGAATGCAGACGTGGATGTGTCTCACGACAACAGTCTGTTCATTAAGGGAACAGCCATCGCCAGCGTATTCATCCCCGTCAGCATGATTGATGCATCCAAGAATCCACAATTCAAAGCATCTACCTTGCTCGGCCGCGTCATCATCTACTGGGTCAGGTCATACAACGGCACTTCCCAATTGTATCGCAGCCACGCAGATGTGGACTCCAAGTCCACCGGTCTTGTGTTCTCAACTCCCATACCAGCCACTTCTGATGCTGTCGAAGTCCACGAAACAGCGCAGATTGGGTTCGTCCTCGACGAGAAAGACCAACTCAATCGTTTGTATGTATCGAAACTAGGAGAAGACAACATCTCCCAGGTCTCAGACAGCTGGTTCCCCGAGGAGGAGGGCGGCAAAGACGGTAAGGATCAGAAGTGACGTGAGTCCAACCAAGATTGTCCGGGGACCAAGAGGAAGAGAGGCTCTGACAATTCCGTGGAAGGCACCGAGCCGAAAAAACACATGTACTACGTGCCAGGAGTGGAGGCAGACTTAGAGGTGGCTATTCCACCTGGGACTACCATAAATGGCTTGATCATCAGGTTGAAGCTCAAACCTAAATTGTAAATCGTAACTGATATTCGTGAATGTTGACTCTGAGCCAAACCTACACAAGTTGTTCGAAGTGATATTGCAAGAAGACAATGCGAACACAATACGGGGCTTCACGCGAGCACTCTCAGCAATGTCTAACCGACCTAGGTGAACTATTGCTAAATTCGGGCGACCGAACCAATGTGGGAGAGTCAGCTGAACGAGAAGTCGGTCCTAAGCCTTGGACTTACCCACCCACCCGTGACGATTACATACCCTGAGGCACCCGTGCATACCTCCTGGGCACCCATTGGCAACCCGTACAAAGTGTTGGTTACCCTGGGTGGCCCGTGTAAAAGTTCAGATAGCCGTGGGGGTAGGCTTGGGTACCCACGGACTGCCCGATCCCAGGCTTAGGACTCGGCACGCAAGAAAAGAAACTCTTCCCGTATCGGAATGACCCATGTCTTGGCTGAGTCTCGCATCTACGCAAGCCACATTCCCTTCTCGGCGCCTCTAAATGCTGCAGATATGCCACACTGTGCATTCTCCAAAGGCTACATCACTCTTTGCCCGCATCAAGAGTACTTCCCCTCCCTTCAGCGCTGTGGAACGAATCTTGATGCATCGCAAATACTCCTGGTGAACACTTCAACAACTACAGAGAATGGTAACCCAATCTCAATTGCTCCGAACTATCTCGTGCATCATCCGCTTTGATGACAGATCTACCTATTAATCGACATGGATTACTACAAGGTTGAGTCGTTCCACGTCAATGTCGGGAGTGGCGATGGTGCCATCCACTTGTTGACGTCCAACCGACCCAACCCCCACGACAATCCAAACAACCTGCGGACAATTGAGCGCGCGTTTCTGATCGATGGAGGCAGGGACAAAGCTGCAGACACAATCGACTTTGTTGTGCAATATATTGAGAAATATTATTTCTGCCCACATCTCGATCCCATCACTAAAGACAGGCATCTGGTATTTGACGCTATTGTCATCACCCACTGGGATGGCGACCATTGGGAAGGTGTTGCCAGGTACATCTTCAATGAAATTTTAGAAGTCGCCCACTATAATTCGATCACCAACGTGGAGCAAGTGTACTGTCGTCGGGCTCGGTATGACGCGGCAGACCCCAACACAAGCTTCCACGGCGCACCACAAACATTCATCTACATGCCTCAATTACCATGGCCCATTACTGGTCTCCTTCAGGGCGCCAATGATGCGAACGGCAATCCGATGATGAACGTCAAACTTGCGGAAAAGGGGAAGCAAGGGCAACCAGGCAAGGAATTTCTCTTCACCCGGCAGTTCAAGCTGCGGTACGGCTTCGACTGGCTTCTTGGCAGAAACTTGCTGCTCCACGATGGTGACGACTACAAGCGCAGCCAAAGAGGCAATATCGATAATTTCTCTACTTTTGAGACGATGCTCAACAACTACCCAATCAAGACCCCAATCGCAGACTGCCAATATCAATCCTGGCCAGCCATGTATTGCGTCGCAGCTCAGCAACGCATCCCAAGTTCGAATGCTGAGATCACGACCACGCCCACGAATAAATCAAGCCTGGCCTTCATCATCGTCTGGAGCGAGCCTGCGTTTATGGGTCAGGGTCGAAAGCACAGAGTCTCGCACTACTTTGCCGGCGACGCTCACTCTGCGCTTGAAACAGCACTGGCACAATGGATGGGACCCTATCAACCCCAGTCCATGAAGTTGAGCCACCACGGTTCTTCTTCTTCGAACCCGCCTGCCAACTTCACCCGCTGGAACCCAGAGAACATCACCGTTTCTGCTGGGGAACAATATGGGCATCCAAGTACGTGAGTTCTGTATCAAACGTAACTGTGGTTAATGCTGACTAGGGACAATTGCCAAACTAATAGGGTGGGAAGTCATGTTCTGCATGAACGCATGGTTCCAACTCCGGCGCTATCAGCTGTTGGATGCGGATCTCCGGAAGCCTTTCTTCCCATGTCAATGGCCTGCATATCTTCGCCGGGACGCCGACTTGAAGTTTATGCTTCAGACCTTCAGTATTGAGGAGATTTTGGATCCCGGGAAGCCACTTGTTCTCTACCTCAAGCAGCAGTTTCAGGCAGTAAGCAACATCCGCCTGCAGTATGGTGTTCAAACCATTCCCAACGACTCGCGCACTTTGTGGGTGAGCTGGGCAACTCTTTTCAATATTGCATTTGGTAGGGATCCCAACCAGGCAGAAACCCGCTGGTGGATTTCTGAGCACGTTGGCGACATCATGGAACGCCTCTGTTCTATGCCGTCATCGGCCCCGTCGTGGAGTAGTGTCGTCTGGATTCCCAACACGTTACAGCTTGATCCCACTGCGCACGCGAACAAGATAATGGCCGACATTTATGGCATCAAATTCACGTCCGCTCCATCAGCATCAGGGGAGAATGGCAGGGCGGAGGTTCTTGGTCAGAGTTCACTTGCCGAGTGGGTTCTCGACCCTTACAATGTCAAAATTACTCGCGAGACCGAAATCCCAGTGCACTGCTCTCACGCCTATGTCCTTGCCAACTTGAACGTTGCCGACCCGAAGGACCAGCTCATTATCGATCAGTATCCGTACTTGGGAGCCGACCGCCCTCAGGTAATCGACATTTCTCAACAGAACCCGAAATGGCCGACTGAGCAAGAACTCGGACATGTCCGATCTGATACGGAAGCCTGGGGCAGCAGCGCGAATCGCCGTGACTCCTGGGTTGATGTTGACTTTGACGAGTACATTTCGTCGGATGAGGACAATGCCTCTCGACGCAAAGATGATCTTCACGAGGCAGTTGCACCTTCCTCATCAGCAATCTTGTATCGCAGAGTTGCACATACTGTTGCCCAAGCCGCAGTCTACATTGCCTGCGAAGAGAAGAAAACAGGCCAAGCCCCCAGATACTTTCCAGCTGACAGCCAAGTTTTCATCCTCGACAAGGAAAGCTTCATCTACGGCTTCACAGACACGCTACACTACCGCAAGTTCAGCTTGGCGGCGGTTCCAGATGGCGTCAACCCCATTGGCACTCCCCTGTTCGCAGACGATGAGCTCTTCAAGTGGCTCGGTCAGTTTTGTGCAGAAGGATCTACTAAAGATCCAGACCCGGAATTCGCCATACATCTTTGCAAGATGCCCTGGCCAATTGTGGACAAGAAGACTCGGTTCGACTTCATGCTTACGATGCCGTTTCCGGGCGGCTACAAGCTCAGGCTGAGCACCAGTGTTGGGGCGGAGCAAACTTTTGCCAAGTCAACAACCAACACCAGCGGCGACGACACTGCGGTCTCTTTCAAGGCGCTGACAAATATGCTCATTAGTCGAAGGACGCTCGTCTTTGGGCTGGAGGGTAGCAATGTCCCATTGACGACGACATTCGGGACAGCAGCAAAGTTCTTTGGTGTGGATCTGGACAGATATCCCTTGTTCAAGAAGTTGACGGGCAATTTCGGCCTTGTTCTTGACCCCAGCAAGGACTACCACAATGCCATCTGGTTTCGGCCAGGGTTGCAATATCAGACTCACCTTCGACTACAGTTCCACGTCGATGACAGCTTCAAGTCTTCCTTCAATAGCTGGCTGCAAAGGTTTTCCAAGGATCTTTCAGTGGACTCGCTGCTTGTTGTCATGCGTAAGAAGGCGAAGTGGATATGGAGTGTGCCAACCGATCGTATGGAGTTCCACGGGTCAGCGACGTTTCTGTGCACCTTCATCTTGAGCGCGACTGTCCAGCTTCAGGGTGTTTTCGAGCTGAGCGATACTCAGATTCTCTTGAGCTTGACCCTGCAGCGGCCAAAATCGAAGAGCCTCCTCAAGGCGATGCAAGGAAGAGATGGCGCCGTCGACACGGTCATTCAATGGATTTCGAGCAAGTTCAAGATCACCAACACGGAGTCGCTCAGCGACCTGCTCAACAAGGCCACGAAGGAAGGCTCGTCAACAATCAGTAATGAGAGCATTTTGCCTCGGAGAGTAGAGCTTGTGCTCGACCTGAACCCTGATGGCAGCATCAAGGACATCAGCAAGGGATCGATTGACATCGAGGCTTGCATAACAGTTGGCCGATCCGCAGTGGCAGTAATGGAGCAGGTTCCAGCACTGTTTCTGTTGTCTTTTGGTTGGTCCAAAGACAGTGGTTTCTACTTCAAGGGCAACCTATGGCCAGTTGTTCCCGACAGTCCTTTCTCGGAATACGGCCGCGCCCTGCCGGAGGCGGAGGAATATCAGTGCCTCACACCGGCCACTGTGGTAGACACGGAGAACCAACTACGCACGCTCGACCTTGCTACGCTTCTCTCGACAGAACCCGGGAAACAGGTGCTGATCCCCGCAGGGCTTCCGAATGAAATTTATGCTTGCGAAATAGGCTTCTCACAGAAGGAAGTCTCATTCCGGGGTGCGATGCGCTGCAAGCCTTCGAGCTCGGGGGACTCCACAACACCGCCGATATTGTCTTTTGAGAACGTCGAGCTAGCTGCCTCATATGCATGGGGCACAAAAGACCCGACCACGGAACAATTCAAGCTCAAGCTCATGATTGCGATCAATTTGTATTTGGGTGGCAAGCTCGATCCGGCCAAGTCCCAAGAGGAACAGGACGCCCAATCAGCCAAGCTTTCAGGCCAATTGACATACGAGCAGGGCACGTGGGCCATAGAAGCCAGAGTCATTGATCTCTCCATTTCGCATCTACTTGACTTTTGGAGTGTTCAGGACCGAGGTAGTATTCTTGAGTTCCTCGGGACAATCAACATCGACTTTGTATCGATCACTTACGAGTTCACAAAAGGCGCGCCCAACCCAAGCAAACTTAGTTTTAGGGGCGAATTTGGGATCGCCAACGTGGCGACATTCTCCCTGGATTATGTCAACCAGGGGGGCAGCAATTGGAGTGTCACTGCAGCGTTAGCCGCGAACAACAAGGCGGGCTCGACGGCCACCATTGAGCAGCTACTGCTCGGCTTTCTCGACAAGGAAATCATAGAAGTTCTGCCAGATGCGATCAAAGACGCTAAGATTGCGGGCGCAAATGGGGAAGAGGCATTGCGCCTTCTGTGCTGCCGGCAGGACGACGTCAGCGTCTTCGCGCTTCTCGTCCAGGTACAGGGGATCCAGCTCTGGTTCATACAGCTCAAGACCAAGGACGGCAAGACAAAGCGCCTTCTCAAGGCTGCTATTAGCAAGATCTCGGTCAACGTCTCGGCCATCAATAAGACCATAAACAGCCCTTGGGATAAGCTGTTCTTCATGTGGGTCCAGGACACGACTAATGCGAAGGGGCAACAGGGCGGGAAGAAGGCTATGCAAGGTCTGACGCAGGCTGAGTACGATGGCATGAAAGCCTGCTTGCAGACCAAGTTCAAGATTCCAGATGAAGATCTCATGCTGTTCAAGAAACAAGAGGGCAAGTCATCTAATGGGAGCGACATGGATCTTTACCATGATGACAAGAAGGACGACGATAAAGCAAAGGACATTGTCATCAATGCCGGCATGCATCTGATTGTGGTGGCGAAGACAACAGAAGGCAAACTCGACATCGTTCTCGACTACTTATTCGGAGCCAAATCAGCGGCCTCCAAGCCCTCCTCGGGTGCTCTAATTCCCTACGATAAGAATGGAAAGCAGCCGCCGGATGCAGCAGGTTCACAGAAGGGCACCAAAGCACCTTTCAAGGTCAAAATGGGACCTCTCAGCGTGTCCAACATTGGCTTGTGGTACAAGAATGGACAGATCGGTATTACGCTGGACGCATCACTGCTCTTGGGACCGGTCGGTCTAGCGTTACTGGGTTTCACCATTGGCGTGCCGTTGAGCGGCGCTCTCAGCAAACCCCCTCCCTTGGAGGACGTGACATGGGCTTTGCAGGGACTTATCGTCTCCCTGGACAAGCCACCGCTCACAGTGGCTGGTGGCTTCATGAGGGACACCTCAAATCCTGACATCGAAGTAATGTATTCTGGCGGACTCATCGTGGGGTTCAAGCCGTGGATGTTTGAAGCCATGGGAGCTTATGCGAACGTCAAGAAAAGCCTGAAGTTCAACACCACCACAATTGACAATGATCCCATGTCGATTATCCACGCATCGCCTGCAGCAGAAGAGGCCCTAATCGAAGCAAACGACACATTCACATTTGCGTTCATATACGTCCGGCTCAACGGACCCCTCTTCTCCGTCGGCTTTGCTGACTTCGCAGGCCTCGTTGGTGGCTTCGGCATCAACTCCGACATCGTCCTGCCGACGGTTGAACAAGTATTCGAGTTTCCATTTATAAAAGAGCGAGATGAGGAGGAAAGCTCGTTGGGTCCTATCGAGAGGATGCAGAACCTCGTACAAGGCCCCTGGTTTCGTCCAGCCGAGGGAATCTACTGGGGCGCCGCGGGAGTTCGCGTCACTGCGTTTCAGATGCTCGCGGCCAATATCGTGCTCGTCCTCCAGTTCGGCAATGGCAACGTGGTCATCGGTCTCTTCGGCGTCGCGACCTGCGATGTTCCTGCCATGGAGTCTCCGGTCAAGTTCGCACACGCAGAGCTAGGCATCATCTGCACTTACGACGTCAACAGCGGCAGCTTCAAGCTCGAGGCCCAGCTGTCTCCGCGGTCATTTATCCTCGCTCCACAGTGTCATCTGACCGGAGGACTAGCGCTCTACGCCTGGTTCAGATCTGATCTCGCGGTCAATGTCAATGCTGGTGACTGGGTGCTTACCATCGGGGGCTACCATAAGGCCTTCCATCCTCCTCGCCAGTATCCCGTGCCGCCTCGACTGGGAATCAACTGGTCCCTTGACACAAACCTGAGCGTCGTGGGTGAGGCATACTTTGCCATCACACCGAAGCTCTGCATGGGCGGAGGCCGATTGCATGCTGCCTTGAGTCTGGGCGCCTTGTATGCCTGGTTCGACGCCCAGGTGGACTTCCTCATGAACTTTGACCCGTTTTTCTTCCAGCTCGAAGCGAGGCTTGCTGTCGGCGTTCGTTTCACCCTCGATCTGTGGTTGGTGACCATTCGCATCAACGCTGAAGTAGGCGCCTCCCTAGATCTCCAAGGACCTCCATTCGGTGGCGTGGTTCATGTCTATTTCTGGGTCTTTGGCTTCGACGTCAAATTCGGTTCTCCTCCCCCGCCACCTCCGCCTGTGTCCTTGGATCGTTTCTGGAAGGTCGTGTGCAAGTTGCATGGGGCTTCTTCGTCAGCCACACCACAACTACTAGAGGGCCCGAAGCAGGACGCAGACAATGCTGCAATCATAATTACCTGCGAAAACGGGCTGCTGCCTCCGATCAGGAAGCCGGGCCAGGAACAAAAGAAAAACGAGGCATGGTTTGTCAAGAGCGGCAAGTTCAATCTGATGGTGACGTTCCAATTTGCAGTCACCCAGGCGGATCTCACAGAGAGGAGAAAGATCCTCCATCCGGACATTGCTGGTCGCCTAACTATCGAATCGGAAGAGGAAGAAACGCGATCTGCACACGCTCAAATCGAGGAGGTCCAAAAGCAGGTGTTCGCCAAGCCCATGCAGCTGGTGCAGCCGCTCAATTCTGTCGTCACGATAGAAGTCGTGGCGCCCAGCCCCAAAATGGCCAGCCAGCAATTCTTTCATGTTCTCGAAACTTGGAAAGACCAGAAGTGGAAGCTTTTGCCGATTATCAAGCCTGCTCAGACCTCACTATGGGGTAAATGTGAGTTCACGCAAAACTTTCACTCTTCAATCCATCATTTCCCAGATCTACCTGGGCAACCACAGAGGCTGACCAACTGAATTCGCCATGTATTAGACTCACGTAATCTTGATCCGGGCTTGTCGAAGTCGCCAACGGACGAGCTTTTAGATGGCAAGGATGCTACCATGCCACTCGTAATGGGTCTCACCCTGCAACCACCCGAGCCAGCTGTGGCTAGCGACATGATCAACAAGTTCAACATCACCAGCGACCACATGGAGTCCGTATATTTGCCACAAGACAGAGATCGTTGGCCCCTGTTCATTGATGTGCAGAAGGGCCAAGACCCGGCTTGGCAGCCACAAGGCTCCAGTAATGAGATGCCTTGGAGGGATTTTAGGGACAAGTGGAGGAATATTGGCAACGAGAAGCCAAATACCGCTGTGAAAATTTGGGCTCAAAGGCTGCGATTCGACAAAAAGAGCTTTGAAGAGGATCACAAGGGTGAAGATGAGATGCCGAAGTTCAACCCGCTCAGGGGACAGTTGCCGAAGGCGTTGTTAGACAGATACGAAACGATGATTCCGGCTTTGCCTTTGGTTGCGGTGGGCGGATGAATTCCTTAATGATCTGCGATTTGGTACGAGATTATCATATATCGTCATTCGATAGTAGTTATACAATTTGTTCGGAATCCGTCTCAGTCTCTACTTCGGTTCTTTGTCGGCGACGTCGACCATAAAATCGTTGGCGGCCAGCTCAACGACTTTCATCTCACAACTATCAAAGACTAGTTCAACTCAATAGATTATTAAATCAGTGCCGACTAGCAAAATTCTTGCTTATTTGGTAAAGATCAGGAAGTCTCATGTGCTCATCTACTAATATAATATTACTGTTGTTATTCTAACGGTGCATGCACTTAGCAATGTCCCAACTAATATCTTTATAAAAGGACCGTTTAATCTTATAGAATGCAGAGAATGTGACTTACTCCCATGAATTGCTTGTTCGAATCCGTTGCCTCGAATCTCTAGCAATGATGCGTGGAAACAAGATATTTTTCTTGTGCCTCTTGGGGGTTTGTCGTACGTTGCAAAGCACCTCAGCTATCCCTTAACTCCTGACCTTGGTCAAGCTAACATAGATTGGGACGTGCTCAGTGGAAAACCCCGTCCCCTCGTATGTCCAGGAAGGTATCCAGATACGTCAGTTGGATTATTTCCCGCCACATTGGGATGCTATAGACATCCTTGATGGTTGCATTTGGAGATCTAAATGGGGATGGTAGAGACGAGTATCTCTATGTTGGACCTGATGACTCAAGCATATATGATACGCATTTATTAATGGATGTTAGGAAAGGCTTAAAGTAGAGCTATATCTCAGAATGTAGAAGTGTCAGAAGACTTTATTCTCAATAAATATGCACAGACATCAACGAAGGATAACACGCAATAAGTCAGGTCTCGCGTGTTTCACTGAACTCACTCCGAGTCAGCGTACGCCCACCCAGCTTCTACAGTACGCCCACCCAGCTTCCAGCGTTGGCCCACCCAGTACAAGGAAATTGGCTGCATACGCTATAAAATATTGGTACTGCGGGGTTATTAATAAAGCATAGCTATAGCTATTCCAGAGGGGTTTCATAGCTACCCCAGAGGGGTCCCATAGCTACCCCTCTATTTGCAACTTAAAAGTTACTTTTGCCCTCTACGCCCTCTGCGCCCTCTACGCCCTCTGCGCCCTCTACGCCCTTTGCGCCCTCTACGCCCTCTGCGCCCTCTACGCCCTCTGCGCCCTCTACGCCCTCTGGGCGCTCTGGGGCCCTCTGGGCGCTCTGGGGGCTCGGGGCGCTCTGGGGGCTCGGGGGCGCTCTGGGGGCTCTGGGCGCTTTGGGGGCTCTGGGGCCCTCTGGGGGCTCTGGGGGCTCTGGGGGCTCTGGGGGCTCTGGGGCCCTCGGGGCGCTCTGGGGGCTCAGGGGCGCTCTGGGCGCTCTGGGGGCTCTAGGCGCTCTGGGGCGCTCTAGGCTTTTTTAGGCTTGTATTTTTAAAGTATTGCTTAAATTGGAAAATAGCTACCCTGGCTTGTTAAGAACCCCGCAATACTTGCATTTTAGTGCGGATGCAGCTAATTTTCTTTGTACTGGGTGGGCCAACGCTGGAAGCTGGGTGGGCGTACTGTAGAAGCTGGGTGGGCGTACGCTGACTCACTCACTCCCTGCGCGCATCACGTTCGCAGCGGTGGATGGCCTGGCCACATGTACATGTTCCGCTCAACCGAACCGCCGTCTATTCCCCTGCTACGCGTTGTCTTATTTCACAAGAAGATTATGCTAGTTACGTCACGCGTCCAAGTAAGAGATCCGTGCGAGCTGTGTACCAACGGCTGTCCAAACCTTCCGCTACCCCAGAGTGCCATCCTGGAATCTGGGGGAAATACCCGGAAATATGGGTCGGATCTGGGGTAAGTCCCCACAACCGATGAGATTGTCGATCGTTCCCCACGTTTCGCCCTAGACGCGCTCCAGTCAAATAATGCAGAACCTTGGTCGCTGGGCGGCTAGTCCGCGAATGCCACCGGGTCGTCCTATTCAGGCAAGCCGGCTGGATGATCTGACGTTGGAATAGTGCCGGAAAGCGGCAGTGGCTAGGAGGGGCGAGATCAAGGTGCATGCTGAAATTTTCTCTTTTTCTCCTATGTTTTTCATGTCCTCACCGACCCAACATTATTGTGTTGTGACGACTCCAACATTTTCGGAAACCCGAGAGACCAGATACAGCAGTCTATCATGATTCAAACAGGCTGGTTCGGTCGGGGCAGGAAGCTTCGTATCGCTATTACGGTGGCGTGCCAATTGGTGAGCATAAAATTCTAGGCTGTTCCAAACAGTTCAGCGGAATTGTTGGTTTCAAGACCCAGAATGGTCTGGGCATTACAGCTTCAAACCATCTTCTGCGCCCGCGATAGCAGAGGACCCAGAACGTTGAGCTGGTGACTGACCAAGCGTAGGCTTTCGTTCTCTTCGGGTATGACCAAGGAGTATTCAGCGGTATCGTGGGCAATGAAGACTTTCTCAATACAGTGTGTTTCTGCTGTGGCGATTTAGACGATGAGACACTGCTGACCACTCTCTCCAGTTCGGGCATCCAAATCCCAGCCTTGAGGGCATCATCGTCAGCATATACAATCTAGGTTGCTTCTCGGGCTGTATACTATCATTTATCTTCTGTGAAAAGACGGGTCGGAGGCTGGCTATGTGGATTGCCATGGTCTTTATCATCGTGAGCATATCACACTAATCTTGGCAGACGCAAACTTGGCTGAAGACAATACTACAGGTCGGAGCGGCATTACAAACGAGCGCATTTACGGTACCCCATATCATGATCGCACGATTCATCACCGGCATAGGCACAGGCATCGAGACAAGCACAGTACCGATGTACCAATCCGAGCTCTGCGAAGCCTCCAAGCGCGGGCGATTGGTCTCATCGGAGCCATTGTTTGTAGGCGTTGGGATCGAGATCGCGTACTGGTTCGACTATGGAATGAGCTTCGTCCCCGGATCCATCGCGTGGCGACTGCCAATAGCATGCCAGATGTTATTCGCCTTTGTCGTCATCGCGTTGGTATTTGGCCTTCCCGAATCTCCTCGATACCTGTATGCACACGGCAAGGAGGAGGAAGCCCTTGCGGTCTTGTGCAAGGTCTATGACAGGCCTGCCGACGACCCGAAGATCGCAAAGGAGCAGGGTGAGATTCTCGAAGCCCTAAAGATCGAACGGGAGCATGGCGAATACAAATGGTCCAACCTTTTAAAGCGCGATGAAGTCCAGACTGGAAGAAGGGTCCTGCTCGCGTACGGCATGCAGTTTATGAACCAAATGGGTGGCATAAACTTGGTCGTCTACTACATCACTTCGGTCTTGCAACTCAACGTCGGGCTCTCTAGGCAATTGTCCCTACTCCTTGGTGGAGTGATCAACGCCATGTTCTTCTTTGGCTCCCTTTTCCCAACATTCTTCTTGGTACGTATCGGTGGCTGCAAGCAAACTGCTCCGCCCGTCCTTCCCCGTCCTTCCGGCTACACAAGGTCTAATGCCAGGTATTATAGGACAAGTACGGCCGTCGTAAGCCGATGATGTGGGGATCACTCGGGCTCGGTGTCTCCATGATGTTGATCTCCATCCTGCTCAGCTTCCAGGACAGGGGCGGTCAGCTGGCAAAGTCGACATCCGCTGCCAGCGTGACCTTCTTTTTCACATACATGCTTATATTTGGTGCTACCGCCAATTGTATCCCGTGGGTATATGTACCCGAGATCCTTCCCCTGCACGTCAGGGCGAAAGGAACAGCGGTTGGTATCTCCTCGAACTGGCTGTGGAACTTCTTCGTCGTCATGGTCACTCCGACGCTTCTGAACAACTTGGCGTGGAAGGGGTACCTCATATTCATGGCCCTCAACTTTTCATTCATCCCACTCGTATACTTCTGCTATCCTGAGACGAGCAATCTCACTCTGGAAGAGATCGACTGGTTGTTTCTGGAAAAGAGTGCGGTCAAAACAAGCAAGACGGTTCAGAAGCACGGCTGGGGAAATGAAACTCCGTGGCAGAGAAGAGAGAGCCGGATGGAATTCCAGGAGAAGAGCGCAGGAACTGGGACTGGGGATGTTGAGCACTCGCCATAAATCCATGCGGTAAGATTGGCAGCATCAGGCGCAGACAGAATTTGAACATCGAGCTGAGGAGCACATCTTGCGCGGACTTGGTCATCTACATGAGTCTATACAGTGCAACCGCAGGTGGCTCTCCGACTAGTTCATCTCGATTGAATGTCCATAATACTTACTTTCTTCAAAACATTATACAAAATGATAGCATGTGCCGATCTGTCGGCTAATACATACTTGACTTTGCAAGCAAGTGCGTGTATGAGCCACCCATCCCCCGTGCCCCAGAACACCACCAAAGCAAAATAGGAGCTGTTAAAGTGCTGCAAGTCGATAATTATCAGTAATAAAGATTTTCATGGATCGTTTTGCATATGGAAACCGACATTGTGTCACATTACAGAACTACCAGTAGCAGAAATTTTGACGACAGATTACTGGCTTGGCCTAGCCTGATTTTATCTTCTACTATTCTCTTAACCCTACATGCAAATCTTTCATTAAATAGCCCATTTCTCTTTAGAAGAGAACACGTCTTAAAGATTTTGAACGAAAGAATGTAGGATTTCCCCCCGACTAACGGCGCCGTGTATGCAGGGAATGAGGGAGTCAATGTCAAGAGAAAGGAAAGACGCGCGTCAAGCGAGGGTGTAGTCGGTGTTCCTCGCATAGTCTGCTGCACTCGCCAAAACCCGGTTGTCCCTCTCTACCAGTTGCACAAAAGAAAGCGATGCGCAACATAGAGATTGTAAAGGTTCAACACAATCAACGGAATCGGGTTGTACCACTCAAACCCATGGGTGAGCCTCCAAGTCACGGCGCTGACCATGCCGCCGAAGGTGGCTATGCTCCAGACCCAGCAGAGGATGCGCATGTTGCGGTACTTGTGGCTCTTGTGGGCCTTGGCGTCGCCGGAGGCGGCCCACATCAGCTCGATGTTGAAGAGGCGGTCCTTGATGGCGGTCAGGTAGGCGTAGGACTGGATCAGCATGATGTGCTGGACGTTCATGCCGTACGAGGCCTTGGACCAGACTCGGAAGATGACCAGGCCGTAGAACAGCGACGGCACGGCGAAGGCGAGGTTGTAGTACTTGAACCACTCCGGGCGGAACCAGAGGAGGAGGATTCCTGGGATGGGGGAGATGAAGATGCCGAGAGAGACGGCTGAGTAGTACAGAAAGCCTTCAGACTTCGTCAGCTGCTGTCTTCTGTCCGTGCTAGGGCTGGAAGACTTACCGCAGAGATAGCAGACTTTCTGCATTAAGGTCAACTTCGACACCCAGAAGTGACCGTTGGTAAGGAGTGTAGTACTTCCACGAGCCCATCGCATCTGCTGCGAGAAGAAGGCGCGCGGTGTGGGTGGGCAGACGCCTGTGGCAAGGCAAAGAGGCACGTAGCGAACTTTCCAACCTCTATCAACGGCACCAAATCTGTTCCACGTATTAGCATCATAAGCACCCTTCAGTTCGCAAACCGCCACTCACCCAGTGTGCACGTCCTCGGAGAACCCAATCTCCGCCGTACCGCCGACCTCCTCAAGAGCAGCACGACGATACAGCGCATTACTCCCTACGCAGATACTCGCACCCCACCTGTTCCTGTTGACCTGAACAACACGGTAGAACAGCTCCTGCGTCGCGCCAGCCCCCTGCTCCACCCACGTCTGCTCGTCCGTGACGCGGAAGAACTGCGGGCTCTGCACGATGGCGACCTCGCCGTCGTCCAGCTGCTCGACCATCAGCTCCTTCAAAAAGTCCGGGCGCGGGCAAAAGTCCGCGTCGAAGATGGCGAAGAAGTCGCCGCTCGTCCGCGCGAACGTCCACCGCAGGTTGCCCGCCTTCTTGAGCCGGGGGCGGTCATCGCGCACGGTGTAGTTGAAGCCGTAGCGCTCTGCCAGCTGGCGGACCACCGGGTTGGCCCCGTCGTCCATGACGTGCACCTGGATCCTGTCCGCTGGCCAGTCGAGCCGCGTGACGTGGGCCCACGTGTTGTCCAGGATCTCGACCTCCTCGGCGCACACGGGGAGGTAGATGTCCACCGTGGGGGCCGTCTCGGCGGTGATGGGGTGCCGCTCGACCCTCTGCTTGTGGGCCTCGTAGTCCCAGTCCTTGCCGACCACGCCGACCAGGTAGCTGATGAAGAGGTAGATGTTGAGGAAGCCGACGAAGGCGCCGTACCAGTAGAAGGGGGTTGCGCAGAGGGAGAAGAGCCACATGCCTGCTGACAAGGAGAGGAAGGAGAAGATTCCGAATATGTACAGTGGGACCCGGTTCGTGTGGACATAGGACAGCTTCTCAGAATCTGTCGGGCAGCTTGGGAGGACCAAGGGCGGCTCTTCGATGGGACAGTACGTGCGTCGCATCCAATGGTAAGTCCGCTTGAAGGGGTTGCGAGACTTTTTCTTTGCCTCGGCTGATGAAGCCGTCGGTTGAAAATTGTCGGCCTCATTCTTGTCCTTGATGGTGAACTTTCCTGGAGTGCCACTTGACTCTGGGTCCGAGTTGAAGGGACTGGATTTCTCATTGAGGATTTCTGCTTTGGCATCTGTCTGGGGCTGCCGCCCAGCCACAGCCGGAACAGGGTTCTTAAGGCTGTTAGTAAAATATACATGTAGCCAACCATGATGCCGAAGACTCACAATCTCAAGGTCAGAATCCTCTGAGCGAATGGGACGGGGAGGCAATTGATCATGACCTCGTAGGGATGCCGGAGAGGCAGTCGCGGCAGGGGGAGAGGGTAGAGACGAGTCCTACAGCCATGTTCAGCCAGTGCCTTTGAAACTAGACCTCAAGGCATCAGACACTCACGCTCGATGTATCCAAGGAGCCCCCAATAGTACTTGGCCGAGAGCCTTGGGGGACTTGATATTCCTGTGCCTCAAAAGGATTGCCGGCAGCGGGCGTGGGCGGTGGTGGAGCAGACCTCATGACGGGCAACAGCGTGGTGTCTCAACAGTATTAGTATCACCGCTGCAGTGAAGCGATGTTACAATGGACAGACCGGGGACAAGAGAATGTGTGTGAAAACGAGTGCGAGCTGTGATAGGGGGCCAAGATGCAAGCGGGAGAGTGCCGAAGAAAATCGCGATGTGGGACAAGCAGTGGTGGAAAAAGACGACGGCCAACTCTGCCCAAGTCGAAGAGCACAGACACAAGAACAAAAACAGGAAACTAATGGGAGGTTGAGTGAGAGTTCGTCCTAATTATGTGATGGGTGGGAATCAGCCCCCCGCCAGTGGGAGTTTGCCTCACCGTCTCTTGGCCTCTTGCCAAGCATCAGTTGAGAGCTGCTACTCAACGAGAGCTGCGGTGGCCAGGCCCGGCGTATCTCAGATGTTCTCAACCCACGGCTCTGGACCTTGATCCAATGGCTTGTCTCAAAGGTGCGTTACTTCCGGCATGGCTGAGGGACGAGCACGATCTACTGGGTCCGTACACCGATCCGCAGGGTACGAGCACCTGTGACTTGCATGTTAATCCGTAGAATGTCCGTTCGTTATCCATGGGTGTAAAGTGGGCGTGAATTGTCCAAGTCTAGATGCACAAACGCGGCCAGGGATGTCCTGCAAGGATAAACATCCGGCAGGGAGACTGGTCAGATGCAAGACATGGGAAAGAAAGAGCCAAGAAAGCAGGGGTCCCTCTCTCGGATACCAGCGACGAAGATGAGAAGTATGCAGTTACGCGGGTGGCTTCACGCTAGGATGATGCTAGAAACAGCAGGGAGAATGTAGAAATCGTCAGAAAATGACTGCTCTAGGAAAGGGTCCACAAGTTCTGGAAGGATAATATGTCTTGCAGACGAAAGCGGTAAGATCTAAGAACTCCCGAACCATGAAAAGCCGCAGGAGGCGATAAGCCACTCAACAAGGATGGTTGAGGTGAAGGTTGAATTACATAGATAGGAGAAAATTGTAATCATGTGGAACGATGAGTAGTAAACATTGGGAGATGAGGCAGCTATCGAAATCGGCACCACTGTTGTGGGAACAAGGAAACGGGCGGTAGTGGAAAGCCACTACAGCTCGTACAAGCCTAAACTTGCCACTGAAGAAAGCATGACGGCCATCACCATGATCAATCCTGCCAATGGGCCCTCTCCAGCCCTGGCGCCAGTTCCCTTCTCGGGCGATGAAGTTCCCTGTGGCCCAGCTGGGCTCTGCGGAGCATCGCAATTATCTGCCACGGGATTCAGCTCAAACTTGACAGGACTCCCAGGCCAGACGTCCATGTTAAAACCCCCGGCACTGAAAGTGACGTTGTTGCCCGCATGGTAGGCCTCGGAGCCAAACTCCACAAGCCCGATCCGGGCGTCAGCAGATACGAGATCGTTACGCCAGAGGTATTGCAGTAGCGGCGTGATGTCCTCGTCGAAGGACGTCTGGTCTGTTGGTGACACCCAGCTGTAGACAAGTGTGCCTCGGGTGTTTTTGCCTACGAATAGCGTGCTGCAGGGGGTTTTCTTCAGTAAGTAAATGAAAATATCAACGTCCGACCATCGAAGTCAGGGGGTGAACGAGTGAGCCACGCCCGGCACTTTGGGATGGCGCCGCTGGCAAACCCCGGTCCTCCTATGCAGAGGCAATGCATGCCGGGACGAGGCCCTTGGCGGCGCTCGGCCGAGTGCAGGGTATGACAAGCGGAGCCAAGGGGGTGGGGGCATTGGAGGCATCTGGGCGTATGGGCGCATGGTGTAACGATGCGAGTAGTGACAAGGGGAGAGGGCGGGTTGGGCTGAGCTGAGGACCGGGGGCGCTTGCAATGCAGTCCGAGGTTGCACCCAGGGGAAGCTGAAAAGCTGGACGACCGTGTTGGATAGGTGACAAGGGGGTACAGGAAAAACAACTCACAAGTTGAGGGAACCCAGCTGCTGGGTGTAACAGGTGGCATTCCCAGAATTGAAGCCTAGGGGTTGAGGCTTGCCAACTTGACCGATCCAGATCATCATCTCGTACTTGGCAGCGGTGGCAGAGGTCGCGTTGCCCTTGTCCGGGTCCATGAAGATGTCGAACGCGATGTTGGCTTTCGTTCCGACATCATTGAGGCCGTTGGCGTCGAAAGCATCCAGGCGCGCAGCCTCGTCAGCTTTAGAAACTGTACCCGGGGTGTAGGTCCACGATGCAGCCAGCCTCAGGGCGGAGATGTTAGAGACGGAAGCCGGCAGGTCGCCCGACGAGAATGTGACATGCGGGTAGGAATGCACCCCTGTATCTGGATCTCCAGGCCACTTCCATGTCGCATCAAAGCCACCGTAAGTGGGAGAACTTGCGTTGATTATCTGAACGAGTTAGCAAATTCGCGCAGGCAAGTATCCCCAGCTTGGTTTGTGCCAACCACGTGCCACTGAATGCACTTGAAGGGGGGTGGTCTGGCTCAGACAGGGTGAAACTTTGCCCATGTGTCCAACTGTCCGCATTCCATAGGGGAGCGTACCGAGAGGCACTGAAAACCGCCGTCATCAGGATTCCAGGCATTTGCACTGTCTTTTCTTTTGTTAGCATAATGTCTCAGGAGTCTGCCAAAGTAGGAAATGAATGCATGGACTCTTACAAGAGAGACCAGAGCCATCTGCGTAGCCGTTTTGACCACAAATGATGGCATCGTAGCCGTTTGTGGCCGCTGTTGAGGATGAGGATGAAGAGGACGACGACGGTTTCTCAGACGCTGTGACAGCAGAGAGCAAAGCAAGGGTGGCTGCAAGGGTGGCTGCAGACATGGATAACATTATCGTGGACCACTCTGGGCCTGGCAGGGCAAATTTTGGAAAGAGCAATGTGTGGTATGGTGAAGGTGCCTGAGGACCAGGAAGAAATGGAGAAGCTGGGTGAGATTTGTTCCGGATCAACAGGCGAGAAGTGCGCGTAGAAGACTGCCAAAAAGTAAGAAAAAGTAATGCGGCAGTGACTGGCAGCTCCCTTCGCTGCACAGCCCTAGGCGTGTCTAGACAGCTAGAAAACGTTTTGTGGAGCTACAGACAGTCACGGGTAATCCAATAAGGATCGAGAGTGGCAGCGGGCGTGCGAATATCCTACCAAGCTGTCTGTTTGCATGCCTGCCACGTATGTTGGCACGCAATGAGCCGCATAGAAAGCCTCGTGTTATTCATTTCCAACGAACTGTTGACCATCACTCACGTTTGCTTTTTTCCTGCCAGGCACATGGATAAGCCAGTGTTCGATATGCACCCTTTCCTGCAGCAGTACTTCTTCCCAACTCTGTTTGGTTCTTGGAATCACATCCGAAATGGGGGCTGAGATAAAGTTGTGTGACACGGTCTTTCTCGGGCAAGATGTTGGACCGACGTTGCCCAGCTTACCGTGAACACCCTAGGATGTTGGCTCAGTTACTTGATTTAGCCTGCAGGCATGGCTACCGAAGCGCGCCACCGATACCAGCGGCGCCCAATTGCTTCTTCGCCCTCTTTGTTCCGTACCCTGTCTTGGAAGGTGTAGTGGGGATGATATCCTTCGAGAATTTGAGCCCGCCAATATACCTCATAAATACGTGCACTTGACTACCGTGAGCCAGGTCGGCCGAATGGCTTTTCGGATCCAATAGAGCGTTTCTCCTTACGCGCCACAAGTGACACTCCCAAAAAGAAAAACGAAAAAAAGCCACCCCAGCTTGCCATTCCATGTCAGAACCTTTTTTTTTTTTTTCTCTCTTGACTGAACTTTTTCCCCAATGACCGCTGCCGCGGGTCCGGCATCCATCCGCCACAGTCAGCTGTATCATCGCTCGGTGTGACGGAACACGGTCTCCACTTTCTAGATCTCCTCTGAGATGCCAGGTGATCCCTCATGTGTCTGATATCTCTGAATGGCTGAGTTCGAGATGAAAGGGTATGATGGCTGACGCCGAGCCAGTTTGGCCCGAATGAACACAACAGATATTCCCTTCTGAGCTAGAGCTGCATGCGCTGCGGCAGCTACTGTGAGCAGGATCGAATCGGGAAGACATTCACAACCAGTCCAGGGCGCTATGCACGGGTTCAGGATCGAGACATGGTGTGCAGAGCTGTCCACGCACCTCGTTCGGTTCGATTATGGACATGCCCGTTCATCTGGAAAATGAGCCTTCATCGGACCTCCACCTAGGTGCTGAGCGGATTTGCCCCCATCATGGCTCACATCTCACCCCGTCAGACAAAGGTGTCTCAGAGCTGAAGCCGGGATCTGTGCATTGCACGTCACATTTGACCTGTTACAACGTCCGACGGACTGGACCGGACTGGTAATCTCGAGTCGACGATGGGACACTGTCTAGTTGTCTACCCGAATCAAAAAGGTGGTGCCAAAGCAGGAACATGGTGCCTAAGCGCCTAGCACAACATGGACACACGGCATACTCGGATTCACGATTGTCAGACCACGGACGAGATCTGATAGGGAAAAGATAACCCACGGACGGCGATCTTTGGCACCTCCCTGCTTTCCAGGGCAGCTTGCCCGCCGAGGACCGAAAGCCGGGTCTAGATTGATTATTGACTCAACAAAACTTGCGACTGGGCTCAAGCCTCATACAGGGACCTGGGAGTCGCGGATCGCGATGGCCAAGTTAAACAAGATGTTCAAACCGACGACAGGGAGACCAACGCGGACAGAATGAGCGGTGTCCAGCTGACCGTCCCGATTTGTAAGTATTTAACGGACATGCGCAGGTATCCGGATAACTACATATAACGATGGCATCAGAATTATCATGAGGGACTTCAACTCTGCCGGATCACACTGCACCCATCCAGTGCACTCTCCCTTCTCTGCGGTCGCCCTTCGCAATTCCGGATCCTTCGTTTGACCACCAACACAACCAGCCAGCCTGTTTCAGTGTCTCCCAAATTTCTTGCACAACTTTGTCGATCCTGTTTGCATCATGGCAACTATCCCAGAAGCGATCACCATGCCGCCCCTGTTGCGCGCTATGAGCCCAGACTCGCTCGTGACCACCAGGTCCTCGTCCTCTGGCGTCTGGGGATCTGGCGAGGCCACACCGGTGACATCTCCTCCCAGTTCCCGTGGCGAGTCTCCTGAGCGTAAGCCGGATCAACTCGATGGAGTTCCACGGCACACTCGGTCAGATGCCACCACCATCGTGACGCTTTCCTCAGCACCTCCAGTCAGGAACATCTGCTTTGTCGGAGCAGGCTTCGTTGGTGCGCACAACACCTAGTTACGTCCCCAATCTCAGTTCATCCTCTGCTCACACTCCTCCAGGTGGCCCGACGGCAGCCCTTATTGCCTACCACAACCCTTCCATCGTCGTCAACGTCGTGGACCTCAACACCGAGCGCATCGCGGCATGGAACGCGAATCACCTACCCATCCATGAGATAGGCCTGCCCAAGATCGTGCGGATCGCCCGCGATGGCACCAACGAGACTACCGTCACGGGACTTCCAGGCATGGCGGAGTCGTCCGGCCTTCGCCTGCCGGCGCGCAAGCCCAACCTCTTCTTCTCGACCAACGTCACCCCTTGCATCGCGGAGGCAGACATCATCTTCATCTGCGTCAACACACCCACCAAGACCTACGGCATCGGGGCCGGCGCCAGCGCGGACCTGGGCGCCTTGGAATCGTCGACGAGGACGATCGCGAAGAATGCCAAGAGTGGAGCGGTCATCGTTGAGAAGAGCACAGTCCCCTGTGGAACAGCGCGGATTATTTCGGATATCGTAAGTTTTCCCGAGGGTCTCACGCAGACGCCAAATGTCTCTGCTTTCAAAAACCTTCTCCCTTTCTTGGGCCTTTCTTCCCTCGTCACACAAACACGGGATTTCTCATCTGAGGCATCCCGTGTGGAAGCCCAATGGAATTACCCGTTGCAATGTCTCGGGTGACTCCTTGAAACACACTATCGACCTGCAAAAAAAGAGAGGAAAAAAGCAAGCACCATCCAGCCGCCTACGCACGTGTCGAAGCTAATGTCAACTGCCTGCCTCCACAGCTCCACCAGCACCGGCCGGAGACGACCTTCGAGGTCCTCTCGAACCCAGAGTTCCTCGCGGAGGGCTCCGCGGTGGCGAACCTGATGCGGCCCGACCGGATCCTCATCGGCAGCGGCACGGGGCTGGCCGGCCTCCGGGCTGCGTCCGCCCTGCGCGGCGTCTACGCCGCCTGGGTGCCGCCCGAGCGCGTCCTCACCGTCAACACCTTCTCGTCGGAGCTGGCCAAGCTGGTTGCCAACGCGATGCTGGCCCAGCGCATCAGCAGCGTCAACGCCGTCGGCGCGCTGTGCGAGGAGCTCGGCGCCGACGTCGAGGAGGTCAGCCGCGCGCTGGGCGCCGACTCGCGCCTGGGCCCCAAGTTCCTGCACGCCGGCGTGGGCTTCGGCGGGAGCTGCTTCGAAAAGGACATCCTCAACCTGGCGTACCTTGCCAGGTGCCTCCACCTGCCTGAGGTTGCGGACTACTGGACCAGTGTGCTGGACATCAACAGGTATCAGCGCGAGAGGTTCACAAAGACGGCCATACGCAAGCTGAATGGCACCCTCAGGGGCAAGAAGATTGCCATATTCGGCTTCGCCTTCAAGAACGGCACGAATGACACCCGCAACAGCGTCGCGGTGCACATCATCGCCGAGTTAGCCCTCGAACAGCCGAAGGAGATTGCAGTGTTCGATCCTGGCTGCGCGCCCGACGAGGTCGGACGAGATCCGAAGGATCGTCAGGGACGAGGCAATGATGAGCCGCATCAAGATTGTCAGCGGGTGGAGGCACGCCGTCGAGGGGGCTTCCGCCGTCTGCATACTCACCCAGTGGCAGCAATTTCGCGGCACGGCGGCCGTCCCGTTGAATAAGCTTGCAATTTCATCACCCAGCAAGCTTTCAAACCTGGCCTCGGACAGCGAGAAACAGCTCAGTGAAATGGACATCATCGAGCTTGAGGATCTCGCGCTCAGAACAACAGGTGCCAACTCTGAGGATCCGTTACAGAGACTCGTGCCCCGAGTCTCCTGTGAAGCTGGCTGCAGGGAATGCCAGAGGAACTCTACGCTGTCCGGGGACAAGGACGTCGTGGACTGGGAGATGGTGGCAACTCTGATGGAGAAGCACAGCTGGGTGTTTGACGGCAGGAACGTGGTGGACAGCATTTACCTGAAGTCTCTCGGCTTCAAGGTTCACAGCATTGGAAAGGGACTCTGATGGCCAAACAGTCATATCGAGCAAATACATACAATTCTTCGCATCTAGATCGAGCTTCTTAGATACTGTCTAATTCAGAAATGGTCAACTATCCTCACAAAAAGTCTCAGGAATATCACCCAAAGTTTGCTTGATTGGATTTGACTGGCCAATTCTTCGCGATACACGGTCAAATACGTCACAGTCACACAGCATACGGCCTGCTGCAACCAAGGCCGCCACCATGTCCTTCGGGCCCGAGCCAATATCTCTATCTCCATGGGCAAATTCCCACTGGGGAGGGCTGGGCATGCAGCATAAAACATATAACTATTTTCTAGCCACATGAGACGCAGGCACAGGTCGAGTTATCGGACTCCCATGCCCATGACCCTTGAAAATGTAGTCCTACCACACCAATGACCCCCACCGCTAAAACGCCCGGTAGTTCACTCAGCCCTATTACTGCCATCCAAATTGCTACCATCCCATTCCCATTGCCACTTCAATTTAAATCCCATGCAGACTCGAGGTGAATCCAGCAAATCACAGCCGTAGCACATATCAAGGTAACGGCCAAGCCTACCCAGCCTTGCACGCACCGCATATCGCACGGCATAACCTAGCCTACCACCTTAGATTCCCGCATATGCCCATGCACCCCTTCGGAGAGCATCGATAGCTCGAGGGAATTTATGCATCTTCCGGGGGGGAAGCTTCCCGCATCCAGCCCGTAATTATATTGTTGACGTTGCCGGCTGCCACCCTCTCTCCTTTTCGACATGCACATGCACTCACACAGCATCATACGAAGAACCCCTCGGAGACAGTGGGAGAGAGGCGCCCCCAGCCCACGCTCGGCTGGCGACCCGACGCCACGCAGCAGCAACAAGAATTTTTGGGCCCAGTTCTCGACGGAATGCCGCTGGTTCCGTATGCAGTCCTCGGATGTGGCGGCGGCTGTCTTGCAGAGGCGACTATGATGAACAGCCCGCAGGGCGGCCTGACTCCCGAACATCCCCGCTTGGCCGGACTGGCATGCTCTCCTCTGGAGCACAATAGACCGCACAATCGTTGTCCCCTGTCAGCCTCAATATCCGGGGTCGAGTCCTGTGGGACAACCTCCCGTGGGACAGCCTAGTGGTATAAATTCCTGGTGGAACATCTTGCAGGAGACAGCGTCACAGCACGCCCATGGTCCGACGCAGACTTTCAAAGAAATGATGTCCAATTGCTACTGCTTCTCGATAAAACTACTCGAGAAGACTGATACCCTAACTCAACCAAGCCCCTTTTTTTTCAGGGAGATGTGTACTGCAAAAGAAGACATGAAGAAAAACAAGTACACATAGAAAAACAACAGGTATTCATTCCCCCAATCGCATGCCCGTTCCCAAAAAAAGAAAAGGGACTTATGTAGAACTGCCCCGCCGCCCGTACTACACTGATCGTGTCCGCCAGCCAGCCACACGGGCGCACATACACAAAAGTCCGGCCCGCTCCTCTCCCGCGCCGTGGTGAAACGCAATCTAGGTAACGCTACGAAAATCAAGCCGCACAGGAAAGTCCAGGTCCAAGGGGTGGGTGGACAGAGAGAAAGAGGCAGGTGTTGTCCCTTCTCTAACCCTTGACGATCTTGCAGACCAGATCCGTTCCGTCGACGGAATCGCCCTCGCGGACCTGGAGCGACGACACCTTGCCGTTGTGGGGCGCGGAGATGACCATTTCCTAGTAATCATGTTAGATCCAGACTCATGATTGGGAAAGCGGTGTTGTAATTTGAGTAAGTAAAACCTGAGGGAACTTACCATCTTCATGGCGCTGAGAACAGCAAGAGGGTCTCCCTTCTTGACCTCGGTGCCCTCGTGGACGCGGAGCTCCACCAGCACGCCGGCCATGGGGGCACCGACCTGGCTACTGTCGGTGGGGTCGGCCTTGGGGCGGCTGACGTTCTCGACGCTGGCCTTCTTGTCGTCGACAGTGACCTGCCTGACCTCGCCGTTCATCTCGTAGAACACCTCTCGCTGTCCCGTATGCTCCGTCAGGGGCCCGATGGCGAGCAGCTTCAGGATGAGCACCTTGCCCTTCTCGAGCTCGACGTGGAACTCCTCGCCGATCTCCGGCTTGGTGAGGAAGTACTTGGTCGGCAGGACCGAGAGATCACCGAACTTGAGGGTGAAGTCCTTGTAGTCCTCGAAGACCTTGGGGTACATGACATACGACGCGACGTCACACTCTGTAATGCCAGCGCCGTACTTCTTGGCGAGATCGCGCCTGACCTTGGCGAAGTCGACAGGCTCGAGGAACAAGCCAGGGCGCTTGTCGAGCTTCCTGCGTCCACGGAGTGCATCTGTGCGGAGTGGCTCGGGGAAGCCACCGTAAGGCTGTCCCATCAAGCCCTCGAGGAACTCAAGGACTGAGCCGGGGAAGTCGAGCTCCTTGGCCCGCGCCTTGACATCCTCTTCGGACAGCTTGTTGGAGACCATGAACTGGGCCAGATCACCGACGACCTTAGAAGTGGGTGTGACTTTGACGATGTCGCCGAGGAGGTCGTTGGCTTGCTCGTAGGCCTTCTTGGTCTCGAGCCATTGGGAGCCCAGACCAAGCTGCTGGGCCTGGAACATCATGTTCGTGAGCTGCCCACCTGGGATTTCGTGCTCGTACACCTCGGGGTCGGGTCCTGCAAGATGAGCCTCAAATGGCGAGTACAGCAGGCGAAGCTGGGACCAGTAGGTGTCCAGGGCACGGACGTGGTGGACATTCAGGCCAGGGTCGAGGTTGGTTCCCTCGAGGGAGGCGAGCAGGGCGTTGATGCTGGGCTGCGATGTCATACCAGACATGCTGTCACTGCAGGCGTCAACGGCATCAGCGCCGTACTCAGCACAAGCGACCATGGAGGCGACACCAGTACCGGCCGAGTCGTGCGTGTGCACGTGAATGGGCAGGTCAGGGTACTTCTTGCGGATCGCGCCGATCAGCAACTTCGCGGCATGGGGCTTGAGCACACCAGCCATATCCTTCACGCCGAGGACGTGGATGTCAAGCTTCACGAGCTTGTCAACCAGGTCGAGGTAGTACTCCAGGTTGTACTTCTTCTTGGGGTTGAGCATGTCTCCAGAGTAGCACACAGTACCCTCAACGACACCACCGGCCTTGTGGACAGCCTTAATGCCAACCTCAAGCTGGTCAATGTCGTTCAAAGCATCGAAGACACGGAAGATGTCAACACCGTTCTTCTTGGCCTGGTCGACGAATTGGTCAATGGCGTTGTCGGGCAGAGAGGAATAAGCCACGCCGTTGGCGCCTCGGAGAAGCATCTGGAAGGGGATGTTGGGGATAAGCTTGCGCATCTTTCGCAGCCTGTCCCAAGGATCCTCGTAGAGGAAACGCATGGCGACGTCGAATGTCGCTCCACCCCAGCATTCCAGACTGTACAGGTTTGCCAGGGCATGGCTCGTCTCCTTGGCGATATTGCACAGGTCGACAGTCCGGACACGGGTGGCCAGCAGAGACTGGTGGGCATCTCTCCATGTGGTGTCCATCAGCAAAGTGCCCTTGTATTCACGGACAGCCTTTGCGAAAGCCGCAGGACCTTGCTCCACAATGATGTTTCGCCATCCCTTGGTTGAGGGCTTGCTGACATCGAGCTTGTTGCCGGTGTCATCGTGGAGTTCAGGAATGATGATCTCGCCCTTGAACTTGGGCTCGCCGACCTGCCCCTTGATGCTGCTTCCGTTGACTGTAAGATCACCCAGATATGCGAGCAGCTTCTGAGCACGGTTCTGAGAGCCAATGAGGTCAAAGAGCGACGGGGTGTCGTCGATGAAGGTGGTCCAGCAGTTGCCGTTGACAAACACCTCATTTGTCAGAAGAGAGGCAAGGAAGGGGATGTTCGTCTCTGCTATGCGTTAGTCACTCACTCCGGAGAAATGCGGCCAAGAAAAGTGTTAAAACGTACTGACGCCTCTGATGCGAAATTCGACGATAGACCTTAGAACCTTGCGACGAGAGATCTCGTATGTAGAGCCGTGGGCCGTGAGCTTAGTTAGCTAAAATTTTGGCCCGTCGTTAGCACTGATATTCAAAAGCCTGGAATTGGTTGCAATGCAAGATGAGAGACAGTCGATGTAGTCGACAGTAGTCACCCGTATGGGCAAACGGTCGACCAATATGGTAGACGATCTATGCATGCGGTAGACAATCACCGCACATGGCACACAGTCAACACATAGGAGATATTTTAGAAGCTTCTTACCAAGGAGTCATAGTAGGCTGCAGTTTAGTAGACACAAGTTAGCATTTGTCCATGAGCTAGAAGAAAGTAGTTGACAGTAGGAAATGGGCAACAAGAAAAAAAAACCGGAAAATATCTGAACGATGGCTTTGTAACATGAAGGGCCGGCCGGTTCCAGGGGGATTTAGTGATGTTGGCCGAAATTCGACGACGTCCAAAAGCTCAAAGTCCACGAGTCAACGCCAACGGCCACCCGTAAGTCAACGTACACAAGTCGACGTCAGCAATAATGATGTTGTACGCAACTCGACCACGCCCATAAGCTCAGAGTCCACGGGTCGACATCCACCAGTCGACATCAACAAGCCACTCGCACGTCGACATCGGCAAGTCGACGTGCACAGGTCAACATCCACGAGTCGGCATCAGGCAGCCACTCGCAAGCCGATGCTCATCAGACGCCCATGAGTCGACACCCAAAGGTCAACGGCAATTCGAAGGTCCAAAGTCACCCGCAAGTCGACACCCAAGTCATCTGCGAGTCGACACTCGGGAGTCGACAATCAGGAGTCGACACTCAGGAGTCAACTTCACTTTCGACGGACTGGTTGATGTGGCGGGACGACTTCAAATGTCGTTTAAGATGGGTCGCATCTTTGCAGGCCAAGTCGCAGGTCGGACAATAGAACTTCTTTGCGGCGATGTTCGCGGCCCTCAGACGGGCGTACCGGGGGTTGACAGTAGGAGGAGCATACTCGGCGCCCTGCGCGGCAGCTGCCTTGGCATTCTTCTCATGAGTGCGCGACTTTTCGTGACGCAACAGTAGGCCGCGCTCCCCGCAAGACTTGTTGCAGACAGGACAGTGGTACTTTTTTGCGGCGATATTGTCGGCGTGCCATTTCGCCTTGTATTGTCGATCGACTTCGAGGGCAGCTTGATATCGGGGGTCCGAAGAAAGGTCGGGAGCGGGACCATCAGTAGCCTGGACGTCGTCCATTACCGAGTCGGCGGTCTCTTGATCATTGACAGGCGAGTCGAGCACGTCTAGATCATCTACGTTTGGATCATCGACGACCGACCGGCCAGCTTTCGCAGCCCTCCTCTTGTGCAAGTCCGACTTGAGATGATCAATCAACCAGGTTTTTTGGCCGAATGAGACATCGCATACGTCGTCGTAGTATCTGTCGGAAGTCTTGTTTGCGAGTTTCCACAAGCCTGCCTTCGTAGTCGGGACGACGCCGTTGACGTTGTCGATGTGTTTCTGAGTGAGAAGTGGACATCCAAGTGATTCTGGTCAGGGCAGGCAACGTTGCAGACGTCACAGCTGAACCTTCGTGACTCCAGTGCCTCGGCTCTGTATCGCCGTTCATTCTCCCTTATCTCGTCGATCCTCCTTTCGAAGTGGGCTGTCAGCTCGTCAGGGGCAAGCCCACTGGCAGTTCCCAACGTGAGACCCTCGCCATAGGCAGAGTGAGTGCACAAACCATCGTACTCAAACGACTCGAATGACCACGGGCATATATCAGGCAGACGTGATTCGCGCGCCTTCGAATTCATGGCCCCGAAGACGATCGAAAAGATAGCTTCGAGGGTGAGGAATAGATCGCGCAGTCGGAATCTCATTGCAGGAGGTGGAATTGGTGCCCGGCACAGAATGCATCTGTGCGTGATAGTGTAGCCATCTTCCAGGGCCTCCTTGACCAACCGAGGCAGGTTGACTTCCTCATCGTAGTCTTGAAAGCGACTCTGAGCACCGTCGATCGAGTTTGTGGCGGAACCAACGTAAAAGTCGGGCCGACAGTCGACCTTCTCGAGAACAAGACCATAGATAACCCAAGACGACTCGGCGATCGTCGAAAGGCTCTTGAAGTAGTCGATTTTGGGTGGCTTAGGAGCTTGGACGACGTCCGAGATTCCCGGAACGAAGGAGATGCGCGTGTCTTCCATGAACTCTTCAAGCAGGTCCTGAGACTCAAATCGCGGGACAGAGACAGCAGACTGATGGACGATGGGCGGTGCTCGAAGTAGGAACGCCCAAACGAGCCACGACACGTAATCTGGAACGTCGAAGGCCATGTTGTCGACGTGGGACGCTGTGTTGACTGACTGTCGACGGTAGATGATCTGCAAGTCTACGGTAGACGACAAACCGACTGGCTGACGGTAGACGCTGTGCTGACGCTGACAAGTATGTTGACGCTTTCACGATGTTGGTGATTGGTAGACGCTGCGTTGACTCTCTACGGTAGACGATGTGTCGACGCCTTCAGATTGTTGACGGTCGGGAGGACGATGCTCCGCGGGGAAGTGAAGAGCCTCATGACCGCAAAAATTCTGTCGTTTGTAGCAAATCCAGTCCTGGGGAAGGTACGGGTTGACTCGAGGCTGCGGGCCAGGCAAGAGCAGGAGCATGTTGGTGGCTGTGTTCCAGTGGGAAGGAGCGCGGGACCCCCTGTCCATGTGGTCGAGATGGATCATCCAGAAGGGGAAAGAAGGAAGTAACAAATGAAATAGATAGGAAAAAATTTACAAGGGGGCAGAAAGGGAAAGAGAGACTCACGGGTGATGACAGCACCGGCGAAACCGTTGCCACCATCCAGACGGACACCGTTGCCACCAGCACTGCGGTAGACCTCAATGCGGCCGGTGTCAGGCTGGAAGCCCTTGGCCGGGTCCTCGGTGGTGATACGGCACTGGATGGCGAAGCCCCGGGTGGAGATGCGGTCCTGGGTGAGGCCGAGCTGGGCGAGGGTCGCGCCGGCTGCGATCTGGATCTGGGCGGCGACGATGTCGATGCCCGTGATCTCCTCGGTGATGGTGTGCTCGACCTGGATGCGGGGGTTGATCTCGATGAAGTAGTACCTGTTCTGCTGGTCGACCAGGAACTCTGCGGTGCCGGCGTTGCGGTAGCCAACCGACTTTGCAAGGCGGACGGCGTCGTTGAGCATGGAGTCGCGGACCTCGGTGGGCAGGTCCTTGGCCGGGGCGATCTCGACGACCTTCTGGTGCCGCCTCTGGACGGAGCAGTCACGCTCGTACAGGTGCACAATGTTGCCATGGTTGTCACCGAGAAGCTGCACCTCGATGTGCTTGGGCTTGTCGAGGAAGCGCTCGACGAAGACGGTGCCGTTGCCGAAGGCCGACTTTGCCTCGGACGTGGCGCGCTCGAAGTTCTCCTTCAGCGATTCCTGGTCGCGGACCACACGCATGCCACGGCCACCACCTCCGTAGGCGGCCTTGATGATGATCGGGAAGCCATATTGGTCGGTGAAGCTCTTGACCTCCTCGAACTTCTCCACTGCGCCCTCTGTTCCGGGGACGACGGGTACGTTTGCCTTGATGGCGATCTTTCGGGCAGAGACCTTGTCTCCGAGGGAGTCGATGACCTCGGCCGTAGGTCCGACGAACTGTTTCGGACGCAAGAGATCAGCTCGGTGCCAATTGCCGCGAGGGAGAAGTAACCTCGGCTACAGGCGGAAATGCAAGGCCATGTGGAACGGGGCCAGGGGATGGAGAAACTTACGATAAGGCCAGCCTTCTCGACATTCTTCGCGAATTCGGCATTCTCAGACAAGAACCCGTAACCTTCCGCACCGTCAGTGTCATGTTTCTCGCGTGAAGCCCGGCGAGATGTCGGGATGCAGAAGTGTCGGTAATGGCAAACTCACCAGGGTGGATCATCTGGGCGCCATGCTCAAGTGCGATCTTGATAATCTCGTCGCCCGCGAGATAAGCGCCAACAGGGGTGTACTGTCCGCGCTTGCCAATGACGTAGGCCTCGTCGGCCTCTGTTCAACAGAACCAAATGTTAGAGTTTTGCCCACGATGACTTCGCCTCGAAGCGGGGGAGAGGGGTCGAGCCAGTAGGGCCAATGCTGCGTACTTTGCCTGTGCATGCTGAGACGGTCCTCATAACTGCGAGAGTCAGTACTCTGCGTCCCAATTGGCGCTATCGCTGCTGCTGCTGCGGTCGGGTTCCAGGGTGTGTGCAGCTAGCTTACCTGAAGACAGCAATGGTGTGCAATGAAAGCTCGTGAGCCTGCAAAATCAAATCAGCACAAACCAATTGGTTCGGGGTTCAGGAATGTGCTCACTGTTCTGAAGATCTACAAAGCCGGGAAAGACATATTGTCAGCATCATGTTCTCTGTTCCTCTCTTACCGGGGTCCTGGTTCCCGGGTCTGGCTCTCGCTTTCTCTCGGTTCTGGACCTACACGAATAGCTGCAAGTAGTATCAGTAGGTGCGCACAACGACTTACACCGGTTGTAGGGTCATAGGAGAGGGGGCCAAGACTTACGAATCTCTCCACGGTTCGCAACTGTAATCAGCAAAAAAGCAACGTCAGCAATCTGTTGTACCATCCAACCGCATGACGCGGTGCTTCCAAAGCTGTCGGACTTTCGTCTCGGACATCTCGCTCCAGTCCAGGGCAGGACTCGACACCGCGCTGGTGATTGACTCACCGAGGATCTTGCTCAACTGCATTATAGTAGAGTTGGCACGAATGCGGTGGATGGACTGGGCCTGCTTGGGGGCCTCGCCCTCCTCGAAGACCTCCTCCACCTTATCGTTGCTCGTCGCAGCCGCCATTGTGTGGTGCTTGAGGGGCGGGGTATGTGTCTGGGCTGGGATGTGGTTCAGGCGACCGGGCGAGGAATCTCAAGAGGAATCTCGAGAGCACGGTGGGAGTGCGGCCTTTGGTCTAGTACTTGTACTTCGCAGATGACTCCTTGTTGTTGTGGGCTCGGAGCTCTGGAATGGCGGGGCTATGGCTATCAGCGCGACAGCAACAGCGGGGCCAGCGGACAGAGGGGAGCTCGGAGCTTGGAGCTTCCCAGGTATAGTGGGCGGGCAGGCCTAGTCTCGTTTGGTGACTCCGACCTCGATGGTATAGGGTATTTTCTTGCTGGAGGAAAACAACAATGGTAGGCTAAAAAAAAAAATTGGAGGGTATGAAATGAAGAGGGAAGAAATAAATGAGCAAGGCCCGGCCTCCGACAGCGGTCAGTATTTCTACTACTGGAGCTAGTCTCTGGACAATTTGCGTGGGGTGCTTGTGAAGTGCTGGAGTGTGAATGGTCGTAGACAAGCTCGCTTGGTCTAGTAAGAGGCTACGAAATTGCTGGAACTCGGGGGGCTTATCCTTTTAGCTCTGATCTGGACTCTCCTGGGCTCGGGCTCTGTCTGGGATGGCTGGAGGGGACCTGGATGGATGCAGGATGAGGGGTTTTGTTCACATGGTTCAGCCCAAGCTATCTTGTTCGGACCCGGTACCACTAGCTGTGTCATCGCCATGACCATCCACCCTTTCTCTGAGTTATCTCCCTCCCACTGTCTGCAACACCCAGATGGGACTGATTACATCAAGAAGTCTTGGGCTGTCGAACTTGAATCCTTCAACGTTCCTGACCCCGGGTTCCCAAGCCCCAGCCGGCCCTCTGTTTGGCCTTTGTGCTCACATGTTCACACCGTTCGAGAAGTTGCAGCTCGTTCGAGGCACAGCCGCCAGAGGTCAAAAATAGATAGGATGAGAATGAATGTCCCTCCATCCATCCTGCGAAGATCTCCCGACACAACTCTGCCCCGGCTGCCAAACCCATGGACATGCAGACCTGAAGCTGTTTCCCATCAGAGCTTATCCCACAATGATCCCTCCACCGCCAAGCTCACTCGTGCACCTCAATTACGCGGTACCGCTGCTTGAGTCTCAACCTGCAGCTCTTGGCTGTGAGACCCTGATGGATCGAAACGGCCTCGTCGAACTGGAATTGTTCCGGAGCCCATGCCGACCTCGACTCACGCTGGCCCTCCACCCCTAATGCCTGGGAGATCTGGCATGTTGGACAGGGCGATGTGCCGGGGAGCTCGCATCATCGATCCCAGCTCACCAAAGCCCGCTTCAACAAAACACACCCCACCTTGGGTGTTGACATGTGCTGTTGCAGATGGATCTTTTTTTGACTCAACCTAGGCGGTGGAACCCCACGCTGGGCCACCGGGAGCTCTGCCCAGGTCCGAGACCCTGCTGCTCCCTGCCAGAAGGGGAAACGAGCTCAAAGACAGGCGAGAGCTTCGTCCAACCACATCGCCCTGGTAGTCTCTGAGCTGACCGAGGGGTAATTCGGCATGCATGCGTCCATCCACCCATCAGCGTCACCGTTCGTCCTGTTGGTGGCCCTCCTCACAGCTATTTGTCGAATCTATGGTAGCATTTTGTCCATATACCGGAAGCCCACATATAACAGACATCTCCATCGCTATGATGCTACGGTATGGCATCCGAGAGAGCCTAAGCCCGCATAAAGTCCCAAGGATAGCAAAAGTGAGGCACATCCTCGCACAGATGAATAGCGTATGCTACAGTGCAACCACCGGACATGGCGGTCTGCATCTTGTCAACCTCTTGGCTACCATGTCCTGATACAAGCTCGACCCCTGATCTCGAACTACCGCGAGCTTGGCTCTGGGACCGTTTCGCAAGGCAAAACAACCAAACATTGATGCCAAAAAAAATAGAATGGACTATCTCTGGGTTGATAATTATGGTGCCGTGCCGAAGCTTCGCTGGAATTGTCTAGATTCGTGCCTGCAGCTGCAGCCAGAAACGCGGCATTTTGTCACCCTCGCTCGCTTCGCCTCGTTTCCTTGAGGGGTTCGGTGGCTGGCGTCGTCCGACCCCCGATCTGGGATGGACATGACCCCCGAGCAACTGAGGAAGGCAAGCACGATAGTCTAGCGATGATTCAGGATTGGCGCGGGTGTATGTGTCATTCCTGTTCGTGGATCTTTTTCCCCTGTACTTTTCCTTTGGTGTTTTTTTTTTTTCTTCGTCTCCTCCTGGACCCCCATTTCAGGTTATTTACTCGCTCCGGCCGACCTCGGCAGCAGCAACGGACGAGCGGGTAAGGCTGATGAGGTGATGGATGGGTAACAACCCGCTGAACCGGGCGATGCAATGAGGTGTTTTCCGTCTTTCCTCGGCTTTGCATGGCATGTCCGAATGTGTCAATTTTTTTCTTTTTTCTTCGTGTCATATGGTCAAGCCTTGCATCACGCCGGCCACTAGCATCGAATACCATGACCCCCGGGCAATACAAGATCTCTTGTCTTTTTTTGCTCGGTGAAACTCGAACAACGGGGACCGTTTCTAAACACCAATATGGAGCCCACATCTCCTCCGTCCCCTCCTCGGCCATGACTCTTATTCTTATCTCTGGGAAATCCCTCGTCCCCGTGGCTGGCTTGGGTTTTGTATGTGTGTGTCAACTATATCCCCGAGACCAGACCAGACAGCCAGTCAAAACACATGATGCCCCTTCCGACCCATGGACGGCTCCTTGCCTCTCTCTCGCAACGGCACGATCCGTGAATCCCGGTCCGCCAAAGGGGGAAAGAGTATCGCATTTACACAGTATTATGCGAGGAGGTAGGGTACCACGGAGGGGCTGATATGCGTTGCGCGTCTGCTTCAGGAAGTCATCCCATCACCCGGGGCGGCTGGGGAAAAAAAAACACAAATCTTGGGATGACTTGCATACTGCCGCGATACGCTCTTGGCTGGGCGACGGATACCCGTCTTCTACTACATACATAGATTATACTATGCCGTCTTGCCTGCAGAAATGGCTGGTCTGGCTGACCCAACCAATCGACCCGCGAGCCAAGGGTTCGATACATTCGGTAACCGAACCCGGCCACGAATCCACTCCGCTGTCCAGCCGCCTACGTACGCGCGGACCGCAAGAGGTGTGGAATCTACGATCTTTTGCCAAAAAAAAAAAAAATAATGAGACAGCGGAGGGCCACAAGGCGCTCTGACTGTCCAGCCAAGACGTTACGCCTGTTTGAACAATATCAAGCAGCAAACAACGCCAAGTGGCCAAGAGGCCGAGCATTCCACCGCACGAGATTCCGCCAAAGAAACGCACAGACTGTGTGCTCTAGAATTTGCTTGCGTACTTCTGATATGCTCGTCGACAATATCTAAAAGCAGCACGGTAGTATCGACACACCTCGAGCCCATCTTGCCCAGTCGCCTCCACAAAAGGGTGTGCCTGCAAAACAGGCAACTTCCGCGGTACTCTATCACGAACGCCGCTCGTCGCCTCTTAATAAGGACTACTCCATGCCAATCCACCAAGTCCTACCCGCGTGCACTGCGTCACGGCAGGTCCCTTCGTCCGTCGAGCTTGGCCGGCGGTAGTCCGCCCCGAGAATTCCTCATCATCCTTCTAGCGCTACAGCTACCTCTCGTTTCCGACGTCACACAACAGGAGTTTACTTGCTGACGGCAGCCTCAACCTTCTGGGCGCCCTCCTTGATGCCCTCCTTTGCCTTCTCCAGGACCAGCTCGCCCGAGGAGATGGCCTTCTCCCGGCCGCCCCACTTGTGCCAGTCCAGGAACCGGTACGCCTGCGTCAGCTGGGAGCCCTCGTTGATGAAGTGGCAGGCGAAGAGGAGGTAGTTCTGCGGGGTCACGGCCATGGAGTACCGCATGAATGTCGCGGAGTAGATGCAGAGGGCGAAGGTCATGGGGCCGGAGATGCTGTGAAGTAGGGCGTTGTCAGCGGTTATTATCCTCTGGTGTGCAGAGCGTCGCCTTGCGTAGAGTTGTATGCAAAACGCCAGCTGGGAAGGTAAGAACGTACAGCTCAGGGCTCTTGTATGTGTCCATCACGGCGGCGACGGGAATACCGAAGTTCGACACCGGGCCCCAGAAATCTGCGAATCGTAGGCACATCAGTCAGTAGGTCGCCATGATGTAATTGCGCTATCACGAGATTATTGCGGCCTTCCCCCAGCTGCGGACGTTGCGAACCACGACCGCAGCGACGGCTCGTGCCCGCGGCAACGTGCTTCGCTTCCCGATCTCGAAGGAAGCAACATGACGTTTTTCCCATGCGACAGGTAGACCGCCTCATTCCCATTGCACGCCCAGCGCAAGCAATTGCTCAATCTCTCAAACATCACCAAGCGCAGAGTGTTGGGTGTCATCCGGAGATACCGGGGGGGTTGTCCGATGACGGCACCCGAAGAGGTTGGGGACAAGAGGAAATCTTTCGCCTCACGTACGTGTTGAGCAGATGTAGTCGGTGTACTTGTTGGAGCGAATCTTCGCGTTGATCGCTTTTATGAAGGCGGCCATCTTGACGGTCGGGGTTGACGCTGTCGATTGAGCCCGGTGGCAGCAGCAGGAGGGAATGACGGAGGTGGTGGTGTTGAGAGGGTTTGGCTGCGAAAATGATGTTGGATTTGGAAATTTGGCGGGCGCGCTATCGGGGCGATTGCCGGGGTTGGAATGCTCTGGCTGCAAGCTGAGTGAGTGCTGCAGGGTCTTGGCGGCCCAGTCAACCAAATCAGCTCTTCTTCGATTCCAATTGGAGCTCTTCTGAGCTTCACCCCTGTTCTCAACGTTACCTGCTTTGGGTATCACGTGTGTTCTCGGGGTTACCATATCAAATGTACGTGAACAACACTACTGTCACGGACGCAAATGGCCATGGTTCAATGAACTTCAGCCGGCAAAGATTTTGAGGTCTTGCAATTGAGCGATTTGTTCCATCCAGCAATGCATTGATATCCATCTATGCTATGGTACAGAGGACTGCCGAATCCTGACTTTCAATTTTGGAAGACCTTTGGAACGCCCTTGATATTTCCTCAAATTTCAGACCGGTGAAGCCCGCGGCGGTAGGCATGTTTTTCTCAGGGGTATTATCGTGATTATCGTCGGGAAGGGGGGTTGAAGCCAGGGGGAGGTTGGCTGCCAGGAGCACCAGGGAAGCCAGGCGGGAACTGACCACCTGGGGCCCCAGGGAAACCAGCGGGGAAGCCACCAGGGGGACCAGGGAAACCTGGGGGTGCGCCAGCTTGGTGATGGTTAGCAGAGCTCTTTACAGCGCGCGGAAGAGTGTTGTACTTACGACCTCCACGTCCAGGGAACCCAGGGGGTGCGCCGGGGAAACCACCGAAGGCTGGTGGCGGCACACCTCTCCGCCAACACCAGGAGCAGGACCCTATGGTATTGTTAGCACGCGAAGAACGTCCTCAAGAAAGGGTGGCACCTACGGCAAGAGCAACAGGAGGAGCGGCTCCTCGTCCAGCTGGTCGCGCGACGCCAGGTCCTGACTGCAGGGTCGAAGAGATTCCACCAGTTGTGGACTTGCCCAGCCGCGTGCTAGGGTCGGCCGGGGGTGGCGATTCGACCGATAAAGAGACAATGTGCGCTCCGCGCACGATCGTGAGACCGAGTGTTCGCTTCTCCTCCTGCACGACAGCTTGCGCCGCGCCGGGGGCTGCGCCGGGGGCTGCGCCGGGAGCGGCGGGCTTGTTCTGCTTCTTGATGCGACGGAACTCTTCGGTGTCGGCGAGGACGACATTCATGTGCTGTAAAGACATAGTCAGTAAGGAGGCCACGATACGAGATGGCTCAGATGGTCACGTACCTTGTCAAAGGCCAGCATCTGCCCGGTCATCTGGCGGCCATCGTTGAGAGTGACTCGCATCCGGTAGTTGATCTGGAAGGCAGGCATTAGTGTCTGCATCGCACATCGGGGGAGGCTGGTCGCATAATCGCATCGATGATCGGGGGTCATGTATGGGTAGTGTACGTACGTAGCCGGCCTGCGATATCATTTCGTGTTAGCCTGTTGATGTCAACCTCGAGATACAAATGTGACGTTTTGGAAGCCAGCACTCACCATCTTTCCCTGCTTGTTGGTCGCCATCTTTGCGACAAGATGCTACAGAGTAGCTTCTTCTGGTTCTCAAAAATTGGTATCTTGCAGCCGAAGTCGAGGGTATGACTTCTCGTGTCGCGGTCTCGAAGAGCTTCGTGTCAAAGCTTCCAAGTCCAGCAGACGCCGTGTTGATGCCTCCCAGGTCGAATTTGAACGCGGCTACGTGCCTGCCAGACGAGAAGGCTGCCGACCAAGCTCGGGCCACCAAAACTCTCAGGCCCAAGAAGGCGGCTAGTCCGCCCTCGAACTAGCGCAGTGTTCAGGGCTCCACCGCACACTTTGCGGACTTTTCTCATTTACTCCATCTTTTTTCGCATTCTGAGCCTCCTTCGTAACTAACCGACAGCATCAACCCATCGCCTTCGTCAAGCCCCTTCATCAGGATCGCCGACGACAACCAGCCAAAATGGTAAATACGTTACTCTGGTGTCCATCTGAGATGCTCAATCACTAACCGCCATGGCTGCAGTCTGAGAAGGCCCAAAACCCCATGCGGGAGCTCCGCATCCAGAAGCTCGTCCTCAACATCTCCGTCGGCGAGTCTGGTGACAGACTGACCCGTGCCGCCAAGGTGCTTGAGCAGCTGTCTGGTCAGACTCCTGTCTACAGTACGTTTCACACAGACTTCGGCCAGAACTGGCCAATGCCCGCCTGAATTCCCAACCTAACAAATCCTCCTTCCAGGCAAGGCCCGTTACACCGTCCGTACCTTCGGTATCCGTCGTAACGAAAAGATCTCGGTCCACGTCACCGTCCGTGGCCCCAAGGCCGAGGAGATTCTCGAGCGTGGCCTCAAGGTCAAGGAGTACGAGCTGCGCAAGCGCAACTTCAGCGAGACCGGCAACTTCGGCTTCGGTATCAGCGAGCACATCGATCTCGGAATCAAGTACGACCCCGGTATCGGTATCTACGGCATGGACTTCTACTGCTGCATGACCCGCCCTGGTGAGCGTGTCGTCCGCCGCCGCCGCGCCAAGGGCAGAATCGGTGCCTCCCACCGCATCACCCGTGACGACACCGTCAAGTGGTTCAAGCAGCGCTTCGATGCCATTGTCCGATAAATGGACAGGCCTCGTCGGGGGACCAATAACAGGAAAAAATCCAAGAAAAAGGCGTTTCTGAGGGCTTTCATATGGGTTGCGGCAAGGGACGGTTCGCAAAGGTTCTGATCAAAGGGTTTTCATGGACACATAGCTCCATCTGACGACCATCAATCGTCACTTTAGCTCGCTCTGAAATCTATCAGTCGAGCTGCGGCCTCAGAGTCCGAACGGCTACCATACCGTCTTCCCCACCTGTTGTGATTCCTGTTCATACATAGTTGTCATGGCATTGACTTGACATCTGATCAACCCATCCGAGAGCCGGCATCCTTTTATGAACCTCTCGCTTCGACCGAAACCTAGTGCTCTCTACTGAGCTCCGTGTGCAGATTGTAGACTGATCAAGGATGAGTCAGGCCGAAGTCCTGCTGAAATTGTCTTCAACGGCTTCCGCGTCTCAGCGTTTGCAGCTTCGCCTTCTTCCTCTTCTCGTATTGCTTCATATCCTCAGGGCGGCCCAGGAACGAGAAATACCAGGTAGGCTCCGCGTGGGGAACCGTACAACCGTGATCGTACTCGAAGGCATTGCAGTGGTTCCAGTAATCAGCGTCCTCGCAGCCAAATTTGGTCTTCGTCAGGCAGTCTAGACACAGGCGGGCATGTGGGCGCGGGCGGCGTCACGGTCGGGCACGTCCTGTGGATCCGTAGATAGTGGGCAGGCAGCTGCTTACATAAGCAGCGTTGCAGCCCAAAACACCAGAGGTACTGCCCTTTAAGCGTAATTAGCAACCAAGCAACCTATATACCTATATTATATAGTTTATAGCGTTCCTTATAATTATTATAATGCTATTTAATAGGTTAAGTGCATAAAGAAGCATAAAAATAATTATTTTTATTAAGAAAACCTTATTAAAGTATTTATTTAATAAAAATCGCAATTACAAACCTTTGCGCTATTAATTAATAGCCTTTCTTAAAGGTAATAACCTCTTAAGTAATTAAAACTTATTAAATTATTATTGCTAACCTTATTCCTTATTAGCAATTTACTTTTAAAAAGTAACTTTATTAATTAATTTATATAATAATAGCATTTATGCTAAAGTTATTACTTATAAATAAATATTTATAAAGCTAATTAAAAGTTATAATAATAAGCATTATAATACTTTTTATTAGTAATTAATAAATAAGCTATAAGATAAATAATTATTAAATAAATATTAATAATAAAAGATTTATTAATTTAATATTATTTTTATTAATTTTTTTTCTTTAATTATTATTATTTTTATTTTGTCTTAATATAGCTTTTTTTCTTTCTTTTAATGCTATAATTACTTATATAAGTAATTATAACATTATAATTACTTTTATATATAATTATATTAATTAATTTATAAAAAAAAATTGCTATAAAGTAAAATAATATATAAATTATCTTTATTATCTTTATAAATAATCTTAAAGCTATTAATAATAAGTTTAATAAATAGCTAAAAAATCTTTAAAAATAGCTAAAAATTATTAATAATAAAGTAAATTAATATAATAATATTCTTTATGCTTAACTTTAAAGCATTTTTATTTTTATTATTAAAGGCTAATTATATTTTTAAAAGTAAAATAAAAGCATTAAGCCTTTAAACTTATATCTTTATAATAATAATATTACCTTTACTTTTAAGCTTATAAATTATTATAATAATAATAAACTTAATTTTTATTTTATTAATAATATTTAAGCAAATTATTTTTATATTTTAATTAACTTTTAATTTAAGGAAGTTTTTTTAATAATTATCTTATTTAATAAATACTTTTACCTAAAAGCTTTTGCAAAAAAAAAGTTTTTATCTTAAAGAAACTTTGCTTTAATATAACTAATATTATAATTCTTAATAAATTAAAGAAAATATAAATCTTACTATAAATAATAATAATACCTTATAAAATATAGTTATTTAAAGTAATTATAAAACTTTTTAGCAACTTTTTTAATATTATTTAATAAGCTATAAATAATTAGCTAACTTAATTACTTTTTATTAAAGCTATTATTTAAATTCTTAATAAGCATAATGTTTTTTATTTAATAATAATAATATTTTTTATTTTACTTTTCTTTAAAGATAAGTTATATATTAACTTTGCTTAAAGAATTTATAATGCTTATTATAAGCTATTAAAAACTTAGCAAAATACCCCCTTAATTTAATTAATATTATTAAATAAAATTTCCATTAATTAACTTAGCATTTTCACTAAAGTTTTTAATAAAATTTAAGTAATAATTACTTTTATAATAATTAAGGAAGTTATTTAATAAGCTAAAATATATATTAATAAAATAATAAAGTAAAGCATTTACATTAACTTATAAATAATTATTTAACTATATAATAGCTTTGCTCCCTTTTATAAATTATAGGTTAACTTAATTATAGTTAATAAGCTTAAAATAACCTAAATTAAACCTATTAATGCTATAGCTATGTAAATTATTATCTTTAACTTTTAAATTAATAAATGCATAGTTTATATAATTAAAAAGCAAGATGGAAACCCTATTTATATTAATATAGCTAATAAGAAAGATAATATATACTTTAATTGCAATAAGTAAGGCTATTAAGTAAAAGATTGTTATTTTAAGCTTAACTAACCTAAGGCCTTTTTAATACTTAATAATAGCCACCTTATTATACTTAAAGGCACTTTATATAAAAACGGTAAGCGCATTAACTTAGCTTCCCGCTTATATAATATAATTTCCTCTTAATATAATAAAAAGCCTTATTCTTAGCCTTTATTTAACTATAAAAATACTTATATTTATATTATTAATTTAAATTTAAATAATAAGGATAAGGAGTATTATAACTTAACTGCTTAATTTAATAATAATAATAATATTAATAAGCTGCTTAATAGTATTTTTAATAAATTAAATTATAAGAATTAAGATAATTAAGGTACTTACTTTATAAAAGTAGGTATTAATAGTTAACTGCTATTTATTTACAATAAATTAGCTTATAAGGGTATTAATATCCCTTGTAATATTTTTTAAGCTAGCCTTTTTAATAGCTATAAATTTAATACCTTCTTTAATTATAATTTTACTATTTATTATTATTTTAAATCTTTAATAGCATGGCTTGCCTTATATAATTCTTTTTGCTTTGCTTATATAAAAGGTATTAAAGGTAAGGGTTCTTATATTATTAAAGATATTCTTATAATAGCTTATTTTATTATAAAAACTAGCTTTATAAATTAATTTATTATTTTTTATAAAGTTATTCTTAATAATATCTTTTTAGCAAAGTTAATGCTTAGGAAAATAATCTTTTATTAATAAATAATGTATTATACTTTATAAGATATTATCTGCTTATTTATGTTTCTTTATTAATTAAAATTAATTTCATTTATTTATTAATACTTAATATACTTAATAAAGGAAACGGCCTTCTTAGCTATGAATACCTAACCTTTTGCTTTTAAATAATATTTAAATATTCTTATAAATAACTCTTAAGTTTAGCATTACCTTAGGGAATATTATATTAAGTTTCCTAAACTATTTAACTTAAAGAAGCGTTAAGTAGACCTTTTAATAAAGATTAAGCATTGTATTAATATTAGCGATAATTTATTATTTTATTAGCCTTTTTAGTAGTTTAATTTAGCATAGAAATAAGCTATTTATGATTTTATTAAGGTATATAAAGGAATATTAATTAGGAAAAGTAAAAGCCCTTAGGCATTAGCTTTATATTTAATCCTAAAGAAACTTATTTCCTTAAGCAGAAATGCGCTTAAATTGCAGTAAATAATTTAGTGTTTTTATTATAATTATTAAGAGCTTAATAAGTATATTAAGAAGTATATATACTTTATGCTTAATATAATAAATTAAATTTAGCATATAGTGAGTTATAAATATTATGCCTTTATTAACTTAAAGAATAGCTTTTAATATATTAATATTTATTATATAAATATTAAAAAGATAATATTTATTACTTTCTTTAGCTTATATAAATAGTTAATAATGTTATTTAGCTTATATAATGCCTTAACTATTTTTTAAGCTTTTATTAAGGAAGTTTTTTAAGATCTTTAAGATATTATATGCGGCCTTTTAAATAACGTTGCTATATGGATAGATTTTATGCTATAATTGCATAAATATTTACTTATAATCTTTTAGCAATTATATCGCTATAATTTCGTTCTTAATACTTAAAAGACCTCCCTTTTTATTTATAAGGGTATATTTTTAAGCTTCCTTATTTTAAAAAAAGGCATTATGGCAAACTTAATAAAGATTGCGGTTATTTATAATTAGCCTATGTTAATTATAACTATGGAAGTTTAAGGTTTTATTAATGCTATTAAGTACCTTTAAAACTTAATATAGGCATATTTTAAGAGGATTAGCGCTTTAATTAATTATATTAATAGTTTTAAAGATTAGCTAATTACTTTATTAAAGATAGTATAGCGGTAATAACGAAATATTTATAATGCTATTATTATTCTTTTAATTATTAAAACTTTTAATTAACAACTTTCTTTTATAATAAAGATAAATATTAATTAAGGCTTTATAGGTATCGCTTTTTTTTAGCTATATTTATATAAAATTAAATTTATTTTACACTTAATCTTATACTTTTTAAAGAAGTTAATAAATATATAAACTTAATACTTTACTTAAAAATAAGAATTTTTTAATATATTATTAATACTTTAATATTAATCTTATTAAATTTAAGGTATGGAAATTACTATTTTTATAAATTATAAATTTCTTAAAACCCTTAATATAAAGGCTAATTAACCATTAAAAATTATACATTTCCTTAATGCCATTAAGCATTACGGCATTTATATTATATACTGCATTAATAAGACTAATGTTTTTATTAATTACCTTTTTAAGCTACTTAAAAATATGGTTTTTAAATTTACTTTGCCCGTTTTTAAGTAAAGAAAAGAGAGGGACTTATTTAAGTAAATTTAGCACCTTTATAAGCTTAATTAAGTAAATTTACAAGCAGTTTTTAAATACCTTTAAGAAGGAATTAATTTCCCCTTTATTATTAATTTAAAATAAGTAAAAAAGCATTTTATGGTTATTTAAAGATAGTTATATAGGATTTATATATATAAATAACAACTTAATAATCCTTTTTATAATATTAGCATTGCTTTAAAGGCAATACTTCTTTTATTAATTTTAAAATATAATAATCTACTTATAGCTATAAAGAAGCTATATTTAATATATAGCTATTTAATAATTAGCAATACCTTTTAAAAGGTATTAAAGGAGTATTAGCACCTTAAGATTATTTTTATTATTTAGCAAGTTATTATTAAGTATATAAAGTATTAATTAATAAAGATACTTAATTTAACGTTGTTAAATCTTAATCTTATTATATTATTAGCTTTATTAATAAAATAGGCTATTAACTTTATATTAGTTAATAATATATTAATCTTAATAATTATTAAATATATTATTAAATAAATTAAGGTAAAGGTTATATTAAATTAATAATTTAAAAGTACTTTCTTATTATTAAATAAAATTATTAATATCTTTAATATACTTAATAAATAAATCTTTAATAATATTAATTGCTTTATTAATAGGGTTGCCTTAGCTTAGCATTATTAATATAAATTAAAGCTATATTTAGTTATATTAATTAAGCTAAGAAATAATAATAAAGTTAAGAAGATTAATAAATACTTAAAGTATATAATTTTATAAAAATAGCTAGTTAATTTAAATTAAGATATTTAAGCTTTAATATAGCAAGCAATTATATTATATAATTAAATTTTAAAGTTAAGTAAATATAGCCCTTATTTCCTTTTCCTTAGCATATTATTACATTTAAGGCATAAACTTTATATTGCTTATATATAAAAACTTATAAAGTAAGAAAATAATAACTTTATAAAGTAATTAATTAAGGAATATAAGGTTTTATTAATATAGAATTATATTATAAGGTTAAAAGCCTTTTATAATTAAATTTAAGTATTTTTTTAAAAGGATAAGGTATTGCTATATATATTTATTTTTAATAATTAAGTTTTATAAGTATATTAATATGCTTATAAGTATAAGCCTTATTATAATAATTCTTAAATTATTATTGCTTATTATATTAATAATACTTATATTTTTTATAGCTTTAACAATATTATACTTAAGAATATATATAATAATATAAACTTCTTTTTAATATATATTATAAATAATTACCTTATTAAAAGCCTATAATATATTAATAAAATAATGCTTTAGTATAATTATAATTAAATTACTTAATTAATATAATTTAATTAAAAATAAAAAGCAGCGGCTTATTAATTATTATTAATTGCTTATTAATATTTTATTAACATAATTAAATACTTTGTTTTTAAGCAACTTATGCTTTTTATACTTAAATAATTAAAAGAAAAATAAAAAAGGAAATTAGCTAAATTAAGAATTAAACTTAAAACTTCCTTATTTAAAAAATTATCTTTTAAAGGTTGCCGTTTTTTTAATAAATTTTTATAAAAGCAATTAAATTAAGAGGTAAATTATTAAGATAAGTAGGAATGCATTATTATTATGTTATTTTATTATTTATTATAATAATAAGAAGAAATAATTATTTAATAAGGGTATGAATTAAATATTAAGTATATATTTTACTCTTTCTTATTAAAGGATATAATTTATATAGTAAGATTAAGGATAGTTTATTTAGGGAAGAGGATAATATGAATTTATAAATAATGGGTAGATAGCTGCTTATATAAGCAGCGTTGCAGCCTAAAACACTAAAGGCATTACCCTCTAAGCGTAATTAGCAATTAAGCAACTTATATACCCATATCGTATAGTTTATAGCGTCCCTTGTGATCGTTGCAGTGCTGTTCAGTGGGTTAGGTGCATAAAGAAGCACAGTCCTGCCTGTTGTCGTAATTGACGTAGTCGAACTTATTCTCGATCATAGTAAGGGTCTGGTGAATGGAGTGATCCTTCACCACTCGTTCGACAGGCCACCACCCGGTAGCGAACAGAGCCTTGTAGTAAGCTCCTGACTTCAGCTTGGGGCACCAGTCTGGGTCCACTCCGTTGGCTTACGGCCCCGGCCGCGGGGGAGGCCGTCTTTCTTCTCGTCGTAGTTCAACTCCACCTCGATCTTGCCGATCATGTTTGATCGGGCTGCCGCGAGCTGGCCTGGGGCCTCGGGTTAGCACACACGTCTGAACGTTATTATGTAGGCGTTGGAGAGTGACTTGAGAGCAGAGACTTCTGTCCCCTGGGACACCGCTCAGATAGAGGAACCACGGGGAGGAGACACCTGGTTATTCTTTGACCAAGGAAACCACGAGGACGTACCAAACAGTGGGTGGTTAGTTGTGATCACGCCCACTCCGCCTTGGTCAAAATCCTCCGGCATCCTCACGTTCTCGGACGAGGCCTGTCTGCCGTTTACATGAAGGAACCAATCGTGCGTCACCGACATGAATGCCTGGGCGTCACCGATGTAGAATGCAGGCATGACGAGAACGGTCAGGTCTGAGGCAGACGCCCCCCGGAAACCCCCGCCATTCTCTTCGTACCAGCGCCGGAACCACTGTCTCATCCTCAGGGTAGGGTGCCCAGGCTCGTGTGTCTCGGAGTCCTCGTCAGCCGCGTGCGCGTGTTGAATGAACTTCTCGTGGAAGCTGGCGATCGACCAAACGTCCTTGACCTCGGCCTCGAACTCGTCGAAGAAGTCGTTTAGCTCATCGTCCTCGTGATGTAAAAGCTTCATCATGAAATCGAAGACTTTTGGGGTCCAGCCGTGCAGGACGACCTCACCACTTGCGTTGGCATTGAATGCGTCGAGTAAGGTCGTGTTCGCATTGATCACTTCTCTAGTTGCTTGGGCCCAGAAGTCAGGTAGGCCGGAGATACGAAAAGTCAATTCGTCTGTCGCCATCTTTTCGACTTGCTGTTCAGGTCAGTTAAGAGGATCTCAGCGTGACTTGACTTGATTGATCTAACACGAGGTTGGATCGTAGTGAAGCCTCCCAGGGCTTGAAAGGAAGGAGGGGGTTGCTGCGATCCGTTTGGGAGGGACTTTGCCTTGCCAAAAGCAGAGCAGGGACTCAAGGGGTAGAATTGTAGGTACTTGGGTAATTGACAAGTTGTAAGGCTTGGGTTGGTACAGCCCAAAGTGACAAACCGAAGCCGAGTATTTACCTCACTCTACATCAACCAATGTGTTGAGAACAGATAAGAGCGGCTGTTTTTGCATGCATGTTTTCCTGAGATCACTGATCGGATGGGAACTCATGGACCATCGACACGCATTCGTGCGCTTAGAATCTGAAAGATTGTTTTCAAGCACAACGGCAAAGACCGGCCAGGCCAGACACCGCAAGCCTTCCGTAAGCCGCCCGCTTTTTCCCCCATTGGAGGTGACTCCGGCGTTGTGAGCCTTCATAAAGAATTTTCCTAAAGAGTTCCTCTCTCAATTCTGTCTCGAATCTTTCGAAACCTCCCCATTGAGTAGTCTGATGGTCATTGTGGGCTCCTCAGGGAGCTCCGAGGATTTGGGTCACCTTTTTCTATGGCTTTCATCGCAAGACCTCGAGAATATAAATTAAGAAAGTGAGTCAACCTGAAAAGGGTTGACAAATATATGTGGCACCAGATAACTACAAATGAATGCAGAGACAAAAGTTACAAGCCACTTTGAGGGTGTCTACTTTTAAGAGGTCGTCATGGTAACTAACTTTCTAACAGATTCATATACTTCTGAAGTCTACGTTAGACCTAGAGTCATCTTTCTGGGGGCACGACTGCACGATCGCTCCCGGACTATGCTGCAAAGCCTTCGCCTCCTCGACATCGACCAGATGAACTCGCTTAAGTGCTGCTGTTGACTTGAGTTGATGTAGCATAAGGCATAATTTGCCCACCCTGTATCCTCCTATCTTTCTGACCCGAAACTGGGTCAAAATGATCTTCTTCTTTGTCGAAGCGAAAGTGACATCAGGGCACTTCGATGATGATCTTGCTAGACACAGTACGCACCTACGGATGGTCAATACCATCTTCATCATTTCTCATCTGCAGGGCTCCTCCTGATGAGTTGTTATCAAGCCTGATGCTCATATAAAATCGACAAACTCAATGCTCCGCGCAGGATACACAGAGTAGTCCCATCGATGGTCTGCTTGCTGGCATCGTGACCCACATCTGCATTAACCTCAACTTTCCAAACAGGTATCCACGTCGTCCTCCGGTACTGGCCAAGCAAAAATCGAATTCCTGGATGGCACGCCTGAGCATTGGTCGAGAAGAGAAAAGTCTTTCCAGGCATGGGAGTCGACCGCTTGGATCAAAATGGGAACAGCTTCTGCCTTACTAAAGCACATGTCAATTTCTCGCCACAAGGTTTGTCCATGCTTCTTTCCCATCAGGTCGAGGGGATACCCAAGTCGATAGGAAACGCAGCGCTTGACCCGTGTATTTTTACAGGTGCATGCAGTCGGGGACTTGATCCCTGCCCGCCGCGCTGATCGCGGCACGGACAACTCAAAATCGACCTCATCTGTGCCTCAAGCACATGGGGAAACATGTGCTTTCTCGTTACTGACAGTATCAAGCCAGCATTAGTGTAGTGCAAGTCGGGCCTGAAGACGGGGCTGGAAGCAAAGACCGGCTTACCCGCGGGATGTCGCGCTCTGCAGCAAGGGAAGATCCACAGGGCAAGCTGACGCGCCTGACGCACGCCACGCCATCGTCAACCAACCCCAAATAAGACAAGCCCACAAACCCACCGACTGTCAGGCAAAGAAGAACTTTTAGAACGCGCGCAGTAGCCTCGAACTTGGTGCATGCCTCCCTGGTTCCCCCGCGAACCCTTCCCACTGCCCGAATGCACGATCACGACATGGCCCGGAAGTTTCTAGACCTCCCAGTGCGCCGGATCGCTCGCTAGGCCAGGTTCGCGGGCACACCGCCCCATCCCTCCCCCCTCGCGTCGCCCCTGAGGTCACAAAAAGAGGAGAGCCACGTCTGAGCAGGGGCCAGCAAAAGGCCAAAGGTCTCGTGGTCAGCCGTCGAGAGGAACTGAACGACTGCAGAGTGCAGCGAGAAGAGCTGCAGCTGCGAACCCACCCGCGCGGTCAGCATTGGAGCCACGAAAGGGCACCGGCGCGGACGGGGCACGATGTCGATACTGCAAGACAGGTAAGGCCGCCCACTCCTCCTGAGGATCCCAGGCCTCATCCGGCATGGCGCCATGTCATCGTGGAACGTGTGGCCCAATGGAATCGAGTGCGGGAGGGCCCGACAAGGGGCCCCGTCGAGTCCTCGCTGGGCTGGCTGGGCAGAGCACGCGGGTTTGTTTGTTGCGGTGAAGGGTCTTTCGCCTTCTGGTGGGGGCCCAGCCCTCCCTCACCCTGGTCCGCCCTTTGACGACGTCCCATTCCAGTGAGTGACTCTGAGGGAGTCAGAGATAACCCCAGGTGCGGAATGTGTGGAATGCGTGGAATGTGCTTTTGTATATCTGTGCCGTCATCTCCTCGAAGTCGAGGAGGGCGGTGGACTCTCCTCTTCCTGTTTTCTGCACCGCCCCAGCGATGATGTATGCATCCGTACTACGTTCCTGAATTCCTGATTGCGACTCCATATCACTGCGCTTGCTTGCTGTTACTAGAAAGGGCCGGATCCTCTTTCTCCCATTGATTTGGCCTGGCCCAAAGAATTAAACATTGAAACAGAAAAAGACCACACCGGTGTTGTCTCCGCCCTGTACCCACCATGTCGAGCTTCATCGCAGTGTGCGTGACCTTCTTGGGCCTGACCCTCATCATCGTCAACGTCGTTGTCTTCCTGCAGATGCTGCTCTCCTTCCCAGCCATGTTGAGCAGCAACTCTCAGGCCTACGTCCAGCAGCAGAGGAAGCTGCACCATATCCCGTCATCCCGGGAGGACCTTGACGGACGCTACGCCGACACAGCAGACGCCGAGGGTGCGGACGCCGAGGACGACCAGGAATGGGAGATGACGGCCAGGTGGGCCGACGAGGTGGAGGAGGTAGAGGTAGAGGAGGAGGAGGAGGAGGAGGAGGAGGAGGAGGAGGAGCAGTACCAGGCCGACGACTGCAGCTCCGAGGTCTGCGTCACACCCAGGGTGGTGGTGACCGCACCGAGGAGGTCAGACTCGATGACGCGAGGCCGTCCCCTGAGGAGGCAGCGACGGAGATACATTGCGCGGACGGTGCTCCGCGTCAAGGATATCGGGCGCGTGCTCGACAGCGACTACGACAGCGAGTACTCTGAGACGGAGCGGCGGCCGGTCGTGGGAGGAGCGAGGAGCAGGGACCGCGCCGGACATGACTGCAGGGGAGGGTGGAGAGGCATGGACTGGACGCGATAAATGCCATTGATTGGCATTGAATGTCCAGAGGTGGCCATGACAAGGGGGATTTAAAAATTGGAGTGAGTTGAGATGCACAGGAAAAAAGGAAAAGAAAAGGAGCATTGCGACCAGGACGGACTCTTGAGGAGCCGCATGGTGGGCAAGCATGACGATTGTACGAATGTTTCTTTTTTGTCGGGATACCAAACAGCCAGCGATGTTGCATTTCCATTTGTGTGTTATCTAGCATAGCCGGCGAATTGCTACAGATGTTTGAACTGCAGTGTGAATGGGGAATCCCTCAGCCATTTTCGAGAGGATAGAGGACCAGCACCCTAGAGAAACACCGTTGGGAAGGTGAACCTGACGGTGAGGTATTCAGCCAGCAAGTCACTGGCGACTTCCACTCCCGCTTCGACAAGTGTCAAGAGTCATCGACCGACATTTGACGAAGCGAAAAACTCGGCATCTCGAAGTGATTGGATTTGTCGTAAGATTTTGATGCGGTGCCATCTACTCAAATCGGGGGAGCGCCTTCCAAAAATGCACCCGGACATCTCCTAGCCGTCTCTTTCCATTCTTGACTTGAGACGCCTTCCTCAGACGTCAACCCGAATCCTTTTCCGTTTCACTCCGTCACAACCTTGGAGAGCTGAATCGTTTGAATGCCCCTTTCGATTTCAAACCCGCTTCCTCCAGGTAAAATGAGCCTTCGGGTCTCGCGCCAGCTCCCTCATCGCTGCGACGTCGTCTACATCAGGCCCGAACTCGACAATTCCCGTCTCGACCGCCAATTTGGCGTACTTCTTCGCCTTCTTCGCATCGCCGAACAAGTTGTAATTCAACGCCGCGAGCACATACGCGCCGTGCACCTTGACGTCCAATCTCTCGAGCTCATACACCTCCAGCAGCCGCTCCACCATCTGAACAGACGCCTTCGCGCTCGCAAAGTTGCCAAGCTCTGCCTCCATCTCGTCGATCTCGTACAATCGCGCGTCCGACTCCCGAATTTTGTCCTCGGCCATCGTGCAGTGCTGACACGTGCACCTGAACCCCCACGACTGCTGGATGTGCGCCTGCCTCGCCGCGAACGTCTCGAACGGGTTCATGTACGTCAACGTGAGCTCCTCACCGGCGGCGATATCTCGAACCGCGTGCGTGTGGTGCGTCAGGCGGTCGTCGATGTAGAATGCTGCGTTTGGCCGGCAGTCGTGGTTGTACAAGCTCACATCGGGGAAATTCGAAAGGTGACGGCCCTCCTCTTCACCTCCCTCTCCGCCAACGTCCATCTGGAATGAGTTCGTCAACAGGATGTCGCTGACGCGGTGCCCGCCGAACTGGCCCAGCTGTTTCAAGAAGGCCCGTCTCCGCTGAGCTGGCAGCTTGAGCAGTGCGGCATCCAGTACGCGATACTGTTCCTCTTGGCTCAGGTCGTCCGGCAAGCGACGATGTATCACGAAGCTCGGCTGCCAGGTCATGATCACCTCTCCACGCCTGATCGTGCGGTTTGCGACAAGCCCGGTCCCCTTGCCCGGCACCTCAGTAGCAAAGAAAGGTGGCGGCCCACTCCTCGCCGTGGTGATCTCAGGGATCTCTGCTATCCGCTTCGCATTGTCGGCTGTTGTGATCACCGTGATGCCTCCTGCGAATTTTCGGTTGGAGTAAACACAGTACTCTCTCACGCAGTGCTTAGGGCCCTCCCAGCCAGTCTCATTTGAACTTGCCGGCCCCTCCGTCCCATGCCGGGCGAGCCTGTCCGTGGCGACCTCTGGGGTTACGGAAGCTGAATTAGGGCGGCATGAGACGTCCTCATTCAATATCAGGAGCGGACTCGACGCGCAGAAACCCTCAATACCCGCGCCTGAGAAGCCATCTTTCAAACCATCGGTGAACGCCAAGAAAGACAGGATTATGGGAAAACGCATGGCATCCGTAACATTCAACGTCAATTTTTGAATGCGGCGCTGAAGAAAAAGGAGCCTAAGGAAAACAGTCTTAAGTTATTTAACAGGTATTTCGGCCAGTTCAAGCCTGCTGGTGGCGTCGACACTTCTCGAGTCCGCCAACTTGGAGGTAAGCGGAGATGTTTCATCGACGACCAAGGCGTTTCAACCCGGGCTAAGGCCCGCGAGCCTCCGCCAAGTAGGCCCCATCTTCGGCCCCAGTCTGTCTCGGGGGCGAACCCCAAGTCCCGGGATGCCTCAAACAGTCGCTCTTCACTTTTGCGGATCGCTGGTATTGTGTCTGCGGGCTGAACGCCGGGCAAGACGGGGCCGTCAGATCAATGCCGTGTTGGGTCGGCCGCCCGGATGGCACCCGGCGGGTGGGGCCATCGAGTGTTTTCACCAGCACTCGCCTAGCGTTACCACAACTCCTCACGACTCGGGCTGATGGTCACATCCACCACCGCGAGTTTGCCCAAGCAGCAGCAGCGGAAGCAGCAACCATTGAATCGCCTCTGACGATAAGTGCATCCGGGTCGGCAAGTACAATGGCAAAAATTTGACACCGTGGATCAAGTTTCCAAGCATCATGGCCCCGGAATCGGCAAAATGGACGACCACGGGATCGAACCGTGTACCTCGCGCAAGATGATCTCCTCAGGAGAAGAAATTGATGCTAAGCGCGCGCTCTACCATTTGAGCTAGACGCCCTGTGATGAAGTCAAAGCTCAGACAACAACCATGACGGAAGATTTCCAGAAAACGACTGACGACCCTAGGCACAACATCAGGCTTGGATGCTTTCAGCGGTGTAATGCATGAGCTGGTGCGATCTTCGGCGACCTGGAATCCTGAACATCTTGCTTATGGAAGGATTCTCGAATACACCAAACGGAGCTTGCGCTCAAACGCTTATGAATTATGTATCGATGCCTAAAGACAAGGCCCTGATCTCGTTTTCGATGATATGAAGCGGGTCATACTCCCGAGACTCTGCTTGCAAACTGAGAGCTCTCTTCTTGTACTTGTCCTGGGCCAGAACTTCATCCACGGCCGCAGCTACGGCTTCCGGAGTCGGGGGTGAAGTTGGAAGAAACACACCCAAACCAGAGTACTCAACCCTTCTACCAATGTCAGGCTTGTCGAAAACATCTCCAGCCTGTACCACCGGCACAGCCTGAGCCACAGCGTGAGTTAGACCTCCATATCCAGAATTCGAGGCGAAAACGTCCGCGTGCGGAAGAATTGCATCGTAGGGGAAGTAGTCGGTGACTCGGACGTTTTCAGGCAATTTTGCGCCCTCAAAAAGACTGAGATGTTTGTCGATAGTTACGCCCTTCTGACAAAGCACCGCAATCACCAGTACGTCCTCCCGACCTGCAAGGCCCTTCACACATGGTATCAGCAGGTCTCTGTGGTCCAACACTTCCGTTCCCTGCGCCACAAATACAATCCTCTTCCGTCCTGGCTTAGCAGCTGAGCTTGAGCTGTTCTCCAGTACTTCCGAGTACCATTCTGGGTACGCTAAATCTGAAGGGATCGGCTTTGGGGGCAGCGAGCCAGCGAATTTCAGGTGCGCAGGCTCATTGGGCACAGGGAACTCGAAACTCGGAAACCCCATCTGGAGAACCACGTCGTGGCAGACCGTCGAAGCATCCCAGAAAGGCCGTCTTACAGCAGCCGAGCCTTTGTCGTACTCTTCGTACAGCTCGTCGACGGACTTGCTGCAATTCATCGCTCCGAGCACCCATCTCGCCCTATCCTCGGCGGTCTGATCCCACTTCCTCGCATGAGCCTCCAGATTCCGCGAGATCCCTTTCTCAGTCACATCATACGACAGGCCACTGCCCCACGGCGGCCGCTCAGGAGCCGCCCAGAACCGCGGCACCAGACCGATGCCCACGGTCTTGACGCTGACGCCCTCGTACCCCTGCGGCAGGTCCGTCCCAAGCTTCAGCGGCAGTGTCCCCGAGAAACACGTGTCTGACAGGACAACCACCGTCCGGCCCCTCAATACGTCCCCGCCTCCGAGGCGCTCCCTGATCCCGGCCAGCGCGTGCCGCACCGACTCGAGCCCGCTGGGGAGCAGCCTTACAAACCCGTCGGAGAGCGAGATCCGCAGGCGCTCCTCGGCCGTCTGCGCGCGGATGATCTCGCCCCATTTGCTGTAGTCCTCCATCGCGCCCCAGAGGCCGATTATGGGCGAGGGGTGGGCGCCGATGGCGGTTATGGTGGGGCCCCATTTTGCGTCGCCCAGGATGGTCACGTCCAGCCCGCGCGAGACGAGGTGGCTGCTTATCTGGAGGGCTGGGCGCATGTGGCCCTCGCGCGGAGGGATGGCGTACAGAATGAGTGGTGGTGACATTGTTGGATGGCCTTGCCAGGACGTAATAGTTCAGGTTGCTTGGTTGTCCTTTCAGTATTTTTGGGTGGCCGTGGTGAGCCTCGGGCCGGTTTGGATACGCAGACCGGACTGGTCGTTGCTTGTCGAAGGCGGTGGGTGATCTTTCTCCAAGTATGTTTATCTTCATGACATGCCCTGACTCGGTCATTGCCTACCGATTCTACGGCTCGGCATGGCCCTGATAAGAGACTCTATGGTTTGTCACTCTAATGTGATCTTGTGACATAAGGGGTGATAATTTTCTTACTTTTCAAGCTATGTCACACCGCCTACAGTACTCTCTCGATCAGACGGGACCTGGTTCTCAAGACAATTGTCTTTTGGCCCCCCAAGCATACGCTACGCACATTGTTGGGAAGGACATACTACTAGCAGTTGTCCCGTGTTTTGCCCGTGCTCGAGTCATTGCCCTTGGGCGAGCCTTGGATTAGTTACCTCCGTTGCCGGCTTTAAACGGTGGACAAGGCGATCCAATCTGACATACTACTACACTTGCAATACTGTTTCTCTTATGATCGGAGACTAGCCTTGACTCTGATGGACATACGGCCTATTATTACATCCAACCTTGGACCGAAACCGATCGTCTCTATCCGAAGTCGCAACCATGGCCGATCCCTTCGAGGTCCTTAGTTTCTCTGGCAGGTCGTTTCACATACCTTATCCCCACATTCTGCGGGGGACCCGGTTGATGGATCGTAGATATTATCCTGGGGGAATTGTATCAAAGAGAACAATACGCACATCAGCTCCTTGCTCATGCTTCCAGTTAACGCCAACTCCAAAATTCCAGGCTGCGCTGGTTCGGCCTCGGACTGCCCACCGTTGAATGGATCACTTGGCGCCTTCCCGTGTTGCCAATTGAAACGGGATGGGTGAGGCAAGCTTGAATGTTGCAGGGCCACGGATTATCTCTGGTGCATTGTTAATGAAGTGGCCAACTCAAAGTCCAGGGGTCTTTTCAAAGTCTCGGCCTTAGCCGGGAGAGGCGTATCTGTCAACCTGTCTTCCAAAAGGGGCTATAAAGAGCTATACTTAGGACGCGGTGAACTATGGTATGCGATTATCAGCTAACACAATTGCGGACACTTCCCAAGCCGGCATTTGAAACCGATTTTTGACAACTGCGAGTAATACGCCTCCTTAATACGGCTAGATGGCACTCTTTGATTTCATCCTCACCTCTCTTGTTATGTGTTCCCATTCATGCCATGTTTGAATGTTCGCCATAGCGTGCTTAAGGTTATCGCCGCCTGTCCCCTCCGGCAAAGAAATCACTCCGAGCCAGAGGCAAATTCATATCGTGAAATGGGTTGAACCCACTTTTGCCAAAGATGGCTACTATGATCTGCGCACAGCAGATCACCACGAACACAGTCTGTGCTGGGCCAAAACATCTCTGCAAAAACAAGGAGGTCTGCCAAGTGCGGATCCCCAAATGAAGCAAAACCAAGCACCCACACAAGCTTTAGCCGCCCTCGCTCTTTTCAGAACCAACAGGCAGAAGTTTGGGTTGGCGTACATTTGGCCGGGGTGCCGATCTTACGCTGTTGACTGCCAGTGCTAACGGGTATGCGAGTCGTCTGAGGTTTCAACCCCCACCCCCTGGCAGCTTGGCAGTATGCAACCGAGCCGCCAACCTAATAAATTTCGCCCTCCCAAATGACGGTAGTTTCAGATGGGGGCGCAGAGCCTCAAAACCGGACCTGCATCAGGTCCCGGGACGTTCCCAGTCAGGCTGCAGTGCCACTTTCTCCGGCTCCGCCGAGTTGGTCGACGTGTGATGGGCTGTTGTACTCGGGCAGGAGGCCCGTCGATTGGATGCCCTATCCCTTCTGACACCCAGGAGATGTCGGTGCTGGATCCCGAGGTTCGCATGCCATCCGAAACCCCATTCCGTGGTGCCATCTTGGCATTGGATCGCCCTAGCCCAGCCCATAAAGGATGTTCGGGGCCGTCCTCTTGGGCAGGAGCTTGACCGTCTCGGCTTACCAGTTCTCAAGTTCCTGAATAATACGTGCGTCATACTATCATATTCTGTGCTGGGCACTCACTTTCTCTAGAACAGCCAGTCGCTCTTTTACTATTCCATTCCTTACGGTACAAATTAATTGTCAAGATGAAGGCCTCCATCGTTAGCGCATCTCTCTTCGCCGCGGCGGTCACCGCTCACGGCAACATCACCTTCCCTCCAGCGAGGCAGGCAGGTGCCGCCATGGCGGCCGTATGCGGACAGGCTGCCGTTGACACTATCAACTCGGACCCAACGATCCCTCTTGAGGACGTGACGGCCGGATCAACGCAATGTAAGTGAATACCGAGCTGTCATTCCCTAGAACCTCACGGACTGACGCGACCCAACCAGGCAACCTGGGCCTCTGCAGGGGCGCGCAGTTCGAGGACAACGCGGAGCAGGTGCAGCAGTTCGCCCCCGGCCAGGTCGTCGACATGGAGGCCATCATCCCGATCCCGCACGCGGGGCCGATGAACACGAGCATCGTCGACACGGCGACCAACACGGCCGTCGGGGCCCCGCTCATCTCGTTCGACGTCTACGCCGACGAGAACCTCGCCCAGCTCCCCGCCAACAACACCGCCTTCAGCGTCACCATGCCGACGGACCTCGCCCCGGGCCAGTGCGCCGTCGCGGGCGAGTGCGTGCTGCAGTGGTTCTGGTTCGGGACGAACGCGCAGCAGACGTATGAGTCTTGTGTTGACTTCGTCATGGTTCAGCAGTAGGGGCTGTGTCCTATGTGTGTGTGTGTGCTGTATGTCATGGGTTTGAAGCCGTCAGCGTTGGCTGAGGGCGGGAAAATGTCTACGAGACAGTGTACCAAGTTACGATTGAACGGCCACACTGGATATTCTTTTTCTATCAGAGTCATAATAGGTCAATGAGCCATTAGAATTTAATCAGGCAAAGGAAAAAACGGGACATTTACGAAGGTAGTTAATATTCAAAACATGGACTACTAAAACAATGACTACTCTGGCGAAAATTCTTAACACTGCAGTGGAAATGAATTTCGTGTGGTCCAACTTTAGAAGACTTTCATCGGAATGCTTCACCAAACCCACCATGCAGCTACGTGCAATGAGCCTGGCGAAGTCAGAGAATTTGCCTCTTGAGTTCTTCTGGGTCGGTTACCCGGAGGCTGTCGGGTGTCGGCGCCTGCCCGTTCGGATGCAAGCTTCGACAGTTGGCTCGGGCAAGCAGGTCTCCGTGCCTGTACTGACTCTCGACATCAGACGACAATGTTACAGCTACCTGTCTCAGCAAGTGTCTGCCGATCGGCCTCACCCGCTTCAACAGCCGGACTGGTGGTACTGCATGTCATTGGTGACACCCGCCAGCCCTTGTAAGGCCTAATCGCTCTGTGTCAGTCAATCCCGCGCGCATCTCAGGGCTTCGTCCCTTCACCTCTTCCCACTGACCACTCCGTGAAGTTTGAGCGGTTGTGATCGGGCGGTGTTCATCCCAATCGTGCTTCTTCTTTCGGATCTCTTGTCTTGGGACGAGCCTTTCAAAGCAAAATAACAGCAATAGTTCAAATACTACATCTGTTGGTGAGGTCCAGCAGTACTGATTGCATGTTGCGCCGTTGCTCAACCTTGCCTCTGCAACGGCCTTGGTTCACTCTTCATACGCATAATACATTGATTCTCTTGCTACACATTCTCCGGGCACATTCTCCGGGCACATGATCCTTGGGAGGGGAATGGTATATAGCGTCTTGGTGGAGGCGCTACACAAACATTCCATGGGCTTGTATACACTTGTTGCGAGTTTTTAACAATATGGCGTTCACTCGGCTGTATCCTGGAATTGAAATCAAAATCGAAATGTTAGATTCAAGCTGAGTGGCTCTATGGCTTGCCATTCTTTATAAGCACTATCATCGTATTGACCACGTTTAGGGAGTTAGCGTATGCCCACTTAGCTTCTATAATATGCCTACCTAGCTTTTAGCGTTGGCCCACTTAGTATAAGGAAATTAGCTGCATGCACTTTAAAATATAGGTATACCTTAGGAGCTAACTTTTTAAAATTATAGCTACTTTACTATTTACATAAAGCAAATATTTTAAGTATTTTATTTTAAATATATATTTATTATATATTAATTAATACTTTTTTAAGTTATTTCTTTATATTTATTAAGGCTAATTATTAAATTAAATTACTTAAAATTATTAATAAAAGTATTATTAATGTTGGCTAAGTTACGTATTGCAATACAACGTTTAGTTAGTATAGTGGTTGTTCATTATTAATTATGAAAGGAAGGAAGGCAAAAGGCCTAATTATGCTAGCTATTTTATATATAGCGCCAGGGCTGCTGCTTGCCGGGCATCCTAATGGGTTAAAGCTGCCTAATCCCAAACAGTCCTCTATATAAATAATACCCATTATTCCCATATTAGCAATCTCTATTTTATAAGTACATACCTTTTCTAAAAAGTATAAAAGAAAGAAAGGTATTAAGTTAAATTAAACTTAAGGTTAAAAGGCAATTAATTAATTATATATATAAGTTAAATTATAAGTATGCTATTATTTCGCTATGTTATATTATTATAAAAGGCAAGTATATAAAAAGGCCTAAGTTGTTATTAAAGGGTTGGAGGTTAATTAATTCATTAAAATATATAATTAATAAAAAGAGATTAATTAAGTATACATATATATTAAAACGTTCTAATTATATAAAGTTAAAAAGCTTAAAAGGTTGCAATTATTATATAAACGTTTTATTTATAATGCATTTTATGAATTTATGCTTTTATTACCTATAGCGCCTAGGTTAAATAAGGATTAAATTAAACTTTTAAACTGCTAATGTAATCATTTAATCTCTAGATAATTAGAATTTCCTATTTTAGCTTAGCCTAAGCTTTGCCATGCTTAATGCTATTTATTAAATAAAGAAATTAAGGAGTGTAATTAAAGAATGGGTTGGAATGAAGGTTAATAAGTTATAAAGATTAGTAAATAAGGTATTTAAATAAAGGGAAAGTAAAATATAAGATAAAGAATATTAATTAAGTTAATAAATAGCAATACTCTTAATTCTAGTATGCAAATATTAAACCGCGAAATTTAATTAAAGACGCCTATTAAACATAAGCTGGCAACTTAAATGCTTATAAAATAGTAATAACCCTTATTACCTAAACCCTTAATGCATAAGCACCATTATAAAAATCTTAAATATAAGGTTTGCCCTTAAAAGGGATATAATCTAAAGTTAGCTAACTATATCATACTATAAGGTAATTCATAGGTAATTAATAAATATAAACTAAACTTTTGCATTTTTGCTATGCATTACCTTTAATTAAAAAAGTTATCTTATTATCCCTTATCTTATTATTCCTTATTAAAAATCTTTAATAGTTTTTTTATTTTTATAATTATGCAACATGCATCCTTAAGTTAATCGCGTTAATATTAATATAATAACCCTATAATATATAGTATAATAATAACATTTAAAGTTATATTAACGCGGTTTGCTAATAAGTTATTAAATCATGCTTTAGCAATTTAGGTTTAAGCCTTAATATATTATAATTTTCCTAACTTTTTACTGCATTTAAATAATTACCTTATCTTCTTAGCCGCAATCCATATAGCCCTATATTTTAATTATAATATTATTTATATTTATAAAGCGCTAAAGAGTGCTATTAAGGGCACTCTTTATAAAAGCATTAGCTAGGTTGCAATCCCTAGCAATTTAATAAATCTTAAAAATTTTATGCTTTTTATATAACTATTAAAAAGCTATAACGTTAATTATAAAGCGCTTTTCTTTTATTATGCTAAGCTTAACTAAGCACTTATATAAGAAGTATAAGTTAATGCATACTATAAGAGAAATTATTATAATATTTAAATATATAGTGATTTAACGTAAAGTAGCTGCTAATATTATAGCTATATTAAAGCTGTTAACCATGCTATAAATCTTTAAAACTAAAACGCTTTAGGTTACTTTTTAGCACTTTATTAAAGATTAATAAATAATATTGCCTTTAATATTCCATTTAAAAGCCTATTAAATTTATATCTTATTTATAAATATAATAATAAAGCCAATTTATAAGCTAAGGTTTTTATTATTAATAAATAAGCCATTAATAAAGATTATTAATTTAGCTTAGGATAAATTTAAGGGTATATATTAAAGTCCCTGCTTTAGATTATTAGCTTGCTATTATAGTTAGCGATTTAGCTTATTACAATCTTTATAAGAAGGCTCCTAAATCTAAGCTGCTACTAATAAGTTAAACGCTACCTTAGGTTAATAAATAAAAGCAAGATATGCTTTTTATATATATTGCTTTATATATTATTAAGCATAATTATTAACTTTATTATTAATAAGCATAATCTTCTTATCTTAGCCCTTTTAATAAAGATATAAAGTGCCTTTATTAAAAATGCTTATAATTATGCCATTAAAGATAAGTAATTTATTAAGGGTAAGTATTTCTTTTAGCTTACATTAAATATTTATCTCCTTAATCTTTTATTCTTTTAGCTTTAAAAATATTAAAATATTAAGGGATAAAGTATTATTAATTTATATAGCAATAATAATAAAAATATTCTTTCCTTAATTTATAATTAAAAGGCATAGGTTATATGCTAAAATAATTATATCTAAATTATTATAATAAAACTTATAATAAGTTGCCTATTAATATATATTAAATTTAGCAATATTATAAAGTGGTTTAATAACTTATATAATAATTTTAAAAGGGTATTTATCTTAAATCTTAAGGGGTAAGTAATATAAAATAGGTTGCTTAAGTTTAAACTTTAATTAAAAATATGCTTAAGTAACATTTTAAAATTTTAATTAAAAGCCTTATGCTAAAAGGAATGGGGCTAAAGTAATTAAAAGCCTTTGGCTAGCTTTTTAAATAATTAAAGACTATATAAGGATATTATACTTATCCTTATTACTATATTTAGCAATAATAAGCTATAATTTCTTATATAACTTCTTAATTTTGCTTTTAATTTTATAAATAATACATAACTTAAAAAGCTAAATACCTTTATGCATTTTAAGATTAAAGCATTTAAAGTAAAAGATATTATTGCTAATTAACTTTATAATCTCCTTATAATTAAACTTTTTAAATAGATTACCTAGGATATTAATTATATTATTATATTAAAGCTTTAAAGAAAAATTATAATTCTTAACCTTTCGCTAAATAAGATATATTTCTTTTAGCTTATTCTTTAATCCCTTGGGTTGTTTATATTATTAAAGTTATAATAGTTTTAGTATTGCTAAGACTAGATTTAATTTAAATTAAATAAGCTTATTAAAAGCATTATTTAGGTTAAAAACTGGCTAAATATTATCTTTGCTATTTTTATTTTAATAATATAGCTAAATTAATATTAATTAAAAGATTATTAGGCCGTTTAAAAAGTTTAATATAAAATTATATTTATTAATGCTAAGCAACTTATATAGTCCTTACCAACTATGCTTTTCTCGCTATACTTATATGTTACTTTATAATAAAAAATTTAATACTTTTATAATATTTAGGCCGTTATAAGTATTTAAAGTTATATTAACTTATTATTTAGCATAAACCTTATATAACTCTTTTATAGCTTTTTAAATAACCGTTACTTTCTTAAGAATTAAGGGAGTTAATGTAAAGTTTTTTATAAGTCTTAAATATGCATTAAAAACAAGAAGTATTAAAATAATACCATTAAGGCTAACTATATTATTTATTACCTTAATAGCCATTTATAAGATGGCTTCCTTAGTATAAGTCCTTAAGAGTTTAGCATAAAGAATATTAAAAGCTTATTAAAGTAAAGCATAATACCTCTTAACCTTACTAATAAATTAATATACCTTTATTAATATTTACTTATAAGTAATACTTATAATTTATGCAATGCTTTAAAATTTTGCTAAGGCAAAGTTGGTTTTAGCGTTATAAATAATATAATTAAAAGGTTTTATATAAGTATTTATTTAGCACTGCTAAATAGCCTCCCATATATCCTTTATAAAAAAAAAGATAAAAAATTACTTGGCTTGAAAAGAGGTTATTAAATTAATAACTTGCAAAATAAGTAAATTAAGTAAATATATAATATCCATAATAATCTTATAATTAAAATTAACATTATCTTAAAAGTTAAACTTAAAATATTATAATGCCGCAGAATAAAGTTAATAATAATAATAAAATTTAGAAATTACTTTTAAAATAAAAGGATTAATATTACCATAACTAGCATTAATAAAGAGGTGCAAAAAACGGTTAATTAAAGGGTATTTAAACCTATGATAAAGTTGCCAAAGCTTTATTTTTATTAAGAACATTGCTAATATATTATCGCTTCCTATATTAAGGAAAATCCATAAATATCCTTACTTTTAGGTAACTAAGAAAGTCTTCTTTAAGTAATCATCTTTTTATTAAACCACCTTATTAATAATATTCCAAAGAAAGAAAAAGTTCTTATTTATATCCTAAATATAAAGAAGGAAGGGAATAAGCTTATTTATAATATAAAATATTAATAATCTTATTAAAATGTTAACTTATATTATATTAAGTAACTTAATAAATAAGCCTAAGTTAAATTATATTTATACTTCGCTAGCTTATATAATATTTAAGTATATAGAAAACACTTAACATTATAAAGCTTAAAATTACTTATATTTAATTATTAAAAATATTATTATACCTATATTTAGCATAATGCCTTAATATTACTAATAAAAGTATTAATCTTAAATAATAAATATCTTTATTATTAAGTAGTCTTTAAAGTTAATGCAAATATTAAAGCCGCCTATGCCATTAAAAAAGTTATAAAGGAAGGCTTAGTTTATTAAAAAGATATAATAAGTATGCCCCTTTTTACTATTATTAATAGCCAAAGTTATTATAATGCCGGCAACTTTAAAGTTAAAACCTTTAAAGCTAATAAGGAATGTATTAAACTTATTATTATTAACTTATTATTTAGTATCCTTATATATATAAATATATATAACTTTAACATATTATTAATCTTTAAGTAAGTAATTTATTAATCAACATCCCTTTTTATAGCATATAAAATACTTTTTCTTTTTGCATTATATATCGTTATTATTACCTTTATCAAGCTAATATTCGTTATTATAGCTACCTTTATAAGGTCCTTCATTATAGCCGCTGCCTTTAAATTAATAAGGCTGGCTTAAGCAAAAGTTAAATTAAAAGCCATTACCCTTAAAAGGAGGTTAAGGATACCTTAAGCATTAATTATTATTATTATACCGCTTATTAAGATAATATTACTCTTTAATATTTATAATAGCTAAATTATTATTATTTTAATTATTATAACTATTAATATAGCCTTATTTATAAGCTTATTAATTATCTTTTATAATTATATATTATAATATAAGGTTTTAAGCCTTTAATGCCTTAATATATTATCGCAAGATAAAGTAGAATTGCTTAATATCTATTAGCGCTGTTAAGATAATATAGTAAAATTTAAGAATCCCTTATACCGCTCGCAAAATTATATCTTATAAAGAGCCATCCCTATAAATAATATACTTAAATGCTTTATAATAAAGCCGCATTTTATTAATAAGCATTTAAAGAATATTTATATAACTCTTATTTAAATTTTTTTATTAAAAAGTAAAGAAAGTTAAAGTATTTTAATTTATAAAATAGTTATAATAATTATTATTTATATTAAAGCAATTCTTAAGTTTCTTATATACTTAAGTAAATAAATCCTTTTAATTAATAACTTAAATATAATATATTTTTATTAATCCCTTAAATATATATAAAAGAGCTGCCTTAAATTATTAAGGCTAAATTTATAAATTACCATAAGCCTTATAAAAAAGGAGGATCTTATTATTAAGAATATTATATAATTCTTTAATAAATATCTTATCTTTATAATAATATTTACTTAAATTAGCTATTATATTTAAATTAAGTAAAAAGTTTTTTATCTTTATTAAAAATAAAAGGATGTAATAATTATATGCTATATAAAAGTTATTAGCTAAAGGAAGGTTGCCGCCTTCCCTTAATAAATTAAGAAATCCCAAAGGGCTACCATTACCTTTGCTATTATTACTAAGTAGGCCAAGCAATTTAAATAGTTTAAAATTAAGAGAATTATTATTAATAAATAATTCCTTATCTTTTATTAATATATAATTAAAGTTAGGAATAATATAAATATTTAAATTATAATTCTAAATTTAATCAATCTTAAATATAATGTAATATTCTTACTTTTAATTTATTAGCCATTTAAGATAGTTTAGTGCTTTAAGGATATATATAAGTTCCCTTAAAGTATTTATTCCTTAAGTATAAATGCCCTTAACTTAAAGAATCTTTTTAATAATGCATAGCAAGTTTTTATTAATTTGCATAAATATTAGCTTAATTTAGCCATAAAAGTCCTTAATAAATGCCTTATATACCTTATTACTTAATATATATACTATAGCTT